TGGCAGCGGAATCCAACGGCTGTGCATTCTTGATATCAGAGTGGAGCTTGTCGATGTCCATGATAGCACTAGCACGTAAGACAGGACCTTCAAGGAATGTAGCGCGGAGTGAAGCGGAGAGTTGTTCTTGAGTGAAAACGGGTCGGAAATTGTGAGGATTGACTTGAGCATATTGACTATCCCCCTCTTTAGGGTAGACGTCCCATCGTCTAGTGAGGGCATCCGGTTTCCCACCAAGTTTACCCGGTCGGAACCGAATAACAAGGTTGAATTGAGAGAGGAATTCGGACCAGCGTACTTGACGTCGAGTAAGGACCTTGGTAGTAGAGAAGTACTCAAGGTTCTTGTGATCTGTAATGACATCAACGGCTTCCGCGGAGCCTTCAAGGTAGTGGCGCCAGTATTTGAAAGCTTCGAAGATGGCTAGAAGCTCTTTATCGTGCGTATCGTAGTTGAGTTCGGCACTGTGGAGACTCCGGGACAAGAAGGAGATGGGATGGATCTCACCATCCTCTAGGTAAATGGATAGGATGGCGGCAATAGCGTAGTCGGACGCATCGGTTTCCACAACTAGTTGACGGTCGGGAAGCCAGTGGGTGAGGATAGGAGCATGAGTAAAAGCCTGCTTCAACTCATTGAAAGCGGATAGGCATTCTTCGTCGAATTTCCACGGAGTTCCTTTGCGAGTGAGTCGTGTTAAGGGCAGGACGATCTCACTGTACTCATGAATAAAATGGTGGTAGAAGTTGGCAAAGCCGAGGAAGGATTGGATATCCTTGACCTTGCGCGGGACCGGCCAGTCGGTAATAGCTTTGACCTTGTCTTCAGACATGCGTAAGCCTTCGGGCGAGAGAATGTAACCAAGATATTCGACGGAGTCCCGATGGAATTCACATTTGGAACCCTTGCAGTAGAGGCCATTAGCCCTGAGTCTGCGAAGGACTTCGCATACGTGTTTTCGGTGATCCTCGGGATTGTCGGAGTAGATAAGGATGTCATCAAGGTATACGACAACAGATACATCGAGCATATCGGAAAAGATGTCGTTGACGAAGTGCTGGAAAGCCGCGGGAGCGTTAGTGAGTCCAAATGGCATGACTCGCCATTCAAAGGAGCCGTAGCGGGTCCGAAAAGCGGTTTTCCATTCATCACCCTCGGCTATGCGGACGAGATGGTAGGCATGACGAAGGTCTAGCTTGGTGTAGAGACGAGCGGAACGCGCAGAATCGAGGAGGTCGGAAATGAGGGGCAAAGGGTAACGGTCTTTTTTAGAGATTTTATTAAGGCCACGATAATCTACACAGAGTCTAAGTTCACCGGTTTTCTTCTTGACAAACAGTACCGGAGCTCCGTGTGGAGAGCGGGAAGGAGTGATGAAACCATTACGGACGTTATCGTCAATAAACTCGCGTAAGGCTTTTAGTTCGGATTCAGAAAGGGAATAGATGGGTCCGAGCGGAGGAGTGGAGCCTTCCTCAATATTGATCTTGAGGTCGTAAGGGCGATGCTCAGGGAGCTTTTCAGAAAGGGAATCACTGAATACATCAGCAAATTCATGGTACTCCGGTGGGACATCGGATAAGTCAGCGGGGGCCGCGGAGGTAGCTTTGCCACTAACATTAGGCATAGAAGGCTGCAATGTGAACTGCTGAGCTCCTTCTTCCGCACAGGCTCGGACAAAAGCGGCAGCCGAAATAATAGATATCTTGGGGGCGGCCGAAACACCAAAGGAAGGAATGGTAGGGTAGGAATAGATAGGTTCGTAAGGCGGCGGAGCCCGTCAGGATCTCGATTTTGGGGTGAAGGATGATGATTGGGATGGTTGGATTGGACTGGAAGAGTCCGAGCAGACTGGCACATGTGTGTCGGCAGCCGCGGAAGCGCTTGATGAAGAAACAACCGATAATGGTGAACGGAAAGTGATACTGTGCTTTACCCAGTCAATCGACGGATTGTAGCGGGAGAGCCAGTTGTATCCCAGAACGACGTTACAAGATGAATCTAGATGAGTGACGTAGAAGTCAATAGGAAGGATGTCTCCGGAAGGGAAACGGATTGGAAGGGAAATGGATTGGGAGATGCGAGATCCGACGGAGCCGTCGAGAAGCCGAAGTTGGACAGGCGGGATAGATTTGGTAAGGAGATTGTGATCCTCAACATACTTCGAATCAACAAAGCAGTGGCTAGAGCCAGAATCAACGAGTGCAAGAAAACGAAGGATAGTAGAAATGGGTGAACCGTCGGACTCCGATCCGGAGCCGACTTCAGACAAGAGAGAGACAGTTAGGGAATGATTGGAAAGAGCGGCAGCGTTGAGGGTTACGATCTCCAGTGCACTGTGACAGTCAACGCAACCCTGTCCTAGTGCGGAGGATACAGGGTTGCTCTCTAGTTTTCCGATTCCGACGGAACCGTTTCAATAGAGGCAGTGGACTCGGGAGTAGGGGCAGGGGTAGCTGCAGCTGCACGACCCCGAGCGGAGGCTGCGGCTTTGCGCTTGTTGCAATCTTCGGTCTTGTGCTTACCTCCGCAGAACATGCAGAGGTTATTCTTCCGACGGCGGTCCTTTTCTTCCTGAGTAAGACGGCCATCTTTGCCTAGCTTGTCAGTGTAGGGCTTAGGGTTGGAAGAGGAAGAGTTGTTGGGGGAAGACGAAGATGATCCCGCGGAGCCCGAATGAGAGGACTTTTGGCTCGCGGAGTTGGAGTTGGGAGACGAAGAGTTAGAACTCTTCGCCTTGTTGCTGTTGCTGGAAGAGGAAGATGGGTTACTGCGATTTTCTCGGGATATTTCGGCTTTCCGAGTCCAGTAGCGAGCGTCGAGCTCTTGAGCGAGATTCCGCATATCACGGAGATTATCGGGTTTCCCGTGGTGGGCCATATCATCCTTGATGCGGGAGCAAAGGCCACGGTAGAAGGCATGACGAAGGGAGTTGTCGCCATAGCCAATAATGGCAGCATACTGATTGAATTTGACAATATACTTCATGATGCGGTCTCCGTCGCGCATCCGAAGATTTTCAAGCTCATCTTTGGCATCACCGACGGCGTCAAAGGGGCCGAAGTTGGTGCGGAGTTCTGAAAGGAAAGCAGTATAGGAATATGCCCAAGCAGGGGGGTTGCGGTGATTAGGGTGGAGGATATCCGGTTCGAACCAGTCAAGGGCGACACCAGAAAGGAAGGAGATAGCGTAGTTGACTTTTGCTGTATCCGATCGGAAGGCATCGGGACGGTCGTTGAAGTTCAACTGGAGAGAGACGATGAACACCTTAAGTTTTCGGGAGTCTGAACCGTCAAAGGTATCTGGTTCCTTGACCTTGGTGCGTACCGCACGTTGTCGATTGCCATTGACAGCATCGGAGACGCCGCGGAGGACATTCATGAGTTGAATGAGGATCTGGGCGTCGTTATTGGGAGGATTAGGATTGTTACCAGGATTGTTGTTAGGTCCTCCTCCAGGACCGCCGGGACCACCGGGACCACCAGGGCCTCCGGGGCCACCAGGATTGGGTGGGCCACCGCCCGGATTTCCCGATGGGTTGCCGCGGCCATTCATTGGCGTGTGAGGGGGGAATTCCCCGTCTTCCGAACCTTGGTCGTCGTCGTCGTCACGACCTTGGATATCATCGAACAGAGAGGTAGTTGGGTTCCGCGGGGGGTCGCTTCGATACTCGCCCCAGCCATTGGATTCTGATCGCTGGGCTAGGAAGGGGTTAGGCGATCGGTTAGCATCGGATTGGCGAGCAGTGAAGCCACTGTGAAGGTAGGTTTCCCTGCGGGATTGTTGGCGAGGGGCGGAATCCGATCTGAAGAGAAGGGGACCCTCTTTTGAAGCAGAGGCAGGGATATCGTCCATGGTGTAGGTTCGGTTGTTGACCGTGGAGTTGCGGCTGGTTTCTGGAGGAACAGTGAAAGTAGAAGACATGGTTAGGAAGAAATTTCGACTCAAGGGTTTGAGTTCGAATATACTGTTAGGATCGTGCCAATAGGATTGCGGCAGTAAGTGCACGTAGCGGAATGCCGCGGGATGCGTCGGGCATAGGCGAAGCTATTAGCAACGTCACCCCTGAGCCGAAGCCCTAAGATGGATACGGACGGAAGTCCGCGGAGTGGCAGAGACGAGGTAAGAGATAAGTCCAACGGATCGGAGTTCCGCGGACTGGAGAACGAGAGTTAGACTTAGAGTCAGAGAGAGAGAGAGATTGGGCTGAACCAAGTTGATATTCGAACTGAGTATCTACAGTGTAATTCTAAGGCTTATATACTAGTTAGGAGTCCGATCTAGTTCCTACTCGGAGTGGTCTACATTCTAGGGTTGTCGGAGGATGTATTCTACCGGTCGGTAGCCGATGGGGTCCGATGACATGTTCGCTACCGATGTCGGGCTATTGATAAATTAATATGGAGAAGTGAAATATAAAATGGAATATGAAATGGAATATGAAATAGAAACTGGGAATCGGAATCCGTAGGCTTCCGGGCTGTGGTTTGTTGGGTTGAGTGGAAGTCGGGTTTCCGTCGGCATGCTCGTTACAGATGGGGACTTGAGTAACCACTGGGGTGACTGTGCTAGAGAATTGGTGGTGGTGGCGTGGATGACTGGGATGGCTTCTGGGTGGTGGACATGTCAGCCTGGTTGCCAGGGTTGTCCTTCTGCCTAGCTGTGGTCAGCTCCTTGGGCCTATGGCTCATATTGTTCCATATGGCATCATTTGTGGCATAGGTGCCAGCCTGTCGGTAGGGTGCCCCAAGCTCCTTGGAGTCTTCTGGATAAATGATGTTCCAGATGTTTGCCGTTAGGCAGTACATCTCAACCATCATGATATTTGTCATGATATACTGATCTCCTATCAATCTCACCCCTGCATAATCTATTCCTGCATCTGTCATCAGCCAATAGGGATTGGTTCAAATGCCATATGCTATGGCATCAAACAGTTCATCTCATCCTAGTCCCCATAGAAGTATGAGCATGGTCTCTACTCATCTATCCAAGACAAGATGGACCTGCTTCAGAATCTCCTTGTAGTATCCTCCTACATGGATAGCTTCATCAGCATAGGAATTGTCTGCCAGAGGGCAGGAGTATGCCATAGCATAGCAGCAGGCTTTGTGGGGCCACTACTCACACTCCCACTCTCATACCTCTTCTCAAGCATGCTGCTGCTGCTCTTCCAGCCTCCAAATAGGGCCTTGACTTCTGAGGAGAGCCTGGCAGACTGTATGTTGAGTCTGGACTCGATGAGTGTAAGATGGACTTGTGTCCAAGGTCACTCGAATGGGATGATGGGGCTGGTAAGCGCATCACTAATTCATTGGTTTTCAAGTGACAATAGATCGCTCGGTGTTTCCAGGGGGGTGTACTTGGTCTAAGAGGATCACAGGTATGGTGGATCAGCAGGGACACCTTCATGGTGTTGCACTGGCTTGAGGAGTGGGATAGGGTCATTGGTTGCTCTGATCCAGTCCCAGACAGCTTGTCTGTGCTGGTCTTCAGTAGTGGGGGAAGCGGGCAGGTATGTAGGGCTCAAGGCTTTGCTTGGTTGCTTGGGTGGTATCCCTCACAACAGATCTGGCAGCTCGAGAGCTTCGTCGTTATTCTGCAGGTAATTCTTGGGTCTGTCTCCCCCAAGAAGGAGGCCAAGGCTTGGTACCTACTCCATGTGTCGAGTGGTCCATAGACAAATTGTTGTGGAGGAAGCTGGGGACAGGGACCTAGGATGGTAAGATCTTCCATCTGAGTCTCCATCATTGTGGACTCTGTCAACTGCCTCTTTGTATGCTTGGAGCACTGAGAGGTAGAAGCTTCCAGTACAGGAGTCAGGGGTCATTTCAGTCCATGACGATAGGGACAAGGTCATCGATGGTACCACCATGTCGGATATGGCCTGCAAAATCCCTTTCTTCTTTGGGTTCTGACTCGACTGGGAGGCTTGGCTGGCAAGCGAAAGGTGTGAACCCTGCACTTGAGTGTTCAGATTCTGGTACGGACTCCACAATGTCGAACTGATCCAGATCAACTGGAGTACTGGGACAGGATGGGTATGATGGGTCTTCCATCGTGAAGGGTCAGGAATGGGATTACTTGAGTGTGTGGGTATGGATGTACATAGTACAGTACCAGTAGATGTGGAATGAGTTGTAATGGTAGTTGTGCACGATCCCTGTGTCAGCAACAGGAGAAGATTCTCCTGATCCAGTACAATAGGATGGTGAAACTGAAAAGCCCAAAGGCTACAGTGATAGTGATAGTGTTTTTGAGAGATAATATGGGCATGCATCAGTCACTGTCATTCGACAACGACGAGGAGATGATAAGAAAGCTTCAGCTAATTGTTAGCCACCTAACTCGAACAAACAATATCAAACAAGGGAATGCACCACTCGCACTTTGGTGGTTGTTCACAATGTAGGACAATGCCGGTCTTATGAGCAGGCAGTTAGACACTTAGTCGCAGGAGCAGGGAGCTTTTAGAGTTGGGTAGATTAAATCTTAGCCAAAGCTGGGGTTTAGGCCAGCTGAGGCTCTACTTAAATATACTTTGAGTATGCTAATAATAGACTACAAGGGTTTGGTAACCATGCATGAAACAAAGAGAATTGTACAATGTCCATGTGTTCACAGCACCAATGTGAGAGTTGTGCATTAACAATGTGTGAACTGTCCCAGCACTTGGATGCACTGATAAGATAAAGACAAGCACTGAAGAGATAAAAATGGAAAAATCATAACAACCTTATTGTTGAAAGAGCCTTCCTATCAGCTCTTCTTCCAATCTGCCACCAGTGCTGCTTCTGCCAGGGCTGGAGTGCTTCTGTCCTGCATAATCAATTAGACCTAAATTCGGTTAGAATATCGATCATCTTGATATTCCACATCAGGTAATTTTCCAGGCCCTTAAGAGGGTCAATTCTGTAAATGGACTGACTTTCCATGTGGTTCTCTATGTGTATGTAATGTACAAAAGTGCGAAGTAGATAACAGTATAAGTAGTTCAGTTAAGGCCGAGGCCCATAACCTGTTGGAAGTACAGAAGAGGAATATGTGAGAGAGAGAATTAATTAGCCTCTCAGAGAGAGAGGCATCATACTTAAATACAAGTTATACTACTTCGAGAACTTACTACAAATTACTCTGTATATCCACTTTTGCAGTTAAATGTTTATGCCACTACTAATGCCAAAACTTCAAGTGCATTCTAAGCACTAACTCAGGATTGCTATCTCAACACTTCTTGGCTCCAAAACTTCATATCATGCCAGTTATTCTTGAAATGCTTAAGCAGCTTCTTTTTTCTAGATGCCCATGGCCCAAGGGTTACCCAGCCAGTCTGAAGATTCTTGGAACTCCGTTCTTCGTGACTACCTGTCCCATCGACTTTCATCGCCTTTGACCTGTTAGAGTATCGTCTACCAAAGTGCGAGTAGCGATCCTAACACGATTTAAGTCGATAGAGTTAGTGGCTTACATAAAGGATCAAGAGTATGGTTCTGCAATTCAGTGTGCTCAAGGCTCCTACCATCATTCTGCATCAATACTTCTTTGTCATGATGGTCAGCACAGGCCATGCCAACTGAACTGAACTGAATTCATAAGTCCTAATGCCTGACATCAGTGTCTGAACTGACAACTGAGTGAACTACTGTCCTAACACCTAACAGTGGCTGAACTTATGGTTGAAATAGTACAGTATATATTCAAGTCCATGGTGATCACATGATATACATGTGATCACTATGTGATACACATGAATAGGAAATGGTCATCCAAATAAGAAACTGTTGGGATTTGGCAATCCGGCATCATGCCGAGTCTGCTTATTAAGGTAGAAGTCTTAGGAAAAGCATGGAAGATTCTAGTAAAAGTACATTTAGTATAAAAGTAGGTACTGTAGCATAGATCCTCATGCATTTGCAGAGCTCAGCCAAGCGCAATACTATTGGCTTGCTACCATGCATGTGACACTGGGAACGAACCTGATACACCATTTTCCAACAGAAACCCTATATCTCTAACAAAGACCACTACATGAACATTTATCTGCAGGTATTCTAGGGACTCAGAATTGAGGGGAAGTGTTGGGATAGCAATCCCGAGTGAGTACAAGAATGTACTTGAAGCTTCAGCATTAGTCAGTGGCTTCATCTTTGGACCGCAAAGTAGACATATAGAGTAATTCATAGTAAATTCTAGAACTAGTACAAAGTGTATTTAAGTATGACACCTCTCCTTCGAGAGGCCAATTAATTCCTTCTTTCTTACATTCTCCTCTGTCCTTCCAACAACATCAAACTTGTATGACAAGTTGCTTAGACAGCATTATATACTATATGAATACATTGTTACAAAGCACAAAATTAATCTAGCAAGAGGATGGACAAGACTAGAAATACAAGATGAAAAACAGATGAATAAATGCAAGATAGATGAATATACATAGCAAGATAAATGAACAGTGTTGTTCCAAAAACCCAAAGAAAAGGCTCAAAGTGACAGATTTACCTTGCTCTACCTTCTGGAAATACTTTGCTTGCCTTTAATCCTATCAAACAGCTCTCTTTCTGTACGTATTCGTTCCTTAACAGGGGTAGCTGGCACATTGGCATCAACCAGAGGAGGACAGGCGATAGGGGCGACTTCAGACTGTTCCAGTTTGACGCGTTTCGCGGGTTTGATATCGGCCATAATGGGCTCACGGGGTGTTCCTTCAAATTTGACACGAATCAGAGGACTGACTGGACGAGGAGGGGCGACGCGGCTTGATGAGACTATGGGTTTTGGCGTGCTTGATGATCGGCGACGCTTGAATTTGGGTCGGCTTTTCGAAGAGCTTGTGCTCAAGACAGATGTACTTCGACGCGTCGAAGAATTATCGCCCTCGGAGTCTGAGGCAGCCACATCTCCGCCATCATCATCAAGGTCTTCGTCGAAGCGGAGCAGACTGAGGATTTCGTCGGGGTCAGGTGGTTTTCCGAGATGGGCATTCCCTTCGAGGAGCTAGAGGAAACTTAGCATCCATTGAAAAGGGAGACGAATGAAGACGAACGACAAATAGAAATCGACACGTTTTGAAGCCTGTTTGGCCGCGTTGCCTCCAAGCCTAGAGGTGAAGACATGCATTAGAATTGGAGAAGGCGGCGGCGAAGATACCAACCTTGATGACTTTGTATAGACCATCATAACGGTACCTGTGTAAAGATGAGGAACGACCAATGAATGCAGAAATGACAGTGGTACCCTTCACTTGGTGCATAACGAGAGTTGTTTTGCCCTCGGATGACACGAACGGGATTTCCCGTTGTCGCCGACATCTTTACAGATATTTCAACAATGAGTCTTGGTAAAATGAGCCAACACACCTTCAAAGTCCTGTTCCCCCGTTTCCACTCCTGGTCTGCGACTTGTACAGTGTTGTAACCCTCAGTTCTTCCGCCTAGTCCAAAAATAAGTAGGGCCAATGACGTCAGGGTTGATAGCAAGTACCTGAGCCAGTATACGTGCTAGATGCGTCGTCCGTGAGCGTTAAGCACGTGGAAACGGGAAAGGGGCGCACAAGTACGTTCCATGGTCTTCGTCGTCCTCGTAGCCACCCGACCTGCGACAATCAGCGCGAGTTGTGACAAAGAAACCAGATACGTACACAACGACAGAGTACGCGCCGCCTTCTTTCGAGGTGCCAAAGATACCAGAGCGAGGAGGGTTGTGCAAGCCTGCTGCACGAACTTGTAGTCTACCGGGGAAAATTGAGCCAACTGGTACGCCTGCGATGTGTCCGTGAACTCGACTAAGAGGCAGTGGGTAAAAGCAGAACGAATAACTGCCAAAAACTCACGAGTTACGGGCAGGTATTGGGAGAGGTCCCGCAGGAAATGGAGGCATGAAAGAGAAAGGCAAAAAATGTTGACGTAAAAGGGTTGATGAGCGTGAGTGGCACGTGTATAGCTTGTATCTGACGTCGCGAGTCGCGCCCCTTCCAGACTGAGACGATTTGTTTCACTGATAATAAGAACGAATGATTCCCCACTGCCATCATGATGAACTTATACTTGAACCCACAAAATATCAGCCCCGTCCTCCTCAATGCTCAAGGTATTCTGCAGAGGTATCCTCGAGCCATTGCCTTCACCACCGCAGTCGCTCTGTCGACCCCATGGATGATAGACAACTACGCCAAGTATATGAGCCTCGGAGAGGGCGGCTTCCCATACAACCCTATCGGATGGCTCATGGCTCTCGCCGTCTGGCCATTTGGTCGCGAGACCACGTCGACGAAGCAGTACCAGCAAGACCCGAATAAAGAGACTTGGCTTGATGATATTCCGAAGCGACAGGGCGAAAGACCGACGACTGGATGGCATCCGATCCCACACAGGCAGCTCACGCAGGCGCCAGATGCTGCTATGAGAGAGGTGAGTTCTTTACTTTACCCATCGCTACCTATTCCAATATCCGTGCAGAAACTTGACAAGCTGTTCGCTAAGCTCAGTGTAGACAACTCGTCATTGGTGGAGCTGTTAACGTCGCCCCATGAGCGCCATGTCCAGGGAATGCATATCCACTCATCTATTCCGGCGCCCCACAAAGCCGCCGAGCAGTCATTGCGCGAGATTGGCCATATTCATCCACCTGACCACTCCATGCATTTCGTTCTGTCGCCCCAAGACTGCAAGCTTGGTGAGTCTGTCTCGGTTTTCTCTCGATCCTAACTCGACTGTGTTCCATCAGTTATCGAAAAAGGCTGGGGAGAGCGGCACCCACTGAGCGGAGTCAACAAGTACGTCCCATTGCCGAAAGAGTACTTGATGATCTATGGTCCTCGCAACGATGAGGAGTTGGCCGTCATTGAACGTATCCTCAAAGCTAGCATAGGCTTCATGACAAATAGTCACAATGTCGTTTGAAATCAGTGTACAAATTTCCATTCTGATACCTAAATCCTTATGTACGAATGTTACGCCCTTTTCGCACAGGCGCTCGCCGCTTTGCAACCTCCGTCTTCAAAATTCCGACCACCAACCTCGCAGCTTCCACATCGCCCCTCCGAAAGAACGCCGTAATGAACATCTTGTACATCGGCCTTACGTGCTTCTCGAATGAAATATCTGCATCCAATTCTGGAGTCGTAAACCCAATCCTCGACTCTGACGGTGTCGAAAATGGCACATCCCCCCCTCGCGGAAGCCAACGCGCATCAACCGGATAGCCCAGCCTCACCATCTCATCAAATAACATCCTTGCCGCAGCAGCATCGACCGCTGTCGTCCATCGCAGAACCGCTTTCAATATGATATTGAGCGTGACCCGGTCCTCCACAAAGCCAAAACGCTTCACAAAATAATCCCGATTAGCAACTACCTTCCGTACGAGCTGCGCATTACGCATGCGGAAACTCTGAAATGTGCGATGCAAGATCATGTTTCCCACATGAGTTCGAGCTTGTATGTCCAGGTATGGAAGTGACTGGGCGTATAAATTTCGTGCAGCGATGGGACGGTTAGCTTTTGTAAGGATATAGATAGCCAGCTTGATGCTTGCAACATCGCTGGGTGCTTCGCGTAGAGCCGAAAAGACGCCTATCGCCGTAGAGCGAGGGGGGTCTTTCAACCTAAATGAAGAGTACGATGCCATCCGTTCACGAGTATCGGTCGTTGTTGATCTTGCAATGGTCCGAGCGGCCAGGGTCCCACCACTTCGAGCAATGTTGTACACCAGCTGCTGGCGAAGTGTTTCGAGTTTCCCGACATCTATCCCCGTCTCAAGCAGTGTTGTATAAAGACGAACTGCGAGTTTGAATTGCCTCCGCCGAACCAGCAGTTGGGCAAAACCCGTAAGGAAGGTGATAGAAAAGAACCCTGGATTCGAACGATGAATACACTGAACCGCACCAAAGGCCTTCATGCTGTGTCCAGATCGACCTATCACAGTGAGGGTATGCTGTATGTGCCCTTGATTCCTTGGAATAAGGAGAGACGAATATTCCGAATCCGGCAAATGCAGGAAGTGATTGCCTATGGTACCACTAGAAGATTCAGATAGATAGTGAACACCATGTCGAAATAGGGACCGGCTGATGGCTTCTAGCAGCTGTGTACGCCGCTGACGGAGAATTCTAGTGTCGTGAAGAAAAAGTATGGAACGTTCCGGCTGAATGGGAGCCATCAGGAACCCGAGTGTGCATACAATGCTGGGAGCCAATGCAATCCCTGCTTCTTGAGAATGGAGATACAATGCAAAAACGCTGTGTGTGTCTGCGGTCATGATCATCCGAAAAATTACTCCCAGCACATCACTCGTATTCGGTCCATCGCATGCCATACTGAGGACGCGCAGAGCGTCATCCCACCTAGGGCTGATGCACCGGAAGTAGCACACCACAAACTCCGCCGCTAAAGAGATAATCTGAGTCTTTTCAGCTCTAGTATGGTCCTTCCGTATCGTCCATAGGTCCTCAGACAAGATGTAGCGGCGACATATATCTACGAGGCTTCGGTCGGATGTGTGAACGCCTAGTCGAAGAAAGGATGCCACAACTGCCCGTTCAACGAACTGCGGCCGAAGGCTGTCCTGAGCAGACAACTGCCAGGCCCTCCACAAACTACGCAGTACGGTCTGCAGGGTTGGGGGGGATGACGATTCTCCATCTTTGACAAGCCTTTCCAGAGAAGCCAACACAAGCACTGTGCACCAACCCAACGCCAGATGGTCGTGTTTCTCCGTCAGGGAAGTCAAACACTGGTCGAGTGTCCCTGATGACATGGATGAGTAGAGAAGGAATAGTTTTAATTGCCGCCATCTCCATGAAGCATTGCTTTGAGGGTTAAAAACATCATACGCCTGGGCTCTAACCCATTGCTGAACGGAAAGCGGAAGTGACACGTAGAAATGGGGGAGAAATGCCATCCCAAACCCTGCGGCGAGGTGCTCAACATCGATCGCTGCTGGACCATAACTTTTAGAATGGGCATCGAGGGAACGAGTTGCACCCAGGGTTGGTACACGCTTCAGATGTGAATTGGCCCCTTTGAACTGATTCAATCGAGTCCAAAGCATGCTGAGAACATGCTCTCCGGCTGCGTCAGGGACATCTTGGCTGAGAACTATTGGCCAGATGAACTCTATGATCTCGGATGCTGGATTAGAAGATGCTTCGAAGATGGAGGATACATGGTGAAGCACTTCAGCCGCAGATTGTGAGGTTCCGAGTGACATGAGAATCCTGTAATAAGCGAGATGCAGGTTGACATCGATGGGTGACATTCGGAGATATTCATAGTGCTGTCTTGCAAGTCGAAGAAACGTTGGATCTACGTGTCGACAGTTAGCAAAAGAATAAGGACACGACGAAAGATGCTACCTGTCGAGGAAGACGCGACCAATCCCCAGAGTGCCCAACATCGATCCTCTTCACCAAGCTCATACCCCAGCGCCTCCGTATCCGACGCAACCTCGCGCACAAAAGCCCAATATATACTTGAAGATGTTCCCTGCTCAGAATGCCCATCCGAATCTGTAGCAAGCTCTCCGTACAAACGTAGAAGTCTACTGAGCTGGTTGTGGCTCAGAGAGGAAACTTGATGTGCTTGTTTAACTTCACGATAGAGCGAAAGCAGAGTGGCACCAGACACAGGAGGTGGTGACCCATTATCCGACATTAGATGCGCGCTGAGTGTCGAAAGAGAATAATTCCGCTCCGGAAGGGCGCGACGCGAGCTGGCTATAGTCACATTACCGTGACGCGCTCTGTACGCAATATAGCGACTAAAAGGGAGTCAAAAAGACTGTGCCGACCAGCAAGAAAGCAGTATATACCGAAGAGTGCCGCAGCCGTCCAAATTTCGGGCTGTCGACTGGACCCATCTCAACATTCCATTGCATGTGAGACGATGCTGGCGCGAGATATAGTAACGGCGACAACGCTTATCTGCAAGTGAATGCGTCCCTGCGGCTGGAAGAGCCTTGCCGTCGAGCACGGCGGCAGATAACGACTAGTAGGACTTCGTTGTCGTTAGTCGAAGGGAAACGGGAAATGCCGGGAACCCTCAAACCTTATTCACAATTCCCACGGTAGGCATACACAGAAAGGAAACCGGCTGTATTACTTTTCTCACTTTAGTCGTCTTGAAAAATCCATTGGCACTCCGTGGTGAGTATTATTGACTCCTTTTGCTGAAGTTGTTGCTGACGACAAGCAGAGACCAATAGGGAGGCACTATCTCTGTATAATTCCAGCACATTGTATGTTTCGTTGATATGTATACGACGCCTTTTCTCATCGGTCTGCAGAAAACAAAATGGGAGCTTCTCGCGCTGACAAAGAGTTATACTTCCAAAAACTCAAGGAACTCTTGGCCAAGTACCGTACGTCTTTGCCGGTACTCATTTATACAACGGACTGACAGTTACACAGCGTCGATTTTCCTTGTCAACGTTGACAATGTCGGTTCCAACCAGATGCATCAGATTCGTGTCTCTCTCCGTGGCAAGGGTGTCGTTTTGATGGGCAAGAACACCATGGTCCGACGTGCTCTCCGTTCCATTCTCTCCGAGTACCCCCAGTTCGAACGTCTCCTTCCCCACATCAAGGGTAACATTGGTTTCGTCTTCACCGCTGGAGATCTCAAGGATGTTCGCGACCTTATCGTCGCTAACAAGGTCGCTGCCCCCGCTCGTGCTGGTGCCTTTGCCCCTAAGGACGTCACTGTCCCTGCTGGTAACACCGGTATGGAACCCGGAAAGACATCTTTCTTCCAAGCTCTTGGTATCCCTACCAAGATTGCCCGTGGTACGATTGAAATCGTCTCCGACGTCAAGGTCGTGCAAGCTGGTACTCGTGTGGGAACTTCGGAGGCAACCCTGTTGAACATGCTTAATATTTCCCCCTTCACCTATGGAATGACAGTTGTCCAGATCTTCGACTCTGGAAACTCGTTCTCGCCTGACGTTCTGGATGTTGATGAGCAGGAGCTCGTGGACAGGTTCTTGAGCGGTATCAAGACCATCGCGGCTATTTCCCTTGCTCTCAACTACCCTACCATCGTATCTGTGGTTCACTCGCTTGTCAACGCCTACAAGAATGTCCTTGCCGTTTCATTGGCTACCGAGTATACATTTGATGGATCTGAGAAGGTTTGTTTTTCGATCCGTACGCTTTTTTTCATATACTGATTTCGTTCTAGGTCAAGGAGTACCTTGCCAACCCCGAGGCATTTGCCGTTGCTGCTGCTCCTGCTGCTTCCGAGGCTGCTCCTGCTGCCGTTGCTGTTGAGGAGAAGGAGCCAGAGAAGGAAGAAGAATCTGACGATGACATGGTAAGAATTGATCCTCGTGTGGTGACGATTGTATCTGACGAACGTTTGTTACAGGGCTTCGGTCTGTTCGATTAGATATATTCGTGCTCACTCATGTATCGTAATCTTTACTGGAATACCATACGTATACTGTATTGCTTGAATTTGTATCCGGAAAATAATCGGCATTGACGGTCCGGCAGTCCCCGACGTCTCATGTCATCGTCATACATGACGGTCGCCTTTGCTTTTCATTACGTCCTCTACAGTATATAATACGCAGCCAAGGTTGCCTAATTTCCTCCTTTTCCCGTTATCTCTTCTCTATTTTCGCGACGGAATAATACGAAATTTTCAGTATTTCGCACAGAAGCCGGCGTCGAAAACACGTTCTTCGTCCAGGACCAAATCCGATAATTTCCTGATCTGGCGTTTTGTTGGGAATCTTGGGCGTGTCCAGCCGAGTACATCCAGAGTATATAACGGCCCGGTATCCCATGTCCAGCTCTCCCATCGACCCAGCCATGGAGGGCGGCCACCTCATCGTCGTATCCAACCGTCTCCCTATCACTATCACCAAGGATGCTGCAGGCGAGTATCACTTCAAAATGTCCTCTGGTGGTCTCGTTTCTGCACTTTCTGGCTTCAAAAAGTCGCTCAACTTCACCTGGATTGGTTGGCCAGGATTCTTCATTCCCGTTCGCGACCGTGCCCACGTCGACAAGCGCCTGATGGAAGAGTACTCTTGCCAGGCCGTATACCTCGACGATGACGTTGCGGACCGTCATTACAACGGCTTTTCCAACTCCATTCTATGGCCTTTGTTCCATTACCACCCCGGCGAGATGAACTTTGACGAGGAGAACTGGTTGGCGTACAGGCAGGCAAATCTGCAGTTTGCAGAGGCTGTCAAGATGCAACTCACTCCGGGATCGATGGTGTGGGTGCAAGACTACCATCTCATGCTCCTTCCCATGCTCCTACGTGGTCTGATTAACGGCGCGCAGACAGAAAGCCATTATACCCAGAAGGAGCTGTCTAAGATTGCTGAGGGCATTGAAGGCGAGGATGTTACGGTGACCAAAGCAGAAACCGTTCCAGGAATCAAAATCGGTTTCTTTTTACATACGCCGTTCCCAAGCAGCGAGATATACAGGCAAGTTTCGTTCTCTCATCTGATGCGCTCGCTTATAGTTTTTAGAATTCTCCCGGTCCGACGCGAAATCCTTCTCGGAATTCTTTACTGCGACCTCATCGGCTTCCATACATACGACTATGCCCGGCACTTTCTCTCCTCATGCACCCGTATCCTTGGTCTTCCCACTATGCCTAATGGAGTCGAGTTCGAAGGCCGACTAGCCCATGTCGGCACATTTCCCATCGGCATCGAGCCCGCGTCTTTCATAGATGTGAGTAACCTGCTTCAGCATACAGCCCACTGTCCTAACGAATACTCCAGAACCTCAAGAAAGAATCTGTCAAATCCCGAATTGGTCAACTAGAACAGCGGTTTGGCGGTGTCAAGGTTATTGTGGGCGTCGATCGGCTTGACTATATCAAAGGCGTACCGCAAAAGCTCCATGGCTTAGAGTTGTTTCTGACACAGCATCCAGAGTGGATTGGCAAAGTGGTTCTCGTTCAGCTAGCGGTCCCATCGAGGCAGGACGTGGAGGAGTATCAGAATCTACGATCGACGGTTAACGAACTCGTTGGAAGGATCAATGGCCGCTTTGGGACTGTCGAGTTCATGCCCATTCATTTCATGCACAAGAGTTTGCCGTTCGACGAGCTATGCGCGCTGTATGCGGTCAGTGACGTGTGCCTGGTATCCAGTACAAGGGACGGGATGAATCTGGTCCGTACTTCCCCTGTCTTTTGTGAGGCAGTTCCTCATAGCTTTTTTTTTTAAGGTATCATATGAGTACATCGCCTGTCAGCAAGCAAGACAAGGAGTCATGATCCTTTCGGAGTTCGCTGGTGCTGCGCAGAGTCTGAACGGGTCAATTGTTATCAATCCGTGGGATTCGCAGCAGGTCGCTGACGCGATTCATGAGGCTGTTACCATGGATGCGGGTGTCCGGGCGGAAAACCATCGCAAGCTGTTCAAGTATGTGAACAAGTACAGTGCATCGTTTTGGGGGAGTAGTTTTATCAAGGAGATGAGCAAGATTAAGCTCGAAGACGATGTTGAGACGGTTCAGAAGATTGAGGATGGGGTCATAAAGGATGGATTAGTTACGCCGAACGGGAACGGAGCCTGAAAGTCTAGAGGTAATTCTGATATGGGACTCGGATACAAACACGTCATTATGGTATACTTATTGAAATTGACTCGTATGTAGAGACGAGTGTGGAATGATAGGATTCATGTACTTGTAACGGTGTCCTGACTGCTGGTTACACACACGACAGCTCAAATTTTTCAGGAATGCTATAGAACCTTCCGTGTACTAGTATCGCTAATCAAGGATAAAGCGATGGTTATTGCAAGCATCCTAGGTTTCATGGTATGGCGATCCGTGTTGATAGGTGTTGCTTGTACGTCCCAATACGACGAACCGGTCGAACAATGTCGCCGCGAACAATGGGGAAGCTCAACTAATCATTTCTCAAATCTTTCGACAGTTTGAATAACTTGCGCTCATGCTTCTTCGGCCAATATCGATTCATAACTATCCTACTTGACTTATTGCGTGATTCAGTAGCGTGATCATTCCTGCTGTTGAGTGTATTTATAAAAGCTGTTAAGGCTAACTTCGCAAGGTTGCAGTCAAACCTGAGACTGAAACGACACTATAGGAAATTAGTCTCACACTCAATAAGAAGAATTCAGTAATATTATTTCTGGTTATACTAGTACTTACTAACAAAGTTCAGCGGGGGAAAGGTCCGCCTCAGGTTGTATTCAGCCATTCTTCAGGCCTAGGCCCAAACCCAAGGTGGAGATGTTTTTAAAGCTTTAAACCTCTACTCCGTATATTCTCACTGCAGATCTGAAATGATACGACCCGTTAGGATTCTCGAGTGCTGTTACTTGCAAGTTATGAAGCTGCGAGCAGTCGTACTTATCCTGACGTTATGCCGGCCGCCGATCATGATGCGTCAGTGCTTGACGTCATAGTCTGGGAATGACCCTGTATACATGAGTCATACCAGGGTTCGCGAAACGCGAGCCGTTTGAAAAGGGGAAAGACTGAGGGTCTGAGGGTCTGAGGGTACACTCGGAGTCGGACTCGGTTGAGAGCTATTTATCCTTCTTTTTTTCTCAGAGCCCTGGAACGGTGATTTCCCTAATTACCTTTCTTTGGAATGGACGCGCGGAACAAGCCTGGAAAAAGCCGTGTTTTTTTTAGTGATGGTTATTATTATCTCGATTCTCGATTCTCTCGGAGTCCAGTTTTTTTCTCAAGGTTTATTGGCCCGACCATAGAGGTGTGTTCTGTGGGCGTGTTCGGCGTGAATAAAACCGAAGAAATGCGGCCCTGCGGGCCATTTTTTAAAGCCAGCTGATTGATCTTTGACAAAAGGTTGTGCAGTGTAGGCAAGTTACGTATGGAAAAAAGCTGCGATACAAATATTAACTCTGCCCGCGTTGTTTATACGGTTTATCAGGCTCGACGAACCGAGCTTCGCTCTGGTCGGAACGCGCTTCGGGGTTTCTTTTTCGCGGACGCAGTTTCACGCAAAGGGGATGTCAGCGTTAAATTTAATGTCCGATAATGGTGTGGTGATCTTTCTCCGCCTACACGACCTTAACAAAACTACCATCGAGTTTAAGAGTAATATGCCTCGATTCGCTTAAAGTTACTGATGCTCCTCTATATACTTGGTGTGGCTCGTGGAGTTGTGGCGAACAAATCCAGATGATGTGGCGGGTAGTGGCGGCTGCACCAGAACCCTACTAGAACCAACTACCCACTGGCTTGGTTGAAATGAAACCACGTGTTCCACACAGCCTTCAGGAAGATTGAAGCCCGTGGTCACATAATAATGTGGTACACGCATGGAGAGCTGACCAAAGCAGACACTATCATGCAATTGGGCATAGATACCAAGCTTGAGAAGGGAGACTAAGTCTGTAATAGAAACGAGGCTATGCGCAGGCTTGGAAGGCTAGAAAGTTCAAAGGAGAACTTGCGTACCCTGTGGGACAAGAAATTTGGAACTGACAGATTGGCTTGGGTCGCTTCGCGGGATCGGCGGAGCCTGTGGTTTGACTCGAAAGGAAGGATGTTATGCAGAGAATTTTGGGCGCCATCGGCCGATTGCAAAAATGTGACAAGATGTCTGCTTATAGGAGACGGTGACGTGGTCGGAGAATTCAGAAGTAGTCAATACAGTAGAGAATACTGCACCGTGTTCCGCGAGGCAGTGCAGGTCCTGATGGATTTGGGGAACTTCTAACTTGAGCTGAGCTTCCAAGAATAATGCGGGAGGCCGACACATATAGCACAATTCGCGCTACAGTGGGATATAAAATTGGAGAAGAGGACACAAGACGTGAAGGTGGTGCAGTGGTGCCAGATTTCTGGATTTCTGGCTACTGATGGTTTTCAGATCCAGACAGCTCGGCGGTGACAATATACTGACGAAATGGGGCTCCGTGGCCCCAACATGGAGTCAACATAACAACTGAAAACAGCAAAGGCAGCGCCAGTCAGATGAATGCGTAGCCGCAGATACAGCAGTACTTCCAATACACTCATGAAGAGGGGTTGTCGCCAAATGCAGAGATACTACCAAGCAACAAAACCGCAGTGATCACTGAAAAAAAAAAGTCTGATCCGGAGGCCGTTCCGTAAAGGCTTGGCTGCCGACAAAAAAATCTGAAAATTCCAAGGAAGACAGGCTTTCGATACCTAGGAGCGTCGTAGATAGACCATCAGCGCTACAGGGCGCGAGTTGTGATAGACGCCGTCCAACCGCCAGGGCGCTTGATTAGTATACTTTACAAGTAGCAAGGTGTGAGTACTTGAGTTCCAAACTTGGGATATATATCACGGGCCGGAGAATATGTTGAAGGCAGTGCGCCAAGGCTTCCAGAATATATCTTTTAGACGACCTCAACAGCACACCACGACCTCTCTCCCGTCCCTTCGCATCCTCCCACAACGCATGAGTACTGTCATTTTCTGCTCTTATAGTCGAACAACACATCATGGAACCTCATAATCATTCAATAAGTCCTGCAATCATCATCGAGGATGCTACTTTTTCAGGCGATGGAGCCAGCAACGAGGCAGCCGTTTCCACACCCCTTACTCCTACCGATGCTGGCAATGAAAGTCTGCTGTCTCCGCTACATATACCCAGGCAAACGCGTAATTCCGTCGAGATTCATTCCCCAGGGACTCCTTCAGACATGTCCGACGCATCATCTGTACCACCATCACCCACTCTTTCCAGTTCTTCCGGTCCTTACCCTACAACGCTCGCTTTACGGGATAATCAGCCCGAAGTTCGTTTTAATACCAACCTTCTTTCGCCGGACTCGCCTATACACAATCGCAAGGCTAGTGTTGGAACTCTGACTAGCTCGAATGAAGGAACAGTCGTGGAAGAGCATCGCAGTGAAAAGTCTGGTTCTGGTTCTGATACACACAGTTACACGCAGTACGACGCGTCGCGTTCACCTTCTCGTGAACGAACGGAAAGCGCACCACCTGAGAAGGAGGTCGAGGTGCAGAAGGAGGAGGGGAAAGATCAGTCAAAGGAGAAAAAGAAGAAGAAAATAAGAAAAGACGACGAGAAGGAGGAAGAGATAACCGGTCACCGAGCAGAACTAGAGCAGGACGCCAACTTCGACCCTACACCGTTCCGTTTCAAGCCCTACGAGCTTGCTCACATGCTCGACCCCAAGAACCTAGACACTGTGGAGGACATGGGTGGAACATCTGGTCTACTGCGTGGTCTCGGCTCTGATAGCATGCATGGGCTCGGCTCAGGCGCAGGGCATGGTGATGGTGATGGTCGACCTGGCGCGGGAGAGGGTGCTTCCCAACGACACGACCCTGAAAAGGAGGTGCCTGCTATCACCCTCACAGAGCCTGGGGGAGATGTTCATTCTACTCATGCATCTGATATTTCCAATGAAGCTGCGTTCGCGACATCGTTAGAAGAACGTCGACGCGTTTATGGGCCCAATGTATTGCCCGAGCGTCGTAGTAAGACCTTGCTGCAGCTCATGTGGACCGCTCTCAAGGATAAAGTTTTGGTATGTCCCTCTCTTGGGCGTTGAACATATATTGACCCTTTTCAATGAAGATCTTACTATCTATTGCTGCTGTTGTTTCTCTTGCTCTCGGGTTCTTTCAAGATTTTGGTGTTGCTCGAGATCCCAGCGACGGTCCTCCAGTGGATTGGGTGGAAGGAGTTGCTATTATGGTTGCAATCATCATTGTCGTAAGCATATGTCATCTTTATCGTTCTCGCACAGCTTTTCTGACATCGTGGGACAAAAGGTGGTAGTTGGCTCTTTAAATGACTGGCAGAAGGAACGCCAATTCAAAACTTTGAATGAACGAAAGGAGGAACGTGGAGTTAAGGTCATTCGTGACGGCGTTGAGAAAGTTATCGATGTCAAAGTATGTAGTCAGCAGACGTATTTGCTGTGTCGGTCGACTCACGGTACTTTCAGGAGGTTGTTGTCGGTGATATCGCGTTGCTGGAGCCGGGCGAGATTGTTCCCTGCGATGGTGTGTTCCTTGGAGGACACAATGTCAGATGCGACGAGTCTTGCACAACAGGGGAATCAGACGCCTTCAAGAAGGCCACCTTTGAAGAATGCAAGTCTATGCTTCACAGACGACGAGAAAAGGAGGGTCGCACAGCAGATCTGGCACATACAGATTGTTTCATCGTTAGCGGTTCCAAGGTATTGGAAGGTGTCGGCAAGTACGTTGTTGTTGCTGTTGGAACTAAAAGTTTCAACGGAAGAATTATGATGGGTACGTACGCTCGTGATTTCAATATTCGGGCTAACCTCGTTTCCGGTTTTATCAGCGTTGCGAGGCGGTGGGGAGAATACGCCTCTTCAGCTCAAGCTGAACTTTCTAGCCGAACTCATTGCCAAAGTTGGCAGTCTGGCGGGGCTGATACTATTTACTGCCCTAATGATTCGGTTTTTTGTGCAATTGGGTTCTGGCGATCCTGTCCGGTTTGTACAACCCGCTTTTTTATGGTCTATATGATGTTGACTGAAACTTCGGGCAGCTCGGCGAACGAAAAGGGGATTGCTTTCGTGAATATCCTCATTATCTCTGTAACGCTGATTGTAGTTGCTGTCCCAGAAGGTGTGTCTTGATTAAAACCGCGGGATATTTTACCGACTAATGATTCCGTTTTTGTTACAGGTCTGCCGCTAGCGGTGACACTCGCACTGGCTTTTGCGACGAAACGAATGACTTACGAAAACTTATTGGTACGAGTCCTGGGGTCTTGCGAGACCATGGCAAACGCATCGGTCGTTTGTACGGATAAGACAGGCACCCTCACCCAAAACGTGATGACTGTTGTTGCTGGGTCTGTCGGTGTCCACGCCAAGTTTGTTCGCCAGCTAGAGGAGAATCAAACACGCACGAATGTCGGCGAGGAAGAGCCCGGTCACCGCAAACACCCTAACGATTTTTCTATCGATCAGTCGCAACTGAATGATGCTATGACACCTGCATTACGTTCCCTTTTTAACGAAGCTATCGCGGTAAATTCCACTGCTTTCCAGGATACCGATCCAGAATCTGGGGAGGTGATCTTCGTTGGTAGCAAGACGGAGACAGCTCTCCTCAAGTTTGCTCGGGAGTTGGGTTGGGCGGATTTCAAAAAGACGCGAGACAGCTCGGACATCGTCCAGATGATTCCCTTTTCTAGTGAGCGCAAGGCGATGGGAGTGGTCGTCAAATTGGGAGAGAAGAAGTGGCGCTTTTATGTTAAAGGCGCGAGTGAGATCTTGTCGAGGAAGTGTACCCATAACGTCGTCGTGCAGAAGCCTGGGAACTCCAGTCCCCAGCGGGACGACGTTGAGGTTACACAGATTGATGACCACTCAGCCAATAACATTGCTCGCACCATCATTTTCTACGCCAACCAGACTCTGCGAACGATCGCCTTGTGCTATAGGGACTTTGACGTTTGGCCGCCTCCCGATGCTGTTCACGATGAACAGAACGAGGTGAATTGGCCTCACCTCGTACAATGACGTCTGTGACTAATGTCGTAAATTATAGGTCGAATACGCCTCCCTCGCACAAGATCTAACCCTAATCGGTATCACGGGTATTGAAGATCCGCTTCGTGAAGGTGTTCGCGACGCCGTCGCCAAATGTCACAAAGCCGGCGTTACGGTCAAGATGTGCACTGGAGACAACGTCCTTACTGCTCGTTCAATTGCGTCACAATGTGGGATTTATACAAGCGGTGGTATAATCATGGAAGGACCCATTTTCCGCAAGCTCGACCGCAATGACATGCTCGAGATTGTCCCTCGCCTTCAAGTATTGGCGCGTTCTTCTCCGGAGGACAAGAAACTCCTCGTTGAGACCCTCAAGTCGTTGGGAGAAATTGTCGGTGTCACTGGTGATGGGACTAACGATGGACCTGCACTGAAGACTGCACATGTCGGATTCTCTATGGGCATTGCAGGGACAGAAGTTGCGAAAGAGGCATCAGACATCATTCTCATGGACGATAACTTTTCGTCGATTGTGAAGGCTATCATTTGGGGACGTTGTGTTAATGATGCTGTCCGGAAATTCTTGCAGTTCCAGATATCTACCAACATAACGGCTGTCGTCATCACTTTTGTGACGGCTGTTGCATCTACTGACGAGGAGCCTGTTCTTACGGCTGTTCAGCTGCTATGGATCAATATCATTATGGACACATTCGCTGCACTAGCTCTTGCTACGGATCCCGCGACAGAAAACCTGCTTGATCGTAAGCCAGATAAGAAGACGGCGCCGTTGTTTTCTGCGGACATGTACAAAATGATCTTGTTCCAGTCGATCTATCAAATCATCATCTCGCTAATCTTCCACTTCCTTGGTCTCACAATTCTTGGACTGGATGCGTCTGATCACAACAACACTGTTGTGCAGACTTTGGTATTCAACGCATTCGTCTTCGCACAAATCTTCAACTCGGTCAATTGCCGACGATTGGACAGGAAGCTCAATATATTCGAGGGAATCACGAAGAACTACTATTTCATGGGTATCACGTTTATCGGTAAGCCAATCTGGTCATTTTTAGAAGGTTCTAATGTCTCTTTGGAACAGAGGTTGGTGTACAAATACTTATCGTCTTTGTTGGAGGTGCTGCGTTCCAGGTCACCCGTGTGGGTGGTCGGGAATGGGGTATCTCCCTGGCTTTGGGCGTCGTTTCGATACCACTGGGTGTGGCAGTTCGGTTAATGCCCACCAAACCGTTCGAGAAAGTCTTCAAGAAACTGGGACTCCTTGGGCGAAGCGAGGTTCTCCCAACCAAGAATGCTGACAATGAAGGATGGACCGGTGCAATTACTGTCGTTAGAGACAATCTCGGAACGTTCGCGAATCTGAGAGGTGGCCGAGTTCGTTCGTCTTCGTTCGTGGTCAAGAGTCGCCGGGCAACTTTGTCAGATGACCAAGGACCCATGCGATTGTTAGTATTCTCATTTTGCATGAATTAGATTTAACTGACGACATTTGGCTTTTTAGATCATCACTCCTCACAATGGCCCCGACTATGATGGCAGGAGCTGTCGCTGCTGGTCACAGCTACATCAAGCCTGGTAATCTGTCGGATCCTGCACACAATGATCCATCTGTGTCATCCGCCGCGCTATGGGAAGGAAAACTTCAATTACATCCAGATACCCCGAAAGACGATCCCACATACAGGAAATTTGGCGGTGAGCAGAATATGGTGTGATTACTCGCTTGTCTCTTCCCTAATCTGCTTTCTTCACTTATTTGCCTTCACATATCAACCACATACTATGTAGCATACTCATCGTCACATCGCTAGTTACTAGAATTATCAATACACGGTCTACATTAATGCATTTGTCCGAGTGAGGCCGGAAGCGTACGTGGTTGATCGACGATGACTCTAAATCGAGTCAAAATGCCCACGGCTTAGCTAAGACGGGCGACACTTCTTTCGAGGTAACCATCATCACCACCACCTTCCTGCCTGTGCTGTCGCCCTATCACCAGCGCATCAACCGGCTTAAGACACTAACGACTGCAACATGCCCAAGGTACGTGCCTTCATCTTTTCATCGGTTTTCAATTGACTAAAGATTCGGGATCCAGAATAAAGGAAAGGTGCGCATTATACGTTTCGTTCAGCGCCTATTTTTTTACACCGATGCTATCCAGGGAGGCAAAAATCGCCGCCGAGGAAAGAACGAAAATGACGACTGACAAGCGTGAGCTTGTTTTCCGGGAGGATGGGCAGGAATACGCCCAAGTGACGAAGATGCTGGGGAATGGGCGGTTAGAGGCTCAGTGCTTTGATGGGGAGAAGCGGCTAGCCCATATCCGAGGGAAAATGAGGAAAAAAGTGCGTCTCTCCATTTCGTGGTGTCTTGAGCAGTTCATTGATGGCGTACAGGTGTGGATCAACCAAGGAGACATCGTCCTCCTTTCGCTCCGGGATTTCCAAGACGACAAAGCTGACGTGATTGTCAAGTATACTGCTGACGAGGCAAGAAATCGTGCGTCTTTCCCCAAGTCTCTTAGTGCCCCGTCGCTGATATGCTTTGCTTGCAGTCAAAGCGTACGGTGAGCTGCCGGAGAACGCGAAAATCAACGAGACGGATACGTTTGGCGAAGAAGATGGAGAGTGTACCTTCGAGTTTGGAGATGAGGGTGAAGTCGACATCGACGATATCTAGGTGTTGCATTCATGACGTGCGTGCCTTTCTTCCGGCCTGTTTTTCGTAGCTGACTTCAAGTTCAGTGTACTCTGCATTTCTGTCTGTACTTTACTCAATAGAGGATATTCACGACCAAATCTACCCTACGGGCTATCATCCAATATACGTCTGATACCTTGAAACACACATACATAACTATCCGCTGTCCAACAATGAGACGCCGAAATGCCATGAAATCGCTTGGTAGAGTTTTATTAGATGATTGACGAAGCTGCGCCGTTGAACCTTTGAACTTGGATGCGCACACACTCGTGGACTCGGTATTCGTCAAGTTCGTGCGTCTTGTGTGAGGTCCCTCGCTCTGACATATTTGGTATATTGAAAATTGGCGTCTTCTCTGCCGTTAAGTACAAGATCTTCTAAGCGCCGTTCCAGTGTCAAGCATAGCCAATTGTCCAGGACTAGCCCATAGCCTCGTCTAGCTTCTTGTCCAGTGAGCTTCCATTGGTGCCAATGTATGAAGGAACGCTCCCTGAACTTGTGGCTGGTTAGCACCTACCGTCCCCGCGAATTTGCGTATTGCAAACCTCTTGTCACAAGTTTGAGTTTTTGTTTGGCACTGTTCATCATCTTGCTTCTTTTCTTGTGGCACATTACCAATGTATTGATATCATGATATGTATATTCCGGACGAATTTTTCATTGGCACTTTACTCGGACCGTCTCACCGGTAGAATGCAGATAAGCGCCTAGGCACGTTGCACATACGACTATGCCGATACCTGACAACGAGAGCGCTGCACTCGTCGACAGCCCCGCTCTCCCGACAGACCTGTCGCGTCCGATTCTGCACGGCTGGGATCAAATCAACCTCGATGACCAAGGAACCGATGTACGAACTCAGATTCAGAGTCTCATACATAATATTTCTAGTCCTTGGAGATCCATGGAGTCGATACCACTATCGCTAGAAATGATGGTTATAGATGTACTGCAGCAGGTATGTTTGCTGTAGAGCCTAATCGGCGGTACTGAAAGATCTAATGAAGTCGTCAGGAACTAGATGACACGTCTTGCACCGATGGATATCGTACAGCATGTATGAAATGTCTTCTAGCCTTGAGCAAGGCCCGCAATATCGTGCCCTCTTCCCTTTCTTCTCGAGATGTAACTAGAGAAGGGCCATACCCTATCGGCGGCGGCGGCTTTGCAGTAAGTGTCCATCTGCTCCTTGTTGACGATTTTGTTTTTATGCACGGTCTCCCTGTTAGGACATTTATAAAGGGCGTCTCCATGATACGCAAGTATGCTTGAAGGTCCTTCGGATATTCATCCCTGAAAAGGCTCGGGAGAAGCTTCTCCGAGTAAGTCACGCACTGTACTAAGCTAAACTACTACGTCTTGACGCGCTGCAGGATTTTTGCAGGGAAGCTCTCGTATGGAGGCAACTCCGCCATCCCAATATCCTTCCCTTCTTGGGAGTCAACAAAGACCTTTTCGCTCCTAGTTATTGCTTGATATCTCCCTGGATGGTCAATGGAAATATCATGTCTTACCTTGAAGCCCATCCTGACCACGATCGCCTTACAACGGTACGCTAGACATTGTGTGAGATTGACGAGAGCTGGATTTACATTCCCCAGCTGGTTCAGGTTGCCGAAGGGATGAAGTATTTGCACAGTCTCGATCCTCCAGTGGTACATTCCGATATCCGTGGGGTGCGTTCAGGTACCCTGCTTACTATCCTCGCATCACCTCTTACATGGGCTTCTCTTAGGCAAATATTCTTGTCAAGGATGATCTATGTTGCTGTCTGGCTGATTTTGGCCTTTCCCTGTTCGCGGAGTCGCAGGCTCTTGACAGCACATCTAGGATGAGCAGAGGAAGCGTGCGCTGGCTAGCTCCCGAGTACATGGATTCGACATTATTTGTCCAATCATATCGCACTGCTAGGGATATTTACGCCTATGGTTGTACTATTGTCGAGGTAGGGCCAGCGGCACACTGTCATCACACCCTTATAACTTTCTTTCCAAGATATTTACCGGAAAGCCACCATTTAGCGAGATCAAGAGCGAAGCTGGTGTTATACATGAGGTCCTGACAAAACAAAATTGTCCACTGAGACCACCTTCAAATATTTTCCCGGATGAGGGACTATGGTCACTCGTCATGGCATGTCTCAAAACTCTATCGAGCCGGCGGCCAAATGTGGAAGGGATTTTAGAATTCTTGATCCAACTTCAAACAACCTCCGAGCCGGATCTTGACATTCTTGACTCTTATTCCCCAATCAGCCCGTTCAGCAATCGTAAAAATCCTTCACCGCTGTTGACTGCTCCGGAGAATGTTAATGGTAGCACGACCACAACTCCAAGCATTGTTCCGGAGTATCCAAACCGCGCCCAGGCGCTTTACCCGTATGAAGCTTCACCGACTGTTCCCGACGATCTCAGCTTCACCGCCGGTGAGATTCTTTACGTTAAAAGAACATCTCAAGATTGGTGGGAAGCAAGAAAAATAGATGGATCTATCGGGACTGTGCCCTCGAATTTTCTACGCCTCGTGCCACTGGAGAAGTTTTCAAACCGCGCCCAGGCGCTTTACCCGTATGAAGCTTCGCCTGCTGATCCTAACGAGCTCAGCTTCACCGCCGGTGAGATTTTGGACGTTGAAAGGACATCTGAAGATTGGTGGGCAGCGAGAAAGAAGGATGGATCTATAGGTGTCGTGCCCTCGAATTTTCTACGCCTCTTGCCACTAAAGCATCCACACCGTGCCCGGGCGCATTACTCGTATGAAGCTTCGCCTACTGATCCTAACGAGCTCAGCTTCACCGCCGGTGAGATTCTTCACGTGAAAATAACATCTAACGGTTGGTGGGAAGCGAGAAAGCTAGATGGATCTACAGGGATCGTGCCATCGAATTATCTACGCCTCTTGCCACCAGAGTATTCAAACCGCACCCAGGCGCTTTACCCGTATGAAGCTTCGCCTGCTGATCCTAACGAGCTCAGCTTCACCGCCGGTGAGATTTTGGACGTTGAAAGGACATCTGAAGATTGGTGGGACAGCGAGAAAGATGGATGGCTCTATAGGTCTCGTGCCCTCGAATTTTCTACGCCTCTTGCCACTGTGATATTACACAGTTGTCACCCCCACTTGCCAAACCCTATCTACCCAGACCGCACCTTCCAGTGGAAAGGCGTCGTCGATCATCGAGCCCAGAAAAATCTCTCGCTCTGCAAGATCAGCGGTCTGCACGAAACCAGAAAGAATACACCTCGAACCTTCACAAGCAATTTGGGGGACTGATATTTACCATGCAAAACGTGTTCGAATGGGAGAACCCGGAGATGGGAATGTCCTTACTTCACCGCCAGCCAAGATGTTGGCTCTCTGATTGGAGGCGCCATCCCTCAACTCTAGTCGTCCCGATGGCGATGCAGAAAGCGAATCGTACCAATATTGCTGCACCGATTTTCTCCTCCCTTTTTCGTTTTGATTATCGTTATGCTTTGCTTTACTACAAACAACTCACTGAAACCTTGCTGTAGATTACATGATACTTGGTTTTACTCCTGCTCAGTAGTATACTTCTATTCACCACGATATAATGTTCTACTAGCGAAACTAGAAAAATCTTGTTCCCGTTCAATCACAACTGTGCATTCATTCACCAATCCTCTCATTGCCTGGGACGACCCGAGTGACGTGGAGGTTTGGTATGAAGTCCCAGAGAACCTGGCCCGTTGTGTACACCTCCGTACTACATCGATGTATGCCAGTCATACCCACTCTTCCCAGGGACCAATCCCGCTGCAGCGCCGTCTCTACTAAAAAAATCTCCTCAGATCATCCGCCAACTCCGACGGCTTCTCATGCGCCGCAAAGTGACCTCCATGGGCATGTTCAGATACGAACATGAGGTTATCTATCAGCTTGGGTCATCTAAGAGCAAACCAGTCAGCTGCGCAAGCGGTCCGAGGTGAAACTAACTAACGTCTTGGGTGTCCGCTGGGTTTCTTTCGCGAGATGCGAAGCGCCCATGGGGATAGTGGATGGTTTAACCTTTGGTGTGGGCTTCTTCGACATGTTGAGCGCAGAAGAGCTCGGTAGTTTTGACTTGGGCGCAACAACAGCGTCTTCCTGCCTTGTTTCATAGCAGATTCGTAGGGATGCCGTAGGGCCTGTGCGGAAGGAAAAGTATATCGAGACCCAAGTTAATACTATCGCGTTGTTGAGTGAAAACTCAAGTCGACAGAAGAAGTATTCACCTTCATCGTCTCCCCGTGGGTATTCATCTGTCCAGTCAAGCAGTTTCTCGTAAATCCAAGCAAGAAGCTTATAGGATCAGTTAACAGCCACGCAGAAGGTATCATGGAGGACCACTCACACCGGTGAGAGAATCAGCCAAGGAATACCCGATAGTTTGAGGCTGGGTAGCTTGCTCTTGCAAGTATCTGCGACCGGCTGCATCAAACGCCTTGGGAGGATGAAAACTTTCTCAACAGCGTTCAAAGGCAGAAGGTGGTCCTTTAGCCAGACTAAGGGACGCGATATCGGATGCTTGGCTCCACTGACTTCGAACTCCTCCACGACACCTTTGCGTCTTCTCTTCTCCGCATCTGGGGAAGGAAGGTTGGTGCGCTTGCTTCGACGACGCCTCTTGCACTGCTGAAGACACGTCGTTTGGAAGGGGAGATGATGCGCCGACGTCAAGGCGCGGTAGGCTCTGGGGACTTGTAAGTGTTGGCGAATCAACTCATCCGCTTCTTCTGCGGCACTTCCCTCCAGAGCCCTCCGCTTGTCCTTCCTCTTTTCCGCTGACCCGTGAGTGCTTCTAAAGAGGGCCCAGTTCGTCGCCATTCGGTCTGCTAATGCGTTTGCTTCGACGGAGCTCAGCAAGTGCTGTTCCTTGACTCGTTGTCCTTGGAGTACGATGGGATTTCGGAAGGAAATCGTTTGAGTAGTGTCAGGAAACAGAGTCTTTGATTTCAACAAAGGTGTGAGGAGAGCGTCGACGTTCCGACTTTGGAGCTCCTCGTCTGAGCGTCTACGGCTGGCGGTACAGGTACAAGAGAAATTTCGATCACTTCTGAATCCATGCGGAACTTCATACCAAGCCTTCCTTCCTCGAATCCGCTTCCAACTCATATCGTCTATTATGTTTTGTAAGAAACATATGAACATTGTGAGTATTCCTTTACTCACGGGAATAATGGCCACATGCTGAGCATTTCAGCGATATATGACGGTTGAGAATTGAGTCTGAGGTCGAGACCTTGAAGTATGAAGACAAGGGTGAAGGAATCGGAAGTTGACCCTCATCCCAACCACCACGGCCGTCAAAAACACCTCATTTTGGTCCAGGGAGGAAAAATCGTCGTCGAGGACAGAACGAAAACGACGACGACGACAGACAGGAATAAACCCAAGTGACGAAGATGCTGGGGAATGGGCGGTTAGAAGTGCAGTGCTTTGATGGGGAGAAGAAGCGGCTAGCCCATAATGACGTAAAAAGTCCGTCTCTCTCTTACCTCCCTCACCTTCTACCACACCATTCGCAGCATTGAACTCTCAACCACGGATGTATGATTCTATCACCACCTAGCGTTGTTCCGTTCTGATTTCGGAAAACCTATTATAGGGATGAATTTGCTAGGCGATGAGATAGCCGTTGAGAACGATTCCAGTGCTGTCGTAAATTTCGGTATTGGGGGGTCGGATAGGATTCGGAGACGTTCGAGGGTAGGTGGGTGTGTAAGGCGAAGTAGGTAGCAAGATCACCGATGTCCTCGCCAACGATGATGTCCTTCATAGTCGTATCAAAGGAGGGGTGTGCAGGCTACTTATTGGCGCATGGAATCATGGCGGAGTCGAGTAGTGCGTTCTAATACGTTCAAGGAAGACTGACGTCTGATCCATATTTGAATAGACTGTCGCTGAATATACACGAGAACGGTGCTCACGAATGACACAAAGAATTCGTGTGTATGCAAGGTAGTCTAGCCTGGCGTATGTCAATGTGTGAATATTTCAGAAAGGGTTTATCATACAAAATAATGTTACAACACTCGCTCTAAGCATTCATCAAGTCGTAGCTGTATTCAGCTACCTCTTTCTCGACATTGTATAAATGAGTCGGGTTCAGCCACAGCAGGACACGAAGTAGAAGGTGACCTGAAGCGGTAAGATAAGATGAAAATAGAAGAGCGAGAAGAGCGTACACATATTCCAAAGTATTAAATCCCTGACTGCGGCCTTGAACCGACTGATCTCGCGCTTGCCATCCGCCTGGCGTCTCCCCAGTCTAAGGGTCCTGCCCACACGGGGTATCCGCATATCCTCGTATGCCTTGGCGACTTTGGGAAGTAGATCGGAGTGGGACAGGTAATGGCGGAGTAGTAGGCCGAGCATTTGGGCGTCTTCAAAGGCCATCGACGCGCCTTGTCCGGAATCAGGTGAGGCAGCATGGGCTGCATCACCCATGAGGATGATCCTTGCAGCGCCTATTGCTGGTCCTAGCACGGTCCCGTGGAGGGATGTCCAGTATGGCAAGTGCGGGATTTCGTAGCGAGGTAGGACAAGCCATTTGGTGAAGCGGGAGTCGGTAGTAGTGGGTCGGGACGCAGCATCGATGATCTGACGGAATGCGCCTGTGTAGGGAGATCTCCATGAGTCGTGTTTTTGGATGAAGATGTTGCGTATGTCTTCTGAGGGCAAATCACGGGACGGAGGTGTGTCGGTCTCGTATGTCGACCAGAACATGACTTGCTGTTCGCTAACGGGGGTGTTTGCAGGCAAAGAAAGAGCGTAACCAAAGAACCCGTTGCGGCTGAATGTCATCGCTGCTTGGTCAGCCTTTATTCCACGTTGGAGGGCGGGTGTGAGGGACGCGAACGGTGCAAAGCCGCCGACACCAGTTAGGCCGCTGAATGTATGGTTAGGAAAATATAGGAAACAGAGAAGAGACGTACTCGTATCGTGCTTGGTAGGCCTCTTTGCCAATGAGCGCCTGTCTGCATACACTCTTGACGCCGTCAGCGCCAACGACGAGGTCGCATGTTTCTACCATGCCATCTTCAAAGACAACTTGAGCAGCGTCCGCCGTCTCCTTCACCTCCACCACCTTTCGTCCCCACTCTGCTACGCCATCCGGGATTCCCAACAGCAAACTCTCGTGTACCGATGCCCTGGGGAGCAGAATCCTATCATCTAGACCTCCCAGTCGTCCTAGCGTGGTTCCGTTTTCGTTTCGAATGACAAAGTAGGGGCATACGTTCCCGTGCGTTCTCAGGTAGAGTACGGATGGTGGTGAGATGGCGTTGAGCGCGCGGAGACCGTTGGGGACGATGCCAATACCACCCCCGATGCCCGATGTTACTGTATTAGGGCTTGGGTAGGATTCGTAGACTTTGATGGTGGTGTTGGAAGGTAGGTATGTGTGCAGAGCGTGGTAGGTTGCGAGGCCGCCGATACCACCGCGACGATGATGACTTTCATGATGAAAGGTTATTTCTGGTATGTAATGTAATACAATTTATTTGATATACTAGACAATGAATACTCCATTCCCCAGCGACGTCCCGTCAGTCGGAACCTGTTCTTGCCCATAATAATTACCAGACCTGATTGGGTTTCCTCCGTTCCCCCATTTATGTAATACTCATTTCTGACTGTTGCTTCCAGAGTGCCAGTATTTCCAACGTTCGAAACCTCTTCGCCTTCAAGGCTCCTGGTCATGAACTTCACAACAACGCTCTTCAAGTTTTATACCCCTCATGTACCAGGCGCAACCCTCTGGCAAGGAATACGTCCACGCATCCAACTCATCATGATCCAGTACACCATTTGGTATTCGGGCTCGTGCAAATGCTTCCAGAAGCACCAATATATGTCTGCCGGTTTCTCCAACATCGATGCTTTGGTGAAAGTTGATTTGCCTCTCCGGCTCACATATATCTTTAACGCAGTGGTGGCGAGCCACGAGCTGTGGTCACCGATATGGTCCAAGACCAAGGTTCCCAAAATCGCGACCTTTCTTACGAAACTCGTGGATTCACCCTTCATTCGGTTCGAATGTGTCGGATTCAAATTCCGAATTCTACGGCAAAAGTGATTTATACGATGTAACTGTTTTGCGAGACGTCTAGGATATCAACTCGAAAGATTTCACCACCAATTCACATTCGAGTTCCTTCTACGACCAACAAAGCTCATTGGGCACACTTTCCACTGGCACTCCACGATCTGGGCAAACACATCTCCCTCGAATTTAGCCGACCATTGAGATGCAACCAGGTCAAAGAAATGGCGAATCTGGCTTCAACGTGCGTGGAGATCCATCAGATGCTTGCACGAACAGCAAGTAAGGTAGGGCTAAAAAATCGGTATTAATTAAACTGTTCCCGCGAGATTGCAAACCCCTTGTCAAAACTTCCCGTTTTTTGCACCTCTCATCATCTTGCTTCCTTTCTTGCTTGGTACATTGCCAATGTATTGATCTAACGCTCGCATACGTTGACTATGCACGAACTTGAAGCCCAGCGAAATTCATTCGCCAAGCATGAACTTGAAACACACTAGTCCGTCCTTTTTGCTCGTCTCTTCTTCAGTTCTTTATGGAATTCTTATTAGCACGAGATTCTGGTGGCGAGGGCCTGTATCTAGTGTTGAGCCGTGTTTCGATAGACGTTGTCAAGTTTATCACTCACTGCTAGCGTGTTCTTTTCTGTTTCTGCTACTGTATTACAATAACATGACATGCGGGGCCGACACGCGCCTCTCAATGTGTCATACAAGACGCTAACGCTTGCTCTTGTGGGTCTCCCACTGTCCATATTATATATATTCCGGCCAAATTTTTCATCGGCACTTTATTCGGACCCTCCAGCGTCCCCGGCAGAAGTGCAGCATCGCCTGGCATCGCCTGATAAGCGCCAGTTCCTCACATTTGTTACACCTCCGACCATGACGATACCTGGCAGCGATGTTACTATACGCAGAGAAAGTGTCACTCCTCCGCCAGGTCTGTGGTTTCCGAGTCTGCTCAGCTGGGATCAAATCAACCTCAACGACGAAGAAACCGATGTACGAGCTTGGATTCAGGGTATAATTCGTAATAAGGCTCATCCTTGGAGAACCGTGGAGTTGATATCACCATCGGTGGAAACTATGGTTATGGATATACTGCAACAGGTTCGTTTACTGTCCAACAATGGAGTATCTAATAAATTATCAGGAGCTGGATGATGCCTCGTGTCTAGATGGATATCGTACAGCCTGTTTGAAATGTCTGCGAGAGCTGAGCAAGGCCCGCAATATCATGCCCTCTTCCTTTTTCTCTCGAAATGCGACCAGAGAAGGAACAAATCCCGTCTGCGGCGGCGGATTTGCAGTAAGCGCCCATCTACTCTTGGTTAACGAATGGGGGTCTATATACGGGCTGCTTGGCAGGACATATGGAAGGGGCGTCTTCATGATACTCAAGTCTGCTTGAAGGTTCTTCGGATTTTCGTCCCCGAACAAGCTCGGACAAAGATTCTCCGAGTGAGTCATAGACGTACTACAAGCTAAACTACATCTTGACTGGCTGCAGGACTTTTGCAAGGAAGCTCTCGTATGGAGGCAACTCCGCCATCCTAATATCCTTCCCTTCTTGGGAGTCAACGAAGACCTTTTCACTCCCAGTTATTGCCTGATATCTCCGTGGATGGTCAATGGAAATATCATGTCTTACCTTGAAGCCCATCCTGACCACAATCGCCTTACAACGGTACGCTAGACATTGTGTGAGATTGACGAGAGCTGGATTTATATTCCCCAGCTGATTCAGGTTGCCGAAGGGATGAAGTATTTGCACAATCTCGATCCTCCAGTGGTACATTCAGACATCCGTGGGGTGCGTTTACTTGGTTTATCAAGTTCCTAGTGCTACCCTGACATGGACTTGTCTCAGGCAAATATTCTTGTAATGGATGATCTATGTTGCTGTCTTGCTGATTTTGGTCTTTCCCTGTTCGCGGAATCACAGGCTTTCGACAGCTCTTCTAGGATGAGCAGAGGAAGCATCCGCTGGCTAGCTCTCGAGTATATTAATTCGACACTACTTGACCAATCATATCTCACCGCTAGGGATATTTACGCCTACGGATGTACTGTTCTCGAGGTAGGCTAGCAACGCACCGTCATCACATTCTTCTGACTTTCTTTCCAAGATATTTACTGGCAAGCCGCCTTTTAGTAATATCAAGAATGACGCTGGTGTTATATACGAGGTCCTGACGAAGCAAGGTCGTCCACCAAGGCCACCTTTAAATCTTTTCCCATACGACGAACTATGGTTACTCGTTACGGCGTGTCTCGCAACTGTGTCAAGTCAGCGACCTAATGCGGAACAGATTTTAGAGAGTTTGCATCTTACAAAAACAGCACATGGTGGTTCTATGCCGCTCTTGGTACAATCACTGACTGCCTCCTGGCCAGGTCTTGGGAGGTCCCGAACGCACCCGTATTCTCCAGCAAACACCAACAATCTGGGGAGGCGGTACTTGCCCCATTTACGGCTTTCATCGTTGCTCACGTCGTCCAGCTCCATGCCAGACCTCCCCACCCTCGACGATGACCGCATCCAGTTCCACAGCATCTTCACCGGCTTCAACGACGATACCCGTGAATTCCGTCGTTCGTCGCTCTCGACGCTCCACTTAGAGAGTAGGCGGCACGCGCCCTATCCACGGCCCTCATACACGTCTAGTAACCCCGCCAGCTACACTTTCCCACCAACGAGTGAGGTGACTGCCACGACGTACGCCGCCAACAGTGACTATTGGAACAACAACTTGCCTGGCATTGTTCGTCCGTCATACCCAACGCCCATGTTGCGTATATCAGGCCAGCAACGCTCGTATCCCTCTCATTCCCTCCCACCAACCCCCCCACCAACCCTCCCGGCATTGCCCCTTGCCGACTCAGCGTACCAGTCTGTGGGTCCAGATGGCGCTCTACCCGTTGAGCGACCCCAACGAAAACGCGGCAAACTGCCAAAGGAGACGACAGATTTCCTCAAAGCTTGGCTCCATCGTCACTCGGATCATCCTTATCCGACTAAAAAAGAGGAGAGGCTGCTGTGCGATGCTACTGGCTTGTCAATGAGCCAAGTATCCAACTGGGTGATCAATGCCCGTCGTCGTATACTGACGCCGGCGCGGCCTTCACCGAGACCGACCACCACAGCCCCTGTCCCGTCTTCCATGGGTGCCCGTCGCGCTTCTCTTCCCGTAGCAGTTGATTCCCTATACCCGCATCCTATGCACTAGTATCTATAGCTTGAATATATAAGTTTATTATCGGAAATTGAAGATATTTATCTCTGTCCTCTGCCAATCCCACCCATATATCCCCTCTTCTCACGAACGACTGCCTCCTTAGTGCTTAGGGCCTGCCAACGTTGCACACTTCCTTTTTGGATTACGGTTATCCCTCCCAGTACAACCTGTCTGCCCACAATCCTGGCATCGATTTCTGCAGTTGGCGATACCAGTATTTCCCCTACACCCTTCACCCATTCCACATTTTTGGCATTTGCGGCGAGATCGTTTCCTTCCTGGTGCCTGTGTGTTTGATCCCGAGCTGGGCTCTTGACTGCCTTGATTGGACATGGATGGACCCGAAACTTGGGAAATAGTACGTTTTCGTGCATATGGTACTCTTGTGTGCAACTGAATATCGCTCGTAGTCCTGCGACGACGGACCAAGGTCCAGAAGTATACAGACACTTCAGGAAAGACACCTGGTGCACGCTGTGATTCTGTTCCGGTCTATAGTAGTGGTTAGTGTAGGGGGATTATTGATTTTGAGTTTCCCTTCTATGGGTCTTCAAGTTCTACAACGGCTTAGGTTGCTCCATGTGGGTTGCTCGATTGTGAGCTCGGCTTGAGGGTTGACTAGAGGGTAGTGAGGATTTGGGTTTCGTAGTGCAGTCACCTGTATCCTTGCGTCCGGTATGCCTGAAGGTACCGTGCCGTGTAAATGTAATGATGAGATGAGATGAGATCTTACCTCGAGTTTTATGCACTTTCCCCAATACTTACTCGCTACACTATCTTTGCAGTGATTTTGATTTCGTCGTGCATCTTTCCTTCCTTGTATCGCAGGTTGCCCAAGAAGCCCTTATTATGCTGGATGATGCTCAGGAGGAAAATAAGAGTAGCGATACTTCTACTGCCGACCCCTCTCGTTGCTTCACTCCAAGATGCGTGTACACGAAGCTCAGAACGGAAGTATCCTGTGTCGGAGTGTCTTTTCATTCGAATCAATCCTATCACTCACTCACATACTTCAGTTATACCCACTCTTCCCAGGAACCACCCCCGCTGCAGCCCCGCCTCTGCCAAAAAACTTCCTCAAATCATCCGCCAACTCCGATGGCTTCTCATGCGCCGCAAAGTGACCTCCATGAGCGTGTTCGGATACGAACTTGAGGTTACCTATCGCTTGAGTCCACCTACGAGCAAACTAGTCAGATACATAAGCCGGACGAGGAGAAACTAATGTCCACGAACGTCTTGGGTGTCCGCCGGATTTCTTTCGCGAAATACGAAGCGCCCATGGGGATGGTGGATGGTTTGATCTTTGGTATGGGCATCTTGGGGGAAGCAAAGCTCGATGGCTTTGACTTGGGTGCGTTGGCAGCGTCTTCCTGCCTTGTCTCGTAGTAGATTCGCACAGATGCCGTTGGGCCTGCGCGGGAGAACAGGTATATCGATACCCAGGTTAATACTATTGCGTGACACGTCGTTGAGTGAAAAATCGGATCGACAAAATAGCGCCTACCTTCATCGTCTCCCCATGGGTATCCATCCGTCCAGTTGACCAGTTTCTCATAAATCCAAGCAAGAAGCTTGTAGTAGGATCGATTAGCAGTAGCATAATTCTATATCGTGGGGACCACTCACACCGACGGGAGAATCAGCCAACGAATACCCAATAGTCTGAGGCTGAGTAGCCTGCTCCTGGAAGTATCCGCGACCTGTAGCATCAAACACCTTGGAACGCTGCATGCCTTCTTTCTCAACCGCAGTCAAAGGCATCAGGCGGTCCTTGAGCCAGAGTAAGGGACGCGATATCGGGGGCTTGGCTCCGCTGATTCGAACCAGTAGTTAGTACTTTCTCGTAAAAAAGAATAGGAAGGATACATACAGAGGTAAATTGGTATGCCATGCCTTTGCGTGGGTTCCACCATATTTGACGGCTATTACACGAGTGATCTGGGTTACAGGTTAGTGATAACGTTGATATGGCGAAGTCTATTACTAACGCGTGCTCCCCAGTCGCCTCCTTGCATGACTGAATGATAATATTAGAGTCGTAGCTTCAAGCACAACAGACGAAGTTACCGTAGGCATCGTATCCGAGAGCGAGCATGAGCTTATGCCCGACCTTTGAGCGGGATGAATATTCTCCAATTTGGAAATCCAGAGGTTCGAGCCTACCTCCGCGTACTGTGCGCTTGCAAATCCCTGCTTAGTCGGCGCTTGCGAGAACCCATACCCAGGCAGACTGAGAGCCACTACATGAAAACTCGGATGTTCAGCAGAGGAGGGCTCAGTCAAGAGCGGAAGTAGCTTCTGCACTTCAATGAAACTTCCTGGCCCTGTTTTGAAAAGCTCTCAGAAAAATGAATACGACAAGGCACGGAACTTACACCCATGAACGAACAACAAGGGAATCGCACCCCCCACCTTGCTCCTCTGATGCACAAAATGAATATTAAGCGTTCCAAACCCTTCAACAGGGATATCAAGCGTGAACTGGGGCAGTTCAGCATTCAGAGCGGCCTCGTGAGTCCGCCAATCATAGCCCTCCTTCCACCGAGCGACGAGACGGCGGATATCAGCTAGCGGCGCGCCGTACTTCAAGCCCGAATCATCGAGCTCGTCGGGGAAGTTGACCAAGTCGAGCTTCTGACGGAGGAGTTGGATTTTCCCGTCTGGGACTGCGATCTTGAAGGGTACGGCGTCTTGGGGAGGCATGGTGGTACGATGAGAGAGAATTTAGAAGGGTCGACAGGGTTGGTTATGTTATAAAGAAGCAGTCATATGGTCTATTGTATTTTGTAAGAAACGTATCACATTGTAGATATTCCTTTACTCACGATGAAGCACCAAGGAAGAATAATGGCCCGCATCTGGCGCCAAGATGACGATCTCTGAGAATTTCCGAGGTTGAAGTTACAAAGTAACCATCGGAACTCGGGCCGGACACCTCCACCTCGACCACTATCATGCCGTCGAAAACACTCGATTTCGCGTCCTTGGAAGGTTCTTCCAAATATCGCCAACTGCCCTCTCCTCCCGGTTTCTCCAGATCCCTTACCACTGTACGTCTACCCGCCCTCAAGTCAAGCTTATCCTAACAGCCTCATACAGTCCAAAGGCCCATCCAAGTCATCTATCGCCTCGACAGCAGCCTACGACCAGCTCAAAGAGCGCCGAGCATGGGACATGGCCATCGCTCCCGCAAAGTCACTCCCAATGCAAGCCTTCATGCTCTACATGTCCGGCGGGGGAGTACAGATATTCAGCATGGGCATCGTCGCCATGCTCTTATGGACACCATTCAAGAACATCGCTGGGATTAACGAGGGTGCGTCTCCCATAGCCATATAGTGCAGGACACGCTACTGACTCCCAGCAGCATTTGTTCAATTCGCACCATCGACAGGCACCACCAAAATCACTGACGACCCTTCCCCTGCAAAAGATCGTATACGTGTTATGCAATATGTTGACACTGGCGGTGGGGACTGTGGAAAGTGTCGATCAATGGGGCTGCTGCCTACCGGGACGGGAGACTGGCTTGCTTTCGAGACGAGAGGCTTGGTGAGACCCTTTCCCCGAGTCTGTTACCATTTCACACTAACAGCCTGCTAGGCTCCCGAATTATCATTATTCTAGCTTATTAATGTTATCCTGCTTTCTTACTTTCAAGATCCTTCATCGCTTTCTCCACCTCGAGTCTCTCCATAACAGCTCGGGTAAGACTCGACTTGCCTTTAGCCCCACCTGCAGCCTGCGGCGTGGTAGATGCTCCTTGTTCGTGAGTCCGCAAGTGATGTGGTACGATAATTGGCGTGGAAGGCGGTGGAGGTGGCCACTAGACTCGTACACTCAGAGATACAATTAGGCGACTGAGAGAAAACACCTACGTTTCGCCTTAGCTGATTGAAATGAAGGGCAGCCCATGGCGGGTATTCCTTCTCCAGCCGAATGATGTGTTCCTCGAGAAATTTTATTCTTGCTAGTAGGTTTGCCGGAGGAGAAGGTACTGCTAGACATTGAGAGACGCGGTCAGAGAAAGTGTGGTTAGGTACACACCGTAATGCACCGCTAGATGAGACTCAACGTTTGCAATTCGCTCAAAGATAGCCGGACTCTCCTCGTCAGTCTTTTGCTTTCCCTTTTCCTCTTTCCCCTTCTTCGTCGTTCTCCGCAGCGGCCCGTCATCGTTTTTAGCTATATCGTATTTCATCTGCGAGTCACGGTCCAACGTTTTAGCATCTGTCCTGGCACAGGACGTTTCGGATGTGGGACAAAGAAACTCTGCGCGATTAGATGCGTCGTTTCGAGCGCGGTTGCGGCTCAGGTACTGTGGGATGGATTTCGTGACGGTGCTCGGCGGTGGTAGGTCGTCTGTATACGTTGCCTTGCGGTCGTCCAGTGTATCTGGTTCTGGTTCAGGTGAATGCTGCATGTATGAACACAACGAGTAACCCTAGTAAATAGGTGTACTTACCTTGATATTCTCAATAAGCCTCTCCAGAGCACCAGGCATGGTTTCTCGTTCCCAGGCAGGGTTCAGGACAAGCATGTCGAGTTCGAAACCGCGTAGAGCTTGGATGAGACCTGTTTCTTGGAAGAAGGTTTTGAGGACTGAGTCCCATGATTTAAGGTGGTTGGTGTTGGTGGTCGGAGCTGGATCCTCCATGGACGCGAATGTCAAGCATCAGTGGCTGTGTCGTAAGCACGACAAAAACCTCCACTCACGACCACCATCTTATGATGTGCTCCGTGTCTTTTAATACCTGCCTGTATTACATCCCCATTCCGAATCTTTGCTTACTATCATTTATGCTTTTGGAAGTTCGTGAAGGAATCAAGCTCTTCAAGCTTCACGACGCATGGCTTATCATGTCAGGGCTGTGGACCAGGCTGTTCCTGAAAGTCGCCACTGATTGGGACTTTGTGCCAGTACCAACCACCAAAACCCAACGCATTTTATCATGGCCAACATCACTCGCTCATCCAAAGCCGGAAACGAATGGACAAGCAACGACCTGAATGCGTATAACATCAGCATCACTTTCCAGGATGCTCTAACATTCTTTGACGAAACAGCCTTACCAGCACCCTCCGTTCACCAAGAGATCCTCACGGCGCCTACCGCCGATCAATGCGTCCTACAACCTCCTCGCACAACTCGAACTCGCAATTCTACCCTCCGACCCGGAGGATTCGGCAGTCGATGATTTTTTTGTAGCGCTTTCCCACTCCTTTAGATATATCCATCGTCCTCGAGCCATTCGCACACGCAAAAAGTTGCGGTTCTTCATCTGCAGGGAGTCCAAGTATTCTTTACTTGATGTGTGCATCCTTGATCGGGATACGGACGATGTTATCCTCCTTGTCCAAGAGGATAAACAGTTGGGCCAGGGCGACGGGCATGCTCGACTCGTTGCCGGGGCCATAGCCGCGTTTCAGGTCGGTAATGCTCAAAGGCGAGAGGTGGGACTTACTACATTGGACAGCAGGGTATGTATTTCACTAACTATCGTGAGCGCTCCTTTGTTCATTTTAGACTCAGGTCATCCCCGGTATAATCATGGTCGGAACATCTCCCACTTTCTTCAAGATCCCAGTCACCCGACAACTGGCTGTATGTGTTGAATTCGGACGGTCCCCACTTGCTCCAACCATCGTCACTGGGCATGTCCCTGATATCCCACGTCCCAATCGCAGGTTCAGCGAGGGCATGAGACACCTTGCTAATCGACGTGTTATCCTGCAATGCTACGAGGCTTTCAAGAAATTTGTTGTTTGATTAGTACTCTGTTGTAATTAAATGTGTACGCTGGGTGTTGGTTGAGGTCCGTGACTTTCAAGCAAACACCATCATCGATATTTAGTGATATCTTGGAATTCACCTCGGTCCGGCCTTCCCTACTTACCACTATGGCCAAAAAGTCAAAAGACGAGGCGCCGAATCCCAACAACGTGCCCAACAGAGACATCATCCAACGTCTCCATTTCCTGTATCAAGCTAGCGTATATCTTGATGGCGTCTCACCTCCACAAAAGAAAAAGCAGAAGAGAGTCACCATCAGCGATCTCTCCCGCAGCTATGTGTCTTCCATGAAGATTGTAGGCCAAAAGACGACTGTTAATATGTGCGTCTTCCTAGGATAATTTATGTTTTGGGTCTAACGGCGCAGGAAGGGATCCATCTGTCAAGCGAACGATCTGTAAGGGATGCGATACTGTTCTCGTGCCAGGATCTACAGTCTCGATACGAGTGAAGAGTGCGCGTATGTCCATCTTTGCTGTGGTGCATTGCTGAATATCGTCTAGAATCACGGTCTCGTGGACATCTCATGGTGTACACTTGCACTCGTTGTAAAACGTCGCGTCGAATACCTGCACCACCTGTGGATGCCTCTACCACAGCGGATTCGCGACCCGCAGGGAAAGGTCCAAAGCCTCGTATCCCTCCACTATTTGCTAGAAAGGCAGGACATGTCACATTTTGTGGGCAAGAACAGGTTCCGACTGACGAGACGTCGCTGGGGGACGGAGTATTCATTGTCTAGTATATCAAATAGATTGTATCACAGCTTTGTACATATTACGTACCAGAAATAACCAGGCCCCCAGAAGCTCCCGCCAAACTTTGTCCGGATTTTAGCATATTTTAGGCCCAAAAAATGCAAAAACTTTGTCCGCAGTTAGCATATCTTGGGTCCAAACGTCGTCGAACAACGTCGAACTTTGTCCGGATGTTAGCATATTTTGGGCTGGCGCTGACGCCATCGCCCTGACATCTGAGCCGATATCAGTCTCGATTTGGATTTCGGACTCCTCTCCGCAATATTTTCCAGGAAAATTCCAATGAAAATTTGTAGTCATAGGTAAAGACGGACCTCGGTGCTGGCGGATATAGCAGAATCAGACGGCCGGTTCCGAACGGGACTCCGGCCCGGGAGGCCCGAAGAAGCGACTTTGCCCGAGTTAGCATATTTTGAGCCCCAAAAGTCGTTTGAGGTCCGATTTTCGGATTTTTGCTGGACAAAGTTTGGTGGGAGCTTCTGGGAGCCTAAATAACCTTTCACCTAGGCTCGTTTACCAGCCGGCGTTTCGCCCACGTGGCTGCGTTATCACATTTGGGCGAAAGCGGCTGGGCAATACCCCAACGTTTTAGAGGGTCACGCTTTTTGTGACTTGGGACTTAGAAAAAATTTACTTACTCACCGCCATTTCTGCCATTTCTCCTTCTCCTCCCTTTAGGCCTGACTTCAAGCAAGTAGATTTCACTTTATTTATAAAGATGCAATCACTCTACTGCCAATTTATTATCCCAGTTCCCTTGAAAGCACTGCTCTACTAAGAGAGCTATGATGTCATTGTTCCCTTGAGCTAGCGGCGGGGGCTCTGTATGCCAGATTCGAAGTCCCAGTAACGATCGATTTATTGCACCCCAGAGTATTATAACATGAGAAGACAAGGTATACTAAGCATTGTCGATGTAATTTAGTAGCAGAAGGTATGTGGTGGTCACTGGGGACGAGATACAACGGAGAAGGCATGAAATTTTTCTAAGTCCCGCGTCACAAAAACCGTGACCCTCTAAAACGTTGGGGTATTTCCCAGTCCGTTCACAAGCTCACCTCTCTACGTCAAAACATGTCAAGCTACACCAAATAACCAAACAACCGTATAAGGAATTTGCATTAAGAGGTATAAGCTTGTGAACGTCGACTGGCTAGCGAGTCTACCTTTCACCATGAAAGTCATCATCGTCGGCGGCGGTATCGGCGGCCTCGCAACCTACCACGCTCTGCACACATACCTACCTTCCAACACCACCATCAAAGTCTACGAATCCTACCCGAGTCCGAACACAGTAACATCGGGCATCGGCGGCGGTATCGGCATCGTCCCCAACGGTCTCCGCGCACTCAACGCCATCTCACCCGCATCCGTACTCTACCTGAGAGCACACGGAAATGTATGTCCGTACTTTGTCATCCGAAACGAAAACGGAACCACGCTAGGCCAGCTTAGAAGTGTAGATGATAGGATTCTGCTCCCCAGAGCATCGGTACACGAGAGTCTGCTGTTGGAAATCCCGGATGGCGTAGCAGAGTGGGGGAGAAAGGTGGTGGAGGTGAAGGAGACGACGGACGCTGCTCAAGTTGTCTTTGAAGATGGCATGGTAGAAACATGCGACCTCGTCGTTGGCGCTGACGGCGTCAAGAGTGTATGCAGACAGGCGCTCATTGGCAAAGAGGCCTACCAAGCACGATACGAGTACGTTTTGTTTTTCGTTTCCTGTACTTTCCTAACCATACATTCAGCGGTCTAACTGGTGTCGGCGGCTTCGCACCCTTCGCGTCACTCACGCCTGCCCTTCAACGCGGAATCAAGGCTGACCAAGCAGCAATGACATTCAGTCGCAACGGGTTCTTTGGTTACGCTCTTTCCTTGCCTGCAAGCACCCCAGTCAACCAACAGCAAGTGATGTTCTGGTCGACATACGAGATCGATACGCCTCCGTCCCGTGACTTGCCCTCAGAAGACATACGCGCCATCCTCATCCAAAAACACGATTCGTGGAGGTCTCCCTACACCGGTGCATTCCGTCAGATTATCGATGCCGCGTCCCAACCCACTACCACCGACTCTCGCTTCACCAAATGGCTCGTCCTACCCCGTTACGAAATCCCGCACTTACCATACTGGACTTCCCTCCACGGCACCTTGCTAGGACCTGCAACAGGCGCTGCCAGGATCATCCTCATGGGCGATGCAGCCCATGCAGCCTCACCTGATTCTGGACAAGGCGCGTCGATGGCCTTTGAAGACGCCCAAATGCTCGGCCTGCTGCTCCGCCATTACCTCCCTCACTCCGATCCACTTCCCAAAGTCGCCAAGGCCTACGAGGATATGCGAATTCCCCGTGTGGGCAGGATCCTTAGAATAGGACGACGCCAGGCAGAAGGGAAACGTGAGATTAGCCGGTTCAAGGCGGCAGTTAGAGATTTATTTCTTTGGATCATGTGTACGCTCCCCTAGCTCTTCTTTTTCCGTTCTAATTTTGTCGATGCAGGTCATCTCCCACTTCGTGTTCTGCTCTGGCTGAACCCGACTCATTTATACGATGTCGAGAAGGAGGTAGCTAAGTACCTCGTAGCTACGACTTGATGAATGATTAGAGCGAGTGTTGTAACATTATCTCGTACGATAGACTTTTTCTGAAATGTCCACCACATATTGATATACACCCTGGTGCAGACTGTACCTTGCAAACCTGCTGAGCACCACGTCGTCCGCCACCTCCTCGCCTATCTTATGTCCGCATCGTAGAGCACCAAGCATATCCGCAGCCCTATAGGTAGAGCCTCTAGCCAAAGACCCCACTGCAAGGAACAGCAACGGTGAATCGCTCCCCGAAACCCGACCAACTCTCTCGTATAACAGACGACAGTCCGTCGAAACATAGCTCAATGCTCAGCGTCACACTCTTCTTTAATCACCTCCACCATAATTCCATGCGCCAATAAGTAGCCTGCGCACCTCGCTGGCGGTGGTATCACTAGTCTCGCTACCTACCATGTCTTGCACTATTTGCCCTCGAACGTCTCTATCAAAGTCTACGGACACCCAATACCGAAATCTGTAGCAGCATCGGAATCCCCCCCAACAGCCATCTCACCGCACCCCCCTACTAGGTTTTCTGAAATCAAAACGGAGCAACGCCAAGCGCATTCCGTGCTTGAGAGTTCAATGCGGCGGATGGTGTGGTAGAACGGGGGGAAAGGTGAGGGAGGTAAGAAAGAGACGGACTTTTTCACTCATTATGGGCTGGTCGCTTCTCCCCCATCAAAGTGCTGCACCTCTCACCGCCCATTCCCCAGCATCTTCGTCACTTGGGCGTATTCCTTCCTCGTTTTCGTTCTTTCCTCGACGGCAATTTTTCCTCCCTGGACCAAAATGAGGTGTTTTTGACGGCCATGGTGGTCGGGATCTTCCGATTCCTCCACCCTTGTCTTCGTACCTCAAGGTCTCAACCTCAGAACATCTGAAATGCTCAGCATGGGCCTTTGGACTGTATGAGGCTGTTAGGATAAGCGTAGCTTGAACCAAGCGATAGGTAACCTCAAGTTCATATCCGAACACGCTCATGGAGGTCACTTTGTGGCACATCGGAGTTGGCGGATAATTTGAGGAGGTTTTTTGGTAAAGGCGGGGATGGTTCCTGGGAAGAGTGGGTATGACCGAGTGATGTGAGTGTAGCGAAGGAACTGGTTTGAGAGCAATTCCAACCCCATGTCCTGCTGTTTCGAGCCCCATGAGCGCGCCTGCATATTCAGAGTCTTCCTCTCTAGTCCTTTGCTTGATATGTATTCTTGCTGGTGCCAATGCATTGATGTAGTACGGAGATACACCTTCCAAACGGACTTACCGGGACTTCATACCAGACATCTGCATGATGGAATTATTGAGCAGGAGTAAATGTTTAGTGAACAACCCATCTCAATAGGCAAAACCAATTATCATGTAATCTACAGCAAGCTTTCAGTAAGTTGTTTGTAGTAAAGCAAGGAAGCGTAACGATGATCAAAACGAAAACACAATAAAGCAAGCACCAAATATGGTGGTACAACAAGTGGAATGAATTGCGATGGCGAGAATGACTTGATAGAAAAGCACAGGGAGAGAAAAAAGGGAGGAGAAATCGTTGCATCAATATTGATACGATTCGCTTCCTGCATCGCCACCGGGACGAGGGATGACGCCTTCAATCAAGGGGTCGGTATCTTGCCTGGCGGTGAAGTAAGTACGTCCTCATCTGCAGGTTCCCCCATTCGAACGCGTTTCGCACGATGAATATCAGTCCCTTCATTTGTTTGCGAAGGGTCGGGGCGTATGCTTTCGGGTTTTGTGTGGACAGTTGGGCTCGTAGAGTGACTGCCAGGAGAGGGTGGGCTCGATGATCGACGGCACTTGCCATTGGAAGGTGTGGTCTGGGTAGATAGGTTTTGAGGTGTGGGGGTGGCCTCGCCCTCGGTGTCTGAGGTAGAGGGTGTAGAGGGTGATCCTTCGCATTGTACAAGATCTGGGGGGGAGACTTGATGAAGAACATTTTCGCAGACGTCTAAAGAGGCTTCCTGATACGAAACCCCTGCCATAGTGGCTTCTTTCTGCCAGTCCGGCCAGGGGATAAAGAACGCGTCATCGTTGGGTCCCGAAGGCTCTGTTAAGAGAGATGAGCTGGAAGACGGCCTGGGGCATAGGTGAGAAGGGAATCATGAAGGAGGGATATCATGAGAATCTCACAGTTCATTATTATCACTGCTAGATGAGGGCGACGCGTTTCGGCGGCGGCGGGATGGTTTCGAATTATTGGCAATTTTCCCACGGCGGCGGCGGAGGGATCCTTTCTCAATGAGGATGGGAGCATCGGGATTTATCCAGCGGTGGCGGTGTAACTCCAAATCATCGGCAATTTTCCAGGGGCGGCAGGATGATTCCTCGATGAGGATGGGATTATCAGCATTCATCCTGGTCCAGTTACCTAAGCGGATGCGTGACTCCATTTCCAAAAAATCAGCGATGATAACTGATTTCAATTCATCGGATTCGTCGTTTGTTTGTAACAGGGTTGCTAAAACTTGTTTCGCGTCCGGACGCCGACTTGAAATACTTGTGAGACACGCCGTGACAAGTGACCATAGTTTATCGTCTGGAAAAACATTTAAGGGTGGTCATGGTGGATGACTTCGCTTCGTCACGACCTCGTGTACAACACCAGCTTCATTCTTGATGTCACTAAAAGGTGGCTTGCCGGTAAATATCTTGGAAATAATGTCAAGAGTGTGGCGATGGTGAGCTGCTGGCCTTACCTCAATAACAGTGCATCCATAGGCATAGATATCCCTAGCGGTGAGGTATGATTGGTCAAATAGTGTTGAATCCATATACTCGGGAGCTAGCCAGCGGATACTTCCGTTGCTTATCCTAGAAGAGTTATCGAGAGCCTGTGATTCCACGAACAGTGAAAGGTCAAAATCAGCCAGACAACAACACCGATCATCCGTGACAAGAATATTTGCCTAAAAGAAGTCCGTGTCACTGAGGGGGCACGGCGAAAATAGACCAAACGCACCCCACGAATGTCGGCGTGCACTATAGGAGGATCATGATTATGTAGATATTTCATCCCTTCGGCAACCTGAATTAGCTAGGGAAAGACAACCTCAGCTCTCACCAATTCACACACAACGTCTGGCTTACCGATGTAAGGCGATCATGATCAGGATGGGCTTCGAGGTAAAACATGATATTTCCATTGACCATCCAGGGAGATATCAGGCAATAACTGGGAGCGAAAAGGTCTTTGCTGACTCCTAAGAAGGGAAGGATATTAGGATGGCGGAGTTGCCTCCATACAAGAGCTTCCAGGCAAAAGTCCTGAAGCAGTCAAGACATAGTTTAGCTTAGTATCTCCACGACTCACTCGGAGAAGCTTCGCCCGAGTCTTTTCGGGGAGGTTTACCCGAAGGGCCTTCAAGCAGACTTGAGTATCATGAAGATGCCCTTTCCAAATGTCCTACCAGGAAGACTGTGCATAGACCAGAATCATTAACCAAGAATAGAATGAACGCTTACTGCATAGCCGCCGCCACCGACGGGGTTTGTTCCTTCTCTAGTCACATCTCGAGAAAAAAAGGATGAGGGTACAATATTCCGGGCCTTGCTCAGGGCTAGAAGACATTTTATGTAGGTCGTACGATATCCATTGGGGTAAGATGCATCATTCAGCCCCTGATAATTCATTAGATCCTTCATTGCTGTTGATAACTCTACAACAAACATACCCGCTGCAGTACATCCATAACTATCATTTCCACCGATGGTGATATCAACTCCACGGATCTCCAAGGATAAGGAACATCGCGAATTAGAGTCTGAATCTGAGCTCGTACAGCGGATTCTTCTTCGTCGTGATTGATTTGCTCCCAGGACAGATCTATCGGGAGAAGTGCGCTGCTGGCAACGAATGTAGTGCCCTCGTCGTTGAGTATCATGGTCGTATGTGCAATGTAATGCACAGGCGCTTATCAGGTGGTCAAAGTGAAGCACCGGTTCAAATTCCGCCCCCGGGGATTCACATCTAACTTTGAGCAGTGGGGCAGGTAATGGTGGAGCAGCAGGCCGAGCATTTGGGCATCTTCGAAGGCCATTGATGCGCCCTGTCCAGAATCAAGTGAGGCTGCATGGCCCATGAGGATGATCCTGGCGGCGCCCGTTGCAGATCCCAGCACAGTGCCAATAGAGGGATGTCCAGTGTGGCAAGTGCGGGATTTCGTAGCGAGGTAGGACGAGCCATTTCGTAAAGCGGGAGTCAATTGCAGTGGGTCGGAAGCAGTGTCAATGATCTGACGGAATAGGGAGACCTCCACGAGTCAGCAAGTGACAGCCGCATACCGGGGTCCATTGATCAGTCACGTGGGGGTACAGAGCGTCACCCAGACTTGAATCATGATTCATGCCAGTACCTTGCATACACACGAATTCTTGCTGTGGTCCATATATCAGGTGTCAGTCTTCCTTGAATGTGTTGGAATGCACTATTTAACTTGGCCATAATCTCGTGCACCAGCCAACAAGTAGCCTGCTCCGATACAACTACCAAGGTCATCATTGTCGACGATTTCGCTACCTACCACGCCTTACACTCCCAAACGTCTCCGAATCCTACCCAACTCGCAATACCGAAACTGGTGGCGATATTGGAATCGCTTAAAGCCATCTCACCGGCTGCTGTACTGCATGCGAAAACTCGTGTCCCTAAGTGTGATCCCGTCATCGTGCAGACAGATGCTCTTTAGAAAAGACGCATCCAGCGGCATAACTAGCAGCCTCAGCTTTGCTCCCCAACGAAGCACCCCCGCCGATACTCTGGTCTACATACGCGATCGATACAACTGCCTCGTGACTTGCAAACGCGCCATCCCTCATGCAAAAACACGACTCGTGGAGGTCTCCTTCCCGGCCAGATCATCTCGACCCACTACCACCGATTCCCGCTCCGCACTTTACCCCCTTACAAAATTCCGCCTTTATCGTCCCTCCATGAGGATCATCCTGCTCGGCGACGTGATTCCAGACAGGGCGCTTGAAGACACCCAAATGCTGCTCCGCTGTTACCTGTCCAACTCGGAGCTACTGTATGAGTATATGAGGGTTTCCCGCGTAGAGGATTCGGGCAGACGAAAAGCGCGAATTGGCTGGTATAAGGCAGTGGTTGGGGATTCATGGCTTTGAATTCTATGTACACCTCTCTCTTCTTCGCAGTCTGATTCTCTCGCTGTAGGGCTTTGTATTCTGCTATAGTCGAGCCTAATCTGTATGACGGTGAGAAAATGATGATGAGATACCTTGCAGTCACAACTTTAGACTCGAAATGTTTGGACAAATATCCCCTGTCGTTCCATACTAGGCATTGGAAGATGTTATTTTCACTGTAAACGTCTTTGCGATATGAACCCACGCACAACATTCCGGCTGTGCTTTGATTAATCTGTATATTTCCTCTCGAGATGAACATTAGGAACGTCTTCTCCGCAACTACGAGACTCGAGCTCCTAACCGCCAACGCGTCCTTCACCGGGCGAAGATAATACCACCGACAAAGTTTACATAAATACTATACAGATGTTGATACTACTTGGCGCTCTATGTAAAATGTAGATGGCAAATGGAAATATGCTAAGAAATACATGTCTTCCGTCCTCCGTAAATCCAAAAGGTATGATAATGAAAAGAGGCGAGTAGTTCTAAAACGATAACAAGACAGCACTCTGCATCATGAACTCTGACCGCTAAGTAGATGCTAGATTGTCCAAGGGCAGATGCTCCCGGAGCCACCCACCACTCTCCCAATTACAACCAGGCCTATACACATCCCGCTGACGCTGCCCTACATCAGTCACCCCAGACAGAATCACCCCCAACCTCTTGAAGTTGATAGGCTTCAGTATCCATCCGTCCATACCACATTTCGACAGCTTATCTCGCTGCTGTTCGAACAGTGACGCGGATACAGCGAATATAGGAATCCGCCCATTCAACCGATGCGAAAGCCGAAGAGTTGATGCTGGTGATTCTGCTTCAACTTCCCGTATTTTCTCCGTCGCTTCGAAGCCGTCGAGGATTGGCATGTCGAGATCCATCAATATACAATCAAAGTCGCGATCGACCTTCACGGCGTCAAGACTTTCCTGTCCATTCATGGTATTGACGACAGTATGACCATCAAGTCTGAGTCGCTTTGCAAGTAGTTTCTGATTGAGAATATTGTCCTGGAGGAATGTCAGTGTGTGGTTCATCGAACATAACGAGATGCCGCACCTCTACAATCAAAACCCGCAATTTGGATGGAGTACGTTTCTGCGAAAGGTCTAGCTCCGCGGAGGCCGTGGCCGTGGGTCTGGCATTAACGCTGGATGAGTTTATATTTTCGTCCATTTTGATTGGTCGAACAGGGACTTGGGACCCAACAACTTCGAGAGTTTCCCCACTCTGTTTGCTCGAGGAATCATTGAAGGAGCCCTCAAGATTTCGTTGGTCCTCCAATGAGGGGGGTGACTTCGGCGACAAAGATTTCGGCTCTACATGATTCGATGATATGGTTTCAATCAGTGAATCAATTTCGTTGCCAGAGTTGATGCTAGGAGGGCGAGAAAGAAGACGAAGCGAGCCTGAAGGGGAGGCTTGAGAGGGACCCGACACGGGGTTTACTCCTCCCGCATGCGAGGCAAGTAGAATAAGGAAGGAGAAACAGCTGCCCTGCCCAACTTTAGAATCAACTCGAAGCTGCCCACTCAGCTGTTTAACGATACGAGCAACTACAGCCAGGCCCAGCCCTACACATAGATATTGAACCACCAAACAAAATTTAAAAATCGATGGTACTTACCAACAGCTTCCGTTCTAGTTTTGGGCTCCAGTGATTCCGCTTGCTCGAACTCTCGAAATATACTTTCCATCTTGTCCTGCTGTATACCGCATCCTGTATCCGCCACCACGATTTCCACCGCCGTCTGTTGGTAATCGTGGAGACCAACAGGTCCTTGTGTCGGTACACAGCACACTGTGATGGACCCTTCCGTAGTGTATTTTACTATAGCACCAAGATAAGAGAAATGCGAGAAAGGCATGACAACTAAGACGCACAGGCGTTCGCCGTTAGGTTCTCGACTACAGTTCGAATCTTCCTAGCGTCACCGACAACTTCTTTGGGACTTTCAGATATTTCTAGAATGAAATCGATAGATCGTCGTTGGGCCTCGCTTCTATATGGATTGATCGCCTCCTCGATGGCTGCAGGTAGGTTGAAGGGTTCATTGAAAGATGTCTCGTTCCCACTTTCTAGTCTCGTGAGATCCTATACTGATAATCAGACACAAATATTATTGAGAACTTGACAGATACTACGAACCAACAAGTCATTGATAGTGAAGAGTAAATTCTGGACGAGGGGATCAGAATAGCCTCTGGTTGATGGAGGAACGAGAAACATGCCTTCGAAGCACAGTGCGACTGACTCAAATTATCGCGCGTTTCTCTGTCCAACGGTCCGTTCAGCGCCATTTCGAGATAGCTGATCAAGAATAAGGCGACGGTCTCGAAAGTAAGGAGAGGAAGCTCACTTAATGATATGGTTTAGAGGGGTCCGCACTGTATCATGCTTTATATACGTGTTCGTCCGAGAATGTTGCTTACTCACCTTCGTGTGAAGCATTCGATAACAACAAGTTGGTCATATTATTCGTCTGCAAGGGGCTCTCCTTCTGCCTCCAGACCTCAATAAACTAGAAAGAAGGATGATCAGCTCAACCGTGATAAAAATAACATATTTTACAAACCTTTCCATACACCAAAGCCAGCACACCCGCGGTTTCTAGTTGTTCATCCGTCCATGCTCTACTTCTTCCGGTGACAGTTTCCGTCCAAATCTTAAACGATTTTCTGGGCTCCAACACTACTTTCGATCCATCTCCTTTGAACGGCTTCCCGGCCCAGTGAACATCACACGGTTGTCCTTTCCGTAGGAAGGCAATGAAATCCTTGCCTCCACTCGATAGAGGAACGTACATCAGGCCCGCAACTACATTGGGATCTGTGTTGACTGTGTTGACCTCGATGCAGCTGCAGTCTTGTATAAGTGACTCACCAGTAGAGATTTTAAGGTCAGGATAGTCGGAAGTCACTGCTTGTGATACTTGAATGGTCCTGCAGAGACATATGAAGAGGCGGTCATCTTGAAGGAAAGTTTGGATTACCCGAATTGCTTCAGTCTGAGGTACTCTGCCACGATCAAGATCTCTTGTCCGTGTTCATTAGGGCCTAGGATCTTCGCACCATCACCAATAACCAAGATGCCAAAATCGGCATCAAACAAACCGAGCAAACTATCAAAGTCTGATATGATGTATCCGGTCTAGAATTCAATTCAGCGACTTATGAAGGGTAAAGGCATGAAGAGTTTTACGGGATGGTTCTCCGAAGCCCTTGTATTGACCTGAGAGTGAGTAAGTCAAAATAGTAAGATAAGGCTCTCTTTACGGGTGACTAGGCACGCACAAGTTTCCGGGTACGCAGTCGTCGAGCGTAGCTGAGCCGTTCAATGTTTCTAGATATGGACTGGCTGAGAAGTTTGAGCATCTCTCGAGTAGGAAGTGATACCCGCATTCCACGAGGCCCGTATGAATGACATGCTACTAAACCCCACAGAGTGCCAAACGCCATGATAGACTACATCGGAGTCAGATTCAATGACCGTCTCTCTAAATTATGGACGTACAATAGACATCGAAGCACGAACGCCCATGTTACCGAGATCTATTGACTAATTAGTATGCCGCGTTATACAGGACATCTGAAGAGAGCTACATTTGATATGAATAGGGCTCATAGCGCGCAAGTGGCAATGTGTCATATCCAGAGGTTGCTCGAGATCTGCTTTGGATCGTACTACGATCCGAGCTGTTGCCTGGTCCCGATTATAAAGAATCCGGACTTTGTCTGTACACTGCGTGAACGTCCGTCAAGATGATGTAACAAAAACAACTTACTTGTTGCATACAACTGTCTGGCCTATGGAGCACAGTAAATACAGGCTCAGACAAAATACTATATTCGCTTACTTGTGCAGGTATATCAGCAGCGGGAAAATGCAAGCCCTTATAAAGATCGTGCGTCATGCTCCAATCGACAAGTTCTGCAACAACTTGCCCATTCCACCGCTCATCGAACTGGTACACAATAACCCTATGAAATTGCGTCAAGTCCTTGACAATACCAACCACCACCTTCAAAAATGTTTCCAAATCTGATGGTTTACTAAGCTGCTCGTTAATCTGAGCCATGATCGCCAAAACATCCATCATATCACTATCTCCTGGTATAATTACGATTCTACCACGCCGCGACTTCGCCTTCGCGGAAGTCAGTCCTGAGGGAGCTGTCCGTGTTAAGCGACGTAGGCGCTCTAGGGCAGGAAGCGGCTTGGATCGTGAGGTCGTACTTTCCACAATATCTTCGGTGTTCGGGATCCAGGTGTCGTCACCTTCAAGACCTGTAGGCGAGGATTGAGTAACCAATGCATCAAGGGAATTGGTTTCTACAATAAATGGGCTGAGAGGAAATGGCGGAATGGAAGCACGCGGCCCCGGAGTTCGGCCGTCTAGATCACCGCCCAGGCTTGGCAGAGTGCCAGTGGTATCGTCACTGACCAGCAAAGTTCTTCTGGAACTCTCGTTCGAAGTCTCTCCCGTAGGCATAAAGCTGTCAAATCCCAAGCCAGGGTCATTGCCCGTCGGCGAGACCAGCTCCACAGCTTCCGGAAGAGGCACAAGTGGATACAGAGGGTTTAACACATCCACCTCCAACTCGAATTCCATCACGAACAATTTGGAATTCGACCCCGTTGTGCTTAGCGGCCTATGCATTGCACACCAACATGTCCAGAAATGTCGGTCTTCATTTGACGCCGAATCAGAATCAGCTACGTCCGAAGGGGTGGTTTTTGTGCCAGGGGCTCCCCAGCCTGATATACGAAAGATATGCGGTGGACTGTGCCCGTCATCCGATGGTTGTGAATCTGGTTCAGAAAGGTATTGAACGTTGTTCCAAAGCAAACCAGCTTGCGATTCCGGTAGTGTATCTGTGAAACAATCCAGGGAGAAGAGATACTGTGGAGACAGACCCAACAGTTCAGTAGAGTTCTAACAAATCTGCCCTAAGCCTCGGCAAATTATCAAACGAGAAAGCAACTACCTCAGACGCTTGACGGACAATTAAGGTGTCATCTTGTTCATCCACAACAATGAGTACGCCAAAGCCTTGGACAGCACCGGGAGTTCGAATGGGCTGTATATGGCTTAGTTTACAAGAAAGTGAGAATATAGGATGAACGCGCCTCATCCTCACAGCGCGTCAGTGTCCCTTCTCTTCCGAGTACAACGTGATGGCCATGTTCATCTTGCATGGCCTGAAAGCGAACTGTGAAAGAAGGCTCCTCCGCGACCAGTGAGATTTGTGGGCCAGAGTGAGATCCACCATCGTCCACAGAGGCTTTCGGATCATTGACGTTCTCTAGTGTTGAGGTATTGGGACGCTCTGACATATCCGGCATGCGATCAGAGGATAATTCAACCTGGACACTAGAAAAATGTAGAGAGCCTGGTGTGCCAGAGTGGGAGGACGAGGATGAGATTGGACCTAGGTGGAGCAGACCAAGTTCGGAGGGATTGAATGGAATGGAGGCGGAGTTGGGTATTAAGGAAGTACTTGTCGACGCAAAAATATCACGAGCAATGGCGGGAAATGCAGGAGGGCGATGAGGATATAACTCTGCGGGATCGTTTGAAGTCGCCGAATGGAATGGGGACGAAGGTCCAGTGCCAACCGACGAAGAACCAAAAGGATAGTGAAAGAATTTCGTTGGAGAACTTGAAGGTAGAACAACGTTTTCCGCTGGAAAATGCCGAAAATTAGGTGAAGTGTGGGAAATTAACTGGAATTTCTTCTCAGAACGGCGTGGGCGGGTATTTGAAGGGAATATAGTTTCGTTAGGGTCGTAAGCTAGCGTGGTGGGATTAGTCGTAGTATCATCTGCATAGGCAGAATAAACACTGGGTCCACTAATACCGGGAAAATAACGCACGGGCCCTTTCAACTTCCTCTGTATTCCATCTGGAAAGTTCCTCAGACGGTGGCGCACCTACGCCGCTCGCGGCGGTATGGGAGATAACGGGAAGACCTTGTGCCGGTCGTATACCAGTCAGCAGAGATTTGACAGGATAAATGAACGATCTTGAAGGTAAGACTTGCTCCTTTGAAGGATTCGCTGAGCCACTGTCCCTGCCGTCTCTGGACATAGATAGACTGCAGCGAGTTCTGCGATGCACGACTGTGGGAACATCACTTTCGCAAGGATTCCCTTCCGTAACTTAGGCGAACCCCAAGCCCCAAGTTGCCTATTTCGGGAACCAAAGACAATGTCATCCTGCGTGAGTCATTTTTCCTGGGAAAAAAATTTAATCTGAAGAAATGCTCAATTCAGTGCAGACATGCAGACTTCAACTTTACAATTCTTCAGATGTTCACTGATGGACTGCCCTTCTGCCTTTGTTCGACTGGCTGAATAGTTCTTCTCTATTCCAGAAGCGTCGACTGGTGTAACGAGGCCAAAAGCTCTTGCATAAGGACGTGCAAGAGGTGTTTCGAACTGCGGAACCGTCGAAAGTACTAAACTTCGCCAATATACTATTGTCAACATCAGCGAATGAATAGCCAGGCTCTGAGTCGAAACACATAATCGATATCATTTCCTCGTCATTGCTTTCAAGACAAGCAAGGACGTTCTTGAAGGACCTTATCGATAGTAATATCCGACTTGGTGACTTGGGCTGCTAGATTCATGAAAAACTTAAACAGAGCTTCATGTGCCTTGTCACACAGATTCGAGTCCCATTCCAACAATGTACCGAACGCGGGATGTCGTGCAACGAATACGCGAAACATTGTGACGCCTCGTCTTTGCGGCTTCGATCGATATCGTGGGTATTCTAAAGAACAGATCTGCAGAAGAACTAGATGGTTATCGTGCGGTATGTTCGGAAAGCTGCTTACTGAAGGTCCTTACTAGTCCTTACAATAATTATCCACTACCGCATGTCTACCTGGGTCGCGGACAACAGAACCATACCAGAATGGAAGAATAAGTTCCGTGCAGGCTACCTTACACTGAATAATGCATTCAGATCACGACGTGCCATAGACTGGGTAAAAACTCACCACAAACCTTTGTTTGCGACGTTATTTGACGCTACAGATGCATTCCCATCAACGAACCAAGATAGGTCGTATCACCGTTTAATAGAGCTAGCAATGGGGGTTCCTGCTTGACTGGCCAAGGTCCGTGCAGTGAGTACGACATGAGAACGTGATGTTGTAGGAGTTCAAGTTTCTGATTGACCTCCTGACAGATGAATCTGGCCCCGGACTCTGCGGAGCCTATTTATGTTGGGTCTGGAGATGCCCTTAGATAAGGATGATGTTATCTTGATGGACTAGCCGACATGCTAGCACAGGCTGACGACATTTTCTTGCTCGAGGTCTGTAACGAAAACTTGATGCTCTGTCAATGTGGCACTTGACCCACTTTATCGTCCGGAAACTGTGGTCATGGTATATGGACTCTCACCGTCAGTTATAGGCCCTAAATTTATATTCGATGCTGCTGCAATCGGGTTGTTGACATCAGAGAAATCCTTTGGCGCAACACCTCAAGTGCAGAATGCCGCCTCGTTAAACAATCACTACAAGGCGACAGCACAGACAGCTCGAGACAGTGATCACTGTATCATGGGCCTTCGAAACAAGACAGGGCGGCTGACGCCCACCCAGGTGGAGCTGCTTTTCAACGCACGTATCGATGGCTACCTGACTTATGACTGCGAGATAATGGCAGATGTAGTGATGTCATCTAACCTCTTAACCGATGTCCAGAAGCGTTTACGGTGACTTATCCTCCACCTAGGAAAGAGATCAATGATTATATTACATTCTGAGACCGGGATCATACCACTGCCCGTGCCAATTCCTGATTCTCCTGGCCTACTCCAGATACCTCCAAAGCAAGGACTGAAAAATATACAAGGGGAGCTCTTGAAATCGGTCGGGCCCCCACAATGGAGGGAAGGTCGTCCTGATTCAAAGACCTCCACGAATGTAAGGAGCAAAGGAAAGTGAAGGCTCTAGTCACGGTAGCTTTGAAAATGCGAAATCACCTTGAACTCCAGAAACATCGAAAGGCGGTGTCCTCTATCGCACTTTCGACTCACAAGCCAGCGGTTGAGCGTCTACGTGAGCACCCACCATTAATCGCAAGAATTGTCCGTGTCCGAGTCGTTTAAGAGACCAAGAAACGAAAAGTCTCAAGGGTAGAATTGAGGCAGGTTTCAAAGAGGACGGTGGCATGTATACAGCCTGGTGACTGTACAAAGATGGAGAAAGTTTAAAGTGTCCATGGCAAATTCTCGGATCGGAATGGAAAGGATATGCGTCCGGTCCGAACGTAGCCCGGGCCGCCGCAGTCGTTCGGTGGTTCGTCGACGCCCAACAAGAGCGCATAACATAGTCCTTACCATATGGTGAACGCGGTACTTCAATATTCGAGGATTCTAGATATTTGTGGGCACCGCGGCTCGATTGCTACTACGATGGTAGAAGTTTTGGCTACATGATTTCAATGAGAGTGAACATGTTCAACATGGCCTTGGTATGCTTTCTAGCTTCATTTATGCATCCAGCTTTGGATCCCAGGATATATCTCTGACACTCATTATTTACTATCACATTTCTTTTCGTCAACTAGTCGGCTATCTTGCCAAATTGTACGACTGACGCTCCTGGTACGTCACCTTCAGTGACCCATTCGACCGTAACACTTTACCTCCGATTGTGACATGAATGAACTTACATGAGAGTACGGCGATTCACTATGACGAGTTCGTTTGATTCTCATCGCAAAATTCTCTGGTGGCAGCTCCATATCGATGAACCTCCGATCGCTCTGGCTAAGAGGTTGTAATGGCACATGTATGATTCACCAATGTGGAAGACAGTGCCGGGAGCGGAAGAACTTTAAATTTTTATGAATAGATCACGAAGCTGGGGATAGAACCCCACGCAACCGACACTACAACGTCCCTAAAGACGTGAATGTCAGCAGAGTCTACAAGAAGCCTGCATTAGCACTTGCTCTTGACCTATCCAATTATAGCACGATACCTCCGAGGATGCTACGAATCAATTACACGATAGGACGGCGATTTCGACTATGACGAGTTCGCTTCGTTCTTATCACAAGATTCTCCGGTGACAGTTCTATATCGACGAATCCCCGATCGCTCTGGCTGGGAGGTAGTGGTGCATTCGCAGCGTATGGGTGATATATCAAAGCAGAAGAAGGCACTGGAGGATGTGTTTTCCGGGCGGGTTGCAAGACTTGGGCTACCATCAAACAAGGTGCATACGTGAGAGACGGAGCTTTTGCATGAATGTGTTTCTTGGTTCTCGAAGGGAAAGGCTGCGAATATCAAGGTATCAGATGCAGTCAAAAATACAATGAGGGTCATACCATGACTGGTTTCCTGGATTCTGCGTGTATCCAACTAACGTCTACCGCGATAGCTTCAGCCCGTTTCCATCTTTGGCTACTTTGCCGCTCAGAGTCTTCATGTTGTCGAGGAGGATTTCTGCCGTTTCTCAAGTGCATGCATGGTAAAAACAAGTAGGAGCTCACATGAACGTTTGCGTACTCTGTTCTGGGTATAACTCGACGTGTTGCGGCTGGCTGGACGTCGACCACAACCTAAATACTTGACAGAAATGGGTATAGATAAATAGATAGAAAATGCATTCAGGATAGACGCACGCAGTGGTTCATTCCCTTTCTCTTCGACCGAATTTGAGGTTTTTCTTCGTTTCCTACTTGTGGCATCGTTTTCGATATCCATCATTTTCCGTATCCTTTCATTCAGAGACGTAACCAGGGCGTTATCAGATTCTTCGCTACTGTCGACATCTGAGTCAAGGTCAAGGTCTTTGCGTGCAATGCTCTTCGTTGATGATACTAGGAGATGTGGATTCGAAAAGCGGGGAATTGATAAAGCCATGATGGTCTGAAGGAGAAATAGTCCGTGGGAACGATATTCCAGAATTGGACTGCTTGTCCTCGGCACCTTTCTCGGCACGACTATGGATTGCATCCGAGATGAAGTACCCGTGTCTAAGCGTGAACAGCGGCTGGATCCTGCGGTGCACTTCTAGATCCATGACATGAAATCAGACCACTCTGGAATTATGTGATGTCGTAACACGCAAAACTAGGGTAGGTATTATAGCTGTATATTAGTTATTAAGTTACTTATCGATACGAATTATTCCGGTAATATGCATAGGGTATCATGTCATGTACGTAGTGAAGAGAAGGAAGGGAATAATCTGAGATTGCCATCAGCCCTCAAGCTGCAACATGAAACAATAAAACGTACCATGCGTAAATTCGTGAATTTTGAAGGCTTTGCGTCGTACGACTCAGATCCGATAGATATGCTGAGCTCCGTCGTAATGGCTAGTACCCAGGTTAGACATTGACCACAGATATACATGAAATCACTACTCACTGATTCAGAGAAGGAATCGATCGATACTACAGGACTTAGGTCCCTCATTGCAATCGCAATGGTATCTTTTGTTTGGTGGACGCCTTCATGGTCAGTCTCGACGTGACGCTCGACCAAGGGTGTGTTCAGCAGAACGGAGACTACCCGGGAGACAGACGCAAAGCGGGACGAGCGTGAGGAAGACATGAGAGTAGTGACGGATGTGGATTACTCACTTGGTGCTGTATTATAAGCACTTCTACCCGATCATGACGTCAGACGATCGATCCTCGGTTAGTCGGTCCGCGCCGGGTCAGCAGATGTCAGCGGGCGTTAGTAGTCCGACTCGGTGCCCGACGTCGAGTACCAATTAACTATTACTCAATGTGTAAAACAGTAATCGTAACCGGGGCTTCCTCAGGTATCGGACGACAATCCGCAATTTCCTTGTCCAAGGCTGGCTGGAACGTCGTCCTGACGGCTAGACGCGAGGAGGCTCTCCAGGAATCAGTAAACTTATGCGTCCATCCCGAGAACAGTCTTGTCCTTGCGGGAGACGTCACCAATGAAGATTTCGTCAAGGAACTCTTCGCCAAAGCAGTGGAGAGATTTGGTGAGTCGTGTTCCGAGTCAGAGTCATCATTGATCGACGTCGATGTAGGTCGATTGGATCTGCTTTTTAATGTCAGTATATACCGAGTCTCCTTTGGAAGACTCAACATTTTAGTATAGAATGCTGGGACAAACGCCCTCCAAGTCCCAATCGAAGAATTATCCCTAGACACATTTCAACGAGTGATAAACGTCAACCTAACTGGTCCATTCCTTTGTACCCGCGAAGCATTCAAGATTTTCAAGAGCCAGACCCCTCCCGGCGGCAAGTCAATGGCATTTTATCAAATACATATGTACCCAGACTCACACCGTTTGTAGGCCGTATCATCAACAACGGTTCCCTCTCAGCCCATGTGCCCAGGCCTTTCTCCTTCCCGTACACGGCCTCGAAGCATGCCATTACCGGTCTCACAAAGTGCACATCTCTCGACGGTCGCCCCTTCAATATATCATGCACACAAATTGACATTGGTGCGTCTTACTATACTACTTACTTCTATTTGCTCATAAGCATTTGCAGGCAATGCTCAAACGGATATGGCCGCAAGGCTTTCCAAGGGAGCTCTCCAGCCCGATGGTAGAGTAATACCAGAGGCCATGATTGACGTCCAACATATCGCCGATATCATTGTTCACATCGCTAGTCTACCCAACGACGTGACTGTCCTCGACATGAACGTCATGTAAGCAAAATCTCCTTAGTCTTAGCATTATAAACTACTAATGCACAACAAGGCCAACACATGCGCCATTCGTCGGGCGAGGGTGATAACACAGATAGATTCTATTTGCTATACCAGATAACGATACCATCTGCGTATATTGTAGTTCTATGCAAACAATATAAGGACCCGATGGATGATAAATGTAAATACGCTAGAGATACAGGCCTCGCACGTGAATATGACCTATCCACCCACAAATCTAAAGGAAATAATGATAAAAAGAAACGTGTGGTACAATAGTGATTCAAAACGCTCCGCATCATGAACTCTGACTGCTAAATGCCAGGTTGTCTGAGGGCAGATACTCCTGGAGCCACCCGCCGCTCTCCCAATTACAACCAGGCCTATACACGTCCCGTTGACGCTGCCCTACATCAGTCACCCCAGATAGAATCACGCCTAGTCTCTTGAAGTCGATGGGCTTCAGTATCCATCCGTCCATACCACATTTCGACAGCTTGTCCCGCTGCTGTTCAAACAGCGACGCAGATACAGCGAATATAGGAATCCGCCCATTCAACTGATGCGAAAGCCGAAGAGTTGATGCCGGTGATTCTGCTTCAACTCCCCGTATTTTCTCCGTCGCTTCGAAACCATTGAGAATAGGCATGCTGAGGTCCATCAACACGCAATCGAAGTCGCGATCGGCCTTCACGGCGTCAAGACCTTCCTGTCCATTCATAGTGTTGACGACAGTATGACCATCGAGTCTGAGTCGCTTTGCGAGTAGTTTTTGATTGAGAATATTGTCCTAAATGAATGTGAGTATGTGGTCCACTGAACATGACGAGACGTCGTACCTCTACAATCAAAACCCGTAATTGGGATGAATGTTTCTGCGAAGGGCCCGGGGGCTCCGCAGAGGCTGCAGCACGATTCCCATGAGAAGATCTAGCTACAGAGGAGGCTGGACGAAGATTAGCGCTGGGTGTATTTATATTCTCGTCCATTTTGATTGGTCGAACAGGGACTTGGGACCCAACAACCTCGAATGTTCCCTCACTACGTTTCCTCGAGGAAATTTTTGGGAAACCGTCGATATTTCGCTGGTCCTCCAATGAGGGCGATGACTTCTGCGAAGAAGATTTGGGTCCCATATGACTCGATGATATGGCTTCGACTAATGAATCGATCTCCTTGCCAGAGTTGATGCTGGGAGGACGAGAACGAATACGAAGCGAATCTGAAGACGATGCTCGAGAGGAGCTCGACAGGGAATTCGGACCTCCTGCATAAAAGGAGAGTGGAATGAGGAAGGAAAAACGGCTACCCTGTTCAACTTTAGAATCAACTCGAAGCTGTCCGCCTAGCTGTTCAACAATACGGGCAACTACTGCGAGGCCCAGTCCTACAGGAGACATTAAGAGTTGAAATAAATCCAAAAATTGGTCAGTATTCACCGACACCAGCATCCGCACTAGTTTTAGGCTCTGATGATTCCACCTGTTCGAATTCTCGAAATATGTTTTGAAGCTTTTCTTGTTGCATGCCGCATCCGGTATCGGCCACTACGATTTCCACCGCCGTCTGCTGGGAGGCGTGCAGGCTAACGGATTCTTGTGTTGGTACACAGCACACTGTGATGGACCCTTGCGCCGTGTACTTTACTATAGCATTAAGGTAAGCGAAACTTGAGAAAACCAGGACAACCGACACGTACAAGCGTTTGCCGTGAGGTTCTGGACCACAGTTTGAATCTTCCTAACGTCACCAATAACTTCTTTGGGACTTTCAGATATATCTAGAATAAAATCGATAGTCTGTCGTTGGGCTTCGCTTCTATACGGGCTAATCGCCTCCTCGATAGCTGCAGGTAGATTGAAGAGTTGATTAAAAGATGTCTCGTTCCCACTTTCTAGTTTCGTGAGGTCCTAGATGGAGATAATCAGATACAAATACTATAAAGGACATAGACACGAACCAGCAAATCATTGATAGTGAAGAGTAGATTCTGGAGGACGCCATCAGAATGACTCTTGCTCAATGATGTGAGGAATGTCATGCCTTTGAAGCAGAGTGTGATTGACTCAAGTTATCGCGTGTTTCACTATCGAGTGGCCCATTCAGCGCCATTTCCAGGTAGCTATACAAACATTAGGCCGGAATTCCGGAATCGCGAGGAAAAAACCCACTTGATAATATGATTTAGAGGGGTCCGCACTGACTTGTGGTTTATATGAGCAATTACCCTGAAATATCGCTCACTTACCTTCGTGTGAAGCATTCGATAGCAACAAGTTGGTCAGTTTAGTCGTCTGCAACGCGTTCTCCTTCTGCCTCCAAACTTCGATGAACTGGAACGAAGGATATTCAGCTCAACCGTGATAAAAATAACATATTTCACAAACCTTTCCATAAACCAAGGCCAGCACACCCGCAGTCTCCAGCTGCTCGTCCGTCCAAGCTCTACATCTTCCAGCAACAGTTTCTGACCAGATCTTAAATGATTTTCTTGGCTCTAATACTGCATTTGACCCATCGCCTTTGAACGGCTTCCCGGCCCAATGGACATCCCGCGGTTGTCCTTTTCGTAGGAACGCAATAAAATCCTTGCCTCCACTCGATAGAGGAACATACATCAGGCCCGCAACTACATCGAGACCTGCGTTGATTGTTTTAACCTCGATGCACCTCCCATACGTGAAAGGCATTTACCCGTAGAAATTTTAAGGTCCGGATAGTCAGAAGTAACCTGCTTGTGATACTTGAATGGTCCTGCAGATATAGGTGAGGAGGTAGTCATCCCCTGGAGAGAGACTTAGCCCACCCAAATTGCTTCAGTCTGAGGTATTCCGCCATGATCAAAATCTCTTGTCCATGTTCATTGGGACCTAGGATCTTCGCTCCGTCACCGATGACCAAGACGCCGAAGTCGGCATCGAACAAGTTGAGCAAACTGTCGAAATCCGATACAATATAACCAGTCTAGAGTTCTGTTCAGCAACTTATAATGGGCAAAGATATAAAGAGCGGCAGTACGGGATGGTTTTCTGAAGTCATCGTGTTTATCTGGGGTGAGGGAGGTCAAAAGTCAGGCAGACGCCTCGCTAGGATTGATAGAGACACACAAGTTTCCTGGTATGTAATCGTTGAGCGTAGCTGAGTCGTTCAATGTTTCTGGAAATGGACTGGCTGAGAAGTTTGAGCATCTCCCGAGTGGGTAGTGATACACGCATCCCATGCGGACCATATGAATGACATGTCACTAAACCCCACAGAGCCCCGAACGCCATGATAGACTAGCGGGAAGTCAAATTTAGCGATCGTCTCTCCAAGCAACCGACGTACGATAGACATCGAAGCACGAACACCCATGTTGCCAAGATCTGTGGACTAATTAGTACTGATGATTAGACATACGAAAGACATACATTTGACATGAATAGGACTCATAGCACGCAGGTGACAATGTGTCATATCCAGAGGTCGCTCGAGATCTTCTTTGGACCGCACTACGATTCGAGCAGTCGCCTGGTCCCGATCATAAAGAATTCGGACTTTGTCTGTCAACTGTGTGAGCCTCCATCGGCATACGGTATGATGATGTTATGAAAACAGCCTACTTGTTGTGTATAACTGTCGAGCCTATAGGATATGATGGATGTGGGCGCAAACAAATAACCATGTCCGCTTACCTGTGCTGGTATATCCCCAGCAGGAAAATGCAAGCCCTTGTAAAGATCATGCGTCATATTCCAATCGACCAATTCGGCGACGACCTGACCATTCCACTGTTCGTCAAACTGGTACACGAGAACCCTGTGAAACTGTGTCAAATCTTTGATAATTCCAACTACCACCTTCAAAAAGGTTTCCAAATCCGGCGGATCACCAAGCTGTTCATTTATCTGAGCCATGATTGCCAAAACATCCATCATCTCACTACCTCCTGGGATCATTGCTTTTCTTCCGCGTCGCGACTTCGCCTTCATGGAAGTCGGTTCTGAGGGAGCAGTGCGTGTTAGACGACGCAGGCGCTCCAGAGCAGGAAGCGGCTTGGACAACGAAGTCGTACTTTCAATGATATCCGCAGCACTCGGGATCCAGGTCTCATCGCCGTCGAGGCCTGTAGGTAAGGCCACTGTAGTTGGTGCGTGGATGGAATTAGTATCTGTAGCAGGTGGACTAGAGGGAGATGGTTGAAGGCAGGTGTGTAGCTCAGAACTTCGGTCGTCTGAGGTACCGCGGGAGCTCGGCAGAGAGCTAATTGTGTCACCAGCGCCCAGTGAAGTTCTGCCCGAGCCGTCGTTCGAAGCCCCACTGGCAGTTATACTCTCGGAAACCGAACCGGAGGCATTATGTCCTAGCGAAGCTGGATTCATGGTCTTGGGCATAGAAATAGGTGGATATAGTGGATTTAACACATCCACTTCTAACTCGAATTCCATGACGAATAGTTTGGAATTTGACCCCGTTGCGCTTGGCGGCCTATGGATTGCACACCAACATGTCCAGAAACGTCGATCTTCACCATCAGAACCACTTGTATCCGGAGAAACTGTTGCCGTTCCAGGGGCTCCCCAACCTGATATGCGAAAGATGTGTGGTGGGTCATGCCCGCCGTCTGGCGGTTGTGAATCTAGTTCTGATAAGAACTGAACATTATTCCAGAGTAAATCGGCTTGCGATTCCGGTAGCGTATCCGTGAAACAATCGAGGGAGAACAGATACCGCGGGGACAGACCCAGCAATTCAGTAGAGTTCTAACAATTCTTCCCTAAGTCTTGGCAAATTATCAAACGAGAAAGTAGCTACCTCAGAAACTTGACGGACAACTAAAACGTCATCTTGTTCATCCACAGCGATAAGCACCCCAAAACCTTGAACTGCACCGGGAGTTCGAATGGGCTGTAAATTGTTCAGTTGTTAAGGAAAAACGAATATGGATTAAACGTGCCTCATCCTCACAGCGCGTCAGCTTTCCTTCTCTTCCAAGTACAACGTGATGACCGTGTTCATCTTGCGTGGCTTGGAAGCGAACTGTGAAAAGAGGTTCCTCCGAGGTCGAAGACAGTTGTGAACCCGCGCTATCTTCCGGAGAGGCATTCGAGGCGTTATTATCTCCCGTGGCTGACAAATATGAGCTAATAGAACGCTCCGATGTATCAGAGGTGCAACCAGAGATTTGTCCAGCACCACCATTGAAAGAATGTAGAGAACCTGATGTGCTAGTGTGAGAAGACGTAGAGATTGGTCCTAGATGAACCAAACCAAGTTCAGAGGGATTGAATGGAATAGGAACAGCCTCGGGTACTGAGGAAGTGCTTGTTGAATCAAAAGTATCCTGAGCAACAGGAATGGTAGGAGGATGACACATATTGAAGTCGGCGAAATCGCTTGGGGTCAACGAGGGTAATGATAACGAAGGTTTAGCACCAGCTGACCGAGAGCTAGAAGGATGTTGGGATAGAAAATTCGCTGGAGAAGGTAGTGCGCTTTCCGCTGGGAAATGCGGTGAAGTGTCGGAGATTGACTGGTTTTTCTTCGCACTACGTCGCCTAGCAGACGCAAGGTGAAATGGAGCAGCAGTTGCTATACTATGAGAGCGGCGTGGCTTAGCATGTGAAGGGAATGATATTTCATTAGGGTCGTAAGCTGGCGTGTCAGGATTAGTCGTCGTTCCGTCTGCCAGATAGGAGAATAAATATCGGAGCCAATGAAGCCAATAAAATTACGCACGCGCTCTTTCAACTTCCTCTGCAATCCATTTCGAAAGTTCCGGAGATGGCGGCGCGCCTACGCTGCTAACTGCGGCTCGAGAGATGCCAGAGAGGTCCTGGGCTGGTTGTATACCGGCTAAGAGAGACTTGACGGGATACACAAACGACTTCGAAGGCGAAATCTGGCGTCGATCCGCCGCGTCTCCGCGATCCCTATCATCGCTGTACATGGATGGACAGCAACAACCTGTACTTAGCACACGAACACACGAAGTTGGAGAAAGTGGTAGATTGCCTTTTTCAGGAGTCGATGACGCAGTTGACGTCATCTTGCGAGTGAGAATCGATTTCTAGATACGACCCTAAAAAAGCAGGCCAAGCTAAAACTCACAACGCTGATACTTGTCCTCGCACTGGCGGGTCGTGCTCCGAAATAAGCTCTTCTTCTGGATGGATAATTCTTCTTGCTGCTCTGGTAATCTGTAGCTAATAGCTGGTGAACCGTGGAACGGGGCTTTGTCTAGGACACCGTGGAACCGTCGAAAGTCATAAACTTCGTCGGCTATCCGGTTGTAAAAGAAATGGGTGACTAGTTTGACATGTCGATACGAACGTAGATCCGATTCAAGACTCAGGTCACTCAGCACATGAAAATTTAACCGACGTACAAGCATGTACTTGCCATGATGGCGACCCAACACGGCGCAGAGCTTTAGGTCCTATTGCCAATCATGCGCGGACTTGGAGTATCCGACTTCGACGAAATATCAGAGTTTGAGGTCGTGTTGATGCATCTTGAGGCACGGGACAAATTATGGATCTTGAGACTTGCCGTCTCGTCTTCTAGCGCATCGCGGCCCTACCAGCTTCTCTTCGACTGTTGAGACTATCGATCTAAAAAGAGGTGTCGGCGGTTGAGCACCCTTGACCCAGCATACATACCATAACTCCGTCCCTGTCGCCCGAATTATACCGTAAACAATACTTCAAGGGACACCGACAAGTGCAGGCACTCTGATCTCTTGATAACGGATTACCTGCACAGGCGTTAAGTACCTAGGTGTTTCAGGTTTTCAAATGGAATGATAAGCAGCTTTTATGGATTTTGCGCACGTCAATTACACTTCCGCACCGAAGGTGCAAAGCGACCAGTGGACAAGGATCAATTTGAACATCGGACATTGGCTCAGAAAAGGACAAAGACTTGTTAACACGAACCATTCAAACAGGATCGCACCATGATTGGTACAGCAGTACTACACATTTTGTTCTATTCTTGCCATTCAGATCGTACCCGAACCTCTGAACCAAGCATTCACAGGTTTCTCCTTCGGGCCAGTCAAAGATCTCGAAGAAAACTTCGAAGAGCTCCCGTGATCGCTGTTGCGGCGCCGGCCTGGCGTCCATTCCCGCAACCAAGTATGCATGGTCTCCAAAGCCTGACTCTGGACAGCGGCAATAGTGGGGTCGATCGCACCGTTTGCAGTCAAAAGATCAGAACAATGGAATCCGTCACCCAGCCCAATGGGCTGCGAGGCAGTGCTGGGAACATTTACTGTCTGAGCAGATACTGTCGCCTCTCTCCAAGGATCGCCTGATCAGCTTGTGTGAGTAATGGCTCTTGATATAGAGATGAACCACGCACGTATACCGTTGGCGAAAAAGAGTCTATTAGTCCTCACATCCCAGCCTTCGTATGCCTCGTTGGTCTTTGCTACGTTGATGGTTGTGGGCGGTGTGGGGAAAGCTGCAGGGAACATGTACGAGCATTGCCGCTATTTTTAGGATGTTTAGAGTAGTTCGACATTTCGACAATTTGTGGCAAAAGAGACGTACGAAATCATAAGACGGTTGCACTAGACGCGTAACAATGGCCGGGAGCCCTTGTGGCGGTCCATCCTATCCAAATATGAGACCGTAACCCTGATGACAAGGGACAATATACCTGGAGGTAGCCGACTTGATTGCACCTGTAGAGAATATGAAATTATGAACCACTGAGAGGACAAAAAACATACACAATCCAATTCCACGATCGACCTGAATTGTCGATGCTGGTGTCCGTGTAGTAATCTTGAGTAGGGTCGTAAGTGCCAAGACAGGTTCTAAAATAACAGTCAATGATCGTTACGGTGAGTATCAAACATATAGCGTACTCTGCATCTACATTCCCGCAAACTGGACCACATATCAGGAGATCGACACAGTGGTAGGTCATCACGGTTCACTTACGTTCCGATATGTACGTATTCTTGAAGTACGAACTCCAAGCTGTCAAAGCATGGTCCAAGCCCCAACCCTTGGCGGACGCGGAAACTCCATTTTTGACTTCCAGGGCATCACAAAATTCGAAGAATTGAGCACCCGGACCAGATGTCGGCTGTAAAGACTGCCAGTCCCACAAATTGTTACGAACTAGGGCGGGGATTGAGCTGATACCAAAGAAATGTAAGGACTAAACGAACGAGCGCCGGCAACATCGTCAAGATGGGTCATATCACCCATCCCAAAGGAGCTCTTGATTGTTTGAATCGCAGACTGGTTTCCGGAAGAAAAGGACCTGGTCGATGTGGGCGATTACAGCACCAACATCGGCCGAACAGTTGGCTGCCATGTTTTGGCGAATCGGTTCGAAGTATCGCCAGTAGTCACTAGAACAAATCAGCTAGAAGCTCAGGGTCGACGAAAAAAGCGCACAGGATGGCTTCTACTACCCCGGATGAAGAGTATCCAGCCCAGAAAACACCTGGTTGGCTGCAGAAATTTTAATATACGGTCGTCACGGAACTCGCATGGCCTACTTGACAATTGTCCAACTCGTCAATGCACCTGAGCCGAAATCAGTCAGTAAGTGCAGGAGGACTAGGGGCGGGATTAATTACCGGAATAGCTCCCGCCCGTGAGAATCCAGGGTGCCTTGTCTGGGCCAACTTCTCCGCCATTGGGCATGGGTAACTCGACATTCTTAGCAAAATAGACAAGATCGTCGATAGCTTGCTGCAGCGTATGCAGTCGTAAGCTATTGACAGTAAGGTCTGGATAGGGATTGCTGAGGCCGTAAAAGCGGTGCTCCAGAACGATCACTGCGCCATTCTCTTGTTGCGCTATCAGTCCATTTATGGTCCTATTAGTGAGATAACCAGTGTATGCTGCGAAAGGGGCGGGCATTCGTTCAGTCCGCTGACAAAATAAAGGCTAAAATCACTTACGTGCTGCATTGGCTTCTCCCGGGGTCATCAAAATGATTGGACCGCCTGGAACGTACTCGTTATGGGTATCGCTTTGAGAGTCTGAGAAATCAACTCACCGGGTTCATAAAATTCGTACGTATGCCAATAACGTTGTTGAAACATTCCCAGGGATGGGTTGTTGTGGTCAATGAGCTGGTTGAAAATGTAGGTCGTATTGTAGGGCGGTAGCACGGTACCGTTACGACTTAGAACCGGTTCATCGGGATCCTGGATAGTAACAACCGGGATACTCGGCCTGGGAATGATATTTCCATGAGAACGACCATCACGTAATGCGCCATTCACGCATAACAGTGGGCAGAAGGCGAGAAGGACCACCCAGAAGATTGGGAGAGGCATTATGGACGCTATATCCTCACCATACGTGAATTTATACGAAAGCTTTCCACGAATGCGTTATTTATAATCGCGATGCATCTTCTATCACGCATTGACCAATTAATGTATATAGACCACGATGCTGATAGAGATCCTTACTTCAATTGACCAACTGACAACGAGCTGCGCCGCCTGTTACAGATGGCAGTGATGCGCGCTCTGTGTCGTCACCAGACCCACATGGGGAGCATGTAGTCGGTTTTTAGTGAAGCTTGAGGGTTAACAAGCATTCTCATAAGAGATAACGGGACCGTGAACCTGTGAATAAAGATATCAAACCATTGCCACATGATGCTTATCGTGTACGTACTGTTCCGCACAAAAGGGTCATAGTACCTTGCTGCTAGAAAGGATACGCACAACCCAATCGACTTTCCGTGTATTTCCCTGTGATTCAGCGATGAAGCATGTGGAAGAAGGCGCATTTTGATGGTGTAAACATTGAACAAGGTACGGCCAAGCTAAAATTACTGGCACAGTACCTGACTGTGAGGTCTGCGCTTCCAATACTGGGCTGTTGTTTTACACACTCCATGCATAAGGAGTACTCATGACCACTCCGCTACCCAAGGGCTCTCCAAATTCACGCCTTCAGCGGGAGACAATGGACTTTTTTCGGAGCAAGTAGAGTCCTCGACTCTTTGTTGATCTCTGCGCTGCGATAGAGGCGATAAAGACACATGGCAGCGCAGAGTTGCAGTGTAGCATGCGGGTTCTTCTTCCCAGGCGAATGACAGACAGCACTAGGCAGTTCTGTGATGTGGAAATCCTTGTAGTACGAAAGGTATTGCAATATCCTTTGTGTTTGTGAACAACGATATTCGATATCAATCAGGCAAAGCCACGCACCTTCATGCCTTTCCTTAGGTGTAGACCTTCAAATCCATCATCATAAACGAGTCAAGTGAAAGGCAGGAAGAAAGAGTAATTGCAAGGGCGTGACGCGTGGAAAAATGTAACCATCACCCTCACTATTTTTGCCCCTAGGCCAGGCCCTTGTTATTGCTCCTGGCCTCCTGCTCATCACCCAACCTCAGGCAACAGCATATATGGCACCTTTACAGTTTCCTGCAACCCTGACATAGTATTCAAAATCTGAGTCATAATGCTATATTTACCAGTAACATCTACGTCTAACTGACCACTTTACTCCATTCTACACTACTCGTGATGACGGAGGCTTCATTCAAGATTTCTATCCCGGACGAAAAACTCGAACTGCTTCGCAAGAAGCTCGAACTCACCGCGTTGCCGGACGAACTCGAGGATTCAGGGTGGAAGTATGGCGTACCACTTGGCGACATCAGGCGATTAGTAGCCAGATGGAAGGACGGCTTCGACTGGAGGGCCCAGGAAGCTATACTCAACGCGGAACTGCCCCAGTTCACTCGGGATATTCAAGTGGATGGACATGGCACGCTAAACATCCACTATGTTCATCAGAAGAGCCAAGTTGTCGACGCGATTCCCTTGTTGTTCATTCATGGATGTACGTATTCCAGTCCGATACATGAAACGCGACTAACTTTATCTGTAGGGCCGGGGAGCTTCATTGAAGTACGGAAAATACTTCCACTGTTAACGGCATCATCAGCCGGACCATCCTAGCTTCCATGTCGTCGCACTGAGCCTCCCAGGATACGGCTTTTCTCAGGCGACCAAAAAACAGGGCTTCAAGACAGGACAACACGCCGAGGTGAGCATGATGTCTTTACGCTGTTGTTAAGTCTAACCAGCGACTACAGGTTGGAAACAAGCTAATGATATCTCTTGGTTATGATAAATATGGTATTCACCAAACTGTCACGTATAGTAATTTTGTTAATGGCCTGTACAGTCACCCAAGGTGGAGACTGGGGTGCTATTGTACGTATGCGTTCCATTACTTCCAGCGGAAAGGCTACATTACTATGGTCTCCAGATTACAAGAAAACTCTCTAGTGTTTATGGCGGAGCGCATAGTCAAGCATGGCACACAAATATGCCAAGGTTAAGTAATCATTGTGATCTTTCGGGTCATATATTCTTATTTTACATTTAAGAGTACGGCCTCCGACTATTTATGAACCTCTTTTGTATCTTCGACACATGCTTACGCCCTATACGGAAACCGAAAAGGTAGGATTGCAACGTACCAAGTGGTTTGAGAACCAAGGGAGAGGATACCACAGTCAACACTCGACTCAGCCTCAGACAATAGGCTATTCACTCGCCGATTCCCCCGTTGGGCTCCTTAGCTGGATTTACGAAAAGTTGGTTAACTGGAGTGATTCATACCCTTGGGATGATGATGAAGGCGGGTGATCTTACTTTATGTACTGCTAGCTGAGCCTCACGCTCCCCGTTACAGTATTGACCTGGGTATCTATCTACTGGTTTTCTAGGGAAGGTCCGACTGCGTCTATCAGACTTTATTATGAATATGTTCAGTCCGGAGATCGTGTGCTGACAAAAGAGCCCACTATTCCTCTTGGTCTCTCATATTTTCCCAAAGAAGTGCGTTCTTATCCGCGACTGTGAGCGTTGCCCATCGTCAGCGCGAGGAGGCTATTCTCACGACTAATCTCCACAGCTGGTCTCGGGCCGAAGGGAATCTAGTATTCGAGTCAGAGCACACTAGTGGGGGACATTTTGCCGCCCATGAGAAACCACACGAGTTGGTGGATGACTTGAGGAAGATGTTCGGGAAGGATGGCCCGGCGTTTGGTGTTGTTCCGGGAAGGATTGGGTACGTGTGACGCATGTCGGACCGCCTGAAGATCCGGTCACTCCAAAAAAATCTTTGGAAGGTACCGTCCTGTGAGCGACTTCAAGTTTAGAATATGTAAATTTGGAAAGATCACCTGTGCTGTTAACCACCTCCAGATCTCAGGGTTATTCCCCGCTCTCCACAGCGTTTAGTTACGTGAAGGTCTATAGGTCCAACATTTTTGTAGCTTTTTCTCCGATCCAATGAAGACAGCAACAGTGGAGGTAATTCTGCGAATAGTCGGCGATGAATTTCACCGTGATGTAATATGATATTAGGGCGATCGCCTGGCCAAAACAGAGCGCAAGGAAGCAGGAGATCGGGTCTGAGTGGATCGCGAAATGCAAGATGCGATTGTTGTTCGTTGTTACCCAGGAATCATGTTCGAATGCGTGGCGTAGGAGCGGCGGAACATTGTGAACGATGTATTACGGCGTTCGAATGTCTGATACTCGATTTATTTCTCTAGTCAAACGCGGTCATTGTGGTCCCCCATGGGACATAAATCCGGTCTCACATTCACATCGTGCATTGTATCACCGTTCCTATCAAGGAGAATGACTAGTGGCTTGAGCGTTCCTAAAGATTCTCGTCGAGCCGACATCCGAGTCGTTGGATCAGGAAGTGGGCGCGACTACACGCATGCTGTAGGCTAAATTAAAATGCCGCGGTCACGGATATATAGGACTTCTGGTTTGGATTTCCTGAAAAGTAGGGGACCACTCCACGTTTTTCGATATAATGGGAATGAGGCACCTGGAAGAAGTGTGGATGATGAAGTGATACTGATTAGACACAGGACTGGGCAAAAAATGGATTCAGTTAAACGTCATTAATTTATTTTTTACAGAGGCAGAGAGAGACGAACGTTTCCGTAGACTTGATGAAGAAATAGGTTCAGCTAGCTTGTAGCTAGCAATTGCCATCCGATCTTGTGCTATCTTTAGCAGGCGTCGCGGTGTTCTCGGGTAAATTCCACGTGACAGAGGGGAACCCGCAACGGGGTTGTCGGGTAAACCGTCTGTTGTTCGCTCACAGACAAGGACATATAAACGCGATCACATCTCTACCATGGGCTCCTTTTACAATGTTCCTCCTTTTTCTCTTCCTTCTTCTTCTCTTCTACCTTTGCTCCAACTTCTTTCGTCTTCTGGCCCGGCAATGGCGTTCTCCTCTTCTTCGTCTCCCCGGGCCGCCCTCGCAGTCGTTCTTTGCAGGCAATCTTGAGCAAATGCATGACATGGCAAACTCTGATCTATTGTCGCAATGGGAGGCACAGTACGGCCCCAATTATGCGTACAGAGGATTCCTTAATGGTAGCAGGCTAATGACGACGGATCCAGTCGCACTTTCGTATATCCTGGGGCACGCGTATGACTACCCAAAGCCGGATTTCGTTCGTGATAGTCTAGCGGCGATGGGTGCAGGTCACGAAGGGCTCCTTACGTCGGAAGGCGAAGTTCACAAGAGACAGGTGTGTAATCTATTCATTCTCCTCCTTCAAGATACTCAGTCTCCTTTTGCAGCGTAAAATTCTGGTACTTCTTCTCATGTCCATCAATCTCACTCACTTATGCGCCTACAGTCGCCCGCATTCTCTCTATCCCATATCAAATCTTTGACTCCGATATTCTGGGACAAGGCCGAACAGGTTGGTCGCTAGCTCACGTACTGCGCATCATTCTAGTCTAATGCAACTGATCAGCTTCGCGACATATGGCTCCAATCACCAGGCAAACCTGTCCGCGTAGACGCACTTTCTTATTTGGCTCGTGCTACGTTAGATGTCATTGGCTTAGCTGGTATGTTTCTCACCGGCCAATCGAAATCAGAGCACATGTGTACTGTCTTCTCCAGGCTTCGGATACCACTTTGATTCACTCTCATCCTGCGATAACACAAACGAACTAGCTCACGCCTTTAGCGTCATCTTCTCTACCGCGCGCAAGTTCAGGTTGATGACTATTTTGCAAGTCTGGTTTCCTATTCTACGACGATTCGTGAGTCGTGACTCGATATATGATCCTAGTCCCGTAACTGTTCTTACAGCGTCGTCACAATGCTACCATGACTGCTGCGCATGCTACCATGCGAAGAATAGGCTTGGAACTCATTCAGGAACGAAGGCAGGCAGTTACCAATGAAATGAGGGAGAAGAAACCCATGTTATTAGATGGGAACAAGACTATTCTAGGCCGCGACATTTTGAGTGTTCTAAGTGCGTCATAGATTCATCGAGCTTTCCGCCTCTTGCTTATATGATCTGTACCTAGTACGCTCCAATCTAAGTGCTTCATCGTCTGAACAAATGTCACTTCCCGAGATATTATCTCAAATATCCACTTTTCTTGCGGCGGGCCATGAAACGAGTGCTAGTGCGCTCACATGGTGCTTGTATGCACTGGTCACTAATCCGGACACCCAGGCGGTCCTTCGGGGAGAGTTGAGACAATTGGAAGCCTTGGAAGGTGACCGAGAACGCCTTACAGATGAAATCATGAAATGCCAGTATCTCGACTGGGTTGTCAGGGAAACTCTGCGCCTTCATTCGCCCGTAACGAACACGATGAGGGTTTGCATGCGGGATGAAGATGAGATTCCTATTGATTGCAGGTGGGCCTAACTTTATCCGTCTAATCCCATATTTCCTTATTTTTCCACTAGCTCGACTTCAACGGCCCCAGGTGGATACGTCGACAAGCATGGTGTTCGGAGATACACAATCAAAGTTAAGAAGTGGGATATCATCACTATACCGATCCAGGCAATCAACGACAGCGAACGGCTCTGGGGCGAAGATTCCAAGGTTTTCAGGTGAGATGACCTTCTAGATCCGAGCGCATGTATAGGGATTGACTCGTGACTAGACCAGAACGATGGGCGGCTCGTTCGCCATTGCGAGCCAATTCAATACCGGGCTTGTATTCAAACATCATGACTTTCCTTAACGGAAATCCGATAGACGGGAATCGCTCGTGCATTGGGTATAAGTTTGCTCTACTCGAGTGAGTCTTCTTTTCAAGTTCCGGAGGAGTGATTCTTGATTGGTGGAAACCTCGACTCAACTCTAACACTCCTGTCCCTTCACAAAATCCTGATTGATGAACGATTCTAGGATCAAAATTTTCTTGTATGTGCTTCTGAAAGACTTGGAATTCTCAATTGACCCCACCATGGTTATCGAGAAGAGGGTCAAGTGAGTCGGCCTGTTCCATGGATTAAGAACGTGCGCTCATCTTATGTATAGCGTGGTAACACGTCCTTTCGTGAAATCTGAGCCGCAGTTGGGGAACCAGTTGCCTCTCTTTGTACATCGTGTCTCCCGGGGTGACGTGAAAACAGATGTTGTTATCGCACAAACCGCACAATAGCACGATGCGCATCCGGTCGTTTATCGTCATCATATTCATTATTTATTCCCATTCACGAATGGCCGGCTCTGTCGATCATTTCATTTGTGTAATTGCATGTGTAACCCTAGCATATATAGTAGAATAATAGAAGATGGTCAGATTGTCCAGAAGGTTCTCCCGCGTGCATGTTTGAACTGAGGAACATTGGCAATACCGACCGAGTCGATCCAGTCCTCTTCTCTCAGCTGCAGGCTGGCCCTCGTCATACATGACACCCAATGCCTCCGGGGAATTAATATTAATGATAACGTTGACGCCCGGGATCATTAGTTCTTGTTTCTATTGACGCCCTAGCTTCGGAATTTGCGTAGAAGCTAATGAATGATTCCAGGTCAGGATGAAAACACCGGTAGGTGCTTGAACTTGAAGATTTTCCACGGGTGAGGGACCCGTTCAAGTTGATCATCAAAAAGGGTCCTAACCGCCATTTTGGGACATCGGTAGTTCCCGCCTTGCATTGTCTCTTGACCACCACCTTGTTTGCGGCTCCTTTTGCAACGGTCAACAAAGTCCTTCACTCGGATGAGATATATTAGGTCGGACCGAAGCAGCTGATGTGGGGGCTTCTATCGATTCTTTCCTAAATGCGAACGGAAGATTCCATGCTTACTGTCCAGTACTAGCCTTATTCGTGATCCCTCCGCATCGACAAAACTGTTTTGTTGGCCCTTGCAGATCAAAGGAGACGGCCCGTATCGTCAGGAGCTGATTGTTTAATCGCGTTCTCTCTGGTTCTCTTGGCTGTACCAATGATTCTCTCGGAGCTTGCCAGTTCTTCAGTAGACTAGCGTCGGTTGTTCGTCCCCACCCGTGAGATTCAATACTCACAGATTGCATTTTGTGATCTTCTCCACCGCCACTGAACTCTCGTTATGTCGGTTGTGTTTCCCCCCCGGGAGAATTCAAACTCAACCTCGAACCATTCCTGCAATCAAACCAGCAGCATTCCGTTCTGAATACATTGAAACACCGCCTCTGTGATTCTATCTTAGCTCCTTTCACGATGATTTCGGTCACCGAGTCGGAAAATTGGCCCTGTATTCTGATGGGGATGGACGCAGTACACTGGGCGTGGCTGGATGTCGTACATCTTGACCTGACCCTAGGCTGTGATGAATGGTTCCTGTGTTTTTCACAAGGACGAGCCTCGCGCGACACCGGTGAATATCATCGTGATATTGGAATAAGGACCGTCCTACCGCCTCACTGATTCCGAGCCGGTCCTTTAGCCTGAAATCGCAAACGACCCTTTCATCCGACGTAATATGTCATTCTTCATTGATCCTGCCAGGAATTCATCGTAGGCTTTGCCAAAACGGAAAGTCCGTATTGATCACACTTATCGTCGAAATCGTCCAGGACATAACCGCGGGCTTCAATATCGATGAGCTGTTTATAGTTCTGAAAACTCCACTCGAAGCTGGATTCACGGCCGGTTCATGAGGCTGGAGAGGTCGGGAGATCGATATCAACTCAACCTAGACCGGGGCTCGCCACGGGAAGTTACCCAGTGATGATCAGCACCGTCGATGACTTGGTACGAGTAACATCGTGTGACTAAAGCCATCAGTAGGCTGGAAGAGAAGGTACGCAAACCGTTTCGTACCAAGATAAACGCCACTGACCTCATTCAAGCAAGTAATGGAGTTGAAAAGACGTTCTCTATGCGACGAATTCGGAAGGGGGAGTCAATGAAATGCACCTTGTTTGACTCAGAAGGGCGGGAGGCGCGTGGGTCGTAAAGGCGTGTATTTATTTAATTTATCTCATTAAGCCCGTTTGGGTCAGCTGAGAGTTTAGTCGTTGATAAGTTGGAATGCCTCCGTGGAACATATCTTGATAGAAGTGGGAGGATGGTTGAATGTCCACTTTGGCAAGAAATCAGAATATTGCTCTCACACTGGCAGAGGCGGCGATGCCAAACATCCCGCCGTGGATACAAATACAGCTTGCCGGCGGCTTGAAGCTTAAATTTTGTCGAGCCTCAGTTTCTTTATTAGGCAGGTGCATCGCGAGCTGGTTCACAAGCTGCAACATTCATTGATGTCGACGATTCATTCACACCGGAATCAGGCTAGGCTAAGAAGGTTTTTTGAAGCTTCGAATCTTGATACACGGCGACTCGAGTGCTTACCGCAAGATATGGACATATATATTTGCCGCAAATTCACACCGCGGAATCGGACTCAAAACTCCAGAGTACAGAATACCGGAGCGCTCATCGATATCTCATTCTCAAGACGCCGCGTCCGTGTTTCAGCATTGAACTTTTAGCTCAGTAAGTTAGAAGGCTGCGGCTTCGCTGAGACTCGAGCACTTGTTCGATGTTTTATTTTAATTTTCTTCTTGATGATGTTCCCGCACTGGAAATACGCTGGCAGATTCTGTCATTGACTTCGGGTTTTTCTGTGGAATTTTGATGTCGAAAATGAATATCATCAAAATCCAGAAAGTCGAGTCAAGCATCTCCACGATCAACGTAATATGTCAAAGTTTAGCTGATTGTGTCATCTATATCAGGATCAAAGATAATCTGCGTGCATACCAGCTATCACATTATTATCCCAGTACATATCGTGGTCTGGAGAACAGCAATTCGCGGCCTAGAAACTCGTCGTTAGCTTCTATTCTTCGTCTCTGAACAGCCTCTTCTGTGCTCATTGCGATGCATCAGTTCATTAAGCCCGGATCAGCTCTCCACCTCGAGATCAACAATTTCGGAAAGGCCGAAAGAGGCCACTCACATGCATGCACGCCACCTCCTGTGTAATCAGTAATCAGGCACCGCCGACCGACACGGATGACTCGCTGGAGTTCGGTCGCGGTAGTATTTAATTTCACCGTCTTGGGCGGCTTAGGAGGCAACTGGAGTTGCGAATTTGAGAACACTTATCTTTCTCGTCAGATGAAAGATTTGTCTTCGTTCTTTCTCAGATGCACTGCCTGTCACAAACCACTATCAAGCCATTCCATTTCCCTCGCCGCCTAAGGAATGGAGAACTGAACTGGTCCTTCTATCGCCCACTAACTTTGTCAGTACCATGCCTTTCGTTCTGCTCGGTACCGGTGGTAGTCTGTGGCTCCGCGGCTGCAAGATTGGTCTTTGCACACGGAAGCCCAGACTTCTCGACTCATTCTGCTCCAACTTCTAAATATACTGAGTTTGAAAACTCGGGGGCCATGCGCCTTCGGAGCGCTTCGACTATTACACCCAACTCCTTTTTGTTTGGTCGCCACATAACACTGTAATTCTTTACGAAAATTACGACCTCCTTCCAGTCATTGCGCTGTAATAACGCAGCGCTGACGATCGTCGATCGTCCCAGATCACGATCGATGAAGTAAGGGAGTTCATATTTTTGAACTGTTGTCCTAAGTATACACAGTGAACCAGAAGCAAGTTTTCAACATATAACAATCCGATACGTCAGAGAGTAGAAGCACGCACTGAAGAGGCTATTGCGGGTTCGGATTCTCGTTCCTCTTCGCAGTCAAGGTGGATCAAATCAGAAAAGTTTAAATAAGTTCGTAAGTGTTGAACCATCCATTTCTTCGAGCCAGCAATAAACTAGAACTGAGCTACATTCGCATAGACGGATTAAAGCAATAGAGTAAATACATGTATCATTGTCCGTTGTACCCTGATGGACTATTGTACACGTGAAAATATGGTGCCACGTTGCTTTGACTCGAATTTACGGGATGTATATGGCGCTGATCTTGTTGCGAGGATTGTGAAAAGGGATAGATCGGAGGCAACGTCGCTGGGTTCTCATTCATATACCCTCTACCTCCTCCGGGATATTGGGAATTACCAAATGGCACCGGGGGAAACGGCGATATTGGTGAATAGAGGTCAGGGACAGAGGAGCGCCGCGCAGGTGCCAAGATACGTCGACGAGCCTGGAAAGGTGTTAATCATAAACGCCGCAGTCTGAAATGGAACTAAACACATACGTTAATCATCCAATTGGATACCTGGCTCATGGAGAGCCCCGTTGCGAGACAAAGCTGCTTCTTCTCGGCCTCGTTAGGATATGGATGGTCACAGTGAGCGTGCAACCATGCTTTGAGATAGTCGGTTGTAGCTTTGGGTAGTTTACCGCGTATCTTACGCTGGTTCAGCTGCGATGTGGGCATATGGACCTCGGAAGAGGCAAGAAGCTGATCGGGAGATGGAAGGAGTTGGTCAGGAGGGGGCAGTATGTACCTTGGGTGTGAAAGTATCGGTGCGCTATGCGTGAGGGAAGGAAGGGTATAGGGACCCTGTGTGAGAGAAGGTAGTTGGCTTGGATAACCTGATGACCATTGTGACGAATCTGATTCCGGAAAGGGTTGCTGATTCTGGATGGGAGAGCGACATGGTGGGCGTCATGTTTTCCTTCACAGGCCGCAATTGCCTTCGTATATAACTGCTGCATAGGGTCGCGGTAAAGGATCCAGGCCCTATATGTTAGAGCTTGCGTAGATCAGATCTCACCGGACTGCTAACTTGTCGATTTGACGCGGGAAGCCAAACCTAACGTCGAGTGGACCATCTGATGAAAATCAAAAACAGGATTGGGGCGTATTCTGCCATGGGAAAAGGCAGGGATGATGGCATTTGTATACACTTTCGATAAAAAAAAAACAGCGATCGCGTCGCAGAATAGCGCTCTTGGAGGACCGGGGAATGAGAGCATGTTACTTTTTATGCAATCTTTAGTGACGAATGGATCAAAGGGATTAGTCCCAGTTCAGGTTCATTGTGCCATCATCTGACACATACAATCATGCCTGACTTAAATAATGTGAAACACAAACGCCCACAGGATGCGCCATATGCCCTTATGGCCTCAAGAGCATTGAAGATAACGCTACGCCAATAGAGAACAAGGAATGGTAGCAGCTGAGCACAAGCGCCACCATCATGACCAAAGCAAGGTGTACCTTGATAGCATATTAAGTACAGGAGTCCAATGAGGCACCGTATAAGTTGGAGCCAGCAAAAGCGAAAGACCGGGGCATGACAATTAGAAATCAGCAGTAATATCCAGGACCCTTTCGCCACCATAGACCAGAGTGGGCATAAGGGCCGTCCATTTACGTCTCCAGAAATTTACGCCCGTAGGAGTCCCGTTGTGTGTTGAAGACCGGAACAGCGACTCGATGATGAGTGTCGGAAGGTAAGATCGATTGATCCGGTGTATCCGGACCAAAACTTCACATATCTTTTCCTGGGACATAACATTGTGGTATTTATATAAGAGACAGAATAGAACTGAGAGCAGTAGTTCTCCAATAAGGAACACATATCAGATGAACATTGTTCTTGAAATACCTTCGGGTGCGGGGATATCATTGCGGCAGCCAAGCATCGGGATTTCCCCTCAGTAGCAAGTACGGTCTGCGCACAGTTGCCGTCGCTGATTCTGTTTCTCATGATAATTCCTTGAAAATTGCAGTACACCCATTCGTCCTCTCCCTAAAATTACTCCGCCATTATATTTATCCACAACCGACCCCTTCATCTGATAGCAATGCATTGTAATTCCTTTGTTTTAATCTAGCATAAACCAAGGTTACCCCGACCCTCCGATATTAATAACATCCGTCTCAGAGGAACCTGGGGCAGGATGGTGCTGATCCGCGGTATGTTTTGTATTGAGTAAGTAGTATCGCTTCACATCCGTCTGGAGCAAGAAGCTACCTTTGCGAAAGAAACGTATGGGCACTATCTCCATATACGTAGTAGCTCCTTCAAAGATAAAGCGCCGGGCCACGGTAACGAGAACTCGTCGATCTTTGGCGTCGATCATACAACACATTTCCTCAAGTCAAAAACATGGCCTAGGCATTCGGATTATATTGGATTGACTACTATCCTTAGCACGATGATCCAATAGGAAATATTTCACAACTCGTGCACAATGCCGGAACCTCGGAATCAAGGGGCAGGAACCGCTGCAGGGAGGCGCACGGCCCCACGTATTGCTATTCGCTCAGAGGCATGTTATCTTAGTGGGCGGAAGCTATATAGGAGAGATGATGTCGGGAATCAAGGTACAGGTACCCCGCAGAAAGCCGTTCATACCTCTGCGGCCATTCCTTGGCGAAGGATAACCTCAATGATAACAGTATGATAGAGTAGTTGTCATAAACTGTCCATGCTATGCACTGCAGTGAAGCTTGTGCTTCTCAACCATCAGCAACACGCTGGACCGAGGTGAAATCTTGGTCTCTCATTTGGTCGATCTGTATTCACGACTTAAGTCACGGGACGATTCCAGCTGAAGCTATTACCAACAAGGTCTCTTGAGCGTACGATTGAAATGATCTGACGTTAACCGAGGAGTTGAGATGAAACTTAATATCTACCTCGATAGGATATGGATTGACTAGAACAGGCCTCTCTCAGGGTCAGGTAAGCGCCTGAGCACACACGCACCCATATCATAAAGATCCCGTCCCCTCGTTCGCATTGCTCGTTTCTTCGAGAAGAGAAGACTACACGTCATGGGAATCGTCCTAGTCGGTTTCTCGCGAATACACCAGTTGTCTCGGTACCCGTCTCTGGAGGTGTATGGGAACTTTCTGCACGCAACAACCCGAGATCAGTACCGAGATTCTGGGAAGCTATTATCGCATCTCTGCCAGTTGTGAATAAGTGGGACCGTAAGAAAGCCGATGATGATCTTAGTCGAATCAAGGGTCAAGTTACGAGCAGGCGATGAGAAGAGCCCTAGAGCTAGCCTTGCAGTTCGTGTCCTGGTATAAAGTTCCTACTATCCGTCCATCAAACAAAAAATTTACGAGGGAAGCTCCACAACGCTGACGGCGGGAAGAATCTATCCAAACTCGCTTTCATCCCAGAGGTCCCGACAGGCATTTACCCAATCACAGTAGCTTCTTCTCCAATGAGGCCAGGTGAAACAATCCAGAGCGAAGAAGCAGAAGGTCATCCTTGATGAAGGGAAAACCAAGTGTCGGTGCAATGTGGTTTTGGGAAAGTGTGAACCGGATTCAGTATGTAGAGAGAGCGTTTCCCCATAAACTAATCTTCGAGCCTAGACAATGGTATCGGTGGCGGTAAATGGGAGCTTGTATCGCCTTGAAGCGGGGGAGAATAGGAGGACTGGTCCGAGATTGGGGGTTATTCCGGTAAGGAACGGCCGGTGGCGCACAAAGTACTCTCGTTGTACACAGTGTAGGCGTTCGCAGGACTTGGGATACATTGACCTGCAGTATCGCATTCGCACCGCATGAACAATTCTCAACGTTCAGGGCATTCGATGTGAGCAATACATCCATATCGGAGCAAGGATATCCGAAATCAGCGAGTTTGCGAAGTAGCTACATACTCAGGACTCACGAGGTCTAGAATGGCTAGCAAACGGCATTCGAGCCCAGTTCCCGGATAAAAGGGTCAGCTTGGAACCAATTATCCAATGACACGCTCTCGTAGACCCATACAACCGCATTGAACGAACACAATCGAATCAACTCAGCACGGAAGATCAATATAACCTCAAGTACGTATGGAAAGACTTAACCCAAGTTCGCGCGGGTAAGAGCGAAGTCTGCGGACATAATATGTCAGAAAAAAAGCTCATTAACAAGGATAATCGCCACAATACATAATTCGCTGGTACGGCAGCCGGAGGTTGGAGGGGCGGATCTACCGCAGAACGATTTGCACGCATCGATACGGGGTCATTGACAATAAAACATTATCATATAACGCCTGCAAAGCCCACATCAGGGGCAAAGCCTGCTACGTTGACCCCCTTGAAACCTCATTTTTTATATAATTATGATAGTTTATAATAAACCAAGCTTATGTATAATTGATTGATCCTGCGAGGTTTACTGGCTATAATTCCTGCAGGAGAGATTGAATGAAGGCCCAAGGGTTATTCAAATCTTCTTCTCCGGAAAAAAAACGAAGTCATAATCAATATATTAGCATCAAGTTAGCATTCAAAAAAATAGTAGTATAAATGATAGTAGTATGAATGAGAGAGTACTACCCCTTGAAATGATTCACTCAGCGGTGGCGGCTTCTGCTGCTGAGAGAAAAAGACTCGCTCGGTGGCGGCATTCTGCCGCCACCAGCTCGCATTTTCTCTCAGAGTCAGAATCCTTGGCAAGATCGGCCGAACAACGCCGCAGAAAGCGTAATAGTAACAGAGGGTCACATGTAACAGTGACAAGCGGTGACTGTGCCACCCCGAAATTCTGACTTAAACGGAAATTTTGAAGTGTTGGGCCGTGAATTTCTTCCACAAATAGAAATTTTTATGACATCGGACTTCGGGTTAAACTCAAAACTCGGCTACCACCATCCCTCTATAAGACCTACTACTAACGTAGCAGGAATACGCACTGTTTCAGCGAAGACAGACTGTGAGTCGGCAGCCGACTCGTGCAAACCCCCAAAAATCGGGATTTGCACGACTAGGCGTTGCGAGTTTCATCGGTCTCCCCTGCCAGTGCGTCAATACAGCGTCCATTAAGAGGGACCCGCCACAATACTCGTCTCTAATTCTGTGCGCTGGCCGGGTGCCGGATTCCGCTTAATCTAATGAGGGATACAAGGCAGCGATGCTTCTAACTTCTGAGCCTGCATTCTACGATGAAGCCGCTGATGGAAATCAATATTATCCAACCTAGGCAAGCAGAAAGTTGAGACAATCTTCTTCAATTATAGACTATACAATACATACAATTGGCAGCCGAATTCTTTCAAGGCTCGCGCTGCTTCTTCTGCAGGCGGTCCCTGCCAGTGCGTCAATACAGCGATATTAAAACATATATTGCTACGGCTATAGGACGGGATTTTCAGAGGGAAAGAAGGGAAGAAACTGACATGATGGCTTACCCTAGAGAATGCCAAGCCCAACAAATATCAAGGACCTGCAAGACTCAAGTCGCGTCCTCCACTCAGAGGTACACCCGGAGCCGCGACGGTGCAAGTAGGAAGCAGAAGACGAAGAACCAAGCTTGAAGAATAGAATCGATATCGGTGCCGCAAAAGACTAGAAAAACGAGGCTCATGATCTGCACCCGGTGTGCGCATCCCTCGCAAGCAGCCCTTGGTTCTCTCCGTGAAACTGGGAAGATCATCCGTACGAGAACGAGCATACGTTATAGGATCAGGAAGGATCTGCAGGCCGGAATCGGACTTTGAATCCACCTTGTTCACTAGCCAGCACACAGCGGCAACCTCGAACGCCGCGTCCGGATATTAAAGAAACCCATGAAAGGTATTCTTTTCTCGACTTGACCGCTAATCAATCAATCCATTTATCAGTTAGACTGGGATCGAATCAGTTGGTGTCGTCATACGCAGTGGCGCTTTGGCCGCAGTACAGGGAAGGAATGCGTGTAAGGGTAAGGAGAAAAGAGAAAGAAGGAAGGGGAAGGAGAAGAAGAAGTAAGGACGCGTAGCCATGGCACTGAAAAATTTTCCGAAAGTCACTGAACGGGCCGGAATCCGAAAGGTTCGGGATCCGGGCCGCGTATCCGTGACCCTCCATTACTGTCTAAAAGCTAAACTTAAAAAAACATAACCGGTGTCATTGAGGGACGCCTCGAGGCAGTTGCTTTGTTTTTTTCTCCATTGTTTCTTTTCGAGCTGGTGAAAAAAAAAAGTAGAAAATCTTTAAATACATCCACAGCAATTAAGAAGTAAATGATAGCTCCTGTTTAATTCCTCGTCGGGCTCCCGCATTATTCGAGTTCACCGATCAAAGAGAACCACAACCCCGCCTCGACGTCGGGTCGGGCCTTTTACAAATTCTTCCCCCCTGCCCTTCATTATTTCCAATTCACAGTGCAATCGATGCACCCACCTATTGCCAGTGTTCGCGTCCCAATGTAGTCTAGGCCGTCCTAAATGAAAATTCAACCCGGTGTGAATGGCAGTTTCCGTCAAACAACACAGGAACTCGAGAAAATAGTTTTGCCTGCTGGTTTGAATTCATTGCTTTGGGGTTCGTGCGCGGCGCCCTCTAATGTTCCTGGTTGCACTCCGTTTGCTTCTTTCTCGACATGTCAGGGATATGTGGCGCAGGATAGAGAATTAGAGAGCTCTAGGACTTAGATAGATAGATAGCAAAGTTCCTTCCGACCAGGAACATTGACGATTCTTTACAGCTCCTAATCCCCTAAGATAAGCCGGGTAAAGGAGCAATCCGCCGCCAAGTTCGAACTTTTTTTTTTCGTTACACTCAATGCGGTGGATTCGACAGTACTGTAGTACTTACAATTTTGTAGTAGAGACAAGCGTCCGCGGGTAATTATAAGGATAAACTTGGAATAAAGTATATACTCGGTATACAGCTGACGAGGTTTAAATAACAGCAAGAGAAAACAGAGACACGATCTACGGGAATATAATACGGTGGTATAGATTGGCGGAAATCAATCATTGGGGATCTGGGAAATAGTCCCTGTTATATGTGCCAGCATTAGAATACACGCCCTGATGATGGCCTCCCCCCGTAAAAGGATTTGAAGAGGACATGGTAGCCGGGGCCGAGAGAGGGTTGGCGGGATAATACATGCCATTTTGTGCGGCGGAAAGGGAGAGGGAAGGGGAATGGTGCAAAGGGCCGGGTGAATGCGAGTGGGAATGTTGGGAAGGGTGAGATAGGGAATGGTGTTGGCGGTAAAAGGGAACGGACTGCAGCGACATCGGATGGTATAGCTGTAGAGAATCAGCTGTGGCGGGTAGAGAAGCGCGACGACCCATAGAAGGCGGGAAGGGGGCTGTGGTCGTCGGACCCGATGAAGGCCGCGCCGGCGCCAGTATACGACGACGGGCATTGATCATCCAGTTGGATACCTGGCTCATTGACAAGCCAGTCGCATGGCACAGCTGCTTCTTCTCCTCTTCACTCGGATACGGATGATCCGAGTGACGATGGAGCCAAGCTTTGAGGAAATCTGTTGTCTCCTTTGGCAGCTTGCCGCGTTTTCGTTGGGGACGCTCAACGGGTGGAGCGCCATCTGGACCCACAGACGGGTACGGTGAGTCGGCGGGGGGCAACGTCGGGAGGGTTGGTGGGAGAGAATGAGAGGGATACGAGCGTTGCTGGCCTGATATACGCAACATGGGCGTTGGGTACGACTGGTGACGCATAGAGTCATCGTACTTGAGCTGTGGCGTGGTCGCGGTGCCAGGCGTCGACGACGGACGAACGATACCAGGCGAGTTGTTGTTCCAATCGCTCTCCGGGGAGAACGGTGAGAGACCGTTGCCATTATAACCACTGTCGGCAGCGTACGTCGTGGCAGTCTCCTCACTCGTTGGTGGGAAAGTGTAGCTGGCGAGGTTACTAGACGTGTACGAGGGTCGTGGATAGGGCGCGTGCCGCCTACTCTCTGAGTGGAGCGTCGGGAGCGACGAACGACGGAGTTCACGGGCATCGTCGTTGAATCCGGTGAAGATGCTAGGGAGCTGGACGCGGTCGTCATCGAGGGTAGGCTTCTGTTCGTCGGTGAGGTCTGCCATGGAGCTGGACGACGTGAGCAACGATGAGGAGGACGATGAGGACGACATGATGGACTCACTGATAGTCAATGTGGACGGGGTCTTGAACAGGCAGCATCCGACGTCGTACTTGTTATACGACGATCAATCCGAACAGTAAACAAAACGAGCGTAGGCCAGCGTCCATCTCAGAGTCCCTCCTGTCCCAATTAATACTCCAATTCCGCAGCCAAATCAAGTTAAATTAAAAATCATTTCAGGAACCCCGAACCGAATCGGGCCAATTTCATAATACTTCTAAATCAGGCCCAACAAACAACGAACCAGATCGTCCTCAGATCCATCGTAGATCTCAAACCGGTTTGCCCAGTGATCGAAGCACTCCCGACGCTTTGGCCCGCTCCTTCGCCGACACAGTCACCCCGTCCACAACCCGTACACCCGCGCATCCCGCCATCACCAGTCCCCGATATGCAAGTCGCCCGACGTATGCCGAATCAGGTAGTCCCCGCCGGAACCCAGCGTCCAGCTCTGCCCACCCTTCCGCTGTGCTTTTCAGCAATGGCGCATACCACCCCAACGTGCATGGATTCATCCGGCAGTCCACTACCTCTAGTTCCTCCATCCCCCGAAGCGTGCGTACAATACCCCGTGTCGTTTCCAGCCGGCATCCAACAACCGACAGTCGCTTTACGCGTCGCAGCCCACGTAACGGTTCGATGCTCTTCAGCTGGTTATAGTTGAGGTTGATAATTCGAACGTTGGGGACCATTTGTGCGAACATCGTCGGCAGCTCCCGTATCGCGCAGCCAGCAATTTCGAGGTAATTCAAGTTGTAACATGCCTCATCGGCAAACAACGACTTGGGCACCTTGTTTCCGCTGACGTACAGCCGCTTCACGTCCCGGACATCCCGCATCGCCAGCGCATACATCGCGTTTTGATTCCGAATGCTGAGCTTCTCCAGGCGACAAAGTCGATCGAGTCCTCCAACCAGTCTTCAGACAGTTGCCATCGAGATACAAAGTTCGCAGTGCAGCCAGCCCCCCGACCTCTGCCTTCTTTATCCGGTTCCCGCTCGCACGAAGGATCCTCAATTTAGAAAGTCTCCCAATATCGAGCTCTGAAAGTCGGTTGTCTTCAACTTGGAGCACCACCAGCTGAGTGAGCCTCTCGACTTGCTGTAGTCCCTCAATCTGGTTTCCACTCAGATTCATCACCTCCAGCTTCGCCCAGTGCCCGATGTCTACGACACCGCGAAGACAGTTACCCGCTAGACTCAGTTTGATAAGCTGCAGCTTTTCCAGCCCTTCCAGCGAAGTTATCCGGTTACCATCTGCCTTGAGTTCGCGTAGATTCCGTAGACACGAGAGTTCTAAAACTAACATCAGAAAAAATTCTCTGAAACGTCGTTGTGTAAAAGAACCTTACGTCTGAGAGAATCAAGCTCATTCCCACACACATCCAAACTCTCCAGTGCCCCAAGATGTCCGAAACTGGTTAAACTTGTTAGCCGGTTGCCCGCAACTCCCAACGTCCGTACTCCCTTGGGCACACCGCTCAAGTACGTCAATGCATTCCCGTTCAGCGAACAGACGGAGAGACTAGGCATTAGTTCGCCTAGACGGGCAACACTCTCCAGCCCCCGTTCTTTGAGGTCAATACCCCGGATGGTCTCCCAATGGGGATGCCACGGCTCAACGTCCGTCAACACCTGCACCAACCGGTCATGAGCAACTCCAAATGAGCACTCGGTGAGGAAGGTTGCGTTAACGGAGGTGGCGGGTTTGAGAGTAGCCGGGGCTCTGAAACTTAACGTTCCCTCACCCTTGGTTCTCACCCACGAAGTCGAACGGGGACTCTGGAGTGCAGCTTCCATCAGATCTGCGATTCTTTTAGTCCGGGTGCTCATGCCAGGACTTAGACTCGACTGGAAGCTCGATCCGAGCATATCAGACCCTGAAACAGTGCTCTCACTGGGACTGACATTTCGACCCAACCCTCGTATCTGGCCGTCCCGTTTTCCGTCTGAGAAACTGACGCTTCGTGGATGCATTGTAGTCTTAGTGACCGGTGTGCTCAGAGGTGTTGTGTAGTTGTAGTTCTTGAGTACAGGCCTAACGGCTGGTCGTCCCGATGTGTCGGGATCCGGAGAAGACGGAGGGTCGTCCTCAACAACGACGGGGACAAGAGGAGGGTCGTCGTCTGCTGAATCCGTGGATATGTCTCCTGTCATCACAGCCACGACCTCATCAGTCTCGAAACTGGTGAGGCCTATCTCTTCTTCATCGTCTTCCTCCTCTGTGACTCGACTGAGCTCGACGTCCGTTCTTCTCTCTTCTTGGTGGTGTTCCTCCTCGTCACCATCCCTCAGGCTCTCAATATCGCCAAACACGTCTGCATTGCTACTTTGGTCGTCACCCTGCTGGTCCTGCCTGACCCACCGCATCTGCCTGGGGTCATAGACCATGTCTCCCATCCGCGCCGGCATCGCAACCTCCGTAGGCCGGATCGTCAGCAGTTGCTTCTTATCACTCGGTCCCGCATGCTTAACGTAGCTTCCAGCCGTAAGGGTCGAGCCGGTTGTTGTCGAGGAGGATACTAACCGGTTGAGGTCGTCGGACCGAAGCGAGGGATAGGGCGGTTGCGAGACTTGAAGACGCGCTACTCCCGCCGCCACTTCTTCCACGGCGGCTTCTCTCTCATTCGGATTTGAATCATAGCTTGCACTTGTTGATCTTGAGGTGGGTAGTTGAGATGGCGTACGTTCATCGTGGTAATAGCTCGCTTCTACGTCTGAGCTTCCCGAAAAGACACGTTTTCCGGGAGCTTTATTGCTTTCTGGAGGGCTCTGAACATTGTCGCGTATAGCAGCCATGAGATTGGCAGCATCTTGACGATATTTGGAGGAAGAGTAGCCGGGACGGGAGACAGGAGCTGGTGAGGAGCGGTTGCTTTTGCCTATGTATAATGTAAAGAAAGAAAGGCGCGATATGAATGAACACGCACCACTTGTTACTGTTGAGACAGTTGAGAAATCCCTAGCACTTCTGATCTGCTGCATAAGCTCTCGTGACTCTCCAAGATACTGCTTTCCATATATGCGCGGTCGCGATATCCTGATGTCCTCCTCCTTAGAGTAGTCGCTCCGTGGGGAGAGCTTGACGCGTTTGGCAGACCTCAAACGAGAAAACTCGTCTGCGTCTGCATCTGCTGAGCGCGACGGCGTAGGTTCAGATGAAGGAAATGATTGCGAAGGAGCAATGGAGTCGACAAGTGCCGATAGATGTTCGCGGGTATAAGTGTCGTATTGGAAGTGGAATAGTTTGAGTGCGCCTGGAGTACGCGTAACGGTAGGCTGAGGTGGTGGATTCGGTGTAGATTGAAAGGCCGGCGGTGGGATAGGCACGGTAAATGTAAATCTGGCATTGTTAGGTAGGGTGGGTGGCGCCAAGCTCGTTGTGGGCTGTGGCGGCGGCGAGGGCGGGTCAAACATGCGCTCGAGAGGCAACGGTGAGAAGAAGTCTTTGACTCTTGTCTTTCCCAGTGCACGGGCAGGCGGGAGGGCGTCATGCACGACAAAAGTGCCAGCAGAATAGTTATTGTCTTTTTCAGTGGCAGGAGTAGAAATGACGGTGGCGAGCGGGGCAGTGAGCGATATTGAGCGGGTACAGTCATCGTCCTCGTCGGGCCATTCATCAGCGAGCTCTGACGTCTGCCAGGCCGGCGCGGCCATGTTCCTTTCGAGGTGGCTGCCGTTCGTGGTCAACAAACGATATTGGTTTCACGTGATCGCGCTTTGGCTCTGTGTGCCTACGGTCTCCGGCTTTCCCTTTTCAGGACGACTCCGAGCTAGTTCGACGACGCCGACGGCGAAACTCCCGCCACTTCAGCGTTCCTAGAGGCGGGGTCATTTAATTTTCCTGGGGTTTCCGATATTTCAATTCGCTACTCCTTTCTTTTCTCGGATTCTACGCCCGTCTAGATTCATCGCTGTTGTGCACTACTACCAGGGCGCTGCGTACTTATTAGAGCCAAAGCCGCCTGCCTATCTGCAGCGTTGACCTCCATTTTTTTCTTCCACATGAAACGACTCCTGCTGTGCCTTCGATTTCCCCCCCAAATTCAATTTTACCGATCACAGTAATACTGTTGGTATCGAAGAAAGCATCAGGTTAGTCCCGACCAGCGCTGGCGTCACCTGCATCTGTTTGGCTATAAATCCTGATACGGTTCTCCGAAATTGCTATCCTGCATTCGTACCGCTCTATTCTTTTCTCATACGTCCTCATCATGATGCTCTCCATGCTTCTATTCATCCTGCCGCCCATCCGAAGGACCGACGACATATGCCGCTGGGCTGTTTCTAAACAACCGCAAATTTTGTCTCAGTAGCACATCGGTTTCTTTAATTTCCGATCTTTCCAAGATTCCTGTCACCCAATTCCTGGTAACTATCTACCTCAAACTATACACTGTACTCTGATAAGACTAGTTATAGGGATGATCTCAGCTCATCTCGGCGGCTCAACTATTTTTTCGGGTCTCCTCATTGCTATCGGTGTCTCCAAACCTTGGAGCTATCTACTGCTACGAAACTAGTCAATTCATTAGGCCCATCTTATTCCTCCGTCTGGCTTTCAATTTTGATTCTAGCTTCAGCTCTTTGATTCACGCTTTCTCCCTATGTTTTACAGGAGTATACACAGGTTATACGGGATAATAAGTACCGCCGGAATAGCCCAGTCCATTCCTGTTTTGATTTTGTTTACTTCACCGCCGGAAGCCTCGATTAGGCGCCGCCATTTCATCCCTCTTGAGGCCTGTCCGAGGTTTCAGCGCGACTTGTTCAGAGAGGCAAACTGAGTTTGCCTCTCAAGCTCGATTTCGAGTTCGTCTCCGTGTTTGACTGATGATGAGCGATCCTCACTCACTTCACTTGACAGCGCTTCCGTAATCCGAAGGACTCGATTTCTACTTTAGCGGTGTCGGCACTTACTAGTCCCTCCTTTTTGACATGTATTGTGATACTGATGATCGTATATATGCTTATCAGAACTCTTGATGTTTCAGAAACGGAGAACGCAAGTGTTCGAATAACACTCCGTTTTTCTGACGGTGCCGCGAACCTAGAGTCGAGGCTGTGCGGAGCCTTTCTTCTACCTTGCCCTCTCACCCCAGTTTGTCCTGATTTATGCATTGAAGTGGGTCATTGTGCCTTTGGATTTTGACTTGATGGTGATCCTCATGGCTCGCTGCAGGGCAATCTGTCTCTGCAAATGCAAGAGCTCGGTGCACGTTCTCAAAACTAGAGTCAAAGGTGCACAGTATTCTTACTAGCATCACGAGAGGTTGTACGCCATTTCCTCTTAGAAGTTTGCCTTTGAGCTTCGTGCTTCTTCCTGGGTCTGCGGGTCCCTTTTCATCTCCATGATTGATGGTGCATCATGATTTGTTTGATTTCCTGGTCGCGTATAACCACCGCACGTCAGACTTTACTCTTGCCGCAGTAGCTCTTTCTCATGTGCACTCTGACATGTACTTTGATGGTAATGGTCGTTGGTGCATTTTCTTTTACCTGGTACCAGTCAAGTCCGAATATCGCACCACAGTTGTGATATTGATCGTCGTCATCAAAGCGTATAGGTGGATCCCCTTCCATGATCTACGTGGCCTTTGGCGTATATGTGATGACAGTGATTGTAGCAATCCGTTCCTCCAGGTTATCATTCTTTTCTGCGTTTCAGAGCAACAACAAATCTTCATTCGAGTTTTCTTGGCTTGGACTGTAACGTAAGTAAATGCTGATCTTATGCTAGTCGCAGATAAACCGGAATAAGGGCTTACTGGCTACTCAGTTGATCAACGACGCTTGCGACCGATTCACTTCTTCGTCTGCTATCCGAGGTTCCGGAGACATAACTTTAACCTGGACTTAAGTTAGTTTGATCTCATCAGAAATCCTTTCCCGGGTCGCCAATCAAATATCACATACTCTGTCTTTTTCCTCGCCAACCATCTTACGTTCGAGAGCAAGGCGGTGCAATCCTTGAGCCCTCCACGTGATCGCGCGACCGACGCCATACTGCTTTGGGAAAGGGCGGAGTTGATCTGACATTCATAGCCGACTATATTAATGACAGATGTGAACTGTCAAGAACATAGTTCGAGCTGGTTCGTTCCCCGCGATCGTTGGCGTGCCTGTGAATCCCATTATCTCTCGAACTCGTCCCCCCGCCCCTACGACGAGTTTAGGCAGGCAGGCTATTTTGAACACTAGAAGGCAGATGAAAAGACCAATGCCCTCTGCGTCTCTGAGACAGGTACATGTGTGGTATATCCTTGAAATAGTTATCTTAAGAATGGTTGCGGACGGTCCGATTATCCTGAAGGTCCTCCTCGAGTTATAGCTGTAAAACATCCGTACGGTACGCATACTCCAACTCAAAATCTCTTTAATTAAATCTCACATTAGCATTTCCCGATCAGATAGAATCCGCTTCCGTAGCTCTAAGTCTACTTATCCACGCTCACTCCCCGATACCATGACCGAATCCCAAGCTTGGCATGGATCTTCAGCCACTTCCAGCCTCATGCGCAATGTTCCCGCGTAAAAATGATGTTTTACGACTCGACAGAGGCGATTAATCACTACGGCGTTCGAATTTCCGCATGAATTTCGTCATTCATTCACGATCTTTGTCAAATACTTTTTGGGCCGAGACGGTGGATTAGGGTCGGTGGTAGATATCTCTATGCTTAGGGCTTCTTTACTACGTGCTAAATGCACTTGACATCCATAACTGCTGACGATTATGTTTATCACTTTGGGTCAGGGTTCGGTGTCACGATTTGAACGATCCCGTCAAACCGGTGTTTCACTCATTCAAGGTGTGTGGATACTAGTTCCCATTGCTTCACATGTTTATAGTCTAAAACGTCGATCCTGTCACTCGCAAACTTACTACGGGTTACCGGTACACCGATATAAATCCGAATCGATGAATCGCCTGCTCTCCTCTCGGTGGGGTCCGATGTAGATGATAATGCCCAGGGGAACAGGCCACTGGGATATAACAGCCCATAGATACGGTAATACAATCAACGGCATTCCAGACCTGTGGGAGCGATTTCGAATGAATCTCCAATGCGCCAACTTTGACTTTAATCAACTAGGGTTATTCCAGTCACGAGCTCCGCAAAGTGGGTCGGGTCTGGGCTTCCTGAACTCCAGTACCGACCGTGAGGAGACCTGTCAACCGCAACCGTGCGGTGAGGTCATGACTATTATGAAGGCCTACTATACCTATCCTGCGCCCGGCCTCGGACGACCTGGCTCGCTGGGGAAAGCCTCTTCACCTAATGGTGCTTCATACTCTGATCCTGTCTAGTGTCAGAGTCGAACCTAAAAATTGCCTCGCCAGTAACCCACCTGCGAGACTTCCCCCAACTTCGCTCGGTACAGGTTTCATTTCACCGACCGTGGGACAAGCCGTTGCATCGAAACATTTACGAGGTGGTGCAACTTACATGTATCAATGTCGTACCTCTGCGGTTGGTAGGCAACGGTCCCGACTAGTACAATTCGCTTTCTGACATACTATATTGTTTCTCATGCATATGGCCTATGGAACATATTGCTTTTCTCTGATACTGTCAGCGGTGGGCCCCTCCTTCTCAGCCACCCATTTAAATCGTATTCCTATTTCAGCGAGTCACGGCGGAATGAAAGGAACAGGAACCACGTACTGATTCCGAAGTCCGGATTTCATGGGTTAGTATATCACTTACCTACAAAACGCAATCAACCCTCCCTCAGTCAGGTGTGCTCTGCTATAGCCCCGAACTTCTAAGCCCCAATGAGTCAAACCACGATTGCCACCGGGGCATTCAACGCTGAACTCGTCCCCCTGCAATTCCACAGTGCCTGATGATCCATAGGCCTGGGTGATCTTCCAATCTTCCTTGTGCCAGGTGATGAAAACTCCACTCAGATTTAGTTCCATCATCACATGTTGGGGAGTTGGTCGGTGCATGGTGGGTTCGAAAGAGCTTCTACATAGATTCAGGCTTTTCGCGATCATTTCCCAGTCTGCTTCCGCAAGATTTCGTCAATATCTCGTCCCGGACCCGGTAGTTCGCACTGTACCAGCTCGACGAAGCAACAACACTCTCCGGGGAAATCAATCTTTTCTCGGCGTAGGTGATTAATTGAAAGAATGTCGCCACGATCAAGATTTCCTCACTGTTAATCTCCTCATGTTTGCAAAGGGGTGCTAAACAGAGGAGTGGGATACGTGCGAATTCGAAGGTCCGATGTGCACCGGAGAGGTCCCAGGAGAGAAGGTTAGTGCGAGTTTCTTCCATAGTCGCTTTATCTGCTCAGCTTCTTGCGACTCTCGTCTCGACTCTCTACTGGATTTGCGTCATGGGAAAATGATAGGAATCGAGTCAGGGTCTTTGATGTATTCCGTCTCCCAGAGTGTGCCTAGATTTCGAAGGTGCATCCGGTAACGGCGAGTAACGCTTTCGTGGGTCCCCGTTGGAACCCCGAACCACTGCTCGTTTGGAACATTTCCGTCGAAGCACGGAGCCGTTAGTGAGTAGATAGAGCTGTAGATAGATACGTTGACCAAGTGCTGCATTTCTAGTCATTCGATTCTAATATATCGCAAGCATGCTTCACCTAGCGTTCCAGGAAGCCTCCCCTTTTTAGGCTAGCATTCACATCATTAGAGCTGTCGGCTCGCAGATAATCATGCTGCGTCCCCGCAGTTAAATCATAGATTCCAAGACGTCCGATGAAATGGACTGGTTCACTCTGGAAGTCCTTGTGTAAATCCCATTCCAGCCGGCGGGGAGGAACGAGGAACGAGGGGGAACGAGGAAAAGAACCGTAATTACCTGCGTGTGATCCGCCGCTGCACGGTGATTGGGTTTTTGCCAAACTCACAGACCAATGAGGGGGGCGGCTGTTACTGAGTGCGACAAGGAGCGTGTCGGTGCCTGAGATCAGGATCAGGGCGTGATAAGGACGATCCATAATAGGGCGCGCCTTACCTGTACGCATTGAGCCTAGGTCCAGTCGCCGGGAAAACGGTTTATTACAGGAAGTCTGCGATCATGAAAGGTCCAAACACTCGTGGAGCTAAAAGATATGTGGGATTGCATTGTTCACGGAACAAGGGATAAGATCGAGTAGGTACAACTTGGTTTTTGTATGCAATCGGATTATTATTACGCTATTGTAGTAGTAAAGTGTTACGAGATATGTACGTGCATGAAGATTGATGTGTTTGCGGAATGGTCCATGCTATGACTACTATTGAAAAGAAAACTTGCGAGATGAGATATGCTGGTTACTGATGGCTGCTGATGCTGTTGATAGAGAACAAATAATTAATGCTAGAAGTTGGTTTGAGGCGATGCGGTCTACTGGTGTGCGCGCTGAATAGGAAATCACCATCAGTTCCTGAAGCCTCGAACAGAGTGATAAATTAAAAATCACCACAACCATGTTTGTTTGAGAAAACGGAGAAGGTCAAGATCAATACCGCAGCGCGACCCTTAAGTTGGAGGAGGTTGGCCTCCGGAGTAAAGGCCTTCGCATATCGGTGATGCGGCGGATCAGGAATTTATCAAAGTCGAGGGCGCCCGGAGAAGATGAATCAAGAGCGTCTGGATCATCCAGCACAGTATCGCAGGGGACGCTCCATGACGAAGACGATCTTGGGGGTGGGGAGAGACGTTCAAGTCTCCTGCGAGAAGAAGGTTCGGAGACTGGGCTCGGGTACACAGGTGAGAAACCTGTGATTTTGTGTTTCGCGCTCGCCTTTACCACAGGAGATGCTTGATTCTCGCCGTTGCCAGGAATAAACGTAGGCGGTTTAGGCCACGAGTCCGGTTTATACGTAGTGTCAGAGGTAAACTTGGAAGTACGGGTGGAGGTAGAGCCGGAAGGAGTGGGTGGCGGGGAAGGATGCATTGATTTGAAACGATGCGGAGAAAACACGGGGAAGCGGTATAGGTAGGGTTCTGGATCCTTGGAGTTGTGCATAGAGGAAGGTCTGAGCGGGTAGTTTGCTGATGGGGAAAGATCAGAGATAAGTGGGGACATTTCAAAGAGTAGCTCTGGGGACATTTGATCCCGAATGGGCGACAAATGCGGAGACAAAGCCTGTTTTCGTCGAGATGGAATCTCAATGGGTGTCGTAGGCCTACGAGAGAAGGCAAGAGTCTCTTCGGCAAACTGGCCTGTAGAAAGATCCATGGCGTGATCTGGGACGAATATACGACCGGTGTGATTGTATCCCTGGACGACGGCGTAATGACCTGGTATGACTCTGTGAGATCTGGCCGGTCGAATTAACAAAAATTTTAGTCGTTAATGTGATAAGAGCTCACGTTGTGGCGGTAATTAAGATGCAAGTGGAGCTAACTTCCAGGTGAAAGTAGTCTGTCTCGCTTTTTGTGTATTGATTAAGGAGTTGTATGCGGACTAAGTGAAGCGAGGAAGGAATTTGACAGGGCGAGAGGCCAAGGTTCTAGCCTTGAACTGAATACAAAGAAGAAAGAAGAAGAATGAGATGAGCATCGACCAACGAATCTAAGGGTAGTACTGACCGCAAACTGGCTGGGAGCTTACGGTGAGTTCCCTGACCTCACGAGCAACTGCTGTGGCGTGTGAACCGCGATATAGGACTAGCAACGCGCAAAGTAGCGAGCTGAACGGCTGCAACGTGTCAGATACGCGAGAAAAAAGGAGGTAGAAGGACGAAGGAAGAACGAAAAAAGCAAAGAGAAAGGCTCACGGCAGAAGCAATGAAAAATACTTCCGTTCTGGGCTAACTGCCACGTGCTACGACTAGCTCGCCTCCGCTGGCGGTCCTGCAGGAGCCAGCGCGCCATTGTTCCCAATGGAAAACAATGATATTGGAAGGGCAGCAGCAGGAAACCTGCATACAAGAAGGATGAATGATGGAAAACAGGGGAAGCAGGGAAGTAATTGCAAACTGGGATTTCCCGGGGCTGGCCCATGACGTCACTGGAGCAGCATATATGCACTTAGTGACGTCCTTCCCATTTTCTTCCTTGTACCACCACCATGTCCACCACCCACACCGTTCATGTACGTCCTTCTCCTCATCGTCGTCGTCGTAGTGTTCGCTCATCGTTTTGTTGCAGGTATCAGGCATTGCCTCAACAACTACCGAGGCGAGCCTTCACGATTTCTTTACGTATGTCGCATCATCGATCGTCTATCTATGTACTAACATCGACCGTATCTAGCTTCTGTGGAACGTGAGAGTGTTCTAATGCATTTCACCCTGCCGTCTTAACCGCAGGAATCCCAGAATCACCTCCATCGATTTCAGGGATGCCGACAAGACTGCTGTTATCCAGTTTGAGAAACCTTCAGCTGCAAAGACCGCTCTTATGGTGCGCTCGCCCAAATATACTGCAAACTACTCCGCTCAGTTCATATCTTTCAGCTAAATGGCGGTGCCTTGGACGGCGCCACCCTTACTGTCACTTCTGATGTCCCGCCGCCTGATGAAGAGGAAGAGCATAAAGAAGGTACCCCTCTACAGCAATCCGACAAACCTCGGGCCGGGAGTACGTTATTGTCTTCCGTGTTTTCTTATCACTCACCGGTCGTTGTCAGTTGCGGCGGAATATCTTGCAAAGGGATACACCCTTTCTGATCAGATCCTGCAGCGCGCGATTGAAATCGATAGTAGGCGTGGTTCTTTTCATCTTGTATCTGCGTTGTTGACATTGCCTACAGACAAACAAGGAATTTCGAAACGTTTCCTAGAATACATCCATTCCTTGGATTCCAAACTCGGCGAGCGCACTCTCGGTCCCGACAAGACCATTTCAGGCAAAGTCCATGAGACGGTCACGGCTGCTGCCCAGCAGGCTAAAACTGTTGACGCCGAGAAAGGCATCTCCAAGACTGCAGGAACGGTAATACAAGTAATTTGATATACTTGCCTCTTTCTGATATGTGCCTTATAGTACTACGAGAAGGCCCTGGCGTCGCCGTTTGGCATCAAAGTCAAAGAGTTTTACACGACAACCTCAAAGCAGGTCCACGATATACACGAAGAGGCGCGTCGTATCGCTGGTCAACATAAAGCTTCCCCTGCTCCTGCTAGCAGCCCAGAACCCACGACTTCTACTTGATTCAGGTTTACGCAACGATAGACGATAACAGGATGTTTTGTAATAGTATCAACGACAGTAATGTACAGTATTGTGTAGCACTACATAACAAATACAAGACTCAGGCCCAGCAACCTCCTGAACATCCGAATATTTCGGCCGACTTGGATGAGACTGTATATCGGCCGAAAATGCAAGTACTGTAAACCAGGGTATAAAAACTGGTGGATTTTATGCTATCTACATGGCCAACGATACTGACAAAACCGGATGGTCTGCTAATCTGTACAACAAGAATGCCCCCTTCGTATATTCCAATGCATTCACGGCGCCCGTTCTCCAAATGCTTTCGCCACAACCGGGAGAGAAGATCATCGATTTCGGTTGCGGTGGTGGAGAGGTGACGCTTGAATTAGAGAAGATCGTCAAGGAGAAAGAAGGTGGACGCGTCGTCGGCGTAGATTTCAGCGAGAGTATGGTGGAGGCTTCCTGGTTCCCTGGAATTTGCACTGTTCTGACTGCAGAACCATAAAGATCATCCAGGCTAGAACGCGAGGACTAGAGCACGCATATATCGCCGATATCCAGGATCTACCTGACCTACCTATCGGTGTGGACGTCAAGTTCGATGCTGTATTCACGAATGCGGCGCTGCATTGGTGCAAACGCGACCCGAAGGGCGTCCTGAAGAGTGCCAAGAGAGTACTGAAGCCAGGTGGGAGGATCGCTGGCGAGATGGGCGGGTTCATGAACTGTATTGGTGAGCTGCTAGATTCCATGACTTGGCCGGGGCTGACGCTGGGAGCAGGTATCAGAGGGGCACTGCACAAGGCTCTAAGGACGAGAGGGTATGATGCTAGTGCCATGGACCCGTGGTATTTCCCATCAGTGGAAGACTACACAGAGGTCCGTTGTGTAGCATATATGCGTCTGTTCGAGGATACTGAAGATTCTTCCAGATACTCAGGGCCGAATCATTCGAACCCATCGAGGTTACTTTGACGCCGCGAGTGACGGCGCTCTCTGCAGGCGTATTTGGCTGGCTGGCAGTATTCGTTCGACCCATGATATTGAAGGATTTTAGTGACGAAGAGGCAACTGAGATCATGAAGGAGGTCGAGGAGGCTTGTCGGATTGACTGCCAGGACAGCCAAGGACGCTGGCAAATGATGTATGTGCGGTTGAGGTTCAATGCCATCTGGAAGCAGTGAAATAAATTTGTCTTGCATCCGGCCCTCATGTCGTTGCCAAATCTCAGGCCTACATTTATCGGCCACGACGTCTCAGCTCCAATAAATCACAATTTCTACAGAAAGATTCAGCTACGTTTGACCTACGTTTCGAAGACTAGACTTCACTGATGCTTGGAGGACCGATATCAACTAACATCTGTACCTCGCTGACCGGATACTGACCGGTTTTGATGAGGACAAGCTCTTGAAAATGCAGAGCACCAGCATCGAACTGAACGTTCTCGTCATCAACCTATTTTACTCGACGGGACGTGAGCGCTTGAGCAAAGAACCTGCCTTTATTCAGCTTGTGTTCGATGCTGACGACTCGCGCCCAGGTGAGCTTTATTGATTGCTTTCGTCTTGCTGCTTCAGAGTTGGGCACAGCTCCCTTCAAACGCGTAGACAGTACGAAATAGGGCGAGCGTATACTGTTCGGGAATTCTGTCATGATGAAGGAGGCCAACCCTCCCGGAACGGTGTGTTACAGTCGCCTTTCTCAGTACTTGCTTTGAAGCTGTTCCTTCGACCTTTCACTAATTTCAATCAGCTGGTTACGACTTCCGGTGTGATGTTTGTCGATAATATCACGCCACGGCAGCGGTATCATGAACAGTCTCTTGTCTCCATAGTTCGCCGCCCTCGTAGATACGGAGAAACGACATTCTTATCTACTATTGCTACTTCGCACGGACCTAATTTTCCTCCAAGCATCCAACGTCACAGTGTGCCTTGTTTTAGAGTTCGTCATGAATCACTCGACACTGATCACTTCTTCTCCCCATTCCAGAATACTCTCAACACTGAGATTCTACTGTAACGAATTTTATGCAAATGATAATGCGCTGATACTCGAAAAGGGTCTGCGCACGGCTCTTAGAAAACGTTTAGAGGAAATATTCTGCATTGTTTTCTATCGATTTGTTGAAGACTATGCCATCCCGCAGGCTGAAGCTGGTCTCATTGTCGAGGGGATCCTGCGAGTGATATTCTACTACTATGTGAACAGCAGTTTCGAACTGAGACGATTTGACGGAAGCTCGGAGTGCACGCAAAAAATGGGTCTCCCCCGCGGCCCGGATAAGAACCTGAAATTTCCGGAAATTATACTACAGCTGTTTGCCTACTGCTCTACTGATGGCGACTGGTCTACTGAGGCTGTCATGTTTTCGATGGCAGAGGTACTTGATGTGATTAGCTCGTGATCGGGCAAGCCTAGGCAATAAATTTTGTTTGTTGTAGTGTCATCTGTAATAGCTTGTCACATATTCCGTCCATGCTGAAACTTTGTTTCCTCCTTCTCTTCACGGTCGTGGCTGCAAATACTGAGATTGTCAATTTCTATGCCTCTTCAGACCAACGAGCAGTATGGAACGAATGGTGAGCAAGCACTCAATCCAGATTAGGATATTCAACGTCCATCCAGGCCAACGCTGAGCGCCAACGGAAGCGAAAAGCAATGGAAAATCTTACCGGTGCCTCTGGGAACGCCTCTAACGGACAATACCTCTCAACTCTGGATCAACCTGGACCTATCGAGCAAGGAACGGACGGCCTATACGTTACGTGTCTCGTGGGCGGCATACGTTCGTGGCATAATTATCTCTACCAGATACTCATTCTGACTTGCATGCAGTACCCGACCAACGTTTTTATTGACGTCGTCGATGAGCCCGCTCGAGCACACATTCGCTTCGTCGATGCCGGCGTCTTCACTCCAGGACGAACAAAGCAGCCTAGTCCCGTGCCGTTCAGTATCGTCTTGGAGCGCCTGTACTTTGGTTTACTCCCGGCTTCTGTCTTACCCACTCTTGTTTTCATGGGACCAGTCCTTCTGATGGCAGGTCTTGCTATCCCTTGGATCAACGCGTATCTGGAGAAAGTAGCAGTCGAAGCTAGGAAGGAGAGAAACGTTTGAAATCGCTTGGCATAAAGCCTCATTGATATTGTGAAAGACCTGCGTTACGGAGCACTGAGTACACCAAGGTGGTGGTGGCTCTTCAGACGTATTTTACACGTCAAAAGAAATTCGTCACTCACTATTTATGGCTGCGCTTTCAATGTACCGACGGAACGCTTTGTTATTACTATCTGGTCTCGGCCTGTATTACTTTCTTCTTGGTAAGCTGTGATTCCGTGCTCTTCAGTGCAAAACCTGATAGATTGCGAACTTGTCTATCTCAGAGTGACAAAAAGGGTCGACTCGCGAAATTCGACTCCATGATGGCGCGATCTCGTTCACACCCGTAGAACATACTTATTATCGGCGCCACTTCCTAATCTCTTCCGTGTAGCCATGGTCTCCTCCAAACTACATTACACGTTACTGTTTCTATCTAGTGCTTTGGCCCAGCAGGTCACCTTCCAAAAGCTCGAATCTCATGACCAAACCCACGAATGGACGCAATTCAACCATACCATTAAACGTGTCGCGGTTATCGGAGCAGGTCAGGATAATCTCATCTTCGATATATCGCATGTTTGCTGACTTCGCGATTGCAAGGTCCTGCTGGGCTCCAAGCCGCCGCTGCCTTATTGGAACATAACTTTACAGTTCGTCTCTTCGACCGCGCCCCCGGCCCGGGTGGGAACTGGTTCTATTCTGAAGAGATCCCTGTTCGAGAGTCCTACCCGTAAGCTGGGTGTAATATCATCCGGTATTGAAGTTCTCATATCGCGTGCAGAGACGAACCCTTGGGAAAGCAAAAGTGGGTTCCTGACCAGCTCCCCGCGACTCAGTACTACCAAGAAGGCGATGACGGCTTGAGTTTGGGTGAGAGGTGGAGAGAGCATTGGCTCCCGCGCCCGATTTGGGATTCGCTATCCACAAACTCACCCGCAGTCATCACTGAGCTTCCCGATGTGCCTTATTTGCCTGACCATGTATGTTTACCACTTTATTCTGGCGTACAATACCTTAATAATGCCTGTTTAGCCTTGGGTGATCCCTGCTCATACAATCCAAGCGCACGTTCGCGCCTATGCCTCCCTTCACAAGCTCAACGTTAACGACAACGAGGCAGTAACAGCTTACTCAACACGTGTCGAAAGACTCACAAAGAAACCTGGCAGTTCAGCGTGGACGCTCACCCTGAGGCATCTCAAAAAGCTTAAAGAATCGCAACGGATTAAAGCTACTTGGTGGACGGAGGAATTCGACGCTGTCGTTGTTGCTGCAGGACCCTATGACCAACCTCATGTACCCGACATTGATGGCTTGATTGAGTGGAGCAAAGTGAGAGCCGTTGATGATCCGTCGAGGTTTAGTGTCTATCATTCGAGGGTCTATCGCACACCGCAGCGATACACTGGAAAGGTATGCGCGCAGTCATGAAAGATTATCAGGCAGCTAATGATTGTCTGCCGTGCAGAATGTTCTGGTCGTTGGCGTTGGCACCTCTGGCTCGGAAATAGCTCGTGACATCATACCATATGCTAATAAGGTCTACGCTAGCTCAAAGGTTCACATGTCGATCCGTTATACTCCGCGAATTCGCTGATCCTTGAAATAGAAATACGTCTGGGACAGCCTACACCCCTTCCAGCGCCGTTCCTTCCGCCGATTCCCTCCAGAGACTGAATTCATTCCCGAGATAGCTTCATTCAGTGCACTGCCTTCGTTCGATAACGGCATAAACTCTGGAAAAATCACTCTTGTGAATGGAAGTGTCTTGAAAGATATTGATGAGGTACGGTCGCACTTTCCCTTGGATAATCTCAAGAATGCTGAATGATGGTCAGATTATCCTTGCAACAGGGTACAAGAGGTCTAACGCGTTCCTTTCGGGCGATTCTCAACGAGTAGGTCTAGTCCAAAGTCTCGTCTCGTCCTTGGCTGATGATGAATTCTCGTGCAGCACTCTTGGCAACAAATTCCAAGCCCCGTCTGGCCCTCCGTCCGATGTATTCAACGGTAATCCTCTGCGGAATGTTCACTGGACTGGGCATTACATCCCCGACCCGACGCTTGCGTTCACTAATGGTATGTTTTTCACACTCGTAATGATGTGCCACTTATTTCCGGTCTTAAGTACGCCCGTGGACTATCGGTCAATACCAGTCTTACGCGCTAGCTAAAGTGTGGGAAGGAACCGCACGGATTCCCAATGAGGCTGAGCTTTGGAGGCAATACAACAGTACAAGATACACACATTTCCGCGGGCTGTTTGGAACTGGGCCCTCGGAAGGTCAGTCTTACACATTACGTTGGACCTCCGTTTGACTATCACCCATAGCTATTGCTCGCCAATATGTGGCGTGGCTCAACAACGAGTCCCTTGAACACGGCGGTAGACTCGTCTCCCCTTGGCCCGTGCAGTACGTTCCCTCGTTTCCTGCACAGTCGTGTATTGATGAAGAGATGCCAGGAACTGGGAGGTCTTTTCTTACTATGCTAACCAGGAATGGGAAAAAGATTATATCACGAGGGAGAATTTCACTCAGTTTGAGAAGTTACCTGCGGATGAGTGGACCAAAGCTGATGTGTGGGACGCTTCCGTTTTGGAGGACGAGTTCTGGTAGATTCGAAGGGGCCATAATATGCGGTGATTTCCTAATACCCCTTATCTTCTTAGTGCCTCGTGCAAAGCAAATGGATGTATGCATGTATCATTTCACTATGTGCCCACTGAGGCCGAGAGTGAGGTATACGAACTTGAAAGAATTGAACAAGACCCAATTCCATGGCTCCATTGTGCAATGAAGATGTAGCGCGGAACGGAAACGAGTGGGTCAGTAAGGTCCTGTAATTCGCGTTTGTGTCGGGACAACAAGGGATATAAGCGAGATGGGCGAGGACCACGGATGGGAAAAAGATTGGCGCCGATCAGAAATACCGTGACCACCTCTGTTTTTCCGTTCTTGTTTGCCTGGAATGATTCTGGGATCAACAAGGTACTGAAGATATTCTTTGCCTTGATTCTGAATCAGTTTGAGTTGGTTCTAGAGGTAGGTGGGCTGTTTCAGTTTACAAGAACGAGACGGGAAGAGTATCATGCCACACGAGGTACGAACATGAGTATTCATGCATATGAATGAGATTCATTGTATAAGATTATTCCGACTGATGAATAGAGAAGGTACCAAGGTAGTAATTTCTTCAACTTCCTTAGAAGCCTGGTGAGAGAATAAGACCCTGTATCTAATCTTCATCTTGCTTCTCGTTCTCACACCCAGCGCCCACTGAGTTCTTCTTTGAAGGGGAGAAGGTTCAAATATGTGCTCACCCTCTTGACACTAGTTTCACCGTATGATTTCTGTGTGCGGCAGCAGAGTTTCAACGTCCCCCGACGCGGCGTCTGCGAGTCGGCGGTATGAGTCTGATGGTCTCTACCTGTGTCAGTACACATCAACGCATAGCAGCGATGCTCGTGCCGCGTATCGCTCTAAGAGGAGATTGGAGTTTAAAGTTATTCCCAAGTCCCGAGGCGAAGCGAACGGTGGTCCGTTCCGCAGCAATGCAGTGGTCGAGGGTGGTACCGGCGCAAGCCTGGAAGAATTACGAGGATGCCACCGATGCCGGTGCATCGCGTGCTCGCTCGCACAGGGGACTCGGCCTCAGGTGAGAAAGAATAAGGCTGCGCCAAGAGACCGGAAAGAAAATGAGAAGCGAGCCTGACCGAAACTTATATTGACTTCTGTCCTGCCCGGGTGATACCCTAGTCGGAAATGCCTGCATTTCTGGAGTTTGTTTCCGAAACCTTGAACAAAAAGAAATAGGATAGGCAGGGATGTTACTTACCAGATAGCGGAAGAAGCTATCCTTCTTTAGCTTCAGAAGGATCCTCAAGGCGATAAATGGGTAAAACTCAGTCATCTCGTGATATAGTATTTTTAAACAAAGCTCTTGTCCTCGTTGGCAAATTAAGACCCAGTCAAAAGTGACTTTCGCCGATTCGTGGAGTCTCGGCAAACCTCAGTGACCAATTAGACTGCTGTAAAAGATTGAATATCATGTTCATACTAGTGTTCATAAATGATACCAAAGAATCCTTACAACATTTTTGTAATTGCATCAGGTAACTTTTTAATGTATCATAGAGAGCTCTAGTGTCTCTCGGGGTCTTTGCACACAGCAGACAGGGCCAAGAAGAAAGTTCGTAACTTTGATACAGAATAGGGAGAAAGGGCGGGGCGGAGCCTGCACTTCGGCAAAGCAATAATATCATACTTGCTACCGGAAATAACTGTTAACCGCCGAGTGTAGTCCTAATACCATAGGGAGGTCCACAGATGAAGATAAGGATTGATTTAAAGACGTACAGAAATGCCGCATCCTTGTTGATACACAGGGTGGATAAACCTTGTCACAGAACCACATGCTTCAGGCCTCGAACGAGGTTCCTGACCGTCATTAGATCACGTCACGTAGTAGCACCAACAAGCAGTGAAACCGCCCAAGTTTGCCCCCAGAAAGCTCCAGTATGAAAGTGACCTACATGGTGGTTCTAGTTTACCCTGATCGGGCAAGCGATCGGCTTTCCTTTTGCCGGACCGACATCCCGGACCGGTTGTCTTCCACATTCTCCTTCATTCGACGTGTCTTCATCCTCCCACGTTATCTGGCGTCGTGTCAGCCTCCTCCAGCTATTTATTAGATGAAGGAAACGTCTTCTACGCCTGGCGCTGATGCTGTGTCGTCCGACCCAGGTGTCTCACTAGCACAGGCATCACCCAGTTTATTTGACTACGCCTCAGTACAAGTGATTTTCCTTCGTGTTTATCATCTAACTGATGTATATTTTCAGATACTTTCGTTGGTATTTGGAGGTTGCTGCTCGTATGTTCAGCCGCGATCTCGTCAGGATACGCTCGTGACGCAGCATTCTTCTAGGAACGTCTGGCTCTATGAAAATCTCCTCCTGCTCAATCCACGAATTGGTGAATCTTAGACCCATTCTGCCTCGCTGTTTCTCGGACGTGAGCCAACGCTGCTTCTTTTACCGCAGGTTCGGCACTCACTTTTTCCCAAATGATGTTCATTTCTCTGCAATCACTTCCGTCGTTCATTACTTGCTCACCGGATACATGGATACCGCGACTTAAGCCACGACAAGTACCACTCAAGAACTGGGCTACCCAAGTGCTTGTTTTATCTACGGGGTCGCTATTAAATAACTGGGCCTTTGCTTTCAAGGTGCCTCTTACCGTCTTGATGATTTTTCGTTCAGCAGGTAAATATGATGAATTTTGTTTACTTATAACGTGTTTTGAATCTCCTACAGGCCTACCGGTCTCTATGCTATTTGGACTCTTCTTCCTGAAGAGGAGGTACAGTCTCGTGCAGGTTGTAAGTCTTTCCTACTTCTCAGTTTTTCGTTACCCGAGCTTTTCAGTTTTCGGTCATCATGGTCTCCGTTGGAGTTACGATTGCAACCTTTTCCCGTCCACCATCGAGCGCACCTTCGCAATCAAATTCTGATATCCGGCAATATTCCATAGGAATTGTGATGTTGATTTTGTCCTTGTTGTGTACTGGATTTCTCGGGATGCTCCAAGAGAAGACCTATCAACGATATGGCCCTTGCTGGAAAGAGGGAGTGTTTTATACGGTACATTTCTGTCATTCCGCTCCCTTCTATACTGATGGAAGACAAAAGCATTGTCTCTCACTTCCCATCTTCCTTTTCCTAGTTCAGGATGTTAAGCAGGGCTTGGCAAGTCTTTCGGAACCAACTAGAACATCGGCAGCTGGCATGCCATGGTTAATCTTGGCAGGGAACCTTGTTACGCAGCTTATATGTGTTTCGGGGGTGAACCGGTTGACATCGGTAAGTTTTATCTGTCACGTCAAGTCCTTAGCTGAGTCAACTACAGCGAGTATCGTCTGTGTCAACGAATTTGGTGCTAACGACAAGAAAGGCGATTAGTTTATGCTTCAGTGTATGGTGGTTTGGGAATGGGTGGAATCTGCAGCTTGGTGTTGGTGCGTCCATGGTATTCCTGGGTAGCATGCTATACAGCGCGGGTGCTAGAGTAGAAAAGAAAAAGACAGAATAAAATAGACGTCATATCGGTGTATTATTTGATTGCCGGGAGCGGTATTTTCCGATCGCAGATTTATACATTACTCAGCTTCTTGCTTCCTACCTTCACGCCCGTTCGTCATGTTAGAAAAGGTAGACCCTTTATCGTTTTCCAGGGAGCAGTAACATATTATTTCTAAGGTATCCTGGCTCTGGACGCTGACGCCTGCTCCAACACCAGCAAAATTCGACCCAACGGATCCTAAAACGAATCCGCTGAATCCGCAAGGCTTGAAACCGTGTGTCGAGTTATAATAATTACTTGTACAGTGCTTACGGTCTCCCTCAAGGTGCTGCGCTTGCCCACAGACAAAGTCAGCTCGTGATGACTGCTTCCTCCATGCTGGCGTAGAAGCCGACGAAAAGTGCAAGGAGCTCGTTGCAAGTCATATAGCGTGTATGCGGGGACTGGGATTCAAAGTCTGATCTGCTGCTGCCGCCATTGATATCTATATGATAATACACCCTAATGCACCTCTCTCACTAAGGAACGACGTGATGTGTGATGCGCCTCAATGCTCTGCTGCCTCTGCAAGAATTCAGCACACCGACGGCGTTCCTTCTTCTGTTGTGAGCTCCTTCTGCTTGTTTAAAAGAGACTGAACTTATATTTCTACAGTTTCATTTTATGCTCGCCTCTATCCCTTAAGAATAAGACACAGCAATTATATCTGCACAAGTACAACAGAAGACTCCCCCGTTACTCCGAGCCAGACAGGTTATTCGGGTCTTTCAAATCTCGTTTACTGCCCCGCTTAGATCAAGCGAGCGGTTACTGTCTGTAATCACCCAAAATCCTCGACGGCAATACAAAGTTCCATAAAAATCACTGACTTGGACGGAGCGGGACAGCTTCCAACGATTCACGAACCCTGTTGGTCCTCGCGCGCGCACACACGTCTGTGGTCCGTCACAATAAAGCACCGATACTCTCATTGTGTTATAGCGATCATTTCCTTTCGTTACTTTCTGCAGGAAGTGGGAGTTATATTAAAGTATTATGGAACAATCATAAAGAGACGTACGAAGGCTTCGACGTCCGGAGGGATTGGTCTGTTGTTTAAGTATGAGATCTGTGAGTACCAGCGATAATATCAATGACACATGAGCGGCATAAAAACGATGTTCTTCCCAATCTTTAAACAGCGTGCTCTACTATAGATCATATAACATTCAACCTAACATCATCCGACATTGCGACCGTCCATAAGTCTCTTCTAGTCTAAAATCAATTTCCGCTCCCGAATGAAACCATACTTGGTTCCGATGATATCCTGCAGTCCTTCCTGCACGCCAATCAGATCATGACCGCCCGCGAACATCTTCACGAGCATGACGTCTCTGTTGCCATCGGTAAATTCTTCTACAGTTCCAAAATTGGCAAGCTTGGTATGGGAGACCAGCTCTTCACGCCGTTCCTTTCTAGCGCTTACTTGCGAGGTGAAGGAAGCCCAGTCATCTTTTGACAGAGCCGCAGGATTTGTGGGCAGTTTGACAGTCGGTAGGTGGGGTTCAAGGAAGGCGTTGAAGAGTGTTTCTGAGTGGGTATACGGTATATCCCAGTCATTCTCTACAAAAAGGGTGTAAGACACAGCAAGTGAAACGGCAATTACACTGACCAGCATGAGCGATAGTTACTTCGCCCTTTATTCTCTGCAAGTAGATGTGAATGATAGATTCAGTTGCAGTGGACAGTTGGAACACATACAGGAACGATGCTAAAGGTGTCGAATTTATGTATCAATGCCCATGTAACGATATCTGGATGGGAGTGTCATGAGAACATGCTGAGAGAGCCGATTTAATGACTTACTGGCAGCATAGGGTATCATGGAAATAGGCTTCATCAAGGGTACAGCTCCAAATACATTATAGGTCTTCAAAACCTCTTCAATGCTCGAAAAGGGGCTCATGAGGACGACCCCTCGGTAATTGACGCCTTCATCTGAGAGTTCTGCGGCTAAGCGCGCGCCTACGCCGGTGCCTAGACTGTGACCAACGATGAGGATGTCCTCGCCTTTGGCACCCTGGCTGATCAGCCACTCCCACGCAGCTCTGGCGTCGCGGACCAAGCCATCCTCACTAGGTGTTCCGGAGCTTTCGGCAAATCCACGATAGTCAATGGCCAGGACATTGGCATGAAGGCGAGAAGAATAGGCCTGGTAATGTTGCACGCGTGCATTGAAAGCACGGGTACCGGCGTTGCCATGCAGGAAGAGAATGGTAGGTGAAGCTCTTACAGCATCGGAGATGAGCAGCTCGGGTGATTGAGGTGGGAATGGAATGGTTTGATACTGTCTGTCCGAGAGAACAAACCATGAACCAAGAGTTTCGTTGTCGGAGGTTTGGATCTTGAAATTGTATGTTTTATTTGCTAAGACCAGGTTAGATACGGTCAGTTTGTATAAGCAACCATCACGCACGAGAAAGACCGTATTTCTCGGGGGCGTCAAAATCAGCAAACCAGGGAATGCGAACAGCATTCAGATATATTGTACTGAAACAGAGTCAGAACGATGTATATGCTGCAGCGTCAAATGAAGTTAATACTGACTGGCCTTGGAAGTACGGTATCGTTAGTAGACCCACTGCGACTACGTAAACACCGCCGAGGACCGCAAATACAGTCCGAGCTTTCTTTAGAAAGGGATTCGTTAATAGGTCGTCCATTTCTGCGTCGTGAAGTTCTTAGAATTTAGCAGAATTTAGCAAACGTCAAGTCAACGCTGAGAAGCTTGTCGGAACGTTGATGTTGAGAAACAAACTATTCGATCACATGCCTGTCGCGTCCATGTCAGTTTTTCCCAGGCATAGACGGACCGGGATATAAAGAATGAACATTGTATGTAATTGCTACACAAAAAAATGTAAGGTATAGCTTGGGTACAGCCGGTACAAGTAATAATAATATACAGGTGCCAACCACCACATAATTTAGTTGTGGAGGTATAAGTCTCAACAAGAAGATACCGACAAAAAAGGATCCCTCAAATAAATCAATCATGTCCGTCATGATGGCCGAACTTCAGGATGATATTCTGGCGGCAGTTCATCCTCATCCCAATGACCCCCTGCTTGCAACCTCTCATTCAGCAGTCTGACCAATTCCTCCGTGGGCAAGTTAACCCTTTGCGGTTCCTCATTCGAAGACCCGGCAGGTGCGGGTGCGGGTTCAGCCGTTGCTAACTGAGGCACCGACGAGCCACCTTCTTGCAGGCTCACCGTTGACTGAGCATGCAGAAGAGCAGCTTTCTCCCCCATGCTAGAAGATGACTGCCCAATACGATTATGTCCTCCTGCTGGTATCTTTTCGGATCTCTGACTGGTCATTGGGGAAGATGACTGTCTGTCAGAGCTCGAGTGAGTAGTGGTCAGAGGCGCCATCATGAACGGCGTAGGTGCAGGGGGTGATAATGGTGATGGAGCGAAGTCATCGTCCAGTAAGACGGACATCCGCCTTTTCTCGCGTTGTCGCCGCCGGCGAAGGAAGAACATGACGACACCGATAATGACGAGGAGGGCAATACCTCCAATAACACCTCCTGCTATGGCGCCTGCGGAACTGGAAGACGATCCTGAATTTTCCGAACCCGAACCAGAGCTCGAACCAGACTCCGACTCTGAGCTGTTTGACGAAGGGGGTTCTTGGTCTTTGAGCAGCATCCCGTTGATGAGAACGCTCAGGGCTATAGTTTGGTTGTCACTCGAGAAGACAGAGCTTGGCGGTCCAATCCATGAAGCACCGTATACATTGGTTCCGTTTGATGTCGCTTGTTCAAGGACAGCATTATACTGGTGAGATTGTGAGATACGTAAATGAATATTCAAGATAGACATACACCAAGAAACATACCTGCACACCGATGTATTCCTTCACATAGTTTCGCATATCAGAATACGTGGTGTTCCGCCAATATAACGTGCCCAGGCCACGCATCATAAGGAGGTCGCCACTCTTGGAACCTGTGTAAAAATGGTCAGTTTCTATGAGGGGTAAGCACTTCAAGTTTAGCACCTACCCCCGTTAGCAATGACGCCATCATTGCCTTGCCATGCATCATTAGCCACCGCCGCTGCTACAGTCTCACGAAGTAAAGTTTGCGTGGTAGCGTTTCCACTGATCGAAGCTAGTATAGCTAGGCCCTCGATGAACAACCCGGAATTATAGGGATTTGTCCCTGAACCAACCGCGCATGAGTCATTCTGTCTGGCCGAAATGGAATCCTGGACCACGTTCTGTACATTATAGAGGTGTGAATGGATAAAGGTAGCAGATTCGGTGGCAGCGTTCAGATAGGTCTCATTGCCAGTCGCCTCGGCCAGCAGAGCAGATACACTGGTTGGACGACAGATAAGAGGAAAGGACATATTAAAAAATCAGAGCCTACACTAGGAATGAGCTAAACATCAAAGGGTCAGATTCCGGAAATTGCTAGCCATCAGGAGTGCTTACCCCGTGGCTAACCCAACGATGCTTGGATTATCGGAGTCAGTTTCCTAACACAAAATGAGATGTAATAAGAATGAGTAAGCAAGCAAAGTCTACCCAAAAAGTGCCTCCAGCCATGCTGACTACAAAATAATGTTAGAACCGTTTAGACGAAGGCTGGGCCTGTGATACTCACTGCCTTGGCACGTAGGCTGTACATTGAATGATTTTCCGGCAGTGGTTTTGGACGAAATATCACTGTCGGAGAGGGTGTATAGTCTTGCGGAGGTCCAAGAGGTCACGGCGTAGTCCAAGAATGTGTCGTCTTGGTAGATTGCATAGGCACGGGCAGCTGCATAACCATAGGCGCTGTAAACCGTTTGACATATATCATCCGGTGAAAATGAACGAGAGGCAACGACTCACAGTCCATAGTTCAGCTAATTGGTGAGGGGGAGAAAGATAAGCAGCTGATCGCCAATATAAAACAGAGACTGACACTTCATTACGATATAAAAAGTCAGTAATAATCACGGAGTAGTGAAGGAGACGTACAATTCGTCCAAATAGTTCGTACGGGTTTTCTCAATGAGCGGAAAGTATTTCTTCAACACGTCTTTGTATTTTGTTTGATTTGTTACTCTGTCGAACTCGGCCATTTCAGCGTAAAACGTCCCGGGTGTACCATAAGCAGAATCTAAGTACAAACGTCAAAAATGCGGGAGGGTAGAGAGATTGTACCAACCATTGAATGAGCCATCACTCTGGAGAAGGCCGACCGTCTTGTCCAGGGCGGCACTTGCAATGCTTATACGGTCACTTTCGGACGTGGTTACATTCGAACTCTGAGAAAGAGAAGAATCAGCTAAAGATTGCGCAAAATGGGGTTCGCGAAGATTGCTTACTCGCCAGGAAGACGAAGGAGTGAAATCTTGGGCAGCGGCTAGCAGAAGAGAATGAGCGACCAGCGTCCAGAAAAGAAAGAGTGGTAGCATGGGGCAGTAAGAGAAGAGAAGTGGCCCGTCTACAAGGAGACCTCCCAAGGATAGATGGATGCGGGTTGGTGATGGTGACGACTCAACACTGCCTCTTTCTCTTGATTTCGGAGAGCGCGGCAATAGTCAGGGTAAGCTGGTAAGGATCTGTAAGGATCAGATTCGGGTGCAGTGCCTTAAGCCACAGCGGAAGAGTAACCGCAAGAAAAATACGGAAAATCCATTATAACAGAGTAGATTTTCGGTTTACTGCTCATCAATTTTTTTCGTTGTAGTGAGAGCAAAGATCGAGGTCCACACCGAATGTCATCTGGGAATACTTCAGCGAATTCAAGAAAGTTAGCAAGCTGAGAACGTGGCATCGTCACGTGGCGACGTAAAACCAGAATTTCAAATTGATTGCAGGAAGGATTATATGCCTTTCGGGGATTCACAACCTTGCAGTTTTTTAGGTAAGTTCTTCCTTGAAGTATGTTTACAACAGCACGTTGACTTACATCACGACTTGTGAAAAAGACTTTGAATTTTGGTGCATCTTTGGCTTGAAACAGGTCATCTGGTGGACCGAGAAACCCGACCGTCCTGTTATGCCAGTGCGTAGAACAGGATTTGTCCTGCACTGACAGGTAGATATCGTAATCTGACTTTAAGCGAACAGAAACGAGTTCCTCTGTAGTACTACTTTCTTATACTGACCGTAACGTCTAACAAGCATACAGGGTACAGTCAAACTGAGGCCGACAAACATCTGCGTGTCTATGCAGTTGCTCGCAAATTTAATGCATCACTCAGCGTTCTTTCTTTTTATCGTCATTCTCTTTGTAGTACGCTGATATGTCATTCCAAAGTAAGCCAAAATGAGTGGCGGGCGTAGTGTATAATATAGTATGACACGGATAAAATGATGAAGAAAGAGGAGGCCAGCACCGACCGACAACTGGAATTACTTCCTCCCGGCTTCTATCGCCTCCCCGTTCTTACAGGCAATGATCTTTATCCTCGGCGCCCGAACATACTCATTGTTGTCCATTTTAAATGATGGCTCCTTCACGATGAATGTCCATACGTCGTCGCACAGACGGTACGTATGCAGGTGGCCCTAGCACGATTTGGTTGTATCACATCCGCAGTCGAGTGGCAAAACCGTGCGCACCTTCAGATTTGTCTTGACTCTAACCTGCTTCACCATCGTATCTGCAAGGGACTTGTCGAACTGAGAAAGTGAGGTGAGTGGAGAGTCTTTGAAGAGAAATAGTCTCCCAACTTGTTGCAACACCTTCATGGCCAGCTGAGGTGTGATTGCTCCACTCGTAATCAGCTCGTCCAGCGAATCTGTTAGTGCCATTCCGATGCTTCGAGACACGGTGAGCACATGTCGCGCTTACCCGCAGGCAAAAGAGCAAAACCGAACATACGAAGAGCCACGGTAGAACTCGTAGTAGGCAGTCGCCATTATGGTAGAGAAGAAAGCAACATCCGGACCGACGATGATGAATCACGATCCGTGGGAAAGTTACCGTTTATGGCAACTTCGCTCCGAGTCGTATGTACTATGATCGAAAAAGTCATTCTCTTCGAGAAAGGACGGAGATCAAGGCCAAGCTTCTTAATGTCACCGTAGATAACATTGATTGTATATACCATCGTATGATCCGTTAATTTTCATCCTGGGTTCAACAGAATACATCGTTATTTCATAGAAAATTCGTATGTTAGATATGGTAAATCCAAACGAATGTCGTAAAATAAGTATAACAAAGGGCATGGAAGGCATGAGGTCTAAGTACAAATCATTATTTAAGAACGAGGGGGGTTAGCGAGGCACTACTGCCTCACTATATTTTCGCACTACGAGCCGCTGAGATAAACTTGACAAGGACTAATCATCCCTGCCAAGCCCAGCAAGTACTCGAACATCAGCCGTCCTCTTGGACACATCACTGAACCACTCCTTGGCTCTTGAAGCCTTCTTTTCCATCTCCTCAGCAACCTTCACCTCTTTCACTCTCTCCTCCATGGCACCCGTGAACCTTCCTCGGAGATCCCACGATGCCAGTCTCAGAACCTTCCTGGCTTCCCTACTAATCCTGCCTGCTTGGATCTCAATGAACGTATCTTCTTCCTCCCCATCGGCTCGGGTCACAGAAGCCTTCACTCGCCTGCCCACTGTCTTGGGAATGGAGTTTGGCAGCTCCATGACGACATACGCTGTCAGACCGAGCGTGACTGCACCGAGTACAGGCGCAGCCCACTTCCTGGCAGTCTCATTTCCAAAGACATCCGTAACTCGGATGATACCTTCTATCAATCCGCGTGCACCAATGGCCTGACCGCCGACCATAGTAAGGGCACCCACACCAACGCTCATAAGCCCCAAAGCTGTTGGCGCAGCCGAGTCGTCTTCGATCTTCCCATCTCCAAAGTGCAGCCAGAATTGATGGTGAACATCGAAAAGATCTAGGAAAGAGGTCTCAAGCATGTCGGGGCGTTGAGCGAGACCGATTCCCAAACCGTTGACACCGCCTGCAACGACAGTACTAGCGCGGCGATGCTTTGCGCCTTTTCCAGCTCGTCGGACAGTGCTGAACATGGCCTCGGGCATGAACACTCTCTTGTTTCGTTCAACACCCGCTGGCAAATGTTCTTCAGCAAGGTCCTTGATTTTGTCAACGGACTGGCTCGTGATAACTCGGACCTCATCCTCAGCCAATCTGACCGCTGCATCGATGCTGGCAAGTAAGGCGCTCTTAACCTCGCGGGCGTAACTCCAAATACCCAAGAGACCAGGGTACGATGGCATGGAGACGGAGCCATTTTCCACGCCGAGACGTCCCTGGCCGACACGCTCCAGTGCATCACCCAATACAGACTTGGTCTTGTTTGAAGATTGGGTAGCGCCCTGTTCCTCAACGGCCTCCAAACTCTCCTCCAGCGCATCCCTGCTGCTCTGCATCTTCTCCAAAACCGGCTTAGCTTGCGCCAAGTCCTCCCGTGATCGCTGTAACTCAGAATCTGCAACGAGGGCATTGGCACCAGCGAGAAGATCAATGTCAGAAAGGAGATTGACGAGATAAGTCGATGCGGGATTGAGTTTGGATTTTGAGCGTTTGACCAGAACGAAGGACCTCAATGATGACTCCAGGTCGTCGAAAGATGGGCTAGCCGTGAAAGGTTGCAAAGCAGCAGCAGAGTCGACGAAATGAACGAGATCCTCAGCATCCTCATAGGTGCGAGGGCTGAGCTGTTTGATTTGATCGAGGACCATCCGACGACACTTTTCCTTGTTCTTGATCTGGTCGTACTTGTTGACAACGATAAAGAGGTATGCCTTCTCGTTACTGGCATTCCATAAGAATTCCTTCGCTGACAAGGTGAAATGGTTCTCGGCAGAAACGACAAAGACTACCACATCAATTTCCTCCTGGCGCGCGAACAGGGCGGTTGTCTTCAAACTGTCACGGTTGAGACCAGGAGCATCAATGAGGGAGATGTCAACGACGCCGTTGTTAAGTAATGACTCGGATGGTAGCCCGTGTGTCGGCAAGGTATAGCTTGAGCACCTTCTCGGAGCTCTCGTTCTCTCCAACAACATCCTCGAGGTCAGATATTTTGGCACGAGTAAAGGTCGATTCGTCTTGGATATTGTACGTTATGCCGTCAATGAGAATGTGGACTTCTTCTACACCCTTGTTCTCGGCTGCATCATGTACCTCGCAGAACGCGGTTGTACATGGCTGCTGATCAACAGGCATGACCTCGCGACGGAGGAGAGCGTTCACGAATGTTGATTTTCCAGCATTAAGGTCACCAGTGACGAGGACCTTTGATGAAGTGTCCTCAACACGGAGACGGAGCTTGTCGATATGGCTCAGGGAAGAGGTAATGCGATCGTCTAGCAGATTGGCGATGGACGCCTTTTCGAGCTGGGAGACGAGAGAAGCAGCCGATGTAGAGGAACCGTGTGCGCCAAGCTTGAGGTCGAGTCGCAGGACTTGGAATTCGGACTGGGGCAGAAGGCGTTCTGGTCCGTCCTGCTTCTCTTCCGCACACGTCCCTTCTTCGTCTGCAGCGTCCGCAATAGATGCAAGGGTAATTGACCGGGTCATACCCTGTCTGGCACCTGAGAGGACAACGTCGGTCTCGGTCGTGGGGTCATCGGCGAACGACAGCGAACGGCGAAGGGATCGTCCGGAGCTCACTGAAGGAGGTGTAGCGTCCTGCTCGCGTAACTGGGGGTAACGAACTACCCATTCCTCCTTGTTGAAAGTACGGATATCGCCGAGAATGGACTTGGTTTCGTCAATCGCCTTGACGAGACTACGACCCAGGTCGGTCAACACAGGCAAAAAAAGACAGCAGACCTGTACTCACCGGCCCTTGTGCTCGATATATGCCTCCTGGACATCTTCCACCTTTGAATGCTTCTCGCCTGAAAAACTGGCAAACGATGCGGCTTCTTGCACAGGTGACGATACCCGGGGAAAATAGGACTGTGCCATTACGATGTGAGCACAAAATTTGCGTTGAAAATCGACTTTGGAATGCCAGATTTCCAGCAAGCTGCAACTGGCGGCTACGATGTTCCGCAAAGTATTGACGGTGACTGAGCAGACAAATTTGATGGTGCCGGTTGGATGCAAGACATATCTTCCGCTGACTAATGTGGCGTGAGAATGTTCGGGCCGAGCAGAATCCAAGCTGTCACTGTGACATCCATCACGCTTGCGTTTATTTTCTGCCGATCATGCTCCGTACAGTGTGAGAGTCGTTACTAAACCTTGGGAGAGCGATACTGACGACCTATACGCAGAAAACCCAAAAATGCACGGTCGAAACGTGCCCTGGATGCCCGTATGTCCCAAGGAAGTGGAGGATGTACGGACAGCAATATTTGTAAAGGGAACACATACTGGCGAGGTGCTCAATGGTGTAATGAAGGACCTGGTGCGTCAAGGAATTCTGCTGATTTTATCCCTCGCTAAAACATTCCAGATGGCCCTAAAACGACCGGCAGCAATTTCTTTCTCGAAGAAAAACGACATTCATCCTTTCGACAATACCTCCTCGTCGACCTCGACCTCATCTCTTGAGTTTTGGGCGAGCAAAAATGATGCCTCATTATTCCTGGTTGGCCAGAGTAACAAGAAAAGGCCGAACAGTTTGATATTTGTACGCATGTACGATGGTCGAGTACTGGATATGCTCGAGGTTGGTGTGGAAGGATTCACTGGGATGGCAGACTTCAAGGTACGTCTACCTTGCCCATCTCATAGTCGCCATTCTGACCATTTTCAAGACTCCAAAATCAACGCCAGGACATAAGCCATTGATGCATTTTGCCTCTGAGCTTTTCGACACCCACCCGCGCTTCATACAGCTAAAATCCATGCTCATGTGTTTTTTCAACGGAGAAGAGATCGACGAAATATGTCTTCCGGGTATTGAACATGTCATCAGTGTCTCTCTTGCACCAACACCTCCTACTCTCAATACCACATCGGATATCCCTACTCCCTTGCCAAAAGTTCACTTACGGACGTACACCATCAAACTACTTTCATCAGGGACACGGATACCACGGGTCGAGCTTATACCAATGGGCCCGTCACTGGACATGGTTCTGCGGAGACACGAAGCTGCGGACGCAGAAATGTTGAAGCAGGCTTTGAAGAGGCCCAAGCTGAAAAAGAAGGAAGTCGAACAAGGACTGGGCAAGAAGCGCAAGAACATGGAGGTTGATGAGATGGGTGACTTGCGTGGAAGGGTCCATGTTGGTACCCAGGACTTGAACAAGCTGCAGACACGGAAGATGAAGGGGCTGAAGGACGACGAGGAGCGGCCTGGTAAACGGAGTAAAACGTCTTCATGATGTATTTTCCTTCTAGATAGCATGTTGGCATGTTGGTAGCGGTCGTTATAATGGAAACATTTGAGCGGCTGATCTGGTCACTTCCTAGGAAGTTCTAAATGCTCCGGCCCAAAACTATCAGGAAGCAATTCGCCAATACTCGTCTCCCGCACACCACCCTCAGTCATACCAGACTTTCCTTCGTCTGTCTTGTCGTCTGGTGATTTAGGATAATCTCCAGGTACCAGGAGCACAGGCATATCGAGGGCGCAGAATTCACGAATGACCTGACGACACATACCGCAGGGCGAGATTGTGGCCGGTACATTGCTAAAGCGTAGGCTTAGAATACGGACGAGATAGTCGTATGAAGACAAGTTACGTCGTGACGGCGAGTGCAATGAATGACTTGACGCCTTCACTCTGTTGAGCACTGAACAAAAGGGTATATGCGAAAGAGGAGATTAGTACGAACGACCGCTTTGACAATGGCCGTTCGCTCAGCACAGATAGTCCCGCCTGTAACATGGATTAGACCCGACGACGACGGCGATATAGCAGACGCACCATAGGATGCATTCTCGATATTAGCACCCTTGATGATGGAGCCGTCTGCAGCCATTAAAGCGGCACCGACAGGGAACTTTGAGTAAGGACTGTACGAATGCTCCTTTGCTAGGATACGGATAAGAAAGCTATCCCGAGCAAGGGAAGTAATGATACCCTCAAAGGCAGCCTTGATAAGAGCTTGACGGTCGTCGACGGAAAGCGCCCAGATGCGCGTAGTAGTCATCGTGGGAGAAAGCAACCTTGTCTATTACCATGTCTCTTCCTCGTGCCGACTATGACCCCCGTCGCGTCTGCCTCAATCCTTTCCCAGAATTTACCTTGGGAAAGCACCGTCGTACAGTAGGCGTATACATCGCAGGAGCACTGGTAGGTATTTGTCGCTCGCTGCTTTTGCCTGGTCTACAACTTCACCGCAGTTCGCTCTTGCCCAATGGACTTTTCTTGATGCAGCCATACTCTCTGCCCATGCAAAGCCGTCCTGGGGTGGGGACCCTCCAGTGCACGTAACATTCCTGGACTGGCTTCCAGGTATCTCGTCGCTGTTGGGCTTCCTCATCGTCAACGTCATCGACAAAGACCGTATCAAGGGCGACCAGGGATTCGGAGACTCGGGAGCTGTTTGGAGAGCTCGGTTGTTCTTGTTCATCGGGTTTGCTTTCATGGCTGGTGGTTTGGCAGGGAGTGTGGTGAGTGCTCACTTTATTCCTTCGTCGTCCTTCATCTCAGACTCCGTAGTGCATCCTCATTCTCAAATATGTTCTCGGAGACTACCCTCAACAATTCTCTTACTATGGATACGCCAATGTGTCCCAGAATGTTGCGATGATGCTCGCAGGTGTCGTGCTGTGGATTGCCCAGAGCTCGGGCGGAGAATACGAATACAATTTGACTCTATAAGTAGTGTACGTACAATTGATTTTTAACGACAGCCGAGGCACAAGCATTCATCGAACAGCAGCATCTCCCTCTATACTCTATGATTTCCCTTGCCCCGTTGCATGTGAGATCTTAAGTTGTATATTTTGGCCTCATACCTCCCGTGCTCGAAGCCTCATATCCGAGAAGTGCTGCTAATTATGTAGTAATAAAGATCCAATAGTAAACAGTAGGCAGATGGTATAATCTCCTGGTCTCTCTATTCTACAAGCGAGACCCGCGCATCCATTCATGACTGCAATGCTATCATCGAGGCTGCAACGACAAGCAAAGGAATCCCGAATCCAACCATCTGGGCTCTCCGTCGAGCCTTGACATCATCAGGCGACCACCATCGGATTTCTGACCACAGTAGTGGTCCAAACACTACGCACGCTGTCCAGAACTGTAGGGACTGGTTAAATAATATTACATGAGCAGTTCAAAAGTCTACGCACCACCCGAAGACTTTTGAAAAATAACATTGGGTATTCGTCAAATTGCCGGGCAATAGCCTTCAGTTTTTCATCAGCTCGGCTCTGGATAGTCCGGGGATGTGTGAACATGACCCAAATCGAGTACAAGGCGACCGAGAAGAAGTGATTAAATAGTAATACGGGTGAAGGGCAGATGCTAATAGCAAGTTAGAACTAGTAGACTGTCTGCATCGATGATAGCTTACGCAGATAAGAGGGAGACGGGCCCCCTTATACATTCACCGCCTCGTTCAAAGTACTTGAAACAACCCGTACGAAGAACCTCAAGTTCCTCGTCTGAAACTAATCAGCATGATGCCAAAAACGAGAATTAGAGCATACCTTCAGCACCGAAAAGGTCGTATAATGCTACACTCAAAATATTGACTGTCGATGCGACCGGCTTTCGCTGCCAATGCCACTTGCGCAATACCGTACGTACGGCTCTCCAATCATCCAGCTTCTTAACACGCGTTAACAAATCCCGAAGAATGACAACGTCATTGAACGCTACTGTCATTCCTCCACCAGTCAGAGGATGGCGCATGTTCCACGCGTCGCCCACGAGAAACACGCCCTCCTTGGCAACAGGCATAGAACTGCCTTGTATAACTGAAGGGAGGAAGGAATTCGGCATACGACGAAGGCGGTCCTTCTTCAACGCGTCGCGGACAGAGTTTTGGACAAATGAGGGTAACTGAGGAAGGATGTTTTTTGTTATATGGGACTAGGAAAGGCGAGTGACTGAGAATAAGGCCCAAGGAAAGGACATGGAGACACACCTCAAGGTCGGCGGGTATGGGGGCCTTGACGTCAACAAGCAGGCGAGTGTCGCGTTCGCCAATGCGGTATAGTAGTACTGGACCGTAATCCTTCACGAGCACAACGGTACCATGGTTGGGTATCGGCAATACAGCATCCTCGAGCACGAGCCCAACAAAATGGCTCTTCGTTACAGGCTTACAGAGCCTGTCACCCATTACAGCACCCCTAAAATTGGAGAAGCATCCATCGGCAATGACGACGAGGTCAGCAAAGAAGGATTCCTTGTCTGCTTCACCTCCCGTCGTCAGCCCGTCCTTCCTCGTCGCACGTACACCAATGACTTGCTTGTTGAAGTTGGCCTCAATCAAGTCTGTGACGGTCGCCTCGATAACTTCGACACCCTCTGCCTTCTTTGCAGCCTCCCGAAGTTTCATGATGAACTTTCCATGGTGGAAAGAGCGTCCCTCGTGGCCATCTGGATATGGGATGTGGACGGGCTTGCCTTTGTCGACGACACAGTAGCCCTTTACGGGGACAGCATCAATACCGTCAAAGCAAGCCTCCAATCCAAGGTTTTTCATGCAGTCGACGCCTCCAGGTTGCAGCAGTTCACCAACAATCCGGTCGGGTTCTGCCAGGGAGCGTTCAAGCAAGGCGATACGAAGGGGCTTTTCGCGTGGAATGGTGGACAGAGCATGGGCGAGAGTGCAGCCAACGACGCCGGCGCCGACAATGATAACGTCGTAGTGAGTTTTCCACATGGCGGGATTGGATGAAGGTCGTCGTTGGTGAATATTAATTCATGTTAAGTACTTCGCCAAGTGGGCCCACTCAAATAAAATCAAAGGGGCCTGCGGCAATTCCCGCGCCCACAGACTCGATGGTACCGGAGCACATCCAGGCCTTCTTCTGGATTATATGCCCACTTTTTTATGTGGGGAATCAGTATCACCATTGGCACAGATCTCAGATGTTGCTCATTTTCCATAAAAAAGAAGCTGAATTGTATCTCAAAATTTGATTAAAAGATAAGTATGCGCCAACAAACGTTGTTATAAACTTCAAGCGACCACCTAGAGGAGAGGTGAATGGCGAAGTGAGAAACGACACTTTGCTACTTACTGGCCAGCCCGTAGAAAAGTCGAGGAGGTTGATGCCGAGCTAGAGAAAATTAGCGCATGTACTGGAACACTATAAATGAAGATCCTCACATAGCTGCCCGATGAGGTGTAATAGTCTAGAACATTTAAATACTTGATCAGATGACCAAAATGCGGTAAACTCACGGTATACAAGAATAGGACCGTCACTATCTTCGTAAACGTCTTGACCGCCGGGTCCATAGATCTGTAAATAAATAAGCAAAGAAGGAACCATTCACGACGTTGAGGATTTCATGTACGTTGTCGTGACTCTCCAATACAAGCGTTCCTCCGCCCTCAAGAAGAGAAACGCCATCTTGATCGTAATAGGTACCGGAGATGCTGTAAGGCCGTCATTAAATTTGATGACTTCACGCGAGAAGCGAGCCTCTACCTTGTTGACCTTCCAACACGGATGTTATAGGTACTGGACGTTCCCTCACAGCAGATATCCCAAGACGTGAAAAGATAGTAGTAACTCCCGTATTTGTAGATGCTGCTGGCTTCCACGGCGCCATCGTCATCCGTACGTTCAGCCAACGACGTAACTGAAGAACTGGAAGAAAGTCCCGTGGATGAGCTGAGCCTGTATACAGTTGAGTCAAGAATTTAAAAAAAAGTTTCTTCCAAGACTGACTTCATCAACTTGATACCTGTCCAAAAGCTTCCGAGACTGAGATACCAGGTGCTTCCAGCTATAACGGAGTCAGAAGTCAGGATACATTTCGTGTAGAATAACTGAGGGACGTGCAAATGAAGAGACTAGAAGATGAAAGATGAGACTAAGACAGAATCTCCAGTAGCAGGAAAGCTTACTTGGGGTCAATAGCCTAGAAGATGGTTTGTTAGAAAGTTCCTTACGATGATCACGGCAACATACATTATAACTGTCACCAGACGAAGTCGATGTTACTAGACCCTTATTGGTCCAGGTTCCTAGAAGAATACATCAACGCAAAGAACAAGTACTCAGCAGAAAACGACGAACCAGGAGCACCAGTCGTAGAAGTTGCCAAGAAGATAGCCGACTAGGCAATGAATTTAACGAAAGGAAAAGCAAGAAGCAACGAGGTTCTGACTGACATCCTGGGACCCGAAGCTGGATGCTGCATAGTAAAGCTGGAACCTATGAGGCTGCGTCCTCAGTCTCATCGAAAGTACGTACCCAGAACTTGCTACCATCGTAGTAGCAGTCGGGGGCCCACAAATTTCTAGAATCGTCAAATATTGAGCAAGAGAAGATAGGCGAACATGGGCGAATACAGCTACCCGTTGGAAGTACCGGTGTAATCGTCGGTCCAACTTGCACCGTCGGGCCACACCAATCCCTGGTACGTCCATGCTGTCCTGTCCGTGGAAGTAGTGATTGAGATACCAACAGCGGTTGCTACAGAGGTGGTGAGAGTGATTTCCATCTTACGGAAATATTCAAACTTACCGAACAAGAAATATTTCCCGTCACTGTCCTTACAAATGGTAGGATCATGCGTCTCAGTATCACCGGTGACAGTGCCAGGGCCAACATAGGCGCGACAGACGCTGGCACATGTCAGCACGACACAGAGGAATTGAAAGAACGACGAGGCAAGACGGGAAGCCATCGAGGATAGAACTATCTGTTGAAGGAGTCGAGGGTCGAACGGCTTTTATAGAGCTCAGGCTGACTGGATCTGGAACATCGCTTGCAGTCAGAGAATTTCTGAGGAAAAACACAGGAGAAACCGGAAGAAATTAGTGAGTTGTCGATATGGTGACCAGGCGCCGGGTCTAATCAAGTTCCAATGGAGCTTCGTGTCGCGCGCCGGTACTACTAGGCCTTATTCCTCTAAGTAATATTCGCATCCGCGGGCCAAATCGACGATACCCTTTCAGGTACACATACGGTGAAACATCATACTGTAGCCGTGGTGTTCACAGAACGGTAAGGGCCATGTTGTGCGTTCTTGGTGGGCGTTCGAATCGAGAAATGAACCACCGCCTTAAGCGGCCCGAGCGTAGTCCGGACCGGGTGCATGTCCTTTCTATTCCGATCCGAAAATCTGCCATGGACTCTTTCACCTTTCTCCATCTGTGACACTCACCGGGTGGTATATAGGCCCCCCGTGCTGCGTTTGAGCCTGATTTCTGCAGGTTCAATTCCGCTCTTGAGATCTAATTTTACTTTGTTGGTCTCTCAATCCTCATCCTCAATGAATTCTGAGCAAGATTACGCCGATAGACCAACTATTGTTCTTCATCCGTGAAGCAGAGATTCGAACGATGTCTGTAGCTTCTTTGCAAGTTGCGATCCGATTCCATCCCCCTTCGTATGATATTCGCGTAGAGAGCGTGCCTATTCCAGAGTGAGCAGAACCCTTTTGGAACCCTTAGATGAGCTCAGATGGAGATTCTCAAACTTTTATTTTTAGAATTACCCACCCGGACGATGCCATCGTTAAAATACGTGTAAGTCGGAGAAATTTATGAATATACCTTCCAGAAGTTCACGGCAACATATCTATCCTAGTTTTCCGGCTTGTGTGGTACGAACGGTCCAGCCTGATGCGTCTCCCGTCAGTCCGATGACGCAGTTATTTTAAGGTAGCGATCTTCATGCGTACAGAGGACACGAAGCCGTTGATAAAATGCGAGTTTATTTTTCCGTTGCGCAGTCGGCTGGCCTAACATTGACGCGCCTTCTAGTCATACCTGCGGTCATGAGTTCATCGGTGAAGTCATCAAACTGGGGTCTAGCTTCACCGCGCATGCCCAAAGACTTCCGTCGTTGTACGCAAAGCTAAAGATCGGGAACAAAGTTGTTTGCCCGTTTACTACCAGTTGCGGAGAATGCCAGTATGTTGAATACCGAGTGTCTGCACACAATACGGGATCCTAATGTGAAATGTTCACAGAATGTGCCGATCAGGATTTACGTGTCGGTGCATCCAGAGCAAACTGTTCGGTTCTCCCGCTTTGGAGGGTGCGCAAGCGCAGTACATTCGGGTGCCGAACGCAGGTGGGACGCTGTTCAACCTCAGTGACCCGGACACATGGCCCCTGTCTAAGCCCAAACAAGTTTCTGATAGCTCGCTGCTCCTCTTGGCCGATATCCTCCCCACTGGAATTTTCGCTGCCATTCAAGCGTTGAGCCATCCTAAAGTGCTACCTGTACTGACGGCGACACCTTGGGCACTGCACGACAAAGCATCCGACGATATATCAGACCTGTTCCCCAAAGAGAATGTCCCTACCTTTGCCATTATAGGGCTTGGTCCTGTCGGAGTCTGTGCAACCATAAGCTTACTTGACCAACTGGGAAAACGACAGTTGCCCTCAGGGTTCAGGATCGTCGCCGTTGATCCCGTTGAATCTAGGAGGAACAAGATGCGTTCCATCTATTCCAAAATAAGTGACTCAGAAGTCAGGCCCGAGGCCTTCATGGTTCGATCCATCGAAGAAGCAAAAGAAACTGTACAAGCTTGGACTTCAGGTGTCGGATGTTCTGCTGTATTAGAAGTCCGTTCACCATAATCTCTTTTTGCATATGAACTGATTTTCTCCGCTTACGAGCAGGTTGTTGGCAACAACAGTGCCCTCACGCTGGCCTACGAGCTTGTCCAGCCATTTGGGACTATTTCCTCTGTAGGTGTGCATGGAGAACGTCCATTCCCGTTGACCGGAGGTCAGTTATACGATAAGAACGTGTCATTTGACTTTGGGCGTTGTCCTGTTCGTTCGTTGTTTCCTATGGCATTTGATCTTTTAAGTGAGTACTTGCTTTCGTCCCTTAGTTGTCAAGTTTTGACTGATCTCGTTCGACTCTGGTAGTCAAGCGTCAAGATGTATTCGGGACTGTAGGTGATGAATCGGGTTTGATTGACAGAATTGTCGGCTTTGATGAGGCAGTGCAGATGTATGCCGCGTTTGATAAGGGAGAGGTCGGCAAGATCGTGTTTGATCCTTGGAAGGAAACTTAGATTGAGCGAATAGACCCAACTGAAATACGGCAAGAAGTATATAGAGAATGAAACAATATGCAACGCAGCGAAGGAGAAGACTAAAATCAAACAACCGCCTATATCAAAATAAATGGACTTGTCCTTGTGTTGAGATTAAAATTCCTTACCGGCCATCCGGTGGAGAAGTCGAGTCGGTTGATGCCCAGCTGATAGAGGGATGAGTCTGTCGAAGTTAATACAAAGGTAGGGTCGGACGTACAAAGCTGCCCGACGATGTATAATAATCTTAGTGCATGATTAGTCAAAATCCCAACAGATGTCAGAAGTCGGCTCGACTCACGGTATACAAGAATAGGGCCGTCAACATCGTCCATCAAATCCTGTCCTCCAGGACCCACAATCTAATGACCATCAGTAAGTTGTGCGCGACGGCGCCATTTTTAAAGGATACGCACACTACCATGGGTACCCAGAACCAGAGTCCCTCCGCCAGATGTCAAGGCCACACCCGCTTGGTCAACAAAGCCAGATGTCGGGCTTTGGTGGACAATCAGAGAGGTGCAGCTTCAGTAAGTCTAGACATACGATGTGGATCTTCCGACGCGAATATTGTACGTTGAAGATGTTCCTCGACAGCACAGGTCCCACGAAGTGAATAGATAGTAGAAGCTTCCGTGCTTGTATATGACGCTGGCTTCAATAGCGCCGCCATTCGCTGTGCGCTGAGCGATGGACGTTACAGAGCTCGTAGGGAATCCCGTGGATAGTGACACGCTACAGTAACGGCAGCCTGAAGCCAGAAGAAATACACAGGGTAGCAGCGACCTACGACTCGACTTTGATCCCAGTCCAGAAACTGCCTAAAGAAAGATACCAATTACTGCCATCTTGGCGATGTTCAGCGGGCACTCATTCGAACAGGAACGGACCACTTACCCACTAAAAGGCTTTTATAACATCAATGCGACAATTATGATACTATCAAGAGCATTGAGAGGAAATTTGGTTACGCACTTGGGATCGATAGCCTGATGGATAAATGTCAGACAGTGAAAGAAGAGAGAAATGCCAACACCGACATTATAGTTATTGCTCGACGAAGTTGACGTCACAAGGCCATGGTTAGTGAAGCTACCTAAATGATTGAAATTGCCTCTAAAATATCACGAACAACGGACGAGTGAAGTACCTGGCAAACCAGTGGAAGACGTTGCATAGAAGATCGCAGACTTGAAAGTCGTTGAGGGGAAAATTCTTAACGGTAGCAACATCGCGTACATTTTGAGATCCGAAGGACGACGTAGCGTAGTAAAGCTAGTTGATATTGCTATTCAGCCCAGATCTGGATTACAGATAGTCGCAAAGACTTGCATGGAAAACACCATTCGCGTAATAGCAGTCCGGGGCCCAAAGGGCACTACGAAACAGGTATAAGTTGTGTATTGGGTCCATTAAAACAGTGAAGAGTGGTGATACGTGCCCATTAGAAGTGAGTGTATACGCTAGAAACAAAGCGTCAGAACCTGACAGATTCTCAGAAAGATTCGGGCTAACGATCGGTCCAGCTGGCACCGTTAGGCCAGACTAAGCCCACAAAGGTGAACGCAGTCCTATCTGGCGAAGTACGAATTTCAAGCCCGACTCCAGTTGCTGGAATAACCATAATTGTGTGTGAATCCCAGTTACCAATATCAGTGGGGCACCCTACAAAAGACAAAGTACTTTCCGCTACTATCTTTGCACATGGTCGGATCATGGACAGCGGTGTTGCCAGTGACAACGCCAGGTCCTACCTGAGCTCTGGTAGTGCCAAGGAGCCAAAGAAGAAGGGGGGCCAAAAGGAAGAGGTGCATGACTACTTGGGAGGAGTGTTCGAATGCTCTTCCGCTTCATATAAGGTGGGACCAAAGAAATGAATGGTAGCATCCGAGAATTTTCAGTGCCGAGTGAGAAAATGACAGATTTGTTCTCATTCCGTATGCAACCAGAGCAGATGAGCATGTTTTTCGTGTCACGAACGCGATGCAGTACGCCGCCCGGTCCGGCTGCTGGGAATTATGGAGCTTGCTACAAATAATCGCAACGCACCGCTCCACCTGAGGAGAAACTAATGGTAAAGCAGTGCCATTATCATGCTGACAAAAAGAAAAGAAACTTGAAAGAACCGTGACACCGTTGGGATGCTGCTGGCAACGGTGTGTGCCTGGATTTTGTTTAGAGGCTAGCAGCTTTGGAAACAAATAGTGCGGCAAACTATTCTTACTCTACTTCCATCATCGAAAATGAGTACTAAACAAGCGCAGCTGGACAAGGAAAAGGTGTGCTATCAAGACCAGCATGCCACCGTACATTATCCAATAAATATTACCAGGGAAATGCCGCCTTTAAGGCGGGGGATTATGCGACAGCCGTTGGACACTATTCTTCTGCCATTGTGAACGACCGGAAGGATTACACACTGCCTTTGAATCGTGCTGCTGCGTACCTCAAGTTAGGCAAGTACGTTTCTCGGCCAATTATATCTCAAGTACCTCTTCTCATTGCGCTGAAACATAGGTTCGATGACGCCGAAAGAGATTGCACAGCCGTTCTTTCTCTGAATGCGTCCAATGCCAAAGCTTTCTTTCGCAGATCACAGGCCCGCGTCGGCATAGGAAAGCTGAAGGAGGCTGAAAATGGTTGGTTCGTTTCATACCTACCGGAGAGCGTACTCAGCGCGTAAACTCAGATCTCAGAGCTGCGGCAAAGCTGGAGCCCTCAAATACGTCTATTACTCAGGAAATAGCAAAGGTCACGGATGCCATAAAACGCACGACTATATCCAATGTAATTTCAAAGTTTTAGCGGCAGAATCATGCTCTTGATATATTTGCAGGCCAAGCCCATCGATGTTACACAGAACGCAAAATCAAAGCGCCGTAGAATTCCGATAACTATTGTTGATGATACGATTGACACGTCGTCCGCTTCTGCGACCTCTTCTATATCGGAAAAGATTGAACCCACTGCGCGGCCGACACCGACGAAACGAGTGGAAATACAACCAAAACAGGCCCCGAAAGAGGTTAGCGTTGTGCAGCGTTTTCACGAGCTTCATTCTGACCGTTAAAATGATAGGAAAATACATCGACTCCCCAAGCGACATTCAAAGAAGCAAAACGGAGCCGAGACGATGTGAAGACTAGCCGCGTAGGTGGGGGTATTTTCAGAAGCAACGGCCCAAATACGATATTCCCCACGAAACAAGTAACTATACCTAAATCCGACGTAACGGCTGCCCCTCCCCCTCCTGTAAAGCATGATGTTCCTGCTTCCACATCCCCGAAAGCACTTTCAGTCCCAGCGCCCACAACCTTATACGACTTAACAAAAGCTTGGGATGTGCATCGGTCAAGTGAGGAGCGATTTCAAATCATCACGGTGGGCGTAACCATTTAATTCATGATAGAAAACTGACCCTTTTGAAGAATGTGCCTTCAGCGCAACTACCAGCGTTCTTCAAGACGTCGCTGGAACCCAGCTTATTGGCATCCATCCTTGAAATATTTCTGAATGTCTCTAACGAAGAAAGGAATACCTCGATTGTTGTTGAATATCTAGAAGCTCTGTCAAAAGTTCCCAGACTTGGCACGATGATACTGTTTCTGAGTGAAGGAGAACGTATGGTGCTGCGGAGGTTAGTAGAGAGGGTAGGCGTAGATAAAGTGGACGCGGTGTGGCGAAAAGCGTAATATAATTGCAGCATTCGGCAAATGCCGACACCCTGTCTGTTCGCGACCACGTTGTAGTAACCTGTTTTGCCGCGACCACAATGAGCTTCCAGGATATCGAAGCAGGCTACTCCCATCCTGCCACCACTGCGACGTCGTCTGTACCAAAGTCAAGCGAAGATGCCGCATTTCTTTCACTTCAGTCGTCGCTTTCGCTGCAAGTATTCAAGATGAACGCCAACGTACAAGGCATCCTCAAGCTCGTCGACCAGCTGGGAACGGCGAAGGATTCTGATATCCTCAGGAAGAGCCTGTTTGTATATTGCTACTGTCTCTTTGATTCTTACCTGAATTGTGTAAATGTAGACATGATTTGACAGAGAGCACCCGAGCAATGGCCAAACGCGGTTCCGAGGACCTCAAGAAACTGGCCGCGCAGCAATCGGGTCTTGTGTGTAACACCTTGCTGCAATCTCGTAGCATGCTCACACCGCTTGTCCTAGCCTCACCAGCGCACGTCACTCCAGAAGACCTCCCATGATTTCCAGATGTCATTGGCTGCATTTCAACGGGCACAACAAGTCAGTGCCGAGCGTCAGAGGACTGTAGTCGAGGGCGTCAGATTAGCAGTCGAGGAGGAACATCAGTGCGAGGCATTCTATCGTTAACGAATTACTCACTGACTACTTCCAAGACTTGATGATGAGCACACCAACTCCCCAGAACAACGCCAAGCTTTGCTACTTCAGAACCAGCTGTCCCCCCACGAACTCGCGTATCAAGAATCTCTAATACAAGAAAGGGAAAACGATATTCGAGAGATTGAGACAGGCATTCACGAGTTGTCAGAAATATTCCGTGATTTGGGCACCCTGGTTGAGCAACAGGGTGGACTGCTTGGTTCGTTGACCGTGCCGGTTTTGTTGTATACCACTGATTATCGCCTCAGACAATATCGAATCCAACATGTCCTCAATAGCTGTCGACACCACGCGAGCATCTGAAGAACTCACTACAGCTGCTGAATACCAACGTAAAGCCGGGCGGAGAGCTGCCTGTCTCATGATCGTACTTGTCATCGTGGTAGCGATCGTCCTATTAGCAGTAAGGACTAGTACTTTGTTGGTAACCATCGGGACTAACCATCAACAATTTTAGGTCTTGTCGTAACACGTTTGGAGACATGCATATGCGTTTTTATACTTGCTATCAAGGAAGGACTTTGAGTTATATTATATACTATTATTAGTGGACATTGGGTGACTTCGTGAATGAGCGTGACTACCAAGTGCGATGACATTGATGTTTCCAGCCCCAGAAGGATTCATCTCCGACTACTATCATAAGACCGTGCGCCTGTCTCTTCGTGATGGAGTCTAATCTCTTCGTAAGTCTGATATGCTGCCTTCTTGTTCTATCGATGATTTTACCCAAAGTTTACTTTCGTATCGAAGCGGTATCAGTGTGCGAACCTATACAGTCGAGTACAGATGACCTCGTGCAAATCTGGGAAAACTAGGATGTAATCTTTAAAATACTGGTTGCGCTTCTCTGACCCACTCAGCTCGTCCCCCCGCCATTTAACATAGATCATAATCGCCTTGACATTCTCAGATATTGAGGGTCCAGCGGCCATTCAGAGTACGGGCTCAGGGTGGAGATTGACTGATCCACGAGGTACAGTTATTACTCTTTATGCATACTTACACACATTGCTCTAGAATAGAATGGACCTCTGAATTCTTCTCTGTTCTTCCGCGCCCTCGATCTTTCTACCATGTCTTTCCCAAACTGCTCCACCATCGGAATCCGACGATATAAGGTCTTTCCAGGACAGGACACCAGGTTGTCCTTCTCCGAAACGCCCATTTCTTCCAAGCTCACAAGAATGGATCATTCGGTAAGTTAGCCGTATTCTTTTGTGATAGACGCACTTTAGCTTTATGTAGTTTCCGTCTTTGAACTTTTCCCCCCTCAATTTTACGTCGGAAACGATGAAGTGGAATACGACGTCGTCGTATCTGACTCCAGAAGATATGGTGAGAATATTATGTGATATTTGGATTCTTTGTTCAAATTTTATAGATGTCGCAGTACGTGTTGGCTTCCTCTGCCTCTCCCGATTTCGTTCTGGATGTAGCGGAATGCGGTACAATCGAATCGGGCCTTAAGGTCACTGATACCATAGCCGCTGTTGACGTGAGTGTCCGTACTCGCATTCGTCGTGCCAGTATGAACTTACTCTTGCTTAGGAATCATGCCAATTCAGCACGGAGGGATTCGTAGCATTACCTGCGAGTGCTCATCCCATATTCGATGTAGAGCAGTGCCATGATACTCAGACAACCTATCAAAATAATGGTCTTAGTGAAGTGGCTTTCGTCGTACCTTCTGTGAGCATTCACCTCGTATCTTCTAGTTCGCTTTACTTACACTTTTCTCGCAGTTACCAGACCAGCCAAGCGACTACGTGAGCTCCGTATCGACCAAGTTTGGTCCGGGTTTTGAGTTCCGCGGAGTTACCTCGGATGTGCAGCTTGTTTCTTGGGATTCGGTTTTGTTTCACGTACATCGGGATCGACTTCTTGAAGCGTCCTTCAATGGATTTGATGGACTTTTATGCGTTCCGGAGCCTCGCGTTGTGGTCCCGGAAACATCGAATCTGCTCAATATCATCTTGCACGCGATCTACGACATTTCTTGCTCTCCTTTCCAGCCCAGTATTGATACCTTAATGGACGCTGTCTGCCTTTTCCCGAAATACGGTTTGCGGGCCAAAGATTACATCTCACCCTCATTGCCACTTTTCAACGATATTCGCTACAGGATGCCGCTGTCGCCGCTGTTAACGTTCGTCGTATCCTCGAATCATGGCCTAGAGGACCTTGCCGTTCTTGCATCGGCCCACCTCCTCGCTCTGGACATCTCAACCATGAGCGACAATATGGTCGAGACCATCAACCCTGTATATCTGAAGCGCCTCTTCGACCTTCAGACCAGCCGGGTCAACGCATTCAAACGCCTTCTATCTGTTCCTCCAGAATCTCACCCAGCAACGCCGGAATGTGACTTTATAGCTCAGAAATCTCTGACTAGGTCCTGGGCATTTTATACCGCGTATATGCTGTGGGACGTCCGGGCAGGTGAGGTACCTGTTACTCCTTGTGGTTTGGTGCTGACAATTATGTAGATATGACAGCTGGCATGATCGAACGTACGTTCGAAACACTCGATAGCGACCTTCTGTGCAGTCTGTGCAAGAACTGTCTGAGAAAGCGCGTTAAGAGTATCGTTATCGAATGGTCAGAGCTGAAGGTAGGAGGCAGCTGAACCCATTAAGACTTTTTATTCACAAGTCATCTGTGATAGCGCACGATTTGATTGCCTCGGATGTTGCCTGTTTCCGGTCGATACTTCGTATCTGTTCTATTATTGTATGCGTTCTTCTTCATCAGCAGATCGGGAAAAAAGTTGCCGTGGATTGCGGCGACCACGATCCGGCATAATTCTTATCCGCCTTGTCAAGGCCTTACAAGCCCATATAACCGAGGCACGATGTTGCGACCTCTTTGTATGCTATTAGAAACCCCCATAATGATATGTTAGCCTTCAAGATTGCATAGGATTATTTTTATCCCGTACATTGCTACCATAAGCTCAATAAAATACGGTCTGGCTTACACAAACTGGTTGTAAAGTGGTACTAGTGATTGCATTGACATGTAAATGTACTACAAGTCAGAAAACCCAGTATCTTCGACATCAAGGTAGCTCGATTCTACGGATCCATCAGAATCGGTGCCTTCTTCGGAAGGCCTCTCATCCTCGCTGTCCTCGGAGCTCTGATCCTCGCCATCGTCTTCTTCGCCTTCGTCTTCCTCGCCATCGTCTTCTTCACTTTCCTCCAGCGTATCTTCGCCTATGGCGGCTTCATCATCTGCGCCTGTCACGTTATCATTGTCTTTGAGATTCGGGTCTGCATCATGTCCAATGCCTCCACCGGCATAGCGCATATACATGTCTCTATCAACAAAGCTTGCCGCAAGACAACCCACAAGTCAGCTAGGAATCGGATAAAGGCCATACAACTCACATCATGACATAGTAATTCACCCAATCTTTGTCTTCTCCTGGATGTCGCGCGGCCGATGGGGAAAAGTCAAGAAGTGTCCGAGTACGACCAGCCGAAAATACGGGAGTCAAATGACATGCACGGAGAACCAGAGAGGGATCAACAAAGCCAAATGCCCCTTCATCGTCTTCAGGTACAAATCCAATTTTTGGAAGGCGTGCGCTCTTAAATCCCCACCTGTAGCCCGGCTCAGTTCCATACCACCGAACCCACAAGAACTCCATGTTCTGGACAGAATGGCTGCGAGCTTCCGATCCTGTATGGCATACTTGTGCATGGAAAATCCCAAGAACTCGAGCATACCAGAATGGGTGAGCATGAGCGTCAGTCTCGGGAGAAAGCATCATGACGTCGCTGTGTGTTCGAGGGTTAACAGAATCTTGATCGCGTCGCATGTCGTATGAAGTGTAATTAATCCTCATTGTTTTATGAGCATAGATCCGGTTGCTGACGATGTGGACAGACGCCCGTTGCGCATCAGAGTACGTTTCATCATCACCATCAAAATCGTGGCCGAGTAAGCGGGTGAGAAGATGGTTTTTCAGCTTGAATATAAACTTCTGTAAGACCTAATATCAGACACCGAATCAAAAAAAAGTCTGTGACTCACGGTCTCGGCAGGATCTTGGCCGTTTAGGTGAACAAAGGAAACAATATCATGTCGATATCTTCGAGACTCTGATATGATATGATGGAGCTCTGCACAACCAGACTTGCGTGAATCCTTCTTTGAACCCTTTATCGGATAAATGTTCTTCATGCCATGTATTCCAAGCTGGCGTCTGAAATGTCGCCGTCGTCGCTCGTGATTGGCAATTTGTTTGGTGGCATTAGACTTGTTTGTCCGAGCATACAATCCTTTCACTGTACGATGCGCTAATTCTCCCTATTGGATATCATCAGCAGTTATCTAGCAAACAGAGGACTTCCACGAACCGTCTGTGTCGAGTACGAATCAGTTGTACCAAAAACAGGAATAGTGGAAGCGTAATCAGCAATGGCATGGAACTTGTACGTATTGATGTTGAGCTGCCGCTTTTGTGGTCCCGGTTGAGGACTTGACGTAGAGACTGGATGTGGCTGCATTTCGTTATGGCGAAAGGCTTCAGTTTCAGCCTTTTTTGCGGCCCTTCGTACTCGTGTGTTGACTTCTCTCGGAAGCTCCACTGTGTCGAACTCCTTTGACCACTCCCTGAATCGGCGAAGCTCTTTTCCTAATGTGGTTGAACAATTCTTGAGTCGTTCCAGGGTAACATCACTGTGCATTCGCAGCTTAGCGAGAGCATGCCATTCAGCGAGACGAAAGAGTAATGTCAAAATCCAGGAGTTGTATGGTTCATCGAGAAGCCCGTCGACAACTGGAATTAAATTCTACAGCCAGTTAGTTGGGACATAGTGTTAGGAAGGCGGACGTACCTGAAGGATGTCCTCAAAATCCCGAGCGCCCAGTTTCTTCATTTCAGACACATTGTTGGCAAATTTTCGTATGGTATCAACCCCAAACGTCGGAATAAGTCGAAATCTGAGGAAAGGCATCAACTGAGAACAGGATGGAGTCGAGAAATGGTACATGTACACATACCTTTCATCGAAAATCTCTACTAGCTGCTTCTTCTTAGTTTTACCAGCTGCATAGAGGATACGGACAAGGTGGACAAGAACAGCCTTGAACACGCCCAGCTCAAATTCATGCATCTGATCCACGACTAGCATCTGAAAGGGATTGAATGTCGATCCGAGTTTTTCCACAAAGGCATTCTGTGACAGTAGAATTAGTAGTTGATATATTGGTAACCAGATAGTAAACGTACCATGGTCGGAACAATTGACTGCGGTTGGCATAATCTCTCCACTGCTGCACTGCCGACAGTATATCCCTTATTGAAAATGAAATCGCGTGCCCTCGTTATCTCGTCTAACAGATATGTCCTAGCCAGACGAACACGTAGCTTCAAATCGTATATGAGACCCATCTGATCGGCTTTCTTCTTGGGAACAAGACAGCGAGGACACAGACATGTGCCATTATCTCGAATATTAGCAAGGAGTACTCTGTACAATATGCAATTATCTGTTAGTGCTTAACCATGGAGGAAATAAAAGCATACTTTTCAGGGTAGTCAGCTGAATATGTGAATATCCGGGGGTAGACACGACGATAAACTCCATCTGCACATTTGAGAACGATGCCGTGGATATAGGCATGGACAAAATCGGCATCCAGAAGGAGCTTCCATGCCTCATGCATGAGTTCGCGCCGACAGTGGGTCAGCAAGTTCTTCTGCTGATTCGTACTGATGTTGAGTGTGCGGAGGAAGTCGGATATTGAGTCTGGAAGCTAAGAAATATTTGTAAGCTGCTAGAACTAAGTCTCAGAGTAACGAGCGTACTGAAGGAAAAAATGCCGTTTGGTGGCATGCACCCGAGTCTGGCTTTGAACGGACATACTTGGACAAATTACCGAAGAAGGTGTACAGTGGCCATGCCTTTGCCGTCCCAAAGCTGGTAAGGTGAGTCGCATCAGACCAAAACATCAATGCGGCAATAACTTTCTCTAGCTTGCACCCAGGTTCGTTAGCGGCCCGTTGGAGAACTCGTTGGGCATTCAGCCAGGCATCCGAGGTGTATAGTTCATCGTATATACGTGTCTCATGTCCAGTGAGTGGAGATACGAATATATGGCGAAATGGAGAAAGATGGAATAGGCATGCTTGCACATCAGTGAATGCGGCCTTTATGACCTCAACCAAAGGTCGGTACCGAAATCCTGGGACTGAAAAGACACGTACACCAGTAGCCTGATTTCCAGTAGGTATTTTGATATCCACAGTTGCCTCACGCCAGCCATCCTTCAGTGAGGGCGATGAGTTAATCGCAGTGTCGAGTTTGCGATGCTCTCTGCCCACATCAAACTGGGATTCAGACTGAAAATCGTCTGTACGGAAATCTGGTGCACGAATAACGTCATTGACAAGACGGTTAACCTCGCTTTCAGATTTGAGGTTGCTACCAGAGTCAACCCACTGCATGAGACGATATGTGCTCATGCTCGAGTAAGGGTATGGAGGTGGTAACACTGAGCCGATTTCTTCAGGAATCGTAGCACTCGAATCAGACTCAGTGGAGTCAGGAAAGTTAGCAAGATCTTGTGGTGAAATGAATGCATCAGGATCGTAGGATGGTCGATTTGGAAAGAAGCGAAGGATATGGAATGCATTGGTCACGGTCTTGAATGCATCGTGGACAATGAGACGCACACGAGGGATAATGGGTGTCGGTTCATCGGAGGTGGCAGCAACTGCTGCAGGTGCAGCTTCTGGGAGATGGTCAATAAATCTGCGAGGAAGTCGATGCATGCGTTGTGGCCGTTCTGGTACAGGTAAAGTCTGTGTAAATGACAATGGTAAATCTTCAGGCATATCCACATCTTGGTAGTCTATTGTCTGCATTTTGACAGCTTAGATTATAGTCAAGAATAATATACTGTGCACATACCTGAATACTAGTCTCAGCATTTTCCGTCTCCAAATTGACCAGCAGTCCTCCCTCCCTTCTAGCAGAACCAACAGGATCCTCCAAACGTCTGCGCTTCTTGTGCTTTCGAGGCTTGTCCAGTTTTACTTGAGCCCGTAATTTAATACTGGCCTCACAGTGATTCTTGTGAAGCGAAAGTCCTTTGGATGTACTGAATTTTCGGCCACACCCCGCTTCAGCAGGAACACAGGAAAAGGGAAGAAGAAGCTCGGACATGAGGAGAATGAAGATGAGAAGTGAGATGGGGTGCATTGTCTGAGAAACGGGCATGCAGTTGGCGGTCTAATAAGTAGGCTGCTCCGAGTCGGAGAGGCGAGATACAGGCATCTCGCGATCACCGGATTAACGCGTCGTAGTGGCTGTGATGCACCACGTGATAGACCCTGATCATGTTCCAAACCATTCTAGTTTCTCTCATCGTGAAGGCCCATTGGGCTCGACACGGACCTACAAGGTCTCTCACCATCTAGATCCATTTTGTTCTCCGATGCGCACCCGAAGTAGGCTCTTCTTCCGAATCGGCAGTCAGTTCTTTCAACATAAATACTTAAGTCATGGCTAAATTTGCTAACGTCGCATCTCAAGCAATATGGCATCACTCCTCCAAGAATCGCAAATCCCCAACCTACCAGGATCCTCTCAGCTATCACATTCGAACATTGGTCTTCTGAAACGGCGCATTGCAGAGCTGGAAGAAGAAGTGGTCACGTTGAAGGGTACTCCCCAAGTCAAGCACCAGTGAGTTTAATAATGACTCTCTCCTTGCTATCATCTCCATTTATTCTTTTAGAGAGTCATTCAAACAGATGGGACGTGCTCTTCCCCGTGTGATGTCACCCTTTGACAGTGTCCGGAGCATCGTGGATGAGAAAGTCCGACGCCAGCAGATTGAAGAGGATTCATCTTCGGACTCAGACGAAGATTCTGCTCTACCTACATTGGAGTAAGTCATATTGTTCATTAATCTTTAAGTGTCTACTAACAGTATCTACTGTATACTACAGACAAGAGAGACTCTTTCGAGGCTACAAGGCAATGATCGAGAGCCTTGGGCCTCGTATTGAAAAGTCTCTTCTAGGCAATGAGACCACACCTGGTGAATTCAATGATATCTGCACCTCGGTAAGCCCTCCATTTGAGTTAGCATTCCATAGTCATCTAATTTCAATTGAAGCTCAGCAACGGTGCCAGCGCTGCCAGAACGGTTGACACTCATTGTCTTCTGGTGAAAGTGCCCGAATGGATCAATCGCTCAATCAAACTCACTGATATGCAAGAGGAGTTATTGGATACCGAGAGTCGCATTGGTCGTGGTTTTGACCATTACATCACGGGAGCCTTTCTGTGTCCTATTGAGTATGATTGGTCGGATCCAGAGTATGTTGTATGGCCACTCAAAGATCTATATTGACATCCCATCATCTAGTGTACGTGCAGCAATACAGAACGGTGATCCGCAGTACCCAGTTACTGCAGAATCCTGGCCTCGATTCCTGTTCCCTGACCCTGAAAAGGACCACAACGATAACGATGAAGGTTTTGCGCAGTCTCCAATCTTACAGAAGGTTATTCAATGGGCTATCTCATTTTGCTCTTACTGATATTCTCGACAGGCTTGGAAGTGCCTCATGACATCACCTGGATCTGCAGACGAGATTGATCTCAATATGCCGGTCTCTCGTGCCAAACGACAGAAGAGAAATCCACCACATTGTGTAGCTAATAATGTTGGTTTGAAGTCAGTGACCGCACGGAGTATCGCCTATGTGGCTGTACAAGCTGGGTTCTTTGATGCTTCTATCTAGGGTTGCGTGCTCATCTTAGCTATATAGCTTCGGATTGCGTTGACGCAGAGCGGCTGGCAACAAGTTGATGGTGATTTCGACTATCACGTCTTCTTCAACAACATTGTTGATTACTTTGAGGATGCCCCTGGACCTATTGCAGAGGCAAAGGCAAAGGCCGTATTGGAATGGTGGACTAAGTGATTCCCCCATCTGATGCGAGATTACCTACTGATGTTCTGTTTCCTAGCAGTGTTTTCAAGACTGGAAAGACTCGACTTTCCCAGTCCCTTCCTAATGGTGGCTCTGTCAAGCGATTAGCAGCGAAGAGAGAAGAGCAAGAGCGAGGAGAACATACAGTATAAAGTTCGAGACCAATTTATATAAATGATGTACCAATATTCTGTGCCGTGATAACAAATGGACTGTTTCTGAGTTTCTCAAAAGTTTCTGTGAATTTCTCCATGAATGACAATAAGCATAGTACCAAAAACTGTTACAATACATTTACGATGTTACAGACTCACTATAATATGAGCTCATGTTATACCTGCCTATGGCATCAAGTAATGGTACTGATACCTTTCGAAGCCTGATATGCATTACTGACATAAGAAATACTCATAATGATACATGAAGAATTATCAATCCTCCACGCTTCATATGGGCATATAACCTTCGCGCAATTATTTCGGACGTTGCCAAGCATTTTGAGCCTTGCCACGGGCTTATATGGGCGTATATATTTTTGTCCGATTCGCTGATGCTTTAGATGCACATACTTGTGTAGCTCCAATAAAAAAGCAGCGCTTGTACTGCGAAGTCCGGTCAGACTTGATATCTAGAATACTACCGCCTTGGTAGTAGCCAGCTTGTCTCGCGAGTGAGCGCCTGAGAAAAATAATTACTGACTCGCTAAGGCCGGTCAACGGCATGGCTGGGTCAGTGGGACATACCACTGGAAAATCCAGAATCCAAGAAAAAGCCAAGTAAAAGTGAGACGGCGAGATGCGCAAATAGCAGAGATCAGGCAAAATCCGTGGCGCGTTCAGTGCAGAGAGTCAAGATCATAGTCTGCAATGTTGATCCAAGTTTGATATGCCTCTCACTCGTCCCACAATACCGCAACTCATCAATTTTAGGCGACCGGGGTGCGGAAAATGTTGGAAACACGTGGAGGCCAAACGACTGGTGAGTGTTGCGACCCTTTTTCAGCACAAATTCGTCTGGAAGACGTCAAGCAGCATTCAGCCAGATAGTCCAAGACGTTCTCTTGAGGGCTATACACAGCCTCTCATCCACGACTATGCATGACCGAGCAACAAGCGTCAATCCTATCACCGGCACTCTTCGAACGACATATTCCTTGTATCGGAGCGTTTGCTGAATTAGAGATCGCTGAAGGAATGGTCCACTCGGACCCAGCCAAAATGCTATTGGCAGCTAGAGCGACCTGTATGCCAGCTAATACGCCGTCCGTGGATCAGGACACGGGCCAGAAGCGCTCGCTCCTCCTTCGTTCACCTGCAGGTGACGAATTTACAAGTTTAATCGTGCAGGAGCTTGTCGATGACTGGTGATCTGGACTCGGAAGTACGCTGAGTGATTTATGTATCCCATCTGCCCTCACATACCTGTCATTTCAGAGGCTGATGCACTCAAGATACTTAGCCAGTCTGAAGCAGGGCCCTGCAGAGTTGGAGTGGCACTTAACGCCGTCGTCGGTCGACGCCTACGGACCGACTCGATGCAATTCGGCAGTTCAGACTACTTGGTGGTCCGTGAAATATGCTACCGCCGGTTCATCTCAGGCAAGGCCGCCCGTTGAATATAATCTCTGCTTTGTCAAGGACAGCGTGAGTATACGTCCCAATGCGTCGTATACTGAGAAATGCCATGACAGAACCTCGAGCCTCTGCCTCTGCCTCTGCTACGCAATCGAGAACGAATAACAGAGACCTTCTATGAGCCGACCTTGGAGTCCGTTAAAAATGCTCATCAAAGCGGCCCGCTGAAACTGGGCTATGCCTCTGGATGCTGAGCGCAAGTACAGCTGTAGCTGCTTGGAAGTCGGAAGCGAACGATTCAGTGTAAGTATCTCCAAGAGGCGGATTGCTTGTTCTCCAAATCTATCGAGACAAAAGGGAGTTGCAACAGCAGCGTTGACCCTGTGCTTGCTGTGGGTCTGCTTCCGAACGAGTCCTGAAAAACATGTCAATCCTCTGATACTCAGTGTCGTCTACGACAAAAGAGGTAGACGTGCCCACTGTTTGTCAGGACAAAGGCCCGTTTTATTGTTTGTCGCACGTCGGTCAGCGACAACATTGCTCTGAGAGGAAACTGGATCAAGGCGCCAGTGGGCTCTATCGAGCTCACTAGCGAACTGCGACGAAAGATGAGTGATGAGCGATGGTGCTGCTGATGAATTGCTGTGGTGATGAATGCTCCGAGGGACTATTGCGCCGCGAGACCGGCTGGAATGTCGAGCAGCGCTGGTGGCACTAATATCGTCCTCTGCCAGAAACTACCAGGCAAGGCGTTCTAGTCTTCATGTCACGGTTCACATCACGAGAAGATACGAAGACCTGCTCTACCAGACTTGCCTCTGCCCACGATGACCGCTCCAGCCACTCATATGTCCTACGGTCAGTCCCCAGCCATTCCACTGTTTCCACTCACAGACTGTCTCCAGTTACCCTTGGGTCCGCAGGGCTCAAAGTGTCGAAGATTATCCTTGGTTGTACGGTGTATGGGAATCCTGACTGGTTCAGTTGGGTGCAAGACGAAGAAGAGAGTATCAAGCAAATAAAGGCCGCGTAAGTTTATTACACACTCTTTCTCTGATATTTACCTTACTTCCTATCAGTTACGATGCTGGAATCAATACCTTTGATACTGCCAATGTACGACTTCACTTGCCCTACGATGTCCTACTTAACATTCACTTGCTTTAGATCTATTCCAATGGGCAATCAGAGATTATACTAGGAAAAGCTATCAAGCAGCAGGGAATGCCGCGAGATGGGATCGTTGTAATGACAAAAGTTGGTGATTATTCTGCCTCTGCTTTCTCACGGGAGTGATACGTCTGCGTAGGTTTTCCATCCAGTAACACTCATGCACGAACGAATCCATGGTCGAGCATCAGCGCTCGCGGATGAGAAAGGTTATGTGAACCAGTATGGTCTCAGTCGCAAGGTACCTATCGTGTCCTTTCCCAGTTTGCATGCTCATCGATATCTCAGCACATCTTTGATTCGGTCCAGAAGAGCCTGGAGCGTCTGCAGTTAGACTACATCGACGTCCTTTACTGTCATGAGTTTGACCCCGATACCCCAATACAGGAGACGGTAAGGACATACCAGTGGTTTTTCTCCTCTGGTAACTCAGTAATGTATAGATGCATGCGCTTCACGATATCGTGGTAGCTGGCTATGTCCGATATATCGGACTGTCGACTTGTCGCGCTTGGCAATGTACGTTCTCGATTGTATGATGCGACTATTCTCTGACACAGTTTTTGTCTATGCGACAGTTCATGTTATGCAAAGTACGTCTTAACACTACTTATCGTGACATTTCTCACAGATACCCTGCGTTTGGAGACTACGCGCTCAACAACCACTTGACGCCTTTTATCACCGTGGAAACTGACTACAACCTCCTCTACCGCGAGGACGAAAATGAATTGTTCCCCACCTTGAAGGTATGTACATCGTATGAATGAAACTAGCTGCTGTACCTGACATTCACATCAGTATTTTGGAATGTCTTCCTTGCCTTGGTCGACACTTGCTCGTGGTGCTGTGGCCCAACCTCTCAGTCGACAGCACGGTCAACTGGGCGGCAACCAGTGTGTTTATCTCAGGTGTCTGATTCGTGTGCACTTATTTCCTCCTAGAAACACCCAAGGCGAGCAGTGGTATGATACGATTATCTTAAGGTGACCTAAAGCCTTCGATGGAACCGTCGGCCTCCTGACACCTTTCACCACATCAGGGTAGAAGAGATTGCGACCCGAAAAAATATTACCATGACGCAAGTCGCTGTGGCATGGTCCATGAGCCGAGAAGGTACTAGTCAAGTGAAGCGTTTTATCTGATCAGCTATTGAGGTCTGCGACGCAGGCGTTTGTGCACTGGTCATCAATGCATCTGCGGCTGACCGTCTTATGGATGCTGTCGGTACGCTTTTCTCGCTGCCTTTAACTTTGGGCATTCATAAGCCTTATATAGGCGGTTTGGATGTGGTGCTCACTCCCGACGAGATACGGTATTTGGAAGAGCCCTATAGTCCTCAAAGGCTTCATTTTTAAGGCACTCTGGTCACATAAATTCTTACCTCGAGTGATGTTTGTACGATAGCTAGGTACGTAGGAATGAATCATACTTATCCATTACGATTTCTTTGTCCGCAGTTCATTGGTGTGCTACTCACCTCGTCGTGAGAATCATTGCCGCTGAAGTTTGTCAGAACCAACAACGGTCAATTGTCAGAACAGGAGAGAGACAAGATGCGAATTCGGCCTAGGAGCTGTTGCGTGCAAAAACCGTAATACTTGGGTTCTAGGTGGAATGGTTTCGAGCGAAGTCTGACCGCATATATGACTTCATCGACGACGTCAAGACAGACGCCATGCCCCTTCTGTATATGAAAGATTGTCACAGCAGCGACGCCAGATGATCCCTCGTGTCCGGATAACATACATGTGTCAACGCTCTCGGCACGAGACGAACTAGGTAGTTCGCTTCCCTAGCTTTCTTACTTTTTTTCTATTATGCAAAAATAGGATAGGGCTGTAATACTTGGTCCAAGTATTCTAGTACAAACTAATCGTCGTCTTCCATGGTTAGAGTCAGTCTGTCACGACACAGTCGAGCTACCGCTTCTCCGTCGATCGGAATGGCATTTCCTAGAAGCAAATTATTACATTGATCCACGGACGAACCTATAAACATACCTTGAAATCCTTCTACATATTTGGGAAGAGGTGTGCCAGGGCTCGTAAAATACCTGAAAGCACGTCAGTACGAGAGAAGAGAGACTGACGATTCAACATACTGTGATCCCCAGAATCCGTAATGTATCATGCCGAGCGCGCGAGTGGTATACTCATAATCGTGCGCGAACCCTCCGGGGAAGAAAAACTCGATGACAGTGGATCTTGGAGAAGGATTCATCCACAGAAGTGATGTAAGACCATTGCCATGTACGCCCATCATTATCTATACACCAGTCAATTTGTGTGCAACAAATTAAGTTGACTCCTTACAGTTGTTCTTGCAGCTAATCTGATCTGCTCTTTTCGCGACAATTTGTCCATGCTGACAACGTTCACCTCGTATCCATATTCGTCGCGCAGCTTGTAAAGTTCTCTAACCAATCTATCGTGGTCTTCAGGAATCAACATACGTCTGCCCCATTCCTGCCTTGAGATGTATGTTATGACAGGAGTGGTCGTGGTGCCGCTACCAACGGCCGGTTCCAAGCCAGTGTACTTGACGACGTTGTTGCGAATTGGCATCCACCAGTAAGCACTGCCGGGTAGAGGGAATGCCACAGCAGCCGTTCTTTGGAAACGTGCGTAATTGTGACCCATCATGGCGGCAGAGCGGTCGGCTACGAGGACTCTTTCAAAGACAAAGGGCACCCCCATTGATATACGATCTTTCCAGTCGTCGATAAATTCCATAGTAAGCGACGGCCAGGCTGATCGGATAAACCATTGGTTCATAGCTGCATAGTCTCGCCAACGGGCGGCGTCAATGCGGTTAAACATGATGCGACGTGGAGGCGGAAGTGTGGTATTGCCGTCGTGGGTGATATAGTGGTCGAGAGAGCTATACGCTCGCCAAAGTCCAAATCCTAACTCGGCAGACCAATGGTAATAGTGAGTAATGCTATGATGGTGCTTCAGTATGTAAAAGGACAAGCACTTATGAAGATACCCACAATTGCTGAGGGTCATTTATTAGGAACTGGAAAAATGTTAGCAGAGATATAGCAAATAGAGGGGTCGACGCACGGTTACTCCGTCGATGACTTGGGCGGTTGTCCCAAAGAGCGCCCTGGCCTCCTTGGAGCTGATAATTTGGATGTCCTCCTTCGTGGGTAGACGAGAATCCTCTGCTTCCTTGCCGTTTAGAATTCGAAGGCCTTTTGAATAGAATTTGGAAGCATCGGGGATGTTCTGTGGGTCATCACAAACGACGAAGATAGTGCCATTGTATAGATAGAGTTTATCAAAAATAGTCCAGCCTGCGAGAGTCTTTTCAGAGCTATAGATGATGAGGAACAAGTAAGTCGCACCTGGAACATGAGAAATAAGTTGTGTTTGTGGAACAGGTGACGCCCCCCAAGTTAAGTGGGCGCCGAGAGAAGACGCAACATTATGGCTGGGTTCTACTATGGTAATATCTCCCCGAAATTTCAGAGGAACCGTCTCTATTCTGCTCCGCCCTGAAGAAAAGAAATAAAGAACGGAGACGAGGAGAATACAGACGAGGGCGAATTCCCGGCGCGTGGGGGGAGAGGGAGACATGTGTCACGCATCACTGTCACGCACCAATTTAGCTTCACGTTCCTCAACCACGACGACAGCCCATCGTTTCCTGCATCGTCTGCGCGCATACATCGACAATGGACGGCAGAGAGCAGTGGTATAGGGATGGCGCTTCCCAAAGGGCAACAGATTCCGTCCACGAATCTCACAAGCTCCTGGCCGTTTACCCCATGGCATCCGCGACGCCGTCGACACACGGTGCGTATCATCTTTCTCGTGTAGATATCGCTGGGCTCACAGATAGCGATATAGCGGCGCGTCATTTGGGCAATATGACCTCTGTCGCCACGCCTCCATCATTTGTACAGCCAAATTACTACTCTATGCAGTCGACAAGCTATCCTCAGGGCAATCCTCCACCGTATACCGAGTACGCTTCAGAGTTGACATACCTCAGCTCGCAGAATGTGTCTGCTGATGACTCCGGATATTGGGAGAGTACGAGAAACGATGCAGTTCGTTTGATGCAAGAGCAGGCCGGGCCGTGCGTTGTCTTTTGATATTGTCGTTATTGAAAACTCAATAGACGTGTTAGCTCCTATCCTTACCCAAATAGCACCCACTGGACTCCTTCTGGTATCCCGGCATCAACTTATCCGACCAGTTCTCTAGCTCAGTCTGTGTTCCAACATACGGCTCCGACCGCGGCCTATCCGACACCCCCTCCTCCTACTATCCCGACTTCTTCCTCTTCTTCTTTGGCCTTCGCACTGGGGCCCCCACCCACACGGCATGTGCCACCTCCTCCCAAAGTCTACACTCCCGACCAATCGCAAGAGTTCATCAACGATTTTCTGGCTAAGAAAACACAGGAAATCAAGGTTCGGGAACAAGCCCAACGTCCATCGACACCTCCCCGTCAACGGAAGCTATCTACTCAAGAAAGTCCTGACCCTTTAGCCCTCAAACCGGTTACACCTCGTATGCAGTTAGTCACCGTCACCCCTAGCAAGCGAAAACCGGTTGTTGAACTGGTATCCTCTTCGGTAAAGCGCATACACTCCAAGGATTCATTTCATACGCCCCACCGGACCTCCGGAACATCCCTTTCCTCAACGCCTTCCAGTTCTCGTACATCCGTGCCTATCACCCCGAGCACTGTATCAGGCCAGTCTACACCGAAACGAACCAAGACCATGGCATATGTTGCGATGCCTCGCAACCCCTGGGCGACTCCTTCTACCTCGAGTAAATCAGCGACGTCACGAAGATTGAACGACTCTCCCAATGACTTGGGCGGATTTGGATCAGAAGACGGACCATTCTCTAGTCCAATGAGAGGGACCGCCCGTGGTAATCGAGAGGATCGAGGTGCGCTTTTGTGTTTTTATCACCGGTGTGACTTTCGTTGCTTACAGTGAATAGCTCCTATGGAAAAACTTGAGTCGTTGCTGGAAGACATTTTTGAGGCAGAGGATGCTTTGCCTGCTGATGCCGACCTTGCTGACCTCAACATGGATTTCTTTTCACCCGCCACAACTGATACTTCGCGACCTCTTCTGCATCCAAATATCGTTCGTAAACTAAGCAAGTATATTGGACAAGTTGCGAGGCCAAACAAGCGTGTTCGGCATGGAGGACCTAGTGTCACTGGGACACCACGCAATAAAGGTCGATTAGCAGAAGCCACGATTCAGTCGCTTTCCCGGATTCTCAAGTTGTTAGAGAGAACTGTCAGGACAGGAGAGAATTTGGATCCTTTCGCCTATTCTGGCCACACAACACAGTCCTCTCCTCGCAAAGCTAGCCCGAAGAAGCCTAAAGCACGAAAACCTGATCGACGTTCAAAGTCAAAAACACCGGTAGATGGTGAACGAGAAGAGGACGTAGATGCCATACATGCCGACAATCCGCCAAATCGTTCTCCGACAGAGAGCGACTTCGAAAACTTAGGTGTGCAATTAGAAGCAGCTAAAGATAGCGTCCTTGCGGCAGAATGCTGTATCACATTGCTAGGAAGTGACAGGCTTCCGAAACAGGTATTTCATTCTCGTGTGCTGTTTAACGAATTACACTCATCGCCATGAAGCTTTATTCAGAAGAACTTATTACAGCCTGTCTGAGCACCTTGAAAAACCAGCTCAACAAAGTCATTTACCCATTTGCTGAGGCATCCTCTGAGGCTGCCACCACAGCCACTAATCCCCTCCTTCTTCATGTCGTCAAGAATTCTGCTGATAGCGAGTCAAAACGAAAAGTATTGAACGAAACTTTTCAAACGTTATCGGCATCCCTGTCTCGTATAAATTCTTTGATAAATGCGGAAAGCGTGGCAATGTCGGACTCTATCGTTATTCAAGCGGTGTATATTGCGATTGGGCCTTTCTTTGTGGTAGAAGGGGACAGTGACATCAAGGGAAAGAAGGACCAGAACGTCGTTATTCGCACATTCGGGAAGAGTGCTATGCATGGCTTGATGCTTGAAGCGCTATCACTCATTCGTAGCGTGAGTTCATATAACACCGTATGTATGGCATCCTAACCCGGTCTGGTAAGATATTTGCAAGTCATGAGGGGCAGCGGTCTTGGATCATTGAAGAGATTTTATCTTCTTTAATCAAGCTGTCGGACTCTAAACAGAAGGCTGGATTGTTTCGGTACGTTCCGTACACTATCTTGTTTCGACCTTGTCCTGACTGCGCCTTGTGCTCAGACTACGTGATGGTCGTTCCATTCGCACGGTGTCGGCACTACTCCTACAACTGGTACAGACGTCCGCACATGATGTTCGCGTACAGGCGAAAAAGATAGAGAAGGCTAGACAACAGAAGGTCGCGCTGCGTCGTCAAGAAAGTTTTACTGAAAGCCAAAGCCAGATTACCCGGGAGCCGTTCTTGGATGAACACGATTCCGAAGTATGTTTTTCATAATACTAACCTCCGTCCAAACTGATGGACTATGTCAGGAAATTCGACTCTATTATTCTGGTTTAGATTCCGCCTCAAAGGCAGCGAAGGCCATCATCATCTTTCTGACGCAACGGTTGGTCTATAATTCGAATCCACACGAAACAACGTTATTGACATGGATCACAGATCTGGAAAGGGAAAAACTACGAAGAATACGAACGAGGCTGAATATAGGCTGATCTTTGACAACTTAATTTCAGATGTGCTCGTCGTCTTGTACTGGCCCGAGTGGCCTGCAGCCAGCCTTCTTCTCAGTGTTGCGTCTAAATTTATGGTACGTAATGCCGCCCCAAAACACTTAGTCCCATCTCATCAAGGACGTAGGTAGCAGCTCTAGATGATGTGAAAACGAGTCAAGCGGATAACAATGCAGCCAAGACCATGGCATTGGATCATTTGGGTGTCATCGCTGCTCGCATCCAGGTCAAGTGTACTGAAAGTCCGAGACGGGGCAGGTCACAAGCCCAAGGGTTTGAAGCCATTCGATGAGGTTCGAACCCATTTTCTAGCAAGCCTACTCTTCATTGACTATAGCATTTCCAGATTGTAAGCAGTGTAGACACGAAAGAACTTGAGAAACTCTTGAGTGTACATCACGACATTTCAACACATCTTTCGAAGCGCTCTCTAGAAGATCAAGCTTATGACGCAAGTGGCATTTTGTCCGTGCTGAACGTAAAACTGATCTCGAGTTGTAGAGTGCCCAAGAACTTACTGCGGCCACGCTCGGACATGAACTCGCAATTGCATTGAAGCACATAGACACTCTGGTAGGTGGAGATGACGACGATGAACTGGCTATCAGCGGCCGAGATTCGTCCAAATTCGAACAATTTGGTCAAAAAATCAAGGTCGCCCTCCGAAATGTCTGTAAAGATCAATCAAGTGACATATTTGACATCGGGTAGGTTGGTTTCCACAGGAGTATACGATGTCTTAATGCCGTCTCTGAACAGATCCCAAGAGGAAATATCTCGCATCGATCGCTATGCAGAAGAGATAGGTACCATCCAAGGCCTGCGAAATTCTTTCCAGCCTATTCTCAACATCATCTTAACCGCTTTGGATGCGCCGCACATCTTCATGCGTACCAAGGCTCTTCGTGCACTGGGGCAAATTGTTCTGAGTGATGCTACGATTCTTTCAACGGTACGGGTAACTATGTGAATGGGGATAACATGTTAATACTGTCTTCATAGCCTGGTGTTCGTAGGGGTATCGAAAACCATCTGCTGGACAGTTCACCAGCTGTTCGTGATGCGGCAGTAGAGCTGATAGGCAAGTACATGGTAGATCGCCCAGAGGTTGCTGGTGACTACTACCAGAAAATTGCTGAGCGTATAGCTGTGAGCTCATAATATTTTCGATACGACATTCATTGACTTGCTCTTAGGATACTGGTCTGAGTGTCAGGAAACGCGTCATCAAGCTGTTGAAATCTTTCTATGGAGTGACGCGTGATTCTGAACAGCAGACAGATATTGCAACACGTCTGGTGCTCAGAATGCTAGATGAAGACGACACAGTGAAGGAGCTAGCCATCAAAACACTTGAGGAGCTATGGTTTCCTGCCATCGTTCCTCTTCCGTCTGCGTTGAAGTCGAAGTCAACAAATAACGTTGACGACAAGAGCGCACTTCTTGGCAAAGTCTCCGTAATCATGGCTGTATCTGGTCACTTTAAGGATCGACAATCTCCTCTTGAAGAGGTTTTACACAAGATCATGGCTGGACGACAAGAGTCAGAGGTACCTCTGCTGCATTCTCGTTACACCGAAATTTGTGAAGCTCTAATCGATGGCTTGGTTGATGCGTCTGATCTGCCTGGATTTGTACGTACCCTCTCTCTGTGTATCTTCCAGTCTGACGTTTCCCAGACTGTACTCAACTGCATCAGAACAATTCATCTGTTTGCGTCCGCATACCCTTCGGTTCTTTCTGGTTCTCATGCCTCCACACTTCTGCCTTATTTGAAAAATCCTAGTACCGTAAGAACTCTACTAATGGGCATTTCTTTCTCATTCAACTTGATTTTAGCCCGAGCAGCAAGTAACTACTGATTATCTCCTTAAAATATTCCGCATTTCGATACCTAGGTTGCCGAAGACGACTAGTAAATTAGGACAAGAACTTCAAGCGGCTCTGCAGCCCATGATCATAAAGCCAACCGCTGGACTTCAGGTGAAAACATCCGTCTTTTATTTCAGAGATTTTGAATCCTCTTTACAGGTTCTTCAGGAGTGTATTGCCTGCATGTGTACGGTCGTGCACCATCTAACCCGCGACTTTGTGCGGATAGTGGCATTACTCAAATCTTGCAACAGTCTGCTTCTCTTCTTTGTGTCAAAGGACGTAATCTGATGAGTTATGCAGATCGATTGCAAAACGCCATCAAAGGACCCACGTTACAGCAACAAGACTCGAAGGGTCTGAAGGCTTTGTCAATACTGATATTCATCGTATCGCTCCTCGCGGAGCACATGAATTTCGACGGTCTTCGCTCGGAGCACTCTGAACTTGTTGGGGAATTGAATCTGATAAGCAAGGCATGTCCCAAGAACCTGAACCGATTCTTTTAATGACTTATTCGTAGGGCTCAATCCTTGAACATATCTATAACAGTCTCCTGAGTTTACATCAGAAATATGCCGACCCTGACCTTCGTGGTCGAATTCTTCAATGTCTCGGTAGGTACTATTCACCATGGTCTATGGTCATACATCAACGCTGCATACCAGGGTTTTTGTTTAGAGCTCAGCCTACGCTTATGACGGAAGAGCGATCTGCCAGCATCATGGATGAGATATTCCAATCTGGCAGTGAGGAGACCCAGGGAAGACTGCTGAAGTTGCTGCAGGAGTTTTTGGTTTCTGAGGCTGCTAAGCACTCCTCCAAAGAGAAAGGTAAAAGCTCTGTTGTTCAAGCATCGCTATGGTGTTTAGTTTCCAACAGAAACCGCCGTAAAACGCAATACTAAGGCGTCCGATGTGAACATGGACGAACTAATCGGTAACACGGATGGATTTGCGGATTCAGGGTAAGTGACATTCTCGCGACCGACGTGGTATCACCATTGAGCCTCCCGTAGCGTAAGCTCTGCTGTCGTTCAGCGCTACTTGAACCATATCTTGCAATCAGCGTTGTCGCAGCAGCCCCAGATACAGGCGGCTGCTATCGATATATTGAGCTTCACTATCAAACAAGGCTTGGCCCATCCACTCCAGGTGTGCACATAGTTTATCTCGTCGTCGTGGCGTCCACTGACATTATGTTTCAAAGTCTTTCCCTGTCATTATCGCGCTCGAGACTTGCCCGTCGACACCGTTAAGCCACAGAGCCAATGCTCTGCATTCGATCTTGCACACCAAACACAACTCGTTGCTCAATACCCGATATGTCAATAGCGCCCAGGCTGCATTTGATTATCAATCAAAGATTACGTCTGGTGCTGTTAAAGGTCAGTGGACATCCACAAACATGTTATATTGCCTTGCTGATATTTCTGAAGGTTTCAGGATCCAGTCATCGATGCCTTTTGCTTTGCTGCAACAATGGTACTCCTTGGCAAGGGAGAAACGTTCAGGTCGGCTAGACTTCTTGAAGTCACTATCGAAAGTCTTCCAAGACCATTCCTCGACTTCGGCGACTCAATATGATGTTGATTTTGTGCGATTCATGGCGGAGAATTTTGCTTCCTTCGACTATAAGACGCAGGAGGAGGTCTTCATCGTGGTCAAGACATTGACTACAGTCCTGTCGACGAACGGGACACAGGTGCTCGAGCTCGTTTCGCCTTCGCACTTACTTTCCCATATGAAGCAACCAGTATCTGAGGTCAATGAGGTGAGATCCACGTTTATCTGTAGAGGAACTACCTGACTATTGATAGGCTGCCATGAACGTCGACTCAGCCGAAGGACATCCAACGGTAGAACCTGTGCAGGACAGAATTCCTCTTATGCGCAGCACAGTCATCATTGGGATGGTCATGTTGCTGAAGACTCACTTGAAGACGCTGTATTCCTTATCCGAGGAGTAAGTTTCTAGCGTTCTGTTCACAATCCTTCTAATTGTCTGCTGTAGGAAGTGCAACAAGTTCGTCTTGGGAAAGAAGAGCGCGATCGGTGATAAAGCATCCGTCAGACGACATCAGAAGGCGATATCTTGGGATCGATTGCCGTTTGCAACACGGCCAATATTAACCTCCAGCGACGCCGATGAACAGAAGACCACAGTAAGCCAAGTATAGCCTGGCGATATCAATGCTTGCTAATGATTGTGTTACAGTTTCTAAATATCTGGAACGAAGATGGCCTGACTGCTGAGCCCGAAGATGACACTGTAGAGTTTATTTGATGCTAGTGCTTGCTGCTTTCCCTCTCTTTCTGTTTATCCAGTTACATGCTGCTGTTACATTCTATCATTATTCTCTGTTATCGTTGTTGTTTTTCGTATACAAGCATTTCCTCAGCCTTCCTGTAATCAACCACCAGCTTTCCAAATGGAACTAATGAAAATTATCTGGTTCTTTTTGCTCGACGGCTGAAGTTCGCATTAGGCGATAAAGGGGTAACGGGTGGACCCTCGCTCGAAGGCGTTCCATTGTACGGGCATATGCATATGAACATGGTTCGCGAAAAAGATCTGTACATCGATAAAGGCACAGTCAACTACAGAAAAATTCTTATCATGTCACAGTAACTAACCACTAGCGAAACGTATTGGCGCCAGTCAATGTCGACTTGGTCACTATGGCGCACTGCTCTTCAGACTGAAGGCGGACTGCATTGGATTCGAGGGATTGCCAATGTCTCCATTCTACAGACTCAGGGTCCAGGCAGGCCATGCTGTTGTGGGAGAAGTGAAGGCCGGACCTCGGACGTGATGCCGTCAGTCATGAGGTGGAAACATCAGCCGCGTTCAATTTTTCATGACAGGTTGAGCAAAGTACATAACATAACATATTCAACGATCTGCTGGACCCGCTCTCGGATCTTCGGTACATGTATACATGATATTGTCGTGAGACTGCCTCAATATTGTGTTCCTTGCAAAAACAGAGACCGAACTCACGTATCTAGTGTAGAAAATGTCCGTTCCAAGGCCGCAATGTTTTTGACTCCGGCTATTTGTATCATTTACAAACGCCACATCGGGGCAACTGTAACGAAATCAACAAACATGCTACATATGACAGATTTCTCTGTTTACGTCGTATCCATGAATATAGAAGGAAACTATTCACTGTCGAAGACTTCCCAAACGCGACATTGTTAGCTGAATGGGGAGATGATGTGGTCACGTGATCGAACTACGCGAAGTTGATCTTTCTCAACCTGAACCCTCAGAAACGCCGCGATACCGGGTCTTTGCCCACGACCACCATGTCCTCCTCCTCCTCCTTTCTTGATCAGTACGAACCCTTAGACGTTATAGGAAACGGGTCCTTTGGGATAATACGCAAAGTCCGACGAAAAACAGATGGCCTGGTGTGTGGACTGCCACTTTCAAACGGCTCTCCTTGTTGACTGACGCGGTCCAGATATTCGCACGTAAAGAGCTGGATTTTGAGCGCATGAACGAACGGGATCGGAAACAGATTGTATCAGAAGTGTGCGTCGTTTCCGGCTGGCTGACCACCGGAAAACTTATGCACAGCAGAAATATTCTCAAGGAACTTCATCACGAGCACATTGTTCGATATCATGACCGTTATGTCGACCGCGATGCTGGAATTCTCTACATACTCATGGAATACTGTGGAGGTGGTGACCTCTCCAACATCATTAAGCAGGCGGTCAAACACAATCGAACTATTCCAGAGGAGACGATATGGAGCTACTTTATGCAAATTCTACTGGCCTTGCATCATTGCCACCACCCCAATGCGAATGGACACGGACGGTCGGGAAGCACAGGTAGCATGGAGGGAGATAAAGAGCGAAGAGTGCAGATATTACACCGCGATCTGAAGCCTGACAATGGTGCGTCTGTTACGCGCGCTGACAGCCTCGTGCAAAGCTAACTGTATCTAGTATTCCTGGATGAGTCCGGCGCCGTGAAGCTCGGCGACTTTGGGCTATCTAAGGCCCTTGCACAGGCTAGCTTCGCCAACACTTATGTTGGGGTGCGCATGCTCCCTTGCTTATTGTTACGTACTCTGACACGAAGTTAGACACCATACTATATGTCGCCCGAACTGATGCAAGAAAAGGCGTACGACTCCAAATCTGACATATGGTCGTTGGGATGTCTGATATTCGAACTATGCGCGCTGAAGCCACCTTTTCACGAAGCAAAGACGCACAGTGAGCTGAGCATACTTATTCGGTGCGCCTCCAGATGATTTTCCTACCGCATTCACTTATTACTAGAACAGTAATGGCCGAGTACCACCACTGCCCAAAGGGTTTTCGCAATCTTTAACCGGAGTCATCAAGACCATGCTCAGTCTCAACGTACGTAGGCGCAAGGCCATCGTGAACCATTTTGATGACGAATTTTCTGTCTATAGCCTGCCATGCGGCCGTCTGCGGCCCAGCTTTTACAACACGAACGCATAGAGCTTGCATTCAAAGTTTGGGAGACAGAACGAATGTACGTGCTTTTGCGTCACGCCGGAATACGTCAATTTACGACTTCGTAGAATGCAAACTGTCAAAGTTCACAAACACAACATAATTTTACGCGAACGCGAGTTTCATGCCCGGGAAACCAAGTTGGTCGGCCAGCTTGCTTCGCGAGAGGCGGCTCTTCAGACGCGTGAGGCAGGACTTTCCACGGCGATCAAGCATGCCATCGCCGCGCGCGAGGAGGAACTTCGGGTCCTCGTCAAACAGAGAGAAGAAGAGGTAGCAGCAGCCATTGCGAGACGCGAAGAAGACGTTGCTGCGGCGATGAGGCGACGAGAGGAAGAGATCATTGCCAGCGTCAATGCGAGGGAGAAGGCGATATTCGAAGCTTGGAAAGAACGAGAAGACGCTATGGAGGCGCGAATACGATGGGTGGAGGTACGGGAAATGGAATTGGAAGAAGAAGCCAAGAGGGTGGAAGCTGTGAAGAATGAAGTCGAAGCGAAGATGCACTCTTGGGAACGGGAAAAAGACAAAGGTATGCTAGTATCATCATGGTCTCAACTGGATGATGTACTGACTTGTTCCAGGCAAGAAAGGGCACCACACGCGGCCCTTGGAGGAAGTGAAGAACCTTCTTGAGCCTTTAAGCAGGCTCCATATGGTGTACCCGTCCACACCGGCGCCACCGAGACCACAGGCACAGATGCTCCCGACGCCAGCATCGGCGATGCGAGGTGTGGTGCTCACAGACACGGGGGAGCAGCTGGCAACACCGGGACCGATGCCTGCAGAGCTTTTTGTCAATACCCCGAAAGTGGGGTTGAACTTTGTTCGTATATTCGACTTTGAGGATGAGTCGGACGATGGGAATGAAGAGGAGAGGAGCCCCGTTCCTGTGACACCAAGTCGCAAGCGAGCGTCGATTTCGACGCGTGATTCCGCCCTCGCGACGTCAAAAGCCACTGCTTTATCGAACCCACCACCGACACGACTGCGACGCCCATCAATAACCCGGTCGTCGACTTCTTCGTCGAGTTCGACTTCAGATGGGACAAAGCCTCAGCCACTGCAGCACCCACATTTGAAGCCTGCGTCGTCTCCGTCTCCGCCTCCGACATACGATTTGGCTGATGAGGAAAACTTACCGAGCCCGTTCCTGAAGAGGGCCGAGCGTGCAAATAGCACAGGGTCGAAACCGAAGAAGCGACCGAGTAACGGTAACCTTCTCCGAGCGGTTGCTGCGGCGAACTCTGCAGTGCGGAGTAAATCGACTAATGATGCGGTAGCACGACCGTCTGTTGCAAGTGCGCGAAAGGCAGGAGAAGAAGGCGCGTAAAGCGTTGTACAGGACATAGCACGGAGGGACATATCTTTATTTTATGGTCGACTTGTTTTCATGTTGTGCAATCTGTTCAATTATTAGTTCAATAATTATTTTATTTGTTATGGAACGATCACGTGGAAGCACATGACGCAAGTTGGACTTTGGAATTCAGGGTTCTGTTTTTGGACATTGTTCTTTGTCTTTTCGTCCGTGTGTCGGTTAAGCTCTCCGCCGTCATGGAGAACATCAGTCCGTCCCTTTACTCGACGACGCCACGCCTCGACCTGCGCCGGCTCGCTGCTTCATCCCACAACGACGCGGCAAGGATGCTCATTAGTCCACCGCCGGAGGAGGAGCTCAGGATGAGCAGGGTACGTGCATTACGCCGTCGGTCGTTGTCGGCTTTACTCAACTTTCTCTTCAGAATACGCCAAGGTCGGGCTCGCAAACGAAGAGGAAGAGACAGACGAAGCCGCCGCAACAGTCGACACCAAATCCTAAACCACGGAAACAACTACGAAGTCGCACACCTAGTCCATCACGTATTCGTTCACCATACAAGACAGTTTTGCTACAGTCGCCACACGCAAACAACCCCAATGCCGACTACATTATTCCCACAGCCTACTCCCGCCGACGAAGTACCACTCCCGTTGTCGTTCCTTACGAGCCACCCACCGACATCTTTACCTCACCGCGAGAGGTCGTCGTGTCGCCTGTCATCCGTACACCTAAGCGACGTACAAAACTCGCCGTCACCGTCAAGAAAGAGCCTCCAGTAATCGACCTTTCCGAACCTATGCCCCCACCAAGTCCCACCGATGATCCTTTGCTGCTCAGTGCGCCACCGAAGGAAATTCTACCCCGCAGGTCGGTAACGAAGCCACGCTGGAGTCTTCCACCGTCGTCACCACAGCAGTCAAGTTCTAGTCCACCCAATGAAGCTCCCTCCTACTTCCAGTTCGATCCACCTCCGGACACGTCCTTGGACATGGACGTCGATGAGCCATTCAATAACATCCTCTTTGGAGATAATTTCGGTGGCGATGGCTGGAGCGACAGCGACGATGACGACGTCGAGATGCAAGGTCAGGGCGAATACACAGGCAAATGGAAAATGAAGGTTGTCAAAACCAAGAATGATCCCCCCAGCAGCGCTACCCGAACTAGGATGGAACATTGGGGACGTCCCATTAGTCCTCATCCCTGCAGGAGACAGCGTGTCAGCTGCGTGGTTGAAGAAGAAGACGACGACAATGAGGCCGAAGAACCTGTCATTCTCAAGAAAGCCACCCTGCAGCAACGCCAAAATGACAATGCTCTCTGTGATCCGCTGCCGTCTATTGACGACGACGACAAGGGGGCAGCCGAAAAGAACAAACTTGGACTAATTTCCGTCGGGATCGAGAACGAGGGTCAGGACCCTGACAACAGCCAAGATAACGCGTCCCAGGCGATGCAGATTAACCAGGAGGATCAGGATCAGCAAGAAGAACGTGAGGTCAGGGAGATGTCCATTGGGCCAGACCAAGATGAGCCCTCAGTCGAATCAGCCGCGAGTGAGCCACCCAACAACGATGCAGAAAAGGAGAGCCAGGCCAGGGAAATGTTAATTGAAAGAGACGTTCCCGCTCCTCCAGAACCCGTCGTCGAACCTGTTCCTGCCACGGTTAGTGTTTCCGAAGAGCGCCATGTTGAACCTGAAATTCCAGTCGCGGAAATGGGTCCTAATTCAACACCGGTAGAGGAGGACCCTGATGTTGAGGACCAAGTTGACGAAGCAATGGATGATTCTGATACTAGCGACGAGGAGATTGATATGGGTGTCATCAAGATCACCAGTAGCGATCCTCGGGCTGCTGCGCGGGCAGCCGCCATCCTCAAACAGGTTGGTGAAGTTATAAGCTGGCGCTGTTTTCGTATTCTAACAGGACTTATTAGCATGATTACGAATGTTATACAAAGGCCAAATTACTCATGAAGGAACGCGATAGAAAGAGACGACGTAAGACCATGGATGGAGGCATTGCGAAGAGCTCACCCGTACGCTTGGGAGGTGCATTCGTGACTCCGGTCAAGGGTCGCAGGAGAGAAACGCTAGGTGGAGTTATTGGAGATCGGGTGTACATTCCTGGAAGCCCCGTCATGACTTTAGAAGGTCTCTTGCAACAAGCAGAGGTGCAGGTCGCGAGCGCGAAGAAGCCTACTTCCAGCAAATTATCAACAGAGGAGCCATCAGCCACTGCTAAGCTATCAAATGTCTGGACCAAGGACGAGTGGAAGCTGCTGGACATGTGCTTCACGGAGGAGAGATACGAGGTTGGGGGTGGGAACATTATGGCTGAAGTCGATGATGTGGACATTGATGCTGTCGTATGGCGATTTTTGGAATTGACGCCTGATGGCCGGTGGACCAGGTCCGTGTTTCTCACCCTGCTTGTTTTCCCGCCCGTTTGCTTATTATATCATTCACAGGGACGAGCTGGAACACAGGTCACGGGCGATAGCGAAGAAGCAGCGCTCTGGGAATGCTGCTCCACCTCTGACCCCGCGGGCGAGTCCAGTAGAGTGGGAGTCACCCGCGACGACCAATCCGTTAGAGAGATGGGGTCGTCGGGCAAGCATGGACGTCCCGGACTTTACTCCTTTGGGGAGGAGAGCGATGCCTCCTGCACGAGTTAGGAAGTCTCAGGCTGCGCTCAAGATGCCGACTCCATCCTTCAGGTTGCCGGAACCTATCTCGACGGGAGCTCTTTTCCAGACTTTGGATCGTCAAACGGTGGAGAAGTCACCAAGGAAGGTTCCGCCGTTACTTTTCGCTCCACGATACTCGCATTTGCTGGAGGAGGCACAGGCGGTTAGTCGGGTGCCGCCCAAGCCCGAGGTCGTGGCTGAACAGGAACAGGAACAACAGAAAATGATCGAAGACGAGTCTGCGGATAACAGTATTGACGAATCGGCAAATGCGAGCACGGATCAATCGGTGACCGACGCCAGTATCGACGAAAGCGTAGACGATAGCAGAGAAGAAGCGTTTCCCCAAACTCCGGCATATAAACGACTTGATGCTCCTGTGGCTGCGCCGCGTACGAGCATTGGTGGCCGGGTCAAAGGATTCCTATTTTCCTACCTTCCGACGATGAACAAGACGGCGCCTGTTTCCAAGCGTTCTAACCCCTTCCTGGGCAAGAACCAGCTCCCACTTCCACCGCTTGAACTGCTCGAGAAACCTCGCGGACCTATTACGACACCGGTTCGCGAGCCTGCGCCCAAGCAGAAGCATCCCAAGGAGCTGGTGGACTTGAATCATATTCCGATCAAACCAAAGTCGATGATACCGAAGAGGATACCGCCAAAGAGACTGGTGGAACTGACTCACGTCAGCCCAGAGAAGCCGGCTGAACCTGTCCGTGTGAGGCAACGGACGAGTAGTGGAGGGAGTGTCAAGGATCTTGTAAAGGGCTTCGAGGCGATGGAGAAAGAAAAGAAGACGACTGGCGCGGGTGAGTTGAGAAGGGTGAGAAGTGTTAATGATACGCGATCTAGGGTTCAGACGCAAGCGCGACCCAAATGGAGGCCTTGAAGGTCCAGTTTTTCGCATTTTGTATGAGTTATGGATGTTATGATAGAATGGCTAAGTAAAGATTTATGATATATGCCCAAGCTTTCTTGTGTTTATTATACTGTATATATGCTGTGTTAACAGTTGTTGATTTTACTCTTCCGCTTTGCGCAACGCCTACGGTTTCATGAAAAATCTAATGTATTGAGATGGGTACGCGTAATGTAAATGCAATAGACGTCCTTTACTTCGCAGGGGGGGCAGAAGACTGGCCTTCCTTACCTTTCTCTTCTTTACCCTTCGGAGGCCCGCCCTTCATTTGGTCGATAGCGTCCCATAGATTGCTGGGCACTTGATCCGCCATCATCTGCCGATCCTGCTCCAGCAATTTGTCGAGCTGTTCTCGGTTTTTCTCTATGTACGCCTGCTCCTCAAGGTAGTTGCGCTGGGCCTCCTTCCTCTTCTGCTCGAGGTAGGTCAACGGTATGGGCTCAGTCTGGCTGCCCAGGCCAAACATAGCGGCAAAAGGATTCGGGGAGCCTTGCTTCTTCTTCTTCCATTCCTCGATGTGCCTCTGCTTTCCCTCTGCCTCCTTCTTGGCGTATTCCAGTGGGATATTCTTCCCCTGGTACGCGGTTATGATGGGACGGACGTCAGCGGGTTTGTAGATGGCTATCGATTCTAGGAAGGGGACCATAGCTACTAGTCCTCGATCGGTTTGGCTTCCGTCCCATTTCGGTAGTATTATTGCGTTTTCTGGATGGGTGGAGACATGCTCTGGGTTTGTATCGAGAACGACAACTTTTGATAAATCGCGATTAAGATATGATAAGTCCTAGGTAGGGTTATTAACGGTCATCCTGTCATTGTGTCGATCCCTACCTTCACGACATGCCCGTTCAATGACCTGGTGGCTTCTCGGTGGAGACGGTGGGATATGAAAAATCCATACTTGTCAAGTTTATCGAGTATGGGTGCGGCCGTCTGCGGAAGGTTGTTGGCAAGGTAGCCTGAAGGAGTAACCAAAACGCACATAAAGATGTTGAGTAGTAAATATTACCACCTCATAAAATTGCGAGATGTAAGCAAGGAAATAGTCCACACCCGGTCGTTTTGCGGTTCGCCATCCATGTTGACGCTAGGGATTGGATTTTAGAAGAAAGGCGATAAAGACACCAAATGAACAAGACGCACGTCCCATATCGAAGTAACTAATAGGTCGTCGATGGATACTATTAGTGTATACGGTTTTTGGTGCGGGGCTGGATATGGGGGAGGTAAAAGTTCGGGCCATGCAGGTTCACTGAAGTACTGGTACGATGAGAAGAATTGTCAGAGTTGACTTGATATCAGCTAGCAGCACGCATACCCCCAGCATATACTTGAACCGCGCCTTCGTTCTTCCCCATCGTGTCGAAGGAGCATTTTCAGAAGTCTAAAGAGGGTTTATTGAGAGTGATGGACGGATGTGCCAGCCACGTACCAATCTTTTGTCTTTCAATTCATCCTCGCTCCAGTCTCTCGACATGTACGCGACATTAAATCCGAACAGTACCGCCAAAAGAACTGCTGAGATCCTTCCCACCTGTTTCCGCTGAGCCTCTGCAGATGTCACTGAGTCCCTGCACCGTGCACCGGTCCGCCGAGGTTCTTCCTGTTCTTCTGTTGGCAAAATATCAAGGCTGGGGAATGAGCTGGAAGTCGGCTGAGGCTGCTCTTGTACATCTTTCTGTGGAGGCTTCGGGGGCGCTGGGGGTATCTGGGATATACATCGTGCGGCATATCCGACGGAACGTCGCGCAATGGGCCGCGAAAGAAGAGCGAACATGAGGGTGAATACAAGGAAAATATTCCAGATCTGTGTATGACCATATTTGTCTCGGAAGCTGTCGGCATAGCGGGCATAACACGCCACCGTTATGCGTGACGTGACGGTCCGTGAGGACCCTGCGAAAAATCGACGCGTCTCTCTTTCTTACCTACCACCCACCACCCAAACGCGTCTTTTCCCTTCCCGCCTACCATGCTCGAGGCAAAACTCCAGGAAGCCAGCGTTCTCAAGAAACTGCTAGATGGTGAGTTCTCCTCGATATCGCCGTTTGACGCGACTGCTGACCCTTCTTGCAGCTATCAAAGAACTCGTCACTGACGCCAACTTTGAGTGCAATGAGGAGGGCATCAACCTCCAGGCGATGGACAACTCACATGTCGCGCTCGTCGCGGTGTTGCTCGAGGCCCCTGGCTTCAAGCGGTACAGATGCGACCGACCAATGCCTCTGGGCGTGAACCTTGCCAGCCTCACCAAGGTCCTCAAATGCGCAAAGGACGATGATGAGTGTACAATCAAGGCTGCTGATGAGGCCGACGTGCTGAATCTGGTATACGAAGCCAAACGTAAGTGGCTGACACGTTCTGCCTCCTTTGCTGCGTGCTGACATAGACTGGCAGACACGGACCGCATAGCGGAATATGACATGAAACTGATGGACATTGACTCTGACACGCTTGGGATACCAGAAACCGACTATGACGCGCGCGTGACAATGGCGTCCACTGAGTTTGGCAGGATCGTGAGGGACCTGTCTTTGCTCGGTGAAAGTGTGCGGATCGAAGTCAGCAAGGAAGGTGTGAGGTTCGCCAGCGACGGAGAAGCCGCCAATGGGAGCGTGCTTTTGAAGCCTACAGAAGGTGTTGGCAAAGTGCCGAAGAAGGATGAAGACGCCGAGGAGGAACAAGGCGAGGAAGAGGCAAACGACGATAATGAGGATGAGGATGAAGCCGAGGACGGAAAGAAGATTAAGAAAGAGAAGACCAAGGTAAAGAAAGAGAAGGATACCGAAGATGTGGAGATGGACGGTGAAGAGGAAAATGACAATGAAAATTTCAAGCCCGAGGGAGACGACGATGAAGAGAAGGACTCTGATGATGAGGAGAGCGGGAAGAAGAGAAAGAAAAAGGTTCGTCGAGTCATGCTCATCTGCATTCCACCCCATTGACTCGCGCTGGCCATCAGCAAGCGAACGGGGCGAGCAGCAAGAAAGCCAAGACCGTGGCATCATCTTCGAAAGGAAAGGGGAAGAAGAAGGAAAAGGATGACGACAAAGACTTTGAAGGCGTCATCATTGAGTTGAACCAACACGTCTCACTGACGTTCTCGCTCAAGTACTTGGTCAACTTTTCCAAGAGCCAAAGTTTGTGCGCGAAGGTACAGCTGATGATGAGCAATGATGTACCACTACTGGTGAGCTGCTCCAAGTTTCCTTTTATTCCGGATTGAACTGAATATCACGAATTGCAGGTGTCTTATGAGTTCGGGCAGGGGCACATCCGGTACTACCTCGCACCAAAGATCGGAGATGATTGAACGTGGACATCTTCAAAAATTTCAATCTATCTATCATAGTGTCTTCTCTTTTCTCTTCGCCTATGTTGTGTTATACAGTATTTCTGTCTGGTTGCCGCAATAACAGTGTTTTGTGTCTCATCTAGCTGTTGGTTTGATCTTTGCTCGCTAGTAATGTTGCTTTATGTGCAAGGGAAGAATCGCTTTATCATATACACAGGTCATACGAACTTAGACAGAATTTATGCTTGGTCTATGCTGGTTTCAATAATTCCATCTGTACATACTTATCTTTCCAGATGCACGTTCTCCCATTCAGAAAGGGTCGGGTTTGTTGCGTTACGGAGATAACTGGCATATAAAGACAATATGATGAATTCGGAGCTGCAAGTCACAAGACTGAGATCGTCTAAGATGGAGCAGTGAAACTACAGCTACACCATACAACGTTCCGGCCTTCCTTCAGATGCAATTAGACATGCGAGCTGTTGTGGTGAGCCGAGTGGCTCGGGGCAGTACTGTTGTTCGGGGTAGTACTGTTGCTCGGGGCAGCACTGTTACGGGGGACACAGAGCCTCTATAGACACAAAAATACAGGTTAGCAGACGTCTGGACGAATCAGCAACCATGGCTCAGGCTCACATCACCAATCTGCAAATTGTCGCATTCGATACCAGGGTTGGCAGCCTCAAGTCGGGAGACAGAGATCCCTCCTTCGGTGGCGATATCGAAACAGGTGTCGCCGGAGACGACAATATGGGTGTATCCTGGGGTTCCGTCATCGCACTCAGCTTTGACACCTGTGGCAGGGAATGAGTAGGAAAACAGACGCGGTTATGAAGGAACGTACTGGCACTCATGGCCGCAACCGCGATGAAAACAATGGAGATGAAAGCACGAGAGAACATGTTCGAATGTAGCTTTTGGTGCTGGAATGCATAGGATGGTTGGATGGTCCTTTTATATGCAGTCGAAAGTATCAGAAAACCCTTTTGTGACACCGACAGGAGTTAGTTCTGTTTCATTGTCGCTCCGTGGTAGTCGCACTGAAGGTTAATGTTCGTAAGCTAGAATCGAGGTCAGATTCTTGAGCCCCGGTTTGTGCTGCGATCAGCATGGGCGAACTCGAGTTGGAACTAGAAGCGTTGTACTGAAAATAGTCGCTCTGATAGTATTTGCCTAGCATGCAAAGTGTGTCTCAAGACATTGTTTGAAACATGGACTCCCCGAGGACGATAACATATTGCACTAGTAAGGACAGAAAATTTTTCGAACGCTGGTGAATATCCGGTTGGTGTAAACTTGCGTGGTGGAGCCATACACAAAAATTTCTTTCAATTCGGTGAGCGACTTCGGAACTTCACCAGATAACCAAGATATCCATGTTCAGAAAGTGCTTTGAACACGCTGGGGCTGGAAGAACCTGTTCTGGACTTGAAGGGATCGAAGTCGGGTGTGTAAGGAAAGGGACCGGGCCGTCCGGCCAGCCCTGTCACGTTACCGTTTGCGCTTACTCTTTTCGAAGTTCGTTCTTTGTTCTTGGCCTTTGAGTCGACTACAGATACCGCCAACCACCCTTCAAACTGCAAATTCTCATCTATATCTGTTGTCCTCAGGATTTTATCAGTAATGACTTAACTACTGTCGCTCTGGAACCACTAGCCATCCATGGCGATGTTGCACTGTCTTCTAGCAAACGGCCGGATGTTTGATTGTGTGTCCCTTCTATAAGAATTTTCGTTACTCTTTAGAGCCTTACTTTCAAAGCTTTGATTACCCAGCATCACTGGTACATCGTCGACTATTGAACACAGTCACCACGACTTGCGATCTGGAGGCAAACTCGATATCTTTGGCCGGTTCTTTGTTCAGCCCCGGGTCCGGACTTTCATGAAAAAAAAAAAACCATCATTTCTTAGCGCGCCGTTTCCATCTTACGGGGCTTGGGACTATAGTCGAAGGCGGTTAACAAACCGTATGTGCTCAGCTCCAAAGCGGTGGAGCTTCGGAGAACTCTGTGCTAAAAGTATTGGAATATGATTTAACTGCCCGGTACCATGAAAATATCTGCTAGTTGAAACACCTAATGTTCTTCTAGCGCAGAGACCACTTCTCCCATTTTGATCGCAGCGCTCGGGAACCCCGCTTTTTTTCTTTGTCCTCAAGTTTGTTAGACACTAGTGGGAGTCACAAATCCGACTACCACGGGTGACACTGAAATGTGTGGGTTACGATTTTATTATACTCCGGATGTGCAGACTCTGGGATCTGGAAGTGTATAAAGGTGAACCTGGCTCGTTGAACATTTCCAGCACTCAAAGCTACATCCAAACATGTTCGCTCGTGCTTTCGTTCTCATCGCCTTTATCGCCGCCACCGCCATGGGTGCCAGTACGTTCCTAGCCACCAACCCAATTTTTGTTCACTCAAAACTTCCTTCACTTAGGCATCAAATCCACGTGTGACGATGGAACACCGGGATACACCCACATTGTCGTCGCCAAAGACACTTGCTCTGCTATCGCTGCGCAGGGCGGTATCAGCGTCTCCCGCCTTGAGGCGGCTAACCCTGGTATCAACTGCGACAATCTGCACATTGGGGAGGTGAGTCGTAACAATCAACTCGGTAGGATAGAATGATAACATGTGGTGTTCACAGAGGATCTGCGTTCCCCGTAATACTTAGTCTACCAGCTCTCATGTTACTGTTCAGCCGTAGTTTCACTGCTCCACCACTGGACTGAGCTCCTAGAGTCGTGACTTATTGCTTGGATATAAATTGCACCATGCTTTTCCAATACTCTTGGTTCAAGTGAATATGAATTCGCTTCCTAATCGTGTCGGATTAGGATGGTATTATTTTTATCTCCTGGAAATAGGTAGTCAGGTATGTCAATTTGAAGGTGTACTTATCATCACAAAGATGACTGTTACCTCAGCGTAATAACACCTGGCGAGTCTCACCAAGGATTTGGGTGAACCATTGTCTTCAAGAACATCATTCAGGAAACAGGCGACACGGATGGATCATAAACATGAGTTCTCATACCAACGCTAATCCTCGACTTGATGTTCACCCAAGCATATTTAATCCAGATACTTGCTGAGGTTGAGCCCCGAGCTTGCCTCGAGTTCTTCGATATCACAAGGGCACCATTGCCAGTTCTTTCCTTTCGATTTCAACATCCCTGGTACCCACACTCCATACTCTCCCACCGGTGCCATTCGGAAAACAGCCCCCGCCAATGAAAAGTCGCGCATCATTGTCCACCAGGACTCATCCTGCGCAAGCGCCGCCGGGCAGGTTTCATCTTCATGGATAAGAGGGATTGCGGTGAAGATCGGTAGAGGGTGTCCATTCCTGACAATGGAGACTATAGGTGTCTAGTGAGTTCGGTTTTCACAGAGAGGATAATCCTTACAGCAACAGTAGAAATACCCAATAATTTTGTCATTGGGCCTCTCGGCTTTGTCTTGCGCCTCGGCTTCATCGACCTCGAGCATACGTCCCATTTTATGCACGTGCGGTGGTCCCCTCACCTGAAAGGTCGTTGCTAGGATTTTCTGTTCCTGATCCGTCGTTTGTAACGTCGAGCATGACGAAGAAGGCATCGTTTCGTCGATCAAACGCGTTTCGACGGATGTACCAGGTGATCATCGCAATCATCTCATAACGATGAGTCTCGACCCAGTCTTCGACTAGACGGCGCTGTTGATTGTAATAATCATCAACGGTATCTACGCCAGCTTGCACTTGCTTGCAGAAGCTTCTGTGCAAACGCCAGTGTGCCCTTTGATGTTCCTTACACTGGCCCATCGGTAAATAACAATTAGACAAAGGATCAGCTTATGCCACTCACGCAGTAGCGCACCCTCTTGCAGCCCCCACAGAGGCTCATTGGAGGCTCTTCGGGTTTCCGGTGCCTAAGGCAGTGGACACATCCCTCGGAAACATTTCGAGTGAAGTCAGCTTTACCGTTTTGGCGTTTGAAAACGAACTGTTGGTTGATATAACGTCCCATAGTAAGGTTGTAGTGCGTTGGAAGTAAAGGTATCGGTCCTGTAACTTGAAATATTAATAGAAGAGAACAAAAACAAGCTAATTTCATATTGAAGACCGCACCTCTTTTAGGTAAGTTCCTCCTCCCTTCCCCCTGTGAGTAACTGTGGTTCAATTGTTCTAGGCCAATATAAACTCATCGTAATGGTGGGAAAGAACAACTCCCTCATATCGAACCTACTTTTTTTTATTATCAGTGCGTCCAATTTGGCTCTATGTCGATTAGGCACCTAACTGCACTGATCAAGCCACCCCAACACACGTAATAATTACGCTCTCGCGTTTGACCGAGTCAGTCGTACTGCTTGGAGGCTCTACGTGTAGGCTGATAAACGCTGTTAAAGATGAAAGCATGATCCTCCGTCCTAGCGTGAGCTTTTCATGTGCTTGAATTATCTGATTCAGTGGTAGTATTCCCGTCTAATAATTATCTTTTTTATGGACTTCATGCTCTGAACTTGATTTCTCTCATCTCTTTCGACTGAGTCTAGTTTCCGCGAAACCTTTGGTTCCAGTTAAATATTCACCGCCCGCCTCTTTGGACGAAAGAACCACAAACAAACCTTCTTGCTACTGGAGATAACTCTCGGGATAATAAAGGTATGGTGGAAACTGGAAGCCCATCTTCTGACATTGTTAGCAGGTTTATTCATGTCGAATTATGGTGTGTTATTCTTTTTCTGTCTTCTTTCTGTTAGTTCATCCATGCATTTTACCTCATGTTCGAAGCAGCGTAGGAAATCCATGAACGGCCAGACCGTACGAGCAACGGCGCTAATACTGAACACTGGGGTGCTAGTATGATTCGAATGGCCTTACACGAAGTTCTTCATTCTTTGGTAACGAAGTTAAGTATAGTCTTTCGTTGACCATTTCATCTTACCGCTATAGTAGAGGTCCTCGGTCTTAGAGGCAGGCCCTCGTGTTAGCAGGAAGGCCAGGCCAGTGCACTATCGCTGATTTTAGAGACCTCGAGACCTCGGATGTCTTGCTCATTGCTTTAAGATTCCATTAATCTCTTGCACATGAAAATTCCCAACCCAAAACCATGACTAACGAGATCACTACTCAATACGATATCGGCCATCTGGGCACAAGGGATCGAAGTTTGAACCCCCCGATATCAGTACTCTTTTGACGAACGCAAGCATCTAATTGCAAGTGCATCTACTAATATCTGATTACCGTTTTCCCAGAGAGTTAGCACACATACACACACTACTACCGGCGACACTAGCTACTACATTGGATGCCGTCACCCCGTTACAGGGTATCTTACCTTTTCATTTCATCTCGAGAGGGAAAGGCCACCGTAGCGAAGTCCTAGAGAAGTCTCCTGGTCTGTCGGATATCACTCAGGCTTGGCCTTTGTGAAGGCGGTCCATATCTATCAATGTTCTGCTCCAAAAAGAGCAGACAGCGAGGCGTGTTGACAATTGGGTACGGCAGCATACATTTCTAGCTGATGTCACTTTCCTCGTAGATTGCTTCAGTTGGCGGTGCCCTCTAGTTTTGTCACTGGAAAACCTAACGAACTTTGCTTCAATCTTGGTCTAGTACCTCTAATTTATCGCCTGACCTCTTCTAGAAGCCTCACAATACCATGCACCATTGCGTCTGTCATCTTCCTGTCACCGTTTTCTCCCCGATTGCAAGTGTGCCTTTATTCATGACAGTTTCCGGGGTGTATACAGTCCCGGACGCACCGGACTGTATACGTGCTTAGGTGTGGGTTCTCAGTTACGTTGGCGAAGACGACTGTGGCTGAATTGAACGTACGAATACTGATCCATATTCTCCGACTTGGGAGGGATTCATGTAAGTCTAAGTAGTACTTATGCGACAATGAAAGAGCCTATACCCCATGAGGAGAGATTTTGGATTTTATTATTAATCAATCACACGATCCAACGAGACTACTTCTAAATCTCTATATAGGTGCAATGAGCGAGTCAAATGCTCCAGCGACGGGAAAGAACGTCACGAAACGTCGTATACCCTAAAGGACTGAGTCGTATCAAAAGAAGGGAGTTCGTGAGCGTGGAGCAAGAATTTGTCTTTCTGCAGCAATACCATCTACTTGTCAACAATCTCGATACCCGAATCACTAGCGGTTGTGTCGATGAATACAGGTCGCATCTGCGCCAATCCATAGGCATTCTTGTAGAAGATGACATCACCCTCATCTTCAACGAACTAGTAGGAACATCAGTTAGAAAAGCGAACGGAGATCTACATTTTAAGCAGTACCTTGCATTCCTTGTAGACACGGTACACCTCGGCCCAGCCACCAGGGCGGCCATCCAATCGGGTATGTCCGTTTGTCCGAAGCTTCTTCTTGAGCGCAGCGCTCGCTTCCCAACTGAAATCCGGGACCGTCAATTCATCATACATCAAGTCATTCCATAAATAACTCACGCGCTGTAGTGGGGTATTTTGCTCGCTACATGATGGAGGATGTGTGTCTCCGAGATGCCGTGAGTAGCATGAGCACCGATCCAACCCATGACACTGCCCAAGTCACCGAGCAGGTTACGATCCAAGGTAGCTAGAGCACCCCGAGGGAAGGTGAACTCAGGTGCACGGTAATGCGGAAGAAGAGGATCAGTGTGCTGGAGGAAGGTGATCAAAACAAGCCAGTGGTTGACCCTGCACTTAATCTATCAATGGCGTTGATGAAAAACAATGAAAAGATCCAAACCAGAGATACGGAACGAGATAAAGGCGGAAAACGGTTGGCAGACCCCAGTTATGGATCGAAAAGCCGAGAGCAACCAGCCAAAGACAGATACCAATGTTCGACCAGATAATCTGGTTGTAATGGTGAGTACCGAACATCGGAGCATTGGGGTTGAAGTCTATTCAGTGAATATGGGTTAACTGAATACATGATGGTTGCGACAGGACGCACGGTTCGTTGTACCCTTGGGATACCTTTTTTGGCCAGAAGCATTTTTGATCAGATACATCCACCAACCGCCGAACTGATCGAACAATTAAATGAAAAAGTAACATCTGAAGATATCGGAATGCTTACCAAGTAACTAGCCGCACCCATCATAGCTCCGATAGGAGAATCTCCTAGGGCTTCCCACATCTCCCGCTTGACCTCCTCGGTGACCCGCGAACCAAGCAAGTCCTCCTTAGCACAATCCAATGGCTTGAGCCCCACCTCCGAGCGCGTCGAAGGCACGAAGACCTGATCCTGGGTCATATGACCAGTGGATGCATGATGCTTTGCATGGGTGATCCGCCACGCTTGGTACGGAACGCCAAGTCTGTTGAAACGGAACAATCGAAGTCAGAAAAAGAACTTCAGGGGCCACACCACGTGCTCAAAGATTTTTTTTCCTCCATTGAGGAAGGACTTTGACAACGGACATGGAGAAAGGTCGACCCACCCTGAATGCAAGACCCAACCAACTGCAGTGTTGACCGCCTTGGAATCGGAGAATGCTTGGTGTCCGCATTCGTGCGCAATGACCCAGAGACCTGTTGCGAAGAGTCCCGTCCAGAAGCCATATAACGCCCAGATAGAGAAACGCGCGAGGGGATAGAGAGCTGGGTGGGGCAACGTGATGGCGTCTGGGTTGACAAGGGAGTCGGCATACGTCGCTAACGTGTAGAAGGCCGCAATAACGATCAGGTCCCAGACACTGTATTGTTCAATGTTAGTTGCAACGAACAAAAGATGCCAAGACAAACGTACATGTAGACGGACGACCTTAGCGCCGACCGCTTGTGGCAGTGAGCGCTGTAATTCTTCAATGAGTACCACTATTCAAACGAGTCTCGACACGACAACTCACGGAATTGCACTCAATAAATCCTTGACCGTGAAGTCGGGCACCACGAAGGTCTCCTGTTCGACGACGGTATCTGCAGCGTCGGGCGTCATGGCGGTCGATGGAAAAGGCCTCGCTCTAATCTAAAAAACCAGAGGCGTAGGAAAAGGCGATTCTAAAGGAAGAGAGGAAACGGAAGGATGGTAGAGGAAAGAAAGACAGGAGCGTTTGATTTCAAGTTTGGGGTTTCTTATGGGGAATACGGCGGAATTCCGGATTTTGCCGGCAAAATTTTAGTATTATTGGGGACCAAATTGGCCCCTGCAAAATATATTTGGCCGGGCCAACCCAGAAAGCTCCATTTCTGATACTCCTACACGCTTTACAATAAAATGGTACGATAAATTGTATATGGGTTGCCCCGAGGCGTTCACCCTCATCGAATGACTCTAAGCTGCTCTGCGACCCCTTCCAAAAATGCAAAGCCATCCTATCAGCGAAGTCGTGAGATACGGCGACAGGAAAATGTCACTATATGCGTGCGTACCTTTGTTACAGTCCGTCCGTTGCTTCGGTTCGTAACTCTACCAAAGTCTTCTACCATAGCAGCAAGCTGTTTGTTGGTAGAAACTACGCCCACTTCACGGCGTAGCCGCGCTACGATCCCCAGTTTTGCGAGCATAGGCTCCCGATTTTGGTGGACATTTTGCGACCTTGATCTTGATGTTCTTCAATAGAGATGTTCGGATTGGACATCGATCAATACCGCGAATGATGTGGTTAATGTGGCGCTTACCTTAATGGAGTCACGTCAAATACAGATGGATCCTCGAGCTGCTTATACAACGCGTCAAGAAACGCAAATCCTTCTTTGGTTAGACTGCGGGAAGTGTAAGATTTTAAGACACGCGAGAACTCGAAGACAATATCGGATAACGTCGCGTTATCAGTGGCGGCTAACGCTTTCTTCGTGAGTTTATTCAGTCTCTGGGCCTTTGGTGCGGCAAGGTTGGCGGTGTCATCTTCTGAATCGCTACTGATGACAATACAACGATCAGGTTCGGGTTTCTGAGCATCATGTCTGGCTTTTTGAACTGCGTTGTCAATGTTGCGTCTGTCACCAAGAACGACGCGGTCTCCAAGGTTGAGATTTCCTAGGCCGTTCAATATCTGCTCCATTTCTTCTGGTGCTGGTGCAGCACTACGACGAGGAGCACGAACGACTCTAGGTGTGGGAGGCTGCAATAATGCGTGCCTGTCAGCTGGGCTCATCAAGATCGCAGTTGCGCGTGTGCTCACCGGCCATATGAAGTCGTCGCTTGGCGGGAAACCCTGTGAAATAGCGAGCTCCCTGAATTCATTTATCCACTTCCCATAATCAGGACACTCCATGAATTTTAACCGGCGACAATATCTCAAGAATTCTTCGAATTCTGAGGGCATTCCTTGACAGAGATCTTCAGGACGGGCGGTTCTCTTCATTTTCTTCAACCGCTCATGTGCGTCGTCTGTCTTCGGGATGCCATTACGTGTCCAAGGCAGACCGCGAGGTGTGAGTAAGTGAATAAACATCAAAGCGGCTGCTTCCATGTCATCGCGCCGCGAAGGGACTAGAAACACTTCAGTGTCAGGTCAGAAGGACAATTGATTCACTGGCTGACCCTTTCCGCGGCAGTGAACACCAACAGAACTGCTCGCAAAGATAAATGGAAGTAATATCGAAAACAGTGGCATTTTCGCACCTAAACCAGTAGTTCCCGATGAAGTCTCGCTTTTCTTTGCTTTCAGGTATATGACGGTGGGTGCGCGGATCAATGTAACGTTTCGAGAAACCAAAATCAATCATATAGATCGTGGTCTCGTTGGGCGGAAGGCCGACGGTGCAGTTAGCTAGCTGGATATCTCGATGAAGAATGCCTCGAGAATGCATGAACTCCAGCCGTGCTATCTAGATATATTTAAGATGATAAGGACACAGGAGAGGTGGTCCCGACATACCACTTGCATGGCGATACAACAAGCACTTCTCAGGTCCATCATTTCCTTCCCACTCTTACGATACAAGCTGTCCAGACTGGATCCGAGAAGATCGATGGCAAGGTAATCCCACTTTCCTTCCACGCCAGCTGCCCAGAGGGTAGGCATACCCTTTCCGCCTTGCAAGGAAGGGTAGAAATGCCGTTCGTATCGGTTGGTTGGACACTCATGATTCACGTCCTGGACCTTGAGGGCGACAACCTCGCCGTTGTGGATGTTCTGAGCGCGCCAAATCGAGCCTGGATACACAGGTATGTACATATGGGAGAATATGGGTGCGTTGTCACACACCTGAGTATCCCGAGCCGAGATTCTCTCCTAGCCACCAGTTCCCGATGATATTTGGTGGACGCGCAGCCATTCGTGGAATTAGATTCGCGTCTTCGTTGATGCTATGATGGACTTGGATAGGCTGTCGATTTGCGTAGATATCGCGGCTGCTGAGAGGGGCCTGGAGTCAGTAATTTCCTTCAACTTTGCAGAAATCTTCACAACAATTGCAGTACCAGTCAGTGCAGGAGAAATACACGTATGGCAACGATAGGATGTGAATAGCAGGCGAATGTCGTGGTGATTGTTTGATTTCCGATCCCGAGTTGGAGTTGGACGCGTAGTCACGTGGTGGCACGCGTCGCAATTGTGGCTGTGTAGACTCAATTGTCCTGTTGTTTCTGGATCAACATGTCGACGGCTTTGGATGAGGAATCCTCGATGAGAAGCCTTCTGAACGTTGAGCCGAGTTTTCGCTACAACTTTGCTACATTTCTGCACCGATTCTCCGTCGGATGGCCGACTTGATGAGCACGTAAGGATGTCCTGTCGAGCTCACCGCACCACGATGCTGCCGCGCTGGCATTCTTTTGCGCCGGATTGACATTTGTTGTCAAAACTATACGCCTGCGAAGATGCTGCGGTAATTGCAGTTCCAGTCTGGATTGAACGTGCAGCTTGAGGCAGCGTTAAACTTTCGTTAGATGACGTTTGTGGGTTGGTCTGGTCTGTATCGTTTAATGTAAGTCTCCGGTTATCGCTACTGCTTCAATGTTCTGACTATCACGCCGCCTCTTCTAGGTGCTCCGGACCCTTCCGAGGCCCATCGGGCTCTGATTGGGAGAACAGGGACCGTGTGCATCGCTGTTGGTATCATTGGTGCCAGGCAGGCCTCTTGTAGTTATCGGGGAAGCAACATAATATATGTATACCTGTGTGTGTTATGGTCTGGAACGACGGAGACCTGACCGTCGCTTACCGTATTCAATTGTCGTCATCAATTGTCACAGCCGAGACCAATAATCGTCACCGAGCCCTGCTTCGGTGCTTCCGTGTTCTATTTAGCCCGGATCCGTATATAACCCAGAGACAAACGGTGTTCATCGCCATTCTCACTCTTTCAACTCTACCATCATGTCCTCATCAACAGACACTGCTTCCCAAGCCGAGATCAACCGCCTCAAGCTCGAGCTTCAGGCGCTCAAGGTCGAGGATGGCTCAGAACAGATTATGTAGGTCAATACCTACTCGCTAGGCTGGCACAATTAGGCGTCACGGTCAGTTCGCTATCGTCCTTATCGTCGCGTCCCTCACCCTGCGATAAAGTCCATGTTCGGCCTACCTGGAGATTTCAACCTGGGCTTCTTGGTGAGACACCCATATTTCGTTTGATAGGTTCGGTATACGAGCTGCGCGGTATCTAGGATCTGGTGGAGGACCATCCTACCATCGATTGGGTCGGTAACTGGTACGCATCTTTCCGTTCTCGCAAACGACTCCTGACCTGACCTATTCCATCTGATAGTAATGAACTCAACGCGGCTTATGCTGCCGACGGATTTGGCCGCGTGAAAGAACAGAGTATTGGGGTCATATTGACGACGTGAGGGTTCTATTACCGCTATCGCGACGCGCCGTTCCCAATATCATATTTATAGGTTTGGTGTTGGAGAACTGTCAGCGACCAATGGTATTGCAGGAGGTACGCTCTTCCACAGCGAATTTGGGAGTCTAGCCTCACCATTATTTAGCTTTCTCCGAGATGGTTCCTGTCCTTCATATTGCTGGCGTCCCTAGCACTATGCAACAAAAGACTAAACCGATGCTCCATCATACTCTCGGTGATGGAAGGTGAGTCCCCTGACCACTTCGACTGTCATGTGGCTAACCCCGTGTAGATATGACGCATATATGAAGGTTGCTGAGCAGTTCAGTGTAGCCCAGGCGTACCTCACCAATCCTGCCACCGCCGCGGTCGAAATCGATAATCTCCTAACTGAATGTATGACAAAGGTAACGTTATATAGTCATATTTCTCTGGTTATAAAGTCTTACCCGGTAATTTAAAGGCCCGCCCTGTTTACCTGACCCTGCCAACGGATATCGTATATGATAAAATATCGTCAGCGCGTCTTAAAATACCTCTGTCCGGTATTCCGCCGCCGAATGAGCCTGAAAGTTGAGGCGTTTGTATTGGACAAGATCGAGGAACTCGTAAAAGCGGCGGATGGTAACGTGGTTATCCTCCTCGACGCGTGTGTTGTCAGGCATCACGCGCGCAAAGAGACGAAGGAGCTGGTTAGGAAGACCGGGTTCCCCGTATACGCTGCACCTATGGGAAAGACAGCTATAAATGAGAGCTGGGAACGTTTCGGGGGTGTGAGTATACTCTGGCCTGTGTAGTCGCACGCACGCACTAACATTGCGTCATAGATTTATGTTGGATCCATCAGTCACCCTGAGATCAAGGAGAAGATTGAGTCGGCGAAACTCATTTTATCCCTTGGTAGCTTGAAGAGTGACTACAACAGTGGCAATTTCACGTATAGGATCCCCACTGCGCGCACTGTTGAGGTATGCATTCTTTTACCTTTTATTGCATGGTGTATTCATGCTTCTATAGTTACATTCGTCGTGGACCAAAGTTCAATATTCTGATCATCCGGGCATCGGCATGAAAGATCTACTTCCTAAGTTGACCAGTAGACTTGAAGCCTACAAGAGTGCAGCACTAAGATACGATGTTCCGCCTTTCCGTGCGGTCGTACCTCAGGAAGACGACAATATTATCTCCCAATCTTGGTTTTGGCCCACGATGGCCAAATTCTTTAGGCCCAAGGATGTTATCGTCGCAGAAACTGGTAAGTATCACCTTTTCGCGTATCCATTCTTGACTTACTGTTTGTTTTCAGGTACCTCGAATTTCGGTATTTTGGACGTGCCATTGCCAAACGATTCGATTTTGCTTAACCAGGTCTTCTGGGGAAGTATCGGTTGGTCCGTTGGTGAGTCTCAGTCCGTTCTGGAATCTTCGGCAGTAATGATGACATTGTTACAGGAAGCTGTCTCGGGGCTGCGTTGGCTGCAAAGGACAAGGACCTCGGTCGTGTCGTTCTCTTTGTCGGTGATGGTAGTCTGTGGGTACTTGTCTGATCTTGTTTGGATCAAACGTTGACTGTAATCTCTTAGTCAACTTACAGCGCAAGAGCTCTCAACTATGATTCGCAAAGACCTCAAGCCTATCATCTTTGTTTTGAATAACAGTGGCTATACCATCGAACGGTATATCCATGGAGAAACACGGTTAGTATCTTTTTCTCTCTTCGTCTGTGCGCAGCTTAAGCAAACAATTCCAGAAAATACAATGACATCACGAACTGGAAATGGACGTCACTTCTTGAAACTCTAGGTGACCTCGACGGGACGCGCTCAAAGTCCTATACTACTAACACCAAGGAGGAGTTGTCGAATCTTCTGGACGATTCAGAGTTTGCTAGCGCCAACAAGATCCAGCTTGTCGAGGTCGTAATGCCTATGCACGATGCTCCTCGAGCACTGAAGGTCCAAGCCGAATTGAGTGGCAAGACCAACGCTTACACCAAGTAAAGGACAAACTTCGTATGCTTTCTTTGACGATAGATATCTTGTTTTAAACGATGATTGGCAAATTACCTCACTGGTTGTACTTTTTGGTTATTAGATATATAGACTCTTGCAAATGAAATGAACAAATGCTGCTTTCTTTCAAAGAATTTATGTTCTACATCATATTATTCAGATGTTTGCACAAATACTACAAGAACCACCATCAGCACTACATCATACAGATTGTCCATTATATCCCGCTTGCTAGCACACCGTTACAGACTCGACTTTGATGGAAAGATCTCCTTTAAGAAAGCATCATTGTCGGGTGCCCTACCCAAAAAGTCCTAATAGAAATCGTACTCAGCATCTATTAAATCGAGACAATGATGAACCAAAACAAACCTTCAAAGAATCGAGCTCTTCTCGGCCTCCGCCAGCACGTAATATCTTGTCACGGTAGCGTTTGCCCCGGGCAGGATCGAGCGGGTCAGCTTTGAATACAGTAGCTGCAGTAATAGTCCAGAGTGGGTACATGAGGCATCTAAATCATGATGATCACGCACCATACATGTCCGCTGCGAACACCAACGAGTACGTGTACCTAACGATGCATCAGCAACGTGCTTGCCCTCAAAATTAATTGAATACCCATACCCGTAGTACCCTGCATCGTAGCCCCCTGTAATGTGTCCGAAAGTGCCTAGAACCATGTTTAGCCGAAGAGGGGCGAAGCTAAACTGCATGCAAGGTACCTTGTCCAGGGCATGGTTTACCGGCCTTGACTAGCGAGATGGACTCCCTGAGTTCGTTCCAGAGATTTGTATAGTCCGCGTCCTCTGATTGATCATCGCAAAATGATGAGTCCGAGGATTCGTACATTGCAATATGCACCCCCACCTTGGTCCGTGTGTACTTTGATATCGAATTTGGCGAAAAAGAGCTGTCGAAGGTAGAATAGGCCAACATTGACGTACCGACTAGATGAAGAGGATTAATGGAGTGAAATATACGCAGTTATGATCAGACCTTTTGATAAGTTTGTCAATAAGCTCAGGTGACAGAGGTTCACCGGTCTTATAATGACTAGACATCTTTTGCAGAACCTTGGGTTCCCAGCACCAGTTCTCCAACATCTGAGAAGGCGCCTCAACGAAATCCCGCGCCACACTACAGATAATTAATTACTGCACATCGTTAAACCGGGCAAGACGAACCTTGTGCCATGGAACCTCGAGAATTTGGTTCGGCTCAGCAGGCCGTGGAAGACATGTCCCATCTCGTGGAAGAAAGTGACAACATCGTCGTGCCTCATGATTGCGGGCTTATCCGGTGTCGGCTTTGCAAGGTTAGCAACCATCGCAGCGAGGGGGTACTTCCTTGAACCATCGGGAAGGTCATAACCGGGAAGCAGAGGCCACACAGCTGCGTGTGAATACTTGGAGGCTGTCGGACATGAATCTCAGGGGCTTTTGAAGTGGCTGCACACATACCACGCGGGAAAAGGTCAAGGTAGCAATACCCAACGAAATCAGACTCGTCTTTAGCGTTCTTTTCCCAGACAGCAAACTGCTGGACGTCTGATAGATCGTCAGCCTCCTGTCTTAGAAAAAATGATTGTCCTTACCTGGATGCCAAGTTGAACCGCCTTTGATCTCCTCGAATTGAACACCTAGTAGATTCTGGTAGATGGAGAGGATGGTGGGGATGACAACGGAGACAGGGAAGTACTCCTTGACAAGCGAGTCATCGAGATCGAGTGTCTTCTCAATAAACATTCGATCATAGTATCTGTAGTCCCAAACATAAAACTCCCCGTCGAAGGGAATACCAGTTTCCTCGTGTTCCTGCTTCTTCAGAGCGAGGAGGGTTTCTTTGTCCTTCAATCCGACAGGTCGAAGCTTTTGCTCCAAATCGTCAAGGAACTACGGAAAAGGTTAGCTTCAAAGTAGATAAACAACTGTATTAACCTTTTGTGCGTTGTCTGCGGTTTTGACCATCTTCACTTCGGTGATGTAGTCGGCCCAGGTCTTGTAGCCCAGGAGCGAGGTAATCTTACGGCGCAGCTCTAGCGCCTTGGTCAGTAGAGGTACGTTGATCGAAAGTCGTGATTCATGGCCTTCTTGAGCTCGTTGACGCGTCGTCGGGTTCTTCGCATATTTGAACTAAAAAGACATATATCAAATCGCGTTTGCATAGATGCAACTATACATACGACAGGGAATATATCAGGGGTCTTGTAAGTGACGTCGTATACTTCCTTCGAACCTTCCGAACGCTTGGTATATCCGGAAATCACGTCCGAAGGTACACCGTCAAGCTCCTCGAGAGTGAACGAGATGACGCTCTACAAAGGAGTCAGGATAAGCGTGAAACGAGATGGAACGACTTACATTCTCCTCATTGAAGTTTTTCTGGACCAGCCAATGAGTAAAGGCACTAGAACATGGCATAAGTAACTTACGCTGAAATCCAAGCAAACCTTGGATAGCTCCTTTTTGAGGTCCATTAGTTCGGCTCGCTCTTTGTCAGGTAAAGCAAGACCAGCGCGTGTCCCTTCCAGAACCTAGAGCCTATAAGAGTACAGCGGTTTGACGAGGCAGGATAACTAACCATCTTCTCTATGAGCCTTTGTTCTTCCGGAGACAACTTGTCCCAAGCACCAGATTCCTTGATATTCTTCTCCGCAGCCACTTTAGCGTGGAAGACGTCCAGACGCATAGATGATTCAACACCGTAGTCGCGAACGATAGATTCAGCATCATTGGAAGCGTCCCGAAGTTCTTTGGATGGAGAAACATTCTGGTAGAAAGACAGAGGCTCTACGACAGTATCGAATGCAGTTTCTGCCTCTGCCAAAGGAAGCTGAAGCGAGATCAATACTTGGCCCAATCGAACATAGCACGATCCTTACAAAAACCTAACCAAAGTTGAGATATCAAGGATAAGTCCAAGGCCAGGAACTACATACCGATTTGAAATCAGCCTCCTTGGCTGACACACTGCCGACCTTGTCCATTGCTGCACGATCCTTTTCGATAGCTTCCTTGGTAATGCTCAGTATCTGCTCTGGGGTATGGTCCCATGTTGGAGGCGCCTGAGGAGGAGTAAGAGACATTGACGAAGTGAATGGGGTAGAGAAGAGAGAAGTGCTGTATAACCTAAAGAGAGTGTTCAGCGTGACTCTCCGGAAATCTCCACAACCTGATCGACAGCTGGTGGCGACGAGCCCAACAGCCAGTGCTCCTCCCCATCCCAATGTCCGTTTTGAGTACAGAGGCGGTGGCAGGAGCCGAGAATATCGACCGAGATGTCGAACAGACATCTACCATGCAGAGGAAAGAAAACTGTCGATCATCCCGGTCGGCACTTTATCTTATCAATAATATTCTGTCATCACTATTACTCAGTGTTCCCCGTCAGCAAAATGGCACGAATATACTTGTATGCTTCCCGGCTAAGTACTATTAAGTTGAATAAATAAAGCTATCTATAAAAGTAGTGCTTGGCCCAATACTTGGCGAACGTAGATCAAAGTCCCAGGGAACAAAAAGCGCAGTTAACCAGCCACCTTAACACCAGTTGGGCTATCATCTTCATCGTCGACCTCATCTTCCCCATCAGCCTCTTCTTCGACGTCGTGCACCGATCCGTGCCCCGTCGCAAATCTGCCTGCGCTACCCGCAGCATCACGACGGTCATCATCTCGCTGTATTTCATCACGCATGACTTTCACATCTTGATCAACCTTGGCTGCAACACGATCGATTCCAGCTTCTGCGAGGGACACACGGGCACGATGCTTGGCAAGATGCGCTGACCGTCTCGGAGGACGCTTGAGCCGGCGACGAGCAACCTATACACCCCGGAAAATAAGCGATACGTTCGGAAAACATAAACAGTGACGCTGACCATCACCGGTACTGAACATTTCTGATAAGCAAACAGTTTTAGTGCGTTGAATACCGGTATTAGTCAAAAACACACCTGAATGAGATAATTGGATGTGGATCCGAGAAGAATCCTAGGAACGTGTTGGGTCAGAACGGATAAAAAGATAAGGTATGGGGAAGGCATACCCCTTAAGTTGTCCCACCCCACGAGATCCTACAATCATCATTATAGGCTCGAAATGGTCCACGATATCTTAACTATAGTCAACCCTTGCTCAACAGCTACCTGCTTACGCCTTACCTAACAACATATGTCTAGAGTTCTTAGCGTGCCATGCCTGGCAGCGCACAGTAACATTCAACTTGGTGCGTTGCAATAAACCCGTGGCCTGACGGGCGAGAATATAAGCTAAACCTTGTCTCTGGAAATGAAGATACAGGTTAGCAGCCATGATATATATCATAGTGAATAGCTTACCTCTTGCTGACTTCTCAATTTGATAGCACGGTCAGCCGCATTGGGGATAGCTGGATCCACTAAAAGAAGGCAAAAGATAAGCTCGATAATCGCACATCATTGCCGCTAGGATCGACGTACCCTTGCTTTCGTTTTCGACCACCGTAACGATCAGCATTTCATCGCCATCTCGGATCACAGTACCAATACCCCATTCAACTGCATACCGACTCTCCTCACTCATGTCGCTAGCAACTACGTAGCGTTTCGGCCGTCGGCCATCGAGCATTGCTTCGGGATCGCCTTGGGTGATGGTTATGGTACAACGATCCCTTTGGAACACAGGACGCGACGTCTGGAGTGGAGGAGGCTCGTGTTTCACTGACTTTCTCCGCCTGGGATTCCGCCTGCCTTTGATAGATCCTCCAACACTGCGTCCGTAGTTCAAGGTGCTGGGGAAGTACGGTTCAGGAGGGACAACGACGTTAACACCTTCTCCAAGAGGGTCAGGGTCCACATCTATTTCGTCTCCACCAGGGAGAGTTGTATCTCCAACAGCAGGCTCAATGAAGGCATTACGCTCGGTATTGCGCTCAGTCACAGGATCAAACATATCATCGTCGGTCCAGTCGTCATCTTCGGTCTCCCCGTCGTCACCAACGGTGTCATCACCGGAGTCATCAGCGTCAGTCAATACGAATGCATTACGGGGACGGATACTCGAGGCCGAATCTGACAAGTCAACATCAGATTGTCCGAGAGGGAGGGGCTGCGGAGTTGGCGATGTCTCTCGATGTCGAAAACGACGGAAGGAGAACGGGGATTGAGAACGTGCACGAGATTGACTTCGAGACGGTGGCTCTGAGGCGGCAGGAGTCTGAGAAGCGGAACGCACGTTCATCATCTTGGAAAGCGTCCGCCCTCTCTCCTTGTCCTCCTTCTTTTCCTTCTCCTTCTCTTCGACCATGCTGTTCAAGCTCGAATTCGTATTCGTTCGAGTGAGTGACAATGAAGACAGTCCCCCAATCATGGAGCTGAAGGCCATACGACCGAAAGAACCAGACTTCAGAGAGCTGTCGGCAGTCTTGGGTGATGTATGCGCAGATTGTTGCGCCGAATTTGTTCGTTCTAGGGCGTTGGCGATGAGCTGCGAGGCCTCATTGTCGAGATGCTGTGATTTGGAATAAGATGTAAGTAAAGGTGATGCAGACCATCTGCGTGGCGTAGAAGGACGAGAATGGGGTGGTGTCTCGATGACATGCGCCTCGGGCGAAGCACCGTTGCCACCGCAAGACGAATTCACGGACGATGCCATGAATGATGGTGGTGAAGTCATGGAAAGCTCGACGCCCTCAGTGGGTACAGGTAGGCCAGCGCTGCTGCTTGGTCGACTAGAATGCCCAGCACTGCTGCCTGGTCGACTAGATTGCCCAGCGCTGCTGCTCGGCCGACTGCCTGGAGTGTATTTCGCATACCAGCTACGCCTTTTGCTTTCTGTAGTGGACATGCTTTGTGCGGTACCGGTGCCCCGAGTGAAACACTCAGCCAAGAAAATCAGGAAATCAGCATACCTGTACAAACAACTTCTGGGTCTTGGCGGTGTCCTATAGCATCTTTTGTGAGGTAACGCGATGGCTTGGCAGATGGTATACGTACACTAGTCATCGATAATCGGAGTACCTGGTGTCAATATCGTCCTGGATTCAGGTAACAGCGGCAAGAATGAGAAAAAAAGGCGGGTCGTCACTGTCTCTGGCAAGGTGACAGGCCGAGTCTAAATTCATTTCCCCTTATCATGGGTGCACAGCCACCGGTCCCGGTAAGCGAAATCCAACGACGATCTGCCTTCGAAGTTCGGACCGTAAGAATTTGTGGGAGTAGTGTATATCGAGTACAAGATACTACAAAAGGAACGTCTAGTACATGTACGAGAAACATCCAGGCTACTACTTCTGTGTCTCATCACCGGTAGTGACCTCATCTGATGGTCTCGTTATTAATGATTGTGGCGGCAGATAGGGCCCAGAAGGAGACTAAGAGGTAAAGAAATCGGCTACGGACCTCCATCTGTCGGCAGGTCGGTCTGTCTCTGAGGCGGGGCTGTTTCGGGTGCTGTCTCCGAATGCAGCCGGACACTTGTCCCTGAGGACTCTCTTTGAGATGGCTCTTCAGCCGAGCCTTCTGCAGGACCTTGAGAGCCGTCTATTTTTGCTGACAGTGAGCTCTCTTCTGGTGCATGTTCTATAACAGCCTTGAGTACAGCCTCACCTGACAAGGAATTTCTTGCAACACCGGAGAGACTTTTTGCCGCAAACTCTTCATCGTCCATTGGACCACGTATATTCTCCGGCATCCTGGTCTCCTCTTCACTAGTAGCTTCCATATCAGCATCGGCATCAGGGCCTCCATGCGCAACGGCTTCATCGAATCTTTCTCCAAGAACATAGATAGGCCGGCTCTTGTCGAGGTCCTTCAATCGCTCTGTCTCAGCACGACCGTTCTTCGCCGCCTGTCTAAGCATAAGGATCATAGCATCCGGCTCTGTGAAGTTTTCCAGGAAGAACTCCGGAGACAAAGCCTCCGCAGGGTCGGGTGGTTGACCATTGAAGTTCAGATTCGTCCAGAACTCTGCGATGTTCGCAAAGCTTACGCCTTCCGGCAGACAGTGAGCACGGAACTTGCGGGTCAGAGTCGCTCTGAATTGGGCTCGTATTTCGTGTTCATGTTCATCCGCAGTCAAACCGATGGTCCAGTGTGTTATCCCTGGAAAAGAGACATTCAAGACTATCCGCGTTCTGCAACAAGATGAAACTCACAGTCATCAATATGGGAATATTCAATAGCTTTGTAGGCAGGCACCTTCCTTGAGGAATCTCCAAGGTAATGCTTCAACCTGACTACCAACTGCTTGATCGGAGATTTATCTTCGGGAGATTCAGGCTTCCAATCCGCAGGTTGGACGAATACATTCAGGTCGGACGCTACAGTCTCAAAAGTCGCTTTAACCGACTGCATTCAGTCAGCCAATATCAAAAGAAACCTAGAATGAAAGGTCGAACCTGTCCTGGGAAGCAGTTGACAACTTCTTCTGAGATGGCTTCGAGTAGAGAAACACATTTGTCGAATATACGATCGCCGACGCCTTCAGTTTGTCCGTAAAGGCAGCCGTCCATCTCTGCTAACGATACGTATTGGAAACCGAACATGCGTTCCGTGTTGTGATATGCAACAAACACGCCGTCCATGTTTCCAATGCGTGCTTGGAAGCTAGACGGGAAAGCATAGGGCATGAATGATGCTGCAGCACGAAGCCATTGAAATGCTTACCTGTACTTGAGGAAAGCAGAACGGATGAGATCGTAGTACTCTCTTTCAAAGCTTTCCATGACGCCATAATGCTGTTTTATTATGTATCCAGAGTTTTCCTAGATGACCGAATTTAGCGAATACTCCCGGGATCAGTCACTGATACCAACCTTAAAATTCAGGATATCCATCCGTATAGGCAAACAAGCCCTTGTCTTAATGTCGAAGACGCCTGTACCTGGTAGACGACGGTCTTGACAATCCAATTGAGACCGCATGACAAACGTTTTCGACTGCCATTTTGATGATAGTCAATACTTGTCTCCTGATATAGAACTTGGCTACCAACCTTTGCAAATCGGAAGGCGTCTCTCATAGTCTTCTCGGTCGTCTCGGCCTCAACATAGGGTGTTTCCGTACGCATAAAGGTAGGGAATTCAGGTAGTGGAGTGGTTAAATATTTTTCAAGAAGGGTACCCTGCCGGAAACGTGGATAAGTCATTGAGAGTATCCTCCGTGTGATCTTACCATCCAAGTCAAGATATTCTTGTCCGATAATGTATCCGCATGGGAGTCTATGGCATAGGTGCCATTCCGGTGGTTAAATACGACGGTTGGAGGCATTCTTTGACCTGGTGTAAAATTATTGGGCTAACAAGTAGATCCGTTAGGTCTTGGTAGCTGTGAATGGCAAGGTCACGTACCGCACGTTGGAAGTTTTGGCTGAGTGTTTCTAGATTGACCGGTTTATTTCCTGAGATGAGGAAGTATATTTGGCACAGCATGCCCGATAAGGACGACGTCGATCCTGCGAATTTACGATTTTCGCGATTGGCCAGATTCCAGAGTTCCTAATTAGAGAGAAGTTCGCACCGACAGAAAGATAGATAGGCTAACACCACATACTTCATCTCGCGAGCTCTTTGTGAAACCGGGAAGCCGTTCAAAGGCGAAGTCGAAGATGCGAGGTATTTTCTCCACGCTAGGAGAGAAATTATATACATGCGATCTAGGATCGCGTAACCAATGAACACCAGGGCTATCTAAGCGTCAAGATCTATTCAAATTTTGAGAATCAAGAGACTAACTTGAATAAAACGCGATCCAACCCGTGAGAAAGCCTTGCCACTGGTCTCTGCGCCGCGAAAGGCTTTACATCTGAGAAGGAATACCATGAGAATGAATTTAATTAGACTAGTAGGCCATACCTTGAAGAACATGACCTTCTGTCGAGGAGAGTGTGCCCTCGGCCGTGTGAGCGTAAGGAAGGGCCAACTTAATCGGCTTTGGATCCGCTATTACTTCGTCTGATCCCATATCATCGTTCTTCTCGGCCTTTGCTTTCTTCGTCTTTTTTTCCTTCACCTTAGTAGCAGCCCTGGTCTTGGGAGCTTTTACCTTCACCTTTGTACCCTTTGCCGCGCCTTTGACAGTTGCTTTGGTAGCCTTGGTGGATGCTTTGGAAACCTTCGCTTGGTAGCTTTTACTCTCTACGTGTAACTTGAAGCCCTCGATTTCGTCCCATTTCTCCGTTTCTGAAACGTATGATTTAGGTTCTGCTGGTGACGGGCCATCGGAGGGTACCAATTTATCGGCCACAAGAGGTGTTAGCTCTTGAATCTTCAATTAGCGAAGTCCAATGGTCCAGCAGCTAATACACGCACTATTTTCTCCCCATCCTGTCACAAACTCTTTCTCTGAAAGTCCCGTTTCATGTGAACGACTTGACCCAACCGTCATTTTCGAGATAGTCTCTAAGACTCTGATGGTCGTTTTAGCATTTTCCGACAGGGCTTCCTGAGACTGAAGAGACATCTGGAAGAATTTGGTCTGGGTCAATGGCTTGCGCCGGGCCATGGTTTTGAGTGAGGATCGACATATTGACGACGGTCCCGGCAGATTTGTGAGGCCCGTATGGAAGAAGGACATAGAAGGGGCACGCTCGAAGCGAGCCAGAGTCGGCTGAAATTTGGCAGGCAGAGCGTCGGATTTAAATAAGTATTTCAGTGAGGAAAGGCAGTAGAAAGCGCCAATTTTGGCCGCACGGTGCACGAGAAGAGAAAGAACGCGAGTGTTACAAAAATTGGATCCTTCCAAAATGGGCAATTTGTGTCATGTGATATGTTGTCACGTACGTCACGCGACATGTGTCACGCTGTGCATCTGGCCCTGGGCTCTCTTTCGAAGACACCGTCTCACCTCGTTCCCTTATCTTGTACGCGATGGCAGGATTCTTTGGATCGGTATTGCAATGGTTCATTGGGTGAGCATTCATTTTTTGATATTTTTTCTCTCTAAACCGCCTATCTAAGGATATTCTTCTCCAAGTCAGCTGAAATAGCGGTAATCGGCATACAGGTCAACTCTTGACATCGTCAATACTTTCTCGCGTTAATAAGACTTGTACGCTATCCAGGCCTCTGGGAAGACGTCATTTGTGAATGTCATTGGGTCGGGACAGGTGAGTTCACCGCTAATTGTATACGTATCCTTCTGATGAGAACTATACAGTGGAGTGAGGACGTCGTGCCAACTGTCGCATTCAATTTTAGGAAGGTTAGAAAGGGAAACATAACTTTCAAGATATGGGACGTTGCCGGTACGCTCAATTGTCTATGTGGCCGTATTACTTATTTATGGTACCCAGGGCAACCCAAATTCCGGTCCATGTGGGTGAGTGGCATCATTGATACTTGTCTTCTAGTTACTTCGGAACAGTAACGCTGCTTCAAGGAACGATATTGTAACGGAGTTGACGCTATTGTGTGCGTCCGGCCTCTTACCATCCACATTCTCTACTAAATTGTCTTCTTTACAGTTTCGTTGTCGATACGGCGGATGTGAGTATTCACTAGCTGCTGTCATGCTGATCCTGATCATTCTCTGGAGCAGAAAGAGAAATTTAACAGTGCTCGGTTCGAACTGCATCAGCTACTGGGTCAACCTTCACTTGCCGGTGTTCCCTTGCTAGTGGTTAGTCCTTCTGTGACTCCGCCGAGGCCGATCGACTTAGTCTTCAATCTAACCCGCAGCTCGGCAACAAGAGTGATATCGAAGGCCATGCTTCTGTGAAAGAACTGATCAAGGAGCTGTAAGCTGAGCGCCTATTATACTACTCACATGGCTTTAATCGCTCTCTTTAACCGTTCTCCTAGGCAACTGGATAAAATCACCGACAGACCTGTCTCAGTACGTATCTTGTATTGTTGAGATCTTCATATCGTATTGAATTGCTCTTCTAGTGTTACTCGGTATGTCTTTCATCTCTTTTCCCGCCGATCTAATTCTCGCATCAGTGCTCTATGAAAAGTCAGCACAACCTGTATGTTTTTGTTCACCTTCTATGATGGACGTTTACTAACGTTGCATGCAAAAGCGGCGTTATTATGCAATGGCTGTCCGAACGAGGCCACTAGTTGTGCTCTTTACGAGCCCTCTTCTCCATAGGTCCTATTAATTAAATTATTATATTCAACGGTCGTTCTCTGCGCTTAGTTTTTATGCATCTCATCGGATTCTGTTACATTGTGGTCTTCTTAATCAAGCCCTGGATTATGGAACCAACATTTATCTTCGTTTCGCCATCTGAACTGTCAAATTGTCGATATACATTTGCAGCGTTTCATTTCCAGAAGTCAGCTTATCGACTTCTTTCTGAACAGTTTGCACCCTGTCATATAATGCTGAGATCTCTATCAGCTTGGATGTTCCAAGAGAGATTAAGATACACACTGCGAAGGTCGTCCTGCGATGCTGCAATTTCTCTGGAGAAGTAAACATTAGTGACACAGCAAGACGGCAAAGATAGAATCCCACTTGATGAGTTGTTCTTTCCGAAGGGCATCCTTGACGATGTCGCCGGTCTGAGGTGGAGGACCCCAACCTGGAGCATCGTCGTACATGGTGGGCAGTAGACAATCGGAGTTTGAAATCTTGGTGAAGCGTCGCGTGTAGTAGTCGCTGGCTTGCATCTGCACCACCACCACCATCACCACCACAATGGCCGATATTCTCCTCGCATTCAAGGCTGGCAGGGCTTTCAGAAGAGAAGGGACAAACATGGTCGACCCGGTCGCTGGCAAGGGCGCTATTATGATCACCAATGGAGAGGATGGACTCTTGCATTTCATTTGGAAAAACAGAGTCACCAATGATGTCGAAGAGGTCTTGTCCATCTCGTCTGACGTGTATCCTTGTCTAATACGGAGATATAGGACTTGATTCTTTTCCCCTCGGATGCAAGTTTCATCAAAGCAGCAGGGCGCACGTATGTTTTGAAATTCTCCTCGTCGAATCAGAGACACTTTGTGAGCTATCCTTTCTTCGATCGCAGAACGGAGTCTTATTTTTTTAATTAGTTCTGGATGCAGGTAATGGATACTTGCATAACTACTCGACGAATTCTCATCGCCTACAGGATGCTTCTTCAGAACGAGATGACGAGTTTGTGCGCAATGTGAATGGCCTTTTAGAGGATCCAGAATTTGTTCCAACCTGGGGATCACCGTCGACGTCGGCTCAAGCGTCAACGTCCTCCCAAGCTGCCTCTTCATCGTACGCCTGACCTTCATTACCTACTGGCCCTTGTTGTTGACCTCATATTAGGTCCGCTCCCTCACAATTCCAAGCAACGCCAGAACAATTAGAACAATTGCAATCGATACTTACGTCAATGACAGCAGGGACGGGCGGCGCTCAGTCTGGCATCCCAGGTGCGTCTGATAACCTCGCTATGAATCGGCCTGACGAATAATCATTTGCCTGCAGAGATGTCTCTCTCCGACATCCTTACACCCGAGAATATCACCCCACTATTCACTACTCACCCTTCACTCATTCCAGCGCTTTTCCCTCATCTGCCGCCTGACCTCCCAACACCTCCTACGCCAGAAGCCGTCCGGCGCGTGATTGGGTATGTTCGTCTACTTAACCCGGTATAACTGAGGTTAACGTGAGCTTTAGTTCTCCACAATTTCGAGCTGCTGTTTCGAACTTCGATCAAGCATTGAGGACTGGCCTTTTGGGTGGGCTTGTGAGAGGGCTAGGGTTACCGGAAGAAGCAGGTACAGGAATTGGCCCATTCCTACGTGCTGTGCAAGAACAGGCGGATAGCCAGAATCAAGCAGGAGAGGACCAGATGGATACAGATTGAAGTACATGAGTATCACATTTTTTATACAAGGCTCTTCCACCCAGCGTTAATATTGATTGGACGTAAATCCAGACGGTTCTCTCATGCCCTGGGCAAGTTACTCTATCTCACTGCTGATGATTGCCACTCGCGTTATTCCGAGTGTTTCATTATGACTTACTTCCAGGCTCGACGAAACCGCGTACCGCACCCTTTTATTACACGTGAGCTGCTTGTCCAGTGTCAATAGGCCCTTGTGCCAACTTCAGCCCACTATTGCGGCCCTACAGTGCTACCAAGGCTAGACTGCAGGGGAAAAAATGGGGTTTTTCGAGCGCTGAGCGTGGTCTGTATGTCTAGGTCATCAATTCCGGCCGGATGGTTTCCAGCGAGCATCCTGCAAACAACAAAATGTACAAATGGATGTTATTTCCCCTCCACTTCCTGTGATCATCCATAACTGATAGAGACTCAATAGCTACCTTTATACGTTTCCTTTTCGCCAACACACTTCCCGTTGAGCCTGTGTTAACGGTCGTTTCTAAACGTAGAACTAGCCGCCATGATGATTAAATTCTCGACCCTTCCCGGGGTACTGATACCGAGGGACGATACATCATTCTGAGGAACACCAAACGAGATTTCAATGACGTGTTTGTGCTGCGGTTTGTGGAATAATCTTGGACCCACGAAGTTTGAAATAGTAATCATATTCGACTTTCTTTAGCCTGGTTTCAGAAGTCACCTACTGACCATACGAAGCATGAGCATTATCATGGCATGCTTTCCTTCAATTTTTTCAGTTTTTGACGTTCCACCCTTGTACCCTCTGCTCCTCGGCCAGTCATTCGGCTTCCGAACGAAATAAAACATCTAATCAGACCGCTGTTCTCATAGCCGGCTCAAGCAAAATTATTTTCTGAATGTCACGATCCGAGGAGTTAGTAGATTCTGCTTCGGACCTGAGCCTAGGCGCATGAAATCGTGACCGGGCCGATAGTACATCTCAGTAGACGCAAAGGATTCCAGCGCCCGCCACTCATCGCCAATACCTGGGTCTACTTAGTCAATCTAAAACGAGAAAATGGTGGACGACAATCACAGAGCAGTAGGCTACCTATGACCCTACCCAAGGTAGTACCCGGTAGCGGGTACATCCATACTACAGCGACCTCGGTTTAAAATGAGCAGGCCACGCAAACACAACGTTTACCATTCAAATGGCATTCATTCCTCAATCTCACTGGCAGAGGACTTCCGTGAGTGCTGCCGTCCTTGACTTACCTCCATAGACTTATCAACCTATAGATGCAGGAGCAGCTTGGCATCAAGGAGACTCATGATCTCCGGACTGGTTCGATCTACGCGGTCAAGCAAGCGACACCCTATGAACGCTACAGTGCGTCCCGCATGAGGGTTAGGATGAGGTTGCAGTTGTTCGCCGTGAGTACCTCGCATGTCGGCTCTTTTCACGGCTCTGATAGTTAATATAGACCACCCTGCTCTTGATGGCCACCGCTCCCTTCGCGCTGCCGATGCTTTTACTCCAGCTTCGTCACCTGGATCAAATTTCTGCATCTTTCGAGACCATTATCCCAGCCACCTTCGTCGCGACCATCATGGCGGCGCTGACGATTGCTCATGCTCGCAGCTTGCTGGTGAAATCTAACGTAAGGATCTCTGGGCTAACAGTGATATCTCCCTCCTCACGTATATTGCTACTCTAGGTGGATGTGCTCTATTCCGGAAAAGACGTGCGTATTTCGCCTAGGTATGCTTAAGTTGCTGACTCTTTCCCAGGTCTTCCAAAATGCGAAACTCTGGTACATTTCTAGGGTTTCTAAGCACTCTAGCGCTATCAATTTCGGCTGTGTCTCGGCATATGGTGCAGGTTGCGGCTCCCTGTTACTTGAATACTACCCCACTCCCACTATCGCCTTTGGAATTGCATTTTCCACCGCCGTCCTTGTTCATACCATCCTCTCCATGATCCCCCAAATCAAAACCAACACCTTTTTCAAGCGAAACGTCTTTTCTGCCGTGTCTAACCTTCGGGACGCTGTTTCGGAAAAGAAGATGGCTGCTCTTGCACCGACCCTGTAATCAGATGGTTGCGTTAGAATTCTCAGCTGCATGCTACGAAGTCAATTCAAAGCATTGCGAGGGGCTCATATCTTCCGCAGATATAACGCTGTAATATTGTACAAGCTCGAAGTATCGATACAATCGACTTTTTAAATACACAACTACGTATGGTAGATCTCCTTTTTATCCTTACTTGAGGTCCGCAGAGATAAATGCAACTTATATTTAATTACTCCTCAAACTTTGAAGTAATGACAAAAATAGACGATCGATCGTGGCTGTGAGTCCTTTTAGTAAGTACTTACGACCATGAACATGCACCCAGCACGAGACCTCGCTATCTAGCATGCTGCACGAGGACTCCTTCGCAACAGTGATGTAGCTGTGGGAATGTCTAGAATCCAAGGGCCGGTTCCTTCTTAAATCCGATGCAGACGGGCTAGGGTGACTTGACTTCAAGTTCTTCGCCCATCTCAAATGGCAGACACCAAGTGCTGGGTGAGCAACTTTACTTTTCCCCACCATACTTGTTAACTCTCTCCGTCAGAGTGACATCGAAGCGGTAAGGATGCCAGTAGCCAGAACGGCATCTGCCTACGATCGTCGTCGGCTAAGACGTTGGGGCACCAGGCTGGAAGTTCAGTTAATGCTGGTAAGAGACTCGTCTACGGATATTTCATTTAACTGAATAGCAATCTTCCTATTAATCAGACCTTCTGTCTCTTGCTGATTATTACGCCGTTTGCGATTTACGCCTTGTGTCTTCGGTCTTCTCATGGCCCAGTACAAGTCAAGCATCGATTTGACGCTTTCCTACCCGGGGCCTATGTCATGGCTATTATTACGGTAATGACCCTGGTTCACTGCAGAGCGATGCTTGAAGAAGCTGATGTAAATGTCGATATTTTCATCTTTCTCCGTCTAGTACTGACACCTGCGGCACATAGGCGGGCTTGATTTTCACCCTGGGAGAGCATCCGCGAAGTTCCATTACCCAGAAATTCTCCAACGTAAGTCTTACGGATCTTCTGATCTGCATGGTGATTAAATGACATTCAGTTTCCTGAGTACATCAAACGCTCTTTCATCACGTTCGTTGTTGGGGCGAGCGCCTACATGAATCTGGCGTGCTTCTCTATCTTTTTGATTGGCTGGACGGACCTGCTCTGGCAGCTCTATCGCACTATGACTATTGCATTCATGATCATCTCAGGCTCCGCAATCGTCTTCCATGCCTTGTTTACGCTGGCGTTTCCGAACCACCAAGTCGGTCTTTTACCGCAGCGGACAGTCTTCTCTTGCGCCTGGGATATCAGACTGCTTGTTGATAGGTTTTGGGCTCGTGAAGATCAGAAACAAATGGAACAGGCGGCAAGGAGCCTGAGATGGGAATTCCGTGATTGGATTTTCGATCGCAGTGAAGGGTACCATTGGATGGGAGGGAGGAATGGCCATGATGGTCTCAGGAAGATAGCCCTCAACAATCTCCGTCCGTTGCTGTAATGACAGCATTTCAATGGCATTGCTCGAGTATCATTTTTTTCGAAGTTTACAAATTTCATGGCACAACTGTATCCATATTAACATGAGCTTCTTTGCTGTTCTTGTTCCCTTGTGTCCTAAAACCAATTCATATATATGACATTAAGCACTCTTACACTACTTCAATAAGGGGTTGGCACTTGCATACATAATATAAACTAAATGGATCAAGGTCAGAATACTATTGTCTCCTGTTCTTTTCTTCATCAAATCGTACAGCACCTCACTCAATCACCTCATCCACCTCTATCGCTTCTTCTGCTCGCTTCTTCCTCCTTTCATAGGCCTTGATCTTTCTTTCCAGGTCTTTGTTCGGTACACAGTCCACGAGCCTGAATGAGGCTCTACATCCAGAAGCAGGGCACTTCTTCGCGCTCCGTTCATTCTTGAACATCTCTTGAATGGCAGCCTTGGAAAAGGAATGCGAACAAATCTTCCTATGGAAATATTCAGGAAATGGGACGTAATAAAGAGAAAGGGCGAACGATGTATAAGGCTCTTCGATAACGCGAAGAGTAATAGGACACTTGTAGTCTTGTGTAACACCTCCAACTTCGATATCGTCGTCATCGTCACTTTCATCTCCGCTTTCTATGCAAACAACTCAGCTGGACACGACGTTGAGAGAGGGTAAATTAATAACCTCTGGCTATCAGCTCTGTCATAGGTGGCATAGGTTCATTGAGATGGTCCACTTCCTATTAACAATATGATTTTTCGGGTCCGACATCGAGGTGAAAGCGGCTTACATAGACGGCCTGCTTGAAAGTTTTGTACCGTTCATTTTTAGCATATTTTTGACGCGTGGTCTTCGCAGAATACTCTTGCGAACGCTTCAAGACGCCAGTATTATAACGGGGTATAGCATCGCACTGTTGAGAAACATGAGAGACATTAACGAGAGATACATGAGAAGGCGCACAATAGTTTCCCCTTTAGATAGCTTCTCATGTATGTCATCTAGGGCGCCTGAATGGAATTGCATCTCTGCCTCGATATCAATGAACCCCTTGACTAATAGTTCAATGTCCCCAAGATCCTAACAGTTTGCTTGCTCAGATAGATAGAGATGCGAGTGAAGGGAAGTGCGTACCTTTTCTGCCACTTCCTTTTTCCCATGTTCAAGAATTGCTTCTGCGACACGGTCGATGGCGCCACAGTGCTCCTGGATTTTCCCCGTCATGAGCGTCCAATCCCTCGACAGCCCATTCAGCTTCTGGAGATCGCCTTCCCCGAGTGGCTGGTCAGCAAAGTTCTCCACATCGATGGGGTCCTCGTCGTCTGTGTCTGGTTCGCGGGCTTCTTGTCGACCTGTACGTTTGCCATTGACCTGAGGCTTCTTCTCCGTCTTGCTTTTGGTCCTGCGACGAGGTTGCTCATCTTCATCATCCATGTCGACATCCTCCCGGTATGGCACCTGTGTGGCGCCTTCCTCAATGTCAGAAGACTCTTGAGCTTTTGTGCGGCGACGCGACGACATGATAGTGGTGAGCGGAAAGGCAGTACCGAAGGCGCGATTTGTCACAAACGCGTCCGCGCTGTCACAGTCACGTATTGGTCAGCTTAGTCAGCTCCTATTTACCAATCAGAGACTCAGATATCCTTGATCCCCAACCTCTGCAAACGACTACTCGGAACTTTCACCGCACAAGCTACAATTTTCCACAGAAATCTAAAATCAATTATTGTCGAATGTACAAAGTAAGCGAAAATACAATACATAACAGTACTAATTGAGCTGGGACAGTTGATGATGAGCCAAATTAAATGTCCTGGTCGGTATACAAATACAAATGTGAAATCCCCCAATGCCTCACTGTGAAAGTCTCTCTGGTTGCACTTCCTTCTTTTTCTGTACCATGATATCGTGCGATTCCTGCACATATCTCTCCGACTCATCTCTCTTGAACTCGATTTGCTTTCCCTTCACATGCATATCTGGCTCACGCATGGCAAATGGATTCACGTCTGCACTCGTGTTGAGGTTGGCTAGACTGTGATTGACGAATCGGTGGGTCGTCTCGTCAGATCGTACTGCGTATACGACATCCAGCATTTTGGCATCCGATGAGAGACGCCAGTAGTCGATTGCAATCTGCGGAGCTGGCATGTCGGACCACTCCGGAATACGTCCCGCTTCCATCTCTTGGATACAGCGAGTACTATGTCAAATGGTCAGTCAAGTAGTCAGAAAGTGTCTATAGAGCAAGCGACTCACTAGGTTACAACAGCCTCCTCCTCTAGATGGCCAACGAAACGATGGCAAGTTTTCGGCGAAATCATATATGCGAAGACTAAATCATTGTGAGTTGAAAGCTATGGCATGCTAAAGTTTTAATGCTCACAGAACAGATTGTAGAAAACTCCCTGCGCGCCGAGAATCATGCCACGGAAAAAGAGTGATGGTTGACGAAGCGTCATAAATGTCCTGTAACATGGTCAGAACCGAGAAGAAAGGTGAGAATAATAATACCCGACTCACATGAGGTGCATCCGTTCATTCTCGGCTTCTTCTAGGCAGGTGTGTATCCTAAATATAAAAACGCTACGGTCAGGCATGTCAACCTTGATGAACAATGCATCACGGACCAGCCACTATCTCGTCTCATCAGCCGGAGACTCTGGAGATGCCTCAGAGTCGCTGCTACCATTCCTGGTACACCGGCGATTGATTCCAAAAACAGAATACGCTAGCCCGAGTTGTTATCAAACGAAGAAGACTATTGTGAGAAGGACTTACGTTCAACCATCCTTGTTCGTCTAACAAATATCCTTCTTTCCTTAGCTGTTGGAGTGTCATTTTGGAATCTGGTGAGATGGGTTTGTGCTTGTAGCCCGAGACGAAGTCGTAGCCCCATCTGCAAGGCCCGACATTTAGTGAGGGAGTGCAGAGGACTAACACACACATACCGAGCAAACCTGACGAGGCCGTACGCAAGCTTATCTGAGATGGTCTTGGCTTCACGGTGTAAGACCTAACATCATGATCAGTGTCCACGAGTAAATGACAGGGAAGGGTAGGCTCACCTCGACGGCTTCAACTTCTTCGCGAGTATACACTGGGTGGAACAGTACCCAGTCGCCTTGCATGGTCGGCACAGTGCTGACTGCGTCAACACGAGTCAGAGGGGAAGAGGAGGTGGCAATGCCTCGACGGTCGCGCTCCTCTAAACACGGCAGTGAAAACTAGTCCAAGACGAACGTATGGTACGTCGACTTACGGATATGATGCGGTACCACATTAACCTCTGAAATAGTATTTTGTATTGTGGTAGGATGATGTGTGGCGCTGGACGCGATGGCACGAACACGTAGCGCACCGATCGCAACCTGGCGCACAGGAAGTCGAGTAATAGAGGTTCTGAGCATAGTGGCGATTTTTTACGAAGGCTATCATTCCTTTCCCCACTTTTATACCCCTCTTGAATACTATTCTCATACAATTCGGTGTCCCGATTCCTCCCGAGCCCGAGCTCCGGTTTGGGGGGGCCAATAGGGAGCCATGATTTCTGTGGCTGCAATACGAATAAGGGATTTTGCGGAAGCTAGTCAATAGATATCCTTGTATCTAATTGAACAGTTTTAGATTCATCACGGGCCCGGCAGTAGCAAGTTGCATGAAGGACCAATCAATGGAGCTCCGCCGTCTGAGCCGGACCATCAATACAGTTGACTTTTATGGGAATAAAAGCTATTGGTCGCGCCGCAAGAACTACCACACTAAGTACAGGAGCAAGATGAAATTTACCAGTGCATCTTGTGCGAGTCAATCCAGGATCAGGATTGAGCCTCTGCGTATTCGGAATTACAATGGGCGGTACCTGGAATTTCTTGACCCGTCTAGAGAGGCGATGACTCAGCCGAGCTCCGAATAGTTCACCTATACACTTCCTTGGCTGTGCCCCATTCCATTGGTGATTGGGTGCTGTTTTTGGCTCAGGGATAGGAATTCGGATTACATGTTTCTAGCCGCGAACGAGCTTCATAGTGGCCGTTCCAGGTTCGTGTCTCGGAAGTTCGTCGACCTCAATGCAGTTTCTCGCTGCCCAGACCGGAGCAGGTGAACTTGGCTGTGGCTGAGTCTCCTAACTGACATGATTGGTCGCTTGCTGTACGGACCAATCCGAGGCGAGATACGGGCTGCTACAGGCGCCAACTTTTGATGCGAAAAGTCCCGACTTTTCACCTTCGTTTGCTGTGCACTGAGCGGGCTAAGCATGCCAAGGAAAATTCTCATTCGTAGACAGCACCAGTCGAACCCAGTGAAATCCTCAACAATATCTGTCGGTTACTGATTGCTCAGTCGATGGGGGACGGCTCCAATGCCAGTGAGGGTTCAACATACGTATATCTATTCTTCTCAACCACCGATAGTTGCCCCACCTGAATGAAATGAAATGATAACGACGGATACGGCCACGCATCAAAAGTAGATCTGTCCTAGTTCACTAGAAGCAATCGTCTGGTGTAAGAATAGCAGAGTCACATGCCGGCTTGTTGTTGCTCTGAAGTCGAAGTAATGATACCCATATCGTTATCTTTACTCGCCTGAGGTTGCCGCACTGATCACTAAAATACCTTTCGATTTACTAGTTGCTTTTTGAGGTGGTGGTGGTCAGCAACAAACACCATATTTCCGAGAAGGTGCGCAAGACACTGATACGTCAGATCAACTTGAGGGCTGCTTGCGTACTTGAAGTCATATTTGCAAGAACATGACTGTTGTTACAGAAAATCCACCGAGGACGTTCTGATTTAGAAACAAAATCTTGATATTGGATCTACAGGGAAGGATAGAAGACTCCGGACGTGGAGAAATAGGGTTCCTGTCGAGTCGGACCTGGAGAATTTCGATGGACCCACTGTTTGGACAGGTTGTACGATTTTTGATAGTTCGCCGGGGAAGCCTGAATCCGCCAAGCTGACGGTGAGCAACTACCTGTACCGGCTGTGTCATTAGCCTGACTAGCCATCGATTGAAAACAGAACCCCCTCGAACTACTGACTACAGCGAGCGGTGGGTACTTGCGTCCAGCCAATCAACGCGTGCATCACTCTAGAGTCTTTTCCGGTCCGATCGATGAAAGACAAAATCTGCGCCCACACGGCCTATACACGCCTTGATCTGCTTTGGATCTACCCAGGAGCTGCGCTTTGTAGTTGGAGATTCGAGGTAGATTCGTAGGGATTTTGTTGATTGGTGGCGCAATGTTCAAGAATGTTCAATACTGAAGAAGGGAATTTTTCGCCAATAGACTGGAATCGGGGTTTTATTGATCGCCCGGTATGCAAATATACGGAATGTGGCGTTGTATCGATTAAAGGGAGATCTACATAATGTGGGAATATGGGTTAGAAAGAATATCAGAAAGCTGATTCGCGGTTGCGATTTGGACATTATGTGGATGTATACTCACAGCAATCTGAATCTAGTAATAACAATATTGGCGCCACTGATCGAGAAAACATCGAACAGACAAATGCGGGGAATGCGTTTTTCGAGGAGGGTCCCGGCGGCTGGAGGGCCCTGAATTAAAGTCGAGACGCTTCTTAATTAAAAACGAGTCGGATGAAAGGGGGATACGAGGTTAGCGGGAGGTGCGGATTACGGTGCTGAGGCAACGATAGAAGTCGACCGTCGGATAATTGACGGGTCAAGAGGATGGTTGGCAAGCAGAGAACTTTGAATTTACGAAATTCGAGTGATTCTTGAGAGATTCTGGGTAGACCCACTATCTCATAAGATCTATGAGCGCCAGACCACACGATGAGGAGGAAGAAAGGACATAACTTACCCTCGGTGACGACTGAAAAATAAGCGACTCGGCCGACGGAGTAGTAAGTACGTGTGCATTAGACAAGCTATCCATGTTGTCTGTGCACGCCTTTACCGAGGAAGGCTTGTATAAGCGCAATTTGGCTGGTCATGCAGACACTTTTTGTGTATTCCTAAGCGTTTCTAGATACTTCAGTATGAGGAGTGGCGAAGCCGATGACCTTATCACGAACCCGAACTGATCAATACTAGTAGGCATGAGGGTCTCAAAAGTGGTGTCATGTCGCCGGACACGGTCGCGACCAACGAGACATGCCCTCATTCCTCGAAGGTCGATAAGAGTACATAATCAAAATTTCTTGGATTCTCAGAAACCGAGCGTTAAACACGCGTTTCTAAATTTCATCTGCATTCTTTTTCAACTTCTGTCGGATGAAGAAGAGAATGGGGATTGGCGTACTCGATAAACGGCGTCCCGATAGGAATCCGGGGTTAGGCAGTTTCCGCGAATCTTGAATTTGAAGGGAAAACCTCCCCTCTACCGCGAGGATAACCCTACGAAATATGGGGTGGAGGTAGGGAGCATTAGAACAAGTACTATGACTTCAGGAGTAGCGGGGAGCGCTTCCGTGCTGCGCCCAAATGAACATGAGGAAGCGGGCCATCCAGTCACAAGACATACAGCATGTTGTTTGTGTGGAGCAGGTATCTCTACCCTCGATTGCCCGATCCCGTGTTACATTTGATTAATTTGTGTGCCGGGTATGTGCGATACATATGGTGTAGATACGCCCTGGACGGTTGTTGGATTTCTTTGACAATGCGCCGTGCGTTTAGGAGGTATTCCAAGTCCTGTCAGCTGTCAAGACAAAGTGGCCAGCTGTGGCCCTTCCGTTTCCGGGACTGCAATCCGAGCGGCGTCAAGCTTTCTGGAACGGAGCACCAGGAGACTAATTGTTCTTCGCCCGTCAAGCGCTAAGCACTTATCGGACCAGTAGAAAGCGACTTGTCCAAGAAAATCAAAATATGAAGACTCGGGACTTGAGAATTTCAATGATCGAGTTTCCTGAATTGATGGCTGTCAGCCTAGACGAAGCCTAACCAGGTCTAACCCTGAGACCAACGAGTTTTACTTTACCACAAGAGAATTTAGCTTGAAGCCAGCAACAATAGGTCGTTATTTCACATTTGTCCATTGCGCACCTATCCGACTCGGCAAGTATATGCGTTGATGCATGACGCATCCAACCGATCTAAATTTATGCATTTAATTATGTGAGCCAGGGTGGCATGGAGCCGGGTATCTCGTCTAGGAAAGACCTTCTACGTCGGAAAAAAGCTGATAGGCTATCCATCGATTAGGATGAATTGACTTAGTTCTAGGTAGTTACTCACGCGCCCACGACCATGTTCCTGGAGACTTCGGCAGCGAGTGCGAACCCAATAGAACGGACAAACGCCGCGAAAAGAAGAGAGTCGAAGCTTCCGAAGACCCGGCAGTTATATTGCACTGATTTGTTTTTGGTGCTACGATCGTGAGTCGAGTTTGCCTTGCTCGTCAGGCAAACTTGGGCGATCGCAGAACTGTCAGGCACCTGGACCTGGTCCTCGCCTCGAGGTTTCATGTCCTCTCTGTCAGATGAGGGTAGACCCTTGATGGAAGCGCTAGCGCCTCATTGTTTGCGTTCGGCAGATGGAGAGAGTCCGGATTCAGAGGGTCTGGATAAAGGATATTAAGTCTGCTTGGAAACGACCATCAAGAACGTACATACGAAAGGGAACGGTGGGTGGGAGGAGCGTGGGGGCCCGAATAGCAACGCTAACACTGAAAGATGTAGAAAATGATGGAGACATGGAACTCGGAGGCAGGGAGAGTTTAGAAGCGCAAGGCGCCTACATTGGTAGACGCCACTCAAGTTGAAGGCATAAGCGAGAGCCACATATTGCGAGCCGTATCACTGAGAATCAGCAGACATGGGATAGACCGAGATCGAAGAGACGATTCTGAATCTTCGATGGATCCCGTAAGAGTATTACTGGTACTCGAATACATGCAAGAAACGGAAAAGAGGCGAAGACGCTGCGCCCCGGAGATGAATTCTCTCGAGATGTCATCGGCAATGGAAACGGGAAGAGCAGCGGTGGTGATATGTTATAGAATACGACCTCGTGTAGGGGGGATGTTCTCTCGGAATCGGAGACAATGTAAATGGCCTGGGAGGGGTTGTCCAGCGATAAGACGCGTGGCCGGAACCAAAGATGCTTAGCCCGTAGCTAGTCCGAGAAAAGTGGAGAACAGGAGCAGCGAATAACGTTGTATTCTAGATGTTGCTCGATATACGCGCCGCGACAAAAGAAAAATAAAATAGACCTTAAGAGAATTCTACTGTCGTCAAGGCTGGGCAGGAAAAATAAGGACATGGTCGCCGGAAGAGAAAGATGGGGGTTCCATAAAAGGCAATCGGGAATCGCGTCTCATCATCAGGGATTCGGACTTGTTCTTTTCTTCGACGACGTCCTGTCAGAAGGCAGTGACGGTATCGCTATCCTGCTCTTTTCTCCTTTTCTTACTACTCGTTATAAGGGCAGCCAGCAATGCACTAGTTCTGCTGTACCACCTTTTACTGCCAGCCCATGCAATCAGTTCTCTCACCACTGCCTCTCACCATGGATTCTGCTGACCACGATTTCTCTCCGGCACAATGGAATTCGCATCGCTTTAGTCCATCACCGCCCTTTGAGTCGACACAGGATATGGAATATCCTTCCCCAGTGGGCTCAGTCGCCCCATCTTTCCAGCAGCCAGCGCCGACGTCGACGTCGACGTCCCCTACAGACGACTTCAGCCAGGTCGAGTCATCTATTGGCCCAGATCGTGTGCTGACCCGACGTCAAAAGGCTGCTCTCGAGGGCAAGCGCTCGTCGTTTCCTGCTGCCCCACGCTCTCCAGTGCGTATGTCTTCCCGGGGTTATCAATTATTTGTCTAATTTATTTATTAATAGCAAACTATCCGCTCCCATACGCCACCAGCCTCGCCTCACCGCGAGCGCCTGTCGATGAACGTGTCCTCATTGGGAAACCTTCAGATGCCCCACACTTACCCATTGACCCCCGACTCTTCCTCTACCCCGTATTCACCTGCTTATGCCTTCCCCCAATCTCAGTCTCAATCTCAATCCCAATCTCAGAACTCTCATTCCAAGTCCCCTTCTGACCCTCGTTCTGCGTCTCCTGCTTTGAGCACTTCCTCATCGTCTGTCTCTGCTTCCTCAAATCATCCTCAGTTTGCTCAATTCCAACATACTCCAGGCCCTTCTGGTAAAACACAAAAACAACGCAAACAGCGTCTCTTTAACGTCGATCGCAAGGCCATCTGTCAATATCATCGACAGCATCCCGATGCCCGTCAGGAAGACATTGCTATGCGCTACGGGGTTGAGCGCAGCACCATCTCCAAGATCCTCAAACACAAAGTCAAATGGCTCAGCGTCCCCTCTGATGAAGATCTCCGGATCTCGAAGCACCGGTATGTACCTTTCACCCATTTGATGACATAACCCACTAACGCTGTTCTCCCTCAGACCTTCAAAATTCCCTCTCATCGAGGACAGGATGATCCTGTGGTTAACCGAGGAAGAGACCACCAAAACGGCGCTCTCTGACATGCGTTTACGCGAAAAAGCCCGTCAAATTGCTCGGGAGATTGGCATGTCTGAAGAGAGGTTCAAAGCTTCCTCAGGCTGGGTCGAAAATTTCAAGCATCGGCACGGCATACGCGGAGGAATCTGGACTGGTGACGGGTATAATACGCGCGCGGCTAGGGCACTCGGAATGGGCACCATAGACACCCAACTCAGTCCTGAGGAAGCGGAGGAGGCAATTCGAGGCTACGAGGCCAGAGACCGAGAAATTGAACGAAAGCGGGCCGCTGCACTGAGGCCTGCATGCTGGCCGCAAGAACAGCCAACGCAGCACCCGCCGTATAATCAGTATGGTCCTTCGCAGTATGAAAATCCATCGTCAGTAGCCCCCGCAGCCGAACAATCGTCAATGTCGCAGCCTTCTCTCCAGCCGAGGTTCCAAAGCCCCGAACTATCGACAAGGTATGATGCTACAACAACCGCTGTGGTACCATACGATAATGGCCCGTCTGTGCGATCGTCGGCGTATCCACCTCCAAGCTCTTACCCTGCGCCAGCTCCCACCTCCCCCACGGCCTATCCTCGCCCCCCTTCTCCCAGCTCTTCGTACCCTCCTGCTCCTGCTCCCGACCCCTACCCTGTTATGGAGGCTTACGTTCCCATTCCTAACATCCCCGATAACTCTGTGCCAACTTTAGCGCAGGCTGAAGAGCACTTGAACAAAGTCCTTCTTTTCTTCGACACCACGCCGGGTATCATTAGCCATGAAGATCGGGAAAACCTCAATCAAGTGAAACGCGCTCTGTTCCAAGCAGCGAGCGGCGTGCCTTACGTGAGGGAGTAGCTTACTGAATGACTTTTTACGCTCGTGGTTCTCATATAGAGACGATGTCCGTATCACCTTTCTCCTTTTCTCTCTGGCTCAACAACGGTTTCATTTCTCTCCTTCTCTTCCTCATATGCATACGTACCATCATTCTTCATCTGCATCCACCCCATCAAGGCATCCTTGTATACAGTTCAATTCACTGTACATGTAACCAACCCCATTTGTTGTTGTTAGGCACTAACCAGCAGTCAAAGACGTTCATCCACATACTGAAAATACGTATATACCATACCAGGCACTGTATGTACAGTTCGCGCTTTATATCGATATCCGCGCCTGCCTTGCACGGTTAGTGCACGGCGGGTAATGTTGCATTCGCCAAGAAATAAATATATTATCATCGGCTACTACTTCGTATCTTACCTATAATCTAAGTCGATTGACAATGAGCAGTCTCACCGCCTCCCCTGTGTGAGCCATCCTTCGTAAGTCTAGTGTCGCCAAGACCTGGCCCGGGTAAATGGAGGCATCATCCAGCTAGTCCTAAATAGCACATTTGTTAGCCGCGATCCACGCGATCCTGAACGAGGAAACAAACATCCAATGTAAACCTCTTTATCCACCTCAGGCTGTTTCTCTTCTTTTTTGTTGAGATGGCTCGCGAACTAACGCAGAGGTTTTTTATTGACGCCTTCCCCAGTCGCCTGGGTCCTTTTCGCAAAGAAGTATTGAATACGGACTCTAACATAATATCGGCTTTGAGTTGACCGAACTTTCGTCATTGAGATACAGATACATTTCGCCGGGGATCCCCTATAGGCGGAATCCTGTAAAGAAAAGACGAGAATAAGAAAAGATCCAACTCGGATGAGGTAAAGCGCACCGTCGTATTCACGCTAATGTCGCATAGAACGAAGCGACGAAATTTGAATGAAGAGAAGAGGGTTTGTTAGAGCTGATGCACCGGTTGCGGATGAAGAAAGGATCCAAGAGTACTACCGGCAAGAACAAAGTAAAGGAGGCCGACAGCGAGGAGTGACCGACTTTGTATTTACTTCCTCGAGACGCTGGAAGTATGGGGTTGCTTGAACAAGAAATGTGGCGCAAGGCATTGCATCTCTGAAGCAGGTAGAGCACCAGTTCAACAGATAATTGTGCCCTGGGGCCTGTGTGCAACAAATCGGCACCTCGAGGAGATAAAACCTGATAAAACCCAGCTGCCAGGGCGCAAGAACGGATTAGCATGAAAGAAAGGGGGGAAATGGAAATAAAAACACTCGCCTATTACGTTTATGTGGGGGAAGTCTACAGCGCATCAGTCAAGTTGCTCAGAACACTCCTACTGCTCATAAATAGTCTCAGTGCGAGTAGAACTTGTCGCAATAATACTGGCTACTCTGATTAGCCTGCTCATCCCGGGGACCCAAGATAGGCCCCAGAAATGTGTAGTGCGGGAATCAATTGGTCTGATCACTGATCAGTGGTAAAACCGGTTGATCGGCATTGAAACGACGTTGAATACGTATCTCTATAACTAGAATATTATTTATTGTCAGCGGTACATATACCTGATATTCCAAAAAACTTACCGCGGAATTAAGTAGGTCCCGGAAAGTGATAGGATTTCTCTGGGAAACGCCCATTGCAGTCCCGAGTCTACGCGAGAGAACGATAAATTAAATTAGGGTCCTGAACATCGCTGCGCGGTGACAAGCAGGTGGCAATGCACATTGGGTGCGCATTGGCATGGTGTGAACGAGGCAAAGCATTGAAAGTAGTTCCGGGGTACATCGACAAACTGTCATATCCTCATGGATATACGGCTTTGATATAGCAAGCCCGCCGCATGCATATGCACGGCTGCCGTAAGCAATTGCGATGGGTAAGATCAAGGACGATATAGAAACGCAGACGATTGAAAATAGCGAGCCCTGCATTTCGGGAAAAAAAGACATAGTCTCTTGGCATATGCCTATGGCACCGACTATTAGATGGGACCAGAAACAAGCGACATAGCCAGCTAGGATAAGTCTGGATATATGGCCGGACAAAGATACTAATATTCCTCCTCGGTCCATCGCAGAACCTCGGTATTTCCTTCAAGTTCTCTCCAATAGGAGGCCACAAATAGGACGAGCAAGAGGGCAGCAGAAACCAAATGGGGGGCATTAACCATTCAAGTAAACAACCAAGAAGGTTCGTTTCGGAGCTAGTTTAACCGCAGCCTGACGACAATGGGTCGATCAGACCTTAGGCCTTAGAAGCAAATGTGTTGATCAACTGTCAGCGACGTTATGGACTGTTTCTGGCCACGATTACAAGTAAGAAGTGCCGGTTATGAAGCTACGGATGCATTAGAAAGACCGAAAACTGAGAATTTTCTACGGACCTAACCTTCAACAGATAGTATTCTTGGAACTAAAGGAGCTAAAGAGACATTTTGGGTGCACCAGTGGGGCTATGGTCCTCACATGCAAGAGGGAAAAAGACATGCGTTCAAATTTTGACCCTGTCCGGGCCGACCTTGCCGGTTTGTTTGACGGTGATTTCCTGTTTTGTCGAGTTGGAACACGACCATGATCATGGCTGCCTCATTCGAACGCTCCGTCGCGATTTGGGCTGTATTCAACATACAAAGTCTGTTTCTACCACGACTCGCACAACCCTTTGCCTATCAGGCTTTGGATGCTGACCATGCGGCTGCCGGGATCAATCCGACTTAGGACCCTTTTCTGCTCTCTATAACCCATTCTCTTATATTCGATCTCTTTTTGGCTCAGGTTCTTTTTCCAAGGTGTAGCGACCCCGGTGAGAAAGTGGCTACAGAATCACATCTCTCTGCCTTCGGGTATACTGCCTTCCGCTGCCCGGTTCATAGTGTTTTCCAGCGTTGATATCTCACGATTCATGAAGTCTTGGTTTCAATGTGGGTAGGATGACATGCTAATGAGTGTATCTGGAGCCAAATATCATTGGTATTAAGCGTTACTAATACCGATTGTTTCATTCCCCTTCGGTCTCGGGACGTCGTTGCTAAGCCAAACCGAAAGAAAACTCCGAAGTATCTCACTCTGTTCATTGCCAAGGTCTATAGAAAGTTACTATTTTTCAGGCCACTTTAGCTGCTTTGCTTTGCTTTGCCAACTCATACCGTCGCGGCAGGTAATTTTACCTACTCCGCCATTGTGCATAGACCAGATCATAAGCCTTGTACTCATCTATGAACCTATTAACCCATTTTTCTCTCTCCTTCGACAGTATCTAACTCCCAGCACTCATGAGCAGACTGCTAGTTGCTACAGTACAGCAACGCTCAGTGTTTATCGACGCCCGAATTTCGAATTCGGAAACGAGGTCGATGCCAATCGCCCGCTACAGCGGCATAAACAGATAAAGCATTCTTACCGGGCGGGCACTCAAACGTGCACAGAAACCAGCTTGGTAACCCGCTTTATTAGATACCACAGGAACTTCGTCAAGTGAGTCAAAACCACGTGATCGCGTATCTTAGCAATTGACAGTTTGACTCGGTTGTGATGCGCTATGACTCAATATTGGTATATATATATATATAAGTTCTAGCTGTTGTAACCGAGGCATATTCTGAAAGTCTGCAATGGCTTCCTTGCTCTCTCTACCCAACGAAATTATACAGGAGATTGGCCTTACGGTACGTTTACCATGTTTCCTGTCCATCGCATGTTTCTAAGCCTTTCGAAGGCTGAAATGCCCGACCTCAAATCTCTTCGTGCAGTATGCCTACGTACATGCATTTCTCTCGACCCGGTCTTGTTTCCCTCACTGACCGTCCATTTAAACCTGGCTGAATTCAAGTACCATCGTATCATCTTCCCTGTCCCATTAATTGACAATCTCGCTGCCCATCGCACACCTATTGCGCGATATGTACAACGCCTCTCAGTAGTTGTATCCACCCAACGTTCTCCGTCGGTTCCGAAATTCGATCGCAAGCTCCAGCATAATAACTCTGCTCTCGGGCAACTAAAGAATGACTTACGACCAGCTTTGGCATCCTTGATTAACGTCGTGTCTGCTACGGTTCGGTAAAGGTGCATTTCTTGTACTTTCACGCTAGTACTCATTGTATTCTGGTCCGACTCAGATTCGACACGCATGGTATTCGCACCATTCCTGCTTGGGTCATTGACGAGATCTTCCAAGGCTTGAAAATTCTTCCTCTACTCGACGACGTCCACATATCTCAGCCAGACCTTAATCTACCGTTCCTATCTTCGATCAAACATTTAAATGGATTAAGGACGTTTCATTGGAATGGGTCAGGTCACTGTCACCGTACATTAGAGAAAGGCTTGGCCCTTGCAATTGCGGCCTGCCCGGACCTCGCGCATTTGGAACTGAACGGTGATTCCATGACTGCAAATGACCTTCCCTACATTTCGCATACCCACTCTCAACATGGCTATCATCTGTCTCGTCTGTTCCGCTATGTGTCCCCCGACAAGCCTCTTCTCCTCTCTTATCTCGACATTCGCGAGTGGAACGTCTCCCATTCAGCCTGGCTGTACCCCAACCTTCGCTCCCTACAAACCTTGATCATACGTGACGGCTGCGACGTTTCCCCACACTTCTGGAACGGCCTTGTGAAGGAACACGTCCGGATTCCGGACCTTACCTTGATTGTTGGTACCGATCCAGCACCGCTTCATTTTCTCCGATCAAATAAGGAGATGGTGAGGTTGGTTCTATGGACGGCGCTCAAAGACTTTGGGGAGGAATATGAACATGTAGAACGTATGGGGAAGGCATTCTTCAAGGACGTGTTGCCTCTTCTTTCGGGTACATTGGAGGAGCTCCATATTAAGCCTAGGATGCGGGGGAAATGGGGATATGGAGACCATGCAACTGACTCGATCACGCAATGCAAGCAACTGAAGGTCTTGGGGATACATGTATCCGACTATGATTCTATGGTCAGGGTCTATTATTCGCTTCTTTCATTTCAGCAGCAGTACTCACCTTTCAACGGTAGGCATCTTTATTAGGCATCATCAAAGTGTTGCCCGCTTTGCGTACGCTGTATCTGTACGAAGCTCCCACTCGCGAGCGACCTTGGCACGCGCGAGGTTCCGTCGATACAGATGCTTTAGAGAAGTTTCGCATAGGAGACACCAAACGCGAGGATGTGGTGCGTAACCTCGAAGTAATTCTTCCGCAAGGGGTGGTATACAAACCAGAGTTAATGATTGATGGAGAGAAGCCATCCTGGTTCTTTAAGCGCCTCCAATCAGTGTAATTCTTCGTCCTGAAATTTGTAGAGGTCAATTCCTCAAAGAAACCGTAGGGTGGTACGCTTCAATCTATGATACTTACTGTTACCAATGGCCTAAGGAGTTTTGAATCAATGATTCGTGCGCAAAATTAGTTTATGGCTATGTTCTTACGCTTCACATCAGCCCACTCCGTTCAGGGAACATGTTTCATCGTATCCTCGCGAGGATCGCGTTTCTTAGTTGAATTTGAGGGCCCTGATAACAACACAGGATTACATATCGCCAACCATCACCACTCCGTGCGCCTGATCGCGGTGGCATCAGGCCGAGACGGGAATTCAAGCAGTCTGTAAAACATTGACCAAGTTTTTGTACTAGTACCCCCGTGACTCACCGTGTACGTAGAGAGTCGTGAAGCGGTGGTGGGTGCGTCCAATTCAGGTGATAACTCGGATCTGAGCAAAGAAGCTGAGAAAGTTTATGAAATGGAGATTTATAGAACGACACCGACCATGCAAACTTCAGTTATAGCATCCACTAGAAGCTGATTAATGATTACTGGCATGTTATGAATCCGCAAGTCATCCTCACTCGAGAGCAGTCCGGAACGGGCGCATACGTGCAGAGAGCTGAGTGGATATCGCAGCCGAGCTCCAGATCCGTATACAGCTATTCGTAAGTAATAGTCAAGCATATGGACCGTAAGATGAACAATGAACATTTGAAAAACTTTGTCTAGCGCTGTTTAGCGCTATTGGTCATCTCAAATTTTCATATCGATGTCCACATACAGGAGTTGATGCAGTTGTCGGTCCCTCTGTTGCGGCGTAACTAGAAAGTAATGGCTATTCGAAGAGAATCAATACGCAGAAGATATCAGGGACTTGATCTAACACATTGTTGGATTCGAAACATCAGTGCATCAAGATGCGGACTCGGATTCGGGGACCGCTGTATTCATCTGAATCTCGATGGAGTTCATATTATTCATGAATATCGCGGAGTTGAACGTCCTTGTGGCAACGCCTGAAATGAACAGAGCACCAGGGGCAAACAATAACAATTCGCTAACTCTTTCGTCCGAGTCGGATGATTTAGTACCCCAAGCGCATATAGGCTTGTCGTCCGCTGCATCCACGCGCCTCGACCCAACTCCTTCGTACCCGACAAGATAACAACAAACCCAAAGATCATCGGAAGATTCCAGTCGGCGCTGTGTGGAGTACATAGGAAGGTAGCATGATCCGTGGCGAGAAAGCGGAAACGAAACCTGGTAGTAAATATCAGATAAACCACGTTGAGAAAAGAAAAGATCAGCGCGAACCTCCATTCAAATGAGCAATGTGCGCAACATGGTGAATCATGACTTCTTCGAACCAGACCTAACCGAGGGTAAGTAAATGAATTCTCTAAAAGCGGGGGATTTGTCGTACGCTTCGGGACCGGCATTTTTCATGATGGTCAACTTCCCAGCGGAGGCAGCTGACACCATTTGCTGCTCTATCGACTTGTTGATTTTAGCCGAAAGATTCTTGATGAAGCTTCAGTGATTCTGAATACTCGGACGAGAAGAGGGACCTAACGCACCTTGTGCATTGCAGCCTGCTTGACAAGGACAGCTTTTTTGGGTGGAATATATCGTTTTCCTTTCTTCGTAGCTGCAGCCGCCTTTGATGCCTGGCGAGCTGAAGGACCAGACTTGGCCTGCAGGCCCTTTGTCTTTCCCTGTGCCATCGCGGTAAGAGCAAAAGCGTTCGACGCCTAACGTGACAATAAGTCACGATCGTCACACATCACACCCACGTGGCGTCGTGATCCCGCCATTCACCGACCCAACCACAATCTCAGCGTTATATCACTTCCAGGCGGGCATGTCTTCCTCCAGCATGTTGCGCCTGCAGCGAGTTGCCCGTAGACAAGGAACTGTATACCTTTTTCTTGCCATATCTCTTGAATATATGCTGATACAATGTCGAACAGCGAGCATACCACAGTCTTACTCCGTTGCCTAACAAGGTCGCCGTCGCCTCAGGGCTTCCGGGTTATAGCGCAGGTATCAGGGCATGTGGTTACGGTCTTTGGCTGCACTGGATTTTTGGGAAGATATCTCGTGTCTAAGCTCGGTGAGCATCCCTCGTCATCTCGATTGACGCTCAAGTTGACAATATTACAGGGAAACTTGGCACCCAGGTGGTCGTTCCATACCGTGACGAAGACGAAAAGAGACGTCTGAAGCCCATGGGTGATCTCGGACAAATCGTACCTATGGTTCGCAGCCCGGCGCATCCATCCCCTCGGACTCTTCTGACGCTTCCGTTGCCCACAGGAATGGGACATCCGTAATGAGTCCCAGATAGCCGAGTGTGTAAGGCACTCGACCATCGTATACAATCTTGTTGGACGTGACTATGAAACCAAGTGAGCCGCTCGCGTCATACCTCTGACGAAACTTTTTCATTCTTGGAACGTTCACAGAAACTTTGACTTCTCGTCAGTCCACGTCGAGGGCGCCGAACGAATCGCAAGGATCGCAGCGGAGTCTGGTGTTCCACGCTTCGTCCACGTCTCGCATCTTAACGCCTCGGCTTCTTCACCGTCCAAGTTCTACCAGGCCAAGGCAGAAGGAGAAGATCGTGTGAAAGCGGCCTTCAAGGATGTTACTATTGTTAGGCCTTCGGCCATGTATGGGTACGAAGATAAGCTGCTGAATAACATCGCTAGTACGTTTCTTGGGCTTTACCCGTACACCACTACCCATGTGCTGATCCAACCATCACTAGTCTGGCCGATCTGGTGGAAGTTGAACAATGCTGAGACTCAAGTCCGGCCGGTACACGTACGTTGGCGCACCTTTCTATGGGCATTTGATCTCACGAAGACTGCTCCTCAGGTCATCGACGTTGCACAAGCTCTCGCCAACCTCATGGAAGTACCCCGATCACCTGGAGCTCTCAACCTTCCCGGTCCATCCACGCTCACATACGAATATCTATTGGATCTCGTGTCTTCCGTAACGCTTCAGCCACCATCTAAAGCACCCACAATTCCCAAAGCAGTGGCAACCCTTTTGGCCAAAGTTGCTTCGCAATCAGTGTGGTGGCCAACTCTCAGTCCAGATGAAGTGGTGAGAAGATACGTTGATGATGCTGAATTACCGGGCAATTGGGATCTTGTCGGAGTTACTCCGTCAGAAATTGAACATCATGCCATTACATATCTGAGACGGTACCGTTCTGCAGATAATTTCACGCGACCAATCGTATTTCCTCCTAGGCCGGACGTAAGTGTCTATCTGCGCCGTTCTACTGTTCCTTTTGCTCATGTCTTCGGCAGATTGTCCTAGAGAACTGAATGGTGGAAGAGGTTGTAGACTTACCCACTATTTAGAAGAAATAATAAATACTGTCCTCTGGAATTCCTTTCTGGTCTGATGTTCTATGACGGAATGTTTTCATGGAAGCGGCGTATACATATGGAGTGGGGTGAAAGATAGGTACAGACAGAAAACGGTGTAAATAACAAGCCGCAAGTCATTAGAGGTGTGCAATCCGGAGTGATAAATACATCCCATCTATCCCTCGACGTCATCTGTACCCGACTGTGTCTAGAATCCGGGAGGAACCAATGGTTTTGGTTGGTTTGCTTGCGGATACATTGGAGATATCATCTGGAGCAAAGATAGGTTGAGACACAGCAAAAATTACGAGAAAAAAACTGACCTGTTGAGCACCCTGTTGTTGCTCCAGCATTTCCTTCTCCTGTGCTACAATTTTTGCCTCGTCTTCCAAGCTCAGGGCCAAGGGAAGAGCGACGAGCAGCGCAGACGTCGTGACGACCCAGACAATGTTTCCGAAGAATTTTCCGCTCTTTTTGACAAATGAAGCGGTTTTTGAGACGCGCGAAGAGATGCTATGGCGGGTAGTTGGGGGTACGATGTCTACGAGCGCAGCGATACGGTCAAGAATGGTCTCGTCTGCTGACAATTCAGAAGAGACAGAAGAGAGCGACTCTGTCGATGAGGTGCGCGAGGACGACGGGGAGGCATAGGGAGAGTTGGATTCCTTGTCATCAACAATTTCGACCTTGACCATGGCTGACGGGATGTTGCTGAGAAAAAATTCGGAGCCGGGCTGAGTGGTCAGGGTGGCTTGGCCTTATTTGGTCCCCTTCCTGAATCGGCGTTCATATAAAGTACCTTGCCCTCTAGATCTTGTTGTTCCATCCCCTTGCTCGCCCCTTATCGCGGTACCATGCAGGCAGATACCCCAATGTCGTCGGAACCATCGACCAGCTCTATTCAGTCAGGTATCCGTCGTTCGTCGTTCTTCGTCGTCCAGCACATAGCTGAGCTTACAGATTCCACTTTGTAACGTCCAGGCATCGTGCTACCTTCTCCTTCGATGCAAAATCAGATTCACGAGCTCGCGAAGACTCTACCTCCGCCAAGGAAACAAAACACGGCCTGCGATGCCTGTAGAGCTAGGAAAGTTAAGTGTCATCGGCTGCCGGGCCAGGAGAAGGTACGTTCCACAGCTTTCCTTCTCCGTTCTATCATTGACCTTTTGGTCGTAGTGTCAAGTACGTTTATTCTTTATATATACTACCATCGTGCTCAAGCGATGTCTCCAGCATTGTGTCTCCAAGAACTATCCGTGCACGTCAGTCCATCTGCCTCGTCGATGTACTTGAAACATTTGACTCATTCTCGCTCCTTTGCTTTAGTCATTTCGTCCAGCAAGCCACCAGCGAGAAGAAGCGAACATCCGCCCCCGGGCGACGGAAATTATCATCTGCCAATTCCAGGTACGTTGCGCCGTTCATTGCATTCGTTGACGTGGACCCACGGCGAAGCCGATTGCTACCACCCATGCCCTCTGTCTGCCTTCTATATGCAATTTCGCTGATCATGGTTGCTTAGTCCACCGTCTCCCAACCCTTTCAAGAAGTATGTCTTTGCTTCGTTGTGTCCATACTCGGGCTTGGCTGATTAATTATCCAGTGGTTCTCCCTCCATAGAGAACGGCTCCCCCGGTCATATGCCAATGTCGAGCACTTACAGATATAGTTTCTATCCGCCTGTGACTATGAACTCGTCTACGCGTGAGGTCCTTGCATATCTGTTCTCACCGCCGGAAATCGGAAAGTCAGTGGGTAACGCTATTCGCGTAACTTTTCATTTGGTAACCTCAATATCGTAAAATCAGTGATCCGACATCCTTTACGCAAATCAGAGTTTCGCCTTATTTCCTCTGGGGAGAACAAGCGTCAAAACTCGAAGAAGAAGCCTTCAGAGTCGAGTGCGTAGTTTTCATGCGCTCCTGATTCCTTTGTATTTCATGAGAAATATTTCTCTTTTTTGGTGTGTCCATTTGTTTATTATAATTCCACTGTAATATGCTGACTACTATCCGCAGTCTTTCTCTCACTGTCTATTGCATCCCTAACTGCATGCCCTTGTAATTTGACAGGTTCGCTCTCGACCTCGTGGAAGTTTTTTTTCAGATCGTTCACACTCGGCTGCCCCTGCTTAATCCCGAGCAGTTTCGTAACAGTCTACGATTGCTTCCATCCCATGCGGCAAAGGCTACCAAGCATCTGCATCCTGCCTTGGTGGCCACCGTCATTTCGTGGGGCGCTAAATTTTCTGAGCATCCCTTACTCGTCGCCGATCGCCGACGTAATAACAACCTCAGTGCTTTGGCGAAGACTCTCATACTACGGACCCGCGAACTTGCTGAAGCTCTGAAGGTACATCGTATGCCGAAGGATGACCATGTAGTGATTGGACTGTTGATCGAACCACTCCAAAGTCGTAAGTCTCTTTGCCAACCTTAATTTCCAAGCTTCTTTCTAAAATTTCGTCTCTCCAGAAACTCCTGATGACCAGACAGGTAACTCAACCTGTCACGCAGTGTGGCGTAGGTTAATTGAACTCTCCAGGCTATCACGGGTTCTGGCTGGGCTCAGCGACAAGGCATCTTATGGATCTCGGGGTAGGTGACAAGCTCCATGCAGACATCCGATATTTCAATTTGCTTTAGATTAATCACAAATCAGTCATATCGTCCGCTAATCGCGACACGGAAGAGCGTGGAACCATGATATTTGCCTGGTGGATGGCATGTATATGTGATGCTTACGCTTCGCTGTACTACCGTCACAAACCGATTCTCGATGATGACGATTACGACATTGACTTCTATACCGTCGATCCCATTAATCCCGACGGTCATGACGGAACAACTCCCTCGCCAAGAGAACAATTAGAGGTACGCGAATCACACACTGAATCCGACGTGCTAACTAAGTAATTCCACGCCAGTTTTTGGTTAGTGCCGTGGCCCGATGACTTTCCCCTTCTGACGTCATGAGCAACAGGGATACTACCGAGCAGCTCACGCTCTTGCACGAACAGCGCGGCAGATGTCCAGGCAACTCTGGAAACCTGCGACCGAAGCCGATGGACTGCCCTTCGAGATCCTATACACGTTTTTCAAAGCCCTTACTGAGTGGCGCGATGACTATCTCCGTGCAGTAGGCGTTCCCAGCAATGAGAACCAGACGTGGGACTTTGTTACCGTGAGTAGACAAATCCTTGTTCTGTAAAATTGCTTATTCTTCGTGATCGTATTTTAGGCGGTGTCTTCTTGTGCCAGCGATGCGCAGTACCATGTGATGTGGATCATTCTTTTCAATGCGCTAGATGAAGTTGGGGTAAAGGAGATAAACGAGACCACACGGCTTGGTGTCGATCCGAAGTTCACGCCTGACTTCGCACAAATGGATTCAGTGATGCGAAAAATTGCGGACGAAGCTCTACATGGAGCTTGCCGGATATCTGCGCTGGTACGTCGTCCGTTCATGAGTCACTCACTTATCGAACATCGTCACTCACCATATTTATAGGCAGCGGTGTTGACGAGTAACCAGTACCTGGTACGTAAAAGGTCCTCATCATTCTTCGGTCGATCATCTGACTCGAGTTTCATTGCTTAGCGACTTGACCCGGCGGTGATGCATGTCAGTTGTATCCAAGCTGGAACTCTTCTCGCACGTCTAGGACGGCCAGAGGCGATCAATTGCATCAATGGCTTAGAGCAGTACAGCCTGGCTTATGAAGAAGCTGGCGATCATGCCAGTGAGATCCGGCGCATATATCGAACTGGAGAGAGTGACTTCAACCATATGAACTCGGTTGCTCCCAGAGTCGTTCTCGAAACAGGGTCGCCAGGGTCACGCCGTGACGATATGCAGATTGACGAGCGATGAAAGGAGAAGGAAGAAAACACTCCCCGCTCAAGGTTCGGGGTTTTTCTGTTTCGGATTCGCTGTCTATCTTGGAATCTTATGTTGTACGATTACATTTGCAGTGACTGATTTTTCTTTTTTTCTTTTGGTTGTACATTTTCACATAAACAGGTATGAAGGCACCAAGTAACGGGGCTAATGGTAGTTTTGATAACTGGACACCTTATTTATCATCCTATGCGTATCGGTAGTAGCAGTACTGTAAGGTAAGGTCTTGTACTGTATAGACAGTTGTATTCACTCGCTTCAATTTGTTCCCGCTCGTCCCGCTCAGCATCCGCGGAAGCAGATCCAGTCCGGCAACTAAACTGATTTAGCGCCGATCAAGCTGGTCCAGACATAGAGCATCTCGATTAGTTTCGATTATAACGAATGATATATAAGCAAAACAAAATATGACAACAAGTACAGATAGCAAGCCTCCAGAATAATGGTCAAAAAACATATATAGATATCATCCCACAAACACCATGGCATCAGAATCGCTTCCTTCATCATCTGAGGAAATCACAATCACTTCTATAGGTTTGCTTTTCGCCTTTCCTCGGGTTGGACTCCCCTCCCTCAGCCTACGACTAGGAGAGTCCAGTTTGTTCTTCCGCGGGCTCTTCCTCACCATATCGTCTTCGGGACCTCGACGACGGGCTTTGGCTTTGACAGGAGAGGGTGTTAAAGGCGGCAGCGGAGTAGGTGACGACTGCCCTAGAATAGGACGGTCATCATCCTCAGTCGTGGTCATAAAATAGATCTCGCGTTTTGCGAGGGGTATCGAACTGGCCCGTTGGAAAGGCTGAAGGTTTCCTCGATGGTGTCTTGGCCGTACCAAACAACGGTAATTGAGCAGACGACGAGCGCTCGGGTATAGGCAGCTCGTCTTCGTCGTCGCTACTATTATCGTAACGTAAATCTCGCTCCTTTCGGGGGCTACCGAACTCATCCTCCAAGTCCATAGGGAACGGTGCGGGCTTCCTTGACGGTGTCTTAGTCGGACTGGACAATACTTTCGTTTTGGGAAGTTTATCGAGTGCCAGAAGAAGTTTTGACGAAGACGAAGGTATAGTACTGGGTAAGGCGGATTTCGATTTGCGTTTGGTAGGTGTACGGGGTGTCGCAGAAGGAGTAGCCGCCGTCTTCTTCTTCCTCGGGCTCGTTGGTGGTTCGTCATCACCGCTCATCTCCTCCGTCACCTTCTTCTTGCCTTTGGGTTTCTTCTTCTCTTTTCTGCACCTGATCATCTCTTCAAACTCTTCGACCAAAGCGGGCCTAGCTTTTTGGACCATGACGGCCGGGAGCCAAACACGGAGGGGCCCACGCTGGTCCTCTGCAGAGTCGGTAGCACGGTCTTCGAATTGCAAGAAATCGGCAGCGTCCGGACCGGCTCCAGTTGGCCTCCTCCAACCTTGCACACCAGATTCCGCTAACCGGACGGGGACGGAGACGTCGATTTCAACGCGATACTGCAGAGCGCGACCTGTCGATTGATGCTCCCGTGTACTGTGGATCTTCGTCATCCACCCAGCCTCACCAACATCCACTGCCTCGTTTGCAGCGAACTTGCGCCAAACGTATTTCTCATCCTTGCCCTGTTCACCCTCAATTATGTATCTTCTTAGAACACGGAGGGCCAATCCGGGCCATATGAGCGTCCTGAAACGCTTCACAACCGATTCTTTGTACCCCCACTCAAAATACATTTCGCACAGCGCAGCTATTGCAGGGACATTTGGCTCCTTCTTCATCCAGTCGATATCGATGTACCTCTCGAGTGGTGATGTGACTGGTTCCGTGTAAGCTAATAAGATGTTAATATCCGGAAAGGTTGCTGGCACGGAGTTTGCCAGCCTGTTATGCTTGTGTCCCAGGCATCCAGAGGAATTGGTTCTGAGTTCCTGGATAACTTCTGCGCGCCAGATAGGGAGATACGCCAGTAACTCCTCTCTCGTTTGGGTCGTCGCTACGTGGTACAATCTATCTGCGTGTCCCGCGTGAGCAAGGCCTTTGGCGGTATTAGGGCCGCAGCCAGGAAGTCCCTCGGGGGAATAGTCACCGCCTGCACAGAGGGCAATTAATATGAGCTCTGCCCTGCTGAGTTTCACATCCTGAAACACCATTACGAAGTTCTTCTTCTCCGTATCTGAAGTTTGCGCGTGCGTCGAACTTGGGTTCCGCCAAACCGTCTGGGCGCCGAACAAGAACGCGTCGACGTCGTCGGTAAGAACGCCGTCGATGATCCCTGCAGCGTTTAAATATGCCAGCTCCGCCTCCGCCTCGCCTGGGGCCATGCGCCATTCAAACCCAAAAGCTTCGATAAAAGCTTTCAGTCCGTCGGTCAGCGGGTTCTGGGCCCAGGTATTGATACGTTTTCCTCGCTTCCATGCTGGTCTCCCTGGGCCGTCGAAGATGAAGAGAGGCTGTATAGGATTGTGAAGAAGAAGTTCTAGACGAAAGAACAGAGTTCGCAACTCGGGATTTTCGCCTTCCTGCCCATACTCGGCGTGGAAGAACCAAAGGGAGACGTCGATACCGAGGCGAAAGGCGTGTGGCGGCCGATTTGTAGAGGCTATCGTCAGCTCGTAGACAGATTTCCTGGCTGAGAATTCGTCGAGGAGTGGCCAGAGTTTCGCAACGCCCATCGTGGGTCGTCGAAGTGGCTGCCGCTGGCCCACGACCGCGAAATTTGAAACCTACTCACCACGTGACTGTGGGGCGTCTTAATTACCGTTGCTTTTCGCGTCTGCCCTCCTGTCAGTATACAATCATGTCTATCCTATCTGGCCTATAGATTCCTGAAAAGCGTGTCGTTTTTTTTATAACCAAGTACATAGTTCATGCTAAGCGCCGGCAGCAGCGTATAAAGCACTACGGTCCAAGCTCTTATCTACAAGCCTACGAAACCATCCCTTCTCTGAATTTAGGAGCACTCGCGGTGTATCGAATTCAACCTGTTTGGATTTCTCAGTACTGCTATCATGAAAGAAAAAGCGAGACCCTCACGATGCGACCTTCATCAAGTACCATCTATGTATATCCGATTCAGAACCATGTCTTATACACAACGAAATACAAGAAAGCTCACGATCTTGTCAAAGTCCATGATAGTCTGGAGGCGATGGGCGACCGTGATTAGCGTGATATCCTTCAGCTCTTCTCTGAGCGTTTTCTGAATTATCGCGTCGGTCTTGTAGTCTATGTGGTGTTGTGAAAACAGTGACAACTAACGATGTTTCCATGTTAGATTTACCTATCGCAGAAGTGGCTAGGACAGTATATGTAAGCCTGGGAAAGGTGGTGCTATAATATACGTACCTTCATCCAATATGAGCAACTTGCTCCTTCTAACAATGGCTCTCGCCAAAGCTAACATTTGACGTTGGCCCACCGATAGGTTGCCTCCTCCGCTAGAGATATTAGTATCCAAATTGATCTTGTTCTCGTCATTTTCTTCTTGCAAAGAAAAAAGACCAGCTGAGCGCAATGCGTCGTTCAAGGTTGAATCATCATGCTGGGAGAACGGGTCGAGATTGTAACGCAGTGTGCCGCTAAGTAACTCGGGCTAAGAGAAGGGATGAAATCTCTTTTGTATCTGAAAAAGGGATTGACGCACCATCTGAGGGATGATTGTGATGCTGGATCGTAACGCATCAAGATTCATTTTACTGGTTGGGAGATCATCGTAGTACACCTCCCCCACCGTCGGAATACATCGCAGAAGAGAGAGGGTCAGTGAGCTCTTTTAACAGAAACCACTTTCTCAGCGGGAGCGCCTTTAGTAATCTGACGACGAACTACTTACCTTTCCGGAACCTGTACGTCCCACTGAAAGCAAGATAAGTATACGTGCTACAAAACGAGATGTAGTAAATGTGTACGGACCTATTCCAACACGTTCACCTGATTTTATCTCAAACGACAAGTTGTGTAGAACTTTGGGACCATCCTGTGACATTATGAGGTGTCAGAAACAACATAGCAGGACATTCTCACAAGCGTATACATTGCAGATAGGTTCTCGACACGTAGATTCCCACTGCTTGGCCAATACGCCGGAGGGACGCCTATTGCAGAAGCTTTAGGCTCTTGCTCCGTTCTGATATAACGGAGAATCCGTTCCAGGCTGATGGATTGGCCGTTGATTCGTGAATACCGTATCGGATATCAGTGGGTGACATACCTGTTTCCTGTAGGAAACGTTGAACATACGAGGAAACGATAATACACGATTGTACTTGCCATGCAATTCCACCGCATTGAATATCCTCACCCATACGAGAATCATCGAGCTGAATGAAACTGCAGAACAAGTCAGACACTGAACAGACCTTCAATCGTTGAGGGTGCTTTACCAGCTGTGGCAAGTGAAAAACCCGTGTTAGCCGCGCTCATGCTAGACCCTCTGCCATAAACCAGATAAATAGCCAGAGACGACGTGAACATCCCTGCCAACGCATCTGTTCGTATAGCTATCCATCTAATTGTAGTTCAATTGAATTACGTGGAACCCAAAACGATGAAAGCGTACCTATGGAGATCGTAGAAAGTGGTCGTCGATCTAACATAGGCATCGATACGACGCATGGACTCTTGAAAATAACTTTCTTGAGCGCCGTATGCTCTGATTGAGACTAGAAGCAATATAAGAGTTCAGCCATCAGAGGGACACTATGGGCGCTCACCGAGTCCCGAAATAGCCGCGCCGAAGCTGCAGAATACGATATCAGTGCCCTGGTATGGTACTAGTGGATGCTATGTCATCAGAACGCACTGGCCAAGGAGTGGGGATTTCGCATTCGCATTGCATCGCTTAACCGGTAACTGGGCCTTCATGTACAACTGTCCGAACACGCCACCAAGACATGTCATCACAACGCCCGGAAAGAAAAAAGCAGGGCTGAAGAAAATGATAGATCCAAATTGAATGATGAGCTGTAAATTTAACTCCGTTAAGCGGTAAATTGCGAAAGGGACGCTGTTGTCGACTGTCTGAATTTATTAGTCTGCCAAAGGCAGAATGGATGTCCTTGCGCTTACCAGCCTTTATGTCCACAGTTGTACGTGCAATTACGCGTGCTGTCGGTGTTGTATCCAGCCATCTAGAAAAGGGATCCGTTGGGAAGATTCAGAAATAGAAAGGCCCTTGAAACGTACCGTAATGTTGTACCAAGAACAGACTCAATTAGAGACTGATGTATGAGTCTTCCTGCTCTTAGAGAGCCGAAAGTAAAGATCGTATATCCGGCCGAGTAACAAAATATGCACAATAAGGAAAGGAGCGCGTATACGGTCAGGTAGCTAGGCACCGAAGTTCATTAGCATGTTTGTCACAATAAGAAGGCCTTCCACTAGCACACTCACAACGACGCTGGCACGTCAGATGGATCACGCAGTTGATATTGAGTGGACCAATAGCCTAAGAACCAGGACTGGAATGCTGCAACGCCTGCATTCAGCGCAATAGATCCGATCAACGTCAGCCAGAAAGCCACGACATGTCCGCTCAGATTTCCCAGGAAAAGCTTGACTACATTTGGATCAGCCACAGAATGGATGAGATGTCAACGTGTTGCTTACAGGCTGCCCATTGTACATGACCTTCTTCGATTTCTTCTGTCGTGCTCAGCTTTCCTGAAGGTTCGGCAATATTGAGTTGGGTATCATCTGCGTCTTGTTTCGAACTTTCTAGAGCCTCTTCCTCCGATATTTCAGCGTCTAACGTGGGATTTACACCCAGAACATTGTCCACTGATCCATGCAAAATAGATCCATCCAATTTGATCAGAGTGACCGATTGAGCCAGCGGACGTGTCAGAGCAAGGTTATGTGTCTGAAAATTCAACGTCAAACGTCGTAGTAAATATTACTAGCTTGATGAATACTTACAGCGAGGAGAACGGTCCTTCCGGCAACTAAGTCGCCATTCAGGCATCGATTAACAATCCACTTCGCTGTATGAACGTCCAGTGCAGCAAGTACGTCGTCCAAGAGTAAAACCTTGGCTCGAGAATAGACTGCCCTTGCAAGCGTAACCCGTGCCTGTACAAAATCGAGTTTTACCCTGGCTAGTAACAAAAAGGAACCAACCTTTTGTCCACCACTATAGCTCGGAGAATCAATATAACGACCGACGATGCAAAAAAAATCAGGGTTACCTTAACGTCAAACCTTTTTCTCCAACTTCCGTTCTGTCTCCGGCCTCAAAGAGAGCAAGATCAGGTAGTAATGCACATTGATCAAGAACTAGTGGGTACGTTAAATCAACACATTGTAACTGAAGTGTCAACGATACCTTTATTATAGCGGTCTTCCTCATAGGGCGACCCGAAAAGGATGTTTTTCTACGAGGGATGGATTAGACGCCGCGGAGAATGCTTCGTTTCATTATTCACCCTAATGGAATCACTTTGAACCCAGGACTCCTGAGCAGCATACGCCACGCCATTTTCACGAGGTAAATGGAACCATGAATCAGGACCCGGCGTAACGAAATGCATTTCCCCTGACGTATTTCAGTTGTTTAGATGAAAGCACAAAGCAATGAATAGATACCTAATAACGCGAGAAGAAGTGAAGTTTTCCCTGAAAGACTGGTGAATGACGAGTATTGAGGCTATAAGAATGCATACCAACTCCTGTAGGGCCGACGATGATGTTAATGCCAGTGTCGAAGAACAGGTTGCCCTCTATTCGCAGCTTGAAGTCGCGTCTACTTTCACTCGACCAGACAAATTCAGCGTTCCTAAAGCCTAACTTATCATGAGCGGCATTGACGGCGACGTTGTTTGTGGAGAATGTATCCAAGAGTTCGGTCTACCAAGTCTCAGTATGATGCATAAGCCAACAGTGATACGTCCCCTTACACGGCGGAGAAATCTGTTTACTCGATCCAGGGACACCTTGGCTAAATGGGGCGCACAAATTCAGTTTTTCCATGTAGTATTTGTCAGAACGTAGTACCTTGTACTATGGGCGGGATGCCGTTGACGACTAGACGGAACTTTTGTCGCAGAATTTCGAACACTGTAATTGAAGAGAATACTATAGCGGCTGAAATGTCGATTTTCAGTAAGCTGTCAAACGAATCGGACTTTTGAACGCACCTGTAAGTTGTTTGTGCATGATAAGTGTCTAGAGACCAAGTTAGCCCTATGATATGAATAATGATCTGCTAGACGCACGAATGTTGCGTAGGTTGCAATCATTGTAAGAAGTGGGATTAGAAAGCTTTTAAAGGCATGAGAAACACAGTCTTCCCAAAAGTGACGCGAGCTAACTTCACATGGGCAGTCAGCAAGACCAGAATTTTGTTCCATCGAACGTATGTTAACTCGTCAACCCTTCTTTCGTCAATCTGATCTTTCATTTTGGGTTCCCAGCCAAACAATTTGATCATCCTCAACATCGGCATAGCTGAAACAGATGATTAGGATCGTCCACTCTCCGCGGGAAAGATAATTGAACATACCTTCGGTGACTTTCTGCACGCGGGCATCCATCTTGACAATATGAACACCACGGGAAGACCATAAAATTGAGTAAATACCTTTTTCATCCTCTTCCTCTGAACATCTCGCATCATCCGTGACAGGTAACCTGGTACAGGAATACATATCTGTCATGAATAAGCATTAATGACTGAAGGACAACACAACGGAAGGGGCCTTACGAGCATTATAACAAGTCCTACCAGCGCACTAGATGCATGTGAGTAGATAAGTTGAGACAGTGATTTATATGTATGCCCTACCTCCGATCCAAAATACTATATAGAAATCCGATGGTTAAGAGCAGGTTGATGGGAGCCCACAAAACCTCGTATAGATACATCGGTAAAGACGGCTCGGTAATACTCCCCACATCGGCTGTCGCCAACGTATTGATCCTGCCTATGATGTTTGACTTGGCCGTTTTCTGACTCTCCAGATCGAGTCGGATACGAAGAGCATGCTTGAATATGAGTTGCGTGAGGATTCCCTGCGTACAGGCCATTGTACTGGTCTAGCCCGGGGTCTCTCAGCATAAGGACAACGGAAAAGAAGAAACTTTCATACGGCCTTGTGCATAAACCACTCCATCATTAAAGACCGGAGGAAAGGGCCCATAAAAAGCCACGAAATCCAAACCCACGGACGGATAACCGCGCCATCCCCTCCGGTTTCCAAATAGCTGCGGCGTTTTATTCCAACTTGTTGTATTTTTGAAACAATAATAAAGCTTACTGTAGGAGGCGGTTGATACCAATGGGTGCCACAAATGTGAGAAGCGTCTACAGGGTTTTAAGAGAAGGTTTTTGGAAAACAACCATTGGATATACCTTAACGACCTGAAGCAGCGTCAACTGAACAGCAGTCCTTTGGTGGTACTTCAAGAGACCATGGAGGAGACTATAATCTCGGTCGCCAGAGAAAGGGTCTAGAAATGGGAAGGCATTCCTGACTTGCACTTTGGACGAAAGAGTATAGGCCAAAGGGGGAAGCTTTTCAGGAACAGATGCAGGGTCACGGTAGGCCAGATACACCAGAGGATCTAAGTAAGCGAACAGGAGACAGCAAGAACAAGGGGGCCGTCTGCTCAGGGTTCAGGTCAAGTGCTGGATCCTATTGATAGGTCATGTCAGCCGAGTCCAAAATATTGCAAGGATTCGCACCTCATCATCTACTGGAATATACTCTGAGGGATGTCAGCAGTGGAACGACAAGTCCCACGATTATGAGAAGTGCAATCTTTGCCCACAGAAGCCAACCTTCGTGGAGATCTTGGGGAATTCGAGTGAAGGTCGCTAGAGGGTATACATCACGATAGCCGTAAGTCAACAGTAATACAAGTAGAACTGCATTAAGGTGCTGGGTAGCTATTCTGTGACGAGACAAACTAACAGCAGCCAGAGCGGTAGCATATGCCTAACAGCTCCATGTTAGAACGCGTCAAATCGATTAAGACATCACTTTACACTGGTTATGCATGCTGTCAAGGCCTGGACAATCCAGGCTTCATATCGAACGTAACTTCCATTCTTCAAGGAAGGCGAGAGTATTGTCAATATCAGTAATGCCACGCATCCGATTACTCTCAGTATCAACCAGAAAGAAACCAACGGATGACGCGTAGCGACGCGGTCCGTGCGCTTTGCGTCATTCTTCCTGGCATCCAGGTATGCTGTCTGGACAGTAAACACGGCCGCGGAAGCAACTGTGCCATAGAAAGGGGCTAGACTCGTGTCGGCCCAAATGCTAAAAACGTGGTCAGCCTGAACTCGGTCGTTGTCAGTGCAAGGACAGGACATACTTGTGGCTGCACATCTAACTCGAGCCCTGAACGAGGAACGTTACCAAGTAAGGTCAAGCCACGTACAGCATGTGTCGATGCGGACACCGGTAAAGCTGAGCAGGTGATTAGTCCAGACTGGGCGCCGCCTGAAAGACCGTGACGATAATAAACCAAACACCAGAGCATGGCTGATTGCGCAGAAGAGAATGGCTAAGATACTCTATAGGTGCGTACATATATGTCCTCAACTCAAACGTACTGATTTGACAACCTTCGATATACCAGACCTCTCGCCTTCATACCGACCAGAATCACCACCTTTGTAGACAGCCTTTTGGGACGCGATTTTCTTTTTCGCCTTGTCGAACTTTTGCCGCTTCTTGACTCGTGGGTTGCGCACACTTTGGGACGGTGAGGTGTAAGACCCTTATTTTTAAGAATGGCACGCGTGAGTGACCGTGGCCCAGTCGCATCTTCATCATCGTAGTCGACGCTGAAGAAAGATAAATCAATAATATGGATTCGACATAATAAAAGAACTGCGTACCGAGCCGTTCTGGCCTCGTGCTCGGCTTTCCTCTTCTCCTTTTTGTCTTGGGCCTTTTTCTTTACTAGCTCATAGTAACCGTCGGCGTCCTCTACTTCTGCATCGTCAACGTCCATATCTTTAGCATGCGTGAGTTCTGGATCGATGTCATCCAAATCCTCCCCGCCTTGCTTCGCAAGTCTCGCTTGAGCCTCCTCAACGGTCCGCTTTCCCTTCTCCTTCTTACGCTCACGATAAGGAATATCGTCATCACCTCCAACCGTGCTGTTTCTCGCACCCTTCCTCCGCGAACTAGTGCTTTCAATCTTGGAGGTGTGGAACCGCAAGCTCTTCCTACGCGCACTCTTGTCAGCGGCGTCTACGTGTTGCAAAGAAGTCACTTCGCCAAATGCATCAGCTACATCGACGTGCGGTTTTGAAGAAGAGCTCTGAGATGGAGTAAACTCAGGCTCGACGAGATCAAATACGGGTTCGCCATCGTCTTGAAGAGGTGCAGATTTCGTCGTTTTCCGCTTCTTCTTAGGACGAGATCCGTTTTCTGACGACAAAGCTGGCGCTTGGAGCTGCTTGACCTGTACAGGAGGATAATTTATATTGCCTTCCCTCAAGAGTTCTGCGAGCTCGGCTTGGAACTGAGGTTGCCGATCGTCATCCCATAACTTTTCGGCATCTCGCATCTCATCACGGTCCAAGCCATCTAAGTCAAAGTCACTTTCGTTGCTACCCAAGTCGGAGTTGCCGAAGTCAAGGTCTTCAAGCGTGAGGAGGGATTGCTTCAACGTCAATAGCCGTGACATAATGGGATGGGTCTTGAGTAATTCCGGGTGTCGAGCGTATTTTTCCTTTGCTCGTAGGTGGATGTAGAAAGCGAGTGTGCTGGCGTAGGTCAAAAGTGTCTCTGTCTTGGAGTCAGAAAAGATGGAGGTGGCAAATAGACGCTCTTACGATAATAGAGATGCATCATTCCAAGACTCAACGCGTCGGGCGCCTCACTTTCGGTACTAGTTTCAAGATCAACATACCGAACGCGTATTAAGGGATCTTCCTCACCGGGTAATCTTCTCTTTAGTTTTTACAAGGGTTTCCGCCGTATCTGTCCAGTCTCGACCAAGCGCAAGACTTTCCGGGTCTGTGCGCTCAAAGTGCCGAATGAGTGAAGCATTGTCTGAAGGCAGTTGCTGTACCGCTGGGGGTCGTGGTTCAGCCAGTGCGCTAGAAGCCGCGTGGGAATGAGGACGACGGAGATAGAAAAAAGGACGCACTCATTACTCTCTACATCTATCGTCAAGTCTATGGGGTCATTTAGCCCAAAGTCATCGTCAGTCATGTCCTGGCGCATCTTGGCCTGTAGACGCCTGGCCTCCTGCTCTTCCAGTTCGTTTCCTTCTTCATCATCGGATTCCAACTGGGCAGCATTAGAAGAGTAGTATGCTGATTTTGATCTTCCCCACGACTCTTCCTCTTCGGACTCGGAGGATTCTTCAGATTCAGAAGAGGCCGCTTTGCCCTTGCCTTTGGCTTTCTTTTTCTTTGACTTGACGGCGTTTTTGGGGCTAGGTTGTTCCTCGTAGTCCATACCATCATCATCCATGTCTTCGTCAACATCCATTCCGTATTCATCTTCGTCTTCGTCTGACACTCTGTTCAGAGCGAAAACTTCATCGTCGTAGCCATCCTCATCCTCTCCTTCATCACCGGCAATGAGAATTCTATCTCTGGATGCATGAACTTGACAAATATAAGCATTTAAAAAACACAGAACATTGAATGGCGCCTCACATTGGTCCTCTTCATCCATGAGTATATCCGAAAGTTTGTCCCATTTCTTCAATTTACCATCCGCGCGGTTCAAGGCCTTGGGTTTCCGGGAAGATGGTCCAGGTTTTGTTCCCCGTTTTTTACCCATCTTGAGACGCGAAGTACAGTTTACTGGGTGACTGAACGCGGGAAACTCAAAAAGAAATTACGAATTCGTGATTCTGCTGTTTGGTCTGGAAGCCAGCACCAAATATCGCCGTCTCCCTAACCATGACCTCGTTATTGCGCGCATTCGCGCTCAATACCAGGCTATGCGCTACGGCGCTCTCTAGGACTGTACCACAACGGCATATCCAGCCCAGTGCTCTCCTCCTTCTCCAACAATACCGCTCTTTCCACGCGTCACCACCAGCCGCCGCTACAATGAATCAAGCAATGAAGCGGAAAAAGCGACCCGTCCGACGCACCCAGCTTTCAAAATCCCCTCTTTTAGACACCTCCCCGCAGAAAAAGGGCGTTTGTACTCAGATTATCATTGCAAAGCCCAAGAAACCCAACTCTGCTAAGCGGAAGGTTGCTCGTGTGAAGCTGACCAACGGGAACTCGCTGCAGGCGTACATCCAAGGAGAGGGACACAACTTGCAGGAGCATAGTGTCGTTTTGGTTCGTGGTGGGCGTTCGAAGGATCTTCCTGGTGTCAAGTGAGTGTCTGTTTCGTTGGCGTTGCTTTCCTTATATCGAGTCTGCTCCCAGATACAAGGTCGTCCGTGGCGCGTTGGACTTTGCTGGTGTACCGGGTCGTATGACAGCGAGAAGTAGATATGGGTATGTCTGGCTGCTATTCTGTTTGATGTCTTGCTCATGTTATCCTTCTTAGGGCCAAGAAACCCAAAAAGTAATCTTATCCTTGTCGAGATGACCTTGAAAAGTTGTAATGCATTTGTTACAATCATTGTTCAGAATGAATTACTTTTCGTGACACTCCAGAAGGTTATTCCAGTTCACCGCGAATTTTTTGACTGTTCCTTCGTACCCAGCAGCGCGTTCGTTTTGCATCGAGAGACATCTAGAGGAAGTCTCTAGTGCATCTTCCAGTTCTTATTCTTATTGCTGAAGCGGAAGTCCTGATTATTGTGTTCCTTGGTCATCCGTATCGCTGCTTTCAAACACAGACAGCAATTTTTACTTGCCCACCAGGTCGAATCCTCCTGCAGACATTAAGGTCCTTGAACCGTTATCGGAATTATATACTATCAGCTACCCGAGCTCTCTGAAATTGTGTTCACTTTTCTGCAACATGCTAGAAGCGACCCTTCCCGAAAAACGTTATGAGAACTCGTGATAATGCATTGTTATAATTATTGCCCAGGATATTAGCTACAAGTACGTGGTATGTGATGATTCCGGTTTCCGCAAGTGTCCATCAAGAAAAGGTATCTGAAAAGTTATAAACATAATCTCGTCAATTGTCCAGTATCCCTTAGTTTCGCCTCTTTATCCTTCTGCGCCCTAGAAATCCTCTCGATTTCTGTGTTCAAAGCCCAACACCAGGTATCACGCTCCAATTTGTTTCGTGTCCGAAAAACAACTAGTTTGTGTTTCGCCGACAAAGAGGGAACCGTATCCGCATCGCTCTGGGGCCGATACCAGATCGTGAATAGCGTATCCTCTTCCGGGTCATCGGTTTCCAAACCGTCCTGATAATGCCGTGGGACACTGTTTGAATCCGGATCGTATTGACCTTGAGGGAGTGCTAGGGCCGCAAAATATCCCGAACATATGTATGCATCCGACAGAGGGATCTTCTTTTGCTTAGCATTATGCAGAGCCGAATGCGGTTTGATGCGAAACAAGCAGAGATTTCCGGAGATGAGGATCATTTGGGCGAGCCTGTATCAATGTAAGAATAGACAGGACCTGGATTGAAAAGAACAGCCAACTTGAATTGCCCACTTAGTCCCCACCGCAGATGAATCTTACCGCCCCTTATGATGGTCTTGCACCCTTCCAGAACGCACCAGTTGTACAAGGAGGTAAGCGCCGGCAAAGGCGCTGCAGGATCCGGAGGCGCCGTCGGAGGTATGTCTTCCACCTCATCACAGATATGCAGTCTAGGCGTCAACCGTGGTCTGCGTGCTACAGAAACATCCATCTCGTCCTTGGCATCTGCCCTGTGTCGCAACTTCCAGTACGAGATCAGCGATCGCAATCTGTTTATCCACTCTAGCGCAAATCTGCGAGAATAACACTAAGCAATGGTTAGTAACTGAATATTCTTGAAACAATCTGATACTCACTTCAAACCTGATAACATGACCGTTCTTCAGAAAAAGCTCAAACGAGCGCTTCATTCTTAGGTGGGGTTTGTCCGAAGCTTTGCTGACGGCATCTTCTCCTCCCTCGTCCTCGTCATCACTGTGGCTACCTTCTTCTGCGCTAGGCTGGGACCAGACGTTCATCCACGAAGCATCTGTATCCCCATGCCTATCTGTAGCACCCGATGGATCGACCTCGACGTGGGTGTGTGGAGGAACAATCTGGAATGCCCGTCTTACAGCTATTATACTCCTCAAATCAGCGACCGCAATGGCATCCAGAATTTGCGACGTTCCTCGCTCAACCTCGCGCCTGTTCAGTTTCTGAGCATAATTTTCAGTCTCTCTGAGGGGAAATGGTGATGGAGGATGTGCTTTTGAAGTTGGAAGAGTAAACAGATTCCCGTCATGCGTGGTCATATATACGCGCTGTTTCAGCTGCGTGTTTGGCTTGATGCGGGAGAGGTATCCTTCGATACTGGGAGGTTCACGATAAAAAGGGTCTTCTGTTCCCGTGCTGCTATGATTCAGGGGTTTAGCAATACGAGCGGGATAGTGGTCCCCAAGACGAAGTTCGAGGTGGGCCTATGGGGAAGCGTCGATTTTGAGACTTCGACGAAGGCATTGAATTTACCTGCTTGTATGCCACCCCACAGAGAACAACCCAGCCTCTTTGCTGCCCATACACGTCGTCTTCGAGCCATACCCAATCCAAATTGGTATCCATTCGCCACGCAAGCTCTAAAACTTTACCCAATCCAAGCTCTTGTTCAATGAGCTCTTTCCAATCAGGAACTTCGCGAAGTGATTTTAAACAGAGGGCGATGACATTACTCCGTGTAAACATCCTGCTATACCCTTCCACAGTAGCGATCATTGGGACATCAATCTTGACTTTCGCGTCCAGAGTTGGGTTGCGAACCTCTATCATGGATGGGACTTGACCTCCGATGTGGCGCCTGTAACAAAGACGTCAACGCGTTTGTTTTGCATTCACCCAGTTCGGAGACACGAGTTACCACAGCTGCCACATCCAGTCCTGGCCCCTTGATCTGTTTTTGGGTTTGAAGACGAAGATGTTAGTGCCCGACCTTGCTATGTGAAAAAACGCTCGGTGACTTTGAAGTACCGTTGTAGGTAGGGGTGGGTGGGCAAGTGATGCAGAAGGTTAAATCAACGAACGAATATAATGATAGTCGCGTTCGTCCTGATTTGAGTGGAACAAGAAAGGCAAGGTGTTTGTGCCCTGTCAGACGCTCCTTTCCGGGAATGGTCTGGATAATAATTAGGACACGATATAAGCATGAAAAAGTGGATATACATACATAATCTTCATACACTTCAATGAAGTCTCTTCTCCAAACAACCATGAATTCAGCCCAGTCTTCATGACGCAAGCCACTCGTCATCCGGTGCTGGTACTCGTCGAATTGAAGTCCAAGAGATTCAGACTCTGTATAGCTGACTCGCACGAGCATCCTGTCTCTCATAACAACGTCACCCCATTCAGCGTCCGAATCTGCATTTGCAGCTGCTGTGGCCATTGCCCCAGCACTCGTCTCCTCTACCGCTTGCTCGCATCGCTCCAATACTTCTTCCGGAGCAACAGGATTCCTGGTCTGGAACGACTGAGGAGTTTGGTATAGGAGTGATAGAGTGTGAGAACAGGTTCGGCATAGTGAACCTTTTGCTTTCCTTTGCTCTTGTTGCTGGTCAAAGGCATCACTTTTAACAAACGAAGGCATCTTGATGATAGGTCTAGGAATTACATCTGTGTGCGCTTTGCTCGAGGATGTCCTATTCCTAGAAGCGTTGGGCCGTCCTAAAAGCGCAGTAGCTGAAGATGTACTATGGTTATCACCATCAGACGAGCCGGATGCGGTGCCATTCTCCAGCTGATGGTGGCAGTGAAGGTACTAGCTGTCATGAAGGTTTTAGAATCCTCGTAAGTTGGAGCTGAGGGAGGTGGTCTGGAAGATGTACTGGCTTTAGGTTCGATAGGTGCTGGTGACAAAGGTTTCGTTGGCAGACGCCGTGGAATCCCCGACAGGTAACGCCGATGATGGCAACTGTTCAGCTTCGTCTTCCAGTATTAATGGTAGATGTACGTCGGACATGCCTTTTCGACTAGAACGGGCAGACGCAACAGCCTCCATAGATTCAAGAACGTTCACGCCAAGAAAGCTTCCCACCTCAAAGCTTGAACCCACCCATTTTTGGTCCGGGACTGTGCTTGACGCGGCAAGTTTTCTATTCCAGATGGCACCCCATTCGCTCTCGCGCCATTTACTGAGCATCTCCTCGCGGACGCTGGACTCGTTGCTTTCGCCCCATTCATCTGGGTTTCCCCCGCCTAGAAGAAAGAACCTGTAGGCGGTATTTTTCACGAGTTGACTGAGATTTCGTTCTTCGTCTTGATCCGTGGTGGCCTCGCCAGAGAGTAGTTTCTCTGGCATGGGCCCAATGAAGACGCGTCGGTGTACGTGGACATCTTCTGACGTCTGTATGGCTTGGGAGGCGGAGGATCCTACTGTGGACTGAGAGATGGTTCGCCTAAGCTCGAAATCCATGTCAGCGAAGAGGAAAAGGATAGAACACTAATGCCTCCAGTACTTGTACATTAATATATAATGCTCGACAACATTAGGACGTGTATGCTAATGCAAGACAAAGACTACCGTACCGTAAATGGTAGTCAGCGGGTTGTCTTTGTATTTAGATGACAAGGAAACCTACCAAAGAGCCTTTGTGAGCGATAAGAAAATGAACACAACCGTTGACGACGGCAATTAAAAGGAAGGCCTTGGCTAACACAGACCGAGAATGTAGTCGGTGGAAGACAGAGACTTGGCAGAGACAGACTAAATGCTTGGGTGACGTCATTTTCTCAGGAGCCGGGACCGAAAATCCGACAGACCTCTAAAAAGCTCTCCAATGTTCGTACATACTCGACAAGTTGGCGACAGGCAGAACTATACCCATGCCTACAGTTCCTGCCTGGGTAGGTACCATCTCGTCACAATAAAGTTTAACAGGCTGACCCGTATTTTCTCTCTATCTGTTGAACTCAGTCTCGAGGCAACCAGTACGTAGTAAGTACTATATCACAGTATCACACAATTATGATTGAACGATTGTTCACGGATCACTTCCTTCATTATTCGGCGCGAGTTTTGTGCTCAAGTCTGAACTTTAGTATGAGAAACGCGATCAGAGTCCATATTCTATATCAAAAACCTTTGATGATCATCGACCCCAAGTTACTAATCAATTATCGATGTACTAGGCTAGGCTTTTTCAGCATAGCTATACGCAGGTCATAGCAGTGCGGCACAAGATTAATACCTAGAACGAGTCCTGTGCGGGAATGACTCACCTGTGTAGATCACCAAAGTGATACGCCGTAGAATCTGTTTTAAAATGACATGATAGCAGACCTGTAGCAGTAGCCTCGGAGTCTAGATAGGCCGCCGTAAGGTAAACTATCCGTATCCAATTAAGTTGGAGTAGGCAAGGCAATTCGCCAGCGGCATCAGCATCAGTCCGACGATAGATTGACAAGCAAGCAAGACATAAGATTCAGAACAAGATTTTGTTCGAACTGAAAGCTATATTGCCACCTCTGTCATGAATCTCGGGCTGTCGGAGTACGTGAGATGTTGGGGAATACAAATGTGAGTTTACGAGAGTATTATTTCTTTGCGAGAAGCTGAAAAAAAACATACCACATTTGTTGGTGGCGCAACATACATATCAGGTTCAACACTAGCGCTTCTCCCAGACAAACCACTGCCCCAGAGTGGCTCCACGATGGATAATAATATCTTTTTTTCACACATACTGGAACACCTACCAATAGCGTAGTTTCAATATGTGGAGAGGCAAAACAGATCGTCAGGATCGTGATTTTTAGTTAGAGTTCACGTTCACGGCACTAGAAGTGATGGGCGAGAGCCAATACAGTTTATTGAGCAAGTGACTTGAATGCACACCACAACCGGTAGGAGCAGGTTAAAGTATCACCATTTTTGCCGCCGCTTCTTGGCCTGCAAGGTGTTCTTTCCTCGAGCACCCCGGACGCTCTGTAAATCTTCAAACTTCTTTTTCGCATAGCGTTTCGCCTCAGCATCATCCACCAGCTCATCCACTAGCGTCCGTTTACGGTTCGCCCTTGTGAGGTTCTCCGAGGTGCCACCACCAAACGGCGTGTTTGCAGGTAACGATAGTACCGATCTGCAAGGAGAAATTGAGCGAATGTTGCGGTACATATGACATATGAGAGGAATGCCCTCACGGCAAAATGCTTCGGCAGGCCTTTTATACCCTTTCCTTCTCCTTCGTCTTTACGATAGAATCGCTTGGGGTCTAGATAATTACGCAAACGCATCGCTTCTACTTCACGGTAGAGCCGCGGAAGGTCTGCTTCGGCTGGAGCAGGCATGTCAAACCACCCTGGTCCTGCAGTCTGCTGTTTTAGCTAGCCCAAACCGTAAATACATTACATTAATAGAAAACAAAGATAATGCTCACTGTTTTACGCTGCTTCTTCGTCAACAACTTCCCATCTTTGGTCAATTCCGGGGGAGGTATTGGAGGTACGGGAACGGAGTATAATAATGAGGATTTCTCAGCAAGTTCGATGTCGGGGTCGCGTATGGACGTTGGTCGAGTATGCCTTGATTCATCGAATTCGAAATATGGTTTTGGAACGTTCCCGGGATCAAGGGGCGGTAATGTCCTATAAAGCAATTGGAATTCGACACCAAGAAGGAACAAGTTGACATACTTGGGTTCGCTGTCAAGCTGTACTACGTCCCCTTCTAAGATATCCACAGAGTCTGTCGGCTCCTGGGGCGTAGATAAAGCATTTTTTCTGGCCTTTTCCAGCAAAGAATCGAGATATTCTTGTGTAACGGGTTCGCTGTCCGAGCTATATGAGCTAGACGTGTCTGAATCGTCGTCAGAGGTGGAAGCCGAGTCAGATGAAGAGTCATCCACAATTTCTGGGTGTAATTTGTTCGACATACGCCTCTTCAGTACTGACGGCACATACCTATAGCCTTTTCTTTCCCTTTCCCTTTCAGCGACATGGCGATTAAGGAGGACGGCGATCACGTGGCAGAAAGTAAATCTCTCGATCCGGCATTCCAGTATTTCACCGATACGAAAGCGGACAATAGTGGTCCAAAGGCACTCGTAAGTAGTACATTTTAAGTCTCTATAAAGTACATATAAATGAAAAAGATTGAGTGTCATAAAGAGCGTAACAGTCCAAAAGACTTGAGATTATAAAAACACCGGGAGGTTTGAGCGCTGATGATCGTAAGTTGTAACGACAGGATAATGCTATAGCGAACAGAACGGATAAGACGAAAGTGTCGACCAAGATAATCATACTACCCAAAATATAGAAAGCAAAACACAACAGCGTCGAAGGAGGATAGAAATGCATACAAATAGGAACGAAGGAGAGTGAGAGCACGAGACGACCCGATAAATGAATTAGTCCACAAACAATGTCCAAAGGCAACATGAAGGGGGTAGTCGCGATCAAGAACACGTACGGAGAACGTGTGAGTATTATTTTACGATGAGGTAATTAACCGTCGCGTTCACTTGTCCCCGAGCCTTCCCGCGGCGGCAAGACGATACCTGGCCGTCCATCTTCCCGACGAAGCGGTAGGGGCGGAGAGGACGCGCGCCGCTCGCGTTCAGACAACCGAGGACTTGATTGCTGCCTATGTAGTGTTGGACGCCGGATCATCTTTCCCGACATATGATGCGTGCTTTCACGATGCGAGGTCGGAGGCGACTGTACATTGAGGCTACGAGGTTGAGAAGGACCATCACCGCGCGGCATGGGATCTAGACGGCTAGCAGACACCGAAAGACGCCTGGAACCGAAAGGCCCCGGGGAACCGTTTTCCGATTCTCGTCCGCTTTGACAATCCCTGTCTCTGTCGTGTGTCCACCCCGGAGACGATATCCGTCTGTCATGCTCAGACATCAAACGATCTCGGTCAGAGGGTGCAACTGGAGGAAACGTGTATGACTCTGGAGCCATGGGACCGGTAGGTACAATACCATTCCTGGCCATCTGTTTCTCCTTTGTCCTGTGGGCCCCGGGCATTTCAATGCTCGGACGGCGACCACTATTGGGTGTCCTGAGAGCATCCTCTAGTTCGTCTATTCGCCGCTGCATACCCGCCATCTCCGCTCTCATTCCGCTCATCTTCTTATCGACAAGACTTTCCACGAGCTCATGAAGCCGATCTTGTTGCTGATTTAGATTCTGCACAAGGGCCTGTGATTTCTGAAGCTGCTCGCCCAGCCAAGCCTTCAGCTGCTTCGAATCGTTAAGCGCGTCATAGAACATCTCAAAGGGTGCTAAGAAAGCGGCTTTCCCGCCTGAATAGCCAGGGTGATGGAGAGAGCTGGGAGTAGGGGGGACAAGCGTGGAAGAAATTGCGACGGAAGCATTTGGCGGCGATCTTCCTGAAATTCCGGGAATAGGATGAGCAACTTGGCCGGATCCTGACGGATTGCGCTGCAACGACAGTCGCGTTGGGGTGGGAGGAACATTACCAGTTACCACCCTTTTCACATTTTCACCACCGCCCAGCACAGATGGCAACCGGGGCAATGTCATTGGAACTCTTCCAGAATAGAAGGAACCCTGTTGCCCGCCTGCATGTGGTATCGGTGGCGCACTTTGAATGGAAAGTGCTAATTGCTCTTTCGTATACGCCTCCCTGGGGCTGATGACAATATCAGCCGGTTTTTTCTTCCCCTGACCGCCTAGTTGATTAGCCCGTCGTCGCGCGAAGCTGATAGGAGGTGGTGGTAATGAATGCGGATTAACACTAGATGACGAAGCTTGGGTTGGTACAATTTGTTGAGGAGTGGGAATAACGATAGGACCAGGACTAGGGGGATGAGTGCTCCCGCCTGCAGTGTTGGTAAGACGACGTGATCCTGTCCCTGAATTAGGGCTGAGACGAATGGGTCGGGAAGACGGCGGAGGTGCCTTGGATGGCGTCGACCGGTCATCGGAGGCAGCAGGAGCGCTCGATTGACCAGGCGAGACAACGCCAACGACGCTGCCTCTGCGCTGTTCGATGAGAGCTTTCTGTTTTTGCTTGACTGAGATCATGGATCGGACCTGCTCGGCGGCATTGGGATTATCGCGTTGGCTAGGCATACTGAAGCCAATGACAACGGGCGATATAGGGGTCGAGCCAGCTGCTTCCGCTGGCGCACGAACGTCGGTATTGAGAGCGCCAGGCTGAGGCGCTCCGCTTACAGTGACTCGCCGTCGTTTTGAGGGATTGAGGTGGACAGACGACGGCGGCGGTGCACCAGAAATATCCAAAAGCCGGTCTGGCTGGACTGGCTCTGGACTGGATTGGAGCATGTCCTGGTCAGGTTCCTCTTTGACCCGAGTCGTCCTGGAAGGCCATTAGCATAGTGTATTTAGAATCTTTGTATTTCTGTAACGCACTCATTGTCCGACTCGTTTTCTCCCTGTGTCGGCGGCGATTCCTCGACCCGTGCGCGTTTCTTACTCACCCTCTGTGAAGACGACGCCTCTTCGCTTCCTGGACGTGAAACAGTCATCGTCGGCGTTTTGACGCGAAGATCGCTCGAATGGGGTCGTGTCTGGATTGGAGGCAGCGATATGTTTCCCTGGGATATATTCCCCAGTGACGTCGAGCTGAAGGCCTGGGCAAAGGAAGGAAGGGACTGTGGGATATGTGTCGCTACGCTGCTCGCATGGTTGAGAGACATGCCGTGCTGGCTACTGGACAGGTCGACTCAGCGAATACAGTGTGCTGACCGCTGATAACGACGGCAAGCTGGTGTGGCGGCCGTCGAGAACGATGGCAATGATGGTTGGTGGTGATGGGAAAGGGTGGTTGGAAGAAACAAGGGAGGCCTACTTCGGTCGGATGGGATAATTAAAAGAAGTTCGGTATGGAATATGTGTTACCCTCTTTTTGCAGCCCGATCATTGACCTTGAAATTTGCCGCAAATGCCTCCTCAAGGGGCCGTAGGAGCCTCGTAGTACTTTAATTTTCTCTCTTTCTCTCTTATGTTTCAATCGTGTTGCATACAGAAATCATTCACCAAATGTGTCAATCTCAAACACTTGCCCGGTAACGGGATATGAAACACGACAACACATCTCTCTGCTACGGAGTAGCACAGAACTGGTGCGAAGTGCCCGGATCCGAGGTCATATCCTTTGTTCAAGGTTGACACAGCAGTATTCCCATCATCCAAGTCTGATTCCGTCCTCTTCATTTCTCACCAGATAATATCCCCTTGCTTCCGTGATCCCATCGTTCTCTCGACACCAACCATATGCATCACCTGCGAGATCCCGAACTGCTGGGATTCTTCTTGTAGCTTACGCAATGGCGCATCGTGCTGCCTCGACAGAGAAGCAACTTTCCTTACTCCAGAAGGGATGGTCCTCCTCTCGTGCCAGATTCCTTTATCTTCGAGCCTGCATACATATCATGGTTCGCCCACGACCCCACCTCAGTTAGGATATTGTTTGATTTTGTCGTGATAATCGATGGCATCCTTCGGAGAAGGGGTCAAACAATTCTGGAGAGTTTGATAACAAACAGAATCAGTTTCCTATACACTGCTTTTGTCAGTTCGGCCAAGAGTAACATGCCTAACTTTAGACATACAAAGAACGCTCCGGATTCAATCATCGCAGTTAAAAACTGGCCGATGACACTTTCTTGCTCATACGGGCGCGCATTCCACATGCAAAGCTGCGCTTTCAACTGTGCCTTCCGACTTTGTGTTACCCAATCCAAAATAAGACTGCAGCAAATTTAATAAATCGTTTTCAAGCACCGGAACAAAAGGAACATTTACCTTTTGCGCCCATTCTTCAACGGCAAGTTTACTATTGAAGCGAAGATGGACGTTGTCAATGTTCGGGGTCTGGGCCACCATATTTGTACATCGCGGTCACTTGATCAGCCTCACCGCGTTCCCGAGTCGTCGTTGTGTGCCGGCGTCGGAGCCGCTGGTACTGAGAAGATCCCCGTAGTCTTCGAATCCTAAAATATTGTCGAATTGTCTGCAAAGCCATTAGCCTCCGTACCACCAAAGAGATTAAGATTGCATGTATAACTCATGCCGGCATTTCTTTGTTCTCAAAACAGAATGCAGCCGAACGCAATTTATTTTGCCCAGTATTCTGCCGGCAATATTCCGCGCATCCATTAGCAGAAAACATTGTTCAGCGCAGGAAGTTGGGAACTGAGGATCTTTTCAGGGCTACTAGCGGAGACTCTTCTGTAATTCAAGATGGTAGGACGAGGCGCGTCTAGATTGGCTAACCATCTTAGCTTCGTCTTGGTCCCTAGGGTCTAAACACGAGTTACCACAATTCCGATATCTACTCCAAGAAAACGCATTCATGGCAATTGCACCGCTAGGGTAGACCACTAGGCAATCAGGGTCACAACGAAGAGCGTTTCTTATTGGCAGTAGGCTTGATAAATGTTCAACGATGAGGCCTGCCTACGTCTTCAAGATGAAGTACTTTGTTCCATATATGACACTATACCTAATGAAGTCACGAACGCCGAGCCTATTGCGCAGGAATGCGTTTCTATACAGAGGATAGTAAATTGAAAATCAATTATTGAGAGCAGGTCGTACCATCGAAAACCACAGAGCTAAGAATTGAGCAGAGAACATCAACACGCCAAGTCGTAAAAAGAACCATGTCGTTAGTGGCGTAGCAATGTGACCATCTTCTCAGATAACTTCATGCTACCAGCACGTTGACTTATGGCAGTGGCTGGTGGGATCCGACTGTTACGGGCATATCTTGGGCAAGGCTTACAGCAGCGTTTGTTATTACATTTAATGAGAACAAATTTTCTGAGTATGTACATCGGCCAGCTGTTGAATTACACAAAAGTATAAGCCCATTGGCCTGAACAGTCAAAAGGATGACACACAAAGTTATCCGTTATTCGGTCCGTTTCTTTTTCTTCCGTACCGTCAAAACCGTCACTTGTGGTGCATCGGCCAAATTTCCGGCACCCTGTTTGACACCCGCCGCGGCCTCTGCCTTCTTCGAAGGTCTGTCTGGGTTGCTGACACACATTGACCCATAAATATGTGAATTGTACGTTTCGAGAGACGGCTCGGGTTCTGGAAAGGGATTCGGAGAGATATCTGGCACGATTCTTGTCCCATTTGCCATCCGAGGAGGCGGGGTGGATGGTGGAGGAGGCGCCAATAACGAAGACGGCTCCGGGGTGCGTCTCTCGGATTTGGAACGATCAGTTGCACGTATGGGACGAGGCACTTGAATGATAGGCGTAGGAATAGAAGAGATGCCTTCGCACAGGCCCCGTATGGCACCCTCCAAAGATTCCGTGGCTCGGGTTGCAAAATCAGTCGATGAGAAGTCAACTGCAGTATGCAACGACGTCATAATTCTTTTATTGATTTGCGACGAAACTTGCCCTGGTTGAGGAGCAAGTGGGGAGATGGAAGAATGCATTGAAAAGTTTGACGATGCTGGATGGGGGAATGTTACTCCGAGAGTGAAGAACCCGGTGACGGCGCCGGCTACGCATTCTTGACGAAAAGACATGCGCTCCCAGAATTCATCTGGTGATACAATTCCCAGCTCTCCCGATGGACGCTCGTCCTTTCTATCGTCCTTTTTTGCCGACGTCTGGACGTCTTCCCCGTCCTCCTCTGATTGCTTTTTTGCCGAGTCCAAACGAGAGTTGGTACGTGTACGTTTTCGTGCTGGGGATTTAACTCGCCCGTTCTCGGTAGTATACGCGATCTCATCGATGAAACGGGACTTTGGATCATCATCGAACCATGGTATGTAGTGACCCAAATTCATAACTTCGCTCTTCGGACAAGGTAATGGAATGTCTTGCTGAGAATATGGATGACCATATGTCCAACGCAGAAGGTGTGGTGGAGACGATGGGGAGGAAGATGGCGACGTGGCCTTCAAGGAATTCTCTGCCTCAAGTTCCGAGTACCCGGGAAGCACATAGTTCAATCTAATGACAGCTTTAGATTGGGAACGAGCGTCAAGTTCTGTGGCCACACCGGTAAAGATACCCTTCCACCAACCACACAGTCGCACGTCACTCAGTGGGCGTTTCCCCACAAACTCTGAAGAGTTGGGAAAGAGGTATTGATTCTGGGCACGGGCAAAAAGATGAATCCACAGATGCTGCGCTTCAATGGGCCTGGTGGCAGGGTCAGCATAAAATAGAAGCAGTGAGCGGACTAGCGCAGATGTCGGAGACGGTGAATACGCCTGCCCAGTGGAATCCACCTTGGACACGTAGAGAATGGCGCATGATGTGGTAGGTATATTATACACACAGGCCTCAATGCCAGAGACCATAATTCGCTGCAAATCCGGAGTTTTCTGCTCTGATAGAAGAATGAGAATGTCCTGCAAATACGACCGCGGTCTAGGGAGCGCATAAGGGTACAAGTCAGCGTGTTTCCTGGGCGAAGAAACGAGCACATGGACATGGAATTCCCGGGTACCAGGAAGATCCTTCAGCCCGTCGAGAAGAGCATTCCTGAGGAGATTGACCGACATGGTGATAGCGATGGAAAATGTCAAATGGGTCCAAGAGTTGCTCGCAGAGTTGAACGCGTTCTCAGGCGCTATTTTATTCGAACGTATTTGCCAAACATAAACCATGTGACACCATAGTACTTATTCTACTACACAAAGAGGAAAGAAATTGCGGTAATGATACAAGGAGAACGAACATGAAAAACAGATGTGAAGGATAATACCTTCCATGCGGACATAAACTACACTGCAGAAAACAACGGCCGGTCCGAAGACGCGCTTTCGATCGGCTAAAAATCTCACTAAAATCACTACCAACGAAGATCGTTGAACGGTAACTCACAGATATAACGCCGTCTTCTGTTTTTGTAATAGTGGACGTCTGAATGTTGACCTTGAGTGGCGCAGGAGACTGAATCATTGGTGGTTCAATTTGACGAAGTTCAAGTTGCGACACTTTGATACTTACTAGTAGCCTTCCCCATCTCGCGGCTAGAGTTGGAGGAGGAACCTGAACGCTCCTTGTTGAAGCCACTTGGGAGGGTGAAAGACACGTGAACGATTTGCTTGATGATAGCCCCCGATGTGAACCGCGGTAGTTCAACCTGAGGATCGGTGTCAGAGCAGTTCAAGAGTTGAGTGACAGAAACGATTCAACAATGCCAATAAAGAGTTCACATAGCCTGATATGAAGCAGGATACTCAGAAAACGCCACCACTCCGCATAAAAATAAAACATACATTTTCCGCCTATCCAAGAAAAGGCCAGCCAGATATAATTATTAGGCCTGACGGCAAACTACAACATCGTGAGTAAGCCAATCTTACGCTCAGAAATTAAAAAATAAAAATAAAAAACATATACCGTGATTACTGTCCCAATGCCAATCAAGCTACACAGAGGTAAGCAAAGCATCTCGAACCGACTGGGAGACTCAGAAGTACCTTGAGACTAGACCCGTCGCCACGCTGTAGACAATCAGGGTGTTGATGAGAGAGTTGGTTCTTAGCGATGCTTCGTTGCGGAGTAGTTCTTGATTGAGGATAAACAATGTGCACACCTCTCATAGCCCGTCCGGCTTCTGTACAGATAAAAGCACAAGGAGGCGGCAATGAGAATATCCGCTGCCGCCAAGCTTCCATTTCCTGCACTGGTGACCCACTGTAAATCAATTCTGAGAATCGATGTCACGCTAGTGTTGGAACATATTCACAATCAACTGCTGGAATTCTCCCATGGATCCCAATCTGAGACTAGAACGTCCATTCACATGTAGTCGCGTGATATCAGAACACAGGACAGACGAACCTTTTGAGGGTAAAAACTACAACATGTTGCGGTGTCTTTAATGAATGTCAAATTTGTGAAAACACCATGAGAGTACCTATGCTAAGACCTGGTACTATTGTAACCACGGCTCAAAAATGAGGGCCGATCGAACTTACTAAAATGAAAGCACGAGAGGGTCACCTAACAAGCCGATTGAATGTTTGTGCGTAGTACCGATCATTGAATACAGCAACGTACAATGATCGCAGCTATAAAAGTGTTCTTCGAAACTGGCAAACTGTGAGCGTGGTGCTTGGCTTCGCTGTTGAAGACCGCACATATATAGACCCGTCGGGCAAAAAAGCTGTTTTTAAGATTCCATGAGTATCCAAAGTGTGCCTCAAAGTGCCTAACGCACCATTCGACAATTAGAGCGATGAGTCCCTACGATAACAAGCGTTATATGAACCAGTCACATTTAATGCGACAACATACATTGAACCCGGTCTGCACCTAGCTCATCAGAACGTATATCAGAAGGTTGAATGTGAAAATCTGGTGAAAGTCTCGCGCACGTTCATGCTCCTGTCATTCTAGCGTCAGGAAGACGGATAAGTGAGAAGACGGGGACCATACCATGTCAGGTGCTCAAGAGAGGAGATATTAGAAAAGTTGGTTATCAGGTGCCTACACGGGTCAGCCTTGAAACGGTGAAATGGAAGATGGACTGTCCACACCTACCAGTAAAGTGCCATTATACACAGTACAAGGTGAACAGTGTCCAGGATACTGACGCATGCTCGATCAATGACAGAGCTTCGATTTTGGAAGGCATCAGACAAACCATAAAAGCGCGACCTGGCAAGCAATGAGATACTCTACATGGCCAGCTTCAATGATGGGAAAGACATTACTGTACATCGGGCATGCACGGATTCTCTCGAACCATTTCTACTATAATAAAATTGTTAGTAGATGGAAAGTGGGTTGACCGCCCGCTCCTACTTGAAATAGATATATCTACAGCAGCAGCAGTGTTAGAAGACTTGGACCACCCCCAAGATAATTATTGCATACGTTTGAACCAGTGTTGCACCGTACAGTCTGTTCAACATTATTCAAGAACAGAAGGTTGGGAGAGAAATTAGAGACCTCACATAGAGGCGGCGATTAGGCCAACGAAAGCACTTCCGTATGTTGAATGAACATCCATGGTAGACAGAAAAAGAGCGCTGAATTATGCTAGGGAGAAAGTTCATATCGCATCATCGTGCATATTTAAGAAGTGTCAACAGGCTGTGGAATTTCCTAAGCGGAATTTGAGAAGGAGTTGAGCTGTATGATTTGGATCAACCGAGAAGATCCAGCCCGGTATGCAAAGATAAGACCCACCTGATATGATAATCGCGGCTTATGGGAAGGGAGCATCTGCATGAGCTGTTCCATTCAATCCAGTACATAAGTGCTCATCGCGCTGTTCTTAGTTATTCAAATCTGCTGTAAAGAGTTACAGCACTTATCTACATATCGAGGCAATTAGCTGACAGCAATTACAGCATGTGCGAGAGATGTTACCTGGATCCCCAATGCTTTAGCTGTTAGCGGGCCAGGATACAGTTAAGAGCTGGACCAGATTGTGGAGATGTGTTATAAATAGTACTACGATGAATGATGATTGGACAGTATGCTACAAATATGGCTGTTGAACACACAAGACAGGAACAAGACAGAGACGGGAACAACTACAGCAGAAATTGATATGAAAAAGAATAGCGGAGATCACGCAACGTAGGCAAAAGTGTCCCGAGTCCCATCTACCCGCTCGATGTACTCTTTCTCGAGCAGTGTATCAATAGCCTTTGCGAATGATCGGTCAGTATAGAAGGGATCCAAGATGGAAAGGAGACCGCCCGAACCTTCTTGATGTCCGGAATCTTCGGTGCAAAACGCTGAGAAATTTGCGAAATGACCTCCTGTATAAGCTGTTGATTTTTCATTCGACTTCCTGGCCTTCATGATCCTGGAAGCAAGGAAGATTATAAGAAGCGGAAAGTAGATTTACGCAGTAGAGGACGCACCGAACGATTGTAGCTTGTATGACATACTTCCGATCTTCATCGACATTTTTCAGGACCTCAGTTGTTTCTGCCCTGACTTCGGCTTTAATCGGTTGATTCAGGTTCACCCGGATTTTTTTCGACTTGAAGCCTGCAAAACCAAACAGTCAGTCACAATAAGACGAATTCGTTTTTTATACGGTCGCACCAGGGTTGAGGTCATACTGCTCGGTCTCTTCGTTGATGAGAATCTTCGCCTTTACAAGGATGGCCAAGACTTGAGTCATGAGCTCCTTAGGAATTGAAGTCGCAGTGACGAGTTCAGAGAGAGAAAGTGTGTCGTGGTTGTTATACTGTACCAAGACACCCATCTGGAACGAGCTGGTCATCAATATGTATCTCTGGTTGAGATAGTTAGTCCGAAGTTCGTTCTTCGAGTAATTCCATAGCCAAGTCAACTTCCGCCCCGAATGTTTCGTTTGGTAGTACTTTTGGAACCGGTCAAACGTCGGGTAGATTTCCCTCGGGACCGTAAATTCGTGTGAAGGCGGATTCAAAGGCCAGAAGTTCGTACCGAGGACCATGACGCTGAATGTGACGTCTAAGTCGTCATGGTTTTGTTGCATGCGCTCTTTGAACTGATCTGTTAGATCTTTACTCAAGCTCATGTCTAATGCGCGATATGAGTACTGAATTGCGTCGATGATGTCAACACTTGCCTGTAAACATCCGTTGCAACTTGTTCGTGTATTCGAATCCACAGGCCTCTTTGAGCTTGGAGATCATACTAGCTTCGGCCTCGTCAGATGCTGACACGCTGTGAATCAGACGTTTCGACAGCTTGGTAGAGTAGAATTGTTGGAATACATCTTTATCCTCGAGGTATTTGAAGAGGATCATCTAATGAAAGATTAAGTGCCCCGGAAAAACATATAGCTGGCACGGAAAAAGCGCACCACACGGTTCAATGCCCCTTCCAAATCCTGTTCCTCCGCCATCTTATTGTTTTTTCGAAGTAGCAGATCCGTGTGTTTCGCCAGCAATTCTGGTGATTTATTACTCGAGGTCCCAGTCGCAGCATTCCGATTGACGAAGTCTCTACATGCCTTGTCAAGACTAGCGACGAATCCGGCTTCCCCTCTGAAACTACGCGTCACGATCGCCGAGTTTTTCGCGTGAACTTCCAAAAGCGCGTCGACATATGCTTTCGGGTCCAGCGCCTCAGGCGTCGTACCATCCTCTCCTACAAGTCGTGAAACAGCGTCAAGGCCGGCCTTCTTGACGTGTTCTTCGAACCTCTTCCGTAGTGGTTCCAGACCCTCGTTTATGCGGGATAAAAGCGCGTACATGCGTTGGAGGTCTTCGTCTCTATCAAAATCGAGAAGACTCTGAAAGCTTTCCCACATGAGTTCGGAGTGTGATTTGATGAGGACTTCTTCGCATTTGGATATGAGGGTCTTACGTGTTTCAGTGTGTAGGTATCGCTCGACGCGATCTTCCTCCTCTCGTAGACGCTCTTCGGCCTTCTTGAGATAGTCCGGTACACTGTTCTCTGCCAAATATGCCTCCGATTCCTTCTTGTAATACATTTCTGTGGCCGCGAGGAAGGGAGCTTCGAAATGATCTTTATAGACGTCGAGACATGGTTTGTTTGGATCCATATCATCCAGTCCAAGGGATACAAATGAATCGACGACCTTCTTTACAAGACCCTGGTCAATAGTTTCTCCATTCCGTTGTTGTTCAACCAGGTGTAGTAAAGCATTGGCCAGTGTGGCATTCTTCTGTTGTATCGGAACGAAAAGATTGTTTTTCCATTGGACCAAAGCCAGCTGTATATACATGTTAATGAAATAATACGGAAGTAAAAACAGATATGACGCACAGTATACACCGGGTACACTGTCTTTCTCCCTTCGTCTCTTTCCCGTTTGACCCAATGTCGATTGAGGTATGTGAACAGGCGGTTGATGTAGTTCGCTCCTGTTGTGTATCGCTGCCATTCAGCGGCATAATACCTGAGCAGATCGTCCTCTTGCAGACCCTCGGCTTTCTAAATCAAAGCTATCAACGATCGACGCGACCATGAAGCAATGCAAGCAACGAACGTCCCGAAGGGCTTTAAGGTGCACCACGAAATATCGGATAAGGTTATTGTACAAGTCCGAACCCATGAGATTTGCCCCCGCTACGCAGAGGATTCAGAACGGCTCGATTAGCTGGAAAAGGCATTCTCACTCCTGGTAGCCGCGCCAAGACCCATACCTTCCGGCCCTGTTTTTGGCGACGTGCAGTAGTTATATGCGACCGTGTATAGCGACATATACTGCACGCCTAGCTATCAATTGACGAAATCGAGTCAAGATCTGAGCTGACCTTTGAGTACGAAACGCCGGTCTGCAATTTGGTCATGATGTGGTCAACGCCTTCTTCCAGGAAGGCCCAGGTCGTTGTTAAGTCTGCGTTGGCGGGAGGAATGGGTGGGTTGGGGTTAGGGAATGCCATGGTCGTAAATTGAGTTGGACGTCCACCGGAAGGACTTGTGTGGCGGTTTGGCCACCACAGTACAAGCGCAAATAGGGCATCCTCAGTGACATGTAGTCACAATATTTGCAATATCTGTCACACAAGCACTGAAGGAGAAGCATTCAAATATTGACGAAGTCAAACGCAATGTTCCTAAAGTAATAGAAGTGAAGTGCTGCGACATGGTCGTCATGATTGCACCATTATCTCTATCCCTCCCCCTTGCCAGCTCCGTATCCAGCGTCAGTATACCATGAGATAGTAGCTATCCCTACAGTCCACGATTCATTAATGGGTTGCATACGCAGAAAAGAAAGACCAGCAGACCAGTATCACCACAACTCGCGTCTCTTTGCCCGGATAGCTTTGACCAATGTGTGTCTTTCGCTCCACTTCTCTCTCTCTAGTTGGTGACCGGCCTCCCGTTTCTTCAGCAAAGATTTGCGTTTTGAGCTCTTAAGAGCAGCAACAAGGCCGACAAAGGTTTGGGAGCAGCCAAACATCTTCGCAAGAGTTCCCCGACTATATTTTTCAGGGTTTCCTCTCCTGAGCTTCTTGATTTTTTCTATAACGGCCTCAGAGACACGTTCCGGCTGGGGTTTCTCATTTGGACGGGATAGTGGAGGTAGAGCTGTTTCTGTCGGCTTGGCTCTAGGTCGCAGGAGAGGCGAAGCCGGATTTGTTGCCAACGAGAACGGTGAAGGTGACGTAGGTGGAGGACGATGGATGAAAGTGAGTTCTTCGTCAGGAAGGGTGGTCACGGCGGCATTGGGATTGTTGACCAAAGGATCTGCAGCGCGATATGGCGGTCTTTCCGACGTCCCTGGTTTAGGTCGTGGATACCTGGTAGCATAGGAACGCGTGAAAGACAGCGCGCGCACACAAAGCTGCCGTTGCATGTCGTGAACGTCGTTTGTAACGATGAGCTCAGGTTCGGACCTTGAAAACTCGTGCCGGGCCGGGAGTTTGGCTGACTAAGCGAGACCCAGACGCGTTCGACGCTCACCGTGAACGTCAAGCTTGTTTGTTTATTTCTCGTTATGCTGCGTGTGTCTCGCTGTGCGCGGCAAATACTCCGCCCGTCGTGTCTATTTGGTGCCGGAGCTAGATATGTTAGCTCTGAATCGTCTTCTTCCTCTCAGTCACCGCCCAAAACCGCTTCGTTTGGTTTCCGAACGGTCCCTGAGGAACGCAAAGAGTCGCTCGTCAAGGAGGTTTTCGACTCTGTTGCCTCTTCATACGACCTTATGAATGACGCCAGCTCTCTTGGTGTCCATCGCCTCTGGAAAGATGATTTTGTGTCGAGACTTCGGCCTGGAAGGAAGGGCCCTCTGAAATGCATTGACGTTGCCGGCGGAACAGGCGACATTGCGCTCCGAATTCTTGACTACGCCAGGGAGAAGCACTACGATAGAGAAACAACGGTGGAGGTTGTGGATATCAATGGGGAGATGCTGAAGGAAGGCTTCAAGCGTTTCAAGCAGACAATGTATCATAACAGTGCGTGATTTTTTTGGAAATTTTTGGGACACTTTGCTAATATGCCTGTAGCCCCGCAGGTATCATTCCATGAAGCAAATGCCCAGGAACTCCCTCCCTCCCAGTTTCCTGATAATCATTATGACCTTTACACCATCGCATTTGGTATTCGGAACTGCACGTCCATTCCGGCCGTTCTCCAGGAGGCCCACCGCGTATTGAAGCCAGGCGGAACATTCGCGTGTCTCGAATTCAGTAAAGTCAACAATCCTGTTCTTAGCGCGTAAGATGAAACCTGCTAAAAACCTGAAACGAACTAATACGATCACCAATAGGTTGTACGAACAATACTCGTTTTCTATCATTCCTCTATTGGGGACCATTCTTGCTGGAGACCGAAATTCGTACCAGTATCTGGTGGAGTCTATCCGACGATTTCCCCCACAGCCAGAGTTCGCGGACATGATTAGAGAGGCTGGTTTCAAGACCGGTGAAAATGTGGATGGAGGTGCATGGACAGATTTGTGGGGTGGTATTGCTTGTATACATACCGGAGTCAAAATTTAACGCGTCGAATAACTGTCGACGCGAATATCTTCCTCTGAAAACGTACTCAACAAGTCACAACTCATTTCATCTGCGTCCACGCTTCGAACATGCCGCCCCTGCCAAGCCTTGTCAGGTTCTTCCGCAAAATAGCCACCAAAGACTAATAGAGCTGTGAGTATCATTTACGTTCGGTCGCGGCATTGCCATTTTTGCTGTCGGGTTGCCGTCACCATTTAAGCAACGGAACAGGCCTTGAGGCTGGCTGGGCCATCACCGAACAATGTCAGAACCAGTCCACCGTCGACAACGAACCAGCAACGGACGCATCGTCGACGAGGAGCATGCATTATCCGAACGACGAAATTCCTCATCCTCCAGCAGCTCAAGCTCTTCATCGTCCTCGTCTTCCAGCTCAAACTCCAGTTTGTCCGACATCTATGGAATGCGAAAGATTCACCTGTTTCCCCGCAGAGAGAGTCTTGTGCGCTTCAAAGACCGTTTCTTGAGGAAAGGAAAGAGGAAAATTGGAGTAGTGGAAAGCCTTAAAGCCATTGCGTTATCGTCATGTGCGTCACAATCATGCAAGCCCTGAACGTCTCTTGACCTTGTTCTTCCTCGCAGGGGTTAACCTTTTCATTGTCTTTATTCCTTTGGCATGGGTTGCTCACTTTGGAAATACGCATGACGAACACGAAAGTGGGGATGCACAGCGTGTATGGCCGTATGGAGTGACGTTCACTTGTGAGTGGCAGTCAACAGATTCGCTCAGTGCTCGATCACCTAACATACAATCTCTACAGTCTGCTTTCTTGCCATTGTACCACTAGAAAGACTATTTGAATATGGAGGAGAACAGATGTCTTTCTACTGCGGAACGGACCTGGGGGATTTAATTACCATCTCTCTGAACAAGTACGTGCTACTACGGTTGGTTGGTCTCTTCAGTTGACCGCATACCTCTACAGCGCAGTAGAAGCTACCTTGGCCATTTTACTTATGACAAAATGCGAGTGAGTATTATTGAACTCATCTATCCGGTAGAACGATCTGAAAGTGAATTCAGGCTGAAACTCCTTCAGTCGACTATCATTGGTGGACTCCTTCCTTGCATTGCATTTCCCATGAGGCTTATATCCATATAGGTGTCGTCGTTCTCCACCTTCTCCTGATACCTGGCACTTCTTTCGTCGCGGGCGGGGCGCGTGTATTGGAGCAAGACCTCCATCCTCACCTCACGCAGCTCAATCATACACTACTAGCTATCGGGTTAGTCTAAATTCCTCTCAACACCCACTGAAACGTGTTGACACGAAACAGGGTGCTGTCACTTCTTCTTCCCACAGCATTCTTTGCGTCAATTGAGGGCGTGAACTCTGCAAACGTCGTCAATGATGAAACGCGCCATGCATTCCTTCAAATGAGCCGCGGACTGGCGATTATCCTTCTCCTTGTGTACATTTGCTCTCGGATATTCTTGCACAATCCTCCTGGGGTCAACAATGCCATGAGGTTGCATCCCAACGCCCCCAAGGAGATGGAACAACATGAGCAAGAATTAGCGGAGGCAGAACCTGAGGTCAGCCAATGGGTCTGTATCATCATGCTGATTATCACAATTGGTTTGATGGCTGCCACTGCGGAATGGGTACGCTGAAAACATTTACGTACCACGGTCTTTCGCTTATCTGCCTGCAGCTCGTTGATAGTATTGAGTTTGTGAGAGAGGAATCGAATATTGAACAAGAGTGAGCCACCTACGACTATGTATGTTCTACACTGACAATACAATTAGATGGTTCGGCCTTGTTCTCCTTCCGATTGTATCCTTCTCTGCAGATGGCGCTGTCGCGATAATGTTCTTTGTCCGATACCTTTTCCGTCACTATTTTGGAAAGCCTGTACCTCCGACCACAGTAGCCAAAGCCCGGGCCATCGATCTGTCCATACAGTTTATTCTATTCTGGATGCCGTTCATCGTCCTTCTTGCATGGTGGACGGGCAGACCCTTCTCCCTTCTGTTCGGTGCGTTTTGTCCTTGCTGAGATGCACCCTTATTCTGATGACTAAAATAACTGTGCAAAGATACATTTGAGGTCGCATTGACGATCGCAGCATGTTTCTTGGTGAACTATGTGACAGCAGATGCCAAGACAAACTGGGCTGAGGGATTCGCAATGGTGTCGTTTTATGCGATGATAGTGAGTTCTAGTCTGACTCCCTATGACTGGTCTGATCCTTGTCTGCAGGCATTGGTATCATGGTTTTACACCGGACAGCCTGAAATTCGCGAGTTACTGGCTTGCACAAGCGTGGCGGAGGCTGTTGCCGGTGGCGGCGTCGAATGATGAAACAGCATGCACCCTACTTCACACACCATCTAATGCTAAGTATATCATCCACGACTATATGATTCGAATTTTCATCTGAGGAAATCCATGTTATCACCTGAAATCTAAGCTAACGAAGTCCACAACAAACAAAGTAGTAAATGAGTTCTAGCGTATGACTAGTTCCACGTCGATTAATCATTATTAAAGAGAAAGTCAACAAGCAGACGTACAGTTTTTGCTCCAGAATTAGACAACTACCCTTCTTTCCCCTTCGAAGGCAATTTGACAGTCAATTTGATTGATTGATTTGATTCTTCAGATACTCCCTCTTGGGTCTTCGGAGGAATCAAGGCGCACGACACCCCCTCATTACCACCGTCCTCTAAAGGCGGGGCCGGCGATGGTGGTCGACTCGCCCGGTGTACGATAGAACCAACAGCATACTTGACGGTATGTAAGAACCCCTGCTGGACGCGTACATCTGTGACCTTGCTGCCGGTTTCGACACCGTTCCGGACGATGAATCTTCCAGGCAGACACCATGGTCGTATATGATGATGAGTTCGTCGAGTGCACCATCGCATATCCCTAGTTACGACGGAGTTGTATGCATCGAAGAATACCACACAGCCATAACACGGTGGCGCAGAAGTGCCGACATAAGGATATGGTGTTAGGTCATTGTTTTGATTATGATGATGTAGAAGTAGAATTGACTCTGGGCAGTGTCCCTGTGAAGATGCGGCGTCATCGTAACTCATTAAGGTGTCCAGGAGCTTGGGAATGGTCTCCTTCAACCGATTTTCCACCTCGCCTTTCTCTGTCTCCTTGTTCGTATGTACATTGTCATAGGCACTGCAAAGACATCTTAATAAGGTCTCTCGGCTATGGCGCGTGGGACCTATGAAGGGTGGTGGTTCGACAATGATTACTCGGAGTTTCTTTTTAAAAATGGAGCATGTTCGAGGTGCGGCAGCGATGTCGAAGAGGACATCAATACGCAGTTGAAGTTCCATCAACGTGTTTATATATTGTGTGAAGCTGAATGGCTGCTTATTCTTTCCTTAACGTAGAGCGAGTAAACAGTCAGCAAATATCCGAGTATTCGGCGAGGCGACGTACTTTCATTCTGGTTGTGGTATGTCTCTGACTCTTCAAAACCAGCAGCCAAAAATATTTTAAACGAGGAAGGAGAGGTGATGGTGTACAGGGACGTCATGAGCTTGGCAACCAACAGCCAGGTTTCGTCAGGTAGCACTTTGTCTATCCTGTACAGCTCGCGAAGCATGATAATGATCTCCTGGACCACCTCCAAGAAATCAAGGTACTCCTTCTTCGGTGGTGGATCCATTGTACGAGCGTGCTTGACGACTGCAAGGAAATCAGCATGAAATGTGCTGACACGGTGATAGATCCTCCTAAAGCAGCGTCCATACACTATCTGGCCGAGCTTCAGCAGAAGCGCGAGCCTTGCTGACAATTCCTTGACCTGCGGGACACTCGCGAGAGTATCCCAAATAGAGCGGATATATTTCTCCAGTGCCTCCGGGGTAGAATTTCCATCCGTTGAGTTTGTAGCCACCCAGACGTAGACCGAATCTGGATGGTGTGAATAGGACACGGCTACAGACTGTCCATAGGGCTTGTCAACGCACATACACGCGACTGCGTCTAACGCCGCCTTGGAGAACAGCTCGGACCTTTCCTCAGAAACGCGATGCCCAACTACCGCATTCCGACGGACGGATTGCTGGAGAATATCGTGGAGATCAGGTCGGGCGATACTGGAAGACAAAGCAGAAAGGATTGACATAGAGTCTTGTGGTGAAATCTCCATGAAGGCAAGGAAATGGTAGGATAGAAACTCAAAGTATTCTTTACTGGATTCGACGCCTTGAAACTTGTACGTCAAGAAGAGGATAAGCGAGCCTGGCACCTTGTGGGGACCCAACACGCGTCTTCCCCGCTGTGAAAAGTAGTGAACAATGTGACAGTGTGAAAGAAAGGAAAACCATCAAAAATGGACAAAATGCGGAATCATCCATGGGTCGAATGAACGCAAATCTAAGACTTCGATTGCGCTTTCAAATTTTTACTTCCCCGCGTCCCTGCCGTTCTGTTGTTAAGGAGATTTTCTCGGTAAATGCCGCCGTGTTAATCATTGATCGCCGAGATGGGAGACTCTTTTCAGAGCATCCATGTCACCGCCAGTCGTCTTGGTCTGGGTCGACAATTGAAAGAGTGTTATACTCAGAGCGTACGTGGAGAAGTAAAACCAAGATTTTGTCTCATTTTCCCCTTCTTCTTCAGATTTTCGACCAAACAAAGAGCCGAAATCAATCCGAAGTTTGAATCGTCATCATGGGCCGAAGCGCAAAAGTCGCTAAACGTGTGGTAAGTAGACCTGCAGTGTCTATAGCGCAGCATTCGCCAACTTCTTCCATCTCGAAGCCGAAGAAACTGAAAACCTCCGCACCGGTCACTGGTTCTTCGGCGAACAACACGTCTCAAGCGCAACAGGTTCAAACTGCTAAAAAAAGAGCTAGCCTGAAAAGCAAAGCAGCGAATAAGGGGGGAAGCAATGAGTCGCTGCTTGGAGGTGCAGATTATGTATCATTAATGATGGGGGGACGAAAGAAAGCGCGCCAGGAGGCTCAGAAGCTACCCAAGGATAGCTAGGTACCGGAGGATAGGCACACTTCGTATACTATCCACCATCTGTGCAATTTGCATGAGTGGGGATGATTGACAAATAGATACTACGGTGACGTTTTGTGGGTTGCTTAATAAATAACGGTCACTTCGGAGAGGCCCTAGTTCGGATGAACAAAAAGTACATGATAGTTGTTAATGAAATAAAAAAGGTGGCTTTAATGATTGGCTAATGACCCATGAGAATGAAAGTTGCTACTCGGACACCTGGTCCAAATACGCCCTGTCGATGCATCACATATATACTCGCACTATAGTAAAGTAGGAATTTGACACACCTGGCAGAACCGTCATTTAGCCAACCCAGCAATATTTCCCCAGCTTGAAACGGTATCCCGATTATAAGTTAATGGAATAACCGGTGATCTACTGTCGTCGCTCGAGGGTAGTTGTTGAATTGGAGCTCTGTTTCGAGGAGATGAAGGGAGGCCAACAACGACTTGCGGAAGGGGTTGGATCACAGAGTTGGAGGAAGCATGCGAGACATGAGCGGAGACGGTAGAGCTTCGAGTACTCTCAGATGCAAAGGGTGGGATAGCAGCAGATGCAGGATTTCCCGATGTTTCTGGTTGCAAGTAAGACGGCACGCGCAAGAAGCGAGGATTTCCGAGGTTGCCAAATGATGACTCCGATCGCGCTCCTGAGCTGGCAGGTTGGGCATTATTTTGGGTTGCAACCATATTCAGCATTCCCTCGATATCCAGAGGGTTCATACTTGTGGACCTGCTCATGGGAGCGAATCTGTCAGACGCACGTCTTGTCTGACCGGGACTGACAATGTCCCATGACTGACCACTGCCACGGGAAAAACTGGAAACAGACGGAGAATAATTGGCAAGGGCGTAAGGAGGGTCCACCACAACCCCGTCTGAGTACTGGAGTTCGGGGGGTCGAAAATGAGAGTAATCTTCTTTCTCTGTGTGATCAAATGAACGTCGTTTGTAGGGGACATCTGGAACGAAGGGGATGCGATTCAATCGCTGCTTGCGGTGCCGCCTCTCACGAATGATAAAGATGATGATGAGAATTGATATCAGAACCACCAATCCTGACCCTACGCCAACACCGATAGCGACATTCCTTTGGAAGTCATTAGAATAGAACAAAAAAGTTCCAGCCTGAAGTCCGTTTACCTCGGAACTGCCGACTGGGTAGTCGCACCGTTGTCTTGATTGTTGGTCCCATTGTTGCCATTTGCATCATTATTAGATAGGCAGGTTTTTGACGTGGTCGCGTCGCCAGAAACTAGAAAGCCCAAGGTTAGATCGGGCGATTGAGGCGAGGATAAGTCCGAAACCTGCCTGTTATCAAAGACGAAGTGCTCTGTTGATGGGGTCCACTGTCAAACAACAGTACAACATCGTTTTGACGTGAAAAATTCATGTTGTAAATGGCCGTTCCAGAGGCCGCATCGTCGTCTACCTGCGGCAGCAAAAACGATGGGCCTCTTGGCTTCAATAGACGGACAGACGGGGCCTCTGTCGTATTGTAGTGTACGGTAAAATTACCGCATTGTTCTGCAGGAGGATCAAAGGTGAACAATTTCTTCCCATCAGGATCGGGAGGAAGGCAGGTCGTGTTGTCTGAATCTAGGATCTTGAACAAGTCGGATACCTTGGCGCTGTTATCTCCGTCCTGATCGTCGAGAGAAGCAATAAATGTTGTGCCAGCTTTCAGCGGGAAAAAGGTGATATAGACCCCGGAGGAGTTTATTGCCGCATTGGGTATGGGTATAGCGACAGGTGGTGCATTGAGGGGAAAGAGAGTGAGATTAACAGGGATAGAATCGGCCGGAATGTCGCTCCCCAGGAAAGAGATGGAGACGGGAGCGCACTGGGTAATGCTTTCATTATCGAACTTGAATTTAAATGATTTTGCGAGGACGACCTGCGATCCCAAGGCCGCTACGCCTAGCAGAAAAGCAAAGGTGACGACCAGCATGGAAGAAGATAAAGAGAGACCTAGTTCATGGGGACCGGCCGCCCGAATCGTGGACTAGCCACAGAGATACAAGGGTAGGGGTGGTGAGAAACGAACAGAGAAATGATTCCGCCAGCTGGTTACAGTTTAGGTACGGTAACACATGACACGCATCGCAACCACTTCGGCAAACATCAGAAAGTGCCTGGAGCGATGCTACAACTTTCATCAATATTAATTCCTGATACCATGGTTGGTGGACGCAGCTGAGGTGGAAGAGTTGGTTACGACGCAAGTATAGTAGGAAATTCCAAGGAAAACTTGCTAGCTACCCCTGATCCGGCACCACCGGACCGAGTTTGATGACGAATGCGGGGAACCAAACTTGGCGGGGAAAGAGTGCTATGTTCCGGTCGGTCACCACAGGAAGGCTTTCCGTGCTCAAGCAGTCTAATTTTCGTCCTTTACGAAGCTATAGCCAACCGAGGGAGCGCTTGCCTCATTCTCAGTCACCAATTGTTTCTCGACCCGAGTTCTTCAACACTGTAACGTCCAATGGACAGCAAATTCCGACCTATCGTGTCCTGGACAGTGCTGGCAAGCTTCTGGATGCAACCTCTAATATAGAGGTATGATTATTCTACATTTACTAGTAAATATGTTGTGGAATCTGTGTTTTGTCGCCTAGATTGATGAGCAGCTTGCACGAAGACTGTAAGTGCACCACGCTGCTCCTTGCATCATCAACCGAGGCTTCAGCAGTTACGAAAACATGCAACTACTACCGGCTCTTGACAACATCCTGTATAATGTGCAACGGCAGGGAAAGATATCATTCTATGTTGGTGGCATACATTGCTTATGACAAGCTCATTGCGGATCTGATGCATCTCTTCCAGATGACTACGGTCAGTTTATAGATCTGTGTATCACACTTGGCGTCGCGTTTATTTTGAACTAGTATGGCGAGGAAGCTACGATAACTGGTGCGGCGGCTGGTCTAGCTATGAATGATGAGTAAGTCTCCCTATCACAAGCGCGCTTATACTTGTGTTCTGATGCCCCTTCTTAGAGTTCTTGGTCAGCCAAGCACATTCGGCTACTGTTCTGCACGTTGACTTCCAGACTATAGGGCAGTATCGCGAAATGGGTGTCTTGTTATGGCGTAATTTCGGGATTCGACAAGTCTTTGCACAGTGTTTCGGGAATCATGAAGACATGTCGGGAAAAGGCAGGCAAATGCCGGTTGTGAGTACAAGACAGAAGTCTCATGCCAGCGCTCATCTATTTGTAGCATTTCGGATCTCCCGAGCATCACTTTCATACTATTTCCTCGCCCCTTGCTACACAAATTCCACAAGCAGCAGGCGTCGCGTATGCTCTCCGTCGTATGCGATCTGGCACAGTCGCCGCTTGCTTCTTTGGTGAAGGAGCCGCATCTGAGGGTGGTAAGTTGTAACTATATACGTAGCTTCTTGGTCTGCTAACTCTTGCACAGATTTTCATGCGGGACTTATGCTAGCATCCACGATCCCCTCTCCGGTTATATTCATTGTCCGGAACAATGGATTTGCTATCAGTACTCCCAGCACGGAACAGTACAACGGCGATGGTATTGCCAGTCGAGGACCGGGATATGGCATCGACACCATCCGTGTGGATGGCAACGACGTGCTTGCCGTGATGACCGCTGTAAAGGAAGCTAGACAGCGCTGTGTGGAGCAAGGGCGTCCCGCCTTAGTTGAGGCGATGACTTACAGGTAAGTCCTAGAGCCAAGGCTGTTGATTGACCATCAAATAGTTTCCAGAGTAGGACATCACTCGACTTCGGACGACTCATTCGCATATCGGGCGAGATCTGAAGTCGAAGACCGTAAACGCATCGACAATCCCATCGTCAGGTTCCGACTCTTTATGGAATCTCAGGGATGGTGGGATGCTGAAGCAGAAGAAGCCCTGAAGACAAGGTTGAAAGCAGACGTCATGAAGGAATTCAAGAGGGCCGAGTCTACCAGTCTCTGTGAAGTCGGAGAATTGTTTACTGATGTCTACGGTGGTGAAATGCCATGGAATATTGTAAGATTTTATACCTGTGCAAACACCTCCTTTCTCTAATTGTTTGATAGAGAGAGCAGCGCGAGGAATTGGGGAGTTTGTTAAAGAAGTATAGCAAATCATGGGAGCCATGGCGAAATCAGCTAGCGAAGTATAAGAACGAAGGTCAGGATATAATGAAGGAGTGATAGTTGATGCAACTCGTATGGAAATTCGTAGAACCTGTAGCATTATTGTAGCCTTTATTCACATACCCACAGTATAGCAATCACGTCTTGAACACTTCTCGTCACGCCCTGGTATTCTGAGCACATGCACAACGAGAACCCCGAAATGCCCGCGACTTAATGGCCGTGGCCTAACAGAGAACTGAGAGTGAATGGCACCAAAATGCCAAATATTATAAGAATAACCCGCATGACCTTGTGGATTTCTGATGCATTCTCGGAACCGGAGCGACCTGACACTGGTTGAAGAACAGTGGCGACATATAAAAAAGTACCACCCTGAAGTAGATGAATTGTGAGCCTAGCAAGAGTCTAGAAACGGTGTGCAACGTACAGAAATGAGTAACGCAAGGCCTGTCCAGTCTGCGTGATCTCCGGCACCAAAGAAAGACAAGAACGCGTAAGTAGCAAATGTGGCCACCGGCGTTGTAGCGCTGAAAACGGCAAGGTGCTTCTTACACTCAGGGCGAGGAAGCGATGTGGCCAGTAGCGAAGTCGTCAAAGCCAAAGAGGTAGGCGCTAAAGTAAAGGTTAGATAAGCGATGTACCATGACACAAGACCAACGTCGAGGCGTCACCTTTGTGAACCATGATGGCAAGAAAAACGATGAACGAAAGACGGGAAGAATCGTCTCCATTGCTGGGAAACAGAGAGACGCCTAAAGCAAGCCCATCTGCTAGACTGTGAATTACTAGTCCAAATGTCAATGGATATGCCCGTGCTTTTGCCTCATTGGTAACAACACTTCGAGGATCGCCATCAACTTGGACATAGCCAGGCCGAGCAGGGACCTCTCGGGCCCCCAGGTCCCCTAGTTCAGCGTCGAATTCAACGCTTAAAGTTTCGTGATTATGTAGAGGTATAGCTGGAACGTCCGACGAAGAATGTGAATGTGGGGAGACGAATTGTTCCACTATGAGCATAGCAGTGAACCCAAAGAGTAATGAGAGGGCCACACGGGACGATAACAGCTCAGGATCAATCTGGGCCTTTACAAGAGCTTCTATTCCTCTGTAGACATCAATAAATGACTACATGGCGGAGAAGTAGACATACTCTGGTATGATCACTCCTAAAGCAGTTCCAAGAAGTAGGCCGGTCCCAATCAATGTAAGACGAAGCAAATGGCTCCCTATAATAAAGCGATGGTAACGTGAGGACAGATTGTTATTTGACAGACATACTTACTTGAAAATGTAAAGGATAACGGTAAAATTCCACACGCAAAGGATGATACCCCCAAGAGGGCCGTCATTACGAATAATGCAAGCATGGTTGCGACCACTGTCTGTTGACGGGCAGCGATGGTCGACGTGGATCTTTGGCTGCGGTATACTTCCCGGGCCGGAAGTCCGAGGCGTGTAACCTAGTCACGTGACTAATGTGGCGATATTTGCTGCTGTTGTCCGGGTCGCGTCGTCTCTCATCAAAGATTCTTGCCGCCACCACCATCTCTACTCTCTATTCTCCATCCAATGGCCAAACGACCTGTCACCATTGAGAGTGACAGTGAAGACTCTACTGGAGGCACTCCTGCCCCTAAGCGGGCCCGCACCAACGAGTACAACGAGACACATTCCTCCCAAACGCGTGAAAAGACGCGTCTCAATGGCACTAGCAAAGGAAAAGAAAGGGCGCAAAGAAATGACGACGACGAAGAATCCGGCGCTGAAGTTGATATGCAACAAACCGGCATCGATGATGAGCAATTTGAGGAAATACATCAAGAGCGGATTAGGGCTGCTGTGGAGTCCAAACGTAAAGTCGCTGGTGTATGTCCGCAGTTTTACATTCTATCTTTCCATTTAAGCATTTTTGTAGGGTATCGCTGAACATGGAATCATCGAAGCCATAGAGATGCACCAGTTCATGTGCCACAAGTATCTGACTTTCAGTTTCGGTCCACAGATCAACTTTATTATTGGTATGTCTAAGAAGCACGTATCCATTCGGTACTGAACTCGAGTCTTAGGTCACAATGGCAGTACGTGTGCCTATTTTTCGTTGGACTCCTCCATCTGAATTTTTTTAGGTGGGAAGAGCGCCGTTCTTTCGGCCATAACAGTTGCGCTTGGCGGTAAAGCTAATTCCACGGGCCGGGGAAGTGGTTTGAAAGCTTTTATCCGGGAAGGCCAACCGTGAGTTCCTTGTTTTATACATGCCAGACGGTCTTGACATTGTCCAGCGCCTCCGAAGTGACAATTCAGATAAAAAATCAAGGTGAAGAAGCGTATAAGCCTAAGGAGTACGGGAAATCTATTGTCATTACTCGGAAGTTTACAAAGGAAGGCAATTCTTCCTGGAAGATCAAAAGTAGAGATGGTAAAGTCATCAGCACGAAGAAGGAAGAGCTTGCGGCCATTTGCGATCATATGAACATTCAGGTTGACAATCCCATGAATGTCCTGACACAAGGTCTGACTTTCCGATGACCTTGACTTGTTCTTTTTTTGACAGTTGTGTCCAGATGCCGCTCGGCAGTTCTTGAGTGCTTCCCATCCCACTGACAAGTACAAGGTATGTTCCCACGAGTCATATAAGCTATTTTACTGACACCAGGTAGTTCTTCCTTCGCGGCACTCAACTCTCCCGGTTGTCGGATGAATACACCACGTGCCTTGAAAACATCGAGCATACATCAAAGGTCCTTAGCTCGAAGAAAGAAGTGCTTCCAGATTTGCGTGCAGCCTGCAAAGAGGCTATGGCCCGATTCCAAGAGGCTACCAAAGCTCGTGATCAACAAAAGAAGGTCGTTGAGCTCAAGAAGGAGTTAGCTTGGTCTTTTGTTCACGACAAAGAGGCTGAGATGACGAAAGCTGTTGAGCACGCGGCCAAGATGGGTCGCAGGATCCCCAAAATTGAAGGCAATCTGAAAGAAGCTCGAGTACGTAGTCGTTATGTTTGACCCGTGATTTGACACTGATCACTTTTCTCTCGTCAAGGCCAGATTCGAGGTTGAAACGGACGCTGTCGCTCGCTGTGACGAGGAATTCCATGCGTTGGGCAATATGAATCATCTCGCAGATCAAAAGAAAGAATTGTCGGAGAACATGCGGAACAACAAAAGTCTTCTTAACGAGTTAGCAGTAAGTCCATTGTAAAGACTCCAGACCTGTGTGCTCACTTTCGTAGAGTGAGCGAAGGCAGATGGACACCACCTTCAAGGCAGCCAAGGAGTCAATCGCTCTTATCCAAAAGCAGATCGATGACGAAGCTCGTAGGATGGAAGCAGACACGCAGAGCAAACGAGAAGAATCTAGCCGTCAGTTAGAGGATGCGCGTATATCTCTTCAGGAAGCTGAGGCTGCTTTGCCGGCTTTGACTCAAGCCAAAGATGAGATTGACGCTGAGAACCGGACAACCAGGGATCAGGGTGAAAGAGCAAGCGACGACGTCAAGAAATTGCGAGATGACATCATGCGCTGCGACAACATGGTCCGCAATTGCGAAATGCAAGAAAAGAACCAGTACGCTGCATATGGTCGAGATATTCCCCAAGTACTTGATAGGATCAAACGAGCGAGATGGGTCGGCGATCAGCCTGTTGGCCCTCTAGGGGTGCATGTCAAGGTTCGGGACCCGGAGTCGTGGGCAGACTTGTTACGCAGACAGCTTGGTGGAATGTTAACAGCTTTCGCGGTTACTGATGCGCAGGACCTCAAGCCGCTCAAGCGAATTCTTGTCGAGTCGGGGAAGTCAGTGCATTCATTCCTTCGATCACACTGTTTCTAATATTCTGTGTGTAGCGGTCATCTGCTTATCTTCGTAGCTCCGAGGGACATATTCGATTACAGCGCTGGAGAACCACCGGCACACATGCTTACTGTGCTTCGTGCGCTTGATGTATGCAACGTCTCTTTTTAGCGCTTCGTTTCGCTGAGAGAAATATTAACACAGATTTCTGATCCATACGTGCTTCGTATCATGATTAACCAAAGGGGTATTGAGCGGTATGCTTTCTTTTTGTCTCGCCATGCGATCGCTGAGATGTCAATGATTTGTAGTATGTTTTTGGCGAAGACTCGTCGCGAAGGCGAACAGGTACTACGGGAAGTGAACGGTGGCGGCCAGGCATGGACCGCAGATGGTTATCTCCTCAAACGCTACCCGTATGCAACATCTGTATCTCTTGTTTGATCGTGACGAGATTCTTATTAACTTTTATAGGGAAGGCGGTGAATCGACTTCTCCACTGCCGAAACAAAGGAACGACGCCACCAACTTGTTGTTGAGTGGTCGAAATTCTGCTGCACAGAAAGAGTCAGCACTCTGATGCAGAATCTCATACAAGTTAACTAACGTCTTCATCCGAAATAGGCACTACACACGCGAAAAGAAACGATACGAGGACGAGATCAAGGTCCTTACTCAGCGCGTCAATGACTTGAAGCAGAAATATATGACGGGCAAACGCGCATATGATGCTAAGCTGGTGAGCTATAGTCTCTTTATGCATGTACTGATATGACTGACCTTACTCCTCCGCAGAGAGAAGAGATGCAAGCCCGCCAGGCTATATCAATTGCCAAAGATAGGCTACGCCAGCTGAAGGAAGCAGCGCAGGAGGATATGCCTGCTAACATTGCTGGTTTAGAGGCTTCAAAGAAGGTGCATTTATCGTGGCCTCTAGCTTTGATGATGATGATGTCTGACGACGTCCTGTAGGAATCTGAAGAGGAGAAGGAGAACCTCGAAGCACAATTCAAGGATCACTTTGCTCGCAAAGCTGAGATTGATGAAGAGCAGAAGGGCCTGCTGGAACAGTTGAACGCCGTGAAGAAGAACATGGAAGAGTTCGAGGCGAGGCAGAAAGCGGTTCAGGTAGGAATCCGTGCACGCTCCGACATTGACTAGTCAGATACTCACGGAATCATGTTTAGAGCCAAGGTTGAGAAGGCTGCCGAGAAACGGTTGGAAGCGCAGAACAGCATCAAGCATTATGAGGCTAAGCTTACGGAAGAGCAGGCCAAGGTCAATGAGGCCAACGAGGCAGCCAAAGTTCTAGAAGAAGAATTTGAGGTAAGCTCACATCAATACAATGGGGTAATCGCTTTAATTCAAATTTCCCCAGGCTTGGACTGCGAAGGCAACTGACTATTGCGAACGTGTCGAGACTACTCGTCGGTCAGACGAAATTCAGAAGAACCTGGATTCCGTTCAGCAAGCCTTAAAGCAGAGAGAGAAGAGGTTAGTTTCTGTATGACTAGACCTTGCGGCAGCTTCTCATTCACTACTGCAGGCACGGTGCAACGGTCGACGAAATGACAGTAGAGGTCAACAAGACAAGGGCAAATCTCGAAGCCGCGGAGAGTCAATTGAAGCAAATGGTCTCCTTGAACAAGGTGATGAGCACGTGCTGTATCCAAGTTTCATCACTGATCAATAATTTCCAGAGATTGAAAGCTTCTCTAGTCGCCCGTTTGAACAGATGGCAGGAGTTCCGCCTGCACATCGCTTGTCGGTGCAAGTTGATATTCCAATACAACCTCTCTCATCGAGGCTACTTCGGGAAGGTCTTGTTTGACCATGATAAGGGAACGTTGCAGCTCAAGGTATGCCAATAACGCTGTCCCCAATGCAGCGGGCTCACCCTCTTCTAGGTTCAGACGGACGATGTTGCGGCCACACAAGGTTCCAGGGACAAGGATCCACGTTCTCTGAGCGGCGGTGAAAAGTCATTTTCTACCATTTGTCTTCTCTTGTCGTTGTGGGAGGCTATAGGATGCCCACTCCGTTGCCTTGGTTTGTATTTCGTTCCTATGGTGTCATGCCTGTTGCTCACTGATCTCTTAGACGAGTTTGATGTGTTTATGGACGCTGTCAATCGTCGGATCTCTATGAAGATGATGGCAAGTTCTTCACTTATTTTTCTTCTAAGTGCCGCCGCTGACGAGCCTTCCAGATTGAAACCGCAAATCAGTCGGACAAGAAGCAGTACATTCTGATCACGCCGCAGGACATGACGAGTATTACAGTGGGTCATACTGTGCGCGTCCATCGTATGACGGATCCAGAGAGAAATCAAGGAACGCTGGCGTTCAGCTAAGTAGAAAGACCTGCATATATGTAGGACGGTTAAATAACGTCATCCGTTAAACGCTTAATGCTTCCTGTTGGATACCGATAAATTCTGCTACACATATTATCGTATAGCAATTGTATCAATACCTTACTGTCTGTTATTTTACTATCCCATACTATCCATCCAGAATCATCAACCGAAAGTCCAGCTAGGCGACGTGAGATGCATACGGACTTCCATTTCGTCCATGGAGAGCGAGGACATGGTATGCAAGCTTGGTATTGATGGTATCCTCCGAAAATTTCGGAATTCCTGGTTCACTTTCGACTATTCCGACATGTGAAATACCGCGTACGCGTAGAGCGGCATGTCGTGCCGTCCGTACAGCTTCGTCACATCCGTCATTGTTAGCGCGCCCAACTTTTTTTTTTCTTTCTCTTTCTCCTACTCCCGTGCACGGACTGCGGTACAATCATTCTACAAGCAACCCTGTTTGTTTCTCTCCAAAATGGGCAAGGGCGATATGTTGCGTATCATCTCAATGCCTCTTCGCCGACCGCCTCCCTCTATAACCCCAATTGCACTACGACCGCGACCGCATATCATGACCTATTACCAGTTTCAGCTCAATCCGCCACGGCCGCAGGAGTCGAGCGTTGGGCGGTCTGGATGGATGCCGGAAGGGGGACTTTTACTTTGGGCCCAAAACAAGGCTGCCGACACTTGGGCGGGTTTCGGGAAGGCAAAGGAGGGAAGCTGGAAGGTGCTTGCTACCGGCTTAACTCCCTGCCTACGTCCCTTACATTGACATCTCAATAGCTGAAAATTTTCCAGTACGGCGAGCGCGTCGTGGACAGGATAGACTTTGAAGAACTAGCATTGAAGGGCGTCGACCCGTCCATAGGACCGACTGTATTGCATCCCGATTTTTCGGGCAAAGTGGGAAAGCAAGAGTCGTCCCTAGTCAAGGTGCAGGTCCATCGCTTTCCTGTCTCCTAACAACTGTTTCCTCAGCCAAACTGTCCAGATACCCCTACTGTATCCCCCGTCAATAATCTCCGGAGAAGCTTCTCTCGCTCATCTGTTGGATCTTCTCGAGCACCGGGAACCACGGCATAGAAAAGGATTCTGGATCTGGATGATTGCTGCACCGTTTACCGCACCGTTCATGATCATCCGTGCGTCGCTCCAAACTCTGGATTGCTCTGAAACTTACACGGTCCCCGTTAGCCGTCATACCTAATCTCCCGTTTTTCTTCTGTGTATGGCGATCGTGGTCGCATTACAGAGGTGCGTACCTCCTGGTGTTCTATCTTTCATGCGGTCTAATATATTTTTTGTATTGTGATGCAGCGTACCGGGCTTCCCAGTACCTGAAAGTTCTCCTTGGCAATGGAACCATAGTACCTCAGTCCAGCAAGATTCTTGACCAAATATATCACGACTATCTCCCCAAAGCTCTGCCATCACCCCCGAACACAGGATCGTCGGATCCAAAAAAATCACCATCAAAGTCCCCAATTCCTGAAGAACAACTGCTCTTATCTCGAGAAGCAATTCCCAAAATCATATCCTCATTCAATCTTAGATCAAGCGCGGCTGCAGATATGTATAGGGCTGTCGAACAAGCAAGAGTGCGGGTTAAAACATAGTAAAGAACGATGGTGGGGAGTCAGAACGTTCGATGGAACCGTTCAACTTATATGCCAGGGCGTTGTCGTTAGGTCCCTGGTGCTCCGTGGAATATCAACGGGGAGAGCACGCATCTCAGAAACTGTTCCTATACGACCTCTCCAAAGATTATGTTTACTGTGGGAGTTCGTCAGGCGAAGGAGGTCCTTCCGCGATACCCAGGATGAGAGAAGATCCGGGCTGACACTGGCAATGTTATTTGGGGACCGTCTAGTGCTATCTACCCACACTTAATTGAAAGCCACTTCCCCATCGTGATTTTGGACTTCGACGGACATGGTCTGGTCAAGTACGAGCCTGAGGGTACTTCTATCAACACATCGGAGCTGCATTCTTTATCGCAGTCTGGTTTCACCCGTGTCGACTTGGGTAGCACCGTTGTTTTCTGAGATAAGCTTGCAGTAACATCGGAAAGCTGGATAAACTAATGAGCTCCTGACTTGAAGATAAAAGCAGTCAGTCTAGAGCCAGCTTTCGGAGCGACTTTACACCGTCTGATGACTCCTGCCACTAAGCACCTACTTTCTACCGTGCTTCACAAACACCGAATCGGAGTGGCATTCTTTCCATCCTTCTAGTTATCGGACGTTCAAGAGTTGCGCCAGCTGCTGTGAATACTACGGAATTTTTTTGCCCCAGTGGAATACTACTTCGATATCGATATCCTCGCAGACCTCACATGAACCATAGTATGCGACTCGATACGGCGTCCAAATTCCCGCTGACTCCCAAGCGCAGCGGCATTTGTGCCTACGTCTTCCGATATTTCTCTCCTTGCGGTGTTATGGTTGGTTTTTTTTTTTTCAGCCGCGATGAAAGTAAAACAAGTTGAACAAGTTGGAAGAGGACCGCATCAGCGTCCCCGTTCAGTCCGATCTGGCTCCGAGCGATCTCGGCCCGGCGTCAGTCTGATTTTGTTCCTGACCAAACTTGAACCGAGTCCACGTCGCTAATCGTCGTCGCGCATTCTCTTGGCGAAACGACAGCAAGAAATCGAGAGAAACCGCAAACCAAGGAACGTTTGTACTCGATTCAACAGATTCTAGGCACCAAACTTGATGCACAAACTTGTTTCAATGCGTTCCGTTTCCTTGTGCCTTCGACCGCCCATGCTAACGAGCTTTTACAAACATCTTCTGATTGGCGTTCTATGATAACCTATACGGGACAACCGAAATTGCGCTGATGTGGCCTGAAGAAGTTGCAGCTGCTTAATACGCTTTTCAACTTTTTTCCGATTTTATCTCGAAATATGTTCAGATCAGCGATTCATGGACTATGTACCTGACGACGGAACCATAATACTTCAGTCCGGACAGATTCCCGGCCGCGCATATCAAGATTTTCTCCCCAACTTTCGGCCATCGCCGTGGAACGCAGCACATTCCAGAGACTTGTGCTCGTCGGATTCAAGAAGATCGCCACTAATTCCTCCTATTCTAAATGAGGAGTTGCTCACTTGCTCTTATCTTGAGGGGATATCACCAAGATATCACTATTTCCATTTCAGCTACTTTGTCACTAGGATATAGATCAATGACTGGATAACCACGGTCGGTCTCGAAAGGTGGTGTTTACATTAGTCCTTTGTTTTGCCAACGGTCGTCTATTCAGCATCTAATACACAATATTTTTTCAAGCGGCATCAACGGCCCGTGGTCTTATGCAGCTCAGGCTCGGACGGCCCTTCAATCTGCGTGGAGTTGAGTTTCATTTGTAAATAAAGATATCGGAACAGTATCGCTCACCTAGCACCAGGGTAACAATGCATTTTAGTCGCGTTGGGGACTCTGCTACAGGGACGGCCTATCCGAGCTAACCGGGCTCCAACAGAACATCGCCTTGGATGGCAATCACTGGCAGGTCATTGAAACCCGACAGACCTTGGACATGCCGCTGCTGAATTCGTGCGCATCGCTTACTAATTAAGAAATGATTTCGTAGTGAATTGGATCCACGCGGCGCACGAGATATGTGCGCGGGGCCAACGTAAGTTACCGCTGCCAGCCAAACTCACCCATCTTGATCTAAATTTGGATTCGATCGATTGATTCAAGTTGCGGTATGACTGGAATATTCGCATTGTATCTGGACTGTACTAGTCCTAAGGCCTGATGCCCGGAAGGGTTTTCCATCTCAACAAGACCTTTTTCTATTGTAGCGCTCGGTCACATCAATCGCATTGAATGCATCACCGCGGTCTTTCAATGCAAATTTACCCGTATACAATCCACTGAGCCTGCCCCAAAATTTTACATCTATCCCGAGCAATGACAGGGCCCGAGGGTTGGCAGTTGTTCAGGGAGGCTGACTTTCCTTTATAAACGGAGAACAAAGCTTGGGCTCCTCGATAAGCCCCTCGCAGGTGGACTCAACTCTCAACCCCTCAGACAGTACTAGTATCACCCTCCGCTATGTCTTCCATCGAAAAGCGTAGAATCTTAATGCTTCATGGGTAAGTTGTACTCAACCGTCTCAATTCTCTGTACTAACATGGCTGGCCTTATAGCTATGGCCAAAGCGCATATCTCATGAGTCGTCTGGTAAACATTCGTTATGCCGCGTCTCTGATGAGCGCTTTCTGATTGTGTTTCTAGCTGGCATCTACGATCAAGGAGTGCGCGAACGACAACATTGAATTCTGTCTGTATCACTTTCATCTTACAGGATCGCTGTTATAACTGACTCATGATGCTGATTAGTGTTCTTGGACGCACCATGGGTGATGACACCCGCAGACCCCAGCGGCGCTGTTCCAGTCGAAAACTTAGAAATTTCTGCGCCAGTCTGTTCAGTTCCAACGGCTTGCCCCCAAGGACCTGGTGTCCCCCGCCGTTGGTTTACTATTCATAATTTCGGAGGAAACACTATGCCAGGCATAGAGGCCTCCCTCGATCTGCTCCGTGAGACTCTCCAAAACAATAGATTTGAGGTCGGTCTCTTGTCTAGTTCGTTCTATACACGTACTGACATGTGCTCGTAGGCCATCTTCGGGTTTAGGTACGCGCATATTACACCGATCTCTTCGCAAGTCGCTGAACCAGACTTCTTTGTATAGCCAGGGAGCAGCGATGGCCGAGCTGATCGCAGCTATGGTCTGTGTTATTCTTACCGCGCACTCCATCCCAGCTGATTCCATCTCGTGCAACAGTTAGAACGACCGCATCTCTACCCGACGTTCTGCCCCAACGGTGTCGCGCCTCACCCACCTATGTAAGTTCCTGACCCTTGATCTCTATTAATAGCTGCTCATGTCGTTTCGTTGTAGGAAATATTTGGTCACGATTGCAGGTTTCCTACTCAGAGGACCTTTGGCTTCATGGGGAGGCCGTTCAAAGAATGTGTACCACCAGGAGACAGGCGCTTTCTGTCTGAGGACCCCCATCCTCCACGTTTTGGGCAAGGTCGACCTCGTCGTTCCTCGCGAGAGAGCCAACATTTTCATGGGTTTCCACGAATCGAAGAGAGTTGAGGAGCACGTTGGTGGTCGGTATTCCATTGTCTTTCCGGTGACAGTTTTCTGATTAGGGCTTTGTATTATAGGCCACTTCATACCGACACGACCCAAGTGGCGAAAGTTCTTCGCTGATTTCCTCCGTGATCCATTTGGCGAAATCGTGTCCCCTACACTCGTCAAGGAAACTGTTATCGTTACACCGCCACCTTCGGCGCAGCTACCGGAGACGAGGTATCGTATGGGGCAGACCCTTCCTCAAGGGTATGCATCGGAGGAGGAAGAACGAAGATCCGGCGCGTCTACTCCTGATTCCGAGCCGCCTCAAACGCCTACCTTCGAGCCGACCCTGTTACCCCTGCCCTCCGTCAAGGAGGATGCACGCATGTGGGATGTGTATACTGGACTGGTATACCAAGGATAGACGACACCGAATGTACCAGTAGTCTGTAGTCTTAAGTTATGGGTAGGATAGCTCGATAAAGGGATAGAACGCATAGTTTCTTGTATATCATCATTACATATTTTTACTACGATAATTGAAGATTGCGCCATCACGCGAGAAACCCTGGATGGAATTGGGTAAGAATTACACGCTACTAGCGATGTCACGGTTAGACAACCCTAGCTAGGGTTTCAAATTCAATTCATGTCTGTCGGACCACGGCCCTCTCTTCCAGCGCTAGTATCCGGGCCGCACTTGACACACTAAGCTACAATATGGATCATGATTCATGAGTGCTAAAGAGAGAATCTGCACATAATACTTGGAGAATGCTTAGATATCTAATTAAGCCTTGGAGATCAAGTTCTTGGCGCGTACATCCAAGGTAGCCGCCGCACAGCCTCGTCACGTTCCTCGTTGCGGTAGTACGAGTTGCCATCTGTTGCCATGCTCGTAGACTCGACGTCTCGGGCCGGCTGACTCGTATTTCCTTTTTCGGTTTGCTACGTGTCTTCCTTCTTTTCCACCATCATCTCTAGTACTTTCGCTGCCTTTCATTCTTACAGACCTGTATCACCTCTCGATGTGACACCATGTAGCTTTAGGACTGACGAGCTTATGTTCCAACAACTCCTGCCTTTGGGCAACAAGGTTCAAGATCAAGACACCGACATTGAGGTAGCTCGCCTTGCCAACAAATGAGCTATTTCAAGCGCTGGTGGATGGACTGGTATGGTTTGCACAGATGTCGTGTATATACTGGTTCGTTATCGTTTTTGAATTCTGTTTCTCACTCTTTTTCTCTTTATTTCATCATCACTCCCTTCCATACTCCATCCGATGCGAAGACCGACGCCAAAGGCTGACGACACCTTCTCGGAGCGCGCTGGGAATCGAGACACGACAGCCTGGACTACTGTTCGTGCGCTGAATGGGGCAGCAACTCTTCCTATGCTGTATTTGCGCGTATCCCGGTTGGTTTAGTCTCGCCTGAGGTCGAGGTAACTGAGCTAGGACATTCCCATTCTTCTGACATCTTTTAATTTTAGAATATATCTATATACACAAAGCTACAACTTACGGGCTCTGGCGACGTGAGAGTACGCATGCGGCTACCCCTCTTTTACCATTTGTATCCGATTGACATGGAAATTTGATTTATCTTTTCTTGCCTTCATACCACGAGCACTGAGCCACCGAGCCTTCTGTCTTGAGCCCAGTAAGTGGTCTCTTTTTTCTCTTTACTGATTTATTATCTAGGTACATCTCCTATTATAAAACACACCATCCCAGTTCACACATGACCGAATCGCAAGCGACTCACGACCTCGCGAAACCGTCTACGTTCGCTACGACGTATACTGCAACATCATACACATCCAAAAATGGACATGGATCCAACCACGACCACAAAATCAAGACTCGCTTCTGAGGAGCTTATAGAGAAGCCATCTTGACACAATGTCGATCGGTTCAGGCTCTTCCTTACTACCATGGGGCATCTTGTCCTCCTCTACTTGCTCTGGTTCCTTCTGCCTGGATGTATTGCGGTCAACACTATATCATTTGGAGGGTATGTTGCTTGTCTTCGCATGTTCTCATGTTACTCACCAGCATATTAGGGCTTCTTGTCGTTCGGGTTATCAGCCGTCTGTGGTCACCTCTGCCTCTATTTGTCCGCTTTTTCTCTGACTCGCCTAATAGTGACCACAACCTTGACCCATTAACCATACACAGCTCAACATTTGGGCTAGTTTTTCGGGTCGTTCTTCCAGACCCCGGGCAAATCTTCTCGCAACCCCTGGTGTACAGTCCGTCCAAGCAAAAACATACCTCTTTTTGGGCACAGCGTCCAATGGCATCCACAAGATCGATGCCACAACAGGCTTCATCGTCGCCAGTCGCCACCTGGAGATGCCCTTTCTGTCCACAGAGCTGCACAATTGCGCTATAGGTCTAAACCCTACTGCTGGCATCACCGCTACAGGAGTCATAGACCCCACTACAGACACTTGGTATCTGACCGCTAAGTCGCACGGTCACTACATTGTCCATGCAATCAACCTTCATGATCTATCAGAGCGGAGAAACTTCCCCATCTCCCTTGAGGGTATTGTTGCTCGCAACGATGCTCACAAAATTTTTGATGGCGACGTTTACTACCAGCGCCCAGCTCTCCTACACCACGGACAGTTCATATATGCGGCCTTCGCTAGCCCATGCATTCAGCACAGATCTACGAGATGGATCATGGGTTGGGACAAGATGACAGGCGCTATTGTGGAGCATGTAGTTCTGGATACGGCCGATACCTGTCTTGCAGATGCTGCTTGGATGAGTGGAGGGGATCTTGCCTTAGACGGCCAGGGTGCCATCTTCTTCACAGTCGGTGATGGTAGTTCTTCTCAATCGGATGAAAATTGGGTGTCTGGCAGACAGTCCTCGCTGTTGCTCGAAGACATTGTCATGTACATGACAATTGGTGACGATGGCTCCCTTACAGGTGTAGATTCTTTCATTCCACGGGAATTGAAGCAGTTGGGCATGTCTGGTCATGGTCAGGGTCTTATTTGAATGATAAGTCTTCATCTAACCTCAGATTTAGGAACAACGATTGAAATCTTGCCGAGCCAGTTCTCATGTAGGAATGTACAACGCATCGCAGTTCTCACTGGTGGCAGCGGCACGACATACTGGTTCGACCTTGGCAACATAGGCAAGAACCATGATAGGTTGAACTCGCTAGGTGCAGTTCTTCAAGTACATCAGCATGAGCATCCGGTCTACGCTGGTGTGGGAGTCTATCCTCATGAGGGTGGCTTCCTTTATATAAGTGACGTCGACTCCAAAACCCTTGTTTTCTCCTTCCGGTGCAGAGATGGTGTACCGTCGTTTGTGGACACAGGTACTATCGAGACAAACAAGCATGGTGCCGGCCATGGGTCTGTTACTATATCATCTTTGAAGAACCAACCGGGTACTGGCCTTCTGTGGATCTCAGATACGAAAGGTACGTGTTCATCTATTTCAGTGAACCTGATAATCCTGACTTTTCCAAGACGGTAGCTTACGCATCTACGACGCTATCCCCGACATGCAAGGCGAATTAACTCTCATCAAGTCCTTTCATGTTCCTGGTATAACGGGGCTCACTAGGCTCGTGTTTGGTGATGGCATTGCTTATCAGACATCTATTGATGGGTCCATCTATGCATTTGGATCACTTGTGAGTTCTCCTTTAATTTTCTAACTAGCGGAGGGGAGTAGCTAATCTCCTCCCTGCCAAGTCAATGTCGCAGATAACCCAGTTTGATATGTATACCAATGCATGTCTTACCGACTCTGCAGCCCAACCCCTCGCTGAATTATTATTCGAGCACCTAAATAGCTCACTGGTAGCCACCGCATCACAGGAGCCATCTATCACTTCGTCTACCACAATGACAGATACTTTTCCAATACATCGCTTACCTGCCTCAGAGGGAGATGCCGACTCCTCAAAGCAGGTGCTTATTGGTCTCCTCAGAATCTGGCTCATCTGCGGCTTAATCCTCCTCCTTGTAATCTGGTACTGCTTTTCACAACGACGGGAACAGATATCCAAGGCCTGCGTGGTGGTATGGAACAGCCTTTGGAGTCAGATGTGGACAGGGATTTGTAAGGTCTCGTCAGCAACATGGGCATGGCTTGGTCGACTTGGCGAAGCGTTGTCTGTTGCATGGAAGCGGATTGGCAAGGCTTTTTCTGCCGCGTGGGAGTAGGTTGGTAGTGCTTCATCTACTGTGTGGAAGCGGATTGGCGAGGCTTTTTCTGACGCGTGGAAGTGGGTTAGTGGTACTTCGTCCGCCGTGTGGAAGGGGGTTGGTAAAGTATGGAAGTGGATTCGGGACCGGCTACGCGACGCATGTGTGCGATTTTTGCCGGAACCACCTATGCTCACGGTGGTCCCTGCTCTCAGAAATCAGGTAAGCCTAATTATTTGTGCAAGAAAATATGGCTCATGATCTGCAGTTGAAGCCAGAGGACATGTGCTTACACCTGCTCTGTCTTGTGGTGAACATCATAATCTTCCCATTGCCGTTGTTTGCTATGTTTTTTGACCGGTCTCGAGAAACAATTGCAACCGCAGTATGCGCCTCACTGTTAAATTTGGGTGTCATGGGCAGTAAGTCAATGGTGCGTGTATGGCAAGTGTGGACATAAGAGATCTTGCACTGACTCTTACTACTTACTACCAGGGTCTGAGTATTCGCTCATCTAACAGCGAATGGAGGTCAAGGTATGCACAATCTATCATAATGTATACCTGTCTGTTGATAATAAGCTACAGCACGCTTATTCAAGTTGTGCGAAAAGGAAAACTAAACAAATTTCGTCTGCTCGTTGAGGCACGATTCATTGAAGCCTCATTGATTTGTATTGATGACTGGGATACTATAAAAGACAATCTTGGGACACCGTCTCAGATGCCCACGCCGTTACCTCTCCCAAAGTACATCTATGTGAGTATTGTAACTTGTTTCGACTGTTGATGTCATTGTTGATAGCTTGTGCAGTTCACCTCGAAAACAAGCATTGTCTGCTTCGTAATCCTCATCTTTGGCACAATCATCATGGGTTATGTCGTGTCATCTATTAACCACCGTGTTTCCTGGATTCTATCGATAACGGGATTAGCTCACTTCACCATTGATGCGCTTACAAGATTAATTGTGAGCACTCTTTAATTGGATAAACGAGAATGCTTTCATCTAACCGTTAAAAGACTGCTCAAGTCATCGGGGAATACATACTGTGGAGGATCCACAACCATGCACAACCCACACCGCAGGATACTCTGCGTGGCGAGTAGGTCCCTGCCTCATATACATTGATCCCCATATTTACAAGTCACAGGTCTATGGCTGCTGCCACAATTTACAGAGGCATTGGTCGGTTCTGGAGAGTGGCGGCGGTTCATTGGGACTATGAAATGCTGAATGTGCGCCTTCTGGAGCTCATTCGTAAAGATACATTCTGACTCTTCTGAGAAGGGCCCCGTGTTCTATAGTTTAAACCTACCTATGCCTATGCCTTGTCTTACTTGATTCCATTGTGCACTTTTTGTAGAACTTTTTAATAAAACTGTACTTAGTGATAGTCTTTTACCCAGACGCTCAATGATGAGCTCACGAGGAGATGTCTGCAGCTAAGGAATCGAGTGTCTGCCTAAGCTATAATATTGTGAATCCCTGCCCTATGTTTACGCTCTCGTTCAAGAAATCTTCCGATGGAACCAGACTTCGATCTTCCTTCCGGTATGCCTTGGTAACTTGTTTCACGACTCCTGTTCACTGCATTTCTTATTCCAGTGACTCGCACCATTTTAGTGCCTGTCTACTGTGGTTTCGGTGTTCCCGCTGGTACGGTGGTCGCTGCCAATAGTACCTGGTTCGTAGATTACGTCGAGATATCGTGTTTCCCACCTTTTTAATAGGATCAGCGGCATTGCGCCTTCAAATGGAAATTTCCGGTTTTATTCGAACTCAGTTAAAACTCCGGTCGCTAGCAGTATCAGTAGCGACCCACAGGCACAAGTAGCCAGCCCCCTACTATGGCACTTCCTGTCGAGCTGATTGCACGTATCCTCACTGAAGCTTGGATCAACTTACCCGCTTCCACTGAAGAGCATATCAAAACTTTCATGAATTTATCCCTCGTGTCCAAACAATGGGCTGCCATCATGAAAGAGGTCAACTCAATGCACTCGCTCATCCCCTTCTCGTACAACGGAGGACAACTATACACCATCAAGTCGCTGTCCTCAATTTCGAATCCAATGCTTTGCCACACTCTAACCTTTCGGGTGAACTATACGGTCACACCGCAACGTCTTGTAGTTACCGGATGCGAACCTTCTATTGTGGTAAATCAGGGGATAGAATCCTTTCTTCGGAAGTTATTCTGTGGCTCTAACACACCTCGCCACGGAATTCATATCTTTGTTGACTATTTTGACGATTCCCGAGTGCATGTCCCCAGCTTCTGGATTCCCCCCCAGATCACACGGCTAACGATCGTCTACCGCTATCGTTCTTGGATATCTGACTGGATAGAAGCTCGACGTTTCCGTCTCTGCGATTGTGAGAGATCCACCGTCGACCATGACCAAGTCGAACATCTCACCATCTTGGGGGCCACGTCTGAGTTAACAAGAGGACTGATTACCCCTCTCAACAAATGGAAATGTCTGTCTTCATTGACTATAGATTCGTCTGTCCGAGATATCGGTATTCCAGTCTCCTCTCGGATCTCTGTCATTAGACGGAGTGACGGTCTACGGTACGAGACTGTGGAGCCTAATTACGCGTGTCGTGTTATGTTTGGTGATCAATATCACCGGGCATATTGGTTCTACAGGTCAAGCATTGGTATGTTGTCCCGTATATCCGCATTTGAGTACTAAGCACTTGACCTGTTTAGATATTTTTGACAAACGAGATATACCAATGCTTGAACAAGTCATTCCACTTGGGTCCGTGGGCTACATCGACCCGCTGACCAGGAAATTCATTGTATTGTTCAATGCCATGGATCCAGGATCGTTAACGGACGCACGGCTTGACTCGATCCCTTCTCTTCTTGAGAGTGGCGTGACAAAGTTAATCGTCAACCCGAATCATTCTTCTGGCCGAGTGTGGGACCATAAACACCCGTATTTAGATGTGGCATCTTTGTTCGGGGCTTTGAACGAAGGGAAATCGTTCGTGCTTCGTCATTATCTTGGGAGCCCCTTCGGCTGACCGACTCGGCAGAGTGTATCATATCCCAGTCGGACTCGACAGACCAGAAGAGCTCTATCTTACGCTGGGGCGAGCCTGCCGCAAAGATCTCATAGGAACTCATTTTGAGACCTGGTTAATCCACCATAAACAGAAAATTCTGGATATTTTCGGAGATGAACACCCATATATTCGAAAGCGCATAGACCTTGGTGAGGCGGTCTACATCTTATACAATTTGATCTTGACTCATGAGATATCGTTCGAAGTGACAACCACAATAGATTCTTCTCAGTATGCTTGGTTCGCACACCTAGGCTTCAAATCTCAGAGACGCCGTTACATGCGGATACAAACAGTAAATCTATTCGCATGCCCTATTGACCATTGCCACTCATAATCTTTTACAGTTTTACTTTCGGGTGGCTCCTCCACACATCCCTGGAAGCCCTTGGGGAGAGATTCAAAGTGCCAAAATACAATCACATTGATGACCTCCATGATCTAATCTCTTGGAGTCATGTCTCCATCGTGGGTCAATCACCAATGACTGTGCAGATTCGTTGTCAATCTCTTGGTAGTTAGTCCCTCACTGGGTACTGCTTTTTTGGTGGCGAAAATGCCTCGCTTCTAAAGGCCACGGAGATCCGAGGACCATCGAACATCCAGTTATCTAGTTATATATCTATTTAACAGTTTATTACTTCCTGTACTCCGCTCTGTGATGCCTCGCATGTTTTTAAATGTCTGGTATGTGTTGAACATAATTACATTGTTGTCCAAACAGAAATACTGTCCAATCGACGTAGTCAGGCACTTCCTCAAATTCCCGGGAGGGGTTGCGGTAGGGCTTTGAACAAGGTTTTCGGAGTCGGGATGTCCTTTAGTGTGGACCCGACACATTTTGCTGTGGTCACAGGCTTGAGTTAAAGGCAAAAAGTCATCCATTTCTGACTATTTCCCTTGCCTTTTGACCGACGTTAGATAGTTAGGAGACCTGTAACCGATCGTCTTGAATGGGAGCCAAGCTCACGATCAAGACGTCACTCATGTCATTTCGTTCTAGGAAATATTTGGTCACGATTTCAGGTTTCCTACTCAGAGGTCCCTTGGCTTCATGGAGACGCCGTTCGAAGAATGTGTACCACCAGGAGACAGGTGCTTTCTGTTTGAAGACCCCCATCCTCCATATTTTGGGCAAGGTCGACCTTGTCGTTCCTCGCGAGAGAGCTAACATTTTCATGGGTTTCCACGAATCGAAGAGAGTTGAGGAGCACGTTGGTGGTCGGTATTCCATCGTCTTTCCGGTGGCAGTTTTCTGATTAGGAGTTTGTATTATAGGCCACTTCATACCGACACGACCCAAGTGGCGAAAGTTCTTCGCTGATTTCCTCCGTGATCCATTTGGCGAAATCGTGTCTCCTACACTCGTCAAGGAAACTGTTATCGTTACACCGCCACCTTCGGCGCAGCTACCGGAGACGAGGTATCGTATGGGGCAGACCCTTCCTCAAGGGTATGCATCGGAGGAGGAAGAACGAAGATCCGGCGCGTCTACTCCTGATTCCGAGCCGCCTCAAACGCCTACCTTCGAGCCGACCCTGTTACCCCTGCCCTCCGTCAAGGAGGATGCACGCATGTGGGATGTGTATACTGGACTGGTATACCAAGGATAGACGACACCGAATGTACCAGTAGTATGTAGTCTTAAGTTATGGGTAGGATAGCTCGATAAAGGGATAGAACGCATAGTTTCTTGTATATCATTACATATTTTTACTACGATAATTGAAGATTGCGCCATCACGCGAGAAACCCTGGATGGAATTGGGTAAGAATTACACGCTACCAGCGATGTCACGGTTAGACAACCCTAGCTAGGGTTTCAAGTTCAATTCATGTCTGTCGGACCACGGCCCTCTCTTCCAGCGCTAGTATCCGGGCCGCGCTTGACATGTCCCTGCTCTGAGTGTTATGTAGACCGTACATTAACACAAAAGAGAAGATCTGCATAAATACCAGGCAAAATGCTTAGGTACCTCATTGAGCCTTGGGAAATACGGTCAGGAACGCCTGCTGCTGCGCGTAAATCCTCTTGGCCTTTAGTGTACAGTGTGCGGGGATCCGCACGTGGGCGCGCGGTCCGATCATCCCGACAGTGGCACATCAAAGCTTGGTAATGGCTGGCATGGTAATTCGAAATGTCCTCGGGTCGCGACGTTCATGTGGGAGCTCGAGCTCTCAGCAAGCATCTGATTCTCGAAGACCGCCGGTATTGTTCAATTAGGAGACCCTTAATCTCCTTTCTAATTATCTCACGGGGGAATAGCCTCCTCAAATACAATACCAGGGAGTGTTAGGCCTCGTCTTTTCGATCTGGGACTCGGAGAAGGATGGCCTAATGGCTCCAGAGAGAATCAACCCTTCCTTCTACGCGCTGTTATTTGGTACATTATTTTCTGTTACGATTGCCTTTGGGAAACATTACAACGCCAGATAACAAAATATCAGTCATCTCTGTTCCGTTTACGCTTGACGCAAGGAGCATTCTTGGGTCGTGCGCGGAGTTCTCGAATTAGTGGCCCAGCTTGAAATTCCCTTTGTATCTAGTCGGGAACCCGCTTGTATTTAAGCTTTTTCACTTCGACTTGAATCATCCTTAACGGAGCCAACACCTATCTTTAGTCCCCTGCGAAAGGTACTATATACAACACGGTGAACGTTGCCTGAAATTCTTCTGTCTTGTTGGGACATTCATAGGTTTCCATACGTGTGATGAGGGACACAAAAAATACCCCTCCTTGACATGTGAAACTCATGATCTTGGGAGAGTGGTACACACGAGCGCTTCACACTAAGGGTATATTCGACCAGGCCAGACCAAGGCGAACAACGGCCTTTTCAGCGCGGAAGGCGAATATCCTAAAGTATCCGCTCTAACCTCGCACGTCAGGCTCCTCATCAAATCGCAATTAGGAAGGTTCAGCCCGCTAAAGGAAACTTAATCGTGAAGGAGCCCAAGCTGTCAGCTTGGTGTTGTCGATGACTGCTTGTGAAGAGAGAAGCGTAACCAGCGGACAAGGAGCTTTGGCGCCAAGATCGGAATTTGGTTGTCATTCGGACTTGGTGGCCTCGACCGGTGGTAATAAGTTATAACGTACTGAATTTTGTATCATTCGGCGTACATGCAAAGTTGCCTTGTCATCGCTCACCATCAAACATGCCCTTGTAGAAAAATCAGTATATAAATGGTGAATAGGAGGGTGTGAGTAGTTTCGACAAAAGGGGGATGGTAAGAGGTGATAGAAGCATTATCCTTGATATTGAAACTTTTTGAGGACCAGATGGAGCTTGCGTGGGTAGTAAGAACCGACAGAACGTGCTGTAGGGAAGAACATTCTGCCCCGCAAAACGATGGTAGTACTTGAGCTTGTGAAAGATTATATACAAGTTCTAACGGTTGAATAGGTGCCGGGCCAGAAGAGATCCAGAATCCGAAGGCTGGAGGCTTGTGGACAGCCAGCTGGCCAGTTGAACCGAAAACAAGGATGATGCGAGTGATAGAAGGTGTACAGGTGGTACTTAACCAAGCACACAAGACCCACTTGAACCCGGCAAAGCATGATGTTTAAGTTGACAAAAAAAATGAAATTTCTCCACAGCGACGGCAAGGAAAGGTCCACCGCGAGTACAAGAACGGTTAGACAAATTATTTCCTGGTGAGAAAGAGGGATTTCGTAAGGTCAACATGTGGGATAGAGACAGTTCCGATGGTTATCGAGAAGCGGGATGCTAGGTTCATGGGAAAGAACTGGATCAGGAAGGGTCCCATTGGAATCAGGGCGGCAACGGTGTGGGTATAGAGGTACCGTTTTGGGCTATTTTGGCGCAAAAGTTCAAAAAACTCCGAAATCGGACAAAATTTAAATACAAATTCGGCACAATTGAACTCAGCGAAGGATCTCTGATTGAGAAGCATACATCATTCAGGGTAGCCTGCTCTGGCAAGCTCGTGCACTTTCTTCATGCCCACCACCATCCAGTCGCTGCCCGTCGAGCTCATCACTCGAATCATCGTCCTTGGCTCCAACTACGAATATCCGTATACCGATTCTCCGTTTCTTTTCAAGCCAGTACAGAATACCTTCTACAATTCCCCTTCCTGCGCCTTCCAGGTCGCTGTTTCCCATGTATGCCATACCTGGCGGGAAATCGCACTGCGCACCGCTTGCCTTTGGACCACCCTGCATTTCCATGAGCCTACTCACATCCAGCGTGCTCGTGTATTTCTCTCCCGTTCTAGGCCCCAATCGTCCAGCACACTAGACATCCTCATCTCAACCGTCTCGGAACCTGAATACATACCTAATGTCAACCTCTATCTCACAGAGCTTCGCGAGATCTTCGACCTCGTCGTTCGTCATGTGAAGCGCTGGAGATCCTTCCATCTCAAAATTCGAGATAATCAGTGTAAACTGGTTGCTCGTCAGTATCTCTCTTCCTGCGGTCCCGGACCGAACCTCGAAACTCTCCAGCTCTATCATTTCGAGGACTTTGAAAATTCGGCAGATCTGTACCTCGCAACGTACAGGCCCCCCGTCATAATATTTAACAACGAGGTCCCTAAAATCAAGAATGTATCCTTAATTGGCGTCAACCTTCCTTGGGATCAGTCACCTTACCTCGACAATCTTCGTTCACTTGAGCTTGCCCTGCATGCCGACAACATTCGTCCTCCGTACGTGGACTGGGAGCACATGCTTCGTTCCCCCGATCTCGAGCGCCTGTCACTTCATTACAGCGGTCCGAGGTCGAGCGCGGGTGACGCTATCACCGCCTGGCCCACTTCTCTCACTTGGCCAGCTGCCAAACGCAAGGGTCCCGTGGTATTGGAGAAGTTAAGGGAGCTAGGGCTGATGGATCTGGAAGCGGAATACTTGGGCAAGGTGATGCAGGGAGTGGTCATGACGGGTGTCACCAAACTTTCTCTAAACCTCTCAGAGCAAGATTACACCCCGTTTGTGAGCTCTCTAACCCGACGGGAAGGAAATAAGAGCTCCCGGCCGGCACCTCCAGTCCACTACGCTTTGCCGAACATCCATCTATTGACCGGCCTGACAGTCACCGCGTTAGAATGTTCTGTTTCTAGTTTCCGCGCCCTTCTGCGCGTGCTCGTTAATCTGCGCTTCTTAGACGTGGATTTCGCTGGTTTGTGCAGTGGAGAGGGGTGGAAAGTTTTCGTCGAGGATGATGATCCGCAGTCGGAGCATGATCTAGAAGAGGGTGGAAGTGAGGCCACGCGTTCTTCACGTCGGCCTACTCCAGAGCAGCAGGAGTTGATCATGGACAAGAAAAACGATCTCGAATGGAACCTTCCTCAAGGTCCCCTGCCTCGTCCACTTTCCACGTATACTGCGATGAAGGCTTCGGGATCGTCTTTGGTCGCCAGTACTTCGGCGGCAGAGAGTCGTCCGGCAATCATGCCAAGTCTCTTACCCAACCTCGACACCTTTCGGGCACTCAGCCTGGACGGATCGACACTGCTTAACGTTATTGCTTCGAGGGGAACAATGGCGGGGAAGGTCAAATGGACCATACGTATCGGCATCCGATACCGGGATATGGAAACTTCCACAGGTGACAGCATCTTGGATGGCATCATCCGGAATGGCAAATGTCTGCTTGAGGAAATCGGAACTCAAGTTCCCGTCCACGTGGACTGGGTCCAGGACGATGAGGAGGAAGAAGAAGAGGAGGAGGAAGATGGCGATGATGACTTACAGTAACGAACCATCTGGTAAGGATCATCTAGTCCCAAGGCCGCTATGATCTGATTATCATCGTAGTGCGTCCGCAGATTGTGTGCGAGCGGTTTTGACAGCCCTTCACACACAGCGCAATTCATTCTGACATACATGCTTTGCTCATTTATCTTTTCCTTTAGGCTAGCATATTTTTCAGTGTATACCTTTTCTTTCTGGAAATTAGGACGCTATTTTCCCTTTTCCACAATATGTCTAATTGATTACCTTCTAGTCTACTTTTGGGGGGTTCATGTATATTGTATCTTTAGGTTTTGCTTCATTGTATAAAAGGTTCACGCTGAATAGTCTCTACTTGTGTGACTCGTAGAGAGCAGAAATTGAGAAAGAGATGTTGTGCAAACAATGGTACACAAAGCTTCGTCGCTCTGCTTACATCAGCCACCCAAAGACTTTCCTGTCCTTCACCAAGTTCAGGCAGGATGAGTTATCCTCCACCTCCTCCAGGCTTTATGCCTCCTCCACCAGGTATGAATCCTGCGAACCAGGCTTCCGGATCGAAGATGCCTCCAGAAGGTACACTTCTCGCGCTGTGGGCTTGCTTCTGTTTCGTTGACATTTTTTCCAACAGTCCTCGCTCAAAAGTCCATGAAGTGGAAACAAATGCAGAGGAAGAGATATGGTGAAAAGCGGCGGGGTGGTTATGTAGATATGGGCAAAGTGGTCCGTCCATTCTGTTTTGCTCGCTGAAAAATCGCGTCGTTCACACTGACATTTCTAGGATTTACCACCAGAGCATGTTCGCAAAATTATTAAGGACCACGGTGACATGAGCAACCGCAAGTTCCGAAACGACAAGCGCGTTCACCTTGGTGCTCTCAAGTATGTTCCTCATGCAGTCATGAAGCTGCTGGAGAACATTCCATATCCTTGGGAGCAAGTCCGTGAAGTTCCAGTGTTATACCACATCACTGGAGCGATTACATTTGTCAACGAAATTCCTCGGGTTATCGAACCCATCTATCACGCTCAATGGAGTACTATGTGGCTGGCGATGCGAAGAGAGAAGCGGGACCGACGACATTTCAAGCGGATGCGTTTCCCTCCATTTGATGACGAGGAACCTCCTCTTGACTACGGAGATAACGTTCTGGATGTGGAACCGCTTGAGGCTATACAGCTTGAGCTTGACTCAGAAGAAGATTCTGCCATTATCGACTGGTTTTACGATCCCAAACCCCTCGTCGACACACCTGCTGTCAATGGCTCGTCTTACAAATACTGGTCATTGACGCTTCCCATAATGGCAAACTTATATCGGCTGGGTCGAACACTTCTCTCAGACCAGCCGGACCAGAACTCTAACTATCTTTTCGACAAAAAATCCTTCTTCTCTGCGAAGGCCTTGAATATGGCCATTCCAGGAGGACCCAAGTTCGAGCCGCTGTACCGTGATATGGACTCATTTGATGAAGATTGGAACGAGTTTAATGACATTAACAAGGTCATTATTCGGCAGCCAATAAGGACGGAGTACAAAGTCGCCTTTCCTCATTTATACAACTCCCTCCCGCGCTCTGTGCACATCTCTCCATACCATACCGCCAAAAACGTTTACATCCGCACTGATGACCCCGACCTCCCTGCTTTCTACTTTGACCCCCTCATCAATCCAATCTCCCTCCGTGGTCATACCGCCAAAAATGCACCTTTAGTGTCCCACGAAGACAGCATTTTTGGACCAAATGGCGCTGACGATGACACTTTTGTCCTTCCCGACGAGGTGGAGCCTTTCCTCGAGGAGAAAGATATCGAGAACGACTTAACGGCCGACGGTATCGCATTGTGGTGGGCACCTGAACCATACAACCGCCGCTCTGGACGCATGCGTCGTGCCCAAGATATTCCTTTGGTGAAGAATTGGTACCTTGAACATTGTCCACCTAATCAGCCGGTTAAAGTTCGGGTGTCGTACCAAAAACTGCTGAAGTGTTATGTCCTGAACGAGCTCCATACGAGGCCTGAGAAGGCGATGACGAAGAAGAATCTTTTCCGCCAGTTAAAGGCTACGAAGTTCTTCCAGACGACGAAATTGGATTGGGTTGAGGCTGGACTGCAAGTCTGTCGACAAGGATATAATATGCTCAACCTCCTGATTCATCGCAAGGTCAGTATTACTTATCTCCTCAAAGTCATGCGGCTAAAGACGCTGGCAGAATCTCAACTACCTTCACTTGGACTACAACATGAACTTGAAGCCTGTCAAGTATGTCGCCCTGTTCAATGCATACAGAGATTAGAGCTGACATTGTCTTCCAGAACACTGACTACGAAAGAACGGAAGAAATCTCGCTTCGGAAATGCCTTCCATCTGTGTCGAGAGATTCTCCGTTTGACCAAGCTGGTTGTTGACGCACATGTTCAATTCCGTTTGGGCAATGTGGACGCCTTCCAGCTTGCAGACGCACTGCAGTATATCTTTGCTCACATAGGAGCTCTCACCGGCATGTATCGATACAAGTACAAGGTCTGTTACCACCTGCCTCAGATTACGCACATCCTTACAATTATTTCTCAGCTTATGAGGCAAGTCCGTATGACTAAGGATTTAAAGCATTTGATCTATTATCGTTTCAACACGGGGCCCGTTGGAAAAGGTCCGGGATGTGGATTCTGGGCTCCTGGTTGGCGAGTTTGGCTCTTCTTCATGCGTGGCATTGTACCACTCTTAGAACGATGGTAAGCACCCAGTCTGGGCATAACATGCATTATCTCATCCATCCATAGGCTCGGTAACCTTCTCGCACGTCAATTCGAAGGCCGTAACAGCAAGGGTATCGCCAAAACTGTAACCAAGCAGCGTGTCGAGTCGCACTACGATTTAGAGTTGCGGGCAGCTGTTATGCATGATATTCTCGACATGATGCCTGAATCAATCAAGCAGAACAAGTCCAAGACCATCTTACAGCACTTGTCGGAAGCTTGGAGATGTTGGAAGGCGAACAGTACGCGATCTTATTCTTAGCTGCGTGAGATGATTGAACTAAGTTCTTTATCCAGTCCCTTGGAAAGTTCCTGGAATGCCTACGGCAATCGAAAACATCATCTTACGGTACATCAAGAGCAAGGCTGATTGGTGGTGCTCGTAGGTCTATTTACTGGTGCTTTTTTTATTCGCCCTAACACCTTCTCCAGTGTTGCACACTATAATCGTGAGCGTATTAGACGTGGTGCTACTGTGGACAAAGCTGTGGTAAAGAAGAACCTTGGCCGCCTAACGCGTATGTTTAAAACTTTTCGCCTTTCTTTCATTTTCTGAGCTTGATATAGGTCTCTACCTCAAGGCGGAGCAGGAACGCCAGCATGGATATCTCAAAGATGGCCCTTACATCACTGCCGAAGAAGCAGTGGCCATTTATACGGCCACTGTTCATTGGCTGGAGAGCCGAAAGTTTGCTCCAATTCCTTTCCCGTAAGTTCTCTTGATTCGTTATACACCCCATCTTGTTGACGAAGCCATCCGATAGACCGTTGTCGTACAAGCACGACACCAAACTACTTGTTTTAGCGCTCGAGAAGCTCAAGGAGGCGTATTCGGTGAAGGGTGAGATCTTCGGCCCTTGTACCCTATTCTGTTCTGATGTCATTCGCAAAGGACGACTCAATCAGTCTCAGCGTGAAGAACTCGCGTTGATCGAACAAGCATATGACAATCCTCATGAGTGTATGTATTACTCTCCGTTCTTTCTTATCAGAAGATGCTTATGTGTGCCGCGGTCTAGGTCTGTCGCGGATCAAGCGTTTACTCCTCACCCAACGGGCATTCAAAGAGTCTGGCATAGAGTTCTTCGATACATATGACAAGCTTATCCCCTGTTATGACATTGAACCTGTTGAGAAGATTACTGATGCTGTATGTTTGTTTCTCGATTACAGTGAGTTTCGTTACTGATCTTTTTCTTCGACAGTATCTCGACCAATTCCTCTTCTTCGAGTGAGTTTTTTCTACCTTGTGAGAATCATATGTTCATGTGTCTCTCAGGGCGGACAAGCGTGGCCTGTTCCCTGCATGGATCAAACCTGCTGACACCGAGCCTCCTCCACTGCTTGTTTACAAGGTATTGACCACTACTTTCGTTTGTTGATGCTGAAATGCTGACTTGTATCGAAGTGGTGCCAAGGCATAAATAATCTTACCGATATTTGGGAAACAAGCGAAGGAGAATGCAATGTTCTAATGGAGACCGTACTGTCGAAGGTCTATGAGAAGATAGACCTGACATTGCTCAATCGTCTCCTTCGTTTGATTCTGGATCACAACCTTGCTGATTATATAACGGCTAAGAATAACACAGGTGAGCTCGGTCATATTCTGAAATAGGCGCGCACTAATGTCTCTCTCCCAGTGTTGACGTACAAGGGTAAGCAGTAGATTTTCGCGCAAAAGCTGTTTTTGCGATTCAACCATTTGCCACAGATATGGCGCATACCAACGCTTTTGGTCTTATACGGGGACTGCAATTCTCTGCCTTCGTTTTCCAGTATTATGGATTAGTCTTGGACTTGCTGATCTTGGGTCTCCAACGGGCTAGTGAAATGGCTGGACCTCCTCAAATGCCAAACAACTTCCTGCAATATCGGGACTCAAGTACGGAAACCCGGCACCCTATCCGACTATACTCCCGTTACGTTGATAGGCTTCACATTCTATTCCGGTTCACAGCAGATGAGTCCCGAGATCTTATTCAGAGGTATCTTTCGGCCAATCCTGACCCGACTAACAACAATGTCATCGGGTACAACAACAAGAGATGCTGGCCAAGGGACTGCAGGATGAGGCTCATTAAACACGACGTGAACTTGGGTCGTGCAGTCTTCTGGAACGTCAAGCAGTCTCTTCCTAGGTCCTTGACCACGATTGAATGGGAAGATACATTTGTCAGCGTTTACTCGCAGAACAACCCGCAGCTCTTGTTTTCAATGTGCGGCTTTGAAATTCGCATCTTGCCGAAGATCAGGACCATGAGCGGGGAGCAATTCTCATTGAAGGATGCTGTCTGGAACTTGACGAATGAGCAGACGAAGGAGCGTACTGCTCAGGCGTTCCTCAGGGTGTCTGATGAAGGTTAGTCATAAGAGAGTCATTACATTTGTGTAAAACTAATTACCTTTCAAACAGGTGTCCAACAATTCAACAACAGAATCAGACAGGTGCTTATGAGCTCTGGTTCTACAACGTTCTCCAAAATCGTGAACAAATGGAACACTGCTCTCATTGGACTTATGACCTACTACCGCGAAGCCGTTATCCATACCAATGAGCTGTTGGACTCCCTCGTCAAGGCAGAGAATAAGATTCAGACTCGAGTCAAGATTGGTCTGAACAGTAAGATGCCTTCGCGTTTCCCTCCAGTCGTCTTCTATACACCCAAGGTATGCAACAGTGTATCACGTTCGTGTAAAACGATGTCTCATTGGTTTCACAGGAGCTGGGTGGTCTAGGAATGTTATCTATGGGTCATGTACTGATACCGCAGAGTGATCTTCGGTGGTCCAAGCAGACAGATGTTGCAGGTGAAGTATCTTTTGGTTGTTGCGTCAGCATGTCATATTGACGTTGTTTGCCATAGTTACTCATTTCCGTGCTGGTATGAGCCACGAGGAAGACCAGTTGATCCCCAATTTGTACCGTTACCTTCAGCCATGGGAGGCCGAATTCCTCGATTCAGCGCGTGTCTGGTCTGAATATTCCATGAAGCGTAAGGAGGCCAATGCGCAGAACAGACGTTTGACGCTAGAGGACCTCGAGGATAGTTGGGATCGTGGCATTCCTCGCATCAACTACCTTGTTCCAGAAGGATCGCCACACGTGAGTCCTTTTCGGTCGTGCTCGTAACACCCTTAATCTAACAATATGGCTAGGCTTGCCTATGATCGCGGTTGGCGTGTAAGGACTGATTGGAAACAGTATCAGCTTCTCAAACAGTAAGCCCAACCTACCTCACTTTCACAGAGAACTTACAAGTACCTGCGACTAGCAATCCTTTCTGGTGGACTTCGCAGCGGCACGATGGTAAACTTTGGCAACTCAACAACTATCGTGTGGACGTCATCGCGGCCTTGGGTGGTGTTAGAAGGTATCTTAGAACACACGCTATTCAAGGGCACTTACTTCCCTACTTGGGAAGGTAAATATATCTATTATCAGCTTTCTCGCGTGCTTATACTGTTTCCTAGGTCTCTTCTGGGAAAAGGCTTCTGGATTCGAAGAGTCGATGAGATACAAGAAACTCACCAATGCCCAGCGTTCAGGTCTCAATCAAATACCTAATCGACGTTTCACTCTTTGGTGGAGTCCAACAATCAATCGCGCAAATGTATATGTTGGTTTCCAGGTGCAACTTGATCTCACAGGCATTTTCATGCAAGTACATATTTACCTGTGGACGTTCTCATGAATTAACCTTTTCACTAGGCACGGAAAGATTCCCAACCCTGAAAATCAGTTTGATCCAAATATTCCGAGCCCATTTGTGGCAAAAGAGTACGTCGATGTCAGACTTCAGATTTGAACTCAGCTGATAATGGTTTGTCCAGTCCATGAGAGCGTCGTTATGGACTTGGTAAGTGATATCTTCTATGGTAACGGTGCGGGAGCTCAAGCATCTACGTATCTAGTGTCAAGTGTTCGATCAGGAGTTGGAGCCTTTACAAATCGAAACTGTTCAGAAAGAGACGATTCATCCTCGTAAGAGTTACAAGATGAACAGCTCTTGCGCGGATATCCTACTCTTTTCGGCTTACAAGGCAATTACCAGCTCTGCTCCCTTTCTTAACATGACTAAATGTGTTTTTTTAGTGGAACATCTCACGACCATCCCTTGTGACAGACGTTAGTTTTACCCGCCGCCCTGTTCGTGACCCCCGTACTAACGCCTGTTTTCTGCAAATAGGTCAAGGACGTACTAGACGGCACTACCAGCAACAAATATTGGATTGATGTCCAGTTAAGATGGGGTGATTTCGATACACACGACATTGAGCGTTACACTCGTGCCAAGTTCCTGGACTATGTAGGCTCCCTCCCCGTCTCTGTAGTACCTCGTGCTGACCTCCGTTGAAGGTGTCTGATTCCATGAGTATCTACCCGTCGCCAACAGGAGTGATGATCGGCATGGACCTGGCTTACAATCTGTGGTCGGCGTATGGTAACTGGTTCCCTGGCATGAAGCCTCTTATCCAGCAAGCAATGGCCAAAATCATGAAAGCTAACCCGGCCTGCCACGTGCTACGGGAACGCATACGTAAAGGTTTACAACTGTATTCGTCCGAGCCAACAGAGCCATACTTGAACAGTCAGGTCAGTACCACCTCATCGGCAGTTCCGTATGAATGCTGAAGGGATTTTCCAGAATTATTCCGAGTTGTTCTCCAACCAAATTATTTGGTTTGTGGATGACACCAACGTCTATCGTGTCACCATGTAAGCAGATCCGGTACATACCTATCCATGTCTTTTCTCACTTGTTGCTAGACATAAAACGTTCGAAGGAAACTTGACTACCAAGCCAATCAGTGAGTCGCGTCTTATCACGTTATGTGCTGTGCCACTGACTATGCAACAGACGGCGCTATCTTCATTTTCAACCCTCGATCCGGTCAACTGTTCTTGAAGATCATTCACACTAGCGTTTGGGCTGGCCAGAAGCGTCTCGGTCAGCTGGCGAAATGGAAGACTGCCGAGGAAGTTGCTGCTCTCGTTCGCTCCTTGCCTGTTGAAGAACAGCCTAAGCAGGTCATCGTTACCCGCAAGGGCATGTTAGGTACGATTCTGTCATCTTTGTTTTAGTCTCTCCTATTCACCTCCTTGTAGATCCTCTTGAGGTTCATTTGCTAGATTTCCCCAACATCGTTATTAAGGGCAGTGAATTGCAGCTACCCTTCCAAGCGTGCATGAAGATGGAGAAGTTCGGTGATCTTATTCTGGTACGCCGACTCACGACCACTGTCGTAATTTTCTGACGGCGTTCTTGCAGAGAGCTACGCAACCTCAGATGGTCTTGTTCAGTCTTTATGGTGCATAAATATAACTTTTCCAAGTTCTCCCAAAATGCTCATGGTTCATATCTAGATGACTGGCTGAAGTCTATCTCGAGCTACACCGCCTTCTCCAGGCTAATTCTCCTGCTACGTGGTTTGCACGTCAACAATGAGAAGGCCAAGATCATTCTCCACCCTGACAAAACAACGATAACTGAGCCTCATTTCGTGTGGCCATCACTCAGTGATGAAGAATGGATTAAGGTTGAAGTTGCAATGAAGGAATTGATCTTGGCGGTGTGTTCCATCCTCTTTGACGTGTATTGATCTCTTATCTGGTTTCTCAGGACTTTGGCAAAAGGAACAGCGTCAACATCGCATCCTTAACGGTCAGTGAAGTCCGGGATATCATTTTGGGTCAAGAGATCGCAGCGCCGTCGGTTCAGCGCCAACAGATGGCGGAGCTAGAGAAGAGTTCTGAAGCGCAGAGCCAGGTGACGGCGGTACAGACGTAAATTCTTCATGGCTTTTGCGGTATCCATAAGCTAATAATGGAATCTAGGCAAACCACCAACGTGCACGGTGATACGATTCAAACGGTGACCGAGTAAGTGGGATTACGGAGCTTTCCTCGACCTGTCTAACCGGTATCTTCATAGCGACCAACTACGAGCAGCAAGTGTTCAGCAGCAAGTCTGATTGGCGTGTTCGAGCTATATCGTCCACACATCTTTCGCTTCGTCTCCAGCACATATACGTTTCCAACGATGATGTGAAGGATGATGCGGCCTCATACACTTACGTCTTACCAAAGAACATCCTCCGTGCATTTATTACTGCCGCCGACCTCCGTACGCAAGTGGCTGCATATCTATACGGTGTCTCTCCTCCCGATAACAAGCAGGTCAAAGAGATCAAGGTATGAAGGCTACATCCGCTCTTTAGGTGTTATTGACAACTCTTACAGGCGGTCGTATGGGTTCCTCAACGCTGGAAGCAACAACAGTGTCGAGTTACCATCGCGGATGCCGAAGGATGATTTCCTGCTGAAAGACCTCGAGTTCCTAGGATGGATCAAGACGCAGGCTTTGGAAATCAACCACATGTCTCCCACAGATGTTCACGACGCAAGCCAAGTTGATGGCTGACCATCCAGAACTTGGATCGTCTTGCATCTGTATCACCGCTTCATTCACTCCTGGATCTGTTTCATTGTCGGGACATACACTCACACCCGGTGGATTTGAATGGGGCAGAAAGAATGCCGACAATTCTTCAAACCCTCCCGTAAGATACTGTTCCTATGTTTTAGGCAATTTTATAGCTAACGTTCCTGCTCCCAGGGCTTCAACCCCAACATGTCAGAGAGGGTTCAATTGCTCTTATCTGATCGTATCCTAGGCATGACGTTAGTTCCGGAAGGCAGAGTATGGAATTATGGCATTGGTCTTACCCAACTGTGGTCCCCCAATCTCCCCTATGCCATGACGCTAGATACTCCACTGTTGTTCTGGGCTGAGGAGCATCGACCGGCGGCATTCTTGACAGTAAGCACTTTCATGTTGGCTTATCCCTCAAGTCCTGACTTTTTCTTCCTTTCAGTTCGCTAATCTCGAGCAAGGAGAGGACAGTGCTGATGTTGAAAATAGCTTTGCTTGATTTTGCTGTGAAATTCATTCCGTACGTAGTACTAATTATTGGCACATTTATATTTTTATGTAATTGTATGACACAACTGTATATCTAAACGTTACAACCCATCCGTGAGTATCAGTAAGCGTGGTACATGCAATAAGAAAGCGTTAAGACAGCAAATAGAGAGAAAAAATCCACCGGTATAAAAAATATTCTACATGGTTAGAATGCCCAGTGAGACGACAGAACCGTGGCGTGAATGAGGTAGTGGAATGTTCTCCGGTAAGATAGGGAGACTGCGATCCTGAGAAGCAGCTACGGGCTCCTTTTCTGGGACGGCTACTTGCTTCGATATACGGCGAGGAGGGGGAGACAGAGATCTCAGTTGCGGTTCGTCATCGATCGTGATGGGAACGTGGACCTTTGGCGTGGGCATTTTGGGAATGGGCATAGAGGTCGTGATAGGCGTGTACAATTGCAGATAGCTGTGGTCGTTCTGCATATAAGTAATTTTCTCGCTGATAGGCGTTGATGGCGAAGACGTGGATATGTGTGACAAGGGCGTATGCGGTGGGGACATGGTAGAATGACGTGATCGTGGCGATGGTGTATGGAATCCGTTACTGATATGTAGAGGCGAAGGTGCGCTCAGAATGCGAAGTCGTTGTTTAAATGAAGTAGTACGTGAAGCGGGAGGTGCAGAAGCAGGTAATTGATTCACCGGGGGTTCAGGAAGTGGACGAACCGGTGGGGGAAGGGGGGCACTCGTGGGATTCGGTGAAGATGGAATAGTATACAAATCGCTTTTCATGGCCACGCCGGCGCTGGCTCGACGTGACCGGCGTTCTGCCTCGTCCGGGCGAGGTGGGAGTTGACCCACGGGTGGCGGTTTGGGCACCATTAATGACAGCCTGAATCCGCGGCTGGTCGAGTCACGTTGATGTCTCTGATCCGGGGCAGGAGGAAGTGCAGTAGTAGGCGCCGGTCGTGGAGGTGGCATCGAGGCGCGGTGAGATGAAGCAGGACGTGTGTGAGATATTGATCCGCTGTTATGTGAATATGACGTGCTCGTAGTAGTTGACAGCTCAATGCAGAGCCTCCAGACGCGCGCTTCGAGAAAGTAGGGAGGGTGGATTACAAGGCTTTTGCCGCTCGTCGCAGAATACGTAGAGTTCCGGCTGGTTGGCCGGTCAACTACACTAGCATATGGATGTGGTCGCGTTGGTGACTGACTCAAGGGTATAGCCGGCGGCGGTCCACTAGGAGGAGTCAGACGTTTTGGTAACTGTCGTGACCATCGCTTGACGCTCGAGCTCCTCTTGGTACTTGCGCTCGACGAATGCCCCGATGCGAGTGTGGAGACAGACAAGATAGACGGTTCCCGGGCTTTTTGCTCAGGCGTTCCGAATAAATTACCGTTGGCAAGCGGACTGGGAAGAGGTTCTGTACCCGAACAGGTCATGGGAAGAGGAAGAGGGAAGAGCCCAGCTCGTTTGTACCATTAAATTGACTGAAGGACCCCATAGTCTAACGAGGGGGCACCCGAGGTAGTCCAGCGCTTCCGAGGAGGTGGTTGTAAAGGAACAGCGCCCATTGAAAGCGCACGGGTAGCCCTATCTTTGTTTACTGTGGGTGCGGGTGATATCCATGAGCTTGTTAGTGTATCAGTTGTCCGCGATCTTTCGCTCTAGATCCTGAGGTGATACAATTGGCGTGCCGAGCGTCGTAGGTGATGTTGGGTAATGAGAAGACATGCTGAGAAGGTTACTTCCCATGGAGCCGAACGTGTCTTCCGCTGGATTATTACTAGCTCTCTCAGAATCGATGGACGTTGAGCGTGATCCAGAGCGCGGGCGGGTCGTACTGGTGAAAAGACCCTTCAGAGTTGACACGGCACCGGCAGGAGCAGGTTTCGCAGCAGGCGTTTGTGAATGGGTAGACTGCGATGAGGATGTTGAAGAATACGTTTGGTCTACACGTCCCAGGGATAAGCCTGAACGGTAGGAACTCTTGCACATTAAATTTGCTCTGTGGAGATGAATTGACGATGCCTTGGGCACGCATTGAGAGCATGACATCCATGTCACCCTTCGGTTCCACGATTCCATATGTGCTGCCTGGAGATCCTAGGCCCGCACGTACAGCCCTGTAAATGTAATGTAAATACTATGTTTTGGATTGCATAGCTGAAGAAGAACGCACCGCTGACCGAATATCAGCTGCTTGATATTCGTAATCCATCGTTGAGATTCGGCTTGATTGACAATTTGCAGAAACCACATTGTTCGACCGCTCTCTTCAGGGTTCAAATCCTTTTTCAAAGCACCTACGTCAACGCCGCCAACTTTGATGACGTGTTTCCGTCCACCAACTTCTTCTTCTGCCATAAAGACCACGCTATCTTCATTGATCTCGAGCCGCTCCAGCTCCTTCTCCTCGCCATTTGATGTTTTGAAGAGATGCAGATACGATACAGTGGGACTTGAATTAGTTGTTACGTGTGCCGCGGGAGAAGATAATACTAGGTAGCGGCTCCTCCACTGTTTCGACAGGGTGAATATTCGAAGAGAAGGAGGCGCGTAATACTTCGGCAGGGAGGCCGAGGCCTGCACGAATTGGGACAAGGCGGCAGGAGAAGAGGGGAACGGCGGAATGGGTATAGGAGCAATGGAATTTGAGCGACTATGGACTGAGCGTGGATGCAGCTTGGTTGCGAGCAAGAAATGGTGCAGAAACCGGTAGAGAGAATGCAGAATGCTGTGGAGACCTTGGCGCCGCGGCACTTTCCGCAGTCCGGGCCTCGGGCTGTACAAGATACTCTTGACGCTCGGTTTGCTCTGGCTCTTCTTCTTCTTCCAAGGGCGGTGGTGGTGGATCGGGTTGTAACAGAGACGAAGTCAGGCCTATTGCTTGAGCAGCGGCATCCCTCAGCTGCTGACGCTCCTCGAGCTCAGCATCCGGGCGCGGTGCACTGATTTCTATTACTCCTGGAAGTACGAAGGGCATAGGAGGTTGTTGGCGAATAGACTTGCGACGACGGCCAAATTTGAGGCCCAAGGCGTCCGACGCAACGATGAGTAAGCTGCCTCTGGAGCGTCGCGAAGGCGAAGTAGGAGGAGAACGTGACCCAGGTAGTTCAGAAGAAAATGATAGTGGCGCCTGGTTACGGAAATCCGGCGTAGTGCCCAACTTGGGGTCGATATCTGGGTGCAATCTTAGCGAAATTTCATAGAATAGCACTGCTACTCACTGCGCATGGAAGAAATATCATCTAGTGTAGTATCACTCATTGCTTTCTCCTTCCCCTTTCCTTTTGATTTGGATGAGAGAAAGCCGCTGCTCCGACCGTCGTAGGCGCCAAGTTCCGGCGACATTGGCCGCAATGGCTGCAATGGCGAGACGAGCTGGAGGTCGGAGAAGGAGGCCACTGAGGTCGGCGACGAGGACTTGAAGTATGGCGACTTCTGGTGGAAACCCGAGTAAGTACTGGCTGTCAGGGCGATATTGCTGGACGAGCACGAACCTTGAGGGATACCGAATCATCGACCCAGAGGTGGTCAAGGACCGTTGCAGTCGACATGAAGGAAGGTGATGGAAAAGCAGCAGACACAGGGGAGGGAAGAGCGAAGCTGACAAGCACGGCGGAGGCAAATACGGCTTACCAGGCGGTATTTGAAAATGGAAGTAAATAACTAACGCACTCGGCCGTCAGTCAAAAGTCAAAAGACAAGGGTGGCAAAAGCCAGCCCTATACGAACAGCAAGTATTTATTTCCTATCATATCATTCCGGAGCAACCGCAACAGATTATTCTCGCCCCGGTGCTCCAGCCCGACCGGTATACCGTGCGGCGCACAGCTAACAAGTACTCCTGGACGTCTGCATTCCCGACGGCGAACAAAGTAACAATCAATCCGCGGGGCCCACGAGTCTCGCACTTGCCTTGTATAATATGGAATTGGAACATTCATTTGTTCGGCCCCACAGATTCCAGATTGTCATGCAGAAAAAAGGGGAGCCGACTGTAAGATCCGGCTCTGGATCTAACTGTTTCTTTCTCCTGGACAGAGAAAGATGCAATCATCGAGGCGATGATGAACAGGTTCAGGTCCCATGTGCAACGGAAAGAAGATGTTACAATTTCGGATGCCTTCAGAGCCTTGCAGATCAGTTTGTACTTTGTAAAAAAATGTTGGAATCAGGATTGCTAGTCACCATCATGATCTTAGGACTTCCTAGGGACGTGCTTCGGACAGAAGGGTGGCGGCTGCTATTTTCACGTCGAATTATTGTCATTCAAGTTGATTCGAGATACTGCCGCTTTTTGAAAGAGTCGAGGCCTCAGAACTTGAAGACGAAAAGGAAGTCAAAGAAAACTGATAGTTCGGTCATCGTCGTCATTACTACTCCCTTTGATTCCCTTTGGAGTCGGGTGTCAAAATCCCGAATGTTTTGATAGCAACAGACCTGCCAGCATAGAGTAACTCACACGTGAAACTTCGGATTCTGATGAGGTGCATTAGCCTGACAAGCTGCTTTATAGAGTACCACAGTCAAAAGATACCGCGATGGAAAGCCCGAGACTCACGAGGAAGGATAATAGTCAAACAGCCTGGAACCAAAAGGCCCAAGTAACACGGAGACTTCGCGTTCACATGTATCCTGAGCAGTGAGATACGAAATCTCAGAATGGACAAGTCCAAATCACGATACAATTCTCCGCGACTTTGAACAGTGGCGTTCTGATTTTTTTTCTTTCTGGTTTTGCCGTGCAATGCGCCTCTCATTCAATGGCGGCCGGGATATATTTCACCAAGCACAAGCGATGCGAATTTTTGCTCCCGTGAATTTCACCGTCCTTGCTGCAAATACGAGGCGGCGACCTCGCTCAGCACAAGTCCGCATTCGTTGCGATATCTGGTGGTGGAGCAGTTGCCGAGCTTACATTGAAATAGGACTTCCCGCCGCCCGGAAGCTTGTAGCGTAACGATAGCCGTGATGATGAGATGAAATGAAATAACCCTACGGTCGTACTGACAATCAGGCAGAATCCGGTATGTGGTAAATTCAAGGGCCTAATGAGCAGGAAAATCAAAATCAAAATGCTGATGTCGGTACACAGAGTCATTTATAGCTGCGGAAGCGAAAATAAAGCTCACGTAGCGCTTGCGAAATGACCGAACACTTGAAGACACTCGAAAGCACTCCTCAATTGGACAGCAAGGTTACATCTTCAGAGGGACAATCAAGTTGGATGAAAAAGAAGGCAAACAATCCTCACTTACAACAGTATATCACACTCGAACGATCGTGTACGCCAGACATCGATTGTACGACAGCAAGAAAGACCAGCAGCACAGCTGCACGGCCAGTAAAAACAGTAATATACACCCAATACATCAAACTATTGTCCTCATTAACAACAGCATATGACCGAAAACGAAATACTTGCCTGCTAGACCACAGGTCGATTCCGTTTGAACGTGCCAAAAGGACCCACAGATGATCCACTGGACGTAATACCAACCGGACGCGACTTACCCGGCTCGAAAAGCGTCCTTGAATCGTATCCCTCCCTCCTTGCCTGCAACGGCGGCAGGAGCCCCAACATCCTCTTCAACTCCTCATTCTCCTTCTCCAGGCGCGCAAGCTCGATCTCTCTCTCCAAGGACGCCGCCGCCTGTTCCTCCGAGGCATGTTCCGCATCTTCGCCCTCAAGAGACCGGAGTACCCGGCGCATTATCGTAGAGAGACGTGTGATAGCTCCCGACGTAGCAGTACTAGTCGATAAATCCCTAGCAGCGTTGTCTTCTTCCAGTGCTAACAACCTTGTCTCGTATTCACGTATCAGAGACAGTTCGCGTTCTTGGACGTCTTTCTTCGGGGCGAGGTCCGTTAGGAGAGGCCAAGACTATGTGGGAAGACATACAGCGCGATTACGAAAGTTGCTCATCACCGTCTCCAAGGTTTGCTCGTATTCTTTGATGAGCGTATTCAGCTGCTTGTTGTCATACTGCAGACTTTGATTTTCGGAGCTCATCGTCGTGTTCATTCGTTCCAACTCGGCATCATATTCCTCTATCGCAGAAAATGAGCCGTGTAACGCCGGAACGAAGAACTGCTCACCTTGGCTCTTATCGAGGTTGAACCTATAACTTTCCAGTTACTCTTTCACGTAAAGGCGGGCGACGTCTTACCTGCGCAGTACAAATCCTGTTTGTGTGTGAACGGCCTGGCTCTGTAACCAAGTCAGATCTTGCCATAACTTCAGGGATCGTCAACTTGAACACACCTTAACATTCCCTGCCTGCGCATACAACGACACCGAAAGAGTCCGATTTTGGTTCAACTGATCGCTAAGTTCCGTAATAATCTGCCAGAGTTGCATGAGATCTTGGTCATTATTGTCCAGTATCGTCATGATTAGCTGTCCAGCAGGCGAGAGTCTCAAAGAGAAGGCGGCGGTGTACTGCCACTGACCAAGATGGACACATAGCACGTGCTACAGGAACGGTGTTTCCTGCGGATCATTTTCTTTCATCTTCGATCACTGCTAAGAATAAAAAATGCACTCCTTCACCATTGGCAGAAATATCAGCAAGCCCGTCCATTATTGGAGAAACCCATCGGCTCTCATCTCAGCGGCTCCCCCTTCCTCACATCAACTCGCCTACCGTTGTAAATACTCCCGACCGGGCGCCGATTGAGGTGAGTGATCACACTGAGACGAGACTACAGGATCGCACCACCATAACTAGGACATCTTTCTTCTTGTAAGTTACCTTATGGCGCCTCCTGTCGAGCTGATTGCACGTATCCTCACTGACACCTGGGTCAACTTACCTGCTTCCACTGAAGAGCACATCAAAACTTTCATGAATTGCTCCCTCGTGTCCAAACAATGGGCTATCATTATGAAAGAGGTCAACTCCACGCACTAGATGATCCCCTTCTCATACAATGGAGGACAGTTATACACCATCAAGTCGCTGTCCTCAACTTCGAATCCAATGCTTTGCCGCACTCTAACATTTCGGGTTAACTATGTGACCACACCGCAGCGTCTTGTGCTTGCCGGATGCGAACCTTCTATTGTGGTAAATCAGGGGATAGAAACCTTTCTTCAAAAGCTATTCTGTGGCCCTGACACACCTCGCCATGGAACGCATATCTTTGTCGACTATTTTGACGATTCCCGTGTGCATGTCCCCTGGATTCCTCCCCAGATCACACGGCTAACGATCGTCTACCGCTATCGATCTTGGATATCTGACTGGATAGAAACTCGACGTTTCCGTCTCTGCGATTGTGAGAGATCTACCGTCGACCACGACCAAGTCGATGATCTCACCATCTTGGGGGCCACGTCTGAGTTAACAAGAGGACTGATTACCCCTCTCAACAAATGGAAATGTCTGTCTTCATTGACTATAGATTCGTCTGTCCGAGATATCGGTATTCCAGTCTCCTCTCGGATCTCTGTCATTAGACGGAGTGACGGTCTACGGTACGAGACTGTAGAGCCTAATTACGCGTGTCGTGTTATGTTTGGTGATCAATATCACCGGGCATATTGGTTCTACATGTCAAGCATTGGTGTGTTGTCCCATATATCCGCATTTGAGTACTAAGCACTTGACCTGTTTAGATATTTTTGACAAACGAGATATACCAATGCTCAAACAAGTCATTCCACTTGGGTCCGTGGGCTACATTGACCCGCTGACCAGGAAATTCATTGTATTGTTCAATGCCATGGATCCAGGATCATTAACGGATGCACGACTTGACTCGATCCCTTCTCTTCTTGAGAGTGGCGTGACAAAGTTAATCGTCAACCCGAATCATTCTTCGGGCCGAGTGTGGGATCATAAACACCCGTATTTAGATGTGGCATCTTTGTTCGGGGCTTTGAACGAAGGGAAATCGTTCGTGCTTCGTCATTATCTTGGGAGCCCCCTTCGGCTGACCGACTCGGCAGAGTGTATCATATCCCAGTCGGACTCGACAGACCAGAACAGCTCTATCTTGCGCTGGGGCGAGCTTGCCGCAAAGAGCTCATAGGAACTCATTTTGAGACCTGGTTAATGGACCATAAACAGAAAATTCTGGATATTTTCGGAGATGAACACCCATATATTCGAAAGCGCATAGACCTTGGTGAGGCAGTCTAGTACATGTTATACAATCTGATCTTGACTCATGAGATATCGTTCGAAGTGACAACCACAATAGATTCTTCTCAGTATGCTTGGTTTGCACACCTAGGCTTCAAATCTCAGCGACGTTACATGCGGACACAAACAGTAAATCTATTCGCATGCCCTATTGACCATTGCCACTCATAATATTTCACAGTTTTACTTTCGGGTGGCTCCTCCACACATCCCTGGGAGTCCCTGGGGAGAGTTCAAAGTGCCGAAATATAATCACACTGATGACCCCCACGATCTTATCTCTTGGAGTCATGTCTCCACCGTGGGTCAGTCACCGATGACTGTACAGATTCGCTGCCAGTCTCTTAATTAGTCCCTCGTCGGGCGCTCTTTTTGGCGGCGAAAGCGGCTCACTTCTGAAGGTCTACAGTGGTCCGGCGAATATCCTGCGTCGACGGGTTATCTATCTATTTATTTAACGGTTTCTTGCCTACTGTGCTCCGCTCTGCGGCAACTCACCCTTGGCTCTGAATAAATACATGCTAGGTTATGTGTTAAACACATCTTCATCGCTGTCCACACGTCGCAGTCGAGGACTTCTGATTAGTCTTCCTTGGATCATTTTCTTTGGATCTCTACCAAGAATTAAAAATGCACTTTTCGAACATTGGCAGTACATTACGAAAATATTAGCAAGCCTGCCTACTCTTGGAGTGACCCACTGGTAGCAGCTGCACCTCCATCTCAGCGACTCCCTCTTCCTCACATCTGGCAACCTGCATGCTGCCGTAGTGAAATACCCGCCGATTGCGACTCTGAGTGATCACACTGAGACAAGACAGTATTGGATTGCGCCACCATGAAACACCATAAGTAAAGCAGCATTCTTCTTGTAGATTACCTTATGGCCCCTCCTGTCGAGCTGATCGCACTTATCCTCACTGACACCTGGGCCAACTTACCTGCTTCCACTGAAGAGCACATCAAAACTTTCATAAACTGCTCCCTCGTGTCCAAGCAATGGGCTACCATCATGAAAGAGGTCAACTCAATGCACTCGCTCATCCCCTTCTCGTACAACGGAGGACAGTTATACACCATCAAGTCGCTGTCCTCAACTTCGAATCCGATGCTCTGCCGCACTCTAACATTTCGGGTTAACTATGTGACCACACCGCAGCGTCTTGTGTTGACCGGATGCGAACCTTCTATTGTGGTAAACCAGGGGATAGAATCCTTTCTTCGAAAGCTATTCTGTGGCCCCTAACACACCTCGCCACGGAATTCATATCTCTGTCGACTATTTTGACGATTCCCGGGTGCATGTCCCCAGCTTCTGGATTCCCCCTCAGACCACACGACTAACGATCATCTACCGCTATCATTCTTGGATATCTGACTTGTTGGGGGAGCAGCGTTTCCGTGGCTGCAATTGTGAAAGACCCACCGTCGACCGCCAAGTCGAACATCTCTCTATCTTGGGGGCCACGCCTCAGTTAACGAGAGGATTGATTACCACTCTCGACGAATGGAAACATCTGTCTTCATTGACTATCGATTCGTATGTCAAAGATACCGATATTCCAGCCTCCTCTCGGATCTCGGTCATTAGACAGAGTGACGGTTTACAGTACGAGATTATAGAGCCAGACTTGGCATGTCGTGCTATGTTTGGCGATTTATACTACCGAGCAAATTGGATCCACATGACAAGCATTGGTATGTTGTCATATATCTCCATATTCGAGTATTAAGTACTTGACCTTGTTTAGATATTTTTGATAATCGAGATATACCAATGCTCGAAGCAAGTCATTCCACTTGGGTCTGTTGGTTACATCGACCCGCTAACCAGGAAATTCATTATGTTGTTCAACGCTATGGATCCAGGATCGCTGACGGATGCGCGACTTGATTCCTATTCCCTTCTCTTCTTGAGAGCGGTATGACAAAATTAATCGTCAACCCGAATCATTCCCCGGTGGTGTGGGATCACTAAATACCCATTTCTCGATGTGGTATCTTTGCTCGGAGCTTTGAATGAGATAAGATCGTTCGTGCCTCCTCATCTTAGTAAGTACTTTCCGACTGACCGACTCGGCAGAGTGTATAATGTCCCTGTTGGATATGGCAGACCAGACGAGCTCTATCTTACACTGGGGACGAGCTTGCCGCAAAGACCTCGTAGGAACCCATTTCGAGACCTGGTTAACCGATCATAAACGGAAAATCCTCGATATTTTCGGAGATGAGCACCCGTATATTCGAAAACGCCTGGACCTTGGTGAGGCAGTCTCCGTATTATATACTCTGATTTTGACTCACCTTAAGGTGTCGTTCAAAGTGACAACCACAATAGATTCCTCTCAGTATGCTTGGTTCGCACATCTAGGCTTCAGAACCCAGCGACCTTACATGCGGACAGGCACAGTAAATCCATTCATTCTCCCTATTGACTACTGTCACTCATAATTTTTCAGTTTCATTTTCGGGTGGTTCCTCCACACATCCCTGGAAGTCCTTGGGGAGAGTTCAAAGCGTTAAAATACGATGATCCCCACGATCTAATCTCTTGGAGTCATGTCTCCACTGTGGGTCAGTCACCAATGACTGTGCAGATTCGCTGCCAGTCTCTTAATTAGTCCCTCGCCGGGTACTGTTTTTGGCGGCGAAAGTGGCTCACTTCCAAAGGGCTACAGAGATCGGCAAATATCCTGCGTCGACTGGTTGTCTGTCTACTATTTCACGGTTTCTTGCTTACTGTGCTAGCAGATACAATATTTTCCGCATTTTCTATCGTCTTCTAAGAATAAAACTACATTCGAATATTGGCAGTTTAATATCAGCAAGCCTGTCCATCATTGGAACAACCCAACAGCTGCATCCACACCTCAGCAACCCCCTCTTCCTCACATCCAACCTGCATGCCATTGTCCCTTAGAATAAAATACTCCCTACCGGGTGTCTGCACCACTGCCAACGCAGGATGAAGCAGTCCACCCTTCGAGGTCTTGAGATGCACGCTTTCCACATGATGATGTCTAAATCCCAATCAAATAATATTCACTGAAGTGAACACGACAGTGCTTACGCAGGCAGAAAAAGATTCACACGCTGATTCTTCAGCTTCGTACTCAACGAAGTTGATGCCAGGCCTGAAAAATCCTGGGCCATCTCTGTCGAAGATTTCCACCGACCACTGACACTGTCGAACGCAATCAGAAAAATCACAACCAAGCGATACAGACCGCACGAGCCTGTTACCAACGACACAAGCGAGGATATACCTCCCCGCAATGACCTCAAGCACAGCACCGATCTTGCCTTCGCGTCGCATCCTCTTCAACCAATGCCGGCTGATTCCCCGCTCATACTCCTCATGGCTAGTCCAGCAAACATGCTCCATCAACGTCGGTGGAGATGTCTCATGCACCGAAGGCGGTAGAATCCTATGCTCTATATAAGCTGACCAGTCCGCGCGAATTGGGAGCGAGTCAAGCTGGTTCTTCTCAGCCGCGGGAGGATGGCCAACGACTTCGCAAGTCGGCTCCAGGACGTAGAAGGATTCTCTGGCGTTGCGATGTTGCATGGTGATGCACCAGATCTCGCCTTTGATAACTTCTTGGGCATCGACCACCGTTCCAGACATCCATTTATGAGCGCCCTGGCTATCGTCGCCTACAGACACACTGAAAAAAAGCCGTGTCAATAGGAACCTTTGTGGTAGTACTGTTAACAAGCGCTGGTCAACAGAACAGTATAAGGGCGCACCGAACGGCTATCGTAGCCTGATGTTCATGGTCAGGACTAGTCCACAATTGGGGCGATATAATTGTTTTGTTACGCTTGAATACCCGAGGGAGGAAACGACGCAAGATACATCTCCCGTCGCTGAGCCAACTCTTGGTTTCGCTGTCGCAGGTATGGCCACATGTTAGTCATATTCTGAGGATAGGCTTGAAGGAGAAGCGCAAATCGGCAGTCCAGGGAATTTTTGCAATATTTTTTGGCTTGCAGAAAGATAAACTGCATACCAAAGGATCAGATCAGCCGTCAAAAATATGTTCTAAATCGTACCGGCATATCGGAACATTCGTGAGACTAAAACACATTGCTTTAAATCTTCCTCGTAAACCTGACTCAGTATAATGGCGATGCGAGTTACAAGCCTGCGTTGAGCCATAGAAGGTGGCAAAGTGATGTTGTTTAGTGAGATGGGCGGAAAATCAGGAAAATCGAGGTATGAGGGCGACAGCAAGGTAGAAGTAGTTGCAACGTTGTTCGAGTGTACCGATGGAGCGGCGACGGGCTTCTTGACGATGAGAGGAGTGAAGCGCTTCCCAGTGCCCGTCAGGGTTACAACTTTTCGACCAGAATCTGGTTGCGGTATAGGGTTTCGGGCGTTCTCCTCGGAGAGCGCTGAAGAGGACCCTGTCATCGGTGCTTTGGAAGGGAGTAAGAAAGGTATCGGTTTCGGAGTTAGCTTCTGTTTCTTCTTCTTCTGCTCAGCGTCTTTCGGAGCAGGACGTTTTTTGGTCGAGGGTCCAGTTGGAACTGCAGAAGACGTTGCGGTGTCAGAGTTAGAATGAGGACGAGAGACATTTGCATCACGAGAGAATACAGTAGAAGGTATTGCCGATGAGAGTGTTTTTGCTGTTGGTGCTTTGGGAGCAAGTGTCGATTTACTGAGGACTTTAGGCGCGGTTTGCACTACTTTAGTAGACTTTTTCATTTGTGTATCGGACGCTTTGAGTACCGATGTATTTTCGAACGGATTAGAGGGCGGAAGTGGACGAGGAAGGGCAGGAGCATTAAGTGAATTGGACTGAGAAGCAGAACTAAGAAGTCTTCGAGGGAGTTCGGCCTCGGGAGGCTGTTTTTGAAATTTACGAGATGCCTGAGAAGGCACAGAAGACTGAGAGTCGTTGATAGTAATTGATGGGTTTAGAGACGAAGGTAGCGAGGGCGGAAATGGCTGAGATGGCTGAGTCAAGATGGAAGGACCAGAAAGCACGGAGACATCTCGAGATAAGGTAGAAAGAACTTTTGGTTGAGGCTGTTTGGGTTGCGATACATCTTGGACAGCCGCGAAGGCAGGAGCAGTTTTGGACGCGTCGGACGTCGAGACACCAGCAGCAGGAGAGGTCTCTTGTCCAGATTGTTTTCCTTGATGTTCAAGAATCTTCTGTATCAGCAACGCTTTCGTGAGCTTGGAGATGCCCGTGAGGTGTCGCTCTTTGCATATGGCTTTGAGTTGAGCGACGACGAGTTTCTTGAGGGCATCTTCTGTGAAAATGACTTCCATGACATGAATAGCTAGCAGAATAAGGTAAACAGAGTAGAAAATGAAACCAGAGTGACCCACAGGAAGGCTAATAGAGGCCAAGGCAAGTTTGACGCGTTCTGTATGCGACGCGTCGCGCCGGTTGTTTACTGAGACGGATCCGGCCTGGGAAGGGAAGCACGATTCAAGCTCCGCTTCAAACCGACGGAACTCCGGCCCGGTCGCTTTGACTTGGGCTTGCTGCCTGCCCCTGTGCCCTCAGGCAAATCCTAGGCCAAGTACAACGCAAATGCCTTTGGCCGCTGCCTGCGTGCACTGTAAGGGCACACATAACCAGTACAGTGCCTATCTCATGACATGTTCGCAATGTAGGACATCCTACCACCACAGCAAGTCTACATCTCGCGTATTGAATGAATATCAATGTTCCCTAACGTTTGCTCTTTCTAGCATGCCACCAACCTCCTCTCACCCAAGATAACCTGACAAGCATACTCAGCGCCACGTTTCGTGATATCCCAGACCTCGAAAACAGCCTACTGTCGTGGAAGTGCGGTCGCTGCACAGGAACCAAGGCGGCGACTTCCAGGGCATCAAGTAGCCTAGGGAAAACGGCCAGCAACGACGACAGACCAGAGACCAGCTAAACGAGTGGCATCTGTCGACGTGTCAGTCGAGGTCATCTCGATATCCAGTGACAGCGAGCCAGAGGATGCCCCGGGTCCATCTCGAGGAGCCCGTCGTTGGTCATCCCCCATTGAAATAATCGATTCGTCCCCCCAGAAGCGCCCACACCCCGCCCTGCCTTTTGCTGATTCAATATCGGCTGTCAGAACGCGTTCACCCGTCGATGACCCTATGGATATCGACGAGGAGCCCCACATCGCGCCAGTTCCAGATGTGAAGCCCGACATTGCGACCACCTGGTTGCGGGACATTTTCTATAAAGACCTGAATGACGATCCTTGGGAACGGAGGAAAGATAGGCTGAATCACAGGTCACGGAAAATTAGAGTAGTAGCAAAGTGTCAGAGACCCGTCGATTCGTTTTACCTCTATACAAAGGAATGGAAGCCAAAGATTCCTTGACGTTGTTTATAATAAATATTGAAGGTAGAACTTGAACTTGCATTTTGAGCAAAAGTTTCGCTGTGCCTCCCTTTTTGGCAAGTCACGTCTTCCTTCCGACCATGGACTCAAAAGAACGAATCGACGCCGCTTGCAGCTTCCTTCTCCAATCCCCACCAGGAGAAATCAACGACGTCCTCAACGGTACTCTCTCCTCCTTCTAACCAACCAGTCACCCTACTAATACCCCCCGACAAAGATGTCCGAAATATCATATCCGACGACGACACCCTCCAAGAAGGCGTCCTCCCAGCACTGCGCGAGTACAACCTCGCCCAATTCATGACCGTGGACGTCCCCGGAACAGACCATCAAGTACGCATCGCGCTGCACGTCAATCATCGCCTGATGCTGATATCCAACCTTAGTCCATCGTGAGCGAGGCTGCGAGGGTGCCGTCATCCGAGAACGGGAAAGAAAGGTTTCTGGATCCCCGGTCCCAGACTACCTTCGAGTTTGACCATCTCATCTTGGTGTGTGTTGCTCGCCCTCGTTATGCAGGGCCTCGTCCTCAGTTGTATTACACAGGAAGCATCAGAGTCACAGCCGGTGGAACCAAATGAAGACTCAGAACCTTTCCGGTAGGCCGCACCAAACCTTTCCTGGGCAGCTCCCTTGACCATTCTCGCAGCTCTGCATTAGAAAAGGCGACACTCCAGTACCTCTCAGCCCACTTTCTCGACGGCGTCTCCTCAGTATTCTCGAGGACCGAATCCCCAAACCAATTCGTCATACAAATCGTAGCGAACAAGTACAATCCCTCAAACTACTGGTGCGTATCCTTGTTTATTCCTTGGGCTCTCGATCTTAACAATTGTACAGGTCAGGACGATGGCGGTCAGAGTACATCGTCGATCTCAATGAACACAAGGTCGATGGAAAGGTGCTGGTCAACGTGCATTATTACGAGCAGGGAAATGTCAGTGTATGCATCCATCCGATACCTCCTCTTCCTCATCAGTTTGTAGGTCCAACTTGCTACGACGCACACCGTTTCAATAACACTCCCCTCTGCTATCGTCACATCCTCTCCGGGGACTTCCACCACCAAAATCCTGGCCCTCATCGAGTCAGAGGAAGGCAAGTTCCAGTCAATATTGAACGACACGTATCAGGACATGGGCGAGAAGACATTCAAGGGCCTACGACGCGCCTTGCCTCTTACCAGGCAGAAGCTGGATTGGGATAAGGCATGCATGCTCTCACTTTCTTTTTGTTATTCGCAGCACTTATATATCCGTTATCAGGTTCTTGGCTACAAGCTTGGTGCAGAGATATCTTCGAGTAAAGGTGTTTTTGGCAGTTCTTAGACCGCGCAAGTGTACCACAAATCCAACTGTAATCAATCACACCGTGCGGTGTTGTAATTCAGGTGCACAAGCGCTCAATATCCTCTTGGTTGTGTGCACGCAGGTTCATTTTTGTACATCCGATGGATCATATATACATGTGTGTGCGAAGGTGCGTTATTATATCAAGTAATATTGTCCGAGACTACGTCGTCTAAATCTATTAGAGTTTCGAAGTGAACTGCGCCTCCGTGACACCAGCACCCATGGCAGAAGTAGAGGAAACACCTCCAGTGACGGTTTTGATCAGGTTGTCTGCGTAATCAGCACCACTCCACTATTTGCTCGTCAGTAATCATGTCTCGAGCTTCGATATCAAAGAACCGTACCTTTTGGTGAGTGAGGACGTCGGTACCGAGTTCTCGCTCCTTGCGTTGCACGATCTCGACGTAGGCCTTCATACCAGTCTTTGCAAAGTTCTGCGCGAACAGGTCGGATATGTACGCGTTAGAATGCAAGCCACCGAGCTGCAAACCACATATGAGTCCCACACTAGAACACTTTGACCGTACGACTCACCGTGATGAATTGCCAGACAAAGCCGAGTTTGCCCAACTGCCATACGAAGGACTCCATATCCTTCTCACCCAATCCAGCAGCATCCCAGTTGAACGACGGACTCAAGTTGTATGCCAACCAATGTCCTGGTCGGGCCGCATGGACACCAGCAGCAAACTCCTTTGCTTGAGAGAGGATGGGCTTCTTAGTCTCCATCCACAACAAGTCGGCGTAGGGAGCAAAGGCGATGGCGCGATTAATGGCGCACTCGGTGCCGCCCTGGTATCGGTAGTAACCTTCACGCGTCCTTGGTGAGTCCCAATCCCAATAAGGCACTGTCTTCAAGCCGTACTGCTTCTGAGCAATTTCAACTGCTGATGGCCATGATGCATGGGCGACGGTCGACAGGAATTTGCTGACCGTTGCCGAGCTAGCACCTTGCTTGCTCAAGGCGTCACCAAGAGTCTTGGTGAACAATTGAAGGTTAGCAGATGCTATCCACTGGTCTTCAATTACTTGAAGCTGGTCACCGTTCTTGCCTGCACGCTCGGCTTCCACCATGACGGAGTTTAGAGGAGGGAGTGAAGGGTTAGTCGAGCCAAGAATGAACGCGTGATCGCGATCATCAATGTTGGAAGTGATGAGGGTGGCCGCTTCGGAGTCGGTTCTGGCGACAGCAAGGTTTTCGACTCCCATAATATCATATTGGAGACGGATGGCGACAAGTCGGTTGATATGTTCGGAGATGGGCACCAAGACTTTACCAGCCATGTGTCCACACTTCTTGGTGCCGGGCGCCTGGTCCTCAACGTGAATTCCAGCGGCACCCTTCTCGACGAACATCTTGGTGAGCTTCATAATTGCAGTTAAGCCTCCGTGACCGGTGTCGGCATCAGCAACGATGGGGCGGAGGTAGTCGACAACAGGAGTTTTAGCGAGCTGGGCATCAGTCAGATTGGAGCGAGCTTCATGCTGTTTGCGATCATGGAAAAGCTGGGCCATGAACAAATGCTCAACCTTGTTGGGCACCGTGTTTGAAGGGTAGTCTGTAGTTGTAATTCGTGAGTCATGATGAGTCGAAGTAATCCTGGAAACGCACCTGCAAGGTCCGGTCCGGGTTCATTGGTGCTGGACGCGGTACTCGACGATTGCCAGCCAGAAACATAGACAGTCTCGAGGTACTTGGCCATCTGTGTAACTTGAACAGGGTCAAGACTGCACAAAAGTTGTGAACAAATTTGTGAAAAATGACGACGAGGTGACTTACGCTCCATAGGTGTGTGACGGTGTTCCCCTCTTGGCATGTTGGCTGAGCAGTGACCAGAGCTTCTTGCCTTGAATATTGGAAGGGTATTCGATGGGTATCGTGCCGCGCTTGGCAACGACCTGGGCGGCGGTATACGGGCGCGTTACTCGTGCAAAACGAGGGCTCTACACGACGCAGCATGTTAGTATGGGGTACAAACAAAGGAAGCGGAGACGAGTTACCTTCCACCATTCCTCCACCTTCCTGACCTCCTCGGCGAACGCGGCTCTCTCGCTGGACATTTTATCGGATATTGTTGGTATGGATAAGATGGTAGTAGTAGGAGGACAAGATGTATTTCGCGGCTTCCCCGCATTTCCAGTCTTAAGCCGTTACCCCTTTCCGGTACAGACGGAACATGTGATTCCGTCCTCCTTAAATGATGGGCACCGATTTATTCCGACGGGGCTCCTAAGTTTCACCCTCTTTTTCCTTCGGCACAGGCGCACCGAAAATCAAGCGTCTTGGGTCTCTTTCTCAACAGAAAACGATCGTGGTAGGGTAAATACGCTTTATTACCTTGTACATACAATAATATCAGTTCTATAGTGTCAGATACAAGCGGAGGAAATTCTCTCAAGTTAGTATCTTTTTGTACGGGGGCCCGTAAGCTTCCGACCTCCCGCATCCCCCGTCGCTGTGGTGCAATCTTCTACATAGTGGGTTATCACGGAGTGGCGCCACGGTTACCGTCTATCGCCATCATATACCAATCCCGCGAGCCCATATCGAACAATAAATCCTAAAATACTTCCGGCAACCTTGGGGAACATCAATACTCCACTGCTATAAGAATGGTTTTTGACGTCACCTGAGAGCACATTAGAACCTTCACAAGGCTCTTCTCGCTCATTGGTCCGAAATGGAGCAAGAAGAAGTTTAGAATCGTCAAATTCGTCGTTTCTAGTACTACCCCAGAGTTCGGATGTATGGTAGTTTCCGTTAGTCTTAGCGCGGACATAAGCTTCAGTACCACAGTCGTCAATTCAGATGGTGGGCGTAGAAACACGGCTTTGGACGGATGGAGGAGGTTTGTTTCCGCGTCGAACCTGATCACTTGCCCATCAAAGATCCAAGAAAAGGCACTGTCTAGACTTACCTAGGAACCCTGTGCCGAGGGCACGGCACCAAGCCGAACAATTGAGGGCATGAGAGTAGAAAGTTGAACACCTGCGGAATAAAAAAGAGCAGCAGCGTCTTCGAAAAATGCGCTTGGATGCCCACGACGGCAAAGGCCATCCCCGTGACATAGCACAGCGTATCTCCGGGAAACACTCTGGCAGGGTACCTGAATCCTCATTAGCATATTTTTCACTTCAAAGCAAAGAAATTACTACCAATTATGATATAAGAAGCCCAAGCAAACAGCCACAAGCGGCATCATGAAGTACAGGCTAAGCAGGTGTCTTTCCACGAGCACTTTGCTTCCATAGGCCATCCCAGCGCTCCAAACGCCGCCAAATTCAAGCTCGGTCTTGTTCCCAAGCAGGTGAAGCGGTAAACGGAATCCCATTCGCCACGGAAGGTAGAGAAGGTCGTTTAAGATGACGGACGCCGCAATGATCAATGCTTGACTGACTTCGGACCCATTGATTCCAGCAATGATATTGATACTATTGGTCGCAAAAGTGGAGAGCAGAGACATGTAAACATAATATAGAGGCCCTACAGCGCGAGGTAAGAGACCAGATGACACTGAATGTATAGAACAAATTTACCGAGGTTCACCAAGGTTCCAAATGCCCATCGAAGAGGAAGAGGAACGACGACATGTGTGTTACCGCGCGCAGCAAAGTAGACAATCAGAAGGGGTATGGAAGCGATTATTGGGACGGGAAGCTTGTGACGCCATCGTATGTCGAAAACATCGTCCAGGAAACCGAGTAGAGTGGCGATGAGGAGGGAAAGAATCGATGAAAGGTAAACGGACAACTATAACAACATTGGAAGTTGATTTATAACACCAAATTGGAACCGTACTTGATGGAGAGGAAACTCGGCAACAGATATGCCTTCATGCGTCGTCGCTCTCTGAGACAGAGAGTCCGAAAATGCGAACGGTATAAAGAGCAGCAAAGTCAGGATGTAAACCGATGCGCAAACAAGTCCAAGGCTCTCTGGGCTGCGAAGACAACTTGAGAACAAAGCCACAGCGTACAGAATAGAGCGTACATTGGCGTGTGGTATACTTTCAACAAGTCCTTTCCCTTCAAATTCGCCTTGACAAAGGTGGGCCCGAGTGCAGGAACAAGATACAATGTTGCCAAGAACGCAAATATCGAGAATCCAAAGCAAGTGTATAGGGCTGGGAGGGGAGGTACTGGGTCGAGCAATGGCCTGACGACGAACCAGGCTGCGATGGGCAGCAGCCCGAGTAACAGTATCGAGGGCAGCGGTCGGGGCGCCAGATCCACCATGGACGTTTAGAGTAGCATGAGGTCAAGCGCAGACGTGTTAAGACGTGTCGTGGTCACGCGTTTGGCGATGTCCTCTCCTTCGGCACCCGAGCACCTCAACGCTACAGGATGTCGCATTCAGTACTCGGAAGGCAAAGGTCGCGGCGTCTACGGTAGGCGATGAATTTTCGTTCCTTTTCGATACCCTCATATGTATTTTTCAGCTTCTCGGTTCATTGCGAAGCGAACGCTCGTTGAAATCAGCCCTATTCTCTTGTTCTCGAAGGAGGAATACGAATCGCACGGCAGATACACCGTTCTCGACCATTACACATTCAAGTGCAAGGATGGACGGATGGCTCTAGCTTTGGGACTTGGTGCGTTGTTTACTTTTCTTCTGTTCATACTAATAGATCCAAGGATAGGTTCTCTGTTCAACCATTCTGATCCTCCCAATGTCACCTACGAAATCGATCTTGCAACGGATTCCATACGATATACCACCGTTCGCGATATCGAGCCTGGCGAAGAGCTATGCATCTTCTATGGTCATAAATTGTGGTTTCAACCTGTCGAATCTGACAACCAAGCCACTGTGGAATCTGAGGCAGAAGAGCCCCTTCCCATGTCTGCTAGTAGCCAAAATAACGATGATATCGTCGCTGAAGATAACCTTCCTTTCTTCAAAATCAAGCCACCTCCAGATGAAGAAGACCTAGCAAGTATAAGGACTAGTAAGTCATTATTCCTCACTAGATACCTCTAATTAATGACTCTACCTAGTGCAAGCATGGGCTGTAGATATCCCGGACCCAAGACACACAACTGCAATACTCAAGTAATGCTAATTAACCTTTCGACAATATTTTTTCGCTAAATAAGCTTTTCATAGATGGCTTAAACAAGCTGGCCTCGATACCGATGATCTAGGGCACCTCAAACGCGTCCAAAAGCAGAATGGCAAGACGCGACTCCTGCTGACGGCACTACCCACATGTCCTCCGCCTCCGGCAGACTTCAATCTACCTGAACCCATCCAACTCCCGGTACCAACCTCTGCCGCTCTCACGCCTACTTCCCTGGCACTCAAATCAAGTTACTGGCCTACCATATATGCTCCACGTCGGAAAGGCGAAACTGAATCCTGGTCACAAGGCAAAGTGGCCTGGGCACGAGATGCAATGAGCTTGACCGTCGCTACGGCCTTAAGAGCGCAAGAAAACGGAGAAGTTGTTCTTTATTTCTGCATTGTAAATATTTCGACTGACTGTCCTTCAGCTACCCATCGCAGCCCACGTGCCCATCCCCTACGAGGTCGATAACGAAGACGCTATTCCGGTAACCGGTACAGCTTCAGATACACGAACGTCGACGCGCCATCCTCTGCGCCATTGTGTGCCCAATCTCGTAAGAGACATCGTGGATCGATACCACGAGGCGAGGAGACAATCGTCACCTCCCCCAGACTCTGTGAAGAATGGAACGAATTACCTCCTTACTTCTCTCTCGCTTTTCATCACGCACGAACCCTGTATAATGTGCAGTATGGCATTGCTGCACTCCCGTGTTAAAGAGGTGTTTTATTTCATACCAATGGAGAAGACAGGTGGGTGCGGTGGGTTGGCTTGTTTACCCACTTTGCCCGGAGTAAACCATAGATTCACCATCTGGAGATGGCGAGATGGGGACTTTGACATAGATCGCATTCGAATACATGAAAACAGTGATGCATAACCACCGGTCTAAGAAACATTACAAGCTCTGTCGAGTTTGAATCTAATACAGAATAGTGAGAAGTAACGTATCGGCACCTAAGCATGTACGGTAAAGTAATACAAGTATCGTAAAAGTTGATCCGTCAAACTAATGGACACGATATAATGATATGATGATGATGCAAGGTGGATGCAAGGTGACGAAAAGAACAAAAATACAGTGTGGATGATGGGAATAGAGATTAGGATGGGATATTACCAGTTAGCCTTGCGTTTGCCTCCTTTCCCGCCTCCGCGGGCCTTGCCCTTAGTCTGTCCTACCGCCGCAGGAGCAGGCGTCGTCTCAACTTCGACGATATCCACTTCACTATCGGACGACTCGATCATCGTTATGTCGTCCCTTTCCTTTTCCTTCTCCTTACCCTTCCATGCGCGCCATTCCTTTGACAGCTCCAACAGCTGGTCCCTAAGGTTTTCCCTCATACCACCAATATCCTCAGCTTTCCACACCACCTTGCGATCCTTTTGCAAGTTATCCTTCCCCTTAGGCTGCGAAACGGGTTAGCGACTTGGATACGACAGAAAGAGGCAATCTAAGCAACACGAACAGCTGTGATGATACTACAGTATCGCGCAGGATCGGACATGAAAGTTTGTGCAAAGTGGATAAGATAGATACCGCAGTCGCAAAAATTGGGCTGTACGGGTACCTATATCGCTGTCAGTCACTGACTAAACATCATTCATTCCATTTACCAATGCCTGCTTCCCAATCGGTTTGCTTGAATTTTCAATCCCTTTCTTGTCTATCGCTTCTAGTCGGAGGTAATTCCCTAGCACAGTAATTACTCTAGGATGACGAGAACCGAGAGAGTCCATCGTAAATATATATGTCCTGGAAAAACGTCAATGCGGGACGAATAGGCTATTGCTATCAGACTTACGAAGGCCGGTCGTCAACTACCACCACTTCATCATCATCGGGAACTTCCGTGTGCGTATCAGCATCGTCCTCGGCCTTACGCTTTCGCGTAGCGTAGGTCTTCAGTTTCCCTTTCCGAGGGCTCTGCGCATCCTCAGCGATGACGACAGGATCTGACTGTGGTTCCGCCTTTCGTTTGCCCTTTTTGTCAGACGACGCGTAGAACCGTGATGGTGGTATCCCCCCAGGGCAGGAGACAGACTCTTCGACCTGGGCAGAGACAGACTCCACATTCTCGTTGTCACTGAATAAGGAGTGGACAGTGTCAAGATCGATTACATCCGACTTCTCTCCTTCAAATCTGGGTGACAAGATTTGAGACTCACTCCCGGAGGCTGCTACTTGTGCTTCGTCGGATCGGACGTTTTCGTCCTCGGGTATGAAATCACTGGACCGCTCCTGTGGACGGTCGTCAGCCGTGAGTGAAAGAGATCTGCGCCGAAACTCTGCGGGTATTTCTTCATCGACATCCATATTGGCATCGTCATCCGGCGGTTCGTGCATGTCCACATCATGTACGTCAGTGGCTGACTCATCTTCCTCGATGGTGCATGAATGAGATAGACGCAGAAGTTCTTCTACATCATGCGCCTCCTGTGCTTCGCTGGAGAAAACATTGGCAGAGACAGGACTGTCATTGAGAGTAGCTTCAGGAGAGTTCTCTCGAAGTGGATCCACTGCAGGGGAGGCCGAAGTTACATTTGATTGTCGTGTTCGGCCACGCGTTGCTGGAGACGGCATTTCAAGAGGAGGCAAAAGAATGTGCTCAGGTTGATAGATAATCGCAAGGTACCAGTGAAAACTATGAGGCAAGTCATGTCAATGGTCATAAATTAAGGGAAAGCGACGTACTTCTCGTTAATGGGCACTATTATGTATTTCTTCGCGAAGATATCGGTCTTGGAAGTCCAGCGACGCACAGCATTATAACCTTCGTCGCTGCTGGAATTGATGATCAGTCATAAACCACGAGGATCTGAAGAAGCCTACTTCTTTATGCTTAGCTTCTTGTAGAAGAAAGAGCTAAACACATAGATATCGTTTGCGAGTTCTGGATTTTCTTTCTCCAGTCTGGAGTGCCACATCCTGAGGAACGGATGAGAAAGGAATGGTGGAGACGAGATAGTTATACTTCAGTCCAAGTTCTATCAGGTTATCGTTGAGGTATTCGCTTGGCCTCAGTCGGTTGAGATCACTTTTGCTAAGGTTAACTCCCCCCGTCGTCCCCCACGGATACACCAGAATTCTTGACCATAATTAGTTACCATATAGCAAGCAAATGAAAAATACAGACAGCTCATCAGGCTCTTCTTCTGGAGGTTTGGGTGACGTGTCGGAGTGACGAGTCGAACGGCGCGGTGCGGATATCCTGATCCTATCATATAGATGAGCGGATAATTAGAAACATGACGAACTCACGATTCTTGAGTTGGTTCATTGACTACAACGCTACTGGACTTGGCCTTTCCATTTACACGAGGTTGGCGTGTACTACGTTGACCTGACTCTGACCTGTAAATGATATTCAACTAGTTGACTAGCAAGGAAGAAGATAAGACAGACTTATGCGAGGTTGATGCTGAAGAAACAACTTCTACCGGAGGTGGTGACCAGCTATCTCGTGTAGCGTCGACATCGACTGGGTCTGTTTCAATCGCACAGGCAGCGTTCCATAGAGCATTTTCATGTCTGGATATACAAGATTCAAGACTTCCCCGCGAAAGAAAGAGATTCGTTGGATCGCACCTAACAATACTACTGTCTTGGATGTTTGCCTGAAACCACGCCAACATGGTATCGAACGAGGCCCCATGCCATTTAGGATGCCCCTTGTCGAACCTTACACATATTTGGCCCTTTCGCCCATTATCGCCTGGGTCTCTATATAAGAACAAGCTAGAAATGAAAGGAGAGGACAGACCAGGAATAAATGGCGCCTTTTTATTTACGCTCGCCTTTGCCTTTTCATCAGACGTTGATCGAAGGGTAAAAACGGGATGTTCCCTCTCCCGTTCCATGCCCTGCCAGTTGTCAGCAGAGGTCGTACAAACTGAAGATAACCGACCTGAAATTGATAAACATCACGGTCAATTCTGAAAGTCTTTGACTTTGACGACAGGCGACCGTTTCTAAGCTCGAAAGTGCCCTTCTTCTTGTTACAATGGATAGTGCATTTCTCCTCGACATGCTCCGTACCAAGCATATAGTCCTTCAGAGGTAACATCCACTCGATCTCTTTATTTGTTTCCCTGGCGGGAAGTGTAGGATTGAACGGGGCATCTGATGCTCTTTGAGGTGGGACTCGTCCTTTGGTATTATTCTGTAGAAATTAAATGAACACAGAAAATGACCCCCGTCGAAACGGACAAACCTTCGTTTTCATCCTCAACTTGGCCCTTAGATCTAAATGAGGAACCTTATCCGGGTGTTGGACTTGCTCGTTCCTCTTCTCAATCTGACTGACCATGTCTTTCACTATTCCTGACTTTCTAGGTGCAGGGACAGGAGAGTCAAATGACTCGATAGGACTCGTAGATCGGCCGTGCTTGTTCTTGAGAAATTCTATCCCGGAATTTGGCATCGGTCTGTCTTCATCAAGGGCATACTTTTCTGGCTTCTTCACACTTGGCATCCGCGGTAGAACATTCAGTTCGTCACTAGAAGGCTGAGCTATTCGTTGACCGACGTCTTCAGAACTGTCATGCTCCAATATGATGACCTCAGCATCGTCTTCTGGAGCTATGAGAGGTAAATTGGACCTTGAATTACCTGGATGGGCTTGACTCGGCATTAGGATTCTAATGATTGACAGAGAACATACGAGGCTTGGCAGGATTTGAATCAGTGATCTTCCGTCGTTTCATCGGTCGGGGGGCGCTGTTGCTATTCGACATTATTCCTGTCCTTGCAGTGGACCAATTCTGTGGCTTATTGCTGCCATGAAGATTATCCTGCAAGCGACTGCCCGAAAATGGATTGTAGCCACGCTTGAAGTCATTGTCAAAAGGCGGTCGATAGAGAAGGAGCATAAGGACGCACAGAAGATGATGAAGCACCTGGAACAGAAATTGGGGTGGGTTTTTTATTCCATGATTTACTGGAAGAATTCTTTGAAAAAATACAGCTGCAAGATAGTACCAATGAGACATACTTTGGACCCGATATTGACGCGTCTCTGCGATTAGGAACCGAAGGCCCAATGCCGTGTAATTCTTCCAGCTGAGGTCTTGATTTAAGGCTCGTCATTGGTGCCTGCAGGAAGGGAAAACGCGAGAGTGCATGTACGCCGCCAACGGTGCGGTGAGTTCAGAGTGAAGCTGTCATCCTCCCAAAAAGGTAATGCATTACAATTATCGCTCATGATTATTTATGTAATTTCTGCCGCAGTACACGGCTCGGAATTCAGCTATGTATCTCTAAGGACTTAAATCCTCTTGAAGAGCCGATAAAAATCAGCGACAAGATACAAACTCCCGGCCAAAATAACCAGATCACTGCCACTCGACTCGCTCGCCCATTTTAGTGCGTCAAGCAGGCCGTATTCTGCGTCGCATATCGCATCGGGACATAGTGTCCGTACAGTCTCTTTCATCACCAGAGTATCCTCCACCTTTACCCAAGGCATGCCTTCTGGTGGTGAGAATGGCACAACGGCCACCCGAAAGAGAGACGGACCGGCAATGCTGAACAAAGGCGCCAGAGTTTCTCGAGGTGTTTTGGGGGGAGAATGAGAGAGGGCCAATATATAAGTGATGGTAGTGGGTTGTTCCGTGGACTTCAATGAAGAGACAAGATATGTCAAATACCTAGCCAGACATTCCGAAGACGCAGGATTGTGCGCCCCGTCTACCAGTACTGGTAGCTCTCGCCCATCAAGATTGACAGAGTGAAAAGAGAGTCTTCCCGGCCACTCTGTCTGTTTGATGCCTCGGACAATAGCTGCCGGGGTGAGACGATCTCGGACAATCGAATACTGGGAGATGAGAGCATCCACGACTCCCAAGGCCAATCCTAGATTTTGGAGTTGGTGGTCACCGTGAAGAGGTAGACAAGCAAGAATGTCTTGTGATAGGGCAGGAAGATAAGCTTGAACAGGCGAGGGAGGAGGTGAGTGCCATGCCGGCGAAATTGAAAAGGAAGGTGGTTCTGGTCCATCTACAGACGCATTCCATGGACGAGCAGATACTGGAAGCGCATTGAAGAAAATTCCCTGGACAGAAGCCACCACCTCCCTGGCTACCCCTTCAACTTCACCGTGTACCTGGTACCCCAAAACAAAAGGTTTCCCCTTCCTGGCAATAGCCGCTTTCTCTTTTGCAATAGCGGAAACGGTCGTTCCCAGAAATGCCTGATGGTCCAAATCAACGGCAGCCAAGGCCGATAGAAGTATGCACTCGTCAGGGATGATATTGGTAGCATCCAGACGGCCGCCCATCCCCACTTCCAAGACCACGAAATCGACTTTCGCCTGCTCAAAAATGATGAGCGCCGTTAAAGTGAGCTTTTCGAAGCTGCTGATGGGTAAACCATGCTCCTTGGAGGTGATCTCGACCAGTGTGTCGGCGACAGAATATACCTCTGGGGTAACTGCTCTGCCATCGATGACGATAGAATCATACACAGAGAGTAAATGGGGACTATTGAAACGGCCAACGGATGAAGGGGGATCAGAAGCGCTCAAAATCGAGGAAACGAAGGCCGCCACGCTACCCTTTCCGTTTGTTCCAGCAACATGGATTGTGGGCCGAGTGTAAGGCGGCAGATGGTGAGAGAGATCTCTTATCCGGTCAAGAGTCAAGTCAATAGACATGGATTGGACATGGAGGTGATCAGGAAAATCATTTGGGTCGTCAACCGGACCGGTGCTATCCGGGTCTACGATGAAATTCCAAGTCACGATCGCGACTGGCCTCCACTTTCGAGCACGTTTTTTTTAACTCTATATTTCGAAACCGCAACCCGTAATCTACGTACAGAGACGCGGCGGCGCTTGCTCGTAGCCATCCCCAGTAGCTACTGAAGGTACACGGAGGGATTTTCAGACCTTTAACGGTATAGGTTTCTCGTGTCTTCATGTGTTGAGTCCTTGGTACCCAGGGGGGTCGACGCCACCATAACTTAGGCTATGGGGCACGGGTGCATGGAGCGAGTTCCTTCGTTGTTCTCGGAGTCTGTCGGCATTTCCATCCTCCCTCTACTACTTTTCAAACTCCAGGATCTTCCCCTCGCTCCAGGTCCTGATCTCCCTGCCAGTCTTCAAGCGTAATTTCTTCTTCATCCAATGTGGGTGGTATGGGCGGCCGTTTGGGGGTGCCGGTCTTCATAAATGCACCTGATTTCTCCAGGAACGGATGCCAGGGCTTCTATGCCCTCTTTCGTCCCTAAGATGTCTGGCAAGTATAGGTCCCTGGAGACTTTGCGGAGCCCGTCTCGGTGTCCATTGTATCGGGGGCATTCGCGGATGATGTGGTCTCGTGTTTCCATAGGCTCTCCACAGGGACACTGAATGCCTTCGTGTGGGACGAAGCAACTGTAGTACTCTCCTGAGAAGTAATGACCAGTTCGACACTGAACTAGGCGACTGAAGACATCGCGTTTGCCGTGGAGATGGCGGGTGCTATAGGTGTAAAGAAGCCGGTTTTGGGGCTGTTTTTCCACGCCCTTGTCCAGTCTCTTTTCAGCTTCTCCTTTGAGCTTCGGAGAGCGTTTGATTGCGACTTTTGCTTCGAGCTCCACCGCCTCCTTGGCTAGCCTTAGCTCGTCAGCTCTTTCGTTCCCCTGGGTCCCAGTGTGACCCGGTGCCCAGGCCAATCCACTCTGCGGTCTTAAGCTTCATCCTCTAAGAACTCGTGTATCCTCTTGTTGAATATGATACAAAATGACTGCCCTGGTTTGGAGCTCCTATCGAAGGCTGCGCCAACTGCGGACGTGTTATCTGCAAAGAAGTGAACGTGTGTGATCTCGGGGTGGGTGGAGTAGTACTTAACTGCTGCCATTGCGGCCCCCATAGTAAGCGCCGCAAGTTCGCCATCGTACACCTCCGCATGTAATCCAAGTCCCATTTTTTGGGTAAATACCTCTACCCCATTCTGGTACCCCACAACACCTGCCCCCACTCCACGGACGCGGTGTAGTGGCCGTAGCGAGCCATCCGTATAGATCAGCAGGTGGTTTGTCGAGCACTCACGGTGAACCAAAATCTGTACCCCGTATAAAGACTCAATGGAAGGCGTAAAGTTGGCTCAGGTGATAATAGCTAGCTAATAGGTAGGATAGAACTGTCGGAGCGAAATGAAAATCAGAAGATGCTGCGACACCTTACTGCCTTCCTACCATTCAACACAAGACTTAGCTGCGGAATGGCTTTACGGTGAAAAAAAACTCACGGGTTGTCACTTATGATTTACCCCATCGCTTAAGCGGTCTCTGTAAAGAAATGACTTCAAACATAGCCCGTGATGCAACTATGCCCGAGCGATTGGCCGCAAAAGAGGGAGAAATTTCCCCGGAAATGTGGACCATGAGTGGACCAACCCCGCATTAGGTGGTGTTACCCCAGCAGGAAGCAGCAGTTCCTTGGCGAACTCTCTTCATTAAACACCTCTCAGGTACGCGGCAGGATCAATGTGGTGGCGGTTGTACATAGGAAGACAGTGACTCCAATTTAGCGGTACCGTGGGAGCTGCGAGACCGCGTGGAATCCGGTGCTGGGTGCATGACGAATACCGTCTACAGCCGTCGTACACACTCGAAGAAAGCGGACTTTACCCTTCACATATGTTAATGGACCCACCTGATCGTCTTTACTTGTGGGACGGTACGCAAGCAGAGTCAGGCAGGCAGGGCTCCTGGAATCAGAATCGCGTAGAACATAGCCGGCAGTTCCATTGTAGAAGATTTGGATACACAGCCATTGAACATGTTCAAACTCGTTTACAAGTCCACTACTATATGCCGACACACCCGAAGAAACCGGGTTACCGAGAACGTTACTGAAACAAAGAGGGGCGTAGGACGCCCGAAGTCCAGAAAAGTTCAGACTATCGCACCTTAGTAAAGACTTGGAAATAGAATCGCAAAGGGTTGTAGAAGAACCTCGCGAGCCCAGAGCGTCTGTTGGCGACAGAAGAACTCGTACTAGTAACCAGACAACCCTTGTTTAGTCCTCAAAGAGGTATAATAATGGCGCTAAGGTAGACGACTGTAGATGTAGGTGTGACTGCCGTTCCAGACGCCTGCAACGCTGCCGCAAGCATTGCATTCAACAAGTTTGGTGCATAATACCTGACACGAAGATTTGACAGAATCCAGCCAAAGGATGGGTTCGAACTAGACCCTTTGAAACTCGATGATAGTCATCGAAACTTCTGGATGCCACACTTGATCAACTGTCACGTTGTGGGGTCCAGTCTACGTAAAGGACGAGAAATAATTTAACCTACGATGTCGATGTCTTGAATTTAGGCAAGGACAAGAGGTTGATAACACACCTCGACGTGAGTCGGACCAGAATATGTGTTTTCAAAGTCTGTAAAATTTGATTGACTCGAGCATATCAGCAATATTAATCAGACCTCTAAAAAATCCAAAGGAATGTATGTATAATGCCAGTGTCCGAAAGCTTATAACTTTACTAAGGATAATCAAACATGGAAAATAAATATATAGGTCCTTAACCTGTGGTGCGTCAAGTACAGCGGAGGCGTCATGAAGCCCGGCATCGCGTGGGTTGTCGGATCGTGAATAGCTATGTAGTATAACAGGTCATTATGCAAAGTTCGTCTTGTGCTTCGGCCGAAATGTTGCGGTATAGATATAGTTGTGGGAGTGGCATGTTGATATGGCATCGATGACGAAGGAGCGTCGGATTTTTAACAACCGTTATACTTAGAATTGCGGGGGAAGTCGAATCCAGCCGCTGACCATGTTGTCCAGTTGGGATTCGTGTAGGCCTCGATATGGCTAGAAGACGATAAGTAGAGGACCCCAGAGATTTGACAAGCACATACTTGTTGATATAATCCTGTGTAGGCCGTGTTGGAGGATTGCATGTCACAGCATTCTTCGTCCCTGCACGCTGGTATACCCGCACATAGTCGATATACATCTTTGCTGGGAAGACCAAGTGCTTGTAGTCCGCGGCCTGGAAATCTGGTGACATTCCCAAATTGAGCAGCAAGTACTTCCAAAGAGCGTCAGTTCCGCTGGTCATGGGAAATAGTCTGAAACGCTTACCATCGGCTCCTCAGGTATGAGGCGCTGACTAACTTCTACGGTTGCATCGGGCCCAATGGCAGCAGAAGTAATCTTCCAGGATTCTACGCCTCCACTATACCATTGTATGTAGCCATCGTCCCGGTTGTTAGGATCCGACCACCACTCATACCCGTATGTCCCGTACGCTACATCGTTGTAATGCGTGGGATCAATAAGGGTCAAAGCGGAAACGGCCTGTTGGTACGTTCCACCTTTGTACGTGTTAAAAGTGGTGATCGTATCATCCGTGACGACGATAGCCGGCGTGGTGTTAACAAAGTTATACTGATAGCTGAACGGCGCAATCTGGAAACTTTGTGACACCTCTCCTTGAAATATGTCGACGTCAATTTGATGTTCGAGGATATCGATTTCGGGAACCCCACGACCGACATCTACGCTTGGACCTGGATGGTCGCCTCCACTGCACGTGCAGGCAGACACTCGTTGGCCGGGCAGATAACTAAGAGTTCCCCCAAAACTAGAACCCGTAAGGGCAGCAGCGGGCGAGCCATCTGCAGTTGTTTGGTTCGGGAAGGTTCCGAGGTCGCATGAATCGTAACTATAAGGCCACATGCCTTCTGTCGTGGCGCCATAGCCTGCCCGACCCTAATATATATTATTAACATGAGACGTAAAATAGTCAGGAGCCGCACCAAGTTGCCCATGGACCATGCACCTGGCCAGAAACCGGGGACTGTCGAGCTTCCCGGCATACTAACGGAAACCTCGACGTAGCCTGTCATGAAGCAAAACTTGTTCCACGAAGTAATCATGCCTAAAATGTTGTCAGTAATATGTTCAGATCCTCAAGTGAACTGGCGACTCACCACTTTTGAAATTGAGATCATGGACATCCTCCATGGTGATAGTCAATACAAGTTTACCGTTTTCGGTAATGGCGGCCTGCAAAGATCACTATCAGTCTTCAAATTTTTGGGCATTTGGGGGTACCTACACTGGGATCATACCACTCAAGGTCTCCCGTAGGCCAGTAATGAAAATCGACTGCTTCCCAATACGGATCATCGCCGGGGTAAAATGTCCGTCCATCTGTGTTAAACTCGTCACTGAAGACGAGGTTGTACTTCTTGCCATCCTGGCCTGTACGTGTATAGGCATCTGAAGGAGTGTCACTGTCGATGAGGGAAGGAAGGCCGGGAAGGTCGGGTATCTGCCCTGAACCATTGATCCCACCGAGGTTGAACCCTGAGGTCGTGACAGTGTTTCTGCTGTAAAAGACGATGACCGGGTATCCAGCGAAGAGCGTGATGAGCCCAACAACAAGGATAAAAAGAGCACCGGCGTTCAGCCAGCCCCTCGCAGAGAAGAGGGTAAATGAGCGGTCCATTTGAGCGTCACGAACAGGATCCGGATTGTGGAGGGCATCGTCGAGATCAGGATCCTTATCCCAGAGATACTGAGGGACAGTCGATGTGTTGGAAGAAAACGCTTTTTCTCCATTACTTCCCGTGGTTGATGAGACTTCGGAAGGCGCTGCACTAAACCGTGAGCCGTTGTACAGAGTATCGCGGTTCAAGGGATTGTACTACAAAACATGAGCGGTAAAAAGAAGATAAAACATGGTACACACGGAATAAGGCCCATATCCTGCACCGATTGCACCGCTGGCGACGCCTTGTGCAATGGAACCCCTGCCTTGCTGTATGCTTGAGGTCGAGGCAGGCGGTCGCGGACCTGGTGACAACGGTGGAGCGGGCATTCCAGTACGAGGACTCTGGGGAACGGCAGCGTATTCTTGAGGACTTGTCTGTGGTGCTCGCCGGGCAGAATTCTGGGCCATGGCAGTGAGTGACAGAAATTAGCGCTTATGGTTTTTTCTCACACTGCTCCTTTCACAGCCACTGCCGGTGACGCAACTAATTGACAGGCCGACCATAGGCCGCGCAGTCAAGCATTGACTTGTTGTCTCGACAACATGATGAATCAAAATATTTTGATGAACTGTCTACACCGTTATGGGTTCACTGCAAGATATCCTCCATCGATGACTATTTCTTGCCCAGTGGCGTAGCATCCAGATGGTGACGCCAGGTATACTGCTGTTCCCGCCATCTCCTCCCCGCTTCGCTCGCCAATCAGTGATCTGCAGATGCCAGAGTGTATATACACTTACCTTCCTGCCCTCCGAGCAGGCACCGGAAGGATGCCTCTACCCGTCGCATCGACATCTTCTGGCCCAATGACGGTCTTGGTCATCTCGGATTCATATACCCCAGGTGCAATCGCGTTAACTCGAACCGGTATACCTTTCAAAGCAAACTCTGTAGCCAACATCTTGGTTAAATGTGAAACGGCGGATTTTGAGGTGTTGTATGCAAACTGTCCACATGTGAGTACGCGCCTCATGTTGCTCGGCACAAGGACTGACATGTTGCTGAGCCAGCTTTGTAATGGCACTTATACTCGTTATGTTTATGACACTTGATGTGTATCCAGCTTGATCCTTCGTTCCCTTCTCCAGCAATCCAAGGAAGGCCATCGTCACAAAGTAGATTGAATATACGTTGATAGCGAAAACGTCGGCCCACCCTTCTTCCGGTTCGGTGAACAACGCTTGGCCTAATGTTTCCGCATCTTTATGCTGTGGAGACGTCAGGTCGTTAAACCAGAGAGACATAGGCCCGGCCTGTCCTGCACTGCATGCAAACGTCATTCCTGTCTTCTATATGTCACAAAGCATCACACACTTATTGACCAAAATATGCAGTTTACCCTCCTTCTCTTCTATGACCTTCTTTGCTTCTAAGATACTCGCTTTGACAGTCACGTCCATCGGCAGTCTGCGGCCTGGGTAGTCAGTAATCAGTTATTGAAGAGAGCAAGGTCACATACGCAACTACTTCACCCTTGATGGTGCCACTGTTGACGACCCCCTCAAGTACGTCTTTCCGTCGTCCAGTAATATATACTTTTGCCCCATTTTCAGCAAGTCCGCGCGCGATCATAAGTCCAATTCCTGTTCCGCCACCAGTAACCAGAGCTACCAGCCCGCTGAGATTGTATAGACTCTTGAGGGAATAAGACGATTCGGACATGATTCAGTGCAGGCTACGGTGCAGGGCGAATTTCTTTGTGCAGGTGGCCGCTTCATTGCATCATAAGACCGATAATAGCGCGAAGATTGTGTGCTTTACTTATCTGGCAGACTTCATCAGATTTATGTTATTTCATTATCCCGGAACAACCTCCTCGATCAGCGGCCGATCAGACAGTTCATTATACTGGCCCACTGGGAGCTGTTGCCGTTAGAGTTTAACGTTTATAGTCCGTTCAATACACGACAATCTTGTATCTACATCTGATATTCGTGGTCAGCAACCCGACGGCATTGTATGCAATGGAGACTCACAAATTATGAATATATAGGGTTGCGCCAACCATTGTCACAGTATATCTCTTGTAGACTTGTCGGTACAGTATATAACCGACGAAATAGAGGAAGGGTAGCATAAGGTTTCTGTCGATAGTTTGTGTCACATAGATAGAGATATCTAAGATTCGGCGTGTGAAATTTAGCTGCCAAGTACGAGAGTTCAAGCGGAATATCTCCGCCCTCAACCCGCAGATGTAGAGAGGACAGAGAGAGCAGAGAGATCTGGCGGCCATGGGAGGGACTATACAATGTCGGCTGGATGAAACGATGCGCTTTCTTAGGAAAGAGAATATACAACTCCACCAGCCGGTACGAGACCCGTAACATGGATGTGATTTCCCTAACAGCTTGAGGCCCCGACGTGAAGCCATGGTGTGTGTAGTGCAGGGATGTAAGGTTCTGAAACAACGAAGGAAGCCATGTCAAACGAATACCATCGATCGTTACTCGACGAAGACGGGGAGCAACGCCCGAAAAGAGAGTAAACTCTTTGGTATCGTCATTCATGGGATACACAAGCATCAACTCTTCCAAAGACATTGCCTGGACCCCGCTAGCAGAGCAGCACTCTGATAAGGCAGCATTCCACACAAAGGGGGAATAATGGTCGAAAAACATCTCCAGAGTCCGCCACCGATGGATATAAGGCAAAACTAGGTACATCCTCCATTGGACCGAGTCGGAATCCATGAACATGGATCCTGTTGCAGGAACTAGGCGCAATGTGATGTCGAGCGAACAAGCTCTCGCTCTCCTCATTCTTTCCCGCCACATCGTTTCGCGAAAGTCGATGTCGATACATCTCCACATGCGAGGTGTGCGCAGCGCGATTAATCGCCATGCTGAGCACACATGCGATACCACCACGGGTAACATGGTGTCGGTTCGGGAGCCCAGGGTGAAGATGCGAGCTAGAATCTCTGCAGGAAGGCGGAATATGGGATGGTAAACGACACATGGCGGAGTTGGAGATGACTTCCGCCTTGCCTGGATGCGCGACGACCTGGGGTAACATTCCTCAGATATCCCGGAGCATATAGATACCGAACAACTCACGACGATGAGAGAATTGATTTGACGGAATCAAATATTGACACAGAGTTCCGCTCCTTGGCGCGCGTTCTAAATATTGGCAGGCCCATGGTTGATCGGAGGGCGCACGGTGGGAAGATTTAAGACGTGGGCTGCATTTTATGTGAGTCTGGTTTATGAAACAGACATAATAACGTTCCTCGGCGAAGACCCATTGCGGCAACAAAGAGAGAACCATGGTTTCAGTTGGTATGGACAGCATGACTGTCAGGTCCCCGGGATGTCGAAATACTGGACTATACAATTCTGGAAAGAAGGGCTGAGCAGGGGCTTCACATGGCCTCGCATGAGAGAATTAGGAGATAACGCGACGACGAAAATGGGCTAACAATTAATTTGTGACGGTATTGCGCCGTACTAGCAATGGCGTCACCGGTCAGGCGCATGGTCAGGGTCGGTTTCACGAACAAGGATATTTCGTCCCCAGCGAGAGATTCTGCACTTGGAGAAGCGCTCAGTCCGACAGATAGAAGACTTTTATAGGAACCGAGGAGAGAATGAGCAAAACTTTGACAAAAGAGAGATCCATGGAAGATGGTGGCAGTAGCAAATAAAGAGGAGCTCTTGGCCACGTGCTCGCTCATTGGCCTCAACACCGTCTATCATGAACGAGGCTCAGACCTTGGACGCGCTCGCCAATGTCCTCAACGATATATCTGAAAAGCCGTACGATTTTTCTCTTCATGTTAAGCACATCAATATTGCCCGCTCTTTGGAGGGCATGGAATCCGAATTCCAGTCGGCAATCGAGATGATGTCCAATTTCTACTCAGTCGGAGGCGACCTCTGGCTGGAACTTATCGAATACAAGAAGGCATCTTTGGATTTGGGTACCGTGGATGGTGTAGCAGAGCTCTTGGCGGTGTACGAGCGTGCAGAATCCGACTATACATGTGCGTGCTGTTCATCTTCTCCGGTTCTTGTGATTCACATTGTACAGCAATACCTCTCCTGAAAGGCCACATCGAATTCGTCTTGGAACAATACGCACGATATTGTGGCAGTGAGGCTACAGAGTCAAAGCCTGATACATTCGGCGAACTCTTCTCGGAAGACTGGACCCGTACGACACTGTCCGACGTCGTGAAGAAGGGCCAAGGCCACATAACGCAGGTGTGCACTATGACGAGCTAAGCGATTGTATGCGTTGCTCATTCAGATGTCAGAGCCATGTATTATGGGATATGCAGCGCGACTGGGAGCTCGAAATGTTGGAGGCTAAGTCAGGCTCAGACAGGTAACTGAACTAGCCCGATACCCACTTTGTGGCTGAATCGTACGAAATAGGATCGAAGCTGCTGAACAAGTGCAACGCTTCCTCCTTGAGCGCCTACGGCAGCCTCATTCAAGTGAATCAATTGCTACCATTTCTCTCTGTATACCTAACATTAGTTGGTAGACTCTGATGATACATTCCAAACATACTCCTCGTTCACTACGAATCACAAGCCACCGCAGGAGTATGAACCGCTTCTCATCGCTGCTACCAAAATTCGCTCACAAGCCGTCAAGTCCTTTCAACGACGGGAAGCCATGGAAACTGCATTGGTATGTCCTCGCTTTAGCCAACATTGAAGCTAACATGCTCCAGGTCCAGTCCAATTTCTCTCTGGAGAGCTATGCGAGCTATGTTGCTTATGAAAACAGAGCTAGATATCCGGAGTTACTGGTAATGGGTGGCCTTTACGAGCGGGCCATCGCAGAAGCTGCAAAGCGGAAGTTTGCTGGTGAGGCAGGCGCCGAAGATGCTTTGAGGTCATTTTGGATTGGTTATTGTGACGCGGTGGTATGCAAGTTGCATTGGTAATTCCTTTATTCTCTAATCTTTTATCAGAGAACGCTTGGCGACGAATCAAGTGAATTGCAAGTTTTGCGTAGAGCCATTAGAAGTGCTCCAGCCTCCGGAGATGTGTGGGCTCGAAATATCCGTTACTTGGTCAGTAGTAACATCGATCAGTGCTGTCTGCATCTGACTTACAAACTTGCTACCAGGAGCGTACATCAGACTCAGCGGACAGTTCGAGCACAGCAGAATCTGTGTCTGGTGCGTTATTATAGTTAAAAATTCTCCCACGGCGGTGCTTAAAGCAGCCCTAGAAATGTATAATACGGCCCTAGGCACGAATTTGCTCCAGTCGGAGGTCGAACAGATAATTCCGGTTGTCTTGGCTCGGGCGGGTTTCGAAAAACGCATGTTTGAAGCTGGTGATGGCGGTTAGTGATTACCCATTTGTCTTGGGTCAGATCTTTGACACCTTGTAGATGACGAAACGTTCGCCACTCTTATAGCAATCTTGGAAAGTGGAATTGATATGGTACGGAAAGGTAAAAACAAATTGCAGAACTGTTTCCTCTGATCTTCTGATTAGCTTTGCAGCAAACAGCAACGGCGATCAGTGGTTGCGGCTTGAAAAATATCTTTCTGAGATTGTAAGCGCTTGTCTACCTCTGATCTTTGACTGAATATACATTCTTCCCTACAGTATCGCGTTGCAGGATTGGTGGACAACTTAATAAAGCTTTGGCAGACGACTGCGAAGCACTATAAAACCAGTTACATGGCATGCACATTGTACACCGACTGCACTCATGTGGGTGTGTTTCACAGATTATCATTGACGATAGTAATACGCATTTCAACAGAAAAAATGACCGCGCCGATGACGCCCGCAAGGTGTTTCAGGAGGTGCACAGGAAACAATTTGACTGGCCGGAAGCCATATGGGACGCTTGGGTAACGTTTGAACATTTTCATGGAACAGTTGAAGAGATCAATTCTGCAATGGATAACATTGAAACAATCCGGCTTCAAGTAAACGCTCGGCGGGCCAAAGTCAGTACTCCTCTATGTCACATGTGTATATGATGCTGACCAGAGCGAAAGGAAGCTGAAAAGGCTTCGCGGCAATATGCACAGATGGCCGCGGAGCAGTTGGTGACTGAAGTCGCGACTGTACAGCAGCAGCAGCATGATGGCGCTAATGAGAATGCCATGGAGGTTGAGTCTGTGCCATCAGCCAACATCGCCGAGAGGGGCACTAAAAGACGGTCGGAAGATGATGACGCAGGTGCAGCGCCCAAAAGAGCGAAGACAGGTACTGTAGTGTTAGTGCTCACGAATCCAAACACTGAAGGAACTGATAATCGTTGCAAGAGCAAAACACAGCCCCACTGAAAAGGTAAGCGCACCAGTAGACACTGACAGCATGTTGCTGATAGGCTCCTAGGGACAGGGAAAATTGCACCGTTTTCGTTGCAGATCTCCCTTCAAATGTAAATGAGGACGATTTGCGTGCAGTTTTCCAAGATGTGCATTCATTTCTTACGTCCGACGGCGTACCGCTGACTGAATGCTTAGTGCGGAACTATCAGAGCCATCAAAATCTCACCGATGCCAGAGGGCCATGTTGCTACTGTTGAATTTGCAGAGAGGGTAAGAGATGCTGACCCCTGTGGCCCGGCGTGTTCTAATCTTTGATCTAGGAATGCATACCGGCAGCGTTGACCAAGGACAAGAAGCGAATTCACCAGCAGGAAATTGCTGTGCACCTTGCATGGCAGTCCACCCTGTATATTACCAACTTCCCCGAAAGCGCCGACGACGCGTACATTCGGAAACTTTTTGGCGAGGTGAGTAGGGCGGCCTTGACGGTAACCGCGTGATTCTAATACCGTGCAGTTCGGGGTTATCTTCGATGTTCGCTGGCCGAGTAAAAAGTTCAAAAATACCCGACGCTTCTGTTACGTTCAATACACCTCACCCGTAGTTGGCCGTCGTTTCCGTATCCATTCCTGATGCGCTAACGCCCTTCTTAGGCCGCCGCCCAGGCCGCCCTCTCGCTTCATGGAAAAGAGCTTGAACCGCATCAGTCGCTCAGCGTCCTAATTTCAAATCCTGAAAGGAAGAAAGACAGGACGGACCATGACGCTGATAACAAGGAGATATATGTTGCAGGACTGAATAAGATGACGTCTTCCGATGATCTTCGCAAACTCTTTGAACAGGCAAGTCTTGGCGCTGCTTAAACATTCACTAGCCTGAGTTTCTATTAAGCATGGTGAAGTGAAGGATGTTCGAATGGCCACCGACCAAAATGGCCAATGCAAAGGTTATGCTTTCGTTGAATACAAACTTGCTGTAAGTTTTCCACAGATCGATCTTTGGATCTATCCCTGACGTTGTTAAAGGAACACGCTACGGCGGCTTTGCAATTGAACAACTTCGAACTCAAAAAACGACACATCGCAGTAACGATGTCTGACCCCCGCGCCAAGGCTCGTCAACGGTAAATCTTCAATGACAGGGTCATTACTAGAGCCATTTAAAATAGCTAACAATAATCTCATATAGAAACAAGCCTGATGCGGACACGGACTCGGGTTTAGGAAGGCGCGCTGACGTGCGAAGCCGGTCCGTACGCATCCACAACCTTCCGCAGAATACGGAAACGCAAGAAGGGCTACTCCAACAAACAATTGAAAAGATCGTTGCGGTAGCTCGCGTTGAAGTCCTTGGTGACACGCGGGAGGCTGTCGTCGAGCTTGCCACTGCTGCGGTGCCTAATCTCATTTTCTACGCCACTCACTGATTCTGATGGTCCCTTTTCATGCAAAACAGGACGCAGGGAAACTTCTCCTGAGACCCGAGCCACTAGAATTCGGTGGAAAGGTGTTGAAGATTACTGAAGAAGCAGTAGGCAGGAAGTTTTCGGCGCGCAATGCCGCTTCTTCATCGGGTGGGATGTTTGTACCTCGGACGGCGACTTCGAGACCTAGAGCGGGTCTAGGGCACGCTAAAAAGCAGCCGGCCAAAGTGGCGTCGAGCTCTACTGCATCAAAGCCATCTGCTGCATCCGCCACTAGCAAAGGGCAAGACGATTTTAGATCTATGCTTGGAAACTAACTGAATACAAACTTTCGGGTTGATAACCGATACACCCATTATATCTCTTGTTATCTTACTCACTCCCGTGCGCAACTGCTATCGCACTGGAACAAAAGAAACCAAAGAAAGCTTAGTTGAGAGGGAAGCACTTCTTGGATTGTGGGTCGAACATGCACGTTTACGGTTAACAACCGAAGAAGCATAAATTTGGTCTCGGGCTACGCTAACATCATAGTACAGACCTTCAGAATAATTCCACCGAGTCGAAGACGACATTAGGGCTCAGGAAATCATCACCCGAGCTACCACTAATGATAGATATAGTGATGGTGTTGGTCGATGCTGTCAGTGTTCCATCAGGGATGGTATAGTCGTCTGCACAAAGGGCTTATCGTTAGCAAGTTCGATATCAAATTCTCAAGCAATGCACGCACAAACTTGATTGAGTCCGCGCCAGGTCCCACGGGTGACACTGCAGATTATAAGTCGGCATTTTTAACGCTCTGAGAAGTTCTCGTCTTACCCTCTCGAGTTCACGGCTGTTGGAGCTATAGGCAGTTGTCAATGCCGTGGATGGGGCGCACATGAATTAATAGAAGAAACTCACCTGAAGGGGCACTTGAGGTCCAACTATTCACCGTAATTTGTGGTCTTCCACCTGCGAACGCTTCTGTAGTACGTATGCGCAAAGTTCGCTCCCCTGGTATGGAAAAAATTGGCTTCCGATATTTATCAGATGTGTATACCCTTCTCACCAATTTCGGATGACGATGCAGTCCAGTTAATGGTAGTAGGATTGTTTACCTGTCAATAAGCTCAATCAGCATCAGACAACGATGTCACCGAGGTGCATACGTCTTTGAATTGAGCCATCGGGAAATCAGAGTCGGAGCTCGAGCCGATAGTGAATGTCACTGGGCCCCAGTCGCTCATTCTCGAATCAGACCTAGAAAATTTATGATCTGGGAATGTAGGGTTTGTTAGAGATGATCGGCCATGTACTCACGGATGCATTTTTTCAATGAGGTCGGCGTTCAAGAACTAGGTGAGGCGTTAGATTTCCTCATAGAGCTCAAAAAGACACACGTACACCGGATGGAGTGCCATCAACAGTACCAATGCTCCAAATAGTATCGGGGACATCAAGGGTGGATGTCAATTTCAAGGTGGTAGTTGACCCGGCTGTCACAGTGACACTGCCAGTTCCTGCGGCAAGCTCTCCTTGATAGAGCGTCGCCGTATATGTTCCAGGTTTCATGGAATCTCGTGAGAAAGATCCACTAAAAACGTCCTATTATTGATGAAAAGACGGCGTGAAGTGACAGTTAACGCACCTGGATGCTGATGTCCAGTATTGTGCATCGTCATTCTATAGCACATTAGGTCATAGTTAGGAACCTGCCTATTGGTACGTACACTGAATCCAATGGTCACGTCGACTCCAGACAAGGTTCCCGAGTAAGTGCCAGATACGGTGCCACGGTCCGAGGACGCTACGTAGCCCTCAAGACCAAGATCCTCCATGAAGCTCATGTCGAGGTCACCTGAAGGTGCTGACCCGCTTGTAATTACCAGGGCATATCTGGAAAGAAACGAGTTAGTGAGTGCGAATACCGCCGAAATGAGTGCCAAGCCCTACGGCCCGAAAAATCCGGTGCGATAGCTCTCCGTCTGTTCATGATTGGAATTCATGTAGAAATAGACTTCCTGTTGGGCGGATCCCTGGTTGTCGATATCTGAAGGACATTCAATAACGATAATGGCTTTCATAGAACAAAGAAAACAGACCTCGGAAGAATGGTCCACCAGATGACGTTTCATAGCCAACGCCTGGAATAACAACATACGCCCCGACACTATCTCCGGTTACACCATGAACTTGGTCCTCAATGAAGCGGATCTGCCACAACTATGACGTGAGCCGAATAAACTCATTCCAAGTACACGTACACTCGAATAAAACTTGGATCGTGTCTCTCCGTCCAACTCAAAGACGTCAGAGCCCTCGATGGCCGTCCCCCCATTTACTTCAGATTCTGGGGTTCCATTCGGGAGCTCATCCTTTGCCAAACGTGCGATGAACCGCAGTTCGCCAACCGACGGTTCCGCAGATGCGTACGTTCCAATATACAGGGTATTTTCACCTGACCGGACAATATAATAATGTTTCTGTAGGAAGCTTTAGCATAGAAAACTGACACGGAATTAAGGCGGCCTACGATGGTGTCAGTCTCGATTGTCACTACTGCGATGTCGTTGTCGACAGTTGAAGTGACAGTCGCGGACCCCAGGCCAGAACTAAGTTGGGTGAATTTTGAAGAATCTTGTAATTCCTTTCCGTTGTAGTCAAGGGAGATGATATCCCCGTTTGAAGTGTTGACTGTCACCAGGTGAGTTCCGTTCTGAAGAAAATAGAAAGGACTCCTCACTTGTTGTAACGAGGCCTCCTCCCGAATCGACTAGCATCTTAGTGCCCGACGTTGTGACACCAAAGGATGCAAAAGCGGATGAAACGCATCCCAACAAAACCAACGCTAGGAGCTTCATTTCTTCAGAAACAGTATGGGAAATGTATGAAATAATGGAAGGTCAGCCTTATATATGTGAACGGCGGTGGGACATCCTGGGGACATAAACAAACGGAAAAAGTTTGGTCGGACTATTTTCGCCAATGTTCAAAAATGTTTCCAGAGAACCCGACCAAACGATGCGGGGGAGCGGCATCGGTTGTCATACATACGTGTGCGGTATGTCTCCATTGGCCGCGACCATATCATCAGTGCTTGGGAGCATGAGAAAGGCAGAGGAACAAGGACGCCCAAGGTAGGAGCGGTCCGCCTGTTGCCGCGTTATGCTTACCTGAAGTGGAGTATCGAAGACTTGTTGCACACGATACAGCGATCACGATACCGCGTTCTGCTGCGTTGCAATAATCCGATAATTAGGCAGACTAGCACTCGTTCCGAGCGGTCCGCGAAGCCCATAATGCTTATTTTGTACTAGCCAGCTGTCCTTGAAATTCGTACACACACAACCCAAAGAAAAGTTAATTTAATCGACACTGGTGAGACTTCCCTGTGATGTCGTCTCTGTATCTGCAACACTGTCTCCCTCACCGTGAGAATTCTCATCTGTGCTGGATCTATATCCAGCTTCTGTGGACGTCCTGTTGAAATTATTACTCGGATTTAAATTTGGGGCAGGTGATCTTGAACGAGAGGCGAGAGTTTGAGGTGCTACTCCAGAACCTTTTCTCGTAGATAATTTGAGCTCCAAGGAAACATCACGATTTTGATGGTGAATCACCATTAATCAAGTTTCCAAAAGATGGCCGTGACACTTCATGCCTTGCGTGGCTGGGAGAAGTCGAAACTTGTGTAGATGCCGAAGTCAGGGTTGGGGACGAATGGTCGTGGGGTGTATCAGAAGGAAATTTGGGGCTGGATTCCTCCAATATAGTCGGAATCGTTTTAGGAATATGGTCTTGCGAAGGTTGAGTCGGAAACAGATCCTGACGCCACTGAGCCTGCCGTGGCTCTACCCAGCCCATATGCTGATTGGACATATAAGTCGTATCCGACTGTATATCTGCAGGAACGAACAGACTTTGATCTTCGTAGTCTTCTTGGATTTCAGGAGGTGTTGTCGCCACATGGCCGGAAGAATGCGGTGGTATTCGATGCAGAAGGCCGTAACTAGAGGTCTGTTAGTCTCCAAAAATGAAAGCAACACGGCCCGAAGCGAACTGACCCAAACACGCAACCCAAGAGACCGTCACCGCCCCAGTGACGGTTAGGAACAAGAACGACTTCCCTGAGAGCACTGAATTCACGTCAGATCGGCTTCGAAGACCGCTAGAATGGTCACGTACTCAAAGTCGTGAGAGTACACATAGACCCGCAAAGGCTTGTCAACATGCTGCGTAAAAGGAAAGCGTTACTATCTTAACCGCGCGTAGAAGCATAAACGAAAGCTCACGGCTTCGACTAAATCATAAAAATCGTTTTCGGCACCAAGAACGCCTCCAGACCAGCCTGTGATATAATCGCCGTACGGAACCAGGCCGGCGCTCTCCGCGGGACTGCCTTCAAGGACATCGAGGACGTGCCAGACGTTATCAAGGGCGAATTCGGGCTCGCATATTCGCATGCTGAGTCCGAGCAGAGAAGGTTGAATATGGGAGCCTTCTGGTTGTGACTGTTGCTGGGACCATGCACGAGACGGAACAATAGGAACCACTGCAAGCGTAAGATGAAAGATTAACTCGAAGATCAGAATATCCAGCATCCAGCTTCACGTGCCTCGGGTCTCCTGGCTTTTGCTGTTCCAAACTAACAAGTTGAGCGTCCTGCCTTCATGGCTCTCCACTATTCTCTCCAGCTCTGCAACATCGATGTTCTGTGCAGACAGAGAATCGCCTTCAAATCCGACGACAAAGTCAAAGAACGGCTCAATGGTCGTGTGCGAAGCTGGCGAAGACGGTGTGACGCGAAGAACGTGGAGAGCACGAGATGGGGCGTGGCTCTGAGAAGTTGACTGTCCTGCTCCCATGTCGTTGCAAGCTCCCAATCAGAATCTAGCGGCAAGGATGAGAATAAGGGCGATATAAAGAGATTGTCCGAAATTAATGTTGTACCGTACGTCGTGGTTGATGTACATACATAAGCGTGACGCGAAGCACATGACGTCACTGTCACATCGCCCAAAAATTTCCAGCGCCGGACGTCGACGTTCCCGGTGTACAAGTCGAGATTACTGGCCCCGTTGAAGCAGGAATACCGTGCTGTTTCGTGCCTTTCGCGCCTGCTTTGACTGGGATTGCGGCATGCAGTGAGTTGCCGTCCTATTCCTCCCTAATGAGTCAACTCGAACAGTATTAGGTGACTTATGTTCCTGTGTCGTCGACAATTGAGCCGTGTCGTCTTTCGCAACCTTCTCTCATATGCGCAGCAGGCGGCGTGTAGAAAATACACAAAAAATGCAGGCGGCACTGCTGCACAGGCGATACCTAGCGTGCAATCTTCGTCTCTCACGCGATCTCCATCTATATTTCCTACGACACCCTCTCCAAATACATACAGGCAGACGCACCGAGAATCCACCCATCTCACGTTGGATGAATATTTTCGGATGCGCACTGAGGATCCACAGTCTATTGCCTCTTTGCCAGCGACTACCTTCAAGAAAATCATCTCGGACACGGCGCTGTCTGTGAACCAGTTCAAAGCAATTGTGTCAGACGTCCTTCAAATTTACAAGAACGAGGGAAGAAGAAATCAAAACATTGCTATACGGTCTATCACAGCTTCGAATCATTTCTTCCGTTTATCCCCCGAGGACGTGCTGGCGCTGGTGCAAAGGCTTGATCAGTTGTTCGATGGTCTGCAAAACGCAGACCGTGGCCTGATTGACAGATTATTAGCCAATCTACCTCCCTCTCCTACGGTCGCGCACCTAGAACTTCTTGATATGCTGCACCCCGTCGTGATGCACCACCTTGAACAGCATCCACTTCCGCCCAAGAAGGCGTCCGTTTCATACTGCCCAAGTCATCTTATCCGCAGATCGGGATATTATGTTCGGGCTCTCTTGATTGCAGACAAGCGCGACAAGGTTTTGGAAGTGTTCCAGGTGCTAATGGAGAAGCAATTTGTACAACCGATCCCAGAACTCTCCGTGTCGCAAGAATTTGGGGTCATCGTCCTCTTGACCCTGGCGAAAGCATGGTTTCATTGGGACTGGCGAGACTTAGGTATGCTACTACTGATCGACGGGGTCCGCCAGCCGAATGCTTTCGACGCGGCGATTGCATCCACCACACACCGCCTCATCGCAGACTCTGTTCACCAGATTGTCCAGCATGCCAGGCACTACGAACTGAGCCAGTGCCTGGAGCTTCTCTTCCAGCTCCATTCCATCTCGCCCCTTCCCGATAATATCATTCATGCGTTATATATTGCCATCAAGACGAAGGAATATTTCTCCTTAGGCTTGAAGCTGTACAGCTTCGTCAGCGACCCCTCAGTCATCAAGCAGCACAAATATCCGCCTCCGCCTAGTGAAGTCCTACTATGGCTACTGCAATCAATTGACAACCAATCGTCAGGGTCTCATTTGGCCAGATCCCTCGCTGGAGCGGTCGTACATCAAAATGTTCACCTTCCTGCACAGGACCGCGCCCATTTTATTGCGATCCTGGCAAAAAATGGTTTTGGAAATCTCGCAAGGGCACTGTGGCTCCGTTACTCCACCGGGCCAGACAAGGCTTATGTTACCGGCAACGCTACTTGTATGATTCGCATGGTTTCCATTTTCACACACCTCCGAAAACGGCTCAAAGCCCCAGAAAGCCGTCCATCGACGAGAATTCCAGACCCTGCACTGTCTCGGAAGCGCGATGCTGAATTTGCGACTTTCGTAAACCATGTGTTAAGAGAGTGGTCCCTGGTTCATACGCCTTTGACAGCCGCCAGCCACGAGAATTTGACATCGTTCGCGCGAGCCAATTTCATAGCGGGACGGCAATCTGATGTGTTTAACGTCTATGAGATACTTCTCGAACGCAGAGAAATCCCAGATCTTTATGACGTGAACATCGTGTTGGGGGCACTGGCGGAGCGACATCCTCGCGCCGCGGCGAGGATGATCGAGCGAATGGTCGAGAAAGGATTGCATCCCGACGGAGTCACAATTGGCACCGTGCTGCATCAGTCCCTCGTACACAACGATCTGTCGCTTTTCCAGGATCTTCTTCTCCGACTAGGCGAAATGCAAGTGGCGCTGACGGAGAAAGCGTTGGTGTCTTTCTTGCGCGCGAACGCGACGCTGAGCCTTACGACGGCGCCCGACGTTCAGCGAAAGAAATTTCTTGGCATTTTGTCGGTCGTCACAGCCATGAAACATACGGGGATCACTTCATCGCCACATCTAGGCAAGTTTCTCGCGTATGCGGCGTTGAAAGCGGGATTGGCGGTATTTGCCTACAGATTCTGGAAACTGCTGCTGTCGGAGTCGGCTGAGTGGGATGATGATGAACAAGGGCAGCTGCGAAGTACGTTGATCTCCAATATCCGTTCTCGCTGGCACAAAGGGATCCTGGCGGAAGGGCGGGCTAGACTCATGCTCAGGCATCTCGCGGGTAGGCATCGTAATGGATAGCACATAATAGAAAATTTTGGGTAACCAAGAAACGGGGGAAAGGTTACGACCGACAAAATGGAGCACGTGGAATTAGGTACCAGCCGCAACTCGGATCGGAGGCAATATGAACCTGTGGTGATCTGAGCAATGTTGAGCAAGTCTGAGGAATCCAAAAGGGTGCATCGCCAAACTTCAATCTGGCCGGTTGCGAAAGATTAACCGGAGATAGGCCGGGGGAGTGACCGCGGTCTATTGTGAGAACGGAGCCAAGGACCCGTGATACAATATTTGCTGAATGATATTCTGGAAACCATATGTGTAAAAGTGCTCGATTGGGACGGAGGACACTGATTTTTAGGTTTCCATTGCCCTTACGAGCCTGATCCCAGTTTGATATATAACATTGAAAAGAAGAGCTAGAAAAAGAGCCCGAGTAGCAAACAAAGTGCTACACGCATGCTTCAAAACGGCCAGACATACCGTCCCATTTCCTCCCAAGGCCCCATTTACCCTCTCTGCTTGCTGTGACTTCCTGCCGCCCTATGCCTGTCGCCCGTCCAAAGAAGGAGTCGAGCTCGGCCACCCCGCCTTCCGACGACGGCCTCCTCAAGGAACCACACTCCGAAATCAGCAAAAGCAAGAGAAAGTATGTCTAATTTCTGTTCATTTCGCCGACCTTTCTCCGTGCCCCACCCCCGCATTTCTTCCTATTCCCCCCTTCTTCAATCCTCTTTGCTTCCACACGTCGTATTCATGTTGTGGTTCTCTTATTTTTTTCATTTCTGCCCGTTGCTGACATCTTCCTTTGTGTTGTTTAGGCGGCAGTCTCAGAGTACGTATTCTGTCACGTCTATTTGATTTGCTCTTTATTGATTGCGATATCGAAGGCTGTGATGCTTGCAGAGCCCGTAAGGTTCGATGCGCTCGAGAGAACCCCGATGATCAAAAGCAATCTTGCAAACATTGCATATCGCTCGGAATTCCCTGCACTTACGAATACCAGCCCAAAAAGAGAGGTCCGCCTAATCTGTGGGTGTCGTCATTCGCTGTTCGGCTCTGCCATACTTAGCAGCATCTGTATACATAGATATCTTCGTAGGCTACATGAAGCCCAAGCAGCAGCAGCGGCAGCTGACAATCAGGTCGATGCAGATAGCTCGGCATCACCAGTCATCGACGACTATGACTAGCCCTCAGTCATTAATGTCGCCGTCGTTTGGTCCAAAGAGCCCGTCTTCGTTTATGGATTCCCCGATACCAGCACTACCTACCGTTCCTTCCATCCCTATACCCCCCTCACGCTATCCCATTGCGGCAGATACCTATCATTCCCACTATTCCAGCTCATTGTCCTCGTCTTACCCTGGTTCCCACTCTGACGCATCTAATACCCAGGACGAATCCAAGGGATATTCTCCTCAGCCAGATTCTTTCAGTACTTATCCTTTATATAATTGGTCCTACAAGCAGCACCAGGTCCTTCCGGTGCAGCCACCAGCCCAAATACCCCCTCTCTCGTTTTATTATCGACCGCATAGATTGGAGGAAATTGCTCCGAGAGATACGATATCTCTCATCATAGCGCTCTTCTTCGACTTTGTGTATCCGCTCACTCCTTGCGTTCACAAACCGTCCTTCATGGCTGACCTTCACTGCCCACCGGGAAGAACGCGATCCACTCTTTTTCGCCCTTGTTATGTCCACTGTGGCTTCAACGCTCGTTCAAGTTCCCCGTTCCTATCTCCCAATGGATCGTCCGGTCGTTCGGAAGCTCGCCCAGGTACGTGCATTACTATCGGTCCTGGTTGCTCTCCAACTAAAGGCAATCAGACTTGTCACGAAGCTAGCCGGCAGGTTTCTATAGCATCCTACGATCCACCGACCTCTATGCATGTCATTATTCGATATTTGTTCGTACCTTTTTTTCTTTTTATGTGATTTTGGTATTCAGATCTTTTCACAGCGATTGCGTATACCACTTCTGTGAGGGCCATGACGCCACGCAGCATGCGGCATTTGGTGAGGCTGCGCATATCGCCGTTACTCTGCGTATGCATGAAGAAGCTTCGTACGAAGGCCTCGACCCAATCGAGAGCGAGATCAGACGGAGAACTTTTTGGCTACTCTTTGGAGGTGAGCGCGCGTTGCTTTGTCAGAGTGTGAGAGCGCTAGATAAATTTGTCATTTTTAGCCGACAAGTCAATGTCAGTCCTCCTTGGACGGCCGATCTGTCTTCGGGACGAAGATTGTACTGTTCATTTCCCTAAGGAACTAGATGACGAATAGTAAGTTTTTGAGTCTGCTTAAGCGATAATGATCCACTCAATCGCCTTGGTATTTTCCCTCGTAGCATCACCCCTAGCGCTTACCTTCCTCAACCACATGGCAAGACTGCCATTGTCTCGGGTCTTAACTATACCTCCCGGATTTTCGCACTTCTCGGAGAGATCCTGGTCCGTATCCGAGTGGACAAGCGCTCTCCGCCACAAGGGCAATTCGCGACTGCTAGACTTGAAGAGGTTCAGTCACTTCACGGGCGTATCCTTTCGGCGTTAAGCCACGCGCCTGAACCTTTACGACTAAAACAAACACATGCCCCTTCTCACATCCCTCCAGAATACGGAGGTGCAGGTTTCCGACAAGCAACCTTTGCCGAGGTGAAAGATTTCTTTGACAATCCTCATGCTTCGCGAGCGAATGCATTGAACCCGTTCCTGGTTATGCAAGCGAATTTGTATGTGACACAGGTAGGAGTTTAACCCTATTCGCATCGTATGCAATATTGACTATTGTCCCAAGCAACTGGTTCGATTTGTGATTGAGCAATACCGTGACGAGCTGGTCGTCTCGTTACAAGGAAATATTGACGATCACCAAGTCGCCGAGGACCGAGAAGCTGTTGCTAGTGTATTGCTGAGCATCCTTCACAGGCAAGGGTTGTCCAATTGAAACGCGCTTTGTTACTTAACGTTACGGACGGCATTTACAGCATCCCAATCCAGTCCATCGCCACCAATGGACCTAGTTTGGTAAGTTAGATTTCATGGATCTTTGTGTCTCCAATCCCTTGAATATTTTATCAAGGTCCATAAGGTGCGCTTTGTCGCATCTACGCTGCTGGATGCAGTGAGAAAAGCTGAAATAGCGCCGGCGTCCGCCGCGCGCGCCCACGCATATCTTTGTGAGTTATTGGTTGCCTATCAATCTTTTCACAGATGTGTTGACCCTTGGGTATCTAGGGGACTTCCTTAGCATCTTATCTGAGATCGAGAGGAACTACTTGTGAGTCTAAAATCCCATGCTCGTTGCGACGTGGGTTTACGAACGCGTACCTCGTAGACTTGACGACGACCGGGATGGCACGTCCAGTGGCGACGGAATGGCCATGATGAGCTAAAGGAACTCTGGCAGTCTTTCAGCAAAAACAATAATAGCAACTGTATCTATCGTTTCGGCTTTCTCTTTGTGGTTATACCCGCGCCCTTCGCATATTGCTCTAGCTGCATAGCAGCGTCTATTGTGTATTGTTAATTTACTCGTCCTGTCGCATTGTTATCGAATAGTACTCAACATTTACTTGTAGCCCAGCTGACCTTAGTACTACCCTTTAGTCAACGAAATAAAAGTTGGCCTGGTTACTATGTTTGCTGCGCATTTTTTAATACAGATGGGAACGTATGGTCTTGGAAAGCAACGAAATAAGTCGAGTTCCAGTGGTGATCGTTAACGTTGGTGATCATCATCAATCGCTATTTGCCTTCGGCCTCGAACCCGAAGCGACCGGTGCCTGACTGGAAAAGGGAATTTCTGTGACCAGGGAATGTGTTTGTGACGAACGCGATCTCACTGTTTTCTATCGTGCCCCTGTTTTCCGTACGCTCAGCATCCAGCATCCCGAGGAGAACTGCCATAATTTTTCTTTTTTGCCGCAGATTTTTCAACTAAAATACAAGAATTTGATCCATCATGTCGACTACGGAATTCACAGAAGAAGAACAGAGTCGCTACGACCGGCAGATCCGTCTGTGGGGAATCGAAGCTCAACAAAGGTGCATTTCTGCGATTTTATTTATCCGCAGGGTCCTTCAGAGAGCTTCTTTTAATTGAGAATTGTGGTCGGACTTTCTGAGACTGATTGGCGCGATAGGATGCGTAATGCAACAATTCTTGTTGTACGATTGCAAGGCACTGCAACTGAAGTTATCAAAAACATCGTCTTAGCTGGCATAGGCAAGCTCGTCATGATTGATGACGCAGACGTTACTGAGGAGGACCTTGGGGCCGGTTTCTTTTTCCGAGACGAAGATGTTGGTCAGAAGGTAAGCTTCGCAGTTTCGCGTCTTTTGACGGAAATTTGATGGCTATTCTTCGGCGACTGTGTTTTGTAGAGAGTAATTGCTGCGAAATCAAGAGTTGAGAGTCTCAATCCCCTCGTGACGGTGGAGACTATCACAACTTTGACCCTGCTTGATGAGGCAACACTTGAACAAACGCTTGGATCCGTAGATTTGGTGTGTGTGACAGATTGGGATAGAGATGGTCTTGTGAGTCCTTCACTTTGAATACTGACTCTGCTATTCTGAGCCGCCTCCTCAAGATCCGTGTAAACGACGTGTGTCGGCGGCTCCGCACCCCGTTTTATTGCGGTGGTACCTATGGCGTTATGGGCTACATATTCTGCGACCTACTCAATCACGAGTACATTGCTCCGTGAGTCCAGTCTCTTTTAGCTTGATCTCTCTACCGGTAAGTTTACCCCTCTCGCCGGCACATTTACAGAGACCGTTCTGCCCCCAACACTGCCCAGAAAAACATCATGGTCACAGCCGCGTATTCTCCTCTTCGAGATGCTCTACGTCACAAGTGGTCCACATTGACAAAAAGGCAAACTAAAGAACTGAATCCTTCGGTCCTTTTCATGATTCTTGGTGGGTTGCTTGATCGTGACATCATGCAATATTCATGGAAAATACTCGGCTCTAGCACTGTGGGAGTTCCAGTCGAGACACGAGGGAGTCCTTCCCAGCAGTGTCGCTCAAGTGGATGAATTAGAAACCATAGCAAACGCAATGATAGTTGCGGCAGACGTGAACAAGCAGGTCTTGACGAAAATTCCTAGAGACTTTGCTGAGCAAGTTACTTTTGCTTTACACATAGTTTTTCTTCTGAAAATGTTCTCAGGTCAATATCGACCACTGCAGGTCATGAGTTTTCTCCAGTTTGCGCAATAGTCGGTGGTATGCTGGCACAGGACATACTGAAATCCCTGGCTGCCCGAGAACCCCCAATTGCCAACTTCCTGACTTTCGATGGTAATACAGGAGGTGCCACTGTGGCTCGGATGAATATGGCTTGACTGTTGATAGCTTGACTAGTTGGGTCTATCGCGTTTTTTCTTACTTCGTTAGGTGTCTCTTTTCTCATCTGTAGTACAGGCAGTTTTACCGATGTTGGATGCTCTATATCTCCGATAAATAACAACAAGGTCATCAAACTTGCAGAATTAACTGTCGAGATTACCGATCCGGAGTAGTATTTCGTCGCCCACCTTATTCTCAGATGCCTGGGCCCCATCTATGTACCTGAACGACATATGGAGGATTTCAAGGCTTTAGAGCAAATCATATCTGATTTTAGATACATCATGCAAGCGCCTCAGCTGACCGTTGTCCATGCTCGAGTGGATCGGAAGGCGATACCGGAGTGACTTGTTAGCCAAGACAGTTCGCTGGCCGGCAAGAAACGTTGTTCATAGCCGACATTGTGTCGCCTATCCATCAGGCTCACTGGCTATGACGTACTTTAGCTTTTGATTTCTGCGATTGTGGGGCTCAGGAGATGAGGGAATTGTCTGCATACAGGTCATGCACGCGCTAGGACGGCCTTTCTTCGTTTTCGGGACCTTTGCGAACGAGACGTGAGACAACGTGATATGCCGTCTGTTGGTTCTGATTTGCACCCGAACCCCTTCTTCTTTTGCAAAGTTGTATCTCCAACGACAGGCGTGCTCATGACTCACTTTGATTGTATTGTTGTTGGTTCAGGTCATGCGGGGAGTTGTGCCTGCACTTTCATCAATGCAAGCGGGGTGTCAGAAAGGTCAGGCCGATCTGATGTTTTAGATAAACATCTCATTTCGCTTGATAGTTTTGATAGTCGATAAGTGTCCTCCAGGTTGGGTAGGGGGAAATGGTTACTTCACTGCTGGGGCTCATAGGACTGTGCATGGTGGACTGCAAGACTTGCTGCCTATCGTAAGCAATCTGTCTTCAGAGGTAGTCGATCGCATCGACATGGAACCGTACACTCGCGATCAATTCTTTGAGGACATCATGCGGCTCGGGAACGGCAAAGCAGACCCTGCGATAGTTAGTGCAGTGGTTGACAATTCACGGGACGCGATACAATGGCTTGCTCAATCGGTCAAGGTCCCTTTTGTTTTCTCCTTCCATCGCCAAGCGTATGAAGTTGATGGGCGACAAAAGTTTTGGGGAGGGATGGTCCTTAGTGTAGAGGCCGGGGGAAAGGGGCTCATATCGGCACATCAAGATGCCTTAAGCAAGGCAGGTGTTGAACTTTGGTTTGATACCCCTTGCGTGGAACTTCTGAGGGAAAGCAATACGATCGCGGGAATTGTCGTTCGGAGGAACGGAGTTAATATTCCTCTGAAAACCTCTGCGGTTATTCTCGCTGCTGGCGGCTTCGAGGCGAGTTCTGAACTAAGAACCAGGTACTTGGGACCTGAGTGGGAAAGGGCCAAGGTTCGTCGTATGGCCTGTTCACGGATTTACGGTTATAACGACGTTTTTGGCTAACTAGGTTCGGGGAACACCATATAACACGGGTGATGGATTTCAGCTCGCCCGGGCCGTAGGTGCTAGAACCACAGGTGACTGGGCGGGGTGCCACAATACTGCCTGGGATGCCGATGCTCCAGATGATGCTGGAGCACGGGACGTAACTAACCAGTACACGAAGTCCGGTTACCCACTAGGAATTATGGTAAATTCCGACGGGGCACGGTTTGTTGATGAAGGTGAAGACTTCCGAAATTATACTTACGCCAAGTTTGGGCGGGCAATATTATCACAGCCCGGAGGAATCGCTTTCCAGATTTGGGATGCGAAAGTCATTGGTTCGTTAAGGAAAGAAGAATATGGCGATGGGATTGTCGAAAAGACGATGGCAAATAACATTGAGGAGCTGGCGCGCGAGCTATCTGCCAAAGGATTGAAAGATTCGGGCGCGCTTATTCGTACACTGAATGAGTTCAATGCGGCCGTTGAACGGCGCCAGAGAGACTTTCCCAACCAGAAGTGGGATCCCGCAGTCAAGGACGGACTCTCTACTCAATCGAACAGCTGCCATCTTGACATACCCAAATCAAACTGGGCTTTACCGATCAATCAACCTCCTTTGTAAGTCGTATTCTATTGACTACTTGCTGTTAATAAATTTCGCTCAGTATGGCAGTCAAAGTTTGCTGTGGAATCACCTTTACATTCGGAGGCTTGTCCATCGATCCAGACACTGCTGGAGTCATCTCTGATGAGTCTGGACAGCCCATTCCAGGTCTCTTCTGTACTGGAGAAATGGTTGGTGGGGTTTTTTACAATAATTATCCTGGTGGAAGTGGTTTGACTGCAGGCGCAGTATTTGGGCGCAAGGCCGGTGTTAGTGCTGCAAAGTTGCGACAGTAGGATACATACGTAGCCTGCGTAAGGAAGCTCGATTGATATGACGTCAACATCAAACAAGGATCTGGAGCAGCATCGTTTATTATTACTTTGACACGATACCACCACCTCTCCTTGACTTGTTCCGTTACCATCATCATCTCTCCATCCCAACCAGCGTGCCACATTCTCTCACTATTTATCGCCTTCTTCTACCATTTTATTTGCACGCCTCGTAGGTGTCAAGGCGCCATTGCTCATTCATGACGCGTATTGCAGAGGTAGTTGGACAGGCCATCGAAACAGGCCAGCGACATGGGACGTCTCCCGGAGACGGGGACCATCCACGGTCTGCCCTTTCGAGTCCTTCGCATGCAACGCCAAGAGCATCAAGCCAAGAACAACGTGTCGCACATTTCCGGACCCCGCCTAGTACTCCGTCCATGAGGACTGGCCCGCCACGGTCTCTGTCGTACAGCTATTCAACTCCAAACTCGCCTGCGACTTCCAGGAATAATTCCAAGCACGAGAACAGCGATTTGAAACCAGACTCTGCTGTGGAAGAGCAAGGAGATTTCCCTTTCGTGTCTCCCAGCACTGACTTTCGCGACGCGTTAGAGGTCAGGAACGCTTCCGCTGATAAGAAAGGGAAGAAGAGGGAAAGTAAACTTCTTGACGAGAGTTGGAATCCTCTAAAATGGTTTCACGAGTCTCCAAAGGAAGAAAAGGGCGGATTTGATTTTGATGGTGTCAGTGCAGAGGGACAACCTAGGGAACCAGTGACCGATGGTGAAGAAAGCACAAAACTCCCTCCTTCTGGTCTACGGCGCACAGCATCAGGACCACCTGCTCCTCCAGAACGAAAGACGGGAGCAAAATGGAGCCGGTTACGTTCTTTAATTCCCAACGTCGTCAATCAGCCCTCCCATAGCCCCATAACGCCAGGCCCATCAGTCGTCACGTCTAATGCCGTGAACATTACTGACGAGCTTATCGCCGGTGGGCTTTCGACTCTCATGTTACGCCTATGGTTTGAGCGCGACGAAAATAACCAGCGACGCGTTCCCGTACTCTTTCATCGGCTTCGCATCCGTGTCAGCGACAGCTTACATCCTCTACACGGTCATAAATCTGTGTTCAGAATCGAATGTGAATATGCGAATGGTGCTGCGCGCTGGGTAGTATACCGGCAACTTCGCGACTTCATATCTCTGCATTATCATTATAGTTTATCTAATGCCCTACAACGAAATGTCGAAAAGCTACCTGAATTTCCTAAGACTAGTACGGCGATGGTCCCTTTGTTCCACAAATCCAGATACTGATCTGCGGACAGGTTTACCGTATTTTAAATTTTTACAGAAGGAAGGCAATCAAGTTGGTCACGCCGACTTTGCTCGTTTGCAGCGCGAAGCTCTGGAAAATTATCTTTTGGATCTTATTCGTGCTGTCGTACGTTCTCCGTGAATTCCATTGCCGCATTTTGACCTCTTCTCAGATGTTTCATCCCGCAGCCAACCGCCTGGCGAGTTTTCTTGAGATCAGTGCCCTTTCTATGTACCTTTCCCAGTCCGGAGGCGCCCAGTATAAAGCTGGCTATATGCGGATAGAAGCCGAAGAAGGAGAATTTGGGCGCAAAGGTTCAAGCTGGAGGGCGAAGCGAGAGTCAAGGTGGTGTGCTGTCCGAGAAAGTTACTTGGTAGCACTCGTTGAGCCAGGAGAGGTACGCTTTTGCGAGCTTCATATATTTGCTCTGATACCATGTAGTTGACCGTCTGGGACGCCTTTCTACTGGATTCAGATTTCAAGATCGAGCGTCCTAAGCGATATTATCGACAAGGGCTGAGTCTTCTTCATCCCGATACCACACACGACGACGACGAGTCAAACGCCAAAAGAAAAGAACGCAAGTCGGAAGCAAGTGCAGAAACTGAGCATATGTCCCTGATGGGATCTATTAAGGGTCAAATTTCACGGGCTTTTCGTCTCAATCACAGTGCACATTTCCATCCCGGCGGTCACAGCGAAGAGGCACAAGACGGCACCTCCTCGTCTTCCTCCTCTGTGGCATCGCATGGCCCGACTCCCATGCTTGACCCGTCCACCAACACCAATCCTCTTTCGGGTGGTGTCGATCATCAGGACATGGTGGACAGCGAGCCTTGGCAAGCCGAGAAGAAGAAGAAGAAGAAAATTCAAACTGACGTTTCGAAACATACTTTCTATATATCGAACTCGCAAATGCGGCTGAGGCTGTATGCTCGGAATGAGGTACGTCTGGGTTTTTCTTGTCGCATGCAGATGTTGACGGTCTCGATACATATAGAGACAGATGCTCCAGTGGATAACGGCCTTTGAGCGGGTGGCTGCTGCCTCGCATTATACGGGAACCAACAGGTTTGATAGCTTTGCTCCGATACGGCTAAACGTTGCAGCTCAATGGCTTGTTGATGGGGTGAGTCGCCTCTATCTTATTTATGTGGCGTTTGCCTCAATTAAATATTCAAGCGTGACTATTTCTGGAATCTATCCCGCGCTATCCTGCTTGCAAGAGAAACAATTTACATTCATGATTGGTGGCTGTCACCAGGTAAGAATAGTGCGACGCCATATCGCTATATCTGACATTGTTCTAGAGCTTCAGCTTCGTCGGCCTAATAAAGAGCGTTATCGACTAGATCGTTTGCTGGAGAGGAAGGCCAAGGAAGGTGTCAAGATTTGTATCATTGTCTAGTGAGTTCGAGGTTTTTACTCGTGACTTTCAAAATATCGATCGGATGTCAACAGCAAGGAAGTTTCGAGTCGGACAACCCCGACAGATAGCAAGTGAGATTCGTTCTCTGCTTCTTGCCGTCGTTCTCATCAAAATGGAATCAGTTATACAAAGCAGCGTCTAGCGTCCCTACATCCTAACATCATGGTTCAGCGCTCCCCGTCACATTTCCAGACAGGTACTTTCTATTGGGCACATGTAAGTCCCAAGATTCTTCTCACTTTCATTTTGTTTAATGCGTCTGGTGGCAGCATGAGAAGCTTTGCGTCATAGATGAAGCTATCGCTTTCATGGGAGGACTCGATGCGTGCTTTGGAAGGTATGATTATCATACTATATCTACATTTTTTCTGTTGATACGTGGTTCTTAGGTGGGATACTCCCCAACACGCAGTTACAGATGATGCTGAAGACGAGTCATCTCAAGTATGGCCTGGTAAGTGAGAATTCCTCTCCTTTGACGTTTTCTAAGCCACTTGGCATTTGGACAGGCAAAGATTATAGCAATGCTCGTATTTCGGACTTCCATACGCTCAATAAACCTGAAGAGGATATGTATGATCGTACGAAGATACCTCGCATGCCCTGGTGAGCTAATTTCTGTAACGCTTTGCAGGCGCTGATTCCACTTACAGGCATGATGTTGGTATGCAGGTCGTGGGGCAACCTGCTCGCGATCTGGCTCGGCATTTTGTGCAAAGGTGTGTTGTTGTCTGGTAAGTGTTTACTGGTATTAATGTGCCCTGTCTTTAGGTGGAATTATCTTTTGAGAATCAAGGTACGCATCAAAACGCGTTGATTTGTGTCTGCGCTGTAGGAATTATTTTAGAACCATTCTCGAGCCATGCCATTCCTCTTGCCACCTCCGGAGTTCAGACCTGGCGAACTGACGCAGTTGGGTTTGACCGGTACTTGTGAGATGCAGATCTGCCGTTCTGCAGGACCCTGGTCTTTAGGTACCGCAAGCCGTAATGAACATTCCATCCAAAATGCGTATCTCAAGGGTCTGTCCAATGTTGTCGACAACGTCAATACCACTGAGTTTTTTTTTCAAATAGCGATTCAAATGTCAGAACACTTCGTGTACATCGAGAATCAGTTCTTCATCACCTCGTAGGGTTGTTTATGCGCCTTTTACGCTTGATTGACTCGTGATGCTAGTACCACCGTTAACGATATCAGGATTGAAAACAAGATCGGCGACGCCTTGGTACACAGAATAATCAAAGCCCATCGCGATGGAACCCCCTGGAAGTGCTGCGTGGTAATTCCTTTACTCCCAGGCTTCGCGTTCGCTCTAGATCATAGCGATGGCAGTTCTGTTAGATATGATATCTATGTCTGTTTTCGTCCTTTCTGACATCTGACCTCAGATCCGAATCATCCTCGAGTGTCAAAATCGTACCATATCCAGAGGTCCTAATTCAATATTCGGGAGGCTTAGGAAAGAAGGCATCGACGTGAGTGTTTCCATCTTCATTGCTACTTTCTATTATATATTACACCCAGCCCGATGACTATATTACTGTATTCTCCCTTCGTAACTGGGGCAAGCTGAGAGACGTATTGACAACCGAGCAGGTTAGAAGTATCATAATTTGGGCGTCAATTGTACTCATTGCAACTTAGGTCTACATCCATGGAAAGGTTTGCATCGTGGACGACCGGCTTGCCATTATCGGAAGCGCAAACATTAACGAAAGATCTCAGAGAGGGGACAGGGACTCTGAAATCGCGGCAGTAATTCGAGATACTGATATGATCGATTGGTTTGTGGGAAATATTTCTTCGTCCGGGCGATTCTGACATTTACTTTAGTACTATGGCTGGGAAGCCTTACAAAGTCGGACGTTTTGCTCACACCCTTCGGGTCCGGCTGATGAGAGAGCACATCGGTGTTGATGTCGATGCTTTGTATGAGGAAGACTTAATGGCTTCTGATCCCGTAAAACCTGAGCATGAGCCAGTACCTTCGAATTCTAGTGGCGAACAGCACCGCCGGCAGGAGAATGGTATTGTTGAATCCTCGGTAACTGACAGTTCATCGCATACAGCGTCAGACAACGTTGGGAGAGGTACGCTCGGCTTTTGTTGTAGTTGCGAGGGGCTTATTTTCTGTAGCCCCGAATGGTTCGTCAGAAGCAACCGTCCACACTGCAACCCAGGGCTCGGCGGAAACTGACGATGACCTGAACACGGCGTTTCCGAAAAACACCCGTACAGGAAAAAATGTACCGAGTGCCACGCTCGAAGAGAAAGTTGTTCAAGATTATCTCAACGGAGACGGGCCACCCGCCAATGGCCATGCCCCAAATGACAAGGCTCAGGACATAAAGCGGAAGTCCGAGGACAGGACATCTCCAAGCGATGCTCCACATCAAGCTCTCCCCTCGAACGGGAATCTTCACGGGACACCCGTCGATGCCTATAGATCTCCCGAAATAGATGATCAATCTCCCCATGTCCGTACGGGGAACAGAAAGCGGGGAAGATGACGAGCGTGCGGCGCCAAGAGCACGTTCAACACTCCGTAAAAATCTGGGGAGCAAGCTAGGTCAAAACAACAAATGGACTGTCCCAACTCCTCGACCTCATGTTGATCCCAATGGTTTTGAGGATCCTGTATCGGATGCATTCTGGAAGGATGTTTGGGTTGCATGTGCTGTCCATAATGTATGTCGACAAAACGTTTCCCTCCTTGTGGTGACCCACTGAGCTAATACCTCCATTAGACGGAGATATATCGGAAAGTGTTTCATGCTGTTCCGGATGACCTCGTCACTACTTGGAAGCAGTACAAAGAGTTCGTATTGCATCACGAGCGCCTGAATAAACCAGTAAGAATAGCCTTCTCTTCGAGAATTCAATTAAACATGCTAATAACCATATTTAGGCTGCAGATTCGACTACGCTTGAGCCAGTCGGAAGAGTGCCGTCCGAGACTGGAGACGACACCATTCCTTCTAATGAAGCCCCAACTCCTGCCGAACATGTAACAGAGCACTCTGATGGTCATGTGCATCTGAATGAAGAGCCAGATCTGAATAGCTCTCCTGGCGTAGCGGACAAGGAGCCTGCCCGTGCTCGTTCTCGGTCTACTCGAAGCACGGAGCCTTTTACGAAGGCGGAGCGAGATGAAATGGAAAAATTGCTGGGCGACTTGTGTGGACATTTGGGTAAGACAACCGTTCTCGCTACAAACGAGATACTAAGCACTGTCCTCAGTGATATATCCCAACCGCTTTTTGGAGGGCGAGGACGTTGCGAATAATTTCTTATTCAATGCCGATCGGTGCGTGGAATTATGTCCCTCTAGAAGCCCATTAACGATTTGTCCAGGCTCTTGCCCCTACCTATTTACGACTGATCATTCTGCTTTCTGTACTATGTTGAATGGTGCCTAAGGGTTGTTTAATTTTACACGATACCACAGCTGTTCCTTTGCATTAACTCCTTCAGATTTAATGTCTTCACATGACGGAAAAGGCAATCACCGCTTTGAAGGATTTGGAACGATTTGCCCACCCTGTGGCGGTGGCAATCTATTTCTTCGCCCATCCCCGGGTTTGGAAAGTTTTCTAGAGTTCAGTAGATATGTAAAACGGCCGTTTAACCTTCTATCTGGGCGATTTCTCGACCGAGAATTTTGATACAGTGCTTTGAATCGCCTCGAACAGCCTTGGCGTGCGGCGAAAAGCGGACGTGATGCATGGTCGACGGAGGCAGTATCTAAAAATAACATTGACTATGAATATCAAATGGGAAAAAAAATCACGACCATCAAAATGTCATGTTTTAAAGTGGCTGACTGCTTGAAGGGGCGGCGCCTTGGGGCGAAGGCGGGCAAAGTTGACCTCGAAGTTGTTACAGCTGCTGTTTTGAAAAAAATTCTGACACGATTGGTCAGCGGCAAGGCCGGGACTCCTGACCGCGGTGGGAAGTTGCCGGCGAAGAACCTTTGCCAATTCGTGTTCCTCGTTCTTTACTTGTCCAGACTCGTTCCCTTCGTTCTTTGCTCTTCGCACTCATTCGCTATGCTTCATTCACTGGCACCAGCCCTGTCGCTCTTTCTTTTCCTTCCTCACGTTTTTGCAGCCTCTGCTGATGAATGGAAGTCACGTTCCATATATCAAGTAAGCACACTCCCGCCTGCCCTGCGCCTTGTAGTCGATAATCGCGACTACCCTAGATCATTACCGACCGTTTTGCTCTCTCGAACGACTCTTCTGCAACCTGTAATACTGAAGACCGTGTTTACTGTGGTGGCTCATGGACTGGGATTGTCAACCATCTGGACTACATCCAGAATATGGGCTTCGACGCAATCTGGATCTCGCCTATTGTCAAAAATATCGAGGCGGAGACGGCGTACGGGTATGCTTACCATGGGTGAGTCCTACGCGCTTGTTTTTTCCCAGCTGCAGACTTAATTCGGATTCCGATAGCTACTGGACACAGGACATCAACTCTCTCAACTCGCACTACGGTTCCGAGGATGACCTGAAGAGTCTCGCGACTGCGCTGCATGCACGGGGGATGTACCTCATGGTCGACATCGTGGTCAACCAGTGAGTCGCATATATCCTGTTGGGTCCGTTCAGGAGCCAACTCGTTATCAGTTTCGTACAGAATCCTTCAAGCAATTCCTCGACACTCCCGCAAACGTTCGACTACTCTGGCCTGTCACCCTTCTCAGCAGAGACGGATTTCCACACGGAATGTTTCATTAGCGACTATAATAATCAGACGAATGTCGAGCAGTGCTGGCTGGGAGACTCGAAGTACGCTCGCCATTCTTCTCATTGACAGCTTATCAATCTCGATTCTCTCAGTCTCCCACTCATGGATATTGACACGGAGAACAGCACGATCGTCCAGGAATGGAATTCATGGGTTACCAGTTTCGTTAATACATACAGTATTGATGGTCTCCGGATTGATACTGTCAAACACATCCGCAAAGACTTTTGGCCCGCCTTTGCCTCGGCAGCCGGTGTCTTTACTATCGGAGAGGTGCGTCGCCAAATTTTCAATGCTTGCTCTCTGACTGAATATCCTGCAGGTATTGACTGACAACATCACTTATACCAGTGACTATACCCGTAAATTTATCCAGTATCTTGTTGGATCATATTCTCACATACCCTTCTCCAGAGGTTTTGGACAGCGTTCTAGACTACCCTACCTGGTACCCCCTAACCGAGGCATTTAACACTACATCTGGAAACCTTTCAGCCATCCAAAGCGCAGTCACCCAAGCGCAGTCATCATACAAGAACGGCCTATTCGGCACTGGCGCTTTCTTAGAGAATCACGACCAGCCACGATTCCAGTCGCACACCACTGACACGGGCTTGGTTAAGAATGCCATCAGTTTCCCATTCATTCATGACGGTATTCCCATTCTCTACCAGGGCCAGGAGCAGGGCTATACAGGTTCCTCGGACCCTTTTAACCGCGAAGCGTGCGTTTCAGCGTTCCTCTGATTGGTTGTCTGTAGCCATACTAAGTGATTTCCCATAGTCTCTGGTTTAGCGGATACCAAGAAGACAAGGACCTCGTCACGCACATCAAAGCTATCAACACTGCCCGACAATTGGCCGTCAATGCCAGTTCTAGCTTCTTGACCACTAAAGTAACGCGTCTCTCTCCGTTTTCTTCAATCTCTCAATTTTTTCCTAGATGTCCTTCGTCTCCCAAAGCGACATCGGTGCAATTGCCATTTCCAAGCCCCCCATGCTCGCTCTCCTGACAAACGTCGGTTCTTCCGGTTCCGCGTCCTGGAGCGTTTCCGGGGTCTACAACAAGGGGGAAACTGTGGTCGATGTGTTGACCTGCAAAACATATACCGTTGACTCGAGTAGTGGCACACTAAGCGCTTCTGCTGAAAGTGGTGCACCAAGGGTGAGTTCTTTTAAGCATAATTGTACGTGCAATATGATTGATGAGATGTTAGATCATCCTCCCAACATCAGCGTTGAAGTCCGACGGCACCCTGTGCACGAGCGTCGCAGGCACAAGCGGGGCGATGTCGGTAAACAGCGTTGGTCGGGGCGCCATGGGTATCTCGTTGGTTGCTGGTTTGATCTTGACCTTCTTGTAAAAGATATTTACTGATACGGACACTGGTGCTAAGAACATTTCTTGTGACAGACTAGTGGACTGCTTTATATAATACTCTTATATTGTGTGTAATTTTTTTAAAAGACCTGACGCATCGCAATGCTACATGTATGTGGTGGAGGTGGGATCTTTGAGTTTAAAAACCACTCGATTTGTACATGAACTGACCTTGTTCTTCTTTCCGTTGCTCACAGGTGACGATCCGACACAAATCCACTGTCTGTCGGTGATTGTCTTGCGAAAATCACTGAGGATGGAAGCTGGGTGTCAGGGAAGTCGATGTTAAGGCAAAGGTTTGAGAACGGTGTCTTTGTTCTATCGAAGAATTCAAGAAAAGCTTGAGGTTCCGGCTCAACAAGTATCCGTATTTCTTTTCGATGTAAGTACATTGAGCTGACAATCAGCACTAGAACGAGAACTGTGGCTTACGGTTACCAGCGTGAACGGTATTCTTGAAGACAATAGTTGGCCCAAATCATTAGTGAGACTCCATCAAGTATTATTTTCTCGTTTCTCGTTTCCGTAGTCATGCTGGTGATCGATTTTCAGTCTGGTCAACTTGAGGATACATAATAGTGTCACCACTAATCTGCCACGATTGGGACTCTAGGATACCAATTCGTCTTGGCAAGGAGCAAGAGGAGCGGGAGGTAAAGCATGTTGCAAATCAAAATCAAATGTCAAGTTATGACTCCAGATACTTGAGTAGTGTAACTACTGTCGAACAACAGCATCATGAAAGCTGGTGGATTAGGCATTACTAGGAACGCAAATTCTCTGAACGCCACATGTTAACAAATTCATAGGTTGACTATCGCGACTTACCTCTCCGGTCTGAAGGTTGTCGCACCCGATACCAGGATTGGCCGCTTCGAGACGGTCGATGGTGATACCGCCCTGCGCAGCGATGGCGTAGCAAGTGTCACCGGCGACGACGATGTGGGTGTATCCTGGGGTTCCATTGTCGCACGCAGCTTTGACACCTGAGGAGGAGAAATGAGTAGGAAGGAGAAGCGGGTATGAAGGAACGTACTGGCACTCATGGCCGCAACCGCGATGAAAACAATGGAGATGAAAGCACGAGAGAACATGTTTGAATGTAGCTTTGGATGCTGGATTGTTCAACGAGCTGGGTTCACTTTTATACGCGTTCAAGTCCTAGATCCTACATACCCAGAGTACCAACTTGGTGACCCAAGTATTGCATCGTCGTACTAATGCCCGTGATGATCGTATTCGTGAGCCACTAGTGTCTGACAACCTCAGGATAATTAAAAAAAGCGGGGTTTCCGAGCGCTGCGATCAAAACGGGAGAAGTGATGTCTATGCGCTAGAAGGAGGGTAGGTGCTTCGACTAGCGCAGTAACGGAGCATGAGCTTCGATGTTTTATGGCATGGCACAGTTGAATCATATTCCAATAAGTTTAGCAGCTGAGCGCTGAGCTCTTCAACTATTCCATGGGGGGTGCACAAGAGCACCTACGGTTTGTTAACCGCATTTGTTTATAGTCCAGGGCCTATGGAAATGGAAACAGCGTTCCAGAAAGTAAATATCTGAAGAATAATAAGAATTATTAGAAGGGACGCCGAATTACAGATATCGGGCATTTGTTGGTTGGTCGTGGACAGTGGACACCGGATGTAACAGCGTGGAAGCTCCTAAGCTCCAGGGCAGACTCCAGTCCTTCTTGTTTCTCTATTCTTGCCATCGAGGAGTTCTACGCCGGAGGTCCTTATCTCCTTGGACTGCTCGCACCAGAAGGAACCCGGTAAATGGCGTTGTTACGCATGGTGTTCCTTCCTTTGAGCTTTAGAGCTTCACCGGCTGTCGGTTGCGCCAACTTCTGCTTGAACTTGCCCCGAATCAGAGAAACCGGTATTCCTGCCTGATGGATGTCGGTGATTATCGTCATTGTTCTCAGGTTTAGCGATGGCCCTCCCCACCTGATGGATGACGCTTGTTGGTTATCGTCATTGTTCTCGGGTTGAGCGAGGTTCCTTCCTGCCTGATGGATGTCGGTTCTCATCGTCATTTTTCTCGGGTTTGAGGACGGTGGTTGTCATCTGTTTTTGCTGTCCTTGTTTTAGCCATCGCGCGGCAGTTTTTTGGCCACAGACCATCCGTCCCACGTCGGAGAACACTGAGCCGTCGTACTTGTCTCATAATAACCATGGTTCCCGCTCATCGCAAGACTCTCACACGTCTTAGTGTATCATCGCATATCCTCGCTATCGAGGTCCTTCGTTGGGGGAACGCTATTGAATGTAGCTTTAGGTGCTGGAATGTAGGGGATGGTCTGGTGGCTCTTTTATACTCACTTGAAAGTAAAAAAATAATGACGGGAAGTAGTTTTGTTTCATCGTCGTCCCGTGGTAGTCGCAATAAAAGTTGGTGTCCGTAAGTTACAGGAACCTAGAACCGAGGTCAAATTCTTGAGCCCCGTTTTGTGTGCTGCGATCAACATGGGCGAACTCGAGTTGGAACTAGAAGCCATGTACTGAAAATAGCTGTTCCAAACATATTTGCCTAGCATGCGAAATGGGACTTAATGTATTGCCCAGGGCATATCCGGCTGGCACAAACTTGCGCGATGGAGCCATACACGAAATTTTCTTTCAGCTTAGTGTGTGAAGTTCATCAAATAATGGAGAGATTCAGGTGAAAACAGTGGTTTGAGCACGCTGGCATCGGGGGGATAAGCATTAGCAAACAGAAAGAGGAGAGGGAGAGGGAGAAACGTTACGATTCGAACATGAAAAACATGAGACAGACCGGGCCGTCCTGGACTGTCCGACCAGCCCATCATTAGTCACGTTATTTTCACTCCCCTTCACTTTCACGTTAGACTTCAAGGTGAAGTAGAAGTTGTTTTGTCGGTCCTTCGAGTCGACTCCATTGATATATCGTTGGGACACGATGCTTAAACCGCAAATACTTATCTGTATTTTCTGCCTCCGTGCCAAGAGGTTAGAGGTTAGAAACCCGGTATGCGGTCCCAATAAGGAACACCGGGGTTCTGTGCCGCCACATAATGTGTCACAGACCATAGCAGTACCGTGCCGCTGTGATATCCACCAGGTGTTAGCTGTGAACCTCTCACGGGTTTAATACTGCCATAGGGACCGACAAATCCAATCCAAGTAAAATCAATGAGTACCCTAAGCAAAGCGACAAGTCCTGGTCAAGTGTACTACTATGATTAGCTAGCTGATCTCCAGAGTGATTCCGGCGCGACGTATATCGCCGTCGCTCGAAAAATCTCCAGTACATGATGTACATATAGTGCTAATCTCGGCTCCAACTGGGGAAGCGGTAGACATGCTAGTCCAACTCGAGTTCGCCATGTGATCGCAAGCACAAACGGGGGCTCAGAGAATTTGACCTCGGTTCTAGGTTCCTGTAACTTACGGACACCAACTTTTATTGCGACTACCACGGGACGACGATGAAACAAAACTACTTTCCCGTCATTTATGTTTACTTTCAAGTGAGTATAAAAGAGCCACCAGACCATCCCCTACATTCCAGCACCTAAGCTACATTCAATAGCGTTCCCCCAACGAAGGACCTCGATAGCGAGGATATGCGATGATACACTAAGACGTGTGAGAGTCTTGCGATGAGCGGGAACCATGGTTATTATGAGACAAGTACGACGGCTCAGTGTTCTCCGACGTGGGACGGATGGTCTGTGGCCAAAAAACTGCCGCGCGATGGCTAAAACAAGGACAGCAAAAACAGATGACAACCACCGTCCTCAAACCCGAGAACAATGACGATGAGAACCGACATCCATCAGGCAGGAAGGAACCTCGCTCAACCCGAGAACAATGACGATAACCAACAAGCGTCATCCATCAGGTGGGGAGGGCCATCGCTAAACCTGAGAACAATGACGATAATCACCGACATCCATCAGGCAGGAATACCGGTTTCTCTGATTCGGGGCAAGTTCAAGCAGAAGTTGGTGCAACCGACAGCCGGTGAAGCTCTAAAGCTCAAAGGAAGGAACACCATGCGTAACAACGCCATTTACCGGGTTCCTTCTGGTGCGAGCAGTCCAAGGAGATAAGGACCTCCGGCGTAGAACTCCTCGATGGCAAGAATAGAGAAACAAGAAGGACTGGAGTCTGCCCTGGAGCTTAGGAGCTTCCACGCTGTTACATCCGGTGTCCACTGTCCACGACCAACCAACAAATGCCCGATATCTGTAATTCGGCGTCCCTTCTAATAATTCTTATTATTCTTCAGATATTTACTTTCTGGAACGCTGTTTCCATTTCCATAGGCCCTGGACTATAAACAAATGCGGTTAACAAACCGTAGGTGCTCTTGTGCACCCCCCATGGAATAGTTGAAGAGCTCAGCGCTCAGCTGCTAAACTTATTGGAATATGATTCAACTGTGCCATGCCATAAAACATCGAAGCTCATGCTTCGTTACTGCGCTAGTCGAAGCACCTACCCTCCTTCTAGCGCATAGACATCACTTCTCCCGTTTTGATCGCAGCGCTCGGAAACCCCGCTTTTTTTAATTATCCTGAGGTTGTCAGACACTAGTGGCTCACGAATACGATCATCACGGGCATTAGTACGACGATGCAATACTTGGGTCACCAAGTTGGTACTCTGGGTATGTAGGATCTAGGACTTGAACGCGTATAAAAGTGAACCCAGCTCGTTGAACAATCCAGCATCCAAAGCTACATTCAAACATGTTCTCTCGTGCTTTCATCTCCATTGTTTTCATCGCGGTTGCGGCCATGAGTGCCAGTACGTTCCTTCATACCCGCTTCTCCTTCCTACTCATTTCTCCTCCTCAGGTGTCAAAGCTGCGTGCGACAATGGAACCCCAGGATACACCCACATCGTCGTCGCCGGTGACACTTGCTACGCCATCGCTGCGCAGGGCGGTATCACCATCGACCGTCTCGAAGCGGCCAATCCTGGTATCGAGTGCTCGAACCTTCAGACCGGAGAGGTAAGTCGCGATAGTCAACCTATGAATTTGTTAACATGTGGCGTTCAGAGAATTTGCGTTCCTAGTAATGCCTAATCCACCAGCTTTCATGATGCTGTTGTTCGACAGTAGTTACACTACTCAAGTATCTGGAGTCATAACTTGACATTTGATTTTGCGTTCTCAAACCTTTGCCTTAACATCGACTTCCCTGACGCCCAGCTTCCATCCCCGGTGATTTTCACAAGACAATCACCGCCAGACAGTGGATTTATGTCGAATCGTCACCTGTGAGCAACGGAAAGAAGAACAAGGTCAGTTCATGTACAAATCTAAACTCAAAGATCCACCCCCACCATACATGTAGCATTGCGATGCGTCAGGTCTTTTTAAAAAAATTCTACACAATATAAGATTATTATATAAAACAGTCCACTAGTCTGTCACAAGAAATGTTCTTAGCACCAGTGTCCATACCAGTAAATGTCTTTTACAAGAAGGTCAAGATCAAACCAGCAACCAACGAGATACCTAGTAGCGCGCCCCGACCAACGCTGTTTACCGACATCGCCCCGCTTGTGCCTGCGACGCTCGTACACAGGGTGCCGTCGGACTTCAACGCTGATGTTGGGAGGATGATCTACTAACGGCCAATGATACCTGCTGGGACATCGCCACCGAGGGAGGGATCTCTGTCTCCCGTCTCGAGGCAGCCAATCCTGGTATCAATTGCGACAATTTGCAGATCGGTGATGTGAGCTACGGTCGATCTCTTGTCGAGGTGCCTGCTAAACTGTGATTTGTGTTTGTAGAGGCTCTGTGTTCCCCGTAACAGCGCCGCTACGAGCCATTCGGCTGGCCACAACAGCTCGCAGGTGTAATTGCATCCAAAGGAGGGGGGAATGATATACGGCGTAGTTGTAGCTTCATCTCTCCATCTTAAACGACCTGAGCATTGTGACTTGCAGCTCCAAATCCATCACGTTTTTAAGAAAAGATCTGCCTCTTCTGAATATCGAGAAGCTGCTCTCAAGCTAGTCGGCTCTGTCCATTAATCGGCCGCCCTCCTACTGCAAGGTTTTCCGGTACATGGATATGCCAGTCTCGAGTTAGACGCCTCGATGATGCCTCATAATCAGCCTTGATAGGTGTGGTGGCCAGGGAGGCATTTACTCTAGAAGCTTCATGTCGTTCGTATATTGTCCTCGTACCATTCGTGAAAGTAGATCTGTTTCCTTCCAGACCTAGTGAGGAACCTTGTCCACTACTAACTTCTGACTTAGCCGCAAATTATTCGGGTTCATCGTAGTGGCCCGGCCCGTGAAGCCGATTAACTTGTCTCTTACATTCCCGTCTATACGGCGTCCTCCCATCGTAAGGATTCTTCCGACACGGGGAATCTTTATATCCACATACACCTTGGCCACCTGCGAAAGTGGATCCGAATCGGACAGGTCATGATGAAGGAGCAGGGCACGAATTTACGCGTCTTCTTGAAAAGCCATCGACGTGACCTCCTCGGAGACTGTATCGGCGGCGTCAGCCGCAAGAACGATCCTCACAACACCTTTTGCCAGACCCAGGATCGTGCCATGGAGGGACCAATACGGTAAGGGCAGGATTTCGTAACAAGGTTACGATGAGCCATGTCGTGAAGCGAGTAGTGGGTCGACACGGAAGGTTCCTCTGTAAGGAGGCCTCTACCATGTTTTCCAGGCCTTCCCATGGCAATGGCACGTATATCTTCTGAAGGCATATCATGAGGCAATGGTGTATCGGTCCCCTACGTAGACCAGAACATCGCTTGCTGTTCAAGATGCTCGCAGATAGGGAAGAGCATAATCAAAGAGCCCATCGCGCTGTGACTGAATTGAATCCCTCTCGACGTGTTTCCCGCCATTGTTTACAAGACTCCATGACATTGGCAACACATTGGTGCAGCGCCTACTTCTGAAGCTGGTACAGGAAGAAGGGTCGAGATTCGCGTTTCCGAACTATGTAGCTGGGGTATGATTTTTTGTGCCTGGCAAAGGAATGATTCAGCACGGCAGCCATAGGGCTGGCAAAGCTTGATTTATGCATCTTTATTCACAAGGTGCGTTGGGATACCCTGCTATTAACCCGATTTCTTGGATTCTTTCGCTGTTAACAGCTGCCGGCCCCGGTCACAACTGTAATGCTGTGTAACGTCGGTAACGCCGTATGACGATCAGGAGGGCAGGCAGGGCACGGGAAGGATGTCTTAGCTGTCTTAGCTATGCCAGATGCGATGCCAGATGTTTTAGGCAGCCCCGAGTCAACTAGAGAACGTACGTGCATTTAATTTTCACGATATCCGTCTTTTTTATTGAACCACAATAGATGTACCGAGTAGGTCACTCCTCCTTCCAGTGTAGTGACCAATTTCTTCAACGTTAACTAGTGCCTGACGTGGCAACGATGGACCGCACGATCCCACTGGAAAGGGCCTATTGTGCACCTTGGAGCGATGAACACATCAGAATGATAAATGATATGATTTTGAGCCGGTTTCAGTGTGACACCAAGAACGAGGTCAGGCGTTTCACGATTCTAGAGCATTTTTTATTTGGGACAATCGATCGTAAAGAACCCCCGGACGAAGTTTATGATATGGTTCGAAAAGCGCACCAAGACGAAAATTATCAAGAGCTCTTGAAACATCGTTGAGTTTCTTCCGTTCGCAGCCCTCGTATATGCGCTCATCTTTTCCTGCATAGACTTTTTCGCAGGAAGACAACTTAATTGTAAGTCCTATATCTTCCGACTTTTCTTATACCCATTGTCTGTCTCTACAGTTGTTTTGGGTGACGCCAAGAATGATGCTCGAGTTGAACAAGACGAGATCCAAGGTACCTCTTTACCGATGACACCGATACCTACCATTCCCTGATTAGGACCAAATGCGGACGATGCTGAGGCGAACGAACTCGAGAGCCAGTCCAAGAACATTCTCAACCCCTTCTCCGATATCCTAAAGGACTACGCAGAGGGTAGGCTTGACTACCACTTTTCGTCAACGCACAAAGGAAAAGGACCTCATGGCGATGTTCACAATCCGGACGCGGACCGGGTTCATCTCCTCCTTGCCGGCCTTGGTGACCAAACTCAGTCTTTGACAACCTGGGAGACAGTCTTCCGTAGTGGTGACGAGTCGGACTATAAACCTTTTTCAGTGTACTCTTTCCCTTCCGTCCTTCTAGCTATGTTCTGATAAGCAGCATTATAGGAACGTCATTAATTTGCATGGATGCGGAAAGACCAGGCTGCTATTTGAAGCAGTCGCGAAATACTTTTTGATATATTTCGTTTGCTCTAGAGAGGAATCAACTTGGGCAACGGGGTCGAGCGATTTAGAATGGATAATACGTATGATCAACAAGAGCGATACGCAGGGGGTGAACGAGGGAGAAACGGCGTGAAGAGCGTTTTACATGCTTCTCTATTCAAGGATTTACATCCTACATCATTTCCTGAATCTCATCTCGCGGGATCCCAAAGTTACAACTCTAGATGTTCGTCGCCGCCTATTGCTTCTACAAGCATGTCCTCCATGTTGTCCCTTTGACGATAACACCGTATCAGATCTCTTCGTCCACCTGGTGACTGTGGCAAGCTCATTTAAGATGGAAACACTGCGGCAGGGCTGCAGGTACTCGCTGTATAACTTTCGTCGGTCCATCAGGATGCTTCTGCGTAACAATGACTCTTCTGATTCGCAACGAATGAACCTCATCTTTGATGACGTAGAGGACTGCTACCAGTGATCACTGGTTGTATACAACCTCAGATGGATCTACCAAGGAATCCATACTCAGACGCTTTCTTGAATCGTTGGAACTCCTTTTAGATCCCCGAGCAATAGTATCCACAGCCTCTAGGGTCTCCATGGATGTATTCGAAATACTGGACAGCGTGGAGTTTGTTCAAAAGGCCCCCGCCAGGTTGACTTACACGTCAAAAGTCTCGAAAACAGACCATACTTTGGAGGGTTGCTCTAGTTATATCCTCCGCCATTTGCCAGAGCTAGAAAGGGTCCCTGTTCTTCTTCAGAGGTTTACAATGTGGCTATCACCTCGGTAAGCATCTGCTACAATCGTTCAGATTTTTGCTTACAGTTTGATTACAAGTCCACGACTTATTGCTAGACTGCTCGAGATGTATATGGCAGTAAAACGCGTTGGGGAAGTCCAAAAAATTACCATACCACAAGATTTTGTCCAGCACGATCGAGGCATTGACTGGATACCGGCCCATGGACGCTGCATTCTTGGAATCACAAGAGGAGGAGATACCGAATTCCATTCTCAGTGAATACTTTCCTCCTAGTGCCATGGGAGTGAAGAAGCAGGTAGAGCATGAAAACAGTATGCATCAAATTCCGTTCAATATGTGTTCGATCACTAACAGTGTCCAGATTGTGACTTAATGATGACAGTCTCACGACTTCTATATCGCTGGATTCTTAGCAACCCTTCAGGTCGGGAGCTTTCTCACGATCATGCTTCCAGACTCGTCGACTTCGGGGTCACCTCTCTTCCCCCTACTGTGGCTCGAACCCCATATAAATTTACGAGAGACGTAGCGGAAAGTGTCGCTTTGACAGAGCCTTGCGGTGCACTGTCATTAATGGCGCTCCTTGGCTCTGCTGGAGCAGACCCTCTCAAAGCTTCCATGAGGGAGGCGGTATTTGATGTGGAAGAAATCGCAGACGAGAAGGATATCTTCAAGAGAGGTATAATATTGGTGTTGATGGAAAAGCTGGGAAAGGAAGCCGGTTGCACCTTGGATGACATCCTTCAGTTTCACGATGGTGCTCCTCCCTGGACGAAGGAGTGTTATCGTCTGATCTCCTTTGTGAGGAACAGCGACAGCGGTGCGCAAATCCCTGTCCGCGTTACGTGGAAGTCGGGTGCATCTCCTCACCTGGGGTTCAAAGCCCGAGAACCCGACGATGTTATGTGTTGGATAAAGGATCCGAATGGTGTTCCCTTCATTTTTCCAGATGCACATCATTGGTCGGATGCTCTTGCTATTGTTGAGAATCTGACGACATTGGAGAGGTCGATGCTGGTTATTCAGGACAGGACTGAAGCAACTGATGTCAAGGAACCGCTCTCAACCTCCTGTTATATGGAAGATAATGTATGTGCATCACTTGTTCTCTGAAACATATTTCAAGACTGGACTTACAAATTTTCATCGCAGTGGTTATCCCCCCTGTTGGATGCTGAGAATACAATGCTAGGGGAAGTGCAACCCGGAAAATGCCAAAACGTTACCACCCACCACCCTAAGCGAGACACTGACGCGGGCACCTTTGATTATTAGCGTTGTCGCAACCACCTGTGATAACTCAAGGCTAGAGCACGAGTCGGATGCGCCGATTGGAATACTTCGTTTTGACAAAATCTGACGTTACAACAATCCGGTTCTTCTTTACCCTAAATGCCTTGCTTCCGATTCGAGGCCGCCAATTTTGGTTTAAATTGCAACAATTTGCACATTGGTAGTGTGAGCCATGATCAATAACTCGTCGAGATGTCTACTAACCTGTGATATGTTCCTGTAGAAGGTTAACGTTCTGTGTTCCCCGTAACAGCGCCGGCCCGAGTCATTGAACCAGCCACAACAACTCTCATTTTTAATTGCATTTGAAGGAGGGGAGTAATGATGTATGGCGTAGCTTAGTTTCACTGCTCTATAATAAACGACTTGAGTATCGTGACTTGCAGCTCTAACTTATCCATCACGTTTTCAAAGAAAAAAGGCTCTGGGCTCTTCCGAATATTGAGAAGCTGCACTCGAGCTAGTAAAAAATTTCAGTTAATGGATTGCCCTCCTACCGATGGCCCTCTGGTACTGAGATATGCTATTCAGAGATGCTTCGACGATGCCTCAGCGGATCGGCAGGCTGCAGCCGTCTTTCTAATCACCCCTGACGTTGCAAGCAAGAAAGTGCGGCGGTTAGGGAGATAGTAGATACCTCATATTGTTCATATATTATCCTCGTAGTAATTGTGGAGTAGTAGACTCGAATTTCCCTTCCAAATACGGGGAATGAGGAACTACTGATTTGGCCCCGGGTTCATCAGCACGGCCCGTGCAGCCGATTAACTTGTCTTACCATCACACCATCGAGCCATGGCTTCATTCCGCCTGCAAAAAGATTTGATTAACCCTCGATTCGAAGGGTACAGACTGGATGCGATTGCCCAAGATGATGCTGTCACTCGATATAACCTGGAGTACAAGGGGACCCAGGTGACATCGTCCAACAAATCCTTACTGACCTTCAAAGAGATGCAGAGCAGGATAACTCACAATCACCTTGCAACTTGCGGCAAATATGCAGTCTATGTCGACTCGCAATTCAATCTTATTGCTATATATCTGGCGCCGGTGAGCGCTCTCCATATAGCATTCACAGGTTGAAAATTTCATTCAAAACAAGGGAACCGGTGAACCCAATTTTCGTGTCGTATTTGAGATACCACGATCCATCGAGTCTACTTCCATTGAAACCTATCGCAGGGAGTACCCCTCAGCGGTATTTTTGTCGCCTTCAGTCGTATTTCTTGCCGATGGCAGCGGCTCGCTGTATGTCTTACGGACGACGGAGACAGGACCTTTCGAGCTGATATCCTCCTATCAATTACCCTCGTCTCCTGGCCTCCCTTTCCGCATTCATTCTGTGGATTTTGCCTCTCCGAGCGCTGTTGTGGCAATTCTTTCATCCCGGAACTACGCAGGTGGCGATGGCGACGGTGTTCCAGTCCCAAAGAAACACGCCCACGTTGACTTCGATGTTTGGGCAGTCAACCTTGTCGCCCTCGATGTTGTGTCCTCGGACGTTCAGACGATGAACGTCGTCTGGCAGCGACGGGGCGACGACGTTCCTACTTATGTCACCTACGTCCCATCTAGACAATGCCACTTATTGGTCGGTGGTTCGGTGTATCGAAGTATCGGAATTCCGCCCACTCCGTCGTATTCGCCAAAGCCGGATGAAATAGCTCCAATACCACGGGCCAACGAGAATCTCGACAACGCAGAAGACGGCCCCAAGAAACCCCCTCCATACTCCTGGTACCAGACGTCTGATTCCCTCACAATAGCCTTCCCCCTTCCTTATACTACCCCAAAACCTAACATCCATGTTGAGTTTTTCGCTCACTCCTTGACCCTGCACATCCACGGTGAAGCCTTAGAAGCAATTCCTTTCCCAGATTATCACAACGAAGTGTTCTGGGGTGAAATTGATCTATCCTCGTGCCTATGGACGTGGGACCGAGAGGCAGAGCACTCCTTTGGACTGCTGACTCTTCATGTGGAAAAGCAGCACGAAGGAACGAGATGGATGCAGGTCTTCAAGAGCCATGCTGTCGAGGTTCCCGAGACCCTTGATCCCTCCGAGCTCTATAAAATCCGGGAGGCCCTGGAAAAATACACAGCTGCTCTGAGGGATGGAGAGGATCTGAGTGGGCTGGGATTAGGAAGAGGAGTGCCCAGTTTCGCTGAGGGCGAGATTGACGAGGAGGTAGACGGCTCTGTGGGCCGACAGGCGTATTTGACCTGGGTCACAACCAATGGAGACAGCCCTTCCTGGGCCTCAAGGTCCCACGAGATTCCGATCCGGCTTCTGTCTACGCCATTTCCAGGCAGCGCCACCCCGAGCGTCTCTCTAATCACCAAAGAAAGCGTCGACGGAACGGTTTTCACCCTTGGATCTGAAGATTTATCTGAATGGATCCATACATCCACCTTTTCAGCGCTTGCTTTTGTTCTCGCGACGAAGCGCGACACCAGATTTATTTATCATACCAACGCCGCTGTGCTGGCCTTCGAAAGTGGTGCGCAGAACAGGGGTGCAAACGTATATATCTACCGTGCCGCGCCTCCGACGGAACAATGGTCTAAACAAGCCATTCTGAAGGTCAACGATGGTATAGGTGGGTCTCTTTTGGGAGTAGGGTCCATTGAGACGCAGGAAGGAGGGCAGAAGATTATATGCCTAGCCGAAAACGAGCTGGTCACCATAAAGGACATATGAAAGTACGAAAAAGAATCGAGATTCGGGTAATGTAAGTAAATACTGGCGTGAGGAACATCACAGAATGCACGGTCAATGTTGTATGATACTAAGTAGTGATCACATATGTAGGAGCTGTCGATGCTATTAGTGAATGCGCAGTGCTACATCAGGATATCGGAGGACAGTGGTACAAAACCAATAGATATATGAGGTAGAGCAACCCAGTAGACGACACAGAAAGACGAAAAAGAGAGAAAACTAACAGATACAACCAGCCATTAAGTACCCATCGCTATACTTTAAAGGGATCTTCGCTCGTGTCCATCAAACCCTCCGCCTTTACAGCCGGACTAGGTTCATCTCCTCCAGGTGTCGACTTCAGTTGTTCGACGCGATGAACGTCACCATTCACCCGCAGATTTGGCGGAGGTGGCGTTTCCTGCTTTGAAGGCGATGAACTAGAGCTGTCAGAATGGCTGACCAGCGTTGGATCTTCCATGCCGTCCATATCATCGGATGTTTCAAAATGGTCCGCGGTAGGAGCATCCACGTCATCATCCAAACCGTCCTCCGCCTGTATGTCCCTCTCAAACTCAGCCAACTGAGCCTTGAGATTTTTTGTTGGTTCAAAGTATGAAACCGTGCCTGTGGATGAATTCTCATCGTCGTCATCCTCTTCCTCATCGCTGTCATCGGCTCCAAACATTAACCCTCCATCGGTGATGATGCCTGCTCCCGGGTGATAGGATATCCCACCGGTACTGCCCAAAACACGTGCAAAGGTTCCAAAGGCTGAAGACGTGAGATAGCCATTGGCATGGGGGTCGTCTAGTTCCTGTCTCGCCCGTTCCCTTGCCTCTTGGGCCTCCCGTCTTGCCCGAAAAGACATAAGCCGGCTTTGCGCGTACAGTTGCGGCAGTGTGTTAGGTGTCGCGTATCCATAGTTCTTCTTGACACGGTCTGTTATCCATGAGTACCATTCTTCCTTTGTCCGTCCGTGGAGAATAGCCACAATGAGAACGGTCATGTTATCACAGCCAATGCCGGCACCAGAGGACGTATCCGGCGCAAGACAATGGTCACACATCATCTCGCCGATCTCTGAGAGCTCCTTGCCTTCCGACACCTGGTAACGTATAAAGTTGACGACCTGTTGTGATGTCAAACAGTCCCATATCCCTATTTGGCATTAATCAAGAGGACTACGAAAATTCGAAAATATACTCACCATCACAAGCCAGCACCAAAAATTCATCCTCGTCGGTTATTTCGTGACAGGTAACATCAGGATCGGCCGTTATTATTTGTTTCTCGGGTGAAAGACTATAATTCTTCTTGAATTCAAAATCGCCCAGCGCCCGAGACAGTGCGAGGTTTCCTGATCAATACAACATTACAATGACAGTTAGAAATGGAGAAACACGGGGCACACCATTGACACGCCCATATTCAATATAACCACCGGCGCCGGCAATTCGGGTTCTCTCGACTGTGCGAAGAGGAACATCAGTTTATTGTAAGAGAGGATATTGGTATTATTACCCTCATTCGTCGGTTTGTGGTCGAAACTTAGAGGTTTTACTTCCCCCTTGACACTCAGCACAGAGCGTGAGTCACCGGCATTAGCCTGGATGAATAAGTCGGAAAATCGTGAGAGAGCGGTGAAGTGGATGACGTACGACGTAAATTTTATCGTCGGTAACCAGTGCGGCGACGGCAGTACATCCTGATGGGTCTCTAGAATGCGCGGGGTCTTTGCAAATTGCGATGAGTAAGAAAACGGCGGCAAGCACATGGCATACGCACTCCCCAGCATATCTTCATCAGTGCCCAAAAATGCCCTCTTCAAAGATTCTTCGTAGTTCTTTGCTTTGTATGACTCTTCATTAAGCAATCGTTTGTGAACGTTCTGGCCTGCAAATCGAGCAACAGCACTCCCTGGAGTTATTGTGCAATTGAGACAAGTTGAAGAGATGACGATGAGAGCTGATAACACACCGCCATGTCCATCATATATAGCAAAGAAAGTATTTGATCCAGCATTCTCCTCGAGATCCAGCACAATCGCATGAGCATCCTCCATCGCTGTTCACACAAGGGTCAGAAGATTAACAGACAGAACTCGATGGTCAACGGGCGCCACTATCGAAAGAATATACTGACTTATTCTCCATCCTTGCATCTCCGTCACAGCATACGCAAAACGACTATTCTGTCCCGTTTCCGAGGTTTTTGTCGTAGCTAAAAATGGCTGTTATCTCCAAGAACGGTCCACGGGGAGTCTTTCGGAGGTCAACGAACCTGGTGAAGATAGCGTTTGACCCTACAATACAAAGGGTCCAATATCAGCGTCATTTTCACGTCGGCAAACAGAAAGAATATTAACCATGGTTGAAGAGGTCTCCTGATATGAAAATTAACGGCGGTAAGACCGTGTGGATTCGATTACTTTCTTCGGTATTGCACAGATGAGTCGGGATAGCTCTAGTGCGATATACGAGGAGACAAAAGAAGGAAAAGGACGTGGAGGGCTGGAGGTCGTGTGGATGGTCGAGTTCAAGGACGCTGTTGCTCACCAATAGGGGATTTTGCAAAATTCGGTGACAAACTGCCATGTATGGGGAAATTGTGACCTAATTTTGATTTTCATATTCCCTCGTAAACTAGCCTCCTTACGATTAACCTCACATCCAGAACTCTCTAATTCCTGGCCGAGAAAAATCTATAGAGAACAGCTTTCCTGAGGGCTTTTACTGTTTGGATTGCCACTCCAATACGGGGCTGCATTTCAGTGGCGTGCTCCATGGACTAAGCGGGACCCGGGTCTGTCGGTCAAATTCCGACACAATCATCACGTAGGAAGCTTCCGAGGAATACCGTCATGAAAATTCAAGCCATCGGCACTGAACAACATTATTCAACAACGGTACCCGATCTTCGCTAGTTCATCTCGGCTACCTGCTCACTATATTTCCTTGGGTTAGGTCTGTGCGCATATAAGTCAGCCTTCCTCATGCATTGGCCTCAGAAAAGTGCCTTACTGCTCAAACACCTCCGTAATTTCCTCCAGCGTGAGACCTTTGGTTTCAACAACGAAGAAGTAGATTACAGCACATTCAAACGCATCCCATATTGTGAAAATCAGATACGCTTAACACCCGCATCAGAGTTTGCAAACGATGGATAGTAACAGAAATTCCTTACTTTTCCATTTTATCTTTTCGAGCGCAACGGGCAAACTAGATGATAACAGCATCAGGAACCTTACGACAATACCATAGATAAAGGATTACCCGAAGGTGTTGATAAGCGTCGAGCCCTGCGTGCATATGTTTAAGAACGCGAGACCTTTCGCCCGGGCTTGATACCCCAGGACCTCGGCGGGGTACAATGCTTGCCTAGAGTGGATGTCATCTTGTCACTCCCCCTTCGACGGGTATCTCACTCACATTGACGTCCACCCATAAGAGAACACCACCATAAAGAGGTAGACAAGAGCTATACCAGCATTAGCACGAGCACTGTTTCCGTCGTCCTTGCTAAGCAAGCCGGTCACTATAGCCAGAATGACAGTAATAGCAATAGTTCCGGCTAGAAGAACCCGGCGACGACCAAAACGATCAACCGTGAAAGCTCCCTGTGAAAGAGATTTTGTGGTCAATCCATCTACATGAACGTAGCTCATGACTCAAGTACTCACCCCAAGTGCTATTTTCAATGATAGAACATTTAAACATCATATAGTGATATCGTGTGAAAGGCTTACCGCCAATGCTAAACACGCAAATATCAGATGGAGCGATCTCCCTCGAGTCCCGTGAAAGTACATACTACGAAGTCACGCTATTAACAAAGTTGAGGGTCAGCCTCTTGCTCTGAGACTCGATGCCGGCATTTTCAAGAAGTACAGGAAGGAAGTATGTTATCATGCCGTTACCGGAAAGCTTGACCAAAAGTACCTGCCATTCACCGAGTCAGCAAACAACAAATCCAGTTATATTGAGACCGTGGCACACCGATGAGAATAACCATGTACGCCCGATACCTGTCTGCTCGAGTTGCAAAGAGAGGTCTGAAGTCCCACCAACGTTCTATAGACGTCGATAAACACGACGGAAATACAAATGTCGACCACTCACTGTCCTGTCCATCGATCTCGATTTTCTCTTCAATCTCCTTCATCTCCAAGTCAATCAACGGCGAATTAGGATCTCCAGTCGCGGAGTGGTATTTGGCCAGGATACGTCGGGCTTCATGTCCTCTTCCGACGCTGTGAAGCCAACGCGGTCTATGGAAAGATAAACAAAACACAAATTAGGTTAAACGTAGACCCTGCGCACGATTCAGGACAAAAGTAGACGAAGAAGAAATTCAAGGCGGCCGGTACAACCTATACGATATGGTCATTCCACCACAGAGAAGCCCCAGGAAAAGATATCACCTGAATATACAAGGGCAAACGCCATGAATAGTCAGATGCGTAGTTGCCGGTGGAGACCATCATCCCAGACGCTGCCATCTGGCCAATATAATAGCTGAAAATGAGAACATGAACTCAGTGGCGTCTCACAAACGCAAGCAACTCACAAAGAATTCAGGAATCCAATGTATGCCCCCCTGTACTTCGCCGGGCTGATTTCAGCGAGATACGATTTGGCCGCCGCACCAGCGCAAGAGCATCCAGTACCTGCACCCGATCAAGACGGATAACATCAAGAATTACGAACTACAACTCACCCGTCAGCCACCGACCAACCAAAAACATGTTCATGCTCTTCGCATTGGCGGTCATGCACGCGCCCAAGCTGTCTAGAGTCAGAAGACGCCAAGCCAAAAACCACGATAGTCGCACATCAGGATGGCGTTTCCGATCCACATAGGAAACCGACGGCCATATTTATCAGGAAGATAAGCTGTAGCACGAATTGGTCGGGGATCGTCACAGAGCCAGTCACTCTCACCTGCAGGGATAGTGCCACTGCAATATGCATATGCTCATAAACTCTTTTCACTAACGGACGGCACTTGAGACCTACGTGATTGAACCACTTGCATATGGCATACAAGTCAGTTAAGGGACGACGAGTATCATGGTCGTTCACATACATAGTGTAAATGCCGAAAACAATGGAAGTTTTCGCTGCATCATCTTTCATTCCGAAAAACGCCTGGAACTGGGACATCGTATTGATACCACCCATGACCTAGGATCCGGTGTTAGCAAGGATCGTGCCACGGCACCTATCCACTCACGGTACCGTCGAAGCCATTGTCCCCCGAGCAGAAACATACCACCAGTGCGATGAGATAGAGCTGTGTCCCGGTCAGGCACCGTGAACTAATCATATCTCAATAGAACAACTTACTTGAATTGCTACTAGGCTGAAATGCCCCGGCCCCGGATCCGCTTCTATCGCGGCATTTAAGGCAGCCTGCCTCTCCATTACTTGTTGCCCGAGTCTTCGTTCATGGTGCTCTGGTTCTTCGACTTTCTCGATGGACGCGGAGCGTTTAACCTCAGCCATGTCGAAGAAACAGAGAGAAGAGGTCCGGCATCGACTAGAGAAAAGCCGCGATATATATCTGTTCGCTAGCGTTAATCGGCGCTTGAATAGCGACGCCAAGATGCCACGGCTTCAAGGCCTCCATGAAAAAATGCGGGGAAACTCTGGCGCAAAAGGGCTGTCAGAGGTCCTGCAACAGCTACGTCCTACGCCATTAGCCAGAACACGAGTTCTCTTTCAACATACTCCCTTTGTGTAACACCGCGCATTTATGGAGATAGAATGTATACAGCGCAGAAGACAAGGAAGACATGATTCGAGAGACTTCTATCGCTCAGGAACTGGGGTCAGGTTTCACAATCAGCTGGACGCAGAAGAGCCACAAAAATACCGAACATCGAAGTAGGGTCCGGGCCGGAATGGAGAACAACGCCTAAGTACGCCCATAAGTTAAGCAAAGCAAAGGATCCGGAGCCAACGATCATCTGGGGCTCCACTGAGGGCGGATCACAAATCTTTAGGTGCCAGGTATACCATTGAGCCCCCAGTTTACGCGCATAAAGACCTCTGTCAGGTCCACAGATAGATATCGCGTACGTACCAGATTGATGTGATCTGGTAGGAATGACGGCGACCCAAGGCAAACAGTGATTGTTTATGTAGAGTAAACAGGGAGAAGTTGGGTCGCAAGAGCACCTCCCCACCGATTCCTGAATTTAAATCCGTTGATAGCATATACTAGACGCTGAGAACAGTGTAACGGCGAACTCGCATAGGCTTTCTCCGCAGCGAAAAGCCAAGGAAATGTGTTATTGCGAAGTCGAAGACAAAAGGTTCCGAGTCCGTTACTCCGCATGCACCTGATACAATTGCCTGTTTGCTTACTTTGACATAATATTTGTACCAGGTAAAGGCGGAGTAGGCAGGCAAAGGCATCGATGTCGCAGGGAGATGTAGATATGGAATCAGATATCGTCACGCGAAGGAGTACTTGGGAGTACAGAATGAAATCTTTGGAAGTTTAACAGTCACGACTAAGAAGGACGTGGGAAATTTTGTCTCTTTACGGCAGGACACCTGCTAAATTTGGATGTGAAATTTGCAGAAATTTGAATTGGCCTGCTTGTCTTGGTTTCGTCCTGATCTTATCATTGCGCTACCCTCACCCTTCAATTAGAGTAAACAATCTCGTCGTCCGGACACATATTACGAGGCCGTACAGCGTTCCCATTCTACGTAAGTTGGATCCCGTGGGAGGAACCCGGTGTTACTGACTCTGCTATATATAAGGATTCGGATGATAAAAAGAGGATAAGTGTTCCTCGCAGCATCTTAATGCCATCCCAGTCAACGCCCCAAATAGCGATAGAGACGCTTTTGCGTATGAATATCGGAGACGGCCAGGTGAGTACTCCCTACCGCTACTACCAGATACCCATACTGACCGGCCCGCTCAGTCGTCTCTGCCAGGCCGCCCTGCTTGCTCACGTAAACGTACAATTTCTGCGGTATCTCGTCTTTCGGCTCGCGCTTCAAAGGTCTCTGTGCAGCCTAAAGTCGAGCCGTCGGTGGCCGCCACAGCGCAAACAGGGCCCCACGATGCATACGGTGCCTTTGCACCTACACCATCCGCCTCATCGTCTCTTCACCAGTTCGCCACCACATCCAAAACAACTGGTATCCTTCGTCGGCGTGTTCGACCACCCCTTATGTGGCGAGACACATGGAGCGAACCATCGTCCCCCACTTCCCCCACGTCGCCCTCTATTCCATCTATCAGTCGTACATCATCTTACATTTCCGACAGCTCCTCACAGGACAGCGCTTCTGCCATTCATACTCCATTGGAAACTACTCCGGACTCACCCCGGGCACATGTTAGACTTCACTCGGAACTAAACCCTATCCTTGCTTCGCTTGAGAGGAAGTCAAAACTCTGCACCAACAGAGTGCGATGTGCTACCTGCGGGAAGCCGGGATCTGACTACCCCCGCTGTGGGAAATGCGGAGAAATGTGGTGTTCCAGGGACTGTAGGTTGCAAGGCAGGAAAAGGCATGTATGTTCCCGGACTACCTCATTTTGAATATACAGATTACTGGATCGTACATCTTTCTACACGACCTTTCGCGCACACACCCAATTGCTATAGACTTGCATTTCACTTTCAGGAATATACATCCCTTGTACATATTATGAAAATTTAATCTTTCTGTTTTGAACATCAGTATTCACGACCTGCTGCTTTGCCTGCAGCCTTCGCTTAGCCTCCCAAGACGGATGGAGGGCCTCCTTCTTGTCCTCTGCTTTCGCTACAGGTCCCCTCGCGGGATAAGGCCTTCCGCTGCCCCCATCCAGAGTCTGGTCGTTGCCGATGCTGCCCCTCTGAGCCCTTATCGCGCCCCTTGAACTTGCTATCACCCTCAATCTTGGCACTCCCGCGCGACGTGCGGCTGTCATAACGACGATTAGAAGGACCCCCGTTGGAAGCGTTCCATTTTTTACGACCAGGCTCAATCGCAGCCGCCATCGCCTCCTTTTTCTTGTGATTAGCGTTTTTCCCATACTTCTTCTCCCAAATTCTGTATAACCAAAGTTAGATAACAGCTAAAACTAAATGAAGAAAGAGAAACGTACGCCCGCCGGGCTCGTTGGCCTCTCCGATTTTTCTTCTGCTCAATATCCCCGGCTTTCGCATCACTGTCGCTCCAGTCCGAATCCTCGTTTCCTTTGATGAACCCGACAGATAGGGATGGAAGAAAAGTCGATGCGCCCGTAGAAGATTTGTTCTGAGCTTTGGCAGCAGGTGGGTTTGGCTCTCGGCTTTGTCGGAGGGTCCTCAGTATCATCCTCTCCTTCATCGATATTTCCATCCTCGTCGAGAGAGCCAGACTCCCATCCGTCAGTCATTCTCCTTCTCATCATCGCCCACAGTCCCAGGATTCCCAACCCATCTCGTCGCCAGCTTCAACGTCCTCCTCATTCTCCTCCTTCTCTTCCTCCGCCTTCTCCCTTGCCATCCTCCACCTCCACCTTTATCACTTTCCTCGGGGGCTCGACATCCTCATCAGTCAGGAGGAAGGATAACCGCTCGAAGACTCTCAATGATATTGGCAATTTCAACAGCGAGAACCTTGGAGCTGAGGATACGGCTCTGGACTTTGGTACTCCCGCCCAGAAGATTAGACTGGAGCTGGTCTGACAACGCAGCTTGTACGTGCTCATTTCCGGCGAGTATCCTGTCTTTGAGCAGTTTCGACCGTAGCGCAGTTCTTGCTACAGCCTCGTGATTCAGACCCTACTTGATAACGATAATAAGTACCAGCATAAGAAGCGCGCTGATAATGACCTTGAGCTCATCCAACTCGGATTCGCACTCCGTTATTTGCGAGTAATCTTCATTTTTGTTTCTGAAAGAAATTTCGAAAAATAAGAATGGGATGTGCCAAGGGTGGAAAACCAGAAAACAGACCGTAACGTCTTGAGTTTCTTTACAAGCTTCTGAGTCTCAAAAGTCTTGGCCTTCTTTGCCGCTTTTTTGGCTTCCTTTAAATCGTGATGCTGCAGGTACTCAACATGAGTCGACGCGGGAAGGAAAGCAAGAGGTTCGCACCAATTTTCCACCAATTTTTACACCTAAATCCTTCTGTGCTGAGTATTAAGACATCTGAAAATGCGTATACTGCAGCACACACCTCCTTTGGTGCCTCGTTTCTTTTGCGCTTCATTCCTCGGTTTTCAGCCATGGCGTATTTCTGACGGGAAAGGAAAGTAGAAATTGATCGATGACGCACATTCCGAGTCCTCGATCCTAACAATGAGCCAAACATTCCTAAGCAGTCCGAGTAATGGTTTTCTGATTCATTGATTCATTGGACTACATGAATCATACGAAAACTGCAGAACTAAACAAATAAATACGCTCTTCTATGGCTAAGACGCCACAACAGAACTTTGTAACGCAATGCAATGTCTGCAACGCTCAACAGCCCATCCATGGAAGATCGAAATACCCAGCTGTACCAACGACTTCCACCAGCGCATCGCCAATCCATTCATCATCTGCATCCCAACTCCATCCACGTATAACAGCGATGGCCTGCTGTAATTGCCTTTCATCTTCCTCGTCATGCTCGTCTTCCGTATAGTCTGAACCTTTCCCGTAATCACCGTCATACAAGTTATAGAGCGCGAGTTGAGCCAGCTCGCTTATCACCGTCTTCCTCGTCGGGTCGCACTTCTCGTACACGGCGGCAATGCGTACAAGAGATGCGTAAGTCGCTGAAGCGGTCGGTACATTGAGCGGTACAGTAACAGAACCAAGACCAAAGAGAGGCTGATTGACTAGCTCCAGCTCGGACGGACTAAACGAACAAAAGGATGACGGGTGGAGTAGGATGAACCGTGCCGGCCCGAGTTGTGCGGATAGAGTTATTCTGTGAAGAAGTGCTTTCGAAAATAAGTCTCCTCCTGTGGCGACATACAGTGAGTCGGGTACGGATAGCGGTAAGCCCATAGAAGCGAGGATTTCTGACGCCTCTTGCAGCTTATCATCAGGGACGATGTACGAAAAGTCCTGAAGAGGTTTAGACTACAGAACTGACGCCGGGAACTAATTACTCACACAAACAACTAATGGCACATTCATCCGCCTATATAGTAATGTCCGCCATTCTGTTACGATTATCCCGGCTCTGTTCAACCGCCACAGAGCTCCCTCAACCAATGTTTCAGGAGGCAGGGAGAATGGACTGATGTCTTCCTTATGTGATTTGGTATCAGAGTGGGATATTATGGTGTTAATGGCGTTTGGTAGAGAAATCTGCGTTGGTTGCATAGAATTTAGTCGACGACGGATTCGAAAGGCCTAAATTTAGGGGTGTTCAAAGTTGACCGAACGAGTCCTAATACCCCTATGAACGGCATTCGCGACGCACGGAAAGAGCCGGTCACAGCACATGTGAATCTTTCGCTTTATTAGTTTTCTGTCAGGTTCTATCCCGCAGGTAAGGCATATTTCTCTAAGTTTCAGAGAGTTTATGGTTTCGCGGAAATTATCGAGGTAATACTGAAAAAGAAAGCAGGCATTCTCATGTCAGACTGATGGAGTGTCGTTCTAGCGCGCGTTCGCTCAACTTTGAGCTCCCCTAATGGACCAAGTATGTATAAGCGTCGTTCATCAATGCATTAAGACTATATGTCAATCACACAAAAAACATAAAACTAAAAACGTAAGACTAAATAAACAGATACACTCCTCTACACCCTCATTCTGTTTCGAAATGATTCTTCAAGACACAGGTAGATCTAATTGTCGCCTGAGCGTCTGTTACGAAGATGATAAATCGGTGTCCTTCTTGCAACGTCAGATTATGACAGGTCGGTGAATGCAGCAAGGCATCGGTCTCCAACAGGTGATATCTAGCTGGCTCCCCACAAGTAAGCTATACGTTGCAAACGTGATCATGACATGGCTGCTATATGCATTCCTCTGGCTGGGTATTAGAGTGCTCAGACTGCACAGTTATGTTTTAGCTGATGTCGATGAGGTAAGGTAGTAGCAAAGCTTACCAATGCCTGCAGCCCTTAGCATCCCATCCATGGAAGCTCGTCATATGCAGATGTAGCAACGACTTCCGCCAGCGCATCACCGATCCATTCTTCATCTGGATTCCAAGTCCATCCGCGTACAGCAGTAACGGCCTGTTGTATTTCCCTTTCGACTTCTTCGTCATCATCCTCGTCCTCGGAATCTTTCCCGTAATCACCGTCATATAGGTTATAAAGTACGAGTTGAGCCAGCTCGCTTAACAGCGTCTTCCTCGCGGGATCGTTCCTCTTGTACACGGCCGCGGTACGTACAAGAGATGCGTAAGTCGCTGGTGTGGTTGGTACATTGAGCGGTACAGAAAACGAATCCAGACCAAAAAGAGGGTGGTTGACGGATTCCAGTTCGGAAGGACTGAACGAACAGAAAGACGATGGGTAGAGTAGGATGAACCGTGCTGGCCCAAGTTTAGCGGATAGAGTTATTCTATGAAGGAAGGCTTTCGAGAATAGATCTCCTCCTGTGGAAACATACAGCGGATCAGGTATGGATAGTGGTAAGCCCATGGAAGTGAGGGTTTCTGACGCCTCTTGCAGTTTGTCATCGGGGACGATGTACGAATAGTTCTGAGGAGGTTTAGGCTACAAAAAATAAAAATAAAATAAGAGATACTCACACAAGGAACCAATGGCACATTCATCCGCCTATACAGTATTGTGCGCCATTCCGTCACGATTATCCCGGCTCTATTTAGCTGGAACAGAGCAATGTCCACTAATATTTCGGGGGGCAGTGAGAAGATACTGTTGTCTTCTTTATGCGACTTAGCGGTAGGATTGGGGTATAATGGCGTTTGGTAGAGAAATGTGCGATGGTTGCAGAGACATCATGGTGGTTGTGGTTAAGTTCCGAAACCGGTGGCAAGCGCTGGAAGCGGAATTAAGCGGGTGTTAAGACGTCGGCCCGGAGGTGGCTGTGTTGTTTGAGGTTCGTGCCTAAGCAACATCCGTTTATTGCTAAGGGAGCGAGGGAAGCTGCGCTGCTCCAGAGGATCTTTCCACGAGTCAGAAACCCCCAAATTCGGAGCTCAAGGGAGGGCTGTGTGCGAATAAGGTACTAACTCAACTTGACTCAAACAAAAGAGTCAAGGGTGAAGGTTCTGCTTTGTCAGCACCTTACTTAAGCATTTCCTCGCCTCGGAAATCCCCGAAGCTTCGAGTTCCCTGGGCCAATCATTATTATCATGTTCCAGTCTCAAGCTCGAGTCAATTGATCAAATCGGGCAGGCAGACGAAGACTGTCTTTGTTTTAGATATCATAGCCTTGCTCTCTGTTGAACCCCATCTTTCAGTAGATTTCAGAATCAGTACCTACTACCCAGTGAATGCCCTCGCTCAGCCATGGCTCCCCAAGAAATCCACATAACTACCAGCCATAACTCGCAAGAACATGCAGCACGAGTTCTCTCCGAAATGTTGATCGAGCTCACTATTCGCCATGCCTACATCGGAGGGTTTGCTTGGCGTCTGCTTGGTAGTGGAAGGCAAACAGAGATAAGTTAAAAACGTCTTTCATCAAGTATTGACTGACGGTTCTTGTGTTAGATACGATATCGATGTCTTGATAGAAATCCCCAAAGATACATTGGATCTTTGGACCCTGAGAGAGAAAATGGCAGAGATCGACAAACGATTTACAGAGAATGTTCTCAAGTTTTATTTTGTTGAGGTATCTCAATGTCCCTGTATAACACCTCCAAGTTCCTGACCAATGCGCTCTATACAGGACATAGACGCATTCTCCGAAGATTCGGAATCGCAAGGTCCAGATGAGACCACAAAGACCATCCAGTCTCGTCCAAAGAAGCGCACTGGGATTGAGCTTCTTTCCCGGAGCAAGAGCAACGTTCTTATAGAAACACTCTCTGCAGGAACACTGGGTCTCCCTGACTCGGTAGACCTTGTCTACAACGTACCATCCACCGCTTCCACCGATCTAAGTAAGCTCACCCTCTTTATATCGTCTATTTCTTCTCAGTATCGATTCCCCAGCTTTACCTATTCTCCATCCCACCATCCTAATCCTCAGTAAGCTCCAGCGCTGGTGCCGGATCTACAAATCCATCCGTCCCAAAACCTTGAACAAAGCCCTTACCGATTCGCATGATATCGACTACCTCATAGGATGGCTGTCTCGAAACGGTATGCTCATTGCATTCGACAATTACGAAGCAAAGAATGTACCCAAGGAAAGACTCGTTCGTCATGTCAGGACGTATTGGGAGCACAAAGAAGCTAAGGAGGATGAAGAGGTCATGACCCAGCTTGAAGGGGTATTAAATGAGGCGGACAAGGCGATGTTCCTGGCTTCTGCCAGTCCCAAAGACTCCGACACTGAGATCTTGACAAGACCGACATAGGCATCGTGTAGTTTGTATTGATGGACCATCTAAGTTATTTGTTGTTGCTGCTGCTGCACTGAGTAAATTCACTGAATTTAAGCATGTTTAGTCTATGCAAATATCCTAGACGTTGATCATTAACAGCATGAGGGTAGTAAAAGATATACATATAAATCGGCATGGATGTAACCCAGATAGATGGAAATCAGATTTAGAATGTGATCTTCCTTTTGTTGTCGAAAGGCACGATACCGCCTGACCGAGGATTAAATCCTCCTCGTCCACCTCTTCCACCGCGTCCACCACGGTCACCGCCAAATCCTCTGCCACCACCACGACCGCCACGGTCTCCAAATCCTCTGCCACCGCCGCGTCCACCGCGATCACCAAATCCACCACGGCCTCCGCCTCTTCCACCACGTCCGCCACCACCAGAAGCATCACGCGGTTGCGAATAGTCAACTCGAATAGCTCTGCCAGCAATCTCCTGGCCTTGTGCAGCAGCAAATGCTTTCTTCGCACCCTCAATATCCTCAAACTCGACGTATCCAAACCCTTTCATGCGCCCGGTGTCCCGGTCAGTTGGAAGTCGGACGTTCTTCACGCCGTACTCATTGAAGAACTCCCACACGTTATCTTCATTCGCGTCAAAGCTGAGGTTGCCCAAGAAGAGCGTGCTGCTCGGCTCGCTTGTCTCATCGCCAAACTTCTTGGCCCGGCTAGCTGTGCGGTCTGCGGAGGGAGGTTGCGATTTGTCGACGAATATGGCGCGTCCATCAATTTCATGACCAGACATCTCTAGTGCTTTCTCCACTGCGTCTGACGAGGTGAAGTGCACGTATCCGAATCCACGAGACTTGCCCGTGTTGCGGTCAAGCTGGACGTGTGCAGAAACGACCTCGCCACATTCAGCGAACTCGGATGCTAGTCGCTCGTCGTCAACACCCCAAGAAAGTTTGCCAACGAAAATGGACTTTGTGGCTTCTTCGTCAGTGGTAGCGGGAGCAGCGGCTCCATCGGCAAGTTTTATCTTTTTGGGGGGAGTAGCGTCGTCGCCAGAGGCTTTGCGCTTGCCTAAAATAGATGAGAAAAAGGACTTGTGGAGTATGCCAGGGCGTACCATTCACGGCTGGTTTAGCAGAGTCGTCACCCATCTCAACATCCGAGTCCGAATCTGAATCCGAGTCGGACGACTCGTCTTTCTTCGTCTTCTTACCCGCTCCTTCATCGTCAGAATCAGAATCCGAGGACTCGTCATTCGAAGATTCTGCCTTCTTGGGCGCGGCCGCGGGTTTCTTTGCGTCCTCTTTGTCGCTTTCGCTGTCTGATGAGTCTGAAGACGAAGCGTCCTTTGTTGCAGGTATGGGCTTCTTTTGCGCAGGTGCAGATGGTTTCTCTTCTTCGTCGCTTTCGCTTTCTGATGATTCCTCTGAATGATTCAGCTTTTTTAGTTGCAGCAGCGGGCTTGACGTCTGACTCTGAATCAGATGATTCAGAGTCAGAAGAGTCGGATTTGGCAGCGGCTTTCTTGGGCGTAGGTGCTTTCGGTTTGGGTTTCTCGTCCTCCGAGCTGTCGCTGGAGTCCGACTTAGCGGGGGCTTTCTTCGAGCTGACCTGGGCAGCCTTGGGTTTTTCATCTTCGGATTCAGATTCGCTGCTCTCCTCGGACGACGATTCAGACTACCTTGGCCTACATGGTGGGTGAACGTCAGACTTTATTCCTAAGTAGAAGACTTGGAGCAGTACCTTGCCCTTGCCCTTGGGCTTTTCATCCTCAGATTCCGACGACGACTCAGCTTTGGCCTCTTCACGGGCTTTTTCGATTTTTTCGACTTCTGATCACCATTGTAGGTTAGCTCGTATCAGTTGATAAAACGCGGCCTAACACACTTTCTCATCGACCACAGCTTTAACGGCCTTAACAGGTGAAGTGGGCTTCTATCACTGTCTTGAGCCCTAGTATCTCATTTGACGAAAATTTAACATACGGTTCCATTCGTGACAGCCTTTACGGGCTTGTCTACCTTCTTAGACTCCTTCTTCTTGTCGGTCTTTTTGTCAATTTTGGTAGCTTTAGCCATGACGACGGAGAAAAGGGTATGGGGGTGTATAGAGAGGGAAGGAGTGGTTAATTTTGTCAAAAATTTTTTTAGGGAGGGTCAGTCACGTGCGTGAATATATGGTTCACACGGTACATTTCGGGAATTTTGTCCCACCATCGACGCTAACCTCCATGACTGAGAGTTGAACGATATCACAATATTTTTCTGCCCGTATCGACTATAGATTGACATCCATGGACGAATCTGGAGAAGGAAGACTCTTTGCAAGATTCGAGAAATATGCCGAATTTGCGGATATACAACGATCTCTCCTTGCACTGGATTTAACTGTCGTGCCTACAGCGGAAGAAAGTAAGGAAGAGGCAGTCAAGCTGCAGAAGCTCTCAAATATAGTGCGTATGCATTATCAAGAGCGTACCTCCAATTTCTCAAGATCAGTTAGCTTGATGAATATCAAGAACAGTCCTATCTCTTGGATCCGTACCTCGAAGGCCTCGTTGTTCCGGTGGTGGACAGTCTAAAGTCGCATGCACATGCATCAATATCCCATCCTTCAACAATCTTCTCATCAGAACGAGTGCAACGCGTCGCTCTGCTCTTGTACAGATATATCAAGTGCCGTGGGTACAAGACAATAAGTCAGCATTCGTTCGCGTGTAATCGCTCCTGCCTCCCCTAACAAAGTTCCAGTCAGATTTTATCCCCACGAAATCGCGGATCTGTCTATTGCATTGAACTATATGCAAAACGCGAACACTTTAGTGGTCGAAGTAAACCAATGGGCTCTGCGTTATACCTTTTTACTTTGGCTGTCTCTTATCTGCATGCTGCCTTTTGATTTGGCGCAATTTGATGAAGTCGAAGGTGGAAACCAGACAGCCCTTTCCATAGAACACATCGGGAAAGGATTCTTGTCCAATGCTGGCTTAGAGCGCGAGGGTGCTGCTATTATGCTGTCGCGTCTGTACATGAGGTGTGTTTGCGATCCAGTCCTAGAATGTGTTGCTTATTGAATTAGAAAGGATACCCTCACAATATTTCACCTTTATCTGTCCTGGTGTAAAGATACCATCCGCGAGTCCAAGGATCCTTTTACGGTGAACATTATTTCCATATTCGCTTATTGACCTCTAAGCGTGTCATCAGGTTATTGGACTCCTACAGGTACTATGCGAGGTTTTAAAGTCAGGATCTGTGGGACAAGTTGAAGTGGCTCTACCTGATGTTCTTGACATCGCTGCTACTCTGGAGGGTGAATCAACTCTCTACGCTAATACCGTTGTCAGGAAGTATAAAACGAAGCTCGTATCACGCGTAGCGTTACGCATATTACCGGCCAGATCGGCCAGAGGGACTGACAGTCAGGATGACATCGATGTTCCGGACTCGATCGAAATCGTCCTGGAGCAACTCTTTCAGAGTCTCCAAGATAAAGTACAAAATTTTCACCAATTCTTCAGTGCCATACACTGATTGAGTATACCTAGGACACTGTCGTCCGATGGTCAGCGGCCAAAGGCATCGCAAGAATTTCAGATCGCCTTCCAACCGACTTCGCAGATCAAGTACTTGACACAATCATGGGGCTCTTTTCAATTCATTCTGTGGCGGCAGCACGCATATACGATCTTCCTGCTATTGCAGAAAGCACCTGGCATGGTTCATCTCTTGCTTGTGCCGAAATGGCACGTAGAGGCCTCGTTAGCTCGGAGAGACTCCCCGAGTTACTTAATTGGCTTTCAAAGGTTAATGAGCCGAAACCAATGCTTCTATCTGGGCTCACGTTTCCCTCTAGGCACTGTATTTCGACTTGAGGAAAGGTGCTCATTCCATAGGTTCTAGTGTTCGTGATGCTGCTGCGTATGTTATTTGGGCTCTCGCTAGGAGTAAAAATCCCAGCGAATTGGCGCCTCACGCTGAGAAACTCGCTCGTCAATTAGTCACGGTGTCGCTTTACGATCGTGAAATACATATTCGACGAGCCGCCAGCGCCGCTTTCCAGGAACATGTGGGAAGAACAGTGAGTGAGGTATTCATCGTATGCGGATAATTGTATGAAATTTTCCTAGGGACTATTTCCTCACGGAATTGACGTCTTACGCAAGACGGACTTCTACGCTGTGGGCATTAGGCGGAATGCATTTCTCGTTGCAGCGCCTCAAGTTGCTGAGTAGGTATCTTAGTTGTTCTCTAGTTCGGCTGGCTCAACCACCACAGGCATCCGGAATACCGGCGATATCTTTTTGACCACCTTTTGGATGTACCACTGAGGCACTGGGATGCGAACATGCGACAGCTAGCATCTCAGTCCCTTCGTCTCATTTGCCTTTTAGATCTATCAGGATTAGGTCCGCAAGTTTGCTCCAGAGCCGTTCGTCAGTTCATTTATGTATTGCTGTGAACTCATGGCAGAAACAGGCAAAATTACTCGAATCCCCTGATAATACGGATATTCACGGAGGCCTTCTTGCATTGACCGAGCTATCTATTGCCTGCCGTGATCGGGCTTCATCAGAAGTCGAAAGGGAGCAACAAATGCGAGATGTATGTTGCGCGCGCGCGCCGTACATTGTGTCATTGATGTTCTTTCTAGATTTTCAAATACCTTGCAATTGTACCTCACGCTGTCTTGGTAGGATCTCGAAATGAGATTGTTACTGCAGCAGCATGCCAGTTGATCGCAAGTACAATGACGTTGGCGGAGATTAGTATGGGGCCAAATACGTCTGTTCCCAAGTGGAGACAGGTTGTAGACTTTGGTTTGAAGCATCGGCGTGTCCCTGTACAGGAAGCTGCGGCGATGGCTATGGCTTCCATCAGTAAATTGGTGGACTGCTTTACTACTGTTACCAGATGAGTCTTTTTTTTTCTGCTTCTCACATCGTTCATTCATTCTTACGACTCTATCCCTAAACATTGATCCGGGAACTGAGTTCTGGGTCCTTCTCCAGTCAGCAGAGCCTTGGCCGAGTATTGGGTGTGATCGATTACGATTCTTTCCCGAAGTGCTTGCCGGATAGTATTAGCTGCCTTCTAGAGTGTGCCAGACCTTCGGTCAGCGCTCATCACTTTTTTATATCTCGCAGTTTCCTGACTCTGTCTTTAGCCAAAGGCCTTCAGTGCTAATATAGAAGCTCGTCGCAACTGTTATATTGCCATCCCTCAAATCATTCAAAATATAGTTCCGCATCTCGATGACCGTATGTTGATCGTATGTGTTTCATGACAGATCTCTGAACTCCTACGTAGGCGTGTCTCCAGAAGTCTTCGCTTCGTTGTTTGACGCACTTTTGTGTGGATTAGAAGACTACACGATTGATGAACGAGGTGATGTTGGCTCGTGGATCCGGATGGCTTGCGTACGCGGCTTGACATCGGTCTCTGAAATTCTTTTCTCGAACGCAAAGACCATCATCCACTTTGATGATTACTTACCCCCGTTGAAATATCACCTAGCCGTTATCGGGATTCTCAAACAGGGTGTTGAGAGATTGGATAATGTTAGGCAGGACGCCGGAGAGTGTATTCTAAGACTTCTTCGGCTGCCTCTACCAGATGTGAATGACGCCGGACGCTGGCAGTTGCCGAGTTGTGGCTTACTCATGGAGCTTTTTGCATCGTAAGTTTTCAGTTCATCTTTGTGCACTGATTTACAACGTTATATGTCAGTGGCACTGAAACTGTGAGCTGGAGCGATGGACACTGGTTGTTCCCCAGGGCTGTCCGTCTTTTAGAAATCGCAGAATATCGTCAACCGATCCTGAAGGGTCTTGTTATAAGTCTAGGCAGTAAGACGGATAGCATTGTATGTATCTATTCCATCCATCAGTCACCTGTTTACCCTGTTGATGCGAATACTTCTCAGCATCGACCCGTCTCAACAAGTTTGTCGGCATATGCACGATCTTTACCTGCCAGCGGGCCAACAGATGCTTACGACCTTGTCACATTTGCGAATGATTTGATCAAATATGCTAAGGCAAACTTAGGATCTAACAATATCGTCGTGCCAGTTCTCCAGACGTTCAATGTCCTGCTTGAGGCTGGGGCGCTCAAAAAACTTTCATCCGATAATTCCGGCATCAAAAGGTTACTTGATGTTTTTCTCATTATGATCGTTTCTGGCTGACTTTCCTCAGTTTGGATAGTTTGCATCTGATGGCGTCTCAGCATGTCGATCGACTGAAGAGCGTTCAACGAATCCATGAATCCATGAAGATGTGAGTACAATATCAAATTCTGCCCGTCCTACTAAGGTCAAAATTTAAGTGTTATCAATCTCCTCGCATTTGATGTGATGTTTGAACGATGCATCACTAGTCTCCCAAGTTTTCTCGCTCATCGATTCCCCACTGTAAATCTTCGTTCCATTTAAAATGACTTTGTGCCTTACATCATTCACATAGATCCGCTCGGATGCAGCTGAACTTCTGTACCTCAAAATTCAGAGTCTGGACCTCAACAGAGATACCGAAGAAGTAGAAGAGCTATTGTTGGAGACCGAGTGGTGGGCAACTAATAACCGATTTCGAACGATCACTGATGTTCACACTTCGTAGGACATCAAGCGATGTCGAGGCTGTTCGCCAACATGCGCAACATGTAGTGGAATTATTTAAGGGCGAAATATGAATCACTTGGTCTATGTTACGGGCAAGTTAGCATCTGAGCAGATTAGGTGGTTCAGGGTGGCTGTGGTCGGATCGTGGGAAAATGATCGAGTCGTCACTGTCTGGTCAGACGTCTACCATTACCTCCTCTCTTCCGTATCCCTGTCGTATCGACCGTAGAATTTGTGTAATTCAGGAAAATGGTCGTCGACCCCCGCATCAGTGATAAGGATCTGGCCGCTATCAACGCAGCAGCCGTGACGAGAGAATACCGAGTGCAGCCTCATCTCGGTCAGTTCGCTGTATGAATCCCTGGACGTTATCTCATGCGTCGCGAATGCTACAGATTACCGCACCGTTTCCGCTATTAATGGGTAAGTATGGCGCGATTTGAATGTAATCTCTCGGCTCACCGACTGCAGACCCCTCGTCGTACTCGACAACGTCAAAGTGAGGATATCAGAACAAGTGTAGGTGACACTACGCTGACTGTTTGCGCAGTTCCCTTCTTACAATGAAATTGTACAACTTACGCTACCGGATGGGACGACGCGTGGTGGGCAGGTACTAGAGGTTCAGGGGAAGAAAGCCATCGTCCAAGTCTTCGAAGGAACGTCCGGCGTTGATGTTAAGGCGACGCACGTCGAGTTTACCGGTAGTAGCATGAAGCTTCCAGTTGCGGAGGATATGCTAGGACGGATATTCAACGGTTCAGGAAACCCCATTGACCAGGGCCCCAAGGTTTTTGCAGAAGATTACCTGGATATCAATGGTGCGTCCTAGCACCTCCTCTACAGATTCAGCCCTCATATCTTAGTTTCTATTACCTTCAGGCTCACCCATCAATCCTTACTCTCGAATCTATCCCGAAGAAATGATTCAAACTGGTATATCGACCATCGACACCATGAACTCGATTGCTCGTGGTCAGAAGATTCCTATTTTCTCGGCGGCTGGTCTTCCGCACAACGAGGTGAGAATTCACCTTTCGTTGTCGCGTTTCTGTTGTTGACCCGTTCATAGATCGCCGCCCAAATTGTGCGACAGTCTGGCTTGGTCAAACGGCCTACGAAAGACGTACACGACGGCCACGAGGACAATTTCTCTGTCGTCTTTGCTGCTATGGGTGTTAACATGGAGACTGCTCGGTTCTTCAAGGAAGACTTCGAATCCAACGGCAGTTTGGACAGAGTTACACTATTTTTGAACTTGGCGAATGATCCTACAATCGAGCGTATCATTACTCCCCGGCTGGCATTGACAACTGCTGAATACTATGCTTACCAACTCGAAAAGCATGTGCTAGTTATCCTTACTGACATGTCATCCTATGCAGACGCACTACGAGAGGTGCGTCGGCCAATTTTTTGATCACTTCGTGATTAATTGACCAATTGTCTCACGCGTTCAAGGTATCAGCTGCCCGTGAAGAAGTTCCGGGCCGTCGTGGGTATCCCGGCTACATGTATACCGATTTGTCGACCATCTACGAACGGGCAGGGCGAGTGGAAGGGCGAAATGGGTCGATCACCCAGATTCCCATTCTCCACCATGCCCAACGATGGCCAGTTTTTTGTTCTAAATGCGATGCCTAATCTGACTTACTTTGTTAGATATTACGCATCCTATTCCCGATTGACGGGTTATATCACAGAGGGCCAGATCTTTGTTGACCGCCAGCTCCACAATCGTCAGATCTATCCTCCTATCAATGTGCTACCTTCATTGTCTCGCCTCATGAAGAGTGCTATTGGTGAGAAGCTCACTAGGAAGGATCATGGTGATGTGTCGAACCAACTGGTGAGAACCTTTGAGGTAAATGTGCAAGCGTGGGACTGAATGCTCTTCAGTATGCTAAATACGCTATCGGACGTGACGCTGCTGCCATGAAGGCTGTTGTGGGAGAAGAGGCTCTGTCGTCCGAGGACAAACTCGCTCTAGAGTTCCTTGACAAATTTGAGCATCAGTTTGTTGGACAAGGTCCGTATTTCGTTAGCGGGTCTTCTTGTGTCTCACTTTCCCCTGGAACTCGTATATAGGATCATATGAGTCGCGAACTATCTTCGAGTCCCTCGATTTGGCATGGTCCCTTCTACGCATTTTCCCTAAAGAACAACTTAACCGGATCAACCCCAAGATCATTGCAGAGTTTTACGGGCGCAAGCCGACAAAGAAGGCTACAACCGCGGAGCCTGAGGAAGTCAAACCGGAAGAAAGCTAATTGATGCATAGAAAGCGTTTCAGCGTTGATGACAATTATGAGCTGCTTCTAGGACTATTTCCTACCTCCATACCCCAGTATTGTCTTCAACTACCGAGATAATTTTTTTCCCTAGTAGCCCTATTTTCGAAACAGGAGGACGCGGAATCATTGAGTACTGTACTTGGGCCGACTCAGGGACATTACTTTTTCCGCCCAAATTGATCACACATGTACAATTCGTATTCCGGCATAAATGGGGACCCAAAAGGACACACGATCCCAGTACGGTGGACATTCGACTCGGAATTATCATATGGAAGAGCCAAGGAAACTTTCAACACCTCGGAGCATTTGTGAACACACTAATAGAGCAAGTGCGATAAGTGGATGAAAAACAGCACTGTGCAGCATGCCAATCACGAGCGCTATGACGAGAAAGGTATCCAGAACATTCTCTGCGCCATCTCGAGATATGTACTGGTTCCAACTTACCGAGTACGAGAGGCACGGGATAATGATGGCTTCCTTCTGTACACAACGGCTCAGAGTGTGCGGTCCGTGGCAGACGGCAGGAAAACTTGAGCGCTTTATATTCAAGTGGCTGAACTATCAAGACCGGCGGACGCACCGAGGTCTATCCCAAAGATTCCATCTGTGGCCTAGGAGTAAATCTGGAAAGATCCATATTTGAATGAGTTTTCAACCTCGGTACCATTACAACTGTACATACCAGAGGAGGGAAAAAGGAAGGTACCGGAGCGCGGCAAAGTCCCGTCGTAAGTGAGAAATCTGAATGGTTTCAGAGCGAGTGATTCTTGATGATGATGGAAAAGCGAATGTATGTTATAGAATAGCTGTGAGAGGCTTTTGTATAAGAAACTCATTGTGCGCACGCGGTGACAGTGGAGATTGTTTACATCAGGATCGGGGTACCGCCTGTAAGAGAAGGAGGCTCCCCTGGCAGGGGACAGGTTTGTACGGAGCCCGGTGGCCAAAAATTTTTGGGGAGATTCTCTGTTTGCAGACGTCCACTAACAGATGATATATATCGTGATCGATGAGCACTGTGCGCAACCCGGGAAGTGACAGAATTTGAGCACCCTCGGATATATTCATTGTCGCGACGAGCGGCGGAAGGAAGACTCATTGGGATTACCCGGCGGTACGGAGAACAACAGTAGTCAGATGTGGTCAGATGTTACAATCCCCCCTTGGAGCGCTTCCCTTTGTACCGGAAGTACTTGGGCGACCAGTGATGTGATGCAACGGTTATAGGGAATTGAGATCGATCCAACATTTAAATGAATATTGATCAAGGTTAGGCATTTATATAACAAGGGAACAAACCATTGACAAGGACCGAGAATAATGCCTGGCGACATGACCGAATGTCCGGCGAAGCGACGAGCAAAGTAGACAAAGGAGAATCGGAATTTCATCCGAAGGTAACTGCAGAATGCAGTCTCGACTGATGATCCCAGCAGCCACAGGCCTGGAGATAGGATGACGCCACGAACCATCCCGTGGACAGGACGATGCCGTGTAGGGGGCCTGTTGGCGATAAGTATGGCCCTAGAGAAGAGGTATGCGTTAAAAGGAAATAGCTGAGCACGGAACAGAACGAACTGGGTGGAACGAACGATCAAGTACTGATTGGAACGGAATTGGAACGCAAGCGGTAAGACAATTCGGTGATCCATTGATTTGGTGACCCTTGCCGTACCAGTGCCATACCCTTGGGAACACACGAGACATGGAAAAAAGACATAGATGGCAAGTGGAAATAATCAAGGTTTTAACTTTGTAAAATACGGAAATAGGCACGAGGCATGATATCCGTAGTCTACCTGTTTCCGGGTGATATATGGTGTTAGGAAGGTATGATAAGGGCCAGGGTCCTACATGGAGAAGAGTAGAACGGGAAGAAGAGATCCAGACAGTGGCATGAGTGGCAGGCAAGATAAAAATGTAGAAGTAGTATGTAATAGGGAATAACGTGGTTCGCTCAACTGGGCAAATGCGGACTTGGTAAAATTTATGCAAACGCTTGTCGCCACCTGCAGCCATGTGTTCAGATATAAGGCGGTAATACTAAGGGGTGCCTTCATTCCTAATATATATTCTCCCTCGTTCTCTTCCCTTTCCCTCTCTCCCCTCTCCATGGACGATCCCCATGGCTTTCCTTACAACCGCAAACGCAAAGCCGACAGTGACGACCAGGATCCTTCGTCGAACGATGCTGTAGTCGACGCCATGCTCGTCGACCAGCCGCCCTCAGGAGTGTCCTGCAACGCCCCACGACAGTCCTGGTTGAACACAGGCGCCATTTGGGATACGGGAGACTCACAGCTCGCCAGCCCTGCCAAACGCCCGCGCCACGAAACAGCAAAGATGCCTCCGAGAGCAATGCCGTCAAGGCGTCTCGCTTTGGCACGGAAATTCCCAGTCAAAATGCCCCCAGCAAAGCCGCCGCCAATTGATAGATATGGCAGCGACGTCGAGGACCTTGGCACTGTATGCGGTGCAGATCCTGGGCCGTCGACCGGTTCTCTCCTTCATCTCAGAGACACCCCTGTGGTCGCGAAATGTGTCTCGCGGCTGCCACAGCTCCCTGACGCTGCCCAGCCCATTCATATTGAAGCCAATTCACCGCAATATACCGCCCCAGCTGCCTCTGTTAACAGACAGAGTCTGAAGGAGGTTAGATCTGGACGTCATTCTTCGCAGCCCACACTTCGTGCGTAATTACATCTGTCGCTACTATATGCCTTCTCAACAGTCGATTTCACACAGGCCCACGACTTGCTCTTTGATCCGGTCTCATTTCCGACCCACAGGCAGCAGACGGAACGCGAGCTTTCTGAAAGTACTGGAATGCAGTCACTCAGGAACTTGAGTCAGGTTGCACATGTATATCAGCTTCGACGTGCATAGTCAACCTCATTTACCCGTCGTTTGCTTGTAATCATTCTTCGCCTTCCGATGTCCCCGTCTCCGTACTTTCACCTTCTCTTCGTGTTGTAACGCTGCGAATGCCGTCCCGCATTCGGCCACTCCTTTCAGAATTTCTAGAGGTCCTTCTTCTCGTTCTACAACCCCTCTCAAGTATATCTGGCATGTACGTAAATCCTGGATCCTTCAAATCCCAGATCCAGGAACATACGGCCCAGGCCAGCCACATTCGCTCTATATTCGATCCGTCACTCATCGAGCAAGAGCTTAAGCATCGGGTTTTCGACCCTTCGGGATTGTTCCGCTCTATTGGTTCCACGCTCAAAGCCCACTGCGCTCCCATAGGGACCAGGCAGTAGATGGCATGGTCGAGGCGGCTGAGGCGTGCAACCTGGCAGCCAGATCGGCAGGGCGGATCCTATCAAGGCTATTCGGCTTTGTATGGACATCTTAGAACTCATGAAATTGGTTAGCCGCCGCATTATTTTTCCAATTCATATTCTAACCCCACCTTCTCGTTAGACATCGCGAACCATCAGCTGCAAACTTTGCGTCCCTATCTGAAGCGAACGTCAGGTCATTGGGAACTCAAGACCTTCAAAGGCCTCAAGCTGTATTCCTCCTTGACTGTGACTCGGGAGTGGATATGGCGATCGCACTCATCTATGCTTTCCCATGCAGCTGTCTTTCTTCACCCGTCGTACTCGGACGGCCTTAAATACCCTCAATTGAAACGAAATCAGCAAATTTACATCGCTGGCCCTCAAGGGTCTTACTGATCTTGTTTTTAAACCCGCCAACACGCATCTCCCCGTCGTCATTGCCTAGCCCTTCTTCTACACCTCCGACATCCCCTACTACTCCACTTCCGGGCTTCCCAGAAACGTGCTATCTCGATAACAACCGCCTAGTGTTACTAGCGCAGATGTTGCTGATGTGACAGCAATGTTCATGTTCTTCTTGCTTTTGTACCGACAGTTGCTGTGCTCAGGAAACGCGCCCTAACTCCGCACCAACGAACTCCCAAGGTAGACGAGGCGTTTTTAGTGAAGCTTAAAAATGAAATTCGGGACATTGGATCCTCTCGCATCGGCTACTGTTCCTTGGACAGGATTCCTCCAAGGACAGTGATGAAAAATGGTTACGCGTAAAACAGGACGTTGTCCTGCAGATTTGCTATGCGAGCTAAAGAGAGTCAAAACAAAGCTTATTATCATCTCTTTTCTCGCCCTACATTATCACCACAATATCAGCACCCTCATCTCCACTTTCACCAGCGCCACCTCCGCCTTCATCACCTTCGCCGTCCCCCGCATCTTCATCACCACCTTCCCCTCACATGCGGCCTTCGTGTTTATCTATCGGTCCTCCTCCAGACGAGCAATTCCTCAGCGTCGCTCAAAAATGGGCAGATCTCCATATCCAACCGAACTCACACCTCACAATAATGCTTCGTAATCGCCTTCGCGACGTCGTATTTAACGCCGTTGTCGCTCTCTGCTACCCGGGCAGGGACTCCTCAACTGGACAGCTGTCGTCTGTTGATTTCTTCTCGATGATTTCCTCCACTTCACGGTCAACCGTGAATATCGGAACTGCCACCGGTATGGAACCTCTAGCCGAGGAGATTCGTACCCTCGCGGAGAAGATATCCCGGCTGGCGCTCGTCCACCTCAATGCATACTTACCGTTATACGAGCATCCCAAATTTTTGTCGTTGATGGCGTGATATACAAACTGCGCCTTTCACCCTTCACCTTGTAATAATCTTTAGTTTCATCACTTATCAGCATCTTCGAACCCGGACGATTTCGTGATACCTCTTCATCAGGCTCATAATTATTACCACGCATTATCCTTTGGGCATCTTCATTTTTTAACATCCTTGTTTATGGTTGGCATGCTACTCATGGCGGTGTACGAGACTAATTTTAGCAGTTGAAAGCAAAATAATACATAGCATCGGTACATATACATTGCGTACATTAAATAAACAAATCAATAAAAAAACGCAAATACCCAAGTATGCCTAACCGGAGCATTTGGAATATGGAAGACGAATCAGTGCGACTTCTATTACTCTCATACAGCAGATATCGCGGCAGATCAAAACATGGCTGAAACGATTTAGAGAAAAAACGAACAACGGAAACTCCAGATTTGATTGAAAAGAAGGACCGTGGCTGCCATGATTGCTCCGCCGCTTAAGGTCAACTGAATTAAAAGAAATGGCGCGAAAAGGAAACACCACACCATTATTTGGGTGGGTCTTTCGCCTTTAGGTATTTCATTGACTTACGGGACACGAGGTCGTGTAGGCAAATCTGTTGATTGATCAGGTACATATGCACATTCTTGCCGCGACTCTTTCTGTCCGTCACGCCAAAAGGATGCGTGGCGTCGCGAGCCCTCGGCACTTTACTAGAGGAATTGAGAGTACCGTAAACGTGAAGATGAAAAGGCATGGATGTAGGACCAATCCTCTAGCGTCCGATACTCTCCGAGCTCCATGAGACATCCGGTAATGAAGCGGACCAGGGGAAGATAGCTTCCGGGTCAGCTGATAGAGATTTACAGCAAAAGGACGTTGCTGAACTGTAGTAAAAGAGGCCGAGACAAAATATGGTCAAGGCTTCTCGCGTGTTTGTCGCTATGTTAGGACAGATGTTTAATGTCAAATCACTGCGGTATCCAGAGCGAAGCAAATTTCAGGTCAGAGTTATCCTTTCATATAAGGTGCGGGTAAGCATTGCTTCGCCTTCCTTCCTGAAATGCTGGTAGAAGACCCATCGGAAGGATAACAGCCGCGGCACGTTCGCGTTACCACGCCCAGAAGGCATGTCCTTGACATTGTGAGATTCCGTGGCACACGCTAAGGTCTTCGAGGGAGTCCCTGTGTCCTGAAGGAGTTACCTTTATGACTAGAAATTACCTAGTGGAATAGAACTCCATCTAGCAAGATGGGAGCATACAAACCATTGTACTTTTCCCTATCCGATAATCGGTTTTCAATACAGTCACTCCACATTAGCAAAGTTCAGCCACTGTCCATCGAAATAACGTACTCTGAAAGTCGAATTAAGCCATATTTTACTATTTGTTCCGTCACATTGTTGCAGCTTCTACAGAAAAACAACCTCGGTTCCGGGTGTTCTTCGGCCACGCCAGAGCCATCGCCCCGTGCACAGTTTCCGAGTCCTATAAGGACCTATGCTACCGCCGAAGTCTCCGCAGAGCACACTTTTCGCCTGACACACTATCAACACACGGGAGACACGAAATATGATGTAAAAAGAAAGACGAGACTCGAGTTCCACCATGTCTTCCTTCACGTTATCAGAAACTGCGTTGAATGAAGACCCAAAATTATCTTGAGAAGCATGACAGTCAGTGCCATACGCGGGCCGTGAAGCCCAAGATGTCTGGGTAACACACATATCAGGAGATATTTCGATATGTGATTAGAACAGCTTCACGATTATCTTGGCACCATATAACGGTCGATGCCGGTCTACGAAGCAGAGGAGATCCGGTCGTCTTGGATCGCAGTATCTTAGAAGATGCGTAAGAAAGGGATGATTGCAAAGCCAATCAGGACAGACACGCACCGGGATAAAATAAACTGCACACTTTTCTGCTTCCTGTTTATCGAGTTCAGTAGAGGGGAGGTAAGCATAGCGAATCCAGACGTTCTTCATTCTTCATTGATAACTTAACCTGCTCACACCAAATGAATCAGGAATCCTGGATGTGCTTGCTATGATGGTCACATCGAAGTAGAATCACGACGGAAAATAGCAGTGAGAAAATGATCCCAACCTAAAGCAGTGAATATGAAGAGCGGCGTCTCAGGGTTACTTGAGGAGTGAGTATACGGGCCGTGAGATGGTTCGGCGTTCAGTGTTATTGAGGAAGTCCCGGGCACCTGGAGTCTGTTAAGCAAGCCTTGTGAGCAGACCCTTGGATATTGAGAGAGCGTCGGTATTCGGACGGGTAGAGAGATTCTGAAGAAAAGGAAGAAGATACGTCTCCTATTGGAGCTGGTCGTCAACACCAGACTCACCATGATGCTCTGGCCAAGCTAGTTAGGAGTCACCTTCGAGAAGAACGCACGAGAAGAGCCGCCGAATTGTCAAATTGTGCGAAGCAAACGCATGCAACGCGATGGACGTCTAGGGTATCATCATGTGTAAGTATCACCTAGGTATCGCCATGTACGGCAATATTGCAAGCAAAAATATTCTGCGTGTTGCTCAAGCGAGCTCACGTCACCCGGCGCTCATGCATTTAAGGAGCTAATACCTAAGGAGTAAGTAATACTCTTTGACGCTAGTGTGTATGGCCTACGGAAATATGAATGCACGATGATAGGTTGCTGCTTGGCGGGTCTTCAATATTCAATTATAAAAGCCGCCATTCGTCAGGATAAGGGCAGCCAGAAGGTCCAATGATGCATGGGAGAGCTGATTCAACGGAAATATCTTTACAACCTAACCGTACGGGGCGCGGGAGGGTGGGAAGTCGCCACAGAGCAATAGTGCCGATGAAAATATGCAACCCTGCTCGAATCTAATGGAAAACGCACTTTTCATAATTAGCATAGTATGACATCGCCTACACAATATGACAACACACAGAGAAACTGAGTGATTGATGTTTAACGCGGGCAAGAGAACAAGGACACAGCACATTGCCTGGTGGTTCGCACATCGTTCTTCAAGTCGACTAGCAGGCGCACAAATTCATCAAAATGGAACGCAACAGTACTGTGGAAGCCTTGACATGAGGAAGCACTCCAGGCGACCCTAGACAGCTCCTCAAACCAAGACGGTAATCTCCGGAAAATTTGAACGGAAACTCTTGAATGATTATGTATCATTTAGTACATTAGCTATATGCGGATGGTAGAAACTCACCGCATTATGACATTGGGCGGTTGGCAGTAGAAACCCGTTAAGACCTTGAAAAGGTTGGTACCTCGTCCAGAAGGCGCGTACAATTTCGGACGAGTACCCAGTCACAAAGGGGAAAGGATCCGAAAATGCAGGAATCTATTTCTACCTTCTCGTGAGATAAATACCGTGCCTTGTGCATTTACCCACTGCCATACTTCACAGGATCTGAATGCTGGCCGTTGCGAACTTCGAAGCAACTTCGAAGACGTTCACATGGTGGCAGTGCATTCAATGGTCACGCTTCACAACACCAAAAAAAGTCAGTCGGCGATCTCGAACTACAACCATGATGGCACGACGAGTTGGGCCCACTTCATTTCGCCGTATCGCAGCGGGCCCCACCGCTATATCAACGCCTTTTACCAAAGGAGCTACCTCAGATATGAGCCATTCGGCCCGAAAACTTTCAGGGATTTAACGAACTTCAGCTTCCTTGTGTCTTCTCTGAGGTCCGTCAGTGCATCATGGCCAATGAGATACTCAGTTATCTCGGTGATACACCTCGAAGCCTAGTCAATTATCTAGTCGGCATCTTTACTCTTTGACACCTGATGTAGTGAAGAATTTTAAGGCGATTCAAAACCAAGTGGTTCCTAATACCTATTACTCACATTAGTCTTGTTTTGTCGACGACAAACCGGCCATCGGGTTGACGACGTGTTGCAAGGAATACTCGGTGGTCTAGAGCATTGGTTGCACTTAACCCTGATCTGTCGATGCCGAAAAGCGAATAGCCTCTCTTTTGTGTAACGAGCTTGTACGTCCTCCTTGCATGTGCTCATCTTCTCCTGTGACGTCTTCCTAGGAGTCCATCTGTTCTTGAATTTTACGAGAAGAATGGACGTTTATCTGGATAAACACGTCTTGCTGTGGAGTTGAAAGATATATCTTGCTTCCAGATAGATGCGTAAATCATTGTGAAGAAGCAAGGATACTACCTTTTATTATTGCCCCCTTCTCAGTCTTCTCTTCCCCATACATACTCGCCTATCTCCTGACTGGGGTCAACTGCTCCAGTATCTTTAGCCTACTGTTGTCTTCGCTGCGACATGATAGTATACGGGCGATGGAAACATCTGAACAAATGGATTTGGGCACATCCTCATCATTAGAACCCCATTAGTCTCAGCGTAGCTTATCTATGGATTCGAAACGCACCCCGGCTTCAGAACAGGTATCCCATCTTCTAACTCCTCCGGATATCCATTGCACAAAAAACGCCCATCTATCAACGTCTTCACCTTGACACACTCCCAGAAGTACGGCGAAACGGTATCTTTCTCCTTCATGACGCATTACTTATTGAGATCGGCTTCCTTCGTAGGTGTTCACGCCATGTCATAAACACTGACCGACATTACAATGCGGAATATTGTCCCCGCATCTTGGCGGTATACCCTCGAACGCGGGAAAGTCGTAGGTTCGGAACGGAGAAGGGTGAGGACCCGGCGAAGCGCAGGAGAATGGATGATCCCGAAGAGAAAATGACTCGGGAGCTGGCATTCTTTCTTCCGACAGTTTTTCACTGTGTTATATTTCTTCCAGTTGCCATATGCTCGACATTGTTTGCTGCACAGAATCCCGTTCAGGATCGAGTAACGGCATCCAGGATTCCGCGATGAACCTCCGATGTTGTTCAGAAAGACATCCACTGCAACCCGTTGCGGATATAGGAAGCGATGGTCTCCCAGTGGAAGGAGAACGCGGTCGGCATTTCGGACCGCGCTACCGATATCCACTTGCTCAACCTTCACTTGGTAGGGATAACATGACAAGGTTTGAGCTCTAGCCTGCTTGTTCAATGATTTTATCGACTTCAGAACACCAGGTCCTCGAGTCCTGAAACTTTACGGAGGAGATACCGACAAGCGAGGGAGGTTTCGCCTTATAATAGAAGGGGCGGACATCTTCAAGCCCAAGGATCTCTTTTGTGACTCTCACATCCGTAAGATTTTTACCGACGATACTGCGATTCAATGACTAGAGCGCCTGGAAAAAATGTGACATTACGTGCGTCATATATGCCTCACGACTCCCCCCCTCGTTCCCCAGGTTTCCATGGCGTCTATCAAGTTCCAGCTCATGAAGACAAGCGTTGTCACTTTGAAGACATGGGCGCATCGTCATCCCCAAATGGGTTGAAGCGGGTCTTCGGAATATGTCTAAACATGACAGACGGCAAAATAACGTTGGTAAAGTGAGCGATTGTCGGTAAGACACCGTATTGCTTCGGTAAAATTCTTTCCTGACTTGGCTAGAATATCAGATTACAAGTTTACCGCATCAAAGTAGTCGCCGCCAGTGTACTTAATCGCGTTGGCACGATCCCAATTGGTCGCAGCAGTCAAGTTAAGTCCCCAATATTTCGCGTTTAGTTGGCACATGCGTGATAGTACCCAAGACAGCCTACATACGTCCAGTCTTCATCTTAACGGATGCTGGAGTAGAGATTCGTTACTTTTATACGTAGTGAAGAAACACGTCGACTTGGTTAGTGCCCTGCTAAAGTATCCTTGCTATGTAATTTTGACGGTTGCTATAGGTCGACGCCTACGTAGACAAGGTCAACTGGTTCGCAAACGGTGATGAACCTACCATTGGCGAACCTAAATGGAAATGACACCTGCGTTCCTCGCTCGGTCTATTGTCACCAAGTACATAAACTCTCCAAAAGGGTTCGTGAGTAAGGATATGCTCTGTGCCACTTCGAATGGGGATCGTTTCGTTCCCACTCTGCCTCCCACATCTTACGCTGGAATAAGAACGAAGGGCGGCACACTGCATGTTCTCCTTATATGGATTCTCTTATTTGAACCTTCCATTCCACAGGCCTGACTGTTGTCGCATCTGGTGGCGCTCGAGCATTTATTTGTCTTTCTTCAAGCGTCTGATGCCTCAATCTCAATGATTTCGGTTTGCTCTGGTGCCTGAGCTTTTTTGGGAGACATTGAGTATCGATGATACCGAAAATCACTTCGGGCGCGGCTGTGAGTGTTCCACTTACAACTATCTGTTGGTCAGAAGGTGTGATGCGAGTCCATTTCGTGTACTAGCGAACGCTATTCTATATGAACCCCTACACAGGCTCCGAAGAATGGATTCGAACAACTACTGATTTGGGGTGCCTTCTGTTGACGAGATGGATCCTTCAAAACCCTTCATAGTATTGGCATGCCAATTGTGTTGATAAACTTTGTCAGTCTCAGTTAGTTGCCTTCAGCTACGGCCAACACTTCGTGCTACCTTCAGAATCAAGACGGGGCGACTCATCGAAGTTTAATGGACGTTAAATCCTGCGATCTGATCATAAATCTTACCGCAGTGCCTACAAAGTTGGGGATACCGGCTGAGATCAAGATGCTCTTTCTATCGGAACGCTGCCCTATGATATGTTGCATCACGCAGTCAAGATCGCTCAACAAGACTGAGTCATTATACTGGATAGTAATGGTACACAGCAGGTTTTTTTCCGGCTGCGACCTTCTCATCTCAACACATAAAAGTATATGATAGCTGTATTCTCTCAACGCTAGGCCTTTGTACGCTGTAGGAAATTCTCGGTTCATCGAAAGTTCCAGGAACGGCAAGTATCAATGAGCGGCGTCGGATTTTGATCAGCATCCACACGTTGTACAGGGAATGTGATTCCCCTTGTCCTAATTTTCACGACAAAATCTAGTCAGTGCTGTTTGAAAATCGACTGGCTGGACGTGCAGGTTTGTTTTGTTTTTGGTGCATTCAGCCTGCGCGTGTTTCATGAGGGGCACTCAGGGTATCAACCTCTCCCATCACGAAATCAAGTTACCCTGATCATAGATGGGCGCCCACGGGAAAAGTTCTCAAATAAACAGATGTTAGAAATAGCTTTCGTCCCTTTCTTCGTCTCACGCCCCTTGCTCTTCTTGTCTTTCTTTTCCCTCCCCAATTCCCCGCTGGTCGACCCTCAAAAAGGTTTCACTTCTCAATGGTTGCGTACAACCCCGTCCTTCGTGGCAAGTGGACGTCGAAGAAGTTCAGTGCTACCGTGATCAATGACATCTGGCCGGAGGTGTTGTTCTTCACCGCCGTGGCAACCAGTAAAACTCTGCTCATGCACTAGTTTTTCGTCGTTTTAACCCTTATTTCTGCGTAGTGGTGACGTTTGTATCTATCAAAACACCACATTCTTTGGCTGTTAACCCCCAATTGTTGACTGTACTGGGTACTGTTCTCGGTTTGGTAATATCGTTTAGGACATCCTCTGCATACGAGAGGTACGTTGTCATCTGTCTTTGCTTCAGTTCGTTATCCAACAGATGCCGTTAGATACCAGGAAGGAAGGAAAATGTGGTCAAATATATCGATCACTTCACGGAATCTTGCCCAAATGGTGCGTCCTGTTCTTAAAAACAAGCCTCACATTAGGGCTGACATCACGTTAGATTTGGATTCATATTCCAAATGATAGACCATTGAAGCCAGATGGGTCTAGGCTGACCGCACTCGAGAGTATCATCGAGAAAAAGACCATGATCAATTTGATTCAAGCATTTTCTGTTTCTGTCAAGGTATGCCTTATTGAGCATCCTTATTATACTACGTTTTTCTCATCCTTGGTGGGCTTGAATAGCACTACTTACGAGGAGAGACAGGGGTGTATTATGAAGATCTCTACCCTCTCATCTCGTTGTTACCCAAATTTGCATCAGAAACGGCAACGGACTGTACCGACATGCTCCCTCTCTGGCAGGCATCCGAAGAAGATGAACATCCCTACGACCACAAAATCCACGCTATGCCATCACCAAAAGCGGAATCGGCTCTTCCCAGTCTTTCCGCCTCTCCTGCTCCTTCATCATTAGGCTGGCACTCGTTCGGGAAACGCACTCCAAAACCCAAAACGTTCGACCCGGAGAAAGCTCTTCCTACTATCTTCAGTCATCGACCCCTCAAACCTGCTCGTAACCCTCCAAAGACCAGTGTTTACGACTACGTTCCCTTTCTTCTTATTTTCAAGTGGATCGCAAAACAATTTACTCGAAAGAAGAAGAGCGTCATTGAAGGCGCATCACGAAATGCTCTCGGGAGAAAGATTAGGCCAAAAATCGAAGAAAGCAACGTGCCCTTACAGATTACCACCTATCTGTCAGATTACGCCAATTGTCTGTCTTTCTCTTTTCAGATTTCTGTTGCTTGTTAAGCTATTTTCATAGATATCATGCGTTCTGGCGTCCTGATGCCACCTATTGCGGCTGGTATCGTCAACAATATTGGGGCACTCCAAGATACATTAACCCACCTTGGACGAATCGCGAATACACCGCTTCCATTTGCGTATCAAATGCACCTGCGAATGTCCCTTTGGGTATACCTGTTCCTCCTTCCAGTTCGTCGTCTCCTCTTTGCTCTGACCGCCTCTGACATTTTTATGGGCAGTTCCAAATCTTCGACAACTTCAAATACCTGACGATCCCCGGAACGGCGTTTTCATCCTTCCTTCTACTCGGTTTCCTCGAGATTGGCCAGGAAATGTATGTAAGACCACTGTTGAAGAAGAACGGGTACTCATTATTCCGTCAGTGAAAATCCATTCAATTATGATCTCAACGACCTAGACTTGGATGGATTTTGTCTGTCTATACAACGAGAACTTCAGGAAATCACCGCCCACCCGCTGCCAGACCCTTCTTCCTTCATTTTCACTGCCTGGAACCAACCCTTCGCACCTGGAGATCGACGTACCGCAGCTGAACTTGTCAAGGGTGACACAGAATATCGACACGCTGAGGACGAACACCAAGGGTTGGGAAGCATCAAGCAGACGCTTCTGCGCAGCTGGAGGGACACGGATGACTTGACTAGAGAGAAGAAGTAAAATGCATGGTTCTTCATTTGACTTGTCAATTATAAAAGGTCGGCTGGTTCGACCATTCTGGGACAGCTATTTTATCGGTAAACTGCTACTGTTACATGACCTACGCAATACAAATACAAGGGAAGACAGCTAAGTCGGTACCGCTTTATGAGCTCGAAGTTAAAGTTTTCTTGAACCAATCCACGGTCTGTTGCAAGGCGCCTTCATATGCCTCCTTCACCTCAGGATAGTCAATGTTTGGGCGTGCTGCAAAGCCGTGGGTTGTGCCTTCACAAGATATGTCAGTAAGAATGCTCCAGTGACACGAAAGAACTGACCCTTATAGTCTCTGAACTCATATGCAACTCCGTCCTTCCTCTCGGCCATGGTTGCCTCTGCCTTCAATCGGAAGTCATGACTAACGATCATGTCGTCTAAGAAGATGTCAAAACTAGATGTAGACTGCAACATGAACTGACGCACCCTCAGCACATACCCACGAAGAGGGGTCCTAGACAAATCCAGTTGAATGGAAACGGGCGACACTATGTAAAGAGTATGACCTTGATGGCTTTCAGCTCATCGATACTAAATCTTCCGGGATGGCAGATGACAAGGGTATCGAAGAACCCAGTGGAGCCAAACCTAATGGCAGTGGCTCCACCAAAGCAGTACCTGTACCGGCGAGTGAAAATCTGTAGGCATAGAGAACTGTATCATCCGGAGATTTACATACCCCACGGCCCCGATTTTGTCATAGTTCTTAGTCGATTTGAGTTTATCCATGAACTGTAAAGGAAAAAGCATAAGCATCAAAAAGTCCGACTACTAGTCCCATAAGACACGGACACTTCGAACTCTCTGATCGGTAACCGAAGGCCTATTGCGGAACATAGCCGGAAGAGTGGGTAATGCGACCAAAATAATCTTTATCCACCCCCACAGGGAGGGCCTTTGGCCTGCACGTTCTGGCATCATCATCTGTTCAGGCCTGACGGGTGGATTTCCTGAACAAGTTACATCCAGGGTCACGAAGAGAGGGAAAAAATCTCACCATCGAACAAGTCGGGGACATATACGTCGCAGCCCAGCTGCTCTGAGAAGAAATCTGCCAGAAGTTTGGGATTGGGAGGGCCGAGACCAAAGATATCGGTTAGTAGCACCACAGCGTGGGACGAGCCAGTAGGACCACTAGCTAAGTATGCGCCATTAACGTCCGAGAGCGTTCCTTTGGGTTCGCCAGATAGGGCTGCGCCTTTATAACAGTCCGGACAGCTCATTGTGAGTGTGGGAGTCAAACTCGAACGATGCAGGGAGCTTTAGGCTAATTTGTTTAGGGGTGACCTAATTAGCTTAACGATCACGTGTACATGTTCACGCTCGGACCATGATCGCGATTTGCGAGGGCGTAAGAGGGCGTATTCAGAATAAACATACAAGTATTTCGTACGAAGATAAAATCCGGAAATATTCTCTGTCAAACTTGGCTGAATATAATCACATTATGTTAAAGCAAAGAAAATGTCGTGTATGAGACATGGTATATGTAGGCTTGATACTGGAGTTATTAATCCAGTAACGTCTTCTTGAACCATTCAACAGTCTGTTGCAAAGCAGCTTCAAAACCTGCCTTAACCTCTGGGTAGGCCAGGTTTGGGCGAGCTGCAAATCCATGAGTGGTCCCTGAAAAGTCATTGAGTTCGGTTTGAATGTCACGGAGTAGTCTGAAGACATACCCTTGTGCTCAATGAACTCATATTCTACATAATTATCTTTACCCCTTCTTCCCGCAAGTTCTGCCTCGGCAGCAGCGCGCGCATCAGGTGTGAAGGACATATCCTCTAAAAGGACAAAGTGAGACTACTCCCAAACGCACAAATAAAGATCATAAAAACCTTCAGCACAAGCCCACGACGAAGGTACCTGAGATCATGTCAGTTTCACTGACAAAAATTCTTTGAAGACGAATACCTTGATAGCCTTAAGCTGTCCAATGGGCACTTTACCGGGATGACAGACAACAATGGTATCGATGAGGCTCGTGCCTCCAAACCTCACAGCAGCGTTTCCTCCGAAACAATATCTGGAGTCAAGTTGAATTCCCAGTGAAAAAAAAACCATGGGGGAGACTGACCCGACGGCGCCTAACTTTTCATACTTTTTCTCCGCCTTCAGTCTTTCTATGAACTGAGATCACGCATCAGAAGCCTAGTAATTATTATACAGATTGAGTTACGCACCGTGGTCACCCTCCGATCCACTACACTTGGCCAGCTATGAATAATTAGCGGCAGACGTCTCAACGCGAGCCAGATAAATGAGAGATATCCAAAGAATCCTATTTTCTCTCCAATACGTTCTGGGACTTTCATTTCATGCACCTCAACAGGAGGCTTGCCTGTGGAGAAACATAGTAAGTGAACCTAGAACACTCAATTGCTAGATCAAGCTCACCGTCGAAGAGATCCGGAACCCATACATCGCATTTCAGCTGTTCAGCAAAGAAGTCCGCAAGAATCTTGCTGTTTTTCAACCGAAGACCAAAGATATCCGTGAACAATATCACAGCACGCGTCGAGGGTTCGGCACTTTGCGCGTAGTAAGCACCCTGGATGGATATCGTTCCTGTTGGTTCGCCAGCCAAAATCTCGCCTTTGAAGCAATTTGGACAGCTCATTGTGCACACAAGAGTGGAGGGAAAGGAGCCCTTTAGACTGATATTTACATGCCGGAGGAAGGCGCAGTTTATATAAATAGTGCGAGCGGATGAGCGGTTGGAAAAAGCCAAGTCATCATACTTACGTCAGGTACTCACGAACTAGGGTTCCGTTTCGCCAATATGTCCGTATCTCCTTTCTATATTTTAAGCTCTATGCTCCTTAATATTGTCTCTCTTCTCCACCTCCCTACTCATCATGTCTTTAAGGAACCGTTTGGGCTGGCAATGGATTCAAAGATGGTGGAGAAAGCCTGTTGAAAGCGCAGAGAGCTCCCTAACAGAGGCAACGGTTCATCAAGCATACATGCCTCAAAGCACCCTTATTGTCAACAATGCTCGACTCGCGCACACAGACAATGAGATGGCTGAGCAACTGTGGACAATAGAATGCAGAGGAGGGAAGGTGGAGCGTGTGTCGCTATCGGACGGAAGCAATGATGTCGTGCCTCTGCCGGACGTACACGAAATTGATGCGAAAGGGAGCTTGCTGTTACCTTCGTGAGTAGCGTCATTTTACCGAAGAACATCGGACCATAATGCGGGCAGCCTCTGTCATTCTCACATTCATCTCGACAAGTGCTTCATTCTGGACCGCTGTAAATGTGAAATCGGGTATGTTTTCCTGGCTCTTGGCGTCAATATCTGACGTGCTATGGTCAAGAGATTTTACCGAGGCCATGAGGGTAACAGCTCGCGCCAAGCAGGTCTTTCGTGATGATCCAGACGATCTTCTTCAGCGCGGAAGACGACTGGTACGCGAAAGTATCGAATGCGGCGTCACTTCAATGCGAGCTCATGTTGAGGTCGACTTCATCGTTGAATTATCCTGTCTCGCAACGGCGGTCAAACTGAGAAACGAATTCAAAACAGCGTGTAATATACAGATCGCTGGTTAGCTCTCGCACCTTTCTTTGACTTGAATATTGCTCATTATAGTAGTCTTCGCGCAAGAATCGTTGTTTGACTCGCCCACGGATACAACGCCTGGTTCCAACTATCATTTTCTGAAGCAGGCTCTCGAGGATCCTGAAGTAGAAGCCGTTGGTTCAGCCCCTTACGTCGAGTCAAATATCGCCCAAGCGAAGAAAAATATTACTTTGATCTTGGAGCTAGCAGCTCGAACAGGTCTGCACGCCGACTTTCATCTAGACTATAATTTAGATCCAAGTACCGAGCCTCTTATTTGGGAGGTTATCCGAGAAGCGAAGAGAATTGGCAGTTGGATTCCCACTGACAGTGAATCGTACCGGTGGCATAACCATCGGACATGCGACCCGTCTGCAACTCTTCACTCCGGACCAGTGGCAAGAACTCAAGGAGGCTATCGGCAAACTCCCTATTACGCTCGTCAGTTTGCCAAACTCCGACTTGTACATGCAAGGCCGCGAGGACAGGGATAAACCTCTCGGTCCGCCAAGAAGCACACTCCGCGTTCCTTACATCGCTCGTAAATACGATTTGCAGGTTGCCATGAGTGTCAACAACATTGAAAACGCGTTTACGCCTCAAGGATCGATGGATCCACTTGCCTTGTGTACCCTCGGCGTTGCCCTCTTCCAGTCTGCCACTCCCAGAGATATCAGAACCCTAATAGTTGGTAACGTCCTACATTGTCAACCACGCTATGTTCACGTTATTGCACTAGTGTTCTGTGACACTGACTTCTAAATGCGCACTTGGGATAGCGCCAAGCGACCTACCCCAAGACCTGTTCCCACAAAAGGGCGATCCTGCAGACTTTGTGATCATCCATGGAACTCAGACCCTATATCAAGCTGTTCTCAACCCCAGCTATGATCGAACGACGATTCGTGGTGGCGTAGTTGTGGCCCGACGACTAACCAAGAAATGGGTTATGTGTAACCAACCTCGAGCTGTTGACGAGTCGGTTCTTCCTTGGTACAGACGCGTCAAGTGGTCATATATGCTGTTCCCACCTTTCTTATTGTATGAATTCCTCGTTAAGTCGAGGTACGTCTGTCTTGATGCATTAAGCGACGTTTCTTGAGATTGTGTTCAAAGCGATTGATTCGATGTCCCTACACGAGCAGTGTGAAACTGATGCAAGCTCCGTCTAGCTTTGACAGTCGAATGCCGAAGCTCTCACACTTCATTATCTTGGGTTTTATAACATCCTGTTATCCAGAATGTCAGACACTCGATGCTTCTTGTAAACTGCGGTGTGGCCCATTTTTTATTCTGACCACTGTCCCTGAGTAGTAAAAAAAAACAGGGTCCGTACTACGTGTGCATCGCCTACGTCCAACGATTTGCGGCGCACAATCCCTTTTGAAATCGTGAATGATGTCTTGGCGTGGATGTCATGGCGGGTTAATCCCTACGTGCGCTCCAATGAGGCGAGGACCAGAGAAGCTGGCACCTCGTTTCCATCGCATTTGAAGAGGTCCGACCGCCCCTGCACTTCGAGACACCAAAATCAGATAGCTGGATGCCAAAGATACCCATGAATGTGACCCTTTTTTTTTTGAAAACATAACTTCCTTTAGAAGCTAGTGCACGTCTTTTTGTCGCTTCTTCGCAAGATGGGGCTGTCCCTGCATGCTTTTGAAAAGCAGTCTCAGACTCCCAGTTATAGTATGCACTCTGGTTTGGTTTTGAGGGCTCCCTCCTCCAAGTAATTTGAAATAACTTGGGCGAATTTGTAACGGCTCTGCTTCACCGCTCGAAGCCGCCCGAAGTTCTCAGCTCCTCTATAGGTTTGTCGTTGCTCTGCCGTAAAATACTATACTGATAAGGTTGTTGCAGTCATCAAAGAGCACAGTGCCAATGCTTATATATGTTCTTCCCACACACATGGCGAACGAGACCTGCATCTGGCAGTACCACGGTGGGGGACATATTCGTGCCAACAACCTTGGGTTGATAGGTGACGAAACACGCCGCACTGACGCGTCATCACCATGGCTTACTCAGGCACTTGGGACTAATCAGCTTCATCCTACTCAAGCACGACTTCAAAATATCTTTTCATTATTATTTCTCCCTGTTATAATGCCTGCAGTTACAGATATCAACTCTACCGTCCTTGTCACCGGCGCCAACGGTTTCATCGGTACTTGGATTGTCGGACATCTTCTTATAGGAGGTTACTCCGTACGCGCTGCAGTTCGAAACGAAGGAAGGGGGAAGCACCTACTCGATATTTACAAGTCCTACGGAGACAAGCTCAAACTCTACGCCATTGGCGATATTAGCAAGGTGCGCTGTTCCTCGTAGATTCAAGGAGCTTTGGCTTAAAGTATACGTAACGAGTGATGCTTTTGATGAAGCTGTGAAAGATGTCCATGCTATCATCCATACTGCTTCGCCTGTCCACTTATCTGCTGATGATCCCAGTGGTACGCTTCGCCTTCCGTGCGAAGAAATATTCTCACCATTATGAACAGAACAGATCGAACCTGCTGTCGGAAGTGTAGAAGGGATCCTAAAGAGTGCTTTGAAGAATGGCAGGTATGCACCCTCTTTCACAGCAACGATCGTAGCTAACTGTAAACACACCAGTGACTCACTGAAGCGCATCGTCATCACTTCCTCCTGCGCTGCTATTATTTCCTTCTCAGCAACGCAGGTGACGATCTCAGAGGCCGTTTGGAACGAGTCCTCGATCAAAGAGTGCGAAGAGAAAGGCAGAAACGCGGACAACCTAGCCAAGTACTCCGCGTCAAAGACTTTGGCGGAGAAGGGTACGCTCCTTCCCCATCCATTACTTTAACTTGGTTGACTTCAATGCAGCTGCTTGGACATTTTACGAGAAGCACAAATCAGAAATCAAATGGGACATCTCTATTATCAACCCTCCTTGGGTTTTCGGCGTAAGTTGGAGAGTATTGGTTCATCTGATTTGAGCCCTGATCGTGGATGATACTAGCCTGTGGTTCATGAAGTGACGACTGTGGACAGTCTCAATCCATCGAACAAGTTCTGGTACAATGCCATCGTCAAAGAGGACTTTGATGGCTTCTCTCCCCTCACTACGCCGGGACATGGGTGGATAGATGTTCGCGATGTGGCCACAGCGCACGTACGTGCCATGGAGGTCCCTAGTGCCGGTGGGGAGAGGATCATTGTCAGTGCCGGGTCGTGGGTATGGCAAGACTGGCGTAAGTGCCTACCATGCTACCGTTCGTCTCTGACTCTCATTCCTTTCTAGTCGATGTCATTTCAAACTTTCTCCTAACCCATGTCCCTCGCGTACATTACCAAGAGGAACACCTGGTATCTGCCAGCGTGCAATCACTTTTGACACGTCCAAGGAAAAGAGAATTCTAGATATCAAATTTCTGACGATGGAGGAAACGGCCAGAGATATCTTGGCAGATTATGAACGTCGGGGCTGGTAGGTTCAGGTCGAATAGATGCATCTCCTGTCAGTATCGAATAAATAACTAAGTTGTTTCCCGCACCTAACTAGATGCTCGATTCAGCCTTCTTCCACACACCGACGATCAAGTTCTTCAGTATTACAATTAAATTTGAGCGCGAGATCTACAATGTACTGTATGTACATGCAAGTACAGAAGATAATAAGTATACGGATAACTTGAAAGCAATTACAAATGTAAAACGATAAAAGAAAGCAATGAATGTGAGTAAATCGACAATTACAGGAGAGATTGAGTGGGTAAAGGAGAGTGGGCTAACGTAACAGATTACACATACAAAGAGTGAATGAATGAGCGTACATGCGGGCACCAATCGGATCCGACTTTAGAAAATATCAGCGAGCAAAAAAAAGAGTGTCCTGGACATAAACTGCGCTCCCGCGACCGGCGCACCAAGAAAAGAAAAACCGTCTCCCTTTACGAAAACTCTGGGACAGCCAAAAGGCTCCCCACAATCAGCCAACTAACAAGCCAGCTAATCAAAAAAGACCGGACCACGATCTCCCACTGGCCTCTCACCACCACAGGGCTCAGCACGCGCGTCAGCGGCGAAGCAAACGCGGGAACGGCCTTGACCTTCTTATACTGCTTCCGAATTAAGGACTCGTCCGTCTTTCTCGCCCGCCTTTCCACCTTGGGTTTGACCACGGTGTCGTGCACCGGAAGCTTCTCATCTGAAGACGCAAGCGAAGAAGGCTCCGAATCATCCTCTGGCGTTCCACCAACGATGACCATCCATTTGTTGATACTGCATTTGGACTGAATCCGCCGGATGAGGGCTTTTGGAGATTTTCCAAGTTCGGGAGCGGGCGTCTCGGGTTCGATATAGAGCACGCCGGGTTTGGGAGGTGGAGACGGGGATACGGATACGGAATCAGTACGTGTGTGTTTAGGCTTGGGGAGGGTGTCAAAGTTGAATTCTGATATCCGCTGGAGCTCTTCTGGAAGAGATTTGTTTGGGCTGGGAAATTCGTAATCGCTGATGTCCTCTGTAGAGCCGTCGAATGGGTGGATGAAAAGAGCGGTAGATCCATATGTCTCATCGCCGCTGCTATCTTCCTCATCAGAAAAGCCTGAGCCCGGTTTGTGAATAGAAACGGGGGACGTTGCTGGGCCTTCGATGGGATCTGCATCGTAGTAAGCTGGAGAAATGCGAATCATATCTGACCCTTCACATGACAGATCTGTCGTCGAATGAGAGTGATCGTAGCATATCGACGAGCTGATGGTAATCATAGAGTCTGGACGCGAGGAATCAATGTGAGCCATTGGCGGTGGTGTGAGAACGGGTGGAGGGGGAGAAGCCGTGGAGATTGGTGACCCCGCTATCGGGCGTCGACGCGAACTGTACAGTGGCTGAGGCTTCGAGATGGGCGGCCTAGAAAGCTCAAATCGTTTGAGCTGTCTCAAGTCACCAAAGACGTAAATGGCAAGACAGACGCCATTCAAACTCGTGAGTAATAGAGCAATGCCCAACCATAGCCCTGGTAACGCGGTGAGACGCAACCACCGCGAGTGCCCTTTGACAATGTTGTAAACCATGGGAAAGACGGCGCCTACTAAACAGCAGAAAACTCCCGCGATCAAACCACACAAAACGCGACGGTTGCCGACATTGTTGAATTGTGCGGTGACAAAGCGCTCGAGGCTTTCCTTAAGCATTTTCTGGACTTCAACTGCTACTTGATTGAATACGGCGGGATCTGGATGCGGGGAACCGTTTGATGTGTGGAAAGGAGCGAGGACATCCGAGGGGAGATTGAGTTCGTGGTTAGCATTTGGCGTTAGAAATGTTTGCTTTGCCCGGGCGTAGAACATGGCGAGCTGGGACGAATTGTGTCTTGGCCAGACACCTAGGTAGGCTGGAGTTTCGCTCCGTCGAAGTCGTGATGCCGTTTCCCACTGTCTGTATCTGACGGTGTATTCCCTGAGCCAGAGGATGAAATAACTGACAGGAGCGTCATTGAGTATGCATATATGCGCATATAATCAGGTCAACATACAGATTTTCGGGGGCTAGCTCGACGTATAGCAGCCATTCCTAACAGCCTTACTTAGCGCACCAACTGGGACATTGAGACGAGTGTATTTACCTCGAAATCCTTTAGCCCTTTGGAACGAGTCAGTTAGGAGACACGAACCCAGGGCTAGCTACGTACCAAGAGGTGGTAAATGTTTCCTGTCCAACACATCTTCGAGCCGTACATTGAACGCTGGTGTAACTATGGCCCTCCTCAGCCTCTATTGCCGGGGCCCGAAAGACGAAGAAGAAACGCACCACCACAGGACCTGACCTTTCCAACGGCCGGTGGTGGGTTACACAAACGAAACTGAACATCCAGCGCGTCAGAAACATGCAAAAACGGCTGGATACTAGCTTACCGGCAGGGTCAATAGAGCCTTCCAGGACAATTTGTATGTCTTGGGCCGTGTCAGGGTCGCCTGTCTCTGAGGGGCCATCGGCGTAGGGACGAAAAAGATGAAAGGAAGTAAAAGGAATCAAGGCGAATAAAAAGGTAAAAAGTCAGCCCTGCATGACCTTAACTGAGTAAAGAAGCAGCCGACCAAGAAAAGCCAGCGCTTCTCTTCCTCCCAAAATACGTGCAAACCGCGATTTTGGCTTTCATTTACGGCCACCTGCCTGTCAACCTACTCCATTCGGAACGATAACGTCTTCCCGTCTTTTTGGCTGGGTTGCTGTGTGGTACGTTTGAATACTGGAGGGTTTTGAGCTAGAAGGCTCGTCGTAATATGTGCTAAGGGTTCGGATAGTGACGGTACCGGCCCTGTTCGCTTGTCGTTGCAGAAATATCACATCGCATGCCGAGATGATGTGGCTGTCACTTCACACATAATGGATAATTGTTTCTTAATGAAAGAAGTCGGAAGAACTGCGGCCTTGATTCATTGCTTGCCCCTTGGCATCTTGAGGGGGAAGACGAGGGGAAGATCCTTGTAGAATGGGAATCCTTTACCAGTTCCAAAGCGTATTTACGGACACATAACACAGAGCAGCGTTCTGTCATGATCGTCAGATTTCAAGGTCAGCGGGTGCTACAGGGCGAATTTTGGGATCAACGGAGCGATGACGAGGCCGAGCACGCTATTCCGTTTTCGATTTATTCAGACCCCGCATAAAGAAGACACGCTTGACCGTCAGAGGAAGCTCAAGGTGGTGGTGAACACCCAAAATATATGTGTTCCATTCACCGCGCATCCGAAATTTTGTGACCCAGCTCGAGAGGATAAAAAGAATCGGGAAATGAAGCAAAGCCATCGGAATAATGCAAAAGTAGTTTCAATGGTATACCAACGTTAACAGCTGTAACTTGACGCGTAATATTCAACAAAATCACTCAAAGATCACTCCATACCTGACATTGATGAAGATCCTCGAGCTTGAGTCTGGGGGTCGCGTGATGCACGTATGGAGTGTCGAATCCTTCGCTGACAGCCTCGGATTTGCTCCAGAACAATCAGAATCTATATGTATATCGAACAGCAAGCATGGTCCAGCCGACAACCGCTCCTATTGCATTTTCGTCCAACTCCACGGTACTTTTGCTTTGCCAGTGCCTAGAGCAAATATTTGGAACCAAGATAGCTTTGACGAACAATAGAGTGGAGATCGATATACAATATCATTCCAGTTTGAAAATCGATTGCGACTCTAGAGTACCCCGAAGAAGATACTTGCGCTAGAACGCCTGCCATGGTCGTAAGTATGAGCAGCTGTATTCGGCAAACCCCGATCGTGTGCTCCGGTCCTCGCTCTCTGCTGAGAAAATGGCGACAATAATGTCGTTACCGTCCAGATGTTAAGTTGAGAGAGAGGAGGGATGATGGAATATGTAGACTAGTAAATACCCAGGCCCACCAGCGAGGTCCATATGTTTTCCGTTTTTGTTTGCACGGAGGAAGTTGTGGGAGGTTTGAATTGCCCATTACGATACTTGGGTGTGATGCGTATGCGTTGCAATTGAATGTAATATCATAGCCGCTCTCCACCCTCTGTATACATATATGCTATTTTCAGTGGAATGAAAAACTCCGATGACGCTCTTGCAGGCACCACTCAATTATATCTAAATACATGTACGTCCCTCAAACTCAAGCGCTTAAAGCAATATCTTTCTGTTTCACAAACTCTATGGGCTGTTACTAGAGATACAAGATCTACGCTAATTAATCTACACATCCTTCATTTCCCGCTATGAAAACCGCTTATTCAACTCATCATATATCACGAATATAATCGCACTACTAGGTATACTCCTCGCAATCGTGATCCCACACCCCGCATACAAGCCCCGGATACCCTGGGCAGCGTACATCTCCCTAAACGTCCTCACAAAACTCACCTTCAAACCAGACGGCCCCCTCAGCTCATCAGCAGTCTGCATCGTGCTCTTCACCGTATCCGCCGGGAACAACGCCAAGTTGAACGACGCGCCTGCAAACGCACCGGACAAGGCAGACTCCCACGACGCCAGCGTCGCAGGGCTACCCTCAGGATGCCTCGCCAACAGACGCGACGCGACAAATTCCTTCGTCCCGAACCACGCGGCTGTCCCGCCCGTCTCGCGGATGAACGTCCCTGTGTGACCTAACCATAGGCCTCGGAGTCCCGTCGTGCGTATTATTGACGTAAGGACCTTTATTGGGCCCGGTAGGGGAGTAGAATGGGACGCGTTCTGGGGAAGCAACATCTGGACCTGCATTTTGCACTTGACGAGCTCAATCGGCGTTAGTAGGAAGGACGTCACAGCACCAGCACCCGCTGCTGCGAGACAGAGGTAGCGGAGTGGTAGTATCGGCTGCTCATCGACTGGGAGATGTGCAACAGTCCGGATGAGAGATTGGAAAGAAGAATACGTGAGAAAGAGGGAAGCGTTTTCGGCCATGGCGCCTACTATGGGGGCTGGCAGGCCCTAGGAAAGCATAAGATACTGGACGAAGACAGGAAAAACAGCGCACACACCCTGTATAGTCCCCTCACACCCTCTTTTAAGTACGTTTGCGTCAGGCAATCAATAGGCCCAGAAAAGCGCGCAGAAGCATCCAGCACTTGAGATTGAAGCCGTACTTTGGTCAAATCGAACGGATGCTCGAAGACCTTGGAGACCATCCCTGCTGCCTATACAGCATTTTGGCTCAGTCATTTTTGTCTGGTGAACGTGAACTTACGGAACCGAACGCAATGTCCTTGATGGCCCGCGCAGCCGGGGACGGAGTCGAAGGAAAGTTGTCAATGGGGACGTCCATTATGGATGTATGAAGGAAAGGTGGAAGAAAAGGTATCAAGTGCTGTCAGTCATTGCTGGAGCTATGTGTGAGGATCAAGCGCCAACGGGCTACAAAGACAATGCTGATGCCGGACCGGACAAAATTGGCGCCATGTCCGACATAATCCGAGTCGGAGATATTCGGCATTCTTATTCCAACGAGTTTTTCTGATTCGCACCTTTCAAGTTCGAACGATATACGAGTCGAAGTGGAAGAGAATGTGCAGAGTGACAGTCTCAAAGGATTTTCCCAACAAGTATAACAACATCTAATAATATTCATTCATTTAGACTTCACTTCTTATTTATTTAAGAATTCGCGAGATTGAAGAATGCCAGTTTTCTACTAATTGAGCCATGGTATGCGCAAAATATTTCAAAACGGTAATTCCCCTGTCGAAATAGAATCCAGCCTCCACCCACCTCCGACTCTAAATTCTGCTCACAGCCAGAACAGCCACAGATTTCCGTCAAAGCAACACCAATAAGGAACATGGCCAGAGCTAACACCAAAACAGCCGATGAAGACGCAATGACTAAAGACGATGAGTAGTAAGGACTGTGGCGATCTAATTCGAGGACCTTTTCACAGCGGTTCTTCCAAGTTCGTCGATACTGATCGAAACCCAAAACGTCAATCCCCATACGTCGTAGCCCCTTTCCCGCCCGTATTTGGTTACCGAAACGCTTGGCACACCGAGTCACAGGTCACAAGTCTCAAATCTCCTCAAGATCCAAGTTTTTCGAGCTTGAGGCACTCGTTATTTTAGTCAGACTCCCCGCCTCTCCCCGCCCTAATTTCAAAGAACCCCCATGAGTGCTCCTATCTTTCAAACAAACAGAACAGGTATCAAGTGCAATTGGTCATTAAAAGTCGTCAATGATACAAATCAACGTGGTATACAGGGAATAATTAAGAAGAGGGAATCATATATGCTATATGGTAGTATATGGTACTAAATGCACACACAAACAACACCGAATAAGATAAAATAATACAGCAAACCCATGCACGGAAGACAGAAAGGAAAAGGTAATCGATCGCCAACTTACGCGCCTACGCGTATCGAAGTCTTTCGGCGGAGCGTTTCGACGCGATGGCATCTCGAACTCTCTTTCGTCTTGAGTGTCTTCTGTTCCCGACTCGCACGAGGTAGATATGTGTATAGCGTATGAATAGCAGTCCGCACACCGTCCTCCTACAAATAATCAACTGTTAGCAAAAGAATCACATACAGAAACCGGAAAAATACTAACCGAGCGAATTTTCTCCCCGACACCCGCCGCCTTCTCCTTCATGATCCGGCTCGTGGTAGCCTTCGTAAGGGCCTCGGCGAGATCATTCACCCTCAGGCTAGGCACTCTCAATCCAGCACCGAGCTTCTGCACGCGGGACGCCCAAAAGAACTGGTCTCCAAACCATGGTTTGATCAATGTGGGTATACCGGCTCGGAGACTAGCCCCAGTTGTCCCCGCTCCACCGTGGTGCAGAGCGGCGTCAATCTTCGAGAATAGCCAGTCATGGGGTATCTTGTCAAGCTGGTAGCACTCGGGTGGAATTTCCGGCTCGGGAGAGTCATCCCCTGCATGGCTCATTCGCGCTGACCATCCTTTTGATATAATGGCCCGGACGTCACCTAAATTCCTATGAGTAAGCGGAGGGTGAATGGACTGGAGGCCACTTACTCTTTAGGACAGCTTTGATAATGCGCGCGGTGACGCGATTGGGATGCGGAACAGTTATGCTGCCAAAGCCGATGTAGACGATGGGCTTCTCATCAGCCCTGGCCTTGTCCATCCATGTCAGAAGATCTGCAGGAGGTTCCCAGTTGAGATCTGGGTTGTCAAGGAACCAACTAATGATGCAGACGTCAGGTTGGCCGAGACACGCAAACAAGGGAAAAACGCACTAGCCAGATACGCATATCGTGTCGCTCCAATCAAGGGGTTTGGGCACAACAGCCTAACAAGTAATCAGTACTACGTCAAGGACGCCACCAGGTTCACTTACAGTTGAGAAGTTGTAGATGAACGGTATCTTGGATTGGGCAAGGTGGCCCATATCAGTGTTACCGAGCTTCAGCGTATGCCGTCGCCATTTGTTAATTTGCCTTGAAGTAGCAGTCCACATAACATTGCTAGGCACAGGCTCATTAGCAAACACTCTGGGTTGGATCGACGTGACGCGTTACCTGAAGAGAACGTATCTAAAGAACAATAGTGAGTACTTTGATATACACCGGTGACGATAAACAGGACGTACGAGGCACTGTTGAAGGTGGAATATTCCACGGGGGGCGATAGGAATGCATGAGGAAATTCGGCAGTTCTAGGCGACGGTAGTCAATAAGGTTCTTTAACTTGTGGAAAAGACTGCGCACTTTGTCCACGGCATCGTGAATGTTCGGAAGTACGGGATGTCTAAAATTTCCTCTTAGTCAACAACATACGAGTAGGTAGGAGTGCGGCTTACTGAGTGCCTCGGCGATATGAACTCCAGCCATGGCGGAAGGGCTCTCGAGCAGTACATCAGCACCTTGACATGATTCCCATGAATCGAGAAGCACTAAATCGAGAGTCAGACAGCAATGTAATATGTTAAATAATGAATCTCACGTTGATCGAGCCAAGGGCGGAACTACAACATTCCAATGATTAGTATCGAAGGAAATGCAGGGTAACTAAAGACTCACATGCGCTAAACTCTCTTTGAAGAATTCAGGAGAAAACATCTGTCGACGCGTCAGAACACGAGAAAACCAGTGAGGAAAGACGTTCTCACTTTGTTTTCAACGCTCAACTTCATCAACGCGCCAGGGTCACCTCCTGCCTGCCGGTGCTGGATCCCAAAGCCTTCAATCCACTCCTTATACTCCTCGTGCGTGACAATCGTAACGCGGTGGCCCTCCTTCATCAGCCCCAGCCCAAGGGCAATGTACGGCTGGACATCGCCACGACTTCCTATCGTAAGACACACAAAGTGCAGACTTGGTCGGGCGTTTACAATCTCCCTGTCCAAATTGATAACCTTGGGCATCTGTACTCGTAGTTCGAAGGGAATCTCAGCCGCCTTGGCCACAGCTACCGTACGCGCAGGCGGAGAGAAGATATCAATCATACTGGGTTTTCCAGGGGACGGAGGGCTACTACGCCGGTGCTCAGCCCGAGTAGCAACGAGGGCATTAATACGCCTCATCGCTTCATCACGAAGTTCGGTGGTTTTGAACTGGAACTTGAGATCAGGCTGGCCGTTGAGCTCGAGCGTCAAGCCAAAGAGTCGGATGGGGAACGTGCGGAAGGTCTTGGCATTTTTTATCTTTGCGATGGGTAGACGATAGCGGATATCGCCGCTTGCGAACTGCTTGCTCCAGAAGGAGACGTAGTTGGGGGAAATTGTGAAGTAGCCAGAAGACGAGATGCTTCTGAATATACGCGCACGAACGACTGGAAAAGAATTCGATCAGACGAGCATGAGGGCTAGCGAAGACATGTACTTACTCCATAAATCTGTTTCGTCATCCAGACCCAATGCAGTCCGTATGGTCCGCTCTTTGTGGTCTGCAGATACATGCGGTGCCTCGGCTTCCATCATAGACAGTGGGCCAAAATCAGCAACAATGGCGGCGTCAGATACTTTAAGGTCTGGGTGCCGGGCCTTAGCTGTAGCTATAAAGTCATCCATCTGCTTCCAGGCGGGAATGTGCATGATAGGGCAGAGATGGAACGCGTGGTCGTCGACAGCTAGGCCACAAGCCTCATTGCACTGAACATGAATAGTAGAAAAATGGAAACCAGGGGCACCCATCTGACGAGAGACGAACTTTGTGATGCGATCAAGAGGACAGCTGAGCCTGATGCCCGAGTCGGTGGTTGTAGAATCCATGATTTCGCGCCGTCGATGGCGGAAGAGGAAAATGGCAGCCTATATGCGCCTGATATTAGTCGCAGTAGTCAAACACGAGGAATGCACGTACCTAATAGCTCCCGCCTCCATTCTTGTGCAGCCTCTGGGGTGTCAAACTCTGCGTAGTCGTAGGAATCATCGCTCAAATGATCAAAAATGATGTGAACTGAACAAGGATCATCTGGATCATGGGGCAGGACATCCTTGATGTTTGACACTGTACAGGTTGAGTAAGATGGAGTGATAATTGAACAAATCACGTACAGAGCACGGTGCGCAGAGGGCGAATTCGGTCCTCCTCGCTGCTGGAGGCGCAGGTGGTCATCATATCGGCAGAAAGTTCGATCCAGAGTCGTCGTTTGGCGCGCCATCCTTTGCGATGTATCGTAACAGAGCCGGCCTTGATGACTTTCTGGCCACTATGGGCAACGTCGTCGGAGGGTAAAAGAGAGGCATGAAATGCAAGTCGGTATGTCGTCACGTGGAGCACACCCTAAAGTCTTAATGAGGTTGACGAAAACAATAAATATTTAACAAACACGTACGACGATGACGACACCATTGAACATGCACCCATCTGCCTCGAAGATTAGTTTCTCTGGCTTTTCGCCCTCTGCAGCGAGAGGCCCAAATTCGTCGATCAAGAGACGAACAATCTCCGTGGGCTCCAGTTTCCACGCGTCGCTATCAGTGGTGGCGGTCCGATGAAAGGCGGGGATAGGCGAACGCTCAACGTTGATGGCTGTTTTCTCCGACGCGGAATCGTCGGAATACGTCTCTGGTTCTTCCGTGAGTTCGCCACCTGGTGTCCAGGTCGTGCCAGACACGGACAGCTTTCTTGCCTTGTCGACGTCGGCCTGTTCGTCAGGAGTGAGGTCGTTGGCTACGAGGTGGGTGTAGCCCGAGACTTCCTCGACTGGAACATCTGGATCTGAGTTTGTCGTGTCGATGGTGTACTGGTGACTGGCGAGGACTTTCTCGTACGCGTCGGCGTGGTTGTAGATGGCAGCGATGGAAGGCGGTGAAGGGGTATCATCTGGCCCAATAGAGTCGTCGTCGATGCTCGACGAGCGGGACGACGAGCGACGGATAAAGGAGCAAGGCATGGAGGAGGATTTCAGTTGATAGGCATACCAGGACATGGTTAAATAGCAATAATTGCTGGTTGAATGGCCTAAATTGTCATTATTATCTCGATCATCAAGAAAAGGGTCTCACCTCCGATGAAATTATAATAACCAGCTTGTAATGGGCTCCGTAATCGCACTCGTCTCCGACAACGTTTCACTGACGTCCCCTTTCGGCTGGTTGACTAAAATGTTCGGACAAAGCATCCACTGCTGGCGCCGATAACGAAGAAAAAGATGGAAACAAAGAGGTGCCACCATTCTGTATCACTGTCTTGACTATATTGTCTGCAATCTATCCAGAGTAACAGCGGCAGACCGCAAACAACGCGACTAGCTAACCCCCGTCTCGGAATGGTGTCTGTGGGAATTTCTAGGGTCACTTACCGCCTCCTCCCCGTTTCGCTCCGCGTCGGGATCCCACAGAGCGCTCGCAGATATTAACTTTCATTAATTGCATACTCGTGTCGTGTTCCATTTCCAAATAATTAGTATACATTTCGTTGTGAACGGATACTTCCTGCGATCATGGCCACGGCATTCCATTCTAATCGCTTTTACCCCGGGCCTCATGCTGCCTGCTGTTGCACCAGCAATCTTCGACCCCTGACCCCTTCACGAAGACGGTCGAGAACGGGGATTGTTGTTTCCCAGGATATACAGGCGTCAGTCACTGACTGTCCGTATTTTAAACCTGCAGGTCCCGCAGGCGGAATATCTTGCCGCCCTTCAACAAGATTTGACTCTATCATGACTCCCATTATAAGGCTAGCTGTGTCTTGTGATTCCAGCTGACGAGCCTGAACCGGCAATCAGAAAGATCAACAATCATCGTCCGTGCAGGAGCACTCACAATATCATCGGCCACTTCAACCTGTTTTTGATGCTGCTTGGAGCTATTTCCGTGGCTGCAATCAACCTACAACCGCTAATTAGCCGCGAGGCCGAGAGGTGTAATCAACATCGAGTCACTTACCATGATCTTTTGAACCACCCCAGCTTTGGCTAGCTTGCTACCAGCATCTCGAATAAACTCGGCTGCATAGTTTGGTCCATGCGTACCGCCACGGAGGATAATATGCACATCAGGATTGCCCTGGAAATAACGTGAGCGCACGTTCATCAACCACCGTGTCTCATTCATTCATACTCACCTCAGTCTCAATAATACTGCTCAATCCTTCCTTGCCCGTCGACAGGAAAACATGTCCACTGCGAGCAGCTCGACACGCATCAATCGCGATACCCACACTCCCATCGGTGGAATTTTTGAAGCCCGTAGGCATAGAAAGCGCCGATGTCAGCTCTCTATGCACCTGCGACTCCGTTGTTCTCGCGCCAATCGCTCCCCATGACACCAGATCAGCCGTATACTGCGGCGTGATAGTATCCAGGAACTCGCAACCAGCGGGTAACCCCAACTTTGCAATATCCAGGAGCAGTGTCCGTGCAATACGAAGGCCCTTGTTAATTTGATAACTCCCGTTCAAATCGGGGTCATTGATGAGACCTTTCCAGCCCACTGTCGTACGGGGTTTCTCAAAGTAGACGCGCATGACAATTAGCAGGTCTTCGCTAGCTTGGTCAGCGTAGGCTTTGAGACGTCTGGCATAGTCTCTTGCAGCATCAGCATTGTTCACTGAGCAAGGGCTAATGTGACAGTCAGAATGGATCAAACGGAACGTGCGTGCTATAACGTACCCTACGACGACCAAAAGACGATCATCGTCGCCTTTGAGTATATTCGTGACGGCCATACGACCTTGTAGCACAGCCTGGGCTGCTAGAAGGGTTCTGGTCGTTGACGTGTAAGGAACGACAACGATCTTGGAGTTGAAATGCGCACAAAGGCAAGTCTTCCTGCAAGATTTGAGGTGGAATCAGAGGTCGGGTAGCCTTGACGCGGCTGTTTTCCAGCTTCGCAAGGGCATCCTTGAACGGAATCGCCATGTTGAGATCAACCACTGAAAAAAGACGAGAGACGGTTTATATATGCGCCCGAGCTTGAACAAGAAGCTATAACCACGTACTGTTCGGAGAGTTTAGTCAGAGTTATGCGCTTCTCGCTCCGGTCTGTTCGCAATCCAAGGTCTTTTGGATGGAGTTATGCCGCCAAGGTGAGTGTAGATGTCCTGCAACAAAAAAAGTTTTTTTGGAGACAAGTGATCGATTTACGATCGGCAATTGACTCGAATTTTTCGCACGTGATCCAACGCACGACCCTTTGATTCTACCCATCAGTTCGCTCTCGTTTCGTCACTTTCAACATGGATTTCTCCTCTCTCAGCAGCGCCGAGCAGGTGCATATGAACAAGGTCATAGAAAAAAAGCAGGTCAGCTTGATTTTGCCTTTGCTGCGTTACAACAGAGAAACCTTACGATATCGATGCCGGGTTGAAGATGCAAGACTTTCTCCGAATGTACGCTAGCATCGTAGAGCGATGCTTCAACACATGCTGCAATGACTTTACGAGCAAGGCTTTATCGTCGAAAGAGGTCTCTCTTTGTCTTTTTGTCATCGTGTCGAAGTTTTTCGAGCCAAGTATTCCAGGACCAATGCGTGATGAACTGTACGGAAAAGTTCCTCAAGCACGCCGAGAGGGTGGGAACGCGTTTCGCAGAGCTGAACGCCGGTGCGTCATTGCGCTGTATTTCTGTCGCACCCCGTGCTCATGAGAACTTGTTTTTAGAGGCAATGAATGCCGGGCAAAACCAAAACCCGTCATAATATTTTACCCCGTACTACGTAATTTCTGCCTGTATCCTTGTCTGCAATCCTCCTTCCCCCCTTCCTTTCCTTTGTCTTTTGCACCCTCAATCCATCAAGCAGACAGCCCCAAACACAATCTCGCCATTCAACGTTGGCAGCTCTTGACATTTTCTGCCGCCAATCTGTAAAGTCTTACCACTTGTCCAGATCTCCGTTAGTAGGTCAAACCCTGTTTCCGTCTATTCAATCACTTTTGACTCGATTTACTGCCTCTTAAGGCCTCTTTCTGCATGTACCCTGTCAAGGTAGCATGAACACATACCGTTATAGCGGCCCGGCTCACTGATATCTCCCAGAACGCCAGGTTCGACAAAAAACTCTCATCGATCAATGCCCTGCTTTGTTTCTGTCACCTAGAGCTCCGTGTATTAACACTTGTCAAGACGTTTATAGTACGTTAACCCCGTCTCCACCCTCCACGACTAACCGGTGCGATGCAGGAACAGTATCGAGCGCGTCGCGTGCTGGTACTCGTCGGCAGGCAAAGACCCTTGTCAAAATTTCATGGCCTGATTTCTGGCGTCGCTTTCGGGCCTCTCGGTCTGCAGCCAGGATACGCAGCAATCCCCACTCCTCTTCTATGTATAATATCACCCAAACCGCGTCTGTGGACGTGATCTTTAAGCGCGTGTTCCTGATATATTTCATTAAGACCTGACTTCATTCACCGCCGTCCCGGATTCCGAATCTCTATACCCCCCAGTTCTGACTATCTATAACCCTCGTCTGTCTTCTATGCAATGTTCACTACCGGAGACGGCTGTCCACCGCTCAAAACCCCCCGTGACAAAACCCCTTGGCATGTTAGGCGCTAGATACACCACGTTATGGGGTTCTTTCCTGTGCATGTAAGGTACCAGGGCTACAAAAGCTCCCTCAGCTCCTCTTCCTCATGCTTTTGGAAATCTTTTTTCGGTGTTATGTCGGGTAGCTCCGTGTGGTTCACGCGTCTGTCCTGTCGCCGCGGTGCTCTTCTGTGAAATTAACTGTTTTCCTGCTCGCACATATCTGAGAACTTCTAAGGAGGGAACAAACGCCAGTTCGAAGCTTCTGCAAGAACTTTGTCGGACTCTGATAGCCCCGGGACGAAATAGATCGAGCCCGGGACCCTGATCTCAAATTTCCCCTCCGTTAGGTAGTTATCGGTTTATCCTGGTCAGTTGTCACCTACGGATTTAGATACACGCACACAATACGCCGGACACAAGTAGGGGACCAGACCGCAGAAGGCAGAATCGAAGCCGTCGAAACTTCTGGGAACTAACCATAACCGCATTGCGTTTAGTTTGTGTTCGCATCGCTTTCCCACTCGGAAGAACATATATATAAGTACATATATATGACGGGACCTTCGGTCTGCACAGGAATAAATCCCTCGTTTCTACTTACTCTTTTCTTCCTTCTTCCCCGCCATGGCTCATCAGGCGCTCATTGGGCAACCCGCCCCACACTTGACGCTCCCCAACTATACTGGCGAGCCATACAATCTCAAACCTGGGGACAACGACGTCACCACGGCTATATTTTTCTACCCAAGATCTGGGACTTGGGGATGCACAAAACAAGCTTGCCAGTTCAGAGACGCGATAGCAGGTAGGACCGCCCGTCCTCCCATTTGAAGCGAGCAGTTAATTAATCCCTCCCCCGCCACAGAACGACCGGAGTTCCAGTCCGGCAAGGTGCAAGTCATCGGCATCAGCCCAGATCCAGTGTGGAAGCAGAAGCTCTTTGTCGAGAAACAAAATCTGACCGTGAGTGAAGAAGACGTCGAGGTTGTCGGTTGATGACATGAACCTTTTTAGTACCCCGTTCTCAGTGATGAAAAGGGAGAAGCACGTCGGGCATATCATGTAGGCCGAGGGTTATGGGGTCTGGCTGACCTACGGGTCACTTTTGTGATAGACAGCAAGGGGATTATACGGTATGGTTTTCCTTATATGATTTACCGTTTCTCAAGATGATCGGGTTGTACAATAGTGACGCTCTCGACACGACGTCGATAAATTACGCCTCGCACTGCAAGTTTGTCTCCAGGGTGCTAGAGACGCTGACAAAAGAGGGTGACAATACCGCACAGATCTCGGAGCCTGTACCAGACGAAGCTGCCAGCTAACGCAGGGACAAAGGGAAGCACATTAGGGTGATCCAGGCGTGGAGCTTACATGAGAGATCCAATTTCTGTGCATAGTATCTTACATCTGAAGGACTTTATACAATATAATATTAAGCCCTACAACTTGGCTCGTATAACCGCGGCATTCAAGCCCCCAATGATCCCCTCTGCCTCCGTTGCCATCCTGTCGAGGAGAGTTTTACAGGTGGGAATATCGTCGATAAGTCCTACAGTGACACCTGCACTCCATACAGCCATAATCTGGATCCCCATTCTCATAGACCATCTTACCCCTCTGTCCCTGAAACCAGATCTCTAATATCTTCGAACTTCGCGCCTCCAGGACGCCGCTCTAAGGCCACTACTTCCATTGAGATCTTGTTCTTAAAGACCCTGGCAGTGTTGCGTAGCGTACGGAAAATATGGACTGTGTCCGTTTCTTTCGAGGCAACGATCTGGTCCTTGATATTGGGGTGGATCGGACTGGGAAACCGGCAGTTATTCGCCAGGTTCTTGGGAATGAATTTTTAAGAAAACAACCGACCTTTCTACCGTGCACATGAAGCGAGTGCCCATGTTAACGCCCTGGAATCTCCCGATTAATTATTTCTCTTATTTAATAAGGACGTAAGTCACTCACCGAAGCACCAAGAGCCAGGGCTGCAGCGAGACCTCGCCCGTCGGCAATACCACCGGATGCGATATATGGGACTGTGAGTTCCTTTGCGGCCCTTCGCGAGCTAGGCGGGTCAGACGCTCGTGAGAATGAGGGTTAGGACAACGCTAAAATTTATCTGACCAATACCAAGCCGCCAATGTCCTCTTCCCCCGGATGGACCAGCACCTGGAAATAGTTTTCAATCTCAGACAATCATCCATCACAAGGAAACATACATTCGAACCCGTCAATACTTAGTATATCCACGCCCATCTTTTGCGCACTCTGTCGTATTGCATGTCCATCAACGGGATTGACAGTGGGTTGCGTAGAATCACGAACCTTGGCATGCCGTATGGTCGTACACTTGTGCAGTACCACACAGTCTTCAGATTTGAAGAATTTGATCAAGGGTCCAGCTAAGTAAGGGAGAAAGATCCTAATTCACAAACTGATACCCGCTAGGGAAACGGTCAAACGTACGGTTGTTTCCCGCCGTTTCAAAGATACGAACGCCTTCGGACACGGCGGCTCTTGCGTAGCCTTCATAGTCTGGCGGGTTTATACTAGGCAACAGCGTGATGTTCACGCCAAACGGCTTGGACGTGAGTTTACGCGTTTGTCTAATGGCATCGCGTAGAGCGTCAGGGCTCGGTTGCGTTAGCGCAGTGAGAATTCCTAGGCAACGGAGGTTCTAAGTTGATATTCAATGTGAACCTGATCACACTCACCAAGACCCCCTGCCTCTGATACAGCTGCGGCCAACTGAGGCACGCCTACCCTGAAGGAGTGTTATTTCAGGCTCTGGAACCGCGATACATTCAGCGTAATTACTCACCACTGCATACCGCCTTGCACTATAGGACTGGGGCGTTTATATTAGCATGTGGTACGGTTACTGGCGACGGTTCCGACGTACACACTTATTCCTAGTATCTTTGTTACAGCTGTGGTAATCATATTCAAGGCAATGAAGGAGATGCAGAGAGGACAGCGAACAAGGTATAATGAGAGGGACTAAGATGATGGACGAGTTCCGGAAGGATATAAATACCCCCGGCAATAAGAGCGTGATAAATTGTACTACTTAGCCGGTACGTTTCACTCTTATTACTCTATTCCGGTACACTTTCACTGCGTTTTCCATAAGTAAAATAAAACCACCAACAATATTACAATAGTAATCAATAGCTCTGTTATCCCACCACCATGTAAAAACTAGAACAATCCAACAAGATCATCAAAAGGATCCTTCCCTTGGGTCTGGTTGCTCTGCTGCTGCTGCGGTTGCGGTTGATGGGGCTGTGATGGCTGCTGGAATTGTTGTTGCTGATACGGGGAGGCTTGGAGTGTCTGCTGCATGCTACCTTGTATCGGAGCAAATGCTCGCTGTGGTGGACTGAACGATTGTTGCGGTGGGCTGAATGATTGTTGTGGAGGGTTAAACGACTGTTGTGGCAGGCTAAAGGATGACTGCTGCGAGGCAAACATCTGTTGAGATGCAGGATGTGAAATACCAAGCCCTTGTCCCATCCCCGTCCCCGTCGAACCATTCTTATTGCCGACATTGTAACTCGGGACAGACGGCGAACCTGCCCCAGGCGTCGAAGGTAGCATAATGGAAGCAGGTGGTGTAGTAGAAGGTACAGGAGGTGACATCGAAGTAGGCCTTAATAGCGGATTGAAGTTGCCGGCGCCACTAGTTCCCATAGGAGATGGAGCGTACATAGATGTCGCAGTCGGGATTCACATTGAAGTGCTGAGCGAAAGGCTGAGGCTGGGGCTGAGGTTGGACGGAACCGAAGAGCCCAGCAAGGTCATCTGGACCAGATGCCGTTGGGGCGCTACTGCTTGATGGCTGTAGAGTCGTCCAAGTCAATCAGAGAGACATCATTACGGGTAGAAGATAGTTCAGGTGGGTATGGGATTGGCAGCAGTGGCGTAGTCTCCTTTTTGTAGGCCTCATAACGGTCCAGTGCGGTGTTTATTTGATCATTTATCTGTAGGAACGTATCTGAAGCAATGGTTAGCGGGGTTACAGAAGATCCGAAAGGCTAACGAACCCAGGATTCTGGATCATGGGTCTCTGCATCCGATATCCATTTCTGTATTTTCGGCCTAGCAGCGGTTAGTATCGAAGCTACTTGCTGCATTTGGAGGTCAAGAAGGATCGGACTGAAGGAATACGATGCAAGCCCTACCTCGTACACGTCGCCAGAGACAATCCTCTCCCCCCTCTCCGTATCCACATTATCAAGCATCTCATTCAGTAGGATAACCTTGGATTCAAGCTTATTGAGATCAGTCAAAGCTTGTGTCTTGTAATCCGGTTTAGCATCAGGATTTGCCCCCGCGAGAGATTTCATGAGCTCCTGAGCAGCAGCGAGATCTCTAGGCGTCCCTCTACGGATAAGTTCCTTGCAGCTTGGCAGATTGGGCCTCTCTATCCTCCTCCTCAAGCTCCTCGGCGGTTTTGAGATTCCTGAAATATTATCAGTAACAGTAGAGTTCCACAAAGATCAGTAGGACGCACCGCAGCCGTAGCCAAAGAAGACGCCCGCTGAGGCAAATCTCGAAATCGATAGCCTTTGAAACGTCAAGAGCCTATGCATATCCCGGATATTTCCTAAGGTCATCCTTCCACCTCGATTCCACACAGATACCCTCTTTCCACGAGTGCAGGAGCTCGAGAATCCGAGACATGACCGGACCAGGGAACGGAGGCGGTCGCTCAGGAAATCGACGCACTAGCTCATTTAAGAACTCCTTGGTAGGATATTTGGAGGTGAAAAGGGTATCCGCATGATTGTACCAGGGTATCTAACAGGGCGAGAGCGAGGATGGCAATATGTGGATTACGATTGTTCGCGAGGCGCGCTGTGAGCATCGCTGCTTCCCGGGGCCTTTAATGAACCAATCAGCCGTCCACCAGAATTATCATCGACAAAAGGTACGCACGTATTGGCCTTCTTAGTATTGATATAATTGGCAACCTCGATATGGAGAGCATAGTTCGGTTCTGGTAATGAGGGATCGCAGGAGCGCGTTATAAGGGACTCAAGAGGTGACGCTCGAAGCCAGTTGGACGTCGTCGGGCTCGACAGCATTGAGGAAATGGATAGAGGCGTTCTCGCAGGATCAGAAGATGACGGAAACGTCGGACGTGGTCATCCCGAAGCCTTTACCAAGCCGACGCAAATGAGCTGCACAGCATTTTCGTTGATTCTCACGGACAAGTTCCTCTCGATCATCCTCCAGGGGCGTCTAATGCAATAGATTCATTTCTCCCTCTTTTTACAGAGTGATGTTAAAATGCAAATTCTGACAGAGCATTTCGCGTAGTATATACTGCTGTAATATTGCATGCGGTATCATAATAGCGTCCCATTGTTTCCCGCCGGCATCCACTGAAAGAACAAAGGAAGACGCCTCTGTCCTTTTTGGAAAAGTCTGCGAGGGTCCGGCCATTTCATTTTGCTCTTCACTACTCCCCCCTCTTCCACTACTTTTAATTATTTTTATTCTTCACTATGGTGAACGCTCGGCACTGGCAGGCTGGCACCTCAGTACGAACCCTCCTACTCATGTCATTCGAGGTGGCACCTCACTAACAAAACCGCTCAGCGTTTACCATACCCTTCTTGTACCCGCACTTTTCCGCCAAGAAGCTGATCTCAAATGTCACTCCTACTCTCATGTCGAAGATAAGAAGCGGTACGCGTGAATTTCCTCACAGAAAACTTCAGCGCTCATCTCCAGCCCACCCCCAAGGGAACGAAAATGCTCATGGCCTTCCTGCTCCTTTTTAGCCCTCACTGAACGAAAGATTAACGAACATTACCAGGACATACAGTAAGCATCGACTCTGTTCCAAGTCTCACTTGCAATCAGCTCCCCCCCCAGTCTAGGATTAAAAGAGTACAAATGTCATGATTGCGAATTTGAGACTGCGTACAAGGCGGCCTTGTCCGCGCCATCAACAAGAACGCGGAGCCGGTACGTCAGGGACAATGTCCCCGTGCAAAAAAATCGAGCATCGGGTTGGCGGGCCTTCCAGACGCAGTGCCAAGGATCAGCCGTCGAGTTCCCCTCCAGCCTTCCCTTCCCTCACCACCGTTGACTGAAGAGGGGCACACGTTGAGTTCCTCATTCGACCGGGTACGCAACGTGACATCTTTCTAAGAAACACTAATACCAACCATCCATCAGAATGAGCTGGTTTATGGAAGCGGCAGTCCCTTCGAGGCATTGATCGATTTGCCCCATCTCTGCTTGGAGATCGCGGTGTTCGACGCGCCTGTTCCGGAATGGACAGCCGACGATATTCTCGACATGGATGAGCCTATACAGAATATCAGCCTTCTCGAGGCTGTTTAGCTGTCTATAAAATGAGACACGCAAAGACCATGAACCTGTAGAGAAGCCATGTGGTTTTTTCAATCTTTTTCGCGCCAGTCGCTTCAGATATATATATCTTTTGTATTTGACATCTATAATCAAACGGATAAGTAAATCCCAGCACAATATACAACGAACAGATAATCAGGCAGATACACGTAACTATATCAAAGCAGATGATAGCAAAATAGCATAGACTATGTCAGGCGTACTTGCATAAAAGATAAATCCTTCCATCTCATTACCCCCTTCCCCCAGCATATCACTTGGCGTGAGGATATAAATCGTATCCAACCTCCCTATCGACCGTGATTTTGACGGCAACGCTGCTATCATCCTTAACAGCAGGGGTTTGGGAGTTAATCAAGGACTCTTTGTTTTCCTTGACACTAGACCTGTTGTCGCTGTCGGTCCATTCCCCCTCGGGTTTAGTGCGCAGTTCATCCAAGGTGTACGTGTGAGGAGCGCGCGAAATATTCGTGGGAACACCGGAGCGCGTAGAAATGACATGCGTAGTCCGTGATGAGGAGTGGGTCGTGGAACCCATGACAAAGGAACCTCCCTGACTGAGTGTTCCCCGAACGCCAAGGATGATACGTAGAGTCATGGAAGTCGTGAGAACCGCGGCCATGCTAAGAAGAGCAATAAATAAAACCGAGAAAGTAGATATCATCGAAAAGCACATTATATCCGCTGACTTACCTCGTAATAATTGTCTTGACGGGATCTCTCTCGTCGGTGGGTTTCATGATGAACAAAAAGAGCATGTTAGTCATATTGACGATCCAGATGGCCTGCACATGGCGTCAATGATGCAACGGTCAAGATAAGAGGGTGGAAACACATACACCATACAGGTTGAGACCATCACGGAGCATCAACCGCCATGGGCTAAGTGGTTTTGCCTGTAGTGATTTCACTGAGCGCAACAAAGCCAACGCCAACTGATACAGGGTCAATTGATGACATCGAGAATGATAAAAGCGCTCAAGCTCACAGAGACAGTGTAGAGAAGTGTTGGAAAGACCCAGTAAACCCCGACCCAGTTGTCCTTGATACCAGCAATGCAGCCTTGGCCTTCTAAAAGAGGAACAGCTAATGGAATGTGTCACTTGGAAGACCGAGGAAGAAATATCACACCGCTTACCGCGGTAGAAGCCGCAGCACACGGCAGGTCACGACGACTTGTATGGCAAACAGGACTCCCATCCCAAAGAGCACTGGACGACTCTTGTCGTAGATAGGCGTGAATCCGGAGGACATGGACAGCTGGGTACACTGCTTCAACAACTCTGTTTAGTGTTAAAGGCAGCGATTTAAGTACCTGAAGCTGCCGCGAGAAGTATAGCCGTGCAAATGGGCTCAAAGAGGTAGAATTTTTCGCAAGACTAGCGGAGACGTTAATATACCGCGATTAGGATAGCAACCGAATCTCACGGATGAAGACCAGTTGGTATCGAAGAAGGCAACACCTTGTCCAATATGAGATGCGAAAAGCGTATATATTAAAGTACCCACCGACAATGGTAAATTCAATAGGCATGAACAACCGCATGAAATGGAAAAGGATTTTGAGGACCGGCCATTCTGGTGTTCGGAGGAGCTTCCACGTCCTAGGTGACAAGACCAGAGTGTCCCAAGCGGCGACGGTCAACGTGCATACGAAGAAATACTTGTGGGCACTGAGGTGAGGCGGGAGGTCGAGGGAAGGAGGTAGCTGTAGGCCGGAGGTGGACATGATGGCGATGAAGCAAGAGGGACGAGACTGAGTTTTGTTTATATCGACGATGATGTCCGTTTGATGGCGACTTAGGGGTCCTACTGCCTTTTTGAGGACTACCAAATCCGGACTCGGTCTCTTTATCGTCCGTCCAGCTGTAGAGCACTTGGGCCCCTTTGCTACCCATGGACTCATCATCGCCGGTCCCAGAGTCTACAGCAGTGAGCAATGGCAGCAGTAGCGACGGAACTGCTGGCCAGAACACGTCGAGCAGCCTCTATCTGTCAGTAATCCAGGCGCCTATCTTTCTCATGTCCTGATCAACTATTTTCAGATTCACTTTTCTTGCAACACTGTTCCTGCTGCTGATAATATCTTCATCAATAATCTTGCGGTCTTTCATGATGCGACGACGCTTTCAGCGGCATCTGGAAGAAGCGATGGCTCAGGGAGTCATTCTTGCGCCTCACAACCAAGGGTCGAGGAGGAAGCGGCTAGGGAAGGAAACCGAAAATGCACGAAGCTTGGATTGTGCCCTGTCACGATGCTGATACCTGGGAAGATATCATGGTACAGCATATATTTTGGTGTTTTTCATCATCATCTCATCAGCATCATGATTGCAGCCTCTCTCTGCCCAGCCTATTAGGCGCCTCAAACCTTCCAATGACGCAGTCGTCGCAGACAGATTGGCTCGTGAACACGCGATGGAAGGCCCGTCTCAGGCATTTCGTTCGGTGGGACTTCCGGGAACCTGACCTCAGACGGTCACCGGAACCAGAGGTGCCAAAATTCTACGTGATAGATTCGCAAAATCCCTATCCTTCAGGTATCAGTCTTAATCGCCTATGCCTTCTCCCGGATATCCCTTCTTGCAGTTCCTACGATGATGATATACCTGAGGTCGTTGTCGGTATCGCCCGGCGGCCATACAGACTTGAAGCAGATGCGGAGCAGACCTCTTCTTGATGTGTGACTGATACCTTGTACCATGACCCTACTTTATATTCCCTACTAAAGTACCTGTACCTCCCTATATATTTATTATCTTGGTCCGGGAACGACGCATGCACTGATATGATTCTCATCTGCATACGAAACGATCAGCGTATTTATTATCCATCAACGGATCCGACAACGTACCTGCCTCTAGTCGTCGATATCTATATCATCATCGTCTATTTCAATCAACTCCTCTTCTGAATCCGACGGCTCAAAGAATTCAAACTCCTCGAGGTGACCAGACAGCCATTTTTCATCCTTCTCCTCGACATCATCCCTCTCACTCATCAAAACTTTGGAAATTCGGTGCATCAGCACGTTTCCGCGCTTCAACAAATGACCGCATCTTCTTCCCACTGATCCCCGTGGTCGTGACAGTGTGAAGATTTGGGCACAGGACTTTCTGTCCCGATGCCTTGGCACCACAGGCAGAATCCAACAACGCATCGAAAAGCTGTTCCTCCTCCTCACCAAAGGCGTTGAGATTGATTGACCGCAAGTTCCCCAACTGCGACAACAACTCAGCCTGCCGCTGGCTATCGCATGGCAATCCTCCGATTTTCAGGTGCTCCAAGCCCTCCAACAGTGATTTCTTCTGCCCTACCTGGGGCAGGAGGAGGATTTTTACGAATTCCGTGTAATCAGCCGAATCAAAGTCCAAAGCTAGGTGCTGGACATTGGGAACGGATAATATAGGAAGTAAGCTTCGAATATATTCCAGGCTCATGGTGAGCGAGAACCATGTCATGTAATGACGGTATTGATATGAGCTTCGTTCCCCATTGATCTGGTGGTCCAGCGGGTCCAGAAAGACACAGCGAAAGCGTATGAAGCTCCGGGCAGGCGTGCACGAAACTGGAAAACGTTTCGAAAGACGGTCGTACATCATTGGCATGGTACGCCAGTTCGACAGTCACGTAGATCCTTCAGAAATGGAAGCGACGCGTCCCAGTCGATATGAACGCCCCATAAAGCCAGATCTTTGAGTTTTGGAATATTTCCCTGGAACAAAAGCAGGGGTTCGCGGAATTCCGTGGGTCTGAAGACATCGTACTCTTCGCAGTCCTCGTAATGGTAGAGCTGTAGGGCTTCCAGTATAGGCGCACCAGGACAGACCGACAGCCGCTTCATGACGGTATAAATGGACTCGTACTCGCTGACAGGCGACCTTCAAGTAGCCGCCACCGCTCGACATGAGGCAAGCAAGAGGTCAAAAATGGCCTGCCAAGTCATCTTTGGACAGACAAGGAGGGGACTGTACATGATCCGACGCGTCAGCGACAGCTTGTGTTGAACTGCTTATCCTGGACATCATACATGGCGTCGTCGTCGTCATCGTCCCCGTCCCCTTCCGACACCTCCCAGCCATCTGGTGTCGTGCAGTCGATGACAATATCCAGAGGCAGACCCTTGGAACGTTCTATCCAGGCCTTGGATTTGTCGATGGGAGTGTTATACGAGAACCCGAGCGTTGTCCAAAGTGAAGGCTCCTCGACGGCTGCTTCACGCCACCGCCGACAAACATGCGACACGAGCACCTGGAAGGGCAGCTCCGGCGTGTCCTCATCCTCCTCGTCTTCCTCATCCGTCTCAGTCGGTTCCTCGGACTGTTTGTGCTTCCCTTTACCCTTCTGCGGCGACCCCATCTTCACATCTCCATCCTCCGACTCGCTATCCCATCCCTCCATCAAGTCGATCTCATCCTGGAACTCGTCATCCTCATCAAGGTCTCCCTCCTGTTCGGACTCTTCTTGCATCTTCATGCCCAGGTAAAAGATACGGGCCAGCAACTCATTGGGTAGGTCATTGATAGGGCATCCTTGGGGTGGAACGAATGGGTTGTTGGCAAGCATCGAAGAGGTTACTCGTTCCATCGCATCTTTTGGTGTCATCCCAGGGTTTTCGCGCATATACTTTGCGATACCGGCTCCTAGATCCTGTTCGAATTGTTTTTGGTGGGGGTTGATAGGTCCCATCACCGGTCAGCTATGCAGCCGTAGATTGGTAGTGGTATTCGCGTGAAAGAGATCGAGAGTGCACCTAGACGCGGTCAACGTGAAAATATTTTGTTTGCCTGTGCTTTTCCCGGCCCGGTATAAGCCGGACATCCGCCAAAGTCTGCAGAACATAAACGATAACATTGGTAAATACTAAATAGCGAGTTTATCTACAGAGAGCATGCAACGACATTTGCGATTGTTAACAGGTGACCATGGATGTGGGAGATATGCTGAGGAGGAAAGATATGGTTGAGTAAGATGAAAAAGAGCGGCGATGAAAGAGTAAAGTACAATGCAAATGCTTAAATATAAAAAATATACGCGCTTTGACGATGACCCATGAAAAGACCAAAAACAAATAGCCCATATAGCTTAACGGGACTAATGTTCCCCTTCTTTCTTAACGATGAGAGTGCGCAGTTCTTTTACCAGTCGCTATTGAGAAAACGTTAGACCAACATCGACTCTAAACACACATAATGGCGTACCCGGGCATCCTCCTCTAGTAACTTTTCAGTAGCCTCTTTGCCTTCTCCAAGGCCCTTGCCTAGCCTGATACCGTACTCGAGGAGCTGCTTCATATAAAAGGGGGTGATCACGGTCTCATCTTCACCTAGAAGATCCACGATAGTAGGAGTCGGCGGCGCTACAGAGATTCAATCAGGACCCTGCGACGAACGGAAAACATAACGGATGACTCACGATCTTTCATCGCTAACCAATCCTGCTCTAAAAGTTGAGGAATTGACATCCGTTCCTTGGGATTCCGATTAAGACAAGTCCTCATGGACAAAATGATATCCATCCGTATCCGTCGTTTGAGATGTTCTAGCTTTTTGGGGGGTGGTCCATGGCCCGGCGATCCTTTCTGATTCGACGAGGGTACAGTCGGCGTCGCATAGAGAGGGAAGTCAATTCGATGTGTGGCGTCAGGAATCGCCTTCATTTTCTGGAACACCGCTAGATGGTGAAAGGGTGGTTGACCGTATACCATTTGGTAGAGAATACAACCTAATGACCAGATGTCACTAGCGCGACCAACTTTATGCCGTCTCATGCCATCTGGGACTTCAATAGCCTCGGGTGACATATAATTCACCGTACCAATCTTGATGGTTCACCGACTTCAATGGGATTGTCGAGAATAATTGTAACCTGCTCACCTGATGATCTCGCTGAATGTTCGTCGTGTCATTGGCGATGGCATTCGCGATACCAAAGTCAATTAGCTTCAGCTGCCCCTTTACAAGGACAAAGTTGGCAGGCTTCAGATCAGAATGCACGATTTTCTCCTCGTGAATGACATGAACAGCTTGAAGCATCTAGGCGGATTGTATCAGCATATGTACGAAGGCTAAGTGGAAGCTTACACACTTGTTGCCAGTAGTACGCAACCCACACCATGTCCAACCCTTGGCTTTGCCTCTCACTCAACAGTCGAGCGAAATCAATTTCACCGCACTCCATCACCAAAAGCAAGTGACCTTTACTTCCCCCAGGGCCAGCTTTGAGTTCACTGTCGACGAGACCGATGATCCGAGAGTTGCCTTCGAGTCGCTTTAAGAGTGCAATCTCATTCATATATCCAGACATAGTTTCGGAATCAATCTTGTCCAATGACACGCGCTTGATAGCGTACAACTCGTTGGCATGGTTCATCACGCGATATACGCGAGAAGAGCCACCTTTGCCAATCATATCTAGCCGTGCGTAGAGTTTCCTATTAACCTAGTCATGGAGTCAAGAAACGGACAAAACGGTAACAGGGGGCAAATGTACCACCAAATGCCGATTCCCAGGTCCCATAGAAGCAGCAGCGAGCTGCTGTTGCGAAAGCGAAGCCGAGATAGGCTGGCTCGATCCCGTCGACGACGCTTGTTTAATCGAGTGTTGTCGCTGCTGTCGATGCCGTTCCTTCTCTTTCTCTCGCTGCTCATCGCCAGCACCACCGCTTCGCAGATTCTCGCTGGTCGTAGGAGGTTCCGGAGCAGTTGGACTTCTTCGATGCTTAGCATTAACGGACGCTGAAGCCGCAAGATTGTTTGCAGAAGAAGGTTTCGCCGGAGGTACATCAACTGCGGTCGGGGACCCCGAATGGGCCACGCTGCTCTTCAGAGTATCTGACTCTCTACGTCTATGAGTCGCATACGACGGTCGTCCGTTGACGCTGATTACATGGGAGGGAACATGCGTTGGCGATTGTCGGTCTTGAGAAGGATGATGCTGTTCTCTAAATTGCTCCTCTTGAAGGCGACCTGAAAAGGAAGAATAAGTCTTGGACAGTCTGGTTAATTGTAATCGATACATACGTTCAACATCCTGATATTCTGTTGAGTAGTTGTAAGTCCATGAGATCAAGGATGCAGATGCAATAACTAACTTTTGGATTCCGCGCGTTGTTCCGTCTCCTGCCTGTCCCGTTCTTCGACAGTCACTCGGCGAGGGAGGATGCCCGTCTCTCGGTGGGGACCTGCACCCGTTCCTGGACGGGAGGATCGTGATTGAGATTGCTGGGAGCGGGCGTGACTACTAATGCTGCCACGATAAGGCTCATCTGACCCTACAAAATATCTGAGAAAAGGCAAGAAACATCGGGGTGTTAAAGACTTACCACTAAGACTTGCCGATCTCCGTGGCTTGGATTGACTAAGAGACAGAACTCCTTCCCGTGAAGGTGCGCGACTGACAGAGTCGACTTGTGGCTCATCTTTGATAATAGCACTCAGCTCAACGAAGGGAGGAGAATGTGTAAGGAAGACGAACCTAAGTCTGTACCATCATCATGTCCGTGGTCGCTAACTTGCTCATAGCCATAGGCCTCCTCGTCTGTAGATTGGTCCAGCTCCGATATCCTATCAACCACATGCTTTTTACCGGATCCTTTCAGTATTCTTGAATTCCTGTTCCCATTGGCAGAGTTGGAGGAAGACAACCGTCGCCGTGATGACGCAAGATCGCCAACGGGACGTGTACCAGCTGAAAGGGAGGAAAGGGAGGCATAAGCTGGACGCGATGCAGCTAGTAACCGAGCTGCGGGGGAATCGTCAATGGGAGCCCTAGCGCTTGAACCATACAGCTCCTCAACGCTCTGAAGGTCACTCCCACGGCCAATGTTTTCCTTTTCATCCGGATAGGAGAGTAGGTGCTGGCCCTGAGAGTCGGCAGCAGTCGAGGATAATAACCTGGCCCGCAGCTCCTCTCCGTTTCGCTTCTGCCGCGCCTCCTGCAACTCGTCAACTACCCTACGAGGGAAAAGTCGCTTTGCGCCACCGTTAGTCGAGGCGGAAGCGATACTCATCGCAATTGCCGGCCCTGAGGCCACGCGTTGAAACGACCGAGCCATGGAGGGAGCACTGTCTCTGTCAATCTCCCTTTCAGGAGCCACCAGATTGTGCCCGCTGAGGATGGGAAACGCGCTTTCCGACCGAGTAAGGGAAGGCGGTCGAGGTGAGGTGAGCGACACCAAGTCTGAATCCGACGCCCCGTGTGGCCCCAGGACATTGTTCGGTGAGGGTGATGACGCGACAGGCTCTGAAGAGGGCACTACCTCCAGAGGTGAAGTTGCAGGCGAATATGCGGCGCTTTGTCTCTGAGATTTTGGCGAGCCCTTTGATAAGCGCACAAAGTTGCCATCGTCGTCGTAAACGTAGGTGAAAGAAAGGTCAAGTTCGGAGGAGTCACTGGACTCAGTAGATGCAGGTGATGCGGAAGGTTCGCGTCTTTCTTGAGGAGGCGTCGATGCCATGACGGTTCGCAAAACAGGGACAATACCAGTGCTCTCAACAATGGTGCCGCATGTCGGGCTTGTTGAAAAACACGATCACATGACTTTAAGTCTTAGTTAATTAATTAGTTAGTTTCGACTGATCCAGATAAGACAAATGATAAGCTACGATAAGCCTGCTCAATATTTACTTCCGCCAATGTCCCTTCCAATAATTGACATCCTGCCGTATCTCGAGGATAATCATTCTCCTAGCAACGAGACTCAACGAAGGGAGGTAGCCGCTAAGATCCATAATGCCTGTGTCGACTACGGATTTTTCTACCTCGACATATCGTCCTACGTTGATCCACGGGAGCCCGAGGAGCTCACAACTTTGGCACAGGCAATTCTTTTCCCTTCCACAGGAGGAGAAGGATAAGATAGCCCTTAAAAATGAAGATCAAGCTAGAGGTGCGGAGCTTGTCTTCATATCAAGTCAATCGCAGAAGTATCTATTCCTCCAGGTTATGCCAGATTGAAAGAGAATGTTACAAACGGCAAAGCCGACAACCACGAGGGCATTGATTGGTACCGTCCTGTCGAAAATCCGGATAAGACGAAGCCTCTTTGGGGGGAGAATCAATGGCCGACTGTGCCGACCTTCAGGGAGAAATACGAGAAGTGGGTAGACAAGATGAAGGCCTTAGGGTCGATTGTAATGGGAGCGTAAGTACGATCTCGCTATCTTTCGTGTGAACATGTAAATTTAATGTTATTTTAGAATGGCTGATGGCCTTGGCATGACTTCTGAAGAACGCGAAGACTTGTGTAGTCAAGTGGACGATAGCTTTTGGGTGATGCGTGCCATAGGTTATTCTGTTTCTCTGTATCCTGTGATCTTTTTGACAGTGTACCAGGTTACCCTCCTCTGCCCAATGATCATGATGGGTTCTCTTGTGGTGCTCACAAGTTCGTGCTTTGACCACTTCTCCATTATGTACTCATGAGCTTAAATGACAGGGACTATGGCTGCCTTACGTCCGTCTCACCTCCCATACTTGGAACTCAATATTGCTAACGCCTAGCTCCACGCAGATTTCTGTGTACAGACCCTACACCTGCCGCCCTCCAGGTGTTCACACACAACGTAGACGTAGGATCCGATGTTTCCGATCTTCCTGCTGAACAAGGAACCCAAGTAGGCTCGTGGATAAACGCAGATCCTATCCCGGGCTGCGTCGTCTGCAATATCGGAGAAAGTGAGCTCCGTCGACGTCCAGAATGATGTCTGCCTGAATTCTTGTGCCAGTGTGGGAAATCTGGACCAACGGCTTGTACAAGTCCACGCTCCATCGCGTCGTCCACAGAAGCAAGAATTACAGGTGAGTAGGTTCCTCGAAGATTTCAATGATTACATCTTTCAACATGGACTATCAGGGTGTCGTAAGTGACGATGCTATTCCAATTACCATCGCATCAAGTACAGCTGATCCCATTAGGATTCCATTCTTCTTCGAACCCAATTTCGATGCGCACGTAAAACCGCTTGCTGCGGCTCTGCGCATTCAGGCCGGCAAGCCGAATTCAGACGAGAAGGAGTACAAGCCTGTCGTCTATGGCGACTTTCTACTAAACAAAGTCGGGAACAATTTTGCAGACGGCAAGGGAAAGTATTGAATGGATATAAATCTATGGGGAGCAGCTACATACATACGGTTTTAAGGATCTTTGTGGAAAATAGAAGCGTATATTTCAAAGCAATTCACTCTGCCACCCAAATCCACCCCAGCCAAGCTGAAAGGGTCAAAAGGGATATAATAATATTCTACAACTTCACCTAAGACGGAGTCCGACCTGCGTTAACATTTTACACTGCGTAACCTTTCGCATCTTTTGATATCTGTAACATGATCATTAGACAGTAGCCAGTTGTAAACAGAAGAGAAAATCACTTCATGTATGTCGAAGTGCGTCTTCACCGAAATGATATCAGTGGAAGGAAGTTATTGATGGTCAAAGACTTACCTCGTCAGAATCAAATGTGCTTTTATTGACAGTGACGTCCTGTTCAACAGTACGAGAGACTTCAATGTTGATGGGAGGCTGGGTATCTGCGACATTGAAGTGAACACCCGGTTTTCCGGGACCACCGATAGTCGACTTGTGCTGGCTAATTGAACTGTCCTCATGATTAATGCCATGACCATGGTGCGCTTGCCGAGAGTTCAACCTGAAAGGACATTAGTTTGTCGAGACCATGTCCAAACCCTAAACTGACAATGATAATAGGCAATTGATGAACACTGAAATAATACACCGTCAGGTCAGAACTCTGGTGGAAAATATCACCCACGCTTGCTAGACATTAAATGGAAGGGAATCCAGATGACACGAGTAGGTGTTGCGACGAACTGCGTTACTGGTTAGAAGTTGGCATCGCTCAAGGGAGATTAACGAACAACAACGAAATAGGCAAGCTGTACTAATGTCGCGCTGCATCCCTGTGAGAAGAAGATAGCGATCGTTTTGTTGAACCAATCATCCGGCCTACGACCCAATATGAACTTGATACAGAATATAAAAACCAAAGAACTGCTCACTGTATATTTTCAGACCAGTGAGCACCATGGGAGTATAGTTTGAGGGCGATGAAAGTGATTAACGCTCCAAAGAACACGGTTGCCTGCCCGACGGCAACGATTGCCTAGAACAATCATGAACGAATCTGGTATAAAAAAGTGAAAGACATACTTTGTTCGGTGATGCTGCGAGATGAACGAAACCAGCATTGCGGACCCTATCTCAACTGAGTTGCCAACACATCCAAATAAGCTTAGTACGTGAAAAGCGCACATCATCACAGTCATGGCTGAGTTGACAATGGTATCATCAGATCTTCGTTTCGAGTACCAGTCTCGGATAACATACCGAGAGTAAGGGCTAGGCATCGCCAAAGTAATGAGCTACGACCGAAATAACCATTTAACACCGAATGCCTTACCAAATCCAACAAGACACATGATAGCCTGGAAAATATGTGAAGCCTAGCAACGGATAGACAACGCTAACTTACAATGATGGAGGTGACTGTTACGTTCTTACTCACTGCGACCGCATCAAATGAGTTAATAACTCATTAGCATGCGGGAAAGTTGCACGTACATTTCCACACTCGGGACGCGTAACATCTGCCATGTAGTCAGTACCAAAGCCCAGAATGAAGATAGAGCACTTAACAATTGAACAATCAAAATTAAAGCCGCCTAGTCATTTCTATCAGAAATCAGCACTACTAAGATGGAAACAGCGCCGTACCGCTAAGGTGTTTTCGGCCTGCGTTCCCGAGTAATTTTTTATCAGCAAAAGGAAATGAGCGGAGAGCATTATCACACATACGCAGAACGCACTGTTGGTATCAGTCAAGCGGAATTCCTCTAGAAACTGCAAAGACACATACCTTGTCGCATCTACCATCGCTGATGCTAGAGGAAACGTCGTCACCAGATAATAGTAAGCTCTACTCGTCCGTCAGCATGTTCATACGTGTTTCAAATGTAACTCCCGAAACCAACGTTTGTGAAACTGGGTGTATGAGCCGTACATTAGTGATCAAGGAGATGAAGAAGAGCAAGAAGCTGTACTTAGAGCTGATGAGGCAGTATTGAGTAAACTGCATCAGGAAGATTAGGATAATCAGCGACACAGGGATGACTCGAGTCAACGAACCATAGGAACGCCACCTATGTGAAGCGTCGTGAGCAATCCCGACCGTAAGAAAAGCGTGACAGAAGCATACCGCTGCTTTCATGATGAAAATGTCCTTTGGATATCGAGAAAAATAGACATAAGTCTCTGTTATCAAGCCCAAATCAGGACTTTGAAGACCATAACGAGATCCAAACATGAACTCACGAAAGAAAGTGAAACCATAACCTATCATGGAGACTATGAAGCCAATATAGAAGACCCCAAACGTATCGTCCACATTGGATTCCGCTGCGTCCGAGGTCGTCATGATGAGAAGAGTCAAAAAACAAAGGTGAATCCCCGGTTTTTCAGCCGATGTCAGTGGAAGACAATTTGAAAACGTAAAATAGAGAAAATTCTAGCCCGGTAATTTGCTAGTTCTCGTTACGTCCTTTAACGGAACTAGCGTCGTGGCAGTAAGAGCTAATTGATATGAATAAATCATGATAATGATGAGGCACTTATATTATTGATGGTGATGTTCCGATCCAAGTATCTGGAAGTGGAAAATTTGTCCCACAAAAAGTGGACAAGACCCTTCTGGCACAACCCTGAGATTCGGCACCCGTAGCCGCACAGATTGCAAGGTACTAGCGAGGCACCTCGAGAGCGGGAAACACAGCCACGCAGCCTTCAAATTACAATCTGGTCCCTCGTAGATCCCCAGTCAACCTAACAACGACCCGCAAGAGCCCGAAAGGCGACCTCGGCTCGCGTCGATTTCTGTATCAACACTCATATGACTGCTCTAGAAATCAAGGAACGAAATGAATGTACATAGGTGTCATTTATTCGACATCTTCGTCAGACTCAAACAGGGACACAAACTCTTTGAACACCTTCATCCTGTCACCTATTGTGCGCTCAATGCGGCCGTCGGCTATATGATACCTGGATATTATTTGAGAGCGCGCGCACACAGAAATCAGATAATCACTTACCGCATCACATGGCCCGACTTATCGCAAAGTTCAGCCCATTCTTCGTCAACGTCGACATCCAAGGCTGCGCCGTCTATGAACATGATCTTGTAATGGCCACCTTGAGATACGCGAGAACCCTGTCTCACACACCACCCCACAGACGGTATAAATCGGGCCTCGGAGCCTGAGGTTTGAGAAGTGCAGCTTAAGCCGTGCCGCCTTGCTGTTGAAGTAGTATCATCGGCCATCGCAAAGTTCGTCACTAGGCTATATGTTGATGGATCGAGATTTTCCTTCTCCTTATTTATCGTCGTTTGTGGGATGCGACCGGACGTAGAGGTGGTAAGGGGAAATTTCGGCGGGCGGGGAGGTACAGCAAAACTCCTGTTAGTAGTCAAGGAAAAGGCAAAAGTCCGTGTATGTGTTTCTTGTCGTGCGAACGATCCTGTCGTCTTCAAGTGGTTTCTTTCGTTATAAGTGGGATTCACAGCGTTGAGACAACCTGTCGTGAGTGAGATCTTGCCTACTTTGGGCTGTGTTCAGTGACCAGATTCCAAGGCTTTCGTAAGTATCGCAAAGATGTAGGAATTTCGCCAGGAGATCCAGCCCGTTTCGCTCATCTTGGTCCAAGTCTTGGAGATCCGATGCTGGAATAGAGTAGTTGAAACCTGTCGTCTGAAATGTCTTCTTCTTCCACTCTTTAGAGTGTGTATCGGACTTGCAAACGGCTATCTCCATCGACCGAGCCTTTCGTGACAACTGGATTCGCATTCGGGCAGTGTCAGCGACATCGCCCTTGTCTGTTTTTGCATCCGAGAGAATAGTGGGTGAAAAGAAGAGAAGCTCGACATCTGCAATAGGTTCGTTGGCCATTAGAGTGTACTTCACGTCTGGATCATGTACGACGAGCTATGCAGCCAACACTAGTTAGAGACGACAGCGTTTCTGCCTGAATTTGACTGTACCTTTGGTGATCGCTGTTTTATTCGATCGATGAGTCGACCGGCATCATTATATTGCTTCCAGTATTTGTCGGGAAGTTGATCAATGTGGAATTCAGCAGTAGGCTCCGCTAGGCAACACGGAGTACTCAAGTGAGGCGCGCTGAAGACTTTTATCTTGGAAAGGTGAGTATATAAGTTATTACAAAGAAGATAGACATATGTACCTGTGCGCCTTCGGAACTGATGATTAGTACTTCGTCGCCAGCCTTGCCTCTCCGTCTTTCTCCTTCTCTGAAATCAACGAGTAAAGAACGAGAAGGAAGTATAGTTACTTGACCATGGACTGTCTTATGAGATCTCTGACTAAGGACGGAGGTGGTGAAGGTGGTCGGGCGAGTCGTTCCAATGGGAATTGGACTGGTGTCTGCCGCTAACTTCCGAGGGTTGCTCGTCGTCGGTCGAATGTTTGCGTCGTCTTCCATTCGAATCGTAGTAGCGCTGGGTTCGCGTGAAGGACGTCTTGCTAAAGGTCGAGTCTGAGAATAGGGTTCGTGGGACCCCGATTCGCGTCTGGTCATGGAGGATACATTAGTTCCAAAGTCGCGGCTTGATGACGAAACGATTGGCGGCTCCCGAGAGTAGATGGATGGCCGCTGGGGTAAAGGATCCGATACGACGCGTCGGGCGGGTTCCGAATCGTCTGGTATGGACTTGGTTAGAGTGATTTCGTTGCTGAGCAGTCTCCTGAGGTCGGCGTTGCGTGCTGCGCCAAGTGGTTTGCGATTTCCTACGGGTAAGCGTATCTGGGCATAGAGCGGGGTATCCTTTCTGTCTGGTGATGTCTGTGTCGAGTCAACATCGTAATAAGCTTCTGACACGAAGAAACATACCTGTGTTCTTCTTTGCTTGTCCGCGTTTTGGGAGAATATGTGTTTCGCCGGGATATTCATACTGGAAATACGATGGAAGCTGAGAACCAGTCGCGTTGAGGTACGTCGCTTGGCGGCGATGGTGGACAGAACCAAAACGTCCCACGTGCGCTCCTTTAGTCGACGATCTAAGAATACGAAACCCGATCGTATGGTGGAATGGCTGGCTACGCCCGATGTCCTTCCAAAATGAATTCTTTGAAGCTCTCATTGGTAGTCAGTTAATGTTTCTAAGTAAGTAAACGTTGAACATTGCACTATGGAATACTTTCAATACAAGGAGAATACACAAAAGCGAGATCAAGGATTGGAAACAGCGAACTGGTGTTATCCGTTGTAGGTCTGTGGGTTCCCCCAAAGGTCAAAAGTAGAAAATTTCCAGAGGCTGTAAAACAAGGCTCAGCTCTGAGATTCGGCTGATGGTGAGCATATCCCTGCGTACCTTTGATTCCACCGGCCAAGCACGTTACGGACCATCCACATGATAGGCGCAGGCGCAGGCGGCTGAGCACATTAACGGCTTCCTAAAGGGCAAGCAATATATTCACTTACCCAGCGTGGTATCTGACCATAGTCATGGTTCGTGATTGTGAAAGGAAAGACAGTCAGTGGCCCTGCCTTTTTGACGTGTACCTTTACATCTTGATCAGACAAAGTCAGTACTATACACGCCATCATTAGATCGTAAGCAAGCACCTGCAATCAGCTTGTCCAACGTAGCTCGGTCGAATTGGTGCATTTTGCCGGGCGTAATGGTAGGAATCTGAAAAAATTATGTAAATAGGATTTCAATTACTGGAAAGAAAGACGTACCTCGTCCAAAAGGTGCTGAGCACAACCATCTGCAAAGCCTCGAAGGAGGGTCCGGAATTTCGTGGCATCATACTTCTCCTGCTTTGCCTGGACCCTCATGCAGTACTCATTAAACTCGATCATCTGAGGTAGGAAGGCTCTGTGTTGCTCCTCATTGCTATGCATATCCAACTTTTGTTCTAGGATGGGGAACACGACTTCTTCCTCCATGTCATGATGCTCTTTAAGCGCTCGAGTCATCTACGAACAGTTAACATCACTGAATAGGAGATAAAATACGTGCGCTTACCACAAGACAATAACCCATGAATGATGCCTCATCTGCAGGAGTCACCTTCGGGGCGTTGATATAGGCTGAATTAAATCCTCTGAGGTAGCAGTTATGCGTGACAGCCATGTCCCAATAGAAGGACTCTGCGTAGTCGCCTGGTTCGCCTACAACAGTAGGCACTTCACACAGCGCATAGAGAGCTTGCGGGTCTGTCATGAAGGAATCTAAGGAAGTTAACCCTGAGAATAGGCGCTGATTTTATCCCCCCATAAAAGCCTCTATCCTATTGATTGAGAGACAGCATCAAAGGGTACCAATATTAGACTCAACTGAATGTTGCGCAGGCGATCTGACGCGTCTGCCTGATGCCGGAGAAATATGAAATGACACGTCCTCAGGTCCGGTATGCTTTAAGTTAAATACCTTTAGTATAGGGAAGATAAAGTCAATGGCATGTAAAGCGTGAGACGCAGAGGAATTAGCAGGAACTGTAGCAATGACGTAGCATATGGCGATTGGTATGAACGACATCAAGAGGGTGAAAAACCTTCTCATTGTTGATATGATATGCATCACGATATCAAATTCTAAATTCTCCTGCGAAATATGGAAGTAAATAAAAGAAACAGCGAAAGGAATGAGTGTACCTCCGAGTCGGCCAATATCATCCTTGAAGCTTGCCTCTCGGGGGGTAAGCTTTAATTTTACTATCAAATAAACTTGAAAAATGGCCAAAAGTTGCGCTGAACCCTAATCATGCAAACCTAGGAATCATACAGTAACTTCAAGTTGCGGTAGATTAGTTCAATTCTTGCCACCTCAAGCCGTCCGATTCTTTGGAAGTAGGGAACTGTATCATCAGCAAAAACAAGGGTAGGACCCAAAGCCCATGCTTTCCATGTCCATGTCCTTCCTGCCTATTTGCTTGCTGGACGAATCAGAGCTGCCACGGCACTTAGCATAGAAAGCCTTGAGACAAGCGCATCTTCAAAGTTAGATGTAATATTATGGGATACCTGTCTTTCACCGGCGTCGGAGACATCACCATAGAGTCTAACGGAAGATAAAAAAATATTTTCAGCCGCGCATATTGCATACCATAGAGTGGAAATATAAGAACATGCACAAGACCGTATGCAAGCGATGGGAAAGGGAGCAATAAGAATTTACTCGTCGTCTTCCTCAGCTTCCTCTTCCTCATCTTCCTCCTCATCCTCCTCACGAGCAGCCTCAACGACAGCAGTTGCAATCCGGTCCAAATCCCGTTGACCATCTTGGCTTATTCTACGGCCACCCCGCTCGGTTTGCTCCAAGACACCGATCTTCTCCAGCGACTGGCAGATTTTCCGTTGAACAGAGGCGGATGCATCTTCGTGGTGTGATGGACGGTTTCCACGCCTGTTACGGCCACCATGAAGTTTTGCAAGGGCACCAATACCGACGTCCTTGCGGAGGTATATGTGACGGGCGACAGCAGCTGATTATTGCGATAATCAGTCCCTAGTTGTAGCTAGCATAATTTGCGACGTACCTGCGCGAACGTAGTACCAGTCGGGGTCGTAGGGGGCGAGCTCCTTGAAGTGGCCAGTTTTGACGAGGTCAACCCATGTTGGAACCTCAAGTTTTCCGGATCGTTTTAGGTGGGAAGCATATGCGGCAATGAAAGCCTCAGCGCTATGCACCAGCAAAATTGTTAATTTTCGCCGCTTCCAAGGGTGGAGAGTACACACACCTAATGTCTCTTACGCCCGGCATGTTGTGTCAAAGTCTTGATGTTGGTGAACGCGGAGGACGGCGAGCGCGACGATTACAACTTTCTGTGTATTGCCAAAACGCAGGCCGAGCCAGGCGCTATCGGCATACTCCGATAAACTGTACAGTTGCGGATGACTAAGGATTTCACGTGATGTTTCGGGAAAAATCGGAATTGGATTCCGCGAAATATTCCTGTACGATGCACGCTTCAGCGCTTATAACTTCACGACAGTATCAAGGCTGTATTCAGTTCATTGCAAGGCAGTGGGTGGTGACTAGAATGTGTTTTCGTCTGTAACCTACCTGTCGACGTACTTTCTCCTTGTACCGTGCTGGTCGTTTCCAATGAACGTCTCTTTTTCTCCAGCAGTGCCGTATCGACGCAATATGTGGACAACCACGATCTGTCTGGAGCTTGTCACTGTCAGCGGTAACATGATGATGATGAACAGGAAGCCATGGAGCATGACGGCAGCGGTGAACTTTCCGTCTCAGTTGGCGATATACTCTGACTTTGCGAGGACGGTTTGCTCGATACCATGTCCCGACTACACTGTACAGCACCCCAGTTCCTTAGGCTGTCGTATTTGCATGCCCTTTGAGGACCAGAGATGCAGTGAACATGGCCTACAGTGGGGCCGGGTCGACGTTTCCACGGTTGTTACTCCCATTACCTGGGTTTCGATGCAGTGCGACTTGTGTCGCGTAGAGATTCTGGTGACACCGGGAATAATGCATATATATACGACATTGACGGGGTGCAGGTAAGTAAAGGGATTTGGTTCCGGCGGCACGTGCTCGATATGCTCTTGGTGTTACACCACTTCCAGCTTTCCTTACGACGTCAACTGGCCCGCTGCCTAGCAAGCATGACAATCTTAGCACCCCCGACAACGATGGTGAAGGCTCGCGTTATCGGCACAGTGGTGACCGACCATTCCTCGTTGAGTTCCCCGATTGCCTATCTTCCACCAGAGCTGCTCATCGAGGTCTTTGCCTTCTGTGCCGCGGCTGACGGGCTGTCGCCACTCGCCTTGGGCCGCGTATGTCGGTTCTGGAAGGAGGTCGTTGATTTCTCGCCTAGGATATGGCAGGTCATCACCTTGGACGACAGAGTCGGCTCTATCGTCCTTGCACAGCGACAAGCCAGCGTATGGCTACTTCGCTCAGCTCCTCTTCCTTTCGACGTCAACCTTCATGCGTCTTCACCAGACCACTTGTTTCCTCTTCTCTCTCCGTGCCTTCGTGAGCTCGATCGTTGGCATCGTTTCACACTCTCAGGTCACCGCCAGGAATCCGTCATTTTGACTGACCTGGATATCAAATCTATGGAACGCCTCTACATCGTCATTCGTTCGGACGACGGAGATTTCGAGGATGAAGAGCTACCCCGCGCTACCTTCCTGGAACATTCTCCTATGTGGCCGGGCGAAGCGGTTATGAATGTATGGATGACAGGTCTGCCCCCCTCCCGTTCCTTGCCACCTCTTCACTTCACGACCATCACCATCGTCGACACGTCTTTCCAAATTCACCTCACAGCATCAGCCATCCTCGACTTCCTCGGTGCTTGCCCCGAGCTTCGCACTCTGGATTTTGAGGCGTACATTTATTCCGATGAGCGAGACAGCCTGCCGTCACCCATGGTCTCACTCCCATATCTCTCATTCCTGTCTCTGAAGTCAACAAGCCTCACCAGAGCCATCCTTTCCTCTATCAATGCCCCCAATCTCAGTGAACTATATCTGTCGTACCTTAACGTGGATTTTGACATCCTGATAGAAGGTCATGACAATGGGGATAGCGAAGACGAGGCTAACGATTTCTCCCGATCGCCATCTAGTGATCATGCAACTGGGATGGGTCTTCGAAAGCTCATCTCACGCTGTAATCCTCCCATCAGAATTTTGGAGATGGACTACAGCGATATGCGGACGAAGGATTTTTTGTACGTCTTCGACCATCTGGTTACGCTTGAGGACTTTGTCATTGTGGCGTCGGACATGTCGGATACTGTCATCAGACATCTTCGCCCTTTCTGGGCGAATAATGGAACAGAGATGCAGGTTCGCTTGCCACTGTTACAGCGCCTCGTCCTCCTCCACTGTCACAGACTGACTGGTGATATCGTGGTTGATGTCATGAAGTCTCGCGTCCAGTATACAGATAGGCTTTCGTCGCCTGCTGCTACACTATCGGAATTGATGGTATCTGAATGCGAGGGATTCACGGACAGTCATGCGCAACTTCTTAGAAAGGAACTTGGGAATCGATTTAAAGACGAATAAAGTTTTATTGGTGAGTGGCTACCATGTTATACAGTTGCCATCCATACTCACGGCTCTATCTAGGATGTCTGTATATACTGTTTCATGCCTGTACGCTTCTATGCCCCTCACATGCTAGCTCTTCCGATACTCTTCTGAAGCTATGGAGGATAACAAGATCTTCAATTGCGTTCACTGTAATTGCCAAAACCATCTTTTGTTCGACTGCCTTGAGGCGATTGGTCTGTCATCGTGCCTTGATCGCCGTTGGTCTGTCTTAAAGCCTTTCAGTCGACAAGGACACCACAAAAACTCACGATTGCACCACCATTCGTCTGACCTATCGGCTTACCTCCGTAGTCAAGCTGCTCTCACGAGAACACAACCGGATTTCTTACAACCACCATCACCTGCCTTCCTCGACAATATCCCGGGTAGCATGTCCACGACAGGGTTCTTCGAAGAGTCGTTGCTTAGCAGGCCCTGAAGGTTTTCACTGGAGAATTCAGGGACGGCGCCGAGGGGGACATGCCACCGGTGGTTATTGACACGACAGAGGACAGAATATCTCCTTCCTCACATTCTCCGACGCTGTCGTCGCTTCTCAGTGACCTGGCAGAAATTATAGCAGGTAAGTGGCACAAACCGAACGACTCGCGCCGTTTAGGTGATTATTCATCATCAGCATCGAGTGACGATCCACAGGAGCTGGTTTCTAGCAATGAGAACCCCATGCACCAGGCCCTCGTCTTCAGAGAGGCACACGAGATAGACCGCATTTTCGGCGACGCGCTCAGTAGGGATCATCCATTATCAAAGTGTCTCCATGAAGAAGCTATCATGGGATTCCATGGATTACCCTTCTCCAAACACGGAATCAATTTGTGCCCTTGGGTGTACAATGTGTTCACTCTCGACCGAGGCTCTTTACCCGGTAGAATTCTCGCATGAAGTCGATGCCTCTCTTCTGGAGGAACGTGTGCATGATCTTGGCATCGACGCGGTGCATCCTTTACTTCTTGATACAGCGAGTCAAGTGTCCCTAGAAGATCATCTTGCATTGAACGCTTCCTTTTGAAACGGAATTTAATGGTCACTCCGACGTACCAGTGACAAGTGTCGATACTGATAAAGGTGAGCCTTGTGATAGACCCTTTTTGGGTGATAAATATCTTACCAACTCAATCAGCCGAAGTGGTACACGTTGATCCTCGGGATTCTGTCGAGAAGAAGGGGCGAGCAAAACCGGGAACACACGCCAGACAGCGAAAGCGAGAGGTTGTCCCACCGTTTAAGGAGAATAAAGATGATGGGAAAGAAAACGTGCCGGAAATCCATGAAGAACCCACGAAGGATTCTCTGAGGTGGATACGAGACTTGCCGCCAATGAAATCACCTCTAGCCTCGGCAAATACTAAGAGGAGCCAGGCAAAAGAGGATAGGGCCAAGCCAGATGAAAGGCCGAGCACGCCACTACCTAACGACAAAGTGGAATGGATGGAAAAGATCATGGAGACAGCATACTGTAATATTGTTCCCCCGAAACCTTACAAGCCCAAGCCCAATTGATTACTCTATGCTGCATTTTTACTCACGGTGGAAGTAGCTATGGTTGCAAGGGATTTCTAATGAGTACTTCCTTGCTAAGTAGAGTATCTAAAGCCTACCATAATTATGTGTTATATGTAACGAGCAATAAAATATGAACATCAAAAGCGTAAATGGCGCGACTCCCGGGACCGGCCCTCAAACGACGCGTGGCACGTGATTCCCCTTGTAGTCAACCATCTCCAACGAGCTCCAGCGTTGCCTTGATATCGGCGATGGAGTTTCCCAGCATGACCAGAAAATATAGCGATGAGGAAAAGTCCCAGCTTATCGCGAATCTTAATCTCGAGGGTGCGTAGTAGCAGATACGATATGTAAAGCTGACCTGATGGCTGTGGCAGTCGCCCATCGTACTCGTCAGCTCCGGTCGTGGCTCTCGGGTGGGCTCGAAAACTTCAAGATACATCAGGAAGGACATGTTTCCCGGATACCGAAGCAGATTCGCGGAATGACGATGCGCGAGTTTGGTGAGAAGTACAACGGAAACGTGCAGGCTGCTTTGCGGGGTGTACAGCGAGAGAAGATGGCTAGTGCAGGCAACGATCCTGCCTTTGGAGAGATCGATAAGGGTATGCGGAAGAGAAAATGGTTGGCGAGTCAGGATCAGGAAACTATGGTAGAACCGTCTGAGCCAAGAGCTGTGAAGAATGGTGCGTACTGTCCGTCCCCCTTTTCTCTACGATTTCTACAATCCCGTCGGTTGGCTAGCTCGCTTGGAATCTCCACAACGACAACCTGGCTCATCTACTGGTCCTGGTACTGCTCAACGAGCGCGTCTTTTATCGGGGGTAACAAAAACACCTGGCAAGGTGCGTCACTACTTGGAAGAAGCTTTTTGGTATCTGATGTAGAACAGTCACAGGGTCGCCCGCTGCCTCGTGTTCCACAATCTCCCAGTCCTCAGAAATCGAAGCCACCTTTCAATGCTGGCCCGGGTGCCGCCTTCCAATCCAAGTTACCTTCGCCCACTAAACCCAAGTCAAATAATCCTCTTACCCGTTCTCGAGTCCCTTCACTATCCACGTTCAACCCTACGTTGCCACCCAAAACGCCGGGTTATCCAGGGAGCAAGCCTCCGAATAGTAATGTCATACGCATGCCTCGAAGAGATGAAAGTATGCTCAGCGTGAATGGCTCACCGTTAGCTAATCCCTTCGAGTTTGGCATGAAGTGGGTGAAAGGAGCGAACGGTAGTGCAGAAGAGATTACGCCCGACACTAGCAGGCCTACACTCAAACGGACGAAAAGCAATATTACTATCTCTCGGGATCCTTCGTTCAATGCGAATACCCTACACTCGCGGTCACGGTCACAGAGCAGCCTGCGCCCTTCGTCCTCCCAGCCTTCATCTACCGCACTTTCGCGGACAAACTCTGACGCGACGCTTCCGTCGTCCCAACCAAGTCCCTCACATAACCTGTTCACCCCCACTCGTGCACAACCGACACCGTTCCCTAAGGACTCGGATCCTCCGCCACTTCAAATACCCACTCTGACGAGGTCCTACTCAGTCACAATATCGACCAAGGACGGTCACCTTTTAGAGTTTGATCCTCTGCAGGCTTCGCCTGGCTCCCTTGATGCCCTTGAGGGCATCTCATCCAGTGCTAAGAAGCAGGCAAGAGAAGAGATGGGTCGGCTTGTGCAAGCTGCTGTTGACAAGTGGAAGATACGTTGAGAGGCACGCGCATTATTTGACCTTTATTTATTTCGTTCCTTCTATACTTACACGTTTTTTTATCTGTTCTCGAATACCACCATCTCTGCATCTGTAGAAACACGCAACGCGACTGTAATGTATTATTGTTCGTGGACAATCCGAGCTCTCAGTGTATGATGCCCTTCGGTTTGAAGATGCTTCTTTCCGCTCGGTCAATTTTGCGGTTGGGTTCGGAACAATAAGTCGTGCGGTATTACATGGAAAAGAACCTGGTTTCCTCATGCTCAGCAGGCGACTGGACCCAAACCATGCGACAAGGGCTTCTAAGCGCTGGTTATTATCAAGGTCAGCGACACGGAGTAAGCGGGTAAAAACTGCGGTGGTTAGCCGACCGTAGGCGCGCCCTGAACGGTGGTGGCTGGTGAGTGGCTACGATCTCCATATGTTTCTCTTCCAGTTATTAGTAGTAAAAATATTCAATATCCATGGATAGCTTGGACATCCAAACTTGTAATACGAGACGCGTCATGATTAATTATTATCGGAACAACTATACGTCATCGCTGTTCCCGATCATCAAATCATCATGGGCGGCCATGTCGGAGTCCACGTCGGCTTCGTAAACCGGGTCCCATTTAATCGCGTTCCTTGTTCCTACTACCAGTACCACTCACCACGACAATAATGGCTCCTCACCGCCGCGAAGAAGAGGCCCTCTCTACCTTTCGGAAGCAGCTCTTTGACGAGGATATCCTGCATGAGGGAGACTCCATTGGTACGGACGATGAGACGCTTCTGTACGTTCGCCCTGTCAAAAATGAAAAAAAAAAGTGTAAGAGGAGGCTGATACCCACCTGGTTCATAGGAGATTTCTGCGGGCCAGGAAATTTAATTTGAAGCATGCGAAACAGATGTTTCGCGATTGCCAAGAGTGGAGGGCTTCGGTGGAGGGTGCGGGTATCGATGGGCTGTACAGGGAGATCGACCCGTTCGATGTATGTCATCTCTTTTGTTTTTTAATTCTGGCTTGTCACTGATTATTTGCAGTATCCTGAACGCGAAGCCGTCTTTAACTGCTGGCCTATGTGGTGAGTTCTTGAAAGCACTAGAATCACCTTTTCGTTTGCTCAGATTATCGCTAGGTTTCACAAGGTTTGTCTGCACTCCTAATTTTCGTCATCCAAGCTCACCGACACGGACATGCTATGCTCAGACAGACAAGGCGCGTCTGATCGTATCCTTGAGCTCCCCTATCGTTTATCTAACTCTTCCGCAGAAAGGACGTCCGATAAACGTCCACTTCTTTGGAAATCTTGATATACCAAAGCTGTACAAGGAATGTACACCTGAAAAACACTGGCAAACTGTCCTCGTAAACTGCGAGTCTTTGACGCGGGAAGGTGCTCAATGTATTCATTTTTCAATCAAAGTGGGCGCTGACAATGATTATAGTCATCCCCGCTGCTTCCAGGGCAGCCGGAAAGCCCATAGGCACAGTCCTCGTCATAGTCGATCTCAAAGGCTTTGGATTGAGTCAATTCTGGCAAATGAAATCCCTCGCTCGGAGTTCTTTCCAAGTTTCTCAAGACTACTATCCCGAAACGATGGGCCAGCTCGCAATTATAAACGCTCCCTCATCTTTTACTTTCATCTGGTCCGTGATCAAGCCGTGGTTGTCGAAGGAGACTTGCGAAAAGGTCGATATCCTCGGAAGTGACTACCGGGAGGTTCTTCTAGATTTGATTGATGCCGATGCGCTACCGAGCGTGTTGGGAGGTGAATGTCGGTGTGATGAGGCAGGGGGGTGCCATTTAAGTGGCGCTGGCCCTTGGTTAGAAGGCCGGAAAGGCTGGGGTCCCAAGGCTCAAACTGACAGTGATGATGATAGTTCGACAGATGTTGGTACGCCCAATAGTGGGAAATCTTTGGAATCTTAAGAATCTATCCATTCGCAGCTTGTATAATGGCTACTACGTTGCATGTATCATATACCATAAATCATCATATTTGTACATTACCATCAAAATCCAGTGCTCGAAATCACCCTCCAGCTGACAAAAGGTGAATCAAGCCCTCTCCACGCTGACTCCAGTGTCTGAGAGAATGGAAACTCGGAGTCTCCATCATCTCCACGACCGACACAGCCCATGAGATGATCTGATCGACGCCCCTGTGTAAGTTGTATATAGCCGGAGGCAAATTTGTTCAACTCCAGCTCATCACTTGGATTCCACTTACACCAAACCACTTTACTTCACTGCATCCATGCGTTTATTCACCCGTAGCTCAAAGTCAAAGAGCCAAATCCCGCCCGTTATTACCGCTGACAATCTCGTCACGGTCGTCCCACCCAAACGCCGTTCGATATTCAGGACGAAGAAATCTGAACCCAGAATTCACATCCCGGTCCAGGACCCAGCTATTACTGAGCGACAGCTCGAGGTTGTCATGTCTCTTCACCCGCTCTCGGATTATTCGCGGTATCCCTCCGAGTCGTTCCCAAACAGAGGGAAAAGGAGTAGGGACTCTAGCGCGTCGGTATCCTCAGCGTCGTCCTTGTCAAGCTTGAGTCGAACGTCTTCGCCGGTACCTCTACCGAGTGCTCTGCCGTACAAGAAGCGTAGTTCGCGTTTACATCTTTAAAGGCTTATTAGAGGGGTGAAGGTGGTTTTGTTTTACTATTAATCATCGTGGTCAGCAGCGAGTTTTTATTCCATGGACGTTATATTGAAAGCATACATACATATGTTCCTGTCATCATATCCCTAGATTTCATGCAATAGTATATAAACGCTTGATTTGGGTTATCTTCGTTTTGACTGTTCGATTAATAGAAAAGTATATTGCGAGGACATGAAAAGTAGCAGGCGAATAAGCTCCTGCAACCGTCGAATCCAGTAAATAAGCAAAGGAAAATATCATCGATGATTTGTACAGCACAGTTAGGCTCCCTATGACCTTCTCCCTCTCGAGACTGACGACGACGGACGACTCCCACTGCGACGCCGCTTTCGTTCCCGTCCTCGTCCAGAAGATCCAGAAGAAGAAGACCCTGAATCACTATCCGAGCCGGACGAAGAGGAGTCAGAGTCAGAATCCGAATCCGAATCTGAACTGGAATCTGAAGAAGAGCTTGATCGTGACCTGCCACACACGTATATCAGCCAGTGCTACACTCTCTTACACAGAAAAGTTACTCACCTCTTCTTCCGACTTGAGCTTGAGCTCTCGGCAGCCTTCTCCTTCTCCTTCCTCTCCTTCTCTTTCGCAGCTAATATCTTATTGGCAGTGCCTTTCCTGCTCATAGCCCGTCAGCTTCCACACCCCACAGAAGAAGAAAGAATCGACCACTAACGGATTCTTGAATTCTTCCGGCACCTCCACCGAGGGCTTTCCCTCCGCCTTCAACTTTGCCAGTACACGGGGGTTCTCCAATTGTTGCGTCCTTGAAGGCCGCGACACGTACGGGCGGGTATTCTTGCACTGATAAGTGAAATGACCCGTCCCCAAGCACTTTTGGCATACAGTAGATGAGGTCGCTGTAGGGTTGTTGCTTGAGCGATGGTGCGGAGCGTATTTCGACATGATGGTTCGTTAAGGACACAGTTTTAGGGTTAGGGTCTATTTATTTTACTGTCTATTTTCATTTTCGAGTCAACCTCGAATTTTACCCACGACTGCCTTGGACTCGAAAAGTTCTCATGATGACTCTTCGTAGGCGCTTGTCAGTACTTCTTCAAGTTCGACTACCATGGGTGGGAGCGCGTTCACCACCATAGGCCCGTTCCCTCGTCTCTCCCGGGCCCTCTACGCAGCTCTCAAAGCGCGCCATACCGCTAGTCTGGGTACTGTCTATACCCAAGTCTGCACCCCCCTCGAGGCACCAGAGAAGCAGGACCACGGGGATATCGATTTCCTGGTGTACTCTCCCGATCAAGCCCGATTACCGTCGCACGATACTGTCAAGGACCTGCTCGGCGCTGTGCACGTTCTGCCAATGCCGGGACCGCGGACGTCGAATTATGCTATCCCCATCCCGGAAGACGAGTTCAATTCCCAGATGTATGTGGGGTGGTACCAAGTCGATGTGCATGTCTGTGGGTCTCTGGAAGAGTTTGCGCGTGTGAGGTTCTTTCATTCTTATGGTGATATGGGCATGATACTGGGTCTGGTGGCACGGCATTCTGGGTTACATCTTGGTGTGCATGGGTTGAAGGTATTGATTTCTCGCTTTGTAGTGGGACTTGGTTAATCTCTGTGTATAGTATCCAAACCCCCCGAATCCAGGCATCATGCTGTCAACCGACTTCGACGTTATCACTGATTTTATTGGGTGCGATATGAAGCGTTACGAACAAGGATTTTCCACAAAACGAGCCTTGTTCGAGTGGATCGCAAAGTCGCGCTTCTTCGCACCCAGAATGTTTGGCAAGAGTGATGCGGACGGGGGTAAAGTGAAACAGGAAAGAAAGATGTACTGGGAGTTCGTCGCATGGGCGCGAAGCCAACCGAATTCCGAGTCCTAATGACGAGAGTCCTGCCGAGAGACAGCGCAGAATACGCGAAGAGGCTTTGCGTCACTTTGGCAAAGATGTCGTGTTGAACGTGCAGATGAGTGAGATCACAGCAAGGACTAGGCTGAAGGCTGCATTTAATGGGAAGATAGTCGCTGAGTGGGCTGAGATGGGTACCCATTGGCGCGGTGTAAAGATGATCATGGACCGTGTTAGGGAACAGTGCGGTGGTGGTGATGAGCATGTAATGGAAATGCTTGATAACGAAGAGAATGGAGAGGAGAAGCTCATACAAATGGTCATCCAAGCCAGAGAAGATTTGGGTCTTAGGAAAGCTAGCGACATTACCTCTGAAAATTAGTTGATTGGTTTTTTTGTACTGTCCCGGAATTTGTTTCGTGACCTGTTTCGAAAGGCAGCTGATCGGGACATTGGAAATGCAAGTAAGTGTGGTATCATCATTAGAGTTAAAGAATCCGAAAATATATGTACATATCCACAGTACATAGCGGAGAGTTTTCTCAGCACACATCGAGTGACGATGCCTTGGAGTTCATGATTAGTGCCACGATTAGTCTGTCGAGTCAGGACATCAGATGACACAATACGAAAAACGAAGTCGTCAACGTACCCGTACAATCCCAACACTTCTGCAAAAATGAGTATCAAAACCATGGAAACAAACACCTTGGATTCGTGTACGTATGCTCGTACGCACTGACCCGAGAGATGTAATGAGTTGGATGAACGGGAAGAAGAGAGTTATCACGCACAGAATCCCCAACAATTCCGATAGCATAGCCAGCTGTTAGGCCTGTGAATCCACAGGCAAGACCGGCACCTAGGTGAACGAAGCCAGCAAAGAGGGGGTAGCCATTCGGTTTCACTACAAGATATCAGTCGACATGTACCACATTAGTGAATGCATACCCACTGTCCCCTGATATTAGCACGGACACGACAAGTCCGTATACGGCAATGATTCCAGACATGACGACTGGTATGAGGGACTACGCAACTAGTTAGGGAACCGTTCATTTGAATGCGTAGTGACCAAAGCACCTTCATTATAAGTTCAGGCTTGAATGTTCCAAGACCTGCGATTCCAATCCCAGCTTTTGCTGTTCCAAAGGCAGCACCGACGGCTAGACAGTACGTTGGGAATTAGGTGCTGGGCATGGGTTGTGGAGGGATACGTACTGCTGAATACCATCTGTAGGAAGTCAGAACCAAGAAACCATAAAAACAAGCAATACTCACTGCTGACGCGACGCCAGCGAAGCCAAAGAACGGGGCATACGGTGGACAGACAGACATAGCGGAGGTAAGTAGAGTCGGACGCGATGGCCGTGCTTGGCTCGCTGACATTGTCCGTGTTTGGCTGGGGCGTCTCAGCCTTTTCCTCTGTAGAGTCCATGAACATCGCGCGTCGAGCCTTCAGCAGCACCAGCACTGTCTTCTCCAGGATAGGCAAGACACCAATATCCATTCCACCCACTGTCACGTACTCCCAATCACCCGACGCTCTCACCGTCACCGGCCCGCTCGGACAGGCCTCCATTGCACTCCATCCGTTTATCACCCTCACTCCCAGCAAGGACCCTGCTGCTCCCAGTCTCACTGTCTCCATCGCCGACCATGACGAGAAAAAGCAGCGCGCGATGTGGGGCACGACGCGTACGCTGATAGCCAATGCCATCACGGGCATCACAGAAGGGTTCCAGGTCCCGCTGTACCTCGTCGGTGTTGGGTATCGAGCTGCTATGGAAGAGGATCCACGGGGGACAATGGATGGTGGTAGTGGAAGGAGGTTCAATATGAAGCTAGGGTATTCGCATACCGTGTATGTGCCCGTGCCGCCCCATATACAGGCAGAGGTACCTGCGCCGACGAAGATTGTACTCAAGGCCACAGATAAGCACGAGCTAGGGTTGTTTGCTGCCAAAGTGAGGAGTTACAGGCCACCAGAGCCGTATAAGGGCAAGGTCAGTGTCCAATCTATCTATATATTTCCCTCGTACTGACTTTTTTTCGGTAGGGGATATTTATTGGCCGCGAGACGATGAGAATGAAGACAGTCAAGAAAAAGTAGTTTCTACAACGCGTCACCTCTCCGTACAAAATCATACTCATAATTCGACATTGGATCCCAACGTTTCGGCTCGCCTTCAAAGGACGGGTCGTTACCCTACGGTAACTGTATACTGACGCACCGGCAATGGTAAGTTTCGAAAGTCTTTCAAAGTCGCGTTCAACCAGACAAGAATAGTTTTCCCATCCAATGAGTTATCTTATCACGGTCTTCGATCTCTTCAGCCATCTCTTCTGCTTTCTGTCATCTATGATGCTCCGGAAAACTCAGTCTTAATCATCTTTCTGTCTTAGTCATCGTATTTCGTGAAACCAATGACTTTATGGTCGACATGCTAGCGATACCTCGGAGATCCTAACCAATGTTGGGCCTCGCAATGTCCGACTAAATGCATTGTTCTGCAGCATCTTGACATGCACAGGAGAATATCAGATCCCGCGTTCCATTCTGATATCTCCTCTTGAGAAAAAAATCCTCTGTTTGGACGTGACTTGACACTACTCTGCGGGGTCGCAGATTTCACAGACCTCGAACCTTTTGCCAGTGGCGAAAGAACGATATTGACAATATCGTCTTAAGTTTGCACTCTCAATCCAGTCGTGAAGAGAGAGAAAAATCCTCAGTGCTGAAAGATGAACAGTACTCATCAATACTTATCTTCTGGATTTGCTGCCGATGGTTCAACTTTGGTACATCGTATATCCGCTCTGAGCAGTGTACGTATTACTTGATCGTTGCTGACGCCGGGTACTTATCGAATACTTTCACGTCGTACTTATAAAGCAGTGGATTTCATTTCAAAGATTCGCTACATTTGACCATGTCGCAAGAGAAGGCGGTCTTAGATGTAGAGGCCAAAGGATCTCTGAATGACTTGCCACCACTAAAGTCGGAAGTCCAGGCCACCAAAATCTCGGCGCCCGTGAAACAAGTCTCGATCTACTCGTATAAAGAGACCTGGTTTATCGTCGGGATTATAGCTCTGGCTGGCTTCGCGAGGTCTCTCTAAAATTATTTTGGTTTCTTCACGTCGATCATTGAAACCCACTACTTTTCAAATAGTCCATTTCCAGCCACGATATACTTCCCTGCGATCCCTCGGTTGACCCAAATCTTCCATGAATCAACCGACAGACTAAACCTGACTTTGACCATCTTTCTGGTCCTCCAAGCCGTGTGTAAGTCAAGTTGTTCATGCGTATGGGTTTCTCGTTGACTTTTTCAATATCTTCCCAGGACCCATGCTATGGGGCCCAATTTCAGATCGATACGGTCGAAGACCATGCATTATTCTGTGCTTTGTTATACTGATTCTCTCTTGTATCGGTCTTGCCCTAACACCCACGAACGCGTTTTGGCTTCTGCTGCTGCTACGATGCATCCAATCTGCTGGGTGTACTGGGACGCTTGCGCTAGGTTAAAGCATCACTTACATCGTTCGAACTGCCCGCTCAATTCCATTGTGACTTAGGTGCTGGTGCAATTGCTGATATGACTACCAGAGCCAACCGTGGTACATTCTTTGGTGCGTTCAACGCGGGACCTATGCTTGCTCCCGGCATCGGCCCCGTAATCGGAGGCTTGCATTCTCAATATCTTGGATGGCGGTACGGTATTTTGCGCACATGTTTAAGTCTGATTCCGAGTCTTGATCTTCACAGCGCAATCTTCTGGTTCTTGACGATATTCTCCTCCATCGCGTTGCTCATCATCCTGGCGTACGTACTTTGGCTTTTATTGGCACACGGCTTCCTGACCGCGTATACAGATTTCTACCAGAAACCTTACCCTGTATCGTAGGCAATGGAAGCATCCGACCTTCATTTTATCTATCGTGTTTTGATTCCTGTTGTCGGGAAAGACCGCATAGCTGACGACCCCCAGGACATACAAAGACTTCCTCCCAAACCATTCCGGAATCCGTTCTTACTCTTTCTCCATCCCGACGTGCTCGTGTCAACTTTATTCACAAGCGTGATATTTTCTATGCAGTACAGCATTTCAGGAACCCTCTCGAACGCCTACACGAGCCAGTATCCTTTTCTCAATAGTGCCAATATTGGCTTGTGCTATTTGCCCAATGGATTGGGCCTAGCGGGCGGTACGATCATCAACGGGAAATTGTTGGATGTGGAATATCGTCATACTCGGGCTAGAACTATTCGTGAAGCCACAGAGAAGGGTAGTCATGGGTACGTTCTCTGCAGTTACTGTACTCGTGAACACGTAGGAATAACGTCGCTCCTTAGGACTGTCCTATGAGCTCATACATAAAGTTCCAAAGCTGATTACAGAGGTTTAGATAGGCCACTGGTTCGGTCCCGTAACAATTAGTTATTCTCATAGTAATCCAGCTAGCGTTATACCTTCTCAGAGTAACTAACTGTAGTACGGACGTCGTTACGTTTCTTTTAAGGAGCACCGGCGACTAATAAAACTTCCTTCCTTCCTTCTATAGTTGATCGAAAAATAAAGTAGAGAATACAATAATAAAAAAGGATAGCATGAACAAAATTGTCATCTAAATCAAGCCCAAAGTCTCACCCCAACTTTCAGACGCTCGCCATGAGCTCTAGTGTGTCCTTTCAACAACTACCACGAGCTCATCTGACCGCTCCCGTTGAGCTTCAATGTCCATTTCAAGGGCTGCGCTCTGCCTGGTGGATTCCTGAAAGCTTGCCATGGAAGGTTGCAAAGATTGCGAAGATTGCGAAGACATCTGGAAATGAAGGGTTGACACCGTCGCACTTTCATCAAGTTCTTCGGTTGGGCGGGTGTGTCCTGCCGCTGCTCTGCCAATAAGAAGCGTAGGTGCAACTCCCTACACAAGGTGTTCAATAAACAACGAGGGAGTCCAAGGTAGTGACCCCACCTTTGCAATGCTAGCTATGGAATCAAGGTAATAAAATCCAAAATCAGCACGAATGAAGAACACCAGATATATGATCAGAGTTATCGAATAGAGAGCGGAGGACTCCATTAGCACTTCAATAAAACAGTGATAAACTCTCAGTCGGCTGCCTGCTCCACGTCTAACCCCAGTAACAGTCAAAATACGGAAAATGATGAACAATGTGCACCATAATGTTGTTGCCAGGACGAAAGATATGGAGAGCGTCAGGAATACTGAACCCGATGCACTGGAGTATATATGATACATATCAATGATTCGCGACACTACACATAAAGTTGAATATATGGAAAGGATAGATGGGATTGGACACTTCACCAATTGCGGAAATTAGGGAAAGGATTGGAAGCAGAACAATAAGCCAGCGCCGTCCCCAGACCATCCAACAACACCAAATCTAAAGTCGAAAAGATGGTAAGCTAATGCAGATAATCACCAACAAAGTAGCACACACAATATATAAGTCAGCGAGGATGGTACTCATTAAGGCTGGAATACCGGCCTCCAAAGTGATTGCTCCATTCACACTAATAAGCTTCAAGTAGTATACGGTCCAAAAGCTTTGCCCGTTTGCTATGAATGCGGAGTGTATAAATGACCATTCGACAGCAACATTGATAGTAATCAGAGCATAGAGGAGAATAATGATGACAATCAAGGCTCGTCGCATTGGCCAGCGTTTGTTGATGACTACCATGCGTCAGCTTGGATGCCGTAATAGAGAAGTTCCTGGCTCACATATGTTCCACAATGTTACAGCAAGAATTCCGGTGTATATGCCTGTCATCAGTCAACCCTTAGACGCCAAGGCACTAAACATGTTGCCCACCATGTAATAATGCAAAGAGAATTTTGGAGTTCAGGTAACCATTGAGAGCTTGAAACAAGAAAGCTTTCTCGTCGTTGGTAAGATCTGGTGGAATATCTGCCTGAATCACCATGAGGCAAAGTAAGTGCAATGGAGTAGTGGGTTAAGAGAATAACACGTACTGACCCCACCGTCATTATAAACAGTGCAGCTCATGGCCATGCTCATTGGCTGCTGCAAAGATGATCATCAGTATCAAGTCGAACCAGGATCCTTACGTACCGAACGTCTTCGGTGACTTAATGAACCATCGTGTACCTTGACAGTTTCAACTCGCAAGTGCGACGTGAGTCGAAGTGCAATATTGCCGGAGCAAGCCTTCTTACACGAACTGCGAGCTTCTCAGATATATGTTCTGTTGGATTAGGATCAGGGAAGCCACGTCTACGAAGAGAAAGATAACCAGCGAAGTGAGATCTCGGCACCTACCAACTTGAGCTTGTTCTGTCATGGCATGAATCCTGATCAGATCTTGCTCCAGGATCAACAGGAAAAAAGGAGGAAATTTTCGATGCGAGTTGTGATCGTTACTATGCTGACACACCCCATATAATTGAGTCCCTGTAAAGGTCTTCGGAGGGGCACCAGCTTTTGCAAGTCATATAGAGACAAGAACCAGCTGCACGGTCATATAGGATGGAAGAAAGTTGCCTCTGGTAACAAGGCATCTATTGGAAAAGCGAGGGAAAACAACTACAACACGTACCCCATAACTCCGATTTCTTCTAGAGGCAGTTATCTTTTCCGATACTTGGTATATGTTCGAAGGCTGGGCGTTGCGCAACACATCTGAGTCGACGCATCCTTGTTTGCGCCATTGGTTCTTCATTACCCATCACGTAGACGCCGAGGTCAACAAAGATGTCTAATACTGAGAGCTGAGAGAATAGACTGGTGGGTTGTAGAATCAAATATCGATATCAAGGCCGATGTTGGAAAGATCGGACAAGATGGCGGCCGAGGGGAGATGTCTGCTCGTCAAGCGAAGAAGATGGACTTATTATTCCAGCTACCCTAATCCATGAAAAGCCATATATGTACCACCAACATCCTTGAGGTGACACTTCAACTCACGATACCATCGATACTAATTAGAAGCCGGCTAGATAACACGTCAAAATGGCGATTATGGGCAGTTTTTTAATACTCACCTATCATTTCACCTCCTTGGAGGCCCTGCGAGTTCTATAGCACTCATTTCGTCAGCAAGTCCAAGGAAAACTAGCTGTTCATAATTACAAAGGCTGTACCAGCAGGCTTATGTAGAAACAGGCACACGGGACAGTTCCAGGCCGACTCTCAGTCGGAATCGGAGCAGGAGCAGGAGCGCGAATTTCGCCAGCGAATAAGACGGTGCGTGTACGGTGTAACAGAGCTAATTTGGTCCGGCGGTGCCCGAGGACGTTTCTCCTTCATAGCCGGGGCACTTCCTTTCTAAGAATTGTACGGACGTGAAAAGCCCATCAAGATGCGTCCCAAAAGGAGGGTAGGCGCAACTGCCTAAAGCCAAAATTCCGTTAGGATAAAGTAACGGGGAGATGGAGACCGAATCATATTCCTGTAACCTCGGCCACTGGCTCGAGGTAGTAGGGCGTCCACTCTGCGTGAGCGACGAACACGACATAGAGGACCAAGCTGACAGAGTAGAGAACCGGATTCGAAGAAGAGCTTGACAGTGCGACGATGCAACGACCGCGTGTCCTCCGAACCATCTTTCTCTCGAGGGGTCATGATGAGAGGGCACATAATGAGCATGGTGTACCAAAGGGCTATGGCCGTAGCAAAGGATACGGAGATTGTGAGCCAAGGCGTGTGAGCAATCTCGTTGTGTAAGTCGCTTGCGTTTCCATGATTTTGGATAATACTGGCTGAAGGTTAGGTTGGGATTTAGATGGGAAGTTAAGCGTGAGAAGGCCTGGACATACCGATGGTGCAGACCAGAAGAATGCTAGGCGGCACGACCATTGCCCAGTGTTCGTTGTTTTATGCCATACTGCTCCCATTACTCTCCCCCCAACTATGTGTGGCCTTCATTCGGACAAATCCTTGCTCTACCGATACATCCTTTCCGTGGAGTGTTGGGCCAGGTGGATGGGAATACGAGCGTCCTGCCGCTGTAGAGTGTGGTTTGGAGTTTACTCGTTGATGAGTGGAAGAGCAGGGAGCTGACTGGCCGAGTGAATCCGAAACCCGCGTGCCTCCAAAATTGGAACTTGAAATCACCACTAAAGGTGTTGAAGAGCTACATATATGGCTACTTTACTGCGACTAATGCGCCAAAGGTTAAAGTGATATTATATAGAGATATGTATATACTATAAGTGATCAAAAAATAGACGAGGCAAAGAAGTTTAATTAAAGAGAACACGACAAAAAACAGACGGGTGCTTGGGCTCTGCTCAGACCGGCGCGTAGTTGGATTTTCTTCTATTTGCGTGCTAAATGCCACAACAACACTCATGATTGATCTCTTCCCTGACCAGAGCTCCGCGGTTACTGCTTGTGTATGTCGTCTGATTCCTCGACGTGCCCTCCCTTGCTTATGAATGTCTGCCTCAGACCAACTTCTTCCGCCCTGCGTTTGCTGCTATCCTGGTCGCGCTCCAACAGAAGGCCATTCAAAAACTGGGATATGGGCTGACGTTTATGATATCTGGATGCATCTGTGCCTCGATGGTCCCGCTGATATTTCTAGAGTTAATAATTGGCCCCATTTTCCAGGACTCTGTCATAGGTGCTAAAGTATGAATACTTTTGAAATTATGAATACATGCATTCTTAGATACACTAGGGAGAGTATCAACCAAGAAATAGATGAAACGGTACAATATTTGACAGCTACTTGCATGACGAAAGCCAATAAATTATATGCGTGAGTCCAGTGATGATGGGAGGTGAAACAGAAAATGCAATGCAAATGAAGCGATATAATGTCTAATTCAGTCTCGGTCTATTCGTAGACGGTCCTGGCCCGTGATTATCGTCCCCACGCCGCTATAGATTCATCAGTCAAAGAGAAAACTTTAGTTTGGACAACGCGCACCTTCTTTGGAATGAATATTGAGGTCTCTTTTTTCTTCTTCTTCTGAGGTGGAGGCTTCGGAGGTCCTCCCTCTTGTAGAGGCGGTCGTGATTGGCGCGGCGGTTGTGGTTGGGCTGGAGCAGGGGGTGGCATTTCAGCGCCAGAGTGTTTTCGTTTAACGCCTTTGCGAGGTTCGGCTTCACGTCCCACACCTTGGCTAGGATTTTTCGATGCCGACGTCCGGTCTACAGCGGCCTTGAGCTGCTGGGGAGTCGCCAAGTTCAAAGGGATCGCTGGTGCCGAAGCAGCGAGGGTTTTCGAGGAAGGCTTCTTCTGAATAAGAGCGCTTTGCTGTTGCCCGGTGTCAGGCGAAGTGAAGTACTTTATATCAGCCTGCCGAACATACATTAGCTCCAGATTCAGAAAAGAAGAATGCGGTCGTACATCTACCAAACAACTCCTCTCTCGAGCATCGGCTACAATCTGTGTCCAAAACTTGTCGCTTCTCTCGAGGGTCGGTGCATGCCCCACAATGAAGACGCTGGATTTGGCTCGGGTTAACGCAACATTCATTCGTCTTACATCTGTCCGGAGTTCATATAGGCATATTAAAATCAAGTGATGAGAACGTACCAGCCAAGAATCCTACACTCGTTACCCCTGGTCCAGCCCTCACACACGAAAGTATGATCACGTCCTTCTCTTGTCCCTGGAAGCCGTCAACTGTGTTGAAAGCTACTTTGTTTGAAATTTCCCTCCCAAATTCCTCTTCGAACAGCCTATGCAGCTCGAGGACCTGACCCCGGTAAGGAGTTATTATGCCCACCCGAATGTCCTCCTTATCCTTGAACTGTTTTATTAACCGGCCGTACAAAGCACGGACAACTCGCGCCTCGGAGACGTTCCTGAAGGATTTTCCCTTGGTGCTCTCCTCTCTTGAATTGACAACATTGAAGAATTTGTACACGCCGAATTTTGACAAAGTGTGCCATGGTTGAAAGGTTTTCTCGTCCATCGAGGGGCCGTCGAGAAGGCGACCATCGTAGAATAGGCGACTTGGAAGACGGCTTATCTCTGGGTGCATCCGATATTGGATACTGCAGATGGCGTGAATCAGTCTAACTTGTCAGGAAAACAGTACAAAAGGCCGCTACCTGAGGAGATGAACGGCTTCCGGTCTCGAACGCTGAAGACGGACAAAAAGAGACTGGTTGTACATGTACTTGGTCGCCTGTCAAAATTAGTCAGTCCAGCTCCGAGAATCAAGGGAAGGTTATATACTGACCTCCGTCGACAACACAGTGGGGGGTAGCTGCTGAGGATCTCCTACCATCACGCATCTTGAACACCGATATTTCAACGGGATCAAGGAACTCAGCTCTATGGCCTGAGCAGCCTCGTCGATAATGACCATATCAAACGCTATCTGCTGTGCCATGTCCCTGTGACCTGCGCCGCTCAAGGTGGTACAGATGACATCAACTTCAGCCATGACTTCGTCCGTGGCTCTACGCCGATTGGTATCCATCAACCTCGAATCTGAGCGTCCTTGATCTCTGACGCTGTCCAACCGCTGGGATACGGCTGTTCGACGATTGTTCAATTCACGTATTTCTCCTGCTAAGCTGTGTTTTCTTGCCACGTTATCGCTGATTGAGTCCAGTTCTACCTGCTTGAGGGCTCTCTGCGCCTTGATATTAGCAAGTTCCGTCTGAAGTGCAGCAAGCTGGTTTTCCATATCCTTCAACGGCTGTGGTTTGTTACCCAGCTTCTCGTCCACCAAAGCATCCAATGATACATCTTTCACCATCGGTGACATAGAAGTTATAGCACCTGTACGCACAACTTTGATAGGTGTAGAGGTTTTGTGAGACCCTCGATAACCTTCTTTGAGGCGATACACGATCTCATCAATGGCAGCGTTAGATGGGGCACACAGAAGTATTTTTGGGACAACTGGAGGCGGTTTCCCAGGGTGAGCGATGAGGCGCGGTCGTCGAGATATAGATGCAGCAATAAGACCACAAATTGTGGACGTTTTACCGGTGCCTGGAGGTCTGGTAGAAGTATCAATCTCAGATAAAGGAGGAAACGAGAGAGAACAGACCCTTGAATGAGAACAAATCCTTCAGTCTTCAAAGCACTCTCGATAGCAGTGGCTTGAGGCTCATTGACTCTATACGTTTGCATTGTTTGTTGGATATCCTGAGGGTTAATCAACGGCGGAGGGGCCAGCTGAGGCCGTAGTATAGTGTCGACATTATCGTAGTAAGGAAGCGTGACAAGCGCAGAGTATTCGCGATGAATTGTGCTCAAGCTGCAAGAGAATGCCATTCAGGACTGACAGAATAATTCCCGTAGATAGTAGATACCTGAATAACTTGGCAAGCTTCCAAATGGTATTAATTTGAAGTCCATGATCATTTCCGTCAGCCACAACACGAAGTCGGCAGGCGAGTCCGGAACTGCTTTGTTTTGAGCCGCTTGCTTTGGCCATGACGGAATTGTTGCCTTCGCGACTTTGGAGGAGAACAACGTCGCTTTCAATTAGGTACCAATCCTTCCTAACTCCTTCTTGGATAGCAACTTCAATATCCACCCAGGAATCACTATGGCTTCTTGCACTGATGGTACAAGAATAGAACTCGAGGACATTCTGCTTAGTATCTTCGATTTGGGCCCAGAGCTCGTGCAGCAGTAGAGGCCCAAAAATTCTTCCGTAATGCGCAGGATCGGTGAAGTTGTCCGGTACACGCATCGGTCGTAGATTTTCTCCCGGAGGGATAGGCCCTTGATGACTGTAATTCCACGATAAAAGAGCACGATGAAGCCCGGTCACATCAGGATTCATCCTCGCGGCTAATCGTCGCTGCGCATCAGCTTCACGCTGTTGCTTGAGTCGTTCTTCCATAGCGCTCTTTCCGGTCGCCACATCAATGGTTTTGATTTGACGGCGTTCGGGTATCTTCTTTATCTTGGGTAGCTTGCTCAGCTCCTTCTTTTTGTCAGCCATGGATCGCAAAATGGCGCCTTGAGACTCTTCCTCTTCGCTCTCGGACTCACTGGACTCGGAGTTGTTTCGAGAAACCGTAGAAGCCCTGGAGGACCCTCCGTCCTTCGAACCGTCACTGGGGCGTGTAGGAGGGTGCTTCGATGAACCGGCCGGAGCGGTTGAACCGCTCGATCTGCGGAATTTGGGGATGGCAACAGTTTGGTCCAGCAATTTTTGGTCCTTCTCACTGAAATAGGACGACTTGGTGGGCTTGGAGGGTTTGGAGGGTTTGGAGGGTTTGGAGGGTCTTGCGGAAATCGAATGCGAAGGAAGGGCTGCTTTGACATGGGGTTTTCCATCGCTGCGTACGGGTTTGCTAGACTTTCCTTTGCCCTTGAGTTCCCATTTCTCTACGACTTCCACATCGTCGTCGTCGTCGTCGATAGAGATAGGGACAGGCTTCGGCTTAGCAACAACAGACACAATCTCTATCTCCTTCTCGCTTTCGTCCTCGAAAGAATCGAGGATAGATTGTAGCTTGTTGAGCTTACTCGATGACAAACGAGTACGAGGACCATCCGGGGTACTTTTTTCCCGTGCTTCCTTCAAATATCTCTTCAGCCTATCAACAACATCCTTCTGAGGTGTAATCTTGCTCTCCTTGAAACAGGTGAAAAGGGACTCGATGAGAGTAAATGATTGATGCAAGAGTTCCTCGTCCGTGAGGCGCAACCAGCGCGTCAGTTCCGTCAAGATTTGTTGCATGTCGGTCAGCATCTTTTTGGGTATGCTCTTGCTCTGCAACTGTGTGCCGGCAGTGACAGTGCTTGCTGCTGATTCGAATGCACCGCGCTCTGCTAGCATTTCGCGGCCAAAAATGAGGGCGTCTCGCATCCACACAATCATCACTTCATTATCATAGTACCGTGCCCAAGCAGGCGTACGCTTGAAAATGAGCGCTAACGTTTGGTTCATGGAAGTCCAGAGTCTCGGTAACTGCGCCGCGGGACCTTTGGGATCAGATGATCGCAAGAAACGAAGGTTGTTAAGAAGCCCTTTGGGAGTTGCACATAAGACTTCCATGATATCGGTCAAGCAACGAACGAGCGACTTCGACAGACTGCACGCCTCGGGCACGGAGTACGAATGCTCCCTGAAAGTTGAGAGGTATTCAAAGATTCCCTCCAACGTCACGTCCGGATGATTCCCTAGCAAAGCGCGAAAACAATCCATGCGTACATCTGCATCGAATGCCAAGCCCACTACAGTCTGTCCGGCTACCTGCAGATCTTCCACGGGAGAGATCATTAACTTGACAACGCTCTTGACGATCCCCGGTCGCTGTAGAAGTTCGAGACCAGACGATGAGGTGTTACGATCGGAGAAGTTGGAAATGGAGGCGAGGAAATCTGTTCTTATCGCAGCCAGAAATTCGTTTACTTCTGACAGAAGCTTTGAACCTCCGGAGATGCTCGTAACTTTACGAAACGCGGCTTCATGCATGCGGTCAAGATGAGCGACTTGGGCTATAACAGGCAAAATGACAGCAATCCCTTCACCGTCATTGATCTGCAAAGCGGCAAATGTTCTCTTCCATATAGGATGTCTGAGATCTAGGGACGCAAAGTTTGCCGGCGCCTTTTTGGCATCAGCTGAAGCTTGCGCAAGACTTGACACAGCAGTGAATATACGGGACAGATCTTGACCCATGACGGCTGTAATCAGATCTTGCGTGTCTGTGCGGGCTGCCTTCCATTCCATACCGGCATACGAACTGGAGAAAGCCACGGACACTAAAGTTTCAGCATGTATTCCCAGAACATTTGTGATCGCAACACGATGATCGTCTTTCTTCTGCGACTTGAGAAACTGGAATGGACGGTAAAAGCATGCAAGACCCGGCTATTTGGATGCTTACCTTCGCGGCTAACGACATTACGAATGGACGTGCATCTCCGAAACGTTCTACTTGCAGTTCTTCACATACGTAGTTGGCCATTTTAGCAACGACTTGCGCATATATGGCCGTGTCATGTATCAAAGAAAGGTACTCCAGAAACCACGAAAGAAACCACATATTCTCTTTAGGGCGCTCTTCGAGCAGCCGGGTCATCGCTATGTCGTTGTCCTTGACTGAATCAAATATGACCTGCGGGTATTCAGGTCCCTCGCCCAACCATAACCGAACACCGAGCCGCTTCATCACAACTGTAAAACAACGCAGAATGGGCGCGAATTCTAAAGGACACAGTATTGATAATAACGAGGGTTTTATTGAATGCAAGACACTAACCAGGTCCTCGGTCAGACAAATGCCTAACAACAAGACGCCGCATATCGATGTTTTGCGAGGTCACGTATAACAGTTCGTCTGGGGGTATCAACCGTAGTGCGTACAAGAATGCCTCCCAAAGAATTGAATTATCCGATGAAAGAGTATTGAGCAGCAAAGTGGGAGCTTTGGAGGATGTCTCGGGAACAAATTCTGAATTGCCTGAGAAAACGTGCGCCAGAATATCCAGAACACGATGATATGGTCCACCGAAGGATTCCTTTGACAATGGAATCTGCGAACATCTGGCAAATTGACCTTTCGCCCACTGACGAACGCGTGGATTTTGATGCATAAGCAGAATAAACATGCCCGGAGGATAAGGGTCACTTGGCCAGCCGGTCAAGGGTTCTTCCGGAGAATGGTTATCGATGATTGCGAGGATCCTTTCATCTTGGAAGATAGCAAGATTTGCAACTATGCGATAAACGACACCAACGGGTACACTGGAAAGCGACTTGGAAGACGCAGTTGACTCTGCTGTAATCCCTACAGCAGACAAACTTTCCAGGACGGACTGAAGTTCCCATTGTTCAAATTTGGTGTAGAAAGCGTTCTTTGTTTCCTCAGAAAACGCTGCGAGATACCTGATTATCAAGTAAGGAATGCCGATCGCGATTGAAGGCAATGTAAGCGAGCTCACGTAGTCCTGGAACAATATTTCGCCCTTTCCAGCCCGCAAGCACAGTCAGCGCACTTCATCACGCACGCTGACAACTTTTCCTTCCAAGTCAGCACTAGGGTGCTGGTATATGCAAATAATCTAATGAGGAAGGTTGCCGCTGCGATGGTTGTGGTAGTGGCCCGGCCACAAAACCAGTGGATATCCTCCATATCCTTAGAAACACCCATAAGGTAGTTATATACCTGAGCCAGGACATCGTTGCTGAGGTTCTCGCTATCGACGGGACTATCGCGAAGCTTGTCGAGGATGTTTTGGACCTGGGTAGCTGAAGTGGCAGCAGCCATGGCGAATGAGAAAGAACGTCGGGAGCACGCTGAAGAATATTTATGGCGTCGTCAGCGTCACCTTTGTCATAGAAAAGGAGCAAAAGTGGCACTGGTAGAAAGGAAGAAGGACAAAGAGTCGCGAGTAATTTTGCGCGTCTGCACGTGAACGCAGGGTTTTTGAAATTCAATATTATTTATTCAAATCAATTCAGAAACATTTCTTCCTCTCCCGCGACCATGGACCCTCACGATTTGGAGAATCTAAATACCACGCTGGACCATGAAGCCCAACTTCGAGAGGTGATATTAGATACCTCTGATGGTCCGGACTTGCCCCAATACTTTCTCAGAAAATCAAGGAACAAGTTGTAGAACTTGACAAGAAAACGCGTACGATGGTCGGGATGCTCAACAAGATCCATTCGATTCCGTATTCCCAAGGTGCAATATCTGCTATCCTTCCGATCCCTCTTCTTGACATGATCCGATTCTAGTTCCTGGGTTGGTGGATAGCGTATATCCTGTTCCTCCGAAGTACCCATGTCCCCCATACTGCGCTTGCAGATCTTGTTCCCCCCAACCAATTTTGGAGATGGAAAGACACTGTGGACGAATTCACTTCGAAATAGCGTTTTCGTGGCGGCTTTCTTGGAATATCTGTCAAAGGGGACCCTGATCTCACTGGCATCCACATCTGAAGCCCTTGGTAGTACGTCATTCTGGTATCCAGGGAGTAACACTTCGACCAACGCTTCAGACAGTTCAGGATGAATGGAAAGATCGCTTTACGTTGTCTATTGAAGACTATTTACACGGGCTTATCACGCTCGTGAACGAATTGGTGAGGGTTCTGGTTTGTTCCGTTCACTAAGCCGCGCCGACTGACTGCTTTTCAATCACTCTAAGTCGCGATTGGCTGTCAACGCTGTCACCCTAGGTAATTTCCAGGAGCCGGTCAAAATATCTATCTTCGTGAAAGATCTATTCGCCGGGTTTACGATGGTAACACCCCTGTTCTTGCATACTTGTATTCCCCTTATATTCATTTGCAGTTAAACCTGAAAAACGACCAGCTGCGTCGGAGATTCGACAGTCTAAAGTATGATATGAAGAAGGTTGAAGAAGGTGTGGTCTAATTTTTAGTGTTGAATGTGTTGCTTACAACTTTTCCAGTCGTTTACGACGTTTCGCTGCGGAAGCTAGCGCAACCTCCGGATCTGGCGCCTGGCTGAGTTTTGATGTCTTGCCTCACCCTGTATTTTGTACGTAATACCGTCCAAGTCTCCGTTTTTGTTCTCTTGCTGTTTGTAGAAAGTCATAACCTAACATTTATATGTTGCTCCATGGTCCAAGCATCTCAAGCCTCCTAGTTTCCGCTATTGCCTTGTAATCAGGGCTTCTGAGCTCCAAAGATATGTATTCTAGTAAGGTATACGATCATACCCATACTGGTCCTGACCGAGAGATCTGGTCTGGCACTAACCTATCACGGTGAAAGAGCTAACGTAAATGATCTTGGAGAGGATCAGTCTTCGCCGATGTCGTCGCGGACTGAGCAGGATCGGGGAGCTGTCCAAAAGCTGGCTGAATTGAATCATTTACAGCTTCCGAGGCTGTAAATGATTTCAAATCCGAGTCGAGGTTCCGGTGATGATCTTCAAGTGTACGACGCCAAACAGTCGCAGATAGCGGTAAAGCCTCATGATGCTGAAGGTCCCTTGACTCCATATAATATATTTTTCTGTACATGCCCTCAAGATGCGACGGTTAGGGTTCGAACTAGTGTACATTATGCGTCATCAATTGTGTTTGGCCTTCCGAGAAAAACACGGGTTAGCGGAGTTTGAATACCCAATCGGGCAACCTGAACGTTCACGTAACGTTGAACCTGTTCTCTCCAAAGTGATCAAACGTACTTCGTTTTCACTTGATGCGCTATCCACGAGACTCAGGCTGCACACCGGTCTCATAGCGGGCATTTCATGGATAGAAAGCGAGGCGTAGCAACGCGCCCTGCCGCTTCTGAAGGTAGGTTGCCTACAAAATGTAACTGAATCTAAGCTGGCACTAAAAAATGCGCGTTCAGAAATTGAATTCTGGAATCACGCCAGAACGTCTCTTCTGACGCTGTCCAGTATATACACGAACCCTGCCACTGCAGAAACAATCGGTCGTGTGAACCGGCTGATCTCCGCGTGGCCCAGTGACGACACTCTGCCGTCCGAGGGTCTGGATGGTGTCAGGACGATATATAAAAAACTGAACACAGGACTAAAGGACATAGAAACAGCATCTAATAATGAAGTCAAGTAGGTAGATTTTTGAAGGCCCTCTTTCATTTCATTATTCATCCTTACTTCGCCAGAGCGATCGACCAAGCTCTAGATCAGCTCGGTATACTCATCGCTCTCAGGCAAGCGACAGAAACGGGTAAGTCTCCATTGCATCCACAGCTCGGGTCACTCCACTGAAACACATGCTCACAGCCGCAGACAAACGAAATAAGCGCCCTAATAGAGGTCCGTCACCATCTTCGACACCTACTCCAATAGGCGCTCCTCCAACGTCTGGCACTACCCGTGGTGTGTCGATTACTCTGCCGCCTCGAAACTCTGCTGGTACCCCGCTCTCGATCACTGTTTCCCGTGAAAAATCACGCAGGGAAGGTATAGCCCGACAATTACCTCTTCGGGAAGGCCGGACCATCGCATTTCACCCTCCTCCCAAGCCTATCAAAGACGCTGATCAGAGTGATTGGATACTTGCTGTCATTACCAGGTGTATTAACGCCGACAAGCACAAGTACGCCCCCAAATTGGTAGGACTTGACAGGTGCTCATGAACCTCTGCATTCTTAGATACGAGGTCCGAGATGTCGATGATGAGAATCCAGAGTAAGTGACAATGGCGGCAGCCCTTGGCCGACGTACCCCTCACCTGCCTTCCTCAAATTAGGACGTACGCTACGACCCTGAAATCGATTATTCCTCTCCCGGATCCGAATGCACCTGCAGGGACTCCAGAGAGTATCTCCGTGTGTCCGGAGTATGGAAAAGGAACTATCGTGCTGGCGCTCTATCCTGACACAAGCTGTTTCTATCGGGCCGAGGTGGTCACTCCTCCTCGGGACATGCAACCAACCGGACGGGTGCGTTCTCTTCCCCGATGTGACGACATCTATTGACTCATCCCCTCAGTCATACTTGCCCACGTACGAACTAAAATTTGAAGACGACGAAGAGCAATCTCAGATAATAAGTGCGCAATATGTCGTTGAGTTTCCTAAGGATTAGGATCATTTATGGTTTTTACGATTTATGCTGTGGTATCGGTGTAGCATTGTATCATCATTGTAGGTAGGATACCCATTTTTGGAATTTTATAGGCCAGCAGCGCCGTTGGCCTGGTGTAAATATCTCAAAAACTACGTACCTCTCTGTTTGAAGATTTTAACATAATTACGACAAGTCTCCCAATGCGAGGCCGTTCGATAAGCCAAATTATTGGCTTTGATAATCGTCTAGGAGGGAATTATCAGTGAATACTTGCATTCGATGTTCTATTCGACACGAAAAAGCTCGGTTGATAAGCAGCTGAAATTGGGGCCCATCAGTACATGACTCTTGTCGCCACCATTCAGGGTCCCAATCAAAGGCGCACCTGGCCTATAAATTCTTCAAGACTCAGGAAATCACACATTCCTGGAAGGTAACAGCTCTTTGCAACGTCAGCTCAGACGCGTTTTCTTAAGGTAGGGCCACCTGAGCCCTACCTTACGAGACCCATATGTGGCGTTCCACTTCTCAGACGCTTGGTCTGGATTTCGGGAAGGTACTTTCTGGAAAGCTTGTGCATAGGATTTCGGGAGAATTTTTTGTCCTGTTTCTGTCAACGACGATGTCGTTTCACCTTTGGATTTTATCCATTTTAGCCTTGCTTCTTCTGGAGTCTGAGCGTCTCTAGTAACAGGTAGCTTGTAATACAACGTGTAGGTAGGTTCGACCCAGTTGCAGGGAGTCAGACCCCAAGGTGGGGGAACCTGGATGCTTCTCTTCATTATGCTGTCTACCTGCCAACTACGCTAACTTTGCAGTAATCATCATGCGCTCGAAATCTGCCAAAGTCATTGACTTGTCCGGCGCAGAAGAGAAAATTTCGAGCATTTCAATAATCTTATACATTTAACGCATCAGATCGACTGCATGCAGGGCTGGAAATAACATACCTCTTCAGCTTTCAGCTTTTCGTTGAGCAATTTCGCGACACGCTGAATGTCGCTGATCATTATTTTCTGGCGGGGCAAGTCCTCGGGCGTCGCGTTAGGGAAGAAAAGCGCGAAATTCTCGAGACAAGTTTGCTTTTGTCGTTTGGTCAATTGTTTGGGGTTCGTAAAATCAGAATCCGAGTCCGAATCGCGTGTGCGGGTGGTAGGACGCGTGCGTCGACGCGCCGGTGCTTCCTCCACATAGTCATCGTCGTCATCCGAAGGTTCCTCCATATCAACGTCCCCCGCTTCGTAGTCACTGCCTAGGTCACTGATTGGACGGGAAATTGCGTCCCCATCACTATCTGCATACTCTTGTGCATGATGTTCGAGTAAGATGGCACAAACAGCGCGCCAATCATCCATACTAACAGACAACTCTGTGGACGGGCTCGCGCCCTCTTCCCAACCTGATGCGGCCTGGCGAAATATGGTCAAGACTTGTTCGTCATCGGGAGGTAGGTCAAGGAGTTGCAGAGCAGATGGGATAGATGACATGGGAATATTAGGGATCTGGGACGCGTCTATCTCATCATCTGCTTCGCCTGGGTCATCTTCAACAAGAAATCCACCGCCTCCAGACGAAGTGGATGCAATTGGTTTCGTCTTCTTCAAAGGTGGTGTCTCGATGAGATGGTGCGATTTTGCTGTGGATATGTACACCTTGTCAATTCGATGCTGAAGATACCGAGGGAGTACAGAGAACGTCGAGGCGGCAGATGAACTCATGACTAGAGTTGATCGACATTTAGAAGCTGTGCATGAGTGTGGCTTTGCTTACCATTAGAAGACCGTGAGTTGTTCAAAGTACTACTATTTACTTTACTTCGGTCGTCGAAGTTTCGTGAAGAGGCTCAAATGTCTGCCGAGATGCCGATCATCCTCGGCATACAGGTGACGTCAGCCACTCGTCACAGATCCGTGTTCCAGGCTTTCCAGCATGTTCTCGTCTCTGCGAGAAATACCGTATTTGTGAATCCGCTGAAGTATAAAAGACAGATGTTTCTCTTCCTTCAGACAGCAACATTGTCTCAAAAATGTCTATCGCACGACAACTATTCCGTGAATTCCGCCCTCTCTTTCGGATGCTCGAAGAGCCTATCACTCGTACTCCAGCCTCATGGAATATGAGGTCTCACCCCTTCTTTGATGACCCCTTTTTCTCATCTCCAGGTTTTGGTCGACCTGCCGTTGATGTGACAGAGCAGGGGAACAAGTACATCGTTGAAGCGGATCTTCCCGGTGTTGCAAAGGAGAACGTCGAGGTGAGAATTGGTGAAGGGGGTCGTAGCCTTACTATCGAGGGAAAGGTAGTGAGCAAAGGGCAGGAACCAGAGGCAACTCAGACGCAAGCCTCTGAAGGCGAACAAGCAGCTTCTACAGAAGGCATGTCTTTTCTGGTCACTGTATTTTTTTTACTAGGCTAATACATATCATACTTTGTAGTTGCTAAAACCGATACTCCCAATCAGATTTCTGCTGAAAGGCAGTTCTGGAGTAATTCTTCCTTTACTCGCACTGTTTGGCTTCCTCGTCCGGTTGACAGTAGCGGTGTTTCTGCACAGCTCAAGGACGGTGTCTTGACCGTGACCGTTCCAAAGGCCGAAGACAAGGCTAGCGTAGTGGTACCTGTACAGTAGATCATTATTTTTTTTGGTTAAAAGTGTACCGTAGCAACGAATTGTATCTATAAAGACTGTATTTCTCTACTCAATACTGCGACGCGTGATTCTCAAGTCGGAGCGAAAACGGCGAAAACGGATTTGGCTTACCGTCCTACGTCGCGTGGGGCCAGATTTTCTACTGCCAGTACTTTGATCTGCCGCCTTTTGTAACGTGTCGCTTTTTCCGTTCTTCTTCCTTCCGGTCTTTCCTCAACCACCACTCAAAATTCTGTCTCCCCATTGTCCCGATGGCCTCCCACCATCCCCCTGTTGCTCTTCCTCCAGCTGAACCGATGCTCGTGGATTCCGATGTCGAGGCAGAGGTCGACCAGCTCGATTCTGACACAGAGGGTCTGGACGAACCTAATCCAAATGGCGCTTCCGTCTCCACGAACAACGCCGTGAGCGGTGCTCGGAGCAGTAGACCAGTTGGACAGACCCTTTTGCCTGGTGGGAGGTTGGAAAATATCATATCAGCAGACGGTGTGTATACCTCGCTCTCCGACTCAATTTATTCCCTGAATAGCAACCAGGAGTGACCGGGAGCCTGTCATTATCGAAGGAGGCCCTCTTCGTACTCTCCATTGCTACTGTATGCGTCCTTGCCGCTGTTTTTTTGACCCGAGAATGATTAAAATTCTATACAGGAAGAGTTCATAAAACGATTGGCCCAGGGTGGGCTACGGCAAGCCAATTCAGAACGACGGTCTGCAGTGCAGTACCAGGATATGGGTGCGTGTCGGCCGTCCCTGCTAAACCGAGTGGCGAACTAAGAGCGCATATAACATCCAGCTGCTACGACCCTTCAATACCAAGAGTTCAGATTTCTTCAAGGCGTGTTCCATACCCTCTTCCTTCGCGTCAGCCAAATAACAGTGCTTTTCTTCCAGATACGATCCCTACAGCCATCTCTCTGGCTGATGCCATATTCCTCCGCGAGGAGACAGAAAAGCAACTTTTTGACGAAGACCCTGCACCCCTCAAGCCTTCTACATCTACCGCGAACTACACATATCCCGTCATCCCACCGCTTCCCTCCACAAAACCCCCGCTACCTCTGAACATGTCTTCCAAAGCCAAGGGCAAGAGCCGTGCAGCAAATGGAAAGGAAAAAAGCAACGGCAGCGCCAGCTGGACCAACGGCACTCCGAGCCATAGCGAGTCCACTACCGGCGAGATGCCCAACGGCGTCCTGGATGCCAGGCCGTGGTGGCACTACTGGCCTAAAAAGCCTCCTGGTCAGGAGCAGAAGAACGGAATGGTTGAAGAGACACGACCAGCCATACCTCATGATCCAACAGTTGCCGGAACCTCGCACGCGCCCACTTCATCCATCCGTGGACGGAGCCAATGCCTCACAGCCCGACACACCCAGCGTCGTTGAAAGCCGGGGACGTTCTGCCTCTCCCCGTCCTAGCCAATCACAAACTCCACTAAGCGAAGAAATATCATCAGAGCCTAGACAAAATATCAGCGAGATACGGGGAATCCACTGTCGATTCTTAGTTGGACCCTAGAGAGTCAGTATCTGTAGATTTCTGAGGGCCCTGTAATTGTAGTTTTTGTTGGACTAGCTATTGTACTCAAGAGGCAGTAATTGCGTACTACGACGGTGTTGTGTAATTATCGTTATTAGAAGAAGGGGTAGTACTTTATTTATCATTTCTACAACATGAATATACCTCAGTTGTGCTCTCAGTGCTCCCGGTTACTAAGATCTGCCTGCCGCCATAATTGCAGAATACCGGGACCCTTAAACCTCAAATAGTACGCCTTTTGCGAAGTAGCATCACTGACTTTATGGTTCAAGATATTCTATACAGTCGACCCTGCTTCGGTACGTCTCATGGCAACCAGCGGAACCATTTACTTCCGAGGTTCACCTTGACTAGTAAGCTCAGGTTCAAAATTTGTACTAGGAACTGAACGTAAGTAGTTTAAGAAATAGAACACAACATGATATGTTACAGATGCATACGACACGACATACATACTAAGTGGAAAGATCCTAAATCGTCTCAATCTTCTCAAAATGACTGGCATGAGTATCAAACGCTGCAACTATACCCTGCGCATCGCCTCTGAAATCATTTTGTTAGCGAATGAAGATGAACAGATCAGTTGTGACAAACTGACACTACCAAATCATACTCTCCCTTCAATCGATCGCCGATACTGAAATGCGCTATGTCCGAGTTCATCTCGACGAGAACAGTTCCATCGTTCGAAGAGACTGTAGGGTCCCACATGCGCACCATTCCTGGCTCAGATGTGAGAATAGAAGGTAGTGTAAGATCAGCCGGACTCACCATCTTCGCCACCTGTAATCAAAGCCATCCTGCCATTCGAATTCTGAGTCACCCACTCCGAATAGACAACACCAAATGAAATCATTGCCTAGGTGTAACCTTACATTCACCCCGGATGTTCGAATTCCTCCATGACACCCTTGTCTAGCATTCGGAGATCGTAAATGTGAGTCTTGTTGTCATTTCTAGACACGGCCAAGAAACGACCATCTGGGCTGAAGGATGCACAATTGACCTCGAGATCGGCTCGACCAGCATTAGGTTGATCAAGTATAATATGCTTAGAGGCTCTATTATGGCGGTTGCGAATATCGTAAAGTCGAAGATGCCTATCGGGTTCACCGGCTGTGAAGAGCGCTAGCCATGATCCTAGATTAGAAGATGAGGAATACATAACAGAATGTTTCGCTGCGCTCGCTCACCTTCTGAATTAATTGACATCGCATCCCCGGCTTCCTGAGCATCATCAAACTCGTATATGGGATCAGAGTCGTCATACGGATTCCATGTTTTATGGTAGCCAACACCGGTTAAAGAGTTACCAAGCGGTTCGGACGAGGCAAAGATGCAATTGGCCGTCGGACCTCTCCCCCAAACGAATGCACCCACTGTATGACGACCTGGTTGCCTATCTGCAATTGAAAGCTCTTCGTGTCGGCGAGATTCGGAGAATATGTCCGTGTAAATCCACAATTTGCTATATGCATCATGTGTTTACTGAAAGCGGATTGCAGGAAGACCCAACTCACCTAGAGGCAACAGCAAGATCTGGGGTGTCTGAACAAGGATTGAAGGCGATGTCATGTGTTACACGCGAGTGGTCGTATCCTGACGGTAGGTTGAGGAAAAATTTTGCATATTAAAGACAGTATCATACGAAATAGTTGTTCGCAGCTGTTCTCCTTGTATATCCGAGCTGAACGGCCACAAACGTACATTTGTGTCTTCTCCAGAAGACGCAAAACATTGACTAAATATGTAAGTTTTCGTATCTAGAAGAAAAAGAGCCCGCACCTTTTCGGATCGAATGCGATGTCATTGACAGAAAAATACTTGTACAGATAGTTTGGTTTCCAACCATTCAAACGGTTTGGATTATTGCTGTACTCATATTCAACCTGTCTACCCTCCGAGGTTCCATGTTTCTCAAGCACTAGCCATGTAAGGATCAATATTTGGTGTTAAGTGGAATAGTCTCTCACCTCTCTTGAAACCATCTTGACATCGCCAATAATGCTCAGTATAATCCTCGTGCTCTTCATCCTCCTCATCTGGATCACGCTCTACCTTCAGCGTTATATGCTCGTCTTGACACCACAAAAGTAGTGCACCGCTCTTATTATACGTACAGTCCGTCTCTGGTCTTGTTAGAATGGTTTGGAAATTTGTTCTTCTGACACATACCTCCGGCACTCCCACCAGCTGTAGCACTACAAGCGGCGATGCAGCCTTTGTGTTGTATAATCTTATTTATAGCTAAAAAGGAGACTAAGGACAGTAATGGCTAGTAGAAGATCAACTCACGTCCGGCCGCAGCATAATGCCACCTCTGCGTAATGCTTCCATAAGGCAAAGTGCGTCTAGCAGGCCCTTTCCCTTCAAGGGCGAATTTGTGCGGATGCCGTGCGCGTCGCGAGGGAATGGCTATCTCGGTATCCTTTAACTAAGAGCCAATTATGTTTAGTAGGGAAGCTGGGCCGCACACAGAAGCCTCACTATATCCCAAATATACGGTCTTTCGTTTGGTGGTGCACGAGGAACAGCTTGAGACTGAAACGGCCGATTCGTTAGACGCAGACGCCGCTCACAAGGAGGCAGCCTCTTTGGTGCTGATTCGAGGCTTGCAAAAGGCTCAAAAGCACCAGAGTCGTCTCCTCCCGACTTGGCTCGGATACGAGCCCACTATAGCGGCCTTCGTAAGTCTCCTACATCATCATAAGTAGCAAAACATACGATGTTTGGATTCGTCCACGTCCCTTTGACGTACTCGTCCTCGACATTGTCTGGTTCATTAGATTGACGATGCAATGGCACGGAGGATTGAGTAGAGCGTTTCTGATACGCGACAATCTTTGTGATTGGCTTTCCTGGTGAGCGCGGGAGGTTTCTGCAGTCGTCTTGCGAAGGCATGGCAAGCTTGGGAACATATTTCTAAAGTATGGTCTAAGTTGAGAAGAGGTAAGATCTCACACGTCACGCACCAGATGCTTCGCTGGTGCCGTTGGTCGCTTGGCAGGTTGGGCTACTTTATGGTGCGATGATGACGAAGGCTGGGGTGTGTGTTTCTGAGAACGAGAAGTTGAAGCCACAACAGGTTTGGTTGGGGACTGTGATATGGAGAATGCTGGCAGTTCATCGTCGTCGTCGTCGCTCAACAAAACAAAAGGTTTGTCCTTGGACCCTTCTGCTCCAGGCAATGGAGCGGTTGTGGACCTCGGGCGCTTCCTCGAGTCAGAGGCGACATGTTCAGATGGCCGTTTCTTGAACCATTGGAATATTGACATTACTGTGGTGAGTCAATAATGAAGCCGAGTCTCACCGTACGCAGGGGAGTCTGGACGTTTGATATGCTGGGATTGATGGTGCTCGGTATATCATTACTTTTTGAGACTATCAGTATCAGCATCAGAGAAACCGCCGATTCATACCTCGACCTGAAGTTGACGGTCTCTCGATTTGTCTTCATCCTTCGTCCAGTGAGATCGACCGCGTCGTTGTCGACATCTATCAGAGAGTGACCTCTACCGATGAACATTATTTCTGGATCACGCCGTCGCATGACGAGGCCCAAGCGTACGATAGTATCCAACAAGCAACCAAGATGCGAAACAACCGAGTTCAAGCTTACGCTTAAGGCGTGTAGTAGCACGTGTGAAGAACGAACAAACGAGGCGAAGGTAGAACTCCGGAGGCAGTGGTGGCGGTAATGAAAGACTTAAACCCTAACCATAGTGTTTAATCACTAACCACCATCACCCATGTCTCAACCAGACGAAGAGCCCACCTTTTTCGAGCGAGAACGCGATCGTCTAGCCCGAGAAATTACATCCGTGAATATCCTTATTACGCGCCGTGTTTTACTGCTGATACACTGCATTACAGGGCTTCGAGGAGCTGCTCTCATCGACCAATGGCCTGAATAGAAAGCTCGAGGAGGTCCTAGGAATGACCAAAGAATACGATACTATTGCTGCATTGTGGAAAAGTTTCTATGAACTCATGAGACAGTCTGATGCTGGGGATACCTCTGTGGATGAAAGATCCCATGGTCTTCCTGGCACCGGTGGCCACACCATCGCGATGAAGTAGAAGTGAGCAGACTAATAATACTGTTGTTATTTATGTGGACTAAAAGTATTCAAATACAGGATGCAGACACAACATTAATCGATGACAACAAACACAAGAGCAGCATGGTCCAGTTGCACGTCCTACCCTACTTACATATCTTTCCTTCCGCCTTCTCTTCTGCTCATATATCTGCCCAACCAGCAACATAAGAGAACCCATTGAACTCTGCTTGGTCGCGCGAAGAAAGTTGACCGTGCACTGGGGTTAGAGTTGGTTGTTCTCTAGTGAACTCCTCGTCGAAGTTGCTGGTATCGGCACTGCCGTTCTGTAGACACATTCAAGTCCGGTCCCGATATTGAAAGATTGTTTACACTTACAATTGTAGGGAAATAAGGAGGGGGGATGCGTTTATTTAGCACATCGTCGAAACTAACGTCTTTGAAGAAAGGCTGTCGTTTAATCTCTTCGGCATCTTCTTTCGTAGATCCCAGACGGCGGTTAGGGTCGCGCGTCAAGAGCTGTCGGTTTTTTTTAGGTACGCAAAGCAATGTCAGAACAATTGGAATGTCTACCTTCTGTAAAATGGATACGGCATCCCTCGGCATCGTAATCGGGTACAAGGGCTCGTCTTCCAGTATGGCATCGAATATTTCATCTTCGTCGTCTCCACGGAATGGCGACTGCCCGAGCAACATTTCGTAAGTCAGCACACCAAAGGCCCACCAATCAACGGCACGTCCATAGCGTTGTTCTAGGAGGATCTAAATACAGTGTTAGCGCGGATTTTTCTTCGAGAATGGGTAGGATCATACCTCCGGAGCCATGAATTCAGGAGTACCACAGAATGTACTCGTTGTCTGACCAAACCACATCTCTTCCTTACACAAACCGTAATCGGCCACTTTAACATGCCCATCTAGCGTTAGCAAGATGTTATCAAGTTTCAAATCCCTTCCATCATGCTATAAGCACATGTCCCTCACGAATTGCGCGGGCTAACTCACCGGTATATTATACCATTAGCGTGGAAGTACTCGAGGGCCAAAAGTACTTCTGATGCATAGAACTTGGCCTGTCGAAGAGAAAACTGCTTCCTCTGAATGTGCAACATGAGATCACCCCCGCTGACATACTCCATGACGAAGTACACCCGTGTCTCTGTCTGGAAGCAAGAATGAAGACCAAGTAAAAACGGATGTCGCTCCTTAGCAGCAGCCAAGAAAACGCGCTTCTCCGAGCGAGTACTAAAGGATGCATGTTAATGGGAAGGAGAAAGTAACCACCAGAAGTCTTTCTCACCTCTCCACTTCATCGTTATCTATGATGAATTCCTTCTTCAGCACCTTGATCGCATAAAGACCGTTCGTTTTCTTTTCCTCCGCCAGCATGACTTTACCGAAGTTACCTTTACCGAGAACAGCCAAGAAGTTGAAATCATCTAGACCGACTTTTCTCTTCTTGGTAGCCTGCCGGACAGGAGGCTGTGCAGGAACAACTCGATGACCCGGGATGACCTGGCCGGAACCCACGCTAGGAGGTCTCTGAGCTGGTGAAGGCGGAAGGCCGGGTTGCTTAGCGGGAATAACAGCCGGCGGAGGAGGCCTCTGAGGCTCCTATGATAGATGTCAGTGACAGTAACCATACAAGTACGAGAAGAAGTAAACCTGATAGCCGCCCGAGTATCTATGTTGTTCTGGGATCGGTTGACTAGGTAGAGGTCGAGCCTGCGGTGGCTGCGGTTGCGCCTCAGGGTACACGGGAGGTACTGGAACGCGAGCAGGCCGGGGTGTTTGCTGTTGACCGTAAGGAGCAGGAGGATGCTGCTGTTGGTATCGGTCAGGTATCTGCTGAACTGGAGGAGGTGGTCGAGCATATGGATCGGCTTCATTGCCGAGGGTGATACGACCGAGAGGTACTGCTATTTTATCACCCGACGGCTGTTGACTCTGCTGGGCCTTTTTGATTGCGCGCCAGTCTGAGAGTAGGGTATTAGCGGTTTCCATCGACATTCCACAGAAATCTGGAACGAGATGAGCGCAATTGGCGTGACATGTCAGTTCGCATTCCGAGCATTTTCGCGCATTCTTGCGGCCCAATGGAAGCATGTAACCGCAGTGACAGCACCAGTTTGCACCAATGTTAGTAAGAGGTTCAAAGCGATGGGGAATACGGTGATTAATCTTCTCTTCATCATCCTAGACAAATACATGGATATCACTGAACGAGTTAAAGAAACGTGTAATTGACTTACACCGGTGTTCGACTTTGATATACACTTGGTGACCACTTTCTCATGGCACTTCTTGTGACACGTATATCGGCAATCTTCACACTGGTAACCAGTGGCGTTCAGTAAGAAATCACTGCAGAAGGCGCATAGCATAAGCTGATAGAACTGTTTCTGCACAAATTTGTGTCCATTCATTTCGTGGACTTCGCCCTTGCGTTTGCGGACGGCTCCTTGGCGGCCAAGACCTCCCAAAGGGGCGTCTAGAGGTCGCTTTCGGACGTTTTCCTTGACTATGTGGTCTGTTAGCATTCTCCTGCTTAACCAAGTTAAAACGCACTAAAGTTGAGGTTCAGGGCGATGGCGCCTGCAGGCTCGACGGCAAACCACGCATCGATGCCTTCCATCCCGGAAGGACCGAAACCGGAGGCAGACCCGGGCGGTGCGCCACCAAATGTTAGAGGCGCATTCATGTCTGCTGCAGCGTTTGGATGCACAGGGGGACCTGCCTGGCTATCACCATGCATAGCGCCCGCAGTTACCCAACCTCCCTGTCCACTTTCCATGACTACTTTCTGTCGCCGTAGGGCCTCGACGAGGTCGCTGATCCTGATCCAGAGTAACCCGATTGGAACAGCATGCTGTTCACCGACCTGTTTGTCATATACAGCGATCTCGACTTCGTTGGCCTTGTCAACAGTTATCTCGAAATCTTCGTTCCAGCGATCAGTTCGAGAAGGATGGGACCGAGCAAGCTGCGTTCCTTCGACCTTCAAGGAGACAGAGGTCTCAACAGTCTGCTTGGAAGCCGAACGGAATCTGGTAATGATAGGAGCATGATCAAGTTCGCGCGCGCCTTTGACGGTAACCTGAAGTATTCCAGATAACGGTTTCGACCGTAGATTATCTTTACGCTCGCCGTCAGTTCCGGGGCCATCTAAGTAAAGGTGAGCAGGGCATCACTTGTGGCCACAACCAATCAACTGACTGTCTTCTTCCTCTACAACATCATCCAAGATGTGTAGATTCTTATACCGCTTGAGAGCGCTCTGAAGAAGCTGTATCTTCTTTTCACTTTCGACCTTTTTGCTTTCTGCATCGGCCCTCGACTTCTTGTCTCCATCGGCCTGGTATAGTTTAGCCATCTTGTCGATACCTTGCTTGTACTGCATCTCGACTTGAAGCTTGAATTCTAATTGATGTAACATCTTTGATATCTTGGCGGGCGTGTGAGGAGTATCGGCTTTGATCAAGTCAAGATTTGAATATGTCTTCGCCTTGGGCGGCCCGCGTCCAGGACCGCCTCTAGGGCCGAGCTCGGGGGAGTTGGGCGCTCGTCCGCGGCCAGAATAGTCGTACTCTTTTGGAGGCACCTGAATTGCACATTCAGCGATCTCGAGCAGATATGTCAATGACACAGCTCCCAGGGAATCGACCAACCTGAGGGCTTGCAGAACCACCATACCGCTGTGGATCTGGCTGCGATTGCTGCAGCTTGCGGGCCTGTAGCTCTCGTAGGGTATCTTCGAAGTAGGAGAGGGATCGCTCCGTTTCCCTGATCTTAGCTTCGTTGCGCCGGAGGACGTCCTGATTGTTAGTGGCCTGCCGGAGAAGCTGCGATGCCTCTAGAATTTTGCGTTCTGTCTGAATATGTTTGTAGACATCTTGTATCTTCTGGTCCAGCTCATTTGCCTGGAATCGTCGTTATAGATACCGGAATGAAGGGAATCGGAGAAGAGATGAACTTACCATCGCCGTTCAATGCAGCACGGAGAAGAGGGCAAAGAGAGAGAAAAAGGAGAAATCGTGGATTGCCAGAAAGCAAGGATCGGTCGAGTAGTGAGTATCTGAAATCAGGCCTGTGGCAACTGCACAGCCGTTCCATATCGGGTGCTTCCTTCTCCGTGTCCGTCATTGGCCATTGCCTCTGCGGCACATTGCTTAGGCAAATTGCTATGCCCTCACTGGTCTACTCGTCCAGAATAAAGGCTGTGGACGACCATACGAGCGTAGTTCTCCTTTCAAAGCACTGTCTCGTACTAGGAGAGCCTTCTGATATCGTGTACATCGTGAAACAGGCGCACATCCCAGATAATGTCGACATTCTCTTGGCCTCGAGTCTTACGTTCACGATATCAGGTCTCTTGGACAAGAAAAAAGTATCCGCAGACTGCATCCAACGCTCTCACTTGGCTCGCCATATCGTGGAATATCTCAAGAATGTACGGCATTCAAATCGCGTTGATTTTGTCACTGTACTTACGTTTCTAGAATGCGGCAGTGCTTGGCCTAAGCACCATTTCCGACGTGTATCGGGGCGACAATGATGACGTGCCGACCTGTGAGTCATAGACGCTAGCTCTAGTTCCTTTGTTCATCGATTCCACCCAGTTACAGTGCATTCATCTCGTTATATGCCGTCAAGCTCAGAGATAAAGTCAACACACCTGACGCTCACTGCGATTCATCTGCGATATGAATGGAGGAATAACACCACTCTGGATTCTTCCAGCCAACTCCATCCATTTTCTACAAATCTGCCGCTGCCGTTCTTGACTCTGCTGGATAACCTTATTGGTCGGTTCGCGACATGGCATCTCGTAAAGTGGGTTGTATGCTCATTCGACTGATCCTCGTATAGCTAACGCTTACAAGGCGTTATCCTCTCATATTTGGAACTTGGTTCAAGGTGTGTGATGCTACCAAGTAGTCTTGCATCGGTTGTCATCCCATTTCCCAGCAACTAGATATTGAAGCATTGTTCTTCCCGAAAATATTTCGAATGCTGCTAGACATGATGAAAAGGTCTCCCAACCCAGAATTCCGCTCGACTTGCAAGCGTCTCCTCAAAGTAATCTTGCTTCATGACGATGTTGAATCATTCCACTGATGGATATCTTACAGAGCATCAGGCGAAAACAACTATCAAAAATCTCATCGTCTAATGCTTCCTTGTCCAAGCTACTGCCAGAAGTTGGTCGAGATCTCGATACTTTCAAGGACTGCGAAAAGGAACTTGAGTTTAATGTTGAAGATGCGTTCTGCCTCGCCATGGACCACTGTTATCGCCGTGTTATCAGGCGTCCCGCGTTCAAGGTATCGTACTTCTGACATCATTCACAGTTTGCGCTAACAAATGGCCTCTAGAGCGTAAATCGCTTGTTCGCTGCGTCAGCTGATGCAGGAGACGATGACGAACTTGCTTTGGACCAGGTGCCTCTGCTGCAGACAGCATTGGAGTCTCTTCGCGGACTAGATATCTTGTCAAACTTTCACATGCCGACTACCTTTGTACCGTTGGATCCGGACCATACCGTTTCGGTTCACTTCTCGGACGATGGCTCTTCTGATGCCGCTCTCGTGGATATAGACCTAGAGGGACACGATTCGAACGTTGACCTTGATAGCCAGAGCGATGATAACCTTGTGGACTCCGACTTTTCGTTCGAAGAAGAGCTGAGCAGTCCCGCTACATCCAGTAGACCTATACTTCATCAGGCCGAGGCTTGTTATACGATCGAAGACATGATGCGCTCGGCCTCACCCTACGAACAGGAAAATCTTTCATCACTTTGGCACTCCGATATTGAACCTCCTGACGCAGTCAGACACTACTCGTTTTGTCTGTCTACGGGTCTTGAACACCTTATGGATATGGATTCCGATACTGACGAAAGCGGCTTTGACAGTCTGAGCCCAGTATCTCAGGACGATGCTTCTCTCTTTGACACTCGCGTTCCATCACATTCTGGATTTGAGCTGGCCAAACCCAACTTTGTACCCCCGATTTCTCCCGCTCAAGAACCGTTGCACCTCGAGGACCTTGACTGTCTCATGTTCTTTGATAAGTACGACCTTGACCCATCGGCTGACGACAGCGTTGCCATTACCTTCGACACCGACGTCGGTATATCTTTAGATCTAGATACAGATGATCACGCTCCGTCCCATTGTTCCACCGCGCATGTGGACTCTGATGAAGAAGTACTCGTGGACGATTGCGAGGATATGGTCATCGACCATATTGACTGTCAGTTAGAGGATTCTTCCGAAGACGAGGTCGCGATGGTCGAGATAGTGGGACTTGAAATGTTCGAGATCCTGGATGATGACTGGGAAAGGTAAATACGCTGCCTTGCATTCGGAAGACGGAAACTACCAAACTGTCTGTCGTTCTTTTGGTTGAGGAATGCTATTTGTATCAGTCTCTGTCGTCTATGGACACGGTTGTTGTACATCATCGAAACTTGGTGGCAGAAGACCTTGGAAAGACTTGACCAGAACTGTCAAGGCTGCTTCTGCCGCCTGCAAAGCTCTCACCTTCGCAGCAGGTGACCGACGTTCATGGCCCAGGGTTGCGGATCACTGATCCTATATGAGCTCACTGTGAAGCTCCCACACAGGATCAACCCTCGATTTCTACAGGCCGCGATCATCAGATGCTGGAGCATGAGGCAGTGTGAGATAAGGCTACTATATCGCTGCGGCGTTCGCAACCTATGTCGATGGAAAAAAATAATACGACATGCTGATCCGCATGCCAAGGGGTCAAGAATTTGTAGGAATATTTAACTCCACCCAGTTGGTCGCGGCGACGTCAGAGTCAGGCGGGCGGAGCTTTGGTCCCCTAGAAAATCAATGAGGGGTGGACTAAAATTGGCCTGAAACGTGTCGAAAATGGCCGGACAAGTTGGCCAAAATGGTGAGCAGCTGACTAAGGTTTTACTCAGAAAGAAGACGGCAAGTGCCGGCAGGCCTAGACATGGCCGAAGATTGTATCTCCGATCGGAGTCCGACGCAAGGTCCGCAGGCTGTGAAGGTCATATAACACTTTCGTTAGAGCCAATTCAGTTCAGTCAGCCCAACCGTGTCTTACCTTAGTCTCTATCGGCACTCCCTTTATATCGCCTTTTCTCTGCCCCTTACCTCACGGCCATCATGCTCCCTGCTCAGCGCAAGAAGGTTGACATCAGCGTCAGTACTGGCCTTCACATCTATTGTATTTGCGTACTCATATAGCTCCGTAGAAACTGTCGGACCAGGAGCAGGTCCTTTTCGCCAAGTATGGAAAACTTCCAACGCACAAGAATGTTTTGATGAAGATGCAAAAGGTTGGTCGCCAGCCTCCGATATTTGAATGTGACGATTAACATGTATCTGCAGGATCGGAAGTATTTTGACTCGGGAGATTATGCTTTATCGAAAGCTGGCGTAGCACCCCAAAGTACAGTGGGTACTGCGATACCCAATCCTCAGAAGTGCGCTACCCAGTATCCGCTATTATACTCGTTACTAATGTCGTTCATGTAACAGTATCCCTCACGCCTCGTCCCCTACCAACGGCCATCAAGGAGGCCTCTCCGTGTCTCCTACGAATACCACTTGTCCCGTCCTGAAAGAGAGTAGTCTCTCCCAGGACGAAATCTCTGCGGATGTTCAGCCAACACCTGATACGGAGTAAGCGGTGCCAGTTTCTTCGGAAACCTCTACGTTGCATTCGCTATCATATTTGTGTCGGCTATACACTACTCTAGGAACTTGCAGTTCTTAATTATTCCTGGAAGATCGCTACGCGACGGTCTCTGATCGTACATTTGGATTTATCAGGTTCATCGACATGCGAAGTTACCCATCCAGTTTTTAATGCATTCTGTATGTATAAGTATGGCGGAGCAGAGAATGGGGTAGGGCGGTGTCATGAGTCGTTCGCCCGCGTAGCATACCTTCACAATGTGTGTAGAAATCTGCCGAGTGAAATGATTCCAAAACGTCGTCGATTGTTAGGGCAAAAACCAGTCCTGTGTCCCACAGCCGAAGGGAAGATTATAGTTTCTAAATATAGTACATTAGGAGGAAAAATACAACACTCATTCACGAGCTGTCCATCTTAACAACCTCTGGTTTGATGCTACCACTGGGCCCTGTTTGAACTACAGCATACGTTCCTTTGGTCAAGAACGAAGGGTTCAAAGTTGAAGTAGCATCGAGAATCTGTAATGGAGTGTCAATAGGGCCGACGTAAAAGGAAGAGAAGAAGCTTGACCTTTGAAAAATGCTTAAGACGACTAGGTATAATCAAAACATCTGGAGCGACGTTCCCGCCGTCCGATTCACCAAGTCTCAAAAGCGGCGAGTGGGTGACATCGAGATTAACTTCGTGAGCCAGCTCCTTGGGAACAGGAAACAACGGATAGAAACTGAGGAGAATAAGAAACCGTAAAGCGAAGTGGGGCTTAAGCCCTACCTTCGCTGTTGGAGCATATGTCGACATGTGTTTGCCATAGAATCCGTGCCCGTGTCTTCAGGAGACGAGGGCACTGTTGAGTTTATTTCTTCCCCCCGTTTCAATAGCTCCTCCTTCCGAAGGTGAAAGAGGACATCTACGCTGGTGACAGCGAACTTAATGTTGTTTATAGAAAACTGTGCTGGATTCGGAAGCAGATGTATGCGCTGAAGAAGCATCAGTAATAGGGTTTCATTGAGAATTCAGGAATACATACGGAATCGCCATTGGATACTTCGGAACTGAACTCACACTGTGGATATACAGCATGGAAGCTCACGAGATCACGAACACTGGGAACTAAGATAGCTACACTACCCGGGGACGAATCAAGATAAGATCGCAGGGGTTTTGTAAACTGCGCATGGAATAGCTTGAGTGGAGTTGTATCAATGGCTCCCGCTCTCAAAAGAGGGTGGGAAGCATCTATGAATGGACCGATCTGCGAGCTCCAATATAAATGCCGTGGTTAATTAGGCATTGTTAAGACTTACCAATAATACCACTGTGGGCTTTTTGGACTTTATAATCGGGAGAAAAGCTCTCCAGGGTTTGAAGCTGAGATCCGAATCTGAAGTATACGGCCCGCTAGCTATACACATTGAGAACGGAGGCTCTGAATACCCAGGATCCGAAAAAGACTTTGCAGGTCGTGCGCGTAGAGGTGGTGGCTATCGAATCCGTCATCAATCACATTCAAATTGTCCGAAAATATAGCATACTGCGAGGATTTCTGAGGCCAGGAACGAGCCTCCCCCTCCATTCTTGCCTTTCAGAGCTACCAATGCACCAGGGAAGAAACTGATTCCACCAGCGCCTAAAGCACCCCCGCGTATCTTTAGGGAGGGTGCAAAACGGAGAGGTACTCGTGATCCCGAACCCATCATTCGCGAGGTCTCAAGAGTCAATGAGCTTTCCGTTAGTTTGGTGCCAGACTCTGCTTCTGACTCCTGTACTATGCGTCCAACTACCGTGACGTCTTCCTGGCGGAGAAGAGTAAGGGAAATCACAATGAGAGAAGAGAGATGCTCGCACATCGGTGGATGCGGCCGGATCACCCAATGCAGAGGCTGGAATCTTGTAGTGTTCACGGATGAGCTCGGCGAATTCGTCTATTTGTTCATCCAAAACTACAGTGAAGGACATTTAGCTTATGGAGACTTGTAAGTAATAGAGCCTTGCCTTCACTCCGTTCAGAGACCTTTTCATACATATAACGGTCTGCAACGTCATTCCACTATGGTGATAGGAAGGATTGGTGGCGAACTTACAAGCACGTCTCTTCCTAGATGCAATATCTTCCTTTGGGCCCTTAAATGTGACAGCAGCAGATACACGCGAAGGAATATCGACGTCCATCGCATCCGGTTCAGCTTTCACTGCTGTTCCATGACTTGCCGCCCCAGAGTAACGCGTCGCAAATGCAGGATTTAAGTTCCGGCCTCCTCTCATCGTCTTCTGTTTTGGCTGGGCCTTCTTGCTGCCCGTCGCCAGCCCGCGGTTCAAAGACGCCTTTAGAGACGCGACAGAGTCCATGGTAAACGGTGCCCGGATTTCAGAGTGCGAGGAAAGATTGAGGTGTATTGATTCCCATTTATAAAAGAGGTCCTCTGGGCTCTGTTGATAAATTTTGCACATCGAAACGCCTGTAGAACTGAGGTTGTCGCGTCAAATGAGCAAGAATGGGATAGCCACACGTACATTCTTCGATCAGCTTTTCATCCAAATCGTCTCCAAATTGTTTCCTTATTTCGTTCGCGGACATGGTGAGAGTGGCTGGGTTTGGATTGAACGCGACTGGGTAGGTAGGGCAGGCAGGGGAGAGAGGAAGAGAGATCTGTCACAGACGCGATGTGACTGTAATGTAACATAGACCCTAGTGCTCGGCCGACTCGGCACACTCAGCTCTCCCTCAGTTCTCATTCAAATTAGTGTCTGGCTTCTACTGCTATGGGAGACGATACCAAGCGCTCCAAGCACAAACACTCACACGGTCATGATACTGAGCGGCACAGCAAGAAGAGACATACACATGATGATGACAGCAGGAGACACAAGAAGAAGCGGAAACATGGAGAGGTTAAAGGAACAAAGATCTTGGATGAAGGCTCAGGGAGATGAGGACTATGTGGGTAGAGAAGAATATCGATATGGACGGGGAAAGGGTAAGGTTCGTTAGCTTCTGCCCGCTTCGTTTCTGAACCATTGTCAGCCTCTGGCGACGGATATTCCGACTGCAGAAAGCTTGAAGTTGACTTCGTCTGCGACAGCGGGGTCATCTAGTTCTACTTTCCAGCCCATGATACCTACAGAAGGTACCCTCAAACGAGATGACTGGATGTTGGAAGAACCAACCGCTCAGGCTCCTCGGCCTTCATCGTCTCGTATTCAACTGCAAGACGGTGAGGACTTCACGGAAGATTATGGGGAAGCTTCCGAAGCCTAAGAACACTTGGCGGTGGAGTAGATTTCTTCTCCAGTCTCGGTACAGAAGTCCGCAAAAAGAATCTGCAACCTAACAAACCTGATCCAGACAAGGCAGGTTTCATTCAATTTGAACACTTAAGCGTATTTTACTTATTTACTATCGCATAGCCGGTCATCAGCTCAAGGGAGCTCAATACGAGTCTCAGAGAAGGCAAATCCATCGATGAATCCCCGGCTACTGCACCCAAAGCAAATGTTCCGGGAGGACCTGGATCACAGTGGAGGATGATCCGACTTCGACGTGTCTTCGAAACCGCCGAAGAAGAGGGACTACCCGTTGAACAGGTAGCAATGGAACGTTTTGGCTCATTGGAGGCATTCGAGGAAGCTAAAGAAGAGCGGCGAATATTGGATGAACGAGAAGGCAAGCGGGCACATCGGACCACTGGTTCCGAGCGGCGTGGTAGGTCTGAAGGGGAGAAAAGAATAATGTTCAACGACATTGAAGGCAGTGGTGCATCCAGTCGCAGCTCTTCCTTCCGTCGACCAGGTGGTCGCGCCGAAAGCGGGCCGTCTACACCAACTCCAGGCGGACCTCCCCCGGTTAATCGACGGTTGGACAGCCTCCGTTTGCCCTCACAGGCCGCATCCCCCTTGCAGCAATCTCAAACTCCCATACCGTCGGTGTTGACTCCACCCTCGGGTGTTCGCGGTTCCTCGTCACGAGGGCTGTCGCCTTCTTCCTTGAATAAATTGCAAGCGAAAGTTCTTCGTGCAAAACTGATGGGTGCAGCTGATGCTGAGGAACTGGAGAAAGAGTACGAGGCTGCTTCCAAGGCAACGTATCGCAGCGACGAGGGAGGCTCTGTACGGACAAAGGTCGAGGTGTTGCCCACTCTGGATGGGCAGGGCCGGCTGTATGACGTTGGGCATGGCAAAAATGATGACGGTGCGGTTTTGCCTGGGAATCGTAAAAAGAAGGAAAAGGTTATTGCGTTCTCGCTTTCTCTCGGACTGCTCTGAACTTTTACCCTAGGTCGAAACAAGAGATCCAAAGACCGGTGACTTGGTCAGGATCAATGCGGATGATGACTCGACGACTTTGGGCGAGATGCTGCGGCAAGAGAAGTTTGGTGGTGGAATGTCAGACCAAAAGAACTTGGACGCTCAGTTTGCCCGTGCTATCATGGGAGATGGCAAATTCCAGGTAAGCCGTTCTCTTTCTTCCCTTAGGCCAGTCATTTGATTATTTTCTAGAATGATCTTGACTATATGGACGAAAATGTGGAAAAACTCAGTCGACAGAAGATGCGTTCGGATGCTATGAAGCGCCAGTTTGCTATTAACGGTATGTACGTTTCGCTTTGAGAAAATTCTGAAGGTTGACCGTGACTCATAGACTATAAACGTACCCAGAAAGTCCTCGCTACGTGTCATTTTTGCTTTGGAGAGGACGATTCGCCTCCCAAAGCCCCGGTCATTGCGATGGGAACACGAGCGTATCTTTCTTGCACCACGAATGAGGAACTAGTCAAGGGCCATTGTCTGATAGTGCCGATACAACATCATTTAACAATGCTAGATGGAGACGACGACGTGTGGGACGAAGTTAGGGTTTGTCTTACTTTTTCTCTCCGTTGGTATTTCCCTCATATTCCTTACTAGAACTTCATGAAATGTCTGATGCGTATGTTTGCCGAGGAAGATCAAGGTGTCCTGTTCTATGAAACGGTCATTTCATTGAAGAAACAAAAACACACCTGCATCGAATGCGTCCCTCTACCTTGGAACCAATACGACCTTATCCCAGGCTACTTCAAGGTATACACAAGCAACTCTTAATCGCCGTCAGGGCGCACTAACATGATTTTAGGAATCAATATTGACGTCGGAGGCTGAATGGTCACAGCATAAGAAGCTGATTGACTTTTCCAAGCGACCAGGTGGTTTCCGACGCGCGATGGTTCCCAATTTGCCCTACTTCATGGTTCAGTTTGACCATAAAGGAGAAAGGGGATATGGACACGTCATCGAAGGTGTCAGCGATGGCGCTGACGGAGAAGAAGGCATAGACGAAGGGGAGAAAGGTTCTGGGGAGTTTCCATGGTAAGCCCTCCTGCAACCTATATGTGTATGCTCAACCGTTTCGCAGGTACTTTGCTGGAGAAATTATTGGAAACATTTTGGAACTGGAGCCGCGTCAGTGGAGGAGACCGAGACGGATAGACTTTCGGATGAACTCTGAGCGCGTGACTGAGTTTAGGAAGAAGTATGCCAAGTTTGACTGGACGGGGATGATCGGGAAATAATGTATTGTGTATCTTTGGACTGAAGACTGGTTGCGATCCTTTCGACTGTGGTGGGCTCGCCAAATCTCGATTTATTAAGCAAGATGGAGCTAGCAGCAAGTTGAAACGACCGCCTACAACCGCGCTTGATCAAAGTACGGGCAATCCTCGCGGTTGAAGAACGTGGAGCTGTCATGGTGATTATTGCCGATGCTTCTCTTGACGGCGTATAAAGAGGGCCGTGACGCACGCTCAGTCTCTCCTTCCCGCCTTTGAGCTTTGGGTGATACCTACACATGTTTTGGTTCTGGTTTTTGGCCTTTACTTCTCTTTATTGTGCTCACGCTGCCGAGAGTGATGTAGCCTGCGAAACAGAAAAGGTCGCTTCAGCTTGGTTCGCTGGATGGCATGCCAATGACGGGTTTGACGTCAATGATATTCCTTGGTCAAAATACACTGAGGTGACCTTTGCATTTGCGTGAGTACTGTGACTGCATCTAGTTACTGATTCTTACCACGAATGTAGTGAGACGACGCCAGATGTCAACGTTGTTTCTTTCAATGGATCAGGTTCTCAGGACTTGCTCCCTCGATTTGTGGCAGCAGCACACCAAAATGTGGGTGGCGTTCGTACTTCCAGTTAAGGTATCAGGTTTCTGAATCTTTCTCGCAGGGAGTCAAAGCGAAAGTCTCAGTAGGCGGGTGGACAGGGTCCCTTTATTGGTCTTCGAATGTTGCAAATGAAAACCGCACTGCTTGGGTAAAGACCCTTACCGATCTCGTAGACAAATACGACCTCGACGGACTTGACTTTGAGTATGTCGGTCTCTCCTTCACCGACATGCAATATTCGCTGACCTCGCCTGCCCAGCTGGGAATACCCAGGTAAACAGGGAATAGGCTGTAACACCATTAACGCCAACGACACCCAGAATTTCCTCGCCTTCCTCCAAGAGCTCCGGGAACATCCCAGCGGCGCCAACCTCACGCTTTCTGCCGCAGTTTACATTACTCCGTTTACTGACTCAAACGGAGAGCCATCGACGGACGTAACAGCATTCGCCGAATACCTCGACTATGTGGCTATCATGAATTATGATATCTGGGGCTCTTGGAGTGCCACCGTCGGGCCTAACGCTCCCCTTAATGACTCGTGTGCACGCCCGGAGAACCAGATGGGCTCCGCCGTCTCCGCCGTGTCATCATGGACTGCGGCTGGTTTCCCCAGCGAGCAGCTTCTTCTCGGTGTCGCAGCCTATGGGCATAGTTTCGGTGTAATCAAAGCTGACGCGTTCCCCGAGAGTTCGGATATTCTCGCTCTATACGCACCTATTAATTCCTCCGCCCATCCTGCTGGCGATTCATGGGACGATACCGAGGTCGGCGTCGACGTTTGTGGTGCTCCTACAACGATAAGTGGAGTCATCGACTTCTGGGGACTCGTTGAGCAAGGTTACCTCACTGAAAGTGGAGACGTTGTAGATGGTGTGCCCTATGTATTCGATAATTGCAGCCAAACGGTTGGTTATTTCATTTATTGCCATACTATATATTCTTATATGTTCTCTGCAGCCCTTTGTCTACAACACTACCTCTGAAGTGATGATATCCTACGACAACCCTGAGTCTTTTGCAGCTAAAGGACAGTTTATCGCTGACATGAACCTGGCTGGCTTTGCTATGTGGGAGGCAGGAGGCGACTACCACAACATTCTACTAGATTCTATTCGTGGAAAGTTATTCGCATAGCCTTCTGTTATAACCAGTCGTTTGATTCTATATGGCAAGGATGAATATTTATCACTAATCCTTCCTAAATGACTCTGCTGCCGCATGCTCGCCAGAGGACGGCAACCACAACGTCACTGCGGTTCCCCATCCATGCTTTAAAACCTATGACCGCCGATTTTATTTTCAAAAACAAAAAAAGACCAGACAATCAGAACGCGGCTTACAACCTAATATTCACAATTCCGCATCGTGTATGTACAATCATACAACATCCGGGATATCAAGACCCGCTGCCTTCGCAACCTGGATAACTTTCTCGGCCTGCCGCGAACATGTGAGTGTCCACACACGGGTCAGATTAGAGTATCATTTCGGACCTGTTTGATCATTGGAGCATCGATCATTTCTCCCTCAAGCCCAATGGCACCTTTTTGAGAGTCGTGAGCTATTTGCATGTTATGACTATCTTTGCCGCGCGAAGTATCTCTGTACAGAAACATATAAGTCGTTTCAATCTATTGAGTGGATGCTAACCTGATGCAGTAGGAACGAAGGTTGCCTGAATCGTGTCTACTTGCGAGGGATGGATGGCTTGCTAGTGAGGTGTTAATTTACCAGATTTCGATTCCAGGTTGGCGGATAGGATGAAAAACCTTTCCAGTAAATCCCATTCTCCTTCCTTCTTGACACTCCTCCTTTAAAGTAGTCTTGGTCTTTATAATTTACGCATACCTGGACAGTTGTCAACATCTGCAACAGTACTAGATTAACTTCGGCAACTTACCATGTCGATAGCTTCTAGCTTATTGGCCCTGGCAGCATTGACTATGTGGGAGCGTGTATACAAGAGTTCCTGGCGTGAACGAGTACGGATGATAGAGGTGTCAGCGCAGTCTTTGTGGGGTTGCGGGATCATTAGCCTGCAATGGTATATAACGACGTCCTGTTCTTACAGTCTTCTGCAGCAAACTTGTGAAACATCAGCACCAATCATCTAACCGACGAGAAGTAGTATAATAGGTATTTACCAAAAGGGCACCCAGAATACTTCCCTGGGCATTTTCAACCGAAGGCTTCCATGCAGCTATGGTCGAAGCATTCATCACCGCCTCTGCACTTTCAATGCTCGCTACTAGACGTAGGGGCGGGATTTGAGAAACTGTTGACCGGTTTTCGGAGATAATGGATGCCACATGTGTGAGGTACTCCACAGAATGTACCTTGGGCAGAACAATCGATGTTACAGCAGGCAAACGGGTCTGTGCCATATCACCGACACCATGAGTGGCTATTACCGTCATCAATAAGATAACATCTTACAATGACCGCGAGGTCTTCGGCAAAAAAAGGTGTCGTTCGATCATTAATCCTGACTGCGATTCGCGAAGGGGCCAAGAGCGTCTCGTCCTGTTAAGTCCGAATGAGAACAGGACCAGTATATTCCATGAAAATAAAGGAACATTTAGAAAACTCTGGAGCCTTTTTCTAGCCGTAATTTTATCCTTTGGAGAAACGCTGTCTTCGAGGTCATAGATAATCATGTCGGAGTTAACCGTGAACGATTTTTCAAGCATGCGAGAGGAAGAGGAAGGAACGTAGAGGTAAGACCTCCTTAAAGATGCTGAAGCGGTTGCACCTGTGCTGAAATATCGAGCTGAAGTCGCTTTAGACACATTCCTAAGAACTTGAATGGAGAACATGATGGCCAGAAGAAACCTCGCTACCGGCCCGCAGGGTCCGGAGGTTTGGTCGACGACCACGATCATGAGTCGAGTAAGTAACCCCGCGTCTCGATTAACGCGAAACTGCTGGCCTTTTCAACCCACTAATCGCCTTTAAATTTGTCCCAGTCGAGGAAATTCTTGTCGCAAGCTCTCATCGGCGGCCACACCTTCTAGTCTTTGGTATCTTTTCCCACGAGACACACTTGTTGGTTGCCAAGATGCTTTCCACTAGGCACTAGGCGCAACTGGGAAATTGGATCGATAGGCCGCGAATTAAATAATGTGATGGTCCACCTCTGCTGTCGTGCGACAAAAGACCGAACCTCTCCCGCCGTCCCACGTAATAGACTTCCAGGGTATATATACTTGCATGAGCAGAGCTAATTAATTCAAGTTGAATACGGGCTACCATGCTACGATTCATATCTCTCTTGTTTCTCTTCGTTGCCTCGTTATCCTCCTCCGCATTTGTCCATCCTGGCATTTTACACACGGAGGAGGACTTTGTCCGCATCAGAGAGAAAGTTAATGCACAAGAAGAGCCCTGGTACACTGGATGGACCACGCTGACGGCCAATAGTCACGCCCAGGTGACTTACACCATGCGTGGACCTCGCTCTGTCGTCGTTCGCGGCACGAATTCTGCTGATGGCTCCCAGAACTATGTGTTACTTTACAACGATATCGCTGCCGCTTATCAGCTGGCCGTCCGTTGGCGCGTCTCGAATGATACGAGCTATGCCGACAGAGCGGTCGCCATCCTTGATGCATGGTCGAGCACGCTCACAAGGATCGGTGGATCGTCAGACAAATTTTTGGCTTCCGGAATATATGGTTATCAGTTCGCGAACGCAGCTGAGCTGATGCGCGACTATTCTGGCTGGCCGGCGGCCAACTTGACGCGTTTCCAGAACATGATGGCTGATGTCTTCTACCCTATGAACTATAATTTCTTGGAGAATCATAATGGGGCAGCGTGGTACCATTATCGAGCCAACTGGTGAGTGGATATTTTTAATTGTCTATGGCAATTGTGAGTAATCCTTACTCATTTTAAAAGGGATATCTGCAACATGGCATCTGCGTTATCCATTGCAATTTTAAACGATAATCAGACCATGTTCGATTATGCTATAAATTCATTCACTACGAACGTTGGAACGGGGAACATCGGGAATGCGATCTGGGTTATTCATACAGAGGAGGGCAGTGGGAAACGTTTGGGGCAGAACGAAGAAGCTGGGCGAGACCAAGTAAGCACTTGTTCTGTGATATGGCTAATTAGTCTGAGCTCACCGGGATTCAAGGGACATGCGACGCTTGATTTTGCGCTATGGGGTGCCTATGCACAAGCTGCGTACAATCAAGGCGAGGATCTTTTTGCTTATAATGACAGTCAAATCCTTGCAGGGTATGTGACCTCGCTTTTTTGGAGTTTCGGCCGTTCAAAGATTTTTTTAGAGCCGAGTATGTTGCAAAGTACAATGTCGGCTTCGATGTTCCGTACACTCCCCACGTCAACAGAGATTACAACGAAACAGTCATTTCTGCATCTAGTAGAGGCTCGATAAGGCCTTCGTGGGAGCTGTTGTACGCTCATTATAGCTCTTTAAAGGGCCTGAATGCGTCTTGGACAGAACAGATGCGTGACTTGGTGTTGAACTCGTCCACGAACGGCGTTGAAGGTGGCGGAGGTAACTACGGGGCTAATTCGGGTGGCTATGACCAACTGGGATTCGGGACATTGTTACATCGCCTAGAGGTGAGGAATACTTGAAATTTCTTGTCATCACCTCATGCTCATGTCATTTTTATCGGCAGTAATCACATCTGGAGTTGGTCGGAGCTAAACCATTAGTTTCCCTGTCGCTTGTTCTTTTTTCGTAGTTTGACTTCTTGAATTTTCTGAATAAGAATATATGACCGTTTACGATTTCTTGTGCATCTGAGTGATTCCCAATATTTAGTATTCCCCAATGATGTTAGAAGTTCGGCCACGTGGAAAGGCGTAGTTCGTAGAGTAACATTTATGCGTCATTGTTTTGTTCGAGGGTATCAGGACTGAACAACATGAGTAAACAAAGAATTCTCTGCGACTGACTCCGTCGCAATTCACATCGCCCTCATGTCCTCTGAGCTTGAGCGGTATATCAGTGACAATTCTCTTCGAGTGCGTGAGTAGCTATAACGTGTGTGTACCACCCGACTGACGTTATTGTCTCTCAGTTATTTGGCGTCGCGGACCGTAGCATTATTGACTATGTGTTAGCTTCAGGTTGGCCTCTTGACTATTCTTTTCTATGCAAGTACTCAACGTTTGAAAACGCTATCTAGCTTCCTCTTCAAAGACACCCGAGGCCCTTTTCTCGGCCCTGAACGCTTCCGGATTGCCAGATACCGCCGATGCTCATGAATTCATAAACCAAGTATTCCAGCAAGCACCTCGCAAGCACAAACATAAACGGACAGCTGCCGAGAAAGCTCAACGACAAGCCGAAAAGGAAGCCAAGGCACTGCGCTCACAGAAATTTGGCTTACTTCTGGACGAAGGAGGAGACGATGTAGCTCCGTTGCCCAAAGAGAAACGGCAGAAAGAGAGAAAACACGATCGTCAGACACGGAAACGTGAATATGACGAGAAAGAGTGGGAGAGTGACGAGGAGGAAAAGGCCAGGAAGCGGTGGAAGGGTGACGATGCCGAGGTCGAGGAGGATATTGAGCCGGAACTTCCGGAGGACGAGGAGGCCAGGAAGGAGCGAGAGCGTTTGGAGGATTTAAAGGACAGGGATGCCTTTGCTGAACGGGTGCGAGACCGAGATCGAGAGAGGACGAAAAAGATTGTAGAGGACCGGTCATCGAAAGCCTCAGGCGCCGCTGCCGATGCCGCTCAGCGGCGACAGCTCGCTGACGACGCTGATGCCCGCGGGATTGCTCTTCCGTCATTACGACTGCACTCGCGGCAAGAATATCTGACAAAGCGTGAGATTCAGCAAATCGAGCTGCTTCGCAAAGAAATAGCCGATGATGAATCTCTCTTCAGTGGCATGAAGATATCGAAACGGGAGAGACGGGAGCTGGACCGGAAGAAGGAACTTCTCAAGCTCGTTGAGGAGCGGCTGAAGATCAATGACAAGTGGGATGGCTATGCTTTACCGGAAGATTATATTACGGAACAGGGAAAAATCGACAAGAAGAAGAAGGAGAACGCATTGTATAAACGGTATGAGGAGGCTAAACCGAAGGACGACCAGTTCACCACGGATGTGGACCAATGGGAGGCCAGTCAGACTAAGCACAGTACCTTCAAGACCGGTGCAATGGATAAGAAGGAGGTTGTAGATGACTACGAATATGTCTTTGACGAGAGCCAGACCATCAAGTTCGTGATGGACTCCGCATTACCTGGGACGAAAATGACTGCCGCCGAGAAGTTGATACAAGATCAAATAGATGCAGCTGAAAAGCGAGGTGCGTTGTATACCGATTTACTCGTCCTTTCATGCGCTAAATTCCATTCTCTTTAGCTCGAACAATTGAAGAAACTCGCAAAAACCTTCCAATCTATGCGTACCGGGAGCAACTCATTGAGGCTATCAAGGAACATCAAGTGCTCATCGTAGTGGCCGAAACAGGATCCGGGAAGACTACCCAGCTGCCCCAGTATCTTCATGAAGCTGGATATACGGCTGGTGGATTGAAGATCGGTTGTACCCAACCGCGTCGTGTCGCCGCGATGTCCGTCGCCGCTCGTGTTGCCGAGGAAATGGGTACAAAAGTCGGATATGAAGTAGGGTACTCCATTCGCTTCGAGGATTGCACCAGCGACAAGACGGTCCTGAAATATATGACAGATGGCATGCTGCTTCGAGAATTCTTAACGGAGCCGGATTTAGCTGGATATTCTGCTTTAATCATCGATGAGGCGCACGAAAGGACTTTAAGCACAGATATTCTCTTTGCCCTTGTTAAGGTACTTTCCCATTCCCTCCAATAACTTGAAATAGGCTGATGTCCTCGGTATCAGGATATTGCACGTTTCCGTCCAGAACTCCGTCTATTGATTTCGAGTGCTACAATGGACGCCGAAAAGTTCAGCGAATATTTTGATGACGCGCCGACTTTCTACGGTACGTTCCTTGATGGATCTAAAGGTCTGGTACTTACCAATTTTTGAAATAGTTCCGGGCCGTCAGTTCCCCGTCGATATCCACTACACACCCCAACCTGAAGCTAATTATCTTCACGCTGCCATCACCACCGTCTTTCAAATCCATACCACACAACCGAAGGGCGATATTCTGGTGTTTTTGACGGTATGCTACTATCTTGAAAGTCCAATCGGCCGGCTAATAAAGGTGACAGGGTCAAGAAGAAATCGAGGCTTGCCACGAGAATCTACAAGAAACAGCCCGTACATTGGGCAATAAGATTGCGGAGCTGATCATATGCCCCATCTATGCTAATCTTCCGAGCGATATGCAGGCGAAGATATTTGAACCTACTCCCGAAGGTGCTAGGAAGGTGGTCTTGGCTACGAACATTGCCGAAACGTCCATCACGATTGACGGTGTAGTCTTTGTCATCGACCCTGGTTTCGTCAAGCAAAACTCGTACAACCCAAGAACTGGAATGTCATCACTAGTCGTCGTGCCGGTAAGTTCACTTTCACTGATTATGTTCCGCTTCGTCGTTAATTCGTTTCAGTGTTCCCGCGCTTCTGCCAATCAGAGAGCAGGAAGAGCCGGTCGCGTCGGGCCTGGAAAGTCATTCCGACTGTACACAAAATGGGCATTTTCAAATGAGCTGGAAGCTAACACCGTGCCCGAAATACAGCGTACAAATCTTGGCATGGTCGTTCTGCTTCTCAAATCGCTGGGTATCAACGATTTGATTGGGTTTGAGTTTTTGGACCCACCTCCGGGGGAGACCTTGATGAGAGCATTGGAGTTACTCTATGCCTTGGGAGCCTTGAATGACAGAGGAGAACTCACGAAGCTTGGCCGGCGGATGGCAGAATTTCCTGTTGATCCTATGTTGTCGAAGGCGATCATTTCGAGTGAAAAGTATGAGTGCACTGATGAGGTTTGTCTGCTTTGCGCCGTTCTGTATATCGCCGTCTAACAACTTTGATAGGTACTAACAATCATCTCCATGCTCTCAGAGTCGGGATCACTCTTCTACAGACCCAAGGATAAGAAACTTCACGCTGACCAAGCACGACAAAACTTTGTTCGTCCTGGCGGGGATCATTTCACCCTTCTGAACGTTTGGGAGCAATGGGCCGAAACGAATTATTCGCAGCAGTTTTGTTACGAACAATTCCTCCAGTTTAAGAGTCTTAGTCGGGCGCGTGACATCCGTGACCAGCTGGCAGGGTTGTGCGAGCGGGTGGAGATTGTGATAAAATCAAACCCCAACTCGAATGATATAACCCCCGTCCAGAAGGCCATAACGGCCGGCTACTTCTATAATACTGTAAGTGTGCGATATGTTTAATCATTTAGCATGTTCTAATACACCTTTCAGGCTCAACTACAGAAGAGCGGTGATTCATACCGCACACTAAAGACGAATCATACTGTCTATATCCATCCATCATCAAGCTTGTTCCAATTCCAGCCGCCTGTCAAGACACTGCTGTACTACGAGCTTGTCATGACATCCAAGTCGTACATGAGGCAAGTGATGGAAATAAAACCTGCTTGGCTCATGGAAGGTGCGTTTTATGTTATTATGTTCCTGGTGTAATTGCTGACGTGCTCTGAATGTAGTGGCACCGCATTACTTTAAGCCGGCCGACCTGGAGCAGTTAGCCTCGGGTGACAAGAAAATGCCTAAGAATGATGCTGCATCTCTTAGCTCTGCTAAATCATGATAATGTATCGAGTTGTATATTGTATATTATATTTCAGTATGGGAGAAGTTGCCTTTAAGAAGTACATGGTAACTTAGTAGACATTTCCTTGGAATTGGTACACGCAAGCGAGCAGCAACACGCCTCTATGGCTTCCCACGTATAGCTTTGTGTAAATTTCCGGACTCGGTAGAAACACGCTACGTGGTGTGTATACGTGTTTACCACCACGCTTTCTTCCATGAACTATAGCTCGCATTCACCTCCTCCCCTCCGGCATCCAGTGCCCACTCATCCTGCCTATATTCCAGAGCCTCCGTTGACGCCAGGATCGCCTCAAGGATACCAGCGATTTTCATCATCGCCTCAACCTCAACCTCAGCAGCAGCATCAGCAACAATACACGCATGTGCCAGCATATACAGGTCATTTCCAGCCGCCACCACCACCAAATCCCAACGTCGGTTCCAACTTTGGGCAGCCAGATTTTGCAGCATGGGGGATGAACGATGCAACGGCGCAGCTAGGGTTGCAGCTGGGTAACAGTGCCGTTCAAGCGGGCCAGGAGTATGTCCAGCGGAATGTGCGTTGCCTCTCACCGTACCAGGGCTTCAGTTGAATGGTTTTCTTAGTTTGGCGGCTTCTTCCCGTTAGCGAGCCTCAAGCACCATTTCAACGTGTCCAATTCTTATGTCATGCGCAAGCTAAAACTTGTCATTTTCCCCTGGGACCATCGTCCGTGGTCGCGTAGAATTCGTCGTTCAGAACAGGGTGTAACTGAATGGCAACCCCCTCGAGAAGATGTGAATAGTCCTGACCTGTACATTCCCCGTACGTCTTCGACTTTTCTCCATTTATAGCTCACTTACGTTCTTGTAGTAATGGCCCTCGTAACTTACATGCTCATTGCTGCCTTCCATTCCGGCATACAAGACCGTTTTCATCCAAAGGTCCTCGGTGAACTCGCATCGGGCGCGTTCCTCGTAGTGCTCGTCGACTTCGGTTTCGTCTACCTAGGGTGCTACTTTTTGAACGTCCAAGGCTCGAGTCAGGCCATGGATATCATCGCATACTCAGGATACAAGTTCGTGGGGTGGGTGACTTCTTTTTTCCGCCTTCTTTGACCATTAATAGAGCCTTCAGCGTGATACTTACCATCGTCTTCGGTTTCCTGAATATGGGCCGGACCCTCTACACGATTGTCTTTCTGTACTTCTTTTTCGCGAATGCCTTCTTTCTCGTACGTCTTTCGCCTTTAAAAAGTTGAATATACCTTAATCTGGGAATACAGCTACGCTCCCTGCGGTCTGTGGTGCTTCCAGATCCGTCAATAACGAACAACGCGAATAGCACTGCAACAGTCAGTGCGGCGTCTCGGAGACGCCGCATCATATTCTTATTCCTGGAGGCGATCTGTCAAATACTGTATATGGGCATTCTTGTGCGGGTGTAGGCTTGACGGTATCATTCGTGGACCAATAAAAGGCTCGTTCCAACTGATGGGATTATATTACCCAAGAATCATTCAAAGAAATAGTCATTCGAACATAAGCAAAGGTAATTTAATTCTTAACGTCCTCGACACTTCGTTTCTCGTCACTTGCTGCAATACTCGCTGCAACACCTTTGTGGCTCTCCACACCTGCATCCTCTTCATGATCTGCTAATGTCATGTCGTTCGACAATTTGACATCACGGATAAAGAACATGAACAGAAGATTGGGAATCATGACAGCGAAAGCGACGATAGCCAAAATCCTTTGAACTTGCTTGTAGCTCAATACAATGGCATCTCTGACCACAGTTCCCCGGGCATATTTCATAGCCACTTTGATGGAAGAAAATATCGTAGACGCCTGGTCTTTGTAATCGTCGGGCAAATTCTCCACAAGGCGCGAGGGCAGCGTATTATTCCAAACGGCACCGGAAATCCTATATGTTGATTCAGTAGTGTCATCGCAGAAAGAGATTGGGAACACTGACGCAGAACCAATAGCACCTCCCAGAGAAGTTAGAGCAAGAATAATCGCAACCGCAACTGCAACATCCTGCCGCCTTGCAAGGGATTGTACGCCAACCTGGCCTGCGTTCATATAAAAGCTTCTCCCGATACCTATAAAGATCTTTGTCACGCAAAATTCTATGGCGGTGGTTTCCCGGCCTGGGGAGACGAAGTAGATCATCAATCCCTGACCCAAGAGCATGAGTGGGATGCCAAGATAGTAGCACCACTTGGGACGTCGAGTGTACTTCAACGCCAATCCACAGTGGAGAGGCTACCTGGTAGGCTACACGGAGCGAGTTGCTACGGCGCGTTATCAGCTGCGGTACTAAGCTGTAATAGATATTTACTCACTCGATCTGGGAAGCTGTGCTCGCAGAGCGATAGCTGGCAACCTATTGGCTATGTATCAGTGATATAAAAGTGTATCGAAAGAGAAACTCGCCTGGAGAAATGAGGGGAAGAAAGATGTGAAGGCCGCGTAATAGAGGAAGTCCAACATCTCAATGATACAGGCAAACACCAAGGTACGCTCCCTTGCAAGCCTATATGGAATCAAGGGTTTGCTGGCAATCTTCGCGTCGTAGAAAATATACACGGCAAAAAGGACCATCCCGATGACGATCATGGCGATGATTCCTGGAGAGGACCAGGTCTGCGGACTATCCGTGCCCGTTAGAGTCAACGGAATGAGAATTAATGCCAACGATACCACGAGTAGAAGGACGCCGACAAAGTCCAACTCGATCCAGATGAGTTTCCATATCTTCATTGCCCTGGTGGGAGTTGAAGGATCATCATGGAAGAGGGCATCGAGAGCCGACTGGGGCTTAGTATGAGTGAGGCGGTTAGCTTTGCGCTGACAGATGACGAGGATAATGATGAGGGGGGCAGCGGCTACGGGAAGTATGATGGCCCACATCCCGTATCCCCACCGCCAGTATGGACCATCGAGAACGGCACCACCGATGATACTACCGATGTTAAGACTTGGAATCGACGCGATGGTTTCTGGAATGGTGGACCATAGCCCACGATTGAGAAGGGTGGTCGTGTCGGCAATGAAGATGTTCAGCAAGGAAGCAAAGCCCACATCTCCGACCGTAAAAAAGACTCCAGCGGCCTGTTTTTTTTTAAAGAATTCAGTTGGTCTCTCGAAGATTTGCGTGAAAAGATAGACGTACCACCCATGTCTGGACGTTGGGACTGGCGGCCTTCATAATCTCGCCAAGAACCATGAACCAAATGGTCAAAGCAAGGCCTTCGGTACGCCCAAAGACATCGGATAATTTGGCCGTGATGGGATATGCTACGAGAGTAATGATCTTCTCAAGCACATCAGAAGTCGTGAGCAGGGAGTGTTTCGAAAAATCGCTCGTAGCATAGGCTTGGTAGACCTTTGTCGTATATTGTTTCAATGTTTGGAATAACGTTATGAATGCCAAGCTAATAGAAGGACATCAATCAGCATAACACAGCAACGATTGAAAAAACTCAAGTGACGTACGCAACAAATGCGGCGGCCAATGTCTTCTTGGTACATGCAGCACGTAAGATATCTGCACGTACTACGCTAGGCTGCTTGGATAAAACTTCAGACCCAGAAGAAGGTCCAGGAACTTGGAACCGCATTATCGATAGTCACTAAAATGCGGAGGGACGCTAGAAAAAAGGAAGTCTGTCCCACAAATCTAAGTCTTCTCCTTTGGACATTTTCAACCTTCTCCGGAGCATTCCAGAGCAGGGATGGCGTGTAGACACGACGGAGGCACAGATAAAATTCGTTATCAGAGCTTCAGCAGCCAATCAGATAAGATAATCCATTATCTTAACACTATCAATTCACATTTTCGAGTCCTAGGTTATCTTTTACTGTTCGGAAGTTCCCGATTCCGATCTCGGATCTCGAAATTCCCAAATTGAGATTTCAGCCAGATATGGGTCCGTCTGCCGGCCTAACACGAAAAGACCGTGATGTCACGATAGTCACGATATCACAAGCGTTATAGACTACTTTTCTCCCTCGAACGACCACCGCCCATCACGCGCCTTGCAGTCCTGTGCCTGTCGGTAAGCAACAGTGACTTTTTATCTGTCAATGTAATTAAATCTGGGTCCCAAAGCACCAAGAGAGTGCAGAATATGCCTTCAACGTATTGTCTGGCAAGTAAAACTGTAAAATTCTCTGACGGCTCCTACGACGTGCACAGCTAGAAGTAATGGACGACGTATTTCTCCTATATCATTGAAATATTCTCCTGGTTTTGGGAAATGGATGTGTCTCGATGTTTTTATCCCCGTTTTCGCAATTAACTCCGTCTACCTCTATCCAGATAGGTGATGATAACGACGATGACGACGACGACGCCAATGTCATGCCGCCGCTCACGCCGCTGCCTTTACCCACTGGCGTTACACAGACCTCTAGCACTGTCAGTCCTTACCGCTGTCAACATGCTTTACCTTCTTTTCCCGGTCTTCCCAATTTTTTCGGTGGATAATGTTTATGCTGCGTGTTTCTCATTCATACTGCCCTATCACCATAGATCCTCCTCCTACCATCAAGTCATTTTACTCCCTGTAATTCGTGTACTACATTGAATGGTCAATGACGATATGTATATTCACATCGTTTTTTTCCCATTTTGCTTTTCAGTATATGGGTACGAAGTCGCCATTTGATCTTGGCTCCTACTGATTGACTCAGGTGTGAATTTCCATCCTCATCGACATTGGATTGCTATCCTTTGCATTTTCTATCGGGTGTGGGGTTCTCTCCTCTATTCTACGGTGCATTAAAGCATGATATTATGTTATGAGTATTTGCTTAATGTTGATAGTCATCTGGGTTTGCTCTGAAGGCCACTATGACGGCGGTAAGACTTCTTGTGCAGGGATAAGCAAGGGATAGGACATGGCAGAAGGGGAGTTCGATAGGTGGCAGGCCTGTAGCTACCCACTATAATCAGTGTACGTAGGCAGGAAGCGAATGAACAGGTTTTTATTCATAACTATTAATTGATGCACAACAGCGTACATTGTCAATTAATGTTGGAGGTCATCTACTTGAGACTAGTACCAGGTAAAGCTCGAAATTTCACTTCCCGCAGTCGACGAATATCATAAGTTCCAAAGCAGACTAAGTACATCATAATTATGTTATCTGCACCATGAAGGTCGCTAAAACAATTGTCGTTGAAGACACGAGATTGTCGGATGTGGTATATGTACTCCACAACTGATTCTTGAAACTATTCAGAGGTTAGTAGTGTTTGAGCAGTACTCTCTGTGCTAGTCAGGTGGCCTCTAGAGCCTGAGTGGAACAGTTATACTACTTAGCGCTTAGCACTGGTACAGACACAAGCGGTACTAGAAGATAACATTTGAGAACGTGCTGGAGACAAGTGACGCCAATAGGGCCCTAGTAACTCAGACGGATGAAAAGATGCACTTGCGTTGGTTCGCATGCGTAATTCTTAGTGTGAAATTGTTGGCAGAATCCACAAGTTGTCTGGTCATCAGAGAATGGAATGGCCAAGGGAACATTCACCCGAGGATCACGTTGGATTCCTGAAGCTCCCAGTCGAAAGTCCATGGGTTTAGGTCGATGACAGTGTATTTAGTCGATAAATCGATAGAAACCCGTAGCTAGCTAAAAATAGGGCATCTCATGGACGCAGTCGCCGCTGTTTGGCACCTTATATGGCCCTACTTGCAATTACCTTTGTTTCTGAGAACTTTCTGTAGTAAGCGTGTATATTTTGTCGTCAGCCCATGGGTACCCACTCGCATACCCCCCACTGCGAACCCTGTCACATCTAGTGGCCGACATTTAATTCGCTCGCTACTCGCCTCAGCACGCCCGGACCCTCCGACTTCGGAATTCGGCACCATGAGATCTGGATCGGGAATAGTAAAAGATAACTGATCACTCCACATTTTCGGAGCTTTCGGATGCTTGGCAAAATCGTGCCTGTCGGATAAGACCCGGGAATGGCGACTCTCCGGACGAGAACAAGTTATTGAGACGTCGACAGCATGAAGGCTGCCGGTCAGATTTGCTAATCTCTCACCCGCTAGCTTCGAGGCCAGAAAGCCAAGAAAAAGGGAAAAAGAAAAAGAAGAGGATGTAGGACAGGCCCCTGGAGGATAGGAACACCTGATATTTGCCCGATGCCACCTCTGCTCTATCGTCAACAAACTATGGACATTGTCCGCAACACGACTGGAAAGCCTTACCGTATTTTTGTCGCCTGGCCTGAGAACTTGGTTGCGACTGATGCATCGCAGGCAAAGAAAGTTTATCTTCTCGATGCAAACGCGTACTTCCAAACGGCAGTCGAGACAGTGATGCGCTGTCGGTTATGTGGCATAATCGTAGGAATTGGGTATCCCGAACTAGGTCCTTTCAGCCCGCGTCGTAACGAAGATCTCACACCCCCCCTCTTCATCTTACACACCACCCATATCCCACGATGGGACACCGCTACCCGAGACCGTGTATGGGGGTGCATCGCACTTCCTCGCTTTCATACAGACGCAAGTTGTATCCGTGGTCAAGGAGCTGTTGCAGAAGGAATGTCCACATCATATAATCAGACTTCCAGGAGGTCTCGTGGGTCATTCCTACGGTGGCCTGTTCACGCTATATGCTGCTTGCCAGAAGATCTCTACACTGCCGTTATTCGACACCTTCTGCCCAATCAGTCCATCAATATGGTGGAATGACAAGCGCATCATGAAAGATGTGGAAGAGTGTTGTGCGAGGGAGAGTGAGCCTCTGTACAAGCTGAGAGTGCTATTTTCGTATGGGGAGTATGAGCAATCACCTCCGCATGTCGCCGACTCGGACCCACATGTGGACGATTGCAACCAGAGACATGCGCGTCGACGGGCAATGAAGGAAAATGTGAGGAAGTACTACAAGCGGTTCCAAGAGAAGGAAGGTACTATTTTCTCAAGCGCATGTCCACGAGTTTAAAGGAGAGACGCACGGAACTGTGGCAGGGGCCGGGTTAGTGAGAGCGCTGCATTTCATCCTGGATCCGAAGAACATTATCTTCGGATAATGGGTTTGTTACTTCCCAATGAAGAGGCCAGTGCGTCTCTGGGATGGGGTAGAAGTCCGTATGTAGTTGTATATCATTGAATGCTTGACGAGGTTACCAAGGGAACCTTGAGCAACAGTCAAAGTCGACTCCTGACGCCATTGTTAGTATGTTCAAGATTAATTAGCACAGTGCCAAGGATTGTTATCCATTAGACCAGGATACGAATCGGATCAGGTCCATCCTTCAAAGTGGCGTATCAGCAACACCTGGCCTCGTTGAGGCCTTCGGGAACAGCCAGGCCCGCAGCGCAGCTAACACTCAAGTGGGTTGGTACGTTCGCGACCATGTGATCAGCGCGTGTCTGCAACTACGAAAGCCTCCCTCCCTATGGTCGGATGGAGGTCCCCTGCGTTCAATGGAATGGATTCGATAAAGTAAAGTATGACACCACCGCCGCGTATACCAATTTTCATCCCCGCATCCAAGAACTTTACCCGAGATCAAAGGCCGCCACCAGTTACGAACTGTCTGTTCAACTCCGACCTCGCGACATGGTCAGGTGTATTTGCTATCTGCGAAGTTGATGAGACCGGTTGCTGACTGGACGGCTATAACAGCATCATGCCAGCTGGAATCATCCATGGCGCAGAAAACGTTGAGCCGCTGTCAACAGGTCGCATCGTCACCCATATCTCGGGATTCCGTCATAATGCAACGGCTCCACTTCCCGACGTGAAGGTCCTCCGGGTACTTAACCGCCCCTACCGACCAAATCATCTCGCCTCGGAAGATAGCACGAGGTTATGATGATCAGTATATCACACGTTTAGTGATGTCTTCCACCGGGTAATTCACCAACGCGGCGTGAGGTAGCTTGGTCGGGGAAGAAAAGGCTGAAACAGGTTCCGCAGACAGACTACATGCGTGTCATGATGTAGATATTTTTGCGAGATAGCAATCAGAGATGCATCATGTAAAGGTGCCCAGACGAAGATTGAGTATTCCAGGTTACCCCAAAGGCATGATCAGATGGCGATGGTGGATATGAAGCAAGGTGGGGCTTGGCGCGTTAAGGAAGACGGAGCATGACATTCTGCGGCCAGGTTAAATAAACATCGGTCGACAAATGTGAGAAACATGTCACATACTCGGAAAATTTGGAGATGGAGTAATGGTATGGGAAACGGAGTATTACGCTGTCAATCAGGATTGACTTGGAGTCTTTTGTTATTCGGTAGTTAGAATGATGACCCACCTATGAAACTTCCTCCAAATAGCCTTGAACGATAAGATGCTCGATGTCTGCCCTCCGAACCATAAATCGTTGACCCTTTTGAAAGTCGATGGTGCCTTGCTCTGTCTGGATGACCCCACAGTCCCTGACGACATGCACAAGGACTAAAAGATCTTTGGGCGGATTTGTGATCCCGGCCATGATGTCGAGCTCGTATGAAAATTCACCGCGAAACTCCATGACTGTGCCGTTATATTGACGTAGATAGTCGACTTCATGAGGAGAAAGCTTGCCCCGGATATCGGGGTTGGATAGAATGTGGGGGAGTGCCCCACCCACTGCCCAGTACATGTCTTTAAGACGATCAAGACGATGGGTGTGATATGCCAGTAGACAACGCTTGTTACGGCTGATCGCAGTCTGGTAGATGAGCAGAGCAGGCGGCAAATTGTCGGGATCGGCGCCAGTAGCGAGCGCTTGTGCAGCTTTTTCGAGGTCGCGCTGCTCGCGTATGATGGAGCGAACAAGAGAGTCGTTGTACTTGAGTAAGTTATCAGTCTGCGTCGAGCGACGCGACTCTGTGACGAGTTGAGTGGCAAGGTCGCCAAATTGGCGCGTATCGTTCATGGTGGTGAAAGTGAAAGGGAACTACGGTCACGTTATTGACTCCGTTCTGCACCACCATGAGCCTCCGGTACATTGGCAACCTTCGACGACTACCACTCTCAAGGCGATGTCTGTCCACTGTTGAAGCCGGTGTCGAGCGTCCTGACCAGTATTGTGCCGACTTTGTCCGTAAAAATGACTATGAGTCTTTTCTCGTGTCGCCTTTCTACCCGACAGAATTGCGGCCCGCCTACTTTGCCCTCAAAGCCTTTTCTGTGGGTGCCTATCGGCTTTCTTATAATGTACACTTAGCTCTGGCAGGTGGAGTTGGCAATGGTGCAGGACAACGTCTCGAACCCTATGATTGGCCAAATGCGAATGCAATTTTGGCGCGATGCTATCAAAAGTTTCTCTGATGTGGGTCTCTTGGTTCCGTTCGGATGCTGGAACATCGGTTGACTGTTCACCGTTGTAGGGCAGTCCTCCTCGGCATCCAATTGCTATGTCCCTGTATGATGCTTGCCAAAGGGTGCATTTACCTACATACCATCTGAAACGCATAATTGACGCGCGTGTAAGGTCTCCGTACTTTTTGTCGGTTATGCTCACTCTGAGTCAGTTCCTATTCCAAGGACGCTGAGCTGTACTCTTCGGCCCACCTAACAACCGATTCTCTAACGGCCCACGCGGAGGCAACCTCTTCCACCCTATTGTATCTTTTACTCTCGCTATTCTCGGCCTCCTCATCATCTACTCTGTCACATGCCGCGTCTCACCTGGGCATCTCCCAAACCTTCGCCACGCTCTTGCGAGCACTCCCCTTCCATGCTGCAAACGGTAGGATGATCATACCAGCAGAGATCACTGCAAAACACCGGGTCGTGCAGGAGGATGTGTTGCGCAAGGGCGGCGATGCACAGGGTATCGAGGATGCTGTGTTCGAACTGGCTACCTTGGCCAATGACCATCTTCAAACTGCCCGAAGTATGTTCAAAGAGAACGGATTCGAAGGCAAAGTCCCCCGAGCGGTGATGCCGGTCTTTATGACAGGAGTAAACCCACCTTAAATTTTTCTTCGATCTTAGCGGAATGCTTATTTTTCGGACAGGCATCCGTTGCGAGCATCCTCGGTCGGCTCGAGAAGGCAAACTTTAACGCTTTTGATCCAAGACTACAGCTGAGAGACTGGAAGCTACCCTGGAGAGTATGGAAAAGCTACTACGTTCGAATGTTTTGAATAGAACCAACTAAGAATATTGCGAGAAAGGCAAAATGAAGGGCGTTGAATGCGATTGAGGAAGATATGTTTGAATTCAGTGTTCCTTTCAATTAGGGTACGCCAGTGGCTTCCAATATGTCATGGCCGGTCCGGGGGTAGGTCACCCAGATTTGGCATCTGTAACAGTACTACCGTCGGATCGGAGTTGCAGCACCAATTTGCTCTCTTGACTTTTACCACGACTCTATTCCTTCCTTGTCATCATCTTCAGCAGCGAGCTCAGCATTTCTCCGCCCGTCATTCCTTTACATACGACTGAACCGACGACTTGCAACCCTTTCTCTCGATATGGAGCGTCTCTGCGGTCAGTGCGACGGACCGCCTCCATGCTACAGCCCGTGTCTCATGATGATTACGCTTTTTCTTGCAGACGATGTCCTTCAACTAATATTCTACGAGCTTACCGACCCGGGCTCTCTCACCATGGTCTCCAAACGTTTCTACCAGTTCTCCCAAGTCCCTTATGTCCGAGCCCATTACTTCCTTACCCGCTACGGCCCAACCCAGGCCATGTTTCAAGCCCTCGGTCGGGGGAAAATTCTCACAGAGAGAGTTCTTGACGTGAGTTTGATCCTCTGCCGTCGGTGTTCAGGGAGCTGATGCCTTCATCATTACACCTGTGATTACCTACATTAGATTTTGATGACCAGCGGTGCACACCTCTCGCGATATCTAATACAGGTTGCCTTCCATCACTACTTCCATACCCGGTCGCATTTCATCAAAACGCCCTGGGTGCGGACTGTCCCTCTCTCGGTGTTCACATATTTTCTCAAGTTGGCGGCGGATACATACGGCGATATACCTCGAGGCAAGGTGCGCCCCCCTTCATACTTTAGGATCATATCTTTGGTTTTGATCTTCATGGCAGTCGGAAGACGATGGTACCATATTCACTTGGTTTCTGCAAGAAAGTCGGTTCCCGCCGCAAGCACGACGAGTTAATTGGGAGACCGTACGGGACATTCTCGACAAGTACAATGTGTGTGTATCCCACACTCATACCCGGCTCTACTGACTCGTTTCAAGTTCATCCCCTTCTCTCACAAGGTAAACATCATATTCAGTAATCGTTCCTTATAACTCACCGATAATAGGATCCTTTGATGGCCCAGTTTCCATTGGCACTGGCATTAGAGCCACGCTTGCTCCCCTATGCGGTATCCAATGGTTTCTTCATGGACAGCAAGGTTTGATATATTGTTCCGCCCCTTGATGATGTAGTAACGAGTTTGCAGTACCGAAATTTCATTTTCCGGAAGATGTTCGAAAAAGTTTCGGAAAGGAGCGTCGATGATGTTGTGAATAACGTCAAGGAGCTTTGCAGGCTTGATCCCACGTACGTTCACTCGTCCTGGTGTTTATTTACTTTGTTCCAAGCTTTATATAGGATGTATGTGAGCCGTACAGTTGCCGCAGAGGTATGTATGGAAGCGAAGTACAATGCCCATGGCTACGCAGCTTTGAAGCAGCTGAACAAATCAGGGAACTTGCTCTTTGATCTTCCGTAAGTCTTCGTCATTGAACTATTTGCAAATACTGACCTCTCCCAGGACCCTTGTCGAGGATCTTTTGAAAGTATGTCAAAGTCTTGAAGTTGATACTGTCCACTCACATGTCCTCCAGCTCTTTTTGAAGACCTTCATCCATAACATCGCCCCAGACTCAAGAGGCTCTTCAGCATCTTTATGCTGATTTCCCTTCTTCTGACCCTGTTGTTCGACTGGTTATGCTTATGACAGTCTTCACTTCTGGAAGCTCTCATGCAAATGCCGCCACCATCCAAGAACGTCTTGACACTCTGAAGATCGGTGTACTAACCAAGACGGATCTGTACAATCTCCTGATAAATCCTTATACGGAGAAGTATCGCGGGCTGATAGAGTACATGACCAAGGGAATGATATCAGAAGTGACTGGGCAAAAAGGAATGACTACCGCAGAGGTGACGGCCATCGTTCAAGAAGTTACTAGCCGATGTATGGAGATTGAAAGCAAGGTGCGCAATTTCTGAGTCCAAATTTGGGAACATTCTCATAATCCACCAGGGAAAAATGTTGAAGAAGCTCTGTGAAGAGTTCTCTTGTGTCCGTGGCGCCATCATACAGTCGGCTCTTGGTGCTCATCAAGTGCACGTGGCCGACCTGCCTGATGACTGCTCAAACTACCATGCTAGGCTCTGCCGGTCATATTTCAGAACGAATGATGACAATGAGTACTTCTGGAATGGGCGTCCGAATCGTGAGGTTATCCCTCACGAGGGTCGTGACGAGGGATGCTTGTCTTCCGAGTTGGCCTCATCTAGCTCCGCCGAGGGGGTTGGCCGTGAAACGGTCTCTCCGCTTCAGGTTCTTGTACGTCTCATATGTCTTACTCTTGTATGACTGCATCTAACCGATATATTACCAGGGTCAAATTGGGCAAGAACCTTTGTCGGCCATGATCCGACAAGACGAGTTGACACCAGCAAGGTCGCGCCGAAGAATGATCTTCGACACGATACCTGTCATCCCTCCTACTTATATCCCTCACGGTAGGTTTGAATACTACTCAAATATCTGAGATATTCATCAATCTTACCCAGACCAAATGCATGTTGCTAAATGGATTAAGGCTGAATTCGGCCCCAGAAGCAGCGTAACGGCTGTTTTTATGACTCATGCCATTATTAACGAGAATTCAGTCGTATGTATAACGCCTCCTCTTTAGCGTTGCTAACACCCACTCAGATTCTTAACGACTACCTGGGTACCGCTGGACGTGCTCAGCGCGTACCAATAACGTTCAAACACTTCCAAATACTTGCCCGCTTGCGAAGAGCACCCGTGAGTTAACTTGATCGGTCGGATATTAGAACTCTTCTGATTACTGACACCAGTGTAATCAACTCTACCGCGACATAGAATCGGGTGCAGAGTTCTTCTTGAGCGAAGATGAATACATACCCAAGTCCGATAATGCGCGGAAGCTTTACAGCAAGGTTGAGGTAAAAAAGGAATCTTCGCCGGCCAATATCCCCGTCAGTTCTATGACCCCGGAACGCGATCCAGCCTCTGGGCCTCCTCGTGGGAGGAAGCGACCTCGTAGGATTACAGCGGTCACAGTCCGATCTTATGTTGTCCCCGGCTCAGATGACGAAGCCATTGCTGTTGAAGATGATGAAGACTACGATATGAAGATGAAGCAAGCGGAGGGGAACTTACGTTTGTGGGTGAAGCATTTGGGCGAGCTGTTGAAGACGGAACAAGCTAAGGTTGGTTTGTGTCGCTGACATTTGTGCGGAAATAACTTACTCACACATTCTCACAGCACCAGGAGCAGAAGAGAAAACTCACGAGGGAGGCTGGACCCGGTGCAAGGGTCCGCGTGTATAAGGTCTGTCATTGTTCCCCGAAGCCACCATCAATAGTACTGATGCGTCGTGCCAGAATGAGTTTTTCAGATCTCTGTCGACACATTTGCGTCTGTTACGCAAAATTGACGAAGACAAGCGCAAAGGGCTTGATTGTACGACGGACCATAGTCTTAGCGACGTTGATGACGATGATTATTATTGCCAGACTGTACGGTCTAAGAGGCGCAGGACCTCAAAGTAACGAATTTTCTAGCACTTCGTATCATTGCATTGCATTTACCATTCGTGATACTTATATATCCACTCATAATATTATATTTCCACTCCTCGTCATGCTCATTGGGTCTCCTCATCGGTATCACACTTTTATCTTAATATTCGTATTTAGTTATTTACATGCACCGTAGTCATAAGACATATCGGTAATTGACATCACGGTCTCCTAGTTTTAGTCTGTCCTCCTCGCTGAGATCAATCTCTTTATGCGCATCCTTGTTTTTGAGGCTTAGTGCTCTATCTCTATTTTCCTTGGACATCCACAGCCACAGGTACGCTGTCACTGCAATGGCGAAAAGGAGGTAACCAATGGAGATGATATGGGGTTTGCGGTAGTTATGTGACGCGAATTCCGGTCGATAAATAAGCACACTAAGACACTCATATCAATGAACGCGATAATAATCACACGTATCGAAACCATTCACTCACCCTGCAACGGCACCAAGATCACCGATCGTTATTTGCATGGCGACTGCTATGGCACGTTTTGTTTGCCCTGAAACGTTCTCACCAGGCCAGCTGAAAAACAAAAGTGAAAAAAGGTCCATCAAGGACATTGTTTTGCGACCTTACCTCAACAACAGTGCATTGCCGGTGTACACCCCCGCGGCTGCAAAATGTACACCGGTATACTGGCCAACAGCTTCAGTTTTGGTGAGTGTGAGGCGTGCAGCTTGGACTACTATCAAGACATGCCGACTTACGAGTTTTTGCGGTTAGCAGAATGATGTACCCTGCATGCAAGTATAAGATTGTGATTGTGATGACCGGAGTACACATGGAATGATGTTATCACATCAGTACTGTGCCTTGGTGAAAAAAAAAAAAGATTTGCGCACCGATGATGGCCACCATTGCTGATGAGATGATGAATGGTGCTCGGAGATTGTATTTCGAGGACAACCATACTGTCATCCAAATGGATATACTCGCGAGGACGTTCGGTGGTACTGTCATGCTATTATAACGTGCAATGTCAAAACACCTGGAAAATATTTCATAGTCGGTTGCGTACAGTTGTGCTTGCCAGCTCTCAAAATCGAGTCCAACGATGATGGTTGGCTATCACTGTCAATACAGAAAACTTCACAATGATTTTTATGTCATCATGGACTTACCATGAAGAGGCTGAGAGTGTATAGGACGAATGAGAAACCATGGAACAAGAATGCATAGCCCCAAACGAGATGATCACTGATGGCCTGTCGAACATAAAACCACCGGAAACGTTCGTTATGCCCCGCATCTGAATCCGCTTTCAGTCTTGTCAGTAGTCTGCTTCGTTCATCATCAGTGAGCTGTAAGGTAACTAGTCAGAGTGATTCAAATAAGAAAAATTAAGGCCCACGAATTTCGCTGTGTGCGACCAAGTCGGAACAATGAAGTAGGCGACCAACGAAACTGCAACGGTCAAAATCCCTTCGACAATGAAAATCTTATTGATTCCATGATATTCAATGTTAACAAAAAGTCACGCCGTCAGTTGGCGAGACCTGCCATTGCCAGCCGCGTCGTCCGCCTACTCCCTCCATTTTGTCAATGGCGTAGGCGAGGATACCTAGACGGATGACACTGTCAACAAAAGACTGCCGGAAGGCTCACTAAACTAACCTCCAAAAGCTCCAGCAAGTGCAGCTCCGCCGAAAAATATGGCAACCCGGTAGCCACGCTCGCGTCTGGTCAAAATCTCAGTCAAAAAATTCTGAGCAGTCTGATTCGGGGCTTGCCTCTGGTAATACACGGAGAACAGAAAAATGGAGCCTGGAAATAGACCTGCTTCCGTAATGCCTAATACTATGCACGGTCTGAGCCTTGGTGTCAAGGAAATGATGTCACCGTACAGAACCGTATTCCTAGCAGGCCTGCTTGATTTGTGATAAGGCCCTGGCCAATGCTGACAAGTCCCCAGGCAAGCGTTAGAGTGGGTAGCCATATCTGTGGATTAAACTTTTTCAAGCTAAGCATGAAATCAGTAGTGAAACTTCAGAAAGCTGAACATGATTTCTACATGATCTAAAGCAATGTGAGCCTGGTTTCGACCGATATGTGTTTGACCTACATTAGAAGGCACCTCAAATAAAACGTATGCAATAAAGTACAGGGCGAGAGCTGTGTTGTACGCCGACGGAGAAAGATGAATATCCTTGAGACAGGCCAATGAGCGCATCAACAAAAAGGTGTTCTGGTAACTTACAGCTGCTAAGCCAATGATGCTGAGGAAGTATGGAATCGAAGGATTATTATAGAACAGATCAGCAGAACATTTCATCTACCGTGCATTGCCAATATTGGACCTAGTAGATATGCTGGATAAGATCGTGCTGCTATGAGTACGGAAAATTACCTATCGAGGAAACTCAAGAGATACAACAGCGAAAGAATGGGAATTAGGCTACGAGATTGTCAGAAAGAGATAATCAGCCTCGCAAGGATTACTGACCGTAAATCGACTTTTCGCACAAGTCTACGGTCCTCTTGAGTGTCTGCAACTTCAGAGACAGTGTCAGATCCGCTCTTCTTCTCAGATTCTGCCATGATTGAAGAGAAAAGCTGACGGGTGAGGAGAGATAATCCTATGGGAGCGTTTGCTTTACATAACCAAGGATGCTGTCGTCAGAGTCTTCTTCAATGACGCGATCCGGCGGGTAGAATCTAGCACAATAGAGCCGTAAAGTAATACATTTCAGTACGTTATCCGAAACCACGAGAATTGATAGACCCAAAGGGCAGAACGTAATAGAGGAAAGAGGACCTTTGACGAGAAACCAAGAAAGAGCATCGTGGGAAGAACATGCCATTCTGAAGCGCCTCGTCAGTTGCACAGCTTACCCTCTACCACCACATCATGGAGGCCTTATTTTTCAATGTACAGCGTCCATTTTCAACATTTTGTCTTCACGCGGCTCAACTTACACAGTTATATTGCAGGTCGATAGCGGCTTTCTCGAAGGAACAGTTCGAGGGTACAAGGCTGGCATCCTCACCCAAAGCCATTACGCCAACCTAACTCAATGCGAAACGCTAGAAGGTGAGCTACACTGACGCCTAGGTATTCAAATATTCATCGTCTCCCAAGATTTTCGAACGCAGCTGGCCGCGACTGACTATGGCAACTTTCTGGCCAACGAGCCCCTACCAATTTCGACCTCGACCATCACCGACAAGGCAACACAGATTCTTGTGGACCAATTCAATTACCTCAGAACGAATGCTGTAGAGCCTCTAAGCAAATTTCTGGACTATATTACGTTAGTTCTCTGTGCTCTTCGTTGTTCGCGTTCTCACAGACTCCAGGTATGCGTACATGATCGACAATGTCGTCCTTCTCATCACTGGAACGCTACATGAACGGGACACGCACGAGCTATTGGAGCGTTGCCATCCCTTGGGGGTGTTTGATACGATGCCCGCTCTCTGCGTAGCGACAAATGTGGAAGAACTTTACCAGAGCGTCTTAGTTGAAACTCCCCTGGGTGAGTCTTAACATCTTTTTCTTGCGGAACAACATTTCATAGACATAATGCAGCACCATATTTCCGTGACTGTTTATCTGCCTCTGACCTTGATGACCTCAACATTGAAATCATTCGAAACACGGTCTACAAGGCCTACCTTGAAGACTTCTACAACTTCTGTTCAACCCTCGGGTCAACCACATCTGAGGTCATGCAACGCATCCTATCCTTCGAAGCAGATCGCCGAACGGTCAATATCACCATCAACTCTTTCAACACAGACCTTAGCAAAGAACAGCGTGCCAAGTTGTTCCCTGCGATCGGCCGACTCTTCCCAGAAGGCAATAACCAGCTTGCGAAGGCAGATGACATTGACCAGGTTCGACAAGTTTGCGAAAATGTGTCGGAGTACCGGTCATTCTTTGCCGAAAGCTCACACTTGAACAGCAATGGCGATGATTTGAGCGCGGTGTCGCAGCTGGAGGATCGCTTCTTCAATACTGAAGTGCATCTCAACAAGCTGGCGTTCCTTCAACAATTCCAGTATGGAATCTTTTACGCTTACATGAAATTGAAGGAGCAGGAGATTCGGAATCTGACATGGATAGCAGAGTGCATAGCACAAGATGCGAGGGATAGGATGCAGGACTTTATACCCATCTTCTGATTGAGAGGACTTTGTTTACTATCGAATAATATCGGATAATCTTCATTGATTGCGAGCGCTAGTCCGGACGGCCTACCTAAAATGAATCGGAAATCGAACGAGAATTTTGGAGTGCTATAAATACAAAAGATGATACGACTGCGATACATGGTACAACTAACGAAAAAAAAAAAAGTGAGATACAAAATTAGTTAGTATTCAGAACATTATGGCCCTGCCTTCTGGTCTCGCATTTGGTACGCTTCGACAGTTGGTTGGTGCTTCGCATCTTGAGAGAAGAGTTCAAACCAGAACCGACGACATGGCAGTAAGGTGCTTACCAAGTTGAGGATTGTAATTCCTGCCGATGATGACAGCAGCAGCTCGGGTGCGACGTCGTTGATGTACTCGGTTTTTGAGGATGTACAAGAAGAGAGCAAAGACCGCGACAAAAGCGATACCCCCAACTACACCTCCGACAATGGCACCCACTTTTGTCGCCTTCGATGAAGAAGTGGCAGATACCGGTGAATCAGAAACGAATGGTATTGAATCAATGCTCTCAAACGACGCATTGTAAGTGACGAAATCAATCCCGATTTGCCGCAAATTCAACACGAACGTAACGTTCACGACGAGTGTATGCAAACCATCAGGCACATCGACACTGAACAGCTGCGCCATTGGGACTGGTTGGTTGGTGCCACTAGCCAAAGATACTGATGTAGTAGCTTGCTCCGCATCCACGCTGTACGAAAGCACAGCACTACTGCCAGTGTCGGTCGAATTGCTAATGATGCCGTACACTGCAACGGACGATCCTGTCCGAAAAAGAACCGAGGTTAATTGTACTAGACACTAGGAAAGCTACGCACCATAAAACCGAAACGAGAACGAGTCTCCGGCAGTGTTACTCCAGTGAGCGGTATCCTTATACGGGCCGGTTGAATAGTCGAACTCCGTGGGATAGATAGCTACGTTGGACCAATTGCCAGAGAATGCTATATCAGGGTCATAATCATCGACGATGATTGTGCGCCCTTTCATCTGTGTCGATAAACCTGCTTGGACGGTTAGATAGTCGAAAGTAGGGTACAGATTTTCGCGGCCGATAGCATAGATAATACTGTGCTCCCCATCGGATAACAGGCTGGACGTGTATACGCCATTGCCGTATTCAATGAGTGCGCCGGCGGAGTCCATGTTCACAGTATAATCCTGCCCATATCTGGTGATGGGGGAGGATACGTGCACCCTGGTACCTGCCACACAAGATTGGGTGAGAACGTCTGAGCATGAGGAACGTATCTCACCATTAAACTTGTACTGGAACCAGCCATTTGAGCAGTTCGTGCTGGCTATTGATGTCCAAGTATCATGGAAGAATGAGTTAATGACCCTCTCGTGCGTCGATGTACACAGATACTCGATAGCACTGTCACTATCATCCACGATATAGGTGATATTCGTGGAGCCAGACATAGTGACCACGTCGTGAGATCGACTCGGTGGGGGCCGTGAGGACGCAAATCCTGCTGGCTGGTAAATAACACCCCGTGACATCATGCCGGGTTAGCCTGCTTAAGGACGTCTCTCACCGTGTCTGCCAAGAGAAGAAAATCTTAAATCTCGAGGACTGAGATTTGCCGAGGTATCTCCAGATCAGCGAGAGATCCCAACTTGGGGTGTCTTCCAACAGATGGAGCGGCGTTTACTCCCCTTGATGTGCAGTCGCCACAAGGTCGGACAAATCCTAGATGGGAAAATGGAAAGCATTCAGGTTGAGATTAGAGGCGCTGGAAATACAGCAGTCCGACCTTCGCAGATAATTACCGAGTCCCCATACAAGTACATGTACATTGATTGGCAGACCGAAAGCTACTAATACATGTTCTATCAAGAAACGGCGTTCATCCAGTATCAAGGGTTCCAACGTTCCCGACGTTTCGCAAAACTCGATATACTGGAATTTTTTACTCGGCGCTTGCACTAGCGACGAAAGCGTTAAAGTTATATGTCTGTGGGCTACCTTCGAAGGTAAAGCTGTCGGCGTTCAGCTCGACCACAGTCTGGCCGTCTCTGACAATCGTTCCTTTCATCGTATCACCGGGACTGATAGGAACGGAGAGCTTGCTTAGACCGGCAGGAACATCAAACGTTTGGGACGAAGAATCCGAAGTGCTCAGCGTCACAGACGACGGAGCAGTGGTAAGGACGACAGCCCAAACGTAATCTTGGAACTAAAGATAACACACATTAAGCATCAGAGAAGATAGACTGTGTCAGATGCGTACCAGTTGGTAATTGGTGGGCTGGGCTACAGAATCAGGTGCCTCTGCAGCTGCAGGGTGAGGCCGCGACCACATGTAGATTTGGTCCTTCTCGATCGTCGGATAAGCACCAGTCTTGAAGGCAGAGGCATAATATGCGGTCAACCCCAACCATGCTGAAAGGGTTTCACTATTGCGAACAGTGAAGAGTCACACTCGGACATACCTGTGTGATTCATACCGTTCGTCCATGCTTCGCTGTTAGGTTGAGCACCCTTAATGGGTCCGATATAATGTGATTCGCCGTAATCGTTCCAAGTGTTTATCTCCACAATGCTGATAGAATCCCTAGACTCAACCAAGGATTCCCAGCGCCGGGAGTATAGGTGCTCGTCAGATAGGTAGACGAACTGGATAAACAGTATAAGGAAATTAAACGGACGGGATTAGTCACGGCACTTGCATTTTTGTTGTAAGTATCAGGGCCGTAATGTGTGAAGAACCAAGGAGAGACAGCAGCCATATATACAGGCTCGGAACTGGACTCAGCTCGGGAGGAGAGCCCATCTGAAAGGGCTGTCAATGCCTCCAGATGTTGTTGATCTGTTTCTGTTGAACCGATGAACCGACTGAGCAGCGATTCGGCGTTAGATGTCGCTGAAACCACTGTAGCTGCAATCAAAGAGGCATTGGCTGCGCTCCCGCTGGTGGAAGAACTTGCGTTCGCCAAGATCGCATCAGCAACAGACGTCGTCAAGTCCACAGGCCAGCCGGAATTCCACTGAAAAAGCGCAAATAAGTAAAAAGGAACGAATGCATGAAAATGAGGAGGGTCCACTGACATTATAATCTCCGTCCATGACATCTTTGTAATCCGAAAAGGTCGATGGATCTACGAAGAAAGACGGGACAAAGAAGATCTGGCCCTGAAGGTCGGAATGCTGAACAAACTGGGACTTCCATCCCTCTGCAACGCTGCTCTGGCCGAATGTACAAGACTCTCCGGAGAACGTAGAGACCAATGCACGGGAATCATATATAAGCTGATTACTGTGCGTCGTGTATGTCTGTACCCATGATCGTATCGACTGGGCATCGTCTGCAGTTGCACACGGCAGTGACCTATGGAAAGGGTGAGTAAGTGCACCGACGACAATTATTATGTACATACGTCATGTCAAGAGAGAGGAACAACTTGAAATCCAGACCTGACTGTTGGGCAGTAGCGTATCTAATTGGTGGAATTAGATTGGAAAAGGCGGCGACTTCAATGAAAGCAGACGTACGCAGCGGCAACTTGATCTTTTTGAAAATCATCGACGCCGACGTTCAAGGCAAAGCCGTCAATTCCAGATGCAGAAGCGAGAGATATGTCTTCCCCCCAATCATCGGACGTATACGGGTACGTGTTGCCAACCATATGATGTGCGACGACAAATTTTCTTACGGAATTGTCAGATGAAGACGCGGTTGCGGTTGTGGTTGTAGACGAAGACGTGAGTGTTGCAGTACTAACATCCGATGATGTTGAGTCAGGAGTGATTGACGAGGAAGACGGTTCCGTTGCAGACGAAGAAATACTTGGAACATTATCAGATGCTGTCGAGACGAGAATTGTCGATGAAGCAGTCGCAGTTGCAGAACTGAAGACCGCACTGCTAGTAGTGTCAGGTTCTGTCGAGACGGAGAGTGTCGACTCGGATGAAATCGCCGAAGATGACGATGGCCTGGTTAAACATGACGGGGCAGACACGGCGACAGATACAGACGAAGAGGCGGATGTCGAGGTAGAACTAGCTACCGACAAAGAAATAGTGGAAGGGGATTGTCGAATTCGAAGTTTTCTGTTTCTTCCTTGGTGGAAATGAGCCCGTCTAAAAGGAATGGCAAGGGCATTAGTGAATGTGATGAAGACGAGAAGCTGGAGAATGAATGTGAAGAATAGCATCTTTGAAAGAATGTGGGTGACTGGCGCAGCCAAATGTCGAGGAGATGATGGTAGTGATAAAGAAAAAAGGGAAGGTAATCTGGAGGGTATAAGTAGGAGAACAATACGTACCGAGGTCCGAATAATGGCTTTGCATGGTCCCCGACGCGTCAGTTCCTTTTGACACAATGGTTACAATGGTCGACAACAATACGCGGCTGACTCAGCAGCGCTGATAGAGCGCGTTTCCAAGCAGCTGCAAACATAATAATCATCACGTGTTCGTTGTGTGGCGCGGCGCGTTGTTTGGAGTTTCGTACTCCCGGCGGCAGGGCGCGCATATGCATCGTCAACCGTCAAAGCCACTCCCGACAACGGCCGCGCCTATTACGCCGTCGCTGTCTCCCCCACAGTCCCCTTCTTTTTTCTCTGCACGATGGCGAACACCAAGCTCGGTGCCACCGCAAAAGCGTCGTCGTCTGTCTACGCCCGGACGGGCTGCTTCGATTTCAGTGCAAGACCAGCCTATTGGCTTTGACCAGGCAAAGGCCGAGTCTGAGAGGCGCTTATTGGATGTATGGGACAGACTTGCGGAACGCTATTCTCGGAGAATCGACGAAGACGACATTATAGACCTCGTTACGGGCGACGTGATCAAAGACAGAGGGGTCCTGAGGTCCATGGATCGGTGGGAAGTTGGAAGATTCGCCGATGAGGATGAGGGGAACGATGATAGGTCGGCTGGAGAGGAAGAGGAAGTCCTTGAGGAAGGGAGCACAGATGAGCTGGATTGTCTTGGTGATTCTGCCGAAGAGGCTGATCTTTCACTTTTGGGGCGATCTGTCGTACCGTCCCAAGCTATCGATCCTGATGATCCTGACGACGCAGAGCTTTTGAAGGAATTTTCAGAGGCGGAGAGGCGTCGGAAGGAGATATGTGGTAGCGAGGAGGAAGATGTGTATACGATCGACGATGGTGACCACAATGCCCAGAACAGTGACCATCGCACAGACGATGATGAAGAAAGCGACAACGAAGTACAGGTTCTGGAGAGCGCGCCACATACACCGAACCAAGACCACGTCTCGGATTCTGACGATGATTTCTGTCCATGGGGTGAAGACGATGCCGGTTTGCTAGAAGAAGTGACAGAAATCAAGACCATCGATCCCGACGTCGTCCCTACATTACCATCTTCTACCCCTGTGGCCCCGCCTTCTTCTAGCAAGCCTAACAAGCTCTTGCGTAAATCCTCCACGTCTCCTTCAAAACCAACTAAAAATCCTGCGAGACCCCCTCTTCCACAGCTTCAAACTCCCCCTCGTTCGTCTTCGTCCGTTCCACCTGCTGAAGTTGACGATGTAGAGCCCTTTGCTATTCCATTACCGTCCCCTTCACCTACACCAACGCGTCCTGAGTCTGAACAATCAACTTCACATCCAAGAACGCGTTCAAGTGGATCAACACCTAGGCCATCTAAATCCCGGACCCTCTTTCGCGTTGAAGACTCCGAGACGCCGCCTCCTCGTTTGGACTTAACCAAGATGAATAAAGGAAGCAAGCGCCTCTCTCCGATAAAGGCCTCAAAGAAGATAAAGTCACAAGCAGTGGTCGCAGAAACTCCCCAACCGCAATCCACAGTACAGAAGAAACGCCTTAAAGCCGAGGTTGTCATTGTCAAACAGCCACGGTCTCAATCCCGGACCAGGGAAGTCGAAGGACAGAAAAGGACAGAAAGGGAACAGAAAATGTTCAAAGGAAAGGGAAAATTAGTGTTGACTCCGGAGAACGTTGACGAAAAGAAGACGCCTCAACAACGTTCTAGCGAAGTTCATAATCTGGACCTCGGTTATGATAGCGATGGTCCTGGTGAAGAGACTGACATATCTCCCCCAAGCTCTCCATTGAAGGGTAAGGGCAAGGGCAAGGCAGTTGCTTTTCCCGCAAGTTCAAGAGGGAATCAAACATCTTCACGGAAGAGAATCGAAGATCTAGCGTCAGCAGACGAAAATGTAACACGAAAGCGCAAACGGGTTTCAGACGTACATGTTGATCCTAGTTCTTCGAAGCTCGACATTTCTTCGCGATACACCAGACCTACCACTCCCGCACCTGTCAGTGATCGTGAATCATCTGTGGAAGGTGGGTTTCATATCTTCGTTTTCTTATCGCTCCTTATCTAGTCCCGTAGAAATCGAGAGACCTCCAACAAAAAATATTATAGCGAAGCGGCGGTCCAAGACGAAGCTCAAGTCACCTGAATCAGACGACGAGGTATATTCATTCCATTGGGATTCACCCGATGCCCCACCTCGACGCTCGCAGAGTCATTTTGAACTCCCGCCTCCATCTGCACATTATTACCCATACCCTCCCGCCTACCCGCCAAGAGAGCATGGACCTCCTTACGTGCCTTTGTATGATCCTCGAGCGCAGTATATCATCTCTCAAGCGATGCATCAACTCTCTGCTTTAGCTGGCTCTTGGTCAGGAGTTGAGCATCACCCACTACCGCCCGTATCTCCTCCATATACACCCAGCCGTCATCACGGTTTTCCCGGCTCTGCATCTAGCTCCATGTACAATACGCCCACTCAACGCATGCATCCTCACCCTTACGAATATGACCCTAAACTATCAAGAGCAACTTTACCACCATCATCGCCTGATGTTCAATCGTCACCAGCTCCCGAGAGAGTGCAAACTTCCGGCCGGGCCAGCTCTTTGGTGGCAAGAAGTCGGTCCAGAGGAAGGCGCGTATCGTTCCAGATTGAAGAGGAGGCGGACATCGTAGAGCTGGATTCTATGCTGTCGCCGCCCCCCGGTGTACGCAACCAGAAAGATGAGCGTCACTCCGTAAGGCAGGGGAAGGGGAAAGCTCGACTCGAGGAGGTGATCGATGATTCCGAGTCTGACCCGGAGCCCATCGAATCGCCGTTGATAAGGGGGCGTTCAGTCGGGAGAGCTCAGACTCCAGCACCGCAAGGGCCTTCCAGAATCCCTTCTGAACCTCCAAGGAGGGGAAGAAGCCTTTCAGCAAGACCAATAGACTCTAGACCGAAGTCTAGGAGGGCTCGTTAATTTATTTTTGCTGTCTGATTGTGTTCTGTACTTTAGTAGCTTATCATTGTCGCCCGATCTGGGACTAATTATCTGACCATGAACGATTTGTTTAACTGCAGCCAAGGCCTTTGTCGAATATCATTTTTCTTTGTGCTCGGAATGCGGACCGACAGCCGTATTTTCGTTGCGAGTTAAGGTTAGGGTTAATTTTTTGCATCTCTCGGCCTTGACCTTGCCTTGACCAGGTAGTATCAACTGCCTTCCACACATGGGACCTGCGCCGCGAGAGCGACACAACGCGAAATCAAGGCAATCTACTGCTGGGTCACGGAAGAAGGGGAAACGAAAACGTCAAGACGTTACCGAAATTGGCGATGCCAATGCCCTAATTCATGTGCCCAAGACCAACGAAGAGAGAGAGCTCACGCGACGGGAAAAATTAAAGCAGGAGGTCAGGTGAAATACGTTTGTTCAGAGCCTCTCGATGTTCTTATCTCTCAAACAGCTCCTTGCTGAAGGCGACAACAAATGGAATAACAAGAAAAAGAAGCGCCTGGAAAAATATATTGTTCGTTTGAGCTGCTTAAACTTCTTCTCTCTTAATCACGGCAATCACAGGACAAGAAATTAAAGAAGGAAGAGCGGGTTCAGATTCTGGAAAAACTATCGTGCGTGAAAACTTCGTCTTAGTCGCGTCGTGCTTCATGTTTCTTAGCCAGAGTCAAGCTCAGATCACGAACACACTACACCTGCAATCATCTTCTACCCTCGGTACCGGAAGGGCGTCAACCCATCGCGAACGCTTAGACAAACTAGAGGATATTGAAGTCCGCAAGGCACTTGATGGTCGAGCCGGAAAACGGAAACGAAACGACGAATATGCTGTGACAAACGTGGATGAAGACGACGAGGATGATACTGAACTTTTCCCTGGGCATACTAGCCCTCCAGAAGTTGAAACGGTAGCCGAAGCTAAGATAACGGATGTTGTTCACCCTGAATCTTCTGCTCAGCCCACTGCATCAACTTCAGCGGCAGTTGGTAGTGCCCTACAGCGGAATCCGGACGGTACCGTTGTTGCACCTAAAATTCGTCCAAAGCGACAGAAAACGAAGGTAGCAAATCTCTCTGTATTTTTGTCGTGGACTCATTTAGTAATTGTGATCAGTCAACGTTCTGTAGTTGGGAAAAATCGAAAGCAATTGCGGAAGAGGATTCCGAGACGTCATTTGACAGCTCCGACTCTGAAAATGATACTTCGGATGAAGGAGGTGAAGAGCAACATCTACCAGAGGAACTAGAGGCAGGAAGCAGTGATGAGGATGCATCGGAAGAGGATACGGCTCCGTCGCCGCCCAAACGAAGCCTCGGATTCAAGGATTGGGCTAGGAAACAACTCAGCGCCGCCAAGGGATACGTTACTGCTGACCAGCAAAGTGCATCACTCGCACCCATGGAACCCAGGCCTCCGCCGAACAAAAAAAGAAAACTGGACAAGGATTCTGGGCCGATGGAGATGCGAGGACCTTTGGGCGAGGACCTTGCACTCCCCGATACATCTTTCGCCCAACAACTAAAAATGCCAAGCGAAAATTCTACTATAACAAAACCCAAATCTGTGTCTGTGACGCGTCCTCCAGATGTCGAAGAAGCTAGAATCCTCCTTCCAATTGTCTCTGAAGAGCAACCAATCATGGAGGCGATCTTATTGAATCCTGTGGTAATCATATGCGGCGAAACAGGCAGTGGCAAGACGACTCAAGTCCCACAATTTCTCTATGAAGCTGGTTTTGGCACGCCCGATAGTGGTATGTCCCTCATGATAACTTGCCAGATCAATATTGACCGGTCATTCAGAAAACCCGGGAATGATCGGGATTACACAACCACGGCGGGTAGCTGCAATGTCCATGGCTTCGCGTGTTGCCCATGAATTATCTCTTACCTCATCTCGGGTCTCGTACCAGATTCGGTACGACGCAACAGTTTCTCCTTCTACTTCCATCAAATTCATGACGGATGGCGTCCTCCTACGAGAGCTGGCAACTGACTTTTTACTCAACAAATACTCTGTCATTATTATCGATGAGGCGCATGAGCGAAGCATGAATACTGACATACTCATCGGCGTATTAAGTCGTGTTCTCAAGCTACGAGAACAGCTGTGGAAGGAGGGAAAAGAGGGTGCCAAGGTAATTGTGGTCAGCCGCGATTATATACGTTCTAGCTGAATTCCCTTTTTGCAGCCATTAAGACTGATAGTTATGTCTGCTACACTCCGTGTCAGCGACTTTGCGGAGAACAAGACTTTGTTCCCAAAATCTCCACCCGTGATAAATGTAGCGGCTCGTCAACATCCTGTAACCGTTCACTTCAATCGTCGAACAGTGGCCGATTATGTGACGGAGGCTATCAAAAAGACCACTAAAATACACACTCGTCTGCCTCCCGGCGGTATCCTGATCTTTTTAACAGGTCAAAATGAGATACAAGGGGTGTGCCGGAAGCTGGAGAGTCGATTTGGTCAAAAGGCACTTCAAGAGAAACGCAAGAGACGAGGTGCATTGCAGGCCAAGCTGCAGAACCCCATGGATCTGGAGGACAGCCAGAACGTCCGTACAATTGGACCAGCGCTAGGTATGAAACGCGCTTTCTTGACGACTCTCTTCCAACGAAATTCTTCTTAGCTGACGTTGAAGCTGAAGATTTGGATCTGGGCAACTCCTCTAAGATTGACGAAGATCTTGCCATTGATGTTGACACTGCGGATATGGAAGAGGACCCGGAGGCACTAGACAGCGACGAGGAGGACGAGTTGGGAGAGGAACTGGGAGTAGAATTCGACGACAATGATGGTAAGCATACATCGTTCACTCTTGGGCTCTGTTTGACACTATGTTGCAGTGCCGATGCATGTGGTTCCTCTCTATTCCCTTCTAGCCAGCGACAAGCAGATGAAAGTGTTCGAACCGCCGCCATCTGGGACTCGTCTTGTGGTCGTCTCGACTAACGTGGCCGAAACGTCATTGACCATTCCTGGAATTCGATATGTCGTAGACTGTGGACGCGCAAAGCAAGTAAGTCAATTCTTTTGGAACTCGAAGTTAGTATAGGTCTAACTCCTAGTATAGCGTCGATATGACATCGCCAGTGGCATACAGTCTTTCCAGGTCGATTGGATATCGAAGGCTTCTGCGGCTCAGCGCTCTGGACGAGCTGGACGTACAGGTCCAGGACATTGTTATCGATTATATTCGTCGGCCCTTTTTGAGCACTATTTCGACTCCTTTTCTCAGCCCGAGATACTCCAAATGCCTATCGAAGGTGTAGTGCTGCAAATGAAAACCATGCATATCGATGCGGTAATCAATTTCCCTTTCCCGACACCACCCGAAAGACAAGCCCTTCAAAAGGCCGAGAAGATTCTCACTCATCTGGCGGCTCTAAAGAATGGGGAAGTCACCGACTTAGGTCGCGCCATGTCGTTATTTCCTCTATCTCCAAGGTTCGCGAGGATGCTGGCAGGCAGTCAACAACATCAATGTCTGCCCTATGTTATTGCTATCGTTTCTGCTCTGTCTGTTGGCGATCCATTTCTCCATGACGAAGGCCTTGCGATGAATGAAAATGGTGGTGATGACGGAGATGATGACAATGATCTCGGACATCTGAAGAGCGAAACCGTGAAAGCTAAAGAGGCTCTGCGCCTGCGCCGTAAGGCTTTCTTTCAGTCCCAGCAGACCCACTCTTCCCTAGGAAAGGGGACAAGCGACATGTTCCGTGTGCTGTCTGTCGTTGGCGCCTATGAATATGCGGGTGGTGGCTTGAAGTTCTGTGGCGAACATTTCGTTCGACCGAAGGTGAGCAAGCCTTCGAAGGTGTACTTACGATGATTTGACACAACCAAACAAAGGCTATGGAAGAAATACATAAGCTTAGAGCACAGATCAGCAACATTGTTCAGGTCAATTTTCCTGGCGTAAAGGCTGGTTTTGAGCCAAATCTTCGTCTCCCAAACAATGTTCAGGTAGGTTGAATAGTTCTCTTACTTGATTGTGTGGTACTGACATCTATTCATCAAGATCAAAGTGCTCCGGCAACTGCTTACTGCTGGGTTTATTGATCAAGTGGCAGTAAGGAAGGATCGGGTCGAAAAGGTGTCCTCTGGAACACAGTACGCGTCTTCCAAGGGTGTGCCCTACAAAGCGATCGGAATATCGGGCGATGTCTTCATACACCCTTCATCGGTACTTGCTTCCAAATCCCCGCCGGAGTATGTCGTCTTTAACGAAGTCGTTCGCACCTCTCGTGTATGGATTAAAGGTGCGCGAAAATCATTAGCTTTTGATGAAGTATGCTCAACTTCGTTTCAGGAGTTACTGTTGTCAATCCGGCCTGGTTGGCATCTCTGGGAAAAGGATCCCTTTGTACATTCTCTAAGCCGGTGAAGAATAACGTTGGCAATATGATGGTGATCCCTCGATTTGGGCCTGAGGCTTGGGAACTCCCTGCCAGTCAAAGCCGAGCTGATATCGTAGTACCTCATAGCGTGGAACTCAGACAGAGTTGTTAGCACAAGTTGTACTTGTTACATTAGTTATTTGACGTTTTACGTGAGGAATCGAAGGAAAATAAAATTCTAGGAAAGTGTCGCGACTTTATTCGCGTTATTCGCGGGATGGCACGTGCCGATGATAGATGGAGTTTCTTCTGACTCGTCTTCATCGATTCATACCGCGATTATCATCTGCACGGCCATCTGCCATGTCTTTTGCGGACTCTGTATCAAAGCTCAACGGCTCTGTAAAGGATCTGGTCCTCTCTACTACAAACAATGATGCCTCTCTTCTTGGACAAACGGATGTCGATAAGATCGAAGTCACAGGATGGATTGAAAAGGTCGGACAGGGTGACTTGGTGAAGGAAGAAAATTTCAAAGTAAGAAAATATTTCATCGGTTCTTGTAACTGCTTTTTATATTTTCAAGAATCTCGATACCGAACTGGTGCCTCGCACATACATTGTGAAGAATTACTTGACCGCTGCCGATGTTGCACTGTACGGTGCCCTACACCCTACCTTTGTCAGTACCATCACAATCTCTACTGCGTTTTCATTTCTGATATTCCAGTTTATCAGGCAAAATTGCAACCATCACAATACTACTCACATCCCGCTTTGACGCGCTACTTCGACCACATCCAGTCAAGTTCTCCCGTCCGAAACGCTGCAGATCCCCTTTCTATCTTTCCCCTTGTCGCATTTGATTTCACAAATGCGCCTAAAATCGACCGGAATGCTGAGCCACCCAAGAAGGCACCCGGTGCACCCTACCAGAATCCTTTACAGCCAGCCGGGAGGCCGCCCAAGTCTCAGCAGAAAAAGGAGAAGAAAGAGAAGAATAAAGATACCGCTCCTCAAGATTCCGAAAAGAAAAAGGCTGCTGGAAAAGCCCCTGCTGCAGAGGAAGGAGAGCCCGTCCCCTCCATGATCGACCTTCGCGTTGGGCACATCATTGACGGTGCGTATTTATTGCATCGACTGATTTATTTGTACTCATTTCTGCGTAGTCAAGAAACATCCGGACGCCGATGGTTTGTACATCGAACAAATTGACATCGGCGAGGAAACAGGTCCTCGAACTGTTGTTTCCGGTCTTGTAAACTATATTCCTATCGAAGAGATGCAAGACAAATACCTCGTTGCTGTTGTGCGTAGCCTCCTCAGGTATAGTACTGAAATCCGTGTTTATTCCTTTATCACAGTGTAATCTGAAGCCAGCCAACATGCGTGGTGTCAAGAGTTTCGCGATGGTTCTTGCTGTGAGTTCAACGTGTTCTGTTACGACTCCCTCAATGATGTTACCTCTCTTCGCTAGGCGACCCACAAGGATGGCAAAGACGGTGGTGTTGAGTTAATCCAGCCTCCTGCTAACTCGAAGCCTGGTGATCGAGTGTACTTCGAAGGCGAAGAGTTTGAGAGTGCGCTGCGCCATTTTCGCATCATTGACTGTGAATAACTGAACAAAACAGATGCGACAGCTCTTTCTCAATTGAACCCAAAGAAGAAGATTTTTGAGACTATCCAGCCGGGTAAGTGGTTGTCTGGCATCTGCATTATACGCCAAGGCTCAGGCTGTTTAAAGGATTTATCACGTTGGAAACCAGGGAGGCGGCATGGGTGAACCCCGACACGAAGAAGATCCACCGAATTAGAACTAAAGAGGGGGTGTGTGTCGCCCCAACCTTTGTAGGCGCTTCGTTGTCGTAGTATCGATATGGCGCCGTAGACGACATGGAGATCTAATAAGTTAGCAATGCCAATCATCTAATTGTACGATCTTTACGCTGCGCGTGTGCGACCACCGCTGATAAAAAAGTCTGCGCTACACTTGGCCAACGGTGAGTCGGTACCTTTATCTACCTATTTTTTGAAGTAACTTAGGCTAATCTTGGCGGAAATCAAGCTGGAGTCACATTCGACAAGTACGTTCTCGATCTTCGCGAACACAGAATTTGATAAAGAAAACTTCAAAGGTTCAAAGTCGACAATCTAGACTCTCGCACAAACTTGGATATTCCGGCGAAAGTTTCATCACTTCGGAAACCAAGGTGGCATGGGTGAACCGTGCACAACACGAAGACACATCGAATTAGAACTAAAGAGGGAGTGCATCGCCCCAACATTTGTAGGCGTTTCGTTGCAATGCCGATATCCCGGCGTAAAAAAAAACATTCGCTCGATATGCCCTAAATTGAAAAAGTCTCGCCGTTCAAGTTGTTCGTGTTTTACAACTTCAAGTTTGTGTTCGAGTACCACGTGTATGCTTCCATCTGCTTGCACTGTGTCGACCCCATTCCTTAGACCATCTTCTTCTTTGTAGTCGGTGTCTCAGCCTCTCGCCAGCTCTAAAAACTGTCGTATCGGTATAGTTGCTAGAGGATAGTTTACTTCGGGTCTCGCGAGAGTGTAAGTACCGGTGAAGTGAAAGTCAGACACCTCGTCGGAGGTTCGGTCGCGTGTGTACAACAATTCTGATTCCCAGCGTTACCACCATGTCACCTCCAGTCGAACTCATCTCACATGTTCTTGCCGAACTCTGGGCCTATCCACTGTGTACTGAGGAGCGGATCAATGCTTTCACCACTTGCAGTCTTGTGTCCAAACAGTGGTCCGCCGTCATAAAGGAGGTGAATTCTGTGCACTCGTGGATCCCTTTATCTTACAACAAGGGACAATTGTATACCGTCAAGTCAGCACATATTTCTAATCCGATGCTTTGCCGCACCATAACAGTTGTGGTGGAATACACAGTCATGCCACAAATGCTATTTTTGGATAAAACATGCGAATCCCTCCATCGCCGCAAACAGAGGCGTGGAGTTCATGTTTCGAAGAATATTCAGCGACCCGAATTCACCTCGACATGCGATACATTTGTATCTCGACTATGTTGACGATCATGGAGTTCATATCCCCAGCTTCTGGATCCCCCCTCAGATCACGCAGATGACGATTGTCTATCATTATCCTCGTTGGATAGTTTCGTATTTCCTGGAACAGAATCATACTGTTCTCTGCAGATGCAAAAAATTAGCCGTTGACCGGCGAGTGAGCCATCTCACTGTCATGGGGCCAGCCAGGATAGTGAAACCTCTGATAGCGTCTCGCGACGAATGGCAGCACCTTGTTTTGTTGACCACCAATGTTGACAATATTCCTGCATCTTCCCGGACCTCTGTCATACGGAAGAGTTATGATTTTCCGCTTCAGTATGTAGGAGACGACTACGCACTTCAAGTCATGTTTGGAGACCAGTCACTTTGGTTACACAGGCCGTATCATGGTCAGTTGCCACGTCTCTCTGTCATTCGTACTAATCATCAAGCCCGACAGATTTTGACCATCACCGCGATATTCCAATGTTTGAGTAGGTCATTCCGGTGGGCTCCGTTGGATACATTGACCCGCTCACCAGGAAGTTTGTCATACTGTTCAACGGCATTGATCCTGCAGCATCGACAGACCAGCGAATCAAATCTATCCCCTCCCTACTAGAAGGGGGAGTGACTAAGCTAGTCTGCGACCCGAATCTTTCTGCCTTCCCAGACTGGGATCAAGAATATACATTATCCAACTTACTTAGAGCTTGGATTGATGGGAGATCGTTTGTGTTCTTTTGTCTTGTGTTCTTTCCTGCTATTGACGGAAGACCAGTGTGTATAGTGTTCCCGTGACATTTAACGTAACGAGATCGCTCGGTCTTGCGGTAGGGAGAGTGTTTGCCAGAGAACTTGTAGGCACCCATTTTGAACCATGGTTCTTCCTAGCACAAACAGATAATCATGGGTGTGTTTGGAGAGGACCATCCTTATATCCAACAGCATCTGGACCTTGGTGAGGAAATCTCGCTCATAGATTCTGATAGTTGAGCTCATTAGTCAACAGTGACTACTGCCATAGACTCTTCTCAATATGCTTGGTTTGCACGCCTGTATTATGGACCGGGAGGAGTCTATGGAAGGAATGAGCATGTAAAGCGCAATGTTTATTACTCTTCTAAATGCATCACTGCTAATGGTAAATTTCCCAGTTCTATTTTCGTGTCAACCCTCGCGCTTCCCTCAACCCTGGAAGTCCTTGGGGGAACTTCACGAAAAGGGACTGCTGATACCCCCGACAATTTAATCACCTGGAACCACATATCCACTGTTGGCCAGTCGCCAATGACTGTACAGATTTGTTGTCGCCCTCTCATTTAGATTCCCACTGGATGTTATGCTTTTAAGAATGAAAATGGTTCATTCCAAAAGAATTTCAAAAGCAGAAGAGGGACACTAGCTTCATCTGCCGCTTATCTGACTAATGTACCTTACCTTTTTCAGACGAGCCTCCTTTGAAGTCTTTTGAAGTCCGCAGTCATCGGTTGCGTCAACACAATGTCTAAACTGTAAGTAAAGCAATCCTTGGATCAACATTATCCTTCGTGAAGTGCATGTCATTGGTCTTGACGTATTTTTATTGACCCACCACTCTTAGCGCTTGGCCTGATCAAAAATTTCAGCGAAGACAGTGTGTTATTGATAATAACATACAAGACGATATTAGGGAATCTCACAAGCCCGAACGAGGAACTTGAAGAAGACCTTTGCAACGATGATCGGACCACCGCATCACACAGAAATACGGATTACGCGTAACATTCCGGGCCACTCCATTCAAGATGACACCGAGAGCACAGCCTTGATGGAAGAGCGATAGCATCCGGGCACCTGGGGCACCCAAATATTCTACCAGATCGATATCGCATAAGTCGAAACCTAGAGCAGTGTATCTGCATTGCGCGCCAGTTATGGTCTAGACTCTAGCTCGCCGGTCAAAGGGCTGATATGGTATAAATCTGGCGGCTCAATATCATCCGTATGGCGTTTTCAGGTAACCTAGTTGTGGATGAATTTATGTGAGCGTACTTGCGATTTCCTACCTGAGGCTTCACTCACAACCTAGACAGTTATGTACACTGTCGATAATTATCCGGGACTCCCACGCCTTCCACCGCGCCTTCTGCTTGCAAAGAGTGTCGGCAGCAGTAGCAACGGTTCGGGAACCAGTGTCTTGGGTATCTTCAATGCTGTCATCCTATTGACAAGCATTGCTATCCTCTTCTTCTGTTATCGACAGCTAAGAAACACGTCCAGTTCTACGCTGAACGAGCATGGGACGATGGTGCGCAACCATCCTCCATTCCGTTCTCTCTACCCGCGATGTTCCAAGACTTCAGGTACTCACCCGTTTCTAACAACAGCGTTAGCAGCATTTCTGACTGCGACATTGCGGTCCGCAAGTACCCATCCTTGATACCAATACCCCATAATCTGCTTTTGCAATACCGCCGCCGCCTTACCATCATCATATTCCACTATATTGAATTTAACGCTAAGGCTCAAGTTGTTTATTGTCCCAGCTCCCCGTAACCATGAGAACTGTCCCATGATTTATTCTCACCTCTTCTCTGATTCCACTACACCGTCGCTGTTGCGGCGCTTTCGTTTTTAACCAAATAAGATGACGAGATTCGACGCCGCAAGCCCCGTCTTAGTTGATACTACGAGTCATAAAATATGACTGTTGAACACAGGTTTGAAAGAAGCGTAACTTTGTTGTGCCGCATTGCAGTTCCGATCAGAGGTGCGACTACCGCTAGTAAAGAAGTTTGCGCCACGCTTGGCCAATGGTGAGCCGGTACCCTCATCTGCCACCTGTTCTTTGAAGTAGGCTAATAATCTTGACGGAGATTCAAACTGGACACATCCGATAAGTACGTTCTCGGTCTTCGTGAGCACAAATTTAATAAAGAAAGCTTCAAAACAAAATTCAAAGTCGACAATCTAGACTCTTACAAAACTTTAGATGTTCCGATCGTCGAGTCCAGGAACATGTGGCTGTGCTAAGCAAACTCTTTCTTTGTGCATCTTTCGCGCCACCACTACCTGAGTACGACCCTGGGCCTACTGTCGGTCGTTACTAACTGTCTGTAACGTTTCTCAAGGTGGTCTAAGCGGCTGTAAATCTTATCATATAAGTTCTACCCAGCAGTGGGGTTGTTTCAACATAAGGCACCGGTTCTTTCCGATCTTATTTTGGAAATTATGTCGTCGGAAGCTGAAGTCGACGCGCTCAAGTACTCGGTAGCATGCCCTGACTCCCGTCTTTTTCTCTTGTCTGCCCACTATGTCCTCAGCTTCAGATGCTAGCTCACTCGCGGTTGTCGAGAAAACTTTTGGCGTCCTCTTCATCGGTTTTGTGGTCGCGATGATAGGCTACGGTTTTACATTCTTTCGTGCGTATTTCCTAAAAGTTATTAATTGCAAGTTTAAGTTTAAGCCTCCCTTTCAGAGACATACCTCTATTTCAATAGGTACGACAAAGATAGTTTCGGATTGAAGGCAGCTGTTAGTTTTTTTTTTCCCTTGTCGTCTGCGATGCTTTCGCTTACATCTCGAAATAAAAGGTGGCCATACTGTGGTTGGTACATTCAACTCAGAAATATTGCTCTCCGTGTCTTACCCATCATATCCAGGACACTGGACACGATTTCATCCGGCCTGAGTAAGTCAAAGCTTTGATTTTTCCAAGTGCGCAATTAATGTGTTTGATACAGTGTCGCAGTCGTGAGTCAGGGCGGACCCTCATTATCCTACCTAAATCCTGACAAAACAGGGTTTATTATTATCTCGTCACGACATTCCCTTATGGAACCGAAATGACAGACGCGACCAAGTGAGTGCACTCGCACCTTCATCGCCTTTTTCCCATTAATTTACTTGTTATAGAACCTTCTGTGTATGTCTGTTCTCAAATTTCTGTGTCGTCTCATTAAGCATCGAGATCACTTTCTAGGTTGAAACGCTCCTTTCTGTGAGTCCTTCAATTCCTTCCGCCTAATATTGTCGTGACTGACAATAAATCTAGGCCCTTTCTATATTCATTGTCCAACTGTGCGTTTCCTTTTATCGGTAATCTATCCGCATATTCATCGTATGTCAAGTTTCTACTCAACCCGGGTATGGAAATGTGGGTTACTGTTCTATTGTCATCGTAACGGCCGCCTCAGACCGACGTGATTTTTTTCAGTGGGCGGAGGTGTTTTCTCTGTGTTGCCAATTGTAAGTACAGTATCTGACTCATTATCGCAAACTAGCTCATATGAACCTGAAACTAGTGCCTGTTGGCTACGGTTGGATTCGGTGAGTGCCTCTCAAACGCTGCGCCGATCTGTCAAATATAACATCAAATTTCCAGGTCTTGAAATCGGTATGTGGGTTTTCTTTGACCCGCCGTCATCGATGATAACACCGATTTTGAATAGCCATGTCAGCGTTGATGTGAGTAATACCAAATGCGCGGCAAAGTCCGTCGATATTGACGAATAAATCAGGTTCGCGAGCCCTGAGTTCGAACATCTCTATGTCTCTCCCGTCAAAGTAAGTGATAGACTATTCTGCTCACCTCACACGATATTGAATATTCGCTCAGCCAATTGTTGCCGCAGCCCAAGCAGTGGTATTTTGTGCTTCTATCTACACCGTGGGGGCTCTCACGTTATTCTGCCAATGGGGTGATAACACGCCGTACGTATTACTTAACATTCTCACAGACCTTGAGTCAGGCAATATCACTAACGAAATCCAGCATACACGGATGGTTCAATCAAGTCAAAGCCCTCTGCTTTTCTCATGGACTTGTGGCAGCAGCAATGCAGCTATCGTATCTCATCGCGGTAGGCTCCGTCTATCTCCAGCCCTCTTTCAATTTCTCATAATTGTCTCCCTAGTTTGTCGCGTCGCCCACCTACTTTATCTGGATTCCGTTCCATCTATTGGCGTCAAAATGTATGTTGTATCTGCTCTCTTCAAGCAGAAGATCCCTTCTAATGAAACCCACATCCTAGTCTTCATCAACTGTTTGCTCTTTATGTAAGGGCATTGGAAGCAGAACATCGAACCGAGATTTACATTGTATACCTAGGTTGAACTCCCGACAGGCCTACCACGGACATGGTCTTGACCACGAGGATAGCAGCACATCACCCAGCAACTCTCATATGGTCACGACGAAGAGAAAGGGCAACGCGGGTGTTCATTATAACATCTCTGACACTCGCACACCCATCAATATTGAAGTGGCTCGTACTGTTGAGCACGCTGTGGATGAAAGGAAGGCCAAAGCCAGCGGCGATTCCACTTATGACGATGAATTGTGGTTCTCTCCACTCTTCTCACTACAGCAGACTGAGACTTTCCCCGGCAGACCAGGATTTGATTTTCAGATTCACAAGAACGAGTTCGCCGTGAAGGCCTCTTGAATAAATAACACATAACCTCAGCAGTACCAGCGATTATCACTTTTCATTCTAGATGTGAGGCAGTGTTTTATATTCATGTGTGTTTTATTAGGGCTCTATCTTTCACTTCTTTAACCTCAACCTCATTCTTAATACGACTGGTTCACAACTCAGAAAATTGCCTCTGTGGCATATAATTGCCGCATAACGCAGATGGTGGCAACGCTCTCTCTACCGTTGCGCCTCAGATACATACATACTTAGACATTCGTGTTTGATTCTTGTGTAGGCGAACCGGTCTGGTACCTCTAACTGTGGGAAGAGTAGCGTTGCGTTTGGTGTTCTTTCGTTATTGCCTATATGTTAGAGATCCGTTGTTTCTCCATGCATGCATTCGAGAATTCGTTCCCATGACCATTGGATCAGTCACTTTATATTGGGCAGTGTGAAGATTCGAGTGAAGAGCGGTGATTGCTTACAAGCTAGCTATCGAAACCGAGTACTATCACAGACGTTTACATACAACTTGACAGGAAACGCGCTTCTTTTAGGGGTGAAGAGAGTGGTCTGAACCTCGTCGTAAACTAAGTTTTGCCGGAACTTGAGACGATAGAAATTCATGGCGGTTTATGATAGGCTATTTCGGGGATCTCGGAATGCCTTCTACGCCTCGAGTCAGATGCTTCCTTTCTCATTCACAAAGCCGCAATAGACTATGCCACAAATGTATACAAAGGTTGTAAAGGCAGCGAGTAGCACGTTTTTAGTGGTGCTATAGGGCAAGAACCTCGGTGGTCACCTCGCCCGAAAGTACCTAAGGAAAATAGTATCGAGTCTCTGCGATCTGTAGACATACAAAGCGTCTTCGTCGTCAACGAAATCTCAAAGCTGTGCGTGGAGTCTCTGCCCCTGATTCCGACATACTACCGTACGCTCCTCAGGGATTTCGTTAAAGGTGGTTGCCGTTGTAGTACAAAGAACTTCAGGCTTACGCTTGGAACGAAAAGAAATCACCACTAATTTATTGCCGGGGTATGCTAGAACGCAAGCACAAAATTGGAAGATAAAAGAGACTTCTGAAATGGCCTCAACGCCTATGCTGCCGCCGCCTTGCACTGGGTATCTTGCGCATCACAGTCACTTACGCTAATACTGGCACCTCCGCTATTTGCGACGTTGGCACAAGCATTATGCTGGATGTCGCACGACCTGGTGAGAGCAGCACCAACGTTGAGGAAAGAGTCGGAGCCTAAAGTAGCAGATTTAGTATGTGACTGGTGAGATAAGTCATCAAAGTATTACCTTGAACCACAAATCCTCGGCCACCTGCTGTCACAGCAGGTGCAGCTGCACCCCCGACTGTAAATTTCCATCTGAGTTCACATAACTTGCTAGGACTAAAAACTCCGACTCACGAGCTCCAGTAAAGGTCTGCAGATTACCGCCGGTCGTAGCAGCGGCTATAGAGGTAGCTACTGCAGCGACGCTGGAAAACAAAGGTAAGCCAAAATACAATTCAAAGCGAGGCATCGCCGTACGATGCAGTAGCGGCGGAGTCAGAGCCTGCTGAGACGGTGACAGTCGCGGCTGAAAACAAATGAGAATTATTGAAACAAGTTGAAAAAGGTCAGACGAACCAGACGCACATGTAGCATCTGCTGTAGCTGTGGCAGAATCAACAGACGAAGAGGCATCAGCAGCATTACTGTTGCTCGAATTGTCAGTGGCGCCACTACCGTAGAAACTTTAGTATATATGCGCAATCATGCCAGGAGTCGAATGCACCTCGCGCTGACCCCCGCAACCGCAGCGTCAATTTCATCAGCAGTAGCGTCTTCAACCAACAGATTCTGGGTGAAGATACAGCCGGTAGCATCGTTGGCGTCGTCGCAGGTGTTGCCAGCAGCAGTCGGATCTCCGATCTGACCAGGCGCGAAAGTGCCAGATTTAAGGGCATCCTGTGGGTCACCGCCGACAGCAGCGATCTGCTTTGCCAGTTCCAGGACAATAGCTTTGTTCACGGCTGCAGCATTGTCTGAAGCGGGGTCCTATGGCTCTATCAATATCATTACCGAAATTATAGCCAAAGAGAAACCAGCCTGGTGTTGTTGAATGGCAGCGATTTCGGGGTTCACGGCTTGGATACTGGTGCACGCGTCAGTAGTCGCACCGACGGAGCCTGAATTCCTCTCCAAAGCTCGGTAGATCAACGCAGCAACCATCCCGTCGACATCTCCCGCAGCCTTCGCGTTCGTGAAGGCTTGGTCAGCGGTGGCTTGTTGGAGACATGTCGCATCCTGATCCATAGTGATAAGCTTAGGTTCAGAACTTCAGAACACTAGCATGAAATGCTTACAGCGATGTTCCCCGCTCCGGCGATGGCAGCAGCGTTACCCAAAAGACCAAATACTGGGTCTTGAATGTTGTCAGGATTATTAAGCGCCAGACTTGCCCCGACAGTAGTTAGGAACTGTTCGTGAGAATGCTCTACGAACAGAGTGAGTATAAGTGTGCCGTTTAGAATCAAAACATTTACCCTGAGGCACCTCTCGACGAAAAATGGGCAGAGCCAAGGAAGATACGGAAAGCGAGCCAAGCGCGAGGAAAAGGGTCTTTGAAGAGATCATGTTGTAGAAAAATATGACCGCAAGATTAAACGAATGAGAACGCCCGCGGCTAGGAAATGCAGGGGATAAACAGGAACACTCCAGTGAAAAAGAAACGTCCTACAAGAATGAAGGAAAAGGAAAAAAGCTTGGATCTAGCAAGAACCTGTCTTGACTGGCAAAGAAAAGAGTGGAAGAAGGTGAAGGGAAGAGATGGTAAACTTGGCCTTATAAGTGACATGCTGCACAGGGGTGTCGCTTATCCATCCCATGATGCAAGGAATATTCGCGGTTGCTATGAGAGCGCATGCCCAAGAAATACCTCCGCAGGCGGCGAAATACAATCATGATCTTGAAGTTCGTCGTTAGCATCTAGGGCAGATTAGGTATTCTTGTGTATCGCTGTCGCTCCTAGTCACACCTAGAAACCAATTGCGGCGCAAGACATCCGAATGAAGAATGAACAGGCCCGCCCCTCTTGGTACTTTCACCTTGATTGTGTCAGGCAACTTGAATTCCGGCACGAGGATCGTCCTGGATTATCCTAGCAATGATTTGAATCCTCATCTCCGATCAACCTGAAATTACCCTAAGTTACCCACGCTGCAGCCCGTGCGTGTGAGTGTGCCTAGCAAAAGGAGTTGTGCCAGCTCCGGAAACCAGTAAAATAGTGCATAACGTTGTCTCGAAGGACGACCCGCAATGTTCTATAGGCACCGGGAATGAATTTGGCCTGCCCAAAGGTTGATCAGCGGCAAGACAACCGTAGGGGGCTTTATCTCACCAAAGCTAGGTTCGATACCAGCCTACCTGTCACTTGAAACCTGGTCGTTATTCCGTCCTCATCCCCTCAAAAGGAACTACACGGCCTCGTCAGACTGGTTCGAGTCTAAACCAAAGCCGGAATGATAGAAATTGTTGAGCATCAGCACGGATCGCACGTAAACAGATACGGCGCTGATGAGCATCAGCAATCTCGCGAATGTCTGGTGGACATCATTGACGGGCTCCAGGCCCTTCATAGTCCAGAAAATGCGATTAATACCACAATAATCCATCTCTCTTTGGGGAAATACACGCTGTGAGGCTTTTCTGCCTGTTGGCTTTGAACCACATGCACTAGTTGACTCGACCTCGATATTTCTATAGCCGGTACAAGGTCACTCTGCATCTCGACTTGGGGTATGTTCATGGTTTAAGGAAGAAAGAGATGAATGACTAAGCTGCACGGACTCGGACGGCTGGCATAGACTCACCCCAACGATCGAAAGATGCAGGAGCGGCGGCAAAATCGGCAAAAGGCCACTGAGGTACAACGATTGTAGTAAGAGCAAGGTCGACTTTGATGCCACACTGTTATCTTCTGCTATCCAACAGTAGGGTAGCGATCAGACTGATGGTCGAGATGCAAATAAGAGCATCCACAACTCGAAGGGAGCGACTGACGGTGTCTACCGATGGTCGCAAGAGAGACATCCCACACGAGTACGCCTTAGCCCCAGTCGAGGCCATTATGCGCCAAGGTCGCCCAAAAACTGATACATATGGGAATTCAAGTCATTCGCAAAGATACACAGGAAACAACGAAGGGGGATACAATACAGCAGCAACGCACCAAGACGAAATATGGCCCGCAGAGTCGTTAGCAGGAGAACGTAGGCTCACATTTAGGCACTGGCAGTAAAGATATCCGTGACAATCTCCTTCATCTTATTAAAGCCTTCCTGAGACAAAATGTCCAGATCCCACTCCCTTCCAAGAAGTTGCGCGGTAAGATGCGGTTCGGATCAGGGCGGGCTTGATATTCCGGCTGAAGAGTGCCCGTGGCGACGTCCCCACAATAAACTCGAAGTGATGTTCCGAGCAGGCTCAAACCCCACAAGCGGGGCAGGGGACACTCTGGCATCATGGAATCGTACCGGCGACGGATCTGCTCGTCGGCTGCCAGGCGGAAATCGGGCCTACCAGCCCAGCCATCATCCTTAATTTCAGCGATTAACATCGGTTGGCACTGCTCGTTGAATACCACGATAAACACGATACAGTCAACGGCGTCGCGGGCATTCAACTCGCTAGGAAGATGCTGCGGCGCGACGAAGAACCGGAAGGAGTTCGTTCCGAAGCAATAGTTGAGTAGTTTGTCGTACGGGCCGTAGTATCGGTTTCCAAAGGGCTGGTTTTGTTGACGACAGATGGAGAAGATTTTGCTCAAGCCTTGGGGCCAGTTAGTGTCCATGGAGAAGGGCATGATCCTTAAAGTTACACACGTCAGCGCAAGTCAGAGTTTGAAGTCCTTCGAGACTTACGAGAGCTTGAGTAAGTATGAGTTGGTGAACGTCGTGGCCAAGTTGCAGTTAATCGAATTTCATCTTCGATCAACCTGTGCCAGCTCCGGAAACCAGTAAGATACGTTGTCTCGAAGGACGACCCGTAGTGTCCTATAAGCACCGGGAATGATATTTGCCTGCCCAAAAGTTGAGCGGCAAGACAACCGTAGGGGGGTTTATCTCATCATAAAAAACTAAAGCTGGAATGATACAAATTTTTGAACATCAGCACGCCAAGATCGCACGTAAACAGACATGGCGCAGAGGCGTGAACGCAAGAGAATGTTAAAGGATCTATAGGGTTTCTACTACACTGTACGAACAGAAGTTGACTCTTTCTTTGATAATGAGTGCAAGTCTTGTTCTATTATTGAAAGACAGTCAGACAGTAACGAGACAGAGACAGAGAAAACTCACGAATACCCCACACGTGTGTGCGCAAGTCCAAAAATTCTGTTGGCCAAGATAAATCCATGGAACTCGTGCAACATCTGTTGATGGTTACTTACCAACATGAAGACCATCGTAAAGTTTCTTTAGCTCGGCGCGAACCCTTGAAATGTCCTCCTTAGAGGCAGAAGCGTCCGATAGTGCTTTCAAGTCCTTCTCAACAGCCTCAATTCGCCTGACTTGCGCGGTGACCTGTGATGGTTGCTTCAGCGGCCTCGTCGGACGTTGGGGAAGAAAGAAACACACGGCTTCAGTGCTTAGCTGTAGCTTCTCTACGCTAACTTGAAGGGCTGCCGATGCTTGCTTGAATTCTTCTAATAGGTGATACGCCGCGAACGAAGAAGCTAGAGAGAAACCAAAGAGGAAGCCGACAATTCTGCGAGGACATTCAGGAAACTCTCCAGATGTAAGAACAACGAAATGCGAACGCACCCGCCGCGAAATCCTCCTATTGGTTTCTTTTGAGGAATGCTGACAGGCGTCTCGTTCATGACTACCCTCGTCGTAGAGAACAGACGAGAACGGCAGACTAAAGCATTCGTTCTTGACACCGATGCAGGTCGGAGCAGAAGAGAGGCCATTGGGATAATATAGACGGGCTCAACGTCGACGTTGAAGATCGGAATGTGTCGGACATGTGACCGGGGAACTCGCTCCTTTCCTTTCTTCAGATAGAATCCAAGCGACTTACATCTCTCAAAGTTCTTCCTTCCTTTCTTTTCTCAACGAGTGGCGACGCAAATGATATGGCTCCGAAACGTGCAAATAACGGCGAAGGCCTCTCTGGACGCGAGAGAAAAAGGCTGAAGATGGCTGATGCGCGTACAATTGCAGTTCAGCTTGTACGGACGAACGCTCAAGCAGGACCTTCTAGAGTGGACAGTGCGCATTTCCAAAGACAAGGCCATTAGTCGTATTCCTTTACTGATGTTGTCCGGCAGGTATGGCCCGTCTTCCAGGTGTTATCGATGTCGAGGCGTTCACAGAGGTTCCACCTTTTGTTCTTCGACGGGATTTTATTTGCTGACATTGGACTAGGCTCGCTCATTTGAGATTAATGCCATGCAGAATGCTATGAAGACTGCAAGGTAAATAGCATTCGACTTCAAACTTAATCAAAGCTGACAATCGATCAGCTCAAGCTCGACTCAAAGGGCGTGGCAAGCCTTGCCGCGACACTTACGTCGCAGAGCTGCTAGCCACGATGTCCGTCGTGTACCAGTTCGTTTACGCGAAAAGGCAAAGGCGGAGGCGCGTTGCTTGCTTTTGCAGCTTGGATCGTATCCTGACTATCCTACTCGCAGATGGATGCCAAAAAGGTCACCAATCGGCAAAAGCCAAAGCGTGGCAAGGATAAACGGGTAACTAAAACCGAGTCGTTCCTGAAGCGTCAGAGTAGGGCTTCATTGCGCTTCCATGTATGAGGCGGGTCTGATGTTTTCATCTTCTAGGGGACAAAACATGGCTAGAAACACACCTCTGGCACGCTAAAAGAATGAAAATGGAAAATATGTGGGGGATACCGACTGGTTCGATTTTCTACTGTATTATTTGCAGAAAGGTTTGATTCCGTTAATAGGCGGTCCATCCGTCAGAAAAGGCGTTTCGTCCATCTCATCGTGCCGCAGTCCGAGGGTCAATTCTTCACGATGCATCATACCAGTCTTTGATCGAATTGAAAGGCCCCCAAAACGTTCTCATAAAAATAATGGACAACTGTTGTGACCCTTCAGGAATTGAGTCCGGGTAACAGACGGTACATACCGTTCGTATCTTTTATCAAAAGTTGATGCGTTTATTTCTATTAGGTACGTTCTTGGTGCGCGCACCTTATCCACACACCTATATTCGCCAACTATGTATCCCCGTGGTCTCATCGCTCCCATCACCGTAATGTGGAGACCATTCACTAGGGATAAACCCGAGGCGGCCGAAGAACCGGAAGAAAGCAGCACAGAACCGACTCAAGCAAAACGAAAACGCAAAGGGAAAGGAAAGGAAAAGGCGATCGAAGAAACAGATATTCCGCTGAACGAAGAAACGATTCGCGTGGTCTGGATTCGTTCTCATCCAGCAACCCATGATGAGGTTTTCAATGCTCTTCAAACAGCTGCCTCATCGGTATTGGATGGAATCAAGAACGAATCAACATCGGATCAGGCTGTAGACGTTGAGATTGCTGACTTGAGAGGAAAAGTTAACATTTTTGAAATCATGGGGCCAAAGTCTAGTCAAGTACTCAAAGGTGCTTTACAACCTATTGCCTCCGACGACCGAATCAGTTTCAAAGAGGTATAATTACTCCACACCGTTGTCGCCGTTATGTTGATCACTTGAGCAGTTTTGGTCCTCCTTGGCTGATATTCCAGACTACCGGTAGTTTGCCTCGAGGGATGATAGTTGGGTTTACTGTAAACGACCCACGGCTAAGGTTCGCGTGATCTCTAATAGTCTTTGCATTGCTTTACTGAGCCTTATCACAGGTTTCCTCCAAAGAACGCAAAGCTTAATGTATCCACTGCCTCGAATGTGCCTCACTATGCCCTCATCCGCACTTGGCGCAAAGCGACATCTGGGATGAAACTGCTCGGAATGCTCTGAAGACTGCCTAAATACAAGAAGAAGGATCTCGATGAAAGGCGCTCGAAGGTACTTCTACATATACTCCATCTAGCATGCTCTTATATACTCGCTGTGATAGAATGCTATCCCTGGAACTAACCTTACTGCCCTCCGTCAGGACGACCGTGTTCCTGTCGTTCTCATCCAGCGCTCGTTGGAAAGCCCCAGCTTGGCAAGTGTACCCAATGGTGAAAGAAATCGTGCCGCCAAAGACAGCGAGGCCATTCATGGCTGGACGCTGATCATTCCCGCCGGGTGGTCCATGGCATTCTTTTCTTCTCTCATATACACAGGCACTCGTGTCGGCGGACAACGTGAATGCCAATCACAGGCATTCGAATCAGGAATCTCCTACTTTCCTCGAGACTACCCATTCACAACTGCGTATGAAAAGCATGCCCAAAAATGCGAGTCCGAAGCCAAAGAGAGCTGGGAGCGGAAACCTCCGGCGAAAAGACCGAATTATGAAAAACTAGGAACGAAAAGTCCTTGGCGTGCTGATTGGGAAACGGTTTTGGGGTTGTCGGAGGGGGGCGTGGGCGATGGCTATGTCACTACGCAGAGGGAGGAGGCAGGCAAGGCTACTCCTTGGCTTTTACGTGGTCCTACGGCTATCATCAATAACCTCTCAAAGCTCTTCAGTACCGATGTTAGTCTCCTAGCTGAGGTTAATCGAATTCGATCGAAACGTAGTCTTGGACCTCTCGACAGCGCGATCAAGTCTGAAGACTTGCTGAAAGGAGCTTTGGTTGCTGTCAGAGTCAAGATGCACAAGAGGGGTTCACCGGAAGATTTGGCGGTTATATACTCCATGTCTGATGATGAGCTGATGAGCTGGGAAAAGTCAACTCGGAAGTCGATAACAGATCTCGTGGAAGATGACAACGGTTCGGAGGTGAGCATTGCTTAGGATCGTTGCTTTGTTCCTTGTCTGAAATACTATCAGGAATTGGGATACGCACCTGAGTCTTCGCCTGTCATCGGGTATGTGACGACCGGTCATTTCTCGCTCTTGCGAGGGGAAGGGTTTGCGCTAGGTGCTGTTCCGCTAACAGAATTCTTCGAGCTAAGAGAACAGGCGCGAAGGTGGGTCTTTTAATGTTCTGCGACTTTCAGTATGTGAAATTTCCTTCAGATTAAACAAATCAGAGACAGTTGTCCCGGTCAAAATACGCAACCCGGCTTCAGAGTCTTGTCGAGCAGCTTACATACAAGTTACAGATCTATAGTTTTAAATCAAATTAGAGTACTGTCCTTGTGTCCTTGGCGATCGTACGATACCGGAATCCGTAGTTTTAATCAATACTTATACTGCTATTACAGGTTTGCGATCACCCGTCTTTTTGAGGAGAGGCGGTAGTTTCAGGTATTGGACAATGTCCGCCATTCTTGGATTGCGGTGACCAGTGATGATCCATGAAGCTCATTCCTGCCAGTGTGTACCGTAGGGCGAGAGTCGCGACATCCGAATGCGAGGTTAGAGTTCATGAGTCCCGAGAAGAGACTTTTACGTAGATTTTATAATAAACACCGCATTATAGGAACATTCATGAAGCTATTACTAACACTCGAACCAGTCAAACAAGATATTTGTACAGAGAATGACTTCCAGAGCATCTGAATATATAGAGGGATAAGTACTCGCACTAGGATGGTATATCTAGTGAAGGATACAATATCAGTCAAGAAACACGCAGACGATCTTCCAACTATTGACCACTTGACGACCCAGCCGCGCCAGAGCCAGAAGGTCCTGGTAACAGGCTATCATACGCCGGTGGAATTTCACTAGGACCAGCATCCTGATGCTGGATGACACCGCTTGAGCTCGCGTAACGGTCATCCGGATTAACGACGCCCATGTGCTGCCTTGCCTCGCGTTCTTTAGCCGACATTCCACCCACGCCGCTCGAAGATGGAGCTGATGAAGGAGGAGCCTGGACCTGCGGTTGGGGCTGGGGCTGGGACTGGGGCGGAACCCCGGGTATCAAAGACTGTGGTATCGGCGTAGTATACGGGTTGTACAGCGTAGGGTGCGGTTCGGCTGAATACTGCGACATCGGCGGCGGGGACACGGGCGAGGCATTGTAGTAGTTCCCATAGCTCTGTCCTGAGCTTCCATGGCTGTTCTCGGTGCTCGCACTCATAGGGAATGGCGAGACCACTCCGGCACCGATGTCCGTCCCGCCAAGCCGCCCGCCCATGCCATCGTCCTGATCTACATTGACACCAACGTCCGGGGGCCGCGCCACCCTGTCGGGGTCGAAGTTCCCATCAAAGAGGTCATCGAAACGCTTCTTTTGGTGGCGTTTGTAGAAAAACCAGACGACAATGAGGATTAGGGAAAGACCGGCAACACCGCCTATAGTGCCACCCACTATGGCACCAGTATTTGATGGTGATGATGAGGAAGAGGACGAGGAAGAGGACGAAGAGGATGCGGGTATGGTGGACGTGGATGTCACCTGCTGTCCATTGGATAGGGTAACGACGATTGTAGTAGCGATAGCAGACGTTTGTTGTTGGGTATTCTGTGTACCACTTTGTCCGGAACTAGCATTGCTATTGCTCTGGCTCTGGGTAGCAGAAGCTTGCCCCGAGGTTGCGGTGTCGGTTGCACCAGTGTTGGTCCCGGAAGTGGTTTCACCATTGGATGTTGTCGAGCCTGTGGGTTCTGCACTGGTGCTACTGCTGCTGCTCGTGGGACTGCTGCTGCTACTGTTGCTGACCTCTGTCGAACTCGACGACGAGGAAGAGGAAGAGATTGTAGAGGACGAGCTCGACGTCGCTGAAGTCGTGATGACCCCAGTAGCCGAGGTCGTTTGTGAAGACGACATTGGAGGTAAGAGTTTTTGACGTGACGGTGAAGGAGCAACCGCGTTATTACGTGCAGGACAAGAAAAAACCGGTTTACATATTACCGCATAGGTCATGCGATGTTCGGCCCGGATCCTGATTAGTCAGCAGTACAGCGCTTGACCAACACCCACCAGGATGTACCCTTTATTTGAAGGACGCATGGGTAGGCAAATCATGCGCATTCCTGTGCCGAATTAACCTTTTTCGCTAGGCTGCTTTAGTCCTTCTGTTTCCAAGGCAATTCTTTGGGCCTGGGGTAAGCCGTGCGAGGCTGACGCGGTAATGAGTTAACAGAAGAACAGTACAAAATGGCGGCACCCTCACTCATTCAGTTCAAGACTTTCACCGCGCCGATTCGTTTTTCTGTAATGGCCTGGAAGATCCGTGGCTGGAGAAGTGCGTTATTACGATCCTATTCATGTCGCACAATGCATTTATGCTCTCACAGGCTACTTACTAGATCATTCATAGTTTGCTTCCATTAGCAGGATCCGAAACTTTATTCTGATTCGTGAAATATAGGTCATACATTCGGACTGGATTCTCAAATCCATCTCGGAGAAATTTCTCATGCCCATCTCCAAATACGTACTGGATGGTACATCTCATTTCACCGACACGAAGCTCTGACGAACGGCCTGCAGATCTCTTTGATTCCCGCAAAATCACTTCAAACCTTGCTGAAGGCCAACATAATAGACCTCAAACCCCTGTTGTACCTTCAAGGACCAAGGTGGAAAGCTGGCGAGCCAACCTGATGAAACGATCCCACGAAGATATCGAAGATTCCTTTGCTTCTATAGACTTGCATCCACCCAAGAAACCGAAACTAGAGTCAATGTCAAAACCTCCTCGTGCTTCTACGATCTTGGACACTCTTCCTCTGCTCGAGGCTCCGAAGCAGCAGTTCAGCCCTCCGCAATCGCCTCCCAGACACATTGACCTTCCTAGACGCCGACTGCATCCTATCGGTACCGTCGAAACGTTCAAGAGACAAATCAAGGTCCCTTCGTATGTTATCATCGGGCTGTTTTTCGTATATTCTCTTGATGAAACCGTCAGTTCTCACGAGACATTCTGGACTACTTTGCATGACGAATATATCAAACCAGGGTCGACCCAAATACCTATAACTGCTATCCTGAAAGCACCAGGGCCCGTAGAGTTGACTCGATTCGTGCCTCGGAAGTTCTATCGCCAAAAGGAGTTTACTGCTAAGAAGAGATGATTTCTAGTGCTTGTTCTGGCTTAGCTCTGATATCGAATTGCTTGTCTTCCATCTCTCTATGTATGCTATGTATTAGAATGCTGAACGACCTGTATGTATTTTTGTAAATTAATCGTGCAATTTTTATTTAAATAAAAACGCGAGAAAGTGCACGTGTCACGCGTCACTCCACCAGCGCGGTTCAGTATCGTCCGATGTCCTCTTGAACCTTTTCCCCCTACCCTCTTCGAAGAGATAATGTCAGCCTCCTCAAAAGACGTTTACCTCATTATTGGAGGCAGTGGATTTTTAGGCCGGCATATCGTGAACCAGCTCCTCGAGAGAGGCGACAACGTCTCTGTTTTCGATATCGTGCAGAGATACCACGACGTGCCTTTTTATTCTGGGGACATCAGCAAACAGGATCAAGTCGCAGCTGCTTTGCGAAAGGTATATTTCCTATCCAAATACTGCTGCTTTGAGCTAACAATTATTCCCTTGTAGAGTGGTACGACCTGCATAATTCATGTTGCCTCTCCTCCACACGGCCTCAAGGACCCCTCTCTGTACTGGGGAGTCAACGTCGATGGCACAAAAGCAGTAATAGCTGCTGCTCAAGAAACCGGCGTCCGTAAACTCGTTTTCACCAGCTCTGCAGGAGTAGTGTTCAACGGGTCGGACATTGTCGATATTGACGAACGGTTACCTCCTCCCGAAAAGCCCATGGACGCATATAACGATTCCAAGGCTCACGGTGAGGCAGCTGTTCTGGAAGCCAATGGTAAGGGAGGACTATTGACTGTTGCTTTGAGACCTGCTGGAATATTTGGGTGTGTGCCTGGTCCATCTCTTTCGCAGTCGCAGTTCTCATGGTAAACGAGCAGCCCTGGAGACCACCAGGTCATGGCTGGCCTATACGAAGTATACGAAAAAGGCCAAACGCACTTCCAGATCGGCGACAATACCAATATCTTTGATTGGACATATGTTGAAAACGTCGCTTATGCACATCTGCTTGCCGCAGACAAACTCTCCCTTCCCGCACCTGCCCCACCATTTGACGAGCTACCCGAAGACGAGAAGAAATCATACAGTCTAGAAAAGCTCCCCGAACTCACACCGGCCGAAAAGAAAATACTGGGGTACCCTCTTCCATTCATTGACTTGACTACAGGCGCTCGGCGGGTACCTACCAGCGACGCCCGGCCACTAAGCCCCTACACAACACCGACCCCCAATGCCGAAAAGCTCTCGACAGCCTTCCACGACCCCGAATCCGCCTCTGCTTACCGTCCAGTCGTCCGAACACGCTTCGATGCCCTTGGCGACTCTGCAGTTGCCCGCTCCAAACTTCTTCACCCCAACCACAGTCCCCTCGCTGTCGCTGGTCAAGCCTTCTTCATCACCAATGGCGAGCCTTGTTACTTTTGGGATTTCATGCGCGTCATATGGCACGAGCTCGATCTCATTTTTCCGGATAAGCGGAAGCCAAGATCACCTTTCGTCCTGCCGAAGCCGGTGGGGATGGCTGCGGCGACACTGCTGGAGTGGATTGGGTGGGTTACTGGGAGGCCGGCTGCACTGACGCCGTTCAGGGTGACGTATAGCTGTGCGTCGAGATGGCATAATATTGAAAAGGCCAGGAGGGTTTTGGGGTACGAACCCAAAGTGAGTGTGGAGGAGGGTGTGAAGAGGATGGTAACGGTATGTTGTCTTCCCTTACTTTGGAACAATAGCTAATTTTATTTTTGCAGTGGTGGCGGGCGGAATATATAGCAGGGAATATCAAAAGAAGGCACTAGGTGTTACTTTTTGATAAGCGCTGGATCATGATACTATTTATCTTATTATGCTTGCATCTAGAATATCGTGGAACGTAACAATCATGTCTACGGCATCATAGGTTACAAAAATTACATGTGGCTACTGTTTCTACAAGTTCCGGAAGAAGAACAATAAGGTGAGTGCTGAGGTAACTACGATGGATAGGGTAAAACAAGGACGAGAAAGCAATGCAACGAGAAAACAAGACAGCGGTATGTAAGCAGAGCGATGACTAGAAGGAAAGGTGATATAATGTCCCATAGCGATGATAATTGAATGCTGGAGAATCCGTGATAAAATGAATAAAAATGTTATGCGCCACAGTTATTCGACCTCCTGCGAGAGGTGACTTTTAATGTATATTTTCTTCTCTTTGGAGATCCCTTGCCTTTATCGCGTTTCCGATGGGTGTTCCCTCGACTGAGCAGTGCAGCAGCCAACTCGTACTGGAGTAGGCAGTCGGGATCTTCCTCAGCTGGGGGTATGTAGATAACAGGCGGATATTCCTGCTTGACCACAGGTGGCTCAGGCTCGGGAAGGGCGAGAGACGGAATTCTGGGAGGGAAAATATCGAAACAACTGCGACGCGACAGGATAAGATCGTTCATGCTCTGATATGAGCTAGGACGGGCGTGAGTGATACGGGGGACGTCCATTCTGAATGGGTCAGAGAGCAGCAGGTTGGTGTAAAGAGCAGGGGGAGGGGCGCTACAGACATGAAAGAATGTGCCCTCGGGAAAGCCTTGCGCACTAGGCGGTGGCGGGAGAATGGAAAGGCGCTCGAGGTGGCGGGAAAGTTCTAAAGGGGAAGGTGGAGAAGCTGGTCTGTGTGCTGTGGATCCAATCGGAGAAACAGACCGCAAGGACGGCGAAAGACTCCTGCTTCTGAGCAAAGGCGAAGACCCAGAGCTAACCCGGTGGGAGATGGAGGCATTACCGCTCTCTGTCACTCTCTGAGGAAGGTTGAGTTTCATTACGGAGAGTATAGTTGTTCGTGGCGGCGTTAATTAAATTGGGGGCATATGCATCTTTTTGGCATGATGAACAGTTTTATAGAGAAGCTGTCAGAAAATTGAACAACGGAAATGTCCTAGAATCGCATTGTTCCTTGATGTGTGGCTGAGATGCAGTAAACGCCGGGTATGCATTGTGCAGTAAGAGGTAAGTGTATTCTTGTTTCTGCTTTGATCGTGACTTGACCATAGTAGGTATTCTATAGTCAAGCACTGATGTCAAGATAGATCTGGTGGCCCGAAAAATTTACGGACAATTGTGATAAGCGTCCATAGCTCACAGCCCCGGTTCACGTAGTAAGAACTGAGTAAAACGACGGAGACATAGTATAAAAAGTGCGAGGCAACGGACGCGGGTTGATTTTGATCCCGTTTCAACCAAGAGCACAATAGCCGCAAAGCGAAGAAGGGTCCCTAACCCAATTATTGTAAAAAGCAGAAGGGTCAGTTTCGGAGGTTTTGAAAAGAACGTCCGTGACATCCGGATTTCGGGACCGGACCGCCATGCGAGTCTCGCGTGCACTCGTTTCGGGTGCGACCCGCCAATCTGCTTGAGGGTGTGTTGGTGCATAGCAACTGACCTATTACAGCTTTCCCGTTGACATATTTTCCAATTTTCTTTTACATTTATAAATCTTGCGGTACTTGTAGTCTGACCTTTCTTTCATCTATTCAGGCCAGCTAGCAGTAAGATTCCCACCCTACAAATTCTTGGTGAGCACACGTTTGTTCTCCCTGAGTTAACTTGAAAGATGGCTGATAAAGGCACAGCAATGGAATTAAACCTTCCAGTCGATCTATACCGATGCATTGTAGAGCACTACTCCCAGGAGGATCGCGGGACGCTTCTCTCCTTGATGCTCACATCGCGTGCATTCAACTATGAAGCAGAGCGTATCCTGTATCGATCGTTCAACAACTTCTGCAATATCACCACACAAAAGCTCTTTCTCAACCGCGTAATTTCGTGTCCACGCGTCGCCAAATTCGTCCGGAGCTACAAGCTCTTCATCACCTTCACTATCGAATCATTATCGGAATTTCTGACGCTTTTACATACCGCTTTTCTTGCATTTGACGAGCTCAAGTACCTCGGGTTTCGAACCCTGGGAGGCTCGTCCGCTGCACAGATCCTCGCAGGGTGCACGTTCCAGCTCGAGGAGCTTGACTGGGATTGCTCTTGCGATGAAGACCTTATCAAATTTCTGTCGACACAGAAATCACTCAAGTCATTTGTGAGCTGCTGGGATCCCTTCCCGTATTCCTCCACCGTCTGTGGATATCGTTCCCTCTCTCACTTCCCTCCGAGGGAGATACGGTCTGATACAGACGTTCCTTCCTGGGCGGAAGATTACGAATCTGGACTGGATACCAGACCTTGATGATCCGGAACCAGACCCTGCCCTTCTTGCTGATTCTCTGGCCAATGTCCGTACGATGACGTTTGGAGGTTACTTCATGCGTCCAAATCTGTCCACCATAGCTCAGTATCTCAGTCAAGTCAGAAACTTGGAGTTGAGGGGGGTGCAGGTACATCGTTTCTTCACTCTACCATTTTCTCCTAACGAAAAGAGATTATCAGGCAGACGACTTGGACTGTGTCCATCTCATGCCCAATTTAGAGGTGTTTAAGATTTCTATGCGGCCCGTTCTTGGATTATCGATCCTCCGGAGTGACCACAACGCCGTAGTCATCAAACTGTTCAGCGGGTGTGCCAAATTAGAGGTCATCACCATCGCTTCTAGAAAGCACGACTTCTGGACGCAAGATTACAGGAAGTGGACCCGGAAGGACTTTACGGCTCATAACGGGGAGGGTGGGTGTTTCAATAACCGTTTGAATTTAACTGATTTTGGGTAAATCTATTAGGGACCATTCCGTGGACGGATATCCCGTATGTTGTAAGTGAACGGAAGCGTTTTTCAGTTGCTTCATCGTGAAATTTTGATACTAGCTCAGTGAATAGCGTCCTCAGGCTGTTTCACGAGTCACTATTGTGGAGGCTACGACGTATGATCCAAGCCCCAGCTCATGAACGTGGGAAACTGGTGTGTCTTCCACTGCTTTGTTGGTAATGTTTGCTTACTCGGAACTGATGCGCCGTATAGCCTTCACGAGTTAAAACGCTGTCGACCCGTCTGTCCGCGTCGGATATGACACACATATCATAATGGGATAATGGGCTCTCTATAATAATCGTAAGGGTAATAGATGCTGTATTATAGGTAGCGACTACCTGAATAGTCACATTTGAGAGATCTTCTAGTTATTGAATATATTGTAAACCTACGGGTAGGTCAATTCGCGCCGGTGCCCTCTGCGCCTGTCCCTTAAATCGGCCAAAAGATCTTGTAACCGCCGGCGTAACTTCACTACAAACTGGTCGTCATCTGAGGAGGGAGGAGGCTTGGTGTAGTATCGTAAGTTATCATTCATCCATACACAGAAATACCTGAACCAGTTGATCCAGAAGATACTGAGGTTTGAAATCTTAGCATTGAAATGCGCATCAAACCAATAGTACCCGACGCACCTCTGCTTCGTCTATTGTCTGTTACACGTAACTTCATATTAAGATTTGGTGACAAAATTTTCGAACAAACAAACCAGTACGATGGGTCCTCTATCATGGTAGGTAAGCTGAAAGTTACTCCTGGTGCGTTAACGGACTACTCGCCTATTCATTGTCTAGTCTAAGTGGTATCGGTCCAAGGTGCGCTGCTTCGGCTGACTCAGCTCCTAGGTCCATCGGCCATCTCAGTCCGATGACTTTGCCAGTCCGATCAACGCCCGTCACCAACATCATCCGGCTTAGAAGCTGTCGATATAGCTTGCTACATAGAAACCTTCCTTATACAGGTCTAGTTTACATTGGCACATTCCACTTCTGGTGGTGGAAGATGCTAGTGTCTTTCTATAATTTGCTATCCAACGATGAACGACTCGGAGGCGAGCGCACGACTCAAGAACCCAACAAGGATCTACTGAAAGAAGCAAACCAGTGCAGAAATTCGTACAATAATTGCTAAAATGTTGGAGGCTATTCAGCTTGTCACCGAGGTTGAACAGCCGTCCTCGAACCGAGACATCGTTGGGTTTAAGTTTGCAGCGACCATGCGAAAGGCTTCGTTTCTTGTTCGTGTGCAAACGATGGACATGACTGGACCATTGGATTTCTCTGGACCAATGACAGGATTCTTTAGAATAGCAATGACCTTTCTCTGTGGAATTTATGCTTCAGTAGGTTCTCCGATATCTTCATTCCACTTTCCAGGCAGCAGTCAGCAACGTAAACCAATCAGTTAATAATAAATCCTACAATTTCCGGATGTTGCTGAATAAACTGTTTCATCATCTTCCTAGGCTCCTCCAGCCCTGGTAAGTGAATTAATTTCTAGGTGGAATGACCAGTTTAGATATACGTGCCTAGGTTGATGACTTCGACTCCCCGTTCTTTGAGAAAGGATTCTGGTCCGGTGAACGTTGTGTTCTCACCAATGACGACTCGTGGAATGCCAAAAAGAAGGCATGCGCCGGAGCACTGCAGCATACGTTAGAGTCGGATTCTAATACACGAGGGACTTGGACGTACTGACCATCGGACAAGGCGATAGAGTCGTGTACATTGTACATTTGGAGTAGACACTCGACGGCAGGCGTCCAGCAGCGTCCAAGCAGTCTGTTTCACCATGCTTGATAGCACTATTCTGCTGCACCCTTCTGTTACGCCCAACAGCGATAACTTCTCCGCTTTCGTCGTCTATCAGGGCAGCTCCGACTATAAGGAAAGTTAGACTTTGTATATCAAGGAAGTATTTTGACACCGTACTGGGAATGCCGCCCTCTGCAAAGCCAATTATAGCTTGGTTGATGGCATGTTGCATACCCATCAGGTCTCGATCTGAAGGTGATTGAGTCGCGACTGTCTTCTGCTCAACATTTCCGCCTGAAAGAACCATTATCGGGGACAGAAGTCTTGAATTATGCGAAGGCTGTAGGGAGATGCCAAAGTGATGAAGGAGAAAGGCTGAATATTAATGATAAGAACCTTTAGCCGACGGCATTAACGGCAAGCCGCTCTTTTTATCTAGCTGCGGTATTCATATGGGATAGAAGGATTATTATCTCAAGTTGGACCTCTAGTTTCTGGTGGAAGATAAAGGTGGTCAAGGGAGGTAAGTGAAAGACGGTAGAGGTCAGGTCACGCCGCGATTGCGTGACCGCGACAGGTCTCGGCTTGTGCTACTACCACCACCTCATGCAGGTAGCATGAATCCATCTGCCTTTATCCAGCACTACACCGCACCTCTCAATCAAGAGGTCCATATATTGGGCGCGATAAATCATGTTTCCAACCGAGATATCTTCGCCATCGCAGCTTTCCAAGATACAGCTCGGAAGCAAAAGTTGCGATCTCTACTAGCTTCCCTCGAAAATCCCGCCGCTGTATCGCGTCAGGTGCTTGACGATGCCATAGAATTTTCCATTCAACTGCAAGAAAGGACTCAGATCTCGGGCCTTCCTGCCAATGCAGGAGACAAGGATCAGGAGGAATGGGCCTTACAGCGCGCGGTCGTCAACAAGGTAGCGGTCGTCTTATATGCCCATTCTATGGACACGTTTCTCTCGGAATCCATCGAACTGGAAGATGAAGCTGAATGGTGGGCAGACGTTGAACGTTCTTGGACGAATGTTTTTTGGTATCTACTTCAAAGTATGTTCATCTTTCAAGGCCCTCCGTCAATCCAATTGCATGGCTACAGCAACAATAGCGCTCTGATAATCTTTTCAACTTGCAGCATTTCCCGGCCGATGTATTAACGTTTGGAAAGTCGTTCTGAACGCAGTTCAACGCGAACATCCCTCGCGATCCACTTTTACCGCTCTTCGTCAATCCCTGATACGGTCTCCCTTCCAGCCCTCTATTCTTTTATCTTCTCTCTTTCCCCACACCGCGTCTCAAGCGTCCTTTTCACTCTTCTTGCCATTGTCCACCACGCCCGTCGGTTTTCTCCATACTTTCAGGAGTGCCGTTATGCAATGTCTTCATTCATTATGGCGGTTCACTATTATGCCGCTGGAATTGACCAGGACCGAATGTCACCTGAAGAAACGCGAACTACGTGACATGAGAGATGAAAGAGCCAAAATCCTGGGGAATCTTAGCATCTTGAGACAGTCACTTGCCGATTCATTCCAAAGTCTTCAAGATGGAGACGAATATCTGGTATCTGATCTTTCCGCCTTTGCAGGGGTTCTAAAGGGCGTGATTGAAGGAAAGACGCCGTCGGACGAGTTTCAGAGCAGAGCCTCGACGCTTTCAGATTTCCGTGACATCCAAAATATCACCCTCCCTTCATGCATAACTGCCTACATGACTACTCTGGAAGAGCGGAAACTCCGTAGACCATCTCGATTCGTACAGCTATGGCCCGAAAATTTTCCTGATTCCTCCTTTATTGGCATACACCATCCCGTTCTCTGTATGCTTCTCGAGCTAGTCTATCTCAGATGGCATTGGATGCACACGAGACATGTAAAGAGCTTCATTCTTGGATGGCTCGTAGAAGCCTTGCCTGGACATTATCCATACTGTTCGTGCTCGCGGCGAAGATGGGGTCATTGTCCAAAAGGAAGGCGTAACGGCATGACCTTGAGGTAGTGCGGACAAACCTTATCATCATCATTCAGGTCACTTAGATTGTTCTCCAGTCATTGGAACGAATGACAGTGTCAGCTTGCTAAGGAACACTTGCATTACGGCTTCAGATGAGTTAGCCGAGCTCTCCAAACAAGTCAAACTGGGAGACATCACGCCTGTCCTCAAGTTGTATGAAAACGACATCCGAAGCCCCCTCAAATCTGTGATAACGGGAAATCTCCTTCGGACGCTGTTTATTCAAGTCCAGAAAGCGAAGGTTTACGGCATTTTTGTTTCCCTTAGTCGTCCCTAACCCTTATTCAGGTTGATATTGATCAAGCTCTATTCGGAATTGACAAACTATTGAAGTCGCAAGGTCTGTAGGTGAATTGTGTATGACATGCTGATTCTGATAGAATTTTGTAGAGCTGACATTCGCGTTCGTCGGTGTGGCACCTGCCTTCGGGATTGTCTATCTTCTTGGTGGCTACATCAGCAGAGTCTGGGCTGGTGGTCGAGGACGAGGTCGGTATGGTGGGAAACATAAACGTACCGGCGTTTGGTTCATTATGCGGTACGCGTGTCCTAACGGAGTTTATTATGTCCCGTTCATAATATCGCCTGCAGACGTATCGAGCGTCTTTTAACGTCTGGACCGCAACACGCTACCTACGGCCAAGGTGTCTCGCCCCTTACAGCCGGCCTACTTCTAGTGTCCGTTGCCCATCTCCGTGCATACGGAGAAAAATATCTTCCTTCCCGTTCCCGACTCCGTGAAGGGTTTTTAGAAGATGTAGAAGATTTGTCGAATCCCGAGCTTGACAGGCACGAGAAAAGAATGGTGGTTGAAAGAATGTGGAGGAGTTGGGGCCATACCCTTGGATGGGGCAAACTTGAGGACAACGAGGGATTGATGATATGAACGGAATGTTCATAATTCAAATTCTATATGGACACCCCGGTCGACTAGTCTGGGGACCTGAGTCTTCACGAATATTGCAGCCTTTTTCCAGAGTGACGAGTCCATGAAGAAACGGAATTTGACTGTTCGTATGGAAGGAAATTGGGAAAGGATATGGTCTACTTGGGACCATGGAACTTTTCGGAGAACGTCCACGGCATGTGCCATTATTGCGAAACGGACACACTCCAAGTTTTCGGACGTTATTTGCGATAGGAGGTCTGTTAGCCACGGCAGTCCACTGATGGCAGACATCCCATCTATGTCCAGAGAACGCAAGTGAGTGTTAGCAGCAAGGTTGAAACACTCTGCTGCAAAGACTCCTGATCCGCACATTACTATTAACTGGTTAAAATGCAAATAACCATGCTAACCTGGCCGGGATCGTTCAGTTTCAGGCTCACATAATGATATGTGTTCAAGCGAAGGACCAAGCAGGTGTGCAAATTTGCCTATGCTTTCCATGTTCGCACTGTACACGGATGTAAAAGTTGCAGAACGGATGTTTACGGTGTGTCTTGTAAGCCAGTCCAGTAGAAAGGGAAGGTACATCTGATGTACGCTCAGCGTGGAAAGCGCTGGAGGAGGGATAATCATGGAATTCGTCACCACGTGTCTAGGATCTTCAATGAAGTCCAAACGCTGGACGTAGAGGGAGGTCATTCTTGGAAAAGAAGCTATGAGCTGCAATGCTTCCGTAGGAGTGGTGAATCGAGCGGAGAGCAAGGAAAAAGAGGTGACGTTAGGGAAACCGTTCAGCAGTGCTGCCCATGAGGACGGGTCGAACGTATCTGGAACGACACAGTCTATCGTGAGATTTGTGATATTGGGAAGACAACGCGACAGTGTGAGAAGGGCCTTGCTGAGCCAAAGATGCTCGCGAGGGTTCCGGCCGGTGCCTTCATGAAGACTGAGACTGTTAACGTATAACCCAATTTCTGTTGCTTCTAGGTAGAGAGATTTCAGGAATTTATCTGCCTGGGATGACGATAAAAGAAAAACTTCGTCGTAGATGTAATGGCGGCTAATGGGAACCCAGGCGCGACAAACTAGGCAGCAGGCACAGAACGATCTACGGTCATATCTGTTGAGGGAACCAATTATCTGCTCCCAAATTTCGATAGGGAGTATTGATAATGGCATTCGTGACAAGCCACGGTGGATGAGGTGGAAAGCAGGAAGGGTCGGAACCAACTCTCCGAGTCCGTGGTAAGCTGACAGCACTGCCACTCAAAGGGGGCGCTCAAAAGTAACGTCAAAGGGACTGAAATTAACTATATTTTTGTACAGAATGACATCGGTTGTAATGCATTTTGCAAAACTCGAGCAACAGTAACCTCATTGATCAACAAGTGAAGACATCCGGACCTTTAGGATAGACGTCCTTAGGAATAATACATAAGATTTAGAGTTGCAGATTTCATACCTGGGGGAGTATAGCTCGTGAGACCGAAAACAGACGTGATAATGCCCGGATCTGCGACTAGAATACAGGTTGAGTGCTGGTACTTCACATACGGGTTGAAGAATTTACTAGTGTATGCGCCAGGGAAGCTGACTGTGGCCGGACTAGCAAAGGAAGTACTGCCAGAGATGGAAAGTTGTGCGCAGCTCATCTAACACAAACATAGATCAGTATAGGCACCGCGGAGTAAGGATAGTCATTGTTAGCTCACGAAAAATTGGGCACCGGGGTAAAACGTGGCGTCTAAGAGATCTGTCCGTTCGTGTTTAACTCAGAAAGGGTGGTCGTGTTCAAATCACAGTACTTACTGATGGATTCCGCCCTTAACAAATAGTTTCCGGACGCTAAACAGCTCGGAATTGTAAACGTCGCGTTTCCTCCATTAAGGAATAGATGGTCAGAGCCCCATTGGTGGGTCGTAGAATCGTATCCATCTTGCCATATTTTGAACCATTGGAGACCTGGAATGCGTGAGCAAAACGTCAAAGCGTGCAATGATTTGATTACCTGTAACGTCTGATTGCGTAGCGTCAGGAATGCTTGCGCTATAGACTTCTTGAGTGATTTGCTTAATCCAGAACTTGAAGGTCGCGCTTACAGATAAGCCAAGACTGGTCCTATAGAAGAAATGAGCGACAGAATTATTGAAGACAATTCCCCAAGCCTGACCTTTGTTCGTAGGATCCAGAGGGTCGGAGGGGTCGGGTCCTACATAGCCTGCGCTGGTGTGATGGAACTACATGAAAAACCATCTTGAGAAACGCGGTATTAAAGTCCAGTACGATACACACTTGTGCAGTGACCTGGTCACCAGCCGCGACTTTGATAACGTCATCAGAAACTGGCTGTATGAAGTTCGTATTGCATATCAAGTCGTCGCTGTTGATGTCGGTGATAGGCTAAGCACGCATCCGCGTCAAGAGTTAGCGTTATGTCTTGTATACGGCGCAAAGGGAATACATACGGCGTTGGATGAAGGGACCCTAACGCCGACAGCGTGCCCTTGATCGACGCCGTTAACAGATACGGCCTAGTAGAACAAGAATAAAGGTTTGTATTAAAGGTTCAGCACAAGGTTCAACCCACCGAGAAGACGGTCCTCGCGTCTGCGAGTAAGGCTGCAGTGGCGACGAAGAGGAAGAGCACGTTCTTTGCTTGAATCATGTTTCAATGTGTTCTACATTCATCGAACACACGACTTTATACCATCCTGTTCGTTCAATAAGAGGAAGCCAGCAATTACATGGATCTAGTACGTACCTTGAGAGCTAAAAGTAGCATCTTGACTTGCCAGCGAGGCGTCAGGACGACGTATGAATAGCGAAGATTCAGCGAAACTGACGTGGCTAATCAGTGGGGGGCCCAGTGACGGAGAAATACTTTCTTCTCCTTACCTTCAAAGGGTTATCGTTCCCAAGCTGGTATCATCGTTCATCTGTGGACCGAGGTTCTCGGTCTAGGACATGAAATAACGGCATGCCAATTGGACAGAGGTTCGAACGTTCAGACTCGGGGGTTCAAAACCAACGTCGTACGATGGTACCTCAGGCTTAGTATAGTACGATCACTGAAAGCCAACGAAATCTTGGCACGAGACAGTGATGTTGACATCAAGCACGTTATGTTAAACAAAATCCATTCAAAGTAGCAGCGCAAAATTACAGATGAGTATGCATGAGTCCCTACCAAAGTAAGGTTTGTAGTAGACAATGAGACGGAGTTTACAAGCACTGGCTATACTAAAATCGAGATTCTTATCAGTACTCAAGTCAGCGATCTTCAAGATGCGAAACATACATAGTCATTGAGCTTTGTGCACGTAAACGGCGAAGCACAATTAGTTGATCCCGTGTAACTGCAACAATTCTTTAGATTTTACGACAGTGATCTTAAATCAAAACACTGACGTTAGGCCACCGCACTGCCCGTATTGTGCAACAGTAGCACCGGAGGTCGGGGTTGTGGCAGCCGAAGTCGTCGTGGCAGCGGCCGTCGTAGATGGAGCTGGAGCAGTCGTAGAAGCGGCTTGGGTAGTGGTAGATGCTGCAGGAGCAGATGAAGGCGCGGGGGCGGTATTGTTACCACTGCAACTGAACACAGAAGGCCCTGGACAAAGAGATGTTCATAGGCGGATTTCAGGCCTGTGAATTTCATACCTGGAATAGTATAACTAGACAATGGCTGGTAGATGTTGATTGTTATGCCAGGGTTGGTACCTGTTTTAAGCGGTGAGACAGGTAAATGGGCTCAGAACAAATGCATTACCTTGGTATGCACCAGGGAAGGACACTGTTGCTGGTGACGTACTGCCGCCTCCTGTGATTTGAAGTTGGGCACATTCCATCTAAAGTTGAGAGTAAGTGTCCCGTTGAAAAGAAATCAGACATTGCACTCACGTAAAATTGTGCACCAGGATAGCTTGACGCGGCGTGCAGAGCTATGGTTGAGTAAGTAAATCCTTCCATATTACGGCTGGGAAAAACATTTACCAATGATCTCTACTCGCAACAAATATTGCCCGGCAGCAATGCAACTTGGAATAGTGAAAGAGACCTTGCCCTTGTTAGCTCTAAGGGTGTCCACAGCCCACACACCGTTCGAATAGCCGTCTTGGTAGATTTTGAACCACTGGAGGCCTGTTACTGAACTCTGAGTAGCGCTGGGAACCTTAGCTCTACGAATTAAGAGGGTAAGAACAGCTACAGATGAAGGAACGAGAAACTGACAGATAAGCTATGACTGGGCCTTTGTGAGAGGCATCAATCGGATCTGCTGGGTCACTAGGATCAGCTCCAGCCAAAGTGTGATGCCACTCGGCCGTGACCTGGGAACCAGCTGGAACAGGGATAATAGTGGTTGAGATCGGTTGGTGGTATGGGTTTATTCCACCATTGCAGATGATGTCGTTGGAAGTGACATCCATGATAGGCTTGGATGGATTTTATGAATACACAAGTCGTCGACACCAATTAGTGAAAAGACGTACACCGTCGTAATCGGGAACACGAATGCCGACCGTATGTCCTTGATCTACGCCATTGACGTAGAGCTCCTACGAAGATATTAGCGTCAGAAAAAACTGGTAAGTGACAAGAACATACTTGGAAGATAGTATGTGCCGAAGCACTTGCAGCGTAGAATAGAAGAATAAAGTATGAAAACATCGTGGATAATAAAAAAAGTGCCTTGGTCTTGAGAAATCTTGCGCGCATTAAGGCTACTGCTTTATACGCATATATAACAGAGGTACGTCAAGACTCAATTCATACATGTGTATGCCGAGGAGGTGTTGAAGGTTATTCGTCGGGACGCCAGTGTGGGGGTGCGAATGAATAGGAAAAAAGGACTGGATGAACTCCGGAGATCAGTGTATAGAGTAGTCTGGGCATGGTCCTGGTTATCGCGCATGATCGTCGGAATGTCTTTGAGATCAAGGTCTAATCGTTCCGAAATGACACACTTTGGGATCATGGATCAGATATCGAGAGAATGAAGGGGTAACCGAGGTTCAGGTGATCTGTCTGGTGCTTGAAGAGGCGCCATCTAGGTGTGGCTTACTCTGCTGATTAATCTATCTTGCCATCAAGGTCAGAATTTGTTTTGTGGAAGTACATTTCACGGAGAAATAGACTCGCCCGTGTTTCTATGTTCCGGCCTTAGCATCCAGTCCTTCAGTCATCTCTCCAAACAACTCGGCCATTTGCCCAGCGATCACCCCATATGACCCGCTTATGATATACCTTGCGCAAATCCTTGAACTCCTTGACAAAGTCGTCAATATCTCTCCCGTTTGGTGTGCCAGTTCCCGATGATGAATCAGAATTGGCCACTATCGGTTTCTGCTGCTGGACAAAGGCGGAAGCAAGTGCTTCTGAGGCATCGTCTTGAGCCGTCGTAGCATGTCGGAGTCGCATAAGCAAGAATTGAGGCGTGAAGCGCTAGTGTTCAGTCAGTATCGTTATCGATGTAGGCGTCAAGACGGAATGGACCTGGTAGACGTCCTTTTGCTCCTTCTCCAGCTCCTTCCATCTGGCCTCAAGAGCCTTGGATTCGTCGAACGCTTCTTTGGTCTCTGATCGCAAGGCATACAGACTATCTTGCAGCGTCAGATTGTTCTCTAATAGCACGAGTAAGACAGAGCATTTATTGAGGATGTCTGCATACTAGCAATTGCCTCGTTTGCCATACCAAGCTCAGCCTGGGCTTGAAACATTGCCTTGACACGAGGAAGCGAGTGGAATACAGCTTGGAAATATGTGTGGTCGGAAAGCAAGTCTTCCAAGTCTTCACGACTACGAAAGGCACATTAGCCAGTCAATCAGTAATAATATACGCATAATTTCCATACGATAGATGAGCGAGCTCAGGAAAATCATGCAGGAGCTGTGTCGATAGGTCAGAGGACATGACGGGACGAAGTCAAGAGTGATTTCCTTCTTTGCACTTGACGGCCATGTCCATTGTCGTCCCCGGAGAACATGTCCCAGCTCAACACGTCAATCTCAAGCTAGGCCCTGGCCTCATTCAACTATCTCAGGCATCTACATCCAGTGCGACGCCAAAGAGCAGCATAATTTCGACTCGCGCGGGCACGCTTCACCATTCCGCTAATGGGAGCAAATGGTGGATAGAGAGTAATGCTAGACGGGTAGGTTCTATTAACTGTACACGAATATCGGTATTGATTCTGGTTTCTAGTACGTTCCTGCGCCCCAGGAATCTGTCATTGGCATCGTGACCCAAAAGGCTGGTGAAGGATTTCGTGTTGACATTGGCTCAGCACATCCAGCGTCTCTAGACGGACTAGCGTTCGAAGGAGCGTCAAAAAGAAACCGTCCTAACCTAAAGGTATGTTTGGTGACTTCTTTTTTATATGTGCGATATAATGTTTCGTAGATTGGCAGCTTGGTTTATGCAAGAGTTTCGCTTGCGCATAAGGATATGGAGCCTGAATTAGAGTGTTTCGACGCTCAAACACGAAAATCCGAAGGATTTGGAGAATTGAAAGGTGGTTTTATGGTACGGTGTAGTTTGGGCATGTGTCGAAAGTAACGATTCAAAAAAATTCTCCTCGTCACTACACTAATTAACCCTTCAGACTCCTGGATCCTAATAACTTCTTACTGCCCCTCCTGGGCGCCAAAATACCACTTGAGGTCGCGGTCGGTATGAACGGTCGGGTATGGATCAATTCAAAGGAAACAAGGCACACGATCGCGATAAGTCGATGCATTGAGGCTGCTGATCCCGACGGCGAAGGCATGGGAGAGAGCGAGATTAAGAAGTTTCTGGGGACGCTGGACATATAAAATGTATGTAGGCTGTTCCCTGCCTCCATGGTTAGGATTGAAGTAGCTTTCTAGTATCATCATGACATACCCGTCCGCACTTAATCATCCGCCATCCTTGGCCGCTTCCTGGGACGACCGGTCGATGTGGCCACAGAAACAGAGTCGTCATCGCTCACAGTTCCCGCGCTTCTGTTACGATTCTGGGCCCTCTTCTTTCTCGAATACTCGCGGTCCCGTATCAGTTTATTTGCGTGTGCTTGAGATGTTTGTGTTTGCGTAGCAGGGGGCACGGTAACTGTGGTGACTCCTCCTGCAGATAGTTTGCCAGGATCTTCATTCTCTGAAACCTCTCCCAAAAGATCCAGCGACTAGATCAATGAATACCGAGCAACGGTAGAATGAACACCCTATGTACCTTCTGTATTGTCAGACTGCTATTAGAGAACACACGATCTTGGTCGGCCACTTCATATCTCTTTCGGCCCGTAGTCTGATTCTTGAGGAAATTGTCGAAACCATGAATGATGTTGCCACCATGTTGAGCAATAGTCTCAGTAAGATATTGGCCTTCTAACTTGTATATGTGGGACTCTATTTGTGCCTATGAGAAGGGTAAGAAACTGACGGACTGAGACGCTGTGTACAAACCAGATTCTTGTCGGACTCCCGCTTTTTGGGAAGAGCTTGTGCCAGCTCTCTCTTGAGAACCTCGTACCGCGCCTTGTCGTCCATTTCAGCAGCGGGTTGAGTGGCCATCGTGAACGTGCCAGGAAAGCGGAAATGTTTGGTCGTGCTTGGCTGCGCTGTACGCGTCACTGTCGCGTTCAGACCTTCTAACTTCATCATCATCATGTCGTCTGCTGTACCCCCGCCAGATCCCCCGTCTAACACCAACCCAGAGAAGCAGCCAGAGGACTCTACGTCCCCTGCACAAGGCGAAGATGCAGCCATGGACACAACGCCCGACCAACCGCCAGAGGAAACTTGGGAGGACATTCCTGAGGACATCATGTCGCTCAGCACAGACGAAATTCTAACTCGGATACGGTTAATAGACAATGACATTAAGGTGCGTTGTGGAGTTTTTCCTTCCATGCCAACTGTCTTCCTCATTTGTCTCACAGGTTATGCGCTCAGAGACGCTACGATTACAGCACGAACAGAGCGTAATGAAAGAGAAGATTCGTGACAACGGGGAGAAGATCAAGCAGAACAAGGTCTTGCCATACCTTGTTGGCAACGTTGTCGAGGTGAATAACGTCCGTCATGAAGCTCGTTGTGATCTAATGTCTTTTAGATTCTCGACGTCGATCCTGAGGGCGAAGAAGATGGTGCTAATCAGGACCTCGATTCTATGCGTAAAGGAAAATGTGCCGTCATCAAAACATCTACTCGCCAAACCGTCTTCCTTCCACTGATAGGTCTTGTTCCCCCGGAGAAACTCAAGCCAGGCGACCTCGTCGGCGTCAACAAAGATTCATATCTCGTCCTTGATACACTTCCTGCAGAATTCGACTCTCGCGTGAAAGCTATGGAAGTTGATGAGCGCCCCACGGAGAAGTATACAGATATCGGTGGTTTGGAGAAGCAGATTGAGGAGCTTATGGAGGCTATCGTGTTGCCTATGGAGCACAGCGAGAAGTTCAAAACACTCGGCATCCGTCCTCCAAAGGGCTGCTTGATGTATGGTCCCCCTGGTACTGGAAAGACACTTCTCGCACGAGCATGCGCTGCCCAAACACAGGCATGTTACCTTAAGCTTGCTGGACCTTCACTGGTGCAGATGTTTATCGGTGATGGTGCCAAGTTGGTCCGGGACGCGTTTGCTCTTGCCAAACAGAAAGCGCCAGCTATCATCTTCATTGATGAATTGGATGCCATTGGTACGAAACGGTTCGACTCGGAGAAGAGCGGTGATCGTGAGGTACAGAGAACGATGCTTGAGTTGCTCAACCAGCTTGATGGCTTCAGCAGTGACGAGCGAATCAAAGTGAGCTTTCTTTTACTGCGTCTTTGTTCTCTGCTTATTGTCTTCTTAGGTCATAGCTGCAACGAACCGAATCGATATCCTTGATCCCGCCCTTCTTCGTTCTGGTCGTCTAGATCGTAAGATCGAATTCCCTCTGCCAAACGAATCCGCTCGTGCCCGTATTCTGGAGATCCACTCACGGAAGATGACGGTATCCCCTGAAGTCAACTTCGAAGAGTTGGCTAGGAGTACGGATGAATTCAATGCCGCTCAGTTGAAGGCGGTCTGTGTCGAAGCAGGAATGATCGCATTGAGAGAGGGTGCTTCTAAGCTTGGGCACGAGCATTTCTTAAGCGGTATATCGGAAGGTACGTTCTCTGTCTATTGCGTATGTCTTTTCCCTCCTGATCGTTTTCTGATAGTACAAAGCAAGAAGAAGAACGACCTCATGTACTTTGCATAGTTTAATAGCATTCAGGCTGGCTTTCATATGCTTCCTTTCTGACCGAGACATAAACACATGGGGTGAACGTTCCTGCCCTTAAATCTGTCGGTTTTCTCCCATCCGATGGGTAAATTGTTACCTCCTAAGCCAATTTACTCTGCACCAGGCCTTATACACTCCCATCAAATGTCGCCATATAACATATGCTAATAATTTCATACATTAACTATATAAGTTCATCCAGGCATCAAACACGGTGCCTTCAAAGCTGGCTACGTATACCATCTCCTTCCACAAGGATACAAGGACCCCCATAAATTACACGATCCGCCAGTCCGTTCTCTTTGATGTATTCGACAACTGCAGCGTCTTCAGCTCCTGGCTGCAACCAAAGGGCGGGTACTGAGAGCTCCTTGGCCTCCTTCAGTATGCCAAGAGTGATCTACAAGTTAGACCGGTAAGTTGAGTGGGACTCGAATACTAAGAGTTATATGACTTGCCTTGGGGTGGGTGATGATACTGATGGACGTCTGGTTGGGTGCAGGGAGTTCGCTAATCTTCTGGACTGTAGCAATCCCTTCGAGCTCTGACTCTTTCTGTAGTAGTAGGGAGCATGAGAACTCAACCAAGCGCAAGACGGGGAAGGAAGACAAACCGGGTGCACAGGTTTAACATCCAAATCTCTTGCTTGGTACCATTTCAAAACCTTGCGCAACCATCAACATGTATCCGGAGCATGCGTGCATCCACAGCTCACCTTTGTACCAAACTTGGTCTGATCCTTGGACGCGCCGACGACAGCGAAAGAAGGCGAAGAGAGGAAGACCTTTTGGATGGCGCGGGCTGATTCTGAAGTCATGATTTTATGGAATAGCATATGATGAGCTAGCTGCTCGTATTTATATGATTGCGTGGTATCCGTCAAGGATCAGCGATGTAGGTACAATTAGACAGATGGTTGTTTGCAAGTATCCATAATCCGACTAGGGATCCCGTGCAAGGATCTGTAAGACGATCACGTTGGCAGTTGTAAGAGTAAACGTCATCCTAGCCAAATCTGGCGACACGCTCGGTTTCTTCAAAGTTATCCCGAACTCTTTCCGAAGCGCAAGGAAATGATGGTGTGGTTCAGCTTGGATGTCTGTATTGCTCGTTGCGATGTGTATTGAGCACGTTGTTGCGAAAGACAGCCCAGGTATTAAATCCAAGATTATACTGATTCCTCACGCACTGAGAGGAGTGCCCATCTTCTGAATCTCTTATATGCCACTGCAGCAAACATACAATATCGAACCGCGGTAAAGAACATTATATGAAAGAAGCATCTTTGGTGAGTTCTTGAACGGCGTCAACGTCAGTCCATAACTGAGTCAGAACGCAATTCTTCTATTCCTTTTCCTCTTCATCCAATATTCCATCCTTGCGTTCTTTTTCGTAGTCTTCACTTTTTGCTTTGCCACAGCCCTCTGTACCCCACTCCAGGACGAAAATTCTTCGTGATCTATCACTGTTTTGGCCTGCCGAGAAACTCCCATCTCGAAGCTGTGAAAAACTCGTCTGTTCCTCAGAATATGTGCTGGCTTCTCGATCCGGTACGTCCTTGCTAGCGAACGATCACGGGATGGGGACCTTTGCCCCCTCTTTCCTACTCTTTCCTACTCTTCCTCGGGCGTTTGTCGGGCTTCGCGTGACAAGCGAGAACGAAGTCGCCTTGGAAAGTGAACGTGAGCTAGATCGACCCTGAGCCCTGCATGTCCTATTGAATAAGTAATTCTTTCTTTACGAAGAGTACATACACTGAAAAGTCCCACTTGTTTATGACCTCCTTCTTGTGCTTGACTTGGCCCAATAAGACCGCCCTGGACGATAACCCATGAGCTATTTCACTGTCGCTATTCTACCCACTTACAAAAATGCGACAAGGGCTGCCAAGATTCCGAAGACCGTTACGTATACAGGATTACTCCTCATACCTCCCAGTATAGCCACAACGGTAAACAAAAATACTAAGATTTGCAGAATGTGCTGAGTCTTTCGTTGCCGACATAGAGTAGAAACGTTGATCTTCATGTCTCTAGTGGCAGAGAGGTAGTAAAAGTAAGGAGCCCTTTATCTTTCGGTCAGCGATTAATTAAATGCTGCGCCTCACCGCCTTGCATTGTGATGCATGAAAACAAGCTGTGAACGGTTATCCTCACGCAATACACCTACGTCTCACGGTAACTTTCTAGATACAGAGTCGTCCCATGAAAACAAGACATCAAAATCCTATAAGGCTAAATCAATTACAGCACCGGCCATTTCATGAAGCACCGGATGCACTGCTTCATCTAGATAACGGGCATGTACGCCAATACAACATGAGTGCCCAGAAAACCAATCATAAACATCTAAAGAAATACATTACAAATACAATGAATATATGAAAAAGTGTACAAACCCAACGCCTCTTCTACAAAGCATTGCCAGTCGAACTAGTGGTCGCCGTTCTCTCCTCTTGTAAGGGTGTAGAAGAGGTGACAGATGACCTCAGACCATCAGCACTGTGATCGGCAACTCGTGATTCCTTGGTAAAGCCAAATGCAAAGAGAGATGACAGCCCCTCCGCTTTCGCTTGCGCTTCCGTTATTTTTTTCACTGGGACTACTCTTTCCCTACGTGAGGTCGGGATTGTGGTTGAGCGCTTAGTCTTCTTCGGAGAACGAGGATCCTGCAGAGGAAGCAAAAATCAGTCTCAGTCTAAGAATCCCTTCATATCGCCCACCTTATCGTCTTTCTCACGTTGTCGCTTTGAATTCTTCTTCTCTCGTGCCTTTTGTTTCTCTTCACACGCCTTTGTATAGTCCTTGATCAACTTCACCTTTACCCCTTCTACCACTTTTGCCGGTATCCAGATGTGCAAGGGTTTTCGTGGATCCACAGGTTTTTTCTCCCTCTTCTTCTTTCCGTTTGCTTTCGTTGAAGTAAGCTGCTTTTGTTGGGATTGCGATGCGACAGGTGTATCCCCTTCGGTGTCCGAGCTGTCCAATTCCTCGTCGGCATCCACATCCCGAGTAGGCTCTGTGCCTTGCCGCTCATCGTCAGGACCCTCCTTGTCACCGTTTTCTTCTTCGTCATCACTTCCTTCATCTGAGTTCTCATCGAAGACAACCTCTTTCCCTTTACCCTTTAAGTCTATGGTGTCCACCTCCAAAGGTTTTCTCGTCCCTTTCAACCCAGCCTCCGTCCATAATATCAACATCTGCGTATCAACCATGACGCGATACTCTGGTGTCTCACCAGTTGAATGATGTCTTCGAGAATTGACAATCTTATCTATCACTTTTCCAGCTTCGCCACCATCCCCTCCAAAGGGCCTGAATACCTCTGCATCTAAAAGCGAAGGACAAAGATGTTGCCGTCGCAGAATCCGCACAGCAACAGGCCCCCAGATATTACTGTGAAACCTGGCCAGAATTCTATCCTTCCAGCCCCATTCGAAGAGGATTTCGCAAATACGCGCGAGCTTGGGGAGTGATGGCTCAAAACGTTTACTAGTCCACATGTTGTGAGAATAAATTTCGAGTGAAGGTGAGACGTCCGGATAGATGTAGGACGCAAGGTGGGGCAATTCTGGAAAATTGTCCGGAACATAGTGGGACAGGAGGGATTTGTGGACTTGTAAATATCCACAAAGTTGGCCACGCCATCTGGTCAAGAAGTTCTGCAGTTCTTCCGAGTCATGAGGGCGAGTGGTGACTGCTTCGTAGAGCTCAACAGCGCACTTGCTTTTAGCCAGGCGTAACGAGGTACTTGTGTTGCACCAACGTGGCTGACTCCGAGTGCAGAGCAGAACGATGAGCATTGCAGAACGGTGTTTCTGTGTGACACCGTCGTAGATCTTGTAGGTGGTCTGCTTCTCAGGATGCTTGGCATTTGGATGGGATGAAGAAGGGTTTCTCCAGACAGTCAGTGCACCAAACACCCAGACGGCCACATCGTCTGTCAGCACCGCGTCAATGAATCCTTCGCGGTTCAGATATGCCAATTCAGCGAGAGGATCTCCGGGGGCATACCTCCACTGGAAACCAAATGCCTTGATAATATGGATGAATCCTTCGGTTAGTTCCTCTGTCAGTGGATGGTTACTTGTATGCCTTTGTGGATTCTGGTCAAACATGAACAGAGGAAGGATGGGATATCCCAAAAGATGCTTGCACCGAAAGAAAAGGAGGCGTAATCGAGGATTCTCTCCCATCTTGGAACTATTGGTATGGTGGAACCATGGCTGGACATCGATTCCGAGCCGGAATCCCTTTGAAGGAGAGTCATATTTGGCGAGAGAAAGGGTAGTGAGGGACTGCTGCCTCGAAATTTCAGCGAGGAGAGACCAGTCGTTGTCGGTAGTGAGAGTCATGAAGACAACCTGAGCTCGTAAATTAGCAGGTGAGCACTGATCGGACACGGACTGCACGGATATAGTATACTGTGGACGGTAACAGCGCGACTTTCAGCGTCTCCCAAAGGTTAAGTACTACCCCCAATACAGGAACACAATGACTGGATGACTGGCCAAGAAAAGATATATTGATTTCCGAAACTAGCACTATAATTCGCCTTGTTAGCAAGTCATGTGACATCATCGATTACTAATGGAAAACGCTTTTACTTACTGTAGTCCTCCCCTCGCAATATAGTCTTCAACAGGATATGTAGTGGTCTATAGGATGCCACTAGCTATCGCACAATAGTTCAGTGATCCTACATACTGCTATGGCTGCTTTCGTCTGCTGGAGCCACGGTAGGATAGGTGCTGTTTCGACCAAGTTTCGACCCCAATAAAGGTAGGCCGTGAAAGGATCCACAGCTTCCTGACGACGCAGCCACATCGTCATTTGTGCGGCGTAGTCGCGTTTATTTGAGGCTCGGTACACTTCTTCGTTACACTACTATACATAGTTGTGAATATAATATCAAACTCTTTTATTCCATACTCCAGGTTGAGTCGGATACTACCAATCCCTGAGGTCTGATTACTCGGCCGAAGGTCGGATGGATGTATGGACCGCCGTAAAAGGGGTCTCAGGCCATAGCATCCATAGCGCTATAGAGATTATAGCTCCGAGCTATAGCCAACTATGATAGCGGTCGGCCTGATACATAGCGCTCAGTATTGCGGACTTAGCTCTCAGGATATATGCCCTACAAGGTCTACATACGGCTATACCAAAGGTGCATTTTCCAGATGTCAATTATATTTTGATAGGACTATGCAGTTGGCTGCAGAAGCAGGTCCTCTACGATGCTCAGATCAACCGGTATACCGGCCTTGGCGAGATATCCATCATTCCTGGGTCAATATCAGCAGCTCATAATAACATCGAAGATGCAGCTTGCTTACCAGAACTATAAATCATAACACAATCAAAGTTAGTGAGACACTACGAACGGCAAACTCACCTTCGAGTAATGGCGATTACCAGAATCACATCTAATGGCGTTTCAATTTCAAGACTTGAAGCATCCAAAGGGCAAACGCACAGGATCGTGACAATTGTCTGGCCGTCTTTCCATCCCATCTTCTTTGCGAGCTTGATACAGGCAACAAGATTACATGCACTACTGGAACCGAGGAAGAGACCATCGTTTTGGACGAGATACCGAGACATGCTGACGGCTTCAGCGTCCGTTATCCTACTTTTGCATTAAGATTATCTCAAGGATTGTTCGTAGCCAGACCTTACCGAAAAGCGTCGTCAATGATAGGCAGTGCCAATTCGATGTTTTTCGTCAACCGGTTGATACCGCTAAAAGTTTTTAAAATCAATGCAAAGTATGGCAAAGAACTACCGAAACTAACTGACATTCCTTCGACGACGGTGTCTACTTGATGGCGTCTTTTTGTTCCTTCGCTTTCCCTCCAGTCAAACATGACGTCGTGCTTGACCTGTGAGGGATATCAGTATGAGAATATTATGTTCCAAGCTTGCCTATCACCTTATTATATAGGCCACTGCCTTCTGGATCCGTCAGAGCCACGAGTATATCTTCGTTCTTGGACTTGACGTATCGACCTATACCGGCAATGGTACCTCCCGTTCCTACTCATCATATCAACGACCTATCACAATATTTGAAGCGCAAATATTGACCTGCGCCACTCACAAACGCATCCAGACGACCATTAGTTTGTCGCCATATTTCTGGGCCGGTGCCTTCAAAGTGCGCGTTGAAATTGCTTAGGTTCTGCAGAGACCCCAATGTCAGTCTCCTGATCTGACTAACATAGCGACAAAGCCATACCTCAAACTGATCGGCAAAATAACCTCGCGGCTTCAGAGCAATTTGTTCGTGTTTGAGCGGGTCGGTGTCGTTATCATCCTCCGACTCGGTTGTCACTACGACAGTAGAAGAAGACGAAGACACCAGATGCGGACGAGAGGAAGGCTCTTCCTTTCCGAATTCCAGAGCCCGTTGACGAGCGATGTTCTAATATCCATCCAAACACAGATCGAGAGACGAAAGTACTGAGCTTCTTACCACATACTACGGGGTATATCAGAATGCGATAGGCTACCCATGAGAATAAATACGGACCTGCTTTTTGTCGACGATGCTTGCGGGACGCACCCTTTGCACGTCTGCGCCAAGGGAAAGGAGAGCTTTTACTTTTTCTTCGGCGACATCGTCAGGCATTATTATGGCTGATTTACGGAAGTCATTGGCGTGTGAATGGACTGCTGAAGGCACGCACTGGCATCATAACCTCTGTGAAAGATTAGAATAGGTATAATAAGAGCATCATGCTGCTGCTCACCTAGCACGAGCAATGGTAGCGATAGATATTCCAGTAGATCCGACTGTTCCTTCGAATATCCTCGAGCCAGTATGGGGATGTATTAGACCTTGCCGCTCCGCATCGTCAATCACTTGGTAGATGATGTCAGTTTCCGGCAAGCCATAGATATATGGTGCGAAGTACTTCTCAGCGCGACGCGATCCTTGACGCTTCCACCAGGGTTGAGGAACTATTCTAGGTTAGACACGAAGACAAAAGATACGAGAGAAAGTACAAACTTCAGCTTTTCCCAATATCTCTACCCCCAACGCGTTGCTCAGGGAATTGATTCTAACCAACGGCGTATTCCCTATCCACAGGATCAGCACTAATCATTATTGAGAGGACCCTATAGCATGTACCAATTAACCCTGTGACACCCTTGAGCACCTCATCGCTTCTTAACTCGATAGGTCGCGCTTCAAACTGAGCAGCAATACGCTCTTGTTTTCGTCTTTGAAAAAACAAGGCGATGGAAGTGGATGTCAAGGAAAGAGAAAATCCTAGGAAAAGTCCATATATGACATGTCGAACTGTTGGAGGAGACGGTATTCTGACCCAGGAGGGTAGTCGAGTGAGGATCCACTCCATGTTCGAGTCGCGTAGGTGACGTCACTTGTGCTTTTCTCTCTGCCATAGCCCCTATTCTCCCCTTTAATGCCCTTGTTTCTGCCCTCGAGTTCAACATTATTATGTCGTCTGCGTCCGTTTCATGCAATCGCTAGGCTGTCATCTACAAATGCTGGAGGCGGAAAGTATCCAGTCTTTTGCTGGCGCTGAAGAGCCACTTGGATTGTCCAGATCAGGAAGGCTATGGCTGGCCTCAGCTCAAGTTTAACGAATCCATTGGCCCAGATAACCGTTATGTCATCTCGAGAAAGCTTCGGCTGGGGCATGTCTTCGAGTACTTGGCTGGCTCGCGATAAAATGTACGCGCTATTGTTTACAATACTCTTAATAACATGTCCTGCAGAGATAAGTCGTATGTCGCCGTCAAGATCCTTACTAGTCATCACACCAAACTCTGTCCGAACAAGGTCGCGTTTGGGAACTTCGAAGTCTTCGAGCGGGTATCGCGGCCCCCTTCGACTCCTCACTGTCTTGGCCTCATGTCGCACTTCACGGTTCCCGGCAAACTTGAAGGCCAGCACCTCTGTCTCGTCACCAAGGATCCTCGGTGGAGACGTAAGATCTCTATTCTTGAAAGCGCGTAATCTTCCCTTTACCTCTAGCCAAACGTATCCTCCTTCATTTGCTTCGCGGGATCGCCCATATACACAGTCGTGGCATCGTGCATACAGATCTGAAACACGACAATATTTTCTTCGACACCCCGTTATCCACCGATGACTTTGACAAACTCCTCGCGTCCGACCCGTCCCGTCGACATGCCTCTCACGATGGGTCGGTACAAGCCGCGGTCTCGCAGCCACTTCCGATACCTACTCTACAAGACGCTATGAAGCAAAATTTTCTGGTAGGCGACTTTGGCAGCGGTAACTATAAAAATGTCGTGTATGCTACTTAAATAAATTGCTCCTACAGCCCAGCCCATCTTTATCCACACCGAAAACGAAATTTCCGCTCTGCCGCTTCGTCCTCCCAAAATCATGATCGGAGGACCATGGAATGCCAAAGTGGACATATGGGCGTTCGGATGCTTGGTGCGTGTTTTCCTCTTCTGCTGCGGCCCGTGTTGACGAGTCCATATCCCAGATCTTTGAACTCATCACCGGACGTGCTCTCTTCAAGTATCAGGCTGACCCAAAATACAACCTAGACGAGCCAAACTTCATGCTATACCAGATGATATGCTACACGTGCGAAGACTTTAGAGTAGAACAGCTCTCGGTCAGCCCATTGGCTGCCCAATTCTTCGATTCTACGTGTACGTGTACACTTCATACTTCATGTCTTCACTCAACTTCGCTCACCTTCCCATGTAGGCAACCTCAAAGCCAATCCACCGCTCTTCGACTACCCTTTCGAGATATCCATCAGGAGCTACAAAGTTATAGAAGAAGCGGACGTTCTCTCCACCGCTGCTTTCATGCGCAGGTGCTTGCGCCTGGATCCTGAAAAACGGGCTAGTTGGTTCGATGGTGTGGAGTAGAGGCGAAGCAATCACAACAAGGAAAGTCGCAACCAATCAAGTGTTCCACAAGTCCGATGTCCATCGGAGTCGAAAAGTTCGAACTGGAGAACACCTTCGGCGTCAAACAAGCGTTATTAGATCTCAAGGTATATTATTAGCTTTTGTATTCAACACCACTCGATGTCTTTTTTAATGATTATCCTATGCAGTATAATACAGTGAGTATATAGTCTATGTGTGGGGGACGTCCATATAAGCTAGTCCGGAGATAGTACACGAAATAAAGTGTCTATAACATATGGGGGCGAAAAACCTGTTTTATGAAGATGATGTGCCATTATAAATGAGCTGTGTCATTGCGAGGTTCATTTGGAACCCAAACGTCTAAGTATATGCAAAATCAGCATCAGCTTTACGAAACACGACGGAACCACTGACCGATCCAGAAGCCCATTCTTCTATGACTGCGAGGTAAACCAAGGCATTGCTAGCCGATTTACCTGTTCCGAAGCCTCCTAAGCGTGCAGAGAGGTTCGGCATAACGAGTTGAGCAGGGGCTGGGTGGTTCGCATATGGGACACCTTCGAAAGAGAAAAGTAAGATTCCAAGACAAAAACGAACACTTGCGGGAATCGACTAACCAGGGTAATTAGCATAATCAGTATCGTCCAAAGTAGTACCCGGCGCCAAAGGACTCAGAGGGTGAGAAGGACTGAGGAAGAGAGGTGAACAACCACACAGAGTAGTTGTACCCGGATACGCTGTAATCTGCCATCCCGTCGTATTTGAAGTCGAATGACTCTCCAGGCATGACGACCGTGCCGTTAGTGGGGGACGTGATCTCGCCGTTACCGGCAGAGACCGACACTGGTAGGGAGAGTGTCGTGGAGAGGACGAGGAGGCTTGAGAGGAGGCGGAGGAGTTGCATGTTTGTTTGGTGTTGGTGTGTGACTTTGAGTTTGTGAAGTTTGGATAGCACGGCTTTATAGTACTTGGGAGCTGACACATGGATTCCGTGAGAAACGGCCATTCGAACCCATTCTCGAGAAATCTGAGCGTCAAAGGGTACGGTGCGCGAGGATCATAACTCGATGATCATTTTTGTTCCCAGCGCGCCCTCCACGGGCCTAGACCGGGACCGAGGTCCACGCGTCATAACTTGGGAGATTTTCGTTCGACTTTACTTCATGGCAGGAAAACATATACGTAAGGGAGTGCGCCACAGATAAAGTCTAGACCCGCACGAATGGAACCAGGAACCAGAACTTTCGAGCATAAGAATTTGGTGGAAACGTGAGGAACGTTTGCCATGCGATTCGTCGACGAGGCAGTGCAGAGACCGACATTCGGAGATCTACTCTTTACAGAGAGAACGGTCTTCTGGCACCTGCGAGAGAGAGTCATCAACGGACTTGTCAGATAGAAAGATCACCGCAAAGAGTAAGATGGACAGGTGGCTGTGTGCCGTAAGATGTGCCTATTTGTCCAAAGCCGATAATGCCGCGTTATCAGAAAAAGTTGAACGGGCCGATCTTCCCTCATGGCTTTAATCAACTCTGATCTCCCTGGGCTTACGCTGATCTCCAAAGGAAAAGTCAGAGATATTTACAGCACTTCGTCTCCCGACCATCTATTGTTCGTCGCGACCGACAGGATATCTGCGTACGATGTCATTCTCAGGAACGTGAGTCTATGAGCTCCAGCTCGTATTTGCTCTTTAAGTAACCTCGAATCCACAGGGAATCCCAGACAAGGGCAAACTCCTCACGAAAATTTCCCTCTTTTGGTTCTCGAAGCTATCGCATATCATCCCGAACCATTTCGTGACTGGGGATATTGATGCCATGCCCAAGGAGATCGCGCCGTTCAAGGATCAACTCGAAGGACGCGCCATGCTGGTGAAGAAGGCAAAGGTCGTACCACTGGAGGCCATTGTTCGGGGATACCTGACAGGTAACATTTAACACACGTGGAGTTTGTCCCGCTTATTGAATGCAAGTCTCCACTAGGATCTGCGTGGTCAGAGTACAAGAAATCTGGGACGGTGCATGGAATTAGTCTTCCTCCCGGCATGGTCGAGTCACAAAAGTTTCCGGAGCCGTTGTTTACCCCGTCAACCAAGGCAGAGCAAGGCGCCCATGATGAGAATATTTCCCCTCAGCAAGGCTTGTCGTCCTCTCTGTCCTATAAAGGCTCCCGCTAACAATCCCACTACAGCATCGGCTCTAATCGGCGAATCCCTATACAACCAGATATCTGAAGCAGCTATAAAACTATACACAGAAGCCGCGGCCTATGCGCATTCAAAAGGTATCATTCTCGCAGACACAAAGTTTGAATTCGGACTCGTTCCTGGACCTTCTGGGGGGGACACGCTTATTCTGATTGACGAGCTTCTGACGCCTGATTCGTCGCGGTATTGGCCTTTGGATGGGTATAAGGTGGGGGGGCCGCAACCAAGCTTTGACAAGCAGTATCTGCGAGATTGGCTTGTCGGAGCCGGGTTTCGGAAGGGCCTGGAAGAAGGCAAGGTGAAGGGGGAAGGGTGGACGGTCGAAGAGAGTGTTGTGGAAGGTACGAGAAGACGGTATACGGAGGTTGTCGACCTTTTAATAGGATGAATAGAAGAAAGCAAGTGAAATACGAAGTTCCTAACTAGAAGAGAGCCAAAGTTCCTATGTAGTTGTACTCGTCGAGATAATAGTAATCGGAGTCGATCACAGCCAAATTCGGAAGATCATGGCATTTACTACTCACACCACGCCTTCTGGTACGGCAATAGCTCTACCTTGCATGCAACTGACAGAAAAATGCAGGATTCTTACTGCCATCCATCCATGCTACTCCTCCGTTCTTCAGGTGAGATCGTTCCATCATGCATGGCTCCCCTTTAATGACGGGAGATACAGCCAGCAGCTCAACGAAACGACACTCGCCTCATTTACTGAGCTTTGGATAAAGCTTATACTCGCATATGCACGGCATCGAAGGCTATTCTCCCTACACGTGGAAGACGCAGAGACATCTGGCAACGACTGGGACGAAGTCCTAAAGAACGAACGGATAAACCGTGTGTCTACCTTGCCACTTTAACCGACAGACCGTGGTTTTCTTTACACTTTCACAGGTCGTGTGCTTCCCTCTTATCTAGAACACATCATGGGAGTGATGGTGGCAAAGAACCTGGCGGTATTCGAACCAGCGAAGCAAACGAGATCGGCCCTGCTGTACTGGCGTCTGCCGGAGGAATGGGCAGAGACGCTGCATGAATGGGTGAGAGCGAACCGTTATTTCGGATTGAACGATGAATGGACGAAATTACAGGCGACATCGACTGGGCACCTGAATACCATCATGACCTTTTACGAAGTCACGGATCCCCCCATCGAATCGCCGCTCTCTGGGATCCCGGTCCCGCTGCTTCGCAAGGCGATTGGGATCCTGGCAAAGACGAACCGGGCACAGCTGATTGCAGTGGCGGATGGCGAGGGCGTCAGATTTTTTTCAAAGTAGTGTATAATTAGTGCAATATTATTCGACGGTGCCAGACATGAATTCGAGTCCAGTCTAGATCAAATAGTGCTCCGCTTATATGGAGCCGGGCAATGGCGATCGACTGACTCCAGTCACCCCACCATAATGACCTCCATGCGAAAACGGGCAGAGGAGCTCGTCGTCGGCATCCAGGACAGCATCGTCAGCGCCCTCGAAGCCGTCGACCCCGACGCCCCGCCCTTCAAACGCGACTCGTGGACTCGCGCCCAGGGCGGGTACGGTACTTCCTGCGTCTTCGCTGTCCCACCCAGCGACGACGATGCCGCGCCTCCGCCGTCATCAGTCCTCGAAAAGGCCGGCGTGAACGTCTCCGTCGTCCACGGCACCCTCCCGCCCTCTGCCGTCCAGCAGATGCGCGTCAACCACGCCTGCACTTCCCCAGGTCGAGGGCGGTCTTCCCTTCTTCGCTACGGGCGTCAGCCTCGTCATCCACCCCCGTAACCCCAACGCGCCTACCTGCCACGCTAACTACAGGTACTTTGAAGTCACGGAAGCCATCGACCCGGACTCTCCAGAGCCTCCGAAGCCGTTGGTCTGGTGGTTTGGCGGAGGCGCGGACCTTACTCCGTCCTATCTGTTCGAAGAGGACGCTGTGCATTTCCACAAGGTCCACCGGGACGCTGCTGAGCCCCATGGTGCCCAGATGTACCCTGCTCTGAAAAAGTGGTGCGACGAGTACTTTTACATCCCACATCGCCAAGAATCCCGGGGCATCGGAGGCATATTCTTCGACGACCTCAGCGTCGAGCCCCATCCTCGTCTCTCGTCGGATGAGAAGCGTCCACAGACGGCAGAGGAGATCTTTTCATTTGTACGCGACATGGGGGCAGCATTTATACCTGCATATATCCCCATTCTTTCGAAACGCTGCGTCCTTCCTTCTACACCTCGTCAGCGTCGCTGGCAGCTCATCCGCCGTGGGAGATATGTCGAGTTTAATATTATGATTGACCGGGGAACCAAGTTTGGCTTGAACGCCCCCGGTGCCAGAATAGAGAGTATTCTCATGAGCTTGCCAGAGACGGCAAGGTGGGAGTACATGTCCGATATGGGTCAGGATCCAGAGTCGGAAGAAGGTAAACTTTTGGCAGTCCTAAAGACCCCAAAGGAATGGGTTTAGAAAATTATATCTGTATTCTTAGAATATTGCCTGAATTATAAAATACCACTCTCCCAGAAATGTTTTGCAGTCTTCCAACAAGCATATATTTCATCTACTCCAATGCACCAAACAAGCTTACTACAGCTACAGGCGGAGGTCCTCCCTCTCTGGCTTTTGTCTGTCCGCAATACGCTATCACATATCGACTTGGATGCCAAGTCACTGTCGGGGCTGGAGCAAGAGCAGGAACACGATGCAAAGGCATAGACGTCTCGGTCGCACACTATACAACCAGTGAGATAAAACGAAAATGCAGGAAATGATTCACCACGTACAATATCGACGTACACGCCTGTACTTCCGATAGCAAGATACTCTCCATCGTGAGAGAAACTCAGTGAACTAATTTGATGTCTACAAGGACTTGTCGGTAAGAATAACAGCAAGAACAGAGAGACGTACTCGCAAGCAGTGATTGTCCTGGCGCAAATCCATTCCGTCAGGTCAAACAAGTTAACTATGGAGTCGAATCCTCCAGATGCAAGATATCTTGAAGGCGTCAGCGGAAATTTCAGTCAGAGTACCAGCCTTCTCACCTCCCCCTGGGGATCCAAAGCAGCGGCTTCGCATCCCCCAACGTGTGCAGCCGGAGTCTCTCTAACAGTAAGCGAGGATAGTCCAAAACCCTCAGTGTATGTTCCGAGTGATGGGTCAGCACTATCCCGTCGCCTGTATGGTTGAACATTGCTCTTGAGCCCGGAATCTGCCAAAGAGCGAGTGAGAAACGCGTAAAGGCACCACAAAAAAGACGTACGATTTCTTTGTCGCTCACGCTCCAAGTTTCTTTTCCAGCTTGCGCTTGTCCACACTCTAGGAAATACATCTGATGCCCAGCAGAGGTGTACACTATCGTTTTGCCGTCTGGAGAGTAATTCATCACCAAAGGAGATTGTTTGAGAGATACTTGTTGAAGGCAGCGACTTTCTGCGAGGAAAATGAGCATGATACACGGAACGAGACAACATGGCGAACGTCGAGCATCCCAGAACACGATCCTGCGATCTTTCCCACTCGACGTGCAGAACAATTCCGGATGCGTCGGATTCCAAGTAACGTGGTCCACTTCATCCGAGTGTCCACCAGAGAACATCGTCGCTGAGCGAGCTTCCATCTACAAGCCAAGCCCTCAGCACAACAAAAACAAGAAACCGACACAAGATAAAAACCCCACGCACCCCCTTCTCAGGTTGCCACAATCTCGTTATTTTATCGATCCCTACAGCCGCGAGCTTCTTACCATCACAGCTCCAAGCAACATGGTTCATCGCCTGCGGACTCGGCATACGATAATCCCGAGGTTTGAAGGCGGAAAATGTTGGCGGCTACGGGTTTCTACGGTGTCAATGAGCGCTCAAACGCGGTCTAGAGAGGACCAGTAAGTTACAAGGATTCCTCGTACGCCAAAAGTCGTGTGCGGAGGCGGCGAGGGCGGTCGTTGAGGCGCTGGTATTTCTTCTTCTTCTTTTGGTGGCATGGTGGTGGTGGTGGTGGTAGTTGGAAGGAAGAAGAGGGTACAGTGGCTGTGCACCCTCTAACTCTTTTGCTTCTTACAGTCATGTCTGCCGAAGTCGAAGTGAATCCTTACGAGCTTCTGAATGTCGAACTGGAGGCTGACGAGCGAACGATACGAACAGCATATCGACAACGGTCGCTCAAGGTCCATCCTGATAGGGTACGCGCTGTTGTCTGTCAATCCAATAGAATCACTGACGGACCACCCAACAGAACCCTAATAATCCTGATGCTGGTACGTTATCAAAGCCTTTTCTCATTACAAACGACTGACATCTACATAGCACGAAAATTCCACGAGCTGAACCAGGCTTATGAATTACTATTGGATCCCCTTCGGCGGCTAGCCCTCGATGCAAAGCTGCGAGTAAAGGCAGCCAAAGCGGAGCGGTTCAAGTCTTTCGACACCAAACGCAAGGCATTTGTTGAGGAGCTAGAGGAGAGGGAGAGGGCTTTCAAGAAAGCACGCATGGATAAGCAGAAAGCAGAAGTGGACCAATGGGAAGCAAACGAAAAAATCAAGGACGAAGGTAGAAGACTCAGGGAGGAGAAGGAAAAAGAATTCCGACAACGCGAACAGAACGCGAAGAAGGTTGATGAGGACGAGCCTCCTTCCATCCGTACGCATATCATTTCTTTTTCCTCTCATCCAGTGCCTGACCTTTCTTTACTTAGAACCCAACGATACGACCGTTCGAGTCAAATTCTCGCTTTCTGGGCATCCCGACTTGACCACTCCCGAAGCTCTTGCTGCCATATTTGCGCCTTTCGGTCCAACTGACACGGAAACGATCGTGCTTTCATTGAAAGCGACCAAGAAAGCCCCGTCGAAGCCGCCCAAGTATGGTACCGCCCTCGTTTCCTTTCAAAAGAATTGGAGACGCGTTTGCTGCAGTGTGTGCTAGCGGCCGGCCGGAACGAGGTCTGAAAGGTATAGATATCACCTGGGTAGGCGGGAAGGAACCGGAAATTCTGGGTTGGTTGAAGAAGACGGGAAAGCTTGCTGCTCAACTGGACGTACCGTCAGAAGCCAGGCCGAACCCTGAACCACAGACTTTAAGTTCGACAATGTTCTCGTCGTTTCCCGAGACGCTGGTACGTGCCGTTTAGTTGTCTTTCCTTATCCGCTGTGCTCACCGCGTTGTGCCAGCCCGAAACTGTACCAGAGATTACCGTTTCGCCCGATATAGATTATGAATCGTTGACTCTAATGCGTATGCGTCAAGCTGAACGCGAACGTCTAGAACGCGAGATACTCGAGCGTGAAGCGAATGAATGATTTACAATACAAAGGTACTCTGATTATCTATGATTATGATGTATCATAGTGGCTGGAATCCTTATTCTAGACTCAAAAGCGGAAGCGAAAGCCATTCTTTCGCTTTTCAAGTTCAAGACCGAGGCGCTCCAGCATGATTCTCGTGTTGGTCGTGCCGGACTGACCATAAGGTATAACGACATCGAAGATCGTTGAGCATTCGGGAATCTATTCTTTGTTGAGGATCTTGTCTGGATCGTTCTGTGACCGCATGATTGGCGGTTCGAGTCTATTTTTGTCAAGTCCCAGCATCGCTGGAGGTTCCTCTCCACCGACATGCCCTCTGACCATGCCAATACAATGTGTTTTCTAGGTTATCGATGGCGTCGTGTGAGGTCACCTTCTCTCGGCGAAACACATTCACACACAGTCGCCCCCTCGAAAATCTGATATGCCCCATAGAGTATCATTACCGTTGTGGATCCGCTGCCGCTTCCGTGATGAGCAGGGCTACGATGTCCGTGTCCACATGCATGTACACACCACATCTTGGGTATATAAACCTTCCAACTATCTATCCATTATCTCATTCCTCACTCGCGCGCTTAACGATGCATTTCCTTACCGCCTTCCCTATCCTCGCTTTCATTACCTCCGTCCTCGCAGGCTCCGGGTCCATCACCAAGCCCGCGAAAGGCACATCTATCATGCCTGGCCAGTCTTTTGCCTTCCACTACGATGGCATGGCAGAGTATAGCGTCTCCGGCTACAACTACTCTGTGTGGCTGTTCACGGACCTGCCGTTGGCTTTCCTACCCTCTCAGAGTTTCGGGGCGGGACATTTCTTTGGTCGCTATAATTACGCCAACTACCCCGGTTGGTGGATTTTCGCGTCTAATATTGGTTTCAGCAGTTAATTATATGGTGTATTATTATATAGGTGTTCCATATGCGACTAACCCAGCGCCTGCCAACTTCACCATGCCGGACTTGTCTGCGTCGTATGGTGGATTTGGAAGAGGCAAGGACGCCAGCGGCGCCACCGTTTATCTAGCAGTCATTGAAGAATACGCCGCAGGATCTGTACGTGTTTTCTTTGGAATTTTCTGTTATCGATTCTGATGATGCCGTGAATTCACAGACGTTTGGCTTGCAAATGAATCTGGCTACGACGTGGCTTATATACAACAGCACGCAGCATCATTAATATTTTAAACATAGAGCATGGACACAAAATCACGGACAACGAACATTTGTAGGACATTATACCGGACAATTTGTAGCTAGTTGGTAGTAAAAAAGGCTCGCGAAGGGTCAAAATGGACTCAAAACAGTCATACATATTGGTGTATATAGAGGTATACTATGCAACTGAGCTAGCAGAACTATCATGCACTCTTATCGCCCACGAACTGGTCGAACCAACGGAAAACTTCGTAGTGCCATTTAAAGCTACGGAGAAACCAATTAACAGCGGCTCGGAGCAAGAGGAAGAACATACCTGTTACCGTGATCCAGAACCCAATGGTTCTCATCAGGGAAGATAACGAGTCTACTTGGAATGCCTCGTCTGACACAAGAACCGTGAGTACAGAATCAGATCAAACAGCCCCAATGACACGCACTGCTGCAAAGCATGGAAAGCTCCAATACTTTCGGTTTCGGCCAGCCTATAATCTTTGCTCCCGTGAATGAGAAGCTGTGGCGTACCCCACTTGTGCACAAAGTTAGAGGGATTGTACCTGCGGCAAAACCAGTCCATCAGTAGCCTCAACGGATCGAAAGTTTACACTGGCACGTACTTGGCAATTATCTCTTTGCTCTTCTTCTCCCACGGACTATAATAACACATTGAAAAACTCAACTCCGGCGGCTATGCATGTCAAAGAATCGCGTGCTTACCGCCCTGCCCAGTCGTGATTGAACTATGACCGCGTCAGAACCTGCAAGGTGAACAAAAATAGGCAAGTCTTACGAAGAACAATTCGTCGGTCGAGAATCCATTGTAGTTCGAATCAAAGACTCCATCATGACACACGAGGGCCTTGTGAGCTTCAACGATGTGCCGAGAATGGAATCGCTAACTTGAAACAAACCTTGAAGTTGAATCCATACTCGGGGTGACCTTGGATCCAACTGAATCCGACTTTTAGTCCACCACGGCTGCAGAAAAAGAGAGGTTCTAGCGTACTTGATAGCATACCCTCCCCAGCTTGCACCGGCAGCAACCGCACGATCCGGATCGATCTGCAAAGGACATGAGTCAATATCGTATAAAAGTCCGTGTAAGCATACCTCCGGATACGTATCCAACACGTACTTCCATCCCTTCTGCAAGTCAACGAAAGGCTTGCCTCCCCAATCCTCCGTGATGCCATCCGTGAACTCTATTCGTTCTCCTTCAAGATGATAGATAAACGGAACTACGATAACACGCGCCTTGGCCGAAGGTTGTACTTCCAGTGGGATTGATAAGTACAGAGAAGTACCCCTGCTGTGCGAAGACTAAGAAGGAATCAGTCAAACGGGACGACTGTAATACCCAGTATAGACCGTACCATTTGGATTCCATCGCGTAGACCATTGATCCTCCCAGGCGCTTTGGGGGCCTGGCAACGGACGTCAATAATCAAATGGAATGGAACGACACAGTAGTTGGTATAGTAAGTACCTCCATGGATCAGAAGAACAACAGGCCATTTCTTCGTTTCCCCTTCTTTCCAGCCCTTTGGTTTTAGAATCCATCCTTGCACGTCCTTATCCTCCGCGCCCTTGAACCATATATTCTCTCCCTTGCTGAGGTTCTTTGGCTTAAGTGCATCTTCAGTGAAATGAGTGATTTGCTTAATCTCTCCAGCAAACGTGACGAGTGCGTCACTCCTGCCGATTTCAGATTCTAGGTCATTCAAACCACTGACAAGGAAGACATCGTTGGGCGAAGTGTACGAAGACTGTGTGATAAGAAGTCGACCATAATAAAGCGACTGTAGGCCACTGGCTGCAGGTCCATCAGTTATCGCGACAGGACTAACGTACTTGGTATCGAGGTCAGGATCGGTCGTAGACTTCGAAGGTGTGGGAGGTAGCGGCAGTACGAAGACCTTGACCTGTGCGTTATCGCCCGCAGTGAAGTAGATGAACTCGCCCGTTTTAGAGAACTGCGCGATGGTCGCTCAGATCATAAGCGATGTGAACATATGGAAACGAACTTACCGCCAAGGAATCCGGTGAGCGGTCCCATTGCTGGGTAAGCGTGTACCTGACATCTTTCTTGAGATCGTAGATGACGATCTTTGCCCTGTCGCGTGTCAGCTGTTCAGGATGGCGAATATGAGGGAATACAATGCAAACCTGTCGGATTCATAGCCATCTAAATCAAGCTCCAGCCAGGCCACTTTCGAGCCGTCTTTATTGAATACTGGATTGTGTGTCGCGCCTTGTTTTCCCGACGTGAGTTCCCGAGGCTTGCCGCCCAGAATATCAATGATATATACCTTGCGTTTCCGCCCGTAAGCTTCAAGAAAACAATGCGACATCAGAACACGCCTACATTCTGTTTGGTGTGCCATGCTGCAGGCAACTCTGGGTCCTTGGCGGTATACACGACTTGACTCGTGGAAACGTCAAAATCATCAGTGCCTCCGAATGGTTCAACGGGAGAGCTCTGTAAATTGTTAAGACAAGTAACCGACATTCGGTATCAACGTTACTTACGTGCCCCGTTCCTTGAAGAATGTTGGTGAATTGAGATCCGAAGTGCCATTTATGATCTGGGTCCTGCCTGAGGCGAACGCTGAACAGTGATGTTGTTTTGGGTCCAGTCCAGGTGTCCCAATGCCTCTCGTAAGTTGTATCATACACCAAAGCAGTAGTTCCGCGGTTCTCCCAAGCCTCATCTTGTTCTTTAACGGTGGAGAGGTTACCGTCAGGATAGACGTTGTCGGAGAACACCAGTTGCCCAGAGAGTGAGGAGTATCGGAAGTTGGTAGCAGTTGTCGTGGGGAACGAGCCAAGCAGAGTTGGAGGGTTGGGCGCACTCACAATGCCGACTTCATCATCGTCCTGCTTCCTATAATAAATGTCAAGCGCGTAGATATCGAGTTTCTTATCACCCTCGACGACGTGGGCAATTGTGCGGCCATCGAGCCAGAACGCTTCACCGCCTTTGGGGAGCTACAGACAGTCAGCAAGGACCATGATTTACAATGACAAGGCTTACAGGAATCTCGAAAGGTTTCCTACCTGGGCCCGCCAGAGGCGAGATGAAGATAGACCGATGGACTCTGTTACAACGGTCAGTTCAAATGCAGTATGCCAACAGAAGACACACACTTCTTGTCCTTTGCAGAATATTTATTGTAAGGAACCAGAACGAGATCTCCTGCTAGATTAGCCACGCCAGTACCCGGGCGACCGAGTTCGACCAAGTCCTTTGGAGAAAACACGTCAGGACCCTCCTTGAATGCGAATGTTGATGGCGCGTTCATCGTGGTAACAGGAGAAGAAACTGGAGCCTCGAAATGGATCTGTGCTGCCAGCACAATGGGGAGAAAAGCAAGAAAGTGAGGCAACCTCATGTCGCGTCAAGACGAGGCCTGATGTGGTGGATATAATTCAACCCGTAACCGTGCGATCGTGTCCCACATTCAAATATGTCAGTTTGCTCACTAATTGCCTCATTTCCTCGCAAAAACGAAAAAAAAAATATTGTAGAGTAAATAGCATACACCTAGTAGTACAAATAGTTCTACTCGCTCATCGCATCGTCGCCGTCGTCGTCGTCGTCGTCGGCCTCGACATTCTCTAGCGGAGTAGTACCACCGGGTATCTGCACCACCTCGCCTGTAGCCGCGTCCCATCGTGAAATCAATCCCACACGGAACGTGACCATTTTTTCTCCAATCAGCTTGAGCAGCTGTGCTTGCTCGCCGGTTAGTGTTTTCCCCTTCTCACATAGCTTGTGCGGTGTCTGGAGAGTCGGAACACCCTTGTTCATCGTTGTGCTGAGACCCAGCTTCCTAAGTTGTGGATCTTCGTTGTGAGAGAAAGGCTCTGGTGGGTCGGAAAAGTGTCGCATAACGGGACCAGCTGGGAGAATCACTGTCCGGCTTGCAAGATTACCTGCCCGGGCAAAATCTGGCTGCTGGAAATCAGCGAACCACTCTATCACTTCTTGTGGTTCGCTGTCGGTAAAGAATAGGCCGACTTGACCTTTTATTTGCTATTCAGGGATTAAGCATCATACAATGAAATTTTTCATCAAGACGCACCTTAGCAAGCGTGTGAAGCCCCAGCTTATGTTCCTCCTCCGGTGTAGCACCTAGTGCTTTTGCCATGACAGCCCCTCGTCCAAAAAATATCCGTGCAGAGCTAGAATTCAACATGAGCAGCGAGCAGGGTAGATGCAGGCAAGGGCGCACTCTTTCCAAAGCTTCCGTACGGTTTTTAGGTGAGAATTCCTCATAGCTCCAACTTCAAAGAGCCAGCAATACTTCCATTTGTCGGCATTTAGTTGAACCTGATATAATAAGTTGAATGAGGACCAGTTTTGCCGTAGATTCGACGCACCTCTTGCATCAAGGCGCCTTTTTGTTCCTTCGTTTTTTTGGCGACCTTGGTCAACGATACTGTTGCACAGTATGAGAAGACATCGAAACCGCAGGGAATCCTTTACTCGCCTACTTTGGAACGCTTTGACTTGGGCATTTTGGACTGTAGAAGGGGGAAAGATGGAAATTTATTTCAAAGTCCGCACAGATTCCTTCTGTCATGGCCATCACGGTTTCTCCAGCCGAGCTTAAGAATCTGGAAGACGTTCTCCTCAATACCCAAGGAAACGTCCTTCTACACAACCGTTTCCGTGCCCTATTCACCCTAAAGTCGCTCAAATCAGAAGAGGCGATCCGGATAATATCCGATGGTGAGCGCCTTGTCGACTCCATGCTACATCTTCACTAAATCACTGATAGGATTCAAGGATGAATCGGCTCTCCTTAAGCACGAACTGGCATATTGCTTAGGCCAGATCCAAAAACCGTCGGCCTTACCGATCTTGGAATCGGTGCTTGCAGATACCACAGAGGACCCGATGGTACGGCACGAGGTGTGTTGCTCCTTTTTTGCTTGACGACCATGCCTAATGCTTTCCTTGAGTAAGGCAGCCGAAGCCATGGGTGCCATTTCTGCCCCGCAATCCATCCCAGTCTTGAAAAAGTACTTGTCGGATTCAAATCAGAGCGTTAGGGAAACCTGCGAGATTGCCATTGCCAGAATCGAATGGGACAACTCAGAAGAAGGTCAGCTGCATAAAGCTGCTGCCAAGGACGAGGAAACTATTCCGTATGCTCTTCTAGATCTCTTCTTGGCACGCAAAAACTAATGAAATCCAGAGCATATCTTGTCAATTGACCCAGCACCTCCTACGTCTGGCCTGATTGCTGGTGTACCCAAACCCGAAGATGTAACCGAGTCTAACATCAATGACTTGCGTTCAAAGCTTCTTAACAAGGAGCTACCTCTATTTGAACGATATCGAGCCATGTTCGCGCTTCGAAATATAGGTACACCCTTGGCGGTAGATGCTCTTGCCGCCGGATTCGTCGACGACAGTGCTCTGCTCAAGTAAGATCCGTTGTTGTCATCCAAACGAGCCTAAATCTAATTTTTTCTACGCAGACACGAGATTGCCTTTGTATTTGGACAACTGCTGTCTCCTCACTCAGTGCCTTGTCTGCTTGAGATCCTAAAAGACTCGCAAGAATCTGACATGGTTCGCCATGAAGCTGCTGAAGCCCTTGGTGGTATCGGTACTCCTGAAGTGTTGCCTCATCTGAGAGAGTGGATGACACGAGAAGATTCGCCTCGCGTAGTGCGAGAAAGTTGTCAAGTTGCCATAGACATGTGGGAGGTATGTCTCGTGTCTCAGCTGTTTATCCTTGCCACTCACTGAGCACTTGGCAGTATGAAAACTCTAACGAGTTTCAGTATGCTAATGGACTTGACTCCACATCGTCTGTAACTGTCGGCGCCTAATGTTTTCAAAAGTTCTCAAGGGGGTGACTATTCAATAACAAGAAGACGTGTACTTTGTGTAATCTGTATATCACTGTTTACTCTTGCGTGTAGTCTACACAAAATGGTCGGGATGCACGGAAGCCAGCAAAAAGAATGTGACCAGCTGCGGAGAATATGGTTCAAACTAGACGCCGATGTGCACTATCCTATAAGCAGCAGGTTCAAGCCATAATATAAAAGACCTTAGTGCCTGAATGCCGGAAAAGTTTATCTTCACCAACATAGTTAATAGGAGATTAGTAGGTCCAGATACAGTACTCACACACTTACTTGGGTGTAGCAAAACCACGAAGAAAACGGTGCTTCAAAAGGTTCGACGTTTTATATGTCTAGCAGTTTCTTCGTGGCCTGCCAAACAGATAGCGATATACTGTGCATCGGAACCTGCTTTACCAGCCCTATCCCCAATCCCGTATAGAAGCCCCTCCATCCACTCGTACGCTGTATCGTTACCACCGTCTCCCATATACCATAAGCGCGCTGAGATCCACTTGCATGGCCGCTAGCCTGCTGTATCCGCCTTACCACCTCAAGAGGATATGTGGCAATCTGAGCGGTTGTGCCAGCTATAGCTCCGATGATCAAATGTAGCTTGTGTTGATTAGCTGCGCGAAAAGCAGGAGAAAGCCGTTCGCGGCTGCCCTGGTTGAGTGTCTCCCATACCAGAAAAATCCCACCACGATATGGAACGGTGCCAGCAAGAGTAACGATAAACCCGCGATAAAAATTTCGAAGACCACCTGGGACAAGAGGAGTATGATGCAGGTGTTCTTTGTATATGCTGCGTATCAGAGTCAAGAGCGTCGGCTGGAGACTGGAATGCTGTGTAGCAACAGCCATTCGTACGCGGACAAGTTCGAAAGGATATGTAATTGGTAACGCAGAAACACCTATATCCGCAGCTCAGAATGGTTTCAGCTTCTTGAAAAAGATCTTACCAGCGATAGAACCAGCTACAAGCCTCCGAAAAGTTGTTTGGTCGGAAGGGGTAGGCATAAGGATCTAATTATGTTGTGAGAAACAGTCTAGTTTACGGCTACATACATACCTTGGAAGCGGTGTCATACACCGTGTAACCAAGGGCTGCATGTGGGACAGCTCTCGAAAGGGTCAATGAATTCCCTCGATAAAGCGCCAGAAATCCTTGCGTCCGAACAATATGCTCTAGTGCATTGTACGCGCCGCGCCAACTACCTAGGTATTCGTCAGATTAATCTTTCACGAGACGACAATTAGCTAACATACCCGAGAAACGGGTGAACTCCCGATTCTGCGTTTGAAATAGAATCTTGATACGTTCGAGAGGCGCGACGGCGGTCTTTGCCTGTAGTGACAGTCAGGATTATTGCTGGAAATCGAGAACCGAGTCAGTGACGTACAACGCCGCCAGCAAATCCCCCAGCGAGAGCGGATCTGATGTAATAATCTGTTTTTGATATTTTCGTGTTCATATTTTCCAACTACGGCCTTTCCATTTGAGAGGAAATGATTAAAGCAGGACCATCATAGGCTGAAGGAACATGGTGGAGGCAAGAAGCCAGGAGGGGAAAGCCGATCACCCTACGTACAAATTTAATGCTTCGTGTACCTTTTCTTTCCGGCCCTTATGAAACCAAAAAATGAGCCTGATTATATGTTGAGTAATTCGGAGCTGGATGCTGTTCCGACTTGAAAAAAATACGTACATTCTCCTCATTGACTCTTGACTGACTCCGCGGCTTAAGAGGAATTAGGTTAGTGCTAGACGACCCGAAGTACTGGCAGCATACCAACTCACAACGGCATTCTCGCGATTGAGAGTAGAAGGCATCAGCTACTGGCCCCACCTCGGGTTTCCTGTTGTTCTTTTCTGTCTCCAGCGGACGTTTACATCTATTGAATTGACCCCACTAAACGGTAGAGAGCCTGATGCGTGAGCGCGTTGGTAATCATATCTAGCTATCTACTGCAATGAACATTAAGCGGACCCAAAATATAGATAATGTAAGGTACTAATGGGAGTATAGTGAATTGAACTCTGATGTTTGTATCCAGACTCAAGCAGGGAAGAAGCTACTAGATAAAACATTGATCAAGATAAGGCGGTTGCTTAGCACATTCAAGGGTGAGATGCGGCGTCCTTAGCTCCTTCAACCACCTCAATAAACTCCGTCCAGATATCCCTTGAATGATACGTCGTCGATATATGCCCACCTGGCACCCACTTTAACCGAGAATTACGGTAATTCTCTGCTAGCCATTTTGCCATGTCTGGGCCCAAGTCGTCTTCCGACGAAGCGACGATGAACAAAGGACGTCGTGTATGTTCTTCGCTAAGAGAATCAGGGCGGAAACCCCAGTCTGAAGAAAGAACATCAGACATTTCCATGAAACCTTCCGACGTCTTCGCCATGCTTGAGACCGCATCTTCAGCCGTCTCCCGCTCCAGCTGTCCCTCTGGCACCCCTTCTGTTTCCTTCCATTTCAAAAAAGCCTCTCGTTCTTGCGCGCTAGCCCTGTCGAATAGATTCTTCCGGATGAAGGCTTCAGCTTTATCCACGGTCTTCAATTGCCATTTGGTCAATGTGGCCGCTAGACGGGGAACGAACCGCATTGGAACTGTCTGTGAAGGAGCACCCATTGATACATAGATGGGCCATTTCATGTTTTTTGCGTAGCCTTTGTGCCATCGAAAAGGGGAAAATGGTACTAGAAGTAGGCATCCTACAATCTTCCGACCTAGAGGGAACGTATCGAAGGGCGAACCATATAAAATTTGTGCAGGGACGCTGCCAAATGATCCTCCCGCAACGTAGATCCTGAGATTGTCGCTGTGGGGGTGGAGCTGATTTATCAACTCGGTAAAATCAGAAAGCAAAGTCGCGACATAAGGCTGGTTCTTCCGACGAGGTGTCGAGTTACCCCATCCCGGAAGCGTCGGCGTCACATAGTGAACTCCGAGGTCTCGAAGAGCGGACGACATGCGACTGGCTCTCCCAATTCCGCAGGTTCCATGAAAGAAGACGACGACAACGGAACTAGCAGGGTCGCCGTTGTCGGCATAAGCTAACGTTCTGCCGTCAGAGAGCGTCAGCAACTTTTCGTGTGGTTCTATCATAGGTGTGGTGGGAAAAGGGTCGAACTAAGCATTGGATGTACTTGTACTTGCCCTTGACAAGGATCGCCTTCAAGCTCCGAGTCCGCAGTTTCGCCGGCTCGTGCTCGAGGCGCGGCTAGAATGTGACCGTGAGGCTGTGCACTCGAGGCGTTCAGGAGCAGCAAGCTCAGCTGCTTCCGATGCCTGGTTTGCTGGCGAAATACACTGAGTGAAGGAAATGTTCGAATTCGTTGAAGATCGACCGACACGCGAATAAAGGATGGTCGTATAAATATGAAAAACCCAGGCGACGGTGAATGATCGCTTTGGCGGGACGCGGTCACGCGGCCCGTCCAGTATTTATCAAACCTTCGAATGATCAACGAAATAGTAACTCTCTTCCATGAATGGTGAGCATTCCTGAATCCCAGGTGGATATACATACGGATTTTCTCCAAGGAGAGGGTGTCAGAACGAGGGCTGCAGCCTGCGACATGGGAAACATTCTATCAACATAGCGAGGGCCGCGAGAAAACGAGGAATTTTCATACACAACCCGACAACACCATGAGATACTTCCTGAACGCATTTCCAATTTTTGAATAGAGATGGTGGATCAAAATCAGAAGTTCAAGATGCTTCGGGAGAGTGAAGAGTTGATGCCACACTGCTTGGTGAATGCCAAGGCTCGTGTGTGGGTAGCTCTCCCGATAACCGCAAACTCTGTGTACGAACAGTAGAACTTCTTGGTATCAATGTTCGCGAGGGTTCTCCCGCTGGAAGATTCCAGGGTATCACAGAAATCTGACAACGTAAGTGATATAGTTTGCGCTGAAAGACTCAAGCCTCATTGTATATAAGGTGTAGTTGTTGCTGTATTGTTCGGCCAAAAATCCGGTTGATGCGATGGGCAAGCATCAAATCTAATTCCAGACTTCCACAGCGTCAATACAGTTGAGTGTACGCAGCGAAACACTTCCCCCCCGATGCCGTGAAAGAAGGGCATCGAGGCAGTGCAAAGCAAGTATGGAACAGATCCTAAGTATACGACTTACGTTCAGGCCTTGATCAGTACAGAAACAGGTACCAGTGTCATAAATAGATACTATACATTACAATGAATCAAACTCTAGCTAGAGCACACTGGAAAATAGAGCAAAACGACTTACTCTATGAAGAGTGCTCGAATTTTGCAGCAGACAAAGGCGGAAGAACTTCCTCTTGCGAATAGGAAACTGCAGAACGTCTACGCTTCGCCTCTTCTTCGGTGTAGTCCCGCATTTCATGGGACTCAACATGGACGACTACGCCATTAATGTCAGCCTATACCCAATGAGCACTAGGTCCAGAACATATAGTATGAGACGCACTTTGTGACGTTCGGTAGAAGACATAACATGAGGAAGAGAATCGCCTTGACTACCAAATGTTGCATCTCCGCCAAACTTCCACCCCCCACGGGAGTTCAGGCTACTCATCATGGAGTTGGTGTACAGTTTGGAAAGCGGGAAGTTGAAGATGAGATGGGTACCAGTAGGCTACATGAAATTTCATCGACCTATTAATAATCATCGCAATATCCAACGACTCACGTCCACCAAGTAGAAGATTAAATCTAATAGCGCGCAAACGGAGGTGACAAGACCGGTCTGCATTGTAACTGAGAGAACGATTTGAGGGACATGTAATCGTCTTGTGGAGTAGTCACCCACGGCGTATAAGGCGATCGACCAGTTCATCGGAGGCTCTAAAACCGGTTTTATGTTTTCTCTGGAATTATACAGCACACATGGCGATTAAAGCGCAAGCAAGTGGGTCCGGAGAACTTACCCTAGAAGAAAATACATTGAGAGAGGTGGTTTCAGGTCGATTAGAAAACTTACAGATGCCAGACCATGATGACAGTAATTAATATATCGGCGAAACAATCAGCAGCAAGCCAAAGAATCACGACAGACTGGTTGATAAAGTAAGAGATCGTACGGACATTTCATGAGGCACGCGATACCTTGAAATTGCGGAATAATGTGAAGCGAGGCTGGAAGCCTACTTCTACGGCTGTTGCTACTCCGCCGCCTCGTGTAAGGCGTAAGCGACGTTCAATAAGCAGCATAGTCGATCAACGTACTTCCTCCTGCTAGAGCAGCCAAAATTATGGTGACAACGAACCAATGGTTGTTGGTCAGGACTCTGACTCTCCACGCAAAGAACGCTTGAACCATAGCAGCGATGATACCCTAAAAGAAAAGTGGTTCAGTGCGTTCGACCAAGCGTCAGTAATCGACTGACCGTAAGAGCAGGATCTAGACAAGATACGAGGCAGTGTGATTATTGAATCGGCGCAAAAGTTTGAAGCGACTAACCTGTAGCAAAAACTAGGAATGGGTTCAGAAAAGGCACTTTCGTTAGCTCGATCATATGCTAATATGCTCACCCCAGTCGGCAGTTCCAAGAAATGCATCATCACCTGAACTTCTGTTAGCAATATAAACGTGTCAGTTGGTTATTGACTTGCCAAAGTGCACAATGAGAGACCTATACATGTACACAAAGTCGAAGACTGTGTTAAGGGTGTCAGCGAAAAATATTACGGCAACCTAACAACCTGTCAGGACTGGATTATCGTCATTTCAGCAAGACGATTACTGACATAGACCTTGATCCAGGTTTTGTCTCTGTGACAGAGTCAGAGAGGAGAGACCGAAAGAAAATGGTGGAGTAATATACTTTTTGTAGGTGACGTAGTAGAGGTAGACCTGGGTGATCATGATCCCGTAGAGAAGGACATTGAAGACGAAGCCAATGAGCATAGGTCCATGACTGACATGTCAGCGTAAATCAATGAGGGAATGAGAGAATGCAAAGGCTTACGCTACTTCTGCTGGTGTCTTCATGGCGATACAATCATGGGCGGATTAGACGATGCTCTCCAGACGCTCAGACCTATTTATGAGGTAGGTCCGGTAAGTTAACAGTCGAAATAGCTCAAGGTTTCCCAATATGTTCGGTACCGCTGCTGTGTTAGCTGATGAGGTCTTAGCTCCGAATTCGGGCGCTCACTGTCAGCTTCACAGTTTGAGTGGAGTAACCACAAACAGCACCTGACGAAGGAAGGTTAATTGAGGACTAAATTCAGACTCGGGGTAGTACACACCCAATGAGTATTTAGAAACTGTGTAACAGTTGATGTTGATGCGCCGATTACCTTCGTACCCGGAACTATACGCAGCGATGAATATCGAAACAGTAATAGGATCATGAAAAAGACTATTTGGAGACCTAATAAATCTAGCTAGACGTCTCGATAGCGGTCATAAATTGTATTCTGTCAAGGCAAAATAGAAGAAAATGAAGCAGTATGCAAGCGTTGTTCCAACTTGAAGGTGTTGACACCGATTCTTCAAGTTGATCTGTCAGACGTTGGTTAGAGTTTCTACTAAGACGAAACATCTGACAGGAAGCTAACCAAAAAAAAATTCAAAGCCAATGTGTCTGTGACTGTTTGTAAGCACTTGATTGCTGCATTCTGGTGTAGTTCAGAGAGCTCGTGGCTAGCGCTCAGCTTGGGCGGGGAACGCTGCCGAATCATCGGCCGGCTACACCCGAGTAAACAGAACCAAGCTACGCGTACGCGTTGAACAATGACCGTGTTGACGACGTCACAATCGTCTTGTCACAATGGACTGGGAGATTTGTCCAGTCACGCCTTCTTCTCTCCTCATTTCCTACCAAAGCCAGCTCCGCCTGTTGAAGTCATCCAGGCCCGCTGCCTTTCTACTCACTTTCTTGAGTCACTCGTCCTCTGCAGCGACGAGCACGCGCTCTAACTATGTCTCTTCCTACACCTCCCAGCACATCGCATCGCGCCGACAAAGAAAATCGTCCTATAGCCTCATCGTCGCGTGTGATATGGTCGCCTACCGACAAAATCCACCCTCTTTCTAATCTACCACGCATTCCACAAATTCGCAGCGCGTCCAGGGACCATCCAACGAAGTCGATCTTGAAGAAACCGACGCGTTTATCTCCTATTCCAGAGACGAGCAAGCGAGAGATCACCCCAGAGCCCGGCTCTCCCCAGGAGGACGACAAGTATTTGATGACACCGCTGTCGAAAATTGTGGCTTCTGATCCCCCAATGTCGGACCTCATCGAATCCTACTCGATCTTAACTGCAAGACTTCGGTCTTGTGTTCATGATCCGGATGAAGTCAAGTCATCGTGGCCTCTTTTCAACCCACTGAGAGACCACCGGGAGAAACTTGCCAATGCTATCGTCAGAGACGTAGGAAGGGCGCTGGTGGATCCTCTGGAGGGGGCATTGTCGGAGAAAGACCATAACAGAGCGTTCCTCCCATCACCGCAGAACAGTCCTAAGAAGAAGAAAGGAATGAACGCCGAACAGGTGAAATATGCTCGCGATCTGTGCACAACCAGCCATGCCGTCATCAAGCTTCTGGGTTTCGTTCTTACACTGCCACCTATTTTTGAGATCTTCACGGGTGCGTTGTTCATTTTTTTTAATGATAACAAGATGCTCAAGGCCGTCGATATAGACACAGAGCTGCGTTCTGTGCTGACAAGTGTCCTAGCGATACCACTTGCCAAAGAGCTTCCTACGCTATATACGCGCAAAACATGTGCGCTATCTATCTGGCTCATTCAAGTCCAGCGACTTCCTGCAGAAGTTCTCGAGCCCGCTGCAGATCGAATTGCATATGCGCTCTCACGTGGCATCGATGGAGAGTTAGGGAAAGAGGGTAAAAAGGGTTCTGCAAATGATGGGCTAAGGGTGCGTTTCTTCTTTGGTCGCTTTACAGTTGTCTGAATGCTCCTGCTAGGCCATCCATGACCTATCTTTGCACCAACCCTCAATATTTGTTCCTGCGTTTGCGAAGATTATTCCATCTGTCTTCACAAACCTACTTAGTCCCAGCATCGTTCTACGTGTGCAAGCCTGCCACGCCCTTGGAGGCCTTGCCTTGGCAAGCTCGGTCCTTCCCTCATCGGAAGTACACTCAGAACTTTCAGAAAGTGTCGCAACATTCCTCACAACTATCCCTCCTAAACCTTCACCATCCAAAAGTAAAGATTCTACTGTTCCTGCTGAAGCTCCCATCGTTCGAACGCTGCGAACAACACTTAGTGCCACAGACCCCTTACATGTTGCTCATGGACCGGTTTGGGGCCTTCACATCCTGGCCAGCTTCCTAACCCTGCTTCGTTCTCGGACCTACGATGATCAAACGGTATTCCATATCATCTCCGCCCTCTTTCAACTACCAATGAGACACAAGAAGAATTCTGTTCGAGGGCTGCTATGCGTCGTCTGGCGCGTCATTACCTGGGTCTATTTCCAACCTCGCCTTCCCCTGTCTGATGAATCAACTTCGAAGACTGGCTCTACACACCGACTAGTATCTTTGCGAGAAAATTGGTGGAAGTTCGTGAAGACGATCGTGTCGATGCACGCAGGCATTAGTTCCCTCGCCGCCTTGTTTGCTAGTGGCGCCGCCTCCGAGGTTATGGACCGGGCCGTTGACCTACTCGAGCATATGATCCTTAAGCGCGATTCGACCTTTAGAGACGCCCTTGCAGTTATGAGGCAGCTCATCGGCTTCGAGGCACCCGACGTCGAATGGAACTGGAGCCTTTTGACGCCGCAGTCACTGTTCTCCTCTAATCCCGGCCTTCTTACAGTCGACTTTAAGGCTTTGCAGACCGCTGTTTCCCCATTGTATGATGAATGTGCAGGTGTCCATGACATACGTTCTTTGAGCAAGGAGGACTTGATAGACGGTCGCATATTGACTGACTTTCTTTGACCTTTGGCGGAAAGGCATCGCATGCTTCGGTCTAAACGACGAAGAGACAGTAGTAAGATGCTTGATCCCTCTTATTTTTGAGGAGTTACTAATTTATGGATAGTCTGAAATCACATTGACTTGGAAGTATCTCCTCAATGCCCATTTGATCACACACGAAGGTATGTATATGCACCTATTTTATTCGTTCTGGCACTGAAACGTCACCTCAGAGTCTGAGTCCCATGCAATAAACTGAAGTGGCTCAAATGGCCATCGAACTTTGGAAGATATCCTCAAAGACTCAAATGCGATGGTGCATGCTCCTTCTCCTTCATCTTCTCCACTTAGTACCCCTGCCAAAAAACCTCCTTGCACTCCTGTTGCTCTCCACAAACTCAAAGTTGCTCAAGATCTATGGGCAGTCATACGCGAGTTGATTCCAAAGGATAACCTACGTGAGGCAAACCGTCTTCTCGCTTGTTTGATGAAGCATGAGGCTGACCTGACGGATGGCGACGAGCTTGTCAGAAAGGAGTGGGCTTCATTATGTGCTCAAGTCGCTGTGGTCTGCGAATTGGATGAACTCAAAGCTTTCTGGTCATATGTAGTAGACGCAGAGATACCCGCATGGAAGTGGAATTGGTCTGAAACCGTTAGGAGCATCGTCTGGAAAGCTTTCGCCGACGCCTGGCACCAGGAAGGCACTTGGGAGAGCATCATCGTCCTCCTAAATGTACCATTTTTGTGAGTCCTATCTCTGGTGCCTAAGCAGGAGATTAACGCATGTTTTCAGGCGCGAACACATTTGGGATCTAACCGATAAAGACTTCCGGACCTGGGAATCCCTTCTCGGCGTTGGCGTAGAAAAGGCATTCGACTATGGCATGGATGCTTCTGAGTTCATCGACTCGGTCGCTGCAAGTGTCTCCCAGAACCTGGACCCCACTGTCACGTCAGCGACAAGGATAACGGATGCCCTTATATCTCGTGTGGACATGTCAGACGTTCGGCAGATACCTGCATCACTAGTTGACCTTGTCAATGAGACACTACGAACAAGTTATCCTCCGGAGCCGAGCAATATGACGACATCGCTGTGGATGGTTAGGTCCATGCTTCGCATGCTAGAGACCTGTCCGTCCGAATTGATCTCTAGTATCCTTAATGCCTTGCAAGAAGGGCTGTCTTTGTGGATATCGGATGAGTTCAAAGCATTCAAGCCATCGGACTATTCTGGCGATGTAAGCTCCGCTATCTGCGCCATACTTCTTCTGTTCTTACTCTCCATAGATCCTGTCGTTGTATGAAGTGGTTCTCATGTCCATGCAAAGCCTTCCGCACGACCTCGAGAACCTTGCACACTTCGATGCACTCATCGAAGCCGCTTTTTACGGACGCGAAGATAAACCTCAAGGAATATTTGACGCCTTCACCGATTTCTGGCAGGAAACATTCTCGATGAAGATTCCGCTGAGCGACTGGCCTCAAAAGGTTCGAGCATTCTTCGGTATATGCGAACCCCCAGTGGGAGCAGACCTAGTCGAGGGGATATTGCATGATGCATCTCCTTCAAAAGAAGTCGAAGAAACGTCTCTCGGGTTGATTATGTTCACAACTCCTCCCTCATCTCCCATTCGAACCCCTGCACGCCCTCACAAATCTCCAGCAGCGTTTTCCCGACATACTGACATCATGCTATGCACCCCGGAGTCTCCTACCGTTTCCGGGAGAGTTTCTCGTCGATCAAGCGCGAGCAAGAAAGCTGAAGTCGGTCGACAACAAAGAGAATGTACCACTCAAGACGCCATCCACACGGTCTACCAAAGGCAAACGTCGTTTGTCAAGCGACGGGAATGAGGGGCCAACGCCAAAGAAACGCAAATCTAGGCATGCGGTCAAGGGATCTCCAAGTAGTGAAGATGAGGACCGCGAAACTCTGGCTGTGTCGTCGCCTAGTTCCGACGTGTTTTCCTCTGGTGGCTCAAGTCCGGGAAAAAGGAAAAGGATTATCATGGAATCCGTTGAAGTTCCAACATTGAGAGAGGTTATTCGTAGGCGGTTGGCCGGGACGCCGAAAAGCCTTGGTTTGTCACCTTCAGGATCATTCGATGACATGCTCTTCCGTGAGACTGGAAGGAAGCATTCGAGTTCTGGGCCCAACGGTAGTGGTACGTTTTTCTATTCTTTGCGTGAACATGACTAATCGTGCATACAGACGACTCTGTTTCCTCCCCCACGACAGAACCCGCTTCCTCTGATGATGATCCGCATTATGGGCAGGTCACTCCCCACCATCTCATTTCACCTGACATCCCATCCCGCCGGAGTGAAGACGAAGACGACAGACACAACCATGACCCTCCCAGTGATGACTCGATTTTGTGTCCTAGTCCGACCAAAGACGTAATCCAACGACGACTACAAAGACGGTCGTCAGGGTCTCCAAAAACACTTTATTGATCAGGTCCGATTCATTCGCTTTGAACATGATCATTTGCTTTGTATTTTATCGCTTTAAATTATTGTCTTGTTCATTCTTCGTTACTTGCATACCTGTACATGTTCAAGCTGTAGTTTTGTTCTACATTTTTTGGTCTAGTCAATTTCAATCAAATTCGCTGTAGCGGATGTTACGGAAGAGATTGACAAACAGAACCAATCATCAAGCTATTGCTTCCGCGGTAGCAACCGCCTCTTCTATGTACCACCACTAGTGCTCTCCCTCTCCCTCTACATTCTATCCTCTCATGGCTGTGAAATTCAAACAGTCTAGCACGTTTATTATCTTCTCCCGTGTGCTCCGGCTCTGCTTGATACTGGACCACTACTCATTAGTGTTCGATTTTAGGACCCTTTAACGAAACTGCGAATCGCAAAGTCTTATTCTGGAATGAAGATCCCAAGAAGGATCTTGTTTTCAAAGCCGAGGTTGAAATATCTAATCCGAAGGTACTATCTAGATTCTATAGGACTGGAAGGACGTCACATAGACCGGTTCACAGGGCCAAGAATACACTATCACCCCAAGCACGGGACGAGTCGAGCCCAATAAGAGCATCAGACTTACATGTACGGTCGACTTAACTCCGATATGCTATCTCGGAGGTGAATCGATGCTCCAGTGACGAGGCATGCCATGACAGAAGACCCCGGACCGTGCACAGACTTGTTCAAACTCAAGAGCTGTCTCATCGCACCGACCACGAAGATCAAAGACTTGGGCTCATATGTACGTCCATCTGTTGCCTCTGCGTTCTTCGTTGATTGGTTTGTTTCAGTGGGATGGGAAACGCAAGAGTTCAAGCGAGGTACATGTTCAACATCTGCGGTTGACTTGGCTGCAGGATCCAAATAGCGAAGCAGGAAATGCCGTGAAAGTGGAACCTGAAAGCGCCATTGTCATTCCTAGTGGGTTTGCCCGTTGTTAATGATGTTCGTCTTTGTGTTGATATATTGTGTAAGCCAATGCCCAGATCCACGCTATCCCAAGTGGTGGCTTTGAGATTCACAACCCAAGATCCAATTGGATCTTGTACAGACTTGTGGTTACGAATAAGGTGATTCACTCCTGCTCTCTCTCTCTGTCTGATCGCGTGTCCAATATCTTCAGGGTTTCACGTTCACAGATCCAACTGAAGGGCTGGTTCGGCCTTCGGAGACACGCGAATTTCAAGGTGCGCCTTATGGAACTCATCGAGACTGCGTGTTGAGATAAGCATGTTCAGTTCGCTGTCGTGCTGGAACTTATTTGAGACCCCTGGATAAACTTGTGATATTAACCGCGGAGCTACCCTCAAGTGTTGACGTGACCCAACTAAAACAACTAAGACGCGTATCAGATATTGTAAGTCCCTTGTCAATGAAACACCCTTCGGGACTAATGTTCCTAGTGGCTCCATGAGAGGAATCTGGGGGTCAATCACCATACACTGAGGGTTGTAGAGGGCCAGGTACAGAAGGAGTCGAGAATTGAAGATGAAGAGGCGGAGCTGCTTATGGACTGTTCGGAAGAAGAGGAACTGGGTGAGTTGGATATTCACGACGATGATATTAATGTGAAACGATCGAGCTGGTTATCAAAAGCGATAAGTAGATTCCGTTGAGTTATGTTTTTGTTGACTGGGATTCGCAGAATGAACGCATGATAATGATTATATATTTTACGGAGTGCATGCCTGCAATGTTTTTCATGCGTAACATTGGAAACCACTGTATGAACACCGAGAACACCGAATCAAGTCCGATCAGCTCTCTTCATCGATCGAAGTTCGAACGTCATGGCGCTACTGGCTAATCATCACAGCTCCTTCCTTTGCATCTTCTCCTCTACCCACCATGTCCAAGCAACTCCTCAATACCCCGTCTAAACATCCTTTTTCTCTCTCTGGTCTCGCCGACAAGACTTGGAATTTTCTTTCAGAATTCCGCTTTCCGTACGGCATGGGCTCCTCTTACTGGCCTCGCTCAAATGGCAACCATGTCGTGCGCAGTGTTCTCTCTTACTTCTGCCTATAGTAACGTGTGCCATTTTATAGGTTAATGCAGCGTGTCAACAAAGGCAGCTTTCGTGTGCTGACCTACACAGGTGTCCATACGTTCCCCCACGCGGGCCCCAAGAGCCCTGCAGAACGTACTGCAGAACTTCGTGTTGTTAACGACGTCTTTTGGATTCGTCTTTGCACCATGGGAGACCTCGGATTTGCTGAAGCCTATATGTACGGCGACGTCGAGTGTGACGACTTGGTCTCTCTGTTCCACGTACGTATACGGGCTTCTGATCGGTTCTGCATCAACGTTTACAACTCTTAACGACCCAAGATATTCTTAGACAATAGGGATAACCTCTCCAACATGAACTCTAAAGCATCGTATCTATTCACCTTACCTCAAAAAATTACATCATATCGATTCCTCAATACCATTAGCAACTCTCGTTCCAACATATCAGCGCACTATGATATCTCGAACGACATGTTTGCCGGTATACGTTGATTATACTCCGTGTCAACAAAAGTTGATCAATCTTATGTTTGACAGGCTTCCTATCCGAGGACATGACTTACTCATGTGCCATTTTTGAAGACCTTGATGGTGACCTGAAGAGTGGTGCTGATCATCGGCTTTTTAGTGGTGCTGAAGGCCTTCAGCGGCTGAGCTCTGAGGAGCAAATGCCCACGGAGATCATAAACGATCGCCTTCTTATGTCTGAGAACGATCCGCTTTACCGTGCGCAGATGCGTAAGCTCACTCACATCATCAAAAAAGCGAAAATTATGCCGGGTCATAGAGTGCTCGAGATTGGAAGTGGCTGGTGCTCCATGGCGATTCTCATTGCTCAGACTATACCTGATACGACCGTTGATACCTTGACGCTGTCGGTAGAGCAACAAACACTGGCACGTCAACGAATCCAGGAAGTTGGTCTACAAGATAGAATCTCGGTCCATCTGATGGACTATAGAAACATGCCCGCAGAGTGGGAAGCAGCGTTTGACAGATTCATCAGCGTTGAGATGATAGAGGCCGTGGGAAAAGAGTTTTTGGTAACATACTGGGAACAAGTCGATTGGGCATTGAAGAAGAAAGGAGCTGTTGGCGTTGTCCAGGTTATAACAATACCAGAAGCTCGTGAGTCCGTTGTTATGCCAGCCGAATTTAGGCTGATCTATGTTCCTCAAGGATTTGAACGTTATATGCGCGAAGTTGATTTTATACGCAAATGGGTAAGTCATTACCAGGGTGAAAGTTCCCCGCAGCTAAGCTCACGAACCGTTCAGAGTATGCCCGTTTCTCATAATTTTGTATGAGTATTCATATCGTGTCTTGCGTGCAGTTTTCCCCGGCGGGTTTTTGCCGACCCTGGTTCTTCTCTTTGAAACCCTGCAAACAGGTTCGAATGGGAGCCTCATCGTAGATTCAGTCAGCAATATCGGACCTCATTACGCACGAACGTTACGTGAATGGCGGAAACGCTTTCTTCTGGCCTTTGAAAGCAAGATTGTCCCTGCGTTACAGAGACAGTATCCCGACGTCATGTCCGGTCCCAATGGCAGGTCTCAGATTGAAGTCTTCAAACGAAAGTGGATATGTAAGTAAAAATTGTCTATGCCAGAAACTGTTCTAACGTTTGTTCAATCTCGCGTCCTAGATTATTAGTAAGTGTTCTTTACTCACAGCCTTATCCGCAAATCTCATCTGCATAAGTTGCTACTGCGAAGTAGGATTTACCACCCGTACGCTAGGCGGTACGTTCGCTGTACATCTTTTGAATTAATCTTATTCACATTACCACAATAGATCATATAATTTCCTTTACACGAGAAGGATGCCAGGAGTATGGGTGTGATACATACGAGTAGCTGATGTATAGTGATTAATTTGATGAACACCATTTAAGACGTTGCCATACATTTATAATGTGATATACATTGCACAGGTCTGGCTCCAGTTATTGAACAGAGGAGTTAAAGCATTTCCCCATCTGCTCAAGTATCCTTCCTACTAAGAGTGTGAACCAGGTGCTGCGCCTCCATCAAAGCTTCTCTCTGCATGGGAGCGTCACCGCTAAAGGCAGTGCACGCCCGACGCAGAGCATCTAGCGCAGCAGGAGTGCTCGAATTAGCCGGCGTGGTCTGATTGCGCCGTAGTGGCGGTCGGTCTTCAGCTGAGGATGCCGGAAGAGGTTCGGTAAGATGTCGCCCAGCTAAAGGACGAGGTGTTTGAAATACACGTGAAGAACCTCGAAGAGACGTGTGAGTGCAGGGATACAAGACACCGGGAATAACTGACTGGGTTTCAATGTCTTGGAACCAATGAAGGGCGAACCTATGTCCTCATGGCCATGATCATCAGAAAATTCTCCAACAACCACCGACATTTCAGAAAGAGCCTTAGGCATGGACAGAAATGAAACTGTACCTGCTTCGGCATGCTCTTCATAAGCGTCATTAACGATGGGTGCCTCCTCATCTAAATCCATAGAGAAAGAATCTTGGGAGGAAGGCCCAGGTGTCATCAATTGGCTCTCACGACTTCTATGTGCCGTAGACGCGGTGTATCGTGGGATGACAACACCCTCAAAGACTTGCTTCCTACTCGCACCTGGAGGCGAATATGGAAACGCTCCAGCACCAGCTAGAATCTTCCGCTTCTTTGCTTGATTGTCACCGTCTGAGTTTGAAGGACTAGAACGTTTCAAGGAGGGCAAAAATTCACGAGGCTCAGGAGATGGCGTAGCGGGCGCTTCAGTTCCAACAGGGCTAGACTGAGGGGGTAAAAACGGAAGTGGAGCTGCCGGAGAAGAGGATACGTTTGATGATCCTGCAGGCTCAGGATATTCTTCGAGATAGACAAGCCTCGGAGTGCTGTTTGAAGCCCGACCCCGCCGGGAGCTATCTAATGGTATAGAGTGCCCACTGTGCGGGTCCGAGTCAGGTACGATAGAACAGGGCTGAGGAACGTTGAAAACATGTCATGAGCTATCGCCTAATCTCAACTTCTGCCACGTACGGTAAACTGTGATTCTGGGAGGCCATCACCAACAAGCTGGCTATTGATATCGTTTAGAACGGACAAACATTTCACGATAGGTGGGGGATAACGCCCATAGAATTCTTTGACGTCCCGGTAGGTGGCGCACCAAAACCTTGTAAAGGCGGCCGGCCCGAGGCCCGAATGATCGTGGCAGAAGCCACAAGCGAGAAATGCGGACAGTTTATCGAGAACAGAAATCGATAATTCGTGCTTATGCAACATATCAAGTGGCCGGCAATACAATTGACGTATCTGAATGGATGCATATGGCATAACTTAGACACCGAATGGAGCCAGAGACCGGAAGGGACGTACCAGTTCTTCGTGATCGGCGGAGGAGAGTATGTTAGATTCATCTGCTATCCATAATTGGAGAGACTGCTGGAAGGATGTAACAATGTTGAGAATAGAAGACGAAGACGGTATCATCTGGCCGAGAAAACGTAAGGTTTGAAGGCATAACGGTAAAGCATCAGCAGGAGGGGGGTAAAGGGCTGAGAGATTTTCATCGGCGACTTGGAGAACACGGTTGGACAAATCGATAGTGCCTGCAGTAATGAAAAGTGTCAAGAACTGCTTCGGATCGATATACGACCTGTGTTGACTGAGTTGTAATTGCCGGGAAGTTGCGAGCTCAATTTCACCACTTACTTAGAATAATTATCCTCGAGAATATCGGACACTAATTTACTCGATGAAACAGCTGCCTTAGATGTCGTCTTGGAAAGAAGCTCTCGCCATATTTCGAGATCATTATTTGTCGTCGGCCATTTCCTGGGAATCGTATGAAATTGGTGGCCTAAAAACAGCCGGGATAAGACTCACCCAAAAGACACCTTCAACAAAGTAACGAGGACATGTTCCGAAAGGAGATCGACATCCTTCCACTTGCGAGCTAGAACACGCCACAGCCGCATTGTAACACCCGGTTCGGAGCTCATGATGTCTCCTAGAATACCGAATTCGTTGCAACGAGAAACATCTAAGGAAGCCGCCAAGTCCTCGCAAAGGTTTGCCCACGCTGAGTGGAGATCTGGGGTGTCTGCAGGACACTGAATTGCAAGAATCTTCTTCAACAGATCTTCTGCAAGCCCGTGGAGCCAGGGATCAGAGAAGACGTTCTTGGCTACTGACCATAGGCTAGAAACGAATCTTAGTGACCGAGTAAGTGCCTCGACACTTCCATTGGGTCCTGACGTTGGAAGAAAGCCGGACATGGTGCTCAATACCTGACCTGTGAAGCCGGACGATGTCGTCAGGTGTACTCCACCCTGTGTTAACTGTGTTTGGACTAAAAGCAACGACTGCCAGGTCCCGATGAGATTTTTCTAGATGCAGAAAATTGCAGTCAGTCCCAGACAAATAAAAGAACAAATTATAAAATCAATCAACCCACAAGTAGAGCAGTATCGGGGTCCCGCAAGACCGCAGTAGATGCGGTTATCCAGATATCGATCAAGACGTCCCATTTCCGGATAATATCCTCTTCGGAAAGTTGCCAGAGTAAATGAGGCGATTGCTTGTTCATCGCCTCGACAACAGATGAAATAGTCTTTGACGTTGCGTTTAGTATGGTACCATCGAGGAGCTCTAGGGGTAGATAGGATTTGACGGCCGGAATGTCTTTTCCCGGCAGAGATGACGTTCCAATGGAGCCAAGCACCTGGCTCAAGAGAAAAATACCATCGGCGCGTGTCGGGACATGATCACTAGACACCATCTTTTCAAGGACCGACAGCGCTCGCGAAACGCCTTCGGTGGATCCATCCTCAGCGTTAAGTACGGCAGCCATGATGGCCTCCCCGATACCGCCTTTCAGCTCTTCTTGAACGACAAGAAAGGCCTTCTCAACAGTTTCTTCGGCCCGGGGGGTATCCGACATTGTCCTCATTTCAAGCACAGACGAGAAGGCCCAGACAAGGCACTTCCAAACAATAGGCTGAAGTCTTTTCAGCCGTTGCTGTGAGGGGGCTTCTGAAAGCGTCTTCACGAATAGAACGATCGACGGACGATGCGTTAGAGCGCCATAGTCGGATAATACGATGAGCGAGGAAATAGCGACTAGCGACCACCCGGGGTTCTGTGTTTCAACCGCACGTTTGGGACTGAGAGCAGTCCTGATGTCCCCCAACTCAGACTGCTTAGCTGTTAGTGAGGAATACTCAGCGATGAAGTCGCGGATCTTGGCTGCGATAGACTGGAAATCTTCCACAAACGCTGAGCCATTTTCGAGTTTTGCTGCGGCGAGACGGCTTATAATGCGGGTAACGAGCAGCCGGTATTCAAAATTGGGGGCGAGCAGGAAAAGAAGAAGGTTCGAGAAGAACGGGAGAAGCGAAGGCGCGATTTCGGCCTTGTAGTTGGTGACGAGCTTGAGTATTATCTTGGGGGGTTGTATTAGCATGATTGAATACAAACTTGAAGTAATAGTAACCTTCAAACTATTGGTACGATTTTGGCTCTTCTCGGTACCACTACTGAGCGCCTGCCTAGCAAGTATTGCCACTGTGGGGGCATACGGGCTAAGTACATCGGGAGGCAAGGTCTGACTGCTCAGTATCCATAATATAAAGTCGCGGACACGCTGAGGGTTTGGAGAGGGAAGTTTTTGCGCCAGATATACTGGTGTGATCTCGCCTAAGAGGGATCGGAGCTCTCCAGCTGTCGACAGATCAGATAATTCACACACATAGGCAAAAGGCCTACCTGTGAATTGTTTATATAGAGGCCTCATAGAAAATATATCCGACAATAGTCTCAAGGTATTGTTAGTCAAGGAATAGTACGCTTCCAAGGCTGTCAGTGCTTGTTCGTTTGTTGGTGTCTTCAAGCCGGTGAGAGCTTCCAGGGAAGGTTCAGTCAATATAAGCTTGATGTCTCTTCGCATAGCTTGAACTATTGATGATGAGGCCTTGCGGATAACGGCGAGAGAGGGATGGGCTTGGGTTTCGTCGTTGATAGCATCTGCATCGGTGCGGATCCTATTAGCAAGTTCGGTATAAGCTTCATTTAGATCCGTGTAAGAAACTTCAGCTTGAGGGCTTAAAGACTTGACAAGGGTCGATACTGAAGAGTCGTAATATTTCCTAGGATTAGAAAGGGGCGAGGGTGGCATAGGAATTGTGGCGCAACTGGAAACGTCTTGATCTTGTTCTACGATCCCGGATTGAGGAGTAGAGTTGAATGGTCGCAGTGTAGAAGATTGTTCGTGAGGTTGTTTCAACAATGGCGGGGGAGTATTGATGGGGATGTTCTCCTTGTCGAGAGACTTGGTAGAAACAATACGCATGTCAATTGGGGAGTATGGTAGCAGCGGAGAGGGGGTTGGTAGATGAGGGGGGAGTTTTATTGCACTAAGGCGCAGTAAGCGACGGTTTTATTCAAAAATTGGATGAATGCTGACCTTTATGTGGCTCCGGGATGTGAAGAATGAACATATAATAATATATATGTGAGACACGACCACCTCGTCAATTATGTGCAGAAAAGAAACTATGAACAATGAAAAAGACAATACCAAGACATGGGTATATCGACTTGCTGGCAGTACGAGGTCAGGCCGCCATCAAGCCGCGCAATAAACGAAGACCGACATCACGTCACAGTCGCGCATTTAGTCACGTGCCATATTCTATTTCTGGATAGTGTGTGACAAGTCGTCTCACCATTTCGAAATTCATTAGCAGCCGAACGTTTCCAACCGCGAGCAACAATTCACCAACAGTTCTCCATTTTTGATATGACAATTTTTTCACCATGTCTCGCACAAGTATTACCTGCCAAATTACTTGATAATGAAGTATTTCTGTCAGGCAAAACCGATCAATGTTTAATTCTATTAGGTGTGTCACTGTCCCTTCTTACCCTTCCAACCATCATTAGCACTTTTCAACTTGGAACTCACGCTGGCCATGATGTTTCAATTTCTCGCTTTCTTCATTGCTACTCTTTACGCTTTCGCCGTTCTCAGTCTTCCTATCACCGCTGAAGCTGCCCGTCTGCCTGCTGTTTATCGTTCTGAGCAACGCGACCGCCCTGCGATATCCCGCCGAGATGTATACAGTCCGAAAATCACGAATCCTACTGCTTGTACGACGTGGTTCAACGGTTCGCGTGTTTCTGTTACGTGGTATATCCCTTCTCGCGCCGTCTATCCATTAGGCTTATTCCAAGACACCGTTTAGGGATACAAGTAAACCACCGCAAAATATCACGAATGAGGAAGGGAAAATCGTGCTGGGCTTCATTAATGGCCAAGATGACTGACGAGCACCTGAATATGTGTATGTACCTTGCTATGCTCCGTTCCGTGTACCATCTCTAAGGATTCTCCTACCTCTTCTTTACCTAATAGCTAATCCACTCGCCGAAGGGTTTGATATCATGGCTGGTACCATATCATTCCTTGTGCCCGACGTAACGCCTGGACATGGTTACATCGTCGTCCGTGAGTTGCCTTGGTGCCTTGGTTCTTTTAGCCTTTCCACTTGACTCATGTTCGGGCTTTTCAGTCTTGGGAGATTCTGGAAATCGCAGTCCTGAATTCACAGATTAGCGCGCAGGCTGAGGCTAGTGACGTGCTTGAAGAGGCTACCTGTGCAGTGGGAATCTAAGGGTAACGCTGTGCTCTAAGTAACGACAGTGATCCCGATATTGGAGCTGGATGAGCTAGTTGTCTTCGTCGATGCACTGTTGATCGGACTCTCTGCCTCCGTGTGACCACCTGCTCGCATTCATTGGAGCGTATGAGATTAGTGGTACGACTCTAGACAGCTTCTCTGTGCAGGACCGCAAAGCATCTCTATACTGAATACTGCTAGCATGCTGTTGGTCGAGAATCACTCCGGGAACTATTCAAATTGCCTACTCGACAATACCGCCTGCGGTGTTTAGTGCCTGATAAAAGTGATTTGCAGTCAGCAGTCTCATTCACTCTCCGTTGTAGAGAAGTATGCCTATCGTCCAGAGCGCTGGCCTGGTCTGCTCTATGTACCTTGGCGATAATTCTGAATGTATTCACTGACAGATTCTTGCTTCAATATTGTGCTCACGGATGTCTACCGTCAGAAGCAAAGTAGTCTTCTTTTGATTCTACGCCGAGCAGCCTAATACGGCAAAATGCGTAATATTGAGAAGCGCGACTGAGTATAAATGGGCTGACCAGTCGATCTACAACTTTACCTTGCCCTTTCACCTCCTACCACCACCACCGTCTCAGTGAATCCTCACTCAACCATGTTCTCCTTCATTACTGTCCTTTTCGCCTTTTTCCTCGCCGTCGTCGTCGCCTATCCAACGTCCAAGTCGCAGGAGCTCATGGTCTGGAACCCTACTATCACCTCGCCCACCTCGTCCACCAATTGGTGCGCTGGCACTCAACATAATGTAACCTGGGGTACGCCATTCTCCTCATTGAGCGTATTTCTATAGCGCCAACATGTTGCAGACACGACGGGTATGCCTGAAGATGTGAAGAACACCACAGGTCTGCTGTTGTTGGGACACCAGACCGAAGACAGCGAGAATCTTGACATCCGTAAGCCTCCGTCATCTCCTTGTGGGCATTTGCTAACGTCGTCATGTACGTTGCAGACCGTCCCTTGGCTGCCAACTTTCCTCTGAGTTTAGGTTGGGTAATGTGTACAATGCCGAATAACACCGCACCTCGGCCAGACTATATGGTCGTTCGTAAGTTTTGCCACCTTGGAACGTCTAGCTACCTCATTCTGACTATCCTCTGGCAGTCTTTGGAGATTCTGGGAACACGTCGCCTCCCTTTAACGTTACCCAACCTCTCACCCAGTGAAATCATCTATCTTACCTTCGGGCTCTTCAACGGGCTTTATTAATACTTCCAAAGAAGTCTTCTTACTAGTCACAGGTTTCGCTTTATTGGACTAATTACCTACTCACTCTAGTCAGCGTTTGCATTCGTAGTTAATACTTTCTTGCACAGTTTTCGTCTCTGTTACATTTTCAACTTTTCTTTTGTCCAATGTCATAAGTAGTTTTGGGTTGCAATCAAATACAAATCAGGGTATTATATCTAAGTTGCTCCCTTCTACGCATTCTTAGTCTTGGTCGGAACTTGAGCGCGTACTGCCTTCGCAATATGGGAGTAGGAATCAACCATCAGCCAAATGGGTATCAAGACCCAGCTAAACAAACAGCAATTAGAAATTTCCGGCGCCCACAGGGAAAAGAAACAGGTACATCAGATTCATGAACTATTCAGACGCGTCAAAACGCAAGTCAGCCAAGATTAGTCCCCGAAAAGAGATAAGATAAGCTTGCCACAAGATAAACCCATAAGTGCAGGGCATTCGAAGTATTCAGATTCGGACTTCCGGTAAGCCATTCCGGGCAAAAAGTCATCCAACTAAGGTTCGTGTAAGTGCTTCTGTGACATCGGAAGCGAACCACAACCGACGTACCCTCCATACAATTCGGCAGTGCTCAACACTACTATCCAGTAATGCCTCGCAGGGTCATTAGAGACAAGCTGCTTCAGAATGTAACAACAAAGCGGCCCAGCGCCTAATACGGTGAGAATTTCCAGCGACACGACTGTCGGTTCCGAGAATCCCCAACGGAAATCAGCCTTGGCATATTCCTTCCCTAAAAGCCAGGGACATTGGAGTTTCACGGAGAAAAACGAATGGTAATAGTACGCACACATTTCCGCAAGGGGGCCTTCGCTCAGGTTAACCTGGCGCCCGAAGGTAGAGTAGTACAGGAACGACCCTTCGTATAGGAAATGGATCAATGCGTCAAAGGCCTAGAAGGAAAAACGACATTCATTTCGGGATTATGAGGCGCAGCAACCAATTCAACGCTCACCAGCCACACGAAGGTGAATCGGTCCTTGAAGGTCGCATTCTGCGGTAAGAGGGTCTTGGCACCCGTGTAAGCGGTCAACGCGATTCCTGCCACTCCGGCAAGGGAAAACAAGGACGTTGTAGTGAACAAGTCGCTTGCGGACATCGTGTACTTACTTTTTTACTCAGTGGTGCGAGACGGAGTTGTTTCTGCGGTCGTGATGCGGGGAAAAGTGTCACGATTTTTCGGAGTCCCAAATGGAGTTAGTGTTCTGTACAGATAATTCTGTGGAGATGGATAGATACCGTAATGACAACTGGCGCGTCTCGCGTCTGTACTTTCCCAAATGCATGTACATAATACGGTGTTCATTAAACCTACATTAAAAGTGGCGATGTATATAGAAGAACTGATTAAAAAAATCCAGTCACAAAAAATACATAGAAACACAAACTATGAAACGCGTCGAAGGCAATAGGTCGACGTCTTATCACTTAACCGTTCTTCCTTCTAATGTTTGGACAATATACAAGCTCCTCACATCACGACATCCCCCGGACCACGGACAGGAACAGGGGTAATAGCCACATCACTGTCAATTGTAACAGAAGAGTTGTATGTCGAGCCTTCTGATTGCCCGGCTCCTTGAGCAGAAGCGAGAGGAGCCCCCGGAGACACTTCTGTCGCCGACAGAGCACTCGATCCCTCCGAAGGCGCAGGAGGAGCCGCTGTCGGTCCGGTCATCTCTGTTTGAGGGCTTCCGAAAATATGATTGACTGCGAACCAATATTAGAACGCCTTAACAGCCAACGGTAGCAACTTACATTCTTTAGCGTGATCTAGAAACAACAAGGCACATTAACCCGAGAATCCACGGTCAACGATGTCGTTACTTACCAACATCCGTCTGACGAGAACACCGACTGCTATCGGGACAATCTTCCCTGCCGGGAATCTGGCCCTCTGCAACGCCCTTCTGTCTTTCTCGTAGCCACCAATCTTTCAGGCCCCACAGTAAAACCTCCGTCGCACAAGCTCTGCAGATTTTCTGACGCGGAGCTGCCGGATCAGGATCCGTCCCTGCGGCCACCGGGTGAACATCCCTGAAAAGTTCTAGCTTTAATAACGGTTGAAATCCATGGGGCTGTGATTGAATATGGGTGACGATCTGTCCATTGATATGTTTGAGATTAAATTCAAGATTGCAACAAAACGAGGCAACAAACATCACGGTATATGTTCTTCGGCATTATCCTGCGAATGGCAAGGTAATCCAGCATGAAGTCGACTTCAATATGGTTGTCGTTGAAACATTCATAAACTTCGGGTGATTGAACAAAGTCGGTAAGGTCTGCCATTGAATGCAGTTGCTGAGCGGCCAAAGGTGCTGCAATGCATCGTCCCGGTACTCCGATCCCACAGAATGATACTTGACAAAAGTCGCATTTGGTAGTCGTAGGGGCTTGCAAAGCGAGTAGATTCTCACTGTACAGTCCCTTAGAGACAACAATGATTCTAAGGCACGAGACACTCACCAATTCCCACAATTAGCGTGGCCCGGAGGTGTACCCTCATCCAAGTGCCATGCATGTTCAGCGTCTGTATCGGGGTCTGGAACTGGTTGAGGGCAAGTGTAGCCAAACATGTTTCCTGGTGTACAATGTGGGCATGGACGTGCATAGTCGCTCTGGTTGAGATTCGGTTCTGGGGACGCTTCCCGTGGAGGAGGAATCTAATACAAATGATGCATGCTAATTAGCAAGAGGTATGCCGTAACCGAGAGGGTACGCACGCGCATGGATGTCCCAGCACTGTATACTTCATCTGCCTGTTGTCGCTCGCGTTCTGCGCGAATTCTACTGGGTGCAGCACGCAGTAGGACGTCTATGACTGTCTGCAAAGGTCGCGAGGGGGTGACGATAGTAGAAACTCCACGGCATGCTGGGCAGTTGGTACCTCCATTCTAGATACTCAAGTCAGTCCAACGCATGCAAAGAACGAAGCCAGGATCCAAAGAAACGACATCGAGTGGCAGCGATGCGATAGCATTCCGAGTGCGTCGAAGAGCCATAATGAAAGAAAGAACAAGGAATGCCGTTTGGCGTAAGGGATTGTACTCACCCGAATCCAGAGCATGCAGCAACTGTGAAAGCAGAACAGTCAGTATCCATGATTCGTTGTCGATGTTCAATGATAGGCGTACCTTCCACAGAAGAAATGCTGGCAGGGAGAAACGATGACCGGCCTGTACAAGAGTTCGGAGCAACAACCACACTGTAGCTCTTGTGCTAATTCATCAACAAAGACAGCGCCGTTAATGGCGACAGCTTGGCTGGATGATTCATTGGGCGAAGCGACCGGGCCCGCCTCTATGCTCCGATTGTCTCCTTTGGCTCGCTTCCGACTGGTATCGTCTAGTAAACCCTCGAACGATGACGACGCCCTTCGCTTGAGTCCTTGACTCGATGGTGGTGGGACCACAGGTTCGTTCTCGACCTCCATAGTATCAGTAGCAGTGCTTGTCGGGTTGTCTTCAGACATGGGATCAGGTGCCGTCGTCGTACAACGTAAAAGTAGAGTAGTGAGTCGGTCACGCTAATTAACTCTTAATGCTAGATAGCCAAATCAGGCAATTGCATCATTTCTTCACCTCTAAGCTTCGAAATTCTATACCACAAAGTCCCATCCCGATAGTAAAGTGTACACGAAGAAATACAAGCAAAATCGTCCGTATATAGATACCTGAGTGTCCTACAAGATCGCATCGTTCGGAGGTGAAGGTAGACCGAGATTGATTTTAGGTAGAGGTGTAAGTCCGGCTATATAACACGCTCTGCTAAGCCGTTCCCGAAGACCATCGTACTTACGGCGTTGATCTGATAGGCGCGCACAATATTAGAGTTGTGGTGATCAGCAAAAAAATACTGGACTTACCCGAACACGGCCAGAGTGTGGTGAGACTTGAATCAAATCAAACGTATCAGTCTCAGCTCTGGCGGAAAAAAATTACGCACTAATCAATTGCAGGCAAAAAAGCTTTGCAAACATCCAGCGCAATTGTCAAAGAATTATCGTATTGCCATAAGGACAAGGCACTGATCGTCAGCGTTAGAATAGCTCCACGTAGAAGTAATTGATACGTACGACGACACTTGACTCATGAACCAGAACACAAAGAATGGCCTTCGTGCCAGGTGGTTGTTGGCGTTACCAGTGACAGCGTGTAGACCAAACATGTAACGTTGCGCAACGGTGGATTGGTGTGTCACTGGATTGCATAGGGTCGTCAACTCGTTCGGCTAAACGGTGAACAGGTCAAACACTTACGCCACTCTTCAGCCTTTTTGCGATGGATCAACCCATTAACATCCCTGGAAAACACCATTCAAAATCTCTCAAAAATAGGAAGATATATATCCTTACGTCGAAATGAGCGGAATGAAACGCTGGAATTCGTACGATATACACATTCTGGTACTGAAAAAAGGCAAAGGAGTTAGCATCATTTCCCTAAATCTATGAAGCATAGCGCTCACTTGAATATATATTCCCGTGCTTGGAAAATGAATGACCTCTCAATCGCACAAGTGTGTCGATTAAGATTGGCTTCAATAGCATCGGCTTCCAGCCAGGCTTTTACGGTAAACTGAGCTTGTTCAGCTTCTGTCGCTTCGTGGTTATGCCGCATTCGAACGCATCCATGCCACAAGAGAAAAGATCGATCAAATAATGCCCATATGGTATCCTTAGGGGTGTTATAAGAAAGAGAGGGAGACCGGGCCATCGATTCACCCGAAAACAATAGAGCGAACTGGAATCAATCGTTAGACTTTTAAATATAGGAACGGGCGACCACACGTACATTAGAGGGATCGCTGATGAACAAATCAGGTCCCTGGTGATTGTTAGCGTTGGCGTATGCGACGTGCCCTGCTGCGAGGCTCAATGCGCTCCAGCAGAGACGACGGCATGATTCCCTTCTGATATCACCCTCCGACCAGTGTGAATTCCAGGCCGGGGTATGAGCCCACATGGGTGCGTGTTCTAGGGTTTCAGGATAGTGTACCCCGAGGCTGAGAGAAGTGCATACACATTCTCCAGAGCTACTCGGTGGCGGTGAAGAAGAATAGTGATTATGATGAAGATATTCAGATTCTGACGCCGCTATATACGGAGTGTGGTAAGCCTGGTCAGTGGATTTCTGCGTAACTGACGGGACAGCCCCCGGCGTAAAATGGGATGCCTGGGGGTCATCTGCGTCTACGAGTGTTAAAGAGAGGCTTCGAATATAAGAGTCGAGCATAATGAGAGATGAGACAGACCGCTCCCTTGTGTGCTTGGGATGAGCGCAGACCTCGAATAAAGCGAGAAGCTGGAAATGATTGATCAGCGTCACGCGGAATCTAGAACAAGAATGATTACCCACCCATGCAGCTTGAGCTAAAGTCTCATCAATCCAACCTGAATTGAAGCTGGACTCAAGCGCACTTTGGGCCTTGTCTCTAAGGCGTAGAGCTCGACCCCGACCTTCCCTCCCCAAACCAACCTCTGAGCTTTGCCAAAATGTAGATACGGCAAGAGCTGCAAGAACAAGGCTAGGTTGAAGGTTGTGTCGTCGTACGGGATCAAAGTAATTGCCGAAAAATGTAGGTAGATGGAAGAACGAAAACCAATAATTGGAGGAACGAAATAAAAAACGTAAATCGGCAGTGATAGTCTGCGCGGCGAGGTCACGATCTGAACGAGAGTGGGTCTGCTGGTAATCAGAGGGAGGGGAGAGGTAAAGGGACAGTAGTGAATCCCACCAAGTCTTCCGCGTAAATTCACTAGAAGGTTGACTAGAAATATTTTGAGCTTGTGGGCCTTTGCTACTGCTATAGCCTTGCTGATAGAACCCTCGTTGAACGATGCCATTCTCAGACTCGTTATGTTGGGCCACGAAACCTGCGCTATCTATCGTCTAAGAATAGCTGAGTGATTAGACTTGACCAGAGATGGCAATCTGAAGAAGGCAAACCTCGGTCTTGGGAAAATATACGTCATTAGAAATGATACCCAAAGGACAAGGGTTCGCATTATGGCAAGCGCAACCATTTATAACAGCCGCATAAGGGGGTTGCGGTCGAGACATGTCGCTAAAGGCCCCTGGAGAATTCATGTGGTCGCTAGATGATGGGGAGGATAACGCAGCCGAAAGAGGCTGCCTGGAAAGAGAGGCACTGCGACTGCGAGCGGAGTCGGAAAGATTAGCGGAAGTCGGAGAGGCGCTAGATTTGTGGGGAATAGAGTCTGAGCGCCTACGACGACGCCGCGAGGCCCCGCCGTTTTCTCTTTCCAATTCCATTCTAAGCTCCCTGGCCATACGCTGTCGTGCGCCAGGTGTTTTATCAGGCCCACGGCGCTTTGGCACGGGGTCATAGGTACACTCATTAGAACCATTAGTTCGACGACCACAGTTATGGCATACAGGCTTTGCGCCATCACAACGTATTTTCCGCGATCGGCTGAAAGATTTCGATAAGGGTACAGATATTTCAGATAGGGAAAAGAATTACCATTGGATGCATGCGACGTAGACCCGAGCCCGGGGTTTGCCCTGAGTGGTAGGAGGCTGGTCAGGAGCTAGGGCGATGCGGGGCTTTTCACGTCGAGGCTTGCGAGGCTTCAGCGGCTCGGCGGGGGGCGGGGGGCCATCAGCAGCTTGGGGGGACCAAGTTTCTGACGACTCGTAAGAACGGTCGGTGATCGCAGATTCGGGCATAGGCAGATAGCCATAGCTGATACGTTGGAGATCAGAGACAGAGGTGTCGACGGTGGTCGAATAGTTAACGCGTCGACTCCGGGGCACGGTTGCAGAAGCAGGGACCAAGTTTGGCGGATCGTCGATATTGGCCGAATATTCGGAATGATTGGAAACAGTTGTATAGTAGGAGTGGGAGCTGTCGCCTGGGAGAGAAAAGGGGGGGTTCGAAGAGGCAAGCCTGGCGTCGGAGACGACAGGGTACTGACGATGGCCATTGAACGACAACATCTGTCTTGGGCCGTCCAAATGGCCATCCATATGATCGCTGTATTCTGGGACCTGCCGGGACATGTGCTTCGCACGAAAATTGCGCGCATCGGGAGCAGGGGAATGGTCGACGATATCTGCGCTGCTGTAGTAATACGAGGACATAGGGCGGTATGTCGAGGCGTCGGGGTCGTCCCGACTTCGGGAAGGCTCCCCTATAGCATACATAGACAAGGATAATGAAGACGAGCGAGGGACAGGAAATTATCCAGTGGGATCTGCAAACCAGAATTAGGTGCACCGCTTCACATGTTTTTGTATGGCGTTGGTTTGCCTTTGAGGTAGAGTCCGCTTGTTTGTTCGCCGTCACCACGATCTCTGTTTGCAGCAATTGCAATACGTAATGACCTAATCTGGAATTATGCTAACCGCCGGCCCTCTTTTTCGGCCTTTCCCCTGTTACCGCGCGGCGCCGTAACATACACCCAGTGCCTGCAGTGCCTAGCCGAACATACGCATTTGGCTCCATATTATTCTTCAGTCTCTTTCTCTGGGTTCCTCCGCTTTGATTTCGGCCTTTCTTCCGGCGTAGAAATCTGTGCAAAATCTCAGTGGCGTGAGGACCCCTGCCATCTAGATCTCCCGGCACGGCGGCACTTGCAGGTACCGAAACGCAATCAGATGATGATCTGGCTTCGATTTTCCCATCATCCCTGAAGGCTTTAAGCTCGACCAAGGCCGTTGAAATCGTGCGCACATACCAGGTCGGCATATTTTGTCCTTGCGACCGTGTTCTATCAGTCCAGGTGCTTCTTCAAGGGTTCCCAGGTCGATTAGGCACCCTCTATCTTCGTTTTATAGTTTCCAGCACGCTGTTCAGCCACCATCAGTGTTCCAACCTTGTCTTCTTACTTTCACAGCTCCCCCGAACCTATGTTTATGTATCTTTACTACCGTTTCTGTTCTGTTTACCCCCCCTCGTGTTCCGCTATTATCTTCCTACAGCCAGCGTCTATGTGGAGTCGCGGACACGGTATAGTAGTTGCATATCTTTGGAAACTGACCTACCCCTTGACTCGGTCTTGAGGTCGGTTAAGCTTCCTTTTCATGTGGACAACACTGCCATCGTGGTCCCGTTCCTTTTTCTAATATCTATATTGATCATCATATCCCATTGACACAGAAGCTTCAATGAGTAAGATGGTTAGTTTCTCTCTTCCTATCTCATGGGTCTCGCATGCCTGAACATGTCATCTTTCTAACTCATTCGTTGCTACGTGGGCTCCCGATCAAAATTTATTGTACCGTAAGGTTTGAGGTTCTGGTAGTTATCAGCCATGTTCCCATTGACTACTTGACCGGATGAATAGATCAAAGGTAAGAGTCGCCGGCCTCGGAAAGCCCATTGCAACGGGACCCCGTTCGGGCGACGGCAAAGTCTAGACTTGCGAACACTTGCGAGTAGCATTGTGAAACGTAGAATATCTTCTTATCAGCACGGCTACTCCGATGAGCGTTGCCCGCAAACATAATGGTATACACCTGAATGTCTGTCAACGATTTCGACACCTGTTCGTAGTCGAGCCGCTTTAGGAAAGCGAGCGGGACGGTTCACCGAACATCATAAAAATCTGACTTTGTGAAAGTTTAGCACCTTTACTCACGGTGTACTTCCCTCTCTGATCATGCGTGTTGCATTTGCGGGTCAAGATGATCCTCCTGGATTGTAAGGATGGTCGAGTGACCTTGCTCTCGGCGGAAACGTCGGACCGGACATCCGTTGTTGGACCGATTTACCAACCGGTCTTTTAAGTACTGTCTTCAACTTACGCCTCTTTGAACCGGTACCGCCACAAAGTCGTCCTCGTACCAGGGTTGTCTTCGGTTTCTCCCGCCTATCGTGCAAGGCGAGATTGAGGATCGTAGGTACCTTGGCAACCAGTTGAAAACTCAATCCGTTCCGGCGAGTCAGGTTTCTAAATCAGGTTCGTCTGCCTCCTAGGTTCTATTCAGGGTTGCGCACCTGCCAGTCCACATTACGAATATGAATGTTTATAACTCGAATAGCTCACTTTTTGAATTTCACGTTACAGTCCAGGTTACATCGAACTCGCTTGGCTGGCTTGAACCTGATCAGATTCACCGTGATCAGGCAGGCAATTTTCACATCGATCTACTCCGCCATCTTCGCTTTGGTCACCAGGCTCCGTTTGCACAGCAGCATGTCCACCACATTTATCCCTTCCCTCACTTATGTCCGAAGGTGTCTTAATCAGCATGTGAATGGGAAACTTGCTCTTTGGAATTTTTGTGTCGATATTACCTTCTGTGGCTGTTTGGCTCTTCTACTCTACTCTTTGGCAGGGTTTGATCTTGACGGCGGAACTGTTCTCGAGGGCGGAAGTGTCGACGACGGAAACGTCTCCGGACCTGTTGTCAAGAGCGCGGATTCTCCCCGTACTATTTCCAAAACTGCGCAAGCCCAGAACATTTATACAGATGTCGGCTCCGCGGTTGATGGGTATGTTTCGATAGAAGGTGGGATTCATGCGTTCACACCGACTGCACCCGTGCCCGAAGCTCTATCCATCACTTCCCTTCCCACGATTACTGGTCACTCTCATGCTCATGCCTCTCAAGATTCTCATTCATTATATGACTTCTACGACCATATACATCTCCTTGATCTGGATTTTCTATTCAATACAAACGACTTGGGCAACGGAGATTCAGCGTTGGCTCCGACGAGCACCATGGTCATGTCAGAAGTTTGATGTTACCCACGAACAAGTTCAACTCCGCGAATTCGGTGGAAGGACACTGGGGCTGTTTGGAATATATTTATAACGTATTTTTTTTCACCCTGTAATGACATACAGGTTTTGTTTCTACGCAGGTTGGCTGCTTTTATTAGCACAACTGAAACTGTATGTGTTGTTGCACAATACTTCGAGTTCTTTCTCTGCCTCATACTTCTTTTACATTGCACCCGCCTTCGGTTCGCCCCCATGTTACAGACCCATCATGCTGGTAGATAGCTACTGTTTAGAATTAAAAAGTATACTTGGAATATTTTTGTAGGCTGTGGACTTATATACGTACAGCGTCCGATATTAATATTGTTTTTTATTAATACCTGGGCGATGATTTGCACAATGTGATCGGTGAGGCTACCGTCAACTGACGGTGCGTCGGGTACATTGGTGTCCGATCGACATTGATCCCGGTAGCTTTCATTTAGTGATGAGGGCAATATAAATATGATTACCTATGAGAGAGCGGAATTGATAGATAATGTTAATCAAATAAATCTGACCCTCCGCCGGGTGGTCACTACTAAAGAAACATCATAAAGAACCCCCGTAGTATCTGATGCTACCAGTGCTGGGTCGATGCCTAGGTAACGGCGTTCTCACATAGCTTTTGTTTAGATTATCCGCTCATCTATCAAAATTCCTTGGAAATTTCTCGTGCTAAAACTCATTGCTCCCAGGTTTTAATGATCGACACGCCTGATCGTGCGACACGAACTAAATCTTGGACCTCGGTCATGAGGTAAACTTGAAACATCACGTGCATAGAAGATCCCGTGCGTTTCACTGGCCCGACACTGCCGGCCAGTGACAACATCTCTTCCTTCGACCGCGAACGCGTAATTTTCTACTTGCTTCGACTCTCTTCAGTTAGGCCATGTCTTCCTCATCAAATCGTAGGCGAGATGACTATTCCTATGACCAGGACCGCAGCAGGCGGCGGGACCGTGACCGTGACTCTGAAAGGCGGAATCGTCATGACGATGAGCGACGCACAAGGGAAGGAGAACGGGATAGGATGCCAAGAGATGTTGATAGAAAGTACGGACGGGAAAGAGAAAGAGACAGGGATAATTCTTATGGATATGGTGAACGCGACCGTGAGCTAGAGCGTAAACGGGACCGTGAACGTTACGACCAGGATTCCAGACGTTCAGCCTCTCCTCGACGTCGACGGTCCGGTTCAAGATCCAGGTCTGCATCCCCACCCAAGGCCAAGCCGAATTTCGGAGCATCTGGACTCTTGGCAGCTGAAACCAACACGGTCAAAAGTATTGATGGAAAAAACTCCAGAGTGTTGAAGTACAATGAACCCCCTGAAGCTCGTAAACCCGTTTTGGGTTGGCGCCTTTATGTTTTTAAGGGGAGTGAACAAGTCGGTGAGTGATTGAGGCTAGTCTACTTTTGATTTTAACCTGAATATTGCCTCCTGTCTGCAGAGTTGCTGCACATACAACGTCAGAGCGCGTATCTCTTTGGTCGAGACCGATTGGTGGCGGATATCCCCATTGATCACCCCTCGTGTTCGAAGCAACATGCCGTCATTCAATGTTAGTGCGTTTTATCACCATTGTCCGCTGCGTTTGAACTTTTTCGGGCGCCAGATCGATACATACAAGAAAAAAATGAGTTTGGAGACGTGAAGGGTTCTGTTAAGTATGTCGGCGATAGAAATTATGAATCTCGTCGTATTCACAGTCCCCTTAGGCCGTTCATAATTGACCTGGAATCTACGAATGGTACCCATGTTAACGACGAAGTCATACCCCCATCGCGTTATTACGAACTTCGCGCGTCCGACGGTGGGTCTGCCTTGCTGAGTTTAGGGGTTCAGTACTGATGCAGGACATGATTTCTAGTTATTAAATTTGGTCTGTCGACCAAAGAATACGTACTGCTCCATGATGAAGTAGCCTCATAATAAAGATAGCTGGCCGCTCGGTGTATGAAATTCCTTTTCCAATTTTAAGGATATACTCTGGCCATGGGGAATGAAATGTCATATGGCGCGATGGCCATGACGAAGAATGGATGGTCCGTGCCCTTGTTGCATATCTACCATTGTTCGACTTTCCTAGATATTCTTCTTGTCCGGCTATCTAATCGGGTTTAATACGTAAGAAGGTCGATCTTCATTTGATCTTCATACAACCTTGTATTCCCCTTCTACAGAGAGAAAAATGTTGTTCTGCAAGTCCCGTATAGCTTTCAGTCTGAGAAAATCGATGTAATATTACTCCAGGATGATATTCTGCAGAAACTCTTGTTGATCGAGTTGCGCGCGCAACCGCGTTAGTTACGGCTCTTTATCCTTCCTTTGTTCTCGTTTTCCTTTTATGGACAGGAAATGTCAACCCTCGGTCAAAAATCATAATCCATGAACTTAACAAAGGCTACAACTAGTGGGCACAGCACAATGCAAGGACCAGAAGAAAGGAACGATCCAAATATAAAATAGGCTCGTAACCCTTATCCTTCTCTCTTACTTCCCCTCCCTCAACATCTTCTAACGTCAACGATGTCTTTCTCCTCTGCTCGGCGCTCGTCATTCGATATCTACTACCAGAGCATCTTTAACGAGTTGGATGACGACCAGACCCCTAGCCCTGCCTTGTCGGGCGCTACCACTTCATTCTCCCGCTCGCCATCGTCTGCAGCGCAGACCATAGTCGGGGAGGATGATGAAAACACATTCAAGAACGTCGACACTAACTCCGATTTTTCGGACGACGACCAGCCTTTCCACGACATCGACTTCAACGAGCACATCGACATCAACTTCCATGACGCCCTACCTAGTTTCGACACCACCTACCAAGACCCCTTCGCTGCTGGCAGCTTCTTCACTGACATGCCGGTCAGTCCCATGCAAGCTTTCTACGCGAATCCGTGAGTACCGTCGTGTATTTATCCAACTAGGTTAATTACCTTCATAATTTCAGGTCCAATCTACAGTCCGATCATCAAGTCATTCCCCTTCCCCAGTCCCCCAAGCCAGCCCCTGTGTTCAACCTTGATATCTTCAAGTCTACAGAGGCTGTTGAGATCCCATCGCAGTCTGAACCGCAGACGACAGAAGTATCTTCGCCAACCCCAGAGGACCACTGCGACCGGCCCATCGTCCCCCTTCGTGCCGCCGCTCGCGCCTCCCGCGCCCGAAGGCGATCCGTCATCATCGCTCCCTCTGACAATGAGGACAGCGACGCGGAACCCGACGACGACGACTATTGTCCCTCTCCCCCTCTCAATCCCAAAAAACGCACGCGATCGTCTCAACCTGGGGCGCGCGCTCCCAAAAAGGCCAAGATCGTCGCAAAGAAGGCGGCCAGTTCCTCGACCAAGCCCCAGGTCCCTAGGAAACAGCGCCTTCCTCCAGCACCCCGCAACGTCCAAGTGGTTGGCATCAATCTTTTGGACCTTTTGGACGAGATGCACTGGAAGTGTAAGGCCTGCAAATGGGAACAGGAGAATCATCGAAGGCCTGATTTCGTTCGGCACCTCCTGACCCATCAACAGCCCGACAAGAATGACCAGTCACGGGGATGGTGGTGCAAGGGCTTGAAGCTCCTTGATCGCGACGCGTATAATAGGCTGGCCATTCGTGATGGTAGGCCGACCATCCCCGAGACCGCGGAGAAGATCGTATACTTGTTCGAAGAGAGGGTGGGGGGTTGTATGAGGAACTTCAGCCGGCGCGACGCCCTGAAGAGGCATATTGACAACCCCAACACGCCTTGCTGTGGGTACGCTCTCGAACCCTTCCAAGAATTTGACCGTAAGTGCCTCTTCTCCGAGATTTGGGATCGTTATTAACAGTATTTTTGCAGATGAAAAAGAGAAAATCATCACCCTCTAAAATACCTGCAGTCGGACAGTCGTCTGTATATGCCATGCCCACCGTATTTTCTACCTTCTCTTCTTATTTTATTTAATCACGACGGAACAAGAACTAGTCAAAACACACACCTCTATCTTATTGTATTAGCATATTCTTCTGTAGCGTTATTCCCTTTCACAAATTTCACAATGTTCACATACCTTCTGTATTGGACAATAGAATCCCTTGCACAAGTGTTATATCCACGCAGAAAAAAGTAAATTCGAGTAACACTGGCTTAGCAACCTATGATTTCCGCTTCTTTTTACTTTTGTCCTGGTGGACCCTCGATCGTATACGCTTGCCATTTTGTACCGAAGGCCCCCACCTGTCGCCATCGTCAATACTCCTGTTCGTCATAAAAACGAGTTTACGTACCCTCGGACTGTCTTTTTCGGTGGTGGTTCATGCACAAATTCTTCGAAAGGAAACCCCCTTCTATACTTGCCCATGCACCAAAGCATATATCTAACACCAATGGTCAGCGAGTAAGCGGGAATGCAGAGATAAAGACATACCGACGGTCTCGTACAGCCAACCCAGCCTCCTTCAAATCGGCACCTGTCTTTGTCCAGAGTTCTTCCCAGCTTTCCGCAGAAAATTTCGTTTCCATGGAGCGCCCAATGCTCTTGAGGAATTCCTCAGGCGTTTTGACCGACGCTACGTATGACCACTGTAACGAGATTTTCTAGTATCCTGGATGGAGCGTACCTCGAGGAGGGGGTATCGTCGCGGTCGTAAGTGACCTGGCCAGAACGGATGTACATGATCTGGTTGCGCTGGAAAATATTGCACCACAGCGACTGGCTAGCATCGGGCGGAAGGAAGGACAAAAATGTCATGTGATCTAGACGCGTCCATTTTTGTCCACCCAAGTCCACAATGATAGTGAAGTAAATTGTTTACACGATATTTGACAGTACTGCGATGATCTACATCTACTCTTATATACAAGATAGTCTACCAGTAAATCAGCTTGTAGATAACGAACCAAAAATGTCAGCGAAAATGTTCCCAAGACTTCAAGCAATGGTGTTGTCCAGCTCTGCCTTGATCAACTCGCCCCATGGGGGAAGTCCCAGCACCAAGGGCATGCTATCCCACGCCTCCTGTCGGAAGGCCTCAGCATCTTCCCGAAATGCCAATCTGCACTTCGAACAATAACTCGCAGGATCGTCGTTCACCTCCCTGATGATCTGCAGGACGTAGTGCAACAATGCTGTCCTCATCATCCATGACTGGGATAGACGAGAAGTCAATCTCGTGAAATTGCGCGCACATCCTTTGCTTATGCATCCTGGAGGGGTCGGACGCTGCCCGCAAACACGACGAATAAAATCTAGAGTAAGCTCTATGCGCCATTGAGATAAGAGCGTATAGTTGCTCATATCGTCGGGGGAAAGTGAGGACGAGGGCCGCGACGGGTGGTCGACTAAAAGCTTAGGGTGGTCTGCTCGAAGGATGTCCTCAAACCGATAGAGGGAAAGAAAGTAGAGGGCCGAGGGCACGGCAAGTCGGACGTTCGTTTCTCGAGCGAGATTGAGAACGTGCAGAGGGTGAACGTACGGGTAGGTCATCTTATTAACAGATGTCGTGTTGATAGCAATCTCTACCATTTCGTCGTGGCCTTTGAGGGTATAGGCCCACGTCCGACTGAGGTGGTGAATACACCCAGCGCGGATGTGGTTGATGAAGTACTTGGTCGAGAGGCGAAGCAATCCCGCAAGATAGAAGAAATCATTGATGGTTCGCGTGTCGAATGACCTAGTGAATAGTATCGTTGACTCAGAAGTGAAGAAAAAGTGATAGAGGAACCGACTTACGCGCCGTCGTACAGTGCCTTGATGAGGTCGGAGAGTTCCAAGGGCGGGTCATACATGAGAACAACCTGGCAACCATCCACCATGTCGTCTGCAGCCTCAGGCTGGAGCTCGGGCTGGGGCATCTCAAACATGCCTTGAAATATCTCCGAATGCCTGGCAAGGACACCGCGGTGAACCTTGAAGGCAGTTGGATTTTCTTGCGTGACAAGAATGATATTGCCGTCATCGAACCAGGGCTGAAACGCGCTAGCAGTAAGTATTTTGCTGCGAAGAGAGCAGGGAACGTACTTCGCCGTGATTCTCGATGGACGGGATTGTCATGGTGGTGGTGATGGTAAGAAGTCAAGTTGCAACTGACCCAAAAGGATCACTGTCAGGCGAATTGGCAGTTGCCGCCAACGCTCATGTCAGGATCACCATCGCGGCCTGCAACGCCCAGCGTCGTCGCTCGAGCCTCTCCGTCGCGACTGGCTATTCCGTCCGTATTAAAACCGTCGCCGTCGCTGTCAAACCTTCATGTTCACGGTCAATCTTCGGCACCCTCGCAGCCAGGTCTCGAAAGCTCAGCGTCATCCATCATCGGTGTCGAGCTCAACGAGGGCATTCTGGTCCAGGACGTCGATGCCGAAGCTGAGACGGTAGATTCCGAAGACGTCGTCGCTGTCGGTCAACTTGACGTCTTTGCCGGTGACGCGGAAGCCAAGACGACGCTCCGCGACCAACTCAGGAAGACACTTAATCACAGGCCCTCAAGGGGTATTTCGACCACTCCTTGCTCTGTATAAGAACTCTAACTTTGACTCAGAATTGCCGACTCCATCACGCAAGCGAGGAAAGAAAGTCGAAGTCGCACTGGATGTAGGCAAGTACTTCTGGTTCCATTTCATCGAGAATGACTCGTTAAGCTATGTCTCAAGACTCCAAATATGCACCTCGTGAATATTTCGTTCTTACAGATGCCGGAAAGCCCGTCTTCACAAGGTGAGTGTCTCTTAATCTTCGTCCGAGTGCCGGCAAGTAACAATTTGCAGTCAGACGGAAACAGAGTCGGAGTCGTTTACTTCGATCATTGGCGTTATGCAAGCTCTCATTTCTGTCTTCATCGATGACCATGATAAGCTGCGATGCATCAATGCCGGTAATACGAGAATAGTTTTTTTACAACGGTCTCCTCTCTACTACACATGTGTCTCCTCTTGGGGCGAGCCAGAATCTGTCGTAAGTAATGGCTTCTTTGTACAGCATCGATCTCATAACGTAAAGACAAGGTCCCACTTGGAGTTTCTCCATCTTCAAATTCTAAGCATTGTCACTGCATCCCAGCTGCGTAAAATATTTGAACGTAGAACTAACTTTGACCTACGCCGACTGCTTGACGGCACGGAGACATTCCTACATTCGATGTTGGACCGACTTGAGTTTGATCTTGCCATGGCTACGTCGTCACTACATTGCCTTCGGCTTGATCCTATGGTGCGGAAACGTGTCGCCGATACTCTCGTTCCGACGTCCAAAGTAAAGGTATGCGGTGTGCTTTTACTATTGGGGGTTTAATTAAAATTTTCTGGTCCAGGACATACTCTATGTCATCCTTATTGCACGAGGCCGTGTAGTGACCCTCATTCGACCTAAGAAGCATTCAATACACCCCGCTGACATTCATATCCTCATGAATACCGTCCACAATCCCTCTATATATAATTCCCCTGCGGCAGCCTCTTGGATTCCAATTTGTCTACCCAAGTTTAATCCGAACGGGTTCATGAATGCGTATATATCTTTTTTGCAGAGAGACAATCCAGAGGAATCAATGGCACCTAGTTCCGGCTCCCCACAGCCAAGTCCGAGTGACAACGTCGTTGACTCTGATTCCGGGACGGCCTTGGTGTGTTTAAGTGGCGGGGCTGACTTTGATACCATCCGGAGTTGGTGCGACGGGGTGACTCAGAAACTAACGAACGAAGGAACCCTGAAACTTCTGTTGGACTGCCTTCGGTCGGGACAATCTGAGTACGCCGTTGCGGAACTCGGGATACCTGGCCTCCGTCACTTCGTGTACAAGTCGCGAGCGCAAGTGCAAGTCACCTTCCCGACATTCGAGGATCCTTACGAGAATCTAACAGATCGCCGACGGTGAGGTCTCTTTATGTGTATGATATGTCATCGACTGACTTGGATGCAGGATCATCACTCTTTATCAAGTTCTGCATGATGCCATTCATGCGAAATCCGGACAAAGCGAAACGCTCAAGCTGCAGTATATCAGGACGGAGAAGGAGAGCGTCATGGGATGGATAACGCAACCTTTTGAGATGTACATTGCCCTATCTCCGAGGCTTCCGAAGAGTGCTGTTGTTGGGGCTGCAAATGCTGTATCGCGGTGGGTGAAGAAGGAGGAGGGGCGTTTGTTTTTGAAAGATGCTCCGGTCTTTTGATGTACCTTGGTTGATATATTCTTAGGCTTGGACGGATCCTTGTATCGTAATTATGTGGACTACCCTGGTGCCTGCAATATCTCGTCAGGATCTCCGCTGGTGTTCAAGTCGGATTGAGGCTACCCCTTGAACTGCCTTGACATCATGCATATAAATACAATGTTCACCGATAATAATATCGATGTTCAAGGCGCCGAAATTGGATAACAAATGCGTATTCAAGTCCCTTACACGGCGGCTGGCTAACATGATGGTACAATCAGGAAGATAAGGACATATCAATGTCCATGATTGTAATTCATTAAAGATTAATGCATATTGGCCATCCTTTGATTTTTCTAGTGCGTCACCCTAGATTCGGCTCAGGGTGTTACAGTCAAGGCACGACAACGACTCGTATTCTATACTAAACAAAGTCACGAGCATTTATCTTCAGGTCGGCAGATGCTGACATGGGAAATCGACCTCCACAACAGGATATGCAGCCACACGGAGCGAGATGTCGTACTCATACTTCGAATAGCTAGGCGAATGGCAATCTACATGCTTTCTCATGATCGAAAACGCGCGCAAAAAATCGTTCTTTGTACGTTTACATCATTGTCCTACCCACCGTAAAAAGCCATCGTCCACGCGTCTTCCCGAACACATGAAATGTTATTGCCAGGTTGTGCGGTGTTCTGATTTCTGACGTCTATATCTGATATCGGTCCAGTGGTGCTGGCCGGTGTGGACGTTTCCCCAATATGATATTATCCCAATTGGTGAATTCCGGAGAGTTCTCTGAACCTTCTAATGGGGACTGGTATAGGTAGGTGTTAGACGCTGAGCTACCGCCAATGATAGAGTGGCGTACTATAAGCCCGATATTCAATTTCATACAGACTGATCCTGGGCCGGCCAGATAGTTTACCTTCTAACCCCCATTTTGACGCGGCCATTTCCGTGTCGCATGAAGACAAGAGCTAGGAGGGGAAATCTCTTTCTCTGGAGAATACCGAGGCAACATGTTTGATTGCCGTGGAAGATTTTTTTCCAGCTCCGATAATCCTGTTTGTCGGCCGCTAGGCGGTATTATCGAGTTGGTAGCAAGAAGATCCTCAGCGTAGTCCAGGGGGCACTGGTAGGCACGCAAATAAGCGAAATAAGCATGCACCACCTTTCGCACTCGCATTTGATGCCCACCTATGTAACTGAGCTTCAACGAGTACGAGTCTGGACCAATACCAAGTTCCTGGAAGTGTGGGACTTCGATCAAGATGCAGAGTGCCTTTCGCAAACCGTGATTGTGGCGAAACCTGAACTTCTTGAATGTTCGAATTCGAGGAATGAAGCCTAGGGGACTTGCGGGACGATTCAGTTACAATCCTCTATATTTGCAAAGTCTTCGTACCTAACATCGCTTATTGCCTTGAAATAGGCGTTACAATTGCGTCCGCTTCACGGGTCCTTTCAATTTATCGATACTACTGCAAGCCTCGCACTACCTCTTATGGCGCGATGATCCGGTGGAGCACATTTTCTAGATGTTCGACATACGCTCGATGCACGGGTGCAGATTGGAGTCTGGGTGCTGTTGGAGGAGTTCAGAATCTGGGGCTCGAGACTGAACCCTTCGTCGAACCCGGAACCGAACTTAGTTCAGCGTTCGTTTAAGATTTTCAAATTGAATATTCAAAGCCCGCTTAGCTTGCCATTGTTGTCAATGTCACCTTTCTGGATGCCGATACGTCTTTAATAACATCCACTCTTGTCCAAATGCAAACTGAGATGATTCAGCAAGCGCAAGCCTACTTTATTGCTGCGAACATCCTTCGAGATGACTTTGACACCGCATTTGATGACGATCTCAGCACAGAATGAGGCTCAGGAAGAAGATTTTGGTGGGCTGGGAGATCTTGACTTGTGAATCCAGATGCTGCAGACATGCTTGGGTCTTTGGGAATAGCACAGAATATGGCTGAGAGTATGAGTAGAGTTCCCAAGGTTGCAAGACTTCTTTTCGTGCTGTCCACAGGCCCCAGATAAGGGGATCCAGTTTTATTTCAGGTGCGCCCTCTTTTTCCTCGATATTTGAATCAATCCCTTTCGGAGGAGTAGAATGGATCGAGAAATGTTCAACCGTTTTGTCTATATCCTCGTGCCTAACCTGCTCTTTCAATCCACCGGACGGAAACCCCAGCAAGATGTTAAATATCAACTAGCAGTCTTCTTGTTTCGCTACGGGACTCTTGGATCTGACGCAATCGGAACAGCAATACACTTATTACTTGGAGTTAGGACTGTCTTCTTATATTGTCGCCGGGTGACTCGTGCACCGAGGGAGTTGCGTGCGTCGCAGCTTCCACAAAGACAGATCAAAAGAAATGGACAGTCACTGGACTGGGTCCATGTCAGCCGAACTCTTCACGATCTTCTGAGCACCACTAGAGGTCCATTCACGCTCCTCTCTCCCAGCCATCTTCACGACATCTTTCAGTCGATTCAACCACCTGCGGAATACGCCGAAGCCTTCGTAAGTCTGCTTATAATGATTCATGAACGAGCACTTTCATGCTTTATAGGCGAGGGCCGTTCAAATCGTTGCGTCAGAGCTCATTCCCAAATCGAAACTAGTTCTAGAAAACGATTTCAAACTCTAAGGACGCCAAAGCAGCCACCACTACTCATCGACGCATTCGTGTACGCACCGTAACCGTATTGCATGGCTATATAGCTTCCGAGTACAGTATATGTCCCGAAGCCATGAGCCCTTCAGAACATACCGTACAGTACAGCTGTTGACGGCCACACTTTGTGTAGCCGTACTTCCAGAGTTCGAAATTCTCTTGTGAGCTCCATCTCTTTAATTGTAACTAAGGGTTACGGACCTTCGTATCATTCAATGTCTAAGACTTTGTGATGACTTTCAGCTCAGTCTTTATTGTGGGATGATGCAATAACGGCCACACCTCAACTCGGGAATTTCTTGGTTAAGATTCATTTGTAGCCTGTTAACTCATTGAGTATGCTGAGTTATAATGGATGGAGCACTGAACTAATGTTTACTTGAGTAGTAAACTCACTGAAAGAGGTACGGCCGTAACCATACGGACCGGCACTGTTAGCACCATCGACCATAAGGTGTCCATCTTATACCGTCGTTCCTCTCAGGTAACTTCAATGCAATTTCGAATCTTTAGTATATGCTTTAAGTTGGCTGTACCGCTTACTTGCGCTACTACAAACTTGGCCCTGGATTCTCGAACATCATGTTCACCATCTTCGATATCGGCGTAGACGTTGATAATGGAGTATGGGGCAAGGGCAACGCGAAGGCTGTCTAGTGCATCAAGGACTTCTAGGTGTTGATTTTCAATTTGGCTGTCGGCCTCCCTCTTCGTTATTCACCGATGGTGCAAATACTCCCCTCCAGACACATTCGAAAAAGACTCCGACTTAGACCCCCTTATTTTTGGCGATCACAACGATTTGAAATGACCCTCGATCCACATATTTGCACCTTTTGTTGATCATTGGAAGGGTGCATATTGGGCTGGCGCAACATTTTAGACCCCCTTTTCGCTGTCTCAGAATGTTCGTTCGCTATCCCGCACCTGGATCACATCTCGCTGCCATGCTTCCTCAATTTTTGCGTTAATGAGCACTGCAAATGTTCTTTGCCCTTATTCTGTGATTGCAGGAGGTCACTGCGACCGTAACTTTTCCCGCTATCATTATTTCAATGATGTGACATATTCTTGAACCCGAACGGTTCCTCGGACCTTTCTCGCAATGCGAGGCTCGGCTGACACCTTTCGCTCATCATTGGATGGATGTAGTGTTGCTAGTGCAACGTTAAGTTGGAGGCCTTTTCAATTTTACTGGAAATGTCTCAGAAAACTCGTTCGCTATGTCGCACCTGGATCACCTTATGCTCCGTCACTATGTGGGGTCTTCTAGTAGGTTCACAGCGGCATGGGTTCTAGTTTAATCACATATGTATCCTGTCCCTTCGAAGTGGTTCACATGTGAAACATCTCCATTTTATCAAACACAACAGCGTCTCACTTTTTCTGTCGTTGCTCCACCATGAGCACACTTCCTCCAGAGCTCGTAGAACCAATCATCTACGATATATGGCATTCCAAAATGCCTTCCTCGATGCGCCGGTCCTTCATGACAGCATGCCCACAGATTATCGAACATGGAAAAACATTTACGCCCCTATCGCCTCTCGGGACATATACATCACCAACTTTGCATATCTATGCTACCTATGCGACGTAGCACGCTGTCGGAAGTCCATCATTTACGACGACCTTGTTCCCCGACTGACCCGTACCATTACCTGTTTCGCTGATCTCCGACCAGAAAACTCTGGAGACACAGAAGCAAAAAGGGTCTACGACATTCTGATAAACCTGCCCAACGACACTGGCTTCAGAGCATTGTTTCCACTCGTCGAATTTATCTCCTTCGAACTCGTGTGGACCGGCGGTGGACGATCCACAGATGTATCAGACGTGTATGGTCTCCCCATTCATGTTCGCTGCTGCCGACACCTGTCAAAATCTGCACAAAAAGACGAGGACGCTCAGATGGAAGTATATATTTTCATCACAGACCCGGACCCTTTGTCGGCGTTGTACCGCAGAAGCTCGTCTTCCGCATTCTTCGCACTGCGCGGCGCCGGTGTCCCTGTGAGGTTGGTTTCCTCGGATTTACCATATGATCGTCGTGCTGGGGAGGGACGCATTACGTTTCCATCAAACCGCATATGTATTTCAGGTGAAGGGGGATTTCGAGGGTATCAATCGACGTTTGTGGATGGCTGCCAAGCGAGTTCATGGTTCGTGGACGGAGCCTTGTTTGAATGACTTGGCTGAAATTAGCTTCTCTAGGAATAAGGTGTCTTGCTGGGCCCTTCTATTACTGGAAATACCAGTGGTCGCAGTGGTCATTACCTGTTTTATACTCCCCTCACGCCGTATACATGTTAGAGTCGTCAAGTTCCCTTGACTTGTTGACTTCTCCCCTGGGCTGGCCTTTCAAGTTCTAGAGGCTTGTATGTATAGTAGCGTCGTCAGTGTCTATGTTACGTTTCTTTTTAGGAGCACCGACGACTAATAAGACCTACTTCCTTCTTCCTTCCTATGACCGATGTGAAACAGAGCCGCTGGATCCTGAAGAATTCGCAGCAGTTCTTTTGTATACGCTCGTCCTATACATCGTCGAGAGTCTCAACCTTTGTAACACTTCATGTCGGCGTGCTCTCGTCGGCAAGGACTACCAGGATACTTCGCAAGCATACAGCAATAGATGAATATCGCTACTGATGTTGTGTCGTCCGTCGAAGTTTCCTGGTATCATATCTGTTTCTGCGCTTTGACTTGTGTATCTCAGGTGGTCCTACACGTCTCTGTAACGCTGCGAACTTTAGGTTTTCCCTTTTCTATCAGTGTTCAGTTCAGTAGCTTAGTTCTTTAGGGCCCGTTCGTGTACACCGTTTAGACTTGACAGAGGGTTCTGGGAATGGTAAAAAAAAAAGAATCGGTCACATGGCATCACAGGATCGGGATAATTTAGATAGATGTTGATGATGTGTGTCCCAGCGACGTCAAACGATCTCAACGAAGGTGCCCGTGGATAGACAAGCCAAGCATAGCCACCAGTTTCATCCAGCGTTTGGAGTACATAAACTGGCGCTGAAAGTTCCTGAACGAAATGTCGCATTGGCAGCAAAATATTGGATACAATTCAATTCAAGTGAAGAAACTAGATGATAGAAACACGGGTAGCGCTGTTTAAAAAAATGAGGCGAAAGCTACGTCGCGGTAGCCGACGTCGCCTGCAAAGGTTGTCGCTGAAGAGCTTTCCACCCTTTCTTTAACCCTTTCGCTTCAATTATGTTGGCTGGCATACAATACACCGGGTCTAGGTCGACCAGTCCTGGGTAGCCAAGGATCGAAAGGCCTGTCGAACAGATGAGGATAACACTCCGAAACTCAATCAGTGTCTGCAGACCTGCAATGCCAAAGTGCGTATGAAACACATCTACCATGTCTCCCGGCCGATCTGCGATACCGCCTTGCTCTGGATCCTGCAGTAACATTGACCTAGAGCGGACTTTGGAGAGAGAGACAAACAGACCTGAGCAGATAGAATGAAGGCCGTCAACTTATCAGCGTCAATCCAATCTACTTTATTGAGGATTGAAAGGGACGACAAGACCCAGAAGCTGTAACAGACCTTTACCAAGGAGAATGTCGGAGATTGAGGAGGGGGTAAGGATGTAAACGACGTACGTCTTCTAATTTTTCAGGTCGTCCGTTCAGACCACCATTTGGTCGCTGACGTTCTGAAAGCCACCAAGCAAGGGTATCATGATCAACGACGTCCAATCGGTCCAGTATGGCGAGGGCGGCGAGGCATACAAACACTGATAGGAAGTTTAGCAAACTGAATGACATTTGATGGAAACAGTATATTACCCTGGGAGGCATGGCTCTCTGCTCCTGAAACACCCCCAAAACCGCCATCAAAGTTTCTGCATTGGACAACGTACGAGACGGTTTTCTCCACATCGAGGTCAGACAAACGATTCAGGAGAGACAATGCATTGACGGCGCAGTAAAGAAATCGTGTGTCGATCTCACCGAATGTATCCCCAGCAAAGACACCAGACGGCTGCTGCAATGACAGGATAACTGCACAACTTAATAACGGCACGAAAGCAGGGTTAAAGTAGCATACATTTCACTACTCGTTCGGTGTTCAATCTATCGAGAGCATCTTGTGTCACGAGTATCTGGATAGCGCTCAGAGTTGACAAAAGATGAGCGTCGTGGTCGGGATGGGCACCGAATCCTCCTGTCATCCGTTGCGATTGACGGCGTTCGAGAATCCAAATAGCCAACTGAAGACTAACCTGCCTCTTCATTCCAGCAGCTGAAGACATAATCTATCATCTCTTCTCTGTCAAGCGCGTCCTGGTGGCCCATAATGCAGAGAGCAGTGAGGCCCCAGTATATCGCGTTCATCCGGAGGTGCGCAGTAAGATGGTAGGCGAGATCATCCTTGCTCTTCAGCCAAAGTAAGAAGAGGTATTTCGATGAGGTCAGATACTGACTTTGCCTAGATTCTGGATATAAGAAACGTGTAAGGGGACGAGCAGTTCAGCCGACATGGTGAGCGGGAGAGGCAAGTTCGGTCCGGAGTGCCGGTGCTGCAAGGAAATTTTGTCTCTTGCCACGACCTGTATTTCAGTTGGCCGTCGTTATTCGCCTCTCTACCTCTTTGGACTACTCTGCATGTTTCATCAACTGATCAGGAAGCCATGGAATCGCTCGCAGTTGCACAGATACTTCTCGTCTGTGACAGAGCCGTATCAGGGTATGCGGCTGAAGTTTTCACTCGTTCTTACCTCGCTGAATTTAGTCTGTTCAGTGTGCGTCATCGGAGCCAGCCCTGCTGGATGTGAGGCAGCAGCAGCATCTGCTAGGATGGGAGCCAGGACACTATTGCTAACAAGAAGTTTGGACGATGTCGGTGAACTTTCCTGTAATCCGTCCATTGGCGGTGTTGGGGCGGGAACTCTAGTTCGCGAAGTCGACGCAATGGATGGACTGATGGCCAAGGTTGCGGGTATGTTGATGCCGGCTGTCTTTATGGAACTCGAAACTTACGTGGACTATGCGCAGACGAGTCGGGAAGCATGTTCCGATTACTGAACGCGACCAAGGGATCTGCTGTGTGGGTACGGAGTCATGACAGATTTGCAATACTAGTCCTTAACAATACTTCAACTAGGGTCCAAGGGCACAAATAGACCGTACGCTGTACAAAAGACATATGAAGAGAGGGCTCCGTCGGTACCTGGAACATCTTCGTATTCGTGTTGCCCGAGCTTCTGGTTTACTAATTGATGAGCCCAACGCTACACGTCCTTTGCCTCATGTTTCGGGAGTGAGACTTGGTCAGTTCATACGGGCTTGCGGCTTTCCCCGTGTTGACTTTCCTTAGATACTGGTGAAATTATCCACTGTTCAAAAGTCATTCTTTGTATGACAAAAGAGTACCGCATAGGTATGCATATATCCACGCCAATCCAATGGTACTCAGCAAAGCTTTTTTCCCTTCCAAGGCACTACCTTTTCTAATGGAGAGCATGATTTCGAAGGTCTGTGGAGCTCTCTTAGGGCCCTTGGGCTCCAATTCCACCAATTGCATACTATAACACAACCACGCCTTGATGGAAAGACGATCGACTTCACAAACCTGACACGCCAAGATGGCGATGTGAACCCATCGCCATTCAGCTTCCTCAATTCCGCTGTAACAAATAGCGTAGGATTCCAAGCATCTGTACCATGGTGTGTCTGACATACATCTCCGCAGGATAATCAAATACCCCGCTATATGGACACGAACAACTTCTGCAACTAATGATATCGTAAGAGAGAATATGCACCTCAGTACTCTTATTGAGGAAGCCAGAGGTGTGTTTTTTTGTTCTTTATCCTGGTGGAGTTTAGAACTCTTCTCATAGGAGTCGCAACTATTGTCCATCGTTGGAGGCCAAAAGTCTGCGATTCAGCCATAATTCTCATATCGTCTGGTTAGAACCAGAAGGTTATGACACAGGTTGTTCTCAGTCATGGTGTTACCTTCAGTCTGCTCATGATGAGACAGATGTCATATATGCTAATGGGCTTGCCTGTACTCTTCCAGAGGAGGTGCAAGAACCCATGTTGCGGACAATCCCTGGACTCGAGAACGTAACAATGATAAGCCCCGCTTATGGGATTAAGTATGATTATCTAGATCCTCGAACATTGACAGGTGCGAACCTTCACCATGGTTATATCTTTTCTAGGCTCTTAGAGCATCCTTTCCTTAGAAACACTGGAGGTGAAACATTTAAAGGTAAATACCTACGCTCTTCTAAGATTTTGTGCTCTTATACTGAGTCAATCGTAGGGCCTCTACTGTGCCGGAAAACCAACTGGCACACCTGGATACGAAGAAGCCGCTGGACAGGGAATCATCGCAGGAACCAACGCAGCACGCTTAGCACTTGGACGTGGTCCATTCCTTCTGAAAAGAGATGATAGTTTCATTGGAATGCTTACCCATGATCTCATTACGAAGGGAGTCCCAGAACCTCGTAAGGTCGTCATTACTTCCTGTCTTTCGTCTACAGAAAGGTCACAAACTTCAAGAATGGACTATGTAATGATTCTTCGACCAGACAACGCTCATATTCGTCTGACGGCAAAAGGTCGTTCCTTTGTAATAACAAATAGCATGGTGGCTGACCAACTCGTAGCTTATGGCGCTGGTATAGTTTCTCGAGGGCGAATGGAATCACACAGTCGCTTGCTGGAGAATTATAATCGTACCATAGGCATTCTGAAACATTGCATACGTACCGCCCGGGTACATTTTCCATTTCTGATCGTTTCTTCGACATTGACTTCCACTCTAAGAGTTGGCAGGACCGAGGACTTTCTGTTAAGCACAGTCGCAAGATGAAAAGGTTTGGATTACCTATACACTCTGCCAGCTTGCTTTACGTGAAACTTCCAGTGCTTTCTACATGCTGCGGTTACCTTCTGTCTCGATTGCAAGCCTCAAACCAGAATTTCCGTTCCTAAAGGATGTGGATCCAGGGCTATTGGAAATAATAGATAATGACGGTGAGTCTTTATCATATCAGATTTTCGAAGGTCATTCTTACTGTCCATAGGGAAATACGCTCCTCATTTGGAAGGGCAAAAAATTGATATGACGGCCATCGTCAAGGGACTCAATCCCAATTTGGGTTACAGTAAATTTGACGCAGCAAAGTACGGTGACTTGTAAGTCTTTGTCACTTGTAAGTAGTAGTTAGTTTTCTGATGAGTTGGACAGAGTGCGGCGAAAAGGACCAAAGACACGATCTTCTCCCCTTCGATGCTAGTCCCCGTGATTATCTGCGGTCGTTGGGCCATTTCAACGTCTTCCACTTTAGGGACTGGGAAGACTTCAAGCCTAGCTGTGTCCGCAAGTCCTGATGGATGCGGCCTTCCTCTGAATATAACGGTGTACCTTCCAAACTGGAAATTCCTCGGATACGCTTGCCAACAAACACCTTCGTTGTCGCGCTTAGACAGTCCCTATCTCTTTACTCGACTTAAATAGTGCATGCAAATATATCTTCACTATCTTTGCCTCTACGAAAAATCGGATTCCGAGTCGGAGCGAGATCTCGATTCCTGTGCAGGGAGTGTGGTTCTTTAGGCCGAGTCCGAGTCGGATATTGCCTCAATTGCTTCTTGTTCCGGCCTTACACCTGGCGTCATGTACGGCATCCCCGCAACTTTTCAAACTACTTGCTCTGGCTTGAAAATATCGGGAAGAAAGATGATGGTGGATACAATGGGCCGTATGATCCAGTTTCGCAGTGCTTGCACGGCGATTACTGTAAAACCCGTTCTGACTAAATTCGAGCCTCACACGTGTTGTATTTTTGGTCTTCCGTCCGTCCGAACGATAAGCCGTTCTCGGAGAACAAATCTAAGCACACGGACTATATAAAAGGACGACAGATGTGACAGCAGATCCCAACGTCCCTTCATCTCCCATGACAGTACAGATCATCACTCTGGACATAACTTCGGGTACGTGCGTATTTTCAGTTCAAAGGATGGTGCAACACTGAATAAGACTTTGTGAGTAGACACTATCTGTCCGTGGTGTTGTATCGGCTTTAAGCATGTCAAAGCTGCGATAAAGCAGATCAAAGAATCTGGTCTTCCGGTCGAGTTTCAATTTCAATTCCACCCCTTCATGCTTGATGCCAATCTTCCTCCGTCTCCTGGGTATAACAAGCGAGCTTGGTATGCTAGCCGACTGGGTGCATCAAGGATAAAGGCGGCCGAAGAGCAGATGATTGCACTTGGTCTTTCAGAAGGCGTCACTTTGAAGTCAGTCAACTTTTTTGGCGCAATGGAGTTACGCTCTGACGCTTATCTGTACAGCTACGATGGTCAAGTGAGCAATACTCTTGACAGTCATCGACTAGTTGCCAAGGTCAGGAAGATTGCCGGTGAAAAGGCCCAGGTCAAAGTTATGGAGGCACTTTCTTTGGCTTATCTCGAACGGGCGGATGATATTGGTAACCCTGACGTTCTGGCAACTGAAGTTGCAGCTACTGGGGTGATGACCAAGTCTGAGGTTAATTTCAGTTTTCCAACAGTGTGGAGTTCGGCTAATACTTGGATTCTTTCGACAGATCTTGGAATTTCTTGCCTCTAACGAACTCAAGTCGGAAATACTGTCTAGTATACGAGGATCACATTTGAATGGTATCTCCGGCGTGTAAGTTTCACCTTTCCCACTAACTTCAAGGCGGTTAGACCAAGCTCTTCTTGCAGACCGTATACCCTTGTCAACAAGAAATATGCCTTAACTGGTGCCCAACCAGCTTCCTCCTTTTTCAGGATCTTCAACGAGATCGCTCGTGGTCAGCGCAAGTAATCCAAGATACCATGCAACCTTCGCTGCTCGTTTGAATTCCTCGTGTCTGCCTTCTATGGGTTACTTTGGGAAGATCCAAGGATGTGATGAATCTCTCAATGGATTATATTAGGATGGAATATGCAATGAATAGATTTGTATAACTTATTCGCCAGTCGGCTAGAAATTCAGATCGGTGAATTCAGTGGATACGTCATTTAAGGCCCGATCTTGACGCATACGTCACAAAGTGGCAGACACAGGTGAACTTATTTCTTACTCATCTTTCTTACCACGACCACCATTCTTCAACCTTTCTCATTCCAAAAATGAAGGTCACTCTAAACGGAACAGTTCTTGCGGAATCGAATGATACCATTGTCGTTGAAAATAATCACTACTTCCCCCCTTCGTCTGTCAAGACGGATTTGTTCACTGATTCAAAGACCAGGTTAGTCTCATGCGTAACACTCGTTTACAATTATCTGTTGACCTCGCGAACTGAAGCTCTGTGTGCCCATGGAAAGGGTAAATCGACATCTCATGCCTCTTAGTCGCCGTCTTACCTGAAGCGACAGAACTGCTTCCTATTACAACGCTAACGTCGACGGAAAGGAAGTTAGCGATATTGCGTGGTAAGCTAGGCTTAGACTTACAGGAATACTCTTTCTTTTAGTTTCTTACAAGTTCGTTCATAGGTATTATCCTCATCCTTCGGAAAGGGCGAAGTCCATTACCGGTTATGTCGCTTTTTACAAGGTGAGTACTGAAATTTGAATGATGCTTCGCCTCTGCTATAAGAGTGTTCAGAACAGAGTCAATATGGAATGAAGCAAGAGAAGCGAACAGATTTGTACAAGTAACTTCAGACTCTACACAATTATGTACAATTGCACTCAAGAAATAAGTATAATATTGTGCGACTGAGAGACCAATGTGAAGTGATTGCTGTATTATATATGCCATACCGGTGGAATATCAATGACAACGAATAAATGAGTCGAATGCAAGATGGACAAAGGAACAGTTCATAATAATGATAAGAACAACATTGCAATTGGCTTACACCCCATGCCCTAACTTGACCGATCCGCCCTTGTTGAGGACCGACTCAGCCACCGTTTTGTCTTTGAATGTTAGAAGGTCAGTCAAAGAAGCGATTTGGTCACCCTAAAGACAACGTTAACTTGGCACAAAACAAAGATGGAATCGACCAACCTTCTGCTCTAGGATATCAACGACCTCGCGAAGATGCTGAGCGAGCATGTTCCTTTTGGGTACATCGGACACAGCGTCCATATCCTTGTATTGGTCTGCGAGTTCCACGTAGACACTGCCATGAATTAGATAAACCCCAGTGGACTACGTGGAAAAGACACGAACCTTTTGTAATGGGTAAAATCATCTTGTAACTCTCTGATTACCTTCATGAGAACAGTTTGGGGAGGAACTCCCTTCGCTGTTGGGACGCGCGGAGCTGCACTGGTTGATGGCATCGGGCGTCGGTCGCCGTCCTCAACACCTTCCGAACCTTCAGCAAAGCCCTCATCTTCATCGCTGTTATCTTCGTGATCCTCCTGTACGTTGGCTTGGAATTGCTTTGCCAAACGGCTTGGTAACCAAGACGGAGACATTGGTCTTGCATCCCTGTGATGCCCTCTTCTTCGATGACATACATTGCAAGTCCGCGCATTGTGCTCTGGAGCACTGAAGAATAAGCGCTCTAGTCTGGCACCACGAATCTGGGGGAACGGCGTTTGTGGTCCCTCATCATCATCCCTATTCGGGCGACGGGCGTGCGCCGTTGCGTGTGCAGGTGTGGGGGCAGCCGGACGTGCTACGGTTGGAGTGGGAGTACGACGACGGCGCGCGCGTAATGATGGACTAGGTGAAGAAGAGCGACTTTCGTCTGCCCAATGAGAGTTTTGGGAAGGCCGATCGAGCTCGGGAACCTCTTCAACTTGAACAGACTCTTGCTGGATGGCGGGGGAGGGAGGACGCGACGCCATGGAATTTTGTTCTGTGAATGATACCGAGCGCTCAGAACGTCGTTCTTCGACATCAGCAGATATTTGCTCCAATTCGTCCTCCTCGATGAAACCTCCAGAAGCTCCCAGATTTGTCGATCCAAGAGTTGCGTGGTCTGTTCGCATAGTCTTATCGGGAGGTGCTCCATCCGTCCTCGACGTGGAGATGGGCTCGAAATTGTCTTCCTCTTCTGCCGAACTTTCTTCTTCGATCGCTTCCTCTCCACGACTATGCTCCTCGACCACCGGTTCGTCTTGCTGTTCAATAGCAGGCTCGGCGATCACGACGCGAGATCGTGTAGCCTCGGAGGCCTCCCTGGCAGCCCTGCGCTCTTTTAAACCTTCTTCGACGACACCTCGTAATACCTCCACCTCTCCAGCGAGACGTTCAACTTCTGCACGCAACTGATTAATTTCTGCCGTTTTCTCCTTTAGGGTTCGGTGGTCAGAGTCACGCAAGTTCCTGAGCTCGGTCAAGAGCTGCTGATGTGACGCTAACTCAGCTGTTAGTCGGGAAAGATGAGAGCGAAGGCTCGTGACAAGAGCTTCGAGAGCTGTTAACAGGACGAAAGTTAGTATGAATGGATGATCTATCATCCTAATCTCACCTTTTTTCTCTTCCACTACTTCTTGATATCTGGACGTATCTTCTCTGGAGTAGGAGATATCTCTGGCCTTTGCCTTCCCTTTGCCTTTTCTCCTTCGAGCCTCCTCCAGTTCGAATTCACGTTGTTGTTGAGAGAGGAATTCTTCTCTTTGCATCAGCATAGAGCGCTCTTTGGTGACTTCGATCTTGCAAAGTTCAAGTTCATGTTCCAGTTCTCGAACGCGACGGCGAGAGACTCCATTCTCGTCTTCCAACTCACGAAGCTTAGATTGTACAGCGCTGATGGCAGATAACAAACGAGCTAGTGCATGTCAGTAAAAGAAGTATTGGCAACATTGAGACGCACCATCACTTTCTCTGGCTTCTTTGGATGCTTGATATGGATAATGTTGGTAAGCGCCCTTCACTGGTGATTCCACAGCGCTAGTCAACCCCGTCACGTCCGGAAGGTGAAGCCTACTCTTGGAGGCATGAGCGGGCGTCTGCACAGGTTGTCTCAAGGAGCTTCGACGTTGTGCAGGCTGCATAGAGCGAGACTGATCTCTGGTTAGATTTCCAGCTTCATGGTGGGTTGTGCGATCGGTAGCAGAGCTTTGATTAGGGCGGCGGCTCTGTTCAATTTCATGATCAAGCTCTTTGGTAATTACGCTGGCCATTTTAGTGAATCTAGAGCCTGATGGTGTAGGAGTTGGAGGATGAAGGCGAACATGAGGCTGATGCGGTGACGCATGAGATGGGCCCGGAACGCGCTTGGTCGCGCGGGCCTTAGGCGTAGATACATCTTTGTCGACGGTGGGAAGAGTTGGCTGGCGTCTAAGAGGAGATGGCGCGTGGCGAGCAAGGCTGTGATCCTGGGCGCCACGAGTCGAACGTGGTCGGCTTGGAGAAAAGGAAACACGACGAAGAGCATCAGATATTTTTGGACGAGATTGTTGTCCTTCAGAGTCTGACGAGGAAGAGGAAGCTGACTGAGGAGAATGTAGACGAACAGAACGAGAATTCAGAGACGGTGGGGGGACATAACCCGAAGCGAGTATACGATCCAATTCGGCGGTGTCATCGACAACAACGGGGTCAAAGCTGATTCCACCAGGTGGCTAGATCAGACGTCAGATTGAGAGATAATCCACCTACGTTGCCACGTACCGGATATCTGGATCTCGATGGGTCCATGTCAAATATACTAAGCTTACTGTCAACGCCCGCCATGATATCACGCAGTGGCCGCTCAGGGTCATATTCTGCACCACTCAGACTGACATCGCGTCGATGCCCTCTACCCCCAAGACCTGCACTGAGAGTTAGGCCACTGGCATGATGCGCTGCGGTAGACACGGTCTCGCCACCATATGGATTAATCCCTTCCTCGTCGTCGTCATCCCCAGTGCGATATGACCAAGCGTGATTGAAGTCGCTGTCGAAGTCGTCCCCCGATCTGTGGATGTAAGAGCGGAATTCTGGCAAGGACACAGGATTGGAATTGTGTCTGGGATACTCGATGCTATCGTTGTGGTTGAACTCGTCATCCTGTGACGAGAGTTGGAGAGAAAGATCTGTGCGCTGTAGGTTGTGCTCTAATTGGATCCGGTCGTGCTCGAGCTCGTCACCCCGGATAGTGAGGTCAAGAACCTGTGCTCTTGATTGCTTTTTCATGTTGTGGAACAGAGAATATGCCTTTTGCCTGGTATCGCAAGAGAGAGCAAGGCGGGAACTGAGGAGGAGGGTAAAGCCGTGGCAGACCCGGTTGAGAACAAGATCAAGGCCTTGGATGCCAAAACAAGGTATCAACGGCCTCAAACGCGTCTGTCACGTGTATCGTGTCATCCGAGGCCACGTGGGAGGGACTTCCGTGAAACCCTAACCCTAGTTTTTCTCTCTGACTTCATATGGACGATCGTCCTCACAAGCCTCACCGGCCTGCACAATCTGGCTCCAAGGCTGATAAAAAAGACAAGGGAAAGGGAAAAGAGAAGCAGCAAGGCTTTAATGAAAAAGTGCGTACCCTTACTATCCATTTTGGAATCGTATCTGAATGCTCTTCTCAGGCTTTTGCCCCGAGGTCGGGTCGTCGGGCTGACCGTCAAGGGAGACGAACCGCTGAGCGCGACCAAACACGACTACATGTTCCTCTTGTAAACCGAACACCAGACGATGAACCTCCTCCTATAATTGTCGCTATTGTAGGACCACCCGGAGTTGGCAAGACTACTCTGTTGAAAAGTCTCGTTCGTCGGTACACGAAACAGACTTTAAACGAAGCCAAGGGACCTATCACCGTTGTTAGCGGGAAGAAAAAGAGGCTCACTTTCATTGAGTGCAACAATGATCTCAATAGCATGATTGACATTGGCAAGATTGCCGACCTTGTCCTGCTCATGATTGACGGTTCTTTTGGTTTCGAAATGGTGTGTAATTTACCAATGATCCACTGCAATAGCTTATTATATACACAGGAAGCCTTTGAATTTTTGAATGTACTCCAATCGCATGGTTTCCCCAAAGTCATCGGCATACTCACACATCTTGACCTCATAAAAAAAGCTGCTACGTTGAAAGACACGAAGAAAGCGCTGAAAAAGCGGTTCTGGACAGAGATATACCAGGGTGCAAAATTGTTCTACTTGTCCGGTGTCTTGAACGGTAGATATCCCGATAGCGAGATTCTCAATCTTTCTCGGTTCATCAGCGTCATGAAATTCCGCCCTTTAGTCTTCCGTAACGCCCACCCCTATCTTCTCGCCGACCGAATTGAAGACCTTACTCCCCGTGAGCAAGTGCGAACTTCGAAAGGGAAATGTGATCGGGCAGTCACAGTGTATGGGTACGTGCGCGGTACCAACCTCCGGATGGGCACAAAAGTGCATATACCAGGCGTTGGAGATTTGGACATGAAGAGCGTTTCTATCCTGGGTGACCCATGTCCAATGCCAGACGCTGACTCCGAAAAACGACGGAAACTTAGCGAAAAGAAGAAGCTTCTGGTACACGCTCCTATGAGTGATGTTGGAGGCGTAATGTATGACAAAGATGCTGTTTATATCAATGTTCCTGGAAGTTTTACACGGGGCAATACCGATGGTGAGTTCACTCCTATCTTATCTTTCACCAAGTAAATTCATGGAATATATAGTTCTGCAGGGCGAGGGAGAACAAATGGTGATGGACTTGCAAGATGCCAGCGCAACTCTTGAAGACGCTGTTGCTCAAAGCCAGATTCGTCTATTTGGATCTTCGTCGAAGCATCTTGCGGTGGATGTTGCTGCTGATCAGGATGATGACGAAGGCACTGAGGGTTCTGAAGAAGAAGAAGATAGTGGTGACGACATGGCTAGCGATGACGATGAAGTGCAGGACATCTCGCAGGATCCTAGGAATACCGGACGCGTATCAATGCGTACGGTTGCGCGTAGCCTTCCTACTTCTAACAAGAAAAGCCACGGAGGTGTTGAATATGCGGATAGCGATTCAGATCTAGGGGAAGAGGAAGAAGATGAATTGGGAACTTCAGGAAAACGGGTCAGGCTTGAGCACGAAGCACATGATCATGACATTCCAAGCGATGATGACGAAATGGATGAGGAAGAGGAAGACGACGTTCCAAAGTGGAAGGAAAATCTCCTCGCCAGGGCCAAGGAAACGCTTTCCAAGGGGGGACGACGGAAAGATTGGACGAAGCTCATTTATTCTAGCTCACTGACTCCTCGAGAAATACTTCATGGCGATTCGTCTCCTGCTCAGGAAGAAGAAGCTGAGGAAGACGATGACGACTTCTTCAAGCTGAACAAGCCGGACCCTACGTCTATGGACGAAGAGATGGACAAGACCAAGTGTAATGCTCAGTCCGATGATCTAGATCGTTGGAAAGAAGAGGACATCTTAGACTCCATTCGCGGATTGTTCATCACTGGCGGGGCAAGCCAAGAAGACGACGGAGGAGATGAAGGGTATGAGGATTCACATGGAGAACTGGACGATGACGAGCCAAATGAAGATGATGAACCATCTGCCTCGAAAGCGGAGTCTTCGCGAGCAGCCGCGCTTGCCGCAAAGAAGGAAGCTCTGAAGCGCAAATTTGATGAGCAATATGACGACCCGGAATCATCAAAACTCGATTTCTACGACGAGAAGAAGGAGGAGATGGCAAGGCAACTCCAGCTCAATAAAGCAGAGTTCGAAGGAGTCAGCGCAGAGTCACGGGCACTGGTCGAGGGTTATCGGCCTGGTGCTTATGTTCGCATCGAATTGGCAAGCGTACCGTGCGAGATGATCGAACACTTTGATCCCTCGTATCCCATCGTTGTAGGCGGTTTGCTGCCAGCTGAAGAAAGGTTTGGATTCGTTCAAGTCAGGCTTAAACGCCATCGATGGTTCGTTAAAACCCTCAAGACCAACGACCCTCTCATTTTCTCCGTCGGTTGGCGTCGCTTCCAAACTATCCCCATATATTCTCTCGACGATCATTCCATTCGAATGCGTATGCTCAAGTATACTCCAGAGCATATGCATTGTTATGCGACATTCTACGGCCCGGTATCTCTTCCCAATACGGGCTTCTGCGCATTTAATTCTTTGGCTGGGGAAACATCAGGGTTCAGAGTATCGGCCACAGGCGTCGTCCTCGATATCGACCGTTCGGTCAAGATCGTCAAGAAGATCAAACTGACCGGTGTCCCATTCAAGATCTACAAGAACACAGCCTTCATTAAAGACATGTTCAATTCGGCTCTCGAAGTGGCCAAATTCGAGGGTACCAACATCAGGACTGTCTCTGGTATTCGAGGTCAAGTAAAGAAGGCACTTTCCAAACCCGAGGGCACGTTCCGAGCTACATTTGAAGACAAAATCCTCAAGAGCGGTACGTAGAAATCGATGTTATGAAAATTCTCTGCTGAGCTTTTGCTTCAGACATCGTGTTCTTGCGAGCATGGTATTCAATACAGCCTAGGAAATATTACAACCCAGTCACATCATTACTGTTGTCGGATAAGGCACATTGGTCCGGTATGCGCCTTACGGGCCAGATACGTCGAGATGAAGGTCTTCAGACGCCATTAAACCCTAACTCCAAATATCGAAAGATCGAGAGACCGGCCCGGCGATTCAATCCTCTTATTGTCCCGAAGAAATTGCAAGCAGCACTTCCCTATGCTTCAAAACCCAAGAAAATGAGCAGCCAGCGGAAGCAAACGTATCTGCAGAAACGGGCTGTCGTCACGGAGCCAGAGGAACGAAAAGCTGTGGCTCTGCTGCAGCAGATGCGTGCTCTACGGAAGGACCAGGTGGCGAGGAGAAAGAATAAGAAGACTGAGAAGAAGGCTATCCATCAGAAGAAGGTTGAGAAAGAGGAGGCCAGAAGGAACGAAAAGGAGAAAGAGAAGCGGAAGGAACACATGCGGGTGGCCGGTCAAAAATCTAAAAGACAGGCAGATCTGGAAGAGGGTCGATCAAGGAAACGTCGCAAAACTTAATGTTTCGCTTTCCTTTCGATGTTTCTTTCTACTTACATACTTGTTACATCAGTTATATTATGAAGACCAGGTCCTGAATGATCGGACTGTCCACTTGAGAAACACTATCGTGTTGGCTCAAACAAAATCAGATCCACGGGGGTAATCCCTTCCTATCTGGTGGAAAGCTTGCTCACACCATGATAGGTAAGTGCCGCTTTAATCCTGCCTGCCTTTTGCTCTCTTCCTTCGATTTTGTGATAAGAACTGGGTCCTCTGGAGGTATAAATCGGAAATAAGTCGGGTTCAAATCTTGTCCTATCGCTCGGTTGCCGGCTTTCGTCCTTCGCCACTATAGCAATTAAGAACAAGTACGTACCCTCTGATGTTCCTTGCGATCTGACCCTGTACCTAATCCTGGAATATATATTGGGAGCTGGGAGCTTCGGCAAACCTCACGGATTCGGATCTGCTACGTGCTAAGCCATGTCCCGTTTTCTCCACCGACTAAATGAAGCAGTCAAGCTGCATGGCGACGAAGAAAAGCATGAGAAGACTGATTCTTGGTGCAATCGGGACTTAGTGCCTATGCCTCCTAGTCGGCGCACATGGGGGCTTATGGAGTACTATGGCTACTGGTCACTGTGTTCTTTGAACGTATGTTCTGGATTTTCTCTTGCACATTCGCCGATAGATGTTCAACTATCATGGCTAGGTCTCGACATGGCAAATTCCCAACACTTATCTCACAGCCGGACTATCGGTAGGCCAATCCATGGGCGTTACAATAATTTCCTCTTTTGTCATTGGATTTTTCTCTACTGTCATCGCTTGGTGCGGTCTTCGTTGGCACATTGGATTCACGATTCAAAATCGGTACGTCATTCTAGATTTAGATTATATTCACGCCAGCACCTGATCCAGCTACGGAAAGGTACTCATGGGGCATGCGGGGGAGTTATCTGCCGCTTTTGCAGCGAGTATTGCTCAACTTTATTTGGAACGCCATTCAATGCTGGAACGGTGGTAAGCTGGTAAATGTCTGCATTACTGCGGTTATGCCAAAGTTTGCAAACTTGCCGAATCGTATGCTTTATTACGTTCTTATTCATTCTGATAATTATTAACTCGCTTCTCTAGACTTACCAGCTGACTTCCCGGCCACGGCGTCGGATATGGTGGGGTTCTTCATCTTTTGGCTCTGTTCCCTGCCGTTTTTGTATCTGCCCCCGGAGAAATTTCGCCGGCCCTTCCAAATTACCAGTGTATACTGTGCGACTGGAATGATATGCATGCGTGCGTAATTAATTAGTCAAAGGCTTCATCATCTGGTAGCTGGAAACTGATTCCAATACTAATTAGTGATATGGTCCTTGTCAGTAGCCAAAGGCGTGGGTCCAGTATTCTATTCTCCACAGGCTACTAGTTCTTCATCATGGTCCGTCTCATGGATTATCATGAGCTGCATCAATTCCGGTGTGGGTAGCGTGGCTGCAGGTATGACCAATGGCTCGGATTTCTCTCGATACAGCAAGTCGAGATGGGGTTATGTTTGGGGTTCGAATTCCAGTTTATTCATAACTGCAACTTTGGTCAGTTTTGTTGGCCTTACGGTTACGTCTGCGTGTCAGCAGATCTATGGTGAACTCTACTGGAATCCTCCCGACCTCCTTATGCGAATGATGGACTCTGGACAAGGAAGCAGTAAAGCAAGGGCTGGCGTATTCTTCCTTTCGCTTGGCTTCGCTTTGACGGTAAGCCTTACAACATGATGAAAGCCATTCGTCCTCCAATTGGTTACTTAATGGTAATTAGTCTGGATTTCAGAACATTTGTGGTAACGCTGTGGCTGGAGGCGTAGATCTTTCGGGCGTGTTTCCTCGCTACATTAACATCCGCCGAGGAGCTGTTATTACCTTCGTTGCTGCATGGATATGCCAACCCTGGCAGCTCATCAATCGAGCCGACACATTTCTTAGTGTCCTCTCTTCCTTCTCAGTTTTCCTTGCGCCGGTGATGGGAATCAGTGAGCCCGCCCAAACAAATACGAATGTACTAGTTCTAACATGTTGATCTAAAGTGTGCTGTGACTACTACGTGCTCAGAAGAATGCGGGTCAAGCTGAGGTATATTTGTCTGGATATGAGCTGGTATGGCCAGTACGTCACTAACTTTGGACCCGCAGCGACCTTTATGATCTCCATGGTTCATACTATTATACTTGGAGTTTCAATCTTAGGACTATCCCTGTGTGGCTGGCTGGTTGGGCCCCAACAGTTGGTGGACTGAGTTACGTTGCGAGCGGAGACGAAAGTGGTCCCAGAGCATTGTACCAGATGTATTATTGCTCATTCTTCATAGGTAAGTATGGTATGATCGGCCACTTCAGTATGTTGTCTCATCCGGTTTCTCACAAAGGGTTTGGTATTGCATTTATCCTATTCTATATCGTCAACACGATCTTCCCCCCTGGAAACTTGGGAGAGATCGACGAGATCGATTACTTTGGGACATTCACACCGGAGGAGGCACGGAAACTGGGCATTGTTCCTCATGTAGCGGGAAGCGTTGCTTCAGACGCTGCTTCTGTTGAGAAAGAAGGGGACTTGGCCGTTCTCGGAGTGAGTGAAGTAAAGTCTAACGTGGCAGATCATGCACTTTAGAATGCTTTATTTAAATAATTTTTAGATGCAATATTTTCCATGTGTTCGTACATACCTACCTAACTTTCTCATATGTAACCTGACAGCGAAATTCACTGACCAGCAAAGGTCCCCATATCAAACTTTCATGTAGTGTTAGTCTCGGTCTCATCTATGACGCTCGTGCTTCACTGATGCCAAGACATCGCACTGACAGCGTCGCTAGAACCTACCCTGCAACATCTTTCGTTGAAATTTTTAGAAAATGCTCTTTACTACGGTTTGAAACGGAGGAACAATGGAGTAAGCCACAGTGCATTATTTTTCAGCAGACTGACTTTCTGCCAGGAGAAGCAGGAGAAACCCAGGGAAAACTGCCAGAACTTGGCGAAGGCAGTGCCGAGTCTGGCCCTCTTTGGGGCAAGTGCCGCCGGTATTTTACCTTGAAACGCTTAAGGTTAGGGTTACACGTCCGGACACGTCGTCGCTGGAACAGCCATGAACTCTATACTTAACCACCACCAAGGATCACTGATATCCTAAGCTTTCCTCAAACCACCTTGACCTTCGCCGGTTTCCTTGTTCAAGGGACATTCTCTCTTTTCTTTTGCTGGAAGCGTTATACCCGCGTTGTTATATCTTATACCATGTCGTTCTTAAGGTATGTATCCGGGCCCGGTACACTGGTACGCATCTCATGTGCTATCATAGGCTAGCCCTGTGTGTTGTCGGGGTATACTCTATGTTCCTGGTGAGTCTTGCCGGCTTGGATGTCTTCCTTCCCTGACGCCCTTCTAGCTTTGGGCCATTGCCCAAGAACGATGTAGGTGTCGTTGTCCACTTGCCGAACAATCTGTTCTCACTGCTGTCTAGTATCTGTTCCGTTCAAATCAATAGAAGATGACTCGTCCACAAAATTCCAGTCAGCAATTATTATCGGGACTTGTCAAAGCGCGTTGAGCTCTATATCCGCCCTATTATACATCCTCCTTCGACGGAACCCTTCCCAGACTCTGTCCCAAAGCCTAGGTCTGGAACCGAAGAGCCAGCCATCGTCGAACGGTAAAGCAGTTTCTAATGGCGATGCTCACCACAGCAATAATGTTCACCGCCACCGCAACGGAAGCGTCCGTCACAAAGAATCGACGCGATTTTCTCGAAAAGTACTCCTCGTCCGGTATCTCCAATGCTCTGCCTTCATCACTGCCGCAGCACCTTTCGGTTTCGCTGCTCTTTCTTATATCTCTTATCCCGCGATGGTCCTAGGAAAATCGTGCAAATTGGTTCCTGTCATGATCATGAATGTTCTGTTATACCGCCGTCGTTTTGCTCCCCATAAATATCTTGTCGTGTTCATGGTCACGGCTGGAATCACCGTTTTCATGAGCATGGGCAACGATCAAGGCAAGGGCAAACACAAATCTACGGCGTTGGAGGACGTCTCGCCCTATGCCAACATTATAGGAATCACATACCTGCTCATCAATCTCGCTTTGGACGGTGCCGTCAACTCTACTCAGGATGAAATTTTCGCCAGGCACAAGGTTACAGGCCAACAGATGATGTTTTGGATCAATGTTTTCTGCACCTTGATTACGACGTTCTTGTCGCTACTCCCGCTCCCTCATATTCCGGTCATTCACCCATCGGCCGGGGGCCAGAGTGAGCTGATGGAAGCCCTGGCCTTCATTCGATCGCACCCGTCCATTGTGACCCCTCTGGTTCAATTCGCCCTTACTGGTGCTCTAGGCCAGCTATTCATTTTCGAGACGCTTCAACACTTTGGATCTCTCACTCTTGTGTAGGCTTTTATTCCAATCTTGCGAGCTACCTTGACACTTACATGCTTGACAGAACTATTACATTAACTCGAAAACTTTTCACGATGCTTTTGTCAGTTGTGGTGTATAAGCACACTCTCACACTTGGACAGTGGCTTGGCGCTGCCATAGTATTCGCCGGAATATCTGTCGAAGCGTTTGTCAAACGTAAAGGTGTGTATTATATTTGTTGCACATTAACTTGACTTACTAAACTGCAAAACAGATATCCATGCTAAACGAGTGATTGAGGAGAAAGAAAAGCCCAAAATCAAGGCTTTGTAGGAAAGTATGCCAAAAATAGAGGAGCAACCTAGGGCTTTGGAATCGGAGATACACAGAAAGAATGATAGCGAAGGAAGGATGGGGAAACGACGACTACGATATCTCCATTGCGTTTGGGTCATAGCTGCTATGGGCTGCAGCGATGCTACCGTTGTTATCGACTAGCGTTCGTTTACGATCCATTCGATCTTCGTCCCTATCACGATTGGGTCAGTTCAGATGGGCATTAATATCGAGAGATGATTTACCCCGAATCATCACCGTCGTCGTTCTGTTCTCTCTTCCTTCGTGATACTCCATTATTACGAGTGGGATAGGAGGACACCGCCTGGTTTGCTCGGTAGATTGCTTCGTATTCCTGCATGATATTAAATCGATGATCAAATCACAGCCTGGGATTGCATACCTTGAGTTGGGTCAGGAACCCACCATTTGGAGAGATACAATAACGTCGATTCTGTACCATGTGAAGGGCATCCTCCCATGAAAGTTGGTAGTGTTGCATCACGAACATCACTACAAAAGCAGGGGAGATGCTAATGCCACCTAATAAATAGATTAGACGAATAAATGAAAGTCCCAGACGGAATACACGCCGTTGCAATGGACTAAAACCTTGCCTCCTCTAGAGATCGCGTCATCGATGAACTGTTTAGCTCTAAGAAATAAACAGGAGTGTCGAGAAGAACAAGGCTAGACGTACCGAGGAAAGAGGCGGATCAGATTCTGCTCCTCGCTGTCTTCGACATCCAGCACAATGTATTGAAAGTGATCCGGAAAACGCGGTTTGACAGAGAACGATTCCTTCACGTCGCGTATACACACACTGAGAAACGAAAGTATGATTCATCAGCTCAACATCTGCAGAGACACGGGCCAGGACAAGCACATTACATGTGTGTTATTTGCAGCGCCTTGAGAGTATCGAAAGATTTAGAAACGACAAAGGGGCCTAGCAAGAGACCTGGAAGGATTTCCTGACATTCACGCCGCATCTCATACCTGGCAAAGGACCGTTAATGAGGCCAGGTGAGATTGCGAAACAACATACCTCCACTCGACGTCGGCAGGGCCCTGGATAACGTTGCGGAGCTGCTCCTCTGACAGAGGTCGGTTTGAGTAGTTCATGTCCATAAGTGAAGGGTAAGGAAAGAGGAAGAGGCGCTTGGCGGTTAAGAGGAAGGACCCTGACCGACTCGGACGCGTTGTGACTTTTATTACAAACACAAGCCTTCTTCCGTCTTCCACCATCTGCCACCTACCATGGACCTCGACGACGAGATACCGTACGACCCTTCTTCCTTCTGTGGCGCACCTAGTCATTTATATTGTTTCTAGGATGCTTGTTGAGCACGATAACAACAAGGTACCGCTAACAATTATCTGTGGATTTCTAGGCGCAGGAAAATCGACGTTGCTCAAGTACGTTGCCGAAATTACTCCTTAGTTGTCTGCCTGTCTGATAGACGAATAGGCGGATCTTAACCGAACGGCATGGATATCGTATCGCTGTCATTATGAATGAATTTGGAGACACCGCTGTAAGTCGCATCATGTTGGCTGTCCACCTTTCGACTTGAACTGAGGAATAGGATATTGAAGGTTTGCAATACATAAAGGTTCCTACATTACACTCAGCCATCTTCTAGCAAAAACCATCAACGTATCTTCCCCCGACGACCCAACTGCCGAAGCCTCGGAAGAGTTTCTCGAGCTAGCGAACGGGTGTCTCTGCTGCAGCATCAAAGACGTAGGCATCGCAGCCATCGAGAAGTTGATGCAGCGCAAGGGTGCCTTTGACTACATATTGCTGGAAACGACTGGGCTAGCCGACCCTGGTCCGATTGCGTCCATGTTCTGGCAAAATGAGGAATTTGCTTTAGGAGTGGGCAAGGATATTGTGCTTGATGGTGTTGTATGCGTGGTGGATGCTTGCTTTGGCCAGAAAGTAAGTCTCTGCATGCTACCTGACGCGTGAAATTTTACGATATTCGTAGCAAATGGAGGAAGACACCACTGAAGACGAAGTTGGAGAAAGTATACGGTGCGTTGCTTAGGTATCTGAGGTGCCTTTCTTCTCATATTTTACAGGCAAATTGCGGGATCCGACGTCATCCTTCTAAATAAAATTGACTTGGTCAAATCTACCGAAATCACTCACGTCGAATCCACCGTACGCCGAATCAACCCAGCAGCGCCTTTGTACAAAACCGTGCGAGGTCAGGTTGATGTGGGGAGTATTGTAAACATCGAAGCATATTCTACTCGTCCCAAGTTCCCTATTCATGAACATGACCACAGCGTCAATCATGCCGACCATGATCATCCCGAGCAAACCCATTACGAACTCCGGGGAATTTCGAGTATTCAGGTGACTTGCCCTACACTCAGCCAGGAGAAAATGGATAAGTTAGATGCCTGGATTCGCTCGGTGCTGTGGGAGAATCGACTCCCTGAAGGGACCCAGTCTTCGGAGCTTCAAGTTTTGCGTTGCAAAGGACTTGTCATGACCGATACGGGTGATCAATATGTGTTGCAGGGTGTTCGGAGTATGTACGATATGTCGCGAGTAGAGGAGGAAGTCGTCGGTGTTCCTGAGCAGGGGAAGCTTGTGTTCATTGGGAAAGGATTAGATTCTGTTGTTAGAAAGAGCCTTGAGGGCATCGTACTAAATTGACGAACTAGTACTTTAAATTTTTAATGATGTACACAGCCACATCATTTACATCATTTACATCTTTTCCTACTCCGTCATGGAAGTTCCAGATCCTCAAAATGTTCGTATCATCACGACACTAGGTCACGTTGACCATGGAAAGACGACTCTTATGGATTCGCTTTTGGCGGCGAACAACATTATTTCATCACGGATGGCTGGAAAGATGCGGTACTTGGACAGTCGAGAGGATGAGCAAGAGCGAGGAATCACGATGGAGAGCAGCGCTGTCTCCCTGAAATTTCAAGTCATGGGGCGAAATGAAAGTGGAGGTGCGCCTCTATGCTGCTATATTCATGAAATACGTGACGAACGTGCTCAGAAAGAACACCGCTATCCTACATTATAAATATGGTCGATACTCCTGGTCACGTCGATTTTTCTGGCGAAGTGTCTACTGCATCTCGCCTTTGCGATGGTGCACTCATATTGGTCGATGTCGTAGAAGGCGTGTGCACACAAGTATGTGATTTCTTCATTTCTACCTAGTCCACTAGCTAAAGGCGGGCAGACCATTTCTGTGCTTAGGCAAGCGTGGAAAGACGGACTCAAGCCTGTGTTGGTTATCAACAAGTTTGACCGCTTGATAACAGAGCTCCAGCTAGCGCCGGTGGAAGCCTACCATCATCTATCCCGGCTAATTGAACAGGTCAATGCTGTCATGGGCGACTTTTTCGCTGGAGAGAGGATGGAGGACGATCTCCGCTGGCGGGAAGAACGAGAGCGTAGGTTGGCAGCAAAGAAGGAGACCCACATCGATGAGACCGAAGCTACTATCAATGACGACGACGAATTCCAGGAGAAAGATGACGAAGACATTTATTTTGCACCGGAGAAGGGGAACGTCGTTTTCGCGTCTGCGATTGATGGATGGGGCTTCCGTGTCGGGAAATTTGCTCAACTGTACGCGGTGAAGCTCGGTATAAAGGAAGCCAATCTTCGCAGGGTGCTGTGGGGAGATTTCTTCTTGGATCCGAAGACGAAGAAAGTCATCAGTTACAAGCATCTCCGTGGGCGCGCTCTAAAGCCTTTATTCGTGCAGTTCGTGTTGGAGAATATATGGGCAGTGTATGATGCTGTCGTGCTCAACCCGTACGTGTATCTCGACAGCGAACGATATGATGCGCTGATTGAGTTCATGTAGGAATATGGAAAAGGTTACCAAGATTACTTCTGCCCTCAATTTAAAGATTCCTCCTCGCGATCTGAAGTCAAAGGATACTCGGCATCTTCTTTCTCTTATCTTTTCGCAATGGCTTTCTTTGTCTACGTGCATCATACAGTCGGTGATCGACGTCGTACCGGCTCCCCCAGTCGCCCAAGCAACTCGAATACCGAAAATGCTTTACCCAGATCTTCCGGAGCCGCCTCTTCAGCCAAAGAATAAGCTTGAAGAAAACCTGTATACAGCCGATCATAGTTCGGACGCGTACATCTGTGCATTCGTCAGCAAGATGTTTGCGGTATCCGATAAGGACCTGCCAGAGAATCAAAAGAAAGCCATGACTGCCGAGGAGATGAGAGTAAGAGCCCGTGAGGCTCGAGAAGCCCGACAGCATGGCCAAGCAGAAGGCGGCACAGAAGTGGCGCCGTCCGGTGTTGATATTTCTCCTAGGACAGGGGATACCAACACCGATGAGCCAAAACAAAACTCGGAGATCATACTGGGTTTTGCGCGCCTGTATTCTGGCACCATCAAGACCGGTGCCACGATTTACTGTGCGCTTCCGAAGTATAATGCCTCATTGCCCTCCACACACCCGCATAACGTCAAGTATCTCAAGACGGCGACTGTGGAGGGCCTCTATGTGATGATGGGTAGGGAATTGACTGCTGTAGATTCTGTTCGGGCTGGGAATACTTTCGCAATCAGAGGCCTAGAAGGGATTGTGTGGAGAAGCGCCACTCTATGTGCGCCTGGTAAAAATGGTCTCGAGCATACCACGGCGCTAGAATATTTCATGATCAATCTTGGACGTGTTGATCGTTCTGTGAGTATGAAAAAAATTGTTCGTTACGCGACATACTGATGGGAAACCAGGTACCACCCATTGTTCGTGTCGCGGTAGAATCTCTACTCCCTGCGGATATGCCCAAGGTTATCAGCGGTTTGAAATTACTTGTGCAATCGGACCCGTCTGTAGAGTCTTTCCAACAACAGACGGGTGAGCATGTTATTGTTGGAGCGGGCGAATTACACTTAGAGGTGAGAGCATGAAATCTGCGTCATAGTTTTGGGGTTAACACATGGACACGCAGAGATGTTTGAAGGACCTCCGTGAACGATTTGCCAAGGTAGAAATCCAGGCGTCTAAGCCCATCGTTCCTTTCCGTGAGACAGCAGTCAAAGGTCAAGGTCGGTGTAATGTCATCATTGTCAATCTTTGTTTTGACTAATTGCTCCCAAGATATGCCTCCGCCAAAAACGTCCGGTAGCCCACGCGGTACAATGAAAGGTGCCAGTTCACAAGGTATTGCAACATTTTCCATTCGCGCGTGTCCTCTTCCCAAGGCGATCCTGGAGTTCATTTTGGATAATCTTCTCATCTTGAAGACCTTGGAACGGGATCGTCGGTCCGGTGATTCCGCGACAACTTCGGAGGAATTAGACCAGGATTCCGTAGACATGAATGGGGAGATCTTCAGGAAGCCTACCGTAAAAGCAGAGCAATTTTGGCCTACCCTGAATGATGTACTTATGAAGGTTGGTGGGGAGTGGGGAGGTGTTTTGGATCGGATATGGACGTTTGGTCCTCAGCGAGCAGGCGCTTGCATACTGATTGATGCGCGGAAGACGGGATCAATACGATCGTACGTCCGCCTCCTTATGATGGTGACTAGGTTTCACGATTGGTTGGTATAGACTCAAACAGCGTCTCGAAAGATCGAGAGTAGGAGCAACTGATGTTGATGGCGACAAGAGTCTCTATGACTTTGATGATTGCATTGAAACCGGGTTTCAACTGGCTACTTTCCAAGGTCCTCTCTGTGCGGAGCCGGTTGAAGGGATGGCATTTTTCTTGGAGGACCTGACCATCGACAGAGAAGGGCTTAACAAAGAGATCGGTACGTTTACTTGAATAAATGATGTATGGGTGGTACTAAAGAAGAGCAGAACAGAACCGATTAGCGCAGGTAACGGGCTCAATGATAACATCAGTCAGAGATGCATGCAGGAATGGTCTCCTCGATTGGTCCCCTCGGCTGATGCTGGCTATGTATACCTGTGACATACAAGCATCCAGTAAGTGATGTCGATTGAATTGTGTACATCGTGATCCGATGGGCTCACTCTTATTTTTCTCACAGCGGACGTTTTGGGTAAAGTTTATGGCGTTGTTGCAAAGCGCCGGGGACGGATAGTAGCGGAAGAGATGCGAGAAGGTACATCTTTCTTCACGGTCTCGGCGTTGCTTCCCGTAGTGGAGAGCTTTGGGTTCGCGGACGGTGAGAATGATGGCTCTAGTGTGCTTATCAAATTAATTTCCGAGCTGATAGACATACGAAAACGAACGTCCGGGGCAGCAAGTCCTCAACTCATATTCAGCGGGTAAGTTAGAAGAAAAGTTCAGCCGGGCTTCTTTTCTGACATACATTCAGGTATGAAATGTTGGACCAGGACCCTTTTTGGGTCCCGACTACTGAGGAGGAACTAGAAGATTTGGGTGAAAAGGCAGATCGCGTGAATATAGCCAAGGCTTACATGGATGCTGTCCGGGATCGCAAAGGTCTGTTTGTGGACCGGAAGATCGTCGAATTCGCAGAGAAACAAAGGACGTTGAAACGTTAAATGCCCTCTACAGATGATTAGACTCCTTCCTTGGGTGTAATTTTATTATCATCATATCGCATAACGCGGTCTGTTGTAGAGCTGATGGGATCCCTATGCTATGTATCCAATGCGTCCTATATGACGGGGTGGCCCTGCGTAGGCGCTGTTCGAAACGATAGCACAAAAGCACGTTGCTGTGCTGTTCAAAGGCCAGTCGGTAAACAGATGAACTTGGCACGAAACGCCACTTAGACGCGTAGATAATGGCGCCAGGATGCATGTACTGATCATGCGTCGGCTTTATTAAAAGTGGCTGGCAAGACCGACAAATTTTATTGAACCGTTCCAAGAAATTTCCTTTGACTCTTCTCAAGAGTTTCTTACCTTCTGACGTCTTTATTGATTGGACGGCCACTCTCACATATTGGCCACGAGGACTCGGGTTGACTTGACTGGATACAAGCATCAATGCTTGCTGAAGGCTCACACCCAATGATCTGACTCGCCCCCTCTCAATACTGCAGCATGACCGATCTTCTGAATGTAACACAATACTGTAGCGAGGTCCAGGGGGCAGGCGGGAGTGGGAAGGCACCAGTCTCGGGGTTACTTCACGGAGAGAGTTGATAGATCCTTACGACCTGTTGATGGATACACAATCAATATCCGACGACAACGAACTTTCGGGGCGGCAAGCCCTCAGCTCGTGTTACGGGTGAGTAAGAAACGTGATTCAGTCGGGTTCCTTTTCTAACGTAAATCCGGGTATGAAATACTGAACCAGGACCCTTTCTGTCCTGACTGCAAAGGAGGACTGTATCAAAGAACAGATCGCGTGAATATTCAAGTTCAAGGCATAGAAGGCATGGAGCATGGATGCTATTCGGACCGGAAGAAAGTTAGATTTGCGGGGAAACAGAAGTCATCAGAGCGGTAGAAATGAGGGCGTACAAGTATTCACAACAGATAATTAAAATCCGGCCCTTGGGTACTCCTGTACCTTTGGAGGCTAGAATGCGACAATCCAGGGAAAAAAGCAAAATTTCATTCTATCAGGGGGATTACATAATCGCCCAATGCGCGGTTGATGAGGTCTCGATATTCGGTCTCACGTCCGTGCTAGCAAGTCCTCATATTTCTCTTTTTACACCTAATAATCTCGTCGTCGGCTGCTTGGCCCTGGCAGTGGTACCAGCGCTGAATGGCAGCGGTCGCGGCCCCTATATTCGGCGGCCACCACGCTTCTTTTCTGCCTAACTCGACCCAATCCTCTTCGGCGGCTGTCGGTACTTCCTCCCAGTCCCAGTCGGCTCAGATGCAAGACCAGGAAATTTTTGAAGACTTCCCTGTGTTATACTGTCGTGCTCTCTATGATTACGATGCCCAGGACGCATCAGCACTGTCGTTTCGGAGAAACGATATCATCGAGGTCTTGACGCAACAAGCCTCGGGATGGTGGGATGGCCTACTCAGGGAAGAGAGAGGCTGGTTCCCGTCAAATTATGTGACCATCATTTCGGAGGAGGATGCAGAGCTGGCGCTTAGTGGATCTGATTTCTCGAACACGGATACCTCAGGGAATAGCAACCAGCGCCATTCCGTTGTCGACATATCACACGCCATGATGAGGGGATCGCAGTCAGATAACGAGGAATGGCTGGACAGTGAGTTGAACGGGGCTGGGAGCGGAGTGGACGACCTAGCAAATTCAATGTGGGAGACGGCCGGCTCGTCCAGCGACTTCTGGATGCCACAAGTAGATCCTAATGGACAGGTAAGAGAACAACACTTCTCTACCGTCGCAATAACGACTAAGCATAATCAGATATTCTATGTTAATACGAAAACTGGCCAGCAGTCTCGCGACCTCCCGCAGGAAACAGAGGACGAAATATCGGACACCGATCTAGCTGCACTCACGTCGCAGGCCAGTTCGCGTTCCGGTACAAGTGCGCGACTAGCATTTGCTTCTAACAACACGTTCGAACCTGCCGCCAGTGACTCCGACACTGCTGGCAATATGGCAGGGTTTGGACTCCCTCGTCGCACGGGTACACCGGAACCATGGGTCAAGAAGCTTGCCGACGATGGGATGTCCTACTTCTACTATAACAAAGTCGATGGCAGCGTTCAGTGGACGCGACCAGAGATACCCCGGACTCATTCTTCCAAAACACCGACTCAGCCATCACATACCACGTCTTCCGTCCCGCGGCCCCAGTCTTTTCAGCCAGGAGATACGAATAGGTTCAGCGTATTCTCCGACAGCTCCGACATTCAACCCTTGGATAATGCGCGTAATTTTCGGTCAGACACGAACGGACATTCTGGGCCGGTGCAGCAACCAGCTTACGTCGATTCTCTTGTTATGGAACTCACAGGCGCCGAACGAATAGCCCAGTTGCTTCAGAAAGCATTGGCTCCCCCACCTCCCGAAATTTTGACGGATTTATCCGCAACTGCGAAGAATGCTATCCAAGCGGTAGTAGATAACATCCAGTTGAATGGTATTATGCGCAGAACAGAGGACGATCGGAAAATGGACGACATGATTCACGCCGTTGTTTTGGCGGTTCGAAATCTCCTTTACGTATCTGCCATCCCTACTGGTCAAATACCGAACCACGTCCTCCCCCGAAGCGCCCATGAGCGTGAAATCAAAGCCGCACAGTCAACTCCTTCTCCACTGAAGCCCGCTCAACGAAAAGTAACGGCGACATTATCTCGCCTCGTGCTGTCGGCACGTGCTATGCAATACGATTCAGGTTCATCGCTGTCAGATACTTTGAATCGCATCGAGGTTGATGCGGATGAACTCGAACGCGCTGTCATATCGTTTGTGTTGGAGGTACAAAGAAACCGTTCGTCGGCGGCTTCGGAAACGAAGCCGGACAAGCGATTATATGGAGTCTTCTCCACCGCTAACATCGGTTTGGGCCTCGTGGGAGCCGGCGCAGCAGGGACCTGGAAAGGTTTCGGTTGGGTATCGCTTGACGCTGATGAACAGAATCCGCAGAAAGTTTTAAGCACCGAAGTTGCAAATGAAGTCGGATCCCATGTGGCTCAACTGAATTATCAGTTTGTCCAGCTCGGCACCACCTTAAAATCACTGGATTTCGGTGCAGGTATTTGTGATTTCGTGATCTGCAAAGACAATTGTACTGATCTGCGTCCTGTCAGTTCGATCGGAGACGAAAGACTTCATCGTGCATGTGTCGTCATTCCTTTCTTTTGTCACAAACATTCATATTGCGCGTCATGTCGATATCGACGGAATACGGCAAGAGTCAAATCATGCTCCAAACGATTTGTATGTTCAGAGTGTTATCAACGCTCGATTACTCGTTCGGACCTTAGAATGTGCTGTGCAAGCGCTATATGATGATGCCGCGGCCTTATTTTTGGCGTCTCAGTCGTGGCGGGAAGAAGACCCTCAGGCGGTCTTCGACGATGCAGACCTGATCTCGGCCTCGATCCAGGCTAACTTGGCTGTTGTCCAACAATCTCTCGATGACCTTTTGTCGATTGGTCATGACCAGGCAGAAATTGGACAGGGTGACTACAATGGGTCAATTGAATGGCGCATGTCGCGTTTAAGCGTCATTGACACCCAGCTCGGAGGTTCTGGAGGTTCCGCGTGTCCAGCGTCGCCTTTGCCTGGCGAATATGAGACCCCTGGGGACGACGTGGTCGACATGGGATATGCGTTTAGCAGGGCGCCGGCTGCAGACCGCGCCAGCTATCCAAGAACTCAACATACACCAAATGCCTCCGTTGCGATCTCTACGAATGGTAATTCCCTGACTGAAGCAACAGAAGAGACCGTGGTCGGATATGAAGTCGAAGAGGTGCTGTCTACATTCCCGCATGATGAGCCCAGTCCGTTCTATGACGAAAGTGAGACTCTCCCTTGATATCTTAGTGGTCCATCTGTCTAAATTATGATTTTCAGTGCAACCGCTCAAGACTCAGCGGAAGAAGGACCTCAAGGGACTTTTGGGTGATGAGTACAGAGAAGCACCTGAGCCGCCGCCACCTGAGCCTCCCGAAACACCGTGGTATCTGCTTCCTAAGTACGATCCAGCGGAGATTTTGATCGATCCCGACAACTCCGTTCGCGGAGGGACTGTACCCGCCTTGGTGGAACGGTTAACAGCTCATGAACAAGCCGGTATGTAAGATTATATGGTCAAGGTATCATATACTGATGGCTTTTACATCAGATCGTGCCTTCATCAAAGCCTTCATGATGACCTTCAAGTCCTTTACGACGGTAGACGAGCTGTTCGATTTACTTGTTCAGCGCTTCAGGATACAGCCACCACCAGATCTAAGTCCGAAGGAGCTAGAAAACTGGACGACACACAAACAGCGTGTCATTCAGATGAGGTTCAATTCACGCCTGTATCTCATCAATTTTGTCAGCTCATTATTCTCAAATAGGGTATTGAACACATTTAAATCAATGGTGTTAGACGACGATATTCTTGACAAAGACGATATGCACATTCTACAGCATATGAAGGAGTTCATATCGTCAGATGAGGTGTCCCATTTTGCTGCGGCGAAGCAACTAATGCTTCACATCGAGAGGGCGGTCAGTGTGACTAACAATGAATCTCTATTCAAAGCTTAAGCGCTTCTTTCACAGCAAAAGGGCGGCGATCGCGTCAGAATTGTCCCAGTTAATCTCACGCAGGCACCGCCTCCCATATATCCCAAACAGAACAAGAAACTAAAATTGGCGGATATCGAACCCTTGGAGTTGGCCCGACAGCTCACTATAATGGAGAGCGACCTATTCCAGCGTATCAAGCCTATGGAATGTTTGCAACGAGCGCGAGAACAAAAGACGGAAAATGCTGATAATATTACCACTGTAATCCATGCAAGCAATCGAGTAGGCTACGTTTCTTGTCTGCTGCTCGAAATTACGAACTGACTTTCGTATCAAGATCGCAGACTGGGTCGCGGACTCCATCCTTACTAAGGATGACTCCCGACGCCGTGCTTCAACAGTCAAGCACTTGATTAGCGTGGCTGATGTATGTACTGCCTCATCATACTCTTGCAGCAGCTAAAATAAATCTTTTAGCGGTGTCGTACGTTGAACAACTTTTCCACCATGATCGCCATAACATCTGGACTGAACACGCCACCCATCCGGCGGTTAAAACGAACATGGGAGCAAGTCAGCCAACGATACTTGGCACAGTTTGGGGCCTGTGAAATGACTATTGATAGCAATAAGAACTTCAACAAGTATCGTTCTTTGATGGCGACCGTGACCCCGCCCTGCGTCCCTTTCATTGGTGAGATCGTTATTCGTTATGTCTCATTATTGTATGTAACCTTCTATCCAGGTGTATTTCTATCAACACTACAATTTATTCAGGACGGGAACCCTGATAATCTACCAGGCGGTCTGGTTAATTTCAAAAAGCGTCAGAAAGCCTCGGAAGTCATTAGTGATATCCAACGTTGGCAGGCCCAATCGTTTAACTTCCAGCCAATACCCGCTATTCAACAGTACATTGAAGATTCATTATCACAGTTTAATGATACGACTAAGGCGACCAGCGACATGTTCTGGGCTCTCAGCTTGGAGCGGGAGCCTAGGGAGCGAGAGGATGAAAAGATGGCCCGGTTACTTCAAGAGAGCGGATTTTTGTAGTGTGTTAATAATTTTTTTGCTTTTATTGACGGGACGGTGTTTTTTGCATTCTGTATTATTGTTAAGTACCAGTACTGGTCTGTATATGCTTGTTGTGTACAGTAGAATAACATGCTCTAGAAACCATCCTTTTGTGCATCTCATCTCATCGTTACATGCCACGGTACCTTCGGGCGTGCCGGACGCAAGGATACAGGTAACTGCACTACGAAACCAAACCCTCACTGCCATCTAGTCAACCTCGCATCATAGCGTGGTGGCCTATGATTGGCCAGGCTTTCATATACTTTAACCTGGATGGATGATTGAATAGTCATAACTTATGCATGATACGCTCAAGACCTTGCTTGTGTGCAACTTACAGTTTTGAGAATCACAGCCGCTGTTTGAAATCCCCGACACAGCCTGTCCGGTAGTTATGAAATGCGGCAGCGATACGTAGCTTACAAGCGTTTCCCTCTCTTTTACATATAGCACACCAGCAGGGTATGAAACAGCATGAATCGAAGAAGTACATTTTCCGTTGTTAGGCAGTGCGAAGGCTTTCGTCGATGGCTTTTGCAAGTAACCGATGCACTCTTTCTGTAGGGTGACCGCTATCTATAGGAACAATGAATGGAATTTGACGGATTGCATGGACGGGCCAGACTCACTGTACCAAAAGTATCCTACAGGATTGGCGCAGGTGCAGTAGCTACAGTGATCATTAACAAATCAACCTCGTTTTGTGGAGGTGCTCACCCAGTCACGTCATTGAATCCATAGCTAGCACGATGGTCCAAGACGTAGTTGAACCATGCGTTTGCGTCGAATATGGAGGTGACCGCGCCTATACTTAAGTGCTTCAAAGGGTATTTCCCTATGTGACTAGAAGCCATTATACCTTGGTTTCGGCGTGTGAAGAGCTGCACATGATTTTTCAGGGCAGTATTGTAGCTGTCGACGTGACTTTTGAGAATCCCTGCCTTCGTGACGTTTGTATTGGCGAGAGGAGATCGCTCGCCGGGAGGGACGTTAATGAAAAGGTGTTGTTTCAAGCCATTGTCATATGCTGATTGCTATAATCAAAATATTACCAGATCCGTAGGAAGAAAGAAATGGTCACCTACTACGGCCCTGGAAATAGGACTGCATTTCTGTTTCCCAGAACGCGTTTATATCTGTAATCTGAGAGATACAAGGAGCGCGGCAAGACTTTACAAGGGCATAGTGAAGGGAAGAAACTCACGGTATGATTGTCCACCGTATCTCCTGTATCATTGATTCCTATCCACCAGGCTGTCAGTGTCTCCCAGGGAGGGTGTTGAATAGCTTCCAGAAGCATATACAACCCATTGATTTACTTGGTCAACAAGTGGAACCGTAAAATCATGATGACGAGGGAGCCTAGCTCAAAATCAGTATATGTGGACTGGCATTAGGTCCTACTAACAAATCTGCATCAATATCCGCTCCTGCGAAAGCGAAATCCCAAAGTTGTTTATCGCAGGCAGCAGGAGAACCACTGAAGCATCCGGTAAGGAATTCGAGCTTGGAACGCTTAGTATGAGATGTTAGCTTCCATATTGTTGTTGTAGGGTAATCACCCAATTTGAACCTTCGGAGCTAGTCTGTTGACGTGTCTATCAACACCTGCAGAATGGAAAAAGATAGACCGTACATTCTTTGGGACTATGTCGTTTGATAGAAGCTCTTCGGGGGAAAAGGAATATTGGAGCGCGTCTCCAATAAAGCTATGTGGGCTCACAGTCAGTGGAGGTATTCTCAGGTAAAGACAGCTTTACCTAAAATTAGCATGACCTGCTGTCCCTTGAACGAAGCTATAAGAGTCTCCGAAAGCATATACATATTTAATGGCATCCCAGTCAAACTTCAACGCGTCTAGACTCGGAGCTGCCCAAAGTATTGGCAAAAAGTACCAGCACACCAAATGATAGCTGAAAGATGGACAACATGACGTTGGTTTAGAGGCCTACTCGCTGGCATTCTTAAATATCCCTAGAGCAGGTGACGGTCAGACGACACGAAGTTATGATACAACGGACCGGTGACGACCTTCGGGGCCCAAGCGGTAGTCGAAATGGGTTGATACGTTCACTATTGTTTATACTAGAAAACAAATGAAAGAGATCTGTTTGAGGAACGGAATAAAATCTGACACGAGCGAGGTCTGCGATAATGAGGTATCCTACAATGAATATCATGAGGGTTTTGAGATGAAAGAGTACTTATTATCCGAAGGAAGTAGTTAAACAGTTGCAGGGGAATAAAGGGACGTTTTACACATAAAGGGAATGAAGAAGAAGGGATCATATATTATGCTTTTATGCCCTGCGAGAGTTTAGGGCTGTGAGGTTTACCGGTAACAAACATTCCAGGTTCTTGATCACGACATGGCCTTACCACCATCGACCATAAGTCAGCATCCCGATGTGTCAAGCCGAGATACACCCGCACATCTTCTATTTCCAAACAAGAGTCCCCGTGACAGCGGTGCGTCCTAACTCTCATCAGGTCTATGATGACAGGGTCCTCATTAACAATGTTGTTAAACACATCGCCATGCATGTAACCGAGTTGATGTAAGACCTTGACCGCATGCATGATTTTACCCTTGTAATATGACATGGAAGTTGATACGCATTACTGATAGGGGCGGCTCATGCGCTTCAAGTCAGAGATGCACGGGATGTTAGGGTTTCGATATGCTCCAATAGGATCCAAGGTTGTTCCTCAGACATATAACCAAACCCATAGCATACTGGTATGATACTACCTTGTAAATCCTTCATAGGCCATGTAGGCACAGAACTCAGCCTGGCCAAACGCAGTGAAAGAAAAGACTTTGAGAACAAGCTTTTTGTTGCTCCCACGTACGCCAACCAGGTATGTGTCTCCATCTGAACTACTCCCAAGACTAGACTCGATGTCGATGTCCTGTCCATGAAGAGAAAGGAGCCAGACATACACAGCTGCTGTGCCTACGGCGCATTTGAACTCTCCAGTAGAAGTTTGCGAGCATAGATACACCTCCGCATCCATGAAGTACATTGAAGATTGAGGTTGCACGCGATAGAGCCCTAGTACCGGGCGAAAGAGATGCAGAAGTGGCAGGGGAATCTTGGGAGAGGTTGTAGGTTGGATCGTGCGTCAAGCCATCAGATTCTGAGGACTGAGAGGAGTACAAAGGCATATCATGTTTTCGTCCATGTACATCATACAAATCGGATTTCCTGGCTGCTGGTTGCGGGCGGCGTTGATTTCGGAAGCGCTCCAGTGACGGAAAGTCGGTAGCATAGTCCGAGTTCGAAGCGAGAGCGGTGATTATGGACGATGCCAAAAACATATCATGTAAATGAACGTATGGCTGGTAACCACCATCTGGTTGCGGGAAGAGTCTACCGACGCGTTGGAGGCCCACGTTCCCAATGGGCGGAATTGCTGCCCAAGGGATCCACGTCGAAAATTTCCTTTCAGATCGATAAAGAGGTGATCTGGCTCCGCGGGTCCATTCCGTTGTCGGCGAATAGTGATAAATGCGTTAACGGAATAGTAGAGAAGTGTATCAGCACCACAAGAATCCACGTGTGTCATATATAGGGCAGCCTATGAACCATTACCAACTCATCGACTCATTGTAATGAGAAAACATGGAAACTGACCTTGTTGATAAGGGTCCACCAATTGTCCCAATAACTTACATCATATGGATAGTCTAACTCTATGCTCCCAACAGCTTCAATTCGCGTTATGAGCTCACTGGCGGCAGGAAACAGTAGGAGTGGGCCCTTGTCTTCCCCAAGAAGAACGCGACACCGACCGGAAGAGATGTAGAGCGATCACGGAAAAAAAGTGTGTAATCGGGGACGACGACGAGTGTGGGGCTAATAGAATAAGGTTTGAGTGTTGCGTGAAACGGTGAACAATCTGGGAGTAAACGCATGGTCGTGTCTCGGACGCAGTCTACAATCGAGCCAGCAAAGCGGTCAACGACAGCCTCACAGTACGTATTGTGGTGCTCGTCTCCATTGTCGTCAGAATTGCTTAGTCTTTTCTCATAAACTTTTCTGATATCGGCGCCGTATTCGAGATATAGCTGGGAGAACGCAGGGTTATTCGAGAGGTCATCGTCTAGAGCGCACAGCATATCATTGGATAACGACGAATCGGTGGATGCCGTGAATTCCCAATCCTTCTTCTTATCGTCGGACACAGTGTCAAGGAGATCCGCCTGACGCTTAGTGATTATAGAGGAGCTGAGACCTGCGGGATCCGTGTATAACATGGGAAGCAGTTCCGTCTCCATCAGACTTCGGTAAGGAGCCATAGGAATGATAAACCAGGACTGGGCAGGAAGAGAGAACTTAAGACTGGTGACTGTTGACTGCAGCAAGGAAGGACAAAGGGCCGGCCACCAGCTTTGGTAATCACGTGTCTGGGCTGTCGCTGCCCCCGCATGAACGGGACGACTCCGGATAATCCTTACAGAGCCCCGATAGGCCCTGAACCCTGTTTTTGGACCCATTTATGCGCTCATGTATGATGAATTTTGCCCCGGAAATTCGACAATTTTAATTCTTGTGCGGATTTTGGATGGTACGGGACGTCGGAGGGATCTAGCCATGCCGAATGCCGAGTTGAACGAGTCAAGCCCGCTTGTGGATGAAAATCACTCAAACAGGAGGAAAAAGGCTTCCGGCTTCGACAGACTGCTGGAGGAAAAAATCCAGGTATAATGCGGCTTCTGGGAGGCAAGGTGGGAAACCCCGGAAAACGGGGCCAGTTGGAGACCCCAAAAATCCCATATTAAGGGAAGTAAAGTAGTTTGCGAAGCTAGTCAAAGATACATAGACTCTACGCATGGCAATTATGAGCTGCTCAAAGACTATGAACTGTAACAATGCGTGTGAGTGGTCTTTTCACTAGGAATGTCAATGTTGAACGGGCATCGTGGCATCGAAAGGGAGTACTAGTTTGCTTGACTTGCCGCATCAGACTTCGATGAATGATATATCATAAAGATACCATGCTACCTCAATAAGTGTTCTTCGAGCCTTTACGGGTCCCCTCTAGTTAAACTACACAGAATAAAAGAATTAGGTGTCCCGGTGAAGAATTGCGGCAGGAGGGGAGCGAAAAGCACCAAAATTGACACTTCTGGCCGATCGATAGTACTAGCCTCGTGCCATTGCTTTGTTCTGCCAGCGATCCTTTCTTACTTTCCTGTCTCTACTGCAATTTCATGCCCGTGGGAGGCTTTCACCAGGTCTGTGGTACTGGAGTTCTGTTAAGTATCTTCTTTTGATGCGCAGCATACAGTGCATTTGGAGTACCTGTAATGTTACAGTCGAAAAGTGATTTATTCATTGTTGGATTGGTGTGCTAATTGTTTATTTAAAGATGGACGGGTGTTCCTCAATTTACGCGTAAATAATTTCCCATCCCCCCAACCTTGCAAAGCGAAAACCGATCATCATGGATGATGACACCGGAGGTAGCTACTCCGATGTTAGCTTGCTACAGATCTGTTCCGACGGATGGAAGTACGTGAAGCCCGTTCACAGTGAACCGCGCGGATGTCCTGCAATTATTCATTAAGGGTTACGCCAAGTCTGCGATTCGTAAGTGACATCCGAATAGAATGCAATTTGCGCGCTCGCACCTCAGATTGCGTTGTTAGGCCTCCCATGGATCAACTCAGCGTGGATCGTTTTGGACCTGTAGGAGTATGGCTTCTTGGCAATATAGAAGTTAATTTCAAGATCTGCGGCTGTACTTCGACGTTAACGCCTGTTCCCAGCCCCGTTCCTGGGGTGGGAAGGATGCTAGTTACAGTAAGTGGATCCTTGCAATACCCCATTTTGCACTAGTACCCGAGCCCCAGTCAAGTACGATGACTCTCACTAACGATCGTTACTGCGCTACGTCTCGTGCATTCGAAGTATGTTTATCATTCCCTTCCAGCTGTAAATATCCGTATTTAAATGAGTGTGGTTAAATTCTATAAGAGCATCGCAGTAAGTGTAATAATCTATCATCAAAATCGTGCACTGGGTGGGGTGGTGGGGTGTACTAAGTATTATTGGATCGAAGCGATTAAGTCGTAATGGGTATCTAAATGTTCCGATATGACCTTACAAATACAGTTGCCATTACTTCAATCTCTCTTGCTCAAAGCCTGTAACTGAACGTATTCATAATAGTCGCCCTTCCGGTTAATGAGCTGGTCATGCGTTCCGGACTCACTGACACGCCCTTCCTTGATGAAATATCTATCCAAAAGGTGATTAGACGTGACATTCAAGAACATATCTGCTGCACTCACATGCGGTCAGCATTCTGAATTGTCGATAATCGATGTGCAATAGCGACTGTTGTCCTGCCTTTTGCCGCTTGGTCAAGGGCGGCCTGTACAACCTTTTCTGAATTGGAATCGAGAGCTGATGTAGCTTCGTCCAGGAGGAGGACTTTGGGGTTACGGAGCAAAGCGCGGGCGATAGCGATACGTTCTAGATACAAAAACAATCAGCTAACTGTTTGTGGTACAGGCATGGTTACTCACGCTTTTGGCCGCCCGAAAGCTGGGATCCTTTCCCACCGACTTCCGTGTCAAATCCACTACGACAACATGTGAAAAATTTACTCTTACATAAAATAACAGAATCAACTCACTTGGGAAGTCCTTGAATGAAGTCTAAGATGTTCGCGTCTCTACATGCAGCTTCGATTTCTTCTTGCGTGACCTCGTCCCGTGGTTTGATAGCTCCAAGAAGGATGTTAAAGCGTATAGTCCCCGCATAAAGAGTTGGCTCTTGAGAAACCAAAGCAATCTGTTTACGGTACTCCTGTACGTTGTACTCTTCGATCGGTATGCCATCCATCTGGAGAATGAAGTAAGTAGGGTTGGATTGCAGGCATGGGATTACCTACATAGATCTTGCCTGCCAACGGCTCGTAAAATCGTTCAATCAATTGGATACTAAAAATATTGATCAATACGATGGATTACCTAGACTAGGCGGAAGACATACACAGTACTCTTTCCACTTCCGGAAGCACCCACAAGTGCAATATATGTGCCTGGCTCCACTTGAAGTGACAGCTCCCGCAAAACACGGATACCAGGCCGAGTAGGATAACGGAAATGAACGTTTTCCAAACGAATGTGTCCATGAGCTTTGGCAATATCAACCTTCTTGCCTTCAGTCGATTCGGAATCAATCTCTGGGACGGAGTCGAGCAATCGAAGGATATCACTGCCGGCGCCTTTCGCCGAGGAAACATCAGGGACAAAGGAAAAGACGTTTCCTGCTTGAATAGCACCGAACATGGTGGACTATGTAATATATTAGCAAAACCTGACAGCGACGAAATAAAGAAGCGTACCATGAGACCAACGAAGAAATCGAACGTGGAAAATTCCTGTCTTGACACTAGGGCTGCTCCGTACCAGAAGACCAAAGCAATGCAGAAGAAGATCGTGGACTGAGAAAACGCATACAACATATTGCTCCAGATAGCGGTCCTGTTAGATTTGCGAAGCGGTTCTTCCAGGCTCAAAGAGTATTGGTTGCAACAGTCGTCTTCCCGAGTAAGGGATGCAACGGTTCGAATGGCACCAGCGGCTTCGCAGGCGAGTTGGGCGGAACTTTCATGAGCTTTCTTGTTCTTCTGATCTTTCAAGACAACGACACGCTATGGGGCCAACCATTAACGGAGAGTTCCTTCTATGTAAACAGACTTACCAAGCGGATATACCCCATGGACACGAGAAGAGGCGTAACCGCTGCAGGGTGATCAGTATGCAATTTCAAGGGTATCCATTAGACGTACCAATACCGACAAGGCCGACTTTCCAGATGAAGATTAAACCGAGAATGGAGCCAACGATCAGGGTCGAAATACTTTGCACGATTCTGAGCGGGGATTTAGCCAAATGTACTTAATCTGAGAGAGCCACTGACGCTGCGAGGGTAGCACCAGCCAAACCAAACACCTTTTGAGGGTTTTCACTAAGGTTCGATACCAAACCACCGGTCTACAAACAAGGTCATGACGGAGGTCCAGACACATTCTAGAGGTAAACTTACGCTGTGCTCGTCCTTATCGAAGTACTCAACTGCCCAGATAGTGAGACAACAATATACATCAAGAAAGTAAGGAAACCTACTGTCTTGTCTCAGGATAGCCTTGAAACTCAGAGATCTCAGTTTGGCCATCAACGCGGCGGCGGAAGACGAAAAGAGATAATTCTGCATGCCAATACACAGCGTAGAGATGATGGCGATGATGAAGAACCTAGACTCGAAGTCAGTGATGTCTATCAGAGTAAAGATGAAACACTGACCAAAGGGCATTCCTGTCACCAGAATGTCTGAGCTCCGAGCCAGTGAACGAGAAGCCGTTGATAGCCTTAGCTAGAGCACATGGTCAATGAACCATAAAAATGGGAGGGAAGACCACGAACCATATACGATACCAAAGGCCGGATACACCATCCCCGTCATAGTAGCAAAGATCGTGCCGAGGAAGTACTTCCTCCATTGCGATCTGTTAATTTTCCCCATACGTTTGAAAAGGTAATACATGCTATGTTCCGGCTCTTTGCTGTCCTTCTGTTCCTTCTTCTTCTGCTCCAGGATCTGGCTGGCAAGTGACTGACCAGTATTTCGTCTACCAAGAGGGACCTCCTCGCGGGCGGCCTTCTCCATGTCCTTGGGTTCATCATCTCCATCATCGGCGTCTTCATCAACGGCAACGGCGGCTACTTCATCACTTTCACGAAGCCTCTGAGCTTGGACGAGGCGCGCATAGGCGCCACCTTCTCTTTGAAGCAGTTCCTGGTGAGTTCCCTGTTCAACGACCAGTCCATCTCCCATGACGAATATGACGTCGGCGTCCTTGATCGTCGAGAGACGATGAGCAATGGTGATGGTTGTACGTCCTGAAAAATTTCGTTTTCGTTTGAACAATGGACAGAATTCTTTCCGACTTACCAGCCGCGGCCTTGTCCAGGGCGTCCTGTACAATTCCCTCACTTTGAGTGTCCAAAGCACTAGTCGCCTCATCGAGAAGAAGAATGCGAGGATCCGATACAATGGCTCTCGCAATGGCAACACGTTGTTTCTGACCACCACTAAGCAGGAATCCTCGCTCGCCAACCATGGTATCATAGCCCAGAGGTAGCTTAGTTATGAAGCCATCAGCGTTAGACTTGACACATGCTTCCTTGATCAGCGCGAACTTCTCCTCCTCGGAGGCATTTTCATACTTAGTTCCAATAAGTCCATGCTCAACGTTGCCTCTGATCGTGGTCGCAAATAGTGTTGGCTCCTGTGATACTAGTCCAATCTGCGAGCGAAGCCACCTGAGATTGAGAGACTTCAAATCCCGTCCGTCCAATTTCACGACGCCAGATAAAGGATCATAGAATCGTTCTATCAGAGAAATCACCGTCGACTTTCCGGATCCTGAGGCACCGACGAGAGCGGCGGTTTTACCCGCTCGAAAGGTGAGGCTGATCCCTTTCACGACCTGGATGTCGGGACGTGAAGGATAATTAAAATGAACGTCCTCGAGTGTGACTTCACCGAAAACGGTTTCTAGGCTTCTCACCGCTAGGATCGGCCGAATCTATGTCTGGCACACGGTCGATGGTGGCATAAAGTTTAGCAGCCGCACCCCGTCCGTGAGTGATGGCTAAAGAATATTAATATGAAGAAGCGCGTATAGACAGTCAATGTACCTTGCATTTCGGGGGCCAACAATGCCAGCGAGAAAGAACCAATCAGGATCGCCATGAATACGTTGATGACAACACCAGCGTCAGCTACGGGCCAAAACATCAATACCGTTATTTAATTTTCACTGCTACAAACGCACCATCTCCCCGCAAAATGAGGGTCGTACCGAATGAAAAGGCTAATAGAGAGGTAAGCGAAAAGGGTAACGACAAAGCCTGCTTTCATACGCACCTAAAGCGTACGACGAGTAGATGCAGAAAAAGAAGACCGAAAGACTTCCTCCGAGCCATATCGCGGACTTGACGTCCACCGCCTTCGACTTCTCGACGTGCTGATCGTACAAGCTCGACAGAATCCGCTGCGTGCCAAATGCCTGCGCTGTTCGAATTGTGGAGATAACTTCTTCGGCGATACTTCCAGCGTCTGCAATGTGCTTCAGGGAAAGCCTGGCGAAAAGTTAACACCTGTTGAATGATGCAATACAATGTTATTGGACGTACTGCATATATTTGGATATGGCCTTGTTCATAACCGCTCCCGTGATACCAATGCAAGGCAACAAAGACGTCAAAGCAAGAGCAAGACGCCAACTCCGGATATAGGCCAATATAAAACCAGTAACAAAGGCGGACAAGAAGGTCACCACGAGGGCAACCTTCTCGGACATGCCCTGCTGTACCAAGTCTAGCAAGCGTTCAGCGAAGATGTAAAGAGAAAGAAAACGCGTAGAAGCTCACGGGTGTCGGTCTGGATCCGAGTAGCAACTTCTCCTGCTCCAACTTTGTCAAAAAATGGGATGTCCTGGCGTAAAACCGCTCGCAAATACCGCTCCCGGATACGCTTTGCGTTGGCCTCAGCAGTATAAACCCATACATACATGTAGAGATAGGTGCAGGCGAACAGGCCAATACCTTGAATGCTCAATTAACTAAAGAAATTGAAGTTGCTGAGGGGGACACACACCTATGACAACCAGATAGAGCGCGTCCTTGCCAGCCTCATGGCGGAACGATGCCGCGGCAGCAGGCAAATCGTTGATAGCTTGTTGATTGCCCTGGTCTACTTGATTGACGACTGATTGGAATACGACGAATCCATTGGTAAGGTTTCCAAAGAGCAGTGTCATTAACGGCTAGAAGAGAGGGCGTTATAATTTAAACCTATGTATATGCGCATATGGGACACACCTGAGCCGGCGCCTGCTGCTGCCGCTGCAACCAAAGCAATTGCATCGATGAAAAGTTCGAATTTCGTGGAGAACCTGCAAGTCTCAGCCGCAGTTTGGTAAAATGCTACTAAGATACACACCTGAAGAGCTCCGTGAAGGATATAGGAGGTGCTTCCGGCTCGGGAGGGACGACAGCGACCTCTGAGCCTTTCTCATCGGTGTCGACAGATTTGGTCGGCTTCTGGCGAGTGAACCAGCCAGCCTTCTTTGAATCTGGGCCAGTGATGGTAAGCTTTTCGTTGGCAGTACTGGGTCGCGAATCGGACATTTTGGCGAACGGCGAAGGCAAGGGTCACAGCCTGAACACCCTTTATAGGATGGAAATAAAACGAAGGTGTACGTGATGTGATGTGGTCGGTAGCCAAGAATAGACGAGTCAGATTGAGTCGTGCTTTTTGACAGGCGGTGCCGCGTGCAATGTTTGCACCTTGCTGCTAAAAATTGTGGGGGAATCAAGTCAAATGGCTTTATCGTATCTATGGAAATTTGACAAGGATCAGCCTACGTGTCCTCTCTGCCTGCTTTGCTCGCAGCTGAGGGTGCCGGATTCATACGCGGACTTGCCGGCTTTTCTCAGACTCCTGTGCACATTGATTCGATTTTCTTGGCAGGCCGATGACGGTGGCGGCATTTCTATTTTTAACACCATGTTCTGGGGCAGAAAGATAAATCAAGTCTTTGCCCTAGTGGAATAAATGTGAGCGACATCTAATAGAATAGCCGCAAGTCCTCAGCAAAGTCTCTTCGAGCAGCAATACCGTACTTGTTATAAACTTGGCGTCACGGTTAAGCGGAAAAACAAAATTATGACTCATAGGTTACAACGTAATGTTTTCCGGCCGCGCAGGTGCCTTGATCTCGCAACTTGTCAATCAGGAACAGAGGAATCTTGACTCATTGTTTTCGAAACCAACCCACATCTTTCTAGACTTTTCTACCATTTAATTGATTACTTTCAGAAAGGACTGGACCTTGGGTTTGAAGCTTGAAGTTGCGCAGCGTAGTGCTTTCAGGTCAGTTAAACGAGTATCAACCTGGCGTCAGTCTTATCCATCAAGGTATCACCACTAGCCCCATCTCTGACATCGGAGCATTTATGCCATCCACATTGCTACAGTGCAAATTCTGCAGACCAAACGTGCGTAAGCACTTCCGGGTTCTAAATGGCTGGGAGGATGGGATTTAGAGGTATGCAGCCACGAGGAATGTTGGAGGCAATTCGAACTGAGGAAAAAGGGCTACTGGTGTGTGATGCGCAGGTAAAATAGTTCAATCTATCATATATCTTTGATTCTTGCCCGTGCTATATATTCGAATTTACGCGGCGCCTCAAGTTCTGATCACGTGCAAGTAATGAAGATGTCGATCATGACAACACTGTGACAGAAAACGTCCGAGTCTCATTTTTCTACCTCAGTCACTGACATCCATAACGGTCTTTCATTTTTAAGAAAGCAGGCTTTCTACACTGTCTCTAATATCATTATGTCCTGGAAACTGGGTAGGAGCAAGAAGTCTTCAGTCTACAATTTACTGGCTGAAGACGTCGTGAATGCTCGTTCTATTACCCCCACTCCCGGAAATCCCGATGGTACTCCCAGCTCCAGCTCGAGGTCTGGTCTTCTTGCTATCCGCGTTCTATCTGCGGAAGGTCTAGCGCTTCCTCCTGGCATTGCCACTCCCGCGGTTGTACAAAAAGCGCTGTCATCCCAACAGGCAAAAGTTGCTTCATCTGTTTCCCCATCTAGCGTTCAGCAATCGAGACTTGCCAAGACCCGAGGGAATCGGTGCGTGGCACGTATTTGGTGTCTAACATACTTTAATATCATCAACAGCGATAGTATCCAGAGAACTCAATGTTGGTGGCTTCCCTACCTCGTAATGGAGTACGAAGTAAACCAAGTTCTCATCATACCCCTTGGCGGCGACCTTGAGAAGCCGGTATACATGTATCAAGCTCATTTGTGCGTTCTGGTCCATTATCATGGTAATACTTCTTTGACGTCTGCGGTGCCACAGTGATGTATCTCGGAATGCCGAAATATCCTTACAGTGCTACCTCAGGGCCGATGAGCCCAAACGTGGCATTGACGGATTAGCAGATGACCTTGGAAACGATATATTTATGGGAGGAATTAAATTCGTTCCCGACTTTGAGAATATGGGCACTCAGGACCAATGGTATGACTTTGTTGGGGGCGCGGGCAAGATTCAAATTGGGGTTGCTTATCAACCTACCTATGGAGGATCTCTGACGGTCGATGATTTTGAACTCATCACCGTCATCGGCAAAGGCAGCTTTGGCAAAGTGAGTTCATGTGGGACGCTTGATGCGATCTTATGACGGTAAAATTTTCAGGTAATGCAAGTCCGAAAGCGGGATACGTCACGCATCTACGCCCTCAAGACCATTCGGAAGGCACATATTGTTCACCGAAATGAGATAACGCACACTCTCGCTGAACGCCTTGTTCTTGCTCAAGTGAACAGCCCATTCATCGTGCCCCTCAAGTTTAGCTTTCAATCCGAACAAAAGCTTTACTTGGTCCTCGCATTCGTCAATGGGGGAGAACTCTTCCATCATCTTCAAAGGGAACAGCGGTTCAATGAAGAACGTTCTCGGTGAGGAGATTGACTTAGACGGAAACTGCATCCTCTTAATTCCATCTTAGATTCTACAGTGCTGAACTTTTGCTTGCCTTGGAGCATCTCCATGAGTTAGACGTTGTTTACAGGTACGTTGGCAATATCACAGAATCATTCATTAATATCAACGAGTAATTAACGTGGGTCAGGGACCTCAAACCGGAGAATATTCTTCTAGATTTCACAGGGCATATTGCTCTATGTGACTTCGGTCTTTGTAAACTCAATATGAAGGCTAACGACAAGACAAACACGTTCTGTGGAACTCCAGAATATCTTGCGCCAGAGATCTTGAACGGTCATGGGTACAGTTGAGTTTACGCTGCATGCATCTGTGATGTTGGTCTAACATTGAGCCTCAGACAAAACGATTGATTGGTGGACCCTAGGCGTTTTGCTCTACGAGATGATGTCCGGTCTTCCTCCCTTCTATGACGGTAGGCGTGTGCGGCATCATGTGTTGATGTATCGCTGATATCCAGGCAGAGATAACGGATAAGATGTACGAGAAGATTCTCCGAGACCCCCTTGTGTTCGGTCCAGAAATCGGTGACGAAGCTCAAAGTATTCTAACTGGGCTCCTGAACCGCGACCCTACTCAGCGACTCGGTGTAAATGGCGCGGAAGAAATCAAGAAGCATCCGTTCTTCCACAACCACATCGATTTCAAGAAATTGGCCGAGAAGAAGATTCATCCTCCGTACAAACCTAGTGTCGCCAGTCCAGTGGATGTTTCCAACTTCGATACGGTCTTCACAACCGAAGCTCCTGTAGACAGTGTTGTGGAAGATTCCAATCTGAGTCAAACTGTTCAAGATCAGTTTTCAGGTGTGTTTCTTCACCGATGTCATGAGTGTTGTTGCTGACCGGTTCAGGTTTCTCTTATAACGGCACTAATATGCCTCTCAGCCCGGTCTGACCCACGCTCATTTGCCCATTCTAGATTATCATATACCAACATATGCCTCGTTGATTTGCTCACATGCTCTGCTCTCAGTTTATTTAAGTATCGATCTATATAATATTCCTGTCCATCATTGTACCTTATGGCACTTAGTACTATCCCTCGCATGACATCGCTCCTTTCGTTCTATATCTATTTATTATTAACTATACAAGTCATTCAATCTTAATTACACTGGGTTTTGGGGTGGATTTTATACGATATGGGCATGGTCTAAGATAGTACTCCCATTCTGCCCACTGGTAACCGATACCGAGGTAGACTGAAATACTGGCGAGTCTTTCCCCATCGATCCTTGCCATCGCCAACGTCGACGTCCTTCCACTCCACATCAACACCCACGTCAGCCAAGTGCAACTCGGCTACATGGGTATATACATCATAGAAAAGAGGGTCTGCCAAGCCTCAGCCACCAAGAAACCAGAGCACTAGTAGAAAGAGAACTCACTAGTGGCGCCAAGACCGTTGAAAAACCCGAACCGGGCGTTGGGTCCTGACATTAGATCCGGGAGGTACTCAAAAAAGCGGCGAAGATCAGAATAGTCTTCTGAAAAGGTATCTGATAGCTCGCGTGAGCAAAGGGTACAAATACGACATCGCTGACTCGGGCACGCACCCGTGTATATCACATCAAATCCCCCGTATGCCACGAGTTCGTCAGAATTGATCCAGTCTTGCCACTTGCCCTGCAGCACTCTAACTCCCGGTCGATCCAACCAACCAAGTTCCTTCATGTGCCGCAGAACATCAGGGTGGGGTTCGATGATGACATGGTCGGAAGGAGGGATCGAGAGAGATTGGAAAAGTGAATCGATCTGCGAATTCATAGCAGGGTGAGCAGGGTAAGAATGTAAGGAACGATACCAATATCACTTACAATTCCCAGTCCGAAGCCCACGTTGAGTACCTTTAATCCCTGCCGTCCACCATCAGAACAGAGACAACGAACCGTTTCTTCCATAATTGGCCTCTCCCAACCCATCATGACGCCAACCTCTTCATCATCGTCCAATTTTACGACGCAAATTTCCTGACCGGTTTCATCGGCTTTAAATGACAGATTCGAAGCCAGAAACGTGTCCGTAGAAGCGGCTGCTGAGTTATCTGCGTTCTTGAGGACCAGGTTAGAGGATGGTTCTGGCGTCGCCCCAGAACCCAAAAGCGCGAGGAGCATTTCTATTGCAAAAGTTAAGTTCCTTGAAATGTATTGGAAAGGAATCTTTACACACCGGCACGGATCCCCGCATCTCGTATTGTTGTGTATAGTTCCTGATTATTAAAAGAAAGCGCGATATCTCCCGCTGTGTTGTTTAAGTGGTCGACTACATGGCAAATTAGCAAACAGAAAACGAGGTAAGCATCAGTCACGTACAGACCTGCATTCCACACGGCTCCCCCCTCTAGAAAGGCTTTGACGAGGCTTTGATCCTGCATGTACGCCGCAGCGTGTAGCGGGGAGAGGCCTTCGCTGTCGTTTTGATACCATAACGGCGCGCCTTGGTCGATGATCTCCTTGATGGTTTCCTGAGAACCACCTTCAAGGATTGTGTTGATGAGGTGCTCTCCTAAGATAGTGAGAGCTTCTACAGCGCCATCGGAAGCTGCGTCGTCGTCGCCGCCTGCGATGCTCATGAATATTTGTTTTTTCGCTGGTAGAAGATAAAATGTGTAACGTGGGTAAATTTGACGCAAAGAAAAGGTGATCGGCGATCAGTGAAGTCTCGAGCTTTATAATAATTTTTTATAACTGGGCACTACGCGACAACTATATCACACATGCTCATTGCTACCTATGTGATTAACGGAGCCTCAGAAACTATCTTTATTGGCTTCTACGAAATCCCGCAGCGTCCTCTTCCCTGTGACTTTTCCGGGAGTCCCAAAAATTCTCTCTTCAACGCCGGAGGCATTCAGCTCGTCTATCGAAGCTAATAATGTGGCGAAATCTTCTGGAAGTCCAAAGGCAATATATCTATCCTTCATCTCCCTGACAGAGATTCTTGTATGTGTTATCTTGCGACCTAGAACGTCTGTAAGAATTTGGGCCACCTACTGGGTCGTTAGCAGCCGTAGGAATTCGGGAGAGAAAGAAACATACATCGTCGTAAGAAAGCAGCTCGGGACCAGTGAGAATATGGTCTGTATTATGACTCTTTGCATCGGTCAAAGCTTCAAAAGCTAGTCGGCGATGTCATCCGCAGACACAAATCCAATCTTCACATCTGCAGAAGCGGTAATGATAGTGTTGTTCTCCTTGATGTCATGAAGATACATGGTCAGCAAGTTTTCTATTTCAATTGATGATCAGCATACTATGGGCGTTGTTAGACATGAAGAACAAATACCGTAGAACCAAGAGGGTCGGAGAACTGCATAATCGACTCCCAAGGACAAGAGGTATGCGTGTACCTTGCCCATAGCTGGGCCTTCGGCCTCAAAGGTAGTCGCGCTGAGTAAAACGAACTGATTCACCCCCTTGCTCACCGCCAAGTCGATGAATGGCTTCATGGGCCTGATTACCTCTCCTGCACGATCACCATCTGGGGCGACAATATAGATTCGGTCGATGTTGGAATCGGCAGCGAAAGGGTTGTGGAAGGTTGAAGGGTCGTACCAATCGAACTTTATGCCCTTGAAAGGCTTTGGGACAACACCTTTACGGGACGTGAGCAGGACAGAGTAATTGGCATCGAGCAAACGACGGGCAAGGCGAGAGCCTGTTTTTCCTGTACCGCCAGTAATAAGGATTGTCACGATGGATGAAGCCGCTATGTGGGTGAGTACATTTACGACAGGACCAAGTTCACTTTATAGTATAAAATGGCGCAAGTATCCAGAATTTATGTCAGCAAGTGACTATGTAATACCAGGACCTTGTTAATGCTAGTAAGGTATATCGTGGCGACGAGAAAGCCAAGCATACAAATAGTCTCGTCCTTCTCCCGAGAGAACGCGCGTCGATGCCGTCGACCTTGGCGAAAGCGAAAGAGCTGGAAAATACTAAAAAGGGATGAATTGTGACCGCTATCACACGTGCTGCCAGGAACGTGACACTTGACGCTTTTCGCCGTCGTTACCCACCATCGGGCTGGCTACAATGGCTACTTTCACCTATACCATCTACTCTCACTACAACCCAGAAGACCGTGAAGCCTTGGAGCGCGAGACAGGGCAAATACCCTCTTCTTCAGAAGACAATGCTCACCTCTGGGACAAAGAGGCTGCAAGCGTCTACAAGCGTCAAATAGCACCCGCTCCTCGTTTCGTTCCTGCGACCTTACAGAGCGATGAATGGGGCCAATGGGGTCGAAACTTTAATGCGATGGCGGAGACAGTTGAGGAAGGAAAAGACTCTTCGGTTGCTGATTGGTATCGGTCTCTGTCACGAACGTTCACGTCTTCCACGCCTTCACTCCTACCGTCGGCCGTGAGCCCAGCGCCTGCACCACCAGAAAAGCGGGAAAGTAGGAATAAGAACAATTGGTTCATTCAGAATGCTCTCAGGTCGGAACACTCTTCTTCCTCTTCTTTCACCTCTTCCCTCGCTGACATGCTGGCTCGAGACCCTCCACCACGCCCCTCTGAAGCAAGATACAAACCACCAGTTTGGCTGGCTATAGGACCATCTAACAAGGGCTTCTCAATGCTGGAGAAAAGTGGCTGGAACGAAGGAGAGGCTCTCGGAGCCGATGTGGTCAGGCGTACTGGAAGACCAAGACATGCTATCCAGTTTTCCAGAAAAGCCAAGCAACGCCATGCGGAGCCCATCACCAAGGAAGAAGTGATGGAAGTAGAAATTGGACATGGAGACGGGGAAGTCAAAGAGGTTCGAAAGGTGGAAGTTGTCGACTTGACTCTGGACTCAGATGAAGACTCAGATACGGCCTCTGATTCTACTACTGCGGATTCTTTAGTAAAGGAGGAATCCGGAGACGAAGAAATACGGCCATCTGAAGATTCACCATCATCTGCGCCGCCGTCGACCTCTGAACGTAAAGCGCTTCTGACCCCCATTCCTACTATCTTGAAATCCGATCGCTTGGGCATAGGGTTGAAGGCTAAGACCGTTGGTCCGTACAAGGAGTCGCAGAAGCGAGTTACGCATAGTGCCGCCGCCTTGGCTGCACATACCCAGGCGGGAGAGGCGTTGAGGAAACGGCAGAAGCTATTTGGTCGGGGACACCGAGGATTCGCTAGAGAGCGAAAGAAAGAAGAAACAAGCAGGAGAGATCTGTTGGCGTATATGAATGCATGACAACACTTTCTTTCATCTGGTTCATCTGGCTCATCTCATGAACTCCAATGTACCCATTCGTATCTGCGGAATTCGACCTGTAGGATATGAATTGTAAAAGGGAACTTATTGTAAATGCCATTCTAAAAATACAGATAAGGTTACAGCCTCGAATAAACAATTGTGTAATGCGGATAAGTGCAGGATAGCAATATGTATGCAAGAAAACTTGGCCGAAATCAAAACTCCGAGGGGTAATAAAAAACGTTTCCTGATGTCCGTCTCTCTATCGGATCAAGGTATCATAGGTTCCCCCCAAACGCCTTTTGCTGGTTCGCATTTGACATCGGGAACATACATCCGCAGCCACTGGACCATCTCCTTGCTCATTTGATGGCATCGTGTTACATCTATTGTTTTCAGACGCTGCGGCCCTAAGACTGAAGGAGATCCCCGATTTTGCGGGCGAACGCGAGGACGGGAGGCGCTTGAGGCGGATGTAACAGTCGGATTTGCGGCGCGGAATGCTTGAGCGTCCTGGAAACGAGGGTACGAGTTGGACGGAAGGCGAGATTCGACGAAGGTGCGAAGAGAATCCCAGTCGAGGGAGGTGCAGCCATCAAGGGAAAGCGACTCAAGCTTAGGGCACACCCAGGGCTGCGAGGACGAGAGACCCTAAGGTTCGCCATTAGTGCGGGAAAAAAGGGGGAAAGAAATGAGCTCACCTTTAAGAAATTTGACGACGCATCTTCCACATCCACCAATTCCAGAACGACCAGCGATGGTAGACGACGCAGGAGACTGACGAACTTTATCTCGTTAAATAAGCAGGACTCTATGCGCAGGCAACGTAAAGGTAGCCGTGTCAGCGCTTGGGAGTAGAGCAGCTGTAGGATGGGAGTGACGTTCTCGAGATAGCACACCTCAAAACTTTCTAGGTTTGGGAAAGTGATTTGGCACATGATCTGGCGTGCTAGCGCGATCCCCGCGTAGTAGAACGTTATCTTCCTGAGACGAGGGAGAGGGACGAGTTTTCCGGTGGTCTGCGGAGGCCCATATTCCTCACCGGAAACAGAGGGATAACAGGGATCCGAGTCGACATCAGACATGTTCCGCAAATCCAACTCCTCCAATTCTGGACACTGACGGAGAATTCCAAGTAGCACGGACGCTGATGGAGTAAAGCCATTGAAGTAACCTTCAAGCTTGAGGACACAAAGCCGGGATACAAGTCGATGATCCCATCCAAAGTTAAAAGATGTCAAGGAACACGAACGTAACCGTGGGGTATGACCATTGAAGAGGGGAAGAGGGGGGCTGGAGTACCGGTCGTCCTGCATGGACCGGTAAATCCGTATGGACAATGTTTCAAGGAGCGGAGCATCCTCCTGGCATCGAAGAAGGGCAGCGTGGGCTTGCGGACGATTCGGAACGCTAAGACTGAAAGACCTGGTTCGCCATAGGGCTGGACGAATGAGATCCATGGCGTGGACGACCTGCTCTGTGACGCTGTTCGTGTACTCTGTACGCGTCCCGAAATTGATGGTGATGTCGAGGGGACACGACTTTGAGCGTTTGAGTTTACGTCTGGCTCTTTCAAGAGAATCGTGGGGACCAACGGTGATCCTGGACCATAGTAGGGGCGTGTCAAGTACGACATCTGCCCAGTATCGACTACAGAAGTATTAAGCTTTTGAGATCACAATGAAAGACGACCGACGGGACTTACCAAACGAGCATTAGTGTCGAGACCAAGACTGGGTTCTCGTCTATGCCTAGTACCCCAACGATGAAGATTGACGCTAAAAGCTCACTCGGTAGACGGTGGATGGGAGACTGCAGACGGACTGCTTTCTCGAGATGAGACTCGAGCTCATGTCGCTGGCTCATGAGGGACGCCATCTTGGAATCCAGTGAATGGATGGCTTCGCGCAGGTCCGGGATGGAAACATGCTGCATTCCCCCCCGGGCCTGGCTAGACGGACGTGATGCATGGGAAGTAGGTAGGGGGGTCCGATTGCGGTGAGCAGCAAAGGCGGACGGCGGAACCCGACGAGGGTAAGTCGACATTCAGCAGCGGCCAGAAGGACGGAACAAATGAACTCTGACCGCTCCTTTTATAGGGTCTGTAAGTGACCTCAGCGAGGGCACGAACAGCACGGAGAAAAGGAAAACCACGCACCTCGAACAGCCTTTAGGCTCGGGGGAGTATTAATGACGGGGCAAAGGTAACGCCAGGAGAAGTTGGTTACAAAGGGTTATAAAGGAATTAGCGATGGATTACGATTGCAAAGATAAAGTTGAACCTCCACTTTGCCTACCCACCTGGCTTTTCTGTTCCGTTTCTGCACACGAGGCAGCAAGCATGCCGATGTCTCATCTGAACTGCCGCTGTCGCATCGAAAAGAGGACCAGAAAAGCGTGATGGCTGACCTGCATCGTGGGGCCGTGGAACAACGCTCGAATGAACATCTCTGACACGAGTTGACACGAGGGCAAAAACGAGGCGCAGGACCAGGCTCACTTTTTGATCGATACAAATTATCATACTTACTTTCTTAGTACATTGATACAATGTTCATCAAATCCTCATGTTTCTTTTCAGTTTGTCTTCGACTCGTATTCTTCCCCGCCCCGCTTTTCTGGGCCATGCCATCCTGATAGATCCGACGACCGATAAGCTTTTTCTCATTTGCATGTCTACATTTGTATACAATGTTCTATGTTTTTCCGTCGATCAGCTCTCGGGAGCAACGTGGGCCTTCCGTAAGGCGGGAAGGTACTGGAAAAAGAATATCTGGCACAGTATCTGGGAGATCGTCAGCTGGCGCAGGTGTCTTCAAATATCTCCCTAGGTGACTCACGATGATATCGAGGAACACGGTAAGGCCACTTCCTGCTCCCGGGTATCAGTCAGATTATTTTCAAATGAAGAAACCCTTGCCGAATGCTCGGCCTCACCTGCTAACCAACTAGCGTTCGTCACCAAGTAGTCCTTGTCCATGCTCTTCGCGCATATTGACAACGCATAAGTAACATTCCCGAAAATGGAGAAGAAGAATAGCGCAGGCGAAAGTCCTGCACACCGGGTCTGGAAATTTTTTGCTATGACAGGCGTCAGTGTCATTGAAATTCATGCAATTGCATCATGCCAACGGTACGAACCTATTTGTGGTATACGTGCACCCAACTGTACTCGGAGATTAGACGACGCCCCATGAAGAAGAATGCGGACTGACGTATAATACCGCACTAGTCCAACCAAGAATCTGTACGGTCCATTTAATGTGGGTGGGTATATCACGGGGCTCTTCGTCTTCTTCAGCCCCTCCACTTATCCACCAGGCCAATATACCGGTCGCAAATATGAACACGACAGCTCCCGCGTAACGAAGAACTAGGACCCTCATGGGAAGGGCATCCTCTATTCGGGCATCTCCGGGTAGTAGAGGAGTAGTTTCTTCGCGGGTACCTTCATAATCACATCGAGAAGTGAAGATGGGGCGACCATCTTTCCAGCGGTAGTAATAGACCTGGCACAGTAGAGCAAGATCGCAAACTGAGTACTGGTGAAAAAGATATTATTATGATGTTTGAGACCAGTATATGATGGTGGCTGCTCACATAAACTGCAAGAATGATTACTGTAGGCAATAAGCCGGCTAAAGTTGCGCCGACAAGATTACATAGGTCCCCAACCAGCCAAACGAGTATGAACAGGATGCTCAGTCCTTCCCCAGACTGCAAGGTATAGTTTTCATACAGCTGAGGCGAATAGACTATGATCCTAATTCCAGAGGAATCAATACCGCAGTTACGGGCCGAAAATCACTGAAAACTTACCAGCATGCGATGGAAGTCCAGCCCAACTGTCATATAAAGAAATTAGTATCCTTAGCACCGTAAAAAGAGAGAATAGGACTACAATGCTGCTTATCGCATCGTTTGCTTCCAAGTTCATCGTGAACACAAACGGAGGTCAGGCCGGCAGAAAATGCCGAAATGTGTCACCTGCCAGGGGTCGGCATCTGCCGGTGCCGACAGTCGCTGTCTTCGTCCTGGTTTCATTGCTCAGCGGTTCACCACGAAATGGACGACGAAACACTACGAAGGTTTGCGAACCAGATCAGAAAGACAGCTTCTGGAGGACCTCGACCGCCTGCAGGATTTTTTGCTGGGACAGGCCTCCTTGTCGCCCTCGTCGCAGGTGGATTCGCGCTGAACGCCAGTTTGTTCAACGGTGCGTGTTCTTTGTATCTTTTTTGGACCACAGGCTCATACATAGAGGACAGTCGATGGTGGTCACAGAGCGATCAAATACACTCGGCAAGTGACACTACGCATCACTAGTACTCTATTCTGAACGTCCTTAGGTTACATGGTCTTACAGACGAGATCTACCCGGAAGGGACTCATTTGATGGTATTCACTTGGAGCCTGTTTCTATATCCCAACCAACTGACGTTTTTCAGATTCCATGGTTTGAGAAGCCGATTCTCTTTGACATCCGTGCAAAGCCGCGAAGCATCCCCAGTTTGACGGGCACAAAAGGTCTTCAATTGTTCATCCACACTGTTCACGTATCTTATGCATCATTGGAAAGACTTGCAAATGGTCAACATCACTTGTCGTGTTCTCTCACGCCCTTCAATACAAGATCTACCCAAAATATATCGACAGCTTGGCAACGATTATGACGAGAGGGTATTGCCTTCCATTGTCAATGAAGTTTTGAAGAGTGTCGTCGCCCAATTCAACGCTAGTCAGCTAATTACCCAGCGAGAAAATGTACGTGCCGCCTTGCCTATCCTTATCCTCTTCGTCAATGTAGAATAGGTTTCTCGACTTGTGCGAGAGCATCTAACAGAACGCGCGACCAAGTTCAATCTTATCCTTGACGATGTTTCCATCACACATGTAGCATTCTCTCCTGAATTCACGCATGCTGTGGAAGCTAAGCAGGTCAGATGGTATTTGTTTTTGTCATTGGATATGTCACTCACGATCCATAGGTTGCGCAACAAACTGCATTGAGAGCAGCTTTCCAGGTCGACCAAGCCGTCCAAGAAAAAGAAGTAAGTGGACTGATTTCTGCGAGTATTCTTCGCTTAACAAGGATTGCCAAGTCCATCATTGTTCGAGCCAGCGGAGAGGCTAAGAGTGCCGAGCTCCTTGGAGAAGCCATGCGACAGAATAAGGGTTTCCTCGAGCTTCGTCGGCTAGACGCTGCGCGGAGTCATTGCAGAGCTGTTAGCGTCGTCTGGAAACAGGGTGCTGTTGGATTCCAAGTCACTCCTCCTCAACGGTAAGAGTATCTCATTGTCTGTCTCATTATCGTGCTTGAACCTGAATCTAAAGTGACTGAGGACACGAGGGACTTGATGTCACCAAAGAAGTAAGACAACATACCAATTATCTTATCCTCATACGCAGTTCTCAATGCAATTAACTCCTCCCTCTATTCCACGATTTGAACGGGACTAAAGGCATATTCATATTGGCTAGGGTCTAGGCTGAGTGCTCTGACATCGCCGCCCGATTCTTTAATTGTTCGAGAGCTTTTTTTTTTAACCCGTGAGAGCACCCCGAAATGAAAACGTTTCTTCAAGTCGTGATGCCAGTTAGCCGACGAACTGAGCGGTGCGCTGCTGCTTCCGGAACGGACGTCGATAAATGTGATTTATGTCCGTTCTAAACGGAAGGCTTCAGCACACTTCGGTGAACTTGATGACGGGAAGTGCCATACAGCGAGTAGCGGCCGAAAAAAAAAAGCAATATAAATGTCAAACAGCCATGTTACGTTTAAACCTAAGTCTTAGTGTGTGACTGAGATGGCTTCTAGTTCTATTGTCGGAATCTACGGTTCGCCCGCCTCCTCACATGCACTGACGGCGATCATCGAGAGCACGTGACAAACGCGCCTTGATCCACCGCCACCAGGGTGAACATCCCAGTTTGATGATCCCTGCATATCACGACGGCCAGAAACTCGCCTTACCATGCCCCAGAGCTCGCAAAATCCCAAGAGGCCAAGAGCCCAGGTACCTGAATCTGACGCGTCAAGAAGTAAGGACCTCGGCTACTGTAGCGATTCTAAAGGCTCTGGGGCTTCGCCATCCAACAGGAAGAAGGTGCGCTGGGAAGGAAACGAAGCTGTGACAGAGAAAGGGACTGGAAGCCACCGAATGCGACGATGACGATGAGCCGTCAGTCGCCGAAAAGGTCACTTCGGGCTTTTCTCGCGCTTGCTCGACATTAATTCATCTCATTGAATAGATATGTCTCACGGCATGGTGCCAGCAGTGAGTTTCGTAACCTTTTGTCATCTTCTAATGCTGATTTTATCGCCCAGTGGTCGTGTCGGAGTGGCTTACTATGATCCTGTGAAGTGTGTGGTGTTCGTCCTCGAGGATACTCAGGAATCTCAGCATTTCGACCTTACTGAAATGAGTGAATTGTATCGAATACTATACGACGCCCCTTCTCCTTACCTGTGCTATCCCAGTTCTCGACCAAGCAAAACCTGATGTCGTTCTAACAAGTTCCAAAGCAGACGACTCATTCATTGATGCCCTACGTGAATACGGTCAGCTGTTTCTAGCTCTAGGCGCGCATACATTGACCTAAATGCCAGTTGACCGGTCTGGGGGCGTCTTTCAAATACGGCCTCACAAGGATTTTATTCCATCGAAAGGACGTGACCGTCTGTTTTCCCTCCAGCTACTGTCCGAGCTGCCCTCAGCAGACACAAGAGGCGTGAATTCAACGGATACAGTGTTCCGACACCTCACGTAGTAGGGACGCCTACGAATTCATATCAAGACGAAGAGATCAGGAAGGTGATCCGACTATGAAGCGTTGGAACGCCGTAATCCGATTGTCCAATTTCGCGTCTGTCGATTCTTCTCCTCTTTGTGTGAGTGGAATTATGTCCTATCGTGCGGGAAACATTCATAATTTGCAAATAGTTGGCATCTATTGGGGCGCTGCTGGATCATCTCGTTCGAGAACGAGCTCTTAATGATCTTGAAGGAGAGGGTACACATGGTCTAGACATCCGAGAAATCGAGATCTTAGCCCTGTTCGTCTTCTTCTCCAATCGCTTCCAATGTACTAAACTATCGCGGTAGCAACGAAGTCATGCAGATAAATGCTGATGCTTTACAGCAAGTCACACATGCGCATCTCGTAGCAATATCTGACATTGCCTCTCCAGCTCGCTTCAAATCTTTGAAAATGAAAGTCACGCTTGCGCTCAATCCGACAAGACGAAGGAAGGCCTCTCGCTTTTCGGTGCGTACTCCGGATTGCCGTTTTACTGTTCCTGACTAAATTCCCTATTAGGTATCCTTGATACAACAAAGACGACGCTGGGACGAGCTCTTCTGCGAACTTGGTTGTTAAGGCCTTCACTTTCCCTCTCTGTCATCGGGTCACGCCACGATGCTGTGGAATGCTTTATGCGGCTGGAAAATGTGGGTTCAACAAACTCGTTACATGGTCATCTGAAGGGTATCAAAAACGTGCCGCGTATGCTCGGGATTTTGAAAGATGGTCGAGGTAAAATTTCCGAGTGGCAGGGTCTTGTCAAGGTACGAGGGTCTTGAACCTTATTATCCATTTGTCTGAAATCTTAGTGTATAGTTTACGTTTCATTGCGCGATGCTCAAAGACGTCCTAACCGAGTTACATGCAGCAGCTCATGTTGATATCGTTAAGAAGGTGACCATTTCTTGTATGCCGTGCCATTTATAGGAGTAACATGCTCCCTATTAAGCTTTTTAACGTCCTAGACATTGCATGTTTTCGTGATGTGGGGAACAGGATAAATGAGACTGTACGGTAGATGCTGTCAACCTTGGAACGCACTGCTGAAAACGCTTGTTTAGATCGATTGGGAGGAGTCATCTCAGGCTGGTCGTGTTTGCGTCAGGCCTCTTATTGATGAAGAATTGGATAACCGAAAACTTGTGTATTACGGTATTGACTCTGTGCTGGTGGGTGTTACTCCTGTCAGACGGATCCTACTGAGCATCATCCGATGATAGTCAAAGGTAGCGCAGCAAATGAGCCAGCTAGTACCGGCTGATTATGCACCGTCTCTAAACATAGTTTATTTTCCCCAACTCGGTATACGAATTCTTCAATCCAATCCCAAGCTTGTCCTAATATTATCCCTTCAGGTTTCCTCGTATGTATACCGATGCTAAAAGAGTGGCAGACGGAGGCTGGAATCACCGTTATCGATGGATGGACGTTCCAGGTACATAACATTTGTTGCGACTTCTCTGGCCGTCGCACGACATACTCTGAGTTCCCGTTTTTAGTTCTCGTCCGAGTGTGTTTAATTGTTTGCGAATTATCCACCTACCGACCCTTTCCTCGTTTCAACTCAGGTCCCACGTTTATTTCAAATCCCAAGAGATGCACGGTAAGAGCCGTTAGGAAAATGCCGCTTCTGTTAACACGAGTCCTCCAGATATGGATGCGCACATTGGCGATCTGCACTCCCTCGTCGTGGATCGGGAAATTGAAATTATACAGTCCCTTCTCGAGGAGATCTTGGTCCATTATGATATCATGACACATGCATGTGATATTTGTGCTGAACTTGACTGCCTGCTCGCCTTCGCAGATGCTTCTAGATTATATGGATACCGGAGACCCACCATGGTCGATCAGAATGTCATCGACATTAAGCAGGGAAGGTAGGTCAGTTGCTTGTTCCTGGCGAAGAAGCTCAAATAGACGTAATCAGACACCCTTTGCAGGAACAAGTTGTCGACACCTTTGTTCCCAACGATGCACATTTAACCGGGGGTTTTTATGATCCTTCTGACCTCCTCTCAGAGAGCTACACGCTCCAGCGACAGGACATGGAATAGCATTGTACTTTGTACAGGCGCCGAATGCCTGTGGAAAGGTATGTACCCGCTTGTCGGGCATAGAATACTTTAACTCTATTTCTAGAGCGTTTTCTTGAAGCAAGTTCGTCCCCCATTTGTAGTTCGGAAAGTAATTCGCTCACCCCTCGCATACACAGATTGCGATGATTCAATTCATGGCCCAGGTCTGGTTTTACCCTTCATAGATACATCGCTTAGTGACTAACAGAGTATCATTCCATTAGATAGGATGGTAACTTCTACGGATCCTGCACCCTTCTCGAGGCTTATATGTCACAGCTTCGTTCCTGCCGACTCTGCTACACTTGGAATCGTCGACAAGAGTAATGCATGGTCCTATCCTATCAAATTGCTGACACTTCATGCGCGATAGTTTTTACTCGTATATCGACTAGAGAATCAGTGTCCAAAGTAGTTATGGCTTTTACTTCCTCCAGGACGGACATTATCTATGATCTTGGTTCCTAGGTGCAATCCGCGTTCATGATTGACTTGAATCAAGTTTCTCTAGCTCTGCGAAACTCGACTGCTCGGTCGCTAATTCTCTTGGACGAATTTGGAAAGGGCACACTTTCTACAGGCTCGTACCCCCTTTCTTTCGCCTATTCAACCTTTTGCTCTATGTTGTCTGACTGATGGACTCTCTGGATGACTAGACGGCGCTGGGCTTCTCTGCGGCGTACTCAAACACCTCATGGACCGCGGAGCAAACTGTCCAAAAGTCCTTGCAGCAACCCATTTCCACGATGTATTCAGAGAAGAGCTCCTGGACCCGGATTCTACGCCTATCACTTTTCTCCATATGCAAGTGCTCTTCACGTCGAGCACTGGAACTATCCTCGAATCACGCGAGTCAACACCTTCGACTAGGCCAGAGTGGGATAGAAGTAGCATGGACCGACAAGTCAACCCTGGGGAGAAAATCACATACCTCTATAGGTAATACCTGCTTCTCGTGCTCCTCGTTGTGAGACTGATTGAATCTCAGAGTGGCAGAAGGCCTTTCGTTGGTATCCCACGCCGCTAAGTGCGCTGAGATTTTCGGACTGCCTAGCCGGGTTGTTGAGAGGGCGCAATACGTGAGGTATTCTTCGTCCTATCTGTAGATGAAATGCCAACGTTAAAAGCCATTTCAGCGAAATGATATCTAACCATGAACTAGGTAGACTACTCGACGAAGAAATGACAGAGGAAGAACATAGAGATCTTGAAGACGCTGAGGCAGTCTGTCGTAAATTTCTTGCCTGGGATCTCGAGAGTGAAGACGGCAATGTTAAAACACGATTGGCAGAAATACTCGGAAAAGCGACGGACGAAGAGTAATTATAAGCTAGTAACATACTCTATACTTTCTACTGAACCACACTTGTGATACACTGGATGGGATCTGACTGATGGCAAGAAGAAGGGGGAACCTATCATGCCTTGTGGATTTCTACGCCAGCAGGTGCGCCCAAAGCTACAGAAAGACTAAGTCGTAAGCACCTGACAAAATTGAAGGTTTGAAGCTTACCACTCTTGATTCCTCCGTACATGAGGAACTGCGAAGAAACTAGCCCAGCAGTCATAATCATCCTGGGTCCCAAACCCGCAAATAGGCCTTTAAACCCAGCTTCTCTAGCTAGAACTACCAGACGATGCGTCATCGAACCTGTCGGACCATGCCCCTTATTGATTTGGCTTAGGAGAGTATCAGCCGGCTACGATCTCATTAAAATCAAGAATATTTGTAGTAGAAGGCGGAAAACTTACATGGCTAAGAATGGCGGCAGCAAACCCAGCGGTGATGCCGCTACCAAGAGAAACTCCGAATTTGTAGGTATCGGACAAGGAACGCTTCATCTCTTCAGACATATTCCGGTATGCTAGCTCGTGACAAAATTCGTTCACAGTGAACTGGCCGATAGCATAAGGGATTTGTCTGCATCCATCAGTAATCGCGTAGAAAGACTGGCCTACTACTCACTTGCAAAGGATAGGAAGGAAACCAGCATAAAGCTGGGACACACCACCTTCCCGAGCCAAACGCGTAAATCCGCTGACAAGACCAGTGGCGTATCCTCGTTCCGATACCATACGGATTCGAGTTGCTTCCAGGGGTGTCAGAAGGATGTCGGCGAAAAATCTGATACAAATTCATGAAAAAACTGGGCGGAAAAGAAGCAAAGAAAAATTTTACTCTGCGACAGTTGCAGCACCCAAATATATCGCAGTGCGGTATTTTACTGCTGTCTCTTGATCTCCGGAAACCTTGACGAGGGTGAGTTTCCAAAATTCGTACCCAGCAAATTTCGCCCCGCCTTGGGCGAGATAACCAAGAGCTGTCGGACCAAACCCAGTGAGAAGAGTAGATGCTCCTTCCTGCGCGATGGCATAGCGTGTTCCGGACACGAATCCCAAGCCCTTGTAAGATGGGTCGATTTGAATACGAGTTTTCACGACGTCGATGGCTTCGTCAACAATTAGTGCATGATAGATGCAATAGCCCAATAAACTTACGGGTCATTGCAACATGACTTATCCTATTTTTCTACTTCGTCAGAGTGTTTTTTGAACAAAAGATAATACATTTTTCACTTACGTGCAACACAATGCGCCTGCAAGGAAGAAGGAGCTGTAGTCTTTCGACAAAAATTGGGGTAGCCCAAGGGGCTTGACGGACGACATTTTGAGTGAAAGATAACAAACAGAGGAGTTGTATACACCCGGTTTACGGGTATTTGTATGGGGATCATGACGGGCATGAGCGGCAAATGCAAGATATTTTTAGCGCGTGTTGGCGCAATGATGTCATTGGTGGTCGACTGTCAGAAACTTTCGAAAATTCAAATATTTAATAACCAACCATCATTCAGGAAAATCGCGCTTTACTTTTAATTCTTAGTTCAAGTCGTTCAGCTGGAAGTATTTCCCCCTTTTTTGTTTTCTTTCATGTTTTCTGGAGTTTCGCTGATTTCTGCTACTTAACAGCTGACAAAATTCCCTACACTGTCGGAGACGGTAAGACGGTAAAGCGGCTGTTTTGCTGGCAAGCGGTCCAGGGATTGCACAACAGCAGTACTATAGTCCCGGATACACTTATCAGGTATGGATCAAAAAGTTGGCCGAAACGTTTTCATCTTCACCCTCGGCAACGGTCCGACGAAGGCCCCTGACTCGGTTACTAAGTCGTCAGTACGGGTACAAACTAGAGAATGCGTGAAATTGGATTTTCCGCATATTGGTAGTTGGGTGAGTGAACCTGATCACATGGGCCCATCTCCGTAAAGTGTACTCATTGTTGTTTTGATGTCAATGATTTGAAGGCTACCGCACCTTCAGGCGCACGTTTCTGTGGCCTAACAGGCGCCCACTTCAGCAGATATTCTCATAATCGCGATGGCTACCGCGTAGTAATGCGAGCACGCGTAAAACAGGCCTATAAGCCTTCGATTCTCGTGTTCTTCACGTCTAGTCTAGTCTAGTAATAAGTCCGCCGGTGGCGTGGACGGGGAGCTGAATGTCAAGTTTCAAGAACAAGGCTCTGAGAAAGGAAGCGGATCTCGGTGCTCGGCCTTCTAGGGTTTCAATGTTGGGACCAGATAATCTCTCTGGTCTCATGTTGGCAAGTATAATGTCATAATGCCATCAGTTCGCCCTTAATTTCCGAGTCTTAAGGCCTGGAGATGCCCTCTTGATCTCATTGTGAACAGCTTGACTTCACAATACTGTTACGAGCGTTGCAGGCGACCGGCATTTTCCATTCGGCTGACCGTGGGCGTCTACTAAATTTCTTTGTTGTCCTTTCGTGAAGCTGTTCTTTCGGAAATCACAGGACGTCAGAGTAGTTTTGTCCCAAAGTGACCCTGTGCTTATACTTTAGGATATAAGGCGCGATCATTCAGGCTCCACCATCATCCACCGGACCCACAAACGCAGACATGTCTCGACAACCTACGAACTATTATACCACGCCTGGCGCTGCGCGCTCCTCTACACCAGGAAGGTTTCCCCCGCAGCAGCAGCAGCAGATGGGCTACGCGCCAGTGCACTCTTCTCTCGGACAGGCTTCGATGCAGCCTTCCTATAATCATTCCCACTCATCTAGTAATGGAAGCTCAGACGATGGGGATCCGACAGAGATATACAACAGAGATATCCACGTCTATTTTCAGATCACTTCGTTTGAAGCCTCCAACGAATACTTGGCCAATTCGAAGGCTGCCCTTGGGCCACTCGTTTCTGCTTTGAGAGGTAGTGGCAGCTGGCTTGACGTGTAAGTTTAGAATCTCTTACGGTTTCTGTTTCCTTAAAAGTCGCTTCATAGTCTTCATTATGGTATAGAACTCGAGAACCCCAACCGTGGATTTATTATGATCGGTGCGTCACTTACCGTCCTCCCGCTGATTATCCCGACTAATAATTAACGCGTAGTATGGCCCGATCCTGAAGCCGCCTTGCGAACAAACGATTATAACAACGCCCTTAGGATGACTGTCAGACGCAACACTGTTAGGAAGGAGTATTGGCTTGAGGCAGATACGTACCTCTGGGGCGTTCTATCCGCGCCGACCGTTTCTTTCTCTGTTATTAAGCAGAGAAGGAGCGACTCGAGGAGGCTTGTCGAAAGCACGGCAGCATGGTCGAGCAGCGTTCGGAGGTGCCCCGGATACAGAGACCACTGGTTCCAATCAAACATTCTTTCCGAAGATGGCAGAGAGTTTATCGTCATGATCGGATGGGATGGGCTTCGGGTAAGACGTTTACACGGGCGCTGAACATATTCTGATTTATTCTTCCATGTACCTAGGCGCACCAGGATTCGAGATATACACCCGCGTACCAAGAACATTACAGATCTGTCGAGGATTTGGGTTACGTGGAGACGAAGCATGTAAGGTTGACGAGGTACTCGGTCTATATTCACTAAGGAGGAATTGTTGGCCCAGTGCGGTGTTTCCTAAGTTTCTGGGCAGGATATTCCCTATTATGTTTCTTTTTCTCTCCCTTATGTCTCCCTGAGTCAGTCGACGTACACGCCAATGCATACTGTGACCTGGCTTGTTCCTCTACCCTGGCTACCAGATCTGCCATGCAGTATCTGACTGGTGTGGATAAATGTTTCGGTTGTACGTATAGCCAATCGAGAAGGTTCCAACACTCAAATACCTCTTTATAGACGGTTCTAGACAAGTAAATAACGTAGGACATCAGAGCGACCTCTTGTTTCGCCTGTTCTCCAGAAATCCAAAAGAAACAGATTTTCCGTAAGGAGATGTATGTTGTTTTGAGCCTGGTCCTTCTCTTTCGACTCCGCGCATCTGAATACTTCCCTTCGTATACTCTACAATTGAATCGGAAGCCGACTCTGAGCACGACATGCGAGTCAAAAATAGCCGGGTGCAAAGTTACTTTTTCACTCCGGTTAGCTTCTCTCGTGATCCACGATGCGGGGTTCCGTCAACATTGTCATTGTATATACCGCCATCATCTCTTAATTCGCAATGCCAGACTTTGAGCTTGTTATCTTCTCTGCCTCCGACGCCTACAAGGCTAATCCAGCTGAGTCCATAAAGCCAGTAGTGGAATGGATCAAAACCGTCGAGGGTTTGCTCAGGTAAGTATCACACATACCGTGATGTCAATGGGCTTGACGAATTAATCTTCTCCCCCCCTTCGTCCCTCAACCCCAATTTCAGCTTCCAGCATGGCCTCCAGGTTGAGGACGACAAGCTCGGTTATTTATTCCTTGGTAAGATCTCTTTCATCGTGCGGTGATCTTCATTGATCTTTACCTGTCGCTTATTAGGCTGGGTCTCAGTTGATAAACATAAAGCTATGATGGAAGCCGATTCATACAAGGAGCTTATCTCTTTACTTGGAAAACATGTTCTTGCTCCCGGAGCAGGGCTCGATATCCAGCACATCACCTACACCAACCTTCTCGAGGACGTTGTTTCTGCCCCAGTCACTGAGATCGCAATCTTCAAGCGGAAGGAAGGAAAAACAGATGGCGATGTTCTCAAGCTTTGGTCAGAGGTCTTCCAGCCGACCGTTAAGTCCATGGAGGGTCATTCGCGCGGAGGCACTGGGTCCGAGTATTGAGAACGAAGGAACCTATGTCTTGACAGTCGGATGGGAATCCGTTGAGGTACGTACTACGTCTGGGCACATGCTGTAGCTCTTGCTTCCTAACATCCGATTCGGCGATAGGCCCATAAAGCTGCTATAGCCGATGAAAATTACCAGGCTAAAGGGGCTATAATGTTCGGCGTCGTCGACCTCGTTGGCTATGGTCACGTCAAATTTTTAAAGGAAATTTAGAGGACGAAATTATCCTTAGGGGGGGGCATGAAGATTGTTATCTCTGTATAATAAAATCCGGTACCCGGCGATTAAGAAGCAAGAGACTCAATGGCACGGACGCATTCCCTATCCATCTCCGAATTCCTTGTGGTGTAGTACCCTGGTCTGCACCAGATGATCCACTAGTAGTTCATTCTCCTTGCAGTCGCTCAGTATTTCCCCGTTGAAAAAATTGGACGTGTATCGGAATGTCCCTTCTCGGATAAGAGGGCCCAAAGACGGCATCAGGATTGGGAACCAGTCCTGGCTTCCGAACTCTTCGATGAAGATAAAACTTGAGTCTGAAGTTGGAAAACGTCCGAAAGTGGGTCCAGGGCGGACGCGACGCGACGAGGGACGTCACGTGAAATATGGATCCCGCGTTAAGCACCTCCATCATAGGCTTTCATAGCCAGCGCGACCTTGTCTTTCCTTCTTTTCCATGGCACCAATGTCAGTATTACTTCGCGAACACCTGAAAGGATATTTATCGGATATATTCATACAGACGGGACAAGTTTACGATACACTCCAAGGCTGTAGTTTGCCAGGATGTTGAGCTTAGAGGAGACATTACAATCGGATCCGGTGGGTTCATTCTCCTTATAAGACGATCTTTGCGTCAATTCTCATGACAATAGGAACTATCGTGCATCCGAAAGCTACCATATTTGCTATCGCTGGACCTATTGTCATTGGGTCAGGTTGTATCATCGAAGAAAGTGCCATTATAGTAAATCGGTACGTCGTGTGGGTTCGTCTCTTCTTCATCACATTTAATGACTGTTCGTAGACGAAAAGAAGTCATGCGTATCGGGGACGATAATCTCTTCGAGATTGGTTGCCGTACGTATGCCGCCACTTTACGAGGAAACAGGCAGCTCACATACCATCTAGGCATCGAATGTCCATCAATGGGCGACTTTAACACTATTTCAACACGTTCCAGAGTACATCATACTGTCCGAATATCCTCATTTTGTGCTATCGGTGCAGGCTGTCTCCTCGTGCCCACCGAAGATGAAGTCCTGGAGGATTACACTGTCGTTTACGGCCCAGCAGCCGACCGGAGAAAGTGGAGCGGAAGGGGAAAAGTGCAGGAAATTGATCTGAGGAGAAAACATGCGGAATATTTAAGAGAGATGTTGCCCAAATTCAACCGGCTAAGAAGGGGAGATGGAACGTAGCGCCGTTTGACTCTCGTTCGTTGTTCTTGAACTCTAATCACCGTTATACATTCTCACTCTCCCACTTCATTATTCAAAAACTTTGTGAATTCTCCCAAGCGACATCTTCCAGAATGTCATGCCTGTGATTCGTCTTAGCGCTTTCTCGGTTGTGGTGCAAGATGATCTTGACCATCAGTTTTTCATCATTCAGGTCTCAATCTGGGTGCACCCGGTAAGCTCTACTGATAACATATCGGTTCGTGGGCTCAAGATTGTCCTTAGCATCTTAGGTGGCGTCTAAATTGAGAGTGCTACCGTTGGTTGATATCATCATTAGTGCTTGAGGTGAAAGTATGTTGACAGTCTATCACATTAAATTTCATTTAATCTGGGAAACATGTAGGCTTGTGCAAAGCTACAACATTGCCACTTCCTTTGAACCTGCCATAAAGAACGACAGTGTTCAAACATACTATTCTCAGATCGACCTGGGCCCTATCACAGCTTTGACTGCACCAACGACCGAGATCGTTGTGATTCATCTCAAGGACGAGGAGTTGACTGGAGTTGTGTCCTAGTTAAGCAGTTTGACGCAACACTTAAAAGTACACCCACCGTGTCTGGGCCTACACGATGAGCGAATTATCTTGATGCAATGCGGCAGCCGATATCCTGTCTACCATCTTTTTCTAATGATATATTGTGAGATACTCAAGGACGCCAAGTTCCATCTCACATTCGTCAAAGGAGAGCCTTTTGTTTACAAGTTCCAATCTATCGTTTCCATAGCAGATGCGTCCGTTATACACACACAATCGCACTATTGCTACGTATTTAGCGCTTCCAGCTAGCAGCCTTCTTCGTCAGGTATACACAGCTAAAGTTCTTCACACGTTGCCTGAACCACGGTAGGTACTCCGCATCAATCAGAGGGCACCCGTCAACTATGAGGGTGTGAATCGGAGCGAATGCTGCTGCTCCATCTGTCGCCCCTTCACTGGGCAATTGGTGTGCTTTCACGATGCGTGACAGAGGCCCAGTGCGCACGTCAGGACATTGTGACAGATCGACGTGTTGGAGAGACGGACATGACGTCGCTAGAACGTCAAGGACGGAGTCCGCGATTTTGTCAAGGTATTGGAGCACGAGTGTCTCAAGACGTGTAGATGATTTCAGGAATGCTATTAATGGAGGGGGCGTGAGGACACATGAGGTGATGTGGAGGCGGGTGATGTTTTGGCTGCATAGTGTCGTCAGAACGGGGTCAATCGAGCGGCTCGATGATTTCAAAGTGAGATTTTGTAATGAAGGAAGGATGAGATGATCAAAAATATCCAACGCGGTTGGACGGCAGATGGTGCTGAGCTTGGTAAGGCGTTCCAGACGGACTGAGGGTACATCTTTGGTTTTGGTTAGGAAGGGTGTATCGAGCTCCATTGTCTCTAAGTTCGGATTTTGGGCAAGGAGAGATATAAAACCAATAAGAGATATAAAACCGATATCTGCGCCGAGTAGAGGAGCTATCCGAATGACCAGAGTGGTCAGTTGGGTTGGAGGTGAGGTTATATATTCGCCGTCCAAACCTATAACCTCAAACACAAGGCGCTTCAAGTTTGAGTTTGGACAGAAGAGCGAGTCTTGGCGAAGATATTGATCATAAATTTCCACATCCTCCCATTGCTGAACCACATGGCCCAAGCCCCAAATTTTCAGCTGCGAGGCTAGGTCGAAGGTATCAAGCCTGCATACTCTCAGGTAGTCCCACTGTATATCGTCTCGCAGGCTTTCCATCTTCCACGCCGGCACATCCCGCAGTGGCTTGCGAAGACAGAGCTCTCGTATTCTACCCTTGGAGCGTTCAAGCCATACTTTAGTCTTGCGAACTGGACTTCGGTTCGTTAGTGCAAGGGTGCGCCACAGGGTGGGGGTACTGCGTGCCACGTCGCGCCATGACCTGCACACCGCGGAGATGGTGAGAACAAGGGTCGCGTCGTTGGATACGACGAGGTCAAAAATCTCCACCATGAGCTCGATGGGTACCTTGCCGAGATGATACGCGACGCGTCGCCTGTGCTCCAAGACCGCGTCCTTCAGGGAAGTGACTTGAGCGCGCCGTTTCGCATCTTCTGGCTTTATACGTGCAAGGGCCATGTCTGCCATGCTGATGGACTGGTCAAGTTTCCGCATGTCGTGGAATATGTGGGCAGCGCGCAAATAGCCCTGCCACCGTGTAGGGGCGAGGTCGATGACCTTTTTAGCGTCGCGAAGAGCAGGCACAGGATTTCTGAGCTTGTCATATGCAGCGGCTCTAGAATCAAAAATGAGAAATTGTTGATCGCCACCGTTATCGATAGCCTAGAAGGGGGGTTTGAACGCGTCGAAAGTGTCTGAAGCTGGGTATGTACCTCTGTGAACGATTGTACAGCATCTTGGTATTTCGACCGTTTGTATTGCACGACGCCGCGTTCGAAATAGGCTTGCCAGGTGGTTGTCATGATACGCACTGGTGGAAATGCAACGAAGATGGTGGTCGAAGGTAAAGGTGCTGTAGCACGTGTTCAGTCCACATATCCACTTGAACCTTTAAATTTCATCTCAATATTTCTTCACATATTCATCTTGATAAAATAATGCCCACAGCATACTACAGCTTTCAAGAATCAAGTATAGCTATCGAACCTTCGTCGACGTTCCATCGAGGTCCGAGGGTGATTGCTACCATTTTTGGATATAGCGCTTCTGCAAAAGCAGTGGCGGCGTCTATCAGCCTTTCTTTGCTGCCCTCCTTTCCATCCACTACCATCCATTCCTATCTCTGCTTTTCCCGTCCTCCTAACTGACGACAGTAATGCCTCTCAATTACTCCAAGTGGGATCAGCTCGAGGTCGGGCGTTACCTTGTCAATTCCGTTAATGATACTAATAATCCTTGTCCCAGCTTTCTGATGATTCTGATATCGAGGGACATCCTAATGTCGATAAGAAGTCCCTGATACGGTGCGTTTTATGAGTCGGCGCGTCGTTTCTCAACTGAATAGCCCAACATCAGTTGGAAACAGCGGGACATTCACGAGAAACGAGAGAAAAGAAGACAACAGATCGCCTACCTTCACAGCCAAATTGCCATGAATAAAGTTCTTCTTCCTCGCATTGAAGAGATTTACGCCGAACTTGGATCATCATCGACATCCTCCTCGTCTGCGTACTTCAATGCTTTGGTCGAAAAACTTGAAAAGAATCCGTCGAACGAAGGGCTCCCGGGAGCCGATACCTCGCGTAGCGAGCAGACCTATGATGGCATGATTTTGTCCTTGTTGAATCAAGTCGCGAATGAGGTCAAGGATGGCTTGAAAGACTCGAGTATTGTGGAGAGCGAGAAGGAGGAGAAGTTGGTCAAAGGGCTATCTGAGGGCGTTCTTCGTCATATCAAAGGACTGAAAGAAGCCATCCAGAAGGAGGAGAAAGAACTCGAGACGGAGGAAAAAGAACAGAAGAAGCACATCACCATGGATGACCTCCATGATGGCTTTGACACCCATGTACGATATTTCACCACTTTGCCTTGTGACAGATGAATCTGATAGCCTGCATAGTACGTTCCCCCAAAGAGTACTCCGACATCAGTTCCCACCACAAAGATCGAGGGTACCAAGAAAACGAAGACAACAACAACCGAATTTGAAACCCTAAACCCTCAAGCATCTAGCTCCGCGCCTCCCCCATCTGCCGACACTCCTGAAGATCTGGAGGAGGAGGAAGAATCCGTACCCGACATGTCGCTTTCCCTTGAGGAATTTTCCAAGCTGCCTCTTTTCGCATATGAGCATTCCTTCAAGTTTATTCAAGACCACCCAGATGTCATTGTACAAGGTGCCTCTGACGTGCTCCTCGTTGCCGCCTTCAGGGCTCAGAATGGCGCTAACCCAAAATACGCCAAGCAATGTGTGCACCAGAGTCTTCTTCTGCAATATTGCGAGAAACTGGGAAATGATGGGGTTCGCGTATTCTTCAGGAAGTATGTTAATCTGTCCTTAGTACTCTACATTGATACTGATCTCATTTCAGAATGATTTCCGGAGACAAACGTGCTGAGAAGGTTTTCGTTGAGGATGTTGAGAAGACCTATACTCTCCTCAAGCATCGGGTCAAAGTCAGCAACGAAGAAGAGGCCGCTGTTGGTGGAAGGGAACAAATACAGCTTGTTCCCGAGAGCGGTGATCAGTCGATCTCGTTCAATGTTCCTGACGGTCCTCCTCCGGAGGAACTCGTGTACGAGGGGCCCGATGCCGAGTCTGTTGACATTGAAGAAGTTCGGAAGGCCCTGCAGCTCCGATGGGATGTTTTCCAGTCGTTCCCGAAGAAATTGCAGGACGCGCTGAAAGATAACTCTCTGAACCGCGTCAACAAGGTACTTGGAGATATGGAGATTCCTGAAGCAGAGGCCGTTGTCCAGCAGTTGGATATTGCGGGTATCCTGAACTTTGCAGACGGGGGAAGTATCAGAGACGAGACTGGTAAAAGCGGCCCCACTACTGCTGATCTGGCTGATTAATTCTGGGAGAAAGGAGAAGTATATCTGCTCATATGTATTCTACGTTGTGCTTTACTTGCGTATCTAAATGCTATCTTTCAATTTGCAAGTCCTCGAGATAGATAGAGGATTCGGATCCTCGGAACCCGTGACCTCGCGACCACGTCCAAATTGGTCGAATGTCGGGCCCAAAAGGGTAATGCGAGCCACGGGAACAAACATATGCAAAGAATATAAAGCGTCGACGACGACTCTTCCGCATCTTGCTCTTTTACGACCACCTGCTCTCGGTCTCTCACTTCCTCCACTGCTCACCCACTGTTCTTCGTTATTATTGTCCATTGCACAACTGTATCTATCTGTGAAGGATTTCACACCTGTACCAAGCATCCTGTATCCTTATAGCATGTAAGCGCCACAGTTCTCATGTTTTCGTAGAGCCCTGTATCCGCGTCTGTTGTCTTCATTGAAAATCATAATTCTCCTTGATTAGCGCTTAAGACTCGTTAAATTTGTATCGCTTCGCAAGAATTCGTTGTTTGAGTCTACAACATTCCTAAACCATGGCCGAGGACGACTTTGACATCTACGGAGAGGAACAACGGGGTGTTGAAAAAGTGGTACGTTGTCACTGAATTTGAGTGTGTACTGAACGCGAACTGCCTCTTGAAGAACCAAGATAACAAGCTGTTAACATCCTCGCCCGATCCCAAGACGGGTGAAAAACGACAGAGAGAGGATGACTCGCTCGAGGAACACCAGAGTAGACCTCCCACATCGCGGCCCAACATTCAGAATGGAAGCGGCGCGACCGGGGCCGGAGGGAGCGGCATGGGTGACGCGCTGTATCTTAGTGACTTGCAATGGGTGCGCCTGTTCATTCTTACACTGTCTCAAGCATACTGACGTATTGTGCAGTGGACTACCGATGAAGACCTTCGGCAGATTGCATTGAACGTCGGAGTCTCTCTTGATCACAAAGACATCACTTTTTCTGAGCATAAAGTTAATGGGAAAAGTAAAGGGTGTGCTATGTCTTGTCTTTGTTCACGTACTCGAATTCTGAACGCATACAACCACTAGACTCGCTTATGTGGAATGCGGAAACTACGAAAACGCTAATGCTATCAAGAACTGGTTCGACAACAAGTGCGTGCATGTTTTCTTGTCCATACTGGGCGCGTGGAACTGACTGCCAAATCAGCGACTTCCAAAACCGTCGGGCGACCGCTACCATAGGATCGTCGAGTAACGGCAATCCATATCGTACACTGCCAAAAGGTGGGCTGCGCTGTCCTCTTTGGCGCTTCAAATTGACAGGATCGCTGCAGAGCCTCCTCCGCGTGACAACCGCGTTCCGCAACAGCCGCAACAGCAGACTGCGGGAAACGTTGGCGTGGGTGCCGGCCGCGGTGGCAGTGCGAACTTCCGTGGAGGCATGATGAGCGGGGGTGTCATGCGCGGCGGCATGGCGGGCGGGATGATGCGCGGTGGAATGCCTATGAACATGCCGAACATGGGTATGAACATGAATATGGGTATGGGAGGCGGCTACATGGGCGGTGGATTTGGTGGTCGCGGAGGCAACATGATGCCTCGCGGTGGAGGTATGATGCGAGGCATGATGGGCGGTATGGGTACGAGTTTCTAGCTTTCCCTTAGATTATGTATTGCTCGTTGTCGTGCTTACTGTCCTGCTTTGTGCTTTTGTTTTTATTGTATCAGGTATGGGAATGATGAATACCCACCAACGTGGTGGAGGCCCTGGCGCCATCGGCCACATCAATCCAGCGTTCATGCAAGGCAACATTCCGGACGGGCCAAGGAAAAGGGCAAGATTGGACGGATAGCAAGGTGTCGGGTTGTGATGCATTTACCAGGCTTTTTGTTTCTCATACATCAGTGCTGCTTTGACTGCTGCTGCTCTTTACATTATCTACTCGCTGTTTATCCTCGTTGTGCATAGGTACCTTATAGTTAAATCAGTAATACAGTGATTACTTCTCTCACGTATGGTTGCAGAGAATATGTTAAGTTCTAGAGATACCACGTATTGTACTTGAAACCTGATGCATGATGTTCGTAAACTGAGTCACACCACTAATACGGAAATCGGACACGCAGTAGGACAACCGGCATAGCTCTAGTAAGGAGTAGAGTTGCACGTCGCAAATGTTCTTCATTCTAGCAGAACCAAATCAGGTGACCGTGATATGGACCCTCGGATATTTGAAAAGAAATTGCAGATACACATGATGCAACTTCAGTGCTACATAGACGCCAAGCGCGCCACAAGATGAAATACTGCTCCAAATTTATATCCCCTGCCCGACGATACCTGGAGGTCCGAATAAGAACCTAACAGTTCCTTCGTTCTTCCCTAGTGCCTCTGATGCATCGTCGATGCCATTAGGGTCAAGACTGTAACGGTATCGAGGGTGGTGCTCTGACTCCCTCAGGTGTATCTTCAACCGTAGCAGCTGATCAGCATTGTAGGGAAGAGGTTCTACGGCTTGGGCGGTAGAAGATAAGTGTTGATTTCGAGGCGATGGATGGGGTGATGGAGAGGAAGGAGTACGGGGAGACGTGTTAGCAGAAGGACTTTGAGCGGCTTGAATGAGGAGGTCCAGCATTTCATGAGCGATGACTGAGGAGGGCATCAGTTGAGCATGGAAAAGCCACCATGGAGCAGGAACTGACCATCCAAGTCTTCAACGTGTGTTTGGAATCGTCGCTCCCAGTCTCCGTGACGATGAAGTTGGTCTCGCAAGTCGTGCGCACTTGATGAATCTGGTTCCTGACGAGGAGATTCGGGCTGTTCCCATGATAGTAACAGGGATGCGAGATAGATGCTTGAGAGTGCTACTGTGACTGGTGTATACTGGATAGGAACAAGCGTTCTGTGGCTGTAAAATAGAATAGTTGAGACGGCAGAGAAAGCAGGAAGACGAGTGATAGGGCACCTGTCGACAGCCAAGCGCCAAGGCCAACTTTATTATCTGTTTCTTCGCTGTTCTTGGAGTCAATCTACATGCGAATAGATTCAGAAAGCCGATTCCAACCTCCAAGGGCCTTTCCTATCTTGATGACATAGGGAAACGGCATTCTGGATGTGAAGTTGAAGCAAATAGTTTCTAGCATAAGTCGTTCAATTGCGAGCAGCCGTTGTCGGTCATGCTCCACGATCTTGTGCTCGAATCAGAAAAGACGAGGGGATATAAGGTAAGATAAAGCTCACCGCTGGGTCCATTGTGTCCAGGTCTACCTCACCAGCAGGGGTTCTTCGACTTTGCTACCAGTTCGGGGAAACGAAGAGCATACGACACAGCTAGCAGTTCTCGAGGTTTCTTCAACGTGTCGTGCATCTTGGTAGACACATATAATGCGGCCTAAGCAGACGTCCTACAAGAAAGGGATGAGCTGCATGTCATTTGGCATCTCGGTGGAAGATTCTTGCATGATAGTTGAAGTCTTTTCGAGGAAAGAACAGATGGAACCGGTGGTAAAGATTCTGTGCAGTCGCCACTGTTCTTCTGGGACTACAAGCGAATATATAAGTGGCACAAATACCAACAGTTCTTGAGAACATACAAGCCCATTCGTGATCCCAGCGCCTCGAGAAACCCACAAGCTGTTTGTCTGACTTTGTCTTCTTGGGTAACACTGAGCTTGCCTTTCTGTTTTTCTGAAAGGATGTGGATTTCTTCGGAAGTGAAATAAGGACGATAGTATTTGGAACGTGAGGCAGGGAACTGAGAGGGAGATTGGGCACGAGAATGCATGGGGTCCATGTTTGACGCGTCGTGGGTGAAAGGAAGAAGTGCAATTTGTCATCATCACCTGGCTTTCTTTCCCCCAAGGCGCACTTAACGTCAATGTTAGAAACTTAGTAGCTCAGACGTTCAAGCTTTCCGTTCAACAATCTGTCCGGTCTTCTCTGGTGGTTACCAACCTAAGTTAACAATCTCGGTCACATTCTTCTTGGTCTCCGTTTCAGGATCTACTCAACCAAGTATGACCTAACGTCAGTCATGACTCTTCCCTCGGAAGCGTTCTCTTGACTCCTCTTTGGTCAGCACGGCCCCGCGACGGGAGTCAGTATGCCTATATAGTCACCAACATAACTGTCCAATATCTTTGTCGAGGGCCCAACTCTTGTAGTTGAATTCCCATCGCTAACCATGGCTTTTCAAAATCGACAACTTCTCTCTCGTCTGCAACACGACCTCGCAGAGCTCCATGATGCACCGTACCCTGGCGTGGCCTTCTTCACTGATGATGCCAACATGCGCCAACTGTGTCTCATCCTTACTCCTCCGAGCGGTCCCTGGAAGGATCTCTCTCTCCATTTTGATGTAGAACTACCTCCTGACTGGGTGAGTCCACTATTTGACTGTAGCGGCATATTTCTCAACGTCTTTTGTCGCAGCCCACTTCTCCTCCAAAAATCAAGAGCAGTGTTAACGGAATCCAGCACCCGAATCTTTACTCCTCGTTTATTTACTGCGATCTCCTCAGGAAGGATTCGTACAGGGAAAATGGTTACACGGGAGGGTTCGTCGCTTATAACTTTCCCTTCTCTTGTGCTGATTTCGTTATGTCTCATAGCTATTCCCCGGCTTTGACGCTGCGTGGCCTTTTCCTACAATTTTTGACATTCTTCTCCAGTACAAAGGTGAGTCTATGCAATACCATACTCTTTAACATTCATCTGAGCAAGTACCAAAGATTGAACAAGACTACGGGGGTGTTATCGATATTGGTGACTTCATTGTCGCCAAGTACTTCCGGGAGAAGAATGTGGCCCAACGACTTGCCGACTTTGCTTCGCCTGACGATTGCTGCGAAGCGTATAGCTCCTTTCAACCAAACAATCTCGAACCGTCTAGTAAACTGGAACTGGAATGGGCGTCTAACCCGTCCCCGGAGGTCATTGTGAGCGTCTACACCACTGGGGATCAAGTGGTTACACACAAGACGAAAGGCGAAGGATATCCCGACCCCATGCGTATCCACATGATGGAATATCAGAATTCTAAATGGGGCCAGACCCTAAGGGCGATTTCCAGCTGGACCTGCCGGAAGTGCCCATATGGCTCAGCAGCTTTTCCTCACTACCTCCCGCCAGCCCAAAGATCTATGACTAGGACCGTCGATGAATCTTCGCCGTTGCTCGTTCATCTGGCTACATGTGTCCTCGAAAACCTCCCTGACGATATTTTATTCACGCTCGCCACTTTTCTCTCTTCCGAAACAGTCCTTGTCTTTTCAGAGGCTTATCCTCGCTTCCGCGCTATTGTGGAATCAGCGCACGAGCTCCTCCGGCGGGAATTACAGTGTTTCTTCTTGAGGACACCCCTCACCGGTTCCATACTCGGCATCGGTGTTGCTTGGGATCCCCGACAACGTACATTGACATCCGATTTCGACTGGCTAAGCAAGGAGGCGTTCCAGAAATTTGGTGTGAGAAGGAGCATTCAAAAACGAGCGTTCCAGTATTTCCTTCCTCTGGCATTTAGTCGTCCGCACTTCTTGTGGGCTCAGGATAAGATTTGGGATGCATTGCTGGTCGTATACAAGGAGCTTCAGCAAGCAGACTGTACATCACTTCAGCGGACGCAAGGAGTCTCGTTGTCTCGACAATCCGAAACGCTCGATGTCTCACCGTCTGACCTGCTCTGGGTCATCTACAGGATGATGAACAATACTGTTGTGGCACTCATGAAGTCTTGCGATGACGTCCTGACTACTCGCAACGGTGCTTCGTCTAGAGCGACTCTCCTCCATGCATCTGAAAAAGCTGTCTACTCGTACTGCCATCTCTTCCATCTTCTCTTATGCCTTTCCGGTTCGGACCTGAACATCCAGCAGGATGCCACACGAAAAATCTTGGATTTTATTGCTCAGTCAGGCGCTCGTGTCAAGGCCCGCGTTCCTGACCTCGGCGAGTTCATCGTTCTTGTGACATTTGTCCTTGCTTTAGGAAAGGGTGACGTCAAGTGGAGTATTCTCAATGGTCCTTTCCTTGAAGAAGCCATTGTGCGCAATGCGCGGTGGGTTCTCAGGGACCATCCCGAGCTCGAGGTGATGGAACAGGGCAGGAGCGATCATCGTCTGACCACGACGTTCAACCACTCCAAGACTAGTTTGCGACTCATGATGTTCCAGATCACGTATCTGACGATATTTGTCGAGACTTATTCTTCTGATTTGGGACGTTTGGATGACAACTACGGATTTGCAGAGAAGGAAATTCCGGAGAAGATGGTCAAGGCGATCAAGGACATCTATAAGGTCGGAGACTGGCCTACGTTTTTTGAGAAGGTTCAGTATGTGCGAGGCAAGTCGTTTGACCCGGAGAAGCTTTCTCAGTTGTTGAGGGATGCGGTGAGGGTCAGTGCTGAGCGTGGGTATCACATGCCTGCGAATCTAAACTAGCACGCGGAATTCCAGGAACCAAGGGGACGGGAGGAACGAGGGGACGTAGTTACAGGAGATAAACTGTCTTTTTTTGCTGCCGTCACAAGGAAATGGCCTGTTTCTGACAAGTGCTTATGCTGTACGACTAAGACAAAGTTTCAACCGGCATCTTTCGGCAATTAATAGAACACGTTTAGCACAGCCACATATTGATGTTCATTATCGAGCACGCCAAGGAAGAACCAGCCTTCTTCTGTTCCACCTCCTCCGAATACTCAGACAGTCATTGTGACCATGAGGAATACGCCTTCTTGTCGCATTCTAACTGTAGGCCCGACGCTGGATGTGTCGGTGAACCTCGTACAACGTCAGTGAACATCATCATGATCGGATACTACTGAACCGCTGACCTGAGCCTTCTTACAGAGATTCAACGATTGTCTCAACCACCGTCAACTTCTGATGACTCTATTTCATCTCTTATATCGAACGAATCCGAAAAACATTTCCCGTGGACAATTTCGAATAAATATTACACTGCTGAGGTCCATTTCGTGGCTCGGCAGATCAAGGGCCTTGCACCCTATCATTTGCAGGAAATCCCTGCGTTAATATTCGTCTGGGAAAAAGGAGAGGTTGGTATTTAAATTTCGACCTCAGTCGTGGCTTTCTAACCCGATATGTTATTAGACTTACAAGCATCATATCCATCGGCTCTCTAAAGACCTCGGTGGCTCAGAACCGGAAGTTTCTTTGGCTGTACGCGTTCCGGCCTCTGCAGCGCCTTCCGAAGAACACAAGGAAGACGAGGATGAGGCTCTCGAAGACGCTAATGCCGTTGACTGAATTCCTCTCGTCCCATGGCTTTGAGTTCGTTGATGCCTCTGGCGGAGAACACACAGAAAATACAGAGGAGCTTGAAGGCATTTCGGACGGTCTGTGTTCTGTTCCTTGTAGGTGTTATTGTATAGGCTAACTTGGAATACAGGTATCCCCTCTCTACCTCGTGTTCTTGATGCATTGAGCACCATCATGTGGCCTTCTATGCAAGCGTCTCAAAAATCTACGCGTACCGCCTACTAGGAGTCGGCAGGGTAATGATGCGTTCTTCGACTGGGCGCAGTCATCATTTGATACGTCCGACAACTCTCTTGACGAAGACAGCCTGGTCCACTCCCAGCTCTAGCCAGCAAAGTAGTTCATCGATCGAGACTTCACAAGGAGATGGACGAACTTGCGAAATGGCTTCAGGATGGCGAAGAACCCGCGGAAGACGACCCCTGGAAACTTTCAGGCCGCATCACGTCACCTACACAGATCGACGACGAAGTATGGGGGCCTAGAGAAAATTCTACTGCTCAAAAGGGTGCAGTAGATGCGTTTGATGATGATTTCTCTGTGTTTGTGTCTGCTCCTGCGGAAACAGAATCTGTGGAGACTCGGCGGTTGTACACAATTGAAACAAACACCAAGGTGTCGTTCGACACGTCCTTTGACTCGTCTTTCGATTTTGACCGACTCGGTCCATCACCAATGGGTGTGACGTATCATGCATTGGGCAGTGGGTCCGACTTGGGCGACCCCCAAGAGTCAGGGGTTCCACATCCTGATACCCCAGAGAGCGACGATGACAACGAAGACGGCGAAGGCGAAGAAGACTTGCCCTCCCAAGACGAAATCAGGGAGAGCGCTCAACGCATTTTTGGCGCCCAGGGAACGTCAAGCTCTGACGATGGCTTTGAGGGCGATGATTTCGAACTTGCGCCGTTTGATATCGGCCAGGTAATGAGCGCTCTCCAAGGAATGAAAGCTGAGATAGCAGACATAGAGGACGAAAGTGAGAGGCGGAAAGCTGCGGCTAGAATAGCGCTCGGTTTGGTTTATGGGTTGGAGAGAGATGCAAAGATGGAAGAAGATTTTGGTCTTAATCCCGAGGTGAAAGAGTAGTTTGTTCGTTCATTCTGCGTCATCAAAATGTACCGTGTGTATTGTAGTGTGTATCCATGCGGAAGGATTCAATAAATGTAACTACAATAGTGAATATCGATGGAAACGTGCGATATCCTGACACCATGGATATCAGCTCATTTCAAGTAGTACATGGAACTCATAAGTATCTTGCACAAGGGCAAAGAAAATATCTGTGTTTAAAGCCCTTTCGGGCCACAACGTCATTCTTACTGGGAAAATTCAAGAAGTCGAATAGAGAACAACCAACAACTGGGAAACTGATGATTTAGTTGTCCTTCAGGTGTGATTACTGCCATTTACATGAGTGACAGGTAAGGACAGCATATTTCAAGGATGCCTCACCTCTAGACGATATAACAATGTCCCGTATCCCAGTTGGTCATAGCCACCCGAATTAGGTCCGTAGTCACCTCCGCCACCTTCGACGCCGTTCGCAGACGCGTTTAAGACAAAATCACGCATCTGTTCGGTCCAAGAAGCATTCAGGCCTTTCAGAGAGCCGTAATGAGCATATAACAGCTCCCACGAAGGCCTTACTGAGCCTCTACCAGATGCAGAGATGACAGTTTCGTTGTAGTCTGCGTTGACATGCGGAACATATGGGACATCGAAGCCGACATTATACTTGGCTACATATTCGGATCTAAAATAAAATGGCTGAACGACATAACTCAACGAAAAACGAGGTTGCACACCCTGCGAGAATTTGACTGTCGTTATAAGCAAAAAGATCTTCGCCTTGATTATATGCAGCTTGTGCATAAGCGCCCCACAGCGAAAAGTCCAGCGTAGCATGACCCTTAAAATCTCTAGGTGAGCTCATACTACTATTAATTGGCCATACCACCAGTGCAATTAATTACCTGATCTCGCCCAGCCTCCTCGTTCTGCCCTAGACGTTTCCCACTACCTTCCTCTGTATGAATAAACCAGATCGCATTCCCAATACTTCCCGTTCCAACGTCCGCAGTGAATGCATTTACGGCATAGTCGAACATGGTCTGATTATCGGCTAAAATCCCAATGGATATTGCAGACGCCATGTTGCAGATGTCCCTTTTGAAAATTGAAATGCGTGCCAGGGGATTATTCAGAAGTGCCATAGTGAATCAGAGGATAAACATACCAATTGGCTCGATAGTGGTACCACGCTGCTCCATTATGATTCTCCAAGAAATCAAAGTTCACGGGGTAGAATACATTAGACATCATGTTCTGGAAGCGTGTAAAGCTGTCCGCCGACCAGCCAGAATAGTCACGCATCAGCTCGGCTGCATTGGCGAACTCATAGCCATATATTCCGGAAGCCAAAAATCTGTCTGACGATCCGCCGATCCTTGTAAGCGTGCTCGACCATGCATCAAGAATGGCGACTGCTTTGTCGGCATAACTCGTATCGTCGGAGATGCGCCAACGGATGGCCAGCTGATAGGCAGCGGCGATATCGTTGTAAAGCAACGAGTAGTTTTCGGCGCCATCAGCAGAGCCCGCGCCGCGAACGACGACTGTGACGGGTCCGCGCATAGTGTAGGTCGCCTGGGCGTGACTATTGGCCATCAACGCGGTCCATGCGGTGTACCAGGGCTCTGCTTGCGCATTAACTTTGTCTTTAATGCGGACGAAGTCCTCCTCCGTGTGTAAAAGACCAGGGTGGACAAATGCAGAGGATAGCGAGGCAGAGAAGAGAAACAAGAGAAATATGGATTGTAACATGATAGACCGTTTTCAATTCGCTCTGCTGCGAAAATATATAGTCCTGGAAATCTTCATAACGCGGGCCGGCGGACGAGGTTTGGCGTACTCGTGTCACAGACAGCCTTCTGTCCCACAACAATCGATGGATCATTTAAAGTTGGTCGAGACCTGTAATTTCCCAGCTGTGCCCAGCGGTAGAAAACTCCTTGACAACCGATATATATGTGCATCGTGGAAGGTTATCAAAAACCAGAAGGTGTGGCGGACTGAGGCTACGAAAAAATTCTCGAATGGACTAATTTGCTATGAAGACGATTGCTGGGCTGCGTAGTGAGCAATTTCGTGTTATCGACAATCGAGGTCTACCCAAAAGATGACGGCGCTGTTCATTGCGGCCCGGCAATGAACAAGGAATGGCTCCAAGGAAGAATCGTGATTCGTCACTCATCCTTATTGAATGATTCTGCTGCACATGTTGCGGTCAGAAGATGCCGGTTCTTTGCACGACTTTTCAAGCACTTGAGAAAATAGCGGCATACCCTCCCAAAAGCACCAGAATATCGTCCTGAGGCTATTCGGTGTGGATTTTTAAAGACGTCAGGGATGGCAAAGTGAAAATAACTAGCTTCAGGCTGAGGTGCGGCGAACATGGAAGACGACCAGGAACTGTTTCAAAAGGGGAAAATGTCAGAACTTAAGATCCTTTGAGATATGGACCATAGAAAGTCGGTGTGTCATCAAAGTACTCGATAAAATTCTCGGCGTCCATTGTCGCACTCCAGATCAATAGAGGAGAACGTCCAAGCTTGCTGATGGACTGTACCGCCTCTAATCATTCCACTGTCAAGTCCGAGTTGGCATGGCGCAAGACATGCATGTGGGAAAAGATTAAAAAACGCGCTGGGAACCTACGGGCTTAATCCTCCGGTCGCTGTCTCTCGTATATCATGCACTCGTATCAACAATACGTTCGGCGTTTCCCAAGATGCAGTAAAGTGGATGGCATGTAAGCCGAGGTGACCAGTTTCTGGACAGGTGAGAGGCTACGACACGGGTTGCGAAATTTTGAATAGCTTCGAGTCGGGGTTGAAGATGACGGTTTTCAATATGTTGATTTGTCCCCCAGCGGAGGTATTAGATGCCGAAAACAATGCTTCTGGAAGTTTCAAGGTTCGAGAGAGGGTCATTCCGTCCAGCCACCGAGGTCAAGTTAGTACTTACAAGATGTACACGACTCAATGTCAGCTAGTCCAACGGTAGAATCCATAACTTTACACGTTCCTTACCATGTAATACTGAAGCATCCATTTGTTGTTAGAGTTCTCGCAATGAACTGGTCGACCCATGGTACTCTGCAGGAGGACCGTGATAGTTCCAAAGAAGGTCTGTTGTGCCCTGTTTTGAGCTTCTAATTCGTTATTACGTGTAAGAATTCGAACTTGAAGCATTGAACTCAGCAAGTATGTGCGTAGTCCTGTGACAGTACCTTCTATGTGGCAAGCCGACGATCAGCTTGCTTCATATACAGGATAGTAACGAGACTAGTATGTGCGCGATCCCTTGACTTGATATCTCAAGATGCTCTAATTCTGACCACCAATCAACAGAAAGGCCGTGTCCATTGAACCAACCCTGCTCCACTTTGACAGCCGAGAACCGAGGAGATTATCTTTTCCTATTGCAGCCCGCTTGAATGTCTTCGAACGAAAGACAATCAACCCTGGTGGTTTTATCTCAGAAGTTTCGATATTCCAAGGTTTTGAATGGTGCGGCCACTGTTGTTAGAAGAGACCTGTCATTCTCTATCATTATCATCTCGGCGAATACCGGGCATCTCTGTCATGAAACCGTTAACAAACACTATCGATTTTTTTTTTCAGGAGCAACTATGCACGTCCTTCAGAATGGATCGAATATCTACTGGCAGAAGGCTGAGTTTCGGGAAACATCGAGTCAGTCAAGAAGAGAGCGAGTGCGCTCGTTAGCGAAGGACGATCCGCTATGAACTCCCGAAGAATCTTGAACCCCGAAGAGCTGATGAATCTAAATGAATGCCAATACGCCTGGTGTGAGCATTTTGCGGGCGTCGGATGCGCGAGCATGTGCTCTACGCGCTGCCACGCCTATGGGAATAACGATATCTTCCATTCATTCTGGACTTCAACCTAGGGTATCGATAAAGCGTCGGATGAGGTGCCGGCAAATACACAAAATCACCCCACATTTCTTTGCGGACACCAAGTTTATTCAACAGTCCCGATCTTACCGCGTACCATGGCGCCCAGAGTGAAAACCCCTCGGCAACTCTCATTGAACCTTGGGTGGCATAAACAGCATGTTTACAATATGCTCAATGTTCGGCGCGGAAGCACCATGAATGGGCTCGGCGACACGACTCTCAACAAGTCTTTCTCTGAAACTTGGGGGTGAGAGAGCGGTCCCTTTTTTCAGGAAGCTGACTTGACACTTTCCCCATAGTAGCTTGGTATTGCTACAACGTAACCAAATATGACCTCTACGTCGTTGATAACACCGTCGACACTGCCCAAAAGACGATGACAAACTGATCTTACCACAATCGCGGCAATTCTGAACCGTTCATCTCGCTGGATCGAAACGGTGGAGACAACATCACCGGTGCGTCTTATCGTAGCTCGTAGTTGTCGATGTTCTAGAGCTGATAACCTTTTTCACTGATCAGTGTCCATCAACCTAAAGTAGGTATCGCGATTTGGTTACTTGCCAGTTTCGATTTTACCATCAATAGTTTCAACAAGACCTCTACGACCGAACCAAGGAATCGACGCACACCATAGTAAGTGAACGGGAGATCACGTACGTGTCCACTAAATGCTATCTCATACAGAGGAAATTACCTTGTATCTGATATGTGCAGTGTCGGTGCTGGCGAGACGCTTCTGTTCTGAGAACTCAGTTAACCACCAACGACAAATCGGTCTCTAGCCTGGATCCGTACTGACACCACTTTAGGGTCGCCCCTTGCTGAAAAATTTCCTCCAAAAATGCGATCTCAAAGGCGGGGTCATATTGCTAGTCAGTAAGAATGTTATACGTCCCGTTAATCCAACTGGCATGCTTTGAGTTCGTAGCCAAGACGATAGGTTAGTAGCCGCCGCCGCTTGTTAAATCCCACGTCAACCTAATACATTTCGTTGGATACAACGCCCACCACTATCGGATACGCTTTCTCTGAGCGTTCATCCATTCCTTTCCTTCTCCTTGCCGAGAAAAATTAAAATACACAGCAAATATTCTGATTCCAAAAAGCCTCATGAGTGCTACGGACTTTAGAGCCTTAGAGCCTCTGCATTGTTTCACGTCGGTCAACTTTGCCCTAAGCGACGTTGTCGGAACTTTCTATTTATTGATACTCTCCAAAAATTCATTCAAGGACTGCGTTTTAGAATTTTACGAATTCATCTTCCTTATCAAAGTCATAGCGGATGAGAGCCTAGGTGCAGATCCCGGAGGCGCATGGATGAGAGATAACGATGATACCGACTTCTAGGCAATGACACTTACGCACTGTAATGGCGAAATAAGGGCAAAGGCGGGCGCACTCTGGACCGTACGTGTCAGATCCCTCTCCCAAAAATTCCTTGAGTCGGGTGCTTATCTTTTCCAGGCTTAAAGGTGCCTCGAGAAACGGAGGGAAATAGTTAACGCCTTAAGAACCGCACTCCATTCTTTTCTGAGGTCGGTATATGAATTATATAAATAGAACGCATAGCAGCTGAGGCCGCCTCGTAGTTCGGGACTTCCGTAGCAGTGAAAACAGAGTAATTGCATTATAGCATTATCGTAACACAGCAGCTCGGACGCTCGCCCACAGCAAGTAGTCAAACTCGCAGTCTAAGCGGGGCACTGAGTAGGCCTGTCGGAAATGCGGTAATACCCATTCCATGGTAGCCAGTAAATTGAAGTATCCATATGTCCACTCGATCCACGATCGATATTCTGGTCTGTTACAGCGTCATAGCAACGGTTCTAAACAATGTTTAGTGCTGATATTATACGCAGCCCGAAGACATCGGTGGAATAGATAGGTTCGGACTCTAGGGATGACACCAACTCTGTGTTCGCAGCATATAGCTCCTCCCTAGCTTCCATGCGAGCGGTGTCAACACGGCAGCAGGATGGGATCGAGGCTAGTCTCAGAGTTATAGCGGCAATGCTGAGAATGGAGTGACGTTAGGACTTGTCAATGTCACGTTGAGCTTGTTGAAATATGGCTCAAACCTGCCTTGGTGTTATGAAGGCTCGGAAGCAACCACCTTGAAAATGACGCGTCAATGGCTCAAATTTGCGGAGATTAGCTCGCTATTAACCTAACTGAATGATCACGGCTGGATGCTCGAGGCTTGACGAGGTAGTAAAAGGGACTTGTGAGCAGCTTTATAGGGAATGGGTGAATCACCTCGCCACGAACGCGGAGGGGATGGAAGGATGAGATGGAAGTAGCGCATGGACCACCAGTAACCTTGGCAGCGATACTATTTGGAATACTTCGAGGAGCACATTGAACATGGACTACTCCACACCAAGACAGGCGAGGAAAATTAAACCATATTGACGTCAAGTATGGGAAAGCCCGCTCGGTCTTGTTCTGGTCCGATGGATGTGAAGCAAGTGCTGCTCTCGGGACCGGTACCAAGTCATCCGACCATACCCAGGCGAAGACACAGTAGATTTCTCTTGGGAAACTTCACTGAGAGAAACGGAGAGATATGCATGTTTCACTAGAGCCGCCCGAAATCTTGGACAAGTTCCAAGCACTTGGCCTTTCCAAGACGACAGCTTCGTAGAACTCATCCAGTACGGGAAAAGAGCGGAGTAAGCGGATATCCTTTCTGCGGCGCAATGCGATAACTGCCAAGTAGAAGCCGATAGGTCACAGAAACATCATCTGACTAGCCGTTCACGACGCTTCTTGGTATAAGTTCTGCAAAGACCTAAGTATAAAGACGGCTAGATAGGTCAATCTGTTCTGTGGAGAATGGAATCAGATGTGGCGAGTCAAGATAGACGGACACAAGGGGAACGGTGAGATTTCTGCCTAGGAGTCGAAACTGATAGTCAATCTTGTTAGCTGACAACCCATTCCTACCTTTTCAGTGCAGTCGCGGTGTACTGTGGACGTCGGAGAGTGTACGGACAAGAATGCGTTTCAATGTCATCGAGTCGGAACTTGTGCAGAACCGGGAAAAGATGAAGTGTGACAATATAGATCACTCTTCGAAGTCTGATCTGTGGCCGTGAAGCGGATTTTCGACTCATCTCAGCAGCTGAACATGCCCTTGGATGCCCTCATCGATGAGCTAACTACACTTCTCCAGGAGGTATAGCATCGCCACTCCTTGTACTTTTACCTGGGCGTCCTTGTATGGCAACGATATACGATACAAGAAGCCCGAGTCGTACGTTAACTTATACTGAATGCGTTTCTGGTAATCATCATTCCAGTCACGGTGATTGGCAATCCAAAAGGGCACTCGAAGTACATAGAAGTATCAATTCCCGGACCGTAGTACGAAACCATTAAAATCAAGGGCAGTTCACTGCGAAGGCGAAAGAGCTGCGATGACCGGCGCAGGACGTTGGGAATAAAAAAACGGTGAACTTGGGAAGTCAACAGGTACAAACATGAATCTATGACGCACCAAGTATGCAGGAGCAGTACTTACTCACTTACCGCCTCGTGCTCTTAACTCTGATGGTAATCGCTTAAAAGACTCGGACCCTAGCCTAGTAGCCAGTAGTCCCAGTATCGCGGAATTTAGACAGCTGCGCTATTATGCCGATTTCACTTATCGAACGCAAATCACCAACAAATCACTCATCAGAGGCGTCGGCCCTGAACGCAGATGCTATCATCGGCACGACAGTGACACCGCTTGGAGACTACGCAATCCACGGCGTATGAGCTCCAATGTCGTGACCGCAGACAAGCATGAGAACATAGATACGAGAATGATTGATCAGCTCACCTCCATTCGGGTAGCAGAGGGGAAGGAGGGGAAGACCGTATACTTAAGGCTAACTCGTTTACAGAAGGAAACTGATGTGATATTCCGAGAGCCAGGCGACCCTGGCCAACCGAAGATGTCAGAAGAGAATTTCAATTCCGAAGCTTCGAGGTTTCGAGAATCAACAGTTGTGGTACGTTATGTACGCAAACCTGTGATCAGCTTCGGGGCCTCGATTGGGGGACCTACAAATTATCAAGTATGTTTCAGCCTAGAAATACGAGCAAATATAACCTTGTCTTACGGATTCTCTTCACTGTGGTGGGTCTGTTGCCGGCTGATTCTAGAGCCCCCCGCCTTTTGGTCTCGATGCAGATGCACTTAAAAGGTGAGTGACGCGTCAGAGGTATTGCAGCGGGCGCCGAGGGGAGTGGGTATTACGATAGGCCCGTATCAGCAACCAATCGGGGCCGCGCACGAGCTTATGGTAGGTAGACCTTGGTCGCTTCATCTGTTGGGCCGTAGTTCTGAATATAGACCAAGGTATAGGGAGTAATTATATTACTGACGCGGGTAGAACGTGTAGAGAACGTGTAGAAAAAAACTTCTGATACTCAACAACTATTAATGTCACCTTGGAAAAATCCAGGGGTTTTTTGATCCTTCAAGTTGACCCGAGACGAAGCATGTACAAGTTTAATAACCTCTAGAAATCTCCTGCGTGCCGTTGATGGAAAAGACAGATTTGGGGTCGCGACTGCGGTAGAAGACTCGGATTTTTCGGTTTTCGGAATAGGGAAGAGGGTATAGAAGCATACGAAAACGAGATATGACGGAGAAAAAAATGGCGGAGGTATCGCTAAACGATAGAACATGATAGAACGAGATAGACATTTTGAAATGAGTGACTTGAACGCGCGAGGCAGAGCTCCAGAGGGTAACATCTGGACCGGCACCTTTAGGGCAGCAGGCACTGTGATCGGTGCCTCGGACCCCACATTCTCTCTCTTGCATTGATGGCCCCTATTGAGACCTGAGGCGTAGCAGCTGGCGGCACATGAGCAGCGGCACAGAGGCACAGAGTGGACCAGCGTCAGAACATTGGAGGCATATAAATGAAGATCATGAGCAGCACGGAGCCCTTTTCGGCCGGAAAATGGAGGGGAAAAGTAAATGATGCTGAGTACTCGAGAACATAATAGGCAATAATGCAGCATCTGTGCAAAAATGTCAAATTACCGGCTTTCCTTTTACGCTCAACACTGGGCTCATCTGTCCCAACATGTAGCTGATCCTCAGTCCCAATCCTTCGTTTCATTCCTCCATCTAGATGCTCGCTCATTTCCTTCGTCGCCGTCGTCCTACACAGTGAGCAGGCACCTCTCCTCATCGTCATCATGTCTATCGACCCCCTTCCACCACCCCCTTCTCATCGTCCCCTTCTGACGAGATCTCAGTCTGACAATCCTCTCGCGGACGGCCCGCCTCCCAATCGTCTGCCTTCTATGCTCTCGAAAAAGCGACATTCTACTCATATTGTCGCGGATGAGACGCTCACACCTTCACCGTCACCTTCACCGTCTTCCATTCTAAGGCCGTCGCGGCCCACGCGTGTCGGTGCTCCACCTGTAGCGCTTTCGCGGTCGCGGTCGGCCAAGGTCAAGATCTCGAGCCGACCGCGAACAGCGACGGGTTCGATGGAGGACGTGACACCTTGGGAATTGTACCCTGCGCCAGGGGACGAGCTCGGCTCTAGGTGTGTAGTAATTGCTGAGTCTTCGTCACAGAACTTGTCTCGTGCTAGCACATCGGTAAGCGCTTGGCCCTCTATTTTCATCAAACTTCGCGTCATTTTCCTATTACCACATCGCGACTTGTATTCTTTTGTCTCCATCATGCGCACCTTTCACTTACCCTATCTCCATCTAGATGCGTCCCTCAAGCTCCGGAGGCCGTCCTTCCGGTCGAACCTTTGCTGACCACCTCCGGAGAAGAAAGTCTACAGGAAGTAAGACTCCTGCAAAGAATCCAGTAGGCAGCAACTTCGCGCCATTCAGGCTTCAGTCGTCAGCTTCAGCAGGCCCACTAGGTGTCGAGTCTTTCCCCAAGACTTCGCATTCAGTCGCTCCATCAAATTCTCATCGTAATCATCCCCACAATGTCTCAAAACCGCCTTCAAGTTCAGGTGCTTATAAACCGTCCCAGAACCCAACACTAACTCCGCCAGTTCCGCCAGTACCCACGGCATGGTCTGGTGTCGTTCATGCGGGCCCCTTCGTAGCGCCTCCTTCTGCTTCTCAGTCCCGTTCCTCACCCGATCAGCAAGGGGGAAAAGGAAAAGGCAAAGCTGCCAAGTTCTCTACTGCTGACCGCACCGTTCTTGAAGAGCTTAAACGAAGCCTCAATGCGCGAGCTGCGCAGTTTGTCGTGAAGAATGGGTCTTGCGGGTCTGGGAAATCTGCCTCGGCCACCGGCAGCGGTATCTCCTGGGGCGCATCCGGCCTTGGTGCCGTAGGCGTATTCAATGGTAAAAAGCATCATCCATTCGGAAAGGACGAGATTCCGTATCCGCGTTGCTATGAAAAGGACGTGTTGGATCTGTAAGCTCTTCCGCTCTACTGTCGTTTTTACCCTCTTGGTGGTGGTTCCTCCGCCATGGGAGGAATTTATAGCGGCCTATCGTTGCATGTTTACTGATGGAGGTGGCATTCTATATCTGTAGGGATATCTGGGACACCCATTTCTGTCGACAGATCTGTGAGAGCCTTACTTGGCATGTCTTTGAGAAACCACCCACCAAGGTTCTGGACATAGGATGTGGTACGTTCTCGAGCTTCCGTTTCATTTGGCAAATGATCTCAGTATCAAAAGGTACCGGTGCTTGGATACTCGAATGCGCCCGAACATGGAGGGATTGCCATTTCGTGGGTATGTTGGATGCTGTTTTGGCTGTGGTCTTTATGATGTAGTAACGTGATTGCAGGGCTGGATTGTGTGCCTTTGCATCCCGATCTTCTTCGAGTTGGTTCCAGTGACCTCGCGCACCGTATCACATGGACCCAGAGTAACTTGTAAGTGACGTTTGTCCTTCAACCTAAACCCACTCCGACGTCCTTTTGTGTACACAGCCTCGACTATCTTCCGTTTCCCAATGAAGAGTTTGATTTTGTGTACGTTGATCTGTCACGATACGATGGTGGCGTGAGCGCTCACTGAATCTTAGTCATATCAAACGAATCGCATTGGGAGTTCCTGAAGACAAAGTTAGTCCATCCGTCATGTGCTATTGGCTACGTGACTGAATACGCAACTTGCCAGTGGGATCATCTATTCGAAGAGATTGTCCGTGTGATGAAACCAGGAGCTGCCTTTGAGGTAAAGGATTCCAGCAAATAGAACAAGGACATATCCTTATGGTTTATCCCGCAGATGATCGAAGAAGATTTGTTTTTCCCTGGTTGTATCCTAGACGGAGACGAAGATCGTGATAGTGATTTCGGCTCAGAAACTCGTTCATTTGATGAGCCACACCGGCGTTTTTCTGGACAAGGCCTTCGTTCCACCCCCAGAAATGGCTCGTGGTTGTGATCACGACATGGGAGATGATACAGACTCGACGCATCAAAGTTGTAACTCATCGGCCAGTGGACGGAAGTCGGAAGAAGTTGGATCTCCACTATCGACGAACTCAAGTCCCAGTTTGCTACCTACAGGTTCCACATCGGGCGCATCAAATTACAGTGCTCCTGTTACGCCTCCTAGCATGACGCTTCCGCTTCCGCTACTTCCTATGTCGAATACGGCCATTATCGAAGATGATGAGGACGAAATGGCACTCTATACTATTAGAGATCGTAGTGAACCTCGAAAGTCGCTAACGCCCCCTTCGCCTCCGGCTTCTCTCGAACAGTAAACTGGCTCCTGATACAGTCAAACCGCTTCCCCCTCTGCCACAACACCAGCCGAGGAGGTTAACAGCGCCAAGTACATTCAATGCTACTGCGAGTCAACATCGGAGAAATTCTGATGAGAGGTTGGTGACTCGTTCCCCAACGATATTTGGTGCTAGTCGTTCCAAACGCCCGTCAACGTCTACCGGTATTGAAGGTCGAAGAAGTCCTGGGAAAGCTGCCGTATCACCTTTCTTGACGAGGTCGTTACCCAAAGAACCTCCGAACCCGAGAGATCATTCCTTGCTTGAGACAATATACAAGGAGATGCAAGCGTCGCGATTCATCAACACGTCTCCACTTTCACTACTGCCCAATGCCCTCGGGCTACATTTCAAGGGTGATGTGACACATTGCTTCATCATGGTCTTTGTTTGCTGACGTTGGAACAGATGTGCGATCCCAGCCCCCGATCCGGTTTGCTTTCCCGCCCTTACGGCCTAAGCAGACACCGCAGGAGGAAGATTCGGATTCAGATCCGGATGAAGAGGCCAGAAATGCTATCAATCCGTATCCTGCACAGCGACTTCAATCAGTTTCTCAAACTAGTACAGAGTCTAGCCAAGAAGATCGGTGGGTATCCGCGCAGAGTCTTTTACTCAAGACGTCGGCGTACGTGTCTCTGGATGAATCCCGACTCGCTGGTTTCTCCCCTCGAACTTCTTCCGCAGTCACCAAGTCACCTCCCTCAAGGACCATTCCCCTATCAGACGATACTGCTCCGGTGAATCCTGCAAGATTACTGCAAGGGAAGGGTCTACCCAACTCTAATCTGAACATCGACGTACAAGCTCTTAATCTGAATCTTGCTCTCCGCGCGGCCGAGATCCTCGGTTGTTCCGAGGAGATGTGGGAGTGTGTATTGCAGTATCAGCGGGAGGCGCGGCGTACGAGAAAAGATGGAGCTTCGAGGAATGTATTGAAAATGAGGTCCAAGTCTGTAGATGCGGCAAGGCATCGGCAGAATAAACGCTCTAGCGTCGGCGGCTGGTCAGAACCGGAGGACCCAATAACGCTACTCGAGGACCTGACGAGGGAGGAGTTCGAAGGTTTGCTGATACGGTTTGATCTGTGAGTCGCGATTACCATTCGCTACGGATTTGTACTTATAATATTTCATCTACTAGTGATATGCAAGACCACATGGCATTGGGATCCCAGATGGAGGAGAGATTCTCGTGGTCGGTTTCTCCTTCGCCTCCTTCTGTAGAGCGTAAAGCTTTTGACGCTGCCTGGGAGAGATGGTGTAAATGGGACGAGGAACAGCGAAACCGACCCCCTCCACGCGGATCGAGACCCACAAGTCTCATACTCACCAACCCTATTGATGTTTCCCGAATGAATCATAACGAGTGCAAGCTCCCCGCTCGCGACCAAACCTTACTTTCTCGTGGATTTCCTGCGCGCCTACCTGAAACAAGAGGGACTCCTTCGCAGCGTTCTTCGACGCCGCGTACCGATACAACGGCTCCAACCAAAAGACTCAGCCGCATCCTTGGCGTCTTCGTCGCTTGGAAAGCCGAAGAAAGCGGGCCGGAGTCATGATACCACCCCCGCCGCATCAACCCTAACTTAAAAATCTTACGAACTGGACATATGACGAATTATAGAGGTGTATGGATTTAGGATCTACTCCCATTTATCCTGGTATTTATCTGTTCTGCATAAGCATTCTAACGTTATTTCTCTCATCATGACCTTGTATGCATTTGTTGTATTGTTCGCATTTCCACCATACCTGTTCTAACAGCAGTCTGTCCACCAATACGCGTATATCTATTGTAGCATGTAGATAGAGTTACTTATTGTTAACATTTACGTGTATTCAATGAATGCATTCGTGTTGTTGGGTTCCAAGTTTGACATCCTGATTACTAGGTCCAATCTTTTGTGAGTTCAGGACAACACAACCAACGACTCGACTCGCACATCAATGCATCAATCTTCGCGTCTACTCCCAGTACATAAGACTATGGTGGTCGTCGCATCATGACCGATAGGCAAACCCAGCGGTGCCAAAGTTCTGTCCAGCAGTTCTAGTGCCGCGTAATCGTCTGAGTCACCATCCAATAACTGACCGATAGCAATGCCCACTATTCCAGAGACATCCTCACTCCGAAGGAGCACACGGTCGAGCTTGTATGTAACGCGGCTTGAATGAGTCTTTGATTATAGACCACAGATAATATCTTACAAACAACCCCCCAGATCCTCGATAAACAGAAATGGCGGTAGCTCGGGAGGCCCCACCATGTTAGCCAACACGCTCAGATTCCCTAATCGTGGCCCAATGCTGCGGCTGTATTTAGCTCTCAAACTGATGAAGGTGGTTACGGCACAGCGCGTATTATCCAATCCGCGCAAGACAATGTTATCAATTCCTTGCGGGGATATCCAAGATGGCTTGTCGGATATTCTGACTTGACCGCACTGCATGTGTGCTGGGGTGATGGGTCTCCATGGCCCCATGGGGTCTGATGCGCAATCTTTCTCGGATGGTGCTGGAGAAGGCATGTTCGGAATACATTCTCCTCAGGTAACGGAATTGAGATTCAGTGGCTTGGTAAGGTATAGAGGCAAGGGCAACGTCAGAATCAATATCCTTGGGGGGCGTAACATACCGCTCGCAGTTTCACACCATCGTCGTGAACAGCTTCGATCACACTGCGAGCACACACGTCGTCTGTGCCCGCGTAGTATAAATCAATTTCGAATGCGGAAGAATCCTGGCGGACTTGAGACTTGAAGACCGTACGTATCCCTCAGCATGACGGTTCCATTGATAAGAGTTGACGGGGTGACTGCGCCGCCTGTCGCGACAGTTCGGATGGCGTCCCCAAAAACCAGAGGCAGTGGTTTCTGCATCGCCAGCCCGCGACCCGGAAAGAGCAAAACGACGAGGTGGTTAAAGAGTACGTCGGACGCGGGCAAATCTTTTATCTCTTGCTCGTACCTTTTACTTTATGGGCAGGCACTTGTAGATGATAGTGGAGACACCATACGGTACCGTGTGTGCGTCGATGCGAGCTCGAATTCGTGGTTAAATCTTCTTCCAAGATGATAACAAGATTCTGGATGGAAGACTAGCATCACGCGGTTGGCGAACCTCTTATCAAAGACGCGCTAGAATAACTTTTGTATTATCAGTTAATTAGTACGTTCCGCGTCTCATACAAAGTCCCAATTAATTAAAAAAACCATACATTACTCTACATAGTCCAGGCCTTGCGCTGAAAGTCCAATATGATCGGTACAAAGTCAAAGAGCCCGAAATCAGGCCAGTACGCAGAACAAAACTGTATTTGCGTATCTTCGCAGCACTACCAAGAGGTTCCGTCAGGTCACATCCAGAAGGGACAGCAGGAAATACAGACCTGCCACAAGAGAAAATCGCTAAGACGCTTGACACCACTAGTCCGAATCATAATGTCTAACGGCGGGCTCCCAGCCTTGCTCGTCATGAGGTTATCCTCAACATCCTGAGTCGATATTCGCAAATCTACATCATCCTTCGCAAGCGCGTTCTTCACGCAGGATTGAACAGCCGTGGTAATCTCGTCCGTAGAAGCATACGGCATGCATATATTCAGGATGGACCTTTAAACAACCGTCAATCGGGAAGGACTACCGCCAGTACTGAGCAGAACAAACCGATTATGTCCTCGCGTCATATTCTCCGCCATCCGTATAGCCTCTCGCACAGGTTTCGGGAGAAGCTCTCTCTTCCCAAGGACATTCAGCCGGACTCCATACTCCTCCAGCAGGTCCCCGTGTTGGCAGAGTTCCATGAGCTTCTCTTGCGCCAGCGACATGAGTGCTTGCACCTCGTCTTCTGGGCGCTTGAAATTGTCAATGGCGAAAGCGTACACCGAGACACACTTGATGTTCAGGCGAAGGCATATCTCCAGCACCTATGGAAGAGGTAAACGGGCCAGGTAACAGAGTAATAGGCGACAAAACGTACCCTCCTCAGAGCAACGTATCCTTCTGCGTGACCCTGGGGTATCTGTTTGTGATTCATACGGGCATATCTCCTGTTACCGTCCATAACGAAAGGCGACATGTTTGGGGATAGGTCCTGCAGCCAGGACGCGCAGCAGCAGACGTTGTGCCCGAGCATTTATTTTGTCTCGCAGCCAAAGAAGACAGTATACAGCAACATTAAGCAAGGGTAGTATTGGAAAGAAGAGAAGGCAAAGGAACGGGTGATTTCTTTTTGTAGGCATGTTACGAGCGAATTGAAGGAAAAGGTACACGTAGATGTAAACAAAAAAAGTTCATCTTATCATTCTACGTCATATATTCTCAGTTCAATAATATCTTTGTAGAACTTCCAGACTCCTGTTCTGCAAAACTATACCGATACATTGGTAGGCTACGTTCTACAACTCATGAAGCAAACTGACTTATATATATACAATCGCTACCATTCAATACGGCGATAAAGCCACGATAAGTACGAAACGGTCAAGAAACTACTGCGAAACTTTACGACAGGGTAGACAAGAGAACAGAAATCAGAAATCAAGCGTCGTAGTACACTTTTTAGCGAATAGAACATCAGAACAAAAAAAGGCTTGCATAAGTAGCGTGAAAAAGCGGGCGTTTCGTCAAAGGAAGAAAAAGTAAAAAGTACCAATGATCATCGACGAGCATAATGGCCGCCTTGGCCAACCTGCTGCTGCTGTTGCTGCCAATGGCCCTGTTGCGCCGCGGCGGTGTTTGCAAGAGCTCCAAGCTGCCCACCAGGCGGGCCACCGCTTCCAGGAGGAGCGCCATAGCCGTACCCAGGCATCATGTGTGGTGGATACATATCTCCTTGCCCTGGATGATGGTGGACCGTAAGGTCCTGACCCATATTGACCAGCGGATTGTGGTGGGACCTGCGCATGGGACTGGTTCGGAGACGTTGGCGACCCCAGCGGTATTTGAGGCTGCTGCTGGGGTGACTGGGGTGGAGGTTGACCTGAAGAAGGAGAAATAGCAAGAGAAGGTGGTATGGTACTGTTGGGAGAGTGGGGCGAGGTGCCGCCAGCCAGATCGAGGAGGTGCAGAGGTAGCGCCGGCGTTGGACGAGGCACGACGACGGCGCTTATCTCCAGCGTTTGCTCGACCACCATGGGCAGCGTCGTCCTCCTCATGACCACCATCATCATCTTCCTTTTGACCTGGTTGCCCACTGATGGACAGGCCACCTGGAAGATTACTAGAGCCAGCTGCTGGGGGTGGCATGGCCATAGGTGGGCCGCCCGACTGACGTCCAAGCGGTGTCCCTACTGGCATGGACGATGGTAGCGTTCCATGAGGGGCATTGAGACAAGCCTGAATGAGATTCTTGCCTTCTGGCTGGGTGACGAGAGGCTGGAGCTTGGCAGTGGTGAAGGTGTATACGAGGCCAGTCTCTGAGACGACGAGTAGCAAAACCTGGGTACCCGTGAGAGTAGAAAGCTCGTATGCCTTTAGGGGATGGAAGAGGGGGTGAGGACAAGGCTCGATAAAAAGGGAAAGAAAATTACCTTTTTCATAATGCCTGGAAAAGGGAATGTAAGAAGAGACGCAAGGGTGTGAGTGCATGGGAGACATACCAGCTTTCCTTTTGGAGAAGGTTATATGACGTCTCGATTTATCCTGGATAAATTCGATCTTGATCTTTCGTCTTCCTGCCTTCTTGTCTGACTTGGGCTTGTCGTCGTCGTCGTCATCATCGCCTGCACTGTCGACGGCGTCCTGGTCGTTGATGAACGCGTCATCGCTGACAGCGGGCGGGCCTACGGGAGGTGCTTGTTGAGGGTCATTCTGAGGTGCAGCCATGTCCATGGTGCGTTGGCGCTTTCGCATAGCAGTGGAGTCAGCCGTCTGTGTCGACTGCGTTGTAGCTGGAGTGAGATATTTGGGAAGCACGACGTGTTTTAGAAGGGGGATAAAGCAGTAAAGGACAACATTCAACAAGTGAGTTCGCTGTTCACGACGACGAGCAGCAGGGACGACAGACCTTGTGTTGGAAAGGGAGGGAGAGGAGTCAAGTGTGGCCGTAAGAGGAAGTGTGGGCTAAAACGGAAACTGGCTCTCACTGGGTCTCCCAGCCCTTCCCTTTTCAACCGGATCTCGCCAAACACAACCAAATTCCCACGCCTCATTTCCTCGGCTCTCAACAGGAACCCAAATCAGGAACTGCTGACTCATGCTTGACGGGAGAAATGCTGAATCTACCCTGATTAATAATAAATCAGGATAGCTTGCCACTGAAACGTTCATTCTCGTAACTGCTATCGCTCCCATCTCCAGCTCAATGCCGCTCAATGCCAGGGTAAAACAAAGGAAAGACTGGTGAAACGGTGCGTGGCAACCCGCGATCAGTATCACGCGCTCCTTTATCTGCGCATTACTGCCTGCGTCCCCAATTATGGCGAACAATGCTATGTCGGCGAGCCGGCTCCGTAAGCATCATCATTTCCTTCAAGTCATCCCCGACTGCGCAGCCCTTACGGAACCAGATCCGTTCCCATAAATGTCAATTTCTTTTCCTTCTCGGGAACACCGTTCTCACAACTCCAATTGCTCCCGCAGTTGCCAATCACACACATCAATACATTGCACAAGCCAAACGAAAGAAAGACTATCAACACATATACATCACAAATGCACTCCAATCACGATTCCCAGATAGTAATGGCGGGAGGTCCACTGAAAGCTACGAAACACCTCCAACAACGATTTGGCGCATTGCGCTCTTTACATCATCATCAATCATCATTTTTTTGAATATATTTTTGGTTTTTTTTCTTCCTTGGTGAGCAAAGTGCATCGCGGAGCGCTCTGCAGCTCGCCGTGCGGGAGCCTGTCGAAAAGATCCGCACATCCGGGGCATTATGCCGCTGGCCTAGACAAAAAGTCATTCATCCAAATTACGGCGGTTGCGTCGATAAGATCTCCAATGTCCGGGAAACACGTTCATCGAACACCATAGTAGGATGCTCAAGCCGAAGTTTCTCAAGGATGCCAACAATCTTGCTAACGTCAACACCTAATGGCAGGGCTACCACTGCGCGCAGGTACGCGGCAGTATCTGCATCTACGACCCCGTCCCGTGAGCCAACAGGAGTGTAAGACGCGAACCACTCACCACTTGGATCCATACTCTGTCCCGGTGAAGATTGCTGGTTATTCAAACGACTTGGATGTATATCTTCGCATCCTGCATCCCGACATACCCCCCCTCCGGGAATCTCATACTGGCAAATCCGTTTAGATGGATCCAGTAGTTTGGTAGCTGTAGCTGTTTTCAGTAGTCTCAGGTCTGGAGCAGGCAGAAGTCTATGAATGTGCATATCTGAATGGATGGAGGAAGCTGAAGAACTGCGTGAACGTGGCATGGTGGAAAAAGAAGAGAATGAAGTGATAGAAGAAAGAGAAGTAGATGTGTTCGAACTTAGTGCCCTGGCCGAAGGCCATGTCTTGAGAGAAGGTGTTTGCTCAGAAGTCCTCGCTGCCGAGTCGTTCGCCGTGGACCACGATCGTAAGAGAGGATACGAGCTGAACAGAGAAGCATATGCTGTGAATTGATCAGCTTCGTCTTGATGCTGCTCCAGCAGGCCCAGATTTTCTTCTTGTCTTTGGATGTTCGTGGAAAGTGTCACCTAAATCAAGAGAAACAGAGAAATGTATCAGTATTAACATCTTGTGACGTGCATGGAATCTCGTTGAGACCCATACACAAATGAAAATGAAAAGAAAACGAACTCGTATGACGCACCTGTGTCGACGAAGACGTTGCGACGTCGACGTCGACTGCTTCGGTCAGAGTGTCGAGTCGGTCGTCGCTATGAGGCATATCCACACCGTTTGTTTTCGGTACCTGCTGGGGTTAAACCAGGAAGGACAAAAAAACCAGAGGCAGAAATTCAGACAACGGTGCCGGGAAGAAAAGAAACAGAGAAGACAAGTTAGGAAAACACGGAGGTTGCTCTGAAGACAGAAAGAGAAAGAATCCTTGCCGCTTGTTCTTGCACAACTGCGAATTGGCAGTGCGGACACGATTATAAAACAAGGATTGAACGGAAAAGAGAATCAACGAGGCATTGTCAGTAGGAGAAATGAGGAAATAAAAATGAAATTAAACACTCGCCTCCTTCACCATCAGAGGGTTGACCGCTTGCGTGTCCATTCGGAATCGAATTATCACCTACAGGGGTATAGGGAAAGGGGAAAAGCAAACAGAACAATTCACAGATTAGCCAGAGTCCGAGGAGCGGAGAACTGAGAGAGTAGAGAACCATGTGGAGGCAGTTGCAGATGTAGAAGCGGAAGCGGCGGTGGCCGCAGCGACTTGTGTCCGAGCTTTGCAACAATCGTCAGGTTCCCGATCCAAGGCCATATGTTGTAAACGTACGGAGATTGGTAGTGGATATTCGCTCCCCGGCGGAACCGTTTGCGGGGACACCAAGATTGAGATCTACCTCTTCCTGTTTAACGGGTACCGGTTTCTCCGTAACACCGTTTGCAGGTTCTTGGACAGAATTCGTCCGCTACGATGTTTTATCGATGAGCTCAAGAAGAGAAGGTAGGCAGACGCACCATCAATTTTTTTACTCGATTTTGCTCCTTGTCAGCGATCAACTGTCTCATTCTTGCAATCTCCATCTCTTTCTCCATCAATGTCGCAGGTGACCGAGTACGCGGGCCTCGGCTCGTCTTTGCGCCAAAAAGAGAAGTCGGAAGATATGTGGGAGTCGTGCTGGTGTATTCGCCGGCTTCACGCATAACATAATCGTCATCCCCTTCGCCCTCGCTGTCGCTCAGGTCGATGACTAGTCTGCGCATCTTACTGACATTGGCGAATCCAGTTCCCATCTTTCGCCTTAGATTGTGTGGTGGGTGAGAGCGGCCGTTGGCTAAGCCGGTCCCGTTGCGAGAACTACCGTCCATGTCAACAAAATCCGCAGCTACGGGTCGCCTCCGGACAGGTTGGCCATCGAGACTGGTCATAGACGTGCTTTTCTGAAGAGGTGTCGGTGTAGGAGTGCTGCTGTTAGAAGACGACGATTGCTCGGCAGTGAGCGAAGATAGAGGAACTACCACTCGGCCAACCATGAATGATTGCTGACGAGAGATTTGGGGCTTGGATACCGGCTGCGACCTCCCAAGTCCGGGAATCTCGTCGACATCCATTGCCTCACCCTCTGCCGTGGATTCAAGCGTCTTCAAAAAGTCATCAACTGTCTCCGTAGCCATCTCCACGTCCTGGGGTAGCTGTTCTGGGGACACGTATCTTGAAGAAGCAATCGATGAACTGCTAGGAGACGGCGGAGGTGGCGGTTTCGCCTTGCGAGAAGCTTGGACAGCTTTCCTTGCAAGCAATTCTTGCCGTCGTTGTCGTTCCATGTCATGTAAGCTTGTCACAGGTGACGTCTCCGACGCGGACGGAGAATTGGTGGAGAGGGCAAGAGAGGATGGTAACGCCGAGTTTGGGCCAGGACTTTGTACATCGGACAACTTCAACGGCCTAGGTGGTAGATTGTGGTACTGTAAGCCTGATGGAACAGGAGGAGGAGGCATTGAAGAAGACGGTTCTTGGGTGGCATCTGAACGGAAGAATGGTGGTGGGAGATAGGGTATCAGACCATTAGTGTCAAGATTGTCGGGGAGCCGAAGATTGAGCTCATTGAAAACGTAGTAGACTATTTCTCGGCTGAGACCACAGTCAACGAGGTACGTTGGAGGGATACCCCAGCCAAGAAGATCCAGTATAATGTCTTTCGCGGTGTCGTATTGAGTTTGATTCACTGCAAGTACATCAGTGCGCCACACCTGAGTCAAGGAACAGAGGGGCGTACTATGCAATCCAGGCCTGACATGATCTGGACCGAGGGCAAGATAAGCATTACTGCTATACGATTCGTCGACATCGACCACCATGTTGGAGGAGTCGCGGATCTCAAGAGGGCTGGGCGAAATATTAGTGATCCTTTCCAACAAGACGGGCGGTGATTCCTGTTTAGTAACGGCCGTCCTTGAAGGAGACGCCAAAGATGATTTGATTTCGTGGGCAGGTTCCAGCTGTGGGAGCTGGGGTTGTGGCGTCTTCATAGGCAGTGGTGACTGTTTAGTTCGAGCTGGTGCTGCTGTAGCCAACTGCTCTTCTGAGTCGCTTATTTCACCCTCTTCGCGAATTTGGCCATCTTCCATATCTACCGGATGAGGTTTCGATGGGCCTGGTGCTGGGGCTCGAGTTGTGGACGACGGTACATCCTCTTGGCCATAATCGAGCTGGAAGGAATCGGCAATGGGAGGAGGTCGAGCAGGCAGAGCTGCAGTAGAAGACTGTTCGCCAGCGGCTTTGCGACGCTTGGACTTGAGAGTCAACAGAGCAGCAGCACGTAGAGATGACGCTGGATCCGACGAAGAGCCTGTAGCGCTGGTATTCTCCTGATTTTCAGGTCCAGTGACAGTACCAGACATCATAGAGTAAGAATCGCAAAATAACGCGTCTGGATGGCTGTCTTGCAAGGGTGCAAGAGGAAAAAACAAAGGAAGTGTCGTCGACGGGGGGAACGATGATGGATAAAACGAAGACGTTGTCCTCCGACTGCTGATTATTATGAAAGTTCCCACGAGGAGCCGCGCACGGACCTGGCAGCCCATATTCATTCCATCATCAGCTGCAGGTTTTTATTGTTCTATTGCCTTTCCCAGATACATGAAATTATTCTAAAAGATTTCTTAGTCTTTCTCTGTTCTTCCTGATTATCCAGCGCCCTCCATACCAACCCGCGACGATAAGTACGAAAGCTCCAACAATTGCTGCACCGATATATCCCGAATTGTCATTCGCCTTGAAAGAAAATATAATAAGCATAATTTCCGCAGAAGGAACATGTCTTACTTTCGCCCATCCTCTCCACCATCTCCCAGTAAGTGCTCCATCTTCCGCTTCCGCCGCTTCCTGGCACGGAGTACAAATTTCTCCAATGAGTCCCATGATAGTGATAAGCGAAATGCTATGGGTCCTTTCGCTAAGTCATACAATGTCAAAATATGAAACAAAACCGTACCTGAACGCAACGAGAATACTCATTAGGGTTAGAATGATGCTCAGCCCAGACATCATGTTCATCTTTACTCTCATGTTTCTTGCTCGTTGAGAAAGCACCGACTCATTACCTGTTTCGAGAGTAGGAGACACGGCCTGTGGCTCGGCTTCGATAGTGCTAACATTCCCGAGAAATTTGGGAGAAGACGCCCTTGAAGTCTGTACTACCGGGGAGTCTGTAATCGCCTCTTCAAGGGGCAGTAAACATCTCTGCTTCTCGAAAAGAACGAACGAATGCTCCGGGAAGCCAGAGTACGAGTACAGCATCAGAATCGAGTCCAAAGAGTCTATCATCGCCATGCCGGCCGTGAAGAGCAGCTGTTAACAGTATCAGCGTTGGTGAAAAAATGGGTCTATTAACGGATCTGACTGGCAATATAACAATGTCACCAGGAGGAATAGTAGTTCCGTCAGATCTCTTTTTCGCCAAGGCTGAAACGGCTAAAAGGGCGATCGAAGATGCAGTATCAAATCCTAGATATATGACACAGTAAAAAAGGTCCAGGATGCTTCCAGTACAGGGGCCTCACTGAATCCAAAAAGAACGCCAACGGGGTACATCTAACGGGAAGACGTTATTTTGTGCACATTGAATCCATTCATCGCTATCCCACCTTCCAGGGTTTGTTGACGAACGTTATGACGGGCCCTAATATCCTCATCATAAGCATGTGGCCATGTTTGGGGTCTTCGAGCGGCACTTCCATGTCCTGCTGGACGCCCTCGTCTTGCTGGGGGTTCTTCATCTGTTTCGGCATGTGAGTAAGTTCTCTCCTGAGCAAGACGCTCACTTTTCGACGCTGCTGTATCGCTTTCCACAGGAAAATCGAATTCTCGACACCTATAATGAACAAGAAGGAACCACTGACAGCCGCTCCTGCTTCAGGATTAGAGATGTTGTCAGATATACCTGTGCATGCTAGGCTCACCTACAATGCCTCCCACTGTACCGACGCCGTTTATTTTCTCGTAAACATCGGACGATATGGCGATTGCAACGTTCTTGGGAAGATAATATGAGACGAGGCTGAAGAAAAACGGGATTCACTTACAACCACCACCACGATTGTACTGTGCCCGAGAGAGAAAAATAGACCGCATGTAACGGGAAGTTGGCCCATACTTATCAAGCCTCTTGTTGCGTTGTCAATCGCACTTCATCGATGGTCAGACCCGGTGAGACACTAGCAGAAAATGAGCTTCTGTGTGCCTCCCTATGTGATATGGACCTTGCTTACAGAAACCACGGAGGTGAACCTTATATGATCAGCATCAAGAGCTGCATTTTCAATGAGATTGATAGATGGCAAGGTTGAAAATTGAACTACCGTGTCGTAGACCCAACGTCTAGTGGTCATCGTCAGAGGGGTAAATTTGCAAGAAATTGGTGACGAACCCAAGCTAGTAAAGCCAAGCTTAGGATTGGCTGCGTTTCTCGGCTACGACCGAATAGAATTCCTGCGACGGTCCAGCATATCGCATTGGCCAGGAATTCAGAAGTAACAAGCAATAGAGAACGACCAAAGAGAGTGAGCCGGGGAAGACGACAGGGAGTCCACAGTGTCATCTTGGTACGAGGAGTTTGTCGGACAAAGAAAAGGGTGTATACTGTATACGCATTTTATTCTTAGCAGATCGACCAGTACCTCGTGGGCGAAAGCGTTATCCGAATCGTGCACGGAACCAGAAAAAATTGATTTAATTTAAAATAGATAAGCGCCAAGTCAGATGATCGTCCATATTTAGCTGACGAGATTGTTATGACTGATGACTACTCGGGGTGAATAAGTCCGCTGGCACGCCTTACCCATCTACTTCCATGTACCCATTTGTTTTCACTACTCCTTCAACGGTTTCTGTATAAAAGGACGACTTAGACGCGTATAACGTGCACGATCAGGATGTCACATTTATTTCAAGAGTAGGTGTTCTGTTGGAAATGTGTGCATACACATGGCTCAACCTTCTGTCAGGCTAGGTGCCGGCGCATTCCAGGCATTTCGAACGATAATACCAGAACCACATAACCGAGTGCCAATATCTTTCGATGCCATACCTTCTATCCTCGTGTCATATGTGCCATTTCTGTTCATGGCATTTCTCGCGCGGCAGGAAAACACCTATATCATAAGGCTACTGTTGCTACCGACTGTCATTACTGCGTCCCTCGGAACCTCATTTCGGTATTATTGGACAATACCGATGATGAATACCTGCAATTGGGGCTCATGTAAGTTCTGATGTTAATCCTAGCTTTATACACCTCGATTAACTATCTTTCAACAGGCCTGAGTGCTTTTGTCATTATTGGGAAAGCTCTGGACTACACGTTTCATAAGGAAGGCGTGCTCAGAGTAGATGAAGTATGCCCCGGTCAATCCAAGGGCAAAGCTACCGCAAATGGGTCTGCTAATGGTCACATCAGTCCACCAGTAGGCGGGCGTTCGATTGCCCCGTGGTTAACGGATGTCGTTCAACTCACTACCTCCATGCGTGGTATTAGTTGGAAGTACGGCCAAGAAACTTACGTACCTAAGGAATCGCGTCCACTAGACCGCAGTCCTTTCGTAAACGCCACTATCATCGCCATGCTAAAGAACTTTCTTATCATGGACACTCTGGAGTTCATTCTAAAGCTTTTCCCCGGCGTCGGATCGGTCTTTGGGGGCTCTATGTTCTACTATCATCTTCCGCCCATCTCACGATATGCCGTATCTACGTTTATTCATATTCTGTCCGGCAGTTGCCTACTAGCCGGATTTGAAGCTATATACCAATTGGTGACCATTGTTGCTGTTGGGATTTTTGACGATTCCCCTTTGTCTTGGCCTCCCATCCTAGATTCTCCCTGGCTTTCAGAGTCCATGCATGAATTGTGGTCCAAGAGGTGGCACCAGCTACTTCGTCGGACATTCATGGTTTATGGAGGCTATCCAGGGAAATGGATTGCGGGTGACTTTGGCATGGTATTGGGAATCTTCATTGCCTCTGGACTATACCACGAGTTATCGATGTACGCAATGGGCAGAGGACTCGACCCTGCACCTGTGATTTTCTTTGCTCTACAAGCACCTATTTTGGTTATTGAACGCCTCTGGCGAAGGATCACAGGCCGAAGAGTTGGTGGGTGGTATGGACGGCTGTGGGTGTACTTCGTCACGTTTGTCCTGGCACAGCCGATGAGTTCGTCTTTCTTTGCATCCTTTTGATAGATGATGCTGATCTTTCTTCTTAGTTAATTCGTGGCACAGGCGTGGACTTGCTGGGGGCTTAATTCTACCGCCATTCTTGAGCCCGACAAGGCTACTCGTCCCTATCTTTTTACGATTTATAAACCCTTCTGACTGAACTAATAATATATACCGCACATCTAGGATCTTGAGTACCACATATATTATAATAATATATTGACAGCTAGACACTAAATTGACGAAACCGACGTGACAGTCAGCACACTAATACTCTTCGGTCGGTTCTTCAATGGGTTCCTCCTCGCTATACCCTTGATCTATACCACCCTGATCGCTGGTTTCCCCGCCGTCTAACTCGGCACCATCTTGACTTCCGCTTGGATGACCTGAACCATGACTGTTCGTGCCCCCGCTGCCAGGATCAAGTTCCCCATCACCAGTCTCACTCTGACTAGAGCCGAACTCTTCATTACCAGTACCACTTTCAGTGGAGTCTTGTCCACCCTTTCCTCCAGTAGATCCGCTATCAAGATTATCATCGCCACTATGAGTGGACTGCTGGGTGCCATCTGGTTCTTGTGTGTCGAGGCCAGCACCAGGACCGGAGGTACCATCAGATGTGTTCGTGGTAGGATCATCAAGAGTGCCGGAGCTTTCGGGGTCAGTAGGATCTGTTTGAACTTCGCCGTCCGAACCAGGGTCACCCTCTTCGCCGCCAATTGGTTCTTCAGCTGCAGCTTCAGAATCTTCCGCGCCTGCAGCTGTAACCATAGCTTCAAAATAACTGATCTATACCCTGCTGTACAAGCGTCTTGGCGGACTTGACTTTTGCCTACGGAGAGACTCCATGAACAAAGACGTTATAAATCACTGTGGATGGACATACCCACTGAGCCTCGACCTTGCTCTTGTCCTTCTTTCCACACGCCTTGGCTCGTTGGTAGGCTTCTTCCACGGCTTTCCATACCGCAGCCGCAAACTCCTGGGCGAATGCTTTCTCTGATTCCTGGACCTGCGAGTTGGAGAGGTATTCTGCTACGCTTGCACCTTCTTCATCAGCAGGTTCTGTCGTAGAAGAGGCTGTAGACGAGGTGCCATCCAATGCCTTTACCGCAATCGCCTTTTTCTGTGATATGTTTCATGAGACTCTCTGTAAGCTGCGGTTCAAGGTGTCCTCACCGATTTATAAACGCTAGGTTCAACTTTCCAAAAGTTATTCCCTTCACCGGTACTCGCTGTCGCACTACCAGAGCTACTGGAAACTAATCTGCTCCTCAGCCCGCTTGGTTTGGAAGTGGAACCACGGGAACCGCTAGCTGCTGTACTGCTTTTGGCTGACTTTCCGTTCGCGAGGGTGATAGGATCTTCCAGCCATGTTGTGATGAGCGCTTTGGCTTTCTTGCTGAATGGATTCGACGAAGGTTGAATGACTTTGGAGAAAGCCGTGAAGGCCTCACAGATTCTGTTCTCTTGCAAGATTTTGTCAATGAGGGGAAGTTCAACTGCGTTGTCTGAAGATTAAAGTGAGGTTTTGCTTTTCAAAGAAGGGCCGCCGTATGCTTACCGCAGGTCGAGGATTGCTTCTGCAGAGCAAGAAGCAGTTTTTTAGCGCTGGAAGTTGCTGTTTTGCTGAGTTTAGGATCTAGAGGTGTGTAGCTAGTAGAATCGCTGTTAGTCTGCGTCGTTTGAGTCCTAGAGGAGCCGAAAAGCTATTAAAAACTTTCAGGACTGAAATTAGCCCTTAACCGCGAGCCGACTTTACCCTTCTCTGATTGGATGTGTGGCCTCCGGAGGTACTTGTTTGCTCGCCATTTGACGTTTCATCAGCACTAAAGCTTTTGCAGCTTTGTTGAGTCGGTGCCGCAGTCACACCACAGATCGTCGGTTTACTAGAGCCAAATAGACGCTTGATAATGTCTACGTCAAAGTCAATTCCTCTAGTAGTGGTTTTTTGACACTGTCCATTCTGACAAGTCTCATCAGTACCAGTCCCAACGCACGTTGTATAGGTATAAATTACTTACGGACGAGGATGACCCCGATGTGGATGACTGGTATGTTCATGAGACAACAGGTTTTCACCGGAGTGGGCAAGACATACTTTACCAGTATCCTTGCCTTTTGAGGAACTGAAAAGGCCGCGAACATCTAACTATAAGGCGTTATTTGATGGCGCGAAAAAGACGTGTTTAGTCATTTACCTCCTCGGACTCGTCCCAACTTGTCGTGGCTGGTGCTGAACTCGCAGTCAAGGTATACAATGCAATCACTGCAAAAGAGATCCTGTGAACACGCATGGTAGATAAAAGATCAGTACAAGGAGAGTTGAGTCTGAACCGTCCCGCGGTCAGAAAGCTAGTATGAGGTCGAACACCAGGTTCTACAAGAGATACTCGGCATCTTCAGAGGTTGTATTTATACCCAAAGGGCAATGCCTTCGAGGACAGGTTGCTATGTCAGGTCTGCCAAGCCCGCCAGCTTCGATACTGCCTGGGCCCGACTGAGTGATGGGAACCATAGTGCATTATGAGGACAGCAATACGTCGTGATGATACCGTGCGCGCTGGCTATGACAAAGGGGGAAAAAAACAGTTTGCAAAATACGCCAGTTCTGTTGTCTAGGGGGCGGCGCTCCTGAAGCCAATAAATGCCAGCCAGAAAGCATATAGATCGTACAGCGAAATTAACTATTGGAACTTCATGTCGGTGACCTTGGTGTCCACGACAAGTGGGAAGTTTGAATTCAAACTGGAATTCCCAGGGAATTTTCCTTTGTTTAAGACGGTGAGCCTGAATGGGAGATAGCAGCATCAGCGAACTGCTCGCTTTCGCGTGTTGAGGTGTCGTCGTTCTATGTAAGGCTTGGCGTGGTGATCTTCAGGAGAGTAGTCACCCTGCTTACGTCTTCGGTGATGCGAGTCCGTGTCGTTGACGGGCCCCGTTCAAGACGATCTAAAGTCACCGCTTTTCGACCTAGTGCAATGTCACCCATTCGCCCTCACCGCAAGACACGAACTGGTTGCAAAACATGCAAGCAACGCAGAGTCAAGGTGTGTACTCACCGTCGGCCCTTGTACAGCTAATCCGACGTTGAATTGAAGTGCGGTGAGGAGCTCCCCAAGTGCAAGAATTGTATAAGGAGAGGCATAGAGTGTGTCTGGATCAATATCCCACAAAATGATTCGGTGGTGCCAGGGACCTCTACCCCTGCTGCCTCGAGTTCACATAAAAATCCCCCTTCCACAATATCGAGGCGTACTGGCGCAAGTTCATTCGACTTGCTGACTCTCGAACTAATGCACCACTACGCGACCGTTACTTCGCACTCACTTTCTTCTGATCCTGCCTCGTCGAGTTTATGGCGAACCTTCATTCCAAAAATCGCGTTCGATCCTAAAAATCAATGTCTTCTCTATGCCATTCTCGCGATGTCGGCGCTTCATGCCCACCATGCGAATCCCACGGCAGGTCAGTATGCTGTAGCCGCAAGCACCTACCACTGGCAGGCCAAAACGGGGTTACGCAAGGCAGAAATGGATGGGAAGCTGGATGGTGATGCCGTCTTTATCACCTTCTCTCTTGTCGGGCTCTATGAGTTCGCTACCTCATCCTGCTCGGACTCCAGCGAGTGGCATACCACGGTTCGTTCTCTCCTCCCGAAAGTTACGAAAAACTGGGTAAAGCTCCAAGATGGTGTTCTGCGTCCGATGCTAGACACTATGGCGCCAATGAATATATCTACACCTCTGAGAGAGCCGTTTCCATCATCTTTGTCGGCACTTCTGAGCACGACGCATTCATCGCCAGACGTTCAGGAGCTGTACGACGTATCAGTACATGATGCGTACAAAGAATCGATACGTATCCTCGAGATATCATGGAAAGCCTCATTTCAGAAAGACTACTGTATGTATGCATCGTGCATGTGGTGGTCAACGGTACCCAACACCTTCATTCGCCTGTTGGCAGAGCGGAAACCGCGCGCACTTATCATCTTGGCCCACTACTGTATTATGATGAAAAGGGTGGCGGCGGATGGCCCGTGGTGGGCGAGAAAGCAGTGGGGTAATGAGGCAGCAAGGATGGTCTCTGCGCTTGATGCACGATGGACGCCCTGCCTAAGATGGATCTCGAGTCAGTTGGACCAGCCATGTGGGGGTCAGTCGGTTGACTTTGCGAGCGCGGGTTTCGTGAATTGGTTGAACGAGGCAGGATCTTTAACGCCTTCTGCCCTGGGTACAGATTTGATGGATTGGCTGAGTAACACTGGATCATAAGGGCAGGTGCCATTGTATGATCCCTAGAGTATCTGCTAGTATGATAAGCAGTTGTACAACGTCCGAGTAGTAGATGTATTAATCTTCTTTAATAGCTGTAGATTTCTTTCGCATCAGAATAGTAGTGTATTGTATGAATGATAGAAGAATATTTTATGAGTAGTCCAAGTTGTCAATGAAAACGGTCCCTTATTAAACGTAGAAAGGCTTCAGGTCCTATTTGGTATCGCGCCAATTATCTGAGCTAAATTTTGACTAAGTTATCCTCAAGCTGACAACGAACCGCCATTGTTTCAGATCTCTTGAACCTCTCCTCGCCAATACCACTGGAGCTGCTCTCACCAGAAGACGACAAACCTCCATTGCTCCCAACCGTCTGCTTTTTACCCCGCTACTCTTGTCGCCAGAACCTTCATCCAACCCATTCCCCTCTACTCCTCCTCCAATACCTTCCCTCCTTCCACTTCCAGACGTCCTATCAGTATTGTCGATATTCTGGGATCTAGACTCGTCGGCCCATGGCCGCCGCTACCTACTCGTCGTGTGATCACTCGAGGTGCTGATAAGACCTGCGGTTTCATCAGAGGAACCGTTTTGTTTGGGGTCCTGGGTGTCTTGTGGACTCTCCTCTTGTGGATATTGCGCGCCCTCCTCTTGCGAGTCCCGTAGGTCCTCTCGATGGATCCTCCTCTCCTGCTATCGTATCCGTATAGTGCTAGACGCCGGTTGATATTAGTTTTCGTAATCCTCCTTTTTGATTAAGCTGGGCCTGGAAAAGCTATTGAGTGAGAAGTCAATATACGACGAACATGACGCACCGGCATTTGGTGATCTTATTCTTCTCCGCTGACGTTGCGCGGTCTTGAGCTTCCCTTACGGCCTATGGGAATGTATTTGTATCCGATCAAGAACAGTAATATCAGTGGTGTAGTCTAGCCAGGATGACGAGTAACGACGGCAGCGGGGGGGTTTAAAGCTTCTGGACACACCACAGATCTGTCCTTCCCCATTAGCAATCAGCCTTCGAAGCAATCAGCTGCGCCTTCAAGTGGCTAGTCTCCGAGAGAAGTAGATATCAGTCCGCTTCCTCCGCGGTATCAGATTGAGCAGAAACTGGGCTATCGATGTTCGTAATGAAACCCTTCACCTACACAAACAAGCCTTTCAGCAAAGAACAATACGTAAGATACCAAATGGTTACCTCTTTTGTTTTGTTTTGGGCTTAGGTTTGTTCGTTCAGTGAACTATCTGAACCATTCTGCACTGAGGAATCTGTCCATCCCTCACTACTATTGAAAGATTTTGTACTTGCAAACACCGGGTTTATCTATCTGATCCTTGACGGCTACATAACATGAGCCCTGTCGACGAAGTCTGGGAAGACTTCGCGCGCACATGGAGACCACGTTTGGGCTTGCTACTAGAACTCTTGCCACGACGACATTTGCTGTTGCTCTATGAACGGCAATCAGACGCCAGACACAACGAGAACTTAACATTTCTTACGTACGAGCTAGCTTGAGCCGCCTGATACACACTGCTCGTGGTCGGCTTTCCAGGATTTTTCACCCGGGAGCTGATCCCAAGCTAGATAATCAATTCATAAGGGGGCATGAGAAGAGGAATACGGCATCACAGACCGCATGAACGGCCGACGGTTCCGCTGTAGAACACAACTGCTGCATTTAAAGCCAGAAACAGGAAAGCTAGCTCCCGTGAGCGCATGATCGTGTCTTTGTCAATTCAAAGATGTTGAGTAAACTAGCCGTCCCGCGGTTGATTGATGATTTGAGAAGATACCAGGGAGGCATAGGCTGCCCGGCGGGTCTACTTATGGTAATATCGTCTTGCATGGGCGTCTTGGCATCGTCGTCAGGTTCTTTGCAAGTGAAGAGGCTTGGCTCTCCCAGCGGTCTCCAGACGGTGTTGTCACGAGATATCGTCGGGCATGATGCGCCAAGAAACTCTCGAGTCGGACCGACAGTTGTATCATGCTCCCATTAATCGTTGAGTGTAATTGGCACGGCCAGAAAGGTATCGAAAGACAGGTCCACAAGGTAAGTCTAAGCCTTGAAATTGAAAGCGCGCGCTGCAGATCCTGAGTAGCAACGTAACAGAGGCTCTTGCCGCGCAACAAGAGAAGTTAGAACAATTCCCGTTAAAGCTATACTGATATCCAAGCAAAATTAGTCCATCCTGGGCTCGAGGGCGAGGTAGATATCGAGAAGCAACAACAAACAGCATGGTCGTTCTTCTTGAATGAAATTGGTCGCAAGAGATGGCGGTATATGGCAGACGTTCATCGGAGGGATCAAGACAGTTGTTTGCCTCTCCGGGCCGGATTGGCAGGTGATGTTTTTGCCGTCGGTCCAAGTTTCTTCTCTTCTAACCATCACGATCAGCCCTTGGCGGTGCTTTCACTTTCCGGGTCACTCCTTGTTTTGCCATTCTGGTTTAATCTTGTGGAAATTTCTATCATTCAATATTTCCTACCCTAAGGGTGACCTCGCCGATAAACAGCTTGTTCCGCAGGTCCGGCTCAATGGCACTCAGCGGCGACAGTGCACATGAAATTTCTGTCTAGGCCGATGTATCAATACTTTCAATCAAAATACGCCTCATGGACCTCGCTTCAGATACTGGAGTTTCTGGTAACAAATAGAACCAAGGATCCGGGCATTATATTTGACGGATCTTTCATTAAAAACTGGTCACGGTATTCACTTGACTATCCGGCGCTATCTCAGAACACTGTCCTTGTAAGTCCATCATTGACATAGAGTAAACACCATCGAAATAGAAAGTCGACTTCTTTATGTTTGCGATCCATAATCAGAGGGTATTCCAATGACCCGAGGCCCTCGCACACTGTACTGAGAGGACACCGCTCCTACTAGGTAGTTTAGGAAACTCATCCTGCCCTCTGAATACCTTATTTCAAGATCCGTCGTGTCAGTTTTACGTGTATACGCAACGCGTCTTCTCGTACTGGTATGTCTTCTTCTATGCTACTGTAGCTCCGTCATTAGCATCACCTGATGTTTTCTATGCATTTCGCAGAATCACACAGACAGAATTCGCGCTTCTGAGGCGGCGCAGTCCCCTACTCTAAATCTTCTTTCTCTTAGCTTGAGCGGCAATCTACATTGAGATCTGGGGATTGCCATAAACTGTTCATCTGTAGATTGTCCATGTATAGTTGGCGTATTTCGTTGAATAGACATTCCAGTCGGAACATTTTTTTCGTTTTACGGAGAGAGCAAGGTGCCGGAGAGAAGGGTTATTGTCGACAGCTGACGAAGTCTGAATTGAAGATACAGGGTACCGGAGCTGCAGAGGATATCATTGGCCTACCCCGGACATCACTGACGTTATTCAAGTGATCGACTGGACATCGATCTATGTCAAACAAACCACCACCTATCACTGTACTACCTTCCCCTATATTTACATAAAGGACGTATGCCCCACCAACGCTAGTAGCTACCTTCGGCTGGCCCCTCTTTGCTAAGGGAGAGTAAAAAAATCGTAATGATCATGTCCTCGCCAGCGGGCACGTCTTCAATGCCTTCCGCCTTTCTCGCCAATGAACTCCAGCTCGCTCTTTCGGAGCAACACTTCGGCATTCGATGTTTCTCCGTACTTAGTTCTCCCACGCCGTTGGTCGCCAAGGCTTCCGTGACGTTGTTGGATGGTGAAACGTTGCTGTTGGTGCTCACCGGGAGAGGGTATTTCGTGAGTCACAATTCAGATTGCCGCCGTCATCGTTTCTGTATTCATATACCTGCCAGATTGAGAACGGTTCTAAGAAAGCGAGTTCTTTGAACCTGAAGGTCTTCGAGACTGTCGAAGAGCTGTTGCAATCCGTTAGCGACATATACGCGGAGAAACGGAGAGAAGTCTTATGGAATAAACTGGAGAAGTTAGCATAAGTTTTCCAACGCCGATTCCCATAAAGTCAGGTGCACAACGCGTCTTATTCAGACTGGTCCTGCTGACGTCCTAATCGTAGACCATAATGTATACGACCAACTATAATGAATAGGTTCGATGTGCACCACCTTCCTACTTTCATTCCATGTCCCTCAATGCATCCGCGCCATTCATCCATCAGTGTGGTCGTTGCACATTTGGTTCTATCTCGTTCCGGTCCCGTTGATCCAGTGTTTCTCCGTTCTCCATTAAACATCGGGAATCGGGCGCTGTGCATTGTTAGAAATCATTACCGAATTGGCTGTCTAGATATATCGTTCGGCAGCGCTTGATGAATGTTGGCCGCCACCGCCCCGAAACGTAAAGGGGACACTCATTCGATGACGAGCTAGTCAAGTGAGGATCCTCATCTGAGGCGTATACATCAACGCGTTTGGCTGCCACAAGGCAACCGTATCCAGCAGCTTCTCGCTTGCAGCTTCATTGCCTCGACCTCATCAGGATGTGGAGCCTTCCATGTATCCAAAATGCGACGAATGGTGTAAAAAGCCTGGGGAGACCTCAGAAAAAGGTAAAATTTGCTGTCGACAATTGACGGATAGAACGGAGATATACGGAAAGACCAAAATGTATATTCGGGTCCACAAGCGCTGGCCCATGTCACAGGGAGAGACAAAAAGACAGCTTGCGACCTCCGACGTTCAATTCACTATCATGGCCGAAAGTGTTCGGTCGGACGATACACGGAGGCTGTTGCCAAGCATACGCATGTTTTAGCACAGCCACGCTTCGAATCAGTCCCAGCCCAGAGCGGCCCAGTCATATCTCAATAATAAGTTTTGGAGACCATGTTGGTACTGCCCTGAGATGCACACACGAAATCCCACAGAGATTGAGCGTGTAATGGGGTGCCTATTTGCTGTTTTTCTGGCACTTGCCCTGCTAAGCATCATGCATGCCAGTGCATTAGAACTATTGAATCTCCTTGATAAACCAAGACAAAATCAAAATACTCCGCGAACTTGAGCGTAGACTTCTCATCGGGCTCATGTGTGAAATTACATGATCTGATGCCTAATAAACGACTCTACAGGATCCTGAGGGAGTCTAATGAAGAAAGCCTGTATTCCTATGCGCCCGTCACATTCGCATTCTCATCCTCGTCGACATCGTCAAATCCTAAAGAGCCCCTTTCAGCTCTCCTATTCAAGGCCTTTTCGTACATCTCTCTTGTAAACACCCATCCACCTCGCGAGCTCCTGACCCTACGAATGAGATCAGCGACCCACACCCTCTCTTTCTCATTTCTGTTGCAGTTTGCCCACCAAAGATCCATACTCCCCTTCAGCATATCTGTTGATAATTCCTTGTGTTCGCTCTGCTCGTTGAGGACGTGCAACACAAATCCCACGTTCAGGTGTTCCAGACCCATCTCGGAGAGGCATTTCAATATCCGGGATATCCGAAGGTTGTTATGAGAAGACTCTGAAAGAAGTTGAGAATCCTGATGCAACTAGTACTAAGGGAGATAAACTCACGAACGAGATTCTTGTACCGCCTCTCAAACGTCCCTGGTGGCAACACACGATCCAGCAGCCCTGTCTTCTCGTCCAATAACCTCATTCCGTAAAAGTCAAGCATAAGCTTATACGACCTTATGACGCGTTGTATGACCTCAGGGGAGGACCTCATTGTTTCCAGCTCGTGTCGTTGTAATGGCTGGGACTGGGAATTCATGCCATATTCCTGGATAGGGAACAGCCATTGGATGAAGCCGTGTTTGTATTCGAGCGTATCGTAAGCTCCTTGCCACCTGGGGTGTGCCAATACAGGGTTAGTCGCGATAAGCAAAGACGTGCGCGTGACAACGGCACCTTTCGTGCAGCTCATCGATGGTCAGTCTGTCGGGTCTGCACCTCAGTTTGTTCTGGTAGAAAAGGAGATTTTCTGATTGTGAAAAGTTGTTAGAATTCGAGGGATAATTTGAAAGAAATTCGAGCACGTCGCGTGGAACGTTCTGGTTCATGGGTGGCAAACGACGAGTCGCGATGGCGGTCGTGATGATCGATGCTAATGCCGGTGCCGCGGGCCGTGACTCGTGGTCAAGCCAGAATCGGCTTCTGCTTTGTGCTCAACAAAAATGGCTTCGAAGACATCCAGATGGCTTTTGCAATGTATCGATACTTGGTACCGGGTTCCTCGTGAACGTATTGACGCGCCAAGGCTTGGGGAACGTTTGATAAGTGGAGTCTGTAACAGATTTTTTCATTTATTCTGATGGGGACTTGAAATATAACCAATGAGAGAAAAGTGGGAAGAACTGTACAACCATACTGTAGAACTTCGGGGGTCCAAGTGTTCGTAGATACTTTAGATATCCGCGAACCTTGCTCAATTGCCAAGAGAAACTGAAGCCGACGCACTGCCGCAACTGCACTCACGCCGACTGGAGGTAAGGAACACATTCATTGCGCTTATAGAGTGGTTGTAAACATCCACGGTCCCACGACATTAAGTTTTGCATACAGAGGGTTCGATACTGCAGCATCCCAAAACAGAAAGAGCTAGTAAGATGGAACAGCACGGTGGTATTGGAAGTCGCTCCGTGAGATGTAAAGGCCATGCGACGACGGAAGTTCAGGATTACCCGGCGGAACGCGGTCGGAACACAAATTCAAAGGGACACAGCGACCGTCTTCGTCCTTGAAGAAACCGCGGACAAGACGGAACTATGACAAGTGTTCATCACCTGGACGAGAACAAAACATGTACCAATGCGGTTTCTTGTTTGTCTGACGCCACCCAAGTTATCGATCACAGTTGCATGCTACCCTGGAGGAGCCCTAGCTTGGGATATTCAAGCCATTCCCACCGATGCTCGAGCGGAGTCGAACTTGGCAATCTGACTTCGGATTGGGTGCGAAGGTTGTACAATGCAAGAATTCGAGTTTACATCAGGTTTTATCCCAAAAGACAGTGCTTGACTTCTTCGATCATGTCGGAACGAGTGACTCGCGCTGTAGAACTCTAAATTGTGAAGAGATTTGAACTTGAAGAAGTCGAATTAATGTGCTGTGTCCGATTTGCCTCCTCCGAGACGCGAGAAATAAGTAGCAACGCAATCAAAGAAGCTGATGACGCAGAGAAAAGATTCCGGCTATCACCCTGGTCAGCGTTTGAGAAGTCCTGGCAATATTGGAGATCTAAGTGGGCGATAAGTAAATGGCAATGCCGTTCGAAAGTGACAGAGAACGTTGCCTTTTATATACATCCGTTTGCACCTTGCCATTCTTTCTGCCACCATGTCCAATTCCAGAGCCGACATCCATTTCACCAGATACTCTACTTTCGCTGAGTCTAGATAATGTCAAACTGGTCCCAAGGACATCCCCGGTCTACGCATCTGGCTACATCTGGCTAGCGACCGTTTCCTCCATTGTCCCCTTCATGATCCGGGTGCTGTTTACTCTCTGGTGGTGTTCTGTCTTTCTTATCGGCATCTATGCCGGTGGTCTGCGCAAACCTGCGTAAATCCTCTCTTCCGCATTGAGAAATTGCGGGAAGCGAAGCTGACGGAGGTATGTTCATGATGGAGAGACTTGATACCCGCGCCAAAACGAATGCAGTCTGTGTATTCTGGGATCGGCTCTTCCAGGGCTTGTAGGCGATATCAGATACCGTCGGCCATGTGCTTTTCGTGGTGCCTCCAGCGGCCATGCAGTGATGCACGGCCACTCAGACTCATCACCTTATTTTAGAGAGGGTGATATACCCCAAAAGAGATGCACATAGAAGGCCTTGCCTACGTTCCAAATGCATCATATGCTGATAGGAATTACGCGCAGCTGTCAACTTGGAAATGTTATCACCTCCATCGGAATCATCGATAACGAATATGTGCATTACTGTATTCTGGGACTTGGTTGGCCCAAATACTGCGATCACGAGACCCACTGGATCTATATAATCAAATCTGATTTCCATCGCTTTTATAGCGCTCCCTCTTGACTCAGTAGCATCCACTACACCATGGTCGGTTTCCCCCACTTTCCTTCATAACTGCGCTGACTTGTTTCTCAAAGAGTCTATCAATTGTAACGCTCATTCCTGGAGACGGTAAGACGTATCCTAAACCAGGCGGTAAGTACTTGAGCAGGTTATGTTGAGCTACGATCTTACTTGTCGATCGCTACAGACACCGTCAGCATTCACTACATTGGCACGTTGACGGACGGATCCAAATTCGACTCGAGTCATGATCGGTGAGCTCTTGTAGAATTGCTCTGTAGTCAAGTGTTGATTGTGGGGCTGTAGCGGACATCCGTTCAGGGTGAAGATCGGGGTAGGCGTGGTCATTGCCGGTTGGGATGAAGGTCTGTGTCCATGTTTCCGTCTGGAGTTCATCGATATTGACCGCGTGGCGTTGCAGGTGTTCCGAAGATGTCACTAGGAGAAAAGGCTCTCCTCACTGCTCCCCCCGAATTTGTTTGTCTTTTCGATCTGCTGTTTCTCTCTCTGTCTCACATGGCAATCAGGCGTACGGGCCAGCAGGCGTGCCGCCAATAATACCACCAAATGCAACGCTGAAGTTTGAAATGGAGTTGTTGAAGATCGAGCCTGCGTGATCGTCTAATGGGTTTATATGGTGGTTGGAATATTGAAGGCATTATCTCCTGTGTTGTTTGTACTACTCGCATTTCTCGTGGCTGCTTTGATACATTTGTTTTTTGTTCCGAACGCTGTGACAATCTAGAACCATTGATAATCGTACGCAAGTGTCAGCAAGCAGCAGGCGACGGCTTATCACAATTTGCATCGTGCCCGGTGTCTAAGATAGCCCGACTATGATATCACTTTAATTTGCTTCCGTCGGAGGCATCTATAAGAGTATCTCCATGGGTTTTCATTTGTGCGCTACTTGGACTCACGAGCACACATAAGCCAAACTATGAGTATAATATGAACATTGTATACTTCGCTATCTTACAAAATTATAAGGATGTTTAGAACGTGTCCGCCTCAGGCTGGGTCCCAAGGACAACGAGAACTTGAAGGCTCCGACTCATGTTCATTTAGCCGGTCAAGTGCTTCAGTAACAAAACGCGATTGTTCTTGTAGCTCGAAACTTTCCGTCGGGCTAACTCTTCGCCGTAAGGAGAGTATTCTATAAACAGTTCTCAGTGAGGTTTATTAGTAAACGATAAGGACAAGACTTGCAGTCGGCATGCCTTTCATAGGATAATCAGGCCAGGACAAGTTCAGCATGAAACCAGTCGGACTTACTATTATATCTGACATTACAAGGGTCAAAGGAAGTGTTATTCCGGTCAACGAAGATCGACTGGAGCAAAAAGTGAATCCAAGTATTAGTAAGAAATGACACAACGCACCCGAAGAAAGACATAGCTGTGAAGAAATTTAAGGAAGAGATGACAAGAAACGCCGCAATACCTGGAGACAGATCATAAGTAAATAGAGGCAACCAGGTTCTACAGTCCGAAGTACCTTGCTTTAAGAATGCTCTTCCCAATGGTCCTTGAGCACTCCGCGTGCGTAGGCAATGCTGAAATGAGCGTTGGAATACAATTGACCACCGGAAGAGAATACGAAGGCGCGTACCACGATACAAAGTACCATCATCAATGTATCAAATCCGAAAGAGATCAGCTGCATTACATTGTGGTCAGTCATTTCAAGCGGCGGTCATTTAGACACTACCTCACCATAACAGTCTGGAATGCGCTTGTCAGCAGTAATATCGACAATATGGAAATGATATACGTACGCCGACCGGTGTTGCGAATAGCCCGCTGTCGTAGGAGGCTTCTGAATGTCGGTCGTTGCCAAAACAACTTGACCGGCTTCCGCTTATGGAGAATGTAAGGTCGACAACTGTAGATGCAGTTAGTACGTAGTCCCGAGCAGGTCAATTCTAACTCACGAATGAATTGAGTGAAAAACATCCAGATATCTGCGCCCGCCAATCCAATCCAGCATGTACATAAGAGTATCAAGATGCACAGGTACTGGCCGCTGAAGGCATAAGATCGTATCAGGATCACCGCTTTGATAGAAGTCAAGAAATGGGTAAAGCAGCGTATGGACTACTCAAAATTACCTTGAGCTGATAATTGCTTCCGGAGTATACGCATAAGCTTGTGATTGAAAAGAGACAATGCACACGTACAAAAACTGAGCAAAATCCGTATAACGGGCATATTAGCTTTTCACAAAGTTCTTTGCTATGCGACGGGATCCATGCCCACAGATAGAACGGATAGAACAAGAGCGGAAAGTATCGACATATCGTGAATAGTATTCTCATCGAGTTCCACGAGGATGACCATATCTGCCTGAGATGTCAGAATGATGTTCTCGCCATTGAGTGGTATCACGACGTACTAGTTCGACTTCGTCTCTCCAGCATATCAGCCATTCATAGACCTGGAGAACGTATACGGCTATAAGCGTTGGTGGATATGAGTAGAGGAACACGTTCCCAGATCAGATATACGAGCCCACGATCACACGTCGCCCGCTGATAGAGAGAAGAAAACAAACTCAGTGCATCGTCGTACTGAGAAAAATCGATCTGACATACACTTGAACAGCGTTTAGGACCGTGAGCACTTCCTCGTACGTGAACGGGGTTGGCCCGTTAGGCATTCTGAAAGAGAAGTTTGGAAGAAGGGGAAGTTGAGGTGAAACCGTCGGAAGGGGAAGCCCTAGTACATAAACAATTGCAGGAGGAGATGGAGGCAGCTCGGATGAAGATCCTCATAGCCCGCTCTTGTTAGGCCGGCGTGTGGGTTGAGATTTGAATCTCAACATGAGCATTATCAGGCGCAGCGCAGGGTCGTGAAGATCGCCTTGACTTGAAACAGTGAGTACGGGTCCGGAGGCCGCACTTCGACATGTAAACGACCAATGGAAACAGGGTGAAGTATGATGCATGATGGCAGAGAACCGTTCAAGTAACCAAGACTTCCAATGAGGGTAAATCCCGAAATGATGGGAAACCTAGAAACCCCACGGCACTGATTTACTTCTGATTGTGGTCCAGAATATCTCAGGCTCAATGGAAAATGAGTTGGTTAATTTATCAAAAAGAAAAAAAAACCAACAGATAGCCATTTCATTTCACTGAAAAAAAAGACGAGAAAATGCGAACCGAAGCTAGAAGGAGGATACTGCAGGTCATCATATTTTATGGAGCCGGCTCACTTGACCTATAGCGTCGCTACGCTTAAGGGCTCCTGTGCGACGTCAAATATCTCCATTCGGGCTTGTTTCGGGGCAATTCAGTGAACTTTCCTTGACCTTCCACACAGAGATCACTCCGTAGGATTCGCGATCATCCCGCATAGTCGGCGTTCTCATATCTAGGGAAATTGCCCCATTGATTGGCAGGGGAGCTTGATGCTCCCCTTCATCGTATGTACCGCCGACGTTGCAGCGCTAATACACGGAGGTCCAGAGCTCTTTGTGTGGCGTTCCGTCTCTGTTTGATCACGAAATAGGCTTTAACTAAGTCGCACGGAAAGAGCAAGCCCCGCGTTTATGCGTTCCTAAGCACATGTACAGGTGTCCCAACTGACGCGTCAATGACCTACGAAATTGGTTTCGGAACAGTGAGCCTGGGCCATTATTCACAGTTAAAATCGGAAACTCGCCATCCCGAATAGACCTTATAGTCTTCATTTGCACCTCATGCATAGCATGCATTTCTTGCAGAACAGCTTCGATGTCCCCCTTACCTGATACACGTCAACACGGGTGCTATGTGTGGTAGAAAGAAAGAAAAAGAATACACACGTAGAACCTCTTGATTTCTACGTTCGTCTCGGACCTCCCCGACGAGCCTCGAAACGGTGACCAAAGTTTCTTTCAATTCCTTCGCCTTCTCATCTCTATCTTTGGCGTGCTGACTACTTTCTTCCTTACGGGAATCCATAAACTTTGCATGGTCTTTGCATTGTTGTATATGTCCCGAGAGCAAATCTTCACACTCTTTGAGTCGTTTGTGGAAGGCCGCAAACTCGGCATTAGCTGATTGTGTCGACTCTGCGGTCATGGCGAAGTTGACAAGGTTGCGGTGGAGTGTCAAGATGGATCACACGTTATGCAAAAAACGCCGGGATTGATCTAATCGATACAGTGACTCAGTAGATAAAAAAGTGGTGCGCGAATAATATTACGGAATTATAACCTCATCCATGTCCTCATCATCATCGTCCTCGTCATCGTCCACAGGCATGGCAGTGTCCGATGGCGGGGGAAGATGCTGGCCTGTATCCACGCCACTATCACCCTGATGTGATTCTTGTGTGTACTCCGCGAGTTGAGCGGCCAATAAGGCTAACTGTGCCTGTAACTGAGCACGAATACCTGCTTCCCACTCCCTGTCATCATCGTCTTCGTCATTTATTGTCATCGCTTGATCTGCAGGCGCAGCTGCCGATGTGACTGGCGTTGTAGTATCTTGTGACTTCTTTGATAGAGTTAATAAGCCTTCACCAAAGTTAATCGTTTTGAGGATATGCTGCGCGGCTGCATAGGCATCGCCGATGTCTCCTGCTGAAGCATCCACGGTCGATGCTGCTGCGACACCATTGGCCACAGGCGGAGTGAACGGCGCAGGATATCCTGCCGGGTACGGCGTTCGCTGTGGTATGGCGGCACCTTTTGTACCATTTTTAATAAGAGGTGCATGAGTGAATGGTGATGAACGCGGTTGACTTGAGGAATTTGCAGCAGGAGCGCTGTTGACTGTTTGCGGACGACGCGTAGGACGACGAGAAATGGTCTACATTGACAACTGAATGTAAGTGACGGTAGGCTCTAGAAAATTATAAGAGGAACACACATTATTGCCCTTGTACTCAGGATTGAGTCGGTACTTTCCGCTGCTGCTTTTCTCAAACCTACCCCTTCGATAGGCTTTCTGCAACGCCTGGCTTGCGGAAGGTCGAAAGTTGGCCTGGACCGGATAATGTGCAGCCATCCATGCATACACGTCCTTTGGGGCAATACCGTCAGGATCGTTTGCATCAACGAGAGCTTCCACAATCATGTCCTCGTAACTTGGAAGATTATCTTCCGATGTTGGCTGGGTGGGTTCGGACGACGGTGGTGGGGGGGTATTTTGGTATGATGTATGGGAGAATGCAGCGGCCACTGGGGGTGGATGGTAAGGACTGGGTACCTGTGCAGGTGGCGGCGGAGGATAGGGAAGATGAGGATATGGCCAAGCGTGTTGTGGGTAGTAAGACGCGTGAGGGTAGGCGTGATAACCATACGGTTGATGCGGATATGCTGTTGGTCGTACTGTCGGTGTTGGCACGACTGTTGCAGCCGGTTTGGGGCTTGGCGACACTGCCGACGTTACTGCTGTCGTTGTCGTTGCCGGTTTTGATACCGGTACCGGTGTCGGCGATCCTTGCTTTTCGGGCGGTTTTGATTCCTCTGTAGAAGGAGATTCATCTTCTGACTTTTCTTCGGGTTCTTGCTGCTCTTTCTCTGGTAATTCTTCATCTTCTGTAGGCACTAAAGAGTCCATCAGTGGTGGATCATCTTTCTTTGCGTCGCTCTCAGGTGTCCCATTTGATGACGGTCGACCTTCTATCGTTGCAATAGCAGCATTAATGTCAGCCGGCCATACTGAGCTCTTGACATAGAGAGGGACGTGGAATTCAAGGGTTAAACATATTTCGATTATTTGCTGGGGAGGTAGGAGAGCCAAGTAACGTCGTTTGATGTCATGGTCCGCAGCTGGAAGTCGCGAAGGTCAAACAAGATCATTACAATAGACATTCTTATCTACCTGGCGGATGAGGAAGAGAAGGAAAGAAAGAAACTGCAGCGGTCGCCTGCATCCTTCCGGGGAGCTGCACAGTTTTTCAGAACAAGGTTCAGATTTGGACTCCGCCCTGGCGGCTGAACTTGAATACCGGCAATTCCCGTCACTGCTTCACGGCACCGATAAAACCGATGTATGTATTTTTGCACACGAACACCTTAGCACGCCGGCAATTCTGTTTCCCTTCTGTCGCAGAAAGAGAAGTCCCAAAGAGAAGTCTTGGGAAAATCTCTTATCCTTGGCTACACCATGTGTGACGGGACCGACAGATTGTCGTACTCTGCGATGGTGATCATCTGCGAGGCCCGCGAGCAGATAATATAAAAGCATCTGAGAGAAAAGATATCGAAAAAGGTTTTGGACCATACAGGAACTGGCGTTGCTTTCGCCATTCCTGTTCCCTCGGCTTCTTTGCAGAACCTTTGAACCCTTACTGAGACGTTTAACTTTCCTTAAGGTAAACACAGGGAAAGGCAGACAACCTCCGAAGAAAATATTAATCTAACGTAAGACCGGCAGCACCGAGAAATTCGGGGCCCAAGGACAGTGTTGGAATCAGACTTGCCTATCAGGACACGGGTGACTGGACGCATGAGAATCCGGAGGACCGAAATACACTGAGTATGCTCCGTTGAATAGATGCATGCAATTTATACATACGAGACCGCAAGTCCACGGAGTGCATGCTTACGACATGACAGAGGTAATTGAACAATTTTGACAGGATGATCATCGTAGGCAGTTCAACTGGGTGCGAGATTATTGGTTTTGCAAAATCGAGCAAAATTCTCGTTCAATATTGGTCAGTATGTCTGATTTGACAATTGAAGGAAACCAGGGTATGTCTTGGTATCCCAATATTCGTCGCGAGGTAGGTTTATTACAGTAGTGATCTGAGTCTCCAACGATTCTTGCTATGTATATAAAGAGACCGGTTGAATCAGCTGGTCATACGACATCTATATGTTGGAGCTTCAGAAGCACAATCCTTGTTCTCCGTTAGGTGATTGATCCAGGGAAAATCGCCTTGAAAATGAGTGCAGCCTCATCTGGGAGTTTCCTGTTCACTGAGGGAGTACGCTCTGTATAGGCCGGCAGCCACAACAAAAAGTTAAATATTGACCGGTGATGGCGGGCATTGCAGCTTGAATTTCCAAATTTGAAATTTGTGGAAGGTGCATCTAAATTTGGAAATGTTATGGCAAGTTGAATTCTGGAGGTCCCGTTAGACCGCCGGGGGAGTTCATTTCTAATAGCTTCCCATCTTGTGGTCATACTGCCACCTGCCACTCTCGCTCCTGCACCCAGTACCGTCCTTACCCGCTGTTTTTCTTTTTTCCTTCGTTCGTTCGTCTGGGATTATCAGCGACTTCATTTTGTATCTCGTATTCTCTTCTGCTCCATTTCAACCGCATCATAATTCTCGCGGTGTGCAAATCTCGGCTGGCCTATTTCACTCGCCATTTTCCGACCTCTTTCTCGATAGTGAGACTAGTATCACTGCGTTGCTGCGCCCAGCTATACACTTCCTACCACCCCTGATCAATCAACCGACCAGTGTCAACCGTGCATTTTGCACCGTGCGCACTACCTATATCTCTCGCCTTACAGAGCGACTCTAGGATCGTATTTCATCGATTCATTATCTATCGCCTTACAGGTCCCGGTATGTTTTGTTTAGTTCTGGTCCTTGTCGGCGTGTGCAACCTGACCACCCTGATTTTACCATATATTATTTCAGGAACTACCCCGTTGGATCTCTATCATTCATTTTCCCAACAACATGTCCAAATTTCAGTCTCACCTTCGGATAGACACGTCCGTTTCATCTGTAGCAGGGCCCTCTTCCGGTTCGCGAAACCAGTCAAATTCTCAGCCAATGCCGTCTCCTCTCGGTTCCAGCTTCGGGAACAGAGCGCGTACTAGCTCGAATGCATCATCATCATCCACCCTGTCTCTGGTTTCACCGACATCTTCCTCCACGAGTGCTTCCTCATCATCCCTTTCCGTCTCAGAGGTTACGTACGCTCCCCACGACTCCCCTTTACGTTCTGCGAGTCTTGACCTGGATGAAACGTTGGGTCCCATGTCGGATTATGTCCTCGCCATGCATGACTACACTCCCCAACACCAAAACGCGACTTGTCTCTCGTTCAGGGCTGGACAAGTTATACACGTTCTTAATCGCGACGTTAGTGGATGGTGGGACGGGGAGTTAGAAGGAAGGCGGGGATGGTTTCCCAGCAACTACGTCAACTCAAGTGCAGACGAAGACGAGGAAGAGGAAGATGCGACGGAAATTCCGGTGGTGAGCGTGCACCTCGCTACATGATCACGGCGCTGATCCTTCTCATATAGCGCCCGCGAACCCACATTCACACTAAATCGACCACTTCTGCCAAATCTTGGTCGCCCTCTACCCTGCAGCATCCACATTCCCTACAAGAGACCTTAGGGCCAGACATCGATTCATACTGTCCCCCATTGATGGTTCCTTTACTTCATGGATTGTCTCTTCTTCAAAACGCTGTTCGCGCCAACCGCGTTAATCATTTTCAACCTTCCACAGCGTGCATCATTTCATGTGTGCGCTCCATACTTTCTGCCACGGACACCCTAAGCCGTGACAGTCCCATCCTACAGCAGTTCCCTGTCTTAGCTCAGGAACGCCGAGGTATTCTCGCAGTTCTTGCGTCCCTTGTTGCGCAAGCAAAGCGGGCTTCCGAAGGATACGTACACGACGAGACGCACGAATTCGAAGTTGATGCAATGCTGCGATTAGGTGGACAGGTATTCGCCCATGTCCGGAGATTCCTTGCCGTCGCCGTACAGTGTGGAGTGGAGCTTCCGGAGCGTCGGCATTCGCCCAGTTCATCTTCTGGATCGGTAGACGTAGAAGGACAACCGTGGAATTACCGAAATGTGCCGTACAATGCTTACGACGGTAACGAACCACATCGAATTTCTCCAACATCTCATGCATATCCACGCGATGCTCCCGTATCTCCAACTCACTCTCTTCGTGCGAAGAGTATGAGTGAGCTGCGCAGTCGGCCAAATCTCGACCATTCCGATTATCCTATTCCTGTACTACCCAGTCGGTCACTGGACTCTGAATCGCGGGAGGAGAATCCACCAATAATACCACCGCGCCCCCTTCGTAGACACAGGCCTGCCATCAGCTCATCTTCGTCGTCGTCGTATTCGTCCTTGGAATCATCTGCCACTCCTCCGCTTCCCCCTTTTCCCTCTGGTCCTTGCACAACATCACAAGTCATGGAAGCCTTGCGATCTACGCATGACCACTATCTCTCCACTATCGCTGCTTTCATTGGTCATGCACATTCATATTCCCGCTCGTCGCACGCTTCAAGTACGGGACATATGTATGATCTCGTACGAGAAATAGTGGAGATGGTATGTAAACTCCTGACGATTGTCGAGGCCGTTCTATCGCACCCCGACGCTCCTAATAACAGGATCGTTCAACTTAAATCTGCAAAGGATGGACTATATCGTGTCACGAGCTCTTTGGCGGAGTCTGTTCGACTGTTGAATATGCCGCTACCTTCCTCAATGACCGACGAGGAGGAGAAGCGAACCCTTTTGCGCTCTGCAACGGGAGCATTGAAAGCCGGCGCAGATTGTGTATCAACTGTCAAAATATGTCTTAGTCGGTCGTTGGGTGAAAGGCCGTTTATTCTTCAAGTGCCGACGCTGGAAGCGCCTGTCCCTCAGTTATTCAAGCCGGGCGAATCCAGTGGACACGAGGTCTCGAAGTCAATTAGCATGATTGAGTTGAATGGACACCAAATGGATGATGATGATGACCGCCCATTACAGAATAGCCTGTTAGGAGACGAGTCTTCAGGATCCGAGAGTAGCAGTGCCATATCGAAGTCGTCTTCGGACTTCTCAGGGGTTACAAATCTGACGACGCCCGACGGTTCTAAATGTCTATCTCCTATTATCGTTTCTCAGTCACCATCGAACACGACCTTGGTTCACCATCGTCATTTATCAAGACAGATGAAGATGGAACGACATGGGAGGGTAGTGTGCACACTTTGCCTCGCCGATCGGTGGAAGACAAGATGATCAATGGTGATTTGCCTGTCCTACCATCGGAAGCGTTTCAGCAAACTCCGGAATTCCCTCCTAGTCCTATTGGATGGTTGCTCAGTCATGACTATGCCATTGACGACGTCGCATACAATGGCGACGGTCATTTAGTTGGTGCAACTCTTGACGTTTTAGTCGAGAAGATGACACCTCACGACAGCATCGTTGACGCTGCATTTTCCGCCGTCTTCTTCCTTACTTTCCGACTGTTCTGCACGCCCGTTGAACTTACACAAGCTCTGATCAAACGATATATGCTCCAACCACCCAATGGCATATCCGAGCAAGACTTGCAGCTTTGGCATCAGCGCAAAATCCTGCCCATTCGGATGCGCGTGTCAAATTTTATCAAGAGTTGGGTAGAATTATACTGGCGTACTGGCACAGATGATTCAGCGATTCCGGAGCTTGTACCGTTCGTCTCGGCGACACTACGCAGCACCTTCCAGAAGCCAGCTGAACGTATCTTGGAGCTCTTGGACGTTCGTTCGACCACTAAGGGTCTGACCATAAGTCCAAAGGGGGGTGACCGCGTGCGTGACCCGGGAATGTCGATAAATCCTCCGACCATTGTCCCAGCGTCTGAAATCCCACGGCCTACCATGACGAAGGCTCTTCTGGCGGCTCTTCGTGCGAAGAACTTTACGTCGATATCTATTACTGATTTCCATCCACTAGAACTTGCGCGACAGCTCACGATTATGGAGTGCAATCTGTATTGTGCCATTCAGCCCGAGGAAATACTCGAGAGTGGACAGGAGGGCGCTAAGCATCCTGTCAATGTGAGGGCACTGACTTCTCTCAGCACGGTCATTACGGGATGGGTGGCCGAGAGCATTTTGAACGAACATGATATCAAGAAGCGGACCGCTCTCGTCAAGTTCTTCATCAAAGTAGCCGATGTGAATTACCTTTCAATTTTCCTGTTCTGGTCCTTGACGATCACATCACAGCGCTGTAGTTCACTTCACAATTACAGCACACCTCGCTCAATGTTGGCCGCGTTGGACTCATCAACAATATCTAGACTGCGTCAAACATGGATGGTCTGTTTCTGTTCTCTAACCAAACGATCTGATGTTCACGTCGTCACTATACAGGGCCTGCCTCAAAAGAATAGACTTCAGTTAGAAGCTATGCGTCGTCTGGCCGACCATGGACGCAACTACCACGAATATCGGACGAAGCTACGGAATACCGCGCCACCTGCTGTGCCTTTTCTTGGTGCGCTTGACTTGTCATATCATCATGTTTCTCCCGCTTAACGAGATTTTGCTAAGGTTTGTACTTGACTGATGTGACCTTCTGTCGTGAAGGGAATCCATCACATCGCGTATCCCCGTTGAACGCCGATAAAAAGCTTCTTAATTTCAATAAGTATCATAAACTGGCTAGAATTGTGCAAGGTTTGACTTTACTTTCATGCGGTCAAGTATCTTAATGACCTCTTTCTTTCCCAGATATGCAACGGTTCCAATCACCATATAATCTCAAGGCCATACCGGAGGTCCAGGCATATCTTAATTATGTCTTTGAGAATTCACGGCATCATGGAGACTTGCAGGATCTGTATCGTCGGAGGTGTGTCCCTTTTTTTTATCTTGTTGCGCGAGTTGATACTTATTTCAATGCTAGTTTGCTGGTCGAACCAAAAGAACCGGCAGATACGCTCCCGTCTGGGGATTTACGCCATCTTTTTAATTGGCGGTCTCAGCCCCCGTCGAAAGTTCTCACACAGCCGACCCTCGTCACATCTTAATAGTACATTGTTATTGTTGTTTTGTCTTGGTTTATTTTTTCCCTTTCACTGTATGCAGGCTTTTCGTTCTGTTATCATCCATATGTTTTACTAGGTATATCACATCCATCGCATTTAACTGACATTTTATTATTGATATATTCTTTTCCCGTCATGTTTGTAATGGGTGAAGTCAGATTTTTTCTACCTACTCTACGGGAGTAGGATATCTTCTGCGTACCTCTCAGCTTCAAAGCTTTACTCGTTTCAACCGGTGTCTGCGAGTTTCAGATTCGAAACTTTTAATAGCGTGGATCAGCGTGGATCGGGCGTGACTCTGCTCAGGAAAACTTACAAAAATGGGCTTTATCTTCAGTCCGGATATTCCTTCATTTCTGTAAATATAAACTTTCATTTAGGTTGTTTGATTGATGTGCCCATCAAGAACCCACAGATGCCCGTGCTTGCCTTAGGAGACCGAAACTCATACTATTCACCTCCAGGCCGTCACAATTTTGCCCACGATGCCGGGTTATAAATGTATCTGCCAGCATCCATGGCTTCAATCTTCAAAAACTTGGGGCCACTGCTGTCACGAGGCGTAGCTGTTGCGCGATGAAATCTGACTTCACTCCCATACACGGTGGTGTCGGTGTCGTTATGCAATGCTTTCAGAGATATAGATCTTAACCGAATTGGTTCCCCGTTGGCAACTATACTGCTGAGAGTCTTGCTCAGCAATCGTAAAACCGTTTTCGTATGCCCTTATAAAGGATCCTTTGACGCCTATTGGCTTCATGGGGCTGCCACCGCCATTTTCTAAATGGTGATTAAACAGAAAGTTCGCCAGCCTCATCGTCTAATAAATCAGGGACCGTGAGCGTCGTCTTCCTGGTGATTCTTCCCCCTCGGCCCCCTCCCAGTGAACCTCGCAAAGGCCCTTTGTGTTCTCCCAGCCTCTCATGAGCGACGTCCCAGTATAATTATTAAGCTTAAGCACGGGGATGTTCATTCTTTTGGCGATATCTGTTGTCTGCGCAACTGCACACACAGTCGACACGTTTATGGTGACAAAAATGTCGCTATGGGTCATAGACGACCTCGCGGCCGGAAAACTGGATAGAGTACCTCCGTGTGGCAGCGCTAGCAAAAATGAGAGAATCGGTGGCAGATCGTGTCCGAGCCTTTAAGTATGCGATGCTGTTCTTTTAGGGCGTTCTATTATTCTTGACACCGATAACAGCTTTCTGAACAATGTGCAGATTAAGATTCTTTACAGAAATAGTGCTATCTTGCTCCGTACTATCAACCTTGAAGCTTGAAGGACTGATCCGGTCAATATGAACGTCAGAAAAGACAAAGACATTCCTCCCGGGAGGTAGGATACTTTCTGATAACGTCTTATTGAGTAGACACACCGACTAAAGGTTGCGGTCGACAACTTCAGCAATTTGAGGATCCGGATATTTTTCGCACATCAAACCAACCTACTTTACCTGACACTTCCCCTTCACTTATCCAGTACGGTTTGTCATGATTGTGGCTGACTTGGAACGCTCGTTCCAGAAACACAACTCCGTATACCCATCCGGTTTCTTGTTGCTGTTCTTGATCCGCCGAGGTAGAGAGGCGCCGAATGTCGAAAGTCAGATTCAAGCGTGTTCCAGAATATCCAGCGTCCCTGAGCAAGCTGCCGCGTAGCTTGGAAGCAGAAAGGGTGAAAGCACCGTGTATTTAGATAACGCATAATTTCCTCTTCGACACTACTTCGACGGGGCTTTGTAGTAAGACGCTGCAGGTTATGTCGCAAAAAGTAGTGCCAAGTTGCGTGACGGTTGTCGTCTAAGTGAAGATATCTCGTTCTACCCGTCGCTGGAGAGGCCCGCCGCTTTATCTCGTCTCAAGGAGTCGCCATCCCTTCGAATTTATACTGTTAAGAACAGGCGCAAAATGCCGGTCCTACGCTGATGGCCTGTGAATGTATTGAGTGACATAGTACCCGAAATTTCTTCCCTTTTTGAGACCATCGCGCTCGGGACGGGGGATATGAGGGTACGTCCTTGCAGACACACCGGGTCCCTTAGGAAGTGGTGGTTTTAGTAAATTACTCCAGGTACCAAGCAGGTGACTTACAAAGTCCAAGACGAACGGTCGGCTCTGTGTGGCACCGAAAAGCCGGGAGCTTTCCAAAATTACATCGTAGACGGGTGATGAGTCGTTACCCGGAGCATGGACACTCCATCCCTTCGCAGGCGATCTGATATCCCAGAATGACACGACGCTATGGCGTGCTGAGCCTGCTGCGACGTGACTGGAAGAGCCACCACCACACGAGACGGAATAAATAGGTTCGTACTGTAATGGATCAGAAAGGTACAAGACGGGCAGAAGGGGGGAATGTGATCCTGAGACACTAGGGCCTCTGAGTGCCGACCGGAGGTCGTAGCAGCGGACTTGCCCATCATACCATCCGGAAACTATGATTTCAGGAGACGAGCCCCACGGAGCGGCTAGGGGAGCACGGCAAATGCCATAGACAGCCGACGATGGCGACGTGGCGGATGTGTATCCCTTCATGCCCAGGACGACGGTAGGTGTCTGGGTTAGGCCACCATTTGTAATGGAGTGAATGGCTAAAGGAGTGACCGAAGAAGTGCCATATGCGGCATAGGGGATAGACGACTGCATGCATAGGTGCGACACCCAGCTTCGTTTCTGAAGTTCTACACCGGAAGAAGTGCAAGGCGTCACCGAAAGGTTGGTTAAAGCGGCTAAACCATCGGAAGAAAGGGATAGAAGCATATTGTTGTCATAGGAAAGGTGTTCAACCAAGGCGCCGACATGCAAATCCGATAAGTCGCGGGAGAACAACTTCACAGTGTCATCCTCGAGTACGATCTCTTCTATCTCTCCGTTCTGAAACCCTACGAGCAAGGTTTCTTTCGGTCCATTGATGAACGTCATCGCCGTGATGTCGCGTCTTTGACCACTGCGAGCACTCAGGACAACCGCTCTCTCGAATTCGACGGATGATACCTCATCACCGGCTGATGCGACGAAAATGTAAAAGTATATGGTGATTCCAGAACCGACGACGAGCCGGTAATCGTTGATAGCGAGTACGGGTTGTAGTTTCCCTTTCCAAGGGCGAGCAAGGGGCCGCGCGACGAAGTCTGTTCTGCACCTGGAGCGCTTCCATGAACGGTCTGCCAGCGTGTCATAACGAACATGGAATTTGGAAGACCACAGAGCCTGTGCAGAGGCAAGACTATGAGAGGGTCGTGGATTTCTGCGGCGATAGTCTGCCCAACCGAAATTATTAACCTAGAAGATGTTTCTCATGAGAAGAGGCAATTAATGAAGAAATGATATAGCTCACCAGCGCTTCTAGTGTCTTACATGTCCTTGATAAAACGGAGAGCCCGGAAAGTTCAAGCTCTTGGAGGATAGCAACAAGGATGTCGTTGGGTAACTCGAGTAATGGCATTGAAATGTTACCTAAAGGACCAGTTCGAAGTGATGGTCAGTTAACAAATGAATTCAAGACCGCCCAAATTAACCTCTTAAGAATGCAGGGTTGATGAGATGATATCGAAATGGAATTAAGTTCGGGAAATGCCGCGTGAGGTGAGTTTACTTGACGTCGTGCTGTGTCGGAATCGTACTTTCCACCTTAGACATGAGACCTACGTCGTCGAGACACTATTGGTAGCGAAAAAGTAGTTTATTGGACGATCTATCCTTGTTTTGCTGTCTGATTTCCTTTTATCTATTTCAAATGGAGATTCTCGAAAAAGAAAAAAGTTTGACACGCCAATGCCAGCCAACTCAGCCGCGCCACGAGACAACCCATTACTTCGACGGAAATTAGACGTCGTCGATAACCCTGCGAGGGTCAGAGGCTTTTGCGGCCAAAACTTTAATTTTTTTGGAATCTCATCTTGCAAATAGAATAATCCGGAACTTTTGTGTTACTCACCTTCACTGAGTATTGAGGATGGGTCTCACTTCGTAGCTGCCTTGTCTCGAGCAGTAAATGGAAGGGTCGGACGACGATATTGAGGTCTCGCGCTGGTTGGCAATCATACAAACATCCCGGTTAATTAGGTCGTCCCAAATCTGGAAGTCCAGACCCTTCCCCAGATGGTCCCATCTAGGAGTCTTTTTCCAGACAACGCGTTCCAGGCCGGCATACGACGCACGATAATATACCCTCATCCCTTCCGTCTTTCCTTCGTCCCCGCATCCGTCGTTGACACACGCCTCGACATGCGACGAGATGTCAGAATACTTCTCGTTGGCGATGGTGTGTTTCCAGTATCTTGACCTCAAGCCACATTCTAATGGCGACAACTGCAGAGGGCGTCGGAAAGAGCACTATAGTGACCTCTCTTATAAAAGAATCATATGTGGCGCATGTACGGACGCCTTTGTTTTTCTGCGTATTCCGACTCAAGTCTTCGCGGTATAGGTCCAACATATCGTTCCGGAAGTGACAATACCGCCAGAAGTTACTCCGGAAAACGTCACTACCTATATTGTCGATTCTGGAGGTGCGGCATTTGTCCTACGGACGGAGAATCATCGCGTTGACTCTGTATTGCCAGCTGGTCCACAAGATCGGTCACACCTCGAGGCAGAAATACGAAAGGCACATGTTATCTGTGTTGTATACTCTATTGACAACCCCAATTCTTTCGATCGAATACCGACCTATTGGTTGCCTCATTTTCGACAGCTTGGCGTAAATGTGAGAACAATGTGTTTACAATCCTGCTTACCAGGTTTCATGACCGTGTCAAGGTTCCCGTTATTTTGGTTGGCAACAAAATCGATTTGCGCGGTGGTGAGGTGACGAATGAGGCTTTGGAGGATGAGATCATTCCCATTATGAATGAATTCAAGGTGCGTGTTCGTATGTATTGTATCGCGTTCTCCTTTGACGCGAGTGAACTAGGAAGTGGAGACATGTGTAGAATGCTCGGCCAAGATGCCTTTGAACGTGTCCGAAGTCTTCTATTTCGCTCAGAAAGCTGTTCTTCATCCCACGGCCCCCCTCTACGATTCTCGAGATCACGTACGCGTCTATGTCTTTGTGTGAACGTTTCTTACGCCCAATAGGTCCTAAAACCTGCATGCGTTAAAGCTCTCAGGCGAATATTCAAGCTGTGTGATACGGACAAGGACGGAATCTTGGATCCCGCAGAACTCAACGAATTCCAGGTGCGCCCGATTCCGCATGTCCTGAAACTTTATTCATGGCGTGATCTGGACAGCGAAAATGTTTCGATGCACCCCTGCAACTTCAAGAATTAGAAGGAATAAGGGAAATGGTTCGAGAACATGCTGAAGGTGGTGTCCGTGACGGAGGCCTCACTGAAGATGGCTTTCTGTATCTGCATACAATATTTATTCAGCGTGGTCGGCTCGAAACTACATGGACGGTACTTCGAAAGTTTGGGTATGCGGAAGATCTTCGTCTCACAGAAGCTTTCCTGTCACCCAAGTACGTTCCATCGCTGTTTGTTCAAACAACTGTAGGAAGCTCAGCGGCTATTACTCTAGGTTTGACGTACCTCCGGACTGTTCCGTCGAGCTGAGTCCGTTGGGCTACCAGTTCCTTACCGACCTCTTCGAAACGTGTGACAAGGTAGATATCAAGATGCCCGTAGTCATCTATACTGACTGTCATTAGGATCAAGATGGCGCCCTCAAATCTTCTGAATTAGAAGCGGTATTCAGTACAACACCGGGTAATCCATGGGCAACACAGAAATTCCCAGACACCACTCTTACTGATGATACCGGTGCTGTTACTCTGCAAGGCTGGCTGGCTCAGTGGAGGTGAGCTTTCATTGCCGCGTGTGATGATTCGCAATAACGATAGGTAGTATGACAACCCTTCTCGATCATAAGACGACATTGGCGTATCTTGCCTACCTTGGCTATCCTGACGAACCTCGTACAAGCGCGTTGCAGATCACCAGGGCACGAAAGATTGATCGGCGTAAAGGAAAGGTTTCAAGAAACGTCTTCCTGTGTTATCTTTGTGGCGCCGCAGGCTCCGGGAAGACGTCGTTACTGAGAGCGTTCATTGGGAAACCGTTTCGTGAGACCTATGAACCGACAACGAAGCCCATTAGTGTTGTCAATGCGGTGGATATTGACGGGTCAGAGAAGTACCTTGTGGTAAGCTCGTGTTTGTCCTCGTGTCTCCTTTTCTTTCAGTGTGCTAAATGTATGTTAGTTGCAGGAGTTTGGTTCCAAGTATGAAGCAGAAACCCTTCGAAATTCGAAGAAAACGGATTTGGTAGATGTCATCGTCTATGTCCATGATTCAAGCGATACGAATTCGTTTTCGTACATCAGCAATCTTCGGGTGTGTAAATCCCCGACTTCTCAGTCTCCTGTCGTGTGCTCATTACTTCGAAACAGCAACAATACAGCCTTGACCATATACCAACTCTGTTTGTAGCCACAAAATCTGACCTAGATCTGGCCCAACAGGTATACAATAGAATGTCTGTTCGTTGCCAAATCGGTTCTGACGCATACATTTACAGCGGCACGAAGTCCAACCAGACGTGTATTGTAGACGACTGGGACTTCAAGTCCCCGTTTCTGTCAGTGTCAAAACCGGTCAGATCGCGGACGTGTACCATGCTGTGTGCGGTGTAGCCATGAATCCGTGCGTGATTTTCACGCGTGGGCGTCTGATATCATACTGATAATCATTCCTAGGTACAAATCGATACCAGGAGGCGCTGACCGTGCACTGTCATCAACTGCGCGGCTAAGATGGTATGTTACGTTGACCGCCTTGTTGGGTGGATGTACGGCAGGTCTGGTGATGCTGTATCGGAATCTTCTTCGCCCAGCTGGGTTTCCTCAGTGGACGATACACTGGGCAACTTGGTTGCTGGGTAGACGAGAGAGCTGAGAGATATATAGTTAACTGTTTAATAAAGATTTAATTGCTCAGCACGATTGTCTGAAGGAGAAAGAACCAAGCCTTGAGACTGAGTCATGGCAAACACGTGGAGGCAACCGGTCACAACGATGTCACTACAATTGGCATAAGATCCGTTTCTGATTATACACTTTCAGGTTCAACAAGCGATTTTCCTCATTGTTGTTGTGACAGCCTCTTTCTGACGTTTCTGCTACTCACCTCAGTATTTCTGAAGGTGTCGTGTCTTTCTGAACTCGAACGAACCAACATCCTTTTCAAGTTTCATTGTCAACCTTGAACTATTGAGTGTCATCACCATGGATGAGGACATGTATTTCGAGCCGACCCCCGTTTCTTTGTCGCAACCTCAAGACGATCCATATCATCACCAGCACACAAATGGCTTGGATCCCCACAGGAAAATGTTGTGAGTCCACCTTTTCTTCTGTCCATTCTCCCTCGTCATTTAAGGGGTCCTTTTTCTCATCGCAGGGACCTGGTATTCGTCCAAGATTGTACTGGTAGCCAGGGCAGCTACATCTCTTCCGCTACCAAGAACATCGAGCAAATTTGCGGCGCCATCTATGAGTCTGGACGACTGCAAGCGCTAGAGGACCTTCGAGTGGGCTTGGTAGCGTTCCGGGACCACCCTCCACAAGATCACACATATATCGTCAGGAACTTTGGGTTCTCCTCGGATATTAGCAAGGTGCACAAAAACCTCTCTGGCCTGTATGCTTCCGGAGGCGGGGACGGACCGGAAGCTGTCACCGCTGCTATGGTCGAGGCTCTCAATATGGAATGGCGAGAGAACGCGAGTAAGATGGTTGTCCTCATTGCTGATGCCCCTCCTCATGGCATTGGGGAGTACGGAGATGGTATGGTCTGTTCAATCGTTTTTAATTAATCCTCATGTTCTTTCTAGGCTTCGATGAAGGGTCGCCGGACGGGAACGATCCCCTTGTCATCGCACGCTTGATGGCCAGTCGTGGAATTACCCTGGTATGTCACGCTCTGATCCCAAACCACGTTTCTCTTTTGTTAACTCGCATTAGTTCTTTGTTGCTTGCGAGCCTGCTCTTAGCGGATATCAGGTGAGCAACCTGGTGCACGTCTGTTTACTGATCCTCAGGTGGGCCCCCATAGTATGCGACCGATTTCTACAGAGCAATAACTAACATCACCTCGGGGTTGATGTTACCGTTGACCACAGCAGACCTACTCTCCCATGCCATTGTCGGGAGTGTTCTCGAGAACCTCGACATGGAGAGATTGGTGCGCGAAGTGGGGCACGCTGTCGCTCAGCGGATCATTCGGTAATAACGAGAGCGTGGATGATGTCGCTCGAGAGCTGCATGAAAAGCTGCTGTTGCGAAACGAAAGTACGAAGAAGGTGGTCATAGAGAGCATCTACAAGGACTCGGAAGAGTCCCGGCATAATGTTGCTGTGTTCACCGAAGCTCCTTCGTTGGCGGACGCTCGTCCGCTATTGAAGAAGGTAGGCCCTTCATCTATCATTGGATAGACTGTTACTCAGCTGCCTTTTCAAGGTGAATGGCACTCGTTTCACAGATAAATATCTTCAAGTTCGCGGAAGTCTAGCGAGAGCTAGCTATTCCGTGTATACCCCGGCAACACCTCCACGCTCTCCGCTTAGGTCGCCTTCCACGTCACCCTCCTCCAAGGGATTCACGACGGGCTCACCGCCGCGCAAGGTAGTCACTGATTTTGCAGCCTTTGGCGCTCCAGCAGACGCAAGCGTCTTCGGTACGGCGGTGGCGTCAACGCCTTTCTCGCTGGCCGGTGGGAAAGCAGCCTTTGGGGGAATGCGAACCGGGCGTGGACGTGGAGTCTTTGATGATGACGACGATGACGATGACGATGGCAGACAAAAGGTAGAATTGAGAGAAGACTCCATCACCCTTGATCAAGTAGGCATTCATACTTTATTATTTTGGATGCAGTATCTCATGTTATTCCAGGCCCGACGCATCGCTCTGCAAAGCGCTTGGAGGGGCGCAGGTATCTGATCCGCGTTCGTGAAACTTTTTCTGATGTTTCGATCTTCCCTTGTCATTTGCAACTCACGTCCATCTTTTCTCGCACGCACGCACGATTTTCTTGTCTAGTACTAGTAACGTTTTAGAAATCCATCACCTGTTCAATGTTCTTCCCTTTCAGTTCAGATTGCTTGTCGACCGTCAGGTCTTAATTCGGAACCTTGTAGTAGTAAACATGTCAAATATAATCCATTACTGTAAAACTGCAAGTCTTGACCAAGTGTGAACGAAACGAGAGATTTACGGTGGAGATTCTCCTCGTTTCCGCTTCTTGTCTATCAGGACCTTGTCAGATTTGCCTGCATCGTCAGCGGCATCTGGAGTATCGTCAGACTCTCGTATTTTCCGTCGTTTCTTTCTCTTCTTCATTGAACCCTCTGCTTTCTCCGACTCGTCTGATTTCTTCGGCTTCTCACGTTTGTCTTCATCGTCTTTTTGCTGCCCTTCTCTCTCCAACGCTCTCAACTCTTTTCTTAGCCGCTTCCATTCCTCCTTTGTAACATCACCGTCAGCCCGTTTCTTCAGCTTCCGACGTTCCCTCTCTCGCTTCTCGTCCTTCGCCAATTTTGCGGCTTTCTTCTCGGCCTTCCGTAGTCTTCTCTTTCTTTTTTCCTCATCATCCTCTTTGCACTCCATCTTCTCCATTGCCTCGTCACCCCTTTTCCTTTTCTTGTTTGACTGTATGTCCACATTGGTCTCCTTCAACTTCTGGAACGATGCGTGGCCCACTATACGTTCCGCCTCCACGCCTTTCTCCGGTTTGGAAAGAATGGTATCAGGGCCTAAAACAGGACCCCGGAAGAATCTGGCATAGAGACCGCGCTTAGCCGCTTCGCGTTTCGCCATTGCCAATAAACTGAGTCGCGGCATGAGGTCGGAATCTGGCGTGCTTGTTCCAGATGAAGAGGCCGACGTTCCACCTAGAGGTCTTCGGTTACATAGTATTCCTGTTGTGGTTCTTTTCAACGTTAAGGTAGTCTCAGTAGACACAACCTGAGATAAAAATGAACACGGCGCTAGTAAAGTGAACAGATGATCTCACAGGCTCGCTTTCGTCGTCATCATCACTGGATATCTTGACTTGAATAGATTTTGCTGCAGCTGAGAACAAGCTACGCACGGAGATCAGCCCAAGTCGCGTCGAAAAAATAATGTATCCTTACTGATCCCAGAACGGGAAGGCTTCGTCGCGGTCTTTCCCTATACCTGAAAGCGTCTTTTTCTGATTGACAATGATTGGACGTGTTATTGCACCCTGACGTAGACCCGTTCCCTTGCCAGACCATCCTTGGGAGACAAGAAACGAGTGCCCATCCAGCGGCATGAGCAATGGATGGAAAGAAATCTAAAATGTCACGCTGTCACGTACACAGTAACAAGGTTTCCAGAATGTACGGATGACGGACCGCATCACCGAACTCTTCATTATTGAACCATGACCTCCACGGATACTACCCCAAGTCGCAGTATTGTCATCATTGGTGCAGGGATAATTGGATGCTCGACGGCCTACTACCTCTCTCGCCATCCTTCTTTCTCGCCTTCTACTACTGTCCGCATTATCGAAGCCTCAATCAACGGCCCTGCTCAGGGAGCCTCCGGCAAAGCGGGCGGATTGATAGCCCAATGGGCTTATCCGAAGGAACTGGTAGATGTATCCTTCGCCGAACACGTCAAACTCGCGAAGAAGCACAATGGCAAAGAACGATGGGGCTGGAGATACGTCGAAACCGGCAGCTGGGAAGGCAGAGGGCTTTTGAGCGAGGAGAGTGGATCCGGTGTGGGCAAGGGCGGGAAAAGGAAAAGCTTGGAAAAGACGCTTGGACTGGATTGTGATGTTTCCCAATCAGAACGCAAGTCTAAAGGTCTACCGGACGATTTGCTTTGGGTCAGAGATAGTCTCACTGATGCGTATTCGCCCATGGCTGCTACCGGGGAAACTGCCCAAGTCTACCCGTATCAATTCACGACGAGCATGTTGGATCTCGCCAAAGAAAAGGGCGTCGAGTTTGTTTCCGGAAAGGTTACTTCTATTAAACAACTTGACGGTCGAGTCACTGGTGTGGTTTACAACAAACCGGGAACCCAGAAGAAGGTCGAAATTGACGCAACCGATGTTGTCCTCTGCGCCGGAGCCTGGTCGCCGTCACTGGTCCCTGGACTTCCCGTTACCGGAACACGAGCGCACAGTATCACCATTCGGGCGACTCCCGGCACCATCATTGCGCCATATGCCTTATTCACAGAAATTACATTACAGCAGACCGGCGAGAACGCGAAGAGAGTTACTCCAGAGGTATACGCTCGACCAAATAATGAGGTATATGCCTGTGGTCCAGGTGATGATTCCGCACTTCCGGAGACTGTGGACGGCGTAGAGGTAGACGAGGCCGCATGCGAAAGCATTCGCAAGCACGTCAGTTCTATATCTAAGGAGCTCAGTGAAGGGACGGTGGACAAGCGACAAGCGTGTTTCCTTCCAATTGTCAAGTACAACAGCGATCCCCTAGTTGGGGCTGCAACGAAGATTGCTAAGGGTCTATTCATCGCAGCTGGCCATACATGCTGGGCAAGTCCATTGCTTCTTCGTCCCCATTACCCTTATCAACGCTCTATTACTAGGGGATCTGCAATGCTCCAGGTACTGCGAAAGCTATCAGTGAGCTCGTTATGGATGGCAAGATCCGATGTGGAAATTTGAAGAAACTAGACCCCTCGAGATTCTCCTAATAGGTCCAGGCCTGTATTACATGTATATGTGACTGTACAGTTTGTTATCGCCTCAATTTTGAGTCTCGTACGTTTATAACTTTCGTTCATCGCACAATGTGCTTATGCAGATTTCATATCAACCAGATTCCAGTGCGTTCTTTTATGCCGGCGTCTTTCGTTAGGTCTTCAAATGTAAACGCATAAATACAGCAGATAATGCGGTAACGAATGGACCGCGATTGGAGGTATGCAGCATTACATCTTGGCTTCCTTCTTTCTGAGCGATGAGGCATGCTGACGCAACACACGTCTGAGCAGCTTTCCACTAGGATTCTTCGGTATCGCCGAAATGAATTCAACTCCACCCTTGAGATGTTTGTAGTTGACCTTATTTGAGGCGACATGCTTTAAATTATAGGGTCAAGTCTCAAACATTTGCAAAAAAGAGATTGCGATAAAAAATACCTTGATTATGGAATCCTTGATCTGTGGACCTCGTTCTAGAACCTTGGAACTTGCCTCTTCTGTTAGGACAACAAATGCGAGCGGAACTTCTCCGCCTACAGAGGACATTAGTCACGTAGAACCATGGCAGAGAGCAGAGGACAGACTGTATTCGTCTGGAAATCCTACAACACAAGCATCGGAGACGTCTGGATGATCTAGAATGCACCCTTCGAGCTCTGCCGGCGCTACTTGAAAACCTCTGACTTTCATAATCTCCTGTAAAGACATCAATCCCGGAGCCTGGAGTGGGCGTCCCGGACCAGGCATATTGCAGCACACCTTCATACGATCAAGAATCCAGAGCTCGGCATTTTTATCTATTTTCACTTCATCGCCGGTGCGTATCCATCCATCGATAAATGTGTCCTTGGATCTGATTCATTACTTTATTTAGCTTCTACAAAGCGGATCTAGTTGAACTATACTCACGCCTGTGCATCATTCTGGTACCGCAGCGCGTTCGATGGCGACCAAATGACCAACTCCCCCGGCTCACCGTAATTGGCGAGAGAACCATCCGATTTTACTACCTTCGCCGCCACTCCAGGAAGTAGCTGTCCTCCGCCTGAAATTTTTATGAACGACATCACGACATGATTATGGGACGCCCTACTTCCGGATGTTCCGCGCTTACGAGTAACCGGCCATGAGGATGTCGCTGTGCAAGTTTCCGTCATGCCTGATGATTTGTCGACAGGGGGCATACACGTTGGAATAAACGGTAAGTACCATAGGACTGGCCAATATGGGCATCGGGAAGCAGTTCGAATAACTGTTGATTCACTTCCCCCGATAGTGGTGCCGCTCCAACCATAATCATTCTAACCACTTGTAGTTTCGCTTTGTACTGTTTTACCACGGGATGCTGAGATAAGATTCGTAAGTGAAGATCATACTGTGAGAACCTCATGGCTGACTTTGCATAACAGGACAACTTGTGGCGGAACAAGCCTAGGGGAAAAATTACGTGCCGGCGTCATTTAGTACCCGGTGAGGAAACACTTACATCAAATGTGTTACCCGATGACGAATGATACTATCTAGCATCCCAATGAAGTTGTATTTCGGAACGATCACCACAGACATCTGCCAAGGCATGTCGTCAGTCCGAGGAGTTATTCTAACCGGATTATTGGCCCCGCTTACTCCACAAAACAAGATGAAATGCAGCTAGTTAGACGGTGTCAGACGAGCGCTAGATGACCATTGAACCTTACATTCAACACCAAGCCATAAATATCTGCCCCAAAGTAAAAATTCATGAAACACAGTTGACTCAGCACTTACGGTATAACGGGAGTACTAAGAGAATGTGCGAAATGTTGGAACCCATGCTCTGCATCTCGAGAGATTGAAAACTCACCACACATCGCAACATCACCCGGTCTGTATCTCCTATTCTCCCATGAGGTGTATTCTTCGTTAACTCTGTTATGAACGGCCATTTGTATAACGTTCGTTATCACTGAGCAATGTGGTATTGCGACCGCCTAGGTACTGGAAGATCAATATCCACCGCGTTCATACCGCATCAAGATCATGCCCAACCTTTGGTTTTCCTGTTGTGCCTGTAGAGTTTCAGAAACAGGCAGTAAACATCGGCCAAAGAAAGAGTGGCAAAATTGTACCTGAAGAGAAACTCAGAAAAGCAAGTTTTGTCTTTCCGTTTATCTTGGGTTCAATGTAGGTAAGTGGCTTTGATAGGCCCAGCGCCACCAACTCATCCAAAGTGACATAAGAGGAATTAGTGGGGTCGGATGGAGTACGCGCGCTAAGCAGTACAATCCGGTCGAGTAGGGCTCCATCGATAGCCTCAGCTGCTGATACCGCAATGTCAAGTGCATCCGGGTGTGTGACGATAAGGACTGCTCCGCTGATCTCGAGCTGGTATTTTAGCTCTTGAGCGGTGTAGTCGGGATTAGCCCCAGATATAATACCACCAATTCTGTGAACGGCCCATATGACCATAGGGTAATCTTTAACAGCGAGTTTCTCAATACATTATCATACGATTATCGAAAGGAGCATACCGATGTGGTTACGACTGAACAAAAGCACTACCATGGCATCAAATTAGGCACAATCCTCAAAGACTGGAAAGATTGCCGCGTACCGACATCATCCTCGCCTGTATATGGATATCATTTATTTGATGAGCCGAATGACATGTATCGGGAACTTTCGTCGTACCAATATCGTATTGATGCTTCAATCCATTAGCCAGAGCGTTTGTGCGTGAACGGACCTAATTAACCAAACATCATCGCACAGTCGTGCATCCGATTTGTACACTTGCCTCTTCCAAATATATCGCCTGTCCACTGGTATCTTCTATCAACCATGGCGTCCCTTCCTTCTCTATTGGCCTGGCTACATGATGTGGGACATCGAGGAAAAATTGCGGAATGGAAAGATTATCGGGAACTGCAGGCAGTCCAACATGAGTACGTATCTCAGTCATGATTGAGTTCCGTGATGTCGGTCTCTACCTATAGTGTTGCCTTGTTGATCTCCGGAGCATGAGCCTCTGTTGGATAAAGTACACAAACCCGGGCCGCTGAAGAGAACGACGTGGTTGTGTATTATTACATATTTCCCCACATGTCACCCCGCACGATGATCGTGCCGGTCCGACTGAACATAAGTTAAGTTACAACCTCTCCACTTGGTAATTACTCATAACTTCGCCGGAAGAACATGACATACAACTTTGGACTGCTCACGGAACTGCCTCCGTAGGATTTTCCCACTGGCGGTCTTGGGAATACTTGGAACGAATCTGACATCAGCGAGGTGCTTATACCTGACTTTATTTCTTGTGACATGCTGTATGTACCGCGTCTCGTAAACTTATGGTCACGGTTGGAATATTCAAGAACAATTCACCTGTAGTATAGATTGCTTGATAGCCCTAGAGGCGGATGGATTCCGTCGAATACGCTTGTTCGCATCCGACGACAACGCAACAAATGCCAACGGAACTTCCCCAGCTATAAGACAGTGAACTTGGAGTTCCTGGAAAGAGAGCTAGACCTACAGTAACCATGAGGAACACCAATGACACACGATTCAATCACATCCGGGTGGTCTAATAGGCAACCTTCCAGCTCCGCAGGTGCGACCTGATACCCGTTCACTTTGATGAATTCCTACTTTATTGATCAGTATCATTCAAAAAGATAGATAATTGATGTCACACCTTTATGCGGTCAACGATATACACCTCTCGGTCCTTCGTTAATATAACCTCGTCACCTGTACGTAGCCATCTGAAGAATTGATGGTTTGAGTGATTTATAACCGTATAGATTCACATACCCGTCACGGAAGGTTTCGAGGGTGCTTCATCTGACATTTCATCCTGGGAAATGAATGTAAAGGGGTGATTTCACGTACGCTTCTTCGTTGTCCAGATAGCCGAGAGACATATTGGGACATCGAACTTCCAATGCTCCGGGCTCTCCAAGTCGAGCAAAGGTGCCGTCGAACTTCACGACGCGCGCTTCAACACCTGGCAAGAGCCTTCCCGCGCCTGTGAGATGAACGTCGTTAATAGGGTCCGAGTCATGTAATAGAGCACCTTACTCCCGACTGGACCTCTCTGTTGCTCAAAATGCACTGTAGCAAGCACGGCAGGCGTCTCGGTGGTACCTTGGCATGAACATATCAGTAGAAACTCTTGATATCTCGGAGACAATTAACCATATGCTTGTCCGATTTGGGCAGAGGGAAAGACGTCGAAAAGAAGGGCATTAATCTCCTTGGTCATGGGAGCAGCACCAACGATTACACATTTTACACTCGACATGTCGTAAGATTTCGCCGCTGAATGCTTTTATGCGAATCAGCGCTTGGTGCACGGATGAAATACTGACCGCTGTTCACACCTTGCATAATGCAACAGCTTGCGGAGGTACGAGTCTGTAAAAGGTTATTAGCGGCGAGGAGAGATTGAACACCGTTGACGAACACTAAATCAGTTATACGGTAGCGAACGATACTTCGCAGCATATTGACAAAATCAAATCGGCCAACAACGATTACGGACATCTGTAATATTTGCTTTAGTCCCAGCACCATAGAGAGCGGACTACAGTCCTCCCTACCCCGCAAAACACTGGGAAATGCATCTGCGTGTCCACGCTTCAGCATTTCAGCCCACGGCGGCAGAGTGAAATGTGTGCTTACAGATAGGAGAAAGCCGGCGATATCTAAGCGGTGTTAATGAAATGGTATTTCGCTTATTCAATACGCTTCTTACGAAAGAAAGGTAGCACTGATGCTAGTGAGCAATACGAACAGTTTGCGAGTAATTTTGGCATACCTCCAAGTAAACTATCCCCGCATCTGAATCCTCGGGACAGGCTCTTTGTGATACGTGTACACTTGGTGATGCATTGCCAGTTGAACTAAATTAGCAATGATAGCGCGGTGTGGGATTTTAACAGCCTAACTCTTTGCGTCAGCCATCGTAGGCACGTAGGAACATAGACGTTTCACCTTCGGCTTCCCAGTCGTCCCACTACTTAGCATCAATAGAGCCAGTTTAGTACTGCCTTCCCCGGGCTTCAAAGTCTTCGGGGAGAAGGAATAGTGATTAATCAAGGCCTCCGATATTAGTTCAGGGACGCTGTATAGGTCATAGTGTTCACAATCATCGAGTAAAATGATTCGTGTCGGGGGGAAGTTGAATTTCCGAGCAGCTGTTTGTGCGGTAATTACCGCAGCTGAATGGACTATGATGAAAGAAGCCTTGGTGATCTGAAGCTGATAACATAGTTCCTCCGGCGTCAATCCAGGGTTGGCCGGACTACATATGGCCTCCTTGTGAACGGGTAGCACTCTACCAAAATGAAACGGGAGGCTTACGTGACAATACCGCCGATCTGATGGACCGACCAAGTCGCAACAGCGTAGTCTAAGTGTTTGAAGTATTAGCCTCAATGACTGGCGTTGAGCGACAAGGACAGGCCAAATGATACTGACCAACATGATTGGGACTACAGATCAGAACTGGAAACCAAGCAACTGTTGGTAAGTTCGTCTTCCAGAAAGGCATCCATGAGGACCAACTTACCGACGTCGTTGTCGGCTACGCGTAGTTTGTGACATTCAGTCCAGAAACAATAACGTCGAACAGAAAACTGACAAAGGTTATACCTGGTATTCAATGCAGCAGCCAGTAGTTGAGTGCGAAGCTTTACCTGAGTCACGGTCAGGGGCAATTACAAGACGGGCAACAACGGTAACGACACTCACTTCGTCAAAATTAACAATCTGACCTGAATTATCGTCTGTAAAACATGGTGTGTCGCCTCGCTGGGGTCGTAAAGGATGTTGGCAGTCCAACATAAATTGGGAGATGGTTAAATTATCAGGAATGGTGAGAGTGGTCTCCAAGAACGTTGTCGACGCCATATATAACAACAGGAGTGACGGAGAGGAAGAAAGGGCGACACGAGTTATTGGCGCCGACAGGAGATTTATATTGCTCCTCCAGTCCTTTTTGCTTGGATCGGAGGTACCGGATCGCGCTAAGGGCCTACAACGCGAGGGACGATTGGAGAGAGTTTGGTAGTAAGGTGGGTTCTTTGTAATGGATCCGAGCACCGTTGGATATACTTCTCAGATATCTTTACCCCTGCAGGCTACTCAATCCGATTGACGGAAGAAGCCATGCAGCGAGATGCAGGCTCTGGTCTGGATCTAAATACCAGCGGAATGCAGTCACAGTTTCGAAATACTGATGGGCATTATCGGGCTTCTAGTAGCCAAGACCCGGCGTTTGAATTTTAGCCGGTCCGGCATTCAATCATTTCTGATTCAAAAAGCCAGGAACGATTGGATTGTCAGGCAATATTAGGTCGGAGCCCGTCGGATATGTATACTTGTTGTATCTGATGCTAAAGGATCTGATAGAAAAAGGCAAACATTAGTATTCGATGGCAACAGGGCTCGAATCACCTGCGGGTCCACCAGATTCCTTGCCCTGAAGTCCCGGATTAAACTTGTTAACAAGGTGGGTAACCTATGTTGGCGTTGTGACATTAATTTTTCTGCAAGGGGATCCGGCCTATTGATCATAAAAGCATCAGACGCTTCTCTAAATGATCAGACGGACATGGGTCCTCATGGCAATTGCAAATGCTATCGAGCTTCGAGCCTTCGACGAGTATCGATGTGCAACTGGATAGCTCCGAACCCGAGTCTGGGGACGAGATAAAGTTGTCGTGGATTATCCAGGGATGAAGTCAATTGAAGCCTCGTTCTTGCTCCGCAATCTATGGAGTTCCAAGAGTCGTTCAACGATGAAGATTGCGTCACTTGCCATGGGTGCATCCAGCATACAACCAAGTGGGTCAGCGGTCATCGCCACGATAAAGCTCCAGTTTACGCTAGGTCAGCTCATATGTAAGGTGGCAATAAGCAATGGCGCTCAGTGCGGAAGCGCAAGTGATTATGCGAGATCTCCGCGAGCTCCAAGATCCCCGGGCCGTGTAGATCAGTACCTTTTTGAGTCAGTGTACGCCATCATGGAAAGGCAAGTAGAGAACAGAACATTGAATGTGAACGTCATCGCATGAGCGACTATCGCTTAGCCCAGGAAAAATTTGGGACGCACACTGATGTGTACCAGGGCCCTTATGTGAGTTTAAAAGGTAAATCGAAAATCGATGTGACGTGAAGCACTTCGTTCTCGCATTGAATCGGTGGCCGGTATCTTCGAAGCGAGAGTATAAGCAGTCAAGCAGTCGCAGAATCCCGGCAGAATCTCGGTGTAGAATCACTTGTAGAATCGCGTTCATTGAAGCCTCTTGTGATGTGTCAGAGCCAAGTTCCAGCGAGGGCCAAGCGCTCTCAAGCCGATGAACGTGATACAAACTAGAATAGTACCCATTACTATGTAGACCCAAGTGCATAGATAATCAGAAAGACATGCTTACAGCTAGGCTCTAACCCATGTGGGTCTGGTGAACAAAGATGTAGACACCTTTACACATGTCGTCGGCCTCGGGCACTCACTCAACGTTATCGTAGCGCTAGATGTGACCCGCTCAAAGATCGTTAACGATTCTCGGGTGGACTACTACTGTTCAGTACGTTCAGTACCGCCATCTGAAATACCCCGATTTTAGCATTGTATCCGTAATGGAGTCCATGAGAACACGATAAACCAATTGAGACCAATTGAGCCGAGCTCGATGGCAGGTGAGATCACAAATATATGTATTCTGAGACTAGAAGACACTCACATCCATGGTAAATAGTAGTTCCGCGGAGGAGACGAAGCCGTTGCCTTCATCAAGCAAATAGTATTCAACCTCAGCGAATATGGTCTTTGTTCGGGTTGACGAAGAGGCATGACGCATGAAGAGCTTGATGCTTGAAGCATCGAAGGCAAGGAATGCCTTGCGCCACGAACTCATGCACAGAAAAACTTCACTTGAGGTGATCGCTGGACATACATTGAAGTTTGGAAGTACGTGGTTACGGCTCCGGCCGAAATCAAACACGTTTTCCATCCGAGAGCCGACGGAGCCGCAAACAGCCGGGGTAGGCTCATAGTTATTGATAACAGATACCGTACACAAAGTCACAACCGCGCCAACTCGGTGTCTTCCCTATCTACGGCGAAAGTTGCCCTATGTTTACTCCACCATCGGATAACAAACTCCTTCTCACCATCGACGCCTCCCACACGATGAATAATCTCCTCTGCCAGTTTCTCAACCTCCTCCATGAGGTCATTGGCACTAACAGATGGTCCGGTGCCCTTCCCTTGGCTCCCACCTAAAACGCGTCTAACCTCCACCAAAATCCTCTCAAGCATCGGCACACCTCGGACAGCGGACACACATGATATCAACCCGAGTCTCAGTTTCTTCGCCTTTTTCTCATCTGTCCGAGTTCGCTCGATCTCACGGATAAGAGAATCAACCGGAAACCATCCTAGCGCAGAATCACCACTCTCACACGCGCACCGGACGAGTGTCGAGAAGGCTAAGCACAATTGATGCGTGTCTAGGCCACCGTTGCCCGAATTGTCAAGTAGACACTCGGTGTAGAATGGCACCATGCGTTCGACGGCGTCCTTATTATTGCTCAAGACAGCGAGCACGACTGAATGTGCTGATTCATACGTCTCTCGATGGCTCGGTGCAGAAAGGTGAGACTCGCAGAGTGGCCATATGTCCCGCTCTATACATTCTGCGCTGAGCACTGGAACCAGCTGTTCGACACATGCCAGCACAAAGGCCTTCTTCGCAAGGACAAACTCTGCTGTATCTTGGGAGTTAGTATTGCGGTCTCGTAGCTCAGATACAAACCTCTCCCCCTCTCCATCACCTTGGCTAGCGACGATATCCAATGCAAGATAGACCGTCTTTTTCAACTCCTTGAATCCATCTCCAGAGGTGGTGATACCGCCAAATTGCTGTATTACAAACGCTAGATGGGAGAGCGCGAAGAGAGTTGTCAGGGCAATGGAAGTTGTCGTCAAAGTCGGGGGCACATAGATGACAGAAGATAGCACAGATTCAACAATCATAATTGTTGAGAAGAGGAGAGTTTTAAGCATCAACCACGGCAGTGCTGTGGACTTGGGTTCCTGTTGACATGTTCGATAGTCCGATTCAACGTGGGCACATATCTCACGTAGTGTCGTGAGTGTGGCTTGGGCGGTCACAAGTCCGTCTTTTGGCCGCGAGTCCAAAAGGAGAGAGTGTGCGAGACTGGATAATTTTGAGAGTGAGGCGACGGAAGCCATTATCGGGGATTCGGGCTGCTTAAATTAAAAATGGGGTGAACGGACTGTCACGACGTGCACCGCCAATGCCCATATATGAGGAAATTGAGGACGTCTAGAACCGTTCCTCACAGTATTGTAAGAGGGATTTTCCATTTCCGCATGGGTGTTGGCAGTAAAGAAATAAGTGAAACGACATACCGGCGCCGAGGACAGGAACTTGCCAGCAAGGAAAGCGGTCGATATGGTGGCCGTCAATAACTGCGACAGTATTTCCAAAGGAAGGGCTTTAAGCTTCTCTTCGGAGATCAGAGGCAGGGAGCGCGAGGAAAATATCAATGCGATGGACAACAAATCTACTGGAGAGGAAGTGAGTCGGGAAATACTATAAATGGATATCCACTCACCATCTCCCTGAGGGTGAAACTCTTTCTCCCATTCTCCGGCACCGCTCGGGGAGGGAAGAGGGAACGTGTCATGCTTGAAAAGGTCCATAACCTCGGCTAATGACAACACGACTTCATTCTCGACAAATCCCTGGGATGTAAGCTTTACATCATTGATCCCCAATATTACGCCCGTTGAACAAGCGAGCCTCATGATGGGCTGCCCACCTTGCAGGCCTTTAATAAGAGCATCGATCCACAAAGCGAGACGGGTTCTCACGGCTCGCGAGAAGACGGCGCCCAGTGCGGACCTTTGTTCGGCATCGCGTTTAAGCAGGTCGAATTTGATATGCAGCGCATGTCGGAAAGCCGTCGAGAGCGCATCGAGCTTGGCAAGTGTGAGTGGATGCGAAAGAAAGAGCGGTGACGAGACAGCGGTCGCTGCCAATGGTGTCGGCAACGGCGAGAGATGAGCAAGATGATGAGCAAGGGCAGCCTGAATAGTCTCGAGCAGCAGGGAGGTCGTCGGCCTTGAGAGATGCGCCAGGAGGTTACGGTACATGGTGAACCTGACTGGCGTTGTGGCGGACGGAGGCAAGGGGGAACATTGACATCATACCCGGCAGCGTGAGCGCGGTCCGATCACGTGTCGTAAGATCCTGAGAATTCAAAATTAAAATTTATATCATTTATTTGCCAAGTTTAGCCTAGCTCGTTATGTGTTCCGCACCGAGGGCACCACGAGGCTCGTTCCCATGCTATTCTGAGGTACTGGATGAATATGTAGGATGAATACTGGATACCATTGAGTTGTCCTACGTAGCAGTACTTGGGCAGTGGGCAATGGGCATGTATCAATCATGTCCATCTGATGTCGCGGTTGTCGCTGTGAAATAAAAATGGCTGCGCTTACATACGCAAGCGAGGGTGACCGGGGTCACTGCAAATATTGTATCATCGTGAGAGCGTGAGGGCTCGGTCGTGACGAGCCGTAACATTCGTGACCTGTCTTGGACTCTTCGCTGCTCGTCGTCCTCGTCGTCCTCTTGCCTAGTGCAAGTACTCATTTTCCTCCCCTTCTCCCCGGATAATGCGATATAGATCCTACTTTTCCTCGTAATTCTTTACTTTTCTCTAGACTTTGCCCTTCAATGTCTCCATCTCCCTCTGAAAATTCGCCCTGGCCTACCCAGACTCCAGTCGATGTTGGTTCTTCGCATTCTCGCGCACCAAAACGACGTCGGATACACGAGCTAATGGCCTTGAATGCTCGGCAGGTTGTTGACCAGGATGCAGTCGGTGCGTCGTCATACCTGCTCTTTGTTCTTTCCCGTGCAGTCGCCTGATCCATCTTTCTCAGAGGAAGCCGAATACAATTGCGAGGTCAACTCTGGCAACGATGTCATTTCGTGTTTTCCTACAGCAGATTCCGTTTTTCCTCAGCATCAATGGGCTACCTTCGTCTGTACGTGTTCTCTTTTTTAGCACTGTCCATATATATCCATCCTCACTGGCTTTTTCAGGGAACTCTGGTCTACCCGATTTCACTCAGACGAATGAAGTCAATGTCTATCTTTTCCGCGCAGACTCGAGAGAGCAGCTGCTCTTCTTTCCCAATCAAACCAACCCCAGAAATCAAGCTGGTTCCCTCACTGCTCAAGTGAACGACACATGGCTTGGTACTGGGGGCGCAGATTGGAGTGGCTCAAATCTAACATATACCTTTTACTGGGTCGTTACGCGAAACGACAAAGAGTTGGATGGCTCGGAACTAACTCAGACCCACTTTACTGCAGTTCGTGAGTTGTTATCTCTATGACTGTCTTTTCTTCGCCTCATTTTACAATAGAAACGACATTCGCCGACTCTGTCCTTTCGGCAATGTCATCGACATCCTCCGCATCATCATCATCAACAACAACTTCGTCAACGAGCTCGTCATCCTCATACACCAGTACAGGAACAACGTCATCTGCAGCTGAGTCTGGTACTGGGAGCAATGGCAGTGGCAGTGTTCAGTCTGGTGGAAGCAACTCCAGCTTCCCACACTGGGCCATCGCCGTCATAGTTGTTCTCGGCTTCCTTGCCATTGCCACATCATGCATACTCGCATTTTTCATCCTCCGACGGATACGCCGGCGTAACGCCGAACTCGAATCCAACCGAAACTCTATGGGCTCTTCATCACCGATGATGGCGCATGTAGTGGGAAATTCTCCTGGTTCGCCGCTCCTGGCCGCCGGTGCGGGCGAACCTCAGAGTTCTGTCGGGCACGGGCAACGTGCTCCGAGCATAGTGTCACCCGATGGGGCGTCAACGGTGTCAGGGAGCGCAGGCGATGCAGGTCCGTTTTCCGGCGCAGACGCAGCAATAATGGCGGATGCTTTCAGGAAAGCGCTGCGGAAGCCTGACTTCATGGGCCAGGCTGTAGAAGAGGGGGACAGTCCTGGTAATGACAGGCGGGGCGAGCTGCTGAATAGGGAACTAGCCGATGAGGGACGCGATATACGGAGCGTAAGCTCGTCAAGAGGTGTGCGGGTAGAAACGATGAGTGACAGTGGCGACACCGTGCAGGACAATCCACACTGACGGCACGGAACCGTTCTTTACTGTCGTACTTTCTTGCATCTCATCGCGTCTGTCCCTATATCATCTGTCATTTCTTGGTCTGTTCTCATGGGTTATTTGTAGCTTCATATTCGCATCTTTCCCCTCCGTTAGTACCCAAATTCCTGACTTTATTATCATATATTCTCACCCCTCAACATCAACAATGTTCCCCCCCCCCCTCCCGCACACCCTTCATATCCAATCCCGGCACCTCTTGGTCCTTCATTAGTTACTCTTTGTGCCGTGTTTATACGTACTTCCCTTTCTTCTCCCCGGACTTGCCCCCCAAGCCGAATTATTACCCCTTATTCATGCATTGTGTTCTCTGTGTGTGCTACTACCATCATCATATCGCTTCCTACTTCATTTTCATACATCTCATCCTATTTTCGCTGATACGCGTCCACTCTTTTGACTTCTTTTCTTTTCTTTCTTTTCTGCCAGCAAAGTTTCAACGGTATACCCTTACTTTTGCCAACGCTATGAAATCATGTATGTGCATTGATCATCAAGTGACATTTGTGATTCTCGCGAACTTCCTTCACTGAAATCACGTAGGCGGGTTACCTTCTTATGACGCATGCTCGTAGCCTTCCTTCATATTGTGCCCCGTTATTTCCAAAGCGGTATTCGAGGGCCTGCAAGTATCACCCCGTTTCAAGGTACCCTGGACGTGATGTGGCGCCTTTCAAACGGAGGGAATATTTGTAGGATGTGAAATGCGATTGTCGTATGCATATGGGCGGGGGCGCGCTCTACACTCGTTTGGCAATGGAGCGCATTGTTACCCTAAACTGCCTTCTCCCCGCAGCCGCTTTGGTAAATCGAAGCACGGATGTACGACGCCTCCGAAGTTTACAGAAATGTCGGGTGTCGGCTATCACGTGTTAGGCGTCGGGGGGTATACCCAGTGTCCGAGTCCATGCTGTCTATGTTATACTAATACGTTTGAAAATTGTAGTGCCTTATCACCGCTACCCAATTATACGGCAGATAGCGACTGATCATCTCATTGTGCTGTCTCGGTTAAAAAGTTTTTTGAAGGTGCGGCTTTTCGTTGCAATTACCAAAGTTCACGCATTTGCTTACAAGTACGAATAGAAACATCGTGTTTGTGCTCAAAGCGTCTCCGAAACCTCTTAAGAATACATTTCGCGTTCTGTTCGTGGCTTTTAACACTTTGTTATGCAACGATAACTTCGGTTTGGTGGATTACAGCAGCCGCTTTAACGACAAGATCTTTCCGGAATCTTTCTTGATATGCATGTTGCTCGAAGAGCCTCGTTCCTACACTGTTGGCGCTACGCTTTATAGAGATGCTCTTTGTCACTCTGGCTGGTATGTGGATCACCCAAGCCAAATTTGGTTCTACGGGGACCTTTGGATAATGCTTTCTTGGGCGGATGAGGAGCATTATTTTAATTCGGTGTTGGCAACTTGAAATATCTGGTTCTCTGTCCAACTAAGTTCCGATCATGACTTGTTATTACTACCCGGAGAAGTACATAAACCGTCTCCTCGGGATACGAATTGGCATTGTCGGGAGGCTGTGTGCAGTCACGGAATTCTGTCTGCTGTACATGTACCGTACCAATGGCTCATAGACGACCGCTGATTCTCCTAGCGCGAAAGGATTAACTAGCCTTGATGGTCCCTTTGCTACGCGCTTGCTGATCTCCGAGGGCAGGTCTACTTTTGGCAAAATTATGCATCAAGGGAAGGTTTGTTCCTGTTCTCTATAGGACACCCTTTGGGCGGTGCTCCTCGTTTCCTATCAAATGGTTCAATTACCTGTACTCGGGAACGTTGCAAATGACGTATAGCTACGCATTTACTAACCCCACCAGCATACATGCGGAGCTTCTCGATCTTTATCTTGCTCGTTATGCTAAGCTTCCATACTTGTTCGTGAATGGACGATAAACGCTGATCGTCACTCAGCACCCGTCAGCGTCATGCACATAGAACGTTAACTACCGTTATCTCTTACGAATATTTCATTTGTTCACTCCACATCTGACTAGGAGCTCGGATCCGGAAACGAAGATAGTCTACAGCATTATTGTATTGTATCAATGTATCGAGTAGAGCTGCACAGAGCTGAAATGAGGAAAAGCGCGGGACGCGCAGGTATTGTACTAAAATACATAATCAATGCAAGTCGAATGGACTGTAAAAATATTCACAGTCCCAGACTGATATGAGCCACTCAATCTAACCAACTCTCGTAACCACCCTGTATATGAAGCAATCTGTCGTCCATAGAAGGATCTGTTACCGGTCTACTAATCAACGACAAAGCTACGTCAGGGCGTCCGTTTTGACAATTGTCTCATCAAAAGCTCATACCTGCGAAATTATGTCAGTAGATCGTTCCAGAGGAGAAGGAACGAGGCGCACGTCAACATAGTAACAGCACTGTTTGGGACAGTGCGGAGGAGGTTGATAGAAAGTCCTCTATACAGGGCAGTCCAACCCTCCTTCCGAATAAGTTTCTGGGTCATATAGATAATCCCGCCTCTGGGGTATTTCTTAATCATTCCATCAGATGAGAAGTCGTCCGCCAAAGGCCGCCGTTGAGTCTGCAGTCGAGTTCGCACAACCTCGTGAGGATAGGTCGCAACGGATGCAGTCATTTTGGCAGCCGCGGAACAGAGCAATATCACTCGGCCCGACAACGGTTCCTCCGCTTCTTGTTCTAAGGGAAATGGACGGTGAGAACAGTTAAAATTGAGAATGGAGAGATGCTCACGAGCCCAAACTTTCAGTTGCTCATATAGCGGAAACTGCACGGCGACGTGTGCTATCCCGAGAAGACTGGGAAGAAGGCCACGATAGAATGCTCGTAGTCCTTCTGTCCGATAAATCGTAAGTGCAGCATCGACTGTATGTCGATACCTGACTTCGTCACGAGACTGAGTCTAAACAACCAACGAAGCATGCTTAGTACACGCGGGGAACCAATATATGACACGCCGCACCATGAATCGCGTTTTGATGACCCACAAAGGATTCGTACAAATGGTGCTCGTTGCGCCAGCACACATGGCCGACAGGATGTGCAATGACCACGAATGTTCGCGCATCACAGGCTGGTATCCTTTGGGCTGAGCTGCAGGATAAAGCCGCTCATGAGACTGGGCTGGAACCCCCAAAGGCGCCTCCCCAAATGCACTCTTGATTCCATCGTAAACCGCAAAGTAGATAGCCCAAGTTGGGAGATAACCCAGTATTGTCGGACCAAGCCCTCGATAGAATCCACGGAAGCCATCATGAAGCCATATAGTTCTGACCGTCGCTGATACGCCGCAACATAAGCCAAAAACCGCCACGAAGCGAATCATAAGAACGCACCGAATATGCCCTGATAGGACGCCTGCCCCTGCACCGCTCTCTGCGCCTGCAACTTGGTCTTGACAACGTCTAGTGGACATGTAGCAACGCTCGCAATGAGACCACCACCGGCACCAGCTAAGGGCTTGAAATTAACAAAAAAAAAGCCTGGAATCGCAGAAGGACGCACCGATCATGCTGTTTGCGGTCCATTTGGCCTGGCCTGACTGCATATCTCTGCCCCGCCGGTGCGCGGGGTCCTTACGGAGTGTTGTCTTGCAGTCGTCGTGGTGCTTGTCACGGGACGCCGTAGAGAGCAATGTCTAACTGGATGATGACCAGAGCGTTCGGACCATCGGGTTCGCTATCGGGTACGGCCGGCGGGTGGTATTTTCGGTTATTTCCCTTGACTCGTCAGATGATGTACAGGTCCGCAGTTACCGCGTTTAGCGTGCTTGAACCTGTAAATCTCCTATTCTTCCGCGTAAGGACTGTATAGTATTGGCTGTATACTTCTTTACACCTCTACTTTACATTTCTACTATGGAAGTTCATTCTACGGGCACAACTTCATGGCTACTTCTTCAACCAATTTACGGACCTCTGGCTTCTTCACACCGTCTGGCCCACAGCCTGCCTTTTCGAGCTTGCTCTTGAGGACATCACGAGCCTGAAGAACTTCAAGTAATGGAACCAGCTGATTTTCATAGAACGGGGAAACTCGTAACAAACACGCCAGGGATGCGGTAAGCCGATGCACTGGCGGAACAGCGTCAGAAAAGGCCTTGGATAGTCAAATGCATTATACATACCAACATCCTCATTTTCCTTTTCCCTTCCTACTGCCTCGATGATCGCGCTGACCATCTCTACCTCCCAATCTTCATCCTCGTCCTCCGCCGATGTCCTGCCACCGTTTCTCACCTTATCGACTCGACCCTTCTGCACAAAGGCGGAAGCATTAAAGGCCAGGCTCGCGGCAGAAGTCCGTACCGTTGCATCTTCATGCAGCAACGACGGTATCAGGAAAGCCGTGAGGCTGGCCTTGCTAGCGCCGATCAGTAATCTCTGTGCGAGAAGAGGCGTGGAGAAAGCATTTGAAAGCATGCGTATCACCGTCAGCGTGTAATTACGCGGGGACGAGTTTGTGACTTTTGATAAAAGTATGGTAATGGGGTCAAGGGGATTCGTTGCGCACCAGGTCCCAACAGCTGGATCGAGGAAGCCAAGGCGCCACATATCAGCTAGTGGGAAGAGTGATTCGGGGGCCAAGATGGTTGCCAAAGCTGCTGTTATTGTTGCCCACATGCTGATCAAGACCGGCGTAGCAGATGGGAGAGGTGATTTGCCAGCTGTGGTGGCCTTTGATGCAAATCTAGACTTGAGGTACGGTACTATTGTGCCCGTAATTGAAGCCTTTACTTGCGCTTGTGATTGTGGCGAGTCGGATGGCCAAGGTGCGGCGTCAATGAAAGATGCGAATTTATTGCTGACGGTATCCAAGGAAGGAGCTTGTGTGAATAAGATAGGATTCAGGGACAGTGCCTGAAAACTAGGAAGCGAGAGCGATGTATGAGGATGTGCTGGATGACATATTTATTATTGAATAAATTGTTGATTAATCAAGGAGAAACGCACGAGGATATGCTTGGAAAATAAGCAAATCAATTTGCGCTCTAAGCTCTTTCTCATCTGCGCCCCTCATTTCATGTATCTGTGAATGTGCACACTTTTGTAAGTCGGGATATCGTAATTTCGAAGTGAGATATACCTTCTTGCTGTTCAAGAAAAACATGAAGGTCGGCATCACTCTGACGCTCCATTCTGACGCTAGTTGGTTCCCCATCGGCGTACTCATATCTATCTTGATGAAGGCAGCACCGACACCATGATTACCCACCGACACACCCTTGTTTCTGGCGAGATCCTCATAGATTGGGGCTATCATACGACATGGCATGCAGGTAGCCACATTGGAGAAATTTGCTACGACGGCTCGGTGGGTGCGAAGCAGATTATGGAACGACGCCGAGTTGGTACATTGATGCAGCGGGGCTGCTAGGGATTCTGTGGCAGGAAGGGACATCGGAGCTCGGGTAGTTGAAGAACCCACGTTACGCTGAGCTTGTTCCGCGACTGACTGAAGAATCGATGCAGCGAGAGCCGGGTCAGGTGCTTGGCCCGAAGTAAGCGGAGTGGGAGCAGGTGTAGCACTGGGCGTGGGACGATGGTACATGGAATCGATGGTGGGCCGAAGGGCTTGTCCGAACGGAGTGGAAAGGAAGTCCGTTGGCAGATCTGTGTCCAGACAGTCAGTGACCGGTGAATCGCGAAGCAGAAGGAGGGACCTTTGATCCAGTCAGGAATGGAACTCCCAGTGAGGAAGCCCGCGACATCGTTGGTAAACGAGTTGCAATTAAAATCTAAGACAGCTGTTAGAGGATGGTCGGGGAATTGTAGTAGACTAACCTAGGAGATGGTACTACAATGAAGCGAGATGGGGATTAAATTAGCGGGATGCAGGGAATGACATACTTTATCCGCGGTGTAATGATCACGCAAGTCTTTTATGTATTCCCCGAAGGTGTCTTCATCTATGTCAGTCTCGCCAAGATCTATGATGTGCAAGGGTGAACCGTGCTACGAATCATCAGGCTTGAGGAATAAACAAATGTTGGGCCTACTTACATGCGATTGGCCAGGCGCAGTCGTGTTTATGCCCTGGCCGTAGAATACTTCTCTGTCAAAGACTACAATCGAGGTATGCCTAGAGAACGAGTTTAACTACGGCTCTGGATACAGGGTATACTCCGCACCAGATGCCGTCAATTTGTTTGCCAGTTAGCTGGCGCGAGAGCTGCCTCGCCATCCCATTGCTGAGATCGTATACATATAATTTTACAGGGTGCATAGTAGAGTACGGAAAAAGGATGCGTCAGTGCTGTACAGCCACACGATCCCGACGGCATCTGCCACGTGGAATGAGAGGAGGTCCGGGTACGGAAGCAGGCGGAACCGGAGTCCCTAGGAGCCAGCATATAATGGCGCATACCCAGCGCCCTCTCTCCTAGAAGCCCCTGCCGATCGCTGGCGGCCAGCATCTGGCACAGCCATCCTATTACCGACGCTCCTTGTCTTGTGACTCCCACGCTGCTGCTGCTGTTGCTTCTACTACTAACCGCCAACAAGCAAACTATTTTTTTGGCATGATCCATTTGTCGCCATCCCTAGCAAATACCTCTCGCTTAGTATGTTGCCGTCGTCGTGTCAATTTTGATGTTTTCGATTGACAGCTGTTCAGCGAACAATCTCGTGCGCGTCTTCGATACCAAGAGCTATGTCTAAACCAAGTGGAAAGGCTGGATTCAAGTCCACTGCATCTCGCAAGAACGCAGATCCTCCTCCAGGTTACGCTATAGATCCCTCTACAGGCCCCATGTTGCGTTACCAGGCGTCTTTGCCCCACCTGCCTGTTCCTACCCTCTCCTCTACTGTCCACAAATATCTCGAGACTGTTCGTCCCCATGTGTCGGAAGCCGCGTACAAGCAGACGGAATCTGTCGCTAAGGACTTTCTCGCTTCGCCGATAAGTGCCGAACTCCAGAAGCGGCTTGAAGCCAGAGCTGCAGATCCCAACGTCACCAACTGGATCAGCGATTGGTGGAATGATGCCGCGTACATGGGCTACCGTGATCCTGTCGTGGTTTTCGTCAGCTACTTCTATGTCCACCTCGACGACAAGCTGCGCCGGGATCCTGTCAAACGAGCGGCTAGCTTACTCAAGAGTATGCTGGCTTTTAGGGACTTAACGGAAAGGTGCGTGTATTCGGCCTCATGTAACAAATGTTGACTCAAGCATTCTTCCAGTCAAGCTCTGGAACCCGAAAAAGTAAGGGGAGCACCTCTTTGTATGACGTCCTACAAGTGGCTGTAAGTTGCAAACCAATGATGGCCATCGGCATATCCTTGACGCGTCAATAGATTCCATTCATCCCGATACCCGAATAAACCTTCTGATACTGCCCACAAATTTGATCCTGCCACCCACAATCACGTCGTATTCGTTCGCAAAAACAAGTTCTTCAAGGTCCCTTTAATTGATTCCACGGGCCGAGAGTTGTCTGCGGCAGAGCTCGAGTTCCAAATAGAAAGAGTGATACAGAAAGCCGGTTCATCCTCGGGTCTCCCTATCGGTGCTCTTACGTCTGACAACCGTGATCTTTGGACCGACGCTCGCGCACAACTGTTAGCCGCCTCTGCCGATGGAACGAACGCAAAATCATTGGAGGAGATTGAGGGTGCTATGATTGTCGTTTGTTTGGACGACACGAAGCCCGTTACTAGGGAAGACATATCGTGGGCGTGCTGGGTGGGAGACGGTAAGAACCGCTTCTACGATAAACATCAATGTAAGTCGCGTTCCCTGTAACCTTGTTACATCAGCTCATTTTTCGACAGTGATCGTATTTGACAATGGTCGCTCGGGCTTTTTGGGGGAGCACTCGTGTATGGACGGAACCCCGACTCTACGGTTGAACGAGTTCATATTGGCAACTTTAGCACATGGTAAAGTCGACCTCGGGCCAGCTAGATCTGCCGATACAGGGAAAAACCTTCCAGAACCAGTGGAATTGAAATTTAAGGTTAACGACCAAGTGAAAAGTCTTGTTCAAGACGCTGAGAAGCGCTTTGAGGAATTGGTTGGAAGCCATGATCTCCACGTACGCGTTTCTATTCGTTTTGTTGTCCGTTGACCCTGACGTACCCGGTGTTCTAGGTTCTCCACTATGAAGGCTATGGCAAAAATACCATCAAGAAGTTCAAAGCCTCCCCTGATGCGTGGGCACAATTAGTGAAGCAACTCGCCTTTCATAAGATGTTCGGTCGTCCCGGCGTCACGTATGAGAGTGCGCAGACGAGAAAGTACCAACTTGGGCGAACTGAAGTTATTCGTTCCTCGAGTTCGGAAGCAAAGCGGTGGGCTGAGGCAATGTTGGATCCCAACGAGACGGTAAGTTTTGCCTGGCACGTTTCGCTTGGATGGGATTTGATTCAGGAAATTTTATTCATTTGTTTAGGACACTAATCGCGCGAACCTGTTCCGTGCGGCCGTTACGCGGCACCTACAATATGCTGCTTGGGCGGCTGACGGTCAGGGTGTCGACAGGCACTTCTTTGGCCTGAAGAAGCTTCTGAAGGAAGGCGAGCAGACGCCTGAAATTTATAACGACCCTTCGTTCTCAAAGACCAGCCATTGGGAGCTGAGTACGAGTAATCTCAGCAGCCCGTACTTTGATGGGTGGGGGTACGGCGAAGGTATGTCAAAACGTAATCGTCAAGTACGGCAGCTCACGGTGATCTACGTAGTTGTTCCGGATGGGTACGGTCTGTCATACGCGATCGGTGATGACTACATTCGCTGGACGATTACTAGTTTGAAGAGGAATACAGCCGAGCTGAAGCACTACCTCGCTGAGGCCGCGACGGAGACGCGTATCATGATGGAGAAGGCCCAAGCTTTGGAGAGCAAACTGTAGAAATTTCTCAGTAGATGATTTACCAGAAATGCATAACCAAATCCATATCTCGGTTTTCAAACTTCGGCCACCTGATCAAATTGATCCGAGGCAAGTGGAAATTGCGATTGGGTAAGCGAAAGGGGCTTTTCTGCGGAAATTATAAATAAAAAGGTTCCGTTGGACCAACAACGCGAATCGTTACATCGTATCAAGTGTCCTTGACGGAGATTGACAAAGAGACGGAAGGAGATGGGATTCAGTGCTGAGTTTAGAACACCGGTATGCGGTCACGTTTGCTCCCGTTGCATTCCTCGAGGCCTTCTTTCAATATGCTTCTGATTTCCCCTTCACAATGTCAAATTCCAACACTACGGTTGTGATGGGGGACCTGGAACTAGAAAGAACGAGAGAACGCACGCGAAGTGTGTCAGGATCCCATAGTGAGACATTCCCTTTTCTGTCCCAGCATAAAATAGTGCCGAGCCTCCGAAAGGTCCCTTTCTGCCCGATTCACCTCATCCGAAACCCTCGCATTCCAATGTCTGTGTTGACTGGTCATGAGCATCCTGAAGGGGAGGTCGACCGCCCCTCAAAAAGGGCTCGTTGTGCATCCGCCGAAAGTGGTACCACGATGAGCGGAGAAGACGAATCTGGCCACAACCATAGTCATGGTGCCAAGGAGCACATCTTTATCGCTGATAGCGTGAATGGTACCAAACGATCCTCTGGAAAGAAGGTGAGCGTATTGTTTTCCTGGAATATACTGCGGTGGACTCATTTTGCTGTGTAGACGACCTTGTCGTGCCAGGAATGTCGCAGGTTTGTATGATTTTTCCCTCACGTTTGCTGTCTTGCTGACCGGGCTTCTCCTCGCTAGGCTCAAACTCAAGGTATGCTGTCGTAAAGTTTCGAAATCGTGTATTTTAACAGTTGGTCTTAATTAGTGCGACCGGAATTTCCCTTGGTGAGTCTCTTTAAGTACTTGGATACCGGTCAGCTAAACTTGGCCCTCCCCCTGCAGTGGTTCATGCAGAAAGAGAGGCGTCAGCGATATCTGCCCCAATGGTATACTCAACTTTCTATCTCGATGCGTTATCCTTTTGACTTACTTTCCACAGGTGCTCTTGTCTCTGGGAAGGGCACGCGGTACGTGTCCGCCATGCATGTCGCACCACCCCGCTGACATTTTTTTCATTCGTCAGATTCATTCTGGCTAACACCGAACAGTTGCATAACAAGATCAATGAAATGGGTGACCGTATCCGTGACCTCGAGGAAGCATTAGCAAAGTCCCACTCTCCCACAGAAACGCACCCTCTTTTGCAGCCGACCCTTCTCGGTGTGAAGAGCACAGTCAACCTCTATCGCACGTCCCGGACAAGCCCAAATTCAAGCAGCGACGCTCTTACCGATCCGGAGCATGAAACTGCATCGGCTGCGTCGCCACAATCTACGAAAGGAGGAGCGGACATCGACGCCACAGTGTCTCTCTCTGACACGGAAATGATGATTGTATGTCTAGACCATTCTTCTCTCGTTATTGGAGATTAACGTCATTAGGATGAGCCACTCTCCGATGGGAAGCAGATTGAAGCGGAAATATTGCGCCTGAGCCATAGCTTTCCAATGCCTCACAAGGATTCTCCGGAACCTAACATCCCGTTACGGTCCTACATCCGAGGTATGCTTCCTCCGCAGGCTGAAGCGGAATATTTGTGGCAACAAGCCAAAGGAAATGCTCTCTGGCAGTTCGTCTCTCTTTTCCTCATTAGATTACCCCAGGTGGAATTGATATTTTATTATGTACTAGGTATAATCCGCACTCGGATGAGTCGTTTTATTTCCACCTCATTCAGCACTGTTACAACAGTCCGATCGAGGACACATGTCCGCGACGTCTTGCTTTGCTTTTCATGATAATGGCCGTCGCTTGTCTCGTGGATTTGAGGCGGCCGCCATACTCTGCTGTGGCTGAAACGTATCACACGGTCGCTCGCGCTGCTTTATCGGAAATTTCCGTCATGGAAGATACGAATGTAGAAACCGTTCTTGCTCTGTTCTACGAAATCTGGTATCTTCTGGTGTTCTCCGATAAAAAGAAAGCTGCGGGTTATGCATGGGGATTAATGGGACTTACGGCGAAGTTAGCCCAAAGTGTACGTCCTGATTTGTTGTTCGTCTCGTCTGCCGCTGTCTGAATGTCTAGATATAGATTGCCCTTCGTAGGTCTTCGTTGATCTCAATTTTTCCGGATGGATGAATTAAGTGATGTACATAGATCGGAATACCCCGTCAATGAAACTTCAACCTGAAGAGGTTGAACGACGTCGATGGTAGGTCCATGGCACCTTTCATTCAGTGTCGTACTAATTTAGGTCGCAGTCTGTTCTGGGAACTGATGTATCTCGACGCCCGACTGTCTTTGTCCCTTGGCAGGCCACCATCGCTGTCATTAGCCCATATGGATTGTCCACGCCCGGTGTATACCCCGGACCCAAGCGCCCCTCCCGCGGAAGGACTTCACCACTGTAAATTGCATTTTCGGGCTTTATGGAGTTTATTATCACTAACGTATCCATCTTGTAGTCCAAGAGTGGAAACATTCATGCTATGTTCACTGTTTGGCACCCGTTCTTGAACTGATATCTCAACCCAACTGGGAGTACACGAAAGTCCTCGAACTGGACGCGAAGATCCGAGACTTTTCCGTCCCTACAGCTTTACGTGCTAGAAACCCTCAGCATCGGTCATTTTTGATGCAAAAGGCATCTTTGACAACGGCCATTGAAACCGGTTGGTGGCTTATAATTGATTACGGTCCGCTTTCCCAGGTTGATATTTTGTTAGTCCTTTTACAGCTTCATCGAAGCTATTTCACGCGGGTCGTCAGCGGGGCGGAAGGAATTGTTAACCGCCACCACCGATACATTCCCTCCTGTGTGGCCGTGTTCCTCAGCGCCTCTCGTATGATTGCAACTATTCAGGATCTGTACGACCGCGAACCGGAACTGACATCGCGTATTTTGGGATACTGGTCCAATACTTTCTCTGCTGCAGTACGTTATTGGCGTTCGCCACGGGATTGATATCTGATTATTTGATTCTAAAACAAGGTGGCCCTTTGTTTACTCGTTTCTCGGGCCCCAGCTGCGTGTCTCGTTCCCACCTCCTTACAGGAGCTGGAGCGTGCTCGCTCCCTGTTCAATTCAGCAAAGGAACAGTGCCCCAGGGCGATGGAAATCACTGTGAGTACAACAGAATTCCGTTTGCGGAAATGGCGCTAAGCCGCCGATGTCATAGCCCATCCTTGAGACATTGATTGACAAAGCCAAGCACATCTATTCTCGCTGGACGACTGCTCAGAATGTGCCTACTGTCTATTATGATGAAGAGGATGATGACCCCGATTTTGATCTCTCGGAGGAAGAGTTGGTTGAACTGATGTCGACCCAAGGTCCGTTCGCTTCGGCACACTCAAGCCTTGTTCAGTGTCAGATCGAAGTAATTGAACGAGGGAGATGCCGCACGAACTTCCAGGCCAGTTACCGCGATGTTTCGTCTCTGTTTTCGACTTCATTGTCTCCTCCGCCGGTGCATGTGATTTCGCCTGTGCTGCCCCATTCGAGCCCGCGTGCGCCAACTGTCAGTGACCCTGCTGCCCTGCGTACCTCGGCGAAGTCTATTGGAGTGGACACGATGAGCATAGAGATGAGTGCAATGAACTTGGGTGCCGACAGTGTCATGGCTTGGTTCTGAAGAAGAATATTGGTTTTCTGCTCTTCCCGATGCTTGTGTTTTGAATATCTACATACTATGCCTGTCTTATTGAATAGAATAACTCGAACTTGCAGATCCGTTGCTGTATTTCGGACTTGAGTTCCGTGTTGCTCGGGGTTGATAGCCGATCTAAAAATAATCACCGACGACATGGAGATACGGGTAACAGAATGAAATAAAATAGAGCAAAGGCGAATCAGGAGACTCGTTGAAAGAAAGAAAGCCGGAAAACTGATATTCTCAGTACGGATTGACGAAAACAGCACCGGCCAACCTGAGGGAGCGGAATTCGGCAGCAAATATAATGGGACTGTTTGCCTTTGGCCATCAAATCAACCTTCCACAAGCTTCAGCCCCGAGGCGGTTACGGAGTTCCTTCTGATTCATACTTCCTATGCTCTTTGTCCTTTTCGTTCTTTTTATCTGATTTTTGCTCCATATGTATGACCCCAGGGCTCCCTCAGACCTCGATATGCACGGCAGCGGCGGGGAAGGCAGTCGTCCTCCAAAAAGACCTCGCGGCGGCTGGCCTCCCCCACCGGACGATATGTACCAAGACAATTTCCATCATGGTCCGCCTCAGGATGCGCCAGAAAATTCAAGAATCAGTCGTCAGGATGTGCCAGCTCACAAGACTCCAGACAAGGAGCGCGGTCGGCTGTTGTCTTGCAGAGAGTGCCGAAGGTGTGTCTTTCGCGTCATTCTCGGTATTTTTTCTGAAAAGAGTACCTAGGCTTAAGCTGAAGGTATGTTTATCCCTTCAGCATGGAATTAACGGTTGAATTTGCGTTGCAATCCAGTGCGATCGTGTGTTCCCCTGTCAGGTCAGTGAATTCGTAGCGGAATGTTCCTGGGCCCTGATTTTCTGTGGTCACACAGTCATGTAGAAAGAGAGGGTGTAGTGATATCTGTCCTGAAGGTTGGTGCTCCTCGTTATTTTGTTCCAGGAAAAAAAACTGATTCTCTGCTTTCAGGCGCTTTGACTTCGGGTCGTGGAAGCCGGTCGGTTCATTCTGCTTTCCTTGCCTTCTTCGTTTTACTTACCAAAACCAGGTTTATTCTTGCGAACACTGAGCAGCTGCATGAAAGAATTACCCAACTCAGCGACCGTGTCCGTCAATTAGAAGATGGGCTGCAGACCCTTCAAGCCTCTTATTCAAATGAGCCACATCCGCTGCTCACACCTGATCTCTTACGCATTAAAAACTCTCAGCTGCGCCAGTCTCCTACCACTGAGACTCATAGTCGCGACGATACGCCCAAAAATCCTGTGGACTTCCCCAATGCGCTGCGGAAGCCCGAAGATTATTCCATGGACGTGAGTACCGTGATACTGTGCACATGCCTCAGGGCTAATGACTTCCCTCCAGCGACCTAACCTTATAGTAGGTCTTCTTTTCTATTGGTGTTGGGATTCCAACTGAACCCACGAAGCCATACGGCACGTTGGCAATAGTCCCTGACATTAATATACCCTCCGACATCCTCCATCTGAGTGTCGCCTTTCCCTTTCCCTGGACGGTGGACATCGGTGTCCGCAAACGCATCAGAGATTGCCTCCCACCCATCGAGGAAACGCGCCGTCTCTGTGAACAGGCATGTCGCAATGCTCTTTGGCAGTAAGAATTTTGCTACTCGCTCGCTTTCATTAGGGTCTCATCCTACTGCATAGGTACAACCTGGACGCCTCGGAAAGCTTCTTGCAAAATCTTATACATCATTGCTATGCGTCATCTATTGAAGATCTAGGTCCCCGTCGTCTCGCTTTGCTACTTATGATTCTATCTATTGGGTCCTTGGTCGATCTACACAAGCCGCTGGGCTCGCTGCATGGCGAAGCCTACCACCATCTTGCTCGTGCTGCTGTTTGCGAAATCCCGCTGATGGAGGAACCCGATTTTGATGAGCTGCATGCATTGGTATGTACGTCATTGTACGTCATATCCGCCGCCTAGACTTGACGACCGAGTAGTTCTTTATGGTTTGGTACCATTTGGTGTTTTCGGATAACAAGAAAGCCGTGGGATATGCCTGGAATTTACTAGGGTTCATTGCGAAATTAGCGCAAGGGGTGCGATCTAGATCTCTTTCGTCTTTCTCTTGGTACTGATCCTTGCATTTGAACAGCTTGGCCTACGTACGTTGGCCTCGTTTTTTTACCTGTGTCCGGAATATACTAACTTTGAATTTCCAGACCGGGACGGCAGCAGATTGAAGGTCATCCCTGAGGAGGAAGATAAGCGGAGGTTTCTGTTTTGGGAACTGCTGAATCTAGATTGCCGACTGGTTCGTCCCTTAAAACTTTAAAGTCCACCGATCGCTGACTTGGATGCAGAGTCTGTCCCTGGGACGACCGCCATCTATTTCCCTAGCCCATGTCGACGTCAAACGTCCTAATTACCATGCTAAAGGGCTGAGTGTCTCTCGGGAAGAGATATTGTGTGAGTGGCATCTTCCTCCGATTTGATTATTGAAATAATGAATTTTGCTAGATCATGAGTGGAAGAATGCCTTCTTCATCGAGTGTTTGACTCCGATTTTGGAAGCTATGATTAGCATCACGCCCCCTGATTACTCTCACATTATAACTCTTGACAGAGCTGTCCGGACGTTTGGTGTTCCGCCCCTTCTAGACGAAAGTAGTATCGTAAACGCAGTCAAAACTCGTCTGTTATCGATGCAGCGTGCATTTGTTGCCACAAGTAGAGATATCGGTACGTTCAGTCTTGTTGTATGCCACGTATATCTAATAGCGGTATGAAGCTCTTCTCCAACTCCATCGTCGGTATTTCACGGACGCCATGAATAATTGTCCAGAGCCCTTTGACTTTCACCATCGATTCGCACCATCTGTTGTGGCGACATATCTTGGAGCATCTTCTTTAATTTCTACTGTCACCAAATTATATGACCAAGAGCAGCACTTAAGTACTCGTTTCCTATGCTTCTGGTTTAATGCCTTTTCGGCAGCTGTACGCTTCCCATCCTTTCAATCGAATCAATACTAACGACCGTCTTTTCAGGTAACATTGACATTATTCATATCGAGAGCACCATCAAGTCCTCTAGCCACGTTTGCCCTTCAAGATCTTGAACGAGTTCGACAGCTATTTATGCATGCAGCGACTATTCTCCCTTTCAGTGCAAAAGCCCTCGTGAGTGCTCTGCATGTGAGATTCGTACCCCAGGTGGCTGATCCATCGTTTCTTCTAGCCTCTGATGGAAAAGATGGGGGAAAAGTCTCGCCACTTGCATATGCAAGTGCGACGGAACTCCTTACAGGATGGCTCAATCGAAAGCGCAATGATGGACACGTCAAAAGTTCCTGGCGCCTCCAATGTTGTACTACCTCCTTCTTTCACCGATGCACATCCATCCCTGTGCCAATACGCGGAGCAGATAATGTCTACGCCAGTGTCACCTGTCTCGCGGATGTATGTATCACATCCTCAAAATGTGGAAGACGAAAGGACATGGCTGCCGGAGGTGTATCGCTTCCAGAGTGCTGGAATAACCGTCGACGACCGTTATAATTTTGCGTCGGCGCCGCCAACACCATTTTCTCCGTCTGACCCTCGTGTGGGGAAGCACGAAACCGTGAATTTCGATCACGGCGCAATCACAGTTGATCTTAGTGATACCAGCTATATGGCCTGGTTCTAGTCGTTGTTATGGGGCTAATTATTTGCGATCTTTTTTAAATAATCTTGCAGGCCTATATAACAATTGAAGTTTATTCTGCAGTGTACAGTAGATCGATTACGTAATTAAACCTGTTATGGTCGAGGGCATGACGAACCTGTACTCATTATACAGCTTGCCTTGTACTCTCACCTTTTCATTTTCTTCTACCCAATATGTCTCGAATACGAGAGGTATGGGCACCGAATCTTGAAGCAGAGATGCATACAATCCGCGAAATTATCGAAAAATACCCGTACATTGCCATGGTTCATCCTCATCATTTGTGCCACTGCTGGCGCCGGACTCACAGCATCTCATAATTCCAGGACACCGAGTTTCCGGGTGTTGTAGCGCGCCCCATAGGAAACTTCAAGACCTCTTCCGACTACCATTACCAGACAATGCGCTGTAATGTCGACCTTCTCAAGATCATTCAGGTCGGTATCACATTCGCGGACGAGGATGGTAACTTTCCACTGGAGACCTCGACGTGGCAGTTTAACTTTCGGTTTAGTGTCAAGTGCGATATTCCTTTCTTTTACTTTCCTTTCAACACTAAGGTCGACGTGGTCTATCACAGTGACGACATGTACGCTCCTGACTCGATAGAACTGCTACAGAAGTCCGGCCTTGATTTTCAGCGGCACGAGGAAATCGGTATTTCACCGCAGGACTTTGCGGAGCTAATGATAACATCGGGAATGGTTTTGGCTCCCGACACTAAATGGGTGTCTTTCCACAGGTAAGCATTGAATATCCTGTCACGCTTGCATGTCGATTAGGAGTCATTGTCTGTTCATGCGTACTTGTCTTTCTCGCGTTGTCTTACTGGCTAAGTGATTGAATACAGTGGCTACGATTTCGGTTACTTCGTCAAGCTCCTCACGGCAGTCTCGCTACCAAAGACAGAAGAAGAGTTCTTTGACATCCTTCGGATATGGTTCCCGACTGTTTATGATATAAAATTCATGATGCGGGCATGCAAGGTGCTGAGGGGTGGACTACAGGACGTGGCAGACGAGCTAGGGGTACGTCATCATCTACTGCTCCGTCCTCCAGTGCTCAACTTTTTTCAGGTTGTCCGTATTGGCAATTCACATACAGCAGGCTCCGACTCCCTCCTTACCGCCTCTACCTTCTTCAAGATGCGCGAAATGTACTTCAACGACACAATTGATGACAAGGAGTATTCGGGGAAGTTGTACGGCTTTGGGCAGACGTTCCCGTTAACGAACGGTCTAACGGATCCTGGGCGGGGTGGGGCGACCATTGCAGAAAGAGAAGACCGAGGGACGTTGGCTTCTAGGGACAACCATGCGCAGACACCCGGGCAGATCGCTGCCGGCATCGCGCAGACACCAGTTGGTATGGGTATACCCATGTCCATACCAACACCCCTACCAAATGGAGCATATGGACCACTATCAGCGAATGGACCATATATGAGGACATCGCTTGTCGGTGGAGGTCGTTAATTGTTTTCCCCCCTCGTCTTTCGTTCGTTGTTTTCTGTACAGAGTAAGATGGATCGTCTATGTTGTGTACTTGTCGTTATGTTTATTAGCATCCTTTAACTCACTCCTTTTGGTTTTTGAGTGGTCGATTCTGCAGAAAAAACTAATTTTACAAGGCTGTATCAATATTTATATATCGTTCGATTTACTCCTGCTCCTTTTCCTGCTCCTTCAGTCTCCTCAGTCGGAAATGCCGAGAACATGTCCTTTAACTTGTCAATAGGCATAGTGAGGAATCCAAGGAAGGTTTCATATGGCGGTTTGTTCGGCGCAGAAGGATGGGCACTGGAAGAAATGAATGAACTGGTACGACACATCAGTAGTAATCACTTACGGCGTTGGAACGAATTTCTTTGTTGTTCGGAAGCTGTTGGCTGTTTTCGTACTTTTCTCCACACCGAGCACAGGCTCAAGAAGAGGAAGGTCCTTTCTTTCTTCGTTATCGTTGTGCTGGTGTAAGTGATCCATGATTTGCTTCGGCTGCGTTTGATGGTCTTGAGATCCGGGCTCCATATTTTCGAGGTCGCTCAGCATCTCTTTGACACGCTATGGTTGTATTAGCATGTGGTCTATGTGGATGCAATCGTTGATAACTACAAACCTGATGGTCATTGCGGTCTTCATCGGCTAACTCGAGTCCTTTCTCTCCCAGATGTTTTTCCATCAGAGGGTAAACAACAATTTCTTCTCCTACGGCATGGCGAGCAATTTCCCAAGTAAGCTGCCGAGACCAGCGAGCCTGAGCGTCCTGTATTTCCGCTGGCTTTGACATAATGATCATAGTATTCATACATCTAATGAAAGACAGTTAAATTCATGAAGAGGAGACACGAAGAGAGAGCGGAACAGTGTACCTCCTCATGGTCCTCCTTGATGGCGGCGGTGAGTGTCCTTTGAGCTTGATCTGTCGCCATGGTCCGAGATGGTAGATTTCTTCTTGAGTATGTTGGGTTCAGGCTCAAGCGGCTCAGGGATACAGAAATGTTCTGGCAAGATAGTAATGGAGTCGTAGCATTGCCAGTGCTCCACAGTTCACAAGCCATATATCTGACGTTTGAACTTGAAAAGGATGACATCACCCATATGCATGACCGTCTACCTGCAGGAAACTCATTGAGTACATGCGTATCGTCACTCATTACGAACATACGATGAAGTGCTGGTGTGACGCGCTTCAGATCTCAGCGATGTGTAGTCCAAATTCGGTCATTGAAGTCATTGAACAAGAAATCAGTCAATCAAAGATTATCGAGAACCTTTCGCCGATATGGATGTCTTGGAAGGCGGAGACTACCGTCAAACGGCGAAAGGAGTCGGACTCTATGTTATGTATCATCATGTGCCTTGATTAAGGATGGGACTTCTACTTCTGGTCATGGCCACCATGGTGCGCGACCACGTGCAAGGTACCATCCCACCCACGATGGATCAGCTCTCTAGCCTTTGGAAGTGTCGTCGCAGTCAGTCATCGCAGAAGTACCACCGCCGTCTGCTCACGTATATCGTGTAGCAGCTCAGGTTCCGACGGTACAAGCGACGCGACTGCAGTCGACAATGCCTCCAGCCTGAGAACTTGAACTGACTGCAACGAAAAGTTAGTTAGCTAGCCCCGGAGAAGATGGAAGTGTCTGTGACGCATTTTAGGGGAGGTACTTATCTTTCGCTCTTTATATACCTGTCAAAATTAGTTCGGAGTCATCGTCGCATATTTCAAGCGCCCTAAGTCAAGTCAAGTAGTGAGGGCTCGGCAACGAGACTACTATGCGCTTGACTAATCTTTTCCCAAGTTTGCCGTTGCTATGGGATGTCCCTTAGACCTTGCTCTAGTCCATTGAACGCGGCGCGTAAAAGCGGTAGTAGTGGACCCAGTTGGTGGACCATAGATAATATTAATAACATCTAATCTGTGTGTTTATTTATATACATCCACTATCATAACGCAACTGGATTTCACAAGCCTCCTACTGACCTCTAGAGGTTAGAAGACCATAAGCCTATCAACTGCTATTGTCCTTCAATACAGAAGATGTTCCGTGACGTGGGTACGTATATACGATCGCTCCCGGGATCATTTCTTGCAAACTTGGTAGTTTAATGTCCGTTTCAATGTTTTCGCAGCCTTTCAGCTCAAAATCAACAACAGCTCTCTAAAGCGGCTAATTTCAGCTCCGCGAACTGCGCCTTTCGTTCAGGTCCATGGAACTGCACTGCCATCGCAGTCGTTAAATATGCTGCGCGCCTAGCCTATGCGCCATCGGCTCGGCTCGGTCTGCATTCCCCGTAGTTGGCCATTGCTGTGTTGTGAACTTTAAAGCCGCAACGGTACCACAGTGTGTGCCTTTCGCTAACGGCGCGCTCAACTCCTCCGTGTAGAATTCGTCGGCCATCGGGTTGATGTGTGCATGCGACCACTTTCATTTACTCTTATGTAGAAAGACGCCTCAAGGCTCTTTGCTTTGATAATACAGATATGACAGGTCCACGCATTGTCGTTGAACTGAAATCTCCGCTGCCTGATAATCTTCTGGCATTCTTTTCTTTGCATCAATGATGGCGATTCAGAAACAGCAGGTACACGCCTGGTTAACACGATTTCATTATTGAGACTGAGCTCAAAAATATTAATCACGGCATGATCATTGATGCTGGTTAATGAATCCCCGCATGTAAATACTTACACAGAGTGTCCCCGCGTCAACGGTGCGAGAGCTGCTGGAAAGCTTAAATAAGTGATGGGTTGTATGTCCGAATCATCCAAAGATGGTATGATATCTGAAACCATCACACCATCTCCACCTACGCAAAGAGATCAGCGTCTTCAAATAGAAAGGGGAATAAAACGTACGTAGTTGCTTGGGAAAATTCCCTTCTGACCTTTTGAATTGAATCCTGGACTTCTAATTAATCATTGCCGGAAGATGCGGTCACCGTTCTCCTACCTTCCCACCATCCATCGCCGTAATGCTGACCACCAGTCGGACCACTCGACAACTCAATGACTTCACCCTCTCTAAGACCAATCTCATCATGACCGCCCGCTTCGTATTGATAGATCACCCTGACTGGGACCGGTGATACAGATCAGACTGCGCAAGCACGTACAATGGCAAAGGGATTAGGCGCACCGTATTGACCTGACCCTTGTTCCTTGCCGGCAGATTTGAAAGAAGATGGGGTAGGAGTAGGGACTAAATCTTCTTCGCCGTGCGCCAAGTATGTTGCAGGGACTAGTCCATCGTTGCCACGAGTACCGGCTACTTTTACCCATCCGGAACCGTCATCTGGTTCCAGAACACTGACCATGGCGCCATCTAATACGACAGTAAGCAGAAAAGATATGTAACCTTTGATGAAAACTCACCTTTGACACTCAGTTCAAACTCGGACGTAGCATTGAAGTCGAAGATGACCTTGGCTGTAGGATAAGAAACCTCTTCTTCATGAGCTGGCTGGACAAAGGAAGACGGCGTAGGGGTCTGCAGTACAGATGGCGCTAGAAAATGATATTTAGTACATACACTTGGACCCGAAGGAACCACATGCTGGCAGTGGTCGAACGCGAACTTGTGCTTGTAGACTTCCGCGAAAGCATAGATGAGCTGCGTGATGCGCCGCCCTGCTGACAGTCAGCGGGCACCTAGGTAGTTAGGCATCGGTTATCATAGAGCTAAAATGCACCAGATAGGCATCTTACTTTGAGCTCACACTTAGAATGGACCGATATCCCACAGACTTTGCATGTCTTTCCCTGCTTACTGAGGCCCCATATAGACGTCTATAAGCTTGAGTTAAGTCGAAAGATAGGACGGGAGTATATTATTAACCTGACCTGACAACAAGCGCAAGTTGTGGGGATAGAAAAAGATGAGCTCTTGAAAGAATGTGGTCGTTGGGCCCCCAAATCATCTGGAGCCTGGATGAGAAGCACCAGATAGACTGAAGACTGCGTACAGACCTCCAACGGCGGCGGTAATAACCTCTATTTCGGCATTCAAGATACATTCCGACGACCCAAAATGTACCAGCTGGTGTCGACTTTCCATGTAACTCTATATTAAAACGTCAATTAACGTCATCCTTTCGCTAAAACATAATGATAGCCATACCTCTGTTATTTCATCAGCGTTCCCTAGTGACCTTTCTGCGTCGTAAGCGGCCTCGAGCTTGGCGAATTGTTCCAGTTCTCGTTCTATAAAAAAAGTTTACTCAGAAGAATGATAGACGGATGACAGTTATTACACACTCTTATTGTCAATCACAGGTCTGAGCTCTTGCAACTTGCTTCGACTCTTGCTGAGTTTGTTCTGCAAAAATACTTTTGGCGCGGGATCAACACTCAAAGTTTCCTACATCCTTCAGATGATAAGCGTATTACGTAGAAAGAAGATCACTGACAGTGTCATAAAAAAATGCACAAGGTTCGAATTTCCAGTCATTGGGGGCACTGAAAGGACGAATATTATGATCACAGAATAGATCCTGGTCCTTCGAAGGGTTGACTTCTGCCAAGGATCTCTCAACGGCGGCTAATCGACTCTTCAGGACATCCAAATGATTGGACTGAATCGCTTGTGCATGCTGGAGGATCTTAGTAAATCGCTCGACGAGTCGGCTCTGAAGGAGTTCTAAGATCACCCGCAGAGCATGTGCATGAGCATTAAGGCTGTCAATCAACGACACAGATACATACGCAATTGCTAGAGGATAAGTCAGCTGTCGGGATCATGTCAAGTATGCCACCGCAGAACACGTACATCCTCTAGGCCTGGTAGGTCATCTTTGTAAAATTTGGCTTTTATCTTGTTCGACACCTCGATGGATATAATGTATGAACTATGGAGATACAGGTGAACGGGCGTTCCTGGTACAAACACGAATTCATCTCACTTTTTGCAGTTTAGCATGTCATTGCGTTGTTGGTCTGCTTGTTTTGCGATACGCTCCGCATGTCGGTCGTCGTGTGCTCGTCCCTAATGCGCTTGATCAGGTGCCTGGGAGACATATGGGAGGAATTCGAACTCAACCTGCTTCTGACGATGAAGGTCTACTTCGCCACATTCTTCATCGTACTGGGGGCAAATCCGTTAGAGAGGTCCACGGTGTATAAATCTTCTAATTACCTTTGCTTTGTTCTGCCGGCCGGCCATTAGATTATTGATTCAAGAGGCCGATTGTCAACTATATTGCAGGAAATGGTTCTGACCTTGAGACGTTCAGCGTAAGTACGATCCCTATCTGAGACCAGCTTCTGGAAAAATTGCATCTCCTGTTCCCAATCACAGAGGTGAGTTATTTGAAATCACTCGCGAACGTCGGGACATCGTACCTTCTTCTTGGTTTCCTCGTTTTTGCGCCCTAAAGCTTTGAGAACGTCGACGACCTGAGAGGTCAGAACTTCGGCTACATTTACGTGATCTTCGGCGGTGTTCGTCATGGATTGAATAATTCCATCATAAGCGGTATTCAGGGTACTGAAAAGCCCATTGTGAGCAGGGTGGAGTTGGTGCCTCAAGGATAGTTACCTCTGCTTCAAGGTACGTTCGTCCCATGCTTTGGTGGGGTCATCTCCGACTACGAACGAGCTCTCCATTTTACTCTTCTTCTCTGTTGCTTTCTTTGTCAATGCCTGAAGCTTGGTAGCATATTCGCGCTCCAAAGCGACACGATCCCTATACAAATCACGGACCTAAACTGCAAGTGAGAAGAGCAAGCAAGGTCCGGGTGACACCTACATCACTGATGACCTCTAGATGGGAGTCAAATAATGTCGCAATTCTTTCCACTTGATCCTGTTGAGTGCGTTGTTAGTCCGACTTTTCGTCGATACCACGGAGGTAGACATCGATGTGGACGAACAGGTAGAGTGGTGCCATATCGTTGGCCAATCGCCTGCATCTCGGTGTTCGGTCTAAGTCTCGCGCAGGGCCGCAGCGATGCCTGATGGTACACAAAAATTCCTCCGAGAGAAGTAGTAGGCAGTTCAAGGTCTGACAAGCCGTCGGTTGCTACTGCTAAGGCTGATGTCATGGTTGTGGCGGTGCAAATGTCATGAATTTGCTTCCCAAGTTGAAGTTCTTCTGCGAGTGCGACGCGAATAATATTCGAAGGCCTTCACTTACAGGCTCCCGTGCAACTCACTCCGAAACTTGGACGGGTAGAACCGTCCGTGTGCAGTATCAATAGTCAAGCATTCCGTCACCCACTTATTTAAGCCTCCGCGGTGCAAGGTTGGCAGCTAGTACACAGCTCGTCAAAAGAACTAGCCCGAGCACGGCTACGGACTTTGCGGGAAATTTTGAAAGGAGAAATCGACTTAACGCCACTGCACCACGCAGAGTACTAGTTCAATCCAACCTTGAGTCTTATGAACATCGATCCACCTTCTTGTATTTCGAACGCCAAGTTAGATGATTCCTTGCTCCGAGGTAGTCCAAGGCGCAAGTTGCAGGAAGGTTCACCTAGAACGCGGCAATCGAGTCACCGATTCACTTCTACTGGTCGAGTAAACGGAGAATACATAACATTCGGAGGCGGCGTCCTTCGGAAATCGGATCGTTGTAGTAAATATTCACCGGCATGGGTTTCTCGGAAAGATTTGTCGCGCGACTTACCCTGAGAATGCCATGATTAAAATCACCAGGACCCGGAATACGTACATGTAAGGAACACATTGCTCTGAATGGATTCAAACGCGCAGTAGGAGCGTTCATTAATAAATGGCCCGATCCACATGGAAGCCTACGAAGCCAAGTTAGAAGAAATCAGGTCTTCTCTTCGTAAAGAAGAATATTCTGCCGCCATAATTCCCCTCGGCGGCTGGGGCGCGTGGTACAAAAGTGAAATATGGGCGTCAGATACGGGCGTTCAGAATGCGACTGGGAAATCGGGTAGAAATTCCCTGTTTCTCAATCAAGAAAACCGGAGAAAAATGAAGAACGCGGGGTTCAGGGCTGAGTAGAAAATTTTCGAGGTTCAAAAGTCTAACAACCTGCTGGGAGGGACCTGGAGACCGACCGTTATCCCGGATGATGCCGGATGGGCGCGATTACTTCATCATCTGTGACCGATTGTGACGCATTCGACATTTTTGCATTTTGATCGATTTATGTTGCGTTTCGATCTTGGCGCCTTGCACAGCTGCAGCGTTTTCGTGAATCTGCAGGCAACGTGCCCTACAGGCGATGATTAGATCTAATAGAGCTAGGCAATGATGCCTGGACTGCTCTGTCGCTACCACACTAGTGGTTCATATCGACTGTCGCGATTCCTGATGTGTCACATCTCCGCGGTCCGAAGACGGATGTGGCCTCAACTTCCCTGCCCGCGCCGCATTACTTGGCTCACGACACGTCTGGACGCCAGTCACCCCCTTTCAGTTGTCTAGTTCTTCGTAAGTATAGCATCGCAAAAAAATATGCCGTTGTTTTTTGCCGGCGTAACGGGGGTCCGAAATAAGCACCAACGGGATTAATCCTCACCATGATTTCATGGACCGTATACACGCGGTGGGACTTCGCACAGGTATAAAAGCATATTGAAAATCCTGCTGATGCCCTTGTCGAGCTCCCCCACCTTACTTGCCTCAAGTTCCTCTACTGGCAGCTGTTGCTCGCACCTTACCCCGCCTCACGTCCTCTGTCATGTTTAACTCTTCCACCATGTCGCACTGTCGCCCTTGCACTTTTCGTGCTTTTCTCGTGTCTTTCAATGGTCTCTGCTGCTCCAGTACCCCATACCGCAGAAATCGAAAAGAGAACCTGACCATGTGGGCCGTGTCAGTATTTCCCCCTCCTCACGATTTCCGTCCGTGTACTGACTGTATTGATTTCTTACAGGGAACATGGTTCTACCCGGGCAAGGGCAATTGCGGCTATATTGACGGCAATAATGACAAGATCCTTGCAATGTCGAAATCCTTTTACGATGCAAACGGCGGTTCAAACTGTAATCAGGTCCGTTCTTTGCAATTATCCTAGGTACCAACAGCGCCCAATGTTGTTTGTTCATTCAGTGGGTCTCAATCGTCAATGAGGGTAACGGCAAGTCAGCGTATGGTCTTCTAAGGGACAGTTGCGAGAGCTGTGGATGGGACGATATAGGTACGAAGCCCGAGTCACCCGATATATACACCCGTTGACACTATTCTTTGACTTCAGACATGTCCCCGGGCCTTTTCGAAGAACTTGACGATCTCTCAACCGGGGAGCTCACAGTCAAGTGGCACTTCATGGCAAAGTCATGGAGCCCGTAAGCGCCTCCCAACCATCCTATCCCCACTCCCGCTTGCCTTCACCTTCATCGGGTTTTACGATTGTTTTACGTTGGAATTATTTAGACATGTCAGGAATGTCGCAAGGAATGAAGTTTCCAATTGGTGTATCAGTATGTAACGGATACCTGGTGGTCTTATATCTTTACAAACTACCATTCACGACCCCGAGGCTCTGGAGCCTATTGTTTGTTTGACGACTGTTTTATTCATGATGTGCAATACCTTTTTTGCTAGATCCTTGTACCTACATATGTAGCTTTCTGCGGATACTAGTCGAATGTTTATTTGAATTGTTTTTTTAACACTTCGTTAAAGTTTCGTTGTGATGGATAGATGTACAATTGATGGTAAGTAAATGCCAAGAAACAAATGTCTCGTAAATCGACTAAGTCGTAAAGATACAAAACAGGGGAAATGGTCGTCATGAGCGTTCGTAAATTGGTACAAATGAGGAATGGTTGGAGACTCAACGTTAGTAACGGATCAAAAATTCAGCATAATAACCAAAAATGCCACGACGAAACAGTAGGCTCTGTTAGAACCAAGCATTTGACCCGCATTGTTACTCTGGGTAGCCGCTTGCGTCGTCGACGCGGCGGTGGATTCGGGGGTGCTTGATCTGGAAGTGGACTGAATTGAAGAGGACAGCGCTAATGATGTCGGTAATAGCGACGAGCCGGACGGAAAGAAAGTGGAGGTCGAGATCGCCGTAATCGTTGCAACGGTCGTCGACACTTCTGAGGTGACAGACGGCCTGGCAGAGGACGGCGTATTGGTGGAGGACGTTCCGCCTGTGATCTCGGATCCTGTGATGGGTATTGGGGTGCTGATTATACTTGTCAGGCTACTCGCACTACTGGTACTAGTGGTAGCGCCACTACTGCTTGAAGAAGGTGGATCTTTGAATTGTGAATTTCGGACTCGTATTACCCGAGTCACCGAACACTATAAAAGGCGTGGTGGGTGGTTGGTTGGTACTGCGGTAAGGCCTCACGTTCATATGGACTACTTCACAGACAATAATGTAGTCATCACGGGGCTCAACATCAGGAACCGTTATGTCGGCATGACCGTCTGTGAGCTGAAAGTTGCTGGCGAGTGGATTATCTAGGTGGATGCGGCGCGATAAGAGAGTGCGCTGAATATCCAGGTATGCCGTAAGAACTTACCGAGATCCAAGTTCAAGCTATTATTCGCCTGGTATCCCAACACAATTTTCCCAATGGGATTCGTTATTTGTGAAGCATTTGTTGGTATGTCCGTTGTATTCCTATGATGTATTGATAAACATTTAACTTGGTTCTACGAGAAAAAAGACACAAAATACCAAGTAACCGTTACGGTCTGTCCAACAGTCCATATAGTACCTGCAGTGGGGCTCGTGATAGGAGGGGAAATAACATCGCGAGAGATAAGAGGAAGCGCATGAACGAAGACGGAGGAGAGGAGGAGGAGAAGGGCATGAGTATACATCATAGAATCGTCTTGGGAGAAGACGTGGACTGATGGAAGTTCGTCACAAGTCCATGTCGCCGCCTGATCACTTTTATACCTGTCTGTGTTTGCTGCTCGCATGGGCCGTGAGAATTTTCAGCCGATAAGCGGGATCGACACGCCCACGTGAGCATCTCCTCCGATTACATTCAAATTTCGACAGCAACTTCCAAACTACTCGACACAACGGCTAACTACTTGGTGATACTAGAATTAAGTATTATGCTACGTATGTAAGATATAGTAGTGCGGGGAGAGGCAGAGAAATGTTCCAGGTTCGAATACATGTTCAGGGGCAACTGATAACGATCATCAACGATCTCATGAACGTTTTCGTTTTGGCTGGTTTCGTTATTTCATCATACAGTGCCGTGTCGTGAGATTTAGGCCTCGATAGCGAAATATTCGCCCCTGTTGCCAGAGTCACCCATCACTGAGGGAATGTGTCAGATCGAAAATTAAAGACGATTTTAGGAACGAGTACTACTCACAGACGATCTGATATTGGGTGCCAGGTGCGACCTGAGGCACTTGAACTTCTTGTCTGCCGCTGGTGATGTCGAAACCCGATGCAAGAGGATGGTCTAAGGAAGAAAAATATGAGCCTACAGACTCAACGGTCAAGCGTGGTGGCAAACATACCGACATCGAGACGCCCATTGGTAGACAGGAAGATCACTCCTTCTGGGTTCGTGATGCTTGCAGGCGGGTTCGACGCGTCCCTGTAGTAGAGTTAAAGGCGAGTATGGAGAGCAGGGGCGCGATTTGCGTACCAAGTAACATTGTGGCGGCTTCCGACCTTCCACGTCGTACCCGAGCCAGGGTACTTGACTGGGGGAGAGTATACATCTCGCGCAGCTAGGGGAGCGGAGACGACGACATTGAAGACAATGAAAAGCGTAAGGAAAAACGTGGTGATGAAAGAGTTCATGATGATACGTGAATGAGAACCTGAGGTCGCTCTATGAATTCGTAAGAGAGAGTAAGAGGGATGTTGAAAGTCTAGGACGATGAGAAACTCTCCAATGCCCGTCCCTCTTATATAGGGTAAACCAGGGTCGTAAATTGGATCAAGTTAAGACTTAGGCCGGTTGTGTTATGTTTGTCACAGTAAGAGCATCGCCTGAGCTTGAGCTAACCAGTGCGTAGCATTCATCGGGGCGTACGTAGCATGTGGCCTTTTTACGCGGCGAATCTTCAATCTCATCAGGTCCTCTTTATCATCGCCCGCTGTTCCGCTGCTTTCGCCAACCTTGATGCTTCTTTCTCTGCGTATCTGAAATGGTGTGCTCAGCAATAATTCCCCGTAGACTCTCTTTCAAGTCGCAGTGCAATTGAACAACATACACTTGAAACAGTAATTCAGACACAACACGTTTCGGCAATACACACGCTTTACATGCTTAGTCAATGTGCACGTTCATTCCCCATTTCAATTCGATTGAGAGCCGTGCCTCTTCTTCTCACCGATTGACTTTTCCTCTATAACGGCACGGGAACTATATCACTACCGTGAACACCATACGTATCAGTTGAAGTGGATGAATTCTAGGTACAAGTCAGTTATTGTATCTCGGGACGGTACTTCACTGACCGGTAACGACCAAAAGGTGAAGCGAAGCGGCACCCTACTTACCTCGTTTTTGGATCAGTGACGTCTTCCGCAGCATACTCACGGCGGTCGTAGGGCTTCTCCTCCCCCCGTCCTTGACGTCTTACCTTTCCACCGCCGTTCCTGGATTCACATTACAGCGAATCCTTTAAACGCCCGTTCATTTCCGCACTGCAGCAAGGTAATCTCAGCATCGCAAAGCCGCAAATGCCACCATGGTGCGAGTGAAGCGTCACTGGTGGTCAGCTGCCTGTTCTTTGCCCGGACCAAGGAATTACTAGCTCATTCTTCGACGCTACTGCACCAGTCCATCGCCATTGCGTTGTCTTCAATTAATAAATTTACCTGAATCTGGGGAATCTCCACGAGATGAAACTTTCTCTTCCTGTTACCGGTATAATCTTGTCCATAGTTTGCCTCTCGCAACGTCAGAGAGCGAATGACAAGTAAACTTTACTGTCGTAGTTGAGAAGTTCGAGATCGTATCCACCGCAGTCTGCATAACCGATGACTTCCTCGTACCGAGGCGAATCGCACGTATCTTTGAGCTTTGATTTCGTGATATATACAATTGAAACTCCCAAAGGTCGATCGAACACCTTACAACTTGATGCCTTGAACCCACATACTTGTGCGATTACGATTGTCGCCCAAACACCACCATTTCTCCATCACCTCGGGGGTGATCTTCACAGGATAGTCAAAGAAATCGAGGGCGCCCGTCCCAACACGAGTCGGTGCATCCCAAAGCGAGACTGTACATGTTGATTTGAGTTCCAACCCCGACCAAAATGTATACCATAGCTTACTTTGTTGGGCATCGAAAGGTGCGCCCACCTGAAACGATCCGCAGCCAGTAGGGAGACCGAGGGATATCGCACCTCCGCGAGTAGCAAGAAAAAGGGACTCGATCCAGTCTACAGCCAAGGAGGGTTCGGATCCAGAGTTCATGATATTCAAACCTTGGCGCATTCTGGAAGTGACAACAGCTTGCCTCATGGCGTTCATGATATCAAGACTGTATCCCCCTGCCACATCGGTGCCCAACCCTATCTTCAGTCCTTGATCAAGGGCTTCCCGAAGGCGAAAGGGCTCCGCGGAGAAATACGCATTGGATAAAGGACAGTGCGCTACGGCTGTACCGCACTCGCGAAGCTGCGAAAGCGAAGGGACGTCAAGAAACGTGCAGTGGGCTTGTATTGTCCGAGGAGTCAGAAGATTGTTCTGGGCGGCGAAGTCAGTTACCAGTAATGCGACGGAGACGGTTGAACCTACGCGATGAAAGACGAAAAGGTCCTCTTCCCCTCGTTCTGATCGCACCGCTTCGACCTGATCGTGAGACTCCGCGAGATGACTCTGAATTCGAAGGTCTTGGGATGCCACCAAATCACCTAGGCCTTTAAGCAGGGCGTCCGAGCATGTAGGAACAAATCTTGGTGTTATTACTGGTTCTATCAAACGGGACGAAGTATATGTGGACTTTATCTTGCCAACGAAGGATCGTGCAGCATCAAGGGAAATTTCGGCAGATGCTTCGATATATGATAGGCGAGAGGATTGGTCCATCGAAAGTTTACCCACAAAAGCACGAATTCCCGCCCTGTTCATAACGTCGGCGAGAATGAGACTGACCCATATTCAATTGGATTATTCATTAATCACACAAAAGGACGTACTTGGTTTCCTCCTTGATGGTTCCGAAGAGCAAAACGGCTCCAGTACCATTCTCTACTAATCGCTCAGCGAGTCGGGTATACGCACTTCGGGCCAGTGCAGAGTCTGCGTCAAGGCGTTCCTCGGCCTTGAACGCGTATTCATTCAGCCATTCCATCAGAGGCAAATGGAGTCCATTTCCTTGATAAAGGAACTGGGGCGCATGTAGATGGAGGTCGCAAAACGTTGGTAGAAGAAAACTACCTTCTGGTAGCTGCAAAGGCAGTTCGTCTGTGTTGACGAGAAGCTGTGTCGACTGGGAAGAGGCGGCGGCGTCGAAATGAGTGATAAAACCAAGATCATTGACAGCTGCAAATTCAACGTTTCGTCGATGACAGCATGTCGAATCAGTTCGATTCGAACTTGCCTAGCAGATAATCATGCAGGATCTCCAAACCAGAAGAACTCAGGCAGTGAACGAAGGTTCCTCTTACTAGCATGGTGGATAGAGCGAAGGGCAGCGAATCTGAAAAAGGCAACTTCATTCCATTATGGATACCGCTTTCTAAATAAGTGCCCGTAAAAATTAGCCAATAATACCCGATGAATCTTAAGTACAAAGTAATAAAATAACCATGCGACCAGTTGGTCTATCAATTTATGAGCCACATTGTTCCGACCAGGCAGCTGAGCATCCACAGTCCACTGCTTCCCCACGAGCGATGGCTAGAAGCACCAGAGATGACGTGCGTTGCAACATTCGTCGGTGCGGATATCGTGACAAACGAGTCAGTTGGACCAGCTCCTTCTGTCGTAGGTGAAGCCGTTGCGGGGCCACTTCTCTCGACAGTTCCAGCTCCGATGTATGTTTGCCCGAGAGCATTAAGGCCGCCATCAGCGTCCAAGAGATCTACGACGGTGGTCAATCACACATACTACCAATGATTGGAGGACTTACTATAGAATGTGCTGTTCTCGGGTCTCTGAGAGAGAATGAGTGGATGTGATAGACAAGCAAATGTGACATACGAAGTAACCGAACCATGCATATCGTTCAATCCAATCAAGACTTTCCAAATATGTGGTAGTTTGGTTGATGAATTGGAGGACATCTAGAAGCTGTTCAGACTCAGCCAGGCACCTGTTATAAAGTCCTACCGGTTGCGTTCCCCTCTGTGTCTGCGTATTCGGTCACCCACACTGTGTGGTTGGGGTATTGACCATGAAGAGACCAAAGATAATCATAAAATCCTGCGGTACCCTCGCCGTACCTGAAAAGAGTTACTGACGGAATACAGGAGTTGATGGAATTTGTTGCTCACCAGTGAACCGTCAGGAAATCAATAGTACAGTTCGAGCATGCAGTCATAAACTGTCTTAGCCATGGAAGTCCTGTACTAGAACTGGTGATAGCAGGGCCTCCGAGACGAACGCCCTCGTCTTTCAGCGGATCGATGTACTTTTGCCATAACTCGGCGGCATATGTAGCATCTAGGTTCGATTGTTGATCAAAGTCCGGTTCGTTAAACGTCTACGGTCATCAGATATTAGGCGGGATGCGACTAACGTCGATAGGCAACATACCAATAACGTCTTGGCACTTTGGTTCTTAATAGCTGATGCGAGGTTCTCGATATTACCTGCGCCCCATTGCATAGGGACGTACTCGATGCTTGTATTGACGAGGTAACTCGGCGGCGAGAGTGCCCAGTCGTATATCCACGATATAACACTTTGTGTTTGATTTATGTTGAGAACATCCTGGGGGTTATTCGTAGCGGGGAACGTTATGCCTCGTTTAGAGTTTTTTTTAGCGACTGCTAGGGTTGGGGCGACGATGAGGAGCCAAAGAGCGAGGAGGACCATGACGGGTGAGTGCAGAAACATACGAGGGCCAAGGCGGGGACGGAGAAACTGAATCGAGGAGTATTTGAGCACCTGGTCTCTTGCGGTGTTTCTCACTCAGCCGAAACTTCTTTCAGGGCGAACTGTCCAGTGTTACGCGCGTCGAAGGCACCAATCAAGCACATCATATCCAGTACAGAATGACGTCTGACGAAGCAAGACGTCAGTTAAGGCTCAACACGTTCCTGCGAGTATCTTGAATCATCGATTCCGCCTCGTATAGTGTGTTCAGCTCTACAATTACGCCGCCCGAAGGGGGTACACCCGCAGAAACGGAGTCTCGGACGAGACAGAATCATTGATGATGACAATCACCGTGTACCTAACAATGTAAGAATGTCAGCTTGTTCCGTTTGAATTACAGGAACCAAATCTATATTGATCATGAGAAAACATACCCTTGAGGAGGGCTCCGAGGGCAATAAGGCTATGATACCGCTACGAAAGCGTGTGCGTAATTGAATGAAGAACGCGTAAAAAGAACCAGATTTTCGATGCCCTGACAGTATTTATTAATTTTACCCCTGCCATGGGTATGGCCCATGTGCTCGCAGATCTATAGTTGTGCAGTCTTGTGCACTGAGTCCTCTTGGCCCGTCTTTATGAAAATGACTGTCTATAGTCGGAGAAAACTTGCAAAGACATGCCAAGTCAGTCTGAAATTCCGAGGTCAAGATACTGCCTTGCGACTCATTGACGGACGCGAAGATGGCGTGCCTTTTAGGGCGGTGGTCGAGAAGAGGATTATATGCAGGGTCGCGCTTCTTCTCCGCTGATGACTAATCATCTCATGCTCGGACAAAATAATCGTCATCCCTCGCGATCTAAATTGCAACATGCACCTCCTGATTGTTCTGAATGAACAAGAAAAAGCTTTCGACTTGCAAGCTATTTATGACACAATACCACTTTTTTGCGACAGCAGTGTTTAGCTCTAGACACAATGGTCTGGCCGGTCTGGTCAGCCCTTCTCGGTTCTCGGTTGGCTCTAAGAATCGCGTATTCTGGCGCAGCCCATCCCTCGGCGAAAAGGCGTCAGGATGAATATACCGGACAATCCCTAATTCATAGGTCCGGGTCCTACGGAGATATACACGGACGGACTCTGTTAAGTACAGAGGTATGATTCATATTACTCTCACCTCGTCGTCTAAACGATCTTCTAGTATATATCAAGCAACGTCAGAAATAATGAGACTATAAAGGTCTGTCCAGTCTCGTTCTGTGGCCTAACGACCTGGGACTAAGGGATCACAGTAAGCCTGATATCCTCTTTCGCTGAACTAGAAGGTCACTGTACTTGTAGGAAACTTTGTTGCCATCAGATGAACGTCCACGTTTACGTGCCAGTGCTCCGCCTTATCCTCTATTCACCTCGTCAAAATGCCTTTTTTAATAAATGTTATTTTCCCAAAGCGCTTTTCACCAATGTAAAGCGCTCGTCACTTCATCCTCGTGTATCCATCCGATTTACTGGGCGGTTATATACTAGAATCCTGTCACACAGTCCGTCCCTTCAGGTCAAACATTCTGATGGTCCCTCACGTCGCACCCGCCGGCACCTGTCTGTATAAGGAACCAACTTGCTGAAAACTCCGACAGCATCTTTTTATCGAGAATCCTTTCGTGAGATAAGGAGAACATCTTTCGAAGAACTAGAGATGCATGTACATTCTTTTTGCCCCCGAAGCTTCGCTCATTATCGCACCAAGTATATTTGGTTCCCCATGGCCCTGTGATCCATGCAGAAGAACGGAGAGAACGGGAATGTCAAGGATCGTGGCGCCAGAATGTTTAAAACCAAGCCGAGGAGGACAAATTGCAAGGCCATACTACCGAGGTAGATTTCTGACCTCGACGTCACACAATTGGTTGACTGACTGCATAAATTCAAGGCGTTAATGGCACATCCAAGTCACTGTTGGTTTAAGCTATCCCGGATTTCGGATATTCTACAGAGACCAGATCAGAGCTGAAGAGCTTTGAATGTCCCTAAGACGGAAGTCAGGGCTCAGCTATTCTGTTGACTCGGTTTCTAGGTTCTTAAACCCCCGTCATTCAAGTATTTTTCCGGAAGCTTGTTACGGTACAATATCAGTGCTTGTCAGTCGCGCGCATTGAAATGCCGAACGTCAGGTCTCCATTTCAACGGAATTGCCGCCTTGTTTCAACCGACTCCGAACATACTTGTCACGTTTACGCGAGGGAGTAGACTCACGGAGCAGTTGCTCCGGCACTCTGCATTTTCGCGTTCTTGTTATAGCACGACTCCTGGATGCTAGGCAATTCTACTTATGGTCACTTACTATGACCCTGGAGGAAAATTGCCGCTACTCCCATTTCCAATCGAAGAGGGTCGTAAGTCGATCCGCACTACACATGCTCGAGTTACGGTACCGAGCACTCCGGGCTAAAAGACATAGCCTACGGTCAAATCTCGACTCTGTTCACGTCGAAGAAGTCCAGTCGAAACGGAGCACTATAGGATGGGCGGACGAGGATATGCCTACCGGATATTGACAGGCATGTCGGGAACATTCAGTTCACCGACACGTACACCTTTGCACGGGATCAAAGCTGTGTCCCTTAACAGAGCATCTCGACACTTGCTCCGGATTTCTTTGTCGGGTTTCGATATACAGCGCCGTTTTCCGCTACATTTTACGATAACCATTTCGGCTCTTCTTCGGCTTTCATTGGCAGCGTCGTTCAGACTCCCGCCCTTCCGAAGGGACGCGCTATTTTAAAGACCTGCAGCGGTGTATGGCAAATGATCAGCTGCCTTGCTGCCTCGTTGGACGTGGGCTCACCCGAGAATTGAGCTTCAGATATGGACAAAAGCGCCAGATGACCCATGGGTGCATCCTGGTTTGTACCCATGTCCAACACCCTGTCTTCTACACTGATCTGATTACAGATAGGATGTTTATTTATGCCCAAGGCTGTGACCAATGTTCTAAAACCAAGTCATGGTTAACCCCCGGAAACTCTTCTTGCAAGCAATTCCCGTGTATTCCATTCCACCCGAACCAATCGGCTTAGGTCGATAATGGAGCTTCTGAACCTCGGAGCGGGTCATATTGCTCACACCAAACATTTATTCACACTGCGACACGCACGTTCTTCGTGCGGGCTTATTGCTGCTAGGTGCCGAGTTTTTGTCCGTCACTGACTGTACATATTCTTAAACAATCTTCTGTGCTACTTTGGTTGCACCTCCAAACCTCCGTCCAGCAACTTTTCCCACACAGTCCCGACTTCCGGATGCGCGCGAATAGATGATATCCAATCCGAGCATATATTCAGATGCTGCAAGCGGCAAGCGGGTCCCAGCATCTGGATCCGCATGGGGTTGCGCCGCGACTTCACTGTTCTAACGAACGCCACCTGGTAACTCTGAAACGCGAACGTCGATCCAGTCAAGTCTAGATGCTCCAAGGACGGAAGGAGGGACTGGTATATGAGACTGCAGAGGAGGTGCTCGGTGATTCCTTCAACTGAGAGTTTCAGTTTTTTTATGCCGGACGTGGTTCGCAGGAATTCGACGAGGTGAATGTCAGAGCAAGGATCTTCGCATAGAGTGCACTCTATTTCAAGTGATTGCATGTCCATGTAAATCTCTGATGGGAACTGAGGGACGACATCGATGTATCGCAAGACCAACGTTTCCAGTGCCGTCGCACGCATGTACGGTACCTGTCCTTTGATACGGCCCTCGGAATCCTGCCTCTCATACAACTGAAGCTCTCTGACATGATCGAGGTCCACCTCCTTTGGTGTCCGCTCAATCGGAGGCATACATTGCAAGAAAAGCGTCTTTGCGCTGCAAGCCTTCTGCAAGCCTTTCGAATACCCACGTGATCTAGGTCAAATGCCAGATGCGAGGCGTGGCTGGTTAATTGCGACCAGGGAATCTTTATGTGCTCGATCCATGATGCGGGCCCGAGAGATGCGAGGTGCAAATGGTTGAGGTTTGGAGCCCACTCGAAAGCGTCGATTTCGAAGTCAGGAGACGCGTCTTCTCGATCCTCATCCGTAACGTCGAACAGGAACAGATGCTCTAGTGCGCTGAACGAACCCCTGCATTCCGAGAAGAAATGGAAATATTCTGATGGAGCTACGACGCCTAGCTGCGTGCACCGAGGCATCGCAGAGAGGAGGATTTGCAGTCCCGCATAATCCGAAAAATCGCCATAGCTGCAGAACATCAGGGACAGAGGGTGACTTTGGGATCTTTCCAGCTGTAGACAGAGCATATAATAGAAGAGTTTCTCCTCTTCTACGGACATTGGCTCTTCGTGAAAGGTCATTTTGATGGAGGACCATATTCTCGCAGTACTCAGGGCCACGGATCTCCAGCGACGGCATACTTGGGACAGCGTCCATGGTGGATCTTCGGAGTTGAGCGAATTGCAATATCCCGTAGCTACTCTTTTAGTCATGTCTTCATGGCAGGCGATGAAGATCTCTGAGAGGACGATATCGTGGAGTCTGCGTACAGGCTCGAGGGCGACCTGCGCGATTGCGATATTTTCTGATAGCTGGTCGCAATCCTCGTCTATCCCGTCAAGGTCTGGGATGCTTTGCTCTAGAGCCTCGAGCTCAGCGAGGCGTCGGGGACCCGTCAGGACAGTCTCGAGGAGGAGGGGCTTGTCACATTCCAAAGGAGGGTCGTTGTTGTACCAGAGGTCTTGTATTCTGGGCGGAAATGAGTGAATTGTTCTGCGATGATACGACTCCATGCCAGCAAAGTCTGAAACTAGTGGCGCAACGGCGTTTGGTGAGCATGTTCGCTCTGGTTGAGACGGCAACGAGCTTACCGCGCTTAAACTCAGAGTGAATGCTTCAAGTACGTTTATGACGAAGCAATGTGAGAGATAGAAGCATAAATCAAATTTCAAGAATATGTCGCCATCACCTCGGTAGCCACTGGTTTAATTATTGTTCAGTGTCCACAATGGAACCTTAAACAAATGGTCATGAGAATCCTTTGTCTGACCTTCTATAGGTCGTTTGAGTGGCCAAAAGGTTTTATTGGCCAATCCGAGCCTCGTCTAATGAACGTTATGGTTGGGATAGATGCTACAACCATTCAAGCCATCTCAACTTCGAGATTTCTTCCAGTGGTTATAAATGCACGGGAAGTCGCGGCCACGTCACGGGAACGCTAGGTCTAGTGGATCTGGTAGCGCCTGGTCGTACTCCGGTCGTGTCTAATTGGGATTGTGTACACAGACATCAGCAACGGAACGTTACTCAAGAAGCCTAGGCATTATTCATGAACACTGACAACATTTCGACATTTATTTCAAAACAAGAGAATTTGGCATAGAATAGCAGACACATCGCAATCAAAATACTTGGCTCATTATTTCAATCTACCCTTCCTCTGCTGAGATCAAACATTAGTTGCTGGGAACACAAACCCTCTGTAATTACGGCGCGTCAGCAGATGACATCAGTATTTGATCCGATTACCACGACTTACCTGGCCAACCGCCAAAGAGTTACAGTTGATGCCGGGATTCGCAGCTTGAAGTCGCGCGACATTAATCCCGCCTTGGGTAGCAATACCCGAGCAGGTTTCACCAGGATTGACGATGTGAGTGTATCCTGGGACTCCGTTGTCACACGCGGCGTTGACGCCTAGAAATGGGTAAGAAAAAAGCAGATATGACGGCGTGGATAACTACCAATGACAACAGCGGCGATGAGGATGAAAGTACGAGTAAGCATGTTTGAATACGATTTGGGATGTTGAAATCCGGATGGATGACTGGTCTTTTATACACTAAGGGAGTATTTATCTTTACCCCTTTGAGCGGGATTCTAACGCACAGGATCCGTTGAGTTTGACCAGCTTTCCAACCGGTACTTCTCTATTTTAGCAAGTTCGCTCAATTATGCATGGAGGGCAGGTGAGCAGACACAAATGGATACTTATGCCGGACGACTGATTGATTATCCTCAGTTTGAATTGCGGCTTGTAGGAAGCTGATCCACAATGCTCTCACCGCATCGCCTAAACGATTTTCAAGCGCCCCCCATAGAAATCCACCCAGTCCCAGTTCCAATATTGAGGTTGCCACTATTCGTCGAAGGAGGGCAGCAATACAGTCTCTGTGTCGCCTAAACGTTCTCCAAGCTTTGCCCAGAGATTTAGCTGCTCGCGAACTGGATCTGGGAGATTCTCGTGGCAACGTTTGAGCAGCCTGCAGGCATAACAAGTACTTTGATTCGCCCCGGTGAAGCTGGCGTCTCATCATAGTGGTACAGTGATATGAGGCCTTAAAATAATCTCGGGGTACCCCAAACTTATTTTCAGCTGATGCATATTTGTGGTTGGCGGTGAGATGTTTATTCTGGTTTTCATTTGGAATGGCGAACGCCGTTGGTCGGATCCAGATCGGGCGATAGATCGCGTCGCGGTCACGTTATGGCGACGTCAGCTCAAACTCATAGCCGTACTTGATCCCAATTTAGGACAAACCCCTTTCGAAACAGACGAGTTTGAACCAGGCAAGAAATGCCTTACTTTGCATGCAACCAGTCTCAGATACTCGGTGCAAAGGGAGAAGTGACAAATACATCAGGACAATCAAATTTGTTCACGATTCACTTCAGTCAAAAGTAGAAGTACAGTTGGTAACAGTTACAGCAAGACAGCACATTCTTCTTTCTCTAAGATCAAGCGCAGACATTGTTCACGATTTACTGGAAACTTAATAGTCAAACGTTAGCAGACCCTCCGTAAACCACGGCATGTCAGTAGAGCAAACATATTGTGAATACGGCTTTGAATGCTGAGATGCAAATTGACAAGTTGGACTTTGATATATCAGCAGAACTTTGGTTCCTTCCCCTTCGGCTGGATTCTGACCTAGGATTTTAACCGGCGCTTCTCCATTTCCGCAAGCTCGATCAATTACGCGTCGAGAAAGGAAAGTAGGTAAGCAGACACACATGGATATTTTATTTATGTCTGACAGCTCTTTGATTCGCATCTGTAGTTTGAATTTCAGCTTTCAGGAAGCTGATTTACAACGCTTTCAACATGTCGCCTAAACGATTTTCAAGCCCTTTCAATAGGAATTTATTTACTCAGTCGCGTATCCAATATTGTGGTGGCCACTACTCGCGGAGGATTACCTTCTGTGTCACGTCAAGAATCCAGCTACTCATCTCTGAGCACCTCGCCGTGATGCGAGGCTCTAACATATTGAATTCGGGGTACCCCGAGATTGATTTCCAGCTGATGTATAGGCTCCTCTGAATGTAAGCCTCTCAGTAACGATATTAATTTGTAAATTTTTAGAAAGCAAGAACCTGTATCACCACTAGATTCCGATTTTATGCGGCAATTTCCCAAGTCGTTGTCTCTACTATTGTTGTTATCATATTGACGAGTCCATCAATTGTAAGGTTTTGGAACTTGACTTTGGAAGCGGGGATGTTATTGCTTCAGGAGGCGCACCTTAGTGCATGTGACACAGTTCCAAGGCATTTCGAAGACAGACAATGAAAATGTTGTTATTCTATATTGGCCCCACCTCAAATCCGTCTCGAAATTCATTTTCGTCTCAGTCATGGTACGTACTGGATTCGCATCAATCCAACACCCTGGGATCCTCTCATAAACCTGAACGTAAAGTATGACGCAAATATTGAATTGAAGCATGACAAAACAAGGTTTGAAATTTTCCCAGCAGCAAGTCATACTCGGTCGCGAACATCGAATCCTGATCGGGCGGTGTCGCGATCACGTTACGGCGACCTCAACTCGCATGGGTATCCTCCTAACGAACTACTCGTTAAATTCAACAGCATCCGACCCCATCTGTTTAGATAAACATCCCCTTTCGAAACAAGTTGGGAAAGTGACAGAGCGCCTGTCAACACGGCACCTTAGCAAACCATTAAGTTGGGTCGGTAACAATTAGCGATGGATATGACAGTACGAGCGAACACGTTTGGATTCAATGGTTGGCAGGTGTTCTTTTATGCCCTTCCATGTCGGTGTTGTTATATGTTACACCGGTGGTTGGCATATAAAAAGAATGGGAAATATTAGATTAATAATCTGTCGTGCTTGAACGGGGTGTCAAGCCCAGATATCCTAGGTCGAACGGTGTAGCAACCACAGATACCTTACAGAGAACAAGATATTAATGTATACCACTACTATGGTGTCTACAGATATCAGTAGGTCAGCAGATTGACAATTACTTCAATGTTCTCGCAGTAAAATTCTCGTCTCGGTTATTGTTAGTCTATTGCATGATCACTGGACCAATTATGAACTCCTTCGAGCTCCAAGTAGACCACAGAATACAGAATCAGTGCGCACCCGGATAACGGAGGGGCCCCGAACTCGGCTAGCTTGGATAGGGTAGGTAACCAACGCGCACCTCTGGAATTGAAAAACCAGAAGCCTTAACGACCAGCCAAGTGTATTCGTTGACTTCGAGCAGATGTGCCAGATGGATATCCCTCGTGTGTCAGCATATTGACAACCACCCCCTTCGTGTCAAGTCGCGTATAGAAAAATGTATGTCGAAATTCTAGATAGCCCGCCACGTCTGTGCACCTCGCAATGGGAAGGTTTCGATGTCGAGTATCTGGAATTTTTGCTTGCTCCGATTATGTAGGATCAAGGTGCTTTAGACCATCCATTTCTGGGTCAGTTTCCAGTGGATGGGAATGTAGACAAGCTTGAATACTTCGAAGCTGAGGATAGACCACAACATCAGATAGTTACAGGAGCTCACCTGATTCCAATTCCAATTCCACCGTTCCTATACAACGATTTCAACAAGTCGGTTTACTTTGAGATACACGTATGACTCCATCAATGGTAAGATTTCGAAAGTTGACGGTGAAATAGGGAAGGTTATTATCACTTCATGCGGCAGGCCTTGATAGTTCCAAAGCTAAGGGCTTTTTCATCAAGAGTATGCCGTATTCCTTACGAGCTCCACGGCTCAAATCTCGAAATTCACTTTCGTTCTCACGGCTCCGATCCAATACCCTCTCCCAAACTCGGGTGTCAACCTGGAATCAGATGAAAAGAAACTGAAGAGGCTCGGATTTTTCCCAGTAACAACTCCGAGTCGAACGAGGGCATGCCAATCACTAGTACGTATTCTTATTAGTGAACTACTCAGGTTAAAGTTTGATTTAGATGATCCTTTCAAAATCAACAGATGCGATACACTGCAACCAACCAACCATGATACTCGACGGAACACAGAACAAGTGCCAAGACTAGCTATCCATCACACCCTTTCTTCCTGCTCCGAATCGGACACACATCACGATGGGAACATTTAGCTGGGGATACAGATCACCTGTCACCACCCTGAGCTGTCTGTGCAGATCAAATACCATCACCGTGACTTGCCTGGCCCACCGTCAAAGTATTGGAGTTGGAGATCTGGGGATTCGCAGCCAATATCTTAGCGACGGTGACCCCTTGCCTGGCGGCGATACTCGTGAGGGTATCACCAGCGACGACTGTATAATTCGCAACACACTGCGCATACACGCCTAGCAGGACGGAGATGTGTAAGAAACAAGTCAAGATATGGGCTTGAACGTACTGAGAGCGATAGCAAGGAAGACGAGAGCACGAGCGAACATGTTTGGATGTAGAATCACTGGCTGGCTAGTTAGTGGTCTTTTATAATATTCTGTGTCGGTGGGGTTAGATGCTACACCGATATGTTGGATGGAGAACTCGTAAAAAGAAACGGAGGTTCAATACCGTGAGTCGGGGTCGGATTGTCAAGCCCCGAAATTATCCTTGCTTTAAAAGGTCAGGCGGTGAGGGTGGCTCGTAAAAAGAACCAGCAGATGCTTTAGTTACCAACGTGCCAGGACCTAGGCGTTCTTGGACGAACCTTTATGTCGTGCATCGAATTTCCAGATAGACACCACTATCAAGTACGGTGCACACCTAGACAGACTGAGAAGAGTTTTGAACCTGACCATCATCATCGGCGGCGGTGAGGATTGGAAAACGTGTCGAAATTCCAGATAGCCCTTCAAGTCAAGAAGCAATGTGTACAGAAGGACGGGATGGTCAATCGGTATTAGGGCTCTTGTCACTTGACCATCGATATTAGGGTGCCAGAAAGATGGAACTTGCCTGAGAGCCCGGGTAGAAAAATCAACGCATCTTTCTAGAATTGGGACGAGAAGCAGCTGAATGTATTTGCTGGGTTCAATTATGCAGGTCCAAGACTACTTGTTTCTAGTGGAAAGTAGACGGGAAAATAGACGACCAACGTCAAGTACAGAAGAGGCATAGGTAGAAGAGCCTTGAACTCGACCATCATTCAAGTTGGCGGCGAGAAATCAAGAGTCCTTCTGGAGTCGAAAAAAATGAGAAGTGTTCACAATCCAAGGACCAAGGAGCCAGCGTACTAAAAGGAACTAGACATTGATACTATCATCCCTCCTGTGCCAGCAAATTGACAATCACCCACTTGTGTCAAGGTGCGTATTAGGGAAAACATGCGCATGCGTCGAAATTCTAGGTGGCCCGACAAGTACAGAAGGATAGCCAGAAGAGAACTTCGGTGCCGAGCGTCTTGCCCGTTCTCGTCACTCGCCTGAGTAAGTAAACGACCGAAAAATCCGCGAGTGAAACGTCGATGCAGGAGCAAGAGTCGCCGGCACGTCTGGATGAGGGGAGGATACGCAATCTTCTGCGCATGATCAAGACCACCATACACCGGAAAAGCGAACCTTGACTGAGAGCCCAGGTAAAATGGATATCCACGCATCTTTCTAGAATTAGAACGAGAAACGGCTGGATTTATTTGCTGGGTTCAATTATGTAGGACCAAGATTACTTGGCCGGCGTGGCTGCCTGTTAAGCAGACGGGAAGGTAGACAAGCAATGCTCGGCGCAAGTAATTGGCTCATCTTGAACACGCGACTCCTTCCGGTAGAACGTGGTTAGATTAGGAATAGACTCGAGGTGGAATTGCACTCGAAAGCGTGGTCCAACGTTTTGGCACAAAGCCGCTAGACTGGATATCCCACTCAGCTTGTGTAGACGGAAGGGTCGGTACGTGGAAGGAAATAATTTCCGCGGGTAGGTGGAAGGCGATCCTTTCAGCACAAGACGCGGCCCCTCTTTGGACTAAGCGGTGCTTTTTCCATTCCTCGAACTCAAATGTGTAATGGCCCTTGGACGTAAACTTGACGGGAGTCCGTCAATTACGCGTGGGTCTAGTCAAAATGATTTACTGGATGTGTCGTGTGAGAGGAGAGACATTGACTGGCTATTCTGTAAAGCAGACCGGATATTCCACTTGGCTTGTGTGGGATAGAGGACGGGGGATGTCAAGGACAATGGACTAGGCGCGGCCCGTCTTTGGATCAAGTGGTGCTTTTCCCATTCCCCTCGGATTCACATGTGTAATGGACTCTAGTAGTGCCCTTGGACGTAAAACCCGACGGGGAGTCCCACCAATTACGCGAGGTTCTAGCCAAGATGGTGTGTCCTGACGTTGAGTTGTAGCATGGCGAAGGAGAGAAGATCGACGAGGACATTGGCTGGTTTTTATACGCGACTGCACACTCAGAATTCAGTCGGAGCGCAGGCAAACTCAAAGTGAGAGGTCATATTGTGTATGCATGATTTAGAGTGAGAGTGCATTGAAGATACGTGTAGGAAACTGTCGTGAGACCGAAATTAAATGGACGGTCTGTGCAAGAAAAGTCTAAGGGTACAATAAACTATAAAATGAAGCGTCGTCCAGCATACTTGAGAGAGCGTCAACGGATCTAAATATTTAAAAAAAGTTGGCTACTTGGAGCCACTGGCACCGGCACCCCCCCAACTATCATACGCAGGAGGGATCTCACTGGGGCCCGCGTCCTGATGCTGGACGACACCGGTTGGGCCATTAGCGAGATAAGCGGACCTCTCGTCAGGGTTGACAACACCGAGTTGATTCTGGCGGGCCTCCCGCTCCTTGGCAGACATGCCCCCCGCACCACCCCCAAGCCCACTCGACGAAGACCCAGGCGGTGGGGACCTCGGCGGGATACTCATCGCATATGGGTTAAAAATAGCCGCAGGATACCCAGAAGACTCGCCCGAGTACTGGGACATCGGAGGAGGAGAAGCCGGAGAGCCGGAGTAATAATTCGCATAGGACTGGCCGGAGCTTCCGTGGCTATTGGTGCTGGCGGATATGGGAAAGGGCGATACGACGCCTGCACCAATATCCGCGCCGCCCAAACGGCCGCCCATGCCGTCGTTGTCGCGCTCGTCGTCGAGGTTGAGGCCGACGTCTGGGGGACGGGCGACGATGCGGTCTGGGTCAAAGTTGCCGTCGAAATGGGCAGAGAGGCGGTTTGAGCGGTTGCGTTTGTAGAGGAACCAGATGAGGGCGGTGAGGAGGGCGACACCGGCTATTCCGCCGATGGTTCCGCCGACGATGGCACCTGTGTGGGAGGAGGAGGAGCCTGAAGAGGTGGTAGTGGTGGAAGCAGCACCGGCAGAGGAGGAAGCTGCGAGGACGGTGGATGTGGAAGTGAGCTGTTGGCCATTTGACTGGGTTATGACGATGGTGGTAGCTACAAGGGAGGTTTGGTGCACAGTTGTTTGGGTGTCTGGAGTACTACTGGAGGTTGCGATGGGCGTGGGAGTGGTGGTCTGAGATGGAAGGACCGAGGTCACCGAGGATGAGCTGGTTGTTGTCACCACTGCACTACTGCTCAATGTCGACGTCGGCAATGTCGACGAGGTCGATGTCGTGTCTGTTGTCACAGGCAGGCTGGTCGATGGGCTGGTCGACGTGGGCTGAGTGGTGGCCGACGGTGTTGTCGTCAGAGAAGGGGTGGTGTCCGCAGCCGTCGAGGTAGACTGCGCCTCTGTTGTCGTTGGAGTGGACGTTGACGAAGCATCTGTCAAAGACGGGGTGGACGATGCAGAGGGCGGGGACGACAGCGACATGCACGGTTGGCAGTGGTCGAGGTGCGAAAAGATTTCAAACCCGAGGCTGAGGGGGGTGGAGTATTATTACATAACCGCGATAAGACCACATCGTCGAAGCGAGCGATAACGTCCAATAATCCTTCTTGCTAGCACGTCTTCACAGTACGCAGAATCGAGAACGTTCAATTCCCTGTTTCCTTGGTAACTTTCTATGGCGCCTCACGCGATCGACATCAAGCCGTAATGCCACGAGCGAACAAGCGCCTACCGCAATCCACATTTTATTTTTAACAGTGGGCCCTTGCGAATCGCTGTAGGTATGTATTCGTTGAAAAACACATAATGGCCAGTCGACTCCAAGTGCATACATTGATTGCTTCGAGAATTGCAACCGTGATCTTTCTTCAGTGGCAAGTCGTATCGTGCCCGTATGTCCTGTCTCTGCCACCGGCAAATATCACCCAAAGAATCACTTCAACCTGCCCTTCAACTAACGCTTTTCAATCCTCTGCGTCCCCCACACCAAACCTAAAAATTCAAACTCCATTGCTGCATCGTGTCTTAATCTAACCAGGGCGTGTTGATCTCTACTCATTCGAATCTCCGTACTCGTGGACCTAGACAAAGAATCCAATTCTACATGTCCCGTTGCCCAAACAAACCCTGGTCTATCTCACTAGTCCTTGGGTTTATCCACCACACGTATTCCGTCACACCACCCGAACCAGTTCATCGATGCCACGAGGTAGGGGGGGAGGCGCTCCCACTCCAACCACGCACCTCAATTTCGTCTCTTTTGGGTTTAGCCTCTTTGAAATTCCCAATGCTCTTCTAGTACCTGCTGGTACTTATTTAACTTCAGAGGAGGAAGGCTAGATCCTCCTCACACCCCAAGCAATGTCACCAACGAAATACGGCCTCCCCTTCTTCCTCGAAGACAAGAGCGGCAAGCTCTCCGGATCCGAGTTCATCGACATCCACGAAAGGATGCGATTCAGCTACCGTTGCACCGCGCGGGACGCTACGCATACCGCGTATATGATCTTCAACCCCAATGCTTCCCGCCGCGCTATCGTCGCTTTGGACTTCGGACCACGGAACGCGCTGGGGACTATCAGCTTGGGTGGGGTGAGCATTCCGATGAACAAGTATCTTGTCAGGGTGCCTGGTCGCGCGAGGTGAGCATATACTAATAGTGTGGGGGAGGAGGAGACTGATGTAGGTTTGGAGGGCACGCAAGTTCGTAGCATCGGATTCGCAAGAGTACATCTGGAGCTGGAGGACAAAGGATAACCAAGAATGGACCGTTCGTGCTTCTCTCCCCCTTCCCTCTTTGATTAATCACTAATTACTCCCTCCCTTCAGTGTACGAACGCAAAAGGATACCTTGTCGCGTACTACAGCCTCAAAGTCCCCGGTGAACCGCCCTACCACGGCTCCTCCGGGTGTTCGTTGACCGTCGACGAGGCCTACGGGCATCTAGCTGCTGGTAAGTCAATGGTTGAACTCTGGCTTCAAGGTTGTTTTTTCTCCTTTCACAGAATGCCTAGCGTCATTGATGATCATGCGGCATATCGCTGAATTTAACCTCTAATGAATCTGATTGCCTCGAGTACTAGCATGTGGTGTATTTTTATCGTATATGTGGTTTCTACTTCTTCTTTTACTGTACTCGTATTACTACTACTAGTTGGATCGGACTTTGTTATCGTTTGTAATGTTCTAATAGGCAAGGTATTAATATTTACTCGTAAGGGGATCGCGGGGAAGAAGGTTTGAACGATATTGACGGCTTCATTCAAAAGCAAAGGGTTCAGTCAGGTGAGAACACAGAGGAAAGAAAAGTGCGGCTGTCTAGATGTCAACAAGTCGACGTACTCCTGGTAAGCCGGGCAAAAAAGCAGCGAAATTTGTGCATAATGTATGCCATTTTGACCCAGCCTTCTGAACACAACAAAATGAGTCTGAATTGGGATATCATTTAAATAGTGGTAAGCCCAAAGCCGACGTGTTTTTGCTGTGGTCAAAAGATTACATTCTCTATTCCCATCGTCTCCATTGCGGCGCGATTGGTGCACAATTGCCGGGGGAAATTCGCATTGGTTCGTCAAGTACCTGCCTGTAGTGCTCGTGCTTCGAGAATCAAGCTGCCAGGTGGAAACCCTCACTTCTCCTTGACAACGTTTCACCACAATATAAGTACGCGTTAGGTTCAATTGAAAGCTGGCTGACTGGTAGGGTCCCTGACTTCACCGATGAATATAATACTTCAGTGGGTGCGGCTGCAGATGTTTGAATGCGTACGGGAGCAAAAAAAACCGTGGATTACATACGCTCCCAACAAAAAAAGATAACTTAATCAGAGTCGGGAGCAAAGAACCAGAAACGCGGGTCTGGCTGGCAGGCAGAGTAACCAACGCGAGCCGCATCAATCTTGAATTGATGGGAGTGTAAGGCGCCAAACAAGCAACCCTTCATTGGCGCCTTCTTGTCGGAGATACCTTTTCCGGTCGTGTAACCTCGAGGATTTTGCCAGACTAGAATTCGATAAGCGAGTTCCGAATCAGTCGGAGTTCAGAGGTACACGCAAGCAGTGCTGACTCGCTCTGGGACATTCACCCCCTCCATCCCCTCAAAGCGTGTGTTTACCTCTCCAGCATCCCCCAAGACTCCCCGCGCGCGCGCCAAGTCGGGTATGCCTCGGCCCTCCTCACTCTCGATCCCAGGCGCCAAGCTCAAGGGACTTGCGGAGTGTAGAAGAACCCGTGGGTGTCGTGTCGACGGTTTTGGGGGTGCAGAGGTGTCGTGAAGTCATTCAAGCCTCTGGGTTATGGGGTAGCCTCGGTTGATCTTGCGTCCAATCTGTGAATCATCGAGTCATGTAAGCGGACCGATAATTGCCAGTGTACGTATCCACCCGGCCAATTCTGATTGAGATTGCCCGCCTCATTCCGCGCGTCTGATGCGAACACGAAGGAAGAGTGCGCACTGGGTTACGAAATAGCCTCGGGTGATTCTGCGTGCTCTCGCCAATCTGTGAATCATCGAGTCGTGTACGTATCCATCTGGCGGTGTCTGATTAAGAATCAGATTGCCCGCCTCATTTCGCACGTCTGATGCGAAGGAGAGTGAGTGCGCACCAGGAACTTGGTATATACCAAGATGCCTCCCACCCAAATTTCGATCAGATCCATGGCATGGCATTTCGCCGAACTCGCTTGGAAATAGTAAATCTCCAGGCCCCGGTGTCGCGTATCGTATGCACGAAGATCTTGGTGGACTGGCGGGCTCCTAAAGGCGGTCATAAAGAGCGAATACCTGTAGAAGGCCCCGGTGTCGCGTATCATGGTGCACGGGACCGACTGCGTTTGGAAGAACCTCGAGCTCCTAAGGGCGGTCATAGAGAGCGAATACCTGTCATGGCCTGTTGAGTCCGTGGTGGCAAGATGGAAGGTGTAAAGCTTTGTCTGATTCATCTGCCAGGAGTCTACGCCACGGGACTAGAGATGCAGTTCATGGAAGTGATTGTCGTTTGCAAGAAGGAGAAGGAGAAGGGGTTGTTATTTTCCCACGTTGCTAGGCCTCACTTATTGGGCTTCACGGCTCTTTCGGACTACGATGATAAGCCCTAGCCGTTCAATAGATGAAGACCTTCAGACTGCCTCTATTTCAAGTTCATTTGCAACTGCCTTGCTTTCGAATGAATTTGCTTGCACAAATGCAGCCCCTCCCATCATTCGAGTCCACCATCATCTCCGAGTCCGCCATTATTACGCAACTGGCAAACTCTTCCTCAGCCTTTACCTTTTTCGAAATCTGGACATGCCTCTCTGCCGACATTTCCATTGCAATGCCATCTTACTTTCTGAAACAGTTATTCTTGCTAAACCTTTCACGCGTGGCAGTTCGGGTTTCCTGCGTCTCCCCTAACGTATTCTTACCCAAGCGTCAAACAGAAGAAGCGGCGGCGTGTGGTTTTGTTCAACTCGAGTCTATGATGATGATGATGATGATACCAACAGCCAAGGCGGCCCCGCTGCGGCCCGCTCTCGATGGAAAATTTAACCAGGAGTCAGGTCCTTGATGCTCTCTCCTGGAATCTTCGGGAGACCCACGAGATTTGTCCGACGTTCTCCTCAGTTACTTCGGAAATTGCGACTACGGCGCCGAGAGTCGCAGACTCTGTTTGCTCCCCCCTCCCTAGGGCGGGTACCTCCTACTGTTTCGGGTGGTCATCATACCTCACCGGACCCTCGACGTCAGTCGCTGAAAATACTCCTCCGTTAATTGATTTATTGACCCGTTTTCATGGTCTGGAGTCCCCGGTAGGCGATTTTATTGACGGCGATCCTCGATCCCGAAGTTGTGCGCAGCCACTTCATCTCATCAGTGAGAGACAGGTGTCGTTAGGATTGATCCTTCTAGCCCTTGCTCTGCGCTCTATTCTGTTTCGGTGTCATTGAAGCTGATCGACTCCCCCCAACGAAAGTGCTCTCGGGTGCCTTTGAAGTAACAATCGACTGGGCGGATTTACCTACTTGTTACTGCTCTGCGGCATCTATCTGTACCTGTGAACTGTTCCGTTCCGGTTTTCAGAATCAATTACACTTCTGAGTAGTCTCGCCTTGCCAGACAGACAGACGCGTTTGTTCATCAAGTCACTGTCATGCTTACGGCTGTATATTGCACTCAGGCTAGAAGCCTTAGCTTGATCCTCCTTCTCCGGCGTCGTAATTTCTATGACCTGATTCTCGCCCGTCATCACGTACGGATGATATGGACGACTGTCGTGGCAGGGGGCGAATCAATGCCCCTTGACCCTTACCTCCATGCTTCCCAAATCACCGTGCCCCTAGAAAATGATCCTTTCGCCCTTGCTGGGAGCGTCCTCAAATAGTTCAGCATGCTGGTAAGTACCTTGTATATGTAATGGCTTTTCAAATCCCGATAGGATAAGCGCAAAGTTCGATCTTCCCGCTTCATTTTGTGTATATAGGCCGGATGGTGCATCTGCATCATTCGAAATTTTGCATGTACATATGATCCTTATGGAAGACTAGAAAAGTCGATAATACGTGTACATCTATATTCGATCTACGTCTGCCGGGCTTTCTGATTGATAAAAAGGGTGGACAGGACAGATCTTATTGGCAGAGCTAGAATGCCGGATATCAGTTACGAGCGGCTGTAGGATCGGCCGAAGCGCGCAGCGTAGTTCCCACTTTCATAACATGTGCGGCGATTTCACGTTGAACGTGTACCTCACTCAGCAGGGACCCTTTACTTCCTTACGGTCTGGGTCTAAAATACATTTTAGGTTTACTGGCGTTGCCAATGACGATAAGATCGTGCGTGCGCATTAGCTGATCGTGGTAACATATGTACGAACGTCGTAATTCACATGTATTCTTTTCAGAGCAATTTATTTACATGACAGAAGGGACGACACGGATAAACCTGGGGCATTGGATACACCATTCAGAATTAAATCCTAGATTGATGGAATATCCATGGAAAAAAACAAGCAAGTGAAAGAGATCCCGTGCAGACGGTTGGCAGCCCAAATGGGGGATGCCGAGATCTGGGAACAGATCTGGGAAATCAGCGTCTTGAAAACACACCTCTTTTCAGACGGAGATATCTCAGTACCTCCCCTACCTTTCCCTTACCTTCCCAACCATTTACTTCCTCCCGCCCTTCGAGACGGACGTAGGGCGCTGAGTCGCGATGCTACACTCTATCTACGACCTCACCACGTCTTGTCGCAAAACTACGGGTGATGTCCCTGCAAAGCTTGTGGTGCGTCGTGCTTGAAATCATGGGACTGCGAGGGGAGATTAGCTGATGGCTTGTTATAGGGTGCTTCGACCACCGTGGTGGGGTCGAAAATGTATCTCTTTGTGAGCACGAGTGGTCCTCCTTGCCTGCTGTTCAGCGCTTAATACGGAGTTATAGGGAGGCCGACAAGTTTCAGAACGCAGGATGGTGTCTGACCTATACGTATTTGACCTCGAGACGCTGGTATGGGCGAAACTACCGTCTCATCCCGAGGATGATATTCCTCGACCACGGTACTTTCACTCATCTGATTCTTGTATGTCCCCTGTCGTTTCGTGTCTGTCACTGATGGAATAATTAATTGGCTAGGGAACAACCAATTGATTATATTCGGTGGGATGAGCAACCAGCCAGACTCTCCCAACCCCGACGAGCTCTGCGTCCTCAACGACGTCCGCTTCTTCGATCTCACGACGGGCCACTGGCTCCCGTCCTCGCAGACAGTTACCCCCATCAACGATTCCCTAATCCCCCGCGCGCGATACGCGCATCTTTCTTCCGTAACAGCCGATAGGCTCTTCATAATCGGGGGCCAGGACTTTTTTAATACGTGGCTGGACGACGTGTGCGTGTATGACCTCCTTGCGAAGACTTGGGTCCAGAGACGCGATTATCCACGCCATTGTGGGACGTATCGCAGTGTTGCGGTTTCGTCCCATTTGACGGTCAGGCTTCCTCAAGAGGAAGTCAGGGCATACAATTCCACGGCCCCTGTTGCGCGGTTCCGCACGAACAGCGGGAATATGAACGCTACCCCTTCATTATCTTCCGCCAACGATGACTTCACACCACCGGAATCGCTTGTGTACCATCCGTACTCCACCACTCCCACGAAGGACCACCCATCTGACATTTATCTATACAGTAATTACAATGTGAGCCCTCCCTTACTCTTCGTCCCGGTTTTCGCTCACGGATCCCATATGGGTGTAGTTTACTGACGTGAAGCGTGAATTAGAAGTCTTTTCACCTCTTCCTGATTCGGATTTTAACATTGAAGACCGGTCCCCTGCGATGGGCGGAACGACGTTTCCTCCTGGGCTGCGGTTTCCCACAGGCGCGATTCTCGGTACGAATCTTATCATTGCGGGGACGTATCTGGCACATAGCTACCAGTCGTTTTCTATATGGGTCTTGGATCTCCTCACGATGCACTGGGCACGGATTGACCCTGGCAAGGCTGTGGAGACCGGCTCTTGGTTCCGTGGGTGCCTGTCTGCGGAGAGTAACAAGTTTTTCATCTTTGGGAACCGTGATGGCAATTTGGTCGACGATTATAATCGACGCCTGTTGAGTTGGGAACATGTTGCAGTGGTGGATCTGGAGGCCTTTGGTATTTACCAACCGCCTCCTCTTAGGATCGACCTGGAGATGCAGGAGTTGGGCTTAAGTGCCTTGGAGGAGGGCGTCATGGCCGATTTCGAAGTTGTGTGCGAGGATGGTCGAAAGATACCTTGTTCACGACGCATTTTGGAAGAACGGTGGGGATGGTTCAAGGATCAGCGACGGAAGCTGTTGGAGAGCGCGTTGACGACGATGGAGGGGCTACCGACGAGTCCGATGCATGTGTCGCAGCCCGAGCTTCCGGGTGTTGCTGAGCCGAGGGCAGATCCGAGACTGACGCCAAGAGCCCTTCATCTTTCGGAGCCGTACCCCATCACGCTGGCGTTACTGCAGTACTTCTATTCGCTGGCTTTGATCACACCTTTGCAGCAGGCTCCTGCGGTGTTGAGCCAGTTGCTAGTGCTCGCGACGAACTATCAGATCACGCATCTGGAGACACTCGTCCGGCATGCTATGCACCGAGCGCTCTCAAATTCCACAAGTGTGGGTGTGTACGAGGTTGCGACGCTATGCAATTGTAGAAGTTTGCAGATCCGGTAAGAGTTCTTATCTTTCGATCTCGTCAAAGATGTTAAATTTTTATGTTCATTAGCGCGTTAAAGACAGTTATGGTAAGTCTTTGATTCGCCAATCGAAGTCACTTTTCTAACATGTGCTCTACAGTCCTACACGCAGAAGCGGCCCAAGTCCAAATCTGACAAAGAGCACGGCGGAGGCGGACGACCTCCCGGTCCCGATGGGAGATCGCACGACGGACCATCCAATGGTGGCGGCCATGGTCCTGATAGGTATGCTAGACCTCGTGGGACGTCTGACGCAAAATGGAGAACTGCCCCGAGTCTTGACCCTGGTCCTAGTAGTAATAATTATAGCTCGAGTAAGCGCTTCATATAATGCAGTTTTTGAGTGATTTTGTGATGTGTTCTTTTTCTATTCCAGGACCAGATGTTTCGCGGCTACACCGATCACCACCGCTTTCCGACAGTGATGACGTCGATTCATCATCTCCCTCGGAAGATCATCTCGGCACGCTTCCATTATCTACGAAGCAACGAGCGCGGCATGATCGTACAGTGAGCGTCGTGTCGATGGGTACAGACAAGGATTTGAGGGATACGGTAGATCTTTTGATGCCTACTTTGTCGGATCCTCCGAATCGGCCGACGCATAACAGAGCAACCAGCGACGATGCTAGTGATTCTGTCCTTGAGACACCACATTTACCGATGCAGCTGCATCATCCCCAGGAAGCTGATCCGAGTGAAGAAGAGGAAGACGATCTGTTCTTCTCCCGCCGCCCTCAGCGAAGCTGCGCACCGACATCGTCTGACTCGGAGTATGAGGTGGTCTCACCGAGCGAACAGGTGGATAGGATGTACTTGCCGCCTACGTCCGGCGGGTTCTACACACCGTATCACTTACCCAACGGGCGACCCCGGCCGATTTATACGGGTACCATGAGCGATTATAGCAGCGATACGCCATCATTGACGTCGCGAAGTTCGAGCCTGAGCTCGTCATCGAGGCACTTGTCACCCCGCACGCCAAGTTTGACAGAGTTCCCAGCCCATTCGTTACCGCTCATCGAGGAGCGCCAAATGGAGGACAACGATTCGATGATGTCTTCGCGGGTTCAACGCGCCTCGGATTCGTACGCCAGCGAGAGAAGCAGCGAGCAAACGACGAGATCATGGCCGAAGCAGAAGTCCAATGTTGAGTGGTTGCAGAGGACCCAGAGTGTGGATTCGAATATTGGGACGATATTGCCCATACCGGAGTTGCCGCCGTCGACGAGGAAGGGGCTTGGGAGGTTGTTGGGGAAGAAGGAAGGGAAGGATCCTGTGAAGGAGTACGATGCGAAGGTTAGTGCCGGGAATAAAGCTGCCAAGGCGGAGGAGAAGAAGCGTAAGGCAGAAGAGAAGAAATTGAGGACCGAGAGACTGGCAGCCGAATTGAAGGCAAGGACGCAGCAAAGGAAGCAAGCGGCTCTGGAGAATGCTTCTCTGAATTCGGCGGAGAGGAAAGCAAAAGGACCGGCAAGCATGTTTGGAGGTATGTCAGCGGATCTGGTGATGTAGAGGTTGGATTATCTATGAGGTTGGGCGGTCGAGGATTTCTTATTCATTTTTATCATTGGTGGTGGTGGTGTTTTTGGCTTCCTACGCTTTGGTTTTATTATAATTACTGCATATTTGTTAACCCGTTTTCCGTCGTTTGTACCTTGCTTGTACCATGATATCCCACTGTCGTTGATATGTCTAGCTCTTTGTTGTACTGATCATGTATTTACTGTACTTCTGCTTCTCGCAGAAGGGTGTTGTTTGAAAACCATGGGAATATACATTTTCCTCGTAGAATGAACAACAAACAGACTTGATCATGATGATGGTGGTGGCTTTGAGAAGGGCGAATTTTCAGCAGACTTGATTAGCTTTTGTTCTTCGGGAGTTAGCGTGAAAAAGGACTCTTTCTGTTTCAGGAGCCATCGGCGGGGCTGTGAGGAGGTATCAGCTCGTAGTATCGGGATACACAACAGGGAACGTACTGGCTGGAACACATGTTCTCGATCGCCAAAATCATAGATGAAGATAGCGTAGAGGGCTATAGCTACAGTCTCGATGAGCATTGAGCAATGTAAAGACTGGGATCCATCGTACCAGGGACGACAAGGTAAGTGAGGAGCTTGGTCCCAGTGTAGACCCACGGTGGGCGGAAATCCGCCAATTCAAGCTCGTAAAGCATATCTTTTTCTGTTTTATCTTTGTAGGAATTCGGCTTCGTTGGATCAGAATCAGACTGTTTGTTGTATCGTACACGGCTGGAACATATTGTCCGCCGCTGAAGGGTACGAGACGCCGACAACAGAGCGACAGACTGTTTGTACATCGCGAGCATGTTGGAAAAGATGATGGATTTTGTCGGAGTTGGAATATTTCCAAACGCGTCTGTGGCGTCGCCACAACATCGCCACCACCAGAATTCTTTGGAAATTTGGTGATTTGTTAGGGTTTCTTTTCCCTCACTAGGTCACCTGGGACTTTTGACTTGATTTCACTCAAAGAGTGTTTGAATGCACATGTCTTCGAGTTCTTACTTCTGATTCAATTTGAATTTGAATGCCGTATTTACCCGTGTTTGTACTCTGCATGGACGGTCACGTCAGCACAATGACAGCTGTTGCAGCTTGAACTTGGACCTCCAACAAGTGATATCCTTTCCCCCACATGGCATCCGTTGCCGTTATCGCAGACTCGATATCAGCACTATCAAAGTCTATAAACCAAGTCGTACGCTTTCAAGCAGTCTTCTCTTTGATATCTCACGATGAACATTCTTCTAGTTCTCAGAAGCCGAAAAATCAACTAGCGATAAACTAGAACGCGCCCAGAACGTTGCCCAAGATGCAAGGAACGAACGGGACGATGCATTGAAGGCTCTTCATGCAGCGGAACTTGAGACACAGGAGTGGAAACAAAAAGTCAGGTCATTGCAATCTTCGGCGTACCATCGCTTACCTCTTACCTTCTTTGTAGGTCAAGCAGGCAGAAATGACTGTAAGTCGGTCAGGATTTTACTGGAAGTGGCCTGATTTTTTCTTTGTGCAGATCACTTATCAAAATGAGACGGTCAGCCAACTACGACGCGAGGCCGCACAGTGGAAGGATCAGTCGCGAAACTGGCAAGAACATTTTCTTCGTGTCGAACAGGAGCGGTGTACTTTGTCCTCACGGCTTGATGAGCTAGTATCAGAACGACTTTTGGTATGAGAATTCTTGAATGTATGTTAACGACTATTCATCAGAGCCACCTCAACAGCCTGCTCCAGTGGCACCTTTAACGCCCATCTCTCGGTATGCCGACCATTCAGGATCGCCCGTCGAGCAAACAAGTTCTGCTTCAGTGAAGAACATCACCTTGTTGCCACTCAGTCCTCCCGAAGGTGACCCTCCGACTCCTCGAAATGCGACTACGAAAGCACGAAAACCGCCCTCGACACACGCGAAACCTACCATAAAGTCAAAGCCCCCGATTACCGTCTTGAAGACATCCACGACTCCAAATCCATTCACAGAACCATCAACATCCAAACGAACTGGTGCACGCACTCCCGTAAGGACGGAAACTCAGCAGCCCCGTTCGAAAGTAATAAGACGAGTGAGGGCCGTCTTTCATGTCAAGCAGGAAGATGACTCAGGTGAGGATGACCAGGAGGAGGAAGACGACGAGTTGTCCGAACAAGAAGACGCGTCTTACCGACCTCCCCGACGTCCCTCCTTGCGAGCTGTGAAGGATGATGACAGCGATCTCTTTGGTGGAGATGAGGAAGACGATGAGGAGGAAGATGAACTGATGATTGGACCTGATGTAAGCTGTCATTTACTTTTTGCTTCATAGACTTATAAATTGTATCAGGACAATGACGATCTAGACAAACTGCCATCCCACAAGCGGCCACCTCCAACACCCGCCCCACCTGCGTCTCCTCCTAAAAAACGTAGGATTTCGACTGCAACCGCTCGACCGAAGGCGACGGGAAAGAAGTCATGAAACGGGTTATGTCTATGTGTATATTACTTATCATTATTTCGCTGGACATACAATAAGCCGTGTAGCATCTGTAAATTATCATCTTTTCTCGGCTGCCGTGGTGATGCAGGAATAATACATTCTGCTAAATAGTTGGTGACGATGTAGTTTTACATGAGCTTTCCGCCTCCATACCCTACGCCATTTCCATTGGCATGGTTGACACCCGACTTTTTCAAAGCGCGGGTAGTCGCGAAGAGCACACTGTCAAGGATAGAGGCTACTGTAAGCACTCCTCCCACGATAGCACATGTTCTGGAAATCCCGATCAATGCCAAGAACAAGTGCGAGGTTGAAGACACGTACGATGTAAGGAAGTGTGCAAATGACTGTCGAGTGTCAGAGTGCACAACCAGTATTGGTGAGATCTCGAAGTTGAAGAAAGCACCTGGGAGGGGATAACGACGTATCATTGACTCACTGCGCTCATTAAGTGGTCGTTAACACTCACCAGGTACCCCGGTAACACCATGTTGCACATGCACTCCCTGCGGAGTGCCGGTTTGTCCACCATCTGAAAGGTCACGTTCAAAGTGCGTGGCACTGTACTGAAGGGTATTTATCTGCCATTATTGAGATCGTTAGACGTAAAGATAGCGGAGGGTGGATGTGACACACTGTTTTCCCATCCAGAGTTCTGAATTGTGTCGAGACGACTTTGAGGAAGTATTGGAACATATATTGGGCTTTGTTCGTCTGTCCATGACCATGAGGCGTTAGGTCAAAAACGTATGGCATAGACAACGTACCCGTCCAACCGCACCGTCCAGCGGGTTTTGTACAAGTCCTAATCTTTGTTTCATTTCCCGTCCGGACGCGGCTTTGAATATGTCGTATTCATCATCACCTATACCCTGCATGAACATATTTCCACCCAGATGTGATGTTCATTTACACACCTTCGAAGGAGAATTGATGGATCGTATGAGAGAAATCATGCCGGTTGCCATCATCCTTCAAGTATGGGACTAGGTCGTAGACGTTGCGCCCACTAGTCTGGAATGACCTTCCTGGCGAAAGATGGATATTGCCAATAACTTTGTTAACGCGAATACGCCCGGAAACATTGCACCCTTCATCGGCTTGCTCACGCAGCTTGTCAGCCCAGCCTTCGGATTTACACTATGTATGTGGGTCAGTACACGCATAACTCCGACCACCGTAGTACACTTTTACCTGCTCAATAGCGTCGGGATTTGAGAAACTCCAGCCTCGGTTAACGTATGCCGTCCGAACTTCCTCGCAGGTGTTGCAGCACCCGCTCGCAGGCTCGAGACCGCCGTAGCAGGATCCACAATAATCGCCGGACGTCTGTTCGTTCATCTTGTCGAGGTCGTTTCTCAGCTCGGCGCTGAAGGAGTTGGGTATGGGTTTGCCCTTTTTGTCGAGCCGGACCTTGAGGATATTGTGTGAGAGGTCGCGTTGCGTCTCTCCACTGATATCCATTACATCCACGCTGAGCACTGCATGTAGAGTGAACAGCTGTAGCCAGTAACACTGAATAATACACATACGGTAGCAAGGTACTCTTGGGAAGGTGACATTCATGTTCACAGTAAGCTTCTCTCCTCTGCTCTTATCCACGACAATTGACGTGTCGGTGTAAACTCTCCGATAGTCAATGAATTCCATGGTTGAGAAGGCCAGAATAATTGCAGCAGAAAGAAGTGTCACTAGAGTTCGCCCGTATTATATTCGTGAAATTACGACTTTGAGTATACCGGAAACTTACAGAAAGCTCCAGTGCGTGTCTTGACCTTCACATCGTCTGTTGTCTACGAGGACGGTAAGCATACGCCGAAGGGAAGACGCGATAGTAGACGATACCTTTCCGAAAGCATCAATGCCCTTGAGGGCGCCAAACAACCCTTTCGCCATTACGACCGCTACCGATACAGGATGAAGACCGAGAAATAAGAAAAGAGGGAGAGGAATATGAATTCAAGATGAAATTGAGGCGTGCGTCAAGCAGGACTCGAGTCTCGTGATCGGCGACGTGTCACTTACTTTCCATCATCCGTGTACCGGACGGTTTTATGCTCAGTACAAGATGGTCCGCAGTTTACCCAAGGAATACGCGAGAGATACCTACTGTCACGCAGTAGAACATATGTGGTCGTCTACCAGCGGCTGCCTAGTCTTCAGCTACTAAAAATCTTCGAGGAAATCACTCACTTCCAAGTTGGCGGAACCCAGGGACGCGTCGCTATTCAGACACGTTACTATTGAACGTAGTAGTCCTAACTCGTACTCCCTTTATTGACAGCTTGCGGAAGTGATCAAACAATAATCATTTTGACTGTCATCCCTCAGCAAAACACGAGTGCTTTTCCCTTCGTTTCCTCCCACGTCATACCGGTTGCTGATCACTGAGCATTAGAAGAGTAATCGAAGACCTTGATAAATATCGGGAGTATAAGCTTAAATAAATGCCCTATAAAGGAGAAACAATATTCCGATGTTAAGCAAGTGAATCGTCCGTCAAGTTATTGCGGCGTAGCAATGCGATCTACACCTTGCTTGACCTTCCCTATCAAATTCATCATACCGTCCCGAATGCCATCCGCCTGTAATCCCACGCCCTCGCCGCTCGTCCGATACACGCCACTCCCCGCAGGTCCGCCCAAGCTGACGTTCACACCTCCCAGATTCAAGTTCAGTGCTGGAGCGTTTGATGCGGATTCTGGCGGAGGTTCATATACAGATGCTGGGAATGACTCGGCAGCGGATTTTATCATCTCCAGATACCTGCCGATCCAGCTCAACTTGAGATGATATAAACAGAAAAATGACTACTTACGTCGACGAATTGTGAACGCAGGTCCCACCGAGGAGTAGTCTTATGCCTGCTCCGGATGTTCCCATACCACCAGACGGTGCGGAAAGCTGTTGATTAAGAAGTGTCACTGTGCGTGCTTCTTCGTAGGTGGCACCCCCGATGATGAATATTATAATATCCTGCGGTCTACGATGCGTCAATAAAATGTGCAATAAAACATCGGCGTTCATATATACCTTTGAAGAGATGCATTAGGCCCTGGATTGTCGAGGAAAGGATAACTTGTCTCCTTTAGTCGACCCTTGAACACATTCTCCAGAGTTTCGGAAAGATGAGGTGTATGTTGAGTGTACACGTTTTCGACGCCCTTGTGATGATATGAATGGCTTGCTCCATTAGAACGACGAGGCAGAAGCTTACCTTCAGACCCTTCAATGCCGATCGTCCTTTGGCAAGGAGTGACTCGGTTGAAAAAAGGTCATCTTGGCGTTGATCCGCTCCTGCAATGTTCAAAAACACATAAACAAGCTACCAAGATGGTCAGCGTATACTCAACATTGAATTTCTGCCCACTTACTCTAGCTTCCTCTCGAGAAACGCCATTTGCAAGTAAAAGATTGATGAGATTAGCAATATTTGCTGTTTGGGTCTTCTGATATCGTAGGGCATAGAGGATAACTAAACGGAGCTTGTTCCACGGAGGTATACCTTTATTCGTGATCAGATCGTGTACGCTCTATGAATGTGAATATGAGAGCTGGGGATAGTAGAATAACGGTTACCTTGAAATCGGATCCGGCGCTTGTTGCAAGACCCTGTTCAATTTCTCCAACTTCTAAAAGTTTGTCTCGGCCGACCAGTCGACTCAGTTCGCCAACCAAGGCGACGTGCTTGCTGACGTTACCTCCCAGCTTCCGAAATTCCGGATACTCTTCAACAAAGCGTTTCATATCTGCGATTGAGTTGATAGACGAGGGAGACTGAGCCATGGATCGAGACTGATATGACTGGACATAATTCTTGAGAGATGATCCTAGATCGCCAAAGGTTGCAAGATAGTGGGCTTGAAAGAACGGGTCCGTCGATGTGGTGAGAGTTATTTCCTAACGCAGAATTTAACTTCCGTATATCACGAAAACCACTCGACTCACAGAGAGCTCCGGTCGAATGTCAGGAACCATGCTCAGGTTCACTCGACCATTCTGGGTACCAAGTAATTCATGGACCATTCCTTGGTAAGTCCATTGTGAGAGCAGTGGAGTAACAGGGTCATTTCGGCGGTCAAGAATTAATAGTAGTGGCGGAACTTGAGTGAGACGGAAATCGAAGAGAGTTGATTCTGATTGTATTCGATGCTGCGCAGAATAATTAGGTGAAACGTGTCATGCTGGTAGAAATTAGGTTACCTGTATCTCGACAGCCAGCTTTTTTGCCATCCCACTCATTTTCTCGTATCGTATTACTGGCTTCTTCCTGAGGCTAAGTAAGATGGCCAACATCCCTTGCACAGAGCGTTCTAGCGCGTCGGGATGCCATGAATTCGGTGTAGACCCATACAGTGGTTTAGATGGTGACGGTGTATGGTTTAACGAGAATAGAGATGGCAATAGTGGTGCGTAGTCTGCAAAGTATTCCTTCGCAAAGCGTTAGTCTGGAACATGAGATGGGAATAGTTGGTGACGTTACCTGGACCTCCCGAACAACTTCATATTCGTCTACCTCCGCAAGAAGCTCTATAACAGATTTGCTCAGGATATTGGTGAAGTCTGCATATAATACATGAGAGCAAATCCTTAGTATGCTATGAAACAGCTAGAGATTCACCGACTGACACAAGTAGTACTCGGAATACTTGGGTCCACGCAATTCCACTTGTAGGGCCTCTAAACTCTCTTCTGTAGCCTGAAGGAAGCAAACGCATTTCATGTGAGGCATGCGGTCCCGTTTCTTGTTGTCTATGCGGTCAGTGAGGTAGACTTGATGAGAAAGTAGAATTGACTGCGTTGAAGCGAGAGATACTATTGGAGTCTTCATGTACATTCATAAGACAATTATACAGTCGCATTATCAAGGAAACGCACCGTATGCGAGTCCAGTAGTAGGACCTTCATTGCGGATGGCTCGGAAACCAATTTCGTGATGTATGTCTCGACCGCTTTCACGACGTCCATGGCTGCGAACAAGAATGGCTCCAATAAGAGTTGTAGTCCGTTAGAAGGGCTTTAAAGACCATCCACGGGGAAGACGGAGGAATTAGAGGAATATTGCGAGAATGGTGGAAGTAAGTGACTAAGATGTGACAGCCCCTTCTCTACCAACAACCGTTACCAGAAGATGACCCAGTAAACTGGTAGGTGAGTTCTTCTGCCATTCCTTCAATAGAAGATCCACTAGCTGATGTCAGATTATTATAATGCTTTCACCTAAACCTCGTTTCTCATGGCACTCAAGCGATACACGAAATCCATCGATTCTACCATCCCTGTTCCTGCTTTGCTCTACACTGATGAACGCCTCTTCTCTTCACAGAGCGGTGTAGGCATATACGATGGGTGCGTGCTCCCTTTCTGATAGTAATATCTCATCTGACTATCTGCCAGGCAGCAGAAATCTCCGAATCACCAATCTGGCACTGTTCACGTCTCGTCGCACCGTTTATTCTTTACGGACACCCGCCTCAATTCCTTTGCTTTGGATCTCTCATACGTTGTGCAAACAGAATATTATGCTGGTCTATTCACCTCGTCGTCCAAAGTGACCCTCCATTTGACCTCCCAGACATTGCCCGGTGCGCCTGAACCCGAAGTTTGGGAATGCCATGTCTGTGGCAATCGCAACCCTCCTGGAACCAGTCCAACAGCATCTCGTGTATGCACTCTTTGTGGCGTGCGACGCGAATCTCCGTCTATGCCATCTACTCCGATTCCTGCAGCGTCAGACGCCGTCGCATGCCCTGCTTGCACATTCCTAAATAGCCCTTCTAACACGACGTGCGAGATATGCACGGCTGAGCTACCTGTTCCCTTGGCACCCGAAATCTCTTTGATTAAGCTAAGTTTCCGCAAAGGCGGCGATAAGGCATTCTACTCCAATCTCAAGTCGTGCTTGAAGACAAAGGCATGGAGGGTACGCGTGTTCCTTGCTGTTCGCGGAAACGTCTAACGTTTGCTTTTAGCTCGCTGTTGATGACCCATTACCATTCGGTTCAGGAATCAGTACGTGGACATTGTAATACAGTATCGGACGACTAATTAGTGTTCATTACAGATGGCATTCTTCAAACAGTGGCAACCTCGAATCAAGGGCAGGAGACAAACATGAAAGATGCGCTTCGAGACCTCGAAGCTTTGATGTTGAAAGCCAAGGACATGGTCCGACTCGCCGCCGACCTGAATGAACGACTGACCACATCGACAGCTGCTAATCCTGCCTCTGAGCCAGAAGAAGCGACTTTTATCAGGTCGTCACTCTCGCAGCTAGGATTGCAGATGGACAATGCTCCAGTTACTCTTGATATGATGCGGGATGAACGGGAATGGATCAACCAGCTGGCGAGAGAACTTGCACAGGTGCTACAGACAATCATGAAAGACCGGGGCATCATTGCTTTAGACGAAGTGTGGGGCGGCTGGAATCGTGCTCGAGGTGTCGCGCTCATACCCCCGGCGATGTTCTTGCAGGTTTTGCCCCATCTTCCTGTGTATACCACGCCTACCATTCAGACACGCCAGCTTCATTCAGGGTTGACTGTCCTTCATACACCCCCTTTTTCCCACGCGTCGTTTTCAGCGCGTCTAGTCGGGTTCCTCTCTTTGAATGGGCCCCAGACATCTGCGGAGATTGCGCAAGAAGAGGAAATCACGGTCGGTTTGGCCGAGGGAATGATTGGTGCAGTCGAAGCAGATGGGCAGGTCTGTAGAGATGATGAGGCTTCTGCTCTTAATGGTGGAAGCGCTGTTGGAGTTATTAGATGGTGGTCCTGGACAGAATTCGATAGTTATAATTATGATGGGCAGCAATAACCAATTCATACTAGTACTAGTAGTTTTACTGTAGCCTAAGTGCAAATTTGACGCTAGCCATATATGTTGCTCTACGGTGAATAGAGTGGGGGTGTCCTGCACAGCCACTAAGATTGCCGGTGCCGCGGAAGAATATTTCAACGACGCGACTGCGGAATATTCTTCATGTAGATCGCTCGCTTCACCCTTTAAAATGACGTCGATTTCTTGGTTTGCATGGAGAGCAAGCCTTTGGAATCTGCGACTTTGCTGCGTTCTGTCTTTCCATGTCTATGGTCACTTTCCCACGGTGTGGATGCTGTGTGGAGGCTAGGTGTCTCACGTTGTTTCACCTAAGCCGCATATAACTCGTTCTCTTCTAACGACTCTCCTTCCTTCGTTTCGTCCTTTTCTTTTCCTTCCTTGTCGTCTCCGCCCTCTTCTCGGCCAACAGCATGGCCAACAAGGATGCATCTGACTCGGCGGCTGGCCTAGTAACGCCGCCCAAGAAGGGCATCAGCAATTGGATCAAATTTGGTGTACCAGTTGCTATCCTCGTCATCATTGGAGCTGTCCTTGGCGGTGTCCTTGGTAGCCGAGCCGCCAAAAACAACAATAACAATGGCAGCAGTTCGTCCAGCAGTGCCAGTTCCGGAGGGAATGCTCCGGTGGACCCCAGTGCTGCAGCGAGCGCCGAGCAAGCTATCGGAATTTATGCAACGGCGACGGACAGCTACTACATGGTTCCGCTTTACCCATCTACTGTAAGTTCATTGTTAACTTGGGTCCGAATATCACCCTAACAGGTCGTAGACCAATACAGCAGCTTTCACTACCCCCACCATCCTTGATACCACAGACCCAAAATACTCTTGGCCCAAGGATTCCTATGCACCTTCTAATCCTAGCGCCACATCTGTTCGAAGCGACCGCCCTCGCCTCATTGCACCTGCATACAAGTGGAACGCCCTTCCCACGCTGATCCAAAATGACCCATATCTGAAATACTGGAACGAAACTATCTTTGGAAACGCCACGGCCTATTACTCCCTCCCGCCCGTTGTCTATCATATGGACGGTGCCAGTGGTATTCTCGACAATGCGCGAGAAATCAAAGAGAGAATCAAGGCCTTCGCGTATGCTTACCGCATGACCAATGACACCAAGTGGTCTGATCGTTGTTGGCTGGAACTCCAGGTCCGTTTTCTATCATAGCATTTTATTATTCTCCAGCTTATCATGGATTGTTAGAACGCCGCTGGAAACGGAACAACGGCCTTTGGACCAGATACAGACCGCTGGAATTCGGGTCATTTCCTTGATGTCGCCGAGTTTTGTTCTGCTTTCGGAATAGCCTATGACTGGCTATATAACGTCTGGACCGATGACCAAAAGGCCCAGATTAGGTCTACGGTGAACACGTACGGACTGTCTTTGGGTGTTGCGGCATTCAATGATGCCACCGTAGCCTACGGTTGGTGGAAGGACAATGTTGACGGCAATTGGAATTGTGTCTGTAACGCTGGTTTGACATTGGCGTCACTCGCAATCCTTGGCGACGATACGGAAGGATATGCCAATACCCTTTTGGGTCTCACTATCCCCAACGCCGTACAGAATTGTGCCCAAGGCGTGTCTGATGATGGAACATGGGCCGAGACACCCAACTACTGGTACTTCGGAACTACGGGTCATGCTGAGATGGCTTCATCCCTTCTCACAGCGACGGGCTCAGACTATGGCCTACTATCTTCCAATGCCGATTTCTTCAGAACGGGCAACTTCCATATGCACGTCTTCGGCCCCACCTCCCTCTTCGACTGGGGCGACCACGGTCCGAACAAGTTCTCCTCTACCGCCAACTCCATCATCTTCTATGGTTCACACTACAACGAGTCATCATATATGCTCTTCCAGCGCGAGCAGCACGATGCCGCTGAGCCATGGTCTATGTTCTGGTACGATCCTGCTAGTGCAGGTGCTTTCTGGGATGGGAAGGAGTTGGATTCGTTTTTCGGCAACGAGCTGGATCAGTGGGTCGCTATGAGGAGCAGCTGGACGGATATCAATGCGTTATACGTAGCCATGAAGGCAGGTTTAAACCAAGGTCATCAGACACACAACGATCTTGACGTCGGCGATTTCGTTATTGATGCCCTCGGCACACGGTGGGCTGGAGAGTTGGGTTCTGGCGATTACCTAGCTCCCAACTACTTCAGCAACGACTCTCAAAACAGCGACCGATGGAAGTACTACAGGAAGATGACCGAGGGGCAGAACACTATTTTGATCAACCAAGCTAATCAGCTCGTCACTGCTAAACCAACCATTACTAGGAATGGAACGACTGGTACCAAGCAAGGTTCAAGTACGGTCATTTCGCTGGAGGATGGTTCGACAGCTTTCTGGGTGGCTGACATCAGCAGTGCCTACAATGATGCGTAAGTGGCACTGTTATTGTACTCCATTCCACTTAACCTTTTATGCAGTTCTTCTGTCAAACGCGGTGTACGGATGCTGAACCAAAGAAAACAAGTTCTCATCCAGGACGAAATCACCTCGACTGCTGGCATTCAATGGCGCATGCATACCAACGCGACTGTAACTACTAATGGCGCATCTGCAACTCTCGTTCGTGACGGTAAAACTATGGAGGTTTCCATTCTCAGCCCTAGCGGAGCTACTTTCACTACTTCGGAGGCGAAACGATTTGACACGGACCCCACACCTCCTGCACCGGACCAGGAAAACCCTGGGATCACCGTCCTTATCATAGCGCTGAACGCCGGGACGCAAAACATACAAGTGTTGTTTAACCCTCAGTGGAATGATGGTACCCAGTTCAAGACTCCTAGCGGAGTAGCTCTCGATGACTGGTCTCTGACTAGTCACAATTGACGATTTTCGGACGAACTATGTTTCTGCGTTTCTCACATTGTAGAATATCTGTTATACCAATGGACTGTTGATAAGCGCGTGTGGTATACCGTAATACTGTATTGATGAACACTTATTTTACCCAAATTGGTCGCAGTGCGACGAGCAAATGAAGCCATCTAGCCACAAGTCGACGATTTAGATCCCACGGTAACTGAAAGTAATGCATGTCTATTATCGGTCTGTACCCAGCTACATCCACTCATCCCGGACATACTCCTGAAGAAGCTCGTCCGAGGAGCCAAAGTACACCTTTAGTTGACACCCCTCAGGACGGTACGGCTCCAAACACGAAAGAATTTCGGTTACATCTTCAGGATCATACCCTGGATCCCATCCAACCCATCCAAGTTTTACCGACTGAAGGCAACTTGCGCTGTCACCATTCTCAACAGCAGAAGTACTCCAACGAGATAAGACCATCTGGACAAACGTATCGTTTTCGAAAGATGCGTCCGTTACTAGATGAAAAGTGCTCAGACACGGAACAAGGATCTCGGGCTCCTCTTTCTCCCCTTGCTCCTTTTCCCCAGTCCCCTTGGAACACCCAGATTCTGTGTCCGACTGCGATTCCGAGTCAGAAGACAGTGTGAGACGTTCAAGAATGTCATCAGTGATGGCGTCCTGGCCAACGTTAACAAACTCGAGACATGAGAGAGAGGGCGAAATCCGAAAAACTTCCAGAAGGTCATTTGCATCCACCTGTGCATGCTTGAACCATAGTTCCTGCAGAGAGCAGCGAGATCTACACAGTAGTCCCAGTACCGCAGGAAACAGCTGCTCTCCCTCGTTGTATGCGTTAATTTCTGTTTCCTGACAATCGATGTCCAAAGACGAAAGGGACGGGAGAACAAGATCGTTGAGCAGTACGTCTAATACTATGCTCGCAGATGTCTTTGCGACGAACAATTTCAGAGAGGATAGTTGTGAACAAGTCACTGGCAGAGGCACGCTAGGACCGGGCGTCCCTCTGCGACAAAAATCACAGAGATAGGCTATCTCAAATTCGACAATGTTAGACATCTTGCTGAGGAGGAGAATGGTGTCTTCATATGGTGGTCCAAATTGTCTCCCGATGCCCCAATTGACGTTCTTGTATACAGTGATCTGGTTCCATGGCAATGAGAACTCGTCGAGAGGCATTTCTACGTCCCAAAGTTCAACGTGTCGAAGGTTTTTGGTATGTTGGAAGGCTTCCAGTCGTGGGTAGTCTGTGAACTCGTTTGGTAACACGATGAGTGTGCGCAATGATCGGAAGGCTGAATGAAGTGGCTCGAAAGACGCCAACATGGATGGCCGAAGGTAGAGATGAAGGGTCTCAACCCTGTGAGATGCCATAACCAGGAAAGCAAACAGCTCGCCTGGAATGGAATCTTCATCTTCGGCATCTCCGGGGCAATGAAGGGAGAGGGAGAGGGGGTATTGGCGCGAACGCTGCAGATGCAGAGCGAACCGAGTGAGTTCTCGAGGCGTCCTGCTCTTGAAATTTGAGACATCTTGTATGATAATGTTCGACCAAAGCTTCCCATGCGAAAGCAACGCGTCTCTCCACCGTTTTGATACCAGCTCAATGCTCCAAAGAGGGCTCTCCTTATGCTGAAATTCCCAGTGGCTTGAGTCGTTCGCGGAGATCCAGCGTTTTGGAGGTGTTATTTCGATGGTATGGCGAAATATTTCAGTAAGGACTTCAGCAGGCAGGCGTCGAATAGCGCTCAGAGGTCCCCGTCTGACTCGAACCAGGTCGCGCATTCGCTGGCATTCCTCTGCCATCGATTCCCTGACAGCCCTTTGACGCTCGGTCATCTCATCTAATTGCTGTATATGACTTTCCAGTAGAGCGATCCGTTTCTCTGCCTTTGAAAGCATGGATTGCAAAGCATGTGCCTCTCCTGGAGCAGGTGGCTCATTTGAGTGTGTAAGACGCGTAAAATCGCCCTCGTATGATAGTACATCTTCATCCAGGATGTCGAATGAAGGGGTGCGGTGATTGGGGCATGAACAGCTTGTACAGGGTACCCAATCACTCAGGCTGTCCTCAGCACTGGCCTGTGACATTTTGCTAGATTCGGACTTGGATATGGAAGCGTGAGACTAAACCAAGAAATACCATCAAAAACAAGAACTCACAGCTGTTTGTTCACTCGATAGTGAAGCAGAGCACGTTGACGGCCAACCCACAGCCGCAGCGACTGCCGATCGCGGCAGGTAAGTACTGATTATCGGGCCGAGGTGGCACCGGCTTCAACCCAGGCCTGTTCCAACCCTATACATTCAATCTTCAAGATTAACATTCATCGGGCGTTTGGTTCGAAGAATGTTACATAATTCTACGAGATCTTTCGGCTCCATGATGTCCTTTAAAGTATACAAGGGGAACTTACAACTGAGTTCCGAGGAGGTAATTTTCATCGATCTGGCAAAGTACATATTCTTAGAAACAATTGTACTCGCTGCCTTCGCAATCGTGAAATTTATCGCTGTGATACTAATACTACGTGATACGAAATTTCAAGCGATTAATTGGCTCAGTATACAATCATTGACCGTTGGAAGGAAAAGTAGCAATGGAATCATTGTTGCCCTCCTCCAAGGGGCCATTTCTGTTAGACGGTCAAATCATTGAAGCAAGTCTCGGAATCGCGTTGTCGCGTTGTAGATGATATGGTTCATCGACAAGCTCATTCTTAAACCCACGGCAGCCTGAAAGATCCCAGATAAACAACGGAAAACTGCTGGGGGAACAAGCCTACCTCGCCAGTGGCGTACTCTTCTATTACCGCCAAATAAATCTTCCTATCCTCGCATGGCTCTCCAACACCGAAGCCCACAGGAAGATCTTCAAAGTTGGGCATTGTCAGGTAAGGTGGAGGAAGGTTGTGCGGATAATCATTTCCTACATATAGACTTTTAAGCAAACTACGAATTAAAGGTACTGAAGAACGAACCGGGATGATTGCGCATCGAGTAACGGCCCATGTATGACCCAGTAGCAAAGTCCTCGGTAGCGTGGAACAATGAAGGACGCGAAGTGAAGAGCCACACTGTGAAGTTATAGGCAGAAATGTCGTAATCTGCGATGGACTGGTATTCAAAGTCGAATTGCTGGCCGGGATCAATTCGGGTGCCGTTGCGCGGTTTGACGATGCTAGGATGCGCAACGCAGACAACTACGCCAAAGAGAAGGGTGCATAGAATTTTGAAGAGATACATGGTTGTAGCCAGGCCGAACGTTAAGCGTATAGATGGCACGACCCTGCTTTTAAAAGACGTTGCATTCATGGACAAAGAGCGGTGGATGATGTCCAGAAGCGTCCGGGGCTGCTTTTCCGAAGCGCTGCTCAGAGGAGTTGAAGAAGAAAAAACGTAAAAGATTCTGAAGGCGTGGCGCAAGTCTTCAATTGGATCCTCGAAAAGAGTATTCCTTCAGTGACCTGAATCAGGATGCTGCAGGGTCCAATCTTCGTATCGGAGAATACGGGTTACTAAACTTGAATTTAGGGTTTTCGACACTCCACTGGCGCGTGCAATTGGAAGATGATCGTCCATCTTGGTTCTTCCAATCTTGAACAGCAATGCCGATGAGCCACCGCAATGTCGCATGCACAAAATGACGAACCTAGATTAACAATTCCTTTCCTCAGAGTGCTCTCTGCCACAACAAATCATAACGACCAACTTGTTACGGTCATCTTGGGACAATTTGTGAGGTCAGAAGCGTCGGGGTATCATAACACCTAGATTGCTGGTGAAAACAGTAGGAAACAGCGCAATACTGAGCTGCCCAAGTCTGCCAGGAACTGTTCGATGACTAAATGAAAATTCTTTAAATCAGGCATGACCAGACTGAGTGGGTTTGTCATGAGCAGCGATTATTGTCTGAGGCGCAATGCAATCCATATGCAATTCCACAAGACATAGAGCGAATTGAGCAAAGCTTTTTTTGTTGGTCAACTCGGAAAAGTTTGCAACGGCGAACAGTGAGGGACGACCCGCCACCGGCTATCGCCGCCAAGTTACCGCAGCTGACCTAATGCAGTGCACGTATTTGCCGGACGCGTTCATCACCTCGTCGAGACGCAGAGTCGCTCTCTTCCACTTTGTCACGATGGTGAGACCCAAGTGCCAAAATACATGTTCAGAATCTCACCAAACATTTTCTCTAGCTTCCGCTTTCGCTATTGAATGCCGCGCAGAACAAGCCTATGGCGCGTACCCTAGTCATCCATCCACGAAAACCCTTGCTAACCAACAGCAGTTAGTCGAATTGAAAAACGGCGAAACTTTCAACGGGCATCTTGTCAATTGCGATAACTTTATGAACATTACGCTCAAGGAGGTATACCAAACGAATCCCGATGGAGATCGGTTCTGGAAGTTGAAAGAGTGTTATATTCGGGGAAGTACTGTGTGTTTGATTCAACATCTGTGCTCGATGGCATACTTAGGCCTTTGACGCAGATAAAATACATTCGCATACCGGAGAACCTGTTGGACGTTGTGAAGGATGAGCAGAACAGAGCGAGAGAGGCAGGCAGGAGCAATTCAAGGGGAGGGCACATTGGTGGCAGAGGTGGTATGTTCTTGTTCTTGTTCTTGCACCATAGTAACCGGCTAAATCCTCCCTGGTAGGACGTGGAGCACCTGTCAGAGGTATTGTTATGCCTTTGTGTGATACCTTGCCCTTGCTCACCATACTCTTCCAGGTCGTGGTCGTGGAGCACCTATGCGTGGAGGGAGAGGACGAGGGCGGGGAATGTAGTGGGCGTGTCGCTTTATTTCTGTGTTTCGGGTGAGCATGTATCATTGTATATGTTTTTTTTGCAAGCTAGCTGGGCTCTGGTGCTCATTACATCAGCTCTCATACACAACATCACATTTTTGTCGCTGCTAAAGCATGTTTACCATTTGCTAATGAATTGCTTGCAACACGCCGTTTAAACGAGGCCGCGTTTACACAACGGCCGCAATAAAGATGCATACCCTCATTCCACGATACCTATGTACAAGAAGTGTAACAGTTGAGTCAACAGGCTAATGCACCTAAGACGATGGTCACTATGACCGTAAAATAGGAAAGGGATATATATATGTATCGAGACGAGCCACCAGTCGCGGGTCTGAATAGCTCTACACCCAGCAGCCAAGTATCTGCTTATAAAAACCATCCAGACCCACACAGAAGAAAACGACATTATGATCATGGAATATCAGAAGAAGAGATACGTCGTGATAAACACTCCGAGTGCAATGATGACCACGACTTGTAATGGAACTCCGTCTTGTTGCAGGGCTACGTCTTCCCCAATCATTGTACCAACCTCGCTGCCTGGCGCGATTGTCATATCATCGGAAAGTCGTCGAGTGCGCCTTCGCAACTCGGTGGTCTCAGGCAAGACTTCGAGCGGAGGGGCTGCCGCTGCTAGCAGACCTCTCAGACGCTCTATCTCAGCCTCAGCTTCCTTGTACTTGATCAGAACCTCATCATTTGGTGGCGTTGGTGCAAGCGTCGATGGGTGTTCAACTGGTGGTGCGGGTTCGGGAGCAGGTTGGACAAATACAGACACGGGAGGCGGTGGAGCAGGTTCAGATGGAGGTTCTTCGTGATGCTCTTCTTCACGGGCGGCGCTGAAGTCATTGGGTGGCGTCAGTGAGCGCTCCTGGGACGTCGATTGGTTGAATTCAGGGATGGGAGCACCATTTGTTATCGGGACTTGGCGGACAGTGTCGTATTGTTGCTGGCGTAGATAACGTCAGTAGGAACGGTGAGTTGAATTATATTGTAACGCACCGAATCGGCTGCATGCATCATAGAGCTTTGGTTTGCCAGAGTTTCGTCGACCTCTTCCAAAGGTTCATCCTCACGTCTCAGATACGCGACTTTGAGCTTCTGTTGAAAGACCTTGGCTTCGTCTGTAGCGCCTTCTGGGACGGACCACTAAAAGAATGCATGTTGGCCGTCCGTATTAAAGTGCATCGAGGCAGAGAGACACACTATATCATGTAACGCTTTCGACTCTTTTTCGGGGGTGATGAGCGTGCTCTGGATGAGGAACTTGTCTTTGCACTTGGCGTTCAACGGGGGCTCCTCCTTCATCGCCTGGAGCATCACTAGAGTAGACAATAATGAATAAAATTTATAGCGTTACTGGAAGACGTAAGCCACACACCAGCGACCTCGACTGTTTCACCCGGTTCCACTCTGCCAGAATTCGGGCGCACGCAGTACAGCTAGAAGAATGGGATGAGCTTCCTCAAATACCACTGGTTCCAAGTCGACATCTCACCCTCGGCGCCGTCGTTTTCACTTTAAAGGCAACAGGGTGGGCATTGGGATTGGTAATGGTCAGTGTCCGTTTTACGAGACTGGAAAACGGGCCTGCAGAGAACGATGAGAAAAGAGAGTTTAGACGATGATACAGAGCGTACGAGGAAATCCAAGGGTGTTGTTCGGATTCAGGTAGACCGACATTTTTGGGAGGAGGATGGAGGAGACAAGGAGCGTGGAGATGCCTGATGAAGCCCTCAACTTTGCCACGTGCTGGTACTCGTCATCATCGCCTTTTCATTTCCTCGTCATTTTCGTTGCTATCGGCTCTGGCTGAATCGGTGTTCCTCTTGATACTTGGCCTCGCTTGTGGCCATGCTGTACTCAGGACTACACTATTGGAATTTATTGGAACATTCCTGACCTCGCGTTGGGTGTGCACGGTACCGATAATCACTGATACCAGCGCCCTACGCCCGTACTGCGGACACAGGACTTGCCGTGCTTGAGGGTCGCTTCTTAGAAGGCGCGTGGTTTCTCACAGGTTCGAGTCTTGAGGCTGCGTATTCCTACGAGGGGGATCCTCGCCCTCTTTTTATTCTTGGAGTACCTGGCAACAGCGGAGCGCCTGGAGTTAATTTACATATAATTCCAGCTCGAATACGGTCTTGTGATGATAGCCTGCAAAATGCTGTATTCTCTATCATATCTCGGGGAACGCGGTCGCAATAAAGCTGAACCGAATGATATTGTTCCTTGCTATCACCTGAGCGGCGCAAAAGCACCGAGTGCGACATCTTACTGGGAAGCTTGGCAATTCAATGAATGATTAATGATGGTGAAGATGGCATGTCGAGTTTCAAGTTTTCAAGGGCATCAACCTTTCTCAAGACATGAAGCAGTAGACGCTAAACCACGAATAATCCTTACGGTCGCTTGGATGTTGCATGCCTAGTCCACACCTTTCTCCAAACATTGATCGCGCGCATCAAGATAGAATAGTGTAGCAGCGCCATTCTGCTTACTACACGAGCGCTGGACGAGGATCAATCGAGTTTGACAGGATGCCTAGTAGGTCGGAGACAACACAAAGTTCTCATGACTGACGGCATGGAAGATTCGAGAGCCGTAGCTACTAATTACCCCCGCACGACTATGAATTCATTATGCAGAATCTGATCTAATCCAATAGACGGTTGGTAGTTCGACAAACCCACGGGAAAGTGGGTGATCGAATATGGCTGTGTTAAGTACTTCATGTTGCAAATGAAGAATATATATCAAGACCACCAGCGTCTTGCATATGTGATGCAAGCGTTCAAAGGTAGAGTAGTATTCATATGCTTTGCGCATGTAAGACGCGGTTTGATTCACAGAAGGCTCGGGAGGAGGTGAAAGGGCCAATATACGTCTCGACTACTGAATCCGGGCTTGAATTCTCGGAGGATTTCGTGACCTCATTGGCTTCCAGCAGCAATAGACACGAAACAAGGAACAGGGGAATCAGAGCAGAAGGTTTGCTATAAGGCACCTAGTTTAAGAATAAAATAACCCAGGCTGTGTTTGAATGTAGGTTGGAGGTGACTCGAGTCTGAATGATGGTAGCATAGAATCCCTCAAAAGATATTGGAGTCGTGATGTTAATACCGTTGGATGAATTAGAGATAAACGATCCCTCAGCTGTTGTCGGACGACGAGAAGACAGAACATTTGGCACGACAAGAATTACGCACCAAAGGGCCCACGTCGAAGCCAGAACGAGAACCTACAGCAGGAGACGGGAAACTGGTACTCGTTGAGGGCCAGGACTCCCATGGTAAGACGGTGGTTTATGCAGCGGCAATGCTGTAGAGACATTGAAAATCTGGTCGTGTTATTGAGGATGATCAAGCGAACAGGAGGAGTTCAAGAATACCAATGAGAGTTTCCAGCCTCCGCTCACCTTGTGTATATACTTAAACTCGCTCTCAGCCATTAGATCTCAAAGCGAAGACTCCGGCAATAGAACTCTGAATATGAAGGAGAAAGATAAAGCATATGCATTTGAGATGAACATCAAAGATCCAAGATGCGAAAGTTTTCAATTTTTAGGGTTATGTATGTAGCCAAAAATGACTTAGGTATGCAATTTTGCATTGTTAATGTCGAAATTCGTTGTTGAGGACGTGGAAAGAAGCTAAAGAAAACAGGAAAACCTAAGGATGAGGCAATTTTGCGACTTTACGGACCGGAACCGGACCGCGCACTAATGACGCACTGTTGGCGACCAAACGCTTGCGCACCACCTCGAACCCCGATTGCCGTATCGCTACTTACCCATGGATCCATACAACAAGCAAAAGACATCCACGAAAAGCTATTTTATTGGCGGTGCCCTTGCCGCGGCCGTCGTGTTTCTCTTGTGGAATGCCTTCACTCCATCAGCCCCCGCGGCAGTAACGAAGGCGATTTTTGTTGCACTGACACTACTGGCTAGCAAATAACGATCTTCTAGGCCACCGTATTTATCAAGGGGGACTCGACAGTCACCGGAAAGGTCACGTTTGAGCAAGCCTCGGCAGACGCTCCTGTAGTTGTCACCGGCAACCTTGCGGGCCTCGACCCGTCTGCGTCGCGTGGGTTCCATATTCAGTGAGCACCCTCCCGGTCTTTCTCCTGTACCACCACGGTGCTGACCGTGACTTCAGCCAATTTGGAGACCTGAGCGAAGGATGCGTCTCTACTGGGTCTCATTTCAATCCTTTTGGGAAAAATCATGGTGCACCCACTGATACGGACAGGCACGTTGGCGATCTGGGCAACGTCCAGTCTGATGAGGCGGGAGTAGCTGCATTTTCATTCAGCGACAGCCTCATTTCCCTCAATGGACCTCTGAGCATCATTGGGTCAGTTCGACTCATTTTTATTTTATTTTATCTGCTGATAACCTTGGGTAACAGGCGTGCCGTTGTTGTCCACGCGGGTACTGATGACCTTGGCAAAGGAGGTAACGAAGAGTCTCTCAAGACCGGTAATGCAGGCGGACGTGCTGCCTGCGGTGTCATTGGTATGTTTTTTTTTCACGATTCTTGATTCAACCATTCACGATATACCAAGGTCTGGTGTGAATGATGAACTATGTACACATGTAGTATTCCAATTATCGAACCATTTCCCTGTTGCTTGGTCATAAAAGTGGAGCGGATTTACGACTTGTCACCAGACAATCACGAACAGTAGTCATTGCTGAGCGACATTCGGAGTTGTATCATGAGACCTCAGATGTTGGCATTCGTTCAGAATCGTCGTTATCTATTGATAGGTTGGTACTTTCGCCAGCAGTGGAAACTGTCGCCTTGTGAGGACAGCAGGGTCCTGACTTACTCAGTAGGTTTGAAGAAATAGCTGTCAAAATATCAAAGGAAATCTCATATAATGAATGTATGTACCCAGCACATCTGTTCGCTACTTATTGACACTGTTTTCATGTCAGGATCGAGTGACTCCTTGTATCAAGCAAAGATACTCACTTGATAATAGTATGGAGGAGAAACTGCAACACAAGTTAATCCCGAGGCACACTGAGTAGGACCCGTCCAGCCAGTCCCTAAGCAATGGTCAGTACCTTTCAACAAGCGGAGGGGAAGATGGGTATATCTCGCCTCCGCACTGGCCCCAATGCGTCTGTGTCGCTCCTGACGCAGAAGTGGTGGTCGATGCCACGGTTGTTGTACTTACCACCGTAGATGTTGTCGGTGCCGCCGTAGTCGCCGCCGTGGAACTTGCTGTTGTGGAAGCGCTTGTTGTCGAGTTGCTGCTACCTCTGGAGATGCTGGTAGTGATGTCCCCGGTCTCTATGTAGACTCCAGAGATATACCAATCTTCTTGGGGTTCTTGGTTGACGATACGCAAAACTCCGACGTGGAAATCTTCAGAGTTTGTGGAAGTCGATGCGGAAACGTTGTCGACGACCTTGGTAAGGTCCTCGGATCCCGTGGAAGCCCAGAGACCGACAGTTTGGGAATTGAACTATTGAGCCAAGTCAGTGGAGGTCGCACTGAATGCTGAAATACGACCAACGTCGATGTCGTAGGCAAAGTTAAACCAGACGCCTGCTTCAAAGTTGGCACCCCATTGGCGCTGACTGGACACCATCCACTGGAGGTCAGTGGGAGTCGGGGAAACACCATACTTCAGCTATACGTAAGTTTTTGGTTAGCCTCAAGACATCCGCTACTCAGGAGCTAAAGTACCTCAGTGAAGTGACTCTCAAAGAAGAGAACCTGATGTTCGAGGGTGGGCTATGGCAGCGAAGCTTCAGGTTTTCTTCGATCATACTATCTCTTGAAGACACTCACGTCGGGGGGATTTGTCTCGGAACGCATCACGGAGAAATGATAATACATTGTGCCTGTGATGGGATGAGAAGCACATTCCGACAACTGCAAGGGAAAGACAGACCGGTGCCCAGATTCGCACTGGTTTGTGGGATCAGTTCTGTACGCTCCATGTTCGAGTTCCATGTAGCGTTGGTAGAGATGGTAACCTTCAGGCCGTGTATCTCTGAAGTCATCGCAGGGTTTTTGTAGGAAGGATCAAGGTTGAGGTAGTTGTTGGTTGGTTGGGTACCATGGATATACTAGCAATGTCCAATGTCAATCCATATGGTCAGACTTCTCGTTAAGAATCATACCCATTGATACGTGCCGACTTCGTTAGCCCAGGACCCTACGCATTGAGCATATTAGTATGATAGTGATAGCTCACAGCAAGAATGTCGGCTTACATTTATCAAAGTCTGCAGAAGTGCTGTAGCTATTGAAGCTTCCATCCCAGACGGTTGTTCCGGCGCGAACAGCACTGACCAAAAGAGATCCAAAGACCAGCTTGCTTGCGAACATTTTGGTGAAGTTGAAGAACAGTGGAGGTCGTCATAGTAGGATGGATGTAGTATATATATGATTACGGCTGCCGCTCTTGGTGAATGTCGGAAAACACTCGAAGCATATGACGCTTGTTAATGAGGAAAATAATCGGTCTCGGCTAGCCATCGGGAAAACAACAGACTTGACGACAAGGCACTTCCAAGGCACGGAGATTTTCAATGCATCCACCCTGTTCATGTATATCATCGCTATAGACCAAAATATGTATCAAGATAAATTACTCCGAGGGGTATCAAATCGTCACTGAGAAATATCATAACACAGTTCCAGTACTGACAACCACCGAACGAGGTTACTCCGGTTCTGGGGCCTTCTTGAACATCCACGAGGTAAAACGTGATTTTGTAGAGGTGGCTTTCTCCGCATCTGCATCTTCCTCTTCTAGTCTGTTCACCAAAGCAGACTCTTCTTCCGCCATTACCTCCCGAAGAATTGCATGATGTGCCGATATGTTCTCCGCGCGCCTCAGCTGAGGGGGAGCACCCATAGATATCCGTGAGGCATTAGCCATCACAAAGTCTCCCTGAGCAACATTGGGTCCCAGACTTGGCTGACGGGGTGAGGAATGACTGACCGGCGACGCAGCATGGTCAGAGGACCCCAGCCGAGGGGATCCAAGTCGAGGGGGCTCGAAGAACGACAGCAACGAGTTGGACCTCTTCTTCATCGGCTCGGTGCCTTCGGAATATGTTCTAAATGGTTTAATCGGTGGTCGTAAACTGGACAAGCTCGGTTGCCTCTGACTGGTACTCGGCCGCCGCCCTCGGAATGTAGAAGGCCTTCGAGGTGCGGCCGCTTGCTCAATATCGTCTTCTTTCGCTTCTATGCGCTTTATGATCGCGGGAGGAAGATCAATCTCCTCCGTACCATCCACCGCAAAGCTGGAAGCACGGCGTTCGGAGGGTGGTGACGAAACATGCGATGGATGTAATGATAGTGTGGACATCTGCAATGGGGAATCTGTTTCGGGTATCCCAATCCAAGTCCCTAGCTTGCCGGCGGAAGCCTCAACTGTAATAGAGACCTTGAGATCAATGGTATCATCGAGGTCAAGTAGACCACATGGGTTTCGTGGGAGCCATAGAACATTGCTAATGGCTCGAGTATAGTATGGGTTGTCGTAAGGCAAGTCAGCGGTTGTTAAGTCATCCCAGCTTACGGGCGGGGGGTGAGGAACAACTGGGCAGTCGTCTTCAGTTCGTAACGTAGGTTCTAAAGGTGCGGAAATTGGTGACAACGGGGCAAGAAGTGGAGGTTCAAGTTCGCTCCCAGTGGCGAGTCGAGAGGGCGGTTCGTTTTCTTCTGCCTGTGATGTGCTAGGGCCAAGACGTGAAAATGAATGGGGCTCGATACGGAAAGGGTTGGGTCCTCGTGCCAAAGGATTATTCGGATGATGCCGGATTGTAGCATAAGAGAGCGTTACCCAAGCTGGTAGTCGCCAAGTGGATTTCCTTCGCTGTGAATCAGTATTGAGAAGACCACTCATATCCTGTTCTGTGTTTTCGGTCTCTCCTCTCTCAATGCCATCAGCATCCGGTCGTCCGCAGATGATATGGGCTTCCTGCATATCGTCGCGTTCAAATTGTGCTCGGCACATTCGTGTCATGCTATAAGGATTGCATGAAGGTATGAGATTCAAAGAAAGAGGATTTACGCACATAAGCTTCACGATAGCCGTAAACACAATGAGCACAGCAGAGAGGGCAACATTGACCTCCTTCTTTAAGACAACCATGTAAGCAAGAAAAACAGCCTAAGCAGAATTCCTTCAGCGAACAATTTCCACCTATGTAGTATATACGAACCTGAGATAAGATAAGGCCTTGCCAGACGTTAGAAACCAACTTTCGAACAGTCACACAGACTTCTCACCATCCAATGAATATCGCAGTATTCGTATCAAGATGAGTTTTCCCTCGCCCTCGTAATTTTTAGCGTAGACGTGAATTAGCTTGAGAGTTAGGGTCAGTGGTCGATTGAGGAAAGAGGGGGAAAAGTACTTGGTTTTTTATTACCCCTGCAAATAAATTATTCTTCTTGACAGACTAAGAAACAGAGGAGAACGCACCAGTTTCAACGAAAAAATAAAATGTTCCGAAAGGTAATACAACAGGATTGAGCACGGCGAATACCATCAAAACATGGATCACCAATAAATGTGTAGGGAGCCAATCTACAAATGCTTCAGAGGGGTCGAACGGCAACGTCATTCATATACTGACAGTAAAAGTTGAAAGTTCGAGGACGTATCCCAACGGCTCGTTTACGTCTATGAAGAAGTTAAAAACAGTGTCGGATTTTTGGACTGAGCAACTCACGGAGTAAGTTGTCTCTTAGTTGTAGGGTACATAATAAGGGGTAGCTTCAATGAAAACAGTCATTTAACTATCCCGCAGACAGCGATAGAAAGCAGAGGGATCTTACACCGACTAGAAATACAAGCGGTCAGTCCGGGCGAAGGAGGTGTGAGGAGCTTGTGACATACGCAATATTATTTCAAAACCACCATGCATAGCGGCCGTGAAAATGACTGAATGTTCATTCAATATTCAGCAACGACAACTTCTTGTAAATTGCCTGAAACACTCACGCCAACCAACGTAGAACGGTCCTGCTGACGGAAAACTATCCGCCACAATCTGGAGAATGTCGGGAGTGTTCGCCGACGCTCGGAAAGAGTCGAGGATAGATTGCAAAGCAGCTGTGCCTACACAGAAAAACACAAGAACGTTGACAATAAGAAACTTGTAATATCTAGTCATGATTCGGTCGTGAAGAGCTGAAAGGGTCGTAATCGTGTGTGCCTTTTTTGCGATGAGTAACAAAATGAGCGGGATAAGTAGAGCCAGCAGAGCCACGAGAAGTGTAGGAAGAAATGATTGAATCACTTCTTCTTCCCAGGCGTGCCTGTCAAGGTATGCTTTCTATGTGCGGGGGTGAGCGTAAAATGTAGGAGGAAAGGGCAAGCCTTACCAGACTAGGCCAGAATACACTGATGTTTTGAATAGATACTAAACCAACAAGTAGCGACACCGGAAACAACCAAAAAATGGTGAATGCCCTAAGAGAAGTTTATTTGAATGGACTGAAGTACAAGGAGTGTACCACTAACCATACACCCACGCTTACGACCCAGTCTTTGACGAACTAGCACAAAAATACGTAGTTAAGGACAGGAAAATGAGATGCGAGAAGGAGCCTGACCTCTGCGTCAAAAGACGATTTCATAACCCTGATCCAGTCCAAATCCTGGTACTCTGGAGCCATCGTGACCAGACACGTAAGCGGGTTCTGGGGGTGGACTGCCAGATACTTGCACGCTTTTCTCGCATCGTCTGGATCGGCGAAAGTAACGAATGCTGTCGAGACAGGGTCGAATTTCGTCACAGGCTTAGCCCGATTTTCCGTTATAAGGGACGTTAGCAGATTGAGCTTAGCTGTGTAGTAGTCGATGGATGGTACCGTCTTTCCACGGAAGAGATGTGATAGGTTGACCAAGGGTTGATATGCATCAAGACTGCTCCGTGGTAGGCCGAGGAGTGCCTCCCAGATGGTAGTCCTGTGCTGGCGTCGCCGTTCATTCACAGAGGCGGGAGGGTAGCCGGTGGGACTTTCCGTGGAACCTTCATCGGAATCAGTAGATCCTTCTGTTCGCAACTGTTGAAAAGCGTGATTTGAACTGTGGGAGGTTTTCTTGAGCTTGGCACCATGTTGCCTTAGCTCGAATTCGTCGACGAATGGACCCAAAACCTTGATGAGCTGCTCCGTTCGCTCCTCTTCGCTGAGGGTACCTTCCAATTCAGCATCACCTTGTTCAGCATCGACAATTATTTTCCTCTGTTTCGCAACCAGTTTGGCCCTGGAGTTGCTCCGAGAAAAAGGTTTGTTCGCCTCTTTATGTTGCATGGCTTTTTTGGTAGCCTCGAGGGCAGTTCTCGCCAGCTTGATGTGCGCTGTCTCCAAGAGCCGAAGAATGTCCTCGCGGCGTTCCAGAAGCGAAGCCAGCTCAGTCATCTTTCTTGCAACTACAGCGCGATCTATCACAGGCACATTCTCCGGATCGGGAACAGAAGAGGGATCCTTTCCATCGTTCGATTCGTGGGGTATAACTGGAAGACGTTTGGCGCGATTGAAGAGAAAGGCGAATGACTTGTTGAAGAAGCCTGGTTGCGTTGTCGCGGTCAAACCCAATGCCGGACGCTCTAGTTTTCGTGACATGTAGTACTCGAAATATTCTTTGAGCACCTTTTCATCTCTCAATTGCGGGGGAACATTAGATACCATGACAGTGCGAAGGCGAAGGCCGTTCATTGGATGTATGACGTCCAAGGATGGGACAGACGCAAAATTGAACTGTGGGTGGGGATGAGGATGGTATTCTGGACGAGCGCCTTCAACTGGTCCCGAGGAAATGCGTTTCGCAGCTTGCTTGATATTTTCCGCACGTAACATGAATGTGCCATGGGCTATCCAAAACAGTGTACCGATCCATGTGAGGGTTATCCAAAACAGGAGGCATATATGAATCCATAACAAGGATAACCCTTCCCCCGTACCGACCAAGGAAGAAATGGAGGCGCGAGTCATGGATTTAGGATCAATTGAAGGTTCAGAGAATTCGACGTGAATAGGGAACAGCACGGGAAACGTGGTGAGTGTGTGCAGCAAAACGAACCAAACTGAGTTAGTGTGTTAGAAGTTCTGCCAGTACAGGAATAATGAAAACGCACAGCAGCCGCGAAGAAACCGAATATACAGCGTTGCATCAATACCCCGAATTTCATTCATTCTCGCTTCGGGAAACCACACTGCTTGCGGAACCCACGACAATATCCATCCTCTTGGCGACGGAGGGGACGGCTTCCTAAAGACTGCGTAAGAAACGACTGTCGCATTGATAATTCAACCACCTCACCAAGCCCAGGACCTGCCTTGATACAGGCTACAAGGGCACAAGATCAGTATGGGTTGGCATAGGGGTGAAACGGAAATTCAGAGGAAAGTTAAATGGCTTCGACGCCCTACGTCCAGGCGTTTAAGAAACTTGGAGACGGAAAACTCACTATCCAAATTGCCAACTTTCCCTGCTTCCAAGCCCTTCCTCATATTGTTTCTTCTCTCTGCGCTTCCTTTTCATGTATTCCTGGCCCCCGACGCATAGCACAGTGATCCCTACGGCTATTACAGTCTGATTTATCAATCCGCTGTGGTGACGGAATGGGTATTTAAGACAGCAAAATAAGGATAGCACCACACCTGTAATTCTTGGAAAATGGTCGAGTTTGAATGTCGCCCATTGCGCGTTGGCCGTAAATGTAGAGTCAGACGTCAGATTACCAAGGAAAACACAGAGGTCAGCGACTGGAGATGGTAGGGGGTCGATGCGAGCGTGGCATGGAAGTTGCAACCCACGAACTGAGGTCCAGGAGCGGTGGACCGTCCGACATGCAATGTGCACGTGGTATGCGTCATAATTCCAGTAGGGCCCGCTCCGGGGCAACGCCTGCTACTTCAGGTGAAAACAAGTCTTGTATTCAATCGCTCGCATGTGTTCAATATCTAAATAATGTGATGACTACCACCACCACAAGGAATAAGACGACTATTACTACTACTGCGAGTGCGAACGATATGAATGGCATCCCGACCAAATCCCGACTGATTTTAAGAAGCTCTTGGATGTCATTTGGAAGGCCAAGTGTAGCCGCTTTCGGTGCAGGAGTAATAGGATCGAGAGGGAACCAACGTTCTACAGTCGGTCCAGCTTCATTAGCGTCGATCTTTTCGTTATTAGTCTTGAGTAACGCGGTGTCAAATGGTATTCAGTTATGAGCACGACACACTCATGTCGCTACCTCCCAGAAGCACATCTCACTCGGAAGAGGTTTGTGACTTCATTACATTGTGCAATAACTCAATCTCCTTGGACCATAGTGTGAGGGGGCACCCGACTGATACACTGGGTACTTACGTTTTCACACAGTACACGTTCGGGCTGCAAACTCGCAAATATGTCGCGAACTTCCGACTCTGCAAGGGGTTCCTCAGCGGTCCCGTCCAAGCTCATGCTCAGGAAGACCCAGATAAGACTCCTATCCGCGAGCCCTCAATGTAAAAAGCAGAACAGGAGGAGAAGCGTCAATCGAGGAAATGCAGAATACAGTTTTGTACTCGTGCCTCATCCAAGCCAAGGTGTCTTCTCTGCTCTCGGAGACGTGCGCTAGGCGTTTAAAAGTACTAGGAGTGTAATAGAATGGTTCCGACATGCCAAGAACTGTACAAAGGATTGGCATCTGCGCCTGGAAACTGATCTGCAGTGACAAAAGGCCAACCGTCCGTACGGGGTGAGACAACGGTAACAGCTGTTTGATGACTTATTAGTCAAAGAGGGATGCAATAAGGATGTATATACTCACGAACTATATCATCGAGACCCTTGAGCTTCCTGACGATCAAGGTTCGGGTTGCCAGGCTGAAGGCAGTTAGCTTCATACTGTTATCAGCAGTAACATTCTGCATCACGTACGACATGCATGAGTCCTAGGTTATCTTTTACTGTTCGGAAGTTCCCGATTCCGATCTCGGATCTCGAAATTCCCAAATTGAGATTTCAGCCAGATATGGGTCCGTCTGCCGGCCTAACACGAAAAGACCGTGATGTCACGATAGTCACGATATCACAAGCGTTATAGACTACTTTTCTCCCTCGAACGATCACCGCCCATCACGCGCCTTGCAGTCCTGTGCCTGTCGGTAAGCAACAGTGACTTTTAATCTGTCAATGTAATTAAATCTGGGTCCCAAAGCACCAAGAGAGCGCAGAATATGCCTTCAATGTATTGTCTGGCAAGTAAAACTGTAAAATTCTCTGACGGCTCCTACGACGTGCACAGCTAGAAGTAATGGACGACGTATTTCTCCTATATTATTGAAATATTCTCCTGGTTTTGGGAAATGGGTGTGTCTCGATGTTTTTATTCCCGTTTTCACAATTAACTCCGTCTACCTCTATCCAGATAGGTGATGATAATGACGATGATGATGACGATGCCAATGTCATGCCGCCGCTCACGCCGCCGCCTTTACCCACTGGCGTTACACAGACCTCTAGCACTGTCAGTCCTTACCGCTGTCAACATGCTTTACCTTCTTTTCCCGGTCTTCCCAATTTTTTCGGTGGATAATGTTTATGCTGCGTGTTTCTCATTCATACTGCCCTATCACCATAGATCCTCCTCCTACCATCAAGTCATTTTACTCCCTGTAATTCGTGTACTACATTGAATGGTCAATGACGATATGTATATTCGCATCGTTTTTTTCCCATTTTGCTTTTCAGTATATGGGTACGAAGTCGCCATTTGATCTTGGCTCCTACTGATTGACTCAGGTGTGAATTTCCATCCTCATCGACATTGGATTGCTATCCTTTGCATTTTCTATCGGGTGTGGGGTTCTCTCCTCTATTCTACGGTGCATTAAAGCATGATATTATGTTATGAGTATTTGCTTAATGTTGATAGTCATCTGGGTTTGCTCTGAAGGCCACTATGACGGCGGTAAGACTTCTTGTGCAGGGATAAGCAAGGGATAGGACATGGCAGAAGGGGAGTTCGATAGGTGGCAGGCCTGTAGCTACCCACTATAATCAGTGTACGTAGGCAGGAAGCGAATGAACAGGTTTTTATTCATAACTATTAATTGATGCACAACAGCGTACATTGTCAATTAATGTTGGAGGTCATCTACTTGAGACTAGTACCAGGTAAAGCTCGAAATTTCACTTCCCGCAGTCGACGAATATCATAAGTTCCAAAGCAGACTAAGTACATCATAATTATGTTATCTGCACCATGAAGGTCGCTAAGACAATTGTCGTTGAAGACACGAGATTGTCGGATGTGGTATATGTACTCCACAACTGATTCTTGAAACTATTCAGAGGTTAGTAGTGTTTGAGCAGTACTCTCTGTGCTAGTCGGGTGGCCTTTAGAGCCTGAGTGGAACAGTTATACTACTTAGCGCTTAGCACTGGTACAGAGACAAGCGGTACTAGAAGATAACATTTGAGAACATGCTGGAGACAAGTGACGCCAATAGGGCCCTAGTAACTCAGACGGATGAAAAGATGCACTTGCGTTGGTTCACATGCGTAATTCTTAGTGTGAAATTGTTGGCAGAATCCACAAGTTGTCTGGTCATCAGAGAATGGAATGGCCAAGGGAACGGCAACATTCACCCGAGGATCACGTTGGATTCCTGAAGCTCCCAGTCGAAAGTCCATGGGTTTAGGTCGATGACAGTGTATTTAGTCGATAAATCGATAGAAACCCGTAGCTAGCTAAAAATAGGGCATCTCATGGATGCAGTCGCCGCTGTTTGGCACCTTATATGGCCCTACTTGCAATTACCTTTGTTTCTGAGAACTTTCTGTAGTAAGCGTGTATATTTTGTCGTCAGCCCATGGGTACCCACTCGCATACCCCCCACTGCGAACCCTGTCACATCTAGTGACCGACGTTTAATTCGCTCGCTACTCGCCTCAGCACGCCCGGACCCTCCGACTTCGGAATTCGGCACCGTGAGATCTGGATCGGGAATAGTAAAAGATAACTGATCACTCGACATGCATAGGAATGGTAGCGATCTGCGCAATGTTGCTCAATATATACTGGAACGAAGTCAATTCGCTGCTCACCAAGCTGTGATTCGAATTTCCTACCTTTTTCGATAACATTTCGGAAAGACAAGGGAGCGCATTTGAAAGTGCCATCGTCTGAAGTTTTCATGACTGAAATATCAGACCGAGTCTTCCCAGTTCTGGAGGCCATGGTAGAAAATGTTTCCCGAGCTAGGAACAGCAACGAGGAGAGAGACGGGTAAGGTCTCACTATTAGTGAGAGTACTCCTGGTAATATGATACAGATGGTCAGACCGAGATGATATCTAGTGGCTAGTCAAGTAGGCAACACTGATTATTACCCTGCTGGTTAAAACGTGGTTGAGTTGATAAATGTATTCTTTTGTGGAAGAGGCTATCTGAAAATTGTTACACCGTTTAAACAACGAAAAGAGTGGATACGGCGCCGTAAAACTTGATACTCATGGAACAAAACCTTGAAATGCGGCTGTGTGGTGCATGTATATGCGGTTGTAGTTTTCGGATATGGACTCTCGGTCGGGAAGATATCGATCTGACGATTCTATCCTTGCGCATGCAAACTTCCTCACAAGCATATAATACTTGTCGAGCCTATAGTCACCTCAGTCCAATAAGACTAAGCATTTCGTGAAGCACTGACCTAAGTCAATCAATTCCATTCCACTCACGAACCGTCGTTTCCCAGAATCAACTTAGAAACGAAAGCGCAGCTGGCGTTGACGTGATAGTCAACACAAGTTCTGTAAGCTCGGTTGCGACAGCTTGCCGAATCAAGGGCTTGTCAGACATCCAGAAGCCTAAAACAATTCAGCCAAAAGTATCATGTCAGATTAACATTGACTCACAATAAAATATTCCTTTCCACAATCTTGCCAACTCCGGCGGTGGAAGCGCATCTTTAGAATCAGAGAGGAAAACTGATAAGTTTTTGATCGCTTTGTTGAGGACTTTTTTGTCTGTTCTTCGAGTGAGAATATGAATTTCAAACAGAGATCAGGCCTTACCTGTACGCGAGATATTTTCCAAGGGGAGACACCGGCGAGGACGAGGACGAGGAGGAATGAAGAATTTTTCGACCGGGAGGATAACCTCCAGCAAATGGAGACGATGAGAACAGAAGCGAAGAAGATTGTAAAGTAGAAGAGATAGAAATCACAGGTATTCCATTCAGAGTGATCAACATTTCTGCAAGAGGTACGGTTGCAACGATGTTGTTGTGTTATTGCTGGGACGACGTGATGGCTTACGAGTGGGGCTGGCTTACAAACGTCGAGAGTGGGAGACAAAGAGTCAGGATGACGGCCACCGGGTCCAACGCAACGGATGCGTGGCTAACTCGGACCGTACTACCGAATTGCCGGCTATGGCACACCCCCGGGCCGTTAATGCCAGGTCTTCCGAGAGGGGTCTGAGCCCCTGATCGAAGGGGGTCTTTGCGCTAGACCTTATAAGGAGCGCTTTTCGCCTTATAAGGAAGGACCCTTTACGCTATTAGGAAGGTGTACCGTTGTTTCGTGCAGATCGACATCGGGCTGCCAAAAATCGAAAAATCAAAGGTCACACCATAAAACCTACTACTAAAGTAGCAGGAATATCAAAACACCAAGTTGTTGAACGAGTACCGCGAGTATCTATAAAGCCGGCTCGCCAGGCTAACACCAAGTAGAAACCTGGGTTCAATTTCTTGTCTCGAGTTTCATTCTTTGCTCGCTAGTCTTCGCTAGTGTATACTTAGAACGGCCTTGACAACGAGTTGAACTAATCCGGATTGGGATAATAACAGCACTTACGAGACGGATGCATAGATACTAGCTACTTGCTTCTCATTAGAATCAGTCACTCTTTATCTTTCATCTAATTTCTTTCGAATCTGAGTCGCCGCCAAGTGCACATTAGTGCATACACATGCACAGTGACACTAGTAAATGGCGATATATAGACAAGAACGTGTATTTCCGTAACCAGATTGCAACTTTACTTGGTCTTCATAATACGAAGGTGACCCGGATGATACTTGTAATTCTCGCTGTAGTTCTTGGGGGGGACTCTCTTAGTTGCAGGAGGCTGCCTGTTAGATGATGAGCAAGAGAGTATTCTTGGACAGTCTGACCACTTACACATAATAATCCCATCCTGGAAGGAGTAAAAAGCTATGAGAAAAAGCGCACTGGATTCGCATAGGTCGAAAACGTACCCTGCTTCTCTGCGAAATGCATAGCGTCCTCCTTCGACTTGAATGAAATCCTTGTTCCTTGCATGTAATCGGCCCTGTTCTCCGTGTCAGTAAACCAAGTGCATTAGGCCAACAACGACTCACGAGCTAGCCCAACCCATCAATGGGTTCTCCCAACGACCACCGCTTAACATGGTATCAAAATCTATACGCCAGCGCTCAGTTTTCGCCGCTCCGCTTTGCATAGTGTTTCGAGTGGGCTGATATATCCGCACTGCTCGGTGACGAAGTTCCTCTGTGAGAACGCGTGAGATATATATTTTCATACCAGAGCAATAGAAACGCACCTGGAGCACCACTCACAACGTCTGCAACCATGACATCTCGGGGAGGAGCGGGGGCTACAATTTCTGACGACTCCTCTGACTTGGTGGCTGGGGTTGACTCGTTGCTAACGCCTCGAATCAAGAGATGCCTTTGTCCTAGAGGCGCACCTCTAACGGCTAAGGCCGTCCTTGCACACGTACGGATGAATGACATGGTAGGATGACAAGAAATCGGAGCACGGGAGTTGCGTGTGTTTGGATACCAAGCCCGTTTAGGAAACCGCCGCCTCATCACCTCGAACGACGAGCACGGTCACTTTCCAGTTCCCTTGCAGGGTAGCTTCATGTCACATTCTCTCTATCCATGGCCCAGGCACGACGACGCGTATCCTATGTTATATTGCCTCCCGACGGGCCTGTTCCTCGCCTGCAACTACCTCCCCATGGCGTATCGCGGTTAGGTTGTACCGGCCCGTTGCTCAGACAGGCCAGTGGCTATGGACAAGATGAAGACATACCGAAGCGTGCCAGACATCCACGCCATCGTCTAGGCGTTGCTTCTCTGGCACTGGATACTTCGACTCAGCTTACAGGCCGGAGTGCTCCGGAAGGCATTCTTTACTCTGGTGGCAGAGATGGAATGGTGATTTCGTGGGACTTAGGGATACCAATGAAGAAGAGAAAGCCGAAACAAGATATTAGTGATTTTCGTCGCGGTGTCGGACGCTGGGAGCTCATGACAGGCTGGGGCGACGATGTTATTGCGGAGGAAGCTGAAGATGCCGATGACCGACCCACCAGCGACGGCGACGTGTTGGGGGATGTTACCGCGTTTTCTAGTAGACGACGGCGGCTTTCTCAGTTTTCTATTCCCTATGAGCAACAGTGGGAAACGGACGTGGATTTATTCAAGCCGGGACAGGTCAGTCTCTATGCCTTGACTGCGCTTGTACAACTGTTGAACAGAAGAATACTTCTCAAGCCGAGCCATTTCCGTCAGTCTGCCCAGTTACATATGGATTGGATCAATGATATAATTCTGTGCAATCATAATCAGACAGGCGAGTCTTTCCACCACAGTGCGTATCGTTATCATAATCCTCATCAACTCCAGTGGTTTCCGCGTCTTCGGACGGCACAATCAAAGCATGGAATCCTCACTCCTCCACCGGTTCTGAGCCATCAAGGATCGGGGTCCATAGCGATTATGTACGCTGTCTAACTCATTGGTACGTGCTAGCCCTGTCTTGGCATGGTCCACTGACAAAACGTAGCCGAGAACAGAACTGGATCGCCTCTGGGTCTTTTGACCGTACAATCAAGCTGTGGGACCTTGGCCGATCGTCGAACCCGGATCCTCTGATTACACTCAATCCTGCGGCTGCTACGGCACCAAAGTCGTCGGTCTACGCGATTGCTGCGGATCCATATGGCCATTCTATAGCATCTGGGTCCCCAGAGCGTGTTGTTCGATTATGGGATCCTCGTTCCGGTAAGAGGACAGGAAAACTAGTGGGACACACAGATAACATCCGAGCCATTTTGATATCTGAGGACTCGAGGTACCTGCTTACGGGTTCTGCTGATGGTATGTTGTAAACATCCCGTTATCAATCGTCTGACCAACATCCTTCTTAGCGTCCGTAAAACTATGGTCTCTAACGTCGCAGAAGTGCCTACACACCTTCACACATCACACCGAATCTGTCTGGTCTCTTTTCTCTTCTCACCCCTCCCTGGAGATATTCTATTCCGGGGACCGATCGGGACTTGTCTGTAAAGTTGACGTTGAGGACTGCTCGGATGTTGCTGAAGGAGAATGTATCGTGCTTTGCCAAGATTCTGGACAAGGCATGCCATCTTCTGAGGGGATCAACAGCATTGTAGCTATGGATGACAATCTCCTGTGGACAGCCACAGGTAATTCGAGTATCCATCGGTGGCGGGTACCGCAGAAACGTTCTATTCGTGCGAACGCGCTCTTAGCAGACGTTGAACCCGATCGTCACGACAACAGTCCGGTGGCCATAATGCGAAGGCAGCGTCGTCAGAATAGTGCTGAAGAGTCGGTCGACACCGTCGGGCCAGCACCAGCTCCCCGTAATTCTATGACGCCCTCTATTCAGTCTCTTAGCTCAGACAACTGGCTTCCGCAGCGTGGACGTGAGGACGAAACGACCTTGTACGGCATACCTTTCGCAAGCCTGGTCAAGCTTGTTTCTGCAAGCGACCCTTTCACTTCATATTCGTCTTCTACCCGAGGTCGAGATCCAGAGGTCGCAACGTTGTACTCCGCTGCTTCCGTCATGTCTGTACCACGATCCAGTCTGCCAATTCATTCAGTCTTACGTGTTCATACGAGTCCTATTCGAAGTTCGAAAACAGGGGATACGGTCCAGCCTGCACCTACTGCACACACAGAATACGAGGAGCGAGAGATAGCAGCAGATGCTAAGCCTCTTCTTGCCTCTCCCGACAATGTGATTCAAGGCGATCACGGGCTTGTCCGATGTATCATTCTCAATGACCGGTTGCATGCTTTAGCTGTTGATACGTCAGGTGAAGTAGCGGTCTGGGACATAGTAAGATGTTTCTGCCGGGGAAAATTTAGGCGGGAGGATGTCGCTGCAATTAGCCATCGAAGCAGCTCAGTGGCGGGAAGCAGTGGCGGAGAGAAAGAGCGCAGCCCTCGAGAAGTGCTGGATAGCGTTAGAGAGCGAGTTGAAGGCGAGGGCGTTGCGTTGCCATGGGCTACTGCTGATACCAAAGCTGGTGTATTGGTGATTAACATGGATGAGAAATGTTTTGAGGCTGAGGTATATGCAGATGAAGTTGGATTCGCCCATGACCGACATTTTAACGATGAATCAAAATGTAGGCTTATTTGTTCGACCCTGTCTTACTCACTGATAAGCATGTTCCATAGTGAATATTGGGAAATGGGTTCTGAGAAACCTGTTTCTTGGCTTCATTCGAGAGGAACAAAGAATGCGTCGTCATCGTGATCGCCGTGGAAGTGAAGATAGCCATCATTCCACATCTCCTGATCGTCACCGGCGATCAGTGAGACCAAGTGCGACTGTTATCGCATCATCACATATGATTCCAGCAGTATCTCCGACTATATCCTCAACATGTTCATCCCCTCTTCTGTCTCCATTGATACCTCTCCATCCGATTGGACAAGAGAGCAACGTAGTTTCGCCTGCCGCACCCCAGTCTTCTACGCTAGCAGGTAACGACAATGCTACTCCTACGCCCCGCATACTTACGCACCAGCGGCTTCGATCTACCACTATCGACGGAAGTACACCTACCGGGTCTTCTACACCCAAAGAGGGAGACTACTTTTCTGTGAGAAGGCAAATTTCATCGCAGACATCGGATGAATTGTCCGGATGGTCTGCGCAGCGGTCGGAGCCAATATCACAAAGTCCGAGTACTCCTGGTGGGTTTATAGGCCTTTTTAAGAATCTCGGAAAGAGCAAGAGACCTGTCAGTGACGTTGGTCCTTCTACCACCCCCATTCCTGGCGTCGTTGCAGCTACAAGTGAAACGCAGACCCCCACCGCCGATGTAAGTGACACAATGAATTTTGAGTCACAATCTAACGATATTGCAGCAAGAGTTTCTCAGTGAATCCGTTGTAGAAGTCGCGAAAACACCGTTACAGAGACTCCTTTTGGAGAACTGGTCCCCACCTTCATCGACTGAAGCGCCACCATACAGTCTGCCGTCTAACCTAACTATTTTGATTTCTGAAGAAGGATCTCCTAACTATAACGCTGTTTACCATGGCACCATCGGTTCCGTCGCTCATGATACACAAGCCTTAGAGGAAGCCATGCCCATGTGGCTCATCGAATATTTGCTCTTGAACAAGGCACCTGCACCTGTTCAGGTGAAAATCAGCTTTGTTCTCCTACCTTATCATTCTAAGGATCCCGACGCGGAACCTCTCCCAGAGCTTATCAATACGTGAGTTTGGTCTTTCAAGTCCCCCCTGATAAATTTTAATGACAAATACTTCATAGTGCTCAATCAAAGCTCACTGCCAACCGCTTCCTTCGTGTGCGCAAGCTCATAATCCATGTTTGTTCTTTTCCTTGCCGCAAGTTGTCCTGGTGCTTATTTCATGTGCGTAGGTGCAGGAAAAGCTGGACAAAATATCTTCGTCTTCCAATTCAAGAGCGGCGTCAATACGATCTTCAGTAGACAGCGCCGGACATCACGAGCGCGCAAGATCACCACGACCTAGAGCAGAAGACTTGTACGAAATCTTGTGCAACGATATTCTTCTCCCATTAGACATGAGCCTAGCAGCTGTGCGCTACTATGTGTGGAAGCAATCGACAGAACTGACGATGCATTATCGGAGAAAACTGTCATAGAAGTCCTCCCTGAATGTTCTGATCTATCACAATGCCGCGGGGGCATTAGACTGTACATTAATTTATTAGGCGTAGTTAACTTTATGCGTGCAGTACACTGTAAGAGCACGGACAATCCGGGGGATTATATTCCATAGAACAATTTGGCGCCAAAGTTGATGTTTAATTCTACCGATAAACACTTTCTAATTACTTATACTACTTATACTTCCAGAAGTCATATTCGTTGGCTGCTTAGCCCTTGAAGCTCTGGAATCCTAATTGGCAAGGTGGGCTGCAAGGTGCACTCCTCTTTATTTCTGTGGGCAATGCCAAACAACGATCTGAAATTTACAGTGGCCCGACATCCGTTGTGATCGACGGTGGTTACGCTACGACTTGCTCGACATCGGGGCGCGACGACACTCAGCTGGCCTGGAGATATGCCTTCAAATCTTGCTGCTCCGTCGCTGTCTGGCTCTCACATATCCTCCTCTACCACTGTTGTCAATGGACCACTTGACGCTGATGACGCGCCTTCGTTCACGAGCTTGGAAGGGCAGGCCCCTGCTCAGCAGGTGAGAGATTCAGTCCTGACGCATACGTCCAAATTCTAAATTTGATGCCTTTCTCTTAGCTCGCGGAGCTAGACAACCAACTCGTGATGCAGAACCGTATCCTGGAGGGCGCAGAGAATATGCTCAAGGTCACTTTGACTGTCAGTAATTGTCTCCGTGTCTTCGTGCGCACTTATTAAGACATTATGATATAGGATGCTCTCCGACTTCAAGTCGAGTCTGAATTGGACATGGCCAGAAGTCGAATTGAGGCTATCACCAATAAGCGGAAGGATATACGTAAGTACTCAGTTTCAATCCCTCGGAGTCTTGACGAATCGTACGCAGAGTCTTCTATTGACAAGGGCAAGCAAGTCAACGGCGCGGCAGCAGTGAAGCGCAAGTTTTTCCAGGCAGGCCATTCCCCCTCTCAAGCTAAACCAGTGAAAGAAGACACCGACGATAAAGGTTCGTCTATGTCATCCTGTTATGCTCATTCGCATTGAAACGGTCGAGTAGGGGACGACTTCCGTACTATGCTTCAGAATGCGTCAAACTGTGTGTCCAATCTGCTCTCACTTGCCCGTCCGAGTACATCGCCACAGACCACCCCGGGCGCTTCCTCATCTACCGACCCTCCCACTTCCAATATCCCCGAAGCAGACAGGCCGTGGATTGATGCAATGTCTAGGCTTACAGTCGTCCTCCAGAAGAATTTACGTGTTCGTTATGAGTTGAATCTAGCAGATGTCGTCCAAGCGTGTGTCATATAGCCCACTCTACCACACATTTCAGCTGATTTAGGTCAAAGTGTCATACCAGCGCTTGCAGATAGGCGTTCGAAACATTGTCGCGCAGCTGCCTATCGTGTCATAAGGCATGCCCTGGTGGATCATGATTCAGTCAAACGTTTGGGAGAACAGGCGCTGGATTGGTACATTGTAAAGTGGGCACTACATGCCGTCTCAAGAATTCGTACTCAGGAAATTTTCCAGGTCTCTCAATCGCGACAGCAAGTACGTCGTTGAGAAAGAGCAGGTCATCAAGCTTATCCGAACTATTGTTGACATCGGTACGATTCGCCACGACTCACATTCGTCCACGGGAGGCTCTGTGGGTGTTGTCCCTCTTTCCGAGCCCGTCATGCGAGCATTTATCGCAGTCGCGGAGCATGTTGAAGACCCGTTCAGACCTATCTGTATATTGACGTTGACCGAAATACGTATGCACGCTACTTTTCCGATTACTGGTATCTTACGATCTTCTTAGTTCTCATCGACATTGATCTCGTTGCCAGAACGGGTGGAACTCGCTTTTTGCTTCATGCCTTGGGTGAAGGACCGGTTGAATTAACTCCCATTTTATCCGCGGCTTTCTTGCACATAGTGGATAGTCCTCGGACTCGATCTTACTTTACCGTTGGTACCGATCTTGAGGTAATCATTTTCGTGCTATGTTCTTGCCAAGTACGCTAACCTGTCTGTATAGACTGCATTGTCTGCGGTCACCGATGCCTATGGTAAAGGCCCCGATCATGCTGAACGGATGAAAAGTTGCACCCAAGTTATACAAGGCATGCTTCGAACCTGGAGTGGTGAATTCTCTTCTCAACGACTGGTTCTTTCAGTGCTGATATGCCATATTAGGTCTCATGTACTTTTGTATGCACGACATGCGCGCACTGCGATCTGTGATAGAGACCCTTCGAATCCCCTCTGTGGAAACAAGGGTATGTTCCATCTTTGGTGGTACTACGACAAGCTCATTGTGCGCGACTTAGGAAATCATTTTAAATATGTTCTTCAGCCTTCTCAAGATCAAGACACCGGAATGGTACCAAACCTTTATCGATGGAAGAAGATTAACAAGTATGATGTGATGTGATATGATCTAGGGAAATGGTTAATCATTTGTCGCAGTGTACAGGAAGAGTCGTAGTAGTATCGATCAACGCAAGGAAGCCGAACAAGCGGATCGTACATCCCCAACTTCAAGGTTGACTGACCACTATATTGCCCTATTGGTCCTCATTTTCACAAACGCGGGGCTGCTTGATGTATGTCTAGTCCAACAATCCGCTTCTGCTTCTAATGCTCTTCCTTAGGCGCTGACTTCTATGCTGAGTGAAACTACAACGGGCACAAATCTCTCGCGAAAGGCAACGCTTCTCATGGCAGAGGTTTTACAAATTGCAAATCGAGTCCTGCCACTTTCTGTAGCTGCGAGAATACAGGTTTGGCATCGTTCTCCAAGTGCATGCTACGTACTCAGTCGATGACCTCGGAACAGGCTATCCCGCAAATTTTTGATATGGCAGCAGATTTCGGTAACGGTGAACACCGAATCATTGGGACATCAGCAATGTCCGCTATCGACAGTCTTGATCGAAACCGTGCACGACTACAACCCGGACCCGTCAAACAAACCCGTGTACGGTGGGTATTTGACGTTTTTGCTGATCTTGACTTGACGGTCTTACTCTTGTAGGGCTAACTCTGTGGAGGACCCTGTTCGCCGCGGACAGCGTCAGGTAGAGCAAGCAAAGCTGAAGATGAACATGCAAATGGATGATAAAACATTCCAGTCCTGTGTTCTGGAAACTCAAGTAGGATTGTTTGCAATTTATGTTTCCTGCCGTTTATGCTTCTATGAACAGGTGATGGTTACAAGAGACTATACGAAATGGAATTTTGACGTGTTACAAGAGCTCATTGAAGGACCTCTGTTAAATCCGAAGCGGATGGAGGAGGCGATCAGGGCAGCAAAGTTTATCCGACGCCTTATGTCATTCTTCCACCCTTTCAGTCATCGTTTCTCGGAGATTCCGAAAAATAAGGTTTTGTAGTTCATCTTTACGTGCAATGACGCCTTTCTGAAGTTTCTTCAGGCTAATCTTCGGTGGGCCCGGTTAGGGTGTTCACTTCTGACAACCTTGCTAGCTAGCCCTGATGGAATGAGGTTCCTATCTATGGAAGATCAGTTTCTTACGCAGATTGTCAAAAGCTTTGCTCAGCTTGATCCCGTAAGACCATTTTTCAAACGCAGCCCTGTTTTTAATCATTCTCTCAAGTTTAATGGTCTTCCTGACCAAGATCCGATATTCTCAAAAAAGAGAGTGGCTGACACTTTGACCTATGGGTATCTGGAGATGCTCGGGACACTCAGTAAACATAAAGAGGGCATCGAGTGCGCTCTGCGTATTCATAATGATGGTACATATACTGATTGCAACATCGTTCTAGATTATTGGAGAAATTCAAGATATTCACCGCGTTCTATCACCTAAGCGAGCTACGAAGTCGGGAGGATCTCATCAAAGGTATCATAGAGAACCTTGACTATAGCATGTGGGTGTCGTTTTCTTTCGGCCGAAGCTTACACAAATCATGGATATGCTAGCGATGGACACCCTCGTATCATCTTGTCAAAAGCCCTTACTTCTAGCTATAAGGTTAGACTTCTGCCATGTCCGGAACTTCAGTACTGAACATTACCAAGCACATACGTCTCTATGCGACACAGCATCTTGGTGATCTTATTCGAGGCTCAGCTAACAATGCGAACGTGTGGACTTTAAGACTTCTTCTGACGCAGCTTTATGATCCTGCACCAGAAGTGTGCGAAATGGCTGCTCGTTTCCTCGAAGAGGCCTGTGAGTCCAAAGAAATTCTTCAGCTTGTCGTCGAAATGCGACCCACCATGGATCATTTGGGTGAAATTGGAAATCCCTTACTTTTAAAGTAAGGATTTCGTTCTACGGTGGTAATGTCAAAGCTTACCTCGACTCAGATTCACATCTACCCCTATGGGCTTTCGATACTTGCTTGACGCTGGATATATTGACCGAGAATTAGACCTATGGTTCAATGTATGTACTGATGATCTTTTGTTGATGTCGCTTGACGGTTATTCCAGGAGCGGAATCTCTATTATGTAGTACAAGTAGAGGTTTTCCTTTCCAAGGTATTCCACGGTTCTAATACTTCAGAAGAGGAAGATGATTCCCTGTAAGTTTGATCTCGTGTTATTAACAGGTCATTTGATTTCTCTCCAGCGCCTTTGAGGGTACGGTACCACCTCATTTCTACGGTGAGATGTCGAAAACCGAACTGGGCTGTCAAATTTTGCAAGAGAAAGGACACTTTTCCGATTTCACCCAATTCATACGTCAGCATGGTCTTGAGGGAGAAGATACGGAAATTATCATGAAGTTAAAAAGCATCTTATGGGCAGTGGGTAATGTTGGAGCCACCGAAGGAGGCTTATCGTGTCTTGAGGAAGAGGACATTATTCCAGCGGTATTAGATATAGCCAACAACTCTCCGATACCATCAGTTCGTGGGTAAGTTTTTTAATAGTTGCTACTATCTTTTCTTATCTGATCGTGTCCAAGGACTTGCTTCTTCGTCTTGGGACTAGTTTCCTCGACTTCCCAAGGCGCGGAGATCCTTGATGATTATGAGTGGGAGGCGACGGTGACACCACTCGGATTGCCCACTGGACTATGTATACCGATGGATGCGGAGAAATTCATTACTGTAAGCATCTCTGTTTCAATACCCGCTACTGCTCACTAGTTGTACAGATACCACCCTGGACTCAACACACCCCGGAATCACGCCAGTCTCGCCTTATACCACCAACTTCTGAGGTTGAGCTCGAAGTTATCACAGCCCTTCAGAACCTCTCAAACTCTGTTATTGCAAACGCAGCATCTCGAACATTGACCAAGTGCGCATTGTTCTCTAGCCGTCGTCTGATGCTGACACCATGCCATAGGATGAAATCACGACCTGAGTACCGCGCAGTGTTCTCCTCACCAACGATGTTTTTCCGAGCCCTTCATATGATATCAATGCAACGGTATCGACTGCCAGTTCGCAGATATATCATGGACTTGTTCACCGTTGAAATGGACTCAAATCTCATTGCCAAGCTATTGGACGCAGCAAAATCCTTGGAGGCTCATCCTGACTATAAACCACCAAAGTCTGCGGCGAATCGGGTAAGCATATTTAGCCGTCTGGGACGAAGTCGCCGGCCAGAGGAGAGTGACGATGAAGGCGAGGATGATGGACCTGAGGCAGAGGATGTTCCATTGTCGAAAGATCCACCGCCTATTAGTTGTCGTCCTGTGAGCAGGATTATTGGGTTTGAGTGACTGTACAGTTTTATAGTTGATGGACTACTGGATATCATTATCTTGCGTGTTGTATCTGTACTATTTAAATAATTGCACATTTGATTAAATGATTTTTGAAGATTTAGGTGCTTAGTTACAGTATTTCTACATCAAGACGTTGGGCTGATGTAATTTCGGCAATTTCCGCAACTATACAGATAAAGTTCAAGCCACGCGGCCGGCATCCACCCACCAAATACTTTCAGTGTCGAGCCCGACAACTTCAAGACTTCAAGATGGGTATGTGATGCTGCCGTTCTGCTTCCTCAACAATGCTTGACCGTCCACCTAGTTCGCTATGCTGCCGCTGCCACTGCTACGAACCCCGAAAAAAGTTGGTTATTATTGGTCCCTTTCCCTGGCAAAGACTGACGGTGACAATGATATTCAGCTGCCCGCGCACGGGGCGAGTACCTACGAACGCACTTCAAGAACATGCGGGAGGTCGCCGCTGCTCTCACCGGTTTGTTGTTGTTAAACGAACGCTTACTGGGAGACTGATGTAGTTATGTAGGACTGAAACTGGCCAAGGCTTACACGTACCTTGCTGACGTCCAGGAGCACAAGCAGATCATTCCTTTCAGGCGATTCTCCGGTGGTGTTGGACGGGCAAGCCAGGCCAAGCAGTTCAAGGCAACTCAGGGTGCGTCTGCCTTTTCACTCATCTTGATTTCTATTCACACTGTGTGCAGGCCGATGGCCGGAAAAGTCTGTCAAATTCATTCTGCGCCTATTGAAGAATGCCGAATCCAATGCGGATGCTAAAAACATCGATGTTGAGGACCTCACCATCAAGAACATCGTCGTTCAACAGGCTCCCGTTCGTCCTGGTTTCATTTGCTGTGGTGTAGTACTGACTTGAGCGCTCGTAGAAAACCCGCCGCCGTACCTACCGTGCCCATGGTCGTATAAACCCTTACCAGGGACACCCTACGCATGTTGAAATCATCCTTACTGCTTCCGATGTCGAGGTTGAGAAGGCTTCCGAAAAGGCTGGTGTCTCACTGGTTGGACTAAACAGGCGGCAGGTTGCTAGAAAGAGGATTGAAGCTGCTCGTGCTTAGATGCATGTTCGTCCTTTCCTGCTCGCCGATGTACTTAGGCTATGCACTATGCGATTTTATGAGATGGCCGAAAGTAGCACGTGTCGCTGACGGTGATGTTTTGTCTCCTATGAGACTTGAATGGAAGTATTGCAGCTTGAACAAACTCCTGGAAGCGTTCCACTGTGGTGAAGTCTAAGGGAGGCTTCCATTCAATGCGCGTGCATGTGTCCTGAGTCGTCGTAATGGAGATACGACCTTTTATACTTTTGTGGCGGAAGATTGTTAGGATGTGATAGCGAAAGAACGTGCGGGATATCAATAACTAAGAAATGCGAGGAGACCATAATGACAACAGGTGAAACGAATGTGACGTTGCATAGCGACGCAGAAAGAACGAGAAAAAGATGAATGAGCGTAGGAGAACAGTATAGACTATCCATTGTGCTCGGGCTGAGATGAACGAGATAAGACGGTGGGCCCAACAAGAAGGCCTCCCTTGTCAGGTCTAAGGAGTTTGAATGTTGAGAATGGCATCAACATCCGACGAACTTATTGAGGGGACGTCTTCATACCCACCAGGGGTGGCCACTAGGTCCCACAACATGGCGTGACTGTGGTGGATTTTGACAAGTTCTGGGTCCGTAGGTTCGAGGGCATGGCTATCGAAGTGTCAACTGTTAACATAGCCCAAGCTGATTCCGTATCACGAACCTCATTTGAAACTCCTCAGTCTCGTCGCCCAGTTTTGTATTCTTGAAGTCCGTGGCCCACTCCAATTTTTGGGTGAGCCACTGCTGACAAGCAGCATTACTTTTGAACCTGTAAGGCATCGAAGCCTGTTCCAGTGCTATTCGCCGTCAACACAGAAAAATCACGAGGTCACTACAGAGTCCACTTACCTTGAATTGCATAACAGATGGGACGCACATGACAAAAGTTGATTCTTCCCTCGGTAACTGTGCTCGACAGGTTGGACCGGCTAACTTGAAGAACACCATTAAGGAGAGGATCTTCATTGGCGATCGTTGAGAAGTGTGGTAGTCCAAGAGGAAAGTGTTCTCCTTACCGAGCATAAGGACCATTGGTCTTGTCTTGAGTGTAAGGGCTCCAATTATGCGAGCATATTCCCCGCGCTCTTCGAACACCCTGTATAATACCCGATGGTAGCCCTTATGTTTGATGGATAAGGCCTGGTATTCCACGGCATGAGCACTTAGTCAACAGAGAATTGCGATGCCACTTGCCAGGGCTGTACGCCTAAGCCGGCTGATTGTAAATCGGCAATAACCAGTGCGAATAGCAATGGTGGAGTGAAAGTCATAGTGCTTGAGACACGCCTACGGAGGATCAGCCCCAGTCAAGCACACCGTACATACCACAAGACTCACCATTGCCACCTCGATCCAGAACTCTATAAGTTGAACACGACCCTCTAGCGACGATTCGGACAGAATCGAGATGGTGGTCCACCATGCGAGCGACTTTTCCCAATTCACAAAATCCAACTTAGTCGCTCGCCCGTCGTCGTTGCCAAACACCCACGAGCGCACAAGGTCCTCCGGCGCGATCTTCCTAAACAGGTTGGATGACTGAATAGTGATTTGACATGCAAACTCTTGAACACCAGTCTCGTTCATGAACAAACACAACCTGGATGGCATCGTCTTGTCCGGAAGCAATGGGAAGTGAAAGTTCGTGTCCTCAGGTGTCGAAAAATCGTTTTCAGACGCGATTTTATAATACTTATGTTTCAACCACTTGGATCGCGAGGCACGGCCTGAGGCGACTCTGTCCAAACGCCTGTAGAGCTTCATCATCTCGCTGCCTGGACGACAATCGGGGTATCCCAGAAAATAGCTCTGGAAGATCTCGAGTGCTTCGTGGTCGAGTTTTGTGTTCCAGTAACGTTCCAGCCACAAGCAAATGACATGCACGACGCGATGCTCCGTAATTTCTTTAGATGCTGCCCAGACAACGCGCTGCTGCTCACTGAACTCATAGTCATGCTCGCTCATCCCATGGAAGCGGTCTAAAAGGCCACTAGCGAGTATGGCAGGTGTCGTAAAGTACCGGAAGCCAAAGAAGAACGTGTCGAGGATGCTTTCTTGCGTGCCCTCGCGGGAGGTGATCTGCAAGATGAGGGCCTGCAAGGTAGCACTCGACAATTCCCCCCTGAAGTCGACTCGGATAGCTGCATAATCCTCGGGCATAGGCATCTCGACGCGATTGCTGGGATCCTCAAAGTGATAGATAGCGGACTGGCGAATGGCGTGCGTTTTTATGGCTTGATGTCTGTCTATAGGATTCGAGAAGTCCGGGGTCGTGGACTCGGAAGTGAGTGTCGAAGTTGACGCTTGGGATCGGACCATACGGTGACCGCGTTCCGTAGCGAGCTTAAGGACGTGTCGAATCTGTTGAGCGAGCTTCTTGCGCCGTGCAGAGAACCCCGCTTGATTCGACGGGAGCGTCTCAGTACTACTGCTAGGTTCGTCGGCGGACGGGAAGTGACCAAGAGATGAAGTGGAATCAGAGGCCACGGTTTCGTTGGGAGTGGTTGGTGAGCTCGGCTCGTCGTCATTGAGGACCTCTTCCACGATTACACTTAGAGGGGAGATCCGAAGCTTAGGAGACCGAAGCTTATGAGGCTCCAGGCTCCCACCAACCACTTTTGCGACAACAGCCTCTCCAGACAAATCAACAGAATCAACAGGAAGGCTGGGAAGGGGCTTCGCATTTGCTACCATACGATCCACGATCTTGTGGAGTTCCTTGAGAGCCTTGAGCGTGGCATTGAACCAGAGCATCGAAGTGGCTAGGCGCATGCCGATGATCAGCTCGCCTTCTTCTTCCTGGATCTTTTTGCAGGCCCATGATCGGAAGTACTCTGCAGAATCGACCACATTGTAGTACGTGGTAAGGTATGTGGAGTCGTTCGTGTCTAGGTGAGGCGTCCTTTCCAACGAGTAGAGAATATTCGTCGAAAGACAGTTGCAAAAAGTCACAGCGTAGGCCTCAAAGTCGCCGATACTTTGAGTCGTTTCTGACGTCTCCCATAGTCTTGCTATGACCTGTGCAATGGAGGGATAGCGTTGGAGACATTTCGGCACATTGGTGATGAGAGGCGGAGGAGCGGAGAATGACGGTGTCGGAGACGCAGGCTCTTTGCTGAAGAGACTAGAGTCTGGGGGGCTGGGGAGAGATGCCACAGGACCTGCTGTAGGGATGTGGATTTTGCGGTCGGTGATCTTTTTCAGTTTCTTCGGCTTGGATATCTGTAGGGTCGCCATGACTGAAGGTTTAGGTGAGGGCACAGCGATAAGTGAACAAAGTCAAAGACCAAGAGGAAACCGAATATTTCAAGCACTGAGGCAGAATAACAAATTTGCGTCTGAACGCCACGCTCAACCGGATTAGTAGCCTTAAGCGACAACAATACATCTTGTACATTGTTTGACTTGTTCTCGCCAGTTGCATGACACTCCGAGCTTCGACACACTTGGAGCCAAATTGGGATATCAAGCCAGTAGTGATTTATCTTTAGCATTGGAAAAGTTACTGGATCTCATAGCGGTCGTCATTGTACCATGCCGGGTTCTAGTAGAGTTTCTCGTAATCTTCAAGCTTCTTGAACCGTCCTTTGTGTGCGCGCACTGCCATAGGGTGTCGTAAGCTTGTGGCGACATTCATCTATTACGGTAGCATGAAAGTCGCAACAAGAATCACTACGGTTCCAGACAAAGAAAGCCGTCGCCAAAGACAAGAACTTGCCGCAATCTTGAACTCAAGTGGCCCTGGCTACAAGCTGTATTGATATGTGCTTCTGATAGCAGTGGACCGAAAGTTGTCGAAGAGATCGCACATATCGAGGATCGAGTATATCCGTCGGGTATCAGGATTTGCATCGGATCCAGTCTGACACTGCTGACGGTTGAGATGGTGTTGAGTCAGAGAAGGAAAAATGAAATTTGAGGGATGTTCTATTTTTGTCGGCGGTGATCATTAAAGCTGTGCCAGCACGTGGTGGATAAGACCTCAGGAACTAGTCAGCAAGCGCTTAACCCAACTTCGACTCTGCGCACACGACGACGAGCTCAAGCGCTAAGAAGGCGCTTATACGTCTCCGCGTCATCATCCATCACGACGACAACGAGCAAGTAGTATACTGCCATTCACATTCCTTTCATCATGGCTAGTTCCAGCAGGCAAGCCCTCGCATCCGTCTCACCGTCACCCGGCGCTCATCTTTCTGAACAGATTGAATGATACAGAACGGTCGATTCGAGTAACCTGTATGCCTACACAGCTCATACGAGGCCAAGATATCGGATGTACTTACCATTAATTGCAGTATTTGGGGCCCACGGTCTCGTCAAGAGGGATCTTCTAGGCCTGCCTGATCCATTTGCAGTCCTAACCGTCGATGGGGATCAGACGAATTCGACGAGAGTAACGAAAAAATCGCTCAGTCCGTCATGGAACAACAGCTTTGATGTGTGAGTAGTATTCCCGTCCATCCTTCCCGTCCATTGACTCGTCGCAGAACCGTCCGTCCATCATCCATGATCGCAATACAGGTATTCGATTACAAGAAATTTAAAAAGCGAGATCAAGGTGTGCTTTGTACAGCCATGGATCCTGTTCAGCCGCTTACAGTGTATTCTCCAAGGCTTCCTTGGCGTAATCAATATTCCAGCATCTGAGGCCATTTCCTCCGCTATGAACTACCATGGTATCCTTCTCTTTGGTTTTTTTTTCTGATTACGTTCTCATTATTATGTTTGCATCAGAAATGATATCAAGGGACCTAACCATGTCATCTAACAACCTGCCTGTTTATGGAAAGCTCATATTCGGTTTTTCGTTACCCACGGATCCCGTCCCATCAGCACCTGCTGCAACTGACACAGATACTTTCATCATGTCTACATCAGAAGCAGCTCAGTTGTCTGCCACAGCATCCAGCAGCCAAGGGCCACGGTCTGTCGTGCATGTCGGCGATGACGATCACTTGAGACCGTCAACATCGCGACAGGCACAGCAGCCACAGTCGCCGGCTCATCAGCAGGAGCAGCCTCTCTCCTCTTCGCCGTCTCTTCGATCATCTGCGAGCCATGCTACTCTAAATGCCTCCCCTCGATTCTCCAGACAAGATGCAAGCCAAAGACCCGTTTCTCAGACTGTTGCCCAGCAGCGGAACGTCGAGGAAGATGCCAGCAGTCCCCTTCCTGCAGGATGGGAACGTAGATACGATCCCCAAGGTCGCCCATACTATGTCGATCATAATACTCGAAGCACGACTTGGCATCGGCCCAGACCGAATGGCCAACCTAGTACTCTTTCTCCCGTACCTCAGATCCAATCAACACAACAGACGGCGGCACCCGTACGAAATTCAACCCTTGTTGCATCCAACCCTCCCACTGTCACTGATATTCCCCTTCCACTGGGATGGGAGGAGCGTCGGACGCCCGAAGGCCGCCCATATTTTGTTGATCATCACACTAGAACAACAACATGGGTTGATCCAAGACGTGCTAGCCAGCCTGTTGTTCCACCTGCCAATGCTCATCAGCTTGGTCCCCTTCCTTCGGGATGGGAGATGCGTTTAACCTCCACAGGACGTGTCTATTTCGTGGACCATAATACGCGAACGACGTCATGGGAAGACCCTAGACTTCCAGGAGTTGTGGATGATAATGCACCTCAATACAAGCGAGATTATCGGCGGAAAGTAATATACTTCCGCAGTCAGCCTAAGATGCGCGTATCTGCCGGCAAATGCGACATCCGGATTAGACGTGCGCGGATATTGGAGGACAGTTACACTGCTGTGATGGCGCAAAATCCGGCAGACTTGAAACGGCGGCTTCTCGTTAACTTCGAAGGAGAGGATGGGTTGGACTATGGTGGCGTGGGCAGGTAATTCTTGTCTTTCTCAGTTGGTCTTAGGACTAAGAGGCTCCAGGGAATGGTTTTTCCTACTGTCGCATGAGATCTTCAATCCCTGCTATGGATTATTCGAGTATTCGACACACGACAACTATACTCTCCAAATCAACCCAGCATCCGCGATCAACCCAGACCATCTGAGTTACTTCAAGTTTATTGGTCGTTGCTTAGGTTTGGCAATCTTCCATCGTCGATTCCTAGATGTGTATTTTGTTCCGAGCTTCTACAAAATGATGCTGGGCAAACATATGTCATTAGCGGATCTGGAGAGCGTGGACGCTGATCTCCATCGTTCCCTCGTCTGGATGCTGTAAGTTATCAAGTTTGGTCATCCAGCACGCTGTTCACTAATCTGACCCAGGGAGAACGACATAACTGATGTTCTCGATGAGACATTCACTACGACCGAAAACCGGTTTGGCGAACTTGTGACTGTCGAGTTGAAGTCCGGAGGGGAAAACATACAGGTCACAGAGGCGAACAAGATTGAATACGTTGATGCGGTTGTTGCTTACCGTATATCAACCCGGGTGAAGGATCAGTTCCAGTCCTTTATGGAGGGTCTATTGGAACTGATACCTGTCGACCTTGTCAATGTGTTTGACGAACGGGAGCTAGAGCTACTGATTGGTGGTATGGCTGAGATTGATGTGTACGTCTTTGCTGCCCTGCCCCGTCTTTGGACACCTGTTTCCGTAACGGGACTAACATTCTGCTTTTCAGGGACGATTGGACCAAGTTTACAGATTACCGTGGATACGAAAAGACCGACCAAGTCATTGAGTGGTTCTGGCAATGTATTCGTTCTTGGCCTGCAGAGCGTAAATCGCGGTTGCTACAGTTCACTACTGGTACTTCACGCGTACCGGTAAATGGGTTCAAGGATCTCCAAGGATCGGATGGCCCTCGGCGATTCACCATTGAAAAGTCTGGTGACCCGCAGGGACTGCCCAGGAGCCACACGTGCTTTAATCGATTGGATTTGCCCCCGTACCAGGATTATGAAAGTTTGGAGACGAAGCTGATATACGCTATCGAGTATGTGTTTCGTGTCATCTATTTTCCCGTGTCTGATCATTACCTATTTCCACAGAGAAACGGAAGGCTTCGGGCAGGAATAGATGCTAACCTGGTATACCATTTTTTCTTTGGATTGTAACATTAACTGTACGATGCTCCATTTTATAATAATCATTTTGTGGTAACTACAATGTACCAATCAATTTGAACCCTTTTTTAAGCTCGCAAAACGGCACCGGCAGATACGGGCCGGAAATGACACACGTGCAAAGAGCCAATCACGGCCAGGGACGCGTCTAGAGGCAAACCTTTCTACCCAAACTACGATGACTGCTATTTCTCCAGAGCCAGCTGCTGGCCCAAGTTACGACACCTATCTGGACACTGTCGAGGGAGAAATAAACTTCTTTCGTTCTCTGATGAGGACAAGGCCGGTGGGCATTAACTGCCACTTCCATGTCATGGCTATGCGATTCTCAATTCACCAAGACTCGGGCCAGTGGGTATCAATAGAGGGGATCTGGACTAAGCTGAGGTCGTTGTACGATATTGATGCTCTTAATGCTATAGTAAGACGCGCTTTTCTCTGGCTTAGTTTCCACCTTACAGACGGAACAGGATGTCGAGATAGACGGATATCAATCGCCCAAATCTAATAGCTCGACACCAATCCCCATTCCATCTCCAAAACCTGGTGATGACTTCACGAACCACCCCTTCTTTAAAGAGGAATATTCTCTTCCTTATGATGAATATATCGAAAATCTGATTGCTACGCGTCGCATGCGCGCCACACCATCGGTTGCATCTCCGACGCCTTCTCCTACCGCCCAGAAAAAAACAAAAGTTAGACGGAAAGGAAAGACGACAAAGTCACAGGCCAACTATGCGGGTCTTGTGGGAGGTGATAGCGACAGTAGTGCGCTGACACAGGAGAGTGGCGATGAGGGTGCTCCAACTCCAAGGGAAAGCGTCGTCACTGCAACTGATGGAGGAACGGAGGATGTTGAAGATGAGGACATGGAAATGCATGAGCCATCTCCAGGTACATTTGGATGTTCGTTGTTCTTTGTTACATTCTCATTTCAGTCTTAGCTCCCTCTACCACGACAAAAGGGACGAAACCAAAAGCCAAATCTGCAACAGCAGCGGCAAAACGGGCCGCTTCTGCAGCGAGGGCCCGTGCGGCTCAAGCAGCCCAACGCGCGAACAAGGCCAAGAAGAAAAAGTAGCGCAACCACGCATGCCTTTCGACTTCACGGCTCTTTTACGTTGCGTCGAGGCGAAGCTGTCTTTAAGCGTCCTTTCTTAGGGATAAGGGAAGGGCAATAGCTTGAACAGTGATAGCCTTTTTCTCTAATGCCAGTAAACAGCATTGCCGTATCACCTTTAATCATGTTTGTATGCCTTTGCCTCGTGCTGTTCAAGTTGTGTGTTAAATGTAGCGCAACGATTGTCCGTACGATTCAGATTCAGACAGCTCTTCCAGACACCAGACATAATCAGATGCCTAACGGGACTAAAGGCTGACAAGGGCTAGAACTTACGAGGATTGACGCAGTGGGAGCAAATCGGAGGCCTGTCCACACTACATATAGTTCGGTATCTCTATCAGAGGTCCGACTCAGACGGCCGGAAGTACCGTCATTGAGAGTGCCGTTCCAGAATTCGATTGCAACCAAGTAGTTCAGTGAACTAATAAAATCCGACTTTTATTACGGCCAGCAGTCTCAATGCGCCAAGAGCCGCTCTACACAAATACGCCAATGATACCTTCACCTTTGACCTTGTCAGGACCCCAAATGCCATCTGTCTTGACACTTGTATGTACTCGCCCACATCCGTTTACCGGGCAAGTCCACTGGTGTTCTGCCTCGACCTGCGACTTGGCTTTGCCCTTCCGCTTGAGTATCGAAGGTATGATTCGTTGTAGGAGCCCAGCATTCGCCTTGTGACTGGACCGCAACCTTGATCTGATAGAGTTTGTCTCCTCCGTAGTGCCAACTGTCTCTACACTTGCTGTCGCTTTTTCCTTCCCATTGTTTGATTCAGCAGGGACATCCTGAGGCGGAGCTTGAGGCACCGAAAGCCGGTCGGCGCATTTGCCATCAATCAGGTGCCCACATCTGAGTGACCATATTCTTCGCCTCCTTTGATCCTCCGCAATTCCGCTGCCGCTTTGATACAGAGGCTCATTGCAGTTGGCGCAGACAAGAGTTGCTTTCAGGTCAAGGCCCGAAGATGAAGTCGAAGTAGCTGCTGCTGTGACTGAACCTGAAGAACTGCTGGCAACGAGCTCATCGTCGTCAATGATGATCGGGTTAGACACGGATGTGATGAATGGAGAGGATTCGGATGTTGATGGAGCGAAATCAAAGGTAAAACCAGGTTCCGGCAGACCAGGATGTGTATATTGAGGTTTGTAATCCACCTCGTGCGGTTGCGAGTTAGCCATCAAGTTCCGACGAGTTCTGAAATATACGTCTCCCATCGCATATTCATCGTGCAGCTCTGGGGGGAAGAGGAGGAAGTTCAGGTGACGCATAGTATTGTCGTCGTGTGCATCATGGTCCAACGCGAGAGAATTGACCCCGTTCCCTATATGTATTCTTCGCGGATCCCACCTGAGCCGTATCCCATTCTGAACATGTGCCTGCAGACGTCGTTCACGGTCCCGCTGCTCCTGAGCACGCTGGGCATGTCCTGTGGACATTGTAGCACCACCAAGAGTGATTCGGGGCAGACGACGTGGGCGACCTGCATCCAAGGGAAGGTCCCCAGACGAGGCGGTTGCTGGGGTCGATGGTCCACGAATATTGACTTCGAAATCAAATGGGTTGGGCCTGGCTAATATCGGAGTGGCTATTGGATGCGGAGGAGGCTCGCGACGCATCGGAAACATGGAAAAGCGAGCGGGAATAGGTGGAACAGATGGAACGACCTCAGCTTGAGGATCTGGTGGAGGTGGTGAGAACAGCCGCCGTGTAGCAGCTGCTCCTACCATTATTCAGTACAACTGTTCAACCCGCAAAACGATGGAAACTTACCCCGACGCGTATGACTGCTTCCGGATGCCACTGGCCCCTCTATTTCCTCTACGTCGCTGTCATCAAGTAAGGAGATGAAGTCAGGAGACGTTCGTCGGCGCTGGGCAGGTCTCGAAGGTGCATCCTCCCACAAGTCAACATCGATGATCTCGATGTCAAGCTCTCTGGGTCGCCGTTGTGGTATAACCGCTGGTGCAGGTAGTACAGGGAGAGAAGGAGGACGTTCTACAATGGTCGACATTTCGCCGTGGTGGTGGTGGTCGCTCTAGAAGCGTGGGTCTCACGTCACTCCGTTTTTGGAGGCGGTCTTTGTCTTACATAAGCTTCGGGAGCCGCCGCCGTTGCCGTTTTTGGACTGCGCGACCTTGCGCGACGCGGCTAGGTGTTCCTCTCTTGGCTAAGCTGGAAGAGGAAGCACTCGAACATGATTACAAGGAATTATATATATGAAGCAGAATATTTGTGTATAGTTTTTCCCGAAATCCTTCGCGTCTCGAGCTGAAACGGAGTCGCTCCGGATGACACGCCGACTCTTCGCCGAGTGTTATTTCACAATATGGTGTCCTTGAACGGAACGCCGTCTGCTTCATTTCTACCAGTTCTTCGGATTGAGTAGTGTATCTATACACTTGGGCGTAACTCTTCCTGTTTTTCCGTGGCCTACGTTTTCCGTTTTGCTGCTCGAATTCGGGTCTCCGGTCAAATATAATTGACGGCTCCATGTTGAGAGGACTATAAAAGACTAGAACACCATTTGAATTGGCAGAAATGCTCTATTACCCGATTTCAGAGTGTTCCCTGCTGGAACAGTGGTGCATAGCTTGTGTCCGGGATCCGACGGCCCGGTTTTCGCTGGCTCTTGTACAAGAACCATTATTAACATCCATTGCGACGTGTGACGCGTCCTCGAAATCTGGTCCCCCTCATACCCAGTCTTTCTTGTTTTTATTCTCGATCCTCCAACCTAGACAACTTTTCTTTCTTCGGGTACTCCTCATTGTTTTTAGTCAAAGAGTACCAGATTTATAATCTTCACAGCTCGCTTTTATCTACACACCACCTTCTTCCATCATGACTATAGAGGCGCCATTCACAAACCAGACCCCCGTTCCTCTGCGTACGGGCCCTCCAATCAAAGAGGAACTAATAGTGTACTACCCAGCCAAGTTTACGTGGAACCAGCTCAAGACCTTCGTTAACTCTGGGTAATTTTCGGGCGATTCGGCTACACAGCTCACGCTAACTTAATTGAAAGGGACCTTGGCCTTTTGAAGCGTGACAAGAAGCTTCAACAACGGTACGAAATCTGGGTTAAAAGTATCAAACTCAAATACGGCTCTATCGGTGAGAACTATATATCGTGGAGACGCCTTTCATAACCTGGCAACAGTGAACTACCTCCTGAATTTCCGTCTCCAATGGGGAAAACCAGATACTCTGTCATTACTTACCTCCGCCTTGGACAACAAGGATCTACCGAGGAACTACATAGATCCTCTAGAAGCGGACACTTCCGTTGCAAAAGACCTGCCTCCCTTACCTGAGGACGCCCCACCATACTTCACAGCCGACATACCGCCCGAATATATTAGTATCATCCAAAACGATTGGCCCTACTCTGGTGAGTTATACCATTTGTATCCTCCCACAGAGATACTTAATGTCTTGTCGTTGTACACAGTACCATCCGATGTCGAACATACATTGATATGGACACGTATTCCTATCTACCATCCGGACATAATCGCGGATAGCATATCCGCGCGGATCGCACAAGACGGCCTGTGGGGTTTTACCGGGAACACATCTCCTCCCCCATCACCGTCGACTCTGCATCTCTGTCTCCCTGCGCTGTCTGAGTGGGACATAACTCGGGAGAAAATGATCGTTTCTACGAGATGCCTCGAAGAGGAAGAGGCGTTAGTTAAACGGGCTGGCGAAAACGTAAACGAGTTTGTTAAGAGGCGTTGGGTGGAAGCGGAATGGGAAACTGCGTGGTTCGTAAATCCTTTTGTAAGTGATATTTTGTTTATAAGAGAACAAGTATTCATGTTGTTGGTTAGAGACTTCAAAGCGTACCAGGACTAGCGCACATCCATGTTTTCGCGAGGCACAAATAATTTGAAGCCTTTTCGAGGAAAGACTGGAATACTTTTTTAATACTTCGGTTCTAGAACCGTGACATCCGAAAGAACGATTTTCTATAAATTTAGGCATTTACTCCGACTAGACCAGATAGACTGGATACCATCACTGCGCATGCAGAACATCTTTTACCATTGGACTAGCCATATAAAGTTGATTGCAGTAACAAGGATGCCCACGTGGACCTGCCTACGATGTTTATGGACTCCTTAGAGGCAAAAATGACTCGCATTTCGATCAGCAACTATAGTAACATCCCACCGACAGCAAATGCCACCATCAAAAGGACTGTGTTGTAGCTGATGCTCGTCGCACCGTTAGCTGCAGAGCTCCCACTAGCGGCACCAGCACTTGCGCTAGTGGCTGCTGTATTTGAAGCGGCACCTGAGGCAGCTGAACGAGTGCTAGAGGAGGTGCCGGACGCAGCACTGCCTGACGCCGACGAGGATGAAGTCGTGTTTGTGGTCGAAGCCATTGCAGCTGCCTATAGATGCGATTAGCATGTGATAAATCCAAGTATTACCCGAAGATAAGTACCTGGAACGCAGCAAAACTCTTGTTGGCAGTTGGGTTGATAGCAAAGACCATGCCCTTAGCACAATGGCTAGAGACAAAAAAGTTGTAAGTATCTAATAAAGTCAGATAACGATAAGCAAGTACCCGGTCTGTGCACAGTAGAACCATAAAGGAGCAGAGGCATTGTTGACGGTGAAAGACCACATAGGGACTTCTGTGCTCGCGTTGGAGACTGGGACGAAACCTGAGTCAACGCCTTCCGATGGCGTAGTCCTGTACCCCCGTCAGCCATAATTCACTAAAAATGAAAAGACTTACATCTTTTGGCATGGATCTGCAAAGGTTGACTGCGTGACGGTCTATGGCGACAATCAGCCAACTGACGACGGATCATGCATCACACATAGGGCAGCGACTTACATGGTTCTTGGCCAGGCTATGACACAATGTGAGTTCGGACTGAAGAATATGAATGGGGATAAGATACTGACAACTGGAACTGAACAATATCACCCTCGGCGGCGGTGACGCTGGGTGGCAAGAAATAGGGGTCATTAGCGGACGACGCAACGACGGCGAGAAGATCACTAACGATGTGGGGTCAAAGGTAAGACCGCTATTCTCGCCAACCTTGACCGTAATGTTGGCGGCAGAGGCGATAGAAGCAATAGCGGCAGCAACGACGAAGAAGCGCATTTTTTGCTCGGTGAAAATAGTTGGAACGGTGCGAGGTCAAAAGTGATGAAAGATAACAGTTAGTGCTACCGGAGACAAGAAGAGCCTGGCAGGAAAAATGGTCAGCGATGAAAAAATGAGGGGAGAGTACAACGAGTCTTACGCTGCTCTGAAAAAAAAAACGAAAGGGGGTTGAAAGAAAAGATGGCGGAACGAAGGAAACAAAGGGTGAGAGATTTTTATAATTTCGATCGACAACGGATCCGATCGCCGCAGCTTGCCGCTTGATCATCATGTTTGTCGCTCAGGATCACCGGGTGGACACCTACGTGCATGTACTGTTGATAACCACCGGCAGCGTTGCTTCTGTCAAAGCCCCCCTCATCGTTAAGGAACTCTTAAAGGTACTTACAATCTTTCCCAGGGGAACTCTGATACTTAGTGTTTCACCAGTATGACAAAGTGAAGGTCCAAGTGGTCTCTACTGGCCCGTCACTAGTGTTTTTCAAGCGAGAAGACATCGAAGACGGAGATACTAGAGTGTGGACCGATAAGGATGAATGGCCGGTCGGTTACCCCTTCAAACGTTCAAACGTATCTTTGATTCATTGAGACAGACGTCGTTCAAAATTGGCGATCCAATCTTACACATTGAATTGAGACGGTGGGCTGATGTGGTGCTAGTAGCACCCTGCTCAGCTAATACGTTATCCAAAATTGCGCATGGTTCGTGCGACAATCTTGCGGTGTGTTTGTCACAAGTTCTATTTTCGCCGGCTAAAGAAAGGATGGAAAGACTTCGCTAATGCGAGCTCTGGCACCTACCACACCGACGTACATCTTTCCTGCGATGAACACATTGATGTATGATCATCCGCTCACAGCTGAACATCTTCGGATTGTTCGTGATGTGGTCAAATACACTGTCGTTGGTCCGATAGGGAAAGATCTTGCATGCGGAGACGTAGGTGAGCGAAACATCAATGATGGCTTCGATCTGCTGCTCAACCTCATGCAGGTCTAGGTGCAATGACCGAATGGCGCGATATTGTATGCATAGTAGTAGAGAAGTTCCAGTTAAATCTTCGCGTGTGATACAGTGATGATATTAATGACGTCCAGATCGAATGACTCATACTTGTGCTCCATCATGCTTCCAGAATGCCCGTATTCTTCCATCGCTCCCATAGCAGTCCAACCCCAACGGGTGCATTTGGCTCCCCTTTGATCTCCTTGGCATCCAACAGCTCATACTTCCACCCAAATGCCAAAAAGTGTGCGAAAAGGGAGTTAAAATGGGGCTCAGAACGCAAGTGCAGCACCTCCGTATAATGCGCGTGATAAATATGCGCGAAAACACGAAGAAGTTGACGATAGATATGCTTGACGGTCGCCGGGAAGGTGGGAAGAAACTGCTGACCTGTATCCACGTCAACTGTTGGCCTAGGTACATCAGAAAAAAGGGACCTGCCTGATTTCGACGGAAAAACGTTTTCATCGTCCAGAAGCGTCTGTATTGAAGACATGACCGAGTCGATGTAGGTAGGAGCAGAAAGCGAAACCTGTTTCCGGTCTTGGGTCGTCCAGAGGTAATTTAGGCTTGAGCTTTATGTTAGGTACGCAAAGAACCGGAGATAGAGAGCATACTTTGTGCCAGCCGACATCGTAGGACAAGTCTGTTGGGTGCAGCATTCTGTGATGACACCGTAGAATTCATTGAGATGCGTATAAAAATCGAATACTGCGAAACAGGTATCAAAACGGACACACAGACTGGAAGCAAAATCACGCACTGTTCACAGCAACCCATTCTGTTATGTCAACGTATTTTGGTAGCATTACAATTGTCTTGAAGTTTCCCTTTACGAGTGCAGAATCCGCGAACGGACTGCATAGGTACAGGGGTTTGGATATGGCGCCCTCTTCATTGGATGCAGAACCGCGAGAATTCGTGCGAGAAAGGGTGCCAGAGTTGGGCGTAGGTGAACGTTTCGGCCTGCTGGGAGCTCTGTTCTTGTTCCTGTCGTTCTCAACGTCAGCGGCGCCGCGATGGGTAGTAGGCGGAAAAAGCATACCCAAAGAACGACATATCTCTTGCTGAATGGGTATAGGCGGTTATTGGGCGCTTGATGCAACGACAAGGCAAGGAACGACGCGTAATACTAATAATTAGCGACGGCTCCGACGGTAAGAATGGGGTAGATGATGGTGGCTCAGGACAAAGGATCCCATTTGTTTCCTTCCCACGACTAAAGCAAACACTCCCGTTCGAAGTAAAAAAAAAAGTCCATTGATATTACTGTTACAAAAGATACGCGAGAACTGCAAAATTGGACAGCAATGAATTGTACTGTTCCTTGCGATAGCCAGATCACAGGAAAGATGTACTTGGAAAGCAGCCTAACCATCCAATATACCCATGTCTCTCCAGCGCTCCCATAGGGCACCTACTCCTACGGGAGCCGAGGACGAGCCCTTCAGATCTTTCATCTCCAGTAACTCGTATTCACGACCAAATGCAAGGAAATGTGCGAACAGGCTGTTGAAGTGCGGCTCAGATCGTAAATGAAGGATTTGGTGATAATGCGCATGGTATATGTGCGCAAAGACGCGCAATAGTTGACGATAGACGTGTTTTACGGTAGATGGAAAGCTTTGAGGAAAGTCACGCCCTGCAGACCCGGAATAACGAAAAGATCATTCGTGACAGGCAGGGCCACGCACCCGACTTGGTTGGAAATACGGATTCATCGTCGAGAAGATTTTGAGCCCATGTCATAACATAGTCGATATAAGTCGGTGCCGGAAGATGGACGCTCTTGCGATCCTGATTGATCCAGGTGTAGTTCAATCTACATCGATACGTTCAGCTCGACAACCAACCCACGCGACAAAAGCATACACAGGCCCTGCAGACATCGTCGGGCAAGTCTGCTTTGTACAGCATTCAGTAATGACTCCGTAAAATTCATTGAGATTGGTATAAAAGTCAAAGACTGGTTGTAGTCATCAGTAGCCACAATCGTCGTCAACAAGAAAAGTGACGCACTGTTCACCGCCACCCATTCCATGATATCAACATATTTTGGCAGCATAACAATGGTCTTGAAGTTTCCTTTTACCAATGCTGCTTCTACAAATGGACTGCATAGATAGAGGGGTTTTGGGGTTGCCACGACTGGAGATGGAGGTGTCGAGTTCGATGTGTATTCCACAGGAGAGAACGTTGCCGAGGTTGGAGTTGGAGACCGTTTAGCATTTCTTGGTGCACGGGTCATGGAACGACTAAAGTTCGATAGAAGTTAGTAGATATTTCAGCATGCTGCAATCGTCAACGCACCCGATAGAGTTGAAGAACGACATTGTACTGAGCTACGCCAGCGCGGGGTATCAAAGAAGCGAGAAATTGAGGTAGTTGACGCCTTGGATGTCCAGGAAACAGTCGTCGCAGGATAACACTTAGCAAGGTCCGTACACTGTCGACATAAACAGGTGATGGCGTGAGAATTCTACTTGAACCAGGGGAGTTTTCTTGTGAACCGGCCCGGCCCAACCTCCATCAATATTTTTCGCTTTCGTTGTACTGTCGTCGTTTCAATTACTACAGTTCTTTATCTCCCTGCTCCCATAGTGCCGAACAATAAACTATTGCAGTTCCAACTTGAGGGTCTTTCCCACTGATGAATTCAGCTTCTCCGAGTCAGCCCGTACTCACATGCTCCTGTGTCCCCCCTTGTCTCACAAAGTCTACAGTCAAACATAATAGTACGCCGCAGCATCGGTAAAAGGTTTTGCTTCGTCTTCGCGTATCCTTACCCTTGACTTTGGAAAACCCGTACTTGAAGTAAGCTTGAGCCTCAATTTCATTGCCCCCGGTTGTCTTTACATTTGAATAGGCTGAACACCGCGTATGGCGCCGCTGTGCTAATCTTTCTTTGGAAGGTCACAACCCAAATCATAACGCCAAGTTCTTTCGAGAGTGAAGTCGTCCAGGCAGTTCGATCCTGAAAAAAAAACCTTGTGAAACTATCTGATCGCTCACCTCAGCCATGGTGCACTGCAACTGATCCCATGCGGGTGAAATGCTACTCGACCATGGCTTTCTCGTCATTACGCCTTGTCTCCTTGGCTGTTGCCGTCATTTATTCAACGTCGTATACTGCTTCAGTTCTAGCACGAGCTCGGACTATGCGAGGTGGAACGTGCGTTTGAAAACGGCAGGTTGGAGCGGGCTAGCGGAAGGCCATCGGACGGAAAGCAATGCAAAATCGAGAGCGTCGGGCCTGTTCCAAATAGTTTCATATGCTGTCGCACCGAAATCGTTCAATGGCCATAATCCCTCATTTATTCTCTATCAGGTCCAAAACGTGCCATTATATCCTCCGGGCATGCGCGAAATTCGCCATTCCTGGATCTATACGGAGTTACGGAAGCATGTCTGCTTTATTGGCGATACACCCGGTGTATTCAGTATAAATTCGAGCATAATCCATGTCTTTCCCACCTTATCTGGTTGAGCAATGGCCACTCCTTCAGCGCTTGAAACGGGACTGCGTCAAAAGCGAACGGCCGTAAAGTTGCAAGGATTCGCTCTTCTGCAGCTGAGCTTCCAAGCATTGGGTAGGCATCTATATACGGTTGGAAGATCATGTCGCATGCTCATGTTGATCCAGGGATTATCTACTCAGATATAGGTTAAGTTGCCTGTCTTCTGTCCGTGCCGTATATCGGACACAGTGCTCACATTTCGCTGTAGGCACTTCACCCTTATACGTTCTCAATGGTCTCTGGCCTTCGACCGGCGAGGTACCATCGAAAGAGGACGTCATTGGTGGAGTCAGCGCTATCATATGGTCGATAACTATTCTCCCATTGGTCAAGTATGTCTTCACTTCACTTAGATTCGCTACACAAGAAGGTTCGCAACCAATAATCGGGGCATCACTTTCCTATGCTAATTCATAACAATAGGCGAGGGAGGTTCTTTTGCTCTCTATCAAGGTCTCTACCCTCCCAAGGAGAAAGACTTCGAAGCCGACCGTACGCTTACCGGTGATTACGGGAGAGAACTTAGGCGGATGTCACCAAGTCCGGTAAATGCAACGTTAAAGGAGAAACTACGATGGCCCCTACTACTTTGGGTGCGTGCCCATCATCCTTCTTATCGGTTTTACTTCTCACTTCCTGAAAGTGTCTCTTCGGAACGGCGTACGTCTCTCATATGGCCCTGTTATTCTAAAGCTTATTCCTCTGGTAGGTTGACTATGGCAGATGGCATGTTCACGCCTGCGGTATCGGTCACTAGTGCTGTCGGAGGTATCGCGGTAGCCAAACCCTCTGTTTCCCACAACATCGTCCCTATATCGATAGTGAGTGTTGTTTCTCCTCGCATTGTTCCTGTTCCTCAGTCAGTTCTAGGCTTTCCTGCTCGTGATTTTCTTTGTACAGCAATTCGGGACAGCGAGATTGGCGGTAACGTTCGGTCCCAGTGAGTTTCAATCCGCCAGTTCTTTTGTGTGGACATTGATATAGATATAAATCCTCAGTATCATTCATCTGGTTTCTATTACTCGCGGGGACCGGGATATATAATATCACTCTATATCCGGGTATTTTCAGGGCCTTTGACCCTTCTCGAGGTGTCCTCTGTGAGCATCTCCGAACGCACATTGTATCCTTAGACTGACCAGGATCTCAGTGTTTGTACGCACGAAAGACTACGATATTCTTGCCGGTGTACTTCTAGCCATCACAGGCTGCGAAGCTATTTTTGCAAAGTAAGAGAAGGACGCTGCTGCTGCTGATTCAAGCTCGCTCATGAGCTTCAGTGTCGGGCAGTTCAATGCACTATCAATCCAGGTTTGGCTCTAGCATTGATTTGCGACTGTATCCTGACAGACCATCTTTCAGATTTCATTTGCTTGCTTCGTATACCCCTCCCTTCTCTTGGCTTATCTGGGTCAGGGAGCAGCACTTATCACCAATGGCCAGAGTGTCTTAGGAAACGTGTTCTACCAAAGCATCCCTGGTGGACAGAATGGACCTCTTTTTTGGTGGGTTCTCAATTCGTCAGCTAAATTTCATCTACCAACTAAAACAACTCGGTAGGATCATGTTTCTTTTTGCCATTCTAGCCACGGTATGCTCGTTATTACGTCCACCTTTGAATGTCCTTTTCACCTGGGGCATATAGATAATCGCATCTCAGGCGATGATTACAGCGACGTTCAGTCTCTTACAACAGATCATCAGCATGAAGAGTTTTCCTCCCCTCCGCCTGGTGTATACATCTGAGACTATACAAGGACGAGTCTACATCCCAGCCATCAATTGGACTCTCATGATCGGAACTATCGTCCTGGTGGCCGCGTTCTCCGACCTGGCGAAATTGACAAATGCGTATGGCTTTGCTGTCGCGACTGTCATGCTTTCCACTACCATTCTACTCTCGTTCCAAATTCATTACGTGAAGAAATTGCCAATTATCATCGCCTTCCTGTATTTTCTCTTTTTTGGCTTTTTCGATGGGCTTTTTTGGGGTGCCTCGCTCAAGAAAATTCCCCATGGGGCGTGGGTACCATTAACGATAGGGATTTGCATGTGAGTTCGCTTCCGTTTCATGCTAGATTGCACTTTCTTATTCAACATCTTTTTTTCCCAGAGCCATACTAATGTGGTTATGGACTTGGGCGAAGGTTCATATTTATTGTTGCGAAGATTCTGCATATGCTAACTGCTTATTAAAGGGTCTCGAGGATGCATTCGATAGTCAAAATCGGCAGAACCTGAAAGATTTTATCCACAAGGACGAGAAATCTAGCGTTACCTTTCATTTGGACGGTAACGCTGTGAACGACATCGCAGAAGGCGAGGGAGACGATGACGATGACGATGATACCTGCAGCATATCAAGGTACTATTATGTCCCGCATCCGTCTGAGACGACCGGCAGCGCCGCGGATTGTGAAACTCCTGATGCTCTGTTGAAACAACGAGAGCTTGTCCGCATACCGACATGTGCTGTGTTCCATAAGATTACGGAAGGGCAGGGTGTTCCGCATAGTTTCATCGGTAAGTCATTTGTTGGCGTGGTATCGACTGTCATTATCTTGGGCTCATCTTTTCAAAACACAGGGCTCATAAGACAATGGCCTGGCCTTCCTGAAGTCCTCGTATGTGCTTTCAGTTCCTGAGAGATGCAATAAACTTATATATGGTATGAAGATCTTTCTCTCCGTCTCCGTTTTGCCAGTTCCCAGGGTTCCTGTGATGGAGAGATATGTAGTATCTCGGGTTCGTTCAATCCAAGGCAAGCATCAAATACTATGTATTTCCCAATGCTAACTCTCCTGTAGGCTTCTATGGTGCCACATATTATATCGGGTATAGAGATAACTTCGACGTGAAGGTGAACTTCCAAATTTTGTCTCAGCAACCTGTGAACTAACGCCATTGTATAGGTTGATGATTTGCTTGAAAGAATATGTGCTCTGGAGGCACATGCGGATCCTCAGAACTGCAGTCGTATAGTTAAGCGCATCAAAGAGGTAGGGGGGAACACTACGCATATGTTTGTAATTTCCATCTCATCTCGTTGTTCATACTGCTCATCCGTGATTAACAGAGTGCCACATTACCATGTTGTCAGTAAACATGTCGACGTCGGGAAATTCTCTCTTGTCATCAATTTTCTGAGAAGATACTTGATCGAGGAGATTTACCGTCGTTTAGGTGCGAAATCACAGGATCCCGCTCATGATTTATTCTCACATGGCGCTATTATAGCCACCATGTTCCCTGAAACAGCCAATTGGCTTACCTCTGCAGACGAGTAAGTAATCCTCTTACTGTACGTATGGCCAGAGCATTCAATAGGCTTTTTCCTCCAGGATTATTCATGTCGGTATCAATGCGCCAATTTGAACTTCGAATATTATAATCCGGTAAATTCTGTGTGTGGTTGTTAGAACTTGTTTTTCTCGGGGTTAGTATATGATTAAGCAGTTGTCGACATGTGTCTGTATGAACTAGAAGATAGCGCAGTCGATGAAGGGGAATACCTACGCGTCTCGACTCGAAATCTCAAATCTGTTAATGTCCTTGCACTGGCAGTTTAAGTCTTCTTGAATTTACTGCATTCTCAGAAAAGGAATGTCGTCTGAGCAAAACGATCCTTGCGGTCCTGAATACATATCCACGGTGCCTTGGATTTAAGGGTAGTTCGTATTCCACGAAATCCTTGCCTTTCCAAGGGATAATTGTGACCGTGTCCGTGTATATGACATTGACATAGACGCAACGTAACATCGCGTGAGAACTCGATCCGGAAGTGGATCGTTTTTGCACCGAAAAAAAATCAATGATCAGACCATTTGGCGGTTCAAATATAAACTTCCTTTCCTGCTCCTGAACTTCTTACCTCCTCCCACACTCTTTTCCTTCAACGTCTTCCTTCTCCACATTTTCAACAAATATGGCTGCTCCCGCTCCTGATGCAGAAGGTCGTGTTGGTGCTCGTATCGAAAACTACACCAAATTCTGGTCGAAGGACTTGTCCCAGGAGAAGGAAGCTCACACGGACAACAGGGTCGAAGGATATACAGACGTTGTAAACGGTGTGCAGATTCAATCTCCTGTAATGGTCATGCATTCTAATAAACAATAGGGTACTACGACGCCGTCACTCAAATTTATGAATACGCATGGTCCCAGTCGTTCCACTTCTCAAGATTTTATAAGGGCGAAAGTTTCGCAGCGTCACTTGCACGTCATGAGCACTACCTCGCTGCTCAGATGAATTTGAAGCCTGGTATGCGCGTTCTCGACGTCGGATGTGGTGTCGGTGGACCCGCCCGCGAAATTGCCCGTTTCGCCGATGTTAACATTGTGGGCCTCAATAACAACGACTACCAAATCTCCAAAGCACGTAAGCACACCAAAAATGCCGGCCTGGAAGAGCGGGTTACTTTCGTCAAAGGAGATTTCATGAAGCTGGCGGAACAGTTTGGAGAGAACTCGTTCGATGCTGGTGATTTTTATTTGCTTCCGTCGCATTGCACAGGTGTCTGACCACAGTTATTAGTCTATGCTATCGAGGCGACGGTACATGCTCCTACATGGGAAGGTGTGTATGGTGAAATAATGAAAGTATTAAAGCCTGGAGGAATTGTAAGTTCTCTTTCTGACTTGATAATCATGACTAAGATTCTCTTCCACAGTTCGGTGTCTATGAATGGTGTATGACCGATGCCTGGGACCCTTCGATACCTTCCCACAAGGAGCTGGCCCATGGTATCGAGATCGGTAATGGCATTCCTGAGATGCGACCACTTCGCCTTGCACGCCAAGCTATGAAGACCGTTGGATTTGAGATTCTCCACGAAGAGGACCTCGCTGAGCGTCCGGACCCCGTCACGTGGTACTACCCTCTGGAGGGTGATTTCCAGAAGGCACAAACATTCTGGGATTTGATACTTGTGTGGAGAACGAGTGCGAGCGGCAAGTTCGTCAGCCATAATGGTCTGCGCTTGTTGGAGTTCCTCCGTATCATTCCTAAGGGAACGTGGGAGGTGTGCGAGGAGCTCAAGGTGGCTGGTGACTCTTTAGTCAAAGGTGGACAGACGAAGGTATTGTTCAGTCTTTAGGTTTATGGCTGACGCTGAGTTTTATCTAACAGCTTTTCACACCGATGTACCTCGCAATATGCAAAAAGCCTAATTAGGTCTCTCACACTTCGTGTCATCTCTGGGGAATCTTTGATTGATATTCATGTTATACCACTTAAATTAGAGCCTAATAGAACGCACTGGTTCGGAAAGACTGGGAGCTGATGCACGACAAACGAATTCGAAGTGTAGTTGACTTTACCCTGCGCTAGAGTCAGCTGACAAAAGACATTAAGGTGTGTCCAACGCAATTCCTCCGCAATACTTGCGCTCTTGAACATTCTGCCGTCTTCACGAGAGTTCATCGGCTAATGGTACAGTCGTCATCATATCATACGGTGTGTCCCTCTCCAAGACTGAACAAATGACTATTCAAATGACTTCTGGGTCTCATTTCTCGGTCTTGAGTGTCCGTCAACAGAGCACGATGGTTCTCGAGTACCCTGGACAATGTGACAGCGGTGCTTCGTTATTGAGGATGCGAGGTTCTTCCGGGCCAAGTAAAATCTGCCGAGCTTGCCTGGGGTCGTGACTATCTTCCACCGCGCTAGAAGTACTTGCTACTCACATTATGAATACGTACCTCTACGCCTTTACCGATGTGTGTGCCTCATCGGTCCTGTCGTTATGCAAACGCTTGAACGATGGCCTATCGCAATATGAGGGCTTGATTGATTGCGTGTTTGTCGGAGGTTGGCGGTAAATGCTCTCAAAACTCGGGTTTCAGACCTATGTTCTAATCCTTGCAAGACTCCACTGTCGGAGACATGGGACCGTACTCGGGGTGATTTCTGCCTAGACTCATTGCCCTTTACATGAACAAGACGGACATCTTCTTCCGGGGTGCGAATAACTTGAGCTTCATGAGCTCCTGGATATTCCTTGCATATGGCTATAAAAGCTAGAAAATAGTGCCTCGCAATTCTTCACTCCTACCTGCATTACCAACGCAGCCAAAGAGCCTTTCAAACCGCTCATAATCCGATATACAACGATGAAGTTCTTCTCTACTCTCGCTCTCGCCCTCATCCCTTCCTCCGCCCTTGCCGTGACAGTTGGCTATGATAACGGCTACGGTGTCGCCAGCAACTCCCTCGCCAATGTCGCTTGCTCCGACGGCGTTAATGGTCTCCTGACCAAGGGATTCACCACATACGGCTCCCTTCCCACTTTCCCGTACATCACATCATCTGACTCCATCGCGGGGTGGAACAGCCCGAACTGTGGGACTTGTTGGCAGTTGACGTACAACGGTCGCACGATTACGGTGCTAGCAATTGACCATGCGTTGTCGGGATTTTACACCTCACAGGCTGCATTGGATGATTTGACGAACGGGCTTGCGGTCGAACTTGGAACGGTGCAGGCTAGTGCGACCCAAGTCGCTGCGTCGGCTTGCGGCTTGTAATGGACACATCACGACATGGAGGGCATATGAGGTTCACTGGCATCGCCGGTTTATTGGAGTTTAGGACATAGCACCAGATACAAACATAGTTGGACACTTATTCTTTGCTCTACCTACTAGTACTTCCTGTAGTACAGTCAAATCACGTTTTGAAATCTCATATGAAGCAGATCTGCGGTGAAGGATCGACACTGATCAAATTTCGAGAGATGCACTGAGGCTGTGCTTGTTTGACTACTTCGATTATCTACTATCGATTACTTGACTAGAAAACGCGACGCACAAACACACTTGCTCATTATTTGAATGCATCAGGTTGAATGGGACATCGGAGTGCGTCTTTCATAACGAAATGAAAATCACAACAGCTGACTTCAGTCTTGCTCTCACAAGGCTCAGGGAAATGGTCATTGGTCTGGCTTCTGGCAAAGATCATCAAGGCTCTAGATTGTCTGTAGCTCATCGCTACCCACGGTCTTGAACGTTCTGCCCTCTCTTTGCATGACCGGAGACTCGAGAGACCCTCAATTCTTTGGCAGTCTTTATATATTAGTGGGAGTCAGAGTAGATGATTATGGGACAATTATGAAAACGATTATGACAACGATTATGAGGACCATAATCGTGGGAATGATCGTAATCGACCATAATCGACCTCATAATCGTCGATAATCGGTCGCTCTGACTCCGACTATTAAGCGTATCACACGATGTACTCAGCTCCGTGATTGTCATGGAGGTGACAAATGACCATTTATTCGATTGCTTCTGGTACCTTCTAGCTCTTCTGTTATTCTGGTTTTAATAACAACTTAACGGCCTTAGGTGCCCTCAGCAGCACAAGATGATTCCCGGGGACCTTACAATACGACGGTGGTGCTATGTTTATCGAGAACGAGGGATGCCTCTGACAAACCTGCCGATCTTTCTTCGAACGTGTTTACTGATTTCATCGCAGAAAAATTGCAGCGTGCAGTAATCCAATGAGTAGGCGGACTGAATGCTCATATTCTTGATTTCCATTTCTATTCCAATCTTCCGTCTACGCGTCTGTCTCATCATCGCGTACTGGGCAAATACTCTTGCAACGACCGATCGCGATACGAGTCGTTAATTTAACTTCATTTCGCTTCGGCTTGGCCTTGAACTCGGGTTTCACAAGCCGTCCGTTCTGGTTTCGAAGACAGTATTGGATTGGAGACACGAGACCATCTTTGAATTCTTTCAGCTATTGGATTCGTATGCACTAGACGGTCATCTTTTTCCGGGGTGTGAATGATTCTAGCTTCATGGGTTCCTGGATTTGGCTTGCAAAAAGGTATAAGAGGATGGAAATAATATCTCGCATTTCTTCACTCCTACCTAACCACCCAACAATGAAGTTGTTCTCTACTCTCGCCCTCGCCCTCATCCCTTCCTCCGCCTTTGCCGTTACAATTGGCTACGATAGTGGCTATGGCATTAGCACCAACTCACTCGCCAATGTCGCTTGTTCCAACGGCGCTAATGGTCTCCTGACCAAGGGATTCACCACATACGGCTCCCTTCCCACCTTCCCTAACATCACATCATCTGATTCCATCGCGGGATGGAACAGTCCGAACTGTGGGACTTGCTGGCAGTTGTCATACAACGGTCTCACCGCTACGGTAATAGCAATTGACCATGCGCTGTCAGGATTCTACACTTCGCAGGCCACATTAGATGCTTTGACAGGCGGACACGCAGTTGAGTTTGGAACGGTGCAGGGTACGGCGACCCAAGTTGCTGCATCGGCTTGCGGCTTGTAATGGATATGACACGATGTTGAAACTTTGCCCGGGGGGGGGGGGGAGGAGATATCGTTGAGATTTGAGTTATTGGACTTTTCGGACACAAGCTACATAGCTGTACTATTACTCTGTACGTACTTACTACTGCCCGCGGGTTCGTAGTATGGTCAATGTCTACAATGCCTTGGGAACCTTCGTATGCGCTAATTTGCTCGACCGTTGGAAATGTTAAGTAGTTCAACAGGTTTTGACAAACAGGGGACGTCTCACCTGAACGCTCCTCTGCTCGCGAGTCAATGTCTTGTTTAATAGCAGACTTTCACGTTCTGTTTAACGACGTGGTCATTTAACAACAGGGTGAATCTCACGGAAAATGTCCTGGCCAAGATACACCACAGCAAGGAGTTGCTGGACATCGTGGATATCATACATGTTGAAAGCATAAGATTTATTATTTAATTGAACAGAGAAAAGATAATCATTTCTAGATACGAAAACAACAAATTTGAATACAAAGGGTAGAAAAATGTCTTCGTCATGGTTTTACCAGACCGTCAACGCCACATAGTAGCACACCAAGGAGATGGGGTACGGCAGGATACAGGAATATGACGACGCACGCACCACCCTACATCAAACCTTGTATCCAAATCGACGCCGAGGCGGACTCGGACACAAAGCGAGCTAGATGATGTTGCTCTTTCTCGTGAGTGCTACCCCGAAAGGCGCACCTTCGCTCCCTCAACTATGAAAGTAAAAACGTCATACAGACGAGTTAACGCCTGCAGCCGGAGCTGACGCTTCGATGGTTGAGTCGGACACTTGGAGAGAAAAAATTTACCAACGCATCGCTTATATAGTCCTAGTTAAAGCGGAGATCAAATATTCGGATATCCCCGGACATCCCTCGCGCACATGCGAGGCGCGAACTTAAGAACATTGAAAGTAACACTGTAAAAATTGTCCTGTTAGATCAGTATATAACTTAGCATGTAAATTGTCTAAGGGATATTCAAAAAATATGGACAAATCCTCGCTGAGGAGAGATCACAGCAACAACTTTCGACTCTAGCTCTAGTATATCACCCCCGCGCGTCGCCACGAGATCGGTGGCTTTACCAACGCTTCCTACCAGTAATTTCTCCAGGTTTATTGAAGACAAGGCAAGGGCTTCCTCTTTGGTGATTTTCCCATCAGCTTCAAGAGATGCCTAGAGCATATGCAAATTAGTGGCTTCCAAACACATAATCGATGGCCCATTTACCCAAGCAACGTCAAATCGGGTATTACGAGCACTCCAAATTTCTTCAATACCGATGCCAACAGTGACATTGTGCGACAAGAGCAAGGAAATAGCACTATGCTCGGTTAGAGGGGGTCCTGGCAATCTGACGTTTCTCCCATGAGTACGTACATGATCGGAACGTAATAAGAGAGCTTACATTCTACGGTCCTCCCAGGTGTAAGGGAAAGGACGAGATGGACTAAGCACGACACCAACACCTGCTTCCCCGAGTTCTTTGGCAAGCAGATGAGCTTCAGTCGCACCAGTTATTGTCAATTGTATGTCCGTTCCCTTTGTGCGATTGATTTCCTTCTTTAGCAGAACAAGCGTAGCAATCACATCCGCGCTATGGGCCTCAACAACAAGTGGGATGGCTCCCTGTTCAAATGTTAGTTAATATACGCTACTTACACAGATACAATTGACGTACCGTTGTCACTTTCTCAAACCATTCACCTGAATCTCCTTCATATGGACCAAGTAAGAGCCGACGAAGAGCAGCTATCTGCGTGCTAATGCTGGGGGCACCGAAATGCCTCACGGCGACGTGCAAAGCCGTGACCTCCTGTAGAACAGCACCAGTCTCAAGTTTGTGTTCAGCTCCGGTGGAGAAGAATGTACCCAACCCAGAATAGAACTTCTGGGCACGGGGCGCCACAATGGCAGACGTCACTCCCGAGCGGTAAGCTAGACTAAAACACCAAAGCAATCAGAAATCACCAAAAATAAGCTGAAGATAAGCTTATCGCGTACAGTGCATCTCGGGTGGTATACTGTAGCCCGTCCACGGCGCGAATGAGGGTATCTCCAATTATCTTTGGTACTGTCTTGATCAACGGATCGAAAACGCTCCCGTCATTTGTCGAAGGTTCTTGGTCGATGTGTTCCAAACCTAGAGGCGAGCCAAAAGATACTAGACCAGGAGAAATCGATCCGCCTTCGAGATCGACTAGATGCGGCTTTGCGCTACTAAGAATACTGGCGTCGAAACACTCTGTATATGATCCAGAGCATATTACTGTTCCTTTACGCACAAGGACTACACCATCTTTCTTTGGGAAGTCAAAGATGCGCTGGATGGTTTGGACGGGAGATCGAGAGAAGACGGACTTGACATTGGTGAATGCTGTTATATCTGACACACTTTTGCTTGGAGATAGAGGTGGCAGACCATCGTACTTGAGGGCTTGTTTGGCCTCATCATCGAAACTGGGCACCTTGGGCACTTCTTGGAAAGACTGGGGCTTGTGAGCGACATACGCCGATTCGAGCTGAGGGATGCCATCAATGAAGACCTGGGACGGGGTCGCTCCCAAAGATAATGGATGACTGTCCCAAATAACGAGATCTGAGGAAATATTCTAGCACCGAAAAAATGAGCGCAACGATTATTCTCACCGGCATCCCATCCTAGAGGATTTGTCAGATATCACGCCCAAGAGCAATAGAAGTTTTTATAGCATTCACCTTTTCTGACGTATCCAATTCGGTGACCCATTCCCATAATTTCGGCGGAAGTGCTAGTCACAGAGGCTATGGCCAAGTTGTCCGCCAAGCCATAGTAGTGAGCCTGCTGGGCTTCATACAGCAAAAATCGCGAGTTCAAAACAGAATGGTCACTCTGTCGAAGAGAGGAGATGACGCTTCATGACTTGTCAGATGAATTCAGACGAACCTTCATCACTACTTGCAACCCGTTATTGGCGAGAATTCTTGGCGCAAATTCTGACTGCCTATAAGCCTCTCTCTTATACCTGACACCCAGATGAGGTGCCCGAAGCGACTACAAAGCGAAACATATGAATGCATACCTTCCATTAGTGGCAAACAGAGCAACAGCTGGCGTTTGACCTGCACAGGATTCTTGAGTTAACCGTCGTCTGTATTCAGATGCTGCATACCATAGGCTTTCTTCAATAGATCTGGGACAAGGTATGTTTCGTGAGCGTGGTGAAAGGCAGCAATAGGAAACTGGAATTCATTGGAAAGCTAGTGAGGGTCAGCAACGATACTAGTGTTGAGTGAGATGACGACGGCTTACGCGGACCAAGTCGTTCAAGTCAACAGTTTCGTAGCAATGAATATTGACCTGCAACATTTCTTTTCAGTAGGCATGATATTGTTACCGACACCGCAATGCTCACTTTGACATGCCCTCGAAGAACATCGACCAAAGCTTCCCACTGGAGATCCTCCGGATAGTCCCCAAGGCCTTTCCACTGCCCACTCATTGCCTTGGAACAGTACGCGTCCTGCTTTCGTTTGATTTGAAAAGCGGTATTGTACCTAGGAAGGGGTGAACTGCAGAATGTGTATTAAAGTCAGTGGAGACCTCACGCTTCTCGGAATGCCCAAGTTGTGTCCATTCGGTTTACACCGTAAACCCTACCTGGCCAGGAGGATCAATAGACCGTAGCCGACGTTGACGAAATATGACGTACTGGGGTTTTCACCTATCAACGCGAATGATCATGAACACGCGCTGGCAGACAGTTCTACACCAGTCACTTACCGCAGGCGTGTCTACGTAGGACATAACCAGTCAGTTCCCGCGCTATTATCAAAGCTAGCAACGTACTTCATATGGCGCCATCTTGGCGGCAGACTGGGGTCAGGAAAAGAGTTATTGATTTGATAAGGCGGCTCAAGAAGCATCGAGGATGGAGATCTCTCCTCAGTATGACGGAGTTTGATTACGAATGCCTGGCCACCTGTACACTGTCAGATTAACTGTGGGCATTCCATATGCAACACACGCACCGATAGCATTGGCTGAACCAGGTAACACTAGGGCTGTTGTAACACCACCAGCAATGGATAGAGGGTATGAATCGTCGTGAGTATTTAGACCGTCCAAGCTTCGAAGCCATGGTTGCGCGGTGCCCTGGACAGAGTTGCCGTCCGAAGCACCCTCAAGTTCAGGCGATGGGTAATCACCCAAATGAGAATGGAGGTCCACGATGCCGGGAGTGACCCAAGCACCGTGTGCATTAACCACTTCAAGACTACTACCATACGCCTCAAGTTGGTCATACCCAAAGCTTCCAACGCCCATAATAAGGCCCTTGTCAATGAGAATGTCCGCCTCTAGTATCTGCGTCCCGTTGTGCAATCCCGTCCATATCTTCGCGTTCTTTATGAGGGTTGGCTTGGTTCCCGGCACGAATCGGTCGTTCTCAGACCTATCATAGAAGTTTGCGGGCGGTCCTGCAGGCTGTTGCAGGTGCTGGCATCGCGCAATTGTCGCTGCAGCATGTGCAGGTAAATGGGGTGTGGTGAAGAATGACCGGGTGATAGCAATTGGGACGAGGAAGAAGACAAGAATAACGATTCCAATCGAACGTGAAGTCTGTCGTAGCCTCCTAGGCAATGGAGATGACGTGTTCTTTTCCATCGCACGGAGGCGTGCTCGACGACGGTAAGAGACGAGGGATAAGGCAGGCACGACGGCAGGCATGCATGCCCTTATCGGCGTGAGAAACACTCGGCCACAAGCCGACTACCCCCATCTGTGGTATGTACTTGCAGTTTGCCTCAGTTTCCAGATTCCTATTTACTTCGAGCATCACAGGGCGCACATTCAATTTTGAGGGTTTCAAGTCTATTCTAGCTCTCTTCTTGACCATCACAACGTCCCACCACGCCAAGACTCTGACCAAACACAGATTTTTTTGCATGATCATTATCTGTGATTGGAAGAGGTACGACCTGCGACCATGGGTTTATTCAGACCGAGACTGGCACCAAGACTTCACCGTTTTGTGAGGATAGGTCAATGGGCTACGGTATGCTTGACTGACCCCCTTTACATTAAAGTTGGGATTGATATATCAATATTTCTCCAGCGTAACACCTCATGGATGCCATAAACAGTACGACAATCCAGACGAGACAGATTGGCCGTCTGACCTTTCTTACCCGTGCAGAAAAGGCTTCAGCCCTTGCAACCATAGGGTTCTTATCCTCTGAAAGCTTCCTAGCCTGCAAGTCGCTTTGTAGATACTCGCGGAACTCGTACCTATGTAAAAGCTTCCCATCCAGATGAGGACGGTCTTGTGATCAGAGTGATCAGAGTGGTGCAACGTCTTGTTAGAGAAGATGTCCAGTTCTTCAAAGAGATACTCGAGGTGGGTCCTGAGCAACATAGTTTCCAAGAAGATCTCGAAGCATTTCTCTAGGGTCTCTGTCTGGTTCATCAATGCTGCTTCGATTTGCCTTCCAGTGAACAATTCCATGTAGTATACGGGACCTAGCAGCTATCGGGATTCGCTAAGCGACACATGTAAACAGACAACTTACATCCTCAAGAGACGGCTTTATGAGCTAGATGTCTTTCGTGACCTTTGTTCCTGCCCCCAACTCTTCATTTCTGCGCCCGTAACTCCTTTACTTTGCCCATTTTTCCGCATATCTAATCACACTGCTTCCACCTCGCTTCCGTGTCCTGGTATTCGACTACGTCGGTTCTGTTCAAAATTTATAGGCGGTCTCTGATGTCTTGTTTTCTTCCCACTGCTCAGACTATCCTCAGATCCTTGCAAGAATCGTTCCGTTTTTCTCGTCCTGCGTCCTGTTTCGCCTTAGAAACATTGGTACCCACCTAAAAGAGTGCACTCAACAGATTCCGGATTTAATAACGCGTTTGGGATTCCTATCTTTGTTCTACTGCTTGTATCGGTATCCTGGCCGAGTAGACATGAATTTAGCTTTCTTCTTCTCGCGGAACAATTAGCCTGCTCTGACCAACCTCTGGGAATATCAACCATTGCGCATTAACAGTTGAAGCGCAAGCCTTATAACGGTGAGGCTACCAGGCGATTTCTAATCGTAACAAGAAAGAGAGACTGTATGCTTCCTTTCGGGCAACGATCATAACAATTAAGCGCTACTTGCCAGGAATGTCTTGAAGAAGTCAGCCGAATGTGTGGTCAGGAGCCAGGCCTTGCTGAGGATAAAAGTGAGCGTCTTTTTAGGCACTTGTACTGTCTCAAAAGCTTACTCGGTTTTGCAGTCGAACATCATATTGTCTGAGAAGCAACTTGCAAGGGATTCTGGGATGGGGTATCGTTATCACAGTGCTTCGATGTTCTCCATTGGGTTAGAACCAGTATTATCTTGTCCTATCCTCTGGCACTGGCGGTAAAGGCAGGTGATATTACTCTTCGGCTAGTAGGCAATACGTTCTACATTTCAATCAAACCTCGGATTGAAGCCTATTTCTCTGCCACTCATAAGAGACGTGCCCGCCGCCCGCTCATGGGGAATATTGGCCCGTTACTTGACGCGATTGAAAGATCGCGCGCACCAGAGTGGGAAACGCCGCCTTATCAGACCGGCCCGAGCGCCTTCCTGTTTGGTCCACTCTCGCCTCTCACGCAGAGGCACGCTGTTCCTTTGTCTTCTCTGATCAGGTCTTTGTTTTCTTCGGCGCCTTTGTGTCTTTGAAAAACAACATGCCACTGTGTGTCTAGTATGGAACCAGCGCCACACACAGAACCACTATAAAGTACACAGGTCCATCGCCTCTTGCTCCTATCTCCCCACATCCTACTTACCGACATGTCTGCCTTATCTTCTTACAAGACTCTTTTTGCCATACTTCACGACGTGACCGCGGATACTCCTCTTGCGGAAGTTCACAGAGCTTCCGAGGTGGTCATTCCCCGGTTGAAGGCTTCCCTGTTCACGGCCGAAACCGAGCACTCCTGCGACCACACGAACACGAGGCCATTTCCACATGATATAATTACGATTGCGAACACGAAACTGGGTTATCCAACAATTTCTGAGCGGAATGAAAGGAACATATGTTGGAAGTACTATCTGTGAGTACATTGTTCTCGTGCGCTATCTAGGTTGCTCAAACAATACGCCACAGTTTACTTCAAATTGGAATGACGGAAGAAATGGCCAAGGCCCTCGTCACGACGGAAATTGCACAAGCGTATGATCTTCAAAAGCTGAATGTTCGTATGCAACAATCTATCAAGGTGGATATTTCTCGGAGAAGCTTATTTCCTGGATTTCATGTTCATTCACTCGCAGGACCACTATGAGAAAACAGGAAAGCCAGTGCCACCGCAGTACCTCCAAATGCCGCCTCTAGACGAAGATGAATGTATGAGTTCAGCCCATCTAGCTGACACCATTTATCGCTGACCCGTTGATGCAGACGATCATGAATCATTTACGGAGAAAGAAGTAGGCCTGATGGCAGCAGGTGGCATCTTGAAGTTCATGGACGAGGGATGCACGACGGTGCGAGATATGTTGGAGATGGCACAGAAGACATCTCGAGAATATTCAGCGGCAGATGATTCTGTGGGACTTCGAAATGATCTTGAGGATGTCGTGTCTCAGCTTGGCGGTGTTTCTATCTCTTCGGACTGTCCTTGAAGCAACATCTTAAATAACTTTTCCCTTCAATATTTCATGTCCATTTCTTTTGTAGTCTGAATACGAAACTTCCTGTCATGACTGTACTTATTCGTAAACGATGAACGGCTCGGCATCTTCCGGTAAGTATTGCATCACGACGTTACAGTGCGAAGAACATGTTCACCAATAAGCGTCACCCTCAACCCGCCACCTTCACCAGTCACCATTCAATCTCGCGGCAATGAAAAGTAGCCTTTTGCAGGCTGTCCTATACGGTGGACTCAGCTGCATAGCCAATGAAACAAATTGCCTAGCCAACTCCTCCATTACCACTCTGGTCGACTTGGCTGATTGCTTCAACAATTACACTGTTCGAAAGGATTATTACAACCTAGAGACATATGCTGCAGCACAACCGGATTCTGCACAGCTGGAGTCATGGGACGATTTGATCACTTCGCTCTTATACGTCGATAACAACTGCACTTCCGTCGCAATTCCTCCCAGCCTCCAGGACGTCTACACCATTTCAATATTTGACTCGTACTGCGTGCTCTCTGAGAAATATGTCAACGAGATGAAGTTTTATGACAAGGGATGGGGTTTATTTATCGTCCCTTCCTCGCGCAATGGGATCACACGTAACATTCACCTCGCGATGCCGCATCCTTTATTTGACTTCAGAACTCCCGCTCAAGCTGTGTCGCTTTTCAACATGACCGGCGCAAGGAGTTTATTGATTTCTGGGAGACATCGGAGGGCATATAATTCGTCTACGGATTGCGTACCATCGACAAAGAGGACTACATACTATAAAACCGATCCCACTCATGACGTCGTAAGTCCACGCATTGTTATCCAACCAATAAACTCTGAAATCCGTTACAGAAGGAGCCTTTCAGTGCCGCGAGCAGGGCTATATGGGCATGGCAGAATGACAACGGCGGCTGCCCGACGAGTAGTTGCGCTTTCATCCAGCTTCATGGAAAGTCTCCCAATACTTGCCCTACTGATCAAATGTTTCTATCAAGTGGTCTGAGTAAGTCTTCCCGCTACTTGTTCCACACACCCTAATGAAAGCTCGGTTTCAAGGAAATTCGACATGGTATGCAGACGACATCGACAGACCTATCAAGAGAATTCGGATGAAGTTGAAGGATTCGTTTCCGAACTGGAACATCTCGCTTCCGTCGGACAGTCCTTGTATTTTCGCCGCAACGGATAACATTTTTGGGAGGCTCGTAAACGGAGTGGAGGAATCGAATGTTTGCAACGAGGCTGCCACTGCGGATCGTTCGACCGGTGCATTTGTTCATATCGAACAAGCTCCTGTGGCAACTTTTCAGGACGCGTATACTGGGTGGACTGAGGCTTTATTGGCTGCTTTTGATCCAGCATAAAAATTTGTCCCCGCATTGTTACCCTTTTCGGACCGATCAATATATTTATTTGTTCCCATTTTCATCTTGTCCTCTACATACTTGTATCTCTGTAGCCCTAATGGCCAATATCCTTTCTCTGCAAGGTCAAGGACTTAAGCTTGACAGTCGAGCCGACATCGAGCCTTTGTTAGCTGGTGTCGATGCCACGAAGATTGAAGAAATCCATTTGGGGGGCAACACAATTGGGGTCGACGCGTCCGTGGCGCTTGCAGAATTCCTGTCAAAGGCTACAAACCTCAAAGTACGTGCTAGAAGACTCTGTCGTTCTCATGCTTAACCCAAAGTCCTAGATCGCAGACCTGGCTGACATTTTCACCGGTCGTCTGATCTCTGAAATCCCCCTGGCCCTTACCGCCATCTGCGATGCTTTAATCGACAAGACGTCTCTCGTTGAGCTCGACTTGAGCGATAACGCATTCGGTGGAAGATCAGTTGATCCCATCGTCCCATTCCTCACCAACAATCGTAGCTTCCAAGTCCTCAAGCTGAACAACAACGGCCTTGGCCCGGCAGGTGGCAAAGTTCTTGCCGATGCTCTCTTCGAATCAGCCAAGATCAGCAAATCCAAGGGGGAGAAATCGAACCTTCGGACGGTCATCTGTGGACGGAATCGTCTGGAAGACGGTTCGGCTCTATCATGGGCCGAGGCATTCGCGGCTCATGGGACACTCACGAAGATTCACATGCCGCAGAATGGGATACGTATGGCTGGGATCACTGCTTTGGCACGCGGGCTGGCAAAGAACCCAGGTCTCCAGTACATCGATTTGCAGGATAACACTTTCACGGATGGGGGCCAGTTGACAGGCGTAGAAGCTTGGACAGAATCATTGGTGTCATGGCCCGAGCTGACAACTCTAAACCTCTCAGACTGTGTGCTGTCGGGCGACGGAGAAGTTCCACAGCTTATAACTGCCCTTGCGGAGGGTTCGAACCCCAAACTTCACACGTTGCAGCTGCAGAACAATAATTTAGAGACGGAGACCTTTGTGTTGTTTGCGGAGCACATCTCGGGGAACCTCAAGGGATTGAAGTTGTTAGAGCTTCAGTGGAATGATATAGAGGAAGATGACGCGAGTTTGGAAACCGTGGGGCTCAGTATGAAGCAGCGGGGAGGTAAATTGATTATCGATGGTGAAGAGGAGGAAGAAGAAGAGGAAGAAGCTGAGGAGGAGGAAGAGAAAGAAGAAGTAAAGGAAGAACGGGAGGCTGTTCTCGCGAGCACAATCGAAGAGCCAACGCCTAAAAAGCCCGATGCGACGGATGAGTTGGCAGATTTAATGAGCAAGGTTAAGATCCGGTAAAGAGGATACCACATCTTGATATCATGTAGGGTATACCCCGGGGCATTCATTCCGGTCAATAGGTAAACAAGGTAAATGTATAGAAATTGTTGTACAGTTGATATTTTGCGTTATTGAACTTTGCAAACTATCCAACGTCCATCAATACCTTCCTTCCGGCGAATATGACCTAGAAGGCTTTCAGATTCCAACCAGCCATCCAAATCAGTGACAACCTTCGAGGACGCGACGAGATGTAGGACAAGAGTCCTGGTTAGCCACGCACGCGTTTCCGACTCGGGATGACTCGATAGTTCTCGATATGCAGATCGTAGCACTGTCCAAGTCGTAGATCGATTGCGAGAATGCAACGAATCGACCAAAGAGTAGAATGCTAGGTGCTCGACATGCTGAATAGCGGCCGGATCTGAACATCTGTCCCCAACAAGACCAACCAGGGCGGACTGGCGCGTTAAAGATTCAAAATGGACGTAATTGCGCGTTCGTATGGACTGAGATAGGTTTTTGATCCAAGCATGGGCGGGTGTATCCTTGAACTTGAACACTGAGGGTAAGGAATCGAGGAAATGCCGGTATGTGATCTGAGAAGGGTATTCGGCGACGAGGTGGTACAAAAGACAAACGAGGATGGTAACGGACGGATCCTTTTCATCGGAGACATTGGCGGGTAAGAGGTCGACGAAAAGATGAGGGATGATGGAGCCAATCTGACGGTGAACATTGAAAAGAATGGCTAGATGGAAGGAAGTTTCATATGCTGAAGCAGAGGGTGCTTAATTTTTTGTCAGAGGAAAAGGAATCTTGCCGTACCTTCTAGTGCAAAGCCGTCTTTTCTTCCGCAGGCATATATGCCTTCTCTGAGCTTTCCTGCAGATTCTACATCAGCAAAACTACGCATAAGCAGTGAGATGCCGTACTGAAGAGAATTAATATGTTCTCCTGGGCGTCTGTGCGTTGTTTCTCTGTCTGGTTGTCCCCGAGAATGAACCGCTTCCAAACATCATTCAGCTACAATGCAGCATAAGATTATCACGCGTTGTTAGATGACTTAGCGTCATGCCTTTTCCTGTATAAACTCTCGGTATTCTTCTTGCACTTTGAAATCCTTCAGCCTGCAATTAGTCTATTATCTACCACGGCGAGAATCATGGTAATGACTGACACGTCTCCATCCTTGTCTAGGCCGCTACTCCGGCTGACTGAAGGTATATATTCCATCGGTCGTCTTAGATTCCCAGTAACGCTTCGCGTGGCTCGTCCACGCCATGACCCTCGCTCACCACGGTTATTGGACATGACAGCGTAGGTTAAAAGGGTGTGTGCTGACGTCATATGCAATTGTAAAAATTAAATACGTTGAAATTATCGATAAAGATGATTCGAACGCGCAGAGAGATGAGGACAAATATAAAAAAGCATCTCCAACGCCGAACAGAACATTTGCTCATGTCATTGAAGTGACAACTGCATGCAAGGGGCTGGGCCCACAAGAAGTGAGGAACGATATCGTCGCCCATGTCTAAGCACTTGTCCGACAGTTGTTCAAAGCAACGGAGATAGCAGTGGACAGAAACACGATTCTACAGTTGAAGGTCAAGGAAATGAAGCCAGACACCGGATATTGTTGCCATCGGTTTAAGGGGTGGATAAAAGCTGCCGAAGATGTCATGTAGATACTGGAATCAAAATACATATACTCATCTAAGCAAAAGGAAAGCGATAGCAGGGATATCATGAAAGCGAGAACGACAGCAGCGGATTCAGTGAGTTGAAGCACTCTGATGAGGAACAGCAGGTACTCCTCGCGCAATTAGCTTCAGAGTCCACGCCCAGTGACTGACAGCTCTGAATGGGCGCAGGAAAAAAGGTTCACTGCTATAAGCAACTCGGCCTCGCAGCGTCATCGCGCTCAGGCCATTCTCGATAGCCGTAAATCTTTCGACAGCTTCGTCGATCTTGATGCGCTTTGCAGGGTCAGGTTCTACCATAGCCATCACAAGAGGCTTCATAAAACCAAACGACTTCATTCCTCGGAGCCCTTTTCGAATCTTGTGGTTTGCAGTGGTACCCTAGAAAGCTCAAAATTAAGTTGTGGCTGCAGATTCTCGACGGGTGTAACCCACTTCGGGCAGGAAGGCTCTCAGCGCATTGCCAAGATAATATACATCGACAGCAAATGGGTCGCACAGTGACGTTATGTCGATGGCCTCTGGTACCGTTTGATCGCCTCCAAGAACAGGCTCTACAACAGGAAGATCATCTACATTGTAACGATTTGACAGACCAAAATCGATAAAATAATATTTTGGTGGTCGTTCAGTACGTCGGTAGTACGATGCAGGACCAGAATAATCGTATTTCAGGTCGTTTCGCTGGGGATGAAAGCTATCTGGAAACATATCCGTAGCGTCCATGAATATATTCGTGTGTCCTCCGTCACTGCAGCAAGTTTTACCATAGACTGTATATCGAAGAAGGCTTAAGGTCCTCACCGATGTGCAATATTATGATGGTGAAGGAACTGAAGTGCCTGAAGCTGGGTATTAGATGCCATTACTCTGACATATGCAATATACACGCACTTCAAGCATCTCTTTGAAGAACTGGACACCTTCGCCAGTAGTCCTGAATGGGGGGTCGTGCCACGGCCGTAGGTATGGCATAACGATAATAGTGTGATTGTCCTCGTTAGGAACGGGTAGTACTCGAAGGATTGGAACACAATGGTTTCGAGGGTCCGTAGAATTTGAGAGAAAGGTGCCAATTTCCAGTTCACGAGGGTTATCCAAATGTCTGATGAGTTTCAGCGCAACCACCTTTCCAGAGGACATATCCATAGCATCCATAAAATTGTAAGCGCGCTACAAAAAATCTTCCTATGAACATTCCCTGAGTAAAATATCTGGGGGTGGGCACTCACGGATTCCCGCTCACTATCCTCGCATAACATGGACAGCTTGTTTGTCCCCGTCCAAGACGGCGTCCAGTCTGGTTGAAGGCGGGGCCGTAGTTTGTAGCCGCACTCTTTGAGCCATATACAATGGTCCCGCCAGAATATCTCTGTGATAGTCAGTTTCCCATCAAAAGCAGACATCGTAGGTTGTCAAAGGAAGAAAGGAAGGAAGAAGTTATTGTTACATGTAAGTAGCCGACGGTGATGGTCCAAAATGAGTCCAACAGAGACCTCTGACACCTTGCTCAGATCAGATCGATCATCGGGACCGGGCTGACGAAAACACGTCCTGAAACTCGCGAAATTTACAAGGCACTTATTTTCCTTGCTCATTTTGGCTACCGTGAACCGGCGTCTTCATGAGAAATGTATCTGTTGAACGGTAAGGATGGTCGTCGACTTGACAACAGGATTCTCATTCCTGGTGCAGCATTTGCTTATAACTTACAGAATGAACGATAGCTTGTCAGCACCCATCCTCACATCCCAATCTTCACCGTTTATCCGCTTTTCTTTCTGCGATGGTTGATGCTGGTGCTTCTGTATATGCCGCCGTTGGCGTTGCATACGTCATCAAGTGCTACATTATCATGTCACCAAAGAAGATCAAAAGCTTATATGTTGAAATGGACAGCGCGCAAAGCCAGTACATGAATGCAGCTACTGTCATTCCTGCGAACATAGGAGTGGCTATATGTATGACTCATGATGCGTACGTTTATCTAGCATTTCAAAGCTATGTTATGTTACATTGTTATCTAATTGGGTAAACAGGTTGACGAATGATTTAAAAAAACTCCCCAAAAGTCGGTGGGGGCACTGGAAAAATCGAGCGGCGTATAATACGGCCAAGAAACGAGTCAAGGTCCACTGCGACCATGTTTTCGTAAGCCGTTATCCTCCTGACTTGCTGCTAGTCTGTATACTGATCATCGACTCTACCTGCCATCTTTCAGTCAACATCTCGAGCTTGTCTAAATGCAGCCTATTTGGCGTCGGCGCAAGAGCGTCTGGCTAAGGAAACAGCCGAAATTAAGGCTGGTTCTGCTCAACCAGAATGTCGATATATCGCGAGAGAGGACGCTGGAGACGCTCGGACCTCAGATACGATACAAACTCCACCGTCCGGTTCGTCTGATTCGTCGGGAGTGACTTCATCACCTATACCATCAAACCTTTCATCCGCTTCCCTTCCCTTGCAATACCCTGTCATGGTTCCTTCGCGAGAGGCTACACAACCGTCTAGCCTACTCAGTGAACTTGAAGGCCTCATCCTAGATGGAAATTTGATCGATTTTTCCGGCCCGTCTGCTGACCTAGGTCAGCGAGAGGCCATATTGATCGACCTGTCCTCGGAGGATGCAGATGCTTTAACCATATACAGACTTTCCCTTGACGAAAGTAATTCTCGCCAGACCTCCGACTTGCTCAATAGCACTTTGGTCGCTCCAAATGCTGCCAATGTTGTAACCGGGGCACCGCCGCTTCCCGGTAAAGCCATTGTTACTGGGACACCCGATTCTGTCCACCCTTCCACGCAGTTGTCCGTCCCGACGGAAATACCTAACGCTGGGGAATCTGTGGGTCGTTTTGCAAGCGCTGCGGCTACTGTACGGATGATATCTAACGTGGCCTCTGCCTTTTCGGCTATTGCTGGAGACATTATGGATTCATGACGCGTGTTACATATACGGTACTACATTAAAGGCCTGTATCAATATATCAGTTTCGTAACGACACCTTGGTAACTGTATCTATAGAATGAGTTAATGTACCAATGACGCCTCCGGTATCAAGTCCAGACAGTTCAAGCCGTCGTTTGTGCTTAAGCTGGGCTGTCTCCTGCTCGTCTGATTCCTGGATCCATTGCATGCAGTACGTGTCGGTCTGTATTCCAATTCTGAAGATACCAAAAACTTTTAGTTCGCGTCGTCAAAATGACTACAAGGTTCTTGTAGGGTCCTCATGGCATACTCTTCAATGTCTAACACCTCCTGAAACTCGGTGCCTAGCATGTGGATAGGTCCAGACCCTGGATATCGGTCTCAGTGAGAAGCGTCCAAGAACAAAAGGACCATCCTAGAGATCGTACATGAATACAAGGCTCGTACGTATGGGTCGAGGCGCATCGAACAACCCTGGAAGGCTATGCCCGGCTTCTTGGCTTCGCACCGTAAGGAGTAAGTTAAAGTAGCATGTGTGAACTGTTTGACGGGCCCATTGGCCAGATAAGACTAAACGACTTGAGAACAAGGATAACGGGATTAATTCGTACGTGAATCAAATGAATAGACGTGGTAGGCTTTCGTTATGGCTGACGTGTACATTATTCTTTTGCCATAGGAAAATCTACTAAATATCTTGAAACAACGCCAGGAAAGATAGCTGTTACCATACGCAGTGGGCACCAGAGAAAGTGGCTCTTGATTACAACTTGAAATGTTCCCCATCGCTATTTAAAAAAGACCTGGACGTAGTACGGCGACGATTGGATACGCGAGAAATGTATTTACTACCCTAGATATCACTCGTATTACAAAGTAAATGAAACGATGCGCGCACAAGTTGTGGGTCCACATTCACACCGTTTCAATTAATGGTATTGTATTCAGACAGCTCCCTAGACCTAGGTCCATCATGAGAGTAACGTGTAGACGTCCTGTGACTCCAGCAGAACAAAAGCACAAGCGTCCCCAATGGAGATACCCAGAGAATACCGATCATTCGGTCAGGATTCGACGTGGTCTTACCATTCTTCACCTCGTATTGGTGTTGATCGTCAAGTATGATCAGGCGAGAGAGGGCTGTGTGAGAAAAGGAGCGGCCGCCGCTTTGGATAAGCGCTTGCTGACTTAGTGACTGGAAAGGAAGCCGGACACCAGACATCGCCGTGAAGGCTCATAGATATCCCCGGATGAGAGGCTAAATACATTCCAAAGAAGTAGATAGGTGTAGAGCAGAATCAGTACCAAAAGCAAAGACATCAAACGAAATCAGGAGCAAGAGAAACAAGCATTTACTGTTGCGAAGGCTGAGGAATGGCCGGTATTTTCCGTGCAATGAGTCCCAGAGTCCACACATAGTGGCCAACAGCCTTGAAGGGTCGAAAAATTGTGAAGTCCGCGCTATAGACGACTCGAGATCTCAAAGTCATCGCACTGAGACCTTTCTCGACGAGTGCAAATTTTTCGACAGCTTCGTCGATTTTAATCCTCTTCGCAGGATCGGGCTCAGTCATAGCAGCTATCAGGGGCTCCATGAACTCAAACCCTTTCATCCCACGGAGTTCTTTCTCGTTAAATTTATAATCTGCTTCAACTCCCTAGATGACGGAGTCAGCGTTGTGCCGGTAAAATAGAGATCAGAGCTTACTCTACGAAGAAAGGCTCTGAATGTGTTCCCAAGGTAGTAAACGTCGACAGCAAATGGATCATGCTTCGGCGTCCGCTTGGTCGAATCTGGATTATCAGCGAGAAATTCGGGAACTGATTTGTCCCCTCCTTCAAGCGCACAGACGGTAGCTGGTAGTTCTTCGGGTTTATAGAGAATAGAAAGGCCAAAATCAATGAAGTAGTATTTCGGAGGCCGTTCAGTACGTGATCGATATCGCGCACGACCGGAGAAGTCGTATTTCTGATCTGTCTCTCGGGGATGGAAACTGTCTGGCCCATACATTGAGGTAGCATCCATCATGATGTTCGTGAATCCTCCGTCACTAAAGCGGTGTCCTGGTAAGACGGACAGTAAGCACAAAGAGAAACTCACCGATGAGCAACATGGTTATGATGAATAAACTGGAGTCCCTGAAAACTACGTATAGAATATTCCCTAGAAATGTCAACGAGATATCCCACCTCGAGCATCTCTCTGAAGAACTGAATCCCTTCTCCGATAGTCTTGAATTTGGGATCATACCATGGTCGTAGGTACGGCATCACGATAATGACATGTCCTTCTTCGCCTGGAATGTGCAATGTTCGAAGGATGGGTACGCAATGGTTCCGACGATCCAAGGACCTCTCTTCGCTAGTGAGGAGCGTTCCAATGGCCAACTCGTTTGGATTGTTTTCGTGCTTGATTCTTTTCATTGCCACGACCTGTCCAGTTGATGTGTCCTTGGCATCGATGAATACGGAACCACGCTAACAGAAAGTGAGCTTATACGTGGCTGGGAATTCTTGTGTACGCACCGATACGCGGTGACCATCCTCACAGTTATACGGGGCCTTCTTTGTGCCTGTCCATGATGGAACCCAACCAGGTCGAAGGCGCGGCCGTAGCTCATAGCCACACTCTTTCAGCCACGCAGCATGATCCCGCCAGAAAATCTCGCTGCTGAAGAGTTTTGCGGGGCCACTGCGCGGCTGTTCAGTGGTATCGCTACCCATTGCGGTGGCAGTGTTTGGGGAAGAATAACAACAACAGGCACGAGCTGTGGCGAGCACAATTCCAGTTGCGGTCCGGCCCTGGAGCCCTCTGTCACCCCCGGCATCAAAGCGGACGGTATTAACCTGAAGGGAGCTTTGAAGGTCTCTAGGTTCGAATCCGCTTGACTACCATTCTCATGGTATTGTACTTCCGAATACTTAATCCCAAATGCACGAGTCTATTAAGCGTGATCGTCTCACTGCTAAGGCTCCTACTCTCTAGTTCCATTACCCACAGATTCCCAAGATGCTTGACGGCTGCGCCTCTATTATAGTGTGCATTGCTGGCGTTGGTTATGCGATTGTCTCCGGATCACGCCTGTTCATCGCACCACAGAAGAAAATTGACAAGCTGGAAGAATCCCTGAAGAGGGCAAACTCCTTACACCAGCTCGTCGCAACAAAACTGTCGGCTGAAGAGTCATTGGATCTCAGTCAGACCCAGAAAGAGTATGGTCTTTGAATAATAAAAATGTCGTGTCATGTTGATAACTGTCTTTCCGATTCATAGCCTCATAGACGAACTCAATGGGCTCGACAAGACACGATGGGGTCATTTGAAGAATCTCGGCAAATATTCCCAATTTAAAAAGAACGTAAAAGCTCACTGTCAAGATGTCAAGGTCTGTCCGTAAAAACTGCATAGCCGGCCAGACTGCTGATGGGCAATTTGATAGAAAGTGAGTCGGCGTTGCCTTGCAGAGGCTCAGCTGGCCGATGCAGCTGAGCGTGCTGCGAGAGAGGCCATGGAAAAAGCAACCGCTCAGGAGGAAGAAGCTACCAAAAAGCGTTTGCAAATATTAGAGCAGGATCTCCTTGCCCTCTTAGGCCGGAAATTTTGGCGGCAGGCTTTGAAGAAGAATCGCAGTCAACCTGGTGCCCCCAGGTCTCCTTCGATGGCGGGAGTCACTCCAACATCTTTCGAACTACTAAACTCTTCTAACACATCATTGCCCATTTCTGTCATGACTCCTCATGGTTCAGATACTCCTCGGCCTGGTCAAATTTCCACCGCGCTTGACGGCCTCGTTCTGGATGGAGATCTCATCGATTTCTCTGACACCTCCCTTGACCTTGGTCAACGAGATGGAATTTTGATCGATTTATCCACGGACGACGCCGGGTCCTTACACAGACTCTTCTCTTCTGACAGCGACATCAGTTACCTGGAAGGGATAAACCTTCTCAGTACGCTTCTGGACTCTCCCAATGCCATCAGGATCCCGACCGAGGCGTCTCATCCCAACGAAACACCCATTTCTGACGATGTACCCCCCTCTGCATCCGGTACTAATGTACCTGGAGTTGCTCCTGTTCCCGAACAGAACTCGGAAAATCAGCACATACCACCAAAGCGTTTTGGAGTCACATTTAATCAACTCTTAGAGGGTATGCGAACAGCCTCCGGGTGTATATCTGCATCCACGAACCTCTATGGAGCCATCGCAAATGCATGAATCTGCTCGAAGGTTAGCATCTGTCATTCCATGCTATTGAATATGCTTCTTACTGATTGCATACCTTAGTAGCTTCGTTGACTGCGCCTTCGTAGATAGATACTTTTTCTCTATCTATTTTATCTGACACTTTTTATACCATCTATCTAAGTGTATGTTGTACAAAATAATCAGATCTTGCATTAAACTGTTATCTTATCCGCCATACTGGCAAGATATCGATGTACGAAAGGGCTAGGGAAACGGGAAAAGGAGTGGCCTTGACGTGACAAGGTTCGGCATTTCCCGGACTGGCCACGTCCGATAATGCAGATGCGCCCCTTATCAACCGGCAACAATGAACCCTTATTGATAATACCGTTGCGTTGCGTCTGAATGAATGATGAGAGATATACGGACGGATATTCTTTCTTACACCAAGGACTATTATTCAAGTGCGGAAGTAGTTCATTTGGAGAGCAAAGTGTACGAAGATATGGTAGTACTTCAACTGATACGTCGATGCAGGGTAGACGAAAAGAAGACGATGTTCAGTCGAACTGGCATCGCGAGAACAGCAGGTATTCCACGTGACGAGCGCCAGAGTCTACACCCAGTGACTGGCAGTTTTGAACGGACGAAGAACGACGAAATCGAGATTCGACGTTATAAATGACTCTGGACGACAGCGTGATTACACTGAGACTACTCAAGATATGCGTAGATTTCATGATGGCTTCGTCGATCTTGATGCGCCTCGTCAGATCTGATTCAGTCATAGGAGAGATGAGAGGTTCCATAAACTCGAATCCTCTTGTCCTGCGAAGGCCCCTCTGAGTTTGTAATCTGCTTTGACACCCTGCTTATAGTCGTTACAAGGGTGTATCACACGTATAAATTGGACTCACCCTGCGGAGGAGGGCCCTAAAAGCATTTCCGAGATAGTAGACGTCAATAGCGCAGGTATCATGTTCTACTGTCCGCTCCCTCTAATCAGAATTATCGGCGAGAAATTCAAAGAAATATTTATCCCCACATGATTATGATAACACGCGCAGTTGCCAAAAAGATCATCGGATTCGCAGGTATCAGACAAGGGGTTTTCTTGCTGTTTAGCCGTTTTCATAGCCACGATACGCACGGCAGATATGTCCATCCGAGGATCTGGAGCTTCGTCATGGAACCATGTGAATACTGAACTCTGCTACTCGTACAGATCCCCAATGTTCATCTTCGTATGCATATGGGTTCTTGGTCGTTGTGTGCTTCCATGATGCAACCCGATTAAGTTGAAAGTGCTGTCGTAGAACAACGCAGTCCAAAGACAGTAGCCAGGCAGCCAGCAAGCACGAGGAACTGAAAGATAATCAGAATCAGCCTCCGCAGTTGATTACACACTTATAAAAAAATCGTGTGAACACTGAGCGCTGAGCCACAAGGATGAGAACGAACGGACAGGACAGCTGATAGCCTGAGAGCGGACCGGAGAGCCGTATCTGATCGTCCATGGACGCGTAAACGAAAGTGTGAAAAGCTGTCGGGAGACACATCTACGGATGCATATGGATTAGGCCCCGACACTTTTATCAGCATCGCATTTTAATTGTGATTATAAACCGAAGCGCAACATACTTACCGTGACGGTGACAGAACGCAAGGGTTGAAAGGCAGGCACCAAAGTGAAAGCGAAGGTTGATTGTGTTCTCCGGCCATCGCAGAAGTCTGACCCTGAGTGAGCGGTAGCGGGCGGTCAAGCATTTGGCAAACATGATTAAGTTCTTATTCTTGTATAGAAAACGACTCACATCAAGAGCACAGGTTGCGCAGAGAAAGGTCCTCCATATCCAATTACCCGTCAACTTCGAAACAGTTGGTGAGAAGATATTGGATAAAATGGGTTAGCGCACAAGTATATTAAGGTCACTGATGAGATATCGGAGGCGTCGACGAAAATCGTTGCGTAAAGATCGCTATTAGCGCATATACTTATCAGCGTATATTGACTACTCAGCAAGCTAGAAATGGCCGCCTTAACAACCGTAATGAGTGGGAGGGCTCTTAATGCAACCCTCAGTTGTGAACCGAGTAGTGTCGGCCGTTGAGGGTACAAAATTAAGCTTTCACATCTTCACGTAGTCACGCAAATGAAATGAGCAGGGTAGCCTGGAGCGCAGTCCACGGCAACGCCCACTGGAAGCCTCCGATAGGGTAAATTGCAACTCGTGGCTGGTCGTGTTATTTGTTTGTGTATACCCACGTGACCGGGACCTAAATCTTTCCAACCTTCCAGCGTCCCTCAGCACCACACCTTGCTGGTCTGTTCTCCGCTGCGAGGCTCTACCATGGACCCAGCTTCCCCCCCTTCCCCTCCTCACGAAGCGAACGACATTTTCTCTCTATCTGACAGTGTACTATCTTCTAAACTTAGGTTCATCGAAGAGGTTGGCGTCTATCGATGTTCGTATGTCGTGAATGACAGCTGATGTCTTGTAGATTGGCTTCGGCAACTGGGGCAGCGTCTGGCTTTGCAACCCCAAGAATAGTCCGACGTCGCACGCTGCTGACGACTTCGACAGAGTGTTACAGCCCAAGATCGCCGTCAAGCTCGTCCACCGCAACACCAAGAGCAAGACGACCGTCGCACGTGTCAAATCACTGTGAGTGAAGGATTGCTGGTTGTTCTTTGTATACTAACTGCTGGCAGATGGAACGAGATGAAAATCATTCGTACTTTCAAGTCTGATCCACACCCATCGATCATCCCATTCTACTCCTTCGTCATTACACCTTCCTACGCGTTGATCACCATGTACGTCCTGACAATCTCAATCTATGTGGCGCCTTTACTCCATAGAGCCTTGACAACGCGTCGTTTCATCCGCTAATTCATGTGCAACAGGGCCTACCTCCCCGCACTTGTCCCTGTTGAGGTTGACGAGTCTCGAGCTCGCGGCTGGTTCCGATTCCTCTTATCTGGTGTAGATTTTCTGCACAAACGTGGAGTAGTCCACAATGACATTAAGTACGATCTCCTGACCTGAATAGATTGATGGCAGCTAAAATTTGCTCAGACCGGCCAACATATTGATTTCTCACAAGAATATTCCAGTCCTGGTTGACTTCGGATTTGCAGAGAAATATGGCCTTGACTCAGAGACGGCATTTCATAGCAAGGTTTCCTATGGTACTCCGGAAGTGAGTCTCTTCGTTACTACGATCACGTGATTTGTTAAAAATCCTTCGCTGACAGTACCTGTCACCCGAACGCGCACGAGAGATACCGCACGATTGCCGCAAGTCTGACGTATGGTCGCTTGGCGTAACATTCTTCGAGATCCTTACAGGACGGACCCCTTTTGAGGAATGTGATCAAGAACAATTTACGACCAAGGAAGACCTTGAAAAATACTGGTCCAGAACTGTGAGCTCGTCGATCTTGCTGATGTCAACGATCTGATTTGTTTTTCCGTCACTTAGCTACGGGGAAAATGGATAGGCAGTTGGACAATGTCAAAGGGCATGGAAAAGCTGCTTCGTAGAATGATCTCCCCTAATGCCGACTTGCGGTGTACGGCATCACAGGCAATGCAAGACCCATACTGGCAAACACGTAAAGAGGAAGACCCTCGGCATCGTAAGTTTCAACCATCACTGTTTGTCATCTGACTGACCTCTTTCAGGACGATCTTCAAGCTACACCTCGTCACTTGTCTTTGAAAAGGACATGTCAAAGCAGCCTGATCTCACATCGTCTCGACCTCAGGCAACGAAGGGCAAAGAGAATCTGAAGAGCCCCCTGGCTCTATTTTCGTCTAAGTCGCCGAAGGCCGCTGAGCCAGATGGACATCGTACCGTGGCAAGGTCGAAGTCTCAACCGAAAGTGATCGCGTCAAAAAGTGAGCTTTACCGTACAACTGAACAAGAGCTATGCGTTGAGACTTGTTAGTTCAGGCCTATGCCAAGAAGCGCGTTCCGGTCCCTCCGTTAACCGATTTGTCCCCAATCAAGGCTTCTCCACCATCATCGCCGTCCGCTAAACCAGTACTGCATGCCATTTCCCGGAACGTCGATCCTAAGAGTCGCATACCGCTCACTTCGCGCGTCCTTGGGAGTCCCCCCGTCTCCGCTCCTATTAGAGCTGATCCTCCTCGGGGACGAGTGCTTGGCGATGTGACTGGTGTGAATGTTAATGTGGGTAACGCGAAGAGAGAGAAGGGGAAAGGTAAAGAAAAGGAAAACCTTGTAAATCAACGTGTGAAAGACTGGGAGAAGCTGCGAGAAATCTCACGCATAGAGGACTCGGAGGAGGAGGTTGAACACGAGACCTACCGCGAAACAACTGTTGGGCGCCCTCAGAAGGTCCGCGAAGGGGATAAAGAAAATAGAACAACTACCATTCCGACACCTCCACCATCGCGCATTGCAACACCATCTATTCCTGGTGCGTTTGATGTTCATTTTGGCTGTTCGTTCTGTTACTGACCACTAGCAATAGCAAACACATCATTCGGCTCTCTTCTATTCAAGAAGGATTCCACATCAGCACTACACGTTTTCAAACATAGCATCCGGTCGTCCATTGGTATTATCACCATTTTTCCCGTCATTCCCCTACTCATCAATCATAGATAAAACGATAAGCCTGTACAAGTCATCGACGCTAGGCCAGACAGCGGGAAGGAAGCGACCAAGCTGCTCCATTGATATGCTTGACAACTCTCCTGCAGCGGAGGAGTCTTGGGATACCTCGCGTCTGTTGGGTGGTATGTCGACTATTCTCATCCGATGCCTGTCCTCACGGTTCTTGCAGGAGCTTCCGCCTCTACCCCTGCTCTACTGGTCCAATCATCCGCCGAAGAGCCTGGCAACCAAAGTACCGGTAATCAAGACAGGATATCGGTATGGATGCGCAATGTGGAGAGTACGTGGATTGTTGCAGCAGCATATTGACTACACTGACGAGCGCGGCAGAGGTTGTCGATGATGCAAGACAGAATTTCTTCCCTCCACCAGTTGCATCACCGCCTGGGACACCTACACCAGCACCTTTACGCCCATCTACGCAGAACCGAAGCAATCGTTCGTCGCGATTGCCTAGACGAGTTCTCCCAGCTAATCAGATCTTTGCTGATGACCCAGACCATCTTCTGCCTAGTCCAACAATGACATCCTTTGTCACTTCTGGGTATGACATATCTGTACAAGCCACTTCGAATCCCGTCGACCAAGAGTTACCACTAGTTTACACACCTACGAAGAAGCGAAGGGCAACGGTGTCCGCGAGTTCCCCAGAAGCTTCTCTTGGCCAATCAGGGTCCCCTTCTGAGCGCAAGGAGAAGAGCAGATCCCATGCTGATCTTCTGCAGATGCGTATTACGCCCATATCAACGACAGATGTAGCACTAGTCAGGCGGGTGTCGTCTCCCTTGTCTCCTTCCTCCTCGAGGTCCGCACCGTCGCCTCCGTTGGATAGAAATATGTTCATCGATACCACTGCCCTATCGATGAAGTCTCTCGATAGCGAGCAAGTCACTACACCGAGTCCTATCAGCAAGTCTTTCGATGAGTTGACCTCATCGCCGTTACATGTTGAACCATATCCTCCTCGTAAACCCAGCACTCAGAACATCGCTGTTCCCGATTCCCCAAATCAGCGCCGACTGGAAGGCGTATATGATCGTTTTCTCATGGCCACGTCCGGCGTGAAACGTCTTGGTAAGGGCTACCAATCGGACAATGCGGGCCCCGTGCACAACACGGTTCAGGGCATAACTCGCCCTAAATCATCTCGGCCATTCGCTTCGATTCGCCGTACCCCAATGCCCCCGCCGGTTTCCAGTGATGACGTGAGGCGGGCTGCATCCGTCGATGAACTAGGATTTATGTTATATGCTACCACTCCCGCTACGCCTTCGACTCCTGTGCTCAAAGACGAAAGTCAAAACACAGTTACAAAGATGCGTCGCGCCATCAAAGCTTTCGTTCCTGGGAAATCGGTCTCCCGACGATTAACACGCCATCATGCATAATTGATTCATTTCTTTTGACTCTACTATATCCCATTTTGCTCCATCTCTCGCCTCATCTGACAACATCTGTAACCCTCTCTTGATTCCGGCGTTCTTAACATTGCTATCTATCTGTTATGCTATCGAGCTATCTATTCATTTACAACGCTCCTTTTATTACGCGTTCATGGGTTTTACGATCACGCTCTTCGACGAATTCATGCTCTAATGCTTTCTTGTTCATGTTACAAATTATTGATGCAATGTTTTGTAAAGACTTAGGTGGTGGTCCGTGTATCCTCTACGTTCGCAATGTACTCATGCTCACTTTCTCGACGGCAATCCACGATGGATGTGTACCCACTGCTTCGGAGTTATTTTGTTTACTGGCCCCGTTCTGTCACCTTTGCTGGTCAAACGGTGAGATATCTTAGAATTCTGTTTCCCTACAACCTCGTCAGTTGATAACTGAGGAAAGACTCATTTATCCAGATGGCCTTTTCTCCGCCTTTTTAATCTTATTAAATTACAATCTGACGGATTTGACTCCTTTTCTGCTTAAAGCTTCTCCCTCATCTCGCTAGAGACTGAGAAACCCTCTCAGCTTCACGTTTACCACTCTCGGTAGCACCTTGTACACTCCCGCGATGGTCAACATCTGTGTGCTCTCCAGCAAAGCCCAAACGTCTGCCCCAGACAGGACGCGATAACTCGAAGAAATCAAAGGGGGAACGCTCATCTCCGACAACGGTTGGAGTGGTCGTCGCACCCAGTGTAAAAGGATCAGCAGACCAGCTTCGGGGATGATCATCAGCCTACTTGGATATAGATTGGGCCAAAACAGGAATAATTCACCTAGTAACAGTGGAATGGGAGAACGCAGGCACATCAGCGTTTTTGCCAATTTTGTCTTTCAGAATTTCATGAGCTGCGTTGGCGACAACAGCTTTGTCCATCTTCTCAATATCAGGGGCAGCTGCACAGCTGACATAGATGAGTATCGTCGTATGTAGCGTCGCGCAAGTCAAAGGGATGGAGGACAGAAGTGTCTTCGGGTCGGAAGTGTTGCATGTGTTCGAATACTTGTCCGGAAGGATCGTAATTCCACCGTACGACTCTCCCCACCACACCTTGGGGTATGTTAAGAGAATCTTAGCCAAGGTTCCAACGTGCGTCCGTTGAATGGCAGCAACCTTGCGCGAAGGAAGGGAGGGTGAGAAAAAGGATGGTGGGGCAACCTTTAGCACGGCTAATGGGATCGTGCAAATAACAGATAGAGCACGGTATGACACGCCGGATGTTGTCCTTACAGTGACGGAATCCGAATTTTCAGAGAGAGAGACGGACGAAACGGGTGCATTTAGCACAAGTTCTGCACCTGATGCTAAGGATGCGTCCAGGAGCGCCTGTGTGACTGTCTGGTACCCTCCTTCTGGGAAAGCATCGGTTCCCGAAAACTTGTTCTCGTATCCATTCCACCGCAAACTGACTTGCTCGAGGGTAGCACCTAACCCGGCCTCCAAACAGCGGGAAAGAGACTCCGCTAGCGGCCTTTCGGTATCAGAGAGCCCCTCAAATAGCCTTGAACCTTTACTGAATAGCGAGTCAGCTAAGGAGAGACGAGCCTCAGCCACGCCGGTTTCGGCGACTGTAAGAGCATCCTTGGAGGCTTCGGCAAGATTAGCATGAAGCCTTCCAGCAAGCGCCTCTGGAATCGGGCCTACATAAGCATGAAGGATTTAGTTATTTTCTCGCATAATATGAAGAGCGTCGTACCATTCGGACCAACAAGAAGACTTGGCTTGGGTGCTGGGACTGTCATCTTGATGCCCAGATCTTCAAACAGCTTTCTAGTAGGGACGCCCTCTGCATATCCATGCACAAAACTACAGCCAATATCGACGGGGTATGACTGTCCTTCCTTGTACGATAACACCCGGCCTCCTATACGATCGCGGGCTTCGACGATGAGCACAGAGTGACCAGCGGCCGCGAGCTGCCTGGCTGCAACAAGACCGCTGAATCCAGCGCCTATAATAAGACAACTTACAGGTGTCCTAGCCATCGTCAGGATGAGGTCCAGGTAAAAGCTGAGCGTGGCATGGGATCATCTTGAAGGGTTGTAGATAGGAGCGGATTTGCGGCCCGCTCTTTCCGTGCCCATCGGTGCATAACCAAGTTATTGCTTCTACTCATATGTCCTTGGCCCGTTGAAATGTTCACGGGAGAAAAAGAGGCCACTTTTGTTTCGATGGAATACTTGCTAGTCTCTGACTCCATTTTCAGTTAGCTCGACATCCTTTGCCTCTTCACGAATGATCAAGTGATTCACGAACGACAATGTTTCCATTGAACTTGTTGTAATGGAAGGATTATATTGTATGTACAGTCAGTAACAGGCCCCTCTGCTACCGAGATACATCCAGAAATGCCTGCCTTCCTTTCGATCAAAGTTTGATCGAACGTCTGATCGGGCTGTACTTCTTTCGGAAATAAGTATTATTCACGATTTTTCAACTTCAAGCGCTCCTTTCCTCCTTCCACAATGAAATAAAGTAAAAAGAGTTGGTACAAAGGTAACTAGCCCACCGCGAGGGTCGAACTCGCAGCCTGGTTCGTGCGCAGGGGTGGACCCTCGTCGCGAGCTGCGAGCATAGGCGAGCGACCCGAGCCATGGGCGAGGAACGAGCGAACGAGCATCGGCGAGCGAACGAGCAAGCGAGCATCGGCGAGCTATTGGAGCCGTAGGCGAGGAACGAGTAGCGGCGAGCATAGGCGAGCCACCCAACTCATAGGCGCACTATACTGCGATCCCAAGTCATAGGCGAGCGCACCCATTATACTGCGAGCACATCAACCAGAGTGTAGACGAGCACTAGAGCACCGAGCATAAGCAAGCAATTAGACCATAGGCGAGCAGTGAGGATAGGCGAGCACACTGATTATACTGCGAGCATAGGATAGCGCAGTACTACAAAGCGAGCAAATAAATCGGCAAGCAAGATAGCGAGCACACCCCGCTAGACAGCACTACAAAAGGCCAACTATGCTGCGAGCTCGCTCAATTTTTTGCAGTAGCAAAAAAGATACCGAGCGCACCCAAAGCCCTCGAGAAAAGCACCAACACGGCACGATCGGCGCACGATGGGTGACGTAATTGTCCTCCTACCACCATGTACCCCACCTCCTCTCACCTCGTCTCCTCCCACCACCATGGACGACCTCGATACAGCCCTCGTTACCGTTAGGTCCCATCTCGTTCAAGTTCTCGAACCTAGCGACAGCCCCAGAACACGAAAAAACAAAAAGGAAATCGTGACGGCAGCCAAAAAAACGCTCTACGGCCTCATCAAAATGCTAGAAGATGACGACGACGACGACGACGAACCAGAAGCACAAGGCATGTGCCCGCCCTTTTCAAATCTTCCTTCTAACCATGGATATAGAGTATATTGAACGATACAACGCGCTCATCGACGCATTCGACACCTCTGAAACGAGAACCCGTTTCTTATCAGCACGAGTCTTCCAGCTATACATGTCAAGACCCATCCAGACTGGCATCGATGCAGAACAAAAGGGCCTCTTACGACTCTTGCACGGCTACGCTGGTAGACCAGAACAATGGGTAAGCCGTTTTCAATCATCCAGACAGAAGCCAACACAGCGTCTAGGCAGAGGTCCTCAATACACCCCTCGAGTCCTTGCAAGACTGGGACTCGTGGTGCCAGCAATCCCAGGACAATGACGACACGGAAGATTTTGACGATCAGCTGGTCTTTTTCCCAAAGGTAGAGAAACATTCGCTTCACACCACCTTTTTGATGGTTTTTGGCAGATGGTTCAAGCCTTTAGCAACGAGTCGGACGCCCACTCATATGTTCAATACGTTATACGCATGATCGAAACCCTAAAATTCATCGAACGTTGGAATAAACAAGAACGGCGCGACGGACAATCTGCGCGAGCGTGGAAAATCAAATATATCGAAAACGCCTTCAAATACAGCAGCTCGACCAACAACGACCTCTGGAACCGTCTTCACCACCTCCCCAAAAAGATCGCCGCACGAGAACCTCTGAACAAGGCGTTGAAGAAACACAGTAGTGAACACGCTCGCATGATTACTAGTCGCAACACCTTTTATGACCTCTACAAACTCGTACGTACGTGTTCATATATGCGCCTTTACATACTCAACCAGGCGTAGTTTGGACCCGGCGTTTTCCTCGACAAGCTCTGGGACCCTCTGAATCACAGATCAAAGTCATTCCGCCCCCTCCTCGAGCATTTCACCAACAATATGCCATTCGTCGTCAAGAACGGAACGTCCATACCAATCAACGTTACGAGATTCACCTGGGGAGCCGATTCACTCTACAACATTCTCTCCGTGTTGGCGTCCGAGGCAGTGGCAAAACACGCACAAAAGTTTATGCAGGAACACGAGCCGGACGGTCAGGCAGGGACCAGGCTTTGGGGAAGGCAGTTGCTACCAGCACAGACGTGACAAGTACGAGATACGGCAACTGTACATTACATAACATCCCACCCCGCTCGACGGGGTGGAATACGTGTCTGTTGATATGTCATGGCGAAGCACCCCACCCCTCTCGACAAGATGAAATATGTGTACCCCACCCCACTCGACGGGGTGAAATACATGTTACGTCACTTGCCCGCCCACGCACATCAGCATGGCACGCAGCATGACATTGCTCACTGGTGATACGTCATTGCCCGCCCATTGCCCGCCCTTCTGCCTCGCGCCAGGTGTAAAAAGGGCGCGCCCTCTTATCCTCCCTTTCTTTCCTACCCCCATGTACCCTTTCCGTCCCGAGCAGTTCGGCGAGGCACATATCACCAGGCAGGCGCTCAGGGTACCTCTCGTCATACTCTGTTCACTTCCGTTTCTAATTCTTTGCCTAGAACGATGGCGCTGCGTCCGGTGCTGCACCACGGCAAGCTCCCAGCATTCCCAAAGAGGTCGTCGCCCGCAGAGAACAACCTAGGTACCTCGACTACCGCGCCAGGATGATGACCTTGGACAAGGACACCGACGGCGGTCTCGCTGGCCTTCTCGAAAAAGTCAAGGAATGGGCAGATCAGGCACCGGGCACGGAATCCCCGCATCTCAGGGACAGGCGAGAACGTGTTATGGAAAAGTACGAACTTTCCGTTCTCGCTGTATGCCCAACTATGAGCGTCAACGACTTGTGGCTCGACACCACCATTCACAAATATACAACCATGTTCCTTCATCTCGTCGCAAGTCCTCTTTTTCTAAATATTATTCTTCACATCTCACTGTTTCCCAAGGTCCAATGTACCCGCGGACGCAAGAGTGAACGAATCAAAGCTACCACACTTCTGCATACCGGCCGCATGTTCGCTTATTGCATAGCAAAGTACTGTCGAAACAAGGACGGCGAGGCTACCGGTATGAAAGAGCTTTGCCAAGGTGGCCTCTTTCGACTCATTGAAAATTACGATGCATTCCGTGCGTATTCCCCTCTCTAGTTCAATGCTCAACTCATCCCTCCTCAGTCATCGAAAAGTACGACCTACCTAGGTTCAGCACAGAAAGACCCCGCTTTGGAAAATTGGAAATCCTTTTGCTCATCCGCGAAGCCCTCAAAAATACCGAAACATATGGCCCTTGCCGCGTCGTTGCTATCCAGCGTATCATAATCTGTCTCATCTCTTTCTTCACCGGCGTGCGACCATCAACACTCGGCCCTTCACACAAGCTCTATAAAACTCAGGGAAAGGTAAAGATGGCAGTTACCTTGTGCTTGTCCATCGCTCACACTCCCAAGTATATGCGCCTGGAAGACGTTCGCATCTTCACTACGGGAAAGCCCCTTCAGTTTAGAGTCATTCTTCGCACAAATGCCTACAAGGGTCACAACGGCACCGTCGGTCAGGAACGCCGCATCGTTCTAAACCCAGTGCAAAACTGGTACAATCTCGCGTTTGACGTTTCATTTTATATCGTCATGCATCTCTATTCTCGACATGCACTCAAAGGTGTCAAGGTTCGTGTCCGTTCTTCGTAGCCATGCACTCAAACGTATTCTCGCCAGGACTTTGATACCCTCCGTCATTTCAAAGGCAGCGAAATTCCAATAGAGGACACCATGAAGCGTCGTCCGTTTTTGCTCGCTATGGATCCAGGGGGAAGGAACTTGATAGAGGACGAACCTATAATGGCTACAGCCGTCTCCTCCAGTTACCGGACACTCTGCCGCAACGCATGTCTGCCTTCTTGCGGGACTTATTCTACCCGTCGTGGGGTTGCTGATTATGTGAGTTTTATATATAGCATATATGTTTATTTTTCTGATATTCCCTAGTACAACACGGCAATGGGAAAGTCTGCCGCAGAAATTGTGCTGGGGCATTTCCAATCTGGTTGCCTCAGCAGCTATGTTCGAGGCATTGAAGGCATAGACATGGTGGGACATGCTTTAGAAGAACTTCCTGAAGCCCTTTCACCGAATGTCAAGGTCCGTTTACTTCTCTTCTTGTCTAAAAGTATCTTAATCGGCAGCAGCACGCACTTGAACTACACTCGATCCATTCTGTCGCCGTTACTGCAATAGTCGTCCTCTTCCAATCCGAACAACACAGTCCCCTTCAGAATGAAAGCGAACCCGAACCCAAATCAAAAACCGGCAATGAAATCACCAACCAGATTACGCTTACCGAAGCTCAGATGCTCGAGATAGAGGTAATTGTCGGTATTCTTTCATTATGCCAACTGACCATCTACTAAGCAGACCTCTCCCGAGATGTGCGAGCTTGCAGACGCAGCAGCCAAAGCCCTCGACGCGTTCAAATCCTTGTACGAAAACACCAAATCACAACACTCGGCAGGCGCAAAATACGACACTATTGGACAATTGCACAACTTTATCAAAGCCTCGGATCTTCGACAGGGCGTGGACAAGGAAACAGTAGACAAGGTAAACATGCATGCCTCACTAGCAGCGAACACATCTAATATATCCACACCATAGCTGCTGAAAGAAGCAAAAGATACCGCAGGGGCCCTTCGCAAAAAGAGGCAACAGCTACGGAAGAACACCCTCAGCGCTGTCAGACGATCAAGGGAAGAAAATATCGCAACCGTTGAACCCGGTACATTCGACGAACGAGCCAAGGCTCTCCAAATGCTACGAAGCCAAGATATTCTCGCTCTTGGCCCTTCTGCTACAGCCTCAGATATACGATCCAGAATCCTTCAGCTCCGTGACGAACAGCTCAAAGAAATGAAAACTTTACCCGAAAAAGAGCGCCTTGCACGTCTGGCCTCGCAGGAGGAGGAGGAGGAAGGTGACGAGGGCGACGAAGAAGTACAAAAGGACCCACGTCTCAAAAACATTCTCTCGGTGATCCATGCAAAATCCACCGCTGCTGCCAAACGTAACGCCGCTCCTTCCGATGATGATGATGACAACGAACAAACAGTATCTTCGACCATCGACGATGTCCCGTTTGAAGAATGTGATCCTTCTCAACCGTCGCGTAAACGTCACTCAAAGTCCTCGCAACCACCACTTCGACTAGTCGTCAGGGATCTCTCCTACCAGGAGCACGATGAGACCGTGCCTGATGATATCATTCCTTGCGATGATGAACAAGTTCGCGTCGCCCTCTGGAACATGCTCATGGCACCCGTCGTGGTTTCTCAGGAGATAGACAAGATGGCCGCTGTATGTCCCACGTCTCGTTCTCCTGCCATCATACTCACAACCTCCCGTGACAGACAAGGAACAAAAAAGTCAAGGGGAAACCCAAGGAAAAAGATACATACATATGCGAGCAGTGCCTTTTATTCAAACATGATTCTGTACGCTCCGAACGACTCTGGAGAAGGGACCATCTTCAGCGCCATTTGTAAGTTTGCCGTAGTATCTCGAGTATTCTCTGACCTTGCTTTAGGCTCAATCAACATACAGAATGGGACAATCTCGAGCTGGAGATGATCTCCGGCAGAGGTTACACCACTTTTAAATGTCCATCCAAGGCTTGCCATTTCAAGTACATTGGTTACTTTATATATGCGCTTTTTTTCTCAGATTTGACAGGTCCTCATCAATTCGCAATGTTCGCAAGCATTGCGTCAGCGAAAATTGTCCCGACGGCGCAAGATACAATGACATGAAAGTCCAACATTCTATTCGCGAAAAGTTCATGTCAAACGACAACATCCAGAAACCCCACCTCAAATTGAAATGCGTTCTGCTGATTAAACCTTTCCTCCGCTTGGAATCACGTCTTGAAGCACTCTGCAAGAACAATGTTGGTTCTCTGTGCCTATATCTGGTTTTCTCTAATCATCTTTATTCCAGGAGGAACGTGCAGCAATTGCTCATTATCTCACAGCGGCGGCGGCTTTGGAGGATGTAGAATTTACTGTCGCAAAGTTGGGAAAGACAGAGACGATGCTTGGTGACAAGTTTATGCAATTCGGATTGTAGTAGTAGCAACGCGTCTATACAGGTTAATTGAAACTAGAATTGAAATCGTCGAAAGAAAACATGGGAGCAGGAGGCGTGAACGAAACAGAGTTGAAAGCATCAAACGCAAAGGACGAGTTCATAGCAAACGGATTGGTAGCAGGAGGACTGAAAGCGTTGAACGGAAGCGTAGGGTTCATCGAAAAAGGAGTAGACGTCGGAAAGAAGCCAGCACGCAGCTCCGTCGAATTGTCGGGGGACGGGTAGGCATCTTGTGGGGCACGTTGAGTGAGCGATTCCGCAAGTCGTTGTTTCGTCTCGGCAAGTTCTCTTTGCGTAGCATCTAGTTTTTGCTTCAGCGTATCCAGTTCGTCCTTGGCAGCCTTGAGTTCTGCGTTAGTCTCGACCTCCTTCTCCATATCCTTCATGAGCTTGACCCCAGCAAGAATCTTTCTATGCATAGTCTCCAATTCGACAAGATCTGCAGGAGCATGTCCACTGGACAAGTTTGAGTGCATGTATGCGCTCAAATAACAACGGACGCACTCTTGACACGTAGGACACAGCGGGGTTATCTTGCTCTTCTTCCTGGTTGACGTATCTGGCTCATCATCACTACTGATGACCACGACATCAGCCCTAGTGCAAGCATGAGCTACCTGTGGGGGCAATAGAACAAGAGTACTTGCCTCGAACGGACGATTCTGCGCTTGTTGGAAGACATGATGGTTGGCGCAAAAGGAAAAGTCGCACGCACCACAGACGCGTCTCTTCCTTTGTCACTATTTGGCAGCCCGCAACGAGTAAAATTCAAAAACTATTAGCCCACCGCGAGTCTCGAACTCGCAGCCTTCAGATCACTTAACCCTTGACAGGGCCAACCCTTGCCTTAAAAGTCTGACGCTCTATCCGATTGAGCTAGGCGGGCTTGGAGGGAGCGTAAACATATAGCTATATTAGGTGTCTATGTGCTTGCTTCCATTGAGACCCCACTAAACTTCGAATTCGTGATGGCCCCCAACATAAGTCCATCCAGTCTGCCCATATTTGCAATCCCTGGGCTATTGGCTGTTGCAGTTAATAATACATCCTGGCGTGATTTGAAAATTCTTTGGTAAAATTTACAGTACGGGAGCGTTAATAATGTCTTATTTAACATGGCGACGCTGTTCTTTCATGCGTTATAGACTACCGGTCAGAGCTTCTGGACCAAAGGTTACGTCGCACGGGCGCCAACGTAGTACGTACCAAGAGCTCTATCGGTGACTTGTGACCGCACTGCTCTTCCATCTCATTGGCTTCGCAATGACCCGAGCAAATTCATTACTCCGCGAGATTCGATTCCAAGGCCAAGAGTGTGTCACCTCGGTGTCATTCGCTGTCGACGCGGGCCGTCTGCAGGCTATAAATCTAGCAAGTTCTGCCTTTCATCTCCAATACCCACCTGCCCCACCAAAGTAACCACTCAACCGCATTCATAATGAAGCTTTTCTCTACCATCGCTCTCGCCCTCATACCCTCTTATGCGCTTGCCGTTTCCGTAGGTTGGGATTCTGGCTATGGCGCCGGCGACAATTCGCTGAACAACGTCGCCTGTTCTAATGGCGAAAACGGCCTCGAGTCCAAGGGCTACACCACATATGGCACCCTTCCCAACTTCCCCTACATCGCATCGTCCGATGTGGTTGATGGAATGGAACAGTGCCAACTGCGGGACATGCTGGTTGTTAACATACAACGATAGGAATATCACCGTGTTGACCATTGATCGTGCTGTTTCCGGTATTTTCACGTCAGAGGCGGCGTTGAATGATCTGACCAACGGTCAGGCGGCACTCGGAAGCGTGGAGGCTAACGCGACCCAAGTTGACGCGTCTGCTTGTGGTTTGTGATGGTTGGGGGAACGTGCTATGCATAATTTTGTACTTTGAATGGGAATGGTACGACTCGAAGTTTCATGGTTTGGAAGTCGTAGTGTCGTGTTTTTCTATGTGTTGTTAAGAATAGAACTGCGCAAATCATTTGGAAATGTATCGGGTTGTTATGAAGATCATGTCAAGTTAACATACTGTCTCTTGCTATGACGACGCAGCTTGAATGGAAGCCAGAGATTCCCCCTGGAGCATCACTTTGCCCGGTTCCGAAGTGCGGCGTAGTAAATTAAGAGGCCAGGTCCAGTGGATACACCGCGGTTGAGTATATCCGTCGCCTTTCTCGGCGGAAGGAAGGAGAAAATTAAATGAGAAATGACAGAGAATGAAACATGGACTTCGGCCGTGATATCTGACCGCCAGCAACGAGAAAAGTTATTCACGGGAGTGGAGGAACATTCACTAGTTCAGAACCGGTACCGAGTCAAATAAAAACGACTCTGATGAAGCGCTGCGACATAGCTAACTGGCAAAACATCTATCTCGATAGGTAAATTGTCTCTGTGTTCTTCTTTCTCAGCGACATTCATGCTCACATGAGTCCAAATTAGACATCAAAAACATCCTTCTGCACCCAGGGCTACGAAACATCACCGTGACCGTATCCACTACAATTTGATCGATTCTGATTCTGAAATCATGCGGACAAACTCCGTGTTCACCTACCATGCGGCTTGTAGCTTTACGATAGTAGGTCTACCGTATATGCGGGGTATCTAAGAGGACGGTTCCTTTTGATGCCAGGACAACACAGAATTGAAAAGAAAACACGTACCACAAACATGCCAGTTGCACAATGCTCAAAGAAGGCTCATCAAGGAACACGTCTCCCGATGTCACAAAGGAATTTCCAACAATGACGGGCTTGCATTGAGGCAATCTTGTCGGGACATGGCGACGACGTACATATGTTCATAGAGGTCGACTTGAAGGCTACAAATGCAAGGACACGATAGGCGCAGAGTCAAAAGAATTACGAAGGTTTGAAAAACAGGTTTCCTGCATCGGATAAGATATAAAGATAATCGAATAAACCGTCCTGAACCACCAAGAACGGGAACTGTATTGGTGTGCTCGACATTGTAAAGAAAGGTCTTACGCAAACTCGAGGATGGCGTGGGTAGTTGTAGTTAGCACAGACGAAGTCAGTGAAGGTGCTTGCGATGGTGACGAACGCGTTTATACGTGAATTGCAACGAAAATATTGCGCACACAGCAGTTTCCAAATTTGATAGACCACAGTCGAAAGCCTCCTGGTCCTGCAATGATAAAGCTTTGACGAGGGTCAATAAATAGCGTCCAAGAATCTGGATGCCGGATATAAGACTGCGAAAGACTGAGAGATCGTAGTGAAATTGATAAGAGACCCCGACTTGAAAGAATGTCGTAAAAATAGTGCCGTAATTCCTCCTTGACGTATGCCTGAGGACACGGCCGGTGAATGAATGAGCCAGACCGAACAAAACGTAGGCACCGGGATGTATGCGTATGCCTCGCTGTTGTCCACTGGCCGTTTTGTGAACTAGAAGGACCATCCTACCCCAATTGCATCAACGGAAGACTGCGACTCAAAAAGAACGACTTACAACAACCGACCATGAGCTGCCCTTCCCTTCTCTATGCCCACAACAGGATCATAGCATGGATATTCACCATAATGAGGATGATAAGCCAACAAAGACCGTATGAAAGATGGAATGCTAATGCTGGAGAAGTAGCCAAGTTGCAGGCATATCATCGTCTTCATCCTTTCCCGTAGCAAGACGCGACATTTGTGGAAGTAGACCGTATGTAGCAGTAGGCGAGTCGCCGATGATGAGAGTCCAGGAAAGAGTCGCGAATGTCAGACTCGATCACGTTCCTTCCTTTCCCAATGTCCGATGTGAGCAAACTCCCCCCGTCCGACCCTCAAACGATACCACCTCCCCCTGGTGTACCTCAGCCAACGGGAAACTTGCGTACCGATGTATACAATGTACGCCATCTCTTTTCTTCTGTCGCCAGACGTTGACCTTTAGCAGTCCATGACCAATATACTTCAAGTACCATGCGCCAAGAACGCATTTATGCAAGGACTGGTTAGCGGCGTTGGTGTAGGCTTCATTCGTGGAACGACTGCTGGTGCGTAGTTATAACACCTTGTATTTCCTCTCACCAAGACTTTGACAGCTCCAATTGTCGCTGGGCATTGGGCAATAACGACCTTTGTTGGAATATCCGGCGTGTCCTGGTGCGCCAAATTCGCCCGATTTTCTTTGCTCACGGCTTATCTCCGTTTCATACAGGTATATCTGCCACCGTCGTATGGCAAAGGAACGCGAAAAGGTCATTCAAATGATCGAGAGTGCGCCAAAACGAACTGTGAAGTACGAAGAATCTACATCTAATAAATAATAGTAAAAGCATCTTCAACTCCACTCAGACGCCCAAACGTCCTTATCCCACTTCTCTACGAGTTCAGCGTCATCCTGATATTATGATGAGCTTCATTGATACAGCCTTCTATAGCCAACAAACATACCTTGAACTTGACCTGGAATTGTGTGAACCCATCCTTCAAAATCGCGACGTCGGCTTTCAATGGGCTCTCTTCAAGCACATTCTGCCGCGTCTCAGCATATATCCGAGCGGCCTTAGGCCCTCTAACACATCATCAACATCAGCTGCAACTCCACTTGCAAAGAGCAAATGACTCACCGAACCTGCGATAACGCACAATGGAACACTACCAACGGCACCTCCTTCGTCTTCTTCACCAGCTCATCGACGTCATTCCAGAAAGTGCTCGAGGGATAATTTATCGCATCCTTGATGTTGCCGCCCTCAAAGTCATCATCGCGGACGTCGACGACGAGGTAGTCTTTGTGGGGCACCTTGTCGCTCTTGATTACTTCTGCGAGTTCCTGTCGAGGTTCAACGCATGCATTGACGGAGGGTCGAGCAAATGCGTACGTCGTTGGTGATGTATCTAATGATGGGCATCTTGCAAGTCCTGCGCAGTCCGCGAGTGAAAACAGCTAGCTGTGATGGACGAAAACAGTTGGCCAGCATTCCGTTCGATTACGTCACCATCATGACTTTGTTTTTCACTTCACTGAGTGAGCACTGAAGCAAGTACTGAGGCTTCAGCGTCGGCATAACAAATGCCAACTGACGCATATACTGATCGCCACCGAGTATTACATGTAAATTGGACCGCCTCTATCATACTTTAATGTTGTACGACTTGACAAAATTCTACACCTCTATATCGGTCGCTCATAATTCAATCTCTCTGTCCGCTTCCACACTTCACGCACCAGTGCCTCCTGCTGTGTCCTTGGAGAACGTCCCTGGGCATCTTCAGAACATGCGCGTATGGCAAGGTATCTGCAACCACAGATCAACTATATGGATGGTCGACAAGAAGGTTAAACTCACCGCCGCCCTCCCAAGTTAGCCATTGGGATAGCAGGACTCGTGTCTGAAAGACCGTCCGGTGGATTCGAATCTACGACGATACCACCAGTCTGTAAAAGGATGGCTATGCCCGCACAGACGTCCCATTCCCAACATCCCGCTACGAGAGATTGTCATATATGGCTAGATCAAAGTGTAAGAGCAAACTGACCTTCGAACATGATATCGCCTTGACCAGAAGCGACATACACCATATCGAGGGTTGAACTGCGATGAAACAGCTTCAATTTCGTATACTAGTAGACTGGTGTAAGAACTGACCTTCCAAGACTCCTTAAGCCGTGAACCATACCACCCTTACCTCCCCGGCCACCTATCTCTGTAGCCATGTTAACAAAATTGGTGGACTTTTTCGTGAGGTTTGACTGAGGGTTATCTCTGCGATCCTTGCCCCATTCACCAAAAAATAAGCACCTAAGGGATCATCGATAATCAGCGACGAAGGAATGCTACCGTTGTTAATAACGTACCCCTTTGGCGCACTCTTTGGAAGTGGTGGTGGAGGGTTTATGATGGGTAGAGGCGTTAGTGGACCGTTAGGCCCAAACTCTGAGATCCAGGCGCCACCTTGGGGGTGGTGTATCGCAGAATAAAGGGTTCCTATATATACTATCAGCGAAAATGTGATGACTGACAATGACAGTCGAACGAACCTTCTCCCCCTAGGAACGGAGCGAATACAACGCCAACGGTTGGTACGGAATTAAGACAGAAACCGATAGATATCGCTGTCATCGGGACTGTTGGATCAAGATTACGTTTTAGTCCGTGATCTCGTCAAAGGAGGACCTTCCTACACATATGGACCATGTTAACGGTCCCATCTATGGGGTCGACAATCCTTAGGCACGAATCATGAGATTACGGGTCATGATACGAATCACGGAGAGTGCTTACCATGTCGGACCATCCTTCAGAAGAAATCTTTTTTCCTCTCCAGCGGAATAGGATTCTTCCCCAATAAACTATCGTAATCTCCGATGAGCAGACGACTCCGAGCAGAAAGATTATCTACCTACAGCGTGGTCTGGATATTCAATCAGTACCGAATCACTGTGCATTGATATCTCAGCATCTTCTTGACGAACCCCATGAGAATATCTACTCACTGTATTAGTTTCTCTACGCCTTCGTCAGCGGCGGTTACCAGATCCACAGAGTTCAACTTCTCCCGCGTCGCCAAGACGTATCTCTGCCGACGGATCTGGTCTTCACGGAGGTACCGCCCAGCGCGTCGGGCGAGGTCGCAGGCAAAATCGTGCAGTTTCTGGAGGTCCTGGATGGTGAACGTCGTGGTGGTCATAATCACGATCGTGGTTCCCAGTCCGCCGTTTGTAATTCGGACTCTGAGGTTCCTTCCATGTGCCTTTCTTGATTACTACCACCACGCGCCCAGGTATTTTACTCTTCTTCATGCGGCCACACTTGCTCATCGCGGTTGTTATTTCCAAGCCATTATGAGCGATGACAAACCCTCGAAGAGAGTCGTTATCCGCGCTAACAGGGTCCAGACAGAGATATTGAAGGAGGCGTATACCCAGTCTCAGACTGCAAACGCGAAGCAGCTGGAGATTTTGTTTGACCGGACTGGCTTGCACGTTCTTCTTGACTGTTCAGTGTTGTCGCTCATATTTCGTCGTTGACTTTAGGCCAAAGAAGTGGATCACCAACTGGTTCATACGGCAGAGGAAGAAGAATCGCGTCAAGCAGGAAGACGTTTGCTCATTCAAGGCTGAATATCAAGAAACCGTCCTTGATACTGTTACACCGCCCCAGAAACCCGCACAGAAGAGAACCAAGAAAGCTACGCCGGCGAAACAGCTCGTTATTCCCAAACTGGAGTATCCCGATGAAAACGAGATTCAGCTGCTCAGTTCACCGCTATCTGTAGCGAAGGCTTTCCATGCATATAATGAACCGCTCGGCTCTTCGCCATCTACAACTGCATCCGCATCAGCAAACCATTCTTCTATCTCTGCACCTACGCCAGTTTCGACGGCTTCTCTGAACGCCAGTGCCGATTTCAATCAGCCGCCTTGGATTCCTCCTTCTACAGAACAGTCATATATGCTGTATCACCCTCAGTCTCTGTCTTCGCCTTGGCTTTTTGACAGCAAAGAGAACTCCCTGCCTGACTATATGCGTGCCCAGCCCGCTGACTACACTTTCAATACCAATATACCTTCTTCAGTTCTGTGTGCTACGCCTTACGCCCAGGCTTCTGCTATGCAAATGCAAGAGCCATCTTTCATGGCGCAACTTCCGTTTCCCCTTCATGTGCGTTCCCAAATCTATGCCTGATTGTATGCTGACCTTTTGTAATGCAGTACTCTTACCCACCCACCTCGTCATCTTTGGAAGACACTTTAAACCCTCAGCTCACGCCCTTGAAGCACCTCAGCGTCCTCGCCAATCAAAACTACCCTAACGACACCAATGTCCTCTCGTCTTGTCTGTTGGACGAACAACTCGGTCAGAACGACCCATTCCAGGCAGCGATGGGTTTGGTGTACATGTCTCGGCTCGGACTGAACTGGTAGAACTTGTTTTTGGTAGATAATATTGCTTGATATGCTACCTTACTGTCGTGAATAAATGATGTTACTCGTCACCGATGACGGAACCCTGAGCCGTTGGCGGGATTTGAGCCGGTCCTTTCCGTAAGTTACGACTTGTCCTTGACTCGTACATAGACTAGACCAGACTCGTTGCGGTCCCTCTTAAAATGGCCTCTCGCGCGTTCACTTCATCGTTACGCGCTACGCTGAGGCGTACTGCCCTCAACCGCGTCGCCGCCCCCAGCTGCAAGCGATTCAATTCGACCCATGCTTCGTCAGGCCGGTCCAGCGATACCCCTTGGATTGTGCGTCATTTTTGCCTTCTTTCTATCTATGCGTACAAGGGAGAATAATCATACTTCTGTAGATTGGTTCCGCTGTTGTCTTTGGTCCTTTGGTGAGCGGCAGCGTAGGAGGAAGTTGACGTGTCACTGACAAAAACTTAGTTCTTGTACCTCCTCGCGCCCGACGGCAAAAAGAAGGACCACCACCATGCCAAGTCTGAACACAAGCCAGAGCCGGTTGTTGAGGAGAAGGAAGCTGAGGTGCGTTAAGTTTCTGATTGTCTGTGATATGAGGTGAATCAATGATTGTTGGCAGACTCAGGCAGAACCCGAACCCGAACCAGAGGCGCGTCTCCTTTCTAGTCTTTGTTACTGAAGACTTACTGTACAATGCAGGCACCTGCACCCGCAGCTGAAGAATCCACTCCGGAACCTGCGGAGGCAGAACCCGCCGCGGAAACTACCTCTGAGCCTGCAACCATAACAGATGATGAAGGGACTCCCGTATCTGCCGAGGAAGTGAAAGAGTCTATTCAGCAGGCAGAGGTGAGAGAAATCATGTTGTCACTGTTCATCCGCTCATTTTTTTGTTAACAGGCCTCCGATGCTCCCAAGGAGGCTGCAGCTGAGGAGAAAAAGGAGGTGTCTTCTTGATAATGTAGCCGCCTACCTTTACTCCGTCAATATAAAATGCTTTTTGAATGCTTATATGCCGTCGTTCAGAGAAAATAAGGTACTGGATTTTGTTATGGGAACGGTACAGTGTAACTTTATCAGTACTAGTGCGTACGTGGGGTAAACAAAAATGTGGAAGGTATAGTATATATATATAAGCGTAAAATCTAGGTAAAGATAAGATGGAAATATGCAAGTTGATCATACTACCACCTTTCCTTATGCTAACGACGCAATGGAATTCCTCGTAGAACTTCCAAGTCCCTCAATTCTATCATTCAGCTCAAAGTCACTGTCGTTATCCTTGTCAGGATCTTCTGTCAAATAGGCGGTCGTTTCGGTCAGGGTCAAAGAACCTTGTCTGACGGGCTGTTGGCTCTGAGGTGGCTGGAAATAGGCATTTAAACAAGGCGACTTCTTGAGGTTTTCGATGTCGACATGAATTATCTCGCGACAGAACATGTCAAGGTCGAGGTCATTCTAAGTAGTCCATAGGTCAGTATCCAACTTCAAACGGGGCAATGTGATTCCAACCTCGTCATAGCCTGCATGATACCAAATGGTTAGCATCATAAGACATGGATTAGCGTAGTTGTAACATACCGAAAGGTTGCTCGATTTCTTCGCCGGCAGCGAGGAAACCCAGATAAATGAATGCGGCGATGCAAACGCCTGAAACGGTATGCCAGCCAAACGTCGAAACGAGTTGGAAAGGTAGGAAGAAGAGGTATAGCCATACAGTGCTAAAAGTCAGATGAGAAAGGAACCAGGTCACAGCACGGAGAGGCTCACTGTCTGTAACAACCGAAGGCGCATGTTAGCAAAAGAGTAGAACGCCAGCAGCACATCATACCTGATATGCACAGAATACACGCTATACAGTGTGGTGAGATACGATAAACACGAGTAATTCTATAGTACTTACAAAGGCAGGGGTGTCGTCAGGATTGTTTCCAGAGCTGCAACGTGTAAAAGGTTACGGTTGTCAGAACGAGCAAAGTGAATGACGCACCCGACAGAGTATCCTCCATAGAAGCTATCAGTCCAATCATAGACCCAAGACTTGTCCCTATGACATGGATGAGCGTGAACCAAAAAATCCCATAGAGTAACCCCTCACCAGGCACCGTATTCCGATCTTCCAAAACGCTGAACCATTCACTCAAGCACCTCAGAATTTCCAAAGGAAGGTTCTCCCCTCCACCCGCGATTCGGGGACGATGCTTTTTGCCACTAGCAGCAGGTTGGATGGGCCCGCTCCATTTCCTTTGGCTGCTGTCCGCGCCGTATGGATCCTTTCGTAGATCCTATGAAAAAAAAGTATCAGGATTATGATACTTTCAACAAGAAGTAACTAACATTGCTCGGCAGAGATTCAACATAGTCTGCTCTCCTGAACCATCCACGGATGGTGCTGAAAAAACCGGCAAAAGGAATGAGGTCACCAGAGACTCGGTCCATCACATTGTCGCCACTCGTTTGCTGGGATGGCTGGAGCGTTCTGTGTACAGATGAGGAGGAAGCGTTCCGCTTTAGTTGGTGCCGGAGAGAAATGCTCGAAGCCTGCTTGGAAGGGTGGAATGTACCATATGCATTAACAGGTGGGATGACAGGTTCTTGCGTGTCAAGGTTGGGACGTGAAGACGATGAAATGGGTGGGGATAGCTGTGCATGGGGAAGAGATGGGTTGGACGCGATACGATGGACCCTAGAAGGAACAAGAAGAGCGGTGGTCATGGCCGCAGCCTTTTGCTCGGCTGGATGTTCGCGCTGGATACGATAGGTTTAAAATGGAGATCTTTGGATAGGTGCATTCTACGTACATCATGAAGAGGTAGAACGAGATCGTAGAGATCGTCATAATAGATTCCAAGTTCGCCTGGTATCCTGGCAGATTAGATTCTCAGTACAGCACTGGATGTAAGAGACAGTACCTCTGATATGGTGCTTCGTGGCCACAGCGAACCTAGGAAAACATCTTAAACTTGTATACGTCAGAAAGCAGAAGAGCTTACGCTTCCACAAGATCCAACGCCATCCTTTTTTCTGTCATGACCTTGATCATCTCCTCAGGCGACCGATTAGTCCGACCAGACTCAATTTCCTGAGGCGTTTTTGGCGCCAAGCGAGGGGGAACATGAAACCAAACGAGGCGGCCCATGGTACGAGCATATTTAATGACATCAGACCAGCATGTTCTCCCCATCCAATAGCGATCATAACTAGGAAAGATATCAGATTGTACTCCTTATGTACAGCGGAGGCTTACCCGCTCATAGCACGGTATGAGATCACAAAACCGATGACGACACCTGCAACACATACATAAGAACACTCCCCCACGAAGGAGAGAACACGCACCAAGAACCGTGAGCATAATATTAGGGATACTCAAGACCAGGTAATCCTTCAACTGAAGATAGACAACCACTTTGAATACGATATTAATACTTCATATGTCGTCGAGAAATGTGCGATATCCTTACCGGCGGCAAACAGCGTATGGAGGAGTACAGCTGGCCATATACGCCATATCTAGGGGCTGGGTCGGACTTGAGCATCATGGACAGGTGCCAAGCTACGTACCACTGAACCCCGACCAAACGTCCAAGCGACAATACTATAAGCAAGCTCATCCCGTGTATAATCGGTAAACGAGGCCCCATTGGGCTTGACTGCAGGAAGGAGTGTGTGTTTTCCCGTCAAGGAACGTTTTGCAGGGCCACGGTCGGTATTCGCCATTTTGAATAAATTGACGCGAGAAAGAGAGAATGAAAGAGGAAGAAAATAAAAGGTGGTAGTTGACGCGGAAAGACGAAGGTGACGGACGAGCGCTGATATGAATAATACAGCGCTCATAACCACATGACGATCGCATCACGATCATAAATTGGATGGGAAAATCAGACCATACGTTTTCACACCCCCAGACTTCCGTAAAAATATTTATATGAGCATGCGTTACACTGAAAGAATCGTAGATGTTCCGGTAACCGCTCTCATCCTCAACTGCCGTCCTTCTTTTATCTATGATTCGAAAGTGAAGCTTGCACCAACCTTGGTGGATATCAGCGTCAGGAGTCAATGGAGACAGCGGACCAAAACAAACCTTGTGCGAGGGGCCACCGGTTGCGGTAGTGTCGTTCAGCTTTTGGGTGTCAAGGGCAAGACCGAAGGATGCCTTGAAACCCGGACGAATGTTCTGAACATAGCCTGTATCGCAGGGCGTTGAGTACGACATAGGATTATCAAGTGATGATCTTACCAAGGGCAAGGACACCAGAGTTGTTAATCTTGGCCTTGAACGCAGTGTTGGCATCGAGGTAACTAAATATAAATTAGGGATCTGCACCTAACCCTGAATGATGAAATACTCACGTCTTAGCACCCACTTCAAGTGCAACACCGCCGTAAGTCGCCTTGGTGTCATAAACAGCCTTGGCACCAGCCTCAACGTCGGCGTTGACGCGGTGGTAGTAGCTGGCAGAGAAGGTGTTCAAGTTGTTGAGACCGTGAATGGTGACAGCGTATTCGGGTGCATTGTATCCAACGGCGGCGGCGTATCTGGTGATGTTGCCCTCGGTCACGTTGTAGGCGCACTCAGCACCGACAAGGAATCCGTCGCGGCCAAGGACGGTATCAGCGGTGAAGGTGGGTCCCTACATCGAAAAAGGATAAGAACGCGAAAATAAGCACAGAGGTTGACCGGCCTTATACACGTCAAGAGCAGCACGAGTGTGGACGCCCGACTGCTTGTAGGCAGCATTGATAAGAGCCGACTTGTTGCCCTTCTCGGGCTGGAGAGTCGTGTTCAAGTCGAGCTTGAGGCCCTTGGCAATCTGGTTCTCAATCTCGAACTGGGATTTGAGGACGTTGGCAGTGGTCCAGGTCTGCGTGAAGGTGAAACCATGCTTGCGGTTGGTGTATTTAGACTCGATGTCTCCATTGATGATGTTTGACTTGTTGTCCCTGTTACCGCCGACCTTGAACACGACGCCTGAGGGAGTCTTGGTCTTGACCTCGAGAGTCGCGCCAGAGAAAGGGAAATCTTTGGTCAGAAGGTCGTTCGACGACTTTCCGAGATCCTGAGAGCCACGCGCATCGATAATAAATTCGAGAAAGAGGTGAAAATAAATACCTTCCAGGAGGGTGGGACAGGCTGAGGGAGAGACATGACGGTACTGAAGAAAAAAAGGTAAAGGGAGGAAAGAGACGTGGATTGACGAACGTGGGAAATCGGAGCACGTTGGGTCAATTTTGCCTCCGATTCCGCATCGTTCCCGCACGGATCCTTACGTCTCAACTCGGCAATTCACTGAAGAAGTCTTGCCTCAACACACCAAGACGTTGAAGCTCGGCACAAAAATGGTATTGAAAGGAATGTGCATTGTCGACAAAGGTATAACCTCTTTGAAAAATTAAAAAAATTGCTCAGAAAGCGATTCCACGATACGTTCGCATTTGGTCCTGTAGACGCGTAATCTGACCATCAGTGAACTCCGTCATGCAGGAATCGTATGAATAATCCATGTAGTTGTCTGCAAAAGCATGCTAGAATCAGCTGGAATAGAGGTATTTGCCAAGTACTTACGGACGGGATCAACTCCATCACCAGAGCAGGTATCGCGGTTCGTCGGGCATCCTTGTGCGGGAGACTCCTCTGCCGGAGTATCGTCGACATCGTCACCATCACCATCGCATCCCCCCTGATGAATACATATTTAAATAACTTGTCATGTGAACAAGGTGATTCAAGCGTTACCTGGAAGGTATGGTATAGCCCAACCCAATGGCCGGTCTCGTGCGTTAGCGTCTGACCTTCATTGTAATTTTGGGTGGAACCTCCAGGGAGTGAGGAAAAGAGGATAACAACACCATCGTCCTCTGGGGCACTCTCATAGTCCGAAGGGAAGGTTGAGAAACCCAGGAGACCTGCACCACTACCTGACTCAAAACCGACAGTATAGACATTCAGTGTAGCAGCGTCTCCTTGGCGAAGTTGTTGCTTCATTTCGGTTTGTGAAGATCTGTCGACATCGTCAAGAGGGTAACCCACAACAAGTGTATTTCAAGACTCACTCATCCGGACCAACATTTGAGAACCAGTCGGAGTTATTGACATATGAAGTGTTGGCAAGCGTAAACGAAAGTCCTGAGTTTGTATAAGCAGCGTTTAATACGTCTATCTGATCAGATATTTGGGTATCACTGATTAGTCCAGTCAGAAGCGGCTCACAAAATGAAAGAATAGAGTAGATGCTCACGGGACGTAACCGCCCGCCTCTGTCTGGTCCGAGTAGATGACATGAAATTGAATATCGATAATCGCATCAGACCCGTTCTGGGTCTTCAAGACTTTGTTGTTCCTAAAGTGGGTCTCCGCAGCTAGGATCCTCTCATCACTAATAAAAGTTCCGCAACGACTATTATTGACACCACGTCCGAGTCAGTTCGGATTCATGGATAAAGAATGTAGAATTCGACGCACGAAATCGTCTGTCGAGGCTTCACCGGTCCGACGAAGGGGTTCCCAAAGACCACAGAAGAGCCAACAAGAAGCGAGAGCGCGACTGTGCTGAACATGATCAAATAGATTCACGTTAAAAACGAGGGACAAGTCAAGGGTAGAACCAGGAGGTTCGATACTTGCAACCAAGAAGCATGCCAGCCTTCTTATACTGTTGATCGTTGACGCGTTGCTATACAGCTGTCATTTTGGCTGAAAAATCGATGTGTTGCAGGGGACATCGCCACGAGGAAGAGCTCCATGGGCGCGTTGACGATCGTAGCGAACCTTGCGTATTGGATGGTCGAAAGGCGAAGCAGGAGCTCTTGGCGACGATAAGGCTTATGGACTTGATATTGCTCTAACGGCATACCGCATGTAGTACCGCGAGAAAACCGTGATTTACTGTCAAAAAGAATGGATGGAGGCAGGCATGACGGAAAAGATTCGCCGACAGTGGCGATCTCCACCGTAGTAACCAAGGTATATGGTGTGATTATGTATGTCCTAGTAGTCAATCATCGATTGTCGTAAGCTTTAGAAAATCGAAGCAAAAAAATCATACATACAGAATATGAAAATCATGTCATGTACGGGTAGGAACCATGTCTGGACCGTGATAAGGTCCCGGTTACAGAGAATATATCCAAGGCATTCCGTGCGACCGGTGCAATCTTTTTATCCGAGCATAAAAAGAGCACAGTATGGCCTGTTTAGAATGTCCGGTGTCCATTGTGACAGAAGAGACTCATGGAAGATGTGGGGAGCGTTCCTGATAATCAGAAATAAAGCATCACTTCTGAACTATGGAATGGAGGGAAACCCAACTTACGCTACTATCGAGGAAGAGACGTACACAAACGTCAAAAAAGTGAAGGTTCATAGTTAAACTGCCCCAAAGTCTCAAGTAATGCACGAGGATCAATGCACGAAAGCTATACAAAGCCCAAGGCCCTCTTCATAGAATGGTACTGGATCCGGATGACGATCCACCAGCTTCAGGCCGTCCCGAACAGTAGCCAATATTGCCACATCGAACGTCCATAAGACTGTCACTGTCAGATGGAGAATGGCATCTAGGTAGATGCATTAGGCTTATCACTGGCTCTCTTGTTTTCCATCCATTTGAAGCAGTCGGGCTTTCAGTGACACTGGCGGTCAAGTCAAAAGATAAGATTCCAAGTAAAGACGTCCCGATCAGCACAAGGTCCAGGGCTCACGCCAGCGACACCGGAATGAATTTGGCTTTGAGGTGCAAAGAAGTAGCCACCTTCTGCGCACCCAAGGTCATATAGCTGAAGCATCGGGAAAGAAATTACCAAGGACGGCAAGTCTGGTGATAATAACGAGTGCTCCCAGCTAAGCGTAGTCGTTTCATCAGGGCTACTCTCTGTGCTTAATACTGCTACGACGTGCCACAACTTGAACCTCAGGCCCGGTCTATTCAACCGTGTGGGACCGGGGGGATGCTAGGCAATAGCAGCTTTTGCGAAACTGCGAACTTGATCCAAAATTCAATTAGTACAGTGAAAATTTTCTTGAATAAGTTAGAGATGGTACCGGTACTTTCAGTTTAAATTTAACTTGAAGCGCATGATCTTGGCAAACAGGTCGAACAACATTTCTGAGGAGTTCGTTATCGGCGTCGTGAATAAACTGATGGCTTTTGCGTTTTGTCTGGCAAGGCGGGGCCCACGGACCGCCCTTACCGTAATATATGAACTGAAACGTGTGTTGTCGTTGAGGATACCCTAAATTAAGTTCTAACAGGTCTTTGTCCGCCTTTGTCTAACCTCTGACAATATACCAACCCGTCAAGGACATCTCTCAGAACATGAAAATGTGAAGGTTTAGCGTACAACAGAGCAAGATATAATTTAAGGCTAGGAATGAACTACGACTACTTGTATTAGATCAGTCGGACGATGTTTTCTGCTTCTTCTTCGGCGGCTCCGATGCCTCTCCTTCCTTCTTCTTAGGCTTCGGTTTGGGTCTGGGCTTTTCGTCAACATCCATGGCGTCTCCGTCACCATCAACCTTGGATTTAGCTTTGGGCTTGGGCTTTGGTTTCAGCTTCGGTTTGTCCCCATCAACATCCATAGCATCGTCAGCTTTCTTCTTCTTCTTCTTCGGCTTGGGTGCCTCCTTCTCTCCAGCCTCGTTATCATCCTCAGCATCGCTCCCGTCTTCCTTTGCCTTCTTTTTGGGAGCACCGTCTACGCCTTTCACTTTCTTCTTCATCTTTTTCTTCTTAAAGTCTCGATCCCCGCTGGCATCAGAGGCGGTTGCTGCCCCACCCTCAGACGAATCGCTTTCTGTTGGAGAACCCGAATCGGAGGAGGAAGCTTCGAAGGATTCTTGTATGGAGATAAGCGACGCTGAGATATTCGAATGAAGACAAAAACTCACCATCAGACTCGCTATCGTCGTCGTCGTCACGGTTCCTTGACACCTTCTTGGGTGCATCAACATCCGAGTCGACACTACGCATAGACTCATCGTCGTCGTCATCATCACCAACAGCGGCAGACAATAACAGCTCCGCGTCTGGCACTTGTTCGTTCTTGATCTTAATCCTCTTGTCTTTAAGGTAGGTCTGCGTGCTTTCTTGTTCCTCCTTGTTGATAGACGTGAACGTGTATTCAGGACCGTTTTTTGTGACAATCCGAAGATCGAATGTCCTCGCAGCTGTTGCGACACGGGAGAAAAAGACTTGATGAATGTCGGACAGTTCGACAAGCGTTGGCTGTTTGGAAACGAAAAATATGTATTTTTCAAGCAAGAAGAGGTCTCCCTGTGTGGCTTTGAGATTCGCTTTAATGCCAGGATGACCGTCGCGGCTATAAAATGTAAGGATGAAAAGACAGGAATACAGTGACAGTGATCCTCACCTCTGGAAGCTCCCAGCACCAATTATCTTCTTCCCAGAGAGCGCACGGAACAAGCTTGATACAACCTCGAACGTAGGATCTTCATAGCTCTTCTTCAGCCGGTCATATTTCTCGATATCCTCCTCTGACATGTTCAATTCTGCCGTGATCTCCTCCTCGCGAGTGAACTGCATGACGAGATATGGGTACCGCGTCTGTCCCTGGCGGATGGGATCATTGAGACCCAAAATGAAGAGGACGTGCTGATCATCCTTGGGTAAGAGGAAGAGACGCGATATACTGGAGTAGACGATCTTATAGTCATAGGTCTTACCACGCAGTCGCAAGAACCCAGTGTACATATCGACGTCATATCGTCCTCGAGGAGTGAGCACAAGCACTTCGTCGAAGCTGAGAATAATGTCGGCGGAGGGGGCTCCAATCTCTGCCTTCTCCTTTACTAAGTCGTGGAAGACCTGAGCAGCGCTCTGCTCCTCTGCGTCATCTTCGTCATCCGACTTTTGGGACCCGTTCTCAGACCCTTTCACTTTAGGTTGAGTGCCAGGAACAAAAAAGCGGATTTCTGTCAACTCGTCTACTGCATGTTTAGACTTCGAGGTTCCCGGAGTGAATTCGAGCGCGACTTCGGTGCGAGCGGCGATATTGGAGTTGTTAACTTGCTGCAGATTCAGCATAAATGCCGTTCTATCTGCAACCATAAATGCAAGCTCATTGCCTACGTGATGGTGTCAATGCTGTACAAAATTGAACAGACTAGCAGCGAACCTTGGAAGTCCGTCACGCCCCAGTTCCAGCCTCTCAGCGACACTTCCTTGGTCTCCAGCGTGATGTTGAAATGTTTTCGCATGAGTGCCTCAACTTTATCATGATCCTGATAACGCATCAGCATGATAATACACCAGAAAAACACAGCTAATATCCTACCTCTCGCATGAAGCCGTCAAAGGTCTCTTTCTTGTGACCAGCTAGGCCGACTCGGAGCTGAAAATTGCGAGCGACGCGCAACCACTGAGCCCACTTGATTTCTGGGGCCTGCATCGCAGTTACGCCTTCCGACTCCACACCTTTCCAAGCCATGCCGGTCGCTGCGACACGAAATTCTGGGAAATTTGTCAGCGGTACCACCACACAGAACAAGGCCTAAACGTACTGCCAATCTCCTGCGACGTGCCATGGAAAATCCTGTCGAACTGGGTCGTCATTGTGCACCGCGGTGATGGTGGTCAAGAGTCAAGAACACGGCGCGTGACGGACTTTGAAAAAAGCCTGGACGCGTGACGCATTTGGACACATTTCGTCTTCTGCCTCTTTCTCTCATCTTTACTTACGAGCTCACTTTTCGTTCGGATACTCTACACCCAAATAATTGTTACTGATTTCTGTGTAATGGAATCCTTGGAGGCGAGGTCGCGCGATGTACAGGAGCGGACGTTCTGCAAATGGTTAGTGGCACAATATTCTTCCTCTCCCCGTCTTCCATTGTCCATGTAGGCTCAATACGAAGCTCGAGCTCAATGGTTATCCGCCCATGTCATCCTTAGTAAAGGACCTATCTGATGGCGTTCGGCTCATCCAGCTCATGGTGTGTGCTTGATTGTGATGGATCTTCGTAACGAATGGTTCGAGGATGGGAACAGGAAATCATGGGTGCGTCCTACGACCATTAATGAGGCCAATTCTTATCGTATTAACTTCTACGATTTCTCAGGTGACGTGTCTCTCGGTCGATACAATAAGGCTCCCCGAATGCGAATCCAAAAGGCCGAAAATGTTAACAAGGCTTTGGAATTTATCACTTCAAGAGGTGTTAAACTCACAAATATTGGGCCGGAGGGTGCACCAAAATATTTCTTTGGTGATGTCCAGCTCACCTCAGAATTCAGATATTATCGATGGGAACCTGAAACTCATACTCGGGATGATATGGACTCTCATTTTACGATTCACCATTGCGGATATCAGGCGCGTGTCATCACTGCCTTTTTTTCTGCCAGTCTCTTATCTGATACCCACTATAGCGAAGAGGGTCTATCCGCAAAAGAGGGTCTCCTACTCTGGTGTCAGCGAAAGACGGAGCCTTACAAGGAAGTCAACGTGCAAGATTTTTCCCTCAGTTGGTCCGACGGCCTGGCTCTGTTAGTATATAAATGTTGCATCGCGTTCAATACTCTTGCTAATAGTGTCCGCAAGATGTGCTTTGATTCACTGTCATCGACCGGACTTGTTGGATTATGATAAACTCGACAAAGTTGGTTACACTGGGCCATTCTACATTCTACAGATGTCTGATGCCAACACTCTAGAGTGACAGACATGCCAATACAAGATTAGCTTTCCAAGTTGCTGCCGACCACCTGAACATTCCGGTATGCAGTTCTCGCCGAGGTTCGACTGTTACTTAGTTACTGGCCAGCAACTTCTCGAAGTGGAAGATTTATGCGACTCAAACCATCCCGATGAACGGAGTGTCATGACTTACATCGCAAGTTTTTTCCACGCCTTTTCATCGATGGGTCTGTCAGTATCCCACTCTACCTGATTCCGCGCTTATCAATATGATTATAGACCAAGCAGAAACTGTATCTCGACGAGTTGACAAATTTGCGGAACTAATGCAATCTGTATGGTTGTCACGCAACGATTATGAGCGCCGCGTTAAACTGGTAAGTGAGCATTCTCTTGCACTGCCGTATCCCTTACGAAACGGTCACAGCTTCTTCGTGCCCTTTCGGAAGTCCAAGCGAAATGGTCGGCAAGTATGTTTTCGGGTACTTACACAGACGCCAAGAGTCACTCCGCTGACTTCACTACTTACAAACAAACCACGAAGCGGACGTGGGTAACCGAGAAACAAGATATAGCAACTTTGTTTGGCAATGTGCAGACAAAACTGAAGACATATGGACTGCGGGAGTACGTTCCTCCCCAAGGTCTCGCTTTGCAAGATCTAGACGAGGCTTGGAAGACTTTGTTGGCATCAGAGGCGCAACGCTCCCGGTCCATCAACGCCCAGATACGGCAGTAAGTGGTTCTCAATGCATGTGATCATCATTAATTTTTTCTTGCTTCAGAATCAAGGAAAGGCTCCGAAAGCAGTTTGCCGATGTTGCGAATGATTTTGAGCGTCGTTTACATCTCATATCATCAGAATTAGCTGCTGTCGATGGTCCTCTTGAAGTATGTCGCATCTTGCTCACGTAACATCGGTGAACCAACTCTCTCTTAGGCCCAACAACAAGAAGTGCAACATATTCAAACTCGAATACCTGCTCTTTCAGAGACGCTAGCTGATGTCGCATCAGCTGAAGCTGAGTGCGCCGCTGCTAACGTCGAAGAGAACGATTATACAGTGTTCACCTGTCAGGATCTAGAATTTGAACTAGAGCTTGTCGTGCAAAGTATTGCTAAAAAGATAGCTTTCATCGATAACCAGGTATGACTCATCGGCGTGAGTACTATAGATCCACTCACCAAAGCCGCTTTACAAGATCGTTTCACGAAATATGACCAACCTCACGCCCGCTCAGCTAGAACAGTTTGAAAGCACGTTCAGGTACTTCGACAGGGACGAGTCGAATACTCTCAATCAGTCAGAAATGACGGCGGCCTTGGCGAGTCTAGGCATTGTGTATTCTGTACGTGCAGTGCTTGTCGATCCTTATCATAACTCAGGTCTGGTATACAGGACGAGGATATGAATTACATATATGACCAAGTGGTACAAGATTACGGGGCTGTGAGCTTCGAGGCCTTCATTAATCTTTTGGTGAATGATGCTGCCTTTTTTCTCTCAGCGTCGACCGACCTTAATTAATTTCTTTCCTAGGTGGACATAACAGAGGATCAGACGTCTCCCGAGCAACTACGTGAAGCTTTCCGCGGGATTGCTTCCGACAAGGTCTGCTTAGTCTCCCTCTGACAAAATTCCGCGCTCATCGTACTTGCAGCTCTTCGTAACAGAATTAGACTTGCGCATTGCCCACCTTCCGGCATCGTCTGTAGACTACTTGAAGGAAGTCATGCCAAGTGTACGGAACGAGGCGGGAGAACCAGAATACGATTACGAGCGGTGGCTGGATGACGTTTTTGCATAGACTGTATAAGTATTAGTAGATGTAGGAGTAAGGGTAGGGACGTAAGTTCGTTCAGACCGGGACCAGTGTTTTAGATTGCTTTTATTAGGCGACTAGGCCGAATTCAGAGCAGGTATCTCTGTCGATGAGTAGTGTATTTACTTTCTATTTCTACTTACCGTATGTCTATTTACAGCAAGCTCCTTGTTAGCGTTATGCAGAACTTTATAAAGATATTAGACAACTTTCTTTCCTTGTCGTGTCCTTAGAGTATAGCATTCATTATTCGCTTTTTTTCTTTACTGGTATAACAAATCCTTTTACAACAAAAATCTAATACTTGCCATGGAGTCGGCAGGGAAAACGAATGATAGTAAGGATACAAAGTCTACAGCGCATAGGCAGTAGGGTGGATAGGTAGGCATGTCAATATCATAGTTGTCGTGATCATATACCGTTCTGCTGCTTGCGCAGCAGCGAACCGGGTTCAAACACATCCGTCGTACCAACATTCACAAGCGGCTGCTGGACAGGACGACCAGTTCCTTTCCGCGTCCCAGCCCGGGACAGCCCAGTAGTGGTCTTTGGGTTAAACAGAACGTTACGTTCCTGATGCAGGACATAGGACTACAAAAAGGAGGGTTAGACCTATCAATCAGACGGATAACCATAGGCACTCACACGAGCAAGAAAGATCCTCTCCATCCATCGATCCCCATCATTCTTGTTACAAGAAAAGACATGTAGATAGTCTGCAGTATTCTCAAAGAGTGATAAATTGTCGGTAGATTTCAGAGCGAAGACGAAGGCTTTAGGTGCCTTATGTAGTCGGGTGACGAAGTATGCGTCAAAATTGGATAGGGAACAGAGGAACATCTCGTCTTTGCCCTAATAATAACTGTTCAGATGGTTCACTCGTCTTCAAAGATATCCACTCACGTTGTCGCGCTTAGACAGAAACAAACTATGCTCACGAAGGGATAGCCAACGTTTGGTCCATTTGCCGCGTTTAATTTCCCATTCCACATAGCCAGAATGGAGAGGGGAGACTGACGGAATGGCCTGACAACCATTATTAGAGGCGTTCAAACACTGCAGTAACGACATGACACACCGTACGACGAAGCAACGAAGCCAGAGTTGTCAATTTGAGCACGAAGATGTTTACCATCTTATCCTTGTTCCACGAGGCTTCAACATCGGCGAGAAGCTCAAAGCTTCGGATAGGGCGCTCTAAATGTATCAGTTAGCAGAAGCATATTGTCTGTCACTACTAAATCAACGTACCCATTCCAAAGTCCTGAGCAACCTCCCAAAGCATCCAACCTCCTGTACCAACCCAGCCCTTCAATGAACCCTGCGCTTCCACCATATCAACCACATCTCCAGCATTCGTCGATGCGCCAACCTCGACCATATTGTAACTCTGCCTATCACCAATGAAGATACGCTGCTGCGATACAACACCTTTGACGATAGGGACTGGGACCGAGCCCATCGCTCTCTGTTGCTCCGACGACGTCCTCCCTCCTCCCTTGGTTAACTTGCGTTCCTCAGAATGCCTAGGAAGGGGCGGAATCACATCCTCGTTGCGGTTCTGACTAGGACTCCGCACCCGACTCCGCGCACGAGCAAGCTTCACTTCAGCATCCGGCGGCATCTCGCTATAGGCGCGCGGCGCGTCTTCGTGCGCCCTCGGCCGACTACGTGTTGTAGAGCGGCAGAGCTTTTGCTCCATATCAGCAGGCATCTCGCTGACCACGCGTCGGGAATGAGCTGCTAGGTGCGTATCGTCACGTGGCCGACTACGCGCTCGCGTCGTGGACCTTGAAAGAGGCGCAGGCATAGGCATAGGAATTGATGCATGATCGTCGAACCGCCGCCGCTCCGGTTGGTGGAACGAGCGCATGGGGCGGAGCGTCTTGGCCGCCTTGGGAGGCGACGGACTCCTTATCGCATTGATAGACTCGCCTCGTAGATCCGCAGCCTGCACATGCTGCAAGCGCTGCGTGAGATCCTCAACGGCAAAAGGCATCCGACGAGGAGGCCCTGATACGGTCTGTGTACGAGGCCGCCGGATCGATCTAGAAGCATGCAATGCGGCTTCCTGCGTGCTGGACATCAACTGAGGGGCTGGAGCTGCTGCGCCTGCTGGACGGAGCGTCTCTTGGCGAGCTCTGCGTGCGGCACGCTCCCTCCGTCGCTGGTCCCGTTCCTCCTTTGTCTTCAATCTCAGCGTCTTTTGGGCTTTGAGAGCAGTAGGAATTCGTTGAGCGAGTGGAACGTCGTCGTCTGAATCCCTGGGCTGTGCAGATTTTGATGCTTGTCCATACTCGCCTTCGGAATCATCTTCGCTCTCGGAGGAAGCATCTGAGGATGATGGTGTCGAGAACGATGACCGCATCCCCCTCCTATCGCCGCCTCGGCCGTCGTCCCCCGAGCCACCCCAGCCCCCATTATAGTTTCCACAACCGCGGCCCTTTTCATCATGGCCTCCACCATTTCCGTTACCGTTTGGCGCCCAGCCAGAAAAGTCGGGACGGCGCGTTGGTTCACGCCCTCTGCGATCCCAACCATCACCGTCAACCATTTCGTGAGCCCAGTCGAAGTCGCGTTGCATGATAGTAGAGCGGTGGTCGTGGGGTGTGATCGTATCGACGGATGTGCCCGGCTCAAACATCATCACGTCAGGGTCGCTTATATACATTGATGTGGGTGGAGTGGGGGTACATTCCCAGGAATAAGCATCCGTGATGAAATCGTCGGGAGGAGAATGAAGGACATCGCCTTCGCTCTCAGTGGAAGAAGAGCTTGGGAAACATATGTCACTATGGCTTCCGTCCGGCGAGAGATCGCGGAAACGGGAATCAGGGTAGACTTCGCCTAGGGAAGAATTCGAGGATGTAGACGAAACAGAACGCGAGTGGGAGCTCTGCGAGATACTCGCAGATAGAGTGCGCGAGAGGGCAGGTTGAGTAAGGAGGTCGTCATTTGGTGGTTCTAGGTAAGCCAAGCCTGTATAGTCAAAGCCTACATCAATATCCTCGTCGTCGGGAGACGCGGCGAAGATTTCGCAGTCGTCTTCATCTGAGAAATCGACAAAGTCCGCATTGGCATCGTCGGAAAGTTGAGTGGGAGAGCTAGTAAGGGGAGAATCTGTGATTTGATTTTCAGGGAAATAGCTTTCGGCCATAGCCAAAGTGTCGTGTTCTGGAGTTGGTAGTTTGGAAACGGACTCTTGAGAAGGGGTAGTCGATCCGGACGACTGCGAGTCAGGATGGTCATCCCACGGCTCAAACGGCAATGTTGCGCCCACTCTTCCTCTGCGGACCTGTGGAGAACACGGAGTTAGTTAGGTTAAAGACGGACTATCTGAGACGGCGACACCTTTTTAGACATCACAAAGTTGATTTTGGCAAGCGTGTGCAGGGACGGAAGGGAGGGACGGGGGGCAAAGGCCGGTTTCTGGTGGGCTGGCCGTGCATGAATGATGCCAGACGATGAAGCTCTAGTGATAGAGGGCTGGACTGTGAAAGAAGGCTCTCTGCACTTGGGCGAGAGTGGAGAACGAGGATTAGCCTCTGGAGACTTGGGTGGTGTGACGCGAAGATGTGCCTGCCGGAGTGGAGACGAGAGATTGGCAAACGGGTCGTCATCGAGCAGATCTGAGGGCGGAGAATTCGAATTACGACGAGGCAAAGTCGCGTAGTGAGAAATATCGAGAGAACTAGCTGGATAGAGATAAGAATCAGGCCCAGCGCTGGTAGAGGTAGCAGAGAGAGACGAGGGAGGAGCTGGCTGGAAGGAAGGGACGAAGATAGACTGTAATGAACGACGTTTCTTGGCCATGATATCAGGCTGAACACACGTGGTAGATATGCGTGGATACGAATGCAAGGAAAGGCGCGTCTGTGTGGCGGTCAGTACATGTCGCGAGAGAGTTACGGTGAAATCAGGAATCGCAAGTAGCAACACATATACGATTTCATCGTGCTGCCGTATGCTACCTCCTTCGGGCCAATTTCGCACAAGGCACGCCTACGTAAAACCTTCAAAGGGCAACAACTACTCACCGGCTCGAACGAAAAGTACACGTGCTGCCTCTCTTTCCCCAGTAAAGGCTCCGCGACGGCGATGATACCAAGTACCGGCTTTTGTGGCGTAGGCGCAAAGTCGGGCTCACCGAGTGGTGGATAAGAAAAGAGAAACGCGGTATCCATATCCAGTGGGGGCGGAAACAATGAATGCTAGAAAAAAAAAAGCGGAATACCGGTTTGGTTTGGGAACAGATGTGATGTGAAATAGTTATCTTGGGAATATATTCCTCCCTCGTGATTGCTTTTTCTTGAGCCAGAGGGGTCTGATCGCAAACCTCAGCTGGGAACTTTTTGGTGGTCGTCGTAGGAGGAGAAGGAAAGAGATTTTAGCTCAGTCATTGGCATGGTTCCTTTAGGAGGTTGCCACAGAAATTGCTACCTAATTGGTTGCTACACTGTGCTACGCTACTGTCAAGCAACGCGCAGCTGTAACCTCGTCATTTGTCATACTTCCGCTTCGTTGCATCCGCACCAGCTCGGTTCGTTCCATTTTCTGACATCACCCAGGGTAAGGTACGATCCCTCGAGAGCGGTGCTCATCTTTGATGCAATATCTCCTCAGTGATGATGCAATGCCATAATCCGTGTCAATTTGTAAGATTACTAACATTCCTTTCGGTGAGGAGGTACTAACTGGCTGCTGTGGTCTGGGTTGCGCCCGGCCGAGGACTGCAAGCGAATCCATAGCCCAGCTTAATTAAATAAATTCATTTCATATCTTCAAGATCGAGGGTGCTGGAGTCCGCTGTACTTTGTTTCAGGGACAAAGAGCTTCTTCCCCAGTGTATCTGCTTTATTCCCACCCTGCAGGTTTCACTTTGCTTGGTCGTGTCTACCCAGAGTCTCTAGAGTCTTCTTTTTTTTCCCATTCAGAACTCTAAAAAAAACCCTCGTCTGTATCATAATAATTTCGGAAAACCGCCGGCCCCGAAAACTATTTCTGGGATAAATTATATGACTCGATTGTTTTTCCATGTGCTCATACCGTTGACGCGTATTGCTACGCGCCTATACCTATATTTGTGCCGGCTCAACGTGATCCAGAGCAATTCAGTACAGATCACAACAGATGTAACAGTCTTTGATTAGCATTTTGACAATGTCTTCGTAGACACGTCCCATACGATCCGCCTGCCAAGCCATTCACCATTTTGAGATGCTAATGACTCCTTCGATTGTTGCGCGCCAGTACAATACAAGGAAACGCGCGCACTAGTGTACCATGTTCATGTTCCTGTTCAATGATCGAGGTAACCAAGCAATGAAACTGATCATCCTTCAATATTCAATCATCACATCGAATTTCAGCCCTGACGCAACTCCCCGTCCGGGGTACTAGTACTGATTTAAGTTGTGATTCGCACTTCAAAGTGTATACTGTGTCCGAGCTCGGCCGCTGAAGCGACACTGAAAAGAGGATCGGGATGACGTAATCAAATGCCTCTTGAACTGAACGGCTTCTATTGGGACGAGGAAAGGAGACGGTACTTTCCAAACTCATCCAAACCGCGAATAGACACGCGCCCTAAAGAGCCTATTAACACTTCTACTGCTTCAGCTGCTTTACAAACTTTGACGTCGCGAAAGAGAAGAAAGGTTCCTCAATGGGACCTTACTGATGCCTTACGCAGGTCTGCCACACATGCAGAGAACAGTCGCGTACAACAGTCAGTGTTCGGATAAATTCTGTCTGGCAGCGCCTCTTACAACTGCTAGTGAATTGCTATCCTCAAATATCGCCTCATCTTCTCGTATAATGTCCTCACGGCCGCCCGTGGTCGGTAAAATCACCGCGTTTTGTGTAAGACGCCGAGCCGCTGCTTTGGCTTAGCCGTTCTGACCGTCTAAACTATTTTGCTAGTCTACAGACCTTGATGGCCAGCCTCGTCGGTTTTTAGGAGACGATAGAGGGTTTCTTTACAGCTGTGATCTCTACGACCTGGAATGGGCTCCCCAGTTCAACTTGCACCCTTCTTCCCAGGTATTACGAACGGAATCTGAGTCATTCAGGCCTCTTGTTGACTACTCATAGATATCCTCGATATGCTCCTCTGGGGATTTTTGCATGTGAGCGCACTTGCATCGTGATCATGAACACCTAGCTCATGCCGGCCAAGTGCTACCTGCTTCGGTGCATCCTCAAAAATAGCTGTACAAAACCTGCGGATGCCCATGTACGTTACATGTATTGTGGACAACTCTAAAACTCTAAACGGAACCGATTATGCTAAACCCAGGCGTACTACCCTGCTCACATTGAATCGTGTCCACGACATATGGACGAGCCACCTCCGGGATCGCACTCTTGTCCTCGGTGCTAACAAAAAAGCGGTTCTGCTGCGTGACGTCGAGGCGTCGTCACCCGTGGAGCACCTGCATACGAATAGCGATGTTTTCGCAATCGAACAAAAGGACGTAAGTGTTTTCTATCTTTTCCTTTTTTTGCGCCATGATCTCATACATCCAAGAATCTGATATACACCGGGAGCCGGGGCGGCTCAATTCTGGTATTCGACAAACGAACCACTGACAGAAAGTCTTACGGCCAGAAAATCTTCGAAGGTCGGGTTCGAAGCTCTGTGGTGCATCTTAGTTGTTTCCACGACACGAAGATGTTGGTGAGTCACATGGATGGAACGGTACGTCCCGTATATCGGTCGGTGACTTTTTCTCTTTTCTATGACAACAATTACCTACAGCTCTGCGCCCTTGATCTTCGCTACTCCACCGCGGCAAGAGAACCGATCGTGGAGTTCCGTGGACATGTGAACAGGCTCAGTAGGACATTGGTGAGTACGTTAAGACTGGGTTGGAAATTGGCTGACGACCGTCTGATGGTGGTGTAGGGTGTTGCTGTTGATCCTTGTGAAGATTTTTTGTATGCTGCTGGGGAAGACGGGCGGGTCCGGGGGTGGTCTTTGCGTACTGGGGGTGATGCGTTTTGGAATGTGCCTGGTCCTGGGAGTTTAGAGCCGATTGTCGCGTTGCAGGTGACGAAGGAGAAACGGGATGGAATTTGTTTGTGGGCTGCTGGGGGGAGGGTTCTGGGGAGGTATTATTTGGGGCAGACGCGGTGACTGGAGAACAAGGCGCTGATACAACTAACTTAGGGCAGGAGTATGCGAGACATAGATACCGTGTCTCTAAACAGACCTATCGTGGAAGGGAGGAAAATCTCGACGAAACGTTCCTGGTGACTGGTCCTGAACTTCAGTGAAAACCCTGTTTGTAACAAGGTCGACTGGTGCAGTTTTACCCAAAGGAAAGGTTTTGTGTAATACTTTAAAAATTGCTGAAAGTCGCCCAGCGATCTTTGTTGAACAACAAATAACACCGGCTGAAAACAGGAGAGGAACAAGATTAAAGTGTTTCTATTCTCAGAGCTGTCAGGACCTTAAATCTCTCTAGCGAACAACTTAAGACCAGTGCTAAAAATAGAGCTACCACCTCAGGCCTCAGTTCTCACCTTACATATAAGGAAATGACGGAAATTGCGCAGCACCACCCTCTTCACCTCCGTTCACCACATGCACTTGGGCGATGTCAATTCGACGTCTATCCATCAGCTCGTCGGGCTCATCCTCTCCCGTCCTTTCCTCCCTTGACTCCTCCTCTGCCCTCATCCTCGTCCATGACGACGACGACGACGATAACACGCGTTACGACGACGACGACACAGATGCCCTCTTCGAAATCGGCAGGCCCTTCGTCCAGCCGCTGGAACCCTCGGTGGTGCTACTGTATTTGCTCTCGCCATTTCTGAAGCTTGGAGCGACGCTCCTGCCGTATACAGGGCTTCCTCTGAAATTGGGTCTTCCGGCACTGTTTTTGTTCGCAGTTTTGGCTGCGTTCATAAGGAGGATATGGTATATGCTCGCTCGATATACTCGGAAAGGCGATGTTGAGGATATTGTTTTGGATTCGTTTGCGAGGAGACGGGGAAGGGGGAAGGAGCGGCTCCGCAGTGTACTGCGAAGTGTTGTACGGGGAGGCACCGGTGCGCTCCGGGTTTTCCTTGCTGCTTTGTATATTCGTGGTGTGTTTCTACCAGTTGATTACGGGTTTTTGTACTCAAAACATGCGTCGCAGAATCTGCTGAGGTTCTCCTTCCTTTACTTCCTTCCGACCTACCATTTTCTCCCGAACCTGTCTTGTGCATTGGCATTGCAGTTGTCGTTCTGCCGTTCTGCCTTGCTCAGTCTCTTGCGTCCAAGCGAATCGTTTACTGTACCGGATTGTCTATCCTTACCTACATCCTTTGGCTCACACTTGTCGCTGTCGCGTATCACAAAGGGACGTTGAAAACGAACCCTAGCTGGACCAAGATGGGCTCTCTTTGGCAAGGAATCAGTGAGTAGTGTAACTTCATAAACATAGACCGGTTGTTGATGAAGGAGGATAGCCACCATTGCTTTCGCGTTTACGTCGTCGACTACGCTCTCTCTCTATGCCTCTTTGAAAGCTGGCATACCTTCCGTCACAACAGCTAAAAGACCGATATCACATTCATTTATGCCTCTTTCACTTATCTCTGTAGCCGTAGCCGTTCTTCTAACATTCCCGCTGATGATCTTTGCCTCTCCTCCGAGCCAGCTGCGCATTGTGAGTTTGCTTGTTATACCTAACCCTCACGTACTTACTCTTGCGTTCAGGAGGAAGAGTTTGGGTACCCTCTGGACCCGTACATCATATTCTTCAATTCGTTGACGCTGTTACTCACCGTCCCTTCTATACTCGTCACTTTACCGTCTCTTCCTATTCCAGAACGTGTCAGACAGTCGACCAACGTTCCACTATCTAAACTTGCCATTTTTGCACTCACGTCACTTCTATCCCTCGTTCCCGCCACAATATTCGCTGTCGTAAGCGATGTACTCCTGGCGTGTTGCCTCTCTAGCACATATATATTGCCAGGTACGTCTATTTCTAAGCTAGGTCCGCCCAGGGCTCAACTTCTCCATTTAGCGTTCTTGCATATCGTTATCCATTATTTCAAGCGACCTCTGTCAATCATTATGCCCTCAACACCAAGCCCTTACCACCGCAGCGGAGAGGACTCGCCGTCGTCACACGACGAGCTTCTCCAGCGGAAAGAGCGGGCTCTCCAACGGAGTCAGACACGGAAGCGTATTATTTGGGATATGGGCGTATGGGTGCTTCTGCTGCCTGTTGGAGGTGGGGGTTTTCTCTGGGCCTTTGGACATCTTGCTGGAAAGTGGTAGTACAGAATTTCTTGGGTATTTTTTATATGGACTGTCACAGTGGCATCTTCTTGATTTCTCCGAACGACTTGCTTCCGCAGGTTTGTTTCTGCTGCCGGCAATTTGTAGTATCAGCAGGTCTTCCTCTTGCTTTGTTTTATAATGCACTCTTACCAATCGGGTCCGAATCCGCCGGTACCCGCGCTTCTTTCGGCGCTATGACGTCTCCACCGCCCTCTAAATGCCAGTGCGGCCCTCTAGAGCGGGGTCTGTTTCCAACGTTCTGGTTGCTTTACCAATCTTCGCCGGGGTGTTCATTCTTATTGGCAAAAGCTGCCTTTTTATATCGACTGTTCCTCCCAGGCCTGTGCGTACTGACAAAGCGTGCGTGCACTCTTTACTCATCTGCTGGTCTCCTAAGTCAAATTAGCGCTTTAGACAGTGATGTCATTGGTTGGTAGTGATCGACGTGCATCGGTTTGAAGACGACGACCCCGTGCTCTCCTCTTTGTATATAAACTTAACACTGTTCTACCCTTTTCTTCCACCCTTATTATGCCTTCCAGCAATATCGTCAATGTCCACAGCCAGGCCGCCAATGTACAGGCCATTCGCCAGGCCATTGTCGATGGCCTTGACCGACCTACAGGCCAAAAGCAGTTGCCTACACTGCTCCTGTACGACGAACGTGGGCTGAGACTCTACGACGATATTACTACCGAGGTTCCCGAGTACTACCTCTTTGGCGCCGAGGAGGAAATCCTCAAGACAAAGGCGGACGAAATCGTCCGGATCATGCACGGCGGCGGCGGTGGCGTCCAGCCTGACGAAGTCGTCCTTGAGCTTGGGTCTGGGTGAGTACTATCAGGCGGTCGCGTTTCAATATTGTACTCGGTCATCTGATGATGGCTCGACACGCTTTGCTTCTTCCGAGCAATTGAATGGTGGCTCATGCTCCTTGTATTTTAGTTCATTGCGTAAAACGTCTCATATACTACGGGGTCTCGCTGAATTGGTCCAAGACGGGAGTACACCGGCTAGTCGTCCACCAATCACGTACTATGCTCTGGATCTTGAGGAGCGCGAATTGGAGCGTACGCTTGGAGATATTGCCAAGTCGGATGTAGGGAAGCTTCTTCAAGGGAAAGTGAAGACCAACGGCATGTGGGGCACATATGATGACGGACTTAAATTCGTGGAGGCTGGTGGCTTGAGGTCCATCCCTTCCCAGGCTTCTATCATGGAGAGCCGTTTCTCTCGAGGTTTGAAACTTGACGCCAGAGACGTTTCACCCAACTCGGTTATTTCGTCTGATTCATCCGCAACAGAATCTATGGAATCAGAATCTCCGCCGTCCACGCCAGGCGATATTCAGCCCCCATTGCATTTGCTCTTCCTTGGTTCGTCCTTGGGAAACTTTTCGCGTCATGCGGGCGCCGGCTTCCTGCGATCTCTTCCGTTGCGTTCGGGCTCAGGAGATACGCTTCTCCTGGGTCTGGATCATGACAACGCCAAGGAGGTCATCGAAGAGGCGTACAACGACCGGGCAGGCTATACGAGGAAATTCATCATGAACGGTTTGCGAGGGGCAGGAAAGGCGTTAGGAAATGAAGACCTATTTGACCCGGAAAAGTGGTCGTACGTGAATGTAAGTCATTCACTTCGTCATTCGTGACCGTTCACACCCGTCAATTAGAACTACGACGAATCAGAACGTGAGTTCTTTAATTCTTTTGCGTCTTCAATTGCTTCCATCTCTCATGCCTACCTATCTATTCATAGGTCGACATGAGGCGTTCTTTCAATGTCGAGCGGAACATATTGTACGCGATCCCGCGACCGCAGCCGAGTTCCACTTTTTGGAAGATGAATTAGTCAAGATCGAAGAATCATTCAAGGTCCCGTGCTGATTTGCTGCGACGTTGCATAACTCTCATTGTTCCTTTCTAGTTTTCCGACCAGGACGCCTATATCTTGTTCACCGAAAGTAATCTTCGCCCCATTCAACGATGGTCTGACAGTAGCTCGCGGTATTCACTCTGGCTTTTGGAACGACCTCCATTTATATTCCCCTTGCTGAGCTCTCCTGGTTCTGAGGAAAACGCAGTCGGCCGGAATTCATTTTCGACTTCTCCTTTTGGTGTACCCTCTCCCCAGGATTGGCAGTATCTATGGCATTCATGGGATCTCATTACGCGTAAAATGATCCCCCCATCGATGCTCTATCAAAAGCCGATCGATTTACGACACATTTGTTTGTTCTACCTGGGGCATATACCCACTTTTCTTGATATCCACCTATCCAAACTCCTAGAGGAGCCCCACACCGAGCCTGAAGGCTTCAAGGTACGTCGAAATCTTTATGAGCAACCGATCTTCGACAATAATGTAATGTTACAGTACATATTTGAGGTAACATTGTCTCTACCTCGAACCGTTCTCCACAACTAACTCCTCGTAGCGCGGAATTGATCCCATCGTTGATGATCCATCCATATGCCATGTATGTCCATCTTTCATTCACAAAGCTCCAACGCTGATTGTTGCTTGTTCAGCCTCATTCGGAAGTTCCAACCGAGGAAAAGGATTGGCCCAACCTGAACTCTATACTTCTCTTCCAGGATCGCGTCAGAGAAAGACTGTTGAGTCTGTACCGAGATGTGGAAACTGGAAAGAAGGTTTTGACCAGAAAAATGGGACGGGTCCTATTTATGACCTATGAACATGAGGCCTTACATGCAGAGACGCTACTCTACATGCTACTCCAGCGCGCCGGAACTGGCACACTCCCTCCTCCCGGCTTCGCGATACCTGACTGGGAGTCTCTGTCACAGAAGTGGGCTGCTGATCCAAAGCCCTCCTCCCCTACTGTCACGCTTGGTCCTGCTACAGTTACCCTAGGTCACGACGATGTGGAAGCAGAAGATGCCCAAGCGAGCGATGTGGCGACCCATGAATACGGCTGGGATAACGAACACCCGACGCGGCAAGTACATGTGAAAGAGTTCCGGATCGAGTGGCGGCCCGTTACCAATGGAGAATTTTATGAGTTTTACAAGTCAGGAGATGGAAAGGACATCCAGGTGCCCGCCAGTTGGGTGCAAGTCGCCGGAGCTATCCAGGTGTGTTCTTGTTGGACAAGCTATTCTGCATCGTTTCTGAGCTTTTCGATACTAGGTTCGTACGTTGTATGGTCCTGTTCCGATGAACGTTGCATACAACTGGCCCGTGATTGCGTCGTACAATGATCTGTCTAGATATGCTCTTGTGAAGGGCGGCCGTTTACCCACCGAGCCTGAACTTCGTCTATTTTATGATAAATTCGAAGCAGGCTACGAAGGTGGCGCAAATGTTGGTTTCCGGAACTGGCATCCCACTCCGTAGGGTACTTCCTCTTGTCGTGAAACTGCTTATTAACAGAAATGTTCGACAGAGCCACTACTGGCGGAGAAAGAGATGGTAGTAGAGGCAGCAATGGTGGTGTTTGGGAGTGGACCTCGACGCTATTTGATAAATACGACGGGTTTGTTCCGTCTACGCTCTACCCGGGGTGTGTCAGCTCATCCTCGCGGATAATGTCTCTGATCCATTCCGATAGGTACTCGATGGATTTCTTTGACGGAGCCCATCAGGTTGTGGTACGTGCATATGATTTCTTTTGGGGGAAAATGAAATTAAAAAGTTTCAGTTGGGCGGTTCGTATGCTACCATCCCAAGAATAGCGTCGCGTCGCTCCGTTCGGAACTGGTATCAGCGCAACTATCCCTACCCTTGGGTCGGTGGGCGTGTCGTGTATGATATGTAAAAGCTGTAAGAACTCAAGTTGAAGTCAAAAAAAGTCAATGTAGTATAGCTGTATCACCGAACCGTATCATCTCTTCGATTGCATAGAAAGCGAATATCTCATATTTGCGCTGTGATAGTCAAATTAAACAAACAAAAAAGTAGGAAGTGGTACCTTCTACGCTGCGAAGTTGAGAACAGCGTTCAAACCGTGACCAGGAGACAGTGACAACATTTTTCTATCGAAACTAGCTTATTTTTCAGTAAGCTCACCTAGATAGATAGCATAATAACGAGCGAGATGAATCGGATACAGCAGAAGCCAAATAACAAGTTGGAAAGTTACTTCGGCCGCAAGAACCGAACTCCGGAGCTTCAGGGCCGGGACACTGCGTGCACGGAAATTAAACTTTGCTCAAGTCTTACTCTATCTCATACTTTTCCCTCCTTCATACATATGCGACCACTTATAAAAGTCGTGGCTGATCTTGCAGTCCCACACAACAAAATCAGTGTCATATGCCTTGACCTGGCCTTGTTTTAGAAACTCCTTGGTGAGGAGCAGCTCATCAAGAATCTACACAAAACTGATCCCATAATAAAGCTGTCCATGCGGTCGGACCTCAAGTACAAGACCATAAGAGTGGTAGTCACGTAAGTTTAGGACTAAGCAAAAGTTCTAGGTCGGAGTTAACGCCGGTTAACCGGAGGTCGCTTTGAAGACATTTGAAGTTCATGAAACAATGACAGGAAGGGCGACAGAGGGCTTCAGGGCCGGATCGTGACCAGAATTTGCAGCACTGCAACGTGCTCCCGTAATCATGAACGCCGGTGTCACAACGTTGGGGGATGGCGAGGGCCCTGAAACCCTACTTGACAGCGAGACCTTTTGGCGCGACCATACCATATGGCTGAAAGAATGCGGTTACGAATTACGGCCACGCTTTCGACTGGGATGGGTGGCATCGTGGATTGGGACGAAGAAAGAATGGTTCGAATGCGAAGATGGTAAATGGTCAATGGTATGAACGGAAATATTCTCGTGCTTTCCTGTCTTTAAAGTGGATTTCATAGCGTAGCTTCGCTTTCATGGATGCAAAAGATACGTCTACTGGGCAAATCGTTGGCATGAAAATTATAAGGCATGAAGATAATCCAAAAGAGCTGGCTATCGGGACATTTTTCACCAGTGAAGAAAAGTCCTCAGATCATCGTAATCATTGTGTTCCCATTCTTCGAACGCTACCGATTCCAGATGAGGAAGGGCACGTCATCATAGTGATGCCATACCTACGACCATGGTACGATCCCAAGTTCAAGACCATTGGCGAGGGTGTTCAATTCTTCAGGGAGATGCTTGAGGTGAGTTATTCCAGACCTGAACTTCGCGTGCAGAGTTCCTCATGTACTCTGTAGGGACTCCAGTTCATTCATGAAAACAATGTTGCTCATCGGTCAGTCTCGTTATTATGAACATCGCCCAACTTATCAAGATAAATACTCAGTGATGGAGGGTTTACAAATATCATGATGGATGCGACGCACATGTACGGGCCAGACAGTTTTCACCCCCGCGATAGGAAGCTGAAATACGACTTCTCCGGGCGTGCGCGACATCGCTCACGTACTGAACAGCCTCCGAGATACTACTTCATTGATTTTGGACTTTCGATTCTCTATAAACCTGACGAACTGCCGGCCACCGTGCGCGCACTAGAAGGAGGGGACAAATCAGTCCCTGAGTTTCTAGCTGATAATCCAGATTGGATGAAGAGAACGCTAAAGCACGATCCATTTGCTGTCGACGTTTACTATCTTGGCAATGCATTCAGAGCCTTTCTTTGCAAGGTATGCACTGCTCTCTGTTCATTTGCGCAAACCTGAAGCTTTTTTTAGGGAATCAAGGCAGATCATAAACTCAGTGAAAGAGAGCTCCTTCGGATGAGAGGGTTTGAGTTTATGGAACCTCTGATAACCGCGATGACTGAGCCAAATCCGGTAAAGCGCATTAAAATCGGCGATGCTATCGAAAAATTTGCACTTATCGAGAAGGGTCTCAGTGCGATGACTTTGAGATCCAGAGTCGTCTATAGCACAGACTCCATAATTTTTCGACCCTTCAAGGCTGCTGGTCACTGGGTGTGGACTTTGGGGCTCATTGCACGAGGAATACCAGCCATTCCTACACCTTCGCCGCAATAAATCCTTGCCTATTCGAGCTCTCTTGTCTCTCGCTGCCCCTTCTCCTGCTCTGCATCTATCTGCATATCAGAATATATTTCTTTTTTTCTTGCTCTGGCCGCCTCCAAGAGCTGGTGCCTGGTGTCCGCCTTCCCTATTGTGACTAATAAGCTGGTTTATTACGTATCCTAGTCGTACCTCATTCTCACACCATATCCCTCCCGTGCTTGAATCAACGATGAACAACAATACGAGGTGACAATGGGGCAGTGACGCGCCCTGACCGAATGATCGGCATCTTCTGGATATCTCCATTGTGGTCGCTTGTAAGTACTTCTAGTATTCTGTTGAGACCGCAGGGTTTGTATGCATTATTCTCACGATGGACTGAGGGCTAGGGATCTGTATCAATACAATACGGTCCATTGAAGCCGTGTGATTGTGGACCCACAGCTTGTGTGTGCATTGTTCCATCTAACGAGAGTGAAGCCTGGGGCACCTACCAATTTTCCCGCATATCTAGTTGTCGCTGTATGACTGGGTCTTTTCTCCAAGTGCAGTAGCTGTAGTGAAGATATACAAGAGCGCCTACGGCAAGCATTATCATTCTGGGCCTTCAGGAATCTTATCTCCATTATGACCCTAACCGGACATAACTGGGGGCATAACCGGGCCATGTGTGACCGTCAGTCTCCGTCAGTTCGTTGCCAAAATACCATTGCAATGGTCCACGGCGTCGACATACTAATCCCAGGCGAAGTCTTTTGGTGCGACCATTCTGCACGGTTGAAAGAGTGTGGTTATGAGCTCCGGCGGCGCTTCCAGCCTGACTGGGCCCCTTCATGGATAGGCGCCAAGAAGGACTCGTATTTTTGTGAAGACAGTTGATGTTTCGTGGTACGAGAAGCAGGGCTTTTTGCAGCTAAGATACTCAGATACCTCAGTGCAGCGGTATTTACATGGACGCAAAGGATACTTCCACCGGACAAATTGTTGCGATGAAAATTATCGTACACGAAGACTCACCAGACGAATTGGCCATAGGTACCCTTCTCAGCAGCGGAGAAAGGTCTTCAAATAACCGAAATCATTGCGTTTCCATCCTTCGTACACTTCCCATCCCCAACCGGGAAGGGGAGGTTATCATTGTAATGCCGTATCTACGAGCACGGTACGACCTCAAGTTCAAAGCCATCGGTGAGGGAGTCAAGTTCTTCAAAGAAATGCTCGAGGTGCGTCATGGAACGCGGAAGTTGTGATCAGTAACTCTCAACTGACTGACTTTCAGGGACTCCAATTCCTTCATGAAAATCACGTTGTGCATTGGTTGGTCTCTTCTATACATATTACCACTCATCTTGTTCATTTCGTCAATTCGGTGACGGCAGATTCATGAATACTATGATGGATGCTACACAGATGTACGGGCCAGATAGCTTTCATCCTCAAGAATAAGAGATGAAATACGACTTTTCCGGTCGCGCACCAAACGACCTCCACAATACTATTTCATCGATTTTGGATGATTGTCCATTCATTATAAACCCGACGATCTTCCGGCTACTACATGTGCAGTCATTGAAGGCGACAAGAGTGTCCCTGAATTCCTCGCAGACAATCCAGATCCAAACCAGGACGTCAAAGCATGATCCATTCGCTGTCGATGTTTACTACCTCGGAAAAGCATTTAGAGCTTTTCTCCGCTGAGTAAGTTTGGGTCTTCGTTTTCTTTAACAGCTCTGACGTCTCTTAGGGAGTTGCATCAAAGGACAAACTCAATGAAAAGAAGCTCCGAGGGATGAGAGGTTTTGAGTTCATAGAACCTCTTATAGCCGCTATGACCGACCTAGATCCGGTAAAGCGCATCAAGATCGATGAAGCGGTGAAAAGACTCACGGACATCGTGATCGGTCTTGATGTGATGACTTTGAGATCCAGAGTTGTCTATAACGTCGAGTTCACCATTCTTCGTCCTTTTAAGGCTGTTAGTCACTGGGTGTGGACTCTGGGGCTCATTGCACGGAAAATACCGGCCAATTCCTCAGCCTTCGCAGCGGTAAATCCTTGTTTCTCTTGCTCTTGATTTTGTTCTTTACTTCTGTTCCTGATTCTGCTCTACACCTATTTACCTCTTGGAATGTATGTTCTTTTTTCCCACTTCGCCCTCTCGTCCGGGGATATCTCTGAGGCTTCACGGCGGTGTCTGGTGTCCGGCTCTCTTCTTTTCTAGTCACCAAGTCAACAAGCGTCTATCCTAAGCGGCAGCCGTACCTTACTCTCACACAGCCCTCTCTCGCCTGATTACACCTGATGATCAACACCAATACGAGGTGAAGAATGGTAAGACCACGTCGAGTCCTGACCGAATGATCGGTATTCTCTGGATATCTCCATTGTGGGCGCTTGTGCTTTTGTTCTGCCGGGGTCTTAGGACATGTACACATAATTTCGGTGATGGGCCGATGTCTAGGGACCTTTGTTAATACAATACCATCAAATGTGGACCTACAGCCTGTACGCGCTTTGTTTTACTTACTGAGCAGCCCATTGTGATGCTCCTAATGCATTCCCTGTGTGTCTAGTCGTCACTCTACTACGACCGGGTCCTTTCTTCGAACCCATTTTCTCTAGTGCCTACGGCAACGGTATCATCTTTCCAGGCTTCGTTCAATACTCGTAGTCGACTTCCCTATGGCAAGAATACAAGACACACCTCGGCCATACCGCAGCCTACTTCCTCCGTTTCAATTCATATGCTAATTAATTGCATATCCCTTCTCTCTCTTCGCCTTGTCTTATTCTCTTATTTAGCCACTGGTTGCGCCAAATGATTCAATGGATACTATTCCTTACAGCGCGAACTCAAGAATCCGGCACTTTGTTTTCAGAGGTGTTCAGTATGGCTTGACTCTCGCGTACGAGCCTGGTACGATACTAGAATTGGACTGTCGTTCGTGGGAGCTTCTCACTGAAACTAATATGAAAGGTCTGCGTGTATTCACAAGTTAAGCGCGGAATTTCGGGGTGTGCTAGACAAAGATGCTCCCATGGGGGCTTCTAAGCGAACCCAGTAGTCATATTGACGATGCGTTCAGAATCTTCAAATTTGGCATAGACTCACGTGAACTTAATACCAAATAATTCAGGGTCCAAATGAGCTGGGAGTAGTCCGGTCTTTATCCCTACTAGCTGACCACCAAAACGAATGAAGGCGGAATAAACGGCTTGAACTGCGTGGACTTTACAGTGGACCGCCGAGTGAGCACCGTCGGTTCAGCGACTCGTGTTTTATGTAATAAATATTTCCCAAGATGTTGCTACAAAAATGATATATTGATACATATGTTGAATACAATACTGTATCTGTAACAACGGAAGCTAATTGACTAATTGAGCGTGCCATCAGTGAAACGACAAACGACTCACTTCCACTACGAAGTCCCATTGGCCTTCAAGCTTCAAGCTGGGCCGAGTCGGTGATGTCAAGAATCTCGAATTGCACCAGCAATCGCAGAAACGGCAGAGGCAACGCTATTTACCATCTGTATAGCCTGTGTAGTCGCAGCACCTCCGAAACAACCAGCGGAATCCTCGGCGCTATGCGGCTCCGTTGACAGCCCTGTGGAAGGTTGAGTGCAAGGGTTCGCAGTAGCACCGAGTTTATCGGAAAGCGCTGACGTTTCGGTCACGACATTCGGTGGAACCACGCCGCTATTGGGCAAGTGGGCCGTCTGGCTAGTGTCATTCTCGCCAAGAGAAAGCCGGTATATAGTGGAAACATCTGAATCCTCTGAAGAGAAGTCGATCAACATGCCTTCTCGCTGACCTAGGTCATGCTGAGGTACGTCGGAAAAATTGATCAAGTCCCCATCCAGGATAAGGCCTTCAAGTTCACTGAGTGGGCCAGAAGTCTGCGTATCCCCTTTCGAAGGAGTCATGACGGGATAATGTAAGGGGAGAGAAGTCGTCGAAAGGTTCAGTGGCATAGTTGACGAGGTCGTTTCCATCAAAGTCGACGAACCCGACGGAAGAGTCTGTATCGTGCCTGAGGTCTGAGTGTGTCCAGACTCCTCCCTCGTGGTGGATCGACATTCTTCTTCAGTGGAGCTGGCCTTGAGTTCAGCCTGCTCCTCAGCCAGACGCTCCTGAGCCGACGCCAGATAAGCGGCCACCAGATACTTTCGGGATGTTGCCTGGACAAATGGAATGGATGATCAGTACACAGATCAGTGACAATTCAGGAAAATGGACTTACAAAAATTTCCTCACAATGAGTCTCAACCCGTTCCCGTACAGTGGTAAACGCCGACCTGTTTTTCCAATGCCCCCACCGACTCTTGTGGAGACATGCTATATCTTTCGCCAACCTTTGTTCCCAGTTAACTTGATTTCAAAATGAAAGAGATAAACATACAGCTCATGTTCTGTACATATAGTTACCCCCACACTAGGGGGGATGACAGAGGCCGCGTTCATGTACTGGCCTTGCGCGCGGTCCATTTCAAGAAATAAGCTCTTGACTTTCTTCTTTGGTGACACGATAATGTACCACTTGACGAGGTAGGCAACGCCCACAGCAGCATACGTGGAGGCACCAGCGTCAATCATTGTAGAAATAGAAGTGGACGGACTATGAAGTTGGAATACGGTTCCAACTCGCCATCCTTATTGCTTTAAAAAGTCGACGCTGCGCCAGGATCAGAATCCCGTTGCCAAGTTGACATTGATCCTTGTTATCATAATAGTTCGACGGATGTATTACTCATCGAGACGCCGGTTCGCAGTATACTGAATGAAGCCTTGTAAATTTCACGAAGGTTTCACGTATGGACGTGGGATAATCAAGGGACGTTCAAGGCCCAGCTCGATCGATCCGATCTGAGGGTGTCAGAGGTCTTGGTCATCGTGTTATTGTTTTGAATTTCGTATCATCATGTAATTCCTTTCTTCCCTCTTTCCTTCGCCAACACACAATGTCTGGTCATGACGGGAAACTGACGATCACTGAGATATTCTGGCGGGACCATTGCACATGGCTCGAAGAATACGGCTACAAATTGCGACCTCGCTTTCAACCAGACTGGACGCCATCTTGGACAGGGACAAACAAACTGTCCATGGTATGTGAGGACAGTCAACGGGAAGTTGTTAGTTTGTCTAACTATTTCACTTAATGATGCTCATGAGGGGTATACTTGTAGCGCTCCTACAATTTTATGGATGCTATGGATCTGTCCTCTGGAAAGGTGGTCGCGCTGAAGCTCATCAGACATCTGGATAACCCTCATGAACTGGAAATCGGCACCTTTCTGTCCAACTCTACGGATCCTCGTAACCATTGTGTTCCAATCCTTCGAATGCTACCCGTCCCAAATGAGGACAATCACACCATTATTGTTATGCCATACCTACGACCATGGCATGACCCCCCGTTCAGGACTGTAGGCGAAGGCATTCAGTTCTTCAAAGAGATGCTTGAAGTGCGTTGTATATCGTATGTACCAGGCAAAGGCATCTCATATCCAGCTTCAGGCACTTCAGTTCCTTCACCATCATAATATTGCGCATCGGTGAAGTCCCTAAAACTTCAAAGATATACAGTCTATGCTAAAACTTGCTGCAGCGACGGGGGATACACGAACATCTTCATGGATGCTACGGATATGTTCCCAGATAGCTTTCACCCCCAGCGTCGGGATCTGAAATACGACTATTCCGGCCCTGCATCGTACTACCGGCGCACAGAACGGCCACCAAAATATTACTTTATCGATTTCGGTCTGTCAAATCGTTACAACGCGGATGATCTCCCAGTTGTAGAGCCTGTTCTTGGAGGCGATCAAACGGTACCAGAGGCCATCGACATAACGTCAATGTGCGACCCATTTGCTGTCGATATATATTATCTTGGCAATGCGCTGAGAGCCTTCCTTCCCGAGGTTGGTTACACTCATCGAAAACCTGCAGCCACAACTTACGTTCAGCGCTCTAGGGTACCACTGCGGACTACAAGATTCGAAAAGGGCTCCGAGGAATGAAGTCGTTTGGTTTTATGAAGCCTCTTGTAATGGCTATGGTAGAACCTGACCCTGCAAAGCGCATCAAGATCGACGAAGCTGTTGAAAGATTTACGGCTATCGAGAATGGCCTTAGTGCGACGACGCTGCGAGGCCGAGTTGTTTATAGCAGCGAACCTTTTGTCCTGCGCCCATTCAGAGCTGTCAGTCACTGGGTGTGGACTCTGAAGCTAATTGCACGAGGAGTTCCTGCTGTTCCTCATCAGAGTGCTTCACCTCACTGAATCCACCATTCTTGATCTTGCTTGTTATTACTTCTGTTTCGCTTAAAGGAATATACGTAACTCTACTATCTACTCGACATCTTTGGCAACTTTAATTCTCTGATTGAGGCAATGGCGACAGTGTTCGGTATCTGGCATCCTTTCCTCGACCTCCTTCAACTAGGATCTTTGCTCATCATTTCCATCGATTTGACTAAAAAAGTGTCTGGAAATGTTCTCAGGTTCAATGCTGCGTCGATGACATGAAAAACATGACCGGGTCGTGCACTGCGTCAAAAAACTTGATCCTTTCTATGCCGACTGTGGTTCGAAGAACCTGACGCCATTCGGAATAATGATACCGCTCCTAGTCTATAACTTACCGAGCTCTCGTGGTCTTGGGCGCACGCCGCGCACCTTTGACTCGTTTGCAGAAGGGTAGCGGGTGATGCCTCTTTCATCTCATTTATTTGTTATATCATAATTGTCCACAATTCATGTGATTCAATGCTCTCATCAGGAAGATACTGGCATAATTGTTCAGTCTCAGAAACACAGTTCTAGGGATCAACATATCGGTCGAGGTACGTAAGTTCAAACTGTTACAACTTTAAGAAACATGTCGCTTTCCTCTCCCTCCCTCATCTTAATAATGGGTACATGGGCTGCAGGAAAATGCTTCTGGTGAAGATATCTCTGAGCGTATTGAGGGGCTAGCTTGCGTTCAGCCAACGACGCAGATTTTCCAATCCAAACATAGACCGCTGGATGATGAGAATCGTGAGAATCATCCAGCAGAAAAGTGTCGGATGAAGACAGTGACGCTGATGTGGGTGGCTCAACGCCTTCAAATACGACAGAACCGGATGCATCTGATAACCTGAATAATGCTCGGGGACCACTATCGCTAGTATCAGGTTGCCGGAGCGTCGTCCCTTCTCCAAATTCGTTCAGGAATATACCGGCACCCGAACCGCCTTCATCTACAGCAACCTTTCAGTTTTCGCTACAGGCATAGTAAAAGAACTCAGATACCGAATACCGTAAGCTCGGGCTGCCCTCCTCTCTTGTCAACTATATTCCTAACGAATTCAGCTGCTCTGAACCTTTCTTTCCCAGCGCTATCCTTGGTATTGAACTGCCACACTTTTGTCCCCTTATCCAGGACATACACGTCGCCTTTGATTAGACTAGATGAATGTGCGGGGACTTGGCGAATAACAAGATTGTTTTCTGTGGTGAAAGATATGTGATATAAGATTCGTAAGTCAAGGGAAGGGGGGTCAACGATGTGTCGGAAGCCACTTTCTATTCCCCCGTGGAGACAAACGAAATGACGAAAGTAGGAGAGAAAACGAGATGATTCGTACCCTTGGACTTCACGATACTGGACAGGTACGCCATGTAGATCTAGTATCAACGTTAATATCGAAGGACAGTCTTGACTAACTGAATGAATTTACAGTCATCCAGTTCGACGGTCTTGTATGCGGCTGTGCCAGCCTCATCTTGAGACGTTTCCTCTCCAAGCCAAAAGTGAAGATCATACGACAAGGTTTCAGAATCGGGGTTCTTTTTGTAAGTCTAGATTCAGGGATGAGCGTTCGGTACTTCCCACAGTCGCTCACACCTACGTGCAACACAATATATGAATCTCCATCATAGAATTCACCATTGACTTCTCTGAAGACAATCCGGAACTGTTCAATCCTCCACACTTCGATACCTGGTCTCGCTCCTGCACTCTTCCACGCGGGCTCTGTATCACCAGCATGCTCTCGGACGCGTTTCTCCAACTTTTAAACCATTGTGGGTTACTATGTGATAATGTTCAGTCCTTGACAAAATAACATACGTCGGAGCCTAGGAGCGCAATGTTAGAGTCCTTGATATCATATTTTGGTGGTTTGGTTAAATGGGCCATCAAGGTTGTAATTAGGTTGAACGACAGAAAGTAAATTGAAAGATAGATATCGTTTTGCGTGATCATCGATAATCCCTGTCACCCATCAAAGTTGACGTCATGTTGTAGGACAGCGAATTGAAGGACGACGCCAGATGTATTCAGCGAGAACAATACAATTACTTGTTCGACAGCGGAACGAGCCTCGCACAACCAGAACTTTGTCATGCGGGTCATGAGTGCTTCAGTTCAATGTATCGAGGTATTCTGGAGATGACAATGTAGAATGACCATGAGCCATGGCATCGTCATCTCGCGGAATAAGAATATCCTCGAATCTACCAGCCATCGAACTTCGTAGTTAAACCCAGCTTGACCATTTTACAAATATGAATATACAAAATACACTTGAACACTTATCTCAAGCGATTCTTAATGTTTCCCGAAAGTTCATCCGGCAACAGTTTGGACACCTGTCATAATACTGTGAGGAAAGAGACAATCATAAAACACTCAATCTGACCTTGCGCATGAGTTCTTCTCCACCGACATCCCAACCTCCTTCTGCAACAGGTAGCAGCGTGCGATCAACGAGCCTTGTAATAGACTGTCCAATCCCATATCGTTCACCAGTAAACTTTCTCCACCGCGAGAGATTCTGTAGAAGTTTAATTCGTCTCACAAGGAACCTTCTTCGAGCCGGTATCGAATCTGGGTTGAAGGGCATCGCGGTCTGATCCAAGGACCTATATTTCGAAACAAGAGCCTCAGTCTCAGTGATGGCGTTATCAAACAGAGTCAACATCGTTTTGAAGAGCATCTAGTCCAACATTCAGTCAAAGTGCCAAGGCTTCACGAGACAAAATACTTACGTGAACCTTAGTATTCCCTGGTCCGATGCTAGCCTCAACCTCTTCGGTTATATTGACCATTCGCCTGATGTCTCCGGCTGAATAGACGTCCAAGGCACCACCTTCCAAGAGCTTGCACATTCTAGGTAAAATAGCTGTTGTAATCATCGATGCCACCAGGTCACCGTCTGGTCCCAGTTCTGGTTCGCCGCCTTCATTATTATTTGGACGTGAATATTCGTACAAGCCCTTATACCAAGTGAAAGCATCCAAGCTTCGGGGCTCCTACCCAAAAAGATCAGCAAGGCCTACGAATATTGAATGTGAGCATACCTCTACGCAATTCCACCCTACACACTCCAACCTCGCCCAAAATTCCCACACGCTGACAACCCCAAGCCCACCATATGCGTTGACATAACTATCTGTATATTGTTCTCGCCACGCACTCCACCTGCCTTTGCCAGGATCGCGGAACTCTGGGGCCCGAACATCAGATAGAACCTCCTTTGTCTTCGTGGCCAGAAACTCTACGGCAGTGGAATACGCTTGTTCATCTGAGGGCGAAAGCTCTGAGTCCGTTGAATACCCTTCTTCGGCTTCTTCATCATTCTGGCGCTGTTGTCTCCTGGCAATGCGTGCGGCACGTCGAAGCGCCTTCTGTGCAGCTGAATTTGGATTTGGTACAGCTCTGCCAAGATCATCTGTCTCCTCCGCTTCGGCGGGCAGAGGAAGATTCCCCAAGAAGTTTGAAAGGTCATCTTCGTCGTCCTGTGTCCTGCGCTTCTTGATCATCTCACTCCTTTCTTGTAGTAGTGATACATGTTCCTCTTCCAATTTCTCCAGCAGCGGATACTGATGATTAAATGTGTCAGGAAAACGCAAATCCTGGAAAACATGATTACATACTTTTTCGTCAAGAAAGCCGGCAACGCCTTCTATCCATTCCTTGAAAGAGCTAAACCAAGCCCTCTTCTCTTCAGCTCTCCCCACCATGCCACGCATCTCTATCTCTCTATCGTCAAGTTCCCCCCTCTCTTGCGCGAGAGAATTTAAAGCTGCAGTATTTGTGGCATGAGACGTTGTCAGCTGAGCTAGTTGCTGCGTCAGACGAGTCAAAGCAGGACCAAGCGTTGGTACAGCAGTCATAGGCGGAACTACACAAGATGAGCTTGGAGAACTAGGAAAAAAACTAAAACTACTTACTTGAAGCCGCTTTATATGTTTGTCTAACTTTTGAGGACGACGGGGAAGGTTCTGATGGCATTGTTCCTCCACGACGAAGTTGCTCTTGTTCCCATTCCATCGTTTCTTCGTCTTCTTCCTCACTTGAATAGCAGTCAGCACAGAGTAAGAATTGAATTGGATGGTACGGACGCATTAGCGATCATTTCTTTCATAGCATCCCGACGTTTGCTAGCCTCCACTTTCCGCGATTTCTTGCCAAGAGCAATCCTTTCTTGTGCACTTGTGTATTCCGCGAATTCTGATACTTGTTAGCACCAATCAAAGTAATCAAGCGTATGTACTTACCGTCATCTCCTTCCCCAAGATCATCATCCTCCCTCATCAGTCGACTTTCAGGGTGTGGTCCCTGGTCTTCAGTCCGCTGCGTCAAGGATAGAGAAATAAAATCTTCTTTCCCAGATGTATCGGTAGCTCTGAACCGCTCCCGACGTTCCTTGGCTACCTTTATAGATGACTCGGATGGTATACTGGTTTCCACTAATGATAAGTACAGGTTAAAAATGTCCAGTTGGGAATAAGCAAGACGTACTAAGTGCGTCGACATCGCCTATGCTTTGTATGGAGAGGTCGCCGGCATCCATGGATATATCCATCGACATGTCTGCATCGTATGGGTCCGGGGCTGGTGCTCGGCGATTGCTGGCTTTGAGCTCATTGAGATAGGCTTGGTCGTACTTTGGTCCGCGGTTCGGTGAGATGGTGGCTTGGTCAAGGTTGGGGAGTATGTCTCTGCAGGAAGTACATAAACGAAAGCAAGAACAGCCGGTAAGAGGACGTACGCTGAATGTTTTGCAAGTGTCAGTTTCTTGCTGAGCTTGGACTTTTTCACCTGAAAAACTTCTTCACCACCCTCCTTCCTTGCTACAATTAGAATTTTATTCTGGGAGGAATTGACAACGCGAACCTCATGGTCTGAGCCGCCAAAACTGAGTCGGGATTTCGGTTTGGACTTCTTCTTGATTTTTGTTACCAATGTACTGGGAGAATCATCTCCTGTTACTGTAGCACCATCAGTGGTATCGTCATCTTCGGGGGAGGTTTGTCTCAACCGCTGCGAAGGTTTTGATTTTACGCGTTTGCTGAACATGTAGAGACCTGGGTGAGCGTCAAGAGACAAAAAGCACAGGTCCCACGTGACATGACATCAAAACTGTAGATTTCCCACGATCTGTTACTTGCCAAGAACGATGTCCCGTCCCAGGCCTCGACCCATCATCAAGCAGAAGAATGCCGAAGCTAGCTCCTCTTCTTCTTCAATACCGAAGCTGTCAGAACTTGTCGTCAAAGACAGTGATGAAATGTTCATGCGTAACCGCTCGAGAGACAAGGATGCATGGCGAAAGCTGGAGCAGAAAAATAAAGGCGTGTCAGCTTCAATTGCGAAGAGCGTGAAGGGCTCATCTTCTCCATTTCGTAGAGAAGAAAGCAAGGAGCAGATCTCCCGGTAGCGACCAAGATGAAGACGCGTCACCACAACGCCGAAGGCAAAAGAAAAAGGCGAATAATGATGTACCTAGTTGGCAAAGGAATAAGAATCTACTGAGGTCAGTGTCTTCTTCAAGTTCCCCTTACGCGTAAATTTTTACGACAGATTGAATAGACTTCTCTCGGAGGATGCCTCTGACGGCGATGCAGACCTTGATGACGATTCAGCGATGCATGGTGCCGAGAACACTCCCGGTAAACTCAAACGGAAGCGCGAAAGTCGTCAACGAAGCTGGTCACGATCCATCACTCCTCCTCCCGCGATACCTATTCAGCAATTACAGAATGCGCGGAACGTCATTCGGTAAGCCTTTCCTTGATTTTCTTCGTCGTCTATTTTTTTTTATAATGGTCCAGGCAGGCTCTTGCTCCCATACCACGACCTGCCTCGCCTACTTTATCTGACGACGATCTGGATACTTCTGCGGACAATGATATCACACTTGACCCCGAGCTTGCCAGCATAGCTCGGCGGTCTAAGGCTAGCTTCTCTGCATCTCAGATAATCCCAGAAGATTCTGGCGCTAGCGATATAATCGAGATTTCTGTCAGATGGCAACCCCATCCTGAGAACCCAGGTGCCCTATCCAACGTTGTTGAAGTCTTCAAAATGAATAGGGTACAGTTCCTGTCGCGTTATTGCCTCGCTTTGCACTCACCCTCCTGTTCAGAGCGAGACCTTCCGCGAACTTTTCGAGGCTGTGGCGGAGATCCAGAACCTTTTGACGGATAATCTTATCATGACCTATCAGAACAGGAGATTCTTCCCATCTGTGACTCCTCATACTTTGGGTATATGGAGCTCTGCGGAATTCGGTAGGACTTCGTTTCGCAACCCTTACCCGATGCTGACTTCAATAATAGTTGCTTGCAGCAAGAAAACATATGAATATATGCGTTCGTCGAAATACAGAGCCCCCAAGCTGCCACCGGTAGACCCCGACGTGATTGTAATCACGTCGGACACAGACGGTGGCGTGAATATCACGTCGGATGATGACGACGAACCGGATACCTTCTTCACAGCACCTCCTGCAGTACCCGACACGGATAAAGAGGAAGACGACGGAGAAAAGCTCAAACTAACTCTGCGTTCCAATAAGACGACACAAGATATAGTACTTGTGGTTAGGCCTACAACGACATGTGGTGCAATAGTCAGGGCGTTTTTGAAGAAGGCTGGATTGGCTGACGAGTACCCTGCTGTCATGAGCGGTGTTGCTTCGAGCCCAACAAAGAAGCGAGGGGCGCAAGCTAAGGATCCTCGGATATACATTGAAGGAGACAAGATGGGCAACGAGGTTGAAATAGGAGAAGCCGACGTGGAGGATGGCGATATGGTTGAGGTCGGAGGGCTGTGATGCATCATTCTGTCCTTTACCCATCCTTAGTCTGTGGTTTGTTACACTCTTTTTTTAAATTATTTGGTTCCTTGGTTTTACTGAATCCCACGAATAAATTCTGTATACTACTATATATTACAGATTGTACTCCTGTCATCAATGCCATCCGTCGGTAGCCATAGAGTTCCGGACCAATATCCTTGCATTATTGACAAACGCCCGTATGAGCTCGTCAAACGCGAACCTTTCTGATTCCGAAACGTTGGGATCCCCGCGATGAGCAGCCGCTGAAAGTAGAAACTCTGAGCGGGCGATCTCGAGCTCGAGTTCGTGTAGGATCTCTGGCTACGACACAAGGAAAGCATGAGGCAACAACACGTAAGAAAGAGATAAAATTTCTCACCGGTCCAGATGCACTCGACTTGGTGACCTGTGTCAGGTCAATAGCAAACTCCTCATGAGTGTAGTTCATCCGGTCCTTCCGCCTTGTCATCGTCGAAGATCCCACCGGATGTGGTTCTGTATTCCTAGCAAATTTCAGACTTCTTCAGTTGCCACTTTTCGTGCACTCACCCGGCACCTCGAGATTCACCGTCACCCTCCAATCCGCCGCCCGCTTAGGACTGTAGATATTAAGCGTTCCAAGCTTGATTTTCCGTATACACTCTACGACGTTTCCTGTCTTCTCATCACGAGTGACGCGGATTTTTTCCTTGTTATCCCCCATGTAGAACGTGTCAACGTAGTATAGATGGTGGTAGTCCATCGAAGCGCCCGTCGTAGTTGAAGTCTTCAGGTTATTGAGGAGGGTGTTGTAGTGCTTGTGCTGGTGCTAAGTTCAGAGTTCGCATAAGAATGGATACCTAACGCTATTTAGTAGTATCGCACCGCAGTCATATTAGATTCGAACCGACAGTCCACAGAATCAGGCGCGAGAACTGCAGACAACGAAATGAAAACCGGAGCGACCGCAGGAAAGTATCACCTACTTGTCTCCACCAGCACAGGCAGCATGAGCCGTGCGCCTCGGTCGTTGTCCCGCAAAACTCCCACCTTGGCCTCCACCTCAATATTTCCAGGTATGTTCGGTCTCGTCATGATCATATGGTGGATGAAATCTGCTATTTCCTTGATGAATTCATCTAGTGGTTCAACGCCAAGGATGGAAAGGGACAGTGGTGGCAACGATGAAGACGCGCTCCCATTGGCACCTGAGCCAGAATCGCGTCGTGCACGTTTATGTGGAGGCGTTCCGGATGAGTACATGGCAAAGGTCAAGATCTGGAGATGAAGGTTGAAAGAAAAATGGATTATCCCATTTTGGGTCGACACAGCAGTGCCTGGCAACAGCGCAGAATGAAATTCCATTGCTCCGAACTTTACATACTAAGGTTCAAAGATAAAGTGCAGAAACATGACTCTGGGTGGCAAAATGCATTGAATAGGTGGCAGTAGAGCACACCCTTGCGCGAAGAATTCTTGAGCATTTAAATTCCTATGTGCATAACAAGATGAAGCGGTGAAAGTCAAACTTGTACATCGAAAACGTGCAACAGATGAAGGGTATCTATGAAAACCAGGTCGTCAATGGGGACCAATAAATACATGCGTTACAGCACAGCGTGAAGCTGAGTGTACGCAGAGAACGAGCGGACGGGAAGCCACAGTGGCCAATGGTTATCCCACGGATATTAGGAGAGGGGTCGAGTCAGTGCGGGTAAGAGATGCGATGAAGACAAGAAATATAAGTTATTGCGGGTAGAGCAAGTGTAATTGCTGATGTTTTATCCTTTCTCACTCGACGAGATGCGATAGTTGGACCCAAAATGTATAAAAAACTGAAGAAAAAGTATCACTCAATACGAGATCCCTTACACCATGATTCAAGTCTCACCTCAATGCAGGTGTTTCACTCTACGCCGGTGCTCTCGCCGTGAGGGACTGTTCGTGTACCTAGGCTCCACAAACCGTCTAGCCACGGTGTTCGTTGGTGAGACGTGTAAACTGGTAGCAACGCGCGCGGTGCCGCTTCCAACGGCGCTCGTGTCCGTGCCAGTTTCCGTAGCAGCATTGTCAGCAGACCCTCCGATGACAATAGGTTGGTCGTGCGATGTGCTCTTATGTGAGATCCACCAACCAAGACCAATACCTGCTGCTGCGCACTGTCGAAATCATCATTAATGTGAAAACCGTAACCAAGGACAGGACGTACGATGGCCAAAATCATTCCAATAACCCATACCCATCGAGATAACCGTGTTGTACCATTCTGCGTCTTCTTGAGCCAGGAGCTACAACAAGCAGCATGAATAGAAGGACATAGGCAAGAGCGTAAGGAACCGTACCTTGAAGATTTCCTGTTCTCATCCTTGGCAATGACGCTGAAACGACGCCAAAAGTCGTCGCCTCGCTCTCCTCTCTTGGGCAGTGTCACCCCTTCACTATTTCCACGCATGATGGGCTTTTCATCCATGAACTTGATGTCTACAACCTTGGCGGGGCGAGCAAAGACCGGCGTGATGGGAGTCATGGGCGGCTGGAGAGGATGCGGTGTACTAGGAACAGATGAAGAGATGGATACAGGCGAAGAAACCGCGTTAATGGGAAGGACGAAAGGATTGTGGCCTCGAGGGGGGTTAGGGTTGACGTTGATCTGGAGGGGTTGCTGTTGACGAGCAGGGGCAGCAGCAGGCTCTGGTCGTGACAGGTTATTGAGAGTAGCAATGGGAGCAGCGTAACCAGGGCGAGGCGAGGCTATATATTGTGGAGGTGGCGATGGTGATCCCTTTCGATTTCCATTTGACGCTGTCGCTGCTGCCAAGGCAGCATGCTTCGAAGGCAATGGACCCGCTTGACGTGATTCCGCTGCTGTTGACGGCCTACGGTAATCCTCGTCGTCGTCGTCATCATCATCTTCCATGGAACCGTTCAGAAATCCCATCCCAAGTGCGCCAGTGCCGGATTGACGTTTCTTGTCGAGATAGTTATCATACCTACAAATTGAAATCAATAACAGGTTTTCGGCAAAAATTCGGTCTGTACGTACACATCGTATGCTGAAGACCTATTATTCGGATTTTCAGGCTGGGGCTGACGCATCCGACGCTGAGGCTGCGGAGTCTCGTAGAACGAATCTGGTTCGTCTGTGGCATAGGGAGGCCTGCCAGCGAGAGGGGCCATACGAACGGTATTATTCTAAAGAAAAGAAGGAAAAGAATGTAGGTATAAGCGAATGGATGCCTCGCAATTGAGGCGACGAAGGCAGAAGCAAAAGTGGATGTGTCACGGTGTCACAAAACCAAACAACCTCTTTTGATCAATTTGATCCAGCTTGCTGAGCCTTTGCTACCCTACGATCCTCTCTCTTTCCTAAGTACCTACTCTATCGTCTTGAATTTAACTTTTATATTGTATTTCAACCCTTAAGGATGGTCCTGCCAACTTAATTGAGCCTGAGAGCCTCGTGTCCAACTTTGTTTGGCTGATGACAATTTGACAAAACAAATACCGGTCAATAAGACATACCGGTAACCGGCGGCCCAGCTCCACGATCACTTGACGACGACGTGCATCATTCTGCCAGACAGTATGTAACCGACCGCAGTGACGGTCCGAGTCATGAAAAGTATCTTTCATCACTGCAGCGCTTTCTACGTTAACTCCCTTTCCAAGTAGACAATCCTGCAGGCTGCAGATATAGATATCCATGGCACAAGTTTGATCGCCGATTGCAATCTACGATCGACCTCCTAGTCGAACATTTAGGAGATGCTTACCAGTAAGCGTCATTGATATGAATCATACATATAAGCCATTTTATATACAATGGCCAGTACTCTCATATTATGTTGGTTTTACAATCATCCTGAACGGAAATGTGCCACCGCAACGTTTCAATGCGAGGATTTTCCACACTTCTACAGGATGCTCGATGTCTGGAATTACTTCTTCGTTATAAGCCTAGGAATTATCCACATGTACTTTAACGTTCATCATTTATATAACTTCACATACCTGAAATTCCACAAAATCATTCGGGCTATTCAAGACGTCAACATTCCGACCCCTCAGCAAGTTCTTGGGCGTTGACATACAATTACCCCAAAGTCACCATGAAACCCCATGAAAGGGGCTGATAAGTATTCATAAATATTCGAAACTGCTTTCATCCCCAGATGATTCTTGTTAAACATTCACGCTAACTGCGCGGTCACAGGAACAATAGCAAAGTACTTCCAATATACGCTGACACACTCAAGATACAAAAGTCAGTAAGCTTCGTGCATCATAGCTTTCCCCGAATAAGGAAATCAGCGCCTGTGGCCCGCAAGAACGAAAGAAGGATTCGAACACTTGAACTTAGCATGACCTTATAACAACGTACTTCGCGTTCTTGCGACAAGCCGCTTTTTGGAAAGGGCATCAAGAGAAGAACGGATCGAGGATGACGAGCCACATTAAAATAACCACGCAGGCATGGCCCAAATCCCGAATATTCCGTAAGATTGGGGGGGGGGGGATGTCGCGAGGTGTTGTGAGGCTTTTAAATGAGATGAGATTATTCACCCAATTCCAGTTCCAGGTAAACCGTCTGCGGTCTACAAATGCTGGAAAGTCTCGTAATAACGAAGTGATAGTAGTAGATGGAACACCGAGTGAGCAACGATGATCTGAGTAGAATGCGTCCAGGATTGCCTGATAATATATGTACAAGTACAACAACCAGAAGTATAATAAGTTACCTGATGGCGGGTTAATAAGGAAAAGAGTTACAACGACAATATAAACGTACATATTTCCTAACCAACCATCATAGTACCATCATCATTCATCATTATATCTTCTTCGGGCTCGTCCTCAATGACCGGAGTCACTTTCTTGGTCACAAACTGATCCAGCAGCGTGAAACCTGCGTCACCGCCAGAATCAGCGCCCGGCTGCTTCGGTTTTCGTTTCACGACTGGACCGTCCGTTATAGTCCATGGTATGATATCTAAAATCATTTCAAAGGTCTTAAAGGCTTTCAACGTTACTTCAAATTTACCTTCCAAGAATAAAAACTCGTCAGCTTTTCGGACAATTGTGGCTGAGGAATGATGTCAAGGGAGAGTCGCCAACGCGTTCAAAAGTGTCAACAGACCAAGATCCTTATGCTGCATCGTCTGTCTGCTGTTACGCTCGGCAGATTTGTGTGCAGCTTCGCTTAATCGTTTGATAAACTCTTCAGTGGCGAGAGATATTAGGAACGTGGCTTCCTTGGCGATGATAGGTATGTCCTGTCATAATGAGAGCCCTTCAACGCGATTTTTGAAAGCATACACGCGTACTTTGTCTGCTTTAATTATTTTCTGTACCCTTGATACCGGCAACAATGATTTTCCCGCTTCGCGCACGACTGCTTGAGGCGCTTTTTTGACCCTCTTTTTCTTTTCACCGATATCCTTTGGATCATGGTTGTGCGGTTCTATGGAAGGGCTTTCGGCTGGTTTTTCGGTTGGACTAGCAGAACGGGAGGCCATAAGATGTCGGCGTGAACAGTGAAGCTGACAGTGATGAGGGTCAAGTTCAGGGTGCTTGTCGCGTGTTTGTCACACCACGTGCTCTACCCGGCAAAACCGGTCCTTCCGGGACGATTTTTCGGACTTCCTCGAGCAAACAATTATTCCAAAATACGCTTGTCTTCAACATCCACCCTGTTTTATTCGGCTGTCAATTGGCACACTCTTTCTCTCCCTTCTCCAGCGTCAGAGCTGTACTGATCATTTCAAGACAGATATCATCCGGTTTAGGCGACTACTTTGGTATTCTGTCACTGCGAGATGCCCGATTACCTGTCTAAATTATAAGCTTAAGCTTTTCTTGATGACGACCCTTGGATTCACGTAATACTTGAAACTGCATTGCGCGCTAGCATCATACGTCCTTTCTATCACTTGTCAGGCTTATATCCAGTCCGTTTTTCTCACCTTGACCTCATAGTCGTGGCGGCACTGTCGCGAAGTAAACCTCATGCTGTGGCCCGTTCGGCTCAGCATATGGTCCTTCCGTCCCCATTCATCCATCAATGACTAGATGCTTTCACTAGCCGGGGGCTGCAATACTAATGCTTTCCGTACAACTTTACTTTCCCTGATCCCGGAACCTTCCCGTTGAAGTGTCCGCGCTTGGTACAAGGGATCTAAAATCACAAGCAATAAGTGAATTGGTCGCCCAGGGCCTCAGATACACTGTAGTTCCTGTCAGTAAGTCTCTGTAATCCATTTATGCTTTCCATCCAACCGATTAACTTGACATTGCTTGCAAGAGCCGAATGTATTCCACAGCGTGGCTCTACACGATGTAGGGTTCATATTGCTCTCAGGCCTGCCACACTGGAGCTTCGTCGTCATACCAATGTAAATGGACCATGTGTCGCATTGAGCCTCCTACGAATTCATTCAAGTACCTTACCCCGTCCATGGTTTTCAGGTGCGAAGAACTGGATGAGTTCGGCGGCGTGCCATTCATGTGGAAATATTGCCATCCCAGATGAGTCTACAGCGTGGTTCATCCTCGTATAAAAGCTGAGAGGAGGGAGAGGAATACAGCTTCATCAGCTAGAAATGCAGCTTCATAATACCCTACAGTCCCTGCTGCTCCTATTGGTCTCTTCGTCCGCTGTCTTGGGTGCTGTCATTGAGGGCTATGGCTTGTCACAGCGCTCGGAGGCGACCAGCGGAAAACTGGTGTTTGCCCATTTCATGGTGGGTTCAAGCCTATCTCGTCGCGTTTCCAGCTACTCATACTTGCTTGCTAGATTGGTATCGTATCTGATAGGACCAGTGCCGCCGCTTTCGATGACGACATGAAGCGCGCAAAGTCCTACGGGATTGATGCTTTTGCCTTGAACATTGGTACCGACCCTTACACCGATACCCAATTAGGATATGCGTACGAATCAGCGGCCAACAATGGCATGAAAGTTTTCATCTCCTTCGATTTCAACTGGTGGAGCGCCTCCGACGCCACGGGTGTTGGTTCAAAGATTGCCCAGTATGCTTCGAAACCAGCGCAATTGAAGATTAACGGGAAAGTATTTGTCTCTTCTTTCGCGGGTACGTCACTTCGCGAAGTCGCTTTGCATGTCAATTATTGACAACCTGCTCATAAGGTGATGGCTTAAACATTGATCAGGTTCGCTCTACTGCAGGAGTGGATCTCTTCATGGCCCCCAACTTCCACCCTGGACAAGGAGACTTTTCTAAGTTAGATGGCGCCTTGAATTGGATGGCATGGCCCAATGATGGCCGAAATAAGGCACCTGAAGGGGGCGTCGTCATCTCTGTCATTGATGGAGACGATTCTTACCTGTCAACTATTGGCGATAAGAGCCTTATTTCCCGTACGTTTCAAATCACAGCCAATAGTCAATCAGTCACCCACTCATATTCTCTAATATAGCTGCGTCACCTTGGTTCTCCACTCATTTTGGAGCTGAAGTTTCTTACAGCAAGAATTGGGTGTTCCCTGGAGACTTCTTGTGGTACCAACGCTGGAATGATATCCTTGCATCGGCACCTCAGTTTGTCGAAATCGAAACATGGAACGATTACGGGGAATCTCACTATATCGGGCCACTTTCCTCCCCTCATACCGATGACGGAGGCTCCAAATGGGTTAATGACATGTCAGTGATTCGACCTCATTTACATCTTACGATCTATGTATCTCATGTAACTGCGATCACAGGCCTCATTCGGGTTGGCTCGAAATGTCGAAGCCTTTCATTGCTGCGTACAAAGCAGGTTCTTCGTCGGTCTCCAACTACATCACCGACGAAAAGCTCATCTACTGGTATCGTCCTACCCCGCGAGACATTAACTGTGACGCCACGGATACGACAATGGGACCAGCTAACAACGCCAGCGGCAATTACTTCAACGGTCGCCCGAACGGTTGGGAGACTCTGAGCGACAGCGTCTTCGTTGTGTCCCTTCTCAAATCACCCGGTACTGTTACCGTAAACTCTGGGGGTACGCATTACAGCTACGATGCCCCTGCCGGTGCAGCCGCGTTTTCCGTACCCATGGGCATCGGTGCTCAAGCCTTTGGGCTAAACCGGAACGGTAGGACTGTGTTTAGCGATACAAGTTTGAAGCAGATTGTTTCAAACTGTATTTGCGGCATCTACAATTTCAACGCCTATGTCGGTACTGTCCCCGCCGGAGCGCCCGATGCCCTTGGTTCAGATGGCTTGGCTGCCTTCTCGAATGGTCTCAAGGTTGCTTGTGCGGCTCAACCCTCGTTGCCTGCCATGCCTCCCGCTACTGTTGCTATTTTCGCAACCGGTACTCCTACGGCAGCCCCCACATCCCATGTATAAAGCCAGCTCATACAACACTTATAGTTTTCGAATGAAGTGAGGCGTTATCATTCCCCATTTATTATGTATCCCTGCCGGCTCGTTTATCGCTTTATTGACGAACATCAGATATCTATATTTGATCGCTTTAGTCGAAGTAGAAATCGGTCTTGTTGTAACTGTTGTATGTATTCTATATACAGTGTAAATGATGCTTTTAGACTTTTTCCTTACGCGACGGATCAAGTAGGCGCTATGGACCCGCATTGGCCGCTTGCACTAAGTATTATCGGCCTTCGACCCAATTAACGAGCTTCTGATAATCGATAATTCTTGATCACTAATGGTCATCTACCCCGGCGTCTTCTCGAAGGACCGTACCGTGAAATGATACCTGCCTGCCTGACCTCCAAAATCAAGGAAGTGGTAGATTATTTCGGAGACATGTTGTCGCGTAAAACGTTGGCACATCACGCCCGGCTTCTTAAATTAATAGAAGCTCGTACCAACACGCAGCAATCTAAGTACGAGCCGCACCAAATCACCCAATTTACAAATTTACAGATTATGCTGTCTTCTTGACAGCTTTCTTGGCTCTTAGCTTATTGCTCCCTTAAATTTCTTTGCAATGATACCAAGGCCCAATTCGATTGACATGGACTACATTATACATGACTTTGGCAGAGAAATTCCATTCCCAGACAAGGAAATTATTTAATGAACATTCAGCCGAGCGAGTGCGCGCGCGGACGTCCTACAACCATCTTCTTCACGAAGAACGTTGAAGTTCACCATGTTGAAGAGAATTGTAAAGGTCGCTGTCGTCATACATAGTGCTGTATAAGAGACGACCCTCGGAAGTAGAATAGAAGACCCTGATACCTAATGTCGCGTCAAAGTAATCAGTGTCAAAGGTCGTATGTTTCAATTTCTTTCAAATACTTACTGCGTTTCGTATTATCGGTATTGGAAGGATCGTAGACAACGGCAATGGATGCTACAAACGGACGATGTTACACATATAAATTCTTGTAGCAAGAAATTACTCACTGCCACGCGCAGGTGTCCTAACACCAGTAGTATTGGGCACCAATGACATATCTAAAAAGTTGCCGCCTTGAGAGACTTGTCCCTGGAAAAGTCTCGACGGATCTTCCTGAGGCTGACTGAAGAGCCGGTATTGGTTGTCGACACTATTCTGAACCCCCGTATGAACTGTGGCGAACGGTCCGCGCATGACCGGACCATTGAACCCGGATACAGGTTCAAACTTGGGGATCAAAACGTTTAAAGCATTTCGGGCTTCTCACCTCATGTGGACCACATAGCGGCCGGGAGCCTGGTTGTACATGACACAAACACAGTCGACCGTGTCGGTGCCGGTGTACGCATCTGTTTCTGACATGTCACTCCTTAGACCATAGACCATTGCGAGGTGAGATAAGGACACATACCGGTCCACGAAAAGGCCGAGAGGGTTGTTCGCGGCATCGCGGGGTCATACGTGACAAGAGAAGGGATGCTCCATTGCCCGAACGCTTTCTGATACACGTAGTCTGCTTTTATGTGAGTAAAGCATCAACAAAGGGTAATACACAAGCTCACAAATCCTCTGTAAAGAGACACAAGTCAATAACAATGACAATGTTAGTCGAAGCAAGGAAATATCATCTTACATTGTCAAGTGCTTGATAAAACAAAAAGGCGGTCTGATAATCTTGACCAGTAGTCACTGACGCCAGAGATGACCCCATTACTGGAGCAATTGCACTGCCGCTGGTGGTCTCTGGCACGGTATTGACACCGATGTGGGCGCGTCCTCCATTCTTATCAATCCTCCACTCGAACAAGTTGCCGTTGTAGCCTTGGTAGAAGACAGAAGATTGCTGACTCGGCTCCGAGAAGTCGCGCTGCGTCGAAATAAGTGGTCAGTGTGTGCTTTCATTATCTGTGTGTGTGAGAGAGAGGGAGTTACCCTATTTGCAGCAATCTTGGAGTCGCGGTGGCCATAGCCAGAGCTGAACGAGCTAATTTGCGAGGTAGTATCCGACGAGTCGGTACGTCTCAAGGTGACAATGCTTGGGGTCGTTTCTGCAGGCTGTGCGATCAAGCAATACACATAGTCGAAGCTCGGTGCGCCATAGACTGCAGCGAAAAAGTTGCCAACGATTGGTGCAGGCCTGGAGGGTTGAGCAGATGTGTTAGGCTGGAAAGACATGTTGGAATGAGACATAGAGGGCTGAAAACGCTGCTTTTAAGGCTTTCACTCGAGGCGTAAAATGGTCTAGAGCCGTAGAATGAATAGGTCACGATCCTTCCGGGAACAATAGATTGAGGCAGATGAACTCGAATACGATACGTTTAGTTGGTGCTGGTGCAATTGTATCCCGGCATGACTTAGCAGGCGCACCGATCAAGGACCGCGATGAGGAAACATTCGCCATGTTGAACTGACAACACGGCGCTGGATCTTTTCCTGGTGCAAATACTATTCGGTCGCTATGCAAGGGATTTCTCCGTAGGGAGAGTACGCAGCGGTAGAGTTCCGGCGCCGTGACACAAGTAGTACTGAGCGCTAGCAATGAAACCTTTTCAAGTCTTTTGCGTTGAACATGCTTACAAAGACTGTAGCGAGTCGCCCAAGAACCATTGACCTCAGAAAAACAGAGTCGCGAAACTTCAATAGCAGGTAGCTCCAAGGGATGTAAGAATCGCGGGGTCAAGCAGGCGCAAGGGTGCATTCTGAACGTCTCGTTCTCTCGTACGTGTTTAATTACGAGTTATCACGAGGCCTGTAGACGGAAGACATAGTCATATGCGTGGTATGCGGACAAGAGGTATCAAAGAATTATAGCCCGCTTCTTGCCACTAGGACTCATCACGAGGACTTCCTCTGAGAGATATTCTTGTTCCTTGACACAGAGTAAACACGTTCAAGCACTAGAAGCAGAAGAACGGTGTGCCTTCAAAGTCAGCGGCAGCGGATTTCCCGAAGTTATTTATTTATTTTATGTAGTTATTTTAGCCATTATTTCTTCCTTCTGCACTGCCACGCGGAGTCACATAATATTGCGGTGTTCAACACCGCGACCTGAACGCGCCAACAAATTTTTTTCTTAGCCAATTGCAGCCTAGGCCTAAGGTCAGTACAAGCGCGCTTTCGTTGTGAGTGGGACTGAAAAGCGGTTCAGATGGAAGATGTCATGGATTCTTTCATAGTGGCCCCGAAAAACATACAGTCATCTCCAGTGGCTGATCTTGCACTGGAGATGCGATTTGATCTTGAACCTCACCAAAAAGATCTTGTAAAGAAACTCGTCCTTGAGGCGGAGCAGGACATGGCCCACTTCGAGTACAACGTACGCTGTATCCGTGAAAATCTCGTCAATTATATCACGCAGCACAAGGCTTTGCTCACTCCCGTCTCCCGTCTACCTGTCGACATCTTATCCAACATATTCATCCTCCTCGCTTCGACTGCGAGGAACACCGTATTCGATCTGGAGAGTCCGCCTTGGGTGTTCACACATGTATGCAGACGATGGAGGAATCTAGCACGGTCCACACCAGAGCTATGGAGCTATGTGACAGTGAAGGATCAGCAGATTGGATTAGCGGATCCTTATACTCTGTCATCAGATCGCATGGCAGAAGAATATTTTCGGCTTTCAAAGGGTGCCCCACTTTACATCGAACTGGGATCGAGACGGAACGGCGAATACTCAGACAGTGTTCTCACCGATACCGCCCTTGAATATTTAGCTGCTCATTCTATGCGATGGAAGACTTTCAAGGCCCGTCTCTCTCTGTCTGATATCGCGCATTTGAGCATCACTTTGCCAATCCTCGAAAGCATTGACCTCGTCAGTGATTCTGAATTTGATGATGAATACCCAGAGAAGGTTAGAACATTCCGCGACGCACCTAGGCTAGTAAAGGCCTCACTCTCCGAGCTTCCTCCCACGACTGTTGTCCATCTGCCAAAGTCCTTGACCAGTATCTCCTTCAAGGATATGCCCATGAATCAAATCATGTCTCATCTCAGGGGGATAACCCACTCTCTCGTTTCTTGTGAAATACGAGAGCTTGACGGACCAGCACCTAGCAAACTCATTTCCCTACGGCTTCCTCGTCTGCAGAGCCTGTGGATATCTTTCGCCCATGACTTCTCCTTAGGCGCCATGAAACAGCATACCCGCAGGTTCATAGGTTGTTTGACACTTCCTGCATTGACGGAACTTCACGTCAGTGGCTCCGTCACGTTAGATGTTCAAATCTTTACGGACCTCATTCGTCGCTCCAGTTGTAGCATCCGCTCGTTGTTATTTGAGTGTGGAGACATGTTCAAACTTCTTCGGTATTCCCCCAATGTTACCCATCTGTTGTTAACACAGAAAACTTTGGAGCGCGGAGGGTTGAAGCCGCTGGGGTACTCTTCAGGTGATAAGAAGTTCATCTTGCCGAAGCTGGATACTTTGGAGATCTACGCGACTGGTTTTACGGAAGCGAAGTTTAAAGGTGTCGTTCAAACTATCAAAAGCCGTTTTGCTACAAATCCTCAGTTACAGGTCTTTATCCGCTTGGGTCATCAGAGAACGCGATCCTCAGAGACGGGCATGAAGGAGCAGGATATGAAGAACCAGCTAAGGAAAGCAACAGGTAGAGGTCTGAGGACTCAATTCATCCTTCCAAGACCTGAACCCGATGACGAGTCTGATTGGGACTCGGAATCGGAAGATGAATATTACCTGTACGAAGATTCCTCTTAATAACAGATGACACAATTCTAGACCATAATTGTAAAAAAAATCCGTCCTGTTGAATGTCCCCTGAAAGCGAATAGCTGAACTTAAATAATTGTGGATACCCTACTCCCAAACTAGCTTCCCGTTGTCATCAACGGTAGCCATCATCCCACCACTAACTTTCTTCCCACCTCTTCCGCTAGAGAGCTCTGCCATACGAGTCTTTTCTAGCTCTTTGTGGTGCTTTGCGAGCGCTGCCAGCCTCTCTTTCTCAGCCTCAGCCTTGGCCGCCTTCTCGGCCGCCTTCCGAGCAGCGTTCTGCCGCTGACGCTTTGTCTGCGGTTGGTTAGATGTTGGCACGGTTTCTGACATCCATAAATTAGTATTTAGTTTAGCATGAAGCTAAGCGAAGACTCACTGTTCGTGTTCGACAAGTTTGCAGTGGTAGCGTTACGCGACCCACGGCTTCGCTTCACAACTCCCCAACCCTCGTCATCGTCTTCAACATCGTGTGCATCTTCATAGTCGCCCCAGGAGAATCCTGCAGCAGGGACTGCTCTTGACGATGACTCGGAAGTGGTAGACCGTGTAGGTGTAATCACTCCAGTGTTAGAGTTACTGTATGATAGGTAAGACATTATAAGTAAAAAAAAAGTCGACAGGTACGCAACTTGTCAGCTTCACTGGTACTTGCTCGTACTGGGGACACCTCAACGGTAGGATCAGCTTGGAGTTTTGGTGTTTCTGTCGTCGTTGTTGGCTCTGAAGGTGGTGGTGGTAGCAAAGGTGGGACTTGAGCAGACGCTGCAGGAGATTGAGATTCTGCTTTAGCCGCAGTGGCTTTCTTCTTCTTCCCTTTATTCTTCTTCTTCGGCAAGGATGCTGCTGACTCCTTTGATGCTATGATGACATCAGGAGGTATCTTAGTAGCCTCAAAGTCCCCAGGAATACCCTCCGAAGAACTCGCGACTGACACCTCCTTCTGCTCAACCGCAGCACTGGCGCTGCTGTCCTGGAGTGAGGCAGACGTTTCTGTCCCTTTGCTCTTCGCTTTGGCTTTCCCCTTTTTCTTCCCTTTCGTTTCCGGAGGCGGCGGCGGCGGCTTAGCTCTGGCCTGTGACGAATTCGAAATCTGGACCACAGCAAAGCTCACAGCACCGGCGACTGCGACAGCAGTCAGGGCTGTTTCGGCGGATACAGAGGAAAATATGGTGCTTTGAGTATGGCCCATGTAAATAGTATAAGAACAAGAGGATGAATGAATGAATGAGATGCAAGTTTAAACTTGAAAGACGGTGTAAGGATGGTGGTGGTGACGTGGAGAAACAAATATCCTGCGAAAACGTGATCACTTACAAACGCGTCCGTTTCCAACGCGTACCATTCCCAGGAGCACATGATTTTTATACGAGAACGAAAAAGAAGGAAGGGTATTTAGTGAAGGAGGTGTTGGTATCTGTACAGTTGAATGTTACGAGAGGAAGTGAGGTTCTGGACATTCCAGTCCATGATGAGTAAGTAGATGATGGCAGCAAGGGACCCCAACTATACAGAGAAGAGCTACTCTAAAAATATATCGAATGCAGCTTTAAAAGCGTATATGCACATACAAAAATGAGGGTGTAGGGTATCTCGAACAACGACAGCATTGGAAAGGTATGATAATACAATATGTAAAGGGCGAAAATGAAGGTGGAAGGTAACAAAGCAAGATCATTCAATCTCACTATCGCTCGCAGTCGCGGCGGAGAACCGCAACTGATCCGATGCTAGGCCATCATCACCTCTGAGATGAAGCGTACCTCCTGCCCGGGCGCTCCTCTCCAACAGGTCATTCCACATATCTGTCTTTTCTTGCTCAGTCCATGCAGGTTTTATCGTTGTTCGGTCACGGAACTGAGCTGTGGGTGATGTCGACGTAGCAAAGGTATTTGCTACGGAGCGAGGTCGAGCTGTCGCGTGTGAGGAAGTTGACGCACGATTCGGGTTCGTAAGGGTGTCGGGAACAGGTGGTGGTGAAGAGAAGCGTGGTACGGAAGGCAGCTTTCTGATAGGAGACGATATTCTCGACGTACTGGGGCTGGGTCTATGTTGACCACGGGAAGGTCGAGAAGGCGTGGTTTTCAAATCGGAATCGACGCCAGCAGTAGGGGATTCCGCAGAAGCTGATGGTCCACGACCCATGAAAGCATTGATAGGCGCTGACGTGGAGAACTCTGGGATTGTAGGCGAAGCTCGGACGGAGTCGTTTGGTGGTTTCCATGCAGATCTTGGAGGTGTCGGTAAAGACGGCAAAGATTCTTCAGAAGGTATCCAGCTTTCCGGTGACGAGGTTGATCTACGTACTGAGTGCTGAGTAATCTTCCCCAGCGACTTTCGATGACGAAGCTTGGAATCATCTCCTTCAGCAGGCATGCTCTTGGTCAACTTGTATAGCTCGCCTGGAGGAATGATGTGCTGACCAACAACAGTGTCAGGAACAGGTGGTGGGACTTCATCCCCATATGATGACGACGATGATCGCTGAGATTGCGTCCGTTGGAAAAACTTTGAAGACGCGACATCTGAAGATCCTGGAGAAGATGAACGTGTTGTTATACTCCGTCTGTAGCCTCTAGGCGAATTGGAAGAAATGGTAGGTAGAGGATGTGGAGGGCGTATCGCGGGGCTTTTAAGCGATTGCGATGGCCGGCCACCGGAAATCGACGTTCGGGTTTGCATGAACCGCGACAGTGCTCCAGTCTGGGGGGCATTTCCGTGTCCATCCATTGATTTGGGACCGTAGTTCATTGAAGCATAATCTTTAGGGAGCGCGGGAACAGGCGGCGGGCTACTTGACGGAGAACCTGAAGGCGAATCCATGAATTTGTCCCGCAAGCCACCAGTACTAATGCGCTTTATCAGCTTCCACAACTTCTTGCCTCCTCCGCTGCCTGGTTCAGAGTTTGTTTCAGACTTCTGTGAACCAGGTACATCATTGAATGCTGAATCAGGAGAAGAGTCATTAGCCACCGAAATTGCTGTCCTAGGCGTCTTCGAGGCTGGGGTAATGGGTCCATCGACGGGCCTTATGTGGGTGTCCACCGACAATCGGAGTGACTTGTTGATTTCCTCAGTCCTGGAACCATCTAAAACAGGTCTCCGATGCCCTCTCCGCTCCTGCAAACTGGTACGGCCCCGCCCTGACTCCGATTCTGGCTCACGTTCGCGGTCAACGGATGGAAGCTCGATTTTCTCCCATTCCATGTCATCGTCTGGCACCCCCATACTGCCTTTCCGCCACCTCCCCGACAGTTTACGTGATAGCGACCTGCTCAGACTCTTGGACACACGAGGCTTACCGACAGATACGCTCGCGGTATGATGACCGATGCCCGAGCCCAGCCCATTGACGAACTGCGAGCCAAGACTATACTCTGACCACGAGTCCTCTGGTCCACCAACAGCGACTACCTTTCCTGAAGTCGAACCGATGACAGTGTAATATGGCGCTGAAGGGGGTGACGGCGGAGAAGATACAGTATTATCCGGTAAACGAGATGTACTCGCTTCAGGGGTATTACTGACTTTCGGTGTAGCATGGTCAGTGGAGGACCCAGACGAAGAGGACGGAGGTGTAGACACGCCCTTCTCTTTTGTGCGCTTTTCCTGTTCTTGCTTCTGTCTTTTCCGCTCTTCCAACTGTTGCTGCTTGTACGCCATTGCTACTGCCCCTGCGGGTGTTAACCCATATGTATCTACACCCTCTCCACCTGGCTGGTGACGCGGTAGGGGATTAGCAGAAAGAGATTTTGATCTCGACGCCATTCCAGTTCGTGGCTTCAGTTTGGCCTCCGTATACGACGCGGGAAATATGGCAGGGTTAGGCACCTTAGCACCATTGCTTGGCCTCCTCTTCAAGACATTCTTTACGCGTTTATCTGTCGAAGATTTATTTTGCATAACCGCCGTGGAAGTCGGTAGGGGCAACGTATGACCGAGACTGAGAAAAGAATGATCTTCATCCCCTTCAGAAGTCGTCCCTGCTCTGACACCGAGTCGCTCCCTGATCTGGGAACTAAGCCGCCCCGGAGAACTGCGATAACCACCCCCGCCTGCATCGTCGTCGCTGCTCACCAGAGTACCGGCTCTGTTTGCACTGCGCCCCAGTGATCGGTAGCCGTCCGAATCAGAACCTGATAGAATAGATGCAGGTTTAGATAACAGACGTTTCATGTCGTCCAATGCAAGTTTGTGAGGAATAGCATCAAGCGCCGGAGAGGACGAGGTCGGTTTCGTACGGGACTCGTGGGGGTGATTAGGTAACAAGTCACCAGATGCTTTCCGGGAATGGGGAGAGCTGGCAGCGGAAGATGAGGGCAATGATGTGGGCGGCGTCTGAGAGGGCACCGAGGCTCCACGTGAAGATGACGTGGTCGTCGAGGACAGGGATGGTAGAGAGAGGGATCGTGAACTAGGCGTAGAAGCTTGTCTTGACGACAAGATATTTGCGGAGGCCGTCCTTCCAAAAGTGGATGCGTTGGGGTGTGAGGGGTGTTCATACTTAGGCAAAGTTTCGGCGCGAACGTGTGGCGTCCGTAAAGAAGAAGAGGTTGACATGGTAGTTGAGGACGACGACTGGCGCGCCGAATGATATGAAGAGGTAGCTGGCCATTCCCGATAATCAGAAAAAAGATAAATTCCACGGAAATCGAACGTACAAGGCAGATGTGAATCTTGTTGTGGTATTGACGGTCGTGACGATGGAGGTTTGTAATTCGGGGTAGGACGCGGACTCGAATCTGATGAAACAGCTTGTAAGTGTCTGCTCATATCAACAAGATCGATTACCCACGAGAGGGCGTTCGGGAATTAGAGGGTGGTTTAGAGGTCGTTAGTATCGTTGTATGTGCAGGGTCTGTCACGCAATCAAGACTTTAGCATTGGGCAGACAAGTCAAGTCGATAACGATACCATTCATATTATGTGATTTGGATGACGAGAGATCTGCTTTCATTCAAATCGAAATAAAGGTCTGAGATAACAAGAAGACAACACGGTAACGTACCTGAAGCAACTTCCTCATGTCGGCCGGGAGGTCGTCTGGACGCTGAATGAACGTGAGATGGTGCAACCAATGAGAAAAGTCAGAACGCATACGTCTGTGGCTTTCCCCAGGGAGCTGCGACATTGATGAGGACGATGCTATTACAAGCGGATTAGATTAGGATGTCGCGTCTTAGGGGAACGAACTTTGACACACCGGCTCTTGGAGCGACAAAATCCCCAGCGGCTGCGAGGCATAATATGAATACGATAACGCTCGGAAGAAAGATAGGGCGTACCGGAGCGCAGTGACTTGGAGTTCAGCATGCTGGCGCCCGATCTGGCAGATGACTCTGGGGCCAGATGTAGGTGAGCGTTTACCTCAGAAAGCATGCAAACACACCTTGCGGAACTGACATATACTGGTCTATTTTTTCGACTGAGCGTCCGGACGATGGCACAGATCCAACAGGAAAAGCTGAGGCCGAACTACTCCCTTGTCGAGCGTCAGTCGTCTGAACAAGTGTAGCACGGCGATCAGTCTCCCATTCCCTCGAGTCCTCTTCAAAGAATGTTGGGGTTGTAGGTGATGCAGCAACCCGTCGTACTCCGGATGAACCAGCTGAAGGACTGAGTAGTGTCCCGGTACGAGAAGATGAACGACTGGGTAGATGAGTGTTGATGGTAGGTTTTGTAAGGGTTGTAGGCGCGGATTCGGATGTATTTCTTGGTTCACTGGGCCGGCTACATAGGAGTGGAGTATTATTAGACGCGTTTGCGATTATGTCACGGCTGCCGTTCCCCAAAGTAGTTAATGATGAAGCAGTAACTACGGTGGTGTGAGCACTCCGTTGAGATAACGTTAGTGTATCTGAATCTGATGGATCCGCAATAGGTCGTCGAGGATGGTTATTAGATTCCGCAAACGACATGGAAAGCAGGCTTGAGAAACTAGGAGACCCTATAAGCATAGAACCAGAAGAAAGCGAGAAAACCGTACATCAAAACTAGATTCTATAGCTGGAATCAAAAAGGTACTGGTAGCCTGGGCAGCATGATTATCAGGCGGAAAGGGTTGAAAAGGACAGGGAAACTACGCACATGTTTTATCACTGGGACGCAGAGGAGTGGTACCTTCACCAATCAAATTTGTTGTCTCGAGGATTAATTGGAACCACACGTGTAGTGGATACGACGTCACAAAACACGAGAAAATTGCACGGCAGCGAACGATTTAATCAGGTAAGAGCAGTGTCCAGCAGGCAAGAAGTTCAAGGAGTGAATGTTCAGCAAAGGCTATCAAAAGAATGTGAAGGAAAAAGAATGACGAGGGTAAGGATGATACCAGGAAGTGGTCTTTTTTTCGGAGAAAATACACGTGAGGGAAGAATGAGCAGGCGATGTTACGTTTTTGCCGCTGTTTGTCATAATCTCCATGGATACACATCATCAAAAGATAAAGATAATCAATGATTGAATTTTGTACAGTACACATCCAGACTCGAAGTAGCTCCAGCATACATTTATATCCGTAATTTCAACTTGACATCCTGACATTTTATGCCAGCTCGACTTTTTTGTTCGCAGATAGATGGATGTGAACCTTGCTCATACTTCTGAGAATTCCCGTTAGGTACACAGATGCAGGGATCCCTGTCTTCTCGGAGTACTTCTATCCTGCGCAGGCACAAGAAGGTACCTCTCAACTAGGGCCAACTGTATATGTCCTGCAGGCCACATATTTTTCCGCGTAGCAATCGTATTAATGTCATCGGCCCATTCTGATGTTCTTCGGCATTGGACCGTTCTGACTGGTCGAGCCTACAATAGTTCCGTTAACTGTACGTTAATCGGACATCCGCTGATCATAGAAATCACCCGAGCCCTCGTTGTAAGACCACTTCGTAGTTAATGCAGGTTTTGGGAAGCACTGGTTTTAACTTGTTCTTATCGTCTGAGTAGTAATAGTAAGTGCCTAGAATGCATTTTCCGAACGTTGCGCCATCAGTGCGCCGATGTTCAAAAAGTATTCCTGGAACCGAGGGACTGGGTATAATTGTCTGCATGGGTGTGATGGGAGCCGAGAACTTACGGAGAACCATTCGAGAATATCATGGAACTGCATGTGGATATCCAGCATTTTTGTAAACAGGTGGGTGTATAGTGATCTTCGTACATGAACTTTTTTATGACACAAGGTCAATTGGAGAACGAAATTTTATGGGCAAGCAAGCCTGGAACTCGAATCAGCTGGGGGCTTCTTTCCCCTTCTAGTCATCAAGGAAACCCTAGATCACCGACTTGTAGGAAAGAATTCGAAAGGCAGACCGATGCAATTATACGTGTGCGCACAAGTTGGCAAGCATAGAATCACGAGATGAAAGTTTTGTAGATTCCTTACGAGATGTCGCAGACGGCAGCATTACAGCCGACACCGTTACTACAAGAAGCACATATGAATCCTACGGAATGAATGAGAAACAGCACTCTGGGCCAGGTAGCATGAGAAAATATCATACCAATCTTCCCACTAGAATCAAAAGTCTGACACACGACCCTTGAAGCTCCAATCCCCGCCGTCTTCCGTTCCCCACTGTTTGACGGGTTCCTGCTTGGGGCCACCTTGCTCTCCTGTCACTGGATTCACGTCTCCTTCGAAGGCCGGTTTCACGGGTTTCCGCGCATCGGGGTGCATTGCCAGTTCTGCTTCCACATCAGACAACGGAGTACCCGAAGAAAGAGGTGCTTGGGCCTGGCGCTGAAGTTCCTCAAACTCCCTTTGGAGTTCCCGTGGAAGAGGCGGAGGAGAAGGGCGGTTCAGATTAGACAGAGAGCGACGGAAGCCCTGCACAAGTGGGGCTGTCCGGCGCGTTCTAACAAAAATATGCAACGACATGTTTGAGAGAGCAAAGCAAAGAAGTCCTCAGATATCTTATGTCCGAAAGTTATCCGACGTTCGGCATTCGGACAAGGACTCACGTGCTTATCATCGTCGCGTCAATTTCAAATTGGTTTTCTTTCTGAACGCGTCTGCCACCGATCACGCCATGTCGTTGAGCCTACCAACTCCCGATGAATTTCCGGCATTTCCATATTCTCCTCCTTATCCGATACAGGTAGAGCTCATGCGCCATCTTTACACGTCTATCGAGGAGAGGAAGGTGACTATCGTGGAGAGTCCAACTGGCACGGTATAATTCTTCACTTGGTCACTGGAGTATTGACTGACGCCCCTGAAGGGAAAAACGCTTAGTCTTCTATGTGCCAGCTTGACTTGGTTAACTGATGAGAAGAATCGCGCGAGAAAAGGTAAAATGGCGGCGCTGGGGGAGTCTGATAAAGACGGTACGACTACGTGCTCAAGAAGAATATTTTGAGTCTCACTTCACAACCAGACAGCGACTGGGTGGCTGCGCAGACCAGAGAGCGTTTGCGAAGAGACTTAGAGGCTCAGGAGGATGAATATGAAGACCGACTGACTAAGGCCAGGAAGAAAGAAGCCGAGATGAAGAAGATGGCCAGCGCGCGCGTCTGGAAAAAACCCGTGGGTCCCATTGAATGAAAAATTTTTCCGTATCCTCACATCTTCTTAGAAAATGAAAGAGAAATCCAAACCAGTTAACGACGAAGAAGATGACGATGTATTCCTTCCCGAAACTGAAGCTGCCGAAGACGATAATATATCGCCAGCGGTCAGAACATTGATGGCAAAGTATTATGCTCTCTTCCATTTATTTCTAACTGGTCTTAAGATTTTATCTAGACTAGAGAAAGGCTCCGGGCAGGGCTTGCCGGACGATGAAGAACTGACATGCACCAAGATCTACTACGCCTCACGCACACACTCTCAGTTGACTCAAATCATACCAGAAATGAAGAGATTAAAGCTCTTTCCAGTCGATAGCAAGTCAGCTTGCTCTTCGATAGCGTTGCCCCGAAAACGTGCTGCTGAAGAATCGGACGATGAAGTCGACCCAGATGTTGCGGTATCGTATTCACGCACAGTGTCGCTTGGCTCGCGAAAACAGCTTTGTGTTAATGATGAACTTCGTTCCAAGAAGAAAGATCTTGACGAGGCGTGTCGTGAACTGTTAGGCGGTGGGTTATCCATGTCAATATCGCGACACGCTCAAACTTAACGCCCTTTTAGAGAAAGGGGATAAGCGCTGTCAATCTTTGCCGCCTATAGATGATGATTACCGTATGGTTGAATTTAGGGATCAGATCCTGGTATTCTCCCATGCTTTCTTCTACGAAGCTTCATTCATGTTAACCTAGGCCTCGCCAAAAGATATCGAAGACTTGGCCACTGCCGGTCGAATGGCTAATTTATGCCCATATTTTGGCTCGAGGCGCGCCATACCTCAAGCAGAGGTGAGTCTTGTATTAAATGAGATTGTCTTCCTAACGATATGCAGCTCGTAACTTTACCTTATAACCTGCTGCTGCAAAAGTCTGCGCGCGAAGCCCTCGGAATTGACCTAAAGGATCAAATCGTTATCATTGACGAAGCTCACAGTGAATTAGATCTCTCTGTCATTGTTCGTTATCTCACTAGCAACTTCGATGTAGACCTTATCCCAACCCTTCTGACGTTGTCAACGCACAAGTTATCTCTTTCCACCTCGGAAACATCTTATAAACAAGTATGCAGTTACGTTTCGAAGTTTCGTAACCGCCTTTCTCCTGTAAACATGTTACACTTGAAACGTCTAGTCGCTTTTCTTGATGCATTGACGAACTATACCGTATCCTGGAAGGAGGATGATGTACGTCAAAATCAGAAAGTCGAAATGCTTTCCGTATCCGAGCTCCTAGGGCGGCTTGGAAACAAGGTGGCAGGTATTAATTTACTGGAGATTACGGGATATTTGACAACAAGTAGAGTCAGCGCACCCTGCTCAATTTCACACTGCGTTAGCTAACGACTTCCATTTCGTAGGTTGCAAGAAAGATTGCGAATTATTCTGACAAGCAGGATGAAAAAAGAATGGGTGGGTTTCGTTTTAACATCGTGTACATATCATTTTTATTGAAATGTCATCTTGTAGATTCGGCAAAGATAAAACAGACTACGAAGGGAGCGGTTCCACCTTTGCATGCGGTTGAAGATTTGATGCGCTCGCTGACAGCGACAAACGAAGGTACGTACCTTTATGCGTGCTATACCCCAAGGCAATATCCGCTCTCTCCGCAGACGGCAGAATAAGCCTCTCGCTTGTGGGAAGCCCTGGTCACGAAGATGTCGAAATCAAGTATCAGCTCCCTAATCCAGCGCCACCATTTTTGGAAGTCGTCGAAGAAGCACGATCCGTCATTCTTGCAGGGGGGACCATGTCACCCGTACGTGGCATTTTGAATGGTAATAGAGATTCAACATTTTATCTCGTTGGCAGATATCAGATGTCATCAACCAACTGTTTGCGAACATACCAAGTGAAAGGTTGACAAGTTTCTCTTGCGGTCATGTCATCCCGCCTTGGAATCTGTTGCCGTTGACAATCTCCAAGGGCCCACGTGGCGGGGACCTCCAATATAAAGCTGAGAAGCAAGTAGACAAAGCTGTGGTAAGTCGAACGTATCTGCGATCAACAGATCTTTTAAGTGATCATCATGTGCAAGATCGGAGAGCTGGGACAAATTATCCTGAATTTGACCAACATCGTTCCCGGTGGAATGATCGTGTTCTTTCCGTCATATAGATTCCTGAACACGAGTAAGGATATCTGGAAAACTAGTGGCATCATAGAAAAATTCAACGCGAAAAAAAGGGTCAGTAAGTAGTTCCGACACATCAGACCTTTGTCTAATTGATACGGTAGGTATTCTTTGAGCCAGATGAAGCTAAAGACGTTGATGAGGTCCTGCAAGGATTCTCATCTGCAGTTCGCCATCCAGTGAGTAGTTCGTTTCATGAATACGATTCGATTCACTAAATCAGAACCAGATGGACAATAAGAAGGGCGCATTGCTTTTCGCAGTTATTGGGGCAAAGCTATCCGAGGGCTTGAATTTTGCCGATGATTTAGCTCGAGCGGTAGTCATTGTCGGACTTCCTTACGCAAACCTAGCATCTCCAGAGCTTCGCGAGAGGATGAAGTATGTAAAGCGACTGGAGGACAAAGGTCAACTGAAGAAAGCGCCAGGCCAGAAGGATGCCGCGGCGGAGCTATATGAGAACATTTGCATGAATGCTGTCAACCAGAGTATAGGTGCGTGTTGTCGCGTGTCAACGCAATCTTCTTGCTTATATACAAACGCCACAGGACGTGCAATAAGACACCGTGGGGATTGGGCGTCCCTGATTCTCCTTGATAAACGCTATGCATCATCAAATATTCGAAATAAGTTGCCGAAGTGGATTGGATCAGAGATGAAAGTTGCCCAGACATTTGGATCAGCCATGAAGGAGATGGGAGTTTTCTTTAGAAACAAAAGGCTACAGAATTAGTACTAGTCTGCCCGACAAACTCCAAGACGTTGGAAACTGCCCTGCCCGGTGGAAGGCAATATGTGATGTATTCCTGTTGATGAAGTCCGCAGGAAGTCTGTCTTGATCCTGAGATATGAAAATAAATAATGAAGTGTGCATTGTCATGCGATCAGTGACTGCAAATCATGAAAAGGAAATGCCGGCGCTTAGTTCCCGTGCCCATCCTCCTCTGTCAGTGTCATAGCGTACACCTTCCCTCTTCGATACCCACTGCTGCAGGCTTCAGTATACCATCCAGGAGGTGTCTTGCGACTACGTAGTAATGCTGGAATGGGGTTCTTCTCGTCAAGGAAGCCCTACGACGACTATGTTGCCACCGACAAATCCGTCGTCCATGTCATCCGCTCACGTTTCGTGCGTACTTCGTCTCCACCCTACTCCGCGAATATTGATAGGATTTCGAAATAACCTTTTTTGTTCTCATCCATCGTTTCCCCGAAATGAATGTTTACGTCTAATTCGGGTCACATAGTACGGCAAAAACAAGGGAAAGGAACGCGAAGATGCCAATCCAACTTTTGTCGATACGGGCAAGTCGGCGGCGCAAACCTTGGCTCAGCCGTCTCCGATACATACGAATGGAACTGAGGCTGCTGCGGCCTCGTTGCATAAAAAGACGGGGCCTCGTGCGCGGAACAGTGTATATGGCCAGCCAGGGTCCTCTGCTGCAAAATCTGCTTCCAACATGCCAGCGCCATCACCACTACGGAAGAACACTAATGACGATGATACAACTGCGGTTTCCCCAGCGAGAAAGGCCATGGATAGCGTCACGTATGTCCTATACAAATTTCTTTATTTTCATGATATTGACCACGAACAGGGTGACGTTGGCGCAGCGATTGAACGAATTGGCAGTAGCGAATTCGGAGGGCTTGCTGAAGTGCGTGCTAACTTATTTCCCATTTCTTTGTGGCTTGACCTCTATCTTCCTTCCAGCGATGATGAATACCGAATGCTGCGGCAGAGTCTGTTTGAGAGATTCGCGAGCAACTCGGCCGTGCCTTCTGAGGAACCTATCGTTCCCGTTAGCCGACACCAAGCACGTGGAAGTGAAAGTAGTAAAAGATGTGGGTGGCTTTAATACGTCTGGTCGTGCATGCTCTTATATATGTACATTTTGCCGGGGTATCAGCCAGCTCACGGCCCTCTTCTAATTTTGTCGTTACCATTCCTCGTTCGCCTTCAGTACGGTCACGCACGTCAGTGGCCTCAGGCATGACGGGTCTGTTTCGGAAATCTACAGGTGGTCGGACACAGTCCGGGTCGAAAGATGTCAGCGACACATCTAGCGTTTTCTCTTCAACATCTAGTAGTTCCAACATTTTCAAGCTTCCCCGACTCATGAAGAAGTCAAGTGCATCGTCAGTGGCGTCCGCACAGACGGAAGCATCTCGACCGACAGACACGATTTCATTGTCTTCTCGCCGGACGGGGTTAAGCGCCCTCGAACGACATGATCATCCTAGTATGCCCCACCTTCCCTCCTCTCGTTCCACCACGTCAAGTATCAGACGATACGCTACTCCGCCCTCCGCATTTCCTGGTGCCAGAGCGCTTGCAACAGATCCCAAGTATTCTGGGACCATGAACGATGTCTTCGACGAAGGTGACCTTAAATCTTCTGAAGAGATAAAGCAAGAGATGGCGGCCGTCGAGTCGGAGCGAAAGCGTCTGATGGATGCGTTCCACGGGCTCGAGGTAACCGCATTAACCAAGAAACACCATCAGAGAGGAAAGATCCACGAAGATAGTAGCGCTGGTGACGCGTCGACATGGACCCTGATACCTGATTCACGGAGTCAACGGCGAATGGCTATGAGTAGCGCCGATAGCGATGTTACATCAATACGGTCGGGCACATCTATCAACACAACATACACAGGAAGACGGGTAGTGCGCCAGAAGACGACTTCGAGCCTTGCAACAACATCAAGACCTGGATCATTGCACAGAAAGAACTCTGTTTCAAGTGTGTCATCAGGGAGGGTTGCTGGTACTGGAGGCGGTGGGCTGGCACCACCACCTGTGCCTTCTTTACCCATGGGGATGTCACTCAACCATGGAAACACTGCTAGTGGCTCCAGCATTAACTTGACCAGGAGCTCAGGCCATCCGTCCATGCGTTCGGTGCCGGAAGACGAAGTCAGGTCCGTGGCTGATAGATCTACGTCTGGCAGATCTGACAAGAAGGAGACGGATGAGATGGAGGATGAGATGGAGCGGGAGATGGAGGATATACGGCGCCGACGGGAGGAAGTGAGTCTGCGATATGAGGCACGTCTCGAGTACCTGCAGGCCAAGCTGAAGGGGGCCCAGTTACACGAGAAGTTGATGAAAAAGTGATGAAAAGTGGCGTTTTTATTCCAAGATAAGATTAGATTTTGATGATACCCCGGGATTTTCCGTAGTGGATTTGTATATTATTGTTTCCTTTTCTGATTGGTTGTCGTTTGGCAGCCTTCTCCTTCACTCAGCTCTTGTTTGTGCCTTCTTGTGTCTCAAGTTGCGCTGGTCGACAACGACGACGACGAAGAGTCTTCGCCACCGTTGACTACAATGTCCAACTTACCCTCTCCAATGTCGGATGACATGGACGACACCGTGTCGTCGACTCCCACTCCTTTTAGCCATCTCCATCGCTCGATGAGCCATGGTTCGCAGTGGTCGGCGTCAGACTCGCCCCAGCATCACAACCAAGGAACCTCTTATCAGCAGTCCCCCCCATTGCGACAGGGTCCACCTCCCATCCTCTCTCGCAGCTCCTCGTCGCATTCTGTACGTCGTGAAGCTCGCAGTAGAAGCGTGAGCATTGCCGGCAAAGGTTTTCACGAGGACGACCATCTCAACGAGGAAGATGAAGATGGTGATAGCTCCGAGCATGCTGACAGGCGAGTTGGCAAGTCCGTCGCCCCCAATGACGACGAGGCTGCCAATGATGCCGATGAATCCGGCTCCGATAGAGAGGAAGACCCCATCACTCTCAAGGACCGACAGTCGCTCATTAATGTCGAGCACCCATTTGGTCTCCCCATTTGGAAGCCGGCACTGTACAAAAAATCGCGTTCAGTCACTCGCTACGCCGACGAAGCACTGCATTCCATCCCTTCTGCTCAGGCAGAGCGCCATCTCTTACCTGGCAACATTTTCTGGGTTGCCGTATTTGGTTGGTGGCTTTCCCTGGTATGCTTTGCTGTTTCTGCTCTGCTCTATCTCGTTCCCCAAGGTGGCAAGCAGTATTCTACGTTCGTATTTGGTTTGGGGTGGTACCTTGCGTGGCCTTTCGGGAAATACGTGGAAGGTGAAGGGCTTGATGAAGAGGCGGAGGATGAGGACGAAGATGACGATGACGATGCAACATCACACGAGCGCCATTGGAGTGGGGATTCTTCGCACACAGTCAGAGCGCCCGATTCCGACGATCAGTCCTCCAGCACCATCCGAGGCGCTACTTCTGACTCTTCCCCGAGAGCGCAACATGTTCAAACAATGTCTTGGAATTCTGTTGTCATTCCTGGAGAACACACTTCCCTCCTCCAGACGGTTTCGGAACTTCACTCAACACCACCTTCCAAATCATATGGAGCGACCTTATCCACCGCCTCTTCCGAGTCATCGGTTGGCGCTGCTAAAGAAAGTCCGAAAGCGGCCACACTTGGCAAAATCTGCTTCTGGCTTGGAATGGTCTGCATCATTGCCCCGCTCATGCTCGCCGTTTGCCTCATCTGTTGGGGTCTTATCGTCACTATCCCGATGGCCAAACTCAATTGGGCTCTTCTCACGCACATCTTTTCTCATCCTGACACCATACGATTCTGTGCGGCACCTCCAGCCGTCGTAGTTTCCGAGCAAGTAGAGCCTACCGATGTTGGGGATTCGGCATCCTCCCCTGAAGCCAGTCGTACTCACTTTTCACTTCAACATCCTCGCATTGCTGCAGGACAAGTCGCGCCGTCTGGTTCGTCCAAGGTGCTGCTTTGTACTTATCGTGCAGTCGGATTGCAGTACTATAAGTACACTGTAGGGGGTGTCAATATCCTGTTCGTCAACCTCATGCCCGTTGTGTTCTTCGTCATCTTCGATGGGTTGGTTTTACTTCCCATGGTCGAAAAGCTCGAAGAGCATCACAAGCATGTCCCAGGTTTCCTGGCTTTCATTGCATCACAGGGTCTCATCTTCATTCTCAGTTTGTCGAGTGTCATTCCTCTGTCGTATTTCATCGGCATGGCCGTTGCGTCTATCTCCGCCCAGTCTTCCATCGGGATGGGTGCCGTCATCAATGCCACTTTTGGTTCCATCATCGAAATCATACTATACTCTATGGCCCTGGTGCAGAACAAAGGGCATCTTGTTGAAGGTTCAATTGTTGGTAGTATTTTGGCGGGCGTGCTGTTGATGCCTGGCATGAGTATGGTCAGCGCCGCGTTCAGACGAAAGGAGCAGAAATTCAACGCCAAGAGTGCCGGCGTCACCAGTATGATGTTGATCATGGCCATCATCGGAGCATTAGCTCCTACGTTGTTCTATCAGACCTATGGGAATGTACGTTGTGTGTTATCGTTATATGCTTCGAGTCCAACTAACGCCTCGTAGTTCCAATTGATCTGTAGTGGATGTCCGTCCGCACCTGGACCTGGCGGTAGTAATATGCCTTGGATCTGTGATCATTGTTACTACAAACACCCGGACCCCGTCGATGATCCTTTCTATCAATCGACTGTGAAAAGCTTGATGTATTTCTGTGCCGTCATCCTACTCTTCGTACGTTCTCATGGTCATAGCCCTCTCGTTCTGCTAATGGACTCGTAATTTATAGTCGTATCTCGTCGGTCTTTGGTTCTCTCTCCGTACTCATGCCAGCCAAATCTGGCAAAATCCCCAGCAGCTAATGCATTCTGTGGAGCTCCCCATTCATCAACGGCAATCGTTGTACCACCGTCTCGTTCCGTCTGCCGGTGCCGCAAATCCTAACACACCCGGGTCTCTTCACCGCAAGGAGAGCCATGTCCATAGTCTCGGCAGAGATACTGCATCCCTCTCCCAAGCTCCGCTATCTCAGCCATCTACTTCTCGTGGACCTCCATCCCCTGTTCTACCTCGCCGAGTCTCTTATGCCAGCCCTCCTCCAATCCCTCCGCCTGTAAACTTTACGCCCGTCATGGAGAGTGTGGATCAAGCCGTGAAGAATACTGCATTACAACCTATGCATCTTCCTGAGGCAATGACTACTGATGATTTCACCAGAGCTGTGGCGGTAGCGACGGTTAGTGCCCTACGTCATCAACAAGCTCATGCTGCTCAGTCTCCGGGTCGCGCGCGCGCATCGGGTGCTGAAAACGAGTCTGCGTCTGGTGGTCATGGGGGGCACGATGCGCCGTCTTGGAGTCGCACTACCAGTGCTAGTGTCTTACTCGCATGTACTTTGTTGTATGCTATCATCGCAGGTTTGTATCTATCATCTTCCTATATTAGATTCGCAGATGACATTCGTTCTTTCAGAAATTCTTGTCGATGTCGTCGACGTTATTTTACAAGGTTCTGGGATCGACGAAAAGTTCCTTGGTGTTACCCTATTTGCACTTGTTCCAAACACTACCGAATTCATGAATGCTATGTCATTTGCTCTTAATGGCAACATTGCTCTCAGGTAGGCACCCGTTACTCCGCCATGCCATAGTGTACTCATCAGCATCCAGCATGGAGATCGGCTCAGCGTATGCTCTTCAAGTCTGTCTTCTACAGATACCCGCAATGGTTGCGTTCTCCGCTTATTGGGCCCCTGATAAAATGGGCGAAGTTGCAAAGACTTTCACGTGCGTACCGTACTGCTTTCTCCCATGCCCGGCAGTACCAACGATTCTGTAGACTTATCTTCCCTCGATGGGACGTCATTGCTATCATCCTTTCGATGTTTTTGATGACATATACGTACATCGAGGCAAAGAGTAATTACCACCGAGGAAGCATTCTCATTCTAAGGTAGTAATTCTTGATATCTCGTTGGAAATATATTAACAGACCTGCACAGTTATCTTGTTCTCACTGCTGGGTTCTTCTTTGCGCCTCATGATGGTGAGGGCGGAGATCAAGCCGACTCTACCACCATTCAGGAATTTTCGTCTTTAACCGGACTTCAGTACGCCAGATGGTATCTTTTATCCTGGTTCCATTGGTGGTTGTAATTCTTTTTCTCCTCTTACACGGAACCTAGCACGTATTTATCAGAACTCGGTCTGCCCCAGTTCGTTAACTCATTCGATTCATTTTTTATTTCCAATACTTACATAACGACTCTAACGAACGGACCACGACCATATTCCCTATTTGCATACGTACTTTAGACGATTGTCGATGACTGCTTAATATTGCATACGCGCTTAGTATGTGAAAATCTCATCTTTTGGAGCCATTACATACAAGTTGGAATAGGTGATCCTCGCTATGGCTCTTCGCCAAGACGTACTCAACTTACAAGAGGGAAGTTGATAAAATCCTCGGGAAGTCGGATTCTTTTGTCGTAAAAATTTTGTGAAGAACGTACAGATAAGTCTACCTTGATGTGACTACAGTCGTTCGGCAGAGAAACACGACTGGGTTAGCGCACTGAGCCTGCAGCGTGCACTCAAGTGCACCCACAATCGCGATCAAAGCTGGTGACTTGAATATAAGAGAGTAAAACGTGATTATGCTCTGATCTACTCTAATCTTTCCGGAAAGCGGAGTATTACAGTCCTGGACGAGGACACTGGTGCTTCTTAGATTCGCTCAACAGTGAAGAATGGTCTCGCATCAAGGCGAAGTCTAATGAGAAAGCATGCTGGATGAACGGACATTTCCCAATCTTTTGATAGCACATCTAGCGAGCAACTTCCTAGTCACCGTAGCTAACGGTATTCACCAGTGGTGTCTATTCTTCATCCGCAGACTAAGCTCCCCTTAGCGCTACGATCAGTACTAACGCGTGTATTCAAAGATTTATTTTATTCCGATACATCTTTGGGAAGTACAGTAGTCTGAAATAGAACGAATCCTATTTCATATTATTATGTTTCAAAACAGACCGAGAAGAATAATGAAACTCAGTCGTGAGTATCTCAATGCGTTGTAGAGAGATCAAAGGCCGTATTGAGGAATTGCTCGATCTCCTTCTTGTGTTGCGTCTGATAAACTGTGAGCAGGATACTGGCTTCAAGCGACAAAAGAAAATACCTTGCTTCCAGTAGCGACAGAGCTGGTGGGATCCCTACCGGCATACAACGGATACTGTCCTTTGTGGTTTTCGGTCTTGCTGGCAGCGGTGTAGATCCTAGGACCAACGTAGCTCCATGCACCGTTATTCAAAGGTTCCTCCTATGGAACAGTCAGACGCGGTTGCTGAGCTCTAAACGATACGTACCTGGCACCATAAGAGAGTGGCGTTGGGGTATTTGTCGAGGTGGGGAGTCAACTACAAAGTTCATCAGCTAGACCTTTCTTTCAATGATTATTGAGAAACAAACCATGTCGTAGGGGAACGGAGAGATCTGCTCAATTCTGCTAATGGCAATGTCGGTGATACCCCGTTCTTCTCTTGCGGCCATCAAAGTCTGGTAAACTTGGCCTGTCACACAAAGAACTAAATGGTAGCCCAAGGAAGAATTTAGAAAGATCGTACCAGTACACAAGATATGCCTCCTGATATGCTCAGGCGCAACTAATGAATCTGGGTGGCTGTCCGGGATATACCTCTGGAAGTTAGTTTCGCCAACCATCTCGGCCAAGTCAGAGCGAGCTTTAGGGTGTCGGAGAAGGTTTTTAGAGAAGAAAAGGATAAGCTGGAGAAGTATTGAATAAATTATACACTGCGCCATACAAACAAGTTGACCTACCGGCTTGCGGAAATCCCGGTGAATCTGGCGACGAAGAACATGGAACTGTGCATGTAACATGAGTATCAGCAAAGAAGCAAGAAAAGCATTTGCGCACGTAGTTGGCAGGAGTGCTACAGGAAGTGAGATTAGCGGTGTTCTACCGGGAACAATGACAAGGACATACGTTGGGTAGACAACTTGCATGTTACAGTCCTGATGCTGTCTTTCAATCTTCTCCTTTGAAGGGAAAACATTCGGGTGGTCATCGCAAAGCTGCAAGAACCGTTCGATCCTTCCACTGGAATGCTCGGGTCCCTGACCATCGTATCCATGCGGCAGACTCATAACCAAACCGGTCCTTTGCAACCACTTTCTCTCACCAGCAGCGATAAACTGATCGATAATACACTGCGCATTGTTGGCAAAGTCACCGAACTGTGCCTCCCACATGGTTAACGCATCAGGAGAAACCAGCGAGTAACCAAGCTCGAATCCAAGACAACCGTATTCGGATAGAGACGAGTTGCAGACAACGAATCGAGCCTGGGAGGAGCCGAGATCGTTGAGAGGGATGTACTGTGCCTCATTGGACTGGTCGTGAATGACGGCATGCCTTTGCGAGAATGTACCACGTTCAACATCCTGTCCAGAAACTCTGACGTGAATCTTCTCCAGAGCCAATGAACCGAACGCCAACGCTTCGGCGGTAGACCAATCAATGTTCGTACCTTCCTCAACGGTCTTTCCACGAGTGGCCAGAATACGTGCGAGGTTACGATGGGGAGTGAAACCAGCTGGGTAGGTCGAAATAGCTTTTCCAATGCGCTTCAGGGTCGCTTCGTCAGTGCCGGTCACGCGGGTGGGCAAGGTCTGGTCTGCCAACTGCTTGGGGGACGGGAATCCTTGCCATGACGCAGAAAGCCACTCTTTACTCGTAGGCACGTAGTCCTTCGCACCTGACCAAGACTTCTCCAGCATACCCCAAACCCATTTCTTGTGTTCCTCGATGTCCTTCTCGGTGAACGTCCCACGGCCAACAAGGAATTTAGTATACACGGTCAGGGGAGACGGGTGTTCTTGGATCGCTTTGTACATCCGTGGCTGGGTGAACATCGGTTGGTCGGTCTCATTGTGTCCATAACGCCTGTAGCAGACGATGTCAATGACAACATCCTTCTTGAACTTGGCGCGGTAGTCGGCAGCAATTTGGCAAACGAAGGTTACGGCCTCCACATTGTCACCGTTCACGTGAAAGATGGGAGCATCAATGGACTTGGCGATATCAGACGGGTAAGGGGTAGACCGGGCGAATCGAGGGTCAGTGGTGAAACCAATTTGGTTGTTGACAATCAAGTGGATGGTCCCACCCGTACCGTACCAAGGCAGATTGTGCATGCCCATAGTTTCGTAAACCACACCTTGACCAGCGAACGCAGCATCACCGTGAAGAAGAACACCCATAGCGGTGGAGTGAGTAGTCTCGTCTGCTTCGAAGTGTTGGATGGCGCGTGTTTTACCAAGAACGACTGGATCCTCGGCCTCCAAATGTGAAGGGTTGGCGACAAGGGATAATGATACTTTCTTTCCAGAGGGAGTAGGCCTAACGTAGTTTGCTCCAAGATGGTATTTGACATCTCCGGCCGGTGAATCATCATCCTCTGTACCACTGAATTCGTTCAAAATAGCCTCGATGGGTTTCCGAATGACATTAGCCAACACGTTCAGTCTGCCACGGTGAGGCATACCAAGGGTAACGTGTTTTACACCGTGGTCAACTGACCGATCTATGAGAGCTTTCATACCGGGAATAAGAGCCTCGCATCCCTCTAGACCGAATCGCTTCTCGTTGGGATATTTAGACGCGATGAACTTTTCAAATGACTCTGACCAGATGAGACGATCGAGGATCATCCGCTTCTCGTCAACCGTGTAATTCCATGGTTTGGGTATTTCTACACGTTCACGAATCCAGTCGCAATTTTCTTTGTCCGGAATATGCACATACTGAATGCCGACGGCACCGCCTGTAAAACAAGTTGGCATTGGGAAGTGCACAACTAGAGAACAACGCACAATATATCCGTTTCAGAAGCTTTATAATCTCGCGCAACTTCATCGTTTTTCGGTCCTCGGTAGCGAAATGAGGGAGGATACCAGGTCCAAGAGTAATGTCCTTGTCCAGATCGCGCTCCGTAAACCCGTACCTACTGAGCTCTAATTCAGGCGGGTTAACGTCCGCCAGATCAGCATCTAGAATTCCGAGGGGGTCCAGTTCAGCTACATGGTGACCTCGCACTTGGTAGGCGCGAACGAGCAATTGGACCTATCCCGAAAAATCAGACACAATCTTTGCACGTGTCCTACCACGCACCTTGAGATGGTCATCAAGCTCTGCCGCACCGCCAGCATACAGCGCAGGTGCTCCATCAGCTGGAGCAGCTACAAGACTGGGAGGTGGCCGGAAAGCCTGTGCACTGGGCAGACCCTTGTCCATACCGGAGAAATACGCGTCCCAGGACGCATGTACAGACTTCGGGTCCTGCCTCCAATGCTTGTACATTTCGTCGGCATAATACGTATTGGTACCATTAGCGAAGGGATCGTTGGGTGAGGGCGATGGGGTCGCATAGTCACGCCTTGGGGCTACCGAGGAGGGATAATAATGGTAAAAAGGAAGAACAGAAGGGCGACAGGCCCGCAAGCGACGCAGCGCTTGCCTGGAGAGCATTGCGAGACCGCCTAGTCTTCCGCGATGCTCGTCGTCGAGGTCGACAGTCAAGGATGAAGTAAACCGGATGATGCAACGTCATCGATCTCTTTCATGTGGCCCGAATTTCGCCGACGGCGACCGGCCTATTTTGAGGCTCACTCTTACTCCGCGCCTGAACCGGGCAGGCTACCTCTGCTCAGATGCTTTGCACCATTTATCCGAAGAACATAACCTCTTATGCTGCTGTAATGTCTGTGAGTAACCCGAGTTCATGGTGAGCGGCGAATTGAAGGTTATTCTTTGGCACAATCTGAACTCTGTCTTGATTCATGAAGCGGCCGATGCAAGCCGACGGTATGACACTGATCCCTAGAGCCAATCGTTTCTCTTCAATTCTTAACTCGTGCGTTCAAAAGTTGTTCTGCAAGTGCCTTGCGCTTCGTTTATGAAAGTAATATTTGTCGCCAAATCATTGTTCAGATATATATAGTACACTTCATATGTCTCCCAGCGGTGTAGCGTGAGGAATCAAGGCGATAGCTCTCCCGTTCATGACCCTTGAATAGTTATTCCGACAAATACATCCAAAATATAAAGTACAGTCCGTATTATAATCTATCACTATTATCTTTAAGGCACACCGAATCATATCTGCCTCTTGAAATCTTTCCTTTCAAGACGTCTATCAAGTGCGTCCTGCCTCATCTCCATTGCTCGTCCAATCTGTGCTCTCCGCATAGCATCGAGTCTCGCACTCATAGGATCCGAGTCGCAATCATGATCAAGGTCGCCTCCTTCTACGTCTTTCGGTAGTGTAGCACAAGACTGAGAAGCCGGCTTGTTCATACTAGGCGACGCAGGCAACTCTGAACCGTCATCCAGTTGCCGAACTTCGCTAAGCTCAATGTGCACCGTAATCTGCCCATGAGATGTCGTAGTCTTGGGACCATTACTAGTGCTGCCTGATGTGTTATCCGTTTTCCCGCGCGCATGTCTATACAACGACTTGACAGCACGGATTAATGACTGCGCATGTTTAATCAGCAGGTGGCCAATGGAGAGGATGCAATTTCTCACTGGATCGGTAGCTGCTAGTACTGCATATACTATGGCTCGCCCACCATAACAAAAGTCGTCTGCGATACGATGAGCTTCGGTGCATGTATCACGAGTTCACTGGACTCACTAAGTAAAAGTACATTGTATGCCTGTACCATTAATGAGCGTGTTTCATGGCAGACAAAGTACCTTGGAACTTACTGTCTGGGATTGTGGCGTGCCATGTGAAGTCGACGCATATAAATCGCACGCAACAGTTACAGTGTTTATGATGAGAGACGCGAGTGGGTATAATGCTGCGACTTGAAATCAGCACTGAGATTGTAGACTGAAAGAAGAATAACCAACATATACGAATAATTACGGTCTGATAGGTCTTCGCGTGGGTTGCAGGTACCCTAACAGTTGTAGTGTTTATCGACTGAGCGCGGGACCTGGTGCCTGTGGAATGTGAACGGCTTCTGACCGCATTGCCATGAAGAACCTTTATACGCATTGTAAACATCACCGCCACAGATAACGCTAAAGGGCGCCTCACCTGGTGCCGAAGCATATACCCGAGAACGGCGAAAAATGTCACGAACTCCCCGACCACACTAGCCAGGCTCCAGAAAATCTGCGTACCAATCTACAACAGGTCTCGTAAGTCTCTGACAGTTCGAGCGAGTGATAGTCTAATTCTTACCTGCCATCGGAGACGGACAGCGGTATCATCGCTTGAGTACCAACACGCATCGTTTATTGGATCCCATCTACAGATCTTTTAGCATTTCATTTAACAGGAACGAAAAATTTCATACCCATACTGTTTCGTAGCAAATGGGGGAACGGTAATAGCGACTGCAGCCGCAATACTCCCAATGATGTAGTATTTCTCCATTACCTGACCACGAACACCGTGAACGAGAACTAATCTGTCAGGGCATAAAAAATCACGTCGATCATGACGCTCAGAGAATACGCACTCGAGATTCAAGGCAATGCAGAACAGTAGGAAAGTTGATAGCTCTAAGGTTAACTGCGCATATGAATTAATCATAGTATGAGATCTCCGGTGGATTAATGAAATTATCCACCCACCATCAACAGCCACATCGCAACGTTGCATGTTTCGCTGTCATAGGTTTGTAGTCCGCTGACTGTGGATGCAATTCCAAAGATCATACTGTGTCCATGCAGGTCAGAAACTGTGTATTTTACCGAGAGAAAATTCTAAAGACCTACTTCGCAATTAAAGCATAGATCATTATCCGGAAGCTGACGCGGTCAAGCTGATGCCTAGATACTGGGTGGATCATAACGACGGCTATGACCAGCAGCACCAGAAAGCAGAGACCAGCACCCAAGCTAGAGGTCACCGCCCATAGCAGGTTTCTAGGCGAATGGGGATCAAAGAACGAACTAAAGGAGAAAAGCAACGTATACGCACGATACACGGTTATCAGCATCTGTAAACACGAACCCGCCGCCTGACTGTCCCATGGTTAGAGATAGACTGGTATAAGGAGACCGGGGGGTTGTTGCGGGAAAAGGGAGAGAGCCACCATAGATACAAATACATCCTAGTTATAAAACCCGACGTGTAAAACCGAGTTTGTATTCAAAGCAGCAGGGCGGGTCGATCATAGATGTCAGGATGGTTGCCGCGGCCTCCCATGTTATTTCCAAAAAACTTAGGAACCCGTCGATCAACCAACCTTAACTTTGCTTCCACAGACTTCCAGATACTATGGGAACTAGGGGGATCTAACCAGAAGCAGGAGACAGCATCAAGCGAACGAAGCTGAACGTAAAGAAATCCAGAAGTCCGTCGTTTAGGATAAGTACCGACCGGTCAGAAAAAGCGGGACTGTTCCGCCCCTATAGCGGGGATCATCTACAATTTTAACACACGGCTCGGAAGGCACGCTGAATCAGTAAAGAAAACCCGCAAGGTCGCAGGAGCCAGAGTTGCGGGCTAGGTCCCGAGAGCCGAGCATGCAATTGGTGCGATATCTTATCTCGTAGAATGACGCTGAGCTTGAAATTCCACATTCCATCCATCGTTGACGAAATGCAGTCGAGACTCGTGAAGCTTCAGGGAGAGTAAGAGAAGTAAAGTAACTCCGAAAATTGAAACACCAGTAGCCGACAATTCCGGTGCCCATCGGGTTCCATCGGGCCGACACGAACATTCGAACATGCTTGCCTCCAAGTTGTTCATAGGTCGCTGCACACGTTCCGGATTGCGTTTCTTGCAAACACAGCGGAATGTAGCGGGTGGAATACCACCTCCACTCAAGGGTGTCAAGATCCTTGACCTGACGCGGGTGCTCGCAGGCCCTACCGCGACCATGCTACTTGCAGACTTAGGGGCAGACGTGATCAAGGTTGAACAGTGTGGAAAAGGCGACGACACGAGTAAATGTTTCTTCACCGCAATGATTGGTTCCTGACCTCCCCTTGCCCCTTCCAAGGAACGTGGAACGCTCCCTCAGCCCCTCTTCTTTCTTCAGCCGATCAAACTCTTCCTCCCGAATCCGCCTACTTTTTAGCAGTCAATCGTAACAAACGTTCCATCACGATCAATTTCAAGTCGGATGAGGGTATTGCTATCTTGCACAAGCTCGTCGCCCAGTCTGATGTACTTGTGGAAAACTATATTTCCGGTAAACTCGCTGAAATGAAGCTGGGGTGGGAGGATTGTAGGGAGATTAATCCACGCTTGGTGTACGCTTCAATTACTGGTGGGGTGGTTATTTAGGTAGTGCTTGGACCCCACGCTGATCGAACTCTAGGCTATGGACAAACCGGTCCGTATAGAAAAGCAGCGGGCTATGATGTGATTATTGAAGGTGAAGCGGGGTTGATGCATATGTATGTTGTTTTGACCATTCTGTTCGATCACCCTTGAGCTTGTCTTCTTCAGAACAGGTGAACCCAACCGTCCTCCGTCCAAAGTAGGTGTAGCAGCCACCGATATCGCTACTGGTCTTTATGCACATGGTGCAATCATGGCCGGACTGTTATCGCGCCAGCAAACTGGAAAAGGCGTTTGGATAGATTGCAACTTATTCGAGACTCAGGTCAGATTGTCCCCGAGCATCATCGATCGGTTGCCTTTCACTAACTAGTACCTGGTAATAGATCGCGGGATTAGCAAACATAGCATCCAACTACTTGATCGCCAACAAAGAGGCCTCCAGGCACGGTACTGCACATCCATCGATAGTCCCTTACCAGGTTTTCCCGTGTAAAGATGGCTTTATCATGATAGGCGCTGGGAATGACAGGCAGGTGCGTAATTCTTGCAGTTGATGGACTCGTTTGGGTTAAAGTTCCCTACTTTAGTTCACATCGTTCTGTACCAAGATTCTCTCCCGGCCCGACCTTCCTGAAGACCCTAAGTTCTCTTCCAACATCGTCCGCGTTCAGAATAGGGAGGAGCTTGTGAAGATAATCACTGATATCCTCATGACGAAGAATCGCGACGAATGGCTAGCGATGTTTGAAGGGATCGGGTATAACAGAAAATGTCAGCTTTTACCTTCTTCCGTAGACTGATGGACTGTTCTCTCAGTGTTCCGTACGGACCTATCAACAACATTCGGGAGACTTTCGAACACCCTCAGGTATTTGATTCAGCTGGCACGTTCGTCTCTTCTCACATCTGAAATTCCTTGCAGGCAATCGCAAGGAAGGTGACAGTGGAAGTAGACGTAAGTGTCTTCGTTTTGGCGGTATCTACCCTTTTGATGGCGCGAACCATAGCATCCACGTGCAGGTAAGATAAAACTGGTCGCACCGGCTGTATCATACAACGGAGAGAAGATGCCTGTTCGTTTGCCGCCCCCATGGCTCTCACAACATACCAATGAGGTGAGTGCTTCTCTGTGTCATCTACTTTTTCGCCATGGGAAATATGCGCTGGCAGGTCCTGGGAGAGCTGGGATACTCGGAAAGCGAGATCAAGAAGCTTAGAGAAAAGGGTGTTGTATAGACTCTTGTCGCTTTGCTCTATTCATAATCAGTAGTTGGATTCAAATAATAGAACAGAAACCAACCTTTTCAACTAACTAAACGTATGTGACCCACAAGCATGTATTGGGTGTTCTCTCCAGGGTAGCAATATCAATCGTTGCTGTGGTTGAATTGCTGCATAAGACTGTACAATAAGAAATCCCCTACACCTATAATTAAATAATAACAGTTCGTGTTCAGAGAGTAAGTTGAATAACATACAAGCCTACGTCCGCTGCTCATTCCACTCCCTCATCTCCTTCGACACCCAACAATCCTTCACTGAAGGATCCTCGTACATCTCAATCTGCTTCCTACCCTGCCTCATGAGATGCTCAATGACACTAACCTGCCTCGGCGAGACATTGGTCGCGTTTTGGTGAAAGTTGTACCGGACGAAGAGGAGGAACTTTGCTCGCGTTGACGGGGGTTTGGTTTGCACCATTCGAAGGGCCCTAGGAGCTAGTACATGAGACTTGCATTGTACAAAGAACAATCCATATGGCGTACCGTCTGTAAAGACTCAGGACCTCTCTTTGAAACCCTGACCTCCGGGCCATGGAAGTGATTCAACTTTAAAGAGGGTTAGTCAGCATAGTCCGTATGCTCGGTCTTCCGGCCCGAACTCATACTTAGCGGCAGTTGCACACCTTCTCCTGGCTGATTATTCTGATAAACATACATGTAGTCTATGTTTCGCGTTGCCTTATAAGTCATCATTTCTCAGTTGTATGAACTAACATGTGGGTCATGCGAAGGTCCTGCCGCAGCCAATATGCTCTTTACATCTCGAAGACCGTGATGTTGAAAGATTGTCACCGTGCATGTGGTGAAGTTGGCTCACACACATCTCAGATGTAGCTATCTGGGTAGATAGCGCGTCCAGAATATTTTGCACACAGATAAAATGAGTCGTAGACAAGGAGCGATGACGGACGAAAATTACAACAACACAATAGCTGACAAGTGAGGAAAAGAAAACCAAGATAGAAGATGAGAACGAGCCTCGGCTGGAAAGGCTTTATGGCAGTAGTTGGGAGAATACGCTGTCATTGGACCGGACTATTATTGCCGACCTCGTCCCGCGTTTGGCATATGTGTAGAACAATAAAATCCTCCCACCCTCCTCTGAAAATCCGTCTCGAGAACGGTCGGGGCGTCGTCTGTACATGTAAAGCGTATGTTCGTCTCCTTTTCCTTCCCCTAGGTAAAATGGTAATGGTGTCCTTTCCGTCACCTCTACGTACCTCTCCCAACCCCTGTAGAAGGTGAACGTACTGGAAGATAAACACTTGACGAAGAAGCGTACTTGTAACGTTAATCGTCGGCTGGTGGGCCTTCCACGCCCCTCTCCATATACCATTTCTTGAGCCAGCACTCGGCAGCATCATAATCACTCTTGACTTGCGCCAAAAGAACCGTGATCCTGTCGAGTGCTTGCGTATCGGAAACATCGCCATCATCGTGCTCATTACGAAGCTTGCCATAATACTGGATCTTCTGGCATGAGACCTCGACGCGGGCCACGCCGATCTGACCAGATGAGCCTTTAAGGAAGTGACCAAGAGATGACAGCTCTTGGAGGTCTTTTGCTTGTCTGTTATGTGTAAGTCAGCGTACTACTGATGAGTAAAGGTACGCACAGTGCGCTGTCCATCTTCTTGAATGTACTTCGTACTTGGGTGAAGTAAGCCCAAACCATGGAGGAAGAAAAATCGTGTGTTTCATCCTCATCAAGATCAAGAATCTGGCGAAAAGTGTCCATATTGATGGTTGTGGGAGATGATGGAGCCTAATGAATATGAACGATAAGAAGCGGAGAAAAAGGTAAGTTTAAGAGAAAATAGGGCACCTTTGGGGCTGGGGTTTCAGCTGAATCGTTGGATTTTGCTGAGTCGTCGGGCGATGGAGATCTGGCGATAGTCTTTACTGTCGGGCTGGAGTCCTCATCGGACGGCGGCCGTTCGTTCTTTAGGGCAACATCGACTGCAGCGTGGTCGACGGGTTTCAGTGATGGCGGAGATTTCGAATCGGTCGTGACGAGCGGGGTGGGCGACGGGGGGCTTGGCTCAGTAGCTGAAGTCGTCACGGTACGGGACATGGGTGTAAGCGGTGAACGGAACGTCGGGCGAGGATTAGGGTACGTCGTTGATGATAGTAAGCGCTGGACGTCACGAACAACGTCGGTGACAAAGATGAATGATGAGCGTCCCTGTACGATGTCGTCGAGGCCTGCCCTCACTGATAGTATGATAAAATCCGTCTGCAAGAGGCAACAACGCTAGGCTCTATCACACATCACCCTGTCGGATGCTTCCGCCTCCGTCTGACGTCATCTTCCCCCCTCAGTGGCGTAACTGTTATTCAATTTATTGACATTATATTCTACATATTCCATCGATTGTCCTCGTGTTGCCAGTTGTTACGATCCTTCCCCCTACTATACATGAATCATCCATGGTACCAGTTTCATCCGTGCGCAGCCTCAATGAGATGAATTCGCTGCAAGACATGGCGGTCAAAAGTCGCACATGTTCAGTCATAAGACGATATGCATCTTAACATTTCGCCGAAAGTTCGCATAGTCACCGGTCATTCAGCCATGCCGTCAAATAAAGAGCTGAATACATTCGAGGCCCTTTGGTTGACACACGGCCATTCTAGGTCCCATAGCTGCGAAAGCATGTTACGAAACAGTTCGAAACACCCGGCCCAAATTTTCATACTACCCTGAGATCATCTCTCCAAACCTTTCTACACTCCTTTTATCCAAAGTAGTGTATTGTATGAGCTTGTGTGAGCACAGTATATGGAAATAATATATAGGAGCAGTCAGGGTAGGTACACGCGCAGTCCGAGTTACTTGTAGGCTAGAATTTATTCAATCATCACAGGCACAAAAGGTGGCAAACGTGTTTTTGTAGAAACATCCGTCAGAAAGCGATTCTGGACCTGCAGCTGACGTTCTAGATATTCATTGATGCAAGACATCACTGGCCTCAAGTCGGAAGTGCGAATAGACCACATCACATTCAGCGACCCAGCAATGTTATGAAAGGTAGAATGGAAGACCGACAGAATCGTCTCCAGCCGGAGTTATGACGAGGGTATGGTCCGAGACGTCCTCACTTGAGAGCGACAGCGAGGTTTCGTGTAACAGACCTCTCCAAAAACGTCCCGAGACGGAATGAAGTCGTACGTACGATCTTCGTACCTGCCGAAGTGGAGCCGTATAGCCTGGGCATGCTCAAAACAGTTTGGCGCCGTTGAGAGGATAAGTTCCGGGGAAGATTTTGGATGTCAAGCGAATCCAACAGGCAGCTTCGCCGTCTTCGCCGTATTAGCTTGCTATCAGGAAGGATAGGCTAACCGAGTTAGATATACAACAGATCAGAGCACAATCAAAACACGTTTCATTCTATGAATAATTAATTAATCAAGGACCGCGACTTTGGGTCAAGCACGCACTTAATGCAATCAAGTTTCCGTATACAAGCTTTCCGGACAAATGTACTCGCACCAAGGTGGTTATTTATATGATAAAAAATAGGCTTCCTGAACAGCATTTCAACATTGAATACACGTCATGCGGAACGAACTGTCTTCCCTGTTCGTCGCGAGAGTAGTTATATTTCATTGAATAATGTTCAGAACCTTGCCACTACGCATACGAAACGCCGTCCGCTCATCACAACCATGCCTGAATCAGGTCCTAGATAATTCCAGATCAGTCTAACTCTCTCGAAGAAATCTTGTGATTCACACCTTGGTCTGCCATTGAAGACTCCTATCATTTCAAAACTGACGAGGCCACGCTCACAAAGCATAGGCAACTGACTCTTGATGGCGTCCACCACACTAGGGATCTCGTCAACGACAGAGGAACGCACGGTGATCTCCAAAGACACAGAAGCCAGTCCCAGAACATCATCCAATCCTGACCAGACGGAAAAGTCTTGAGTGGTTGTGGATTGGACCCGAGTAAGACAGATATATATTTGCTTCGGCAATAAGCTCGAGGGACAGTTCTGGAGCACGCTGATCCAGCGAGGAAGGAGGCAAAAGGCGTGCGTACTATCTTGAAAGACGTTACAGTCACTTAAGTCGATAGTCAGACGATGAAGGCAGCTGATATCCAGGTCTACCGGAAGGAGATTCTGGGGCATCTCTGGGATGGCTGAGGAAATTAAGATCCATCATAGAAGTTCTATGCGGCTTAAAAGGGATATCAAGCTCACCATGATATATTTTTTCGATGATATGCAAATGCTTCAGGTTTGATTTTAGAGAGTGCAGCAGCAGTTTCAGACTGGCCCTATCGTTGTTCCCACGAATGACCGAACCATTACCCTTCCAGTATATGGTATATTGGAGGGTTTGCAGTCGGTCCAACGAGAAAAAGCCGCATGACCCAGAAATAAAGCCTTTCAAAACATCTATATCAGTTGAACGGACCGTCAGGGTGTCGATATATGCGGATACTACGTTTGGTCGGCATGCCACAGTACAAGGGAGTGTTAAACGGTCGATAGAAAGATGCTGCAGCTGTCGTGATCCCTCAAGGAGATAGCTCAAACTGAGAAAACCGGGCAATTCCGTGCACTTTAAGGAGATAGATCGATAAGAATGCGAAGATAGGGCAACTTTCGTCGCGCGAGGAAACTTTATCCACTGAATATCATGAAGCTTGAGGTGCTCCACATTTTTGACCAAAAGGAGAATATGGGCAAGGCTTTGGCTGGCATGCAGATGGCTTCCACCTCGGAGTTCAACACGCTTCACGAAGAGCGGCAGATGAGAGGAGGTCGTCGACTGTGAGGTCAACTTGAGGTAGTGTCTACACGATCTGTGGCTGGAAAGTCGGAGAACCTCAAAAAGATAACGGCGAGTTCGACAGACAAATGTATGTGAGACTAGAGAGCAGGATAGTAGGGCACTGCGACAATCATAGAGTTCGTCGATAATTGCATCTACGAGTTCTTGAGGAAGGCTAGCGTTTGGCTCAGACATAGACCTGAAAAAAATATGAGAAACAGGGCGAGATATCGAGGTTAGATATATGTTACTGACGAGTATGTGGGGGTCAGAGCAATAAAGCGCGGCAAAGACTTGGCAAAGACGGCAGCCAGCTCATATATTGCATCTGCCGAAATGCCGTATGTCCTTGACTTCGGATATTCCCGAGCAGTCTCAGCGCCCCACGCTCTTTACCTTTGTCTACTCGAATATCTGTGCGTTTCTTTGATAAAATTTCCAGTATACAGTCACTTACTTGACTCGTGGTACAGACTAATTGCACCATGCATACTATTCGGGGGAAAAGTCTTCGAACGTATTCCTCGCCTATGGCGCATCTCTTATTCTCGAACTCGTTGCCCTCCGATTCGGACAAGCCCATTATCCAAGGCCTAATTGCTAATGCCGAAGAAGCACTTCTGGATTTTGACCAGCAAGCGGCCACGGTCCGTGCCAAGCTTGCCCAGTATCTGGACTTCCATCGATCTCTATTATCCCCCATCTGTCGCCTACCCGAAGATGTCCTTCTTGAGATATTTGAGCACGGTTGTGCAGAGTCACGGCGCACTGTCTTTGACTTCAATAGTATGCCGTGGCTCTTGACTCGCGTCTGTAGTAATTGGCGGTTGCTTGTTCGCTCGAGTCCCACACTGTGGCGATTTTTCCGTACCGTAGCGAAGGATTACTGCAGGTATAAAGAGAGCCGTCAGTTGGAAATCGCGAGTGAATTTCTGCAACTCTCAGGCCAGTGTCCTCTTCACATATCCATCGAGTCTGTGGACGTGCCCTTCCTCCACCTCCTTATATCTCATGGAATGCGATGGCAGACTGCTTCCATGCCCCCCGTGTCTGAAATATCTCGCGATATACCGGCGACAAACTTTCCCTTGCTTCGCAGAGTGACCATCATGGATGAACCGGACGGAGATCTTGACGATTTCTTTGAGGTCGACATCTTCCAAAATGCCCCCTTGTTAACAGCCGCCACGATATACACAGAGGGTGAAAGCTTGTTCAAGTTCCGTGCATTGACACACCTGACTGTGTTATGCCTTGGTGATGATTGGGTTGATGTGGTTCGTCAGCTCAAAGTTGTCGCGTCCACCCTGACTTGTTGCACACTGTCGTTTCAAGCTCTTGACGACCGACGGGACGTTTTACGCCTTCCTCCCTTACCAGATGTCACGCTTCCTCACTTGTTGAGCCTCACTGTGCGCGAACCACTAGGATCTTATCCTTCAGAAAGAGACTATTCCAAATTCCTCGGCCATCTCACCCTTCCTTTACTGACATCGCTTGCATTCCATACCGTTCGACACCACCACAACGTTGCCGATGCTGTCGTATCGCTAATTCGCCGTTCTCGATGTTCCCTTACGTCACTGGCGTTTAACAGCCGGGAGATGGCACCTATACTTCGCTTAACCAGCTGTTTGACGCATCTCACCCTAAACTTGCGGATCATTGCCAATGGAGACTTTAAATGTCTTATGCACGGTGACTCCTCGTCTTTGGTTCCGAAATTAGAGGTCGTCACTCTTGATGTCGGTGCCCCGTTCGAATATAAGACTACTGGCACCGAGACCGATTCGAAGTACGTCAACCCCACCGTCGATATCATCGAGTCGCGATGTCCTCATGATATCGAAACACTGAAAGGCGGTGCAGATCGCCTGCGTGTTCTTCGATTTCTTTCTCCAGAGTACAGGAACCACTTCGTGATTCAGAAAATCACCGCTAGGTTGAAGAAGGAGCAAGAGAGGGGCCTGACCATCGAGTATATTAATACTGAAGTTAACATTGATGAAGTAGATTGGCCATCCGGGTCTTCAGAAGACGATCCATCGTATTCTTCCGATTCAGATAGCAACTGGTAAAATTAGCAGCTTGGCAATGTGGGTTGTGATATATCTATCCACTTGATACGATGTATATTGTATTTGTCTCTTCTCAGTTTACCTACAGTTTTGCTCTTAAAAGTTGCAGAAGAGACACAGCGTCGTCATCGTCCAACTCTTCTCGAGATTCGAACTCCATTTGATGCATCTGGCGCCCCGTTAAAGGAGGGTTGTGCACTGTGGTATCCAACGTGGAAGTTGTAGAGAAAGTAGGAGCCGGGATTATATGGTAATGCACCTATTCTTGGTTAGAGAGCTGCCACATCATGATCCATCGGTGCACCCACTTACATGTGGGACTGCTTGTGCATATTCTTGGTTGCATACAACATTCAAAGCGGTGTTGTCCAGAGCTTCATTGAATTTGTAAGGGTGGAGATCAAACCTGCTTCGATACACTCATACCTTGTGTCAAAGCATGAGCGATTTTGGTTACGCCGGCTCCCAGCGCGGCAGCAAATTCCGGGGGGAGTTCCGATAAGCGCGCACAATGCACCTTTGGAATAACTAGAGTGTGGCCCTTGCGTAGGGGAAGGATATCTTTGAAGGATAGGTAGAAACTTTAGAGACCCGTGTAAAAGACTGAACATGCGCAAGAACCTAGGATGGCAATAATCTTATCATCCTCGTATACGCGTCTGGAGGGAGTTTCGTTGTTGATGATTCGACAGAAGGCGCACTCAGGGTCCGAATGCCAAGCTGAAGGCTTTCTGTTGACGTGTGCTTTGATAAGGAAAGAGGTCATAGTAGAAGGGAAACCTTGCGAAGGGAGTCAGGGTCATTGCGAGTTTCGCGGTCATGGGTTGATCTTATCTTTGATATCGTCTTCAAAGCTTTCTGAGGACTCAATTGATAGTATCATTTAATTAGTACTGATACTTGCTTATATTCATCGAAGTTTATACACGGTTATGTTGGTAAGTACTACACCTTGTCTGGTGAATCGCATGACATTACTAGCTCGGACACACACTCTATGTGTGTCGACTCCTTTCGATGCCGCTGGGAGTTGCGTCGCTGAGTAAGAGATCCAGCGCCCAATGGTCTGGAATCCCTCCCGATTTACATGGAATCCCATCCGATAATTCCGTGCACCGCAAGTTCTGCGACTGGATCGGAAGGTGTGGGAAGACAAGGCTATAATATGAGCACGAAATCACAGGTCATTGAGACAAGAATAAAGTAGCTCCTAAGGCTCTGGGTCGAATTTGTCGATGAGCGGACGTTGCAAGCAAGCATTATCGACGGCGAGTCGCGGAGCACATGATAAAATTGTTAAGGGTAGCACTAAGTCCAAAGTTCCATGTCGGTTGCGGCCCGTCAAACTCTGGTTACGAGTTGGAGATGGGCAGATACCGTCTGCAATGGGCGGGCGTCGAGGATACAACGTGAAAAATGGGACCAAAACAAGCCGAGAAGATGTCTGACACAGCATTCAAGGAATCAAAAGTGGATCTCGGGATAGATAACGGGAACAGAGTAGCGTAAGACCGAGAGGCGATGGCCGGTTTGCGATCACAGAGAATAATCTTACGCTAAGAAAGGGTAGTAAGTCCTTCACCAGGGCCCGTGGCATGAGCAGTACAATGAAAATAAGTGAGAATCTAGAATGCAGGAGTGATGAGTTGCATCAAGGAAGGGCAAAGAAACTTCGGAGCGATGCGAAAGGACACCGTGATGGTCAGATGGGACCCTGAAAGCAAACCGAAAAGGAAAGGACACAGAGCAACAACACGCCATTTGGTAAATTCGGAGCCACGTCGAAGCGTGGGGCATTCCTGGGCCTCTTTCCTTTTTACTTCCATCACCGCTGCACTCACGGCTCTTCCTGGACCTATATATCTACTCAGGTAACGTCAATCCCTTTCATACACCTCTGCCGCCATGGACGTCGAGCTCAACAGTACAACCCATTCTCCAGTGCCGTACTTCCTGGCCGCCAGCATGTCTTCGACGTCTTCCTCCGACGTCTTCATCCTCGTTATCGGCGTTGTCCTCGCTGCGGCCTACCTCTTCCGTGATCAACTCTTCGCTGTAGCAAAGCCGAAAAAAGTTGTAGTGCCAACGTCTACGCAAGCCGGTGATGTGAACCCCAGGGATTTTGCGGCCAAAATGAAGGCAGGGGTACGTGGCCATCGGGTCTCCTTTTACATGTCTTCTCATCTAAATCACACAGAACAAACGCTTGGTCATTTTCTACGGATCACAAACGGGTACAGCTGAAGAGTACGCTATTCGTCTCGCCAAAGAAGCCAAAGCCAAGTTCGGTCTGACCTCTCTGGTCTGCGACCCCGAGGAATACGACTTTGAGACATTAGACAGTCTTCCGGAAGGCTCTGCTGCTATCTTCGTCATGGCTAGCTATGGCGAAGGTGAGCCCACAGATAACGCGGTCACTCTTTTGCAGAACTTGAGCGAAGATTCCTTCGAGTTCAGCCAGGGTTCTCACCGACTGGAAAATCTCAAATACGTTCTTTTCGGGTTGGGTAACAAGACGTACGAGCATTACAACTTGGTCGCGAGGCAGGTTGACCAATACTTGACTGGCATGGGTGCTACTCGTATCGGCGAGCGTGGCGAGGGTGATGATGACAAGAGCATGGAGGAGGACTACCTTGAGTGGAAGGATGGCATGTGGGAGGCTTTTGCCAAGGCCTTAGGTGTTGAGGAAGGTCAAGGTGGCGACAGCGCTGACTTCGCAGTTTCGGAATTGGCATCTCACCCGGAGGAGAAAATTTACCTCGGTACGGAGCCTATTCTTGATTGGTCGTTTCGCACTGACAGGTTGCTTAGGCGAACTTTCCGCACGCGCTCTCACGAAGACAAAGGGCATTCACGATGCCAAGAATCCTTATGCCGCTCCAATCGCTGTTGCACGGGAACTTTTCTCGGTGACCGGCGAAAGGAACTGCGTTCACGTTGAGCTTAACATCGAGGGCTCAGGCATTACTTATCAGCATGGAGATCACGTCGGTGTTTGGCCCACTAATGCTGAAATCGAAGTCGACCGTCTTCTTTGTGCTCTCGGTCTTTACGACAAGAGGGACACCGTCATTGGTATTGAATCCCTTGACCCCGCACTCGCCAAGGTCCCCTTCCCTGTTCCAACTACATATGCCACTGTCCTTCGCCACTACATCGATATTAGTGCTATGGCTGGCCGTCAGATTCTCGGTTCCTTCTCTAAATTCGCTCCTACTCCCGAAGCAGAGGCTTTCTTAAAGGAAGTCAACTCTAACAAGGAGACTTACGCAGATGTCGTCGGCAAGGGATGCCTCAAGGTTGGAGAAATTCTCCAGACTGCTGCTGGAAACGACATTACCGCTATTCCTTCGACGAGTAATACCTCCGTTTGGAACATTCCTTTCGACTTGATTGTGTCCTCCATTCCTCGTCTGCAGCCCCGGTACTACTCCATCTCTTCTAGCCCCAAGGTCTACCCCAACTCCATCCACGTTACTTGCGTTACCCTAAAATACAAGTCGGAGGGTGAGAAGGTCCCCACCCGCTGGGTGTACGGCGTTGGTTCCAATTTCTTGTTGAACCTCAAGTATGCTGCGAACGAAGAGACAGTTCCACTGGCTTTGAGCGCCGGTATCGCCAATGCAGCTCTCCCTGCTTATGCCATCGATGGCCCCCGTGGTGCTTATCGTCAGGAGACCATATACAAATCGCCCATACATGTCCGCCGGTCTACGTTCCGTTTGCCAACCAATCCGAAGAGCCCAGTCATCATGATTGGTCCTGGAACTGTGAGTGCTTAACAATAATTCTCCGGCCGTTTCTTACGCGAATTCTCTTTGTCAGGGTGTCGCACCATTCCGTGGGTTCGTGCAAGAACGTGTAGCTCTTGCACGCCGTACTCTTGAGAAAAACGGGCCGGATGCACTTGCTGACTGGGGCAGGATTACGCTTTTCTATGGATGCCGTAAATCAACCGAGGACTTCTTGTACAAGGAAGAGTGGCCGCAGTACCAAGAGGAACTCAAGGGAAAGTTCACGCTTCACTGTTCCTTCTCACGAGAGAAGTATAGGCCAGACGGCAGCAAAATCTACGTGCAGGACTTGATCTGGGAAGACCGGCAGAACATTTCTGATTCCATCATCAATGGAAAGGGATACGTATATATCTGTGGTGAGGCGAAGAACATGAGCAAGGCTGTCGAGGAGGTTCTGGCGAAAATTTTGGGTGAGGCCAAGGGTGGATCGGCGGAAGTCGAGGGTACGGCAGAAGTCAAGATGCTGAAAGAGCGGTCAAGACTTTTGCTGGATGTCTGGAGCTAAACGACTAATACAGAGGTTGTGTTAATAATTTCATAGTCAGTTATGGCCCGCGACGCCTGCATTATTTCTCTCTAACGACGACATTCCGAAACTCACTATTTTATATTCCACTTATTAACGGGATGCCCTGGATGCATTGACTACATAGAATGGAATAGAATATTATATTCTATACGAACTACCTATTGTACGAATTCGATGGGAATTCGGCCCGGATCATCGAATTTCGAGCCAATTACAGGTCGATGAGTATGCAAGTGCGAAGAGAACAAGCTAGTAAGAAAATTGTACACTCTAACTTGTCTTATCCTAAGCACTACATGTTTATCTCAGAAATGAGGACAGAATGCACCGTACTCCGAGACCCCCGAGATGTACCAGATATTGTCGTTATGTATTAATTATGTACTACTCTCGAACATATCATAAGTAGATAGGGTGTACAAACAGAATGTACATCACTCGCGCCAGCTTTCCGCAAAAGAGTCAAATTGACAGCCCAAACTGCTGAGTTCCAAGCAAGACATGAGATCACAAGAATGGTTGTATAATGCATACTCGAAGTCAATGATGCGAATAACCCCCTTTGCATCTCTCGTGATATTCCTGGGCTGGAGATCCTGATGGGCCATGCCAATAGAATGAAGGGCTTTGCAGTGATTCCAGATGACCTTCCTATTTAAATATGTATAGTGAAAACCAGAAAAGAACCAAGATACGTACAGCTCATGTGGACTAAAACCTGCTCTCTCCCAAGAACGATCCTTGAAACATTCATTCTCTCCACCATTAGCCAAGATTATGGCGGCCCAGAATTGGTCGGGCATGGCAAATGCGCCATAGTAGGCAGGAGTGATATCGAACAGTTGATGGCTATGAAGGTATTGGTAGGCCTTGATCTCTTTCTTCATCACGTCGAAATGCCGCCGCGGATACATCTTGACCACCAGTGGAGAAATGCAGGAGCCGTCGCTAAGGGTGCCACGCCAGACCCGAGCATAGTTGCCTCGATGAATTTCCTGTGAGATGGTCACGGACCAAGATATTGGATTAGTCGAGATGGACGGAGGAGAAGATACCGCAGGGCTGGGCGCAACAGAGCTGCTAGCACTACCAGAGAGTGACAGAGGCGGTAGGCCAACGGAATTACCCAAGGATAAACTCCCATAACGAAAAAGTGTGCGAGGAGCCGCAGATGCGCCAACATGATCCACATAGAATAACAGCTGGAAAGTTGTGTAAAAGATGGGTGAGATGACTCTATGATGAACGCACTGCCGATGGTGGGGGGTCGATAATCACAACATCTTCTTCAATAGGAGCCGGTTTGTCCTGTTTCGGCTTGGACGAGAGACTCAACCTTCCCGGGGAGCGCATCTTGAGAGGGTTTGCCAGTGCTGGCAGCTGAGGAATGGCGTCCAGGATGATGCCAGGAAGTAGTAGACTGGTCAGAACTGCCAAAAGTGGAAGTCCACCTTCGTCGTGGGGCGTACAGAAGTCGTACACGGGAGGGTTGTCGTCATCAAAAAGATGGTAGTGCGGGGACACCAGTAAAGCGTGCTCTCCACTATTGTATGTCACTTGAAAGTAAGTGAGACATTAAACCAGGCATCAAACAGAAAACAGCGCACCACGTTCTGTCAAAATAGCGGATATCCCGCTAAAAAACAAGCCGAAATCTGCCTGTGGCGTAAAGGTGTACTCGCGAAGCCATATCTAATGTCAATCACTTTCAATATCTGGGCGAAAGACACCGCGTTGGCGACACTTACTTGGACGGCTATAGCCCTACCGCCCTCCTGACCTATAGGTTCATAGACCTGCGACTCTTGGAGCTCCGTCGCGTACCGATAAAGTACCTGAGGATGATTTGGGTCCGCAGCGACTGCTTTGATTATGACGTCCGGATGGTCGAGATTTTGGGTTAGGAAATTCAGTTTGCCTGGCTCTGGATGCAGTTGAGCTACAGAGAGGGGGCATTCAAGGGCAGAGATGACTTTTGAGACAACCGCTCGTACGTTTTGCAGTATCCATAAGACGTCGTATTCGCTTTCGAGTTTTTGACTTGCAACTTCCTCGAACAACATCGAGATGCTCATAGTAACGGTGGGGGGTACTGGATCATCGATTACGCCTATTTGCTCTAAGAATGTCTTCAACGGACGAAGTGCTCGGTCTTGGAGACTGGAATCCAAGCTGCTCTGACGCAGAAATTCCTCCGGATCCGGTGGTATGTTGGCAGAATATGGTACTGTTTGAGTCGAAGCGGGATCCCTAATCCTGGGATGAGAAGGAAACCGCAAATTTAAAAATTCTCGCCAGGATAGCGACAGGGTGGTCATGTTGGAAGTTTAAGGATGACCGCTGTACATAGGGGGATCCGACTGCACAACAGTAAGCTTAGATAATAAGCTTCGCTCATACTTTATTAATTATTACTTACCAGCCGGGATACTACTAAGTAGAACGGAGTATAGGAATAAGTATTATGTTCAAACCGTATATACGAAATTGGATGTTCGATGCCAATTCGGCCCGTAACGCGTAACGTGTTTAGTACGCCTTGCTTATTCTCCGTCGAGTTCCTTCACCTTCATGCTCCGTGCGGCGTCTCGTGCGTCGAGAAATTTTCCCACTCGCTCCTTCTCGACCACGCCGGCATGGAAATCAGCCCAGCCACCCTCGCCAGACAATACGCCACCTCGTCATGAACCCGGATCTCCCGAGGCAGATAAACAACCGTCGGACCCGTCGTCGTCCAAGGCAGAACCGCCCATTGACCTGCAACAGGTCAAAAATCGCCTTCTCGAATGGACAGATCAGGCTGCTATCACACTGCGCACGAGAGCCGATGATTTCACCGAAACAACGAAATCTACCTTTTCTCAACTGGGTGCGCAGTTGAATAAAGTCACTGGATATGAAGAAATAGAGGTCCTTAAACGTCAAGTGGTAGAACAAGGTGCGTGTAAGTCGTGCACAAGCCTATTCAATATCTTTGCTCTATTGGCTAACTCGTATTCCTCTAGAGGCACGAATAAAGGCTACGCGACAGGCACGTCGGGACGCAAAGATTGCCTACGACAAAGCCGTGGCACAGCGGTCTAATTCCCAACGTGAAGTCAATGACATGCTACAGCGTAAACATACATGGAACGACAACGACGTCCTCCGGTTTACCGCGGTCGTCCGTGAGGACCACACGATCGAGCATGAGGAGGCGCGAGCAAAAGCCGCTGTAGACGACTCGGAGGCAGCCCTAGACAGGGAGTTCAGCGAGCTCATGCGGGCGATTCTAGGAAGGTACCATGAGGAGCAGATTTGGTCCGATAAAATCCGAAGTGCCTCGACATATGGACAGCTCACAGTTCTGGCGCTCAATTTACTGGTGTTCATCATGGCCATTCTGTTCGTTGAGCCGTGGAAGAGACGGCGGCTTGCGCAGACGTTCGAGAAGAAGACAGAGGAGTTGAGTAGGGAGGCGAAGGAGGCTACAGAGGCGGGGTTAGCAGAGATTAGGAAGGAGTTGGAGGAGCAAGTTAGGGTATTGACGGTGCTAGCAGAGAATGCACTTGGATTAGAGAAGGAGCGGGAAGAGGTTGCTGAACGAGAGAAGCATGCCATTACGAAGGTCGTCGAGCCAAGTCCTCCGAATTGGGACCAGCCAATCGTCGCGGGCGGAATTGCTGTCGGAGCATTTGCTGCTGCAGCTCTCAGCTGGCTTTGCTTCGGTCGGTGATACATCAATACAGCTATACCATTGTATGCTTTGAAAATAAATGTACACGTTACAAGACAGTGGAGGATAGTTAATTTCCATCATGGACCTCCGACTATTAGGTGAACTCTTGTTCCCCACGCATGGTGCACTTCAGGCTTTGAAATTATAGCACCCATGTTCGCCACCTGTTCAGAATCTTGTCCCAGCTCGTACCCATACCATTCGGCAGCAGCCTTGGCCCAGGCTCGTGCAGCGGAAGCGCTACAATGAAAATGGTTAGTCTTCTACCCCGAGAAAGCATGTAAGTTGTCTATTTATTGACTTACTCAGAGTGAGACAACGCCACCAGGGCAGCATCAGCAAATAACTGTCCGCGTTCGCTGAAATACCCTTCTTCATTTGTCAAGGTCCAGATGCGCCTCACAACATCAATCGCTTCAGCGCCGCTGATGCTATGCGTCTCCCATGTAGAGAATAGCTTGTATAACGCAGAGATTGAGTTCAAACGCTCGTCGGATGCGTGAGATTGGGAAGGGGGGAGAGAACAGACCGAGCACGTGCAGTCAAACCCGTAGTGCTCTAAAAGAAACTCCCTAGTACGTGCTTAGCTCGATAATAACAATCAGTCAAAGGCTGGAGGGCACACCTTCGTTCTTTTCTGGGTTGCTTTGTGTTCGTATACGTTGTTAAAAGCTCCTGAATGTGCGATTATCTTTAAGATGTTTAGTGGTGAGTGGTGTAACTCGCTACGAACCTGGCCTCTGGAGATATTTTGTAGAGCATGTACAACAATTTCGCCTTCTGCTGGACGCCAAGAATAGACAACATTAAACGCGCTGGAGCATCCGTGATTCAACCTCGCCATGCGAGGGAATATTCCGATACCCTCTCCGGCTGCAACAGCGTTGGTCTCGAATATAGCTAAGGCAACCTCGTCTCGATGTGCCTCGGGATCCATGTCCTTAGGAAAGTTAACGTAAGAGAGATTGAAAAATGCGTGATAGCCCAAGTCTTTCAACGACTTGACATGATGCGAAATCAGTGCAGCAGGCGAATCAGAGGCTGAATATGATCATCAGATACTGGCACCACCCAGGGTAGAGAAAATACGGACTAGAGTAGGGCACAATAAACAAAGGCTTCTCTCGAATCACCAGTTCACCTCGCTGCGAAAGTCAGTTAACTCTTTACCTAACAATAAGACGTCTTGCGACATACCTGGATATCTCGTGTAGCAACTACACCTTTACCCTTCCCAGGTAGATCAACTACCTCAAACGGAGGACTGTTTCTTTGGTTGAAATAAACATCATATAAGAAAGCAAAGAATATGGCGACGAAAAGGGTCATTAGAGACCAGAAGATCCCAAGCTTGTAGCCTGGAGTCTTCACCGCGCTGGGTGTGGCATTCTTTGTGATACTGGGAGCATTCTGTGAGCGGGCTTTTTTTGCTCTTGCCATGGTACGAAATCAAGTTGATCCACAGCCCATGATGGAAACAAGAAAGAGGCGCGCGAGTTCCCCGAAGCGACGCGTTCACCTCACGTGCGGCGTACGTCATGGGCATTTGTCAGTCAGGCGAATCCTCGATGATCATGCCGGTCCGTCGAAGCTGTACGTTGAACGTCGGCGACGATGAATGCGACAAGAATTGTGTCAACTTTCCATCCACCGTCCGCCGTTGTTTCTTCCTGCAAGTGTCGTCTTTCATCCACTGCTGAGCATCTTGTTGTCGCCAAGCTCAATGCTATCGAAGTCCATACCATTGAGAGCACTGGATTGAAGCTTGCGTGTACGCTTCAGATCTGGGGTAAGGTCTTGTCGGTGAAGGAGGTACCTATAACTGTGCGTTTTGCATTTGAAACACTATCTCTTCTATTGAGCTTTTTTGTAGGATTCGGCTCGGTCAAATGTTGTGGTCTTGCTTGATCAGCCGGAACCAGAATTATTGTTCTTATCGTTTTCTGAGAGGGAGCAAAATCTGAAGCTGGATAAGCAATTGTCACTATCTGAGCGGAGTCCGAGCCTTAGACCAGCCGAGTTCTTCACCGATATCCTTGTCGACCCATCGGGTCAGTTGGGAGTTGTCAGCTGCTATCAAGGAAAACTCAAGGTCTTAATGCTTGAGAATGGAGTCTATGTCAAGGACGTCGATATTTCGTGCGTGTTTCAACCTTTCATTGGTGATTATTGGCTCACTTTGAACTAGAATACCCGAGAACAGTATTCTCAGCATGGCACTTCTCTCCTTGCCCGACGAGACATTCGCTCTGGCGATACTTCATGTAGACAATCGCCGTCGACTTCAGCTTCTGGCACGGGACCTAACCGGTACGGATTGGGACGGCATTCCTGATCTATCTCAAGACCCATCTGTCGTGTTGCACCAGACTATCATCTCCTCAGAGGCGTTTCCTTATCCCGAGGACGACATTCCACAACTTATTTACGTCCCAACTCCCGAAGGCGCCGATGACAACGATGGTATTCTCGTTGTTGGTGGAAGAAAGATTATCTTTTACGCGTTGAATAACATACAAGCGCAGAGGAAGGTTGAACAAAAGAGGCGAAAGTCAGCCGCTATGAGGCAGAGTGGGAACGAAAACCAAATAAAGGAAGCCATAGCAAAGGATAAGGAAAGGCAGGATAGGATTAGGCAAGCGAAGGGAACGGTTTTATGGCCATTTGGTGCTGTTACTGCGTAGGCATTCTTTCACTTGGACGGGGTCGTTCGTATGCTAATGTGTGCTTTAGTGTCTCTTCAGTCGGAGACGATGCACTCAAATTCCTAATCGGTGACTCCTTCGGACGTCTATGCTTACTATCTCTGGCAACGTTCGATGAGCATGGTCTTGTTCTCATCCCCCTCGGAGAGGTATAGTTGTGACGACGCTACGTAGTAACCAGCCCGTACTAAGCCATTCTTCAGACCTCATCTCCAAGAACACTTACGTACATCGCCAATCAGGTTGTCTACTTGGGTTCTTTCAAAGGCGACTCCCAGCTTCTTAGAATCCATAATTCGCCAGTGTCGTCGTCTTCCATAAATATCTCCCGCGATATCCCGACGATATCTACATCTGGGCTTGTCACCTCTAGCAAAGGAAAGCAAAAAGCCACCGGCGATGAGTTACCTAAAGAGAAAGGAAAAGGTGATCAGGACCGAAGGGACCTACCTTGAATTGCTTTCATCATTCAAAAACATCGCACCCATCTTGGATGCGGTCCTGGTGGATTTGTATGACTGCGGCCATGTAAGTATTCGTTCATAGTTCACTTCGTGTGTCTCACCTTCTGCGCAGCGCCAAGTGGTAACATGTTCTGGCGGTCAAAATACGGTTCAATCAATATCGTCAGAACAGGCGTGGATTTCCAGGAACTCGCTTCTATCGCTGTCTCACGAACGTGGTCAAGATATGGCCTGTTCGGGATGAATACAAAGACACCTTGCATACTGGAATAGTTGTTTCGACCTTGGAAGAGACTCATTTCTTAAGGTTCAATTCTTTTTCGACGCTTGTCCTGGAGAATTCCGCCCTGAACGGTTTTCGTCGCCGACACTCCTACGCTTTGCGTTTATAATATAACAGCAGAGAGGTCGGCACGTCGTCTTATAACAATTCGTCAATGATTGTGCAAGTTACACCGCGCGGCGTCTTCCTACTTGACAAATTTATACAAATAGATCATTGGAAGCCGACAGGTGGTGCTGATGTCGTTGCTGCCAGTGTGAATGCCAGCCAGGTTCTCTGGCGCTTACAGGGGGCCAGCTACTTACGCTTCAAGGTCGAAAATAAAAGATTCGTACAGGTCGTGTAAGTCTTTACGTTGAGGTTTATTTTACATTGGTTAACCACCGCTTTCACATACAAGACAAACCAAGCTGTATTTTGCTCAGATGCAATTCCTCCGCAATCGAAGTCAGTCGCTACTATCAGTCATTCTTACTAATGAACTGACAACATAACACTAGGCATGGTCCTGATACCTATCCGCCCTGGCTCCCAACGGAGATATCATGTGTTTCTTGCATTCCTATGAACGAGTCCAAGTACTTTTCTATCCAAGTAGCTGCCGCGTTCTGGCACACAAATCAGATCAAGATATATAACATCGCACCGTCAGGATTTACTTTCCAATACGAAACTCCCCAACTCCCCGCAACTGTCCGATCTATCCTCTTTTATAACTTTGGTACTACAGAGAAGAACGGAGATAACTATAAGCCTTATCTCTTGGCTGGCCTGGCTAATGGGACTGTGGTGTCATTTGTATGGTCAGGGAACCAATTTACGGAGATGAAGCTCGTGGCGTTAGGGAGCGGCCCAGTAGAGCTCTCCCCCAATAAAATCGGAGATGGGACGCGCGCGGTGCTGGCGGTTGCTGACAAAACGATGGTCATTTCATGCCCGAAGGGACGACTGCAGTATTCGCACATCATACTTCGGGGTCCGTTTCTCTCGTTGACAGAGATCTTAATAAATGCTGATACATTTTTCTGCAGGATGTTTCTGCGGCCGCTTTACTGAATTCTGATGACTATCCATCGACACTCATTTTGGCCAATGCAAATGGTTTGGCTATCGGCAGAGTGAAAGACCTTGATAAGCTACATATACAATCAGTCAGTGCTTGTTTCGTGCTTCTCCACGTGGATATTGATGTGGACTGTTGCAGATACCTCTCGGACTTGACAACCCCATAAAAATTACCCATGTACCGGCCTTAGGTGTTTTTGGTGTTGTTTGCACTCGTACAGAACCTTTTCGAATTGGCGATGCGGAATCAACTCGTAGTCTCTTCAAATTACTAGATGAGACAACTTTTAAAGGTGAACACTAAACCGTCGTCCTTTTGCGCTGCTCAACTCTTGCGTCAGTTTTAAGTGAATTCTCCGCCAAAGACAATGAGACAGTAGTCTCGATGACGACATCAGAATATGGACGTAAAGGGCGAATCAAGGATATTTTTCTGTCTCGGAGCATACGTGTATGAACCTGGAGAAAGCGAGCCGACTCGGGGGAAGTTGATCGTCCTCGAAGCACATAAATCTGGTCCAGACGCGACGCTTTCTCCGGTTACATCGGCTGAGATAAACGGGTGCCCGTATTCGCTAGCGACGACTACAGGCGGCCTCATAGCTGCCGCGGTTCAACTCTTCTGTATGTTACTCTTCCAATTCACGCAGCTTCTCCTTACTAGTTTGATGGCAGGTATTACTGTATCGCTTAACAATCGTAGAGAACGAACCGGAACCTTCTGCTTTCTCTCCTTATCGAAATTGTCTGTCTGGAACCACAACTACAATTGTCGCTAACGTGGTGGCGCGGGGGGATGATTGCCTCGTAGCGTGCGACTGCATACAGTCCGTCTCTCTGCTCCAGATCACGCCAGGACCCGGGGTCGCGTTTGGATATTATCGCGAGGGATTATGAACCACTATGGCCGTTAGCTGTGGAGACGTGGCGAGGGGAAGGGAATCATTGGGGCTAGTGTAATTATTCTCATCTCTAGGGACAATATTACTTATGCGTTTTGTATTTTAGGATGCGTTTAACCTGTTTTCGTTCTCATTGGACACAGGTACATGCTCGACCGGTGCTCAATCGCGACGGCCTTCTATCATATTGGTGACCTTGTATCCAAGTTCCTTCGAGGTAAAATTTAAGCCCCTCACCGCCAGATAGTGGTAACTGATGATGGGTGGCTAGGCTCCATTACCCCCAAAGACGACAGTACCCTGGCTCTGAACCAACACACTTATTCTGTACCAGCTCCGGACGTATTGGGGTTATTGTCGACGTGACTGACGAACGGCTTGCCGCACACCTGAGGACCTCCGGTGGATATGGGGCAGGTGATTTTCGGTGTAGGGGGCGTCAGCCACGCACGTTATCGGGCTCCGAAGAACACTAGGCCCAGACCCGTCGACGAGGCTTCGTATGGCTTCGTGGATGGAGACTTTTTTGGAGCTGCTACTCACATCAGATCCAGAGTGTGTTGAGAAGATATTTGGCAATAATTCGGAGCTACCGGAGGGAGGACACGCGGAAGGTACTTGAAGCGTTGCAGAACATGCATTAGATTTATGGAAAGAAACATGTATGATTAAGAGGTCAATTGTATTTGTGGGAAGTTGTGGATGCTCGGTCTAGTAATGAGAGTATAGCGTTTCTTCCAAAGGCTAAGTTCTCTCTAGCGAGTAAGTTCATGTTGTACGAAGATGGTAACTTGCAGGTAAAGATCACTGCGCCCGTTTGTATTCCATATAGCGACTCAATGTGGGTTGTATGATTGAAGAAGGAGGCACTACCAGGAGAATTAGGGGAATTAGTCACTTTTAAGAGACACGAGGAAGGCCCGGGCCATCGAGACAAAATCTTCCGCACGAAAACGTAGCCGGCAATCTCGATACCACGGGCCTGTTCGGAGGCAGTGGCTGTGTCACACATGGTGCTCTGCAGGCTGAGTTAGTTCTTGACCAGGGATACCTCGATGCACCGAATCAAACGGCGGACGAGTAAGCCCATCATCAAAAGCCCGCTGTGCAAACCCTAATATCTCGTCAAGACAAACTTTAGTTGAAGGCACTCCAATCTTCGAAGCCGATCGCCAGCGACACTAAGGATTCTTTCCCGCGCCATGCCGAGTCAGACAGAGGTTGTAACTTGTCATGCGCGTTCGTATTCTAGACACATGAACAAGTGATTAGTGAGTAAAACTCTAGAGAAGAGTAAACTTCATGTGCGTACCCCAGCAAGCACGTCTTGGACCTCCCGTAGATCTTTCCAAATAGTTTCAAAATCTATGCACTCTTTGACAACCGCACGCCCCGCTACCAAGCTCCTCCCTGAGAGCTGTAAGCTCTATATCGCGCTCCTCCTTGACAGCTGCAACCTTAAGCTCATTAAGACGCATTTGGATCCGCTCTTCAATCTTTTTAACCATCAAAACTTTCGTTAGTATACCATTGAAGAAAAGAAAACTCACCGAGACTCACATTCAGCTTTAACTTCATACCATGGTGGCGACAGAACAACATACGTTTCGCTGATATCAGCATGTAAACCGCTTCGAATCGGTTGAAAAAGATTCGCAAGATAGTGTATACGATTTTTCGTCAGACACGTTCTGTACTAAGTATACAAGGTACAACGGAAACATCACTCTCCGCCACCCTTCTGCAAGAGACTCAAACTTGCGCGCCAGACTGTCGAGTTCCAAACAGGGCCGTAGAGCAAGAGTGATCGTAGGATGCACGCTCAAAATCGATAATACAAAAAACCCCCTTCTTGTCCCTTGGGATGTTTCGGGAGAAAGCATGGAGTGTCAATGGACGAATTCGACTGCAAGGCCTCATAAGTGATACGCTAGGCGAGGAGCCGGAGATCCTCCAGGATGATCTATGTAGAACAATAACTGGGAATCACGTCAGAAGGATGAAGTTGATTTGATTCACAGACGCACCGCTGATAAAGTCTGTCGTCCGGACTCTGAGAGAGCGTCATGGTGAGAAATATTTGTCACGTCAGATCCGTTCGAGGAAGTTGAGAGGTGCGTCAGACCAACAGGATTTCTCAAAGCCGGTAGCGGAGCAGGAGCATCCACCGTGACACCCGGAAGGAGTAGACTCGTAAGAACCGCCATACGGACGCCGCCTTCATTGCTGACATCATACGGGTACGGATTATCATCGCCCATACAGATGGGAGTGCGGGGACAACAACAAAGTGCTGTACGGGTTACTTGCGAGCGAATGAGCCCGACATCCTAGACGTCAAAGGGAAATGGCGCACCTCGCTCTATCAGAATAGCAGATATTCCCATAAAGAAGATGCCAAAGGGTGTCCATGGGAAGTGTACACTGGAAGCCAAGTCTACGGCCAGTTACTTTCAGTGACTGGGTGAATATTGAAGTAGACTTACTTCAGCAGCAATGGCTTTGGGGTCTTGTTGCGCCCCAGGTTCATATACTTGCGGGCGCTGAAGCTCGTTACTGTAGTGACACACTACTCGAGGGGATGCTTGTCTGAACAGCAACTGCCTTGATGTCTTACAGCTCATTGTCGGTACCTTGGTGAGTAATGAAATCCACGTAGCCGAATGAGGGAAAATCACGAGAAGGCGTTCGTCTATCCACGGAGAGGGTATTATCAAGGGCGTTGAGGACTTCTGAGACGATGGTGTGTATGCAATAGTGGATGACCCATGCGGCATTGTGTTCGTGTTCGACTTTTGGGGTTTTGGCTTCCTCGAACAAAGTATGAATTTTTGAGGTAACGGTAACGGTGAAAGGGACTTGGTCGTCGAGGATTCCCATCTCGTCAAAAAGCAGCTCCAAAGGTCGAAGGATTCGGCCCTTGAGATTGGGAGTCAACACCACTCTGCCGGAGAAATTCGATCGGGGGTATGTATGGTCGCGGAATACGGTTCTGTGTCAGCAGAAGACAGATCTTTTATGTTGGTCCTGGAGTGGTACGAGAGCGAAGACCTAGGAATTCTTGCCAAGACAGTGTCTCTGGGTAGTCGGACATGATGACATTGAAAGTGAAGAAAAAGCAGGCAGAGGGGCCAAGGTGCTTCGGCAAACTCCGACGCGTCTTGTCCCGCCAACGACACTCCGAAATACCTCACCTATACCCAATACTACCGCCGTCGCTAAACCAACACCTTTGCCGGTCAACCAAAACATAAACCTCAGAAACACGTTGACTCTATACCTTTTTGTCGTACAATGGCAAGAACTTCGTTGAGAGGACCAGTATAACGTACTTGGAGGACTGAGCAGAACCGTACTCAAATTTTTGTAGGGAAGGCGCGGAATGCCTCCGAGTTGCTTATCAGGAGAGGTACCGCTGTCTTATGGATTCCGATAGGATCTGGTCCCAAGAAGCAGGAGGTACGTGATTCCCTTCATGAGTATGGCTTGCACACAACCCAGATGTTATCAACTCTGTTTACCAACGGAGCATCTCCGACCTGTCCCTTTGACTTGCAATCCGTTTCTCTCAGCAATCGTCGATCGCATTCTCGATGAACCATCGCATGCTTGCACCCACTCCCGACAAAGGCTATCCCCTTTGTGAACCCTGCACTCTAAGAAGACAACGCTGACAAAGCTGGAATTACCTTACCGCTCCTGTATTGACCATGTCCCATTCAGGGGTACGACCAGCCTATCGTCTTAGGGAAGGCTAGCGTTCCCCTCCGCGTTTTTCACACTCACTCATTGGTACTGGGTGGGTCGGTGGAGTATTTGTTGAAGAGTGGGAGTGTGCGTAGCGGCGCTTGGACGGTAGCTTGTCCGATGTTTATGATGATGTCACTTTTTTTTCAAGCCTGCAAGTGAGGCAGTTGAGTAACAGAAGCTCCCCTTTTTCGACTGATACTCCACTCTGATCGTCGCATAGTCACAAAAGCAAGGGAGAATAATGTAGCGATTGAGGTTTTGAGGTGTAATTGTCCAAGAGATCCATCGGTTTAATAAGGTTTTTCCCTAAGAGTCCAGGAGAGTTGTGGTATGTTCACCGTGAAGCCCGATCAGGATGATAATCAGTACGTTCTAGGCTGATAAGCAGCCTTCATTCTAGACATGGCTACTATTTGGTTGATTTCAATTCAACCTACATCTTGGATGATATCTTGTAGGACTCCTAGGATAGTTTCTCATCTGCCTTTGGTTGATGACTTAGGCTGAAGCCTGTGGAGATTGTAGGATGAATTTACATCTTTCCAAAGGATGATTATCATCCAATGATTGGCTGAGAGGGATAAACCCTAAAATGTTATGATATTAACTACAGACATCAACGAAACTGATATAGACATGTATTACGAGTTCCGTGCGCTGCCGCTTGATGGGTGCTCAGCGATGGTGCGTTGAATTGGCGAGTGGAATTTTGCTCTAAGTTCATTCGAACTCCGAAGAGATCACGTGAATGTTGATATCGCGTGAATTCAGACTCCGACTTCTTGTCATCCCTGCTCTTTCCCTCGTCGTTGTGGCTGCCTCGTCCAATTGATCCTGTATTCTAGGGCCTGGGCGGGTACCTCACAGTCTTTGGTGACCTTCCGAATTCTCCTTCTGACGCTAGATTCTTGGGTTGTCTTTATGTGCGATGACTGGTACTCGGCTACTCTCTGCTCGCTCTCTCCCATGTCCCAGACAATCTTCTAGTGATGATAAATTCTGCGCAAATAAGTAATACCTCCATGCATGGTACGTGTTTCACCATCTGAACATGAAGCTTTGCTAATGATCTCGTACAGCATTGTATTATCTCATCTCTTCCTGGTGCGCCGCATTTTTTAGCGATCCTTGCGAGGGTACTGACACAGATTTACAGCTCTCGGTGCTAGGCATGCGTGCTCTCAGGTGTTAACATTTATCTCTGGTATTTCAGACCTTACAAGTCTGGTCTACCTGCATTATTCTCGTGTGCACGGTTACTGAGAACACGGTAAGGTATCTCCTTTGTAATGGGCTCATACGACGGATCTGGGTTATATATATCTGGTATCATATCATATAGCGTAGTATTGTGTTAGTTCACAGCCTAAATGAAAATGGTTTTTCTGTTACCTCTGCCCTATAGATTGGTTAATATTCATGCAAATATTGGATGGATAATCAGCCTAAAATTGGTCCTGATTTCAGCCTGATGTTGCGTGAGAATCATCCAAAAACACGGTTCAGCGGCTCTGGCGGGCGTAGACTGAAAGTGGCCATTTTTGGATGATAAACATCCTACCGAGCCTAGGTTGATACTCAGCCTACGAACATCCTGGAACCGGCTAATTGTAATCCTATATTAGACTGAAAGCCTTGGTTGACTTTCATCCTATCTTCCCTTCACAGAGGTTATGGCGTGCAGATCGGTTTAATGCACTGAACAGAAGTTTTCTATCTAATCAGGAACTCGTTTTCCCAAAAAGTGGCGTTTACTTAGGATTTAGTATACTACACGTTTTCTTGCCAAAGTATCGTACTACACTATTACATGTAGGGTGACTTACGGTCACTGCTTTCCCGAATTTTATATGATATATCGAGGGGATAACTTCGAGCAACTGTGCGTTCGATATTCCATATGATACCTAGGTATAATTGCACCATAGATTGGCAGAGAGTATCAGAATAACTTAGGTTCCACTGTAAGAAAAAGGTAAGTAAGAGCTCCAGCATGCTGAAAAAATGCACGAACAGTCACAATCATCCTCTGGATTGAATTTCTCCTGCAGGCGGTCAAATTGTCCGATGCCCAGACCCTCAGGAATCGTGGAGCGGTCTTTAGACTCAACCCAATCACCGAGGTCTGTTTTTTCGCAAGTAGCAACCGATTGGCGGCGACAAAACACTTCCTTTGAGGCCATAATTATGGCCATAATAGATGTCGACTTCGTGTTCCTCGACTTTGTCCTTTTCCTTCTCTAGCCTTGTTTCGCTTCCAACGATGACCCGACTCGGGTAGCGGTCATCGTCTGGAGGGAAAAAGTAAACCTTTCGCTTCTGTGCAGTTTCGGGTAAGAAGAACACCTCCTTGGGTACCAAGACAGATGGAACGCTGCCATCCGGATTGCCTTTGTTCGGGTTGAACAGGCAGATACGGTATACCTTCAGCTGGGTGTCACTGCAGGTGAAGTAGAGCTCCTTGGGGGTCCATGTCAACGTGTAAGGTGGGTTCGACACGGAGGTGTACGGCTGAGCACCTAAGGCTACTCTAGCACGATGGATGAGAGTCGGAGGGCTTCGGCTGGACTTCTTTCCACAGAGATAATAAGTAGACACCATGAGGGCGAGCCGAACGGGTTGGTCGCCCTTCTTGCGTTGCTGAGGTCTAAGTTGTCCTTCGAGGCAGGCCACGTGTAAGTATTGCCCACATAGGGAGAAGCGACACTTCATGAATATCTGACGTGCTATTGTGACAAAGATAGAATTAGCATATTTTACTTTCGAAGACTGAGACGAAAACCTACTATATGCTGTTGAGGGCCTGAGTCTTCGAGAAAAGTACGTGTTGTTCAGAAAATCTGCGAACAGGACGTCTCCACAACCGAGTGGCCAGACAATTAAGGAGCTCGTAGGATGGATGACAGGTGGTGAATCGTACAGCACGTAGCGCACCTGCTGCGAAAAATGGAAAACCTTTGCTGTTGAGGGGGAACGAGTATCGAAGACGGTTATAGAGGTATGCATCCCCTTTTGATAGGACCTCTTTGTGGTAGAACCATAGAAGCGGTGGTAGTTTACAGGCCTATCATCGTCGGATGACTCCTCATCGCTATAGATAGCGCGTCTCCTCTGCTGAGAGGAGCAATCGTCATCGTCATCATCCCAGAAGCAATCTTCGTCATCACTGTGCAGTTCACCGTATCCGACAACAGCCGAGGGCGGTACATAGTTGGATTCATCAAACTCGGAGTCGGAATCAGAGTCTGTATCACCTTCCATCTCCATCGCGATTTCTAGAAGAACTTCATCAACGGTTGGTGGATTCTTGTCATCGGTATCATCATCGCTCCCTGCCTCGCTCTGACTTTCTGATGTGTCGGACGAAGAGTCTGAATCGTGCTCCAATTCAGGGCCTGCCCAAGGCGTGATTATATCATCCTCAAAAAGGAAATCTTCAGAATGCTCGGTTGAGCATTCACTCCAGGATTCGTAAGCTTCGTCGTCAGAATTATTTGAAGTGGAATCATCCAAAATCTGATCTTCATCGTAGTTGTCATCTTCATCTTCATCTTCATCTTCAACACCTTCACCTCCCCTTTCATCGTCTTCGTGGCTGCCAGCATTCCTTTGTTTGTCGAGATCCTGACTAATATTATCTGCAGATCTGTCTTCCAAAGAAGTCTCGCCAACCTTTCTCGTTGCAATGTTACGCCTAGTGGCGAGAACAACGTAGTTTCCTCTGATGGCCCAATCTTCAAAGTACGAGGGTTGCCATGAAGCATCAACCTGTCCAGTACCCAGCGCTTCAACAGCGTCAATGGGAACAAAGTCCCCATTCTCATCAAGGACAAATATCTGGGCGCCAAGTCGAAGAGAACTACAATCGGAATTAAATGCAGCTGGCGATGCTCGACCGATCCGCATGCTGGAGTCATCCTCAGATTGGGCCATATAGGTCGGCCAGTTAGTCGACCTTTCATCCGTCCGGATGCTCTGCCTTCTTACTAATATTGGCAAGGAAGCGCCCCGCAAAGTCCAGTGTTCACATAGAAAACTAAGAGATTTTGAAACACGATCATGATGTCTATCCAGAAGTCAGTTCAGTCGGATAGTGAAACAGAGGGAAAATCACTTACTCGAGTCGCAAAATCTTTAACCTGTTGCCTGAGATGCACATACCCTCGCAAAGACTATCTTTCTCCCAATCTATGACTTCGTCATCAGTTTCCTTGAATGCGAAACTTATGTAGCGCTCCGGCAGCTTTGACAAGAAATTCTTTGGTCCAAGAGCTGCCCACCAGCATCTATCAACCTGGCCTGCATAGAGCGATAAGATACACTCTGGATCGTCACACTTCATACAACATAAGAACGCCCTCCACTCTCGAAGAAACAGCCGATAATTCTGCAACAGTGCCTTAAAGCCCTCGTCTTCCGATTTCGAGAACCATTCAGGCAAAACCCGACGAAGAAAAGTTTTGTTAAGGGCAGCAGGTCTCCAGAATGTCCCGAATTGTGAATCTACCCATAAGCTCTGCACCTGGATGCAGGTTTGGAAGTTGGGAGATGTCATAAAGGCTCTGACACGTTCCTTCAATGCATCCGGGGAATCGAGGATGCTCAAGTCATCGAGGTGTTTATCCCAGTACTTCGCAGAGTAAATGAGAAATCGATGATCTTCCACCAGCTCGTCCAAGCCGTCATTTTGAACCCTCCACCTGCCGTCATCGGATTTTTGAAGTAGTCGAGCATAGCAGTCTTGGGAAAGGTAGAGCAAACAAGCATTGGCAATGGCGTTGGGTGTGATTCGACAACAGGCCGTGGTACATTCCATGCCTTTGAGATCATTTCGGAAGATTTCAGGGTACTTGTCCAGGAAAGTTCGGACAGTGGAGTGAAATAGATGGCAGGTGCGGTTGTCTTCATTGGTGTTGTCCGCGTCGCCTCGCAGCTCGATCAATGGGGCGAAAACGCTCTCCATTTTCGAACTGAAGGGCATGGACTCCTTCGGATTTTTAGGATTTCGTAAAACACTGATTGCTTCTCGGATTTCCTTAATTCGAAGCGGCCGACGCGCAAATGTTATCAATGCAAAGACTTCACTAAAGAAACATATGTGAATATATCAAAACAACAACATTACATGACACATACCAGGCCAGTTGTCTATAGGGGACGTCAATACGGTCAAATATCTTTCGGTAATGATCGTTGATGCTGGATGGGTGACTTTCCGTAATAAAAGCCTTGATTTTTGACAAGTCGTCTGCCACCTCCTGGATGTCAGAGATCATGAATCGAGCCCAAAGAAAATTTCCTTCATGCTGCACGCGCTCTTCAAGCTTTGACATGATTTCCCGCTTCTGTTCATCAGAAAACTCCCGTCCTCCAAGCTCGGATATTTTAGCAGTAAGATAAAACTTGACATCCTCTTTGGCATCCTCTTTAACGTCAAGCATAGTTGCAATATGCGTACTGAACAATTGGAGGATGGGGGGATGGTGCTGGCTGCTACACCACAAGCGAATAACACTGGGAGACTTTTCCACGAGACGGATGATAAATTCCAGCACCGTTGATGCCGTCTCCCATCTGGAAACCGAGTAGGGATTTTGCCTATTATCCAATTCTTCATCCAATCCATCAAGGAAAAAGAACAGCTTTGAGAGGCCAGAATTCTCTACGAGTAACTCGATGACTTTCTGGATGCTCTCGGGCAAATGCGAATTCCTCTGCGTCTTGTTATAGAGCTCCTCCGAAACTCGCCGATGACGATCCCAATAGATCTGGAAGAGACTATCCGCTAGAATGCTCAGGGTCTCTGCGGCTGTGTAGCTTTTATCGAATTGAAAGAAATGATAAACAACAGCGGCGTCTGGATAAGCCTCCTGGATGTCTTGTATGGCGCGCGAGCATAGAAAAGTTTTCCCAGACCCTGGTGGACCGTGCACCCACAAGATGGGTTCTGGTACTGAATCAGATATGGCAGCACTATTGTGAAGTTTCCATGTGACATAGTCAGAGTTTGAGAGGAGCCATCGACAAGTCATCTTGGCTCGGTCATCAACATTCACCTTGTGACGACCGGTGTTGGAGCTATTTGCTTTCTGAGAGCCAAGCCAAGCGCAAATTTTTCGATAATGATCATCTAGAATCAATATTCAACAGCAGAATTCATTGCGGGCGGAGTGAAATTACCCTGGTGTTCCTGTCGCTGCTCTTCGCGAAACTGAGACGCTGCTTGACGCTCCTTCCTACTCTCAATCCTCTCGAGTTGAGCTTCCTTCCATTCGCGACTTGCATCCTCACGTGCACCCTTCTCTAACCTAGCCTCAGCGATTTGAGCCAGCTTTGCAATGCCGTCGCTGTTGTCCTTTATCTCCTCTATAATCTCGTTTAACTTGTCAGCATTGAACGAAAACACTTGCTTTAAGGCACCCTTGATACCTAAAATACGTCAGACCCAGCCAGTTCGGAGATAGAAGATGTATCCACACGCACAGGATTCCTCGCATTGCTTTTCAATGGCACTCCAAAATCGGAGCACGCTCATGTATGAATCACAGAGAAGATTGCGCATGTTTTCAGAGTCTCCATACAGGCTTTCGTACTCTGCCATGCGCTCAAGCTCCAATGAAAGGCTGTTGAGTTCCCTCCGTATCTTATCAAAAAGTTCAAAGTAGCGATGAGCACCCTGGTTTCTACCGTGAGTAGCCATCAAATATAAAAAAACCACCGGAACGCACCTTGACAATAAAACTCAGCGCTGCCCAAATGATCGAAGATGGCATTGGATCCGTGGAAGCTAGCCGGAGTAACACGTTAAGCGAAGTAATACTTTGAGCCGGAAATCGAATACTCACCTAAAGCGCTCAATACTCCATCAAACGCTATCAAGGCATCGACAATGGGCCTCAGGACTTTCATCAGAGGCTTTTTACGCTGTGTGTTCTTTTTTTCAATCTCCTGAATCAATACGTTGACTGTTTCGGCATTTGGCTTGCTAGTACCCCTACTCATAATAATGCAGTCGGCGAGAAACTTTCTCTTGTGTAGTTTCTTATTGTTGTCCAGTTGATCTATATATCGGTTTAATGCACACATGAAAACAGAAGGACCATTGGCAGAGTCCGGACTGGCAATGAGATTGTGAGAGTACGTGCATGTTTGCAATGAAGCTACTCACCTGCTAGCAACAATTTCTGTAGCGGTTGGTTGGGCCATGGCAGGATATGACAGACGGGCTGAGAATTCGGAGCCATTGTAATGGTGCCAGCTTTTATCATGATGATCCTTGGGTGCCAAATTACGTGTATATACACACAGCAAATGACAGCACCATTGATTGGTATAGCACTTGTGAGGGTGTACGATCACTACAACGGGCGCGCGCGCGGCATTTCTACTGACCCTGAACGCCACTGCATCTGCCCCAGTTCCGACCGGCCAACCTGTGGTGTTTTCAGCGCCCGACTGCCATACTTGGGCCGGGACTGACAGCCAGCCTCGGCTCAAGGGGTTCTAATGTCATTTGCATCTCCTCTTTTGTCTTCAGCGTTGTATGTCCTCACGACGTAATGTCTTTTCAGCACTGACCGGGATCGTAACACGGTGAGTTTTTTTTGTCTTCAGCACTGCTCCCAGCTGAATGTCTTTTTCACCCCTTTTTTTGTCTTCAGCGTTGTATGTCTTCACGACGTAATCTCTTTTGATCGACTGTACATCGACGTTGGGTACGACATTTGTTAGGAACATCGAATTCAGGGGGATATGTTGAAGCAATGCATTTTTCCACCAAAGACATCCAATAAAATTACCAAAAATGTTGCACCTATTGTGGTCTTTTCCTGTGTCTTTTGTCCCCGCCAATTGAGAATGTCTTGAGTGTCCGATCTGAAACAATTGTTTTCGGGAACTTATGATGACCTCAAAAAGAATGTCCCCGGACAGAATCGAACCAACAACCTTAACGTACACCTATATGACTCATCCACCTAAGCCATCCCACCATTACAGTATGGTGCCTACGTCGCACCTCTCATCCCTTTCTCAGCCAAAATGTCCGCAGACATGGCAACATTTATTTGTCTTCTGCAATGTCTTCACGGGTGCATCTTCCCGACCGTCGGCTAATTATTGTCTTGAGATCCAGACACCTGGGAATGTCTTCACCCACGCAACCCAATTTCCCAAGAATCGTACCGGCCCTTCCAAATGTGTCGTAACTATATTTCATTTCCTAACTCCTCTTAGTATTATTATTTGTCATAGGCACGCCCCGTCTCAGTCCCTGTATGTTCTCGAAAATATATTTCGCTGAGAATACGTCAAATGTAAATACAATTTGACAGGGCCCTATAAATTGTATGTTGACAGCTCTAGTAGTTACTGGGGAAATTGTACTTTCGGTTCCCCTGTAGTTACTGGGATAGATTGTATTAAATGGACACTACAGCCTCAAGCGCGGCGAAGACCGGTGAATCAGAGTCGTAGCGTGAATGAAAACTTTTGACAGCCTGGCTAACGTGGGCGTTATGTCACTATAGATTCGACTGCACAGCCTGATATCCTCGATTTCTTTATATATGACTATATTCACCCTTCCTTTTGTTTAATCCCATCGACGCAAATGGCACCTGCAGAAGAAACTCCCCAAACTACTACAACAAAGCCTCTTTCCCCTCGGACACTGATAGCGCGATATGATCAATAGTAAGTAGGGTCCACTGATTTCTCGCGACTCTTCTCTTACGTCGTATCCACTTAGCTTCGACCCTGTGCGTTTCTCCCCATACTAAACCGGAGGACCTAGCGTGCTGATATCTAAGTTTAGGAGATCATTTTCGACGACGCTTCGGAGGACGAGCAAGCCAAAGAAACCTAAAACAAAATCTAGCAAGAAACCGGTCCTCGTCGTGAGGCGTCTTATTGACAGCAAGGGACGCCATAATGGCACAGAGGTCGATATTATGAGCACCGGATTGCGAGACATTATTGCGGAAATAAATAATGATGTTCTGGGATTCAGGATTGCGGGAGATACAGCGACAGTACGCATTAAAGCACTACTTACTATCTCATCAGTCTAACAGTCTTGGTGGCAGGTCGAACCGGAGGTTTTCTTTCATTCTCGGATGGGTCTTATTGAACGACTGGTGAAAGTAGAAGCAGAAGAACCCTTAGATGAGGCACTCGTAACCGATCTCAAGACAGCCCTCAATTTCATGGAGGAGCACTTCTCCCGCATCATCACCGAGTTGCCGGTACTCCTTGATCACTGCGAAATTGTATTTGAGCATCTCTGGGCACTCCTACTTCCCAACACTTACGTCTACCACCGCATCTGGTTAACGGAGCAAGACCAGATTCTACGTGCCCGGACTTTCTCCATAGAGTATACGTCAAATGGTACTCCGTTCGGTAACGTAGTGTGCGACATCGTCAGCAATGATGGCGAATCTTTTGGTATCGCACGAGTTGAACTCCAAATCAACTATTTCAAGGGTTCAAGACAGATACAGGATCTGGAGGTCTATCCTTTGGCATTCCACCCGGAGAAGGAAGCTCTACAAACGCATGCCATTTCCCGTGGGAAGAAGTATACCCAACTCACGGAGTCATCTTATTGTGAGGTCAGAGGACCAGCTATAGTTGAAGTAGACGAAAAGCCGCGCAAGTTTAATGTAAGTTTATATCATATCATTATCAAGGTTACAATCGCAGAGACTAAATAGCACTTCGCGCGCAGGCACACGGACACCTAATGATCGACCCCGCTGCGTTCCGCACATATGAGGCGAATGCAGATTACTTAAACATACCTGTACGCAAAGGATTGGACAGAGACTCGCTGACCGACGAACAACACATGATCTGCAACCCTGTTGCTCTCGGCTTCTGTTTTGGTACAAAGACTTGGGGTACGCTTTCCGTAAGCTTTTCGTTGTTGTTAGTGACCGTGCATTTTCAGGTGGCTTTGCGATGGATCGTCTGAAAGACATTATCTGGTCTGACGAGACCTTCAATTCCCTTGTTCTGGGCGATACACAGAAGATCCTTATTCACGCTTTGATTAAGCAGCATGTTGTCCGTGCTGCACAGTATGATGATATAGTACCTGGGAAGGGAAGAGGCCTTATCGGACTTTTGTCAGGAAACCCTGGTTGCGGAAAGACGCTTACTGCAGAAGCCGTTGCAGAGATCACTCGCAGACCTCTATATGTCGTCAGCGCCGGGGAACTAGGAACTCAGCCGCCCGAAGTAGACCGAATGCTCACGCGGATCTTGGAGTTGGCACATAGATGGAATGCTGTGTTATTGTTGGACGAAGCAGAGGTGTTCCTTCAAGAGCGTAGCACAAATGACATCACGCGGAACGCGTTGGTATCCATCTTCCTGAGACAGCTCGAATACTATCAAGGCATTTTGATTTTGACAACCAATTTGGCGGGACAGTGTGATCGCGCACTGGAAAGTAGGTTCAATTGGATGACTTGCCTGCTTAGATTTTTGACTCTTTGGTATCTAGGTCGAATCCACTTCTGCATTTCCTACCCGGATCTGGACTACGATGCACGCATGAAGATCTGGAAGATGTTCTTGGCCAAAGGTGCTTTGGACCCAGCGCGAGGCATGAGCGACTTCTGCCTCGATCGCCTCGCTCGACTGCGGCTTAATGGTCGTCAAGTAAGTCTCCCTGTCGTGAAACAAATCATGTCTAACGACGTCCGACAGATCAAGAACGCCGTGGCAAGCGCACAGTCTATTGCATTGAATTGCAATGCACCATTATCTCCGGAACACGTAGACAAGGTACTTGAGGTGCTAAGCGAACGGGAGAAGGCACGGAAGGGGTGTGATAGTCATTGAATTCAAGTTTCGAAAACAGACGAGCTGTGACTCGCATATACCTTTTTCATTGTGTGGGGAATATACAGCTTTGATGACGCTCGGGTAGTGAGGTATCATAGTTATTCTGTATCAGCGTTGTGGTCGATATCGCCTTGGTGAGGGTATTATCGTATTACCAGAGTGTATGATCGGAAGCTTTCCCGATATTTAGTGGCTCTAAGCTTGCTAATGTTCGTCGTGTATTAAGCCTAGGATAGTTCAAATCTTCCTCAGCCACGTACTGAAGAAGTGTATTACTTGTAGATCAAGCGGTTTGTGGCACGTCAGAGCTACTGCTAAGAATTGGCGATGCACCGGTGGTGGTCGTTCCCCCAGAGGTGCGCAGCGCTTGAGAAGAAATTCGAAAAGGTAGGCCAGCGCCTTTCCGAGATAGCAGCGCTATTGCAGAAACTTAACGACAATTCGAAAACATCCAAGACAGAGCTATCACAAGTTGAGGAGGCTTCGAATTCCTCGAATTCAAGCAGGAGCGGAAAGTAGCAGGGGGAAAAAGCGGGGCCGTATCCCCCGAGAACGTGAACCCCCCATGTATACTTGAAGCCAAATCTCTCAAGCATGTAATTGGAACATAGCGTTACGCCCATACGTTACTTGTAAAGCAATATGCTCTGTCTTTTCCGCTGTGAATGACTATAGAAGTTGAGTCCCACTTTCACTAGTACTCTGCTCCCAAAAAAGGACGATAGGGGGCTTGTTACTAACTAGTGTACTAACGACCCGCTCCGTCAACGACTTATTGGAGCGGAGGGATGAAGCTTTTTTTCGGGAACAGGGTAGAGCGTCGTCAAAGAGGCTGGGTCCTAGGTCTTCCTCTCGAGTCGATGATTTCTAATTAATGGCCTCTAGTATAGGTCAAAATGCTTGAGCGCCTCCTTAGTCGAGAGCTTTTAGATCAGAAATAACAAATGACCTCTTGCCATTAAACAGGTGTGTTACTTGAAAAAACCAACAATCTATACCAGCCTAGCATACACGCTCCCACTTTCTGATTGATACTCCACCCTAATCTCCGCCTGGTCACAAAAATGGGCGAGGGCAAAGAATGCCGCGATTGAGGGAACAGCAAGCTCGGTTTCTCTCAGGATGACAGGAGGAGGGGAGTAACCCGCATTTAGTTGCATGCAGGAGTGATAGAGGTGATGTCCTGCCTCGTCGACGTCTTCTTCTCGGAGTGTGGGGTCTACGAGGGATATAGCCTTTCGTCGGGAGTAGGCGTAGGTGTGTCGGATTGGCGGTGGATCATCGAGAGCGCCATTGATGATGGCTGAGAGGATGGACTGGGAGTGGGGAGCGCAGGTGTCATCGAGATGCTGTCGATAGAGAGAGTCGATGATTTCCAACGACGCCTTGGTAGGCTCTTTGTTTCTCAGCTGGGCGACCTCATGGAGGAGCTCCATTTTGTCCCTCTGAGTAGTTAGCATTGCTATAAGATCAAGACTCTCGAGCATACTGTGAGTCCTTTGATGCTGTCTTTGAGTTCTTGTGCCTCTAATTTTAGCTTGACGATACGGAGCGGGCCATGTCGGTTTAATATACGGGCCAGTCGTAGTGCAGTCATAGACATGGTTTGAAGGAGCTTCAAGTTTTGGATGGTGGGAGATGAAGGTATGTACCAAGTCTAGGAACTATTACTTACGTCTCACTGGCGTCTTGCGATGCGAGACAAAGTTTCAGTTCGCTCGTAATGCGTAACAAGCTAGCGGCCAACATATGCCGATTTTTAAGTGATATTCCACCTGTATAAATCCGTTCGTAGATGGCTAAGTATGAGGACTTTTGGGTCGACGAGGATCTCGTCGTCGTAAAGGATGTTTATTCCAGAGAGGCTCCTTGTGCAAGAAATACGCAGGTGTGAGTAACAAAGTGAGTATCTCAGCATCCTAATGGAATCCATGTACCTCGATATCGGAGAAATGGTGTGCTCATCCATCATACGACAAGTGCGATAGATGTCTTCTTCGTCGATATAGCCCCTGGGCTGGAATACACCGTTGATGATTTCCAACGCCGACCCTCGAGCGCCTCCTCAGTCGAGCGGAATCTTCCAGTTAAACATCTCCTTTTTCTTGGCGTCTACTTGGTGGAATACCTGGTTCGTCCTGGAGATCTCCGCTTCGTCGCTCTGGTATAGCATCGTGGACCTCAGGTGTATTATGAGCGCCGAGTAGGATTGCGTTTAGGTGGAAAACCGACACTTTCGATATCTTGTGTTTTATACAAGCCGGCGATGAGATGCATTTCGCACACCTGTAGGTTTGTAGTTCGGAAGAGGGGCGACATCGAGAAAGCATGCAGGACATTGTAACGGACATGCGGGAGATGAGAAAAGTTTACGATGCAAGAAAACAGCGCAGATATCAGTCTAAATCGAGGCCAACAGCCTATCCTCATCTCTTGACAGATATAGCACTCGTATCTTCGCCTCCCGACAGAACTGAGCGAGGGCAAAGAACGCAGCGACCTTTGGAGGAGAAAGATTGTTTTGTTTCAGAAATATATGTTTTGAGAACCCGGTGAGTGGGAGGTTTTTGCAGCAGGATTTGTAGAGCCTATGGCCGGCTTTGTCAACGTCGGCTTGGTGGAGTAGGGGGTCTATGAGGGAGATGGCGTTCTTCCTGCAGGAGGCGTATGTGTGGAATGAATTGTCGAGGGCGCCGTTGATGATTGCAGAGAGAACGGATTGAGGGCTGGGAGAGAGGGGTCCTAGGCGTCGTCGGTAGATGGAGTCGATGACGTCTGTGTGATATGGATACAGGATCTATCTGGAAAGATACATTGAACGGTTACACACCCAATGAAGTCTTGGCAGAGAGGGTTCCTTGTAGCTCGGCGACTTGGTAGAGAAGATGTACATTGTCAGCCTGTGAGTTATTTAACAAAGTGATCAAGTGTCTCTAGAATCCACATACCTCAATATCAGAGAAACGGCGTCGCTCCTTATCCCATTCTCATTCTTGTTCGCGTGCTTCATCCTTCATCAATTTCAGTTAACGTTCATCCCTCATTGATTTCAGCTGCCGTTGAAACTCGAGCAGCTGTTCTTCGTGCGAGGCCTCGAGTCGATCGATTATACGTTCGTGGACTTGTAGAAGGGCGTCGAAGTCGGAAGGAATACTATCGGACCTATTTATTCTAGAGAGGCTTCTTGTGAAAGGGACTCGGATACGCAGACGGCAAGCAGAATGCATGATGCAAGGAGTATCGGGATTTGCCGAACGATGTCTCTTCCAGCTGAATTGCTGCTGATCATCTTTGAACGGCTCTACTATCGCACAGACAAATGGACTCGAGAACCAGACTATCCAACATTAGTCGCGTGCTCTCTGACACAACGGTCGTGGTATCTCCCCGCGCAAAGACTGCTGTTCCGACACATCCCAGCCAGTGTCCGCCCTGTCCGCCTATTCGATCACATCCGCATCCTCGATATGATCCTCACTCCCGACTCCATCCCCGACCTCGTGTTCCTGCTCGCCCACTGCCCGCGTCTGTACGAACTTGGTTTATCTGTGCGAGGCGTGTTCACACTCCCGCCCTCCGTCGTTACCGCCAACATCCGTGCTCTCCGCCTCGTCGAATGCAGCGTCCAGTCCCCGATCTTATACGACCTCCTCGCACTGTTCCCTGGTGTCCGCTTCCTCAGCATCGGCACCGAGATCGTCGCCCCGCCCCCGCCCACTGCTTCTCCCGCCCCCCGCCTCTACGAGCTCGCCCTCAAACGATCTTTAGGCACCGACATCCTCACATGGATCCTCGCAAACTCTTCCGGATCTCTCCGCATCCTCGAGCTAATGGACCTCCCCAGTGTGGGTATGAGAGATGTTCTCCTCCCACACGGACCATCCATCCACTCCCTCCGCATCTTCCGCTTCTCCAACACCGCAGCCTCCATCCTCCGCTACTGCGTCAACCTCAAAGAGTTTGTCCTGTCGAGCCTCCCTGTTATGGGTCCACGTCTCGCTGACCTCCCCAAATCCATCGAGCACTTTAGCTTGACAAACTCCCATGCCTCGACGACAGACTGGAATCCATTCGTGCTGCTCCTACCTCAGCTCCCTGCGTTGAAGACATTTACCTGCGACAAGTCTTCCAAGTCTCAGCATGGCTTTGGCGCCATAAAATTAATATGTAACAATAGACATATTAACTTGTTGGCAGACGCATCCAATTGGTGGCCGGTAAGCCTTATGTCTTTACAAATCCTACCTGCTAACTGTTTACAGAACGAAGATCCCGTTCCCGTTCCTTCTTTCCCCCGTGGCCGCTCCCCAGACAACTTTCCACTCATGAGTTAATCACAAAACCCACCTCGGATACTCGCTACCACCTTGCGACGTATATACTTACGCCTACAACCGACAAAAGGCTATATCCCTCGTGGACCAGGAGAGGATGTCGACGAAGCGGGCCATCACCTCTATACATACCATCACGTCTTGAGAGAATGCGACCTCCCTCCCTCCCAGCTTTCGTTACCCTGTTTCTGTGACTAGGCACGGATCTGGGTCGAGTATATACTAAGAATTGTATCTCAAGACTGACAATCCGAGGCCAGGGCCATAATCCGACTTTTGAATGCGCTGGGCACTTTGGATCTATAATCTAGCCTATTCGCTACACCTAAGTAGAAGGGCTATTTCTCGCACCCACGACTAAGCAAGATGCGCGATAATCATTGGTTAGTGGTAGAATGGCTACGATAAATTCGAGAAATTCAGATTCTGCCGCTCAATTATGGATTTCTGTTGTGCCTTCAAGTCCCTGAGCGGCAGTCGCGAAACATTGATCGGCAGTCTCCGAGACACCTTAAAAACCAGTATGTTCATGGATATGTAGTGCGGATATCTTGTACAAGAAGCCAAACACCTCGGACAAGGTCCTCATCGACACCAACTACCATAGATGCCCAGGAACACGGGATTGCCCGTCTCTAGGCCTCTCGAGAGTTGTCAGAGCCCTGACAGGAGCTGGAAAATCTGAAGATGCTAAATGTAAGCTGGAGCGACGAAACGAACGGAAACGACGGGAACGAGAGTGGAAACAGGAAAGGTCTTCGAAGAGTCTTGCTGAAGCGCAGTTGATGCTACTAAACGCCTACTTGGGACTTCGACTTGCAACTAAGACATTGCACTCAGTACGACAAATCACTGCACGAGGTCGTCCTACTCAGAGAAAACGTGTTGCTGCTTCATCCTTAAAAGCAGACATCATACGCACCCAAACCAGGCAGGCATCATCAACTCGATTCACCGACAGCGCCTCGAAGATGGCCCCGGATTCCTTCCCTTTGACTCGTAGTCTGTCCTTTGTACAATCATCAGTGGCTCCCTCGATACGCACACTCACGCCTACTACCGACAAGAACCAACTCCCTCGTGGACCCCTCGGACCAACGAGCGAGTGCAAAAAAATGCGGCAACCGAGAGAAGGGAAAGCTGGCCTTCCACTAGGTTCGATGGGCTGGTCCTATTCTTAAGTTAGGACGTAATCAAGGCAGGCGCGACAGAGGTTATGACCAGCTTCGTTGTCATTGTCCTTTTGGAGTGTGGGTGCATCACGGTGGATTATCGGCTAGGTAAGGTGGATGCGATAGAGAACCTCCGAGATGGATTGTCACTGATCCAGTAGACTAAGATACGACGATATGATTCAGACGTCCAATTGTGTGAGATCGTCGGTTTATATAAGCGTTGGGCGCTTCGCTGGTTTCGCCGCCAATGTTCTATCCCTTTACCTCCAGTCATCACTAATATCGCAAAGCTTGCGTATCATTTCCATCCCTTTCTGTTTCTGCTCTCTCTTCCCGCTCTTTAATCACCATGCTGTCCGTCATGTTATTCCGCAGCAGACCTGCCAGTGTATTCAATTCCAAGGTCAGTGTTATCTATTTGAAGGAAATGAAAAATTTCTTACATGTCTTTCTGAACCACAGATTTTTTTTTCCAAGTGCCACTCGCTTATATTCGTCGTCTCCTTCAACTCCTCGGAACCCCCATGTCTCGGACAGTGCACTCTTTGCCTCCTTAATCGCCGCACACGAACGAGAAGTCCAAAATCGCGACAGGGAACTACATCATATGCAAACCTATCATGAAGAGTTGAGCCGACGAGACAATGAAACAATATGCGGTCTCCAATATGACTTGAGGAAGGCGCAGGCACGGGTAGCCAAGCTGGAGAAGGCTCTGGGGAAGGCTGACGCGAAGCTTCAGGTGTGTATTTACACATGCGTCCCTTTATGCTACATTATAACAGTATAACCTCTAGAACACCATCAATGACAAGGACGAACAGATCGCAAAATTACGCGAACAAGTCTCAAAGTCACGCGAACAAGTCTCAAAGTTACGTGAACAAGTTACCAATAGGTCATTGTTAGGTACGGTGACTTTGTCAAGTTTCACTGCTCAGTTCTGTACTTATATCGGTGCACATCTAGAGCTAATAGCACTCCTTCATAAAGGCCAGGCTAAGAAGTTGACGAAATCAAAACCCTTACCAGGTGGTGTCCAGCCCGTAATCGATGAAATCATCAAGGGTGTCTTGGACAACCAAACGCGCAGATGGGCAACGTCCCGACAGGCCGCCATATCACGCATAAGCCCAAATCTCGACCCCCAAAAGGTTGATGCTGCCGGCCAGCGACTATACTATGTTCACTCGCGCCATTTTCATGGAAAAGAAACAGACGTATACATCTTGCGGGAGGATGTGAACTCGATTTCCGAGGTTGCCGCTATCTTCGCACTTGTGCATTTCTCTGGCGCCCAAGCTCGGGATATCAAACTCCAATATATAAACCATGACGATGCGTTGGGTGCAAAATGGCCGTAATCTTACTCTAATACATAATGTTGAAGCCACTGGCATACCCGTAGTCGTACAATCATAGCACCGTTGTAATAGTGTTGTCGTAGTCTGAATAGCATCGTGCCGTATAATTTACGCTGTCGTCAGTCTCGCTAGGGTCTTATGATAAATTCGGATATGACCGCAGTATTACTGCAGCCGGGATAAATGCGATTACTGCGAAGTCTGCTCTGCAGTAGACTAAGCATGCACGCGAGCTGAAACGATCAATCAAACAGAATTAAGTCGGAGCGTGCGTCAAAATTGGGGGCCAAAGTCGTACATAGACACAAGTGTTGAGATAGACGTCATGTCTCACTGCTAGGACTGGTTCCTTTTTAGGACGGAAAAAGGTATTCTGAAAATGCTGCAATTTTTCTTTCCCTTCATGTTCCCACATGTTCCGCAAAAATGTGATACAGAAATCATAATGAAAAACATGTTCTTTTAGCCCTTCTTTCGCGGGCCAAAAACAGCAGCTTTTCTGCAAATGAAAGTGATTTCCTTTGTTCGGACCGCGAGAAAGGTCTTTTCCATTCTATTTTTCAGGTTGTTTTCCTTACCTTACCGGGTTTCTACAAAATAATGAGAATCGATCGAACTTTTTTTTCGGCTGCCCAATATAGTAATTCCCCATCTTGGATTCCACCAAATGCATAAGCACTGCGAATTATACCTTCCTGACGTACAACTGGGCTATATTTCTCCAAATTATCCATCAAAGGCTCTGATATCACCACCTGGGCCTTTGGTTTGTGATCCTCATGAATCCGCTAATCTGGTCTGTCAAATCCCAAATCAGCGGTATTTTCTTCATCACTGCAGGCTCCATTGCATGACTTGATGACACCAAAACATTGTGTACTGCTTCGGGAATCAATTCTAAACCATTTATTCTATCATTACTGTTGCTCTTGGTGTTGAGTCGCTGTTGAAAGAAAACCGGTATCTATGAATTACTATATTGGGCAGCCGAAAAAAAGTTCGATCGATTCTCATTATTTTGTAGAAACCCGGTAAAAGAGTATGGAAATGATCTTATCTTTCAGCTTCTTTTTCCGAACTCGCTTTTACCATTAGATCATCAGATGAAATATCACAACATTTTTCGTTTTTTCGATGGAAAAATGTACCGGCCCCCGCAGTGAATTTGTGTATATTTAACAAATATGGCATTGCGCTGTGGATGCCCAGAGGCTCTAACTTCTTGTGTCAGCTTTGGCCGGCAACGTTTGAAACTGACGTACGATATACCTCATGAATATTGAGGTAGGCAAGCGGTTCTGGAGGGAATAACTAGAAAAATGACTGATTTGTCAGGGAAGGAGCATTCTGGATATTTTACCATCAGACACGTAAAAATCGATTTTGAGCCACTCCGAGATAAAGTCGGATGTCTATGGAGGTTGGACATTGAACTTAATGCCAGACTAGAGAAGGGTATACTCGTAAGTGAACGTTGAATGCCGAACGTTTTGAAGGCTGAAAAAGTCGATGAATTGAATAGCAGGGTACGCGGAGGGCTTTATAACCACTTCAACACAGTCCTACGGAACCTGGCCTCCTTCTCCTCCGAGTCTTCAACGAGATGTACAGCACCGAGGTAAGCCAGTTGACTCCATTTGTTCACGACAGCTTAGATACGAGACATGCTCATGCTGTATTGCACGACATTAGTTGGGTTAAGGAGTAGAAAAAGATTACGAACGATGGTCCTGCTTCTTGTTAGGTCTTCCGCCCGTCGTCACGCCAACATCCGCGCTCTCCGCCTCGTCGAATGCAGTGTCCAGTCTCCAATACTTCCTCAGTGCAGACATGAAGGATGTCCTTTGCCTATACGAGCCGTGCATTCACTCCCGCATCTTTCGCCTCTCCAACACTGCACTGTCATTGTCATCCGCCCCCGGATCTATCATAGTAATACTGTTGTTGGCTCGGCTCCCCGCCTTGAAGATATTGGTCTGCGACAAATGTTCTGGGTCTCAACCGGGCTTTGAAGACAAGACAACTCAGCAGCAATTTTCGTGTTGCTTTCTTGGTAGACGCATCGAATTGGTGGCCAGTACGTCCACTGTCTTTGTAAAGCCATTATACTAAAATTTGTTCATAGGACAAAGATCCTACCCCTGTTTCCTCTTTCTCCCCCTGCGGCTGCTCCAGACAATGTTCTACTCAAGAACTAACCATTCGTCCAGTAGCTACTGGTTGTCAGAGTTCTATATCGTTCAGAGAATCGTCATCGTAAGAGCTGCCTTCGATACTCGCTACCAGCTCCCCGCCCTTCGAGCGATAATCTACCGAGATCTCCACCCGGGACCAATGAGCAAGCGCAAAAAATGCAGCAACCGAGGGGAGGGAAAGCTGGCCTTCTCTCAGGTCAATGGGCAGGCTATACTCTTGAATTGGGACGTGTTCAAGACAGGCACGATAGAGGTTATGCCCAGCCAAGTCGACGTCGTCTTTTTCAAGGGTGGGGTCCACTAGGGAGATGGCTTTTTGTCGGGAGCGGGCGTAAGTGTGTGATGGGGTATCGAGGGCGCTGTTGATGATCGCAGAGAGGACAGACTGCGGACCAGGGAGAAGAGGCCCAAGGGCATCTTCGAGGCGCTGCCGGTAGATCGAGTCGATGATGCCTGCAGGGGTTAGGTGTGTATGATATTTGCGTAAGTGGGGAAATAAGCACATACGCAAGGATGGAGCTGCGGACACGTCTTGTCTCAGCCACGCAACCTTGTGGAGAAGCTGGATTTTGTCGCGCTTGAGTGTAAAAAATTAGTCCCAAGTCAACGCTCCAGGACTTGTATATACCATCAACTGCTCCTCACTACGACTCCTCGAGGTCATTTCCCTTTCTCGTTCTCGTTCTTGTTCTGCACGTTCTCGTTCCGATTTACGTTGCCGTTGTTCCCATTTGCGGTTGGCATCCTTCAGGCTTTCCAGCTCTTGCCGAAGCTCTGACAACTGGTTCTCGTATCTGCACTGGAGGCGAGTGATTTCACGTTCGTGGGCATCTGTAAGGTACTTGAGGTTGATGGAGACTTCATTGTGAGGGATTCTTATTCGTGAAAGACCTCTCGTGCAAGAGATACGCAGCGGACGGGCTATCCGCGAAGCGATGACGGACATGGTGGATATTTATCGAAGAGTTTCGGAAACTGCCGAACAACTGTTTCTCATTTCCTTGGTTGTAAGACTGTCCGGGTCCGATTGTCCGGCTATACCAAAAATCCTTGTTCTTGTCAGCGTTGGTTTATCTTGCTATTGCATTGACAGTATTTGCTACTTTTTATATCTTCAGAGGAAGTATCCAGTAGCGGCAGTTGCCGGGTCCCCGATTCTTTCCTTTTGTACGAAACAGCAAGCTGTATCCTTTTTGTAAGTCTCTGTGAATGTGTTTGTTCAAGCTGAAATATACAATACAGCTTGATTGATTATGGAAACGTGTTGGTGCAAAAAGCTTGCTCGGCGGCTGCGCCGCCAGCTCGCATTTTGCACTATCTAACATCTAATCCGAGCTGTGATATGCCATGCTTTTGCTCTCCATTCGAATTTCTGTCCATCCATGCATATGCATTAGGTCTTGAAAAAGAAGATATTCCCTGCTGCATACCTTGTATCATGCAAATGAAGTGGGAGGTCATTGCAATCATGGCGAGTCCGAATCCTCAATCGATTTTATGAATTCAAAAATATCATAGATGGATGAGAGGCAGCTGAAGGTACACATGCAGCACGTAGCCAGCACCGTAGCAACTCCCCTCGCCACCTGCACCCCCTCAGACATCGACGCCACTCTGAACATCTTGTGTAACCTGCGCGCACTCAAAGATAACTCTACTCCATGCTCCCTGCTTGTGAAAATATTTGCCACTGTGCCAATCCCAGCCAAGTAGAGCATCAGTATCAATGTATCATGGCAGGTTCTTGATCATTGAGGTGTGCCTGCGCAAATATCACTACAACAACAGACTGATTAGCAGGAAACAACGTACTTGAGCGATACCAGACACCAAGTCGAATCGTGTTCTCGAACCAAACTTGAAAGGAAAAAGAATCACGTTGAAATAAGTACAGGTTAAAGCAAGGTGAGTATACCTTCTCCAAAGCTCGCTTCCCAATTGCTTTACTTTTACTCTGCCAATATTCACCCACCATCAATATTGGGGTATGGAAAAATACTGGGTAAGCATTTAGTTGTTGGGTACACAAAAGAAGAGGGATTGTATGTACTGTTGGAATGTCAAGTGTCGTGCATCATGGTGCAGTCGACGTCAGGATCTTCAGTAGGAAGCACCATTCATCTGTTCTCCTCCTCGGCTTTCCTTATTACATCATATTGCTTCTATTAGTGTACACAGCATGTAGATAAATAGGTAGACGAACGACGATGACCCTCACCTGTTTGCGAGGGTTCCCTGCTATATCCGGGTGAGCAGCTGGAGAATTACTGCTTATCTCAACACAAACAGGCAGCATAACCCACAGTCCTTGTCGCTCTTGTTCTCTGTGCTGACTCTCGAGACTATTGCTACACCGCCACCCCGACACTGGTGTCGAGATCACCTTTGTCACTTGCTAGACCACGAGACGGTCTGGTCGTTCACTTTGCTGGTCCATGAGATGGTCCAGCTGTTCGCTTTTCTGGTCCATGAGACGGTCCAGTTGTTCGTTTTTTGCTCTCCACATTCGTTGTTTGCCATGTCAAGATCGCCTATAGAGCAAAATGTTGGACGAGTTGTTTGGTGCGCGTTTTCCCAAGTTATCAGTCAGAAACTTTGTGGAATGGCGAGTGATGATGGAGGCCGAGCTCACACGTCGGAAGCTCTGGACCGACATTGTCGAGATCGAGGTTGATGAAGATGGAAAGTCGGAGTCGGAGATCTTGGCGGAGGTCACAGTGAAGTGTAAGCCACTAACTCTAATCGACTTAGATGTGTTAGGGTCGCTACTCGCACTTCGGTAGGCGACGATCCAACAGATCAAAGGCAACGCAAGTCGATGGAACAGATAATCACGAAGAACGGAGTTCGATGTTAGGTAGAATAAACCTTAGCCGAAGCTGGGGTTTTAGGCCAGCTGAGGCTCTACTTAAATACACGTCGAATAGTCTAAAGATAGTACTATGAAGGCGTCCGATCAGAACCGCAGTTCCGCAGCATAGGGTAAGCGTGAATACGTAAGAAAAAGAAAAAGAAAAGAATAAACCGTAACATTACCCCCTCCTCAAGACTCGTTCGTCCCGAATGAGCCCTGACTTTCATCTCCACTCGTTGCCGACTCGCTATAGAAGGATAGGACGCTATGATCATCGTTGTCATCATCTTCGCTGTCGAAGTCCCAGTTTTCATGGACTCGCTGTAAATTGTCGAGGTCGGAATCTGAGTCTTCATCGTTGGATGTCTCTTCGATGACGGGCATTCCGTTGGCCTCTTCCTCTGTGACTTCGCGTAATGCCACTGACGACTGTAAGTCTGAATGTCTTGGGTTCGTACAGTCGGAGGAGTAGACAGTCTCGATATCAGTGACACATGGACTTTCCGGGTTGTTATACGCCGTTCCCGCATTTGGAGGAATATTTGTATCCCGTCCGACGGTCTTTCCATGTTTATCGATTTCCCAACGAATTCTCTGTAGGCGGGCTTCGTAGTCGTTGACGAGTTGCTCCGCGTTGGCCATGTTTGAGCGCTTTACCCAGGAGTTCTCCTCCCGTGGGTACCCCTTCCATTTGACTAGGTATTCGGTTATGGTGCGACGGGTTCGGCCACGACCTATGACTTTGTCGCGTTGCTCTACGATTTCCTCAATTTCGTATTCCTCTTCATCGTCGATGAGTTCTGGAGGTGGACGTTCCGGGCGTGGTTGGTTCGGGAAAGCCGGGGCCACATAAGGGGTTAGGAGTGATTCATTAAAGCGATTGTGAATTCTCCACTTAACGGGCAACTTGAGTTCGTACGCTGAAGCGCCTTTCTTGCTGACGACAGTGAAAGGCCCGACACGTCGATCTCCGAGTTTTTTGGTGGGTCGAGGGAGATGAAGGTTGGTCGAGTCGAGCCACACCTTGTCTCCTACCTGGTATTCCACTGCGTCATTCTTTCGTTTGTCGTAGGCCTTTTTCATGGACTCTGCCGCCTTTTCTAATGACTTTTTGGCTTCGCCTTGTGCTTTCTCAATCTCCTCCACCAGTTTCCCCCGCTGCTGGAACCGTCGTTGCTCGTTGAGGGTTCTTGATTACCTCTCCGTCCCTTCCAAAGATAACCCGATAGGGGGAGTATCCCGTCGCCGAGTGTTGACGATTGTTGTGAGTGAAGGCTGCTAGTGACAACCATTCGCTCCAATCGTCTTGCCTGTCGTTGACGAACATCTTGAGGTATTTCTCGATCTCCTGATTTACCCGCTCAGTTTGGCCATCTGTCTGCGGGTGGTATGCCGTGGACGGGTTGCCCTCGACATGAAGTAGTCGATAGAATTCTCTCATGAACTTGGATACAAAGACCGAACCACGGTCGGAGATCACCTTCTCGGGCATTACGCCATAGGGTACATAGACATAGTCCCTTAGGATCTTTGCAAATCCCAGGGAAGTGAGCTCTTCGGTACAGGCGATAGGAATGATGGCTTTGGAGAAACGATCGACGATGACGAGAATGGAGTCATGTCCTTTGGAGTCTGGTAGTTTGGTGATCATATCCACCGAAATGTGGGTCCATGGTCGTACGGGTATCTCATTGGGGTGCAGGGGAGCCCGTTTCGGGCGACGATCCGCCTTAGTTCGCTGGCAGACGTCGCATCCTTTCACGTAAGCCTCCACGTCTCGCCGCATTCGAGGCCACCAGTAGTCGCGAAGTACCAATTCTTTGGTCTTCTCGATTCCTGGGTGCCCGGCAGTGACATGGTCGTGTTTGAGGGCTATGATCTGTCCTCGTAGGTCGCGGTCGACCGGTACGTAGATGCGCCCGTCATACCATAAAAGGTCTTGTTCACGGGATACTCCCTTCTCGTGATTGAGGGAGTCCGAAATTCCCCTGTCCCAACGGCGGGGGTCGTGAGTAGCGATCCTGATCCTTTCCTGCAGCTCCTCGATAGTCGGCATGATCAGGGCCCTGAAGTGCTCTGCCTTGAGAACGGTCAGGTCCTTGTTGTCCTCCTTTCCCTGATCATGATCCGCTCTCCTCGACAGGAGGTCTGCTTTGCGGTTCTGTGCCCCGGGTTTGTGGTGCAAGGTAAACTGGTACTCCGCTAGCTCAGTTACCCACCGTGCTTGTCGTCGGTTGAGTTTCTGTGGTTTGCGGAAGTACTGGAGATTGGAGTGGTCCGTCCAAATCTCAAAGTCCTCCCTTGCTCCCATCAGATATTGACGCCACTCTTCGAGGGCGATCATGATGGCGAGGAGTTCCTTGTCATAGATTTCATAATTCCGCTCCGTCACAGATAGCGCCTTGGAGAGGAAGGCTACAGGCCTCCACTTTTCGTCCTGCCACTGAGAGAGTACCGCTCCTACGGCGCCTTCACTTGAGTCCGCTTCGACCCGAAATCGTCCTTGATCTAATGGAATGGCAAGCACTACGTCTTCGCGAAACAGCTCCTTGAGCTTTTCAAAGGCCTCCTGCTGAGCCTTTTCCCACTTCCATTCCTGTTTCCCCGTAAGCATGGTTAAGGGTCGAACATGCTTACTGTAATCACGGATAAATCGTCGGTAAAAGTTGCAGAATCCGAGGAAGGATTGCAACTCCTGCTTCCTTCGTGGAACCGGCCAGTCTAGCAGGCCCGCGATCTTGACGGGATCCATGCGAATTTTCCCCTCGCTGATGATCACCCCTAGATACTCAGTCTCTTCCACTTCAAACTCGCATTTTTCCGCTTTGAGGAACAATTTGTTTTCGCGGAGGATTTGGAGAACCTTCCGCACGATCTTTTTGTGTTCCCCCTTGGTACTGGACGCGATTAGGATGTCGTCTAAGTATACCGACACTTCTCCGGCGGCTATCAAATCCTTGAATATATCGTTCATCATCCACTGGAAAGTGGCGGGTGAATTGGTAAGTCCAAAGAACATGACCAGGGGCTCGTAGAGACCCCGGTTGGTTCGAAACGCCGCTTTCCACTCGTCTCCCTTCTTGATTCGCACATTGTTATATCCCCACCGTACGTCCAACTTGGTGAAGTATTTGGCCTTCTTCAGCCGGTCCATTAGTTCTCCGATGAGAGGCAACGGATAACGGTTTTTGATCGTCATCTCG